GAACGCATTTTATATTTCTCCCTATCTGAAGGGGGGATATACTTCTCCCCTTCTATAGGGGGGATGCGCTCTCCCTTTCCATGTAGGGGCAGGTAGGTTCGAAAGTCGTCTCTTTGTTTTCGAAAGTTCTATATCTCCCCTCCGCAGCATGGGCTGCGTCGACGTATCCTCCCATTAGGAAAACCGGCGCTAGTGTTTTCGCCGGGAGGATATAAATCGCTCTGCGTCAGATAACTCTCGTATTTCTGAAGCAGAGCGCTGAACACTGGTTGCTGTGCGCGGAAGCAATGCAGAAACCAGGTTGGAGCCAAAGCTCCCAAAATCAGCGCCGGGTATTCGTCCACAATGTCACGGGACAGGGAGTTATTGCGATAATGTCTCTGACGTATCAGAGACATTGACCGAAAATTAGCCTTGACATGAGTCTCTGAGTCGCATGTTATGAGCAATGTGTGTCTGGGGAGAGGCAGGATCTCAGGTTAGCTGTAGTTGGGTCAATGGCTTTGTGAGCGCTGGATATGCCCTTGGGCCGTGTCTGGGAAATGTGCACACTTTCTCAACCGTTTATAGTGAGAAGAAGGAAGGTACGAAACAGAGTTATCTTTTTTGGGGAGAAGCGTCAAATTTATATAATTTAATCGCCAAAGATTCCCAGAAATAAAAAAAATAAATCAATCAGACTAGCGCTCGGCCCCGTCAAAATGGACGCCATTGCAGATAGGGCATTTGCGGAATCGCAAACAAATCCGCATAAATTAGTGGACGAGACGCCGTCGCTGCTGGCGGTGGTAGTCGACATCAACCCGCTAGAATGGCGGAAACTGGAAAAAGATCAATCAGTCTCTCTAAAGCAGGTGGTTTCCTCCATCATAGTTATGCTCAACTCGCATCTTTCCCTCAACAGTTCGAACCATGTTGCACTGTATGTTGCAAACAGTTATTCCCATGGGGCCCAACTTATCTATCCGCTTACGGAGTCTTCGAAGTCTACAAGGTTTTTGCACACTCCTGGAATGTACAGACAGTTTCGATTTATAGACGGCTCAATTGTGGACAAAATCGAGCACCTGCTAAATGAGCAGCCAGACACACTCTCGCAGCTTATTGGCAGGCAGCAAGGAAAACAGCATATCAAAGGAACACTCGCAGGAGCAATGTCGATGGCCCTTTGTCATATCAATAAAATACAGCAGTCTGACGAGCTGAACGCGTTGAAATCGCGGCTCTTGGTGGTGAGCATCAGTGACGACAGCACTTTGCCGTACGTGTCAGTTATGAATACCATTTTTGCGTCCCAAAAAATGAAGATCTCGGTGGACGTTTGCAAACTAGGACCGAGCTCGACTTTCCTTCAACAAGCAGCAGACGCCACCAACGGAGTCTACATTTACATTACACAGCCAGAGGGTCTTATACAGTATCTCACGACAGCATTATTTATTGATCCAATGTTGCGTCCGATCATCGTTCTCCCTACAGACGAATCGATAGATTTCCGCGCCTCGTGTTTTATAACCAACAAAGTTATCGACGTGGGCTACGTTTGCTCCGTGTGTCTTTGCATTCTGAGTGTCATTCCAGAGGACGAGAAGTGCCCCACGTGCCACTCCAAATTCGATCACAACCTAATTACCAAATTGAAAAGAAAGCCTAAAGTTTTGCCTCTCAAGAAGAAAGATAAGGAGTTGGGAGATAAGAATGGGACAGCAACACCAGAGTCTGCCTGATGCATAAACAATAAAACTCAACGTTATTTATAATATGTCACTGTACACCTAATTTTCGGTAGGTGCAGGTGTTTGGACCCGAGCCTGCGGATTGGTGTTAGGGAAAACAAGGTCCATATAACTGATCAGCACACCAATAACCGCAAACACAATCTTGAAAATTGCTGGCTGGGCATCATCGTTTGGAGCTTTGATCAACGGTTCATTCAGGTAGCTCTGCACAGCGAGCAAAAGAGACGACCAGGCCAGGGGCTTATTTCTCATGAACATGGCCACCATTGGCAAGTTCTGAGCGGCGAATCCAGTAGCCGAATTGCGGGATTTCACCGGCACATGCACATAGCTGAGGTTAGCACAAATAGTGCGGATACTTACGGCTTAACAAGTTCGGGTCTTTTCACGTCTTTAGGCATTTTCTTGTACTTGAAATAAATAATAAAATGGACGGACGCTTACGATTTCCAGCGAGATTTGGACTGTTTTCCGGTCACATGACGTATTCACGAGATTGCGAGAAAAAAATAAAAAAGAACATAATCTCGCTAGCGCTCGCGAAGAGCACAAAAGGGGATTTCGTTTAGTGAAAAAATCTGATGGGTTCACCTTTTTGGTTTATTTAATCTAATAGCTCACGATCTTCCCATATTCTCTAATCACCTGCCCTCAGATAGAACCAGTTAGAACTGACACCTGCGCCAATTAGTACACACTCTCACTCGAGCTTTTCACCTTATTCAAGACAACTTCCCGTTTTTCCCACTGGCTCGTTCCCATCAAAACATATAACTTGAACATTTTATTCAATTTGGCTGTTTGTTCACGTAAACTTATTGACTCGTAAGACAACACGGTTCATATCACCACTAGCCAAGCCAGCCCATCATTACAATTCGACAATCAGCAAGTCTAATTCGCGTCTCCCTACATGTCTTCAGTTTTGGCGAATGTTAGCGCGTTTCTGGCGCAAACTTGTGCCAAAAGACCTATCCACGTGATTATAGGAACCGCTCTGGTTGCCTCTATCACCTATCTATCCATTTTGGATCACTACGCGTCGTCCCTGAGCATTGCCTCCTCCCAGCCTGTGCTATTCTACCATCCTGCAGGATCCTCAGATTACACCAAATGGTCGCAAGTCGACAATCCCTCAGCCTACGAATCTGCAGACCACTACTCTCTTACGCCATTCAAGTTCAAAAGAGTTGGAGGGGCCGACCTCCCAGTGCACGATAACCTGCTCGTGGGAATGGAGGAAAATGAGAAAATTCTGCTTTCGGACTTTGCTTCCACAGAGTCTCTATACGAGAAATTCGAGACAATAACAAACAAAGATGGCGTTGAGTTCAAAGTGAGGAGCATCCATCGTATCGGAAAATATTACGAATATCTCAAGTCTCTCTTTACCAAAGTTGAGAGCTTGATCAAAGGCGCGGAGCCGTTCGATATTATTTTGGTCGCCGTTGCGTACGGAGCAATGTGGTTGACCTTTGCACAGTTGTTCTTCGAGATGAAGAAGCTCGGCTCTAATTTCTGGCTCGCGTTCGGCTCTCTGCTTTCGTCGGGTATTGCTTTCCTGTTCGCACTTGCTATTGGCATTTTCTTGCTCAACTTGAAAGTGCCACTTATCTCGCTGAGCGAAGGGCTTCCTTTTTTGGTTGCAACCATTGGATTCAAGCACAAGATTGCATTCACCAAACCGGTGCTGAAAGCTCTGAGATCAGAGTCGAACACCGATATTCCAAAAACCATAGCCAGTGTGGTGAAATCCACAACTGCGATCCCACTGATCAAGGACCAATCCATCATTATTGCTTGTTTTCTGCTGTGCTCAATCTTGGCTCCGAACCTTACTGGCTTGATAAGTTTCTGCATTATGGCTGCTTTGATTCTCGCCGTGGATTTGTTTTTCACATTCACCTTCTACTCTTCTATCTTGTCGTTGAAGGCTCAGATCAACAAGGTTCACAAAGAGATTGAGCTCAAGCAGTTTTTGGAGGAAGATGGTATTAACGAGACTGTGGCAGAGAGCGTTGCTGCCTCTGGAGAACTTCCAACTGACTTGTTCCGTCATAACAGCAACATAGTTACTTTCAAGGTGGCCATGATTGTGGGTTTCCTTTCGCTGCATTTGTTTGCGTTGGGAACCTCGTGGCTTTACGACGATTCTGCTGATTACCAGGCCGTCAACCTATTTTCCACTTTTTCTCCATCATTGTCGAAAACAGTTGCCATGAACGTTCCGATTGGAAGACACGGAACACTAATCACAGTTATGCCAACAAAAGTGTACAGCAGAGTTGACTGGTTCACCAAGACAGAAGATCTTGCCTTGCATCTCTTTGAAAGACTTTCAAAAGCCATCTCGGACCCGCTTGTGGGGAAGTTCTTGTTCGTTCTTGCTGGAATCAGTGTCGCAATCAATGTCTACCTTCTGAACGCAACAAATGCTCATATAGATGAGACACGCGCGATCAAGAAGAAGGAAAAGAAGAAGCAAAGGGCTGTGGAACAACCAAAAGTCATTCTTAAGCCAGCTTCTTCTGTTATTGTTTCACGATCCAGCAACTCAAGTTCTGACGACGTGAAAGAGGCTCAGATTATTGACGAAGGTTTTACTGACGATCAATCAGCCAGCGATGCTGATTCGTTGGAGATCAAGGCCTCGATGCCGAAACGTTCTCTTGAGGAGCTGCTGGCCATCATGAAAGCAGGAAACGTTAAAGAGTGCTCGAACGAAGAAGTTACAGAGCTGGTCACTTCAGGCAAGCTACCATTGTATGCTCTGGAAAAACAACTGGAGGACAAGACTCGGGCTGTTATTGTTCGCCGGAAAGCCATTGCCAAGCTTGCTGATGCCCCTGTTTTGAATACAGGAAGACTCCCATGGAAGCACTACGACTATGACAGAGTGTTTGGTGCATGTTGTGAGAACGTGATAGGATTCATGCCCATACCCGTCGGTGTTGCTGGTCCTATGATAATTGACGGTGTTCCTTACCACATTCCAATGGCCACCACTGAGGGATGTTTGGTTGCGTCAACCATGAGAGGTTGCAAGGCAATCAATGCCGGAGGAGGTGTCCAGACAGTCCTGACTAATGACGGAATGACCAGAGGACCATGCATTTCCTTCCCTACATTGGCCCGCAGTGGAGCTGCCAAGATGTGGCTTGATTCGGAGGAGGGACAAAAAGTGATGAAGAGTGCGTTCAACTCTACTTCCCGATTTGCCAGACTGCAACATGTTCAAACTGCCATGGCCGGAACGCTGCTCTTCATCAGATTCAAGACTACCACCGGTGACGCAATGGGAATGAACATGATCTCCAAGGGAGTCGAGTATGCGTTGAACTATATGATTAACGAGTGTGGATTCGATGACATGGAGATCATTTCGCTGTCAGGAAACTACTGTACTGATAAGAAAGCTGCCGCCATCAACTGGATTGAAGGTCGTGGTAAGAGCGTGGTTGCTGCGGCTATCGTTCCTGCAGAGACAGTTCGCAAGGTGCTCAAGTCGGATGTGGATGCCCTGGTGGAGCTGAATGTGTCGAAGAACCTTATTGGGTCTGCCATGGCTGGGTCGCTTGGAGGATTCAATGCTCACGCCGCTAACCTAGTGACTGCCGTTTTTCTTGCAACGGGACAGGATCCTGCGCAAAACGTCGAGAGTTCCAACTGTATGACGCTGATGAACAAGCTGCCTAATGGCGACCTTCAAATCTCCGTCTCCATGCCCTCTATCGAGGTGGGAACCATTGGAGGAGGCACTGTTCTCGAGCCTCAAGGAGCCATGCTTGAGCTTCTGGGTGTGAGGGGTCCACATCCAACGGAGCCAGGAGCCAATGCGAGACAGCTGGCCAAGATCGTTGCTTCGGCCGTGCTTGCCGCCGAGCTTTCGCTGTGTTCTGCCCTTGCGGCCGGCCATCTTGTCCAGTCGCACATGAAACACAACAGAAAGGCCCCTGCTGCGGGATCCGGCGCCGTTGACACGCCTGCCACCACAGCGAGCAGCTCTGGCAGCGGCGACGACATGAGCCGTCTGAAGGCCGGAGCCAAGATCTGCATCCGGTCCTAGCGCGGCCGTATTTTTGCTAGAGATGTATTGCTAATAGTCCACGTAATGTGCCCCGGATTTTTCACGTCCACCTTCGCGGATGTTTTTTTCTGGAACTTATTTGATAGCAACCGAATATTTTATCACAGGTGACAGTTAACCAGAAATTGAAAATTCAAATATATCTTTATCCTAGATTCTATAAAAATGACCCGCATTGATCCGAAGGATTTCGAGTCTGCGCCGATAAAGGTGAGCGGGCGGATTCTGAACTGCATGACGCAGCTGCCGAACCAAATCTACAAGACGAAGAACGGCAAATGGGACTTGAAACCGCTCAGAGGAAGCTCTGCGTTGCATGCGTCGAACGCGTTCTTGAACGAAGCGACCAATTGGGAGTCCCACTTGATTGCCTGGACCGGCGAGCTGTACTCGTACAACGAGAGTGTGCCGCACTCGATCCCCACGAATCAGTCGATTGAGAACGATCCTCTGTATTTAGACGACAGCGACAAGGAGTACGTGACGAAAAAAATCTACGAGGCCAACAACGACGAAAACATCCATCCTGTGTGGCTTCTGCGCAAAGACCAGGAGAGATGGCGGAAGTACGCCGAAAACGTGATCTGGCCCACGTTCCACTACATGCAGCCGGCTCCCAGCGACGGCCGCGAGGAGACCCAATGGTGGCACGACTACGTGAAATTCAACGAGGCGTACGCCGCCAAAATCAAGGCCATCTACCAGCCAGGAGACATTATCTGGGTCCACGACTACTACCTGCTGCTGCTGCCGCAGATTCTGCGAATGGAGTTTCCCCAGGCGTACATTGGCCACTTTCTGCATATTCCGTTCCCGTCGTCGGAGTATTTCAAGTGTCTGAGCAAACGGAAGCTGCTGTTGGACGGCATGTTGGGAGCCAACCAGGTCGGGTTCCAGAACCACTCGTTTGCCAGACACTTTATCAGCTGCTGTGCCAGACTGCTTGGCTACGAGGTGACGCCGGACGGAGTGCACATCCACTCGTCCAACGTGAAAGTGGTGACGCTGCCGCTGGGAATCGACGTGGCCAAGTTCGAGCAGAACGCGTTCACCGAAAGCGTCGAGTCGAAAGTGCAGACGCTCAAGCAGCTCAACGGCAACCGCAAGATCATCATCGGCAGAGACCGGCTCGACCTGGTGCGCGGAGTGGTTCAGAAGCTGCAGGCCTTCGAGATGTTCCTGGATATCTATCCGGAATGGCGGGGCAAGGTTGTTCTGATCCAGGTCTCGTTCAAGCCGTTCTACCACAGCTCGAAGCTGGACAAAAAGGTCAACGAGCTGGTTTCCAACATCAACGCCAAGTACGGCTCGCTCGAGTACACGCCCGTGCAGAACTACAACATGAAGGTGGACAGAGACGAGTATCTGGCTCTGCTGCGCGCTGCAGACCTGTGCATGATCACGTCCATCAGAGACGGAATGAACACCACGGCTCTGGAGTACATTGTGTGCCAGAAGGAGTCCAAGTCGCCGCTGCTGCTCTCTGAATTCAGCGGCACCGCAAGCGTTTTGCAGGACTGTGTTCAGGTGAACCCCTGGGACGCTGTTGGAGTGGCCAACTCCATCAACGAGTGTCTGCTGATGAGCGACGAAAGAAAAGCCGCTTTGGAGGCCAAGCTGTACCGGTCTGTGTGCAACAACACGAACCAGGACTGGACATGCCACTTTCTGCAGAGCCTGATGGACTTTGTGGTGAAGCTGAACTCGAAGCACGGTACGCCGTATTTGAACAAGCCGATGCTGCTGGAGGACTACAAGAGAGCAGGACGGCGTCTGTTCTTGCTGGACTACGACGGCACGCTGGCCCCGATTGTGCGCGACCCAAACGCGGCCATTCCCTCCGCACGGCTGATCAACATCCTCAAAACCCTGGTCAAAGACCCGAAGAACGAGATCTGGATCATCAGTGGCAGAGACCAGGAGTTTTTGGAGAAATGGATCGGCTCGCAGTTCCCTGAGGTCGGCCTAAGTGCCGAGCACGGGTGTTTCTTGAAGAAAGCAGGCGACAAAGAATGGATCAACCTTGCCGAGCGCTACGAGATGCTGTGGAGAGAAGAGGTCGAGGAAATCCTGAAGAGATACTCCGAGAGAACGCCGGGATCCTTCATCGAGAAGAAAAAGGCCGCCATCGTCTGGCATTATAGACAGTCGGACCCAGAGCTCGGAATGTTCCAGGCAGCAAAGTGCAAGGCCGACTTGCTGGGACGCATGGCCGCCTACGACGTCGAGGTGATGGCCGGCAAGGCCAACGTCGAGGTGCGGCCGTCGTTTGTCAACAAGGGAGAAATCGTGCGCCGACTCGTGCTCAATTCCGACCCGCTGGCGAACCAGCCGCGCACGTTTGAGCAAATGCCAGACTTTATTTTGTGTCTTGGAGACGACACAACCGACGAGGACATGTTCAGGGTTCTGAACACTCTTGAGCAGAGTTGGAAAGAAAAGGAGCCTCGTGGCATCTACCCGGTGACCGTCGGCCCGGCCAACAAGGAGACGGTGGCCAAGGCGTATCTGTCGGACCCGGCCCAGGTGTTGGACACGCTCGGCCTGCTGGTGGACCAGGTGTCGCTGTTTGAGACCGCGGGAACCGTCGAGCTGGACGATAGGGGCCATTTGAAGAACAGCGAGAGCGCGCTGCGGTCCGAGAAAGCCAGACAGGCGTACCAGGCAGCGGAGGGGTCACGTGACAAATAAGGTCACGTGACCCGTGGCCCTGGGGCGAATGGCACAAATGGCTGGCAGATATTATTTATCTAGACAATTGAATAGAGGGCAAATTAGTTATATACGGGCAGCGTGCGAAAACTCTGAAACACTCGTTCGACAACATACTGCGGCTGTAATTTTTGAGGACCCCGGTTCCTGAATTCCGCAGCTTCCCATAGAACATGACGGAACCCTTTCCGAACCCGGCTCAGTCGGGACAGTCAATTGCGCAGGACGATTACCTCGGCCATCTTCTTTCTTCCAATAATTCCCGCTCCAACTCCCGCAAAGCATCTCTTGCGTACGGCAGCATCAATGATAATGAGCCGGTACTAAGGCGTTCTCGCAGTCTTACAGAATCCATAACCAACTCGATGATAGTGGCTACCAACATGACGTGGCAGCAGATCCAGCGTCGCCGGTTTCTGTCTGTGTGTGTGTTTGGGTGTCTTTTTATCTTCCTCTTCAATCTGATCTTTCTTCCGCGGACCTCGCTGGACAGGGATTTGCGACGTCTCCATGGCGAGTTTTTAACCTTTGACGACTGTTCGCGACTCTTTTTGACCCAGCTCAACTTCAAGAACAACGTTCGGAGCTATATGGAGTTTATGGAGCGCGACGTCCATTTGCCGGGCAAGAACCACGAGGCGGTGGAGTCTTTCTTCAAAAATAACTACCAGTTCAGAACGTACTCTGACAAATACGAGACCTGGATGGGCAGGCCTCTGGCGACGCATCTGAAGATGTGCGACGGAGACGACGTCGTTTACGAGGCAAAACTGAAAGAAAGCGAGCTTCTGTCGTTCCATCCGTACTCCGCCAACGGGACTGTCAACTCCCAGTTTGTTTACCTGAATTATGGCCTGGAGCACGACTACGAAGCTGTTCGCAAGGCCGGCGTCGAGGTGGGCGGTCTAATCGGCATAGTTCGCCGCGGACAGATTAGCGTCGACCGCAAGATCGAGATCGCCCAGGAGCACGGGATTTCCGCCGTTCTAGTGTACTCAGACCCGTACGATGACGGACAGCAGAGAGCGAAAAACGGCCGCAAACCGTTTCCATCTGGGCCTGCGCGGAAACCGTCCAGCGTGGACAAGGAAACAGTCAGTTTCCTTGCCGACCAGCCGGGCGATCCGACGACACCCGGCTGGTCGTCGACGCTTTTTGCTCACAGAGTGGAGCCGAAAACCGTTCCCAAAATTCCCTCCTTGCCGCTCAGCTTCGAAGACATCGAGCCTATCTTGAAGACCCTGAACGGCCCGGACGTGGGATGGCGTGGCGACCTGGATTTCTCGTACTCGTGCGGGCCCTCGCGCTACTCCCTTGACCTGCTCAACATGGTTGCGTACAAGATCAAGCCGATTTACAATATTGTGAACGAGATCCCCGGCGTGATCAAGGACGAGGAACTGATTATTGGCGCGTCCAGAGACTCGATCGGCGGCCTTGGGGGTGTCTCTGGCGGCCATGTGGCCATGATGGAACTGGCCAGGGGGTTCGACGAGCTCGTCAAGCTTGGCTGGAAGCCGCTCAGAACCATCAAGCTCATATCCTGGGACGGGTCCAGCCACGGCTTGCTGGGGTCTACGGAATTTGGAGAGTTTTACTCCAACAAGCTTGCGAAAAATAATATTCTCTACATCAACTTGGATAAAATAAACGGCTCGCAAGTGAAAATACAGAGCCACCCGCTTTTCAACGAACTGCTGCTGAAAGTGATGAAGCAGGTGATGGTGAACGACAAACAGACGCTCCACAAGTACTTCACAACGTCGAACTCGTCGATGGGCCTGATTTCGACCGGAATGGGAGACTACTCTGTGTTCCAGAACCATTTAGGCATTCCGTCGCTAAACCTCGGCTTTTCAAACAATCAAGACACAGACCCCGTGCCGTACTTCAACTCCCTCTCGGACTCGCTTGACTGGTACACCATGTTGGACCCGGACTTCAGATTCCCCAGCGTGATGGCGCAGTTCGCAGGCCTGTTTGTGCTCCATCTCAGCGAAAAGGAAATTCTCCATGTGAGAACTTACGACTACGTCGCCGCCGTATATTCGCGCTATAGACACATAGTCGACAAGGTGCCGTCTTATTGGCTCGACCGCATATGCGGCGACGAGTCCAATACGCGGCTGCAAGCAAAGCTTGAGCAGATGGACGCACTTTTCCACTCCCTGCTGAAAAAAAGCTTGAGTTTCGACTCAAACCTCAAGCTCTTGCAAAAGCAAATTCTCCAAGACTACCCGTGGTTCAAGCTTCTCACGAAAATCAAGATCGCCATCAAAATCAAAGTGGCCAACCTGAAGGTGCGCTCGGTGGACCGGCTGTTTTTGACGGACCCGGTGCTCAAAGACCGGCCCTGGATCCGTCACCTCATTTTCGCCCCCTCCCGCGACTCCCAGCACGTCTGCGTCCTGGCGGGACTTGCCGAGCCGCTCCAGGCCGCAAACTACGACGCCTTCGCCGCCAACCTCGACGTTGTCGGCGACGCCCTAACGAAACTGCACCGCAAACTGTGACGACCGACGCGTCGATCGACGCAATAAATACCTAATTTATAAAGCAATGTTTTCCGAAAATTATCGTTTTCCAACATGTTTAAAAGAGCTTTTTCCACCTCCCGTGCCAGCCTAGTCAAGTGCTACTTTGACATTGCCATCAACGGCGAGAAACAGCCTCGTGTGGTGTTCGACCTGTACAACGAGGTTGTTCCAAAGACCGTCGAGAACTTCAGAGCTTTGTGCACCCACGAGAAGGGCTTTGGGTACAAGGACTCCATTTTCCACAGAGTGATTCCGAACTTCATGCTGCAAGGCGGCGACATTACCAGCCATAATGGATACGGAGGCAGGTCCATCTATGGAGAGAGGTTCGCGGACGAGAACTTCCAGAAAAAGCACTCCAAGCCGGGTCTTCTCTCCATGGCCAACGCCGGTCCTAACACCAACGGGTCGCAATTTTTCATCACCACCGTGCCATGCCCATGGCTGGACGGCGCGCACGTTGTCTTTGGCGAGGTCGTTGAGGGCTACGACACCACTGTGAAGAAAATTGAGACATTCGGCACGCAGAGCGGTCGCCCCACCGCCGAGATAAAAATCGTCGAGTCGGGCGAACTGGAGGACTAGACGGAACGTTGTATATAGCGGCAAATAGTTCTTATCCACTTGATACTGGCGGGATGATGCCTACCACGTCGCCTGGCTGGAGAGCAATGTTTCTGCCGAAGGATTCCGTGCCTGTGCGCTCGGTTTCCACGTAGTCCTCGTTGAGCACCACTCCACAGCTGGAGACGATATATTGAGCGAATTCGGGCGAGTACGAGCGGCCGACGTGCTGGATCAGCGCGTTCAGCGTTGCCGGCTCGGCAAGCTCGACTTTCTCGTGCGCCGTGCCGTTGGTGTGTGTTTTCGCCGGCCCAAAGTATTCGATGGCAACTGCGACCATACTGTAAAAATAAATAAATTTCGCAGCGCGGATTCCAAGCATACACGCTTATTTCTCGCTTTCGTCGTCCATCGCGTCGTCGTTCCTGTCCTCCTGCATTTCCTTGAGCAGCTCCTGTCGTCTGGCTTCTTTTTTCTCGCTGTAGACCTGGAACACCGCGTGGGAACTCATAAACACAGACGCCTGCAGCTCGCCAAAGCTCTTGATCGAGCGGAACTGCGTCGCTGTCTTGTCGCACAGCTTGCTCATGTACAGCAGGTTGCGCTGGAGCTCGCCCAGCTGGTGGTTCAGGTGCTGTATCTGTCTTTCTCTGGTGGACATGTTGTTTACGCAAAGAATATTTCCGACGCGTCGCGATTTATTTCGACTCTGCCGAGTAGCAGGTGGTGTCCAGCGACGAGGACGGTTTTTCCAGCGTTGACGAAGTTTGCGTTTGAAAAGCCTCGCCGACAAGGTCATCTTGCGTGTCGCCGTACCGCGACACGGCCGCATTTCTCAGCTCGAGAGCCGTTTGCGACGGCTCCAGGTCCGTGTAAGCCAGAGGATCCATGGGAATACACCCGTCCTTTGCGTTGAGTGCTTCTGCGTTGCCTGCTACCACTCTGAGGACAATGGCATTGCCCTGGGTATGGAGCGTGCCGCAGTTTTCCATCTCGAACGACTCGTCGATGCCTGTCACACACGGACTGTCGCAGGCCTCGAACAGGGGAGCAACGGCCGTTTCGTCGTTGGAGACAAGACTGAGCGATAAGTAGCGGTCCGGGGGCAGCTCGTGAAGGTGTTGGACGAAAGCAATCAGTCTCCTCAGTATATGGTATAATTGGGAGCCATCGTCCTGGTGGGATCTGGTTCTGTAGTCGATCTCGAAAAAGTAGGACTCGATGAAGGAGTTATGGGCGGGGTCGGGTCTGACGTAAAAACAGAAGGCAGACACTTTTCTGGACACAACTGCTGCAACCACACTGTCCATCCAGTCGTTGAGCAGATCTGCTCTGCACGAGATGCCCCTTTTGAGGATTTTCACGTTAAGCGAATCTGTCCCGTCAAACACCTTGCTGTCCTCAAAATGGACCTCGTCAAAGAAGTTGCGAAGATACGCAACGCACGATACTGCGAGTGTCACCAGAACGGCTGCTAGGTCGTCTGTCTCGGATTGTACCATTTTTTAAAAGGGATACTTTTGCTACCGGGCCAGAAATTATTTTATTTTATTCGGCTGACATTTTTTCAAGTATCATGATTGCACGGTGGATATTGCCGGCGGCTCGGTCGGCATTCCGCCAGCGGCGGTTTGTTTCCACGCCCAAGGAGGTGTTCACGGAGCTCAGCGACGAGAACGACCCGAAAAGAGCGTCGATTTTCGAGTACAGCTGGGGCTCGTGGCTCGAGAACGACGCCATAGAGAAGGAGAAAAGACGCACCGAGTTCTCCATCAAGGGGCTTAACGACCTGCTTGCGCAGGTCGGCAAGCCGTTCCAGGGCTCAGTGCTGCTGCCGGCAGCCCACAACGTGAACGTGCTGAAGGACAATGTCGATCTGGTCAAGACCGGCTTTTCGCACATCAAGCAGATCAGCTCCATCCACGAGGGCAAACACCACCGTATTTACAAGCTGCAATTGAACCACCAGGAAGATGAGCTTGTTTTGAGAGTGCCGTACAAGCTGGATTCGGAACTGTACACTGACCGGCGGATCAAGTCTGAGGCAGCAACCATGGACTTTCTCGCCAAGAAGCTGGGTCTGAACGTTCCCAAGGTGCTGGCATACTCCAGCGTGGCCGAGAACCCAGTGAGGGTTCCGTTCATGCTGATGGAGTTCAAAAAGGGCGAGCTGTTGATGAGAAAGTGGAACCCTTTGACTCCCGGCGCCGTGAACGACGAGAAGTCCAAAACGGAGCTCATGAGCGTCATTTCGCCCATTGCCGAGTTCAACAAGAAGGCGACCGACCTCACGTTCACGCACTATGGGTCGCTGTACTTCAAAGAGGACGGTTTCGAGCACATTGTCGACGAGCCGTACGTCGGAGAAACGGATGAGTCGCTCAAGAACAGATGGGTGATAGGGCCAACGGTCGAGAAGGCGTACTACAGAAACAAGGACGTCGAGGCTGCCGAGCTCGAGAAGTTTGTTGGTCCGTGGACGGTCCAGGAGCCGCTAAAAATGGTTGCAGACCTTGCTCAGCTGGAACTGGAAAATCTGCAGAAGCAGGGCCACGACCAGGCCGTGCCCGTGTACCAGAAGCTGGCGCAGGTTGCCGAGAAGCTGTTTGACGTCGAAAGCACGACAATTCCTCACATGGACGCTCTGCTTGCTCCGAGACTGGCTCTGCCGGACCTGGACCCCATGAACGTGATTGTCGGCGACGAGTCCTGGTTTATTGACTTCGAGGGCGCCTGCATCAAGCCGTTCCTGCTCAGCAGCTACCCGAAGTTCGTGCAGTACAGCGGGCCCAAGATCTTTGATCTGGAGGCCGACGTCGAGGGCTACGACAAGCTGGACGACCTGGCCAAGCAGCAGTACGAGTACATGTTCTACCGAACGAGAAACCAGTTCTACTGGGAGCTGGCGCTGAACGAGACCAACAAGGAGCTGCTGGGGGTGATTTCGCCGGCCGTGAAGCTTATCAAGGGCGCATATCTGAGCGCCTTGGATGCCAAAACAGACAAGGATTATTTGTATGTGGAAAACGGGCTGGTGGAGCTATGCACAATGTGGCCCCATTACGAAAGCGCTGCCATTGTCAAGGGACCGAATCCGTTAACGTTTAGCGAGCAGGAGCTGCAGGAGTACGAAACGGCGTTCCAGGACTATCAAGCAGAGCTGTCGTCAATGCCTTTTGCTGCAACGGGCGGCTGGGTGCCACAGGACATGTTTGCGCGGCTGCTGGAGCAAAAGCTGCTCGTTGAGGAAAACGGCGGTTACACGTTTGACCGGGACAAATTATTACAATAGATAAGACTGGAAAAAAAATTCTGTAAAATACCATGCCATGTGTACGGCATTAAGCAGCCTCGGGAAGGAGGTGCAAATTTGCTGTGTTTTTCGCCGGAAGAATTCGCGGAGAGGGCACTCACTGCCCGCCCCCCGCGAGGGCTCCCTGCCGCTGTCGCGGTCCCCGCACCGTCCTCCGCCGACCTTCTGGACCCTGGAGCTGGAGACGACGTGCGGCATAAAATTCCAAGCATGCAGAAATTTATTTTTTTATTGGCAGCCCGCATGCACCACGCAAAGAAAATACACGGCATTCTAGGTTTTCTACGGCGGCACAAGGCGAATCTCGTCTCGTGCCATGGTCAGGCCCAGTTGTTTCTTTTCTGATAAGCTGATAAGACTCCGCATGATGGCATTTAAAGAGCAGCGTCCCCCCGCTGGCATTTCTCTCCAACATGTCCTACACCAAAGAGAATAAGACTGATGTTGACACCTCGGTGTCTCCAATCCGCGAAACAGAGGTCGCCAGCTCTGGCTCCAGGGGCTGGCTTCGCGACTTCAAGGACTCCTTCAAGCCGGCCATCGTGGAAGAGCTCGACCCTAACCTCACCGACATCGAGCGTGCCAACATCCTCAGTGCTCGTTCTCCGTTGCAGAGAAACCTCAAGCCAAGACACATCCAGATGATTGCTCTGGGAGGTTCGATCGGAACAGGTTTGTTTGTCGGTTCCGGAAGCGCCCTCGCGACCGGAGGCCCTGCCTCGCTCATCATTGCGTGGGGACTCGTCGGTTTCATGATCTACTTTACTGTGCAGGCCATGGGTGAGCTGACCGTCACGTTCCCGGTCTCCGGTTCGTTTGTCCAGTTCAACACCAGATTCATCTCTCCCTGCTGGGGTTTCTGCATGGCGTACAACTACGCTCTGCAATGGCTCGTGGTGCTCCCGTTGGAGCTGGTGGCTGCCTCGCTGACAATCAAATTCTGGAACTCGAGTATCAACTCTGCTGCGTGGGTGGCCATCTTCTACGTGGTGATTGTGTTCATCAACCTCTTCGGAGTCAGGGGCTACGGTGAGGCCGAGTTTGTGTTCTCCTTCATCAAGGTCATCGCCGTGATCGGCTTCGTCATCCTCGGTATCATCCTCAACTGCGGAGGCGGTCCAAAAGGTGGCTACATCGGAGGCAAGTACTTCCACCACCCAGGCCCATTTGCAGACGGTTTCAAGGGTCTGTGTGCCGTCTTCGTCACCGCTGCGTTCTCGTTCGCCGGAACCGAGCTTTGCGGACTGGCTGCTGCAGAAACCCACAACCCTAGGAAGTCGCTGCCTTCGGCCATCAAACAGGTGTTCTGGAGAATCACGCTCTTCTACATGATCTCGCTCACCATCATCGGCCTGCTCGTGCCATACACCGACGACAGACTGCTCGGCTCGTCCTCTGTGGACGCCACCGCCTCGCCGTTCGTCATTGCCATCAAAAACGGAGGAATCAAGGTGCTGCCTTCCATTTTCAACGTGGTCATCATGGTGGCCGTGCTCTCCGTCGGAAACTCCGCCGTCTACGCCTGCTCCAGAACAGTTGCCTCGCTCGCCGAGCAGAACTTTGCTCCAAAGATCTTTGGCTACATCGACAGACAGGGAAGACCGCTCGTTGCCGTGTGCTTCACCCTGGCGTTCGGACTGCTCTGTTTCCTGGCCGCCTCGCCTAAGGAAGGAGAAATCTTCAACTGGCTGCTCGCTCTTTCTGGACTGTCGTCCGTGTTCACGTGGGGATCCATCTGCTTCTGCCACATCAGATTCAGAAGAGCTCTCGCCGTCAGAGGCAGAGGCACCGACGAGCTCGTGTTCACGGCCCAGGCCGGTGTCATCGGCTCTTACTTTGGTGTTCTTCTCAACGTGCTCATTCTGATCGCACAGTTCTGGATCGCGCTGTTCCCAGTGGGCGGCTCGCCTAACGCGTCCGACTTCTTCCAGGCCTACCTGACGGTGCCCGTGCTGATTGCGTTCTACGTCTTCTACGTGATCTGGAAGAGGACCTTTGTCCTGTACTTCCGCGCAGAGGAAATCGACGTCGACACCGGAAGAAGAGACTTCGACCTCGACCTCATCAGGCAGGAAATCGCCGAGGAGAAGGCGTACATGGCCACCAAGCCGTTCTACTACAGAGCGTACAAGTTCTGGTGTTAGGGTGCGCGCCGTTTCTATCTTATGTAATCTAAATCATTGCTTCCCTGTTTTGCCGTGGATAAGGCACTAAAATTTGCTATTGTATTTTTTTTTTTTTTCCTCGCGCCGCACGCCAAAAGAAATTCCGTGATACACGGGAAAACGTTCCACCTCGGGCACTATCTCGTTTCTGTCTCAGGCACCGCCGCCTATCCTACAGCAGCGCCATATCATGGTGGTTTAGGGCTTTTTGCGCGCGTCTATGTCCATTTCCCGCTGTTATCGGCCACTCCAGCTGCGAGCGTTTACCGCGACGAAAGTTACTCTATGCAGTAATGTGCCAATAGACTTTTTCATCGCCGTATGCAGCCCTCGGCATTGACGTAACCCGATCTGACGACCTGAAAACGGTGAAACTCAGTCACACTTTTTCTTCCACTTCTGTCATGCTCGAGGACCCAGAGAAAGGCCACTTTTCCTCGTCCGAGCCGTCTGCGCACTCGGACTCTGCCTCCGGAGCCGTGGAGGAAACGTTCGCGATCGCCAGCAGATGGAGCAGGTTCGTCGACTCCTTCAAGCCGTTTCCCGTCGCCGAGATCGACCCCAATCTCTCGGAGGTCGAGCGCGCCAACATCATGGCTGCAGCCTCTCCGTTGCAGAGGTCTCTTAAATCCCGTCATATCCAAATGATCAGCATTGGAGGCGCCATCGGGACAGGACTGTTTGTTGGTTCTGGCTCCGCGCTCTCCTCAGGCGGCCCGGCCTCTCTTCTCATCGCATACTTCATTGTCGGCGTGCTTATTTTCTGCACCGTCCACGCCATGGGCGAGCTGGCTGTCACGTTTCCTGTGTCTGGCTCGTTTCTGCAGTACAATACCAGGTTTATTTCTCCCTCCTGGGGCTTCGCAATGGCCTGGAACTACGCCATGCAATGGATCGTCGTCATGCCGATCGAGCTCGTGGCTGCCTCGCTGACAATCAAATTCTGGAACTCGAGTGTCAACTCTGCTGCGTGGGTGGCCATCTTCTACGTGGTGATTGTGATGATCAACCTCTTCGGAGTCAAGGGCTACGGCGAGGCCGAGTTCGTGTTCTCCCTGATCAAGGTCATCGCCGTGGTGGGCTTTGTTATTCTGTCGGTCGTGCTTGTTTCCGGCGGAGGCCCTAAACACGAGGTGATCGGCGCTCGGTACTGGCACCACCCAGGACCGTTCAACAACGGCTTCAAGGGCCTGTGCACGGTGTTTGTCACCGGGGCGTTCAGTTTCAGCGGCACCGAGCTGGCGGGCCTCACCGCTGCCGAGGCCGCCGACCCTAGAAAAACCCTGCCCCGAGCTACCAAACAGGTGTTCTGGAGAATCACGCTCTTCTACATGTGCTCGCTCACAATGGTCGGCTTTCTGGTCGCGTACAACGACCCCAGGCTGCTCGGTGCGTCGACCGACGCCGCGGCATCGCCGTTTGTCATCGCCATCAAGGACAACGGCATCAAGGTGCTCCCAAGCATCATGAACGTTGTTGTGCTCGTGGCCGTACTCTCTGTCGGAAACTCCGGGGTCTACGCCAGCAGCAGAACGCTTGCCTCGCTCGCCGAGCAGGGCTTTGCGCCAAAGATTTTTGGCTACATCGACCGAAACGGCAGACCGCTCGTCGGCACCGTCTGCACGCTCCTCGTCGGCCTGCTCTGCTTCCTGGCTGCGTCGCCCAAGGAGTCCGACATCTTCGACTGGCTGATGGCTCTTTCCGGGCTGTCGTCCATCTTCACGTGGTGGTCCATCTGTCTGTGCCATATCAGATTCAGAAGAGCTCTCGCCGTCCGCGGCAGGGGCACCGACGAGCTCACCTTCACGAGCGCGGTCGGCGTCTGGGGATCCATGACAGGCGTGGTTCTCAACGTCCTGGTGCTTATTTCCCAGTTCTGGACGGCGCTGTACCCGACCGGCGAGTCCCCGAGCGCGTCGGCCTTTTTCAAGGCGTACCTCACGGTGCCCGTGGTGATTGTCTTCTACGCTTTCCACGCCATCTGGAAAAGAAAGGAGTACGTCTTTTTCATCAGATCCACGGACATCGACGTCGACACGGGCCGTCGCGACACCGACCTCGAGGTCCTCAAGGCCGAGATCGCCGAGGAAAAGGCCCATCTACGCTCGAAGCCGTTCTACTACAGAGTGTACCGGTTCTGGTGTTGAGGTGTGCAAATTTCTCGGATCGAGGGCTTGGATATCCGGCGCTTGGTCTGCACAGAACACCAGAGATAGAGAGGTCTGTGGCCTGCTGAGGGCCTTATCTCGCCTAGCCACGGGCCATAGACGCTACGTATGCCCATATAGTACGCCCTTTGCAAGCTGACGTCTGTAGCTCCTCTTATTGGTCGGCACGCAGTTTTTCGGCCCCGGCCCTAAAAAATTAAGAGTCGTGCAAACGGCAACACAGCTAAATAAATTATTTCTCTCCGTTGTTCCATTCCTGTCTCAGAATGCTTTCCACCGCACGCCAATCGATCTGCGCGATCCCAAGACGCCAGCTCGCGGGCGCCGCCCTCGGCGTCAGAAGCCTCGTCACCATCAAGGCCACGCCCGCCGAAGAGCAGGAGATCCTTGTCGCACAGAGAAAAAACAGACCGTCGTCTCCACACCTGCAAATCTACCAACCGCAGCTGACGTGGATTCTGTCGTCGTTCCACAGAATCACCGGCGTGGGCCTCGCTGCGGGCTTCTACGCCGTCACCTGCACCTACGCATTCACCAGCCTCGCCGGCGTGCCCTTCGATACGGCCACGCTCGTGTCGGTTGTTGCCGGCCTGCCAGTGGCCGCCAAAGTGGGCCTCAAGGCGGCAGCCTCGTTCCCGTTCGCGTTCCACGTGGCCAACGGAGTCAGACACCTGGTCTGGGACTTTGGCAAGGAGCTCACGCTCAAGGGCGTGTATAGAACCGGATACGTCGTGCTCGGCTTCACCGCCCTGGTCGGAACATACCTCACGTTTCTCTAAATAGTCAATATCATCCGTTAGCTTTATTCGTACATCATGAAATCGTGGCCGAACTTGAACTCGTCCGCCGGCGGCTCCAGAGCCAGCAGATCGGCGTCGTCGAAAGCGGGGCCCATCCACTCGCCCGTCTGGTCGCTCAGCTCGGCGCACACACAGCTGCCCGAAGCAGGGCAGACGCCGCACGAGTGCAGCTGTTTCTGCGCCTGCTCCTGGCGCTGTTTCTCCAGCAGCAGCTGTTTCTGGCGCATCTGCTCGGCCAGCAACAGCTGCGCCTTGTGGCTCACTTCGTCGGCCTTGCTGTCCGGCTTTTTCCTGCTCTTTGCTGTGCTCAACAGAATGTCCTTCGACGACACAGCGAGCTCCGACAGCGGGCCGATGCCCACGCCCACCACGCCGGGGCTCTTGCTCTTCGAATCTGCGCTCTTCTTCGCCCGCTTGCACTCCAGATTGTAGCTGAGGTTGATCGGGTCGATCGTCGTGGCCGCGTCGAGTTCCGGCACCGAGGGCGTTCGGCTCATCAGCGCTCCCGTCGTCGCCCCGTCGTTCTTCACAAGCCGCAGGTTGTCGATCTCCTTATTTAGCTTCGCCAGTATCTTCTTCAGGTTGTCGTTCTCCTTGGTCACGTTCTGGAGCTGCACCTTCAAATCCAGCTGGTTGTTCGTGTACAGGTTGATGTTGGAGTGTATCTGCGAGTTCACCTTCTGCTTTTCGGGCTTGTCGTTCTTTTTGATGTGCTTCGTCTCCGCCACCGCCTTGTGTGCTTTCCCCTTCTTGATTTTAGCCCGGGGCGGAAGAATCCAGTTTTTCGAGGTGGTCAGCACGATCTCCTCCGAGCCCTTGTTGGCCACCGTCGACGCGCCCTTGGCCATCTGCACAGCCTTCGGCGCCCCGCCACTCCCCGGCACGCCAGCCCTGGCCGTCGGCTTCGGCTTGATAGCTATCGGATGCAAGGGCACTCGCGTGCTTGCCGGCGCTTGCTGCTTGTCGTTCCCCAAAGGTTCCTCTCCGTTGTGAGCCATCTTATATCGCGCTCATAGACTTCACGCTTACTGTACGTTTTGCCTTAGCCACCTTTTTAAGCTCTTCCGCGACTTCCTTCGATAGTTATTTTTCCTATTTATTGCAGCTACTCGCGAATTGATCTCTTTACTCCTCGCACCAGATCATCTCACCCCCACAGTCAGGCCCTGGCCAGGAACTTCCAGCCGGTGATGTGGATGCGGGCTATGATCCAGATGACGCAGGCAATTGCTGCCAGTGCCCCCGTGTAGGCGACAAAGTGCTGGTACGACGCGACCGACTGTTTGCCGATGATGGCACCGCCCGCCGTCAGCCCGGCCAGGAACAGCAACCCGATCACAAACGAGAGTGTCGCGTACCTTTTCCCGAAATCTTTTGTCGGCGAGACAGCCGCGCAGCAGGCCGGGGTCAGGCTCAGCGCCGAGGAGCTGAAAAACCCGTAGACGGTTGCAAACGTGTACAGCGAGGCCAGGCTTTTCGACGTGGTTGCGTAGCCGAGCCACAGGGCGAGGTCTGAGAGCGCAATTCCTGCAGACATGACGATCATCACGTTGAAGGGCCCGATTTTGTCGGCGATGACGCCCGGGAGGAAGCGGCCGGCGACGCCTATGGCGTTGACGATGGTCAGCATCGTGTTTCCCTGTGTCTCCGAGTAGCCAATGTAGATGATAAAGGAGGCATAATAGGTCAGCGCGCACACGAGCGACACCTCGGTGAAGGCTCCGCCAAGAGTGCAGAACAGATACTTTGGGTCCTTGAGGGCCTTGAAGTCGATCGACCGCTTGCTCATGAAGTAGACGTTCCTGAGCACGAGCTTGAACTTTTTCCCAAACGGCAGCTGCGTGTCTGCGAACGGTGACTCGGGCCGCAGTCTTTCTTTGCTCAGGGTAAAAGACACGACAAGCAGGCCAGAGCAGATAAATGCCAGAATCCGCATAGTCCATCTGAAGCCGACCGTCGTGTACAGCTTGTTGAGAATCAGCGGGAACACCACGCCGCCCACGGACCCGCCGAGGGTGGCGATGGCGAACGCACGGGCCCGTTTTTTCATGAAATAGTGCGACACCACCCCTCCAAGCGGCGACATCAGGAAGCCGAGCGACGTGCCGGTAACGACACCAAACACAAGCACGAACGAGACCACCGACTCGCATTCGCCCGTCAGAAAGAGCCCTAGGAACAGCAGGACGGTCCCGGTAGCCATCGGAATACGGCTGCCAAACTCGTCAAACAGCACTCCAGAAAAAATGCCGGCAACGTAGCTGATACACAGAAAGATGGAAAATATGAGCGATGAGATGGACGACGACACGTGCTGCAACTGGTGGTTATTTAAATATGACTGCACAGCTCCGACAGAGTTGATGAGCCCAAAGTTGACGGTGAATCCGAGAAATGCACCAAAGAGCACGGTGTACGCCTTGAGACCGCCGTCGGGGTACTCGATTTCGTCCTCGTCGACAGACACCGACTCGACGGCGAGGGTGCGCTGGCGCAGCTCGATGGTTTCGGAACCAAAGCGCTCGGAGCCTTGGGTGGTGGGTTTAGTCATTAGATAAAGAAAAAGGACGATCGACGCACTTGTATGGTGCTGACCGGTTTTGTGCCCCGGCAGCGTTGTCCAATGACGGTGCGAAAAAAAACAGACGAGACAGCTTGTTTTCCCTTAACTCCCCTGTCTGACAGCACTAGTGAATCAAAATGAAGTTTATGGGCGTCAAAGTGTACCGTTTCCCGCTGGTGAAGTACTACTGGCCGTTTTTCGTCGGATGTAAGTAGCAATTGCACGAGTTCTAACAACGCAGTCGGCCTGACTTTCTACGGAGTTGCCAAGATCCAGAATGCCATGATGGACACTGCTGAGTTCATCAACGACCCAAGACACCCGAGATTCAAGAAGGGCGACTTGGAGAAGAAATAGAAACATAGAACCGGTTTACAGCTATGAATACGATGTCCAATGTTTACTACACACGGTGTTGCTCTTCGGCGGTATCGAGCGCCTCCTTCAGCGTGGCGAGCAGCTCCTGGGTCGGCTCCAGCCCAATGCTCAGTCTCACGAGGTTTCTATCCACCCCCCATTGCTCAATCACGTCCAGCTCCTGGTAGTGCGCAAGGATCGAGTACGGACATATGAGGGTGAAGTTGGTTCCGAGAGACGGTCCCTTGGACAGCTTGACGTTGTTGAAGAAGCACACCGCGTCGGTCTGTTCCTTGAACACGATCGACATGAGTCCTCCGTAGCCGCCGTCTGGTTTTTTCAGCGCGTCGTAGTGTTTTTTCGACGGCATCGTCGACGGATAGTACACTCTGTCGAGCAGGGGCGATTTCTCCAGAAATTCCAGCACCTGCGCCGCGTTGTGGTTGATCTTCTTGGACCGCGCCTCAAAGTCTCTGGAGTTTCTTTCCAAGTAGATTGCGTCCTGGTCCCAGAAGTTATCCTCGAAGTTCTGAGCGAGGTAGTCTTTGAAAATCTTGTAGTACTTGGAGGCCGGGTTCAGCACCATCGACCCGCCCATCACGTTGGAGTCGCCCGAGAACACCTTGGTCAGCGACGACGTGACAATGTCGCAGTGCCCTAGCACGTCGATGTTGGTGATGTTCCCCACGGTGTCGTCCACAACGACCGCAAAGTCGTACTTGTCCGCGAGCTTCTTGATCCGGATCAGGTCCGGCGTCTTGAGCAGCGGGTTCGACGGACACTCGCAGAACAGCGACAGAATGGGCTCGCCGTCCTCCAGTCTCTTTTCCAGCGCGTCCAGCGAGTTGTCGTCGCCAAACCCGTAGAAATGGACGCCGGCACCCCATTTCTTGAGGATGTTCAACGTGTCGACGTACGGGAAGCCGAAACAGACCGACTTCTGGTCTCGTTTCTCCATCGTCTTGAGCAGCATCTGGTGGGTCAGGAAAATCGCATTCATCCCGGAGCAGCACAGATACACGTTGTCGTCGCCGAGCTGCGGCGAGATGTGCGACGCAATCCTGTTTCTGAGGATGGCCTTGGCCTCCTTGGCAAACCGCAGGTCCAGGTTCCTGCCAAACCGCTCCTCCACAAACGTCGAGTACTCCTGGTTGTTCTGCAGCGACGAGATCGACGACCGCGAGTTCCTGCCCGAGGACGTCCTGCGGCCCTTTGCCGCCGTCGACTCCAGCTTCTCGCCCATCTCGTTCAGCACGTACTCGCCGAGCCGCGACGACACGCCCTCGCCGGAGTGCTGCCAGTACGCCTTGGCAAGCGAGAACTCGGATCCGGGGAAAAATACCACCGCGATCTGCGCCTCCACCTTGTACGATTTTTCCTCGTCCGTCTTCGGGGCCTCCGTGCTGAGCTGGAGAATGCGGACGGGACAGTTGGGCAGCAGAGATTTCGCCCTGATAAACTCCCGGCACCGCTTGGCCACCTGGTACGACGGGAAGATCATCGACTTCTCGTTCTCCTTGGCGTAGTTGAGCTCCAGCAGCCGCGAGAGCTCTTTCACTTTATTGTGCACAAAAAAACGAGGGTACCCCGAGTGCATCTGGTTGACGACCCAGTCCTGGCCCTCCTCGTAGCCGACGGTGGCTTCCCACGTCGGCAAGGTCACAGACACAGCGTGCTCGGTGTTGTTGGGGATAGGTGCCCCTATGGTTTGCGAAACAGGCATATTTTGGAAAAAGGTTAGGAGCGAGTGACTAATATAATGTAGCACGACGGGCACGATGGGGCAGTCGCGGCAATCGAGCAGGCCGCGGGCCGCGACAGCGATATCTGCACGAAGAGGAACACCAGGTCTCACGCTGGGCTTTGGGCCCAGAAGGGCCCGGTGCAGCCTTCTGGTCCCTGCTCGCCGCTGTTCTGCCACAGCCCTGGCTTTTTTTTTTGTTTCCTGCTTTTTCGTTCCTCCATGTCCAGATGGAAATCCAAACAGAACGTCGGTTTGCCGTTGTACTATAAAGACAAGCTTCAGCGAGATTCCTCGGCCTGGGACCGGAGCAAAGACGTGTGGCGCGAGCGCCCCCACGCACAGCGACTGGCGGCGAAAGTCGTCCTTTTTCTTGTTGGATCGTACGTCTTTCTGGCGACGTTCGTGTTCTCCCGCAAGACCGCCAGCGTGTGGCCGGCCCGTCGCGACCAGGTTCGCGCGGTGTTTCTGGAGAGCTGGCGCGACTACGCGCGCCACGGCTGGGGCAAAGACGTGTACAAGCCGATCTCTCAAACGGGAAAGAACATGGGAAAACAGCCCCTCGGGTGGATCATTGTGGACTCGCTGGACACGCTGATGCTGATGAAGTGCGACGAGGAACTGCGCGAGGCCCGCACGTGGGTCAAGCACGAGCTGGACTACGACTTCGACTACAATGTCAACACTTTCGAGACCACGATCAGAATGCTAGGTGGCCTTTTGTCGGCCCACTACCTGAGCGAGGACGACGTGTATCTGGAGCAGGCTGCGCGGCTGGGCAACAAGCTGATTGGCGCGTTCGGCTCGAAAAAGGGCATTCCGTACGCGTCGGTCAACCTCAAGTCTGGCGAGGGCATCCCCAGCCACGTCGACAGGGGAGCCAGCTCGACGGCAGAGGCCACGAGCGTGCAGTTGGAGTTCAAGTTCTTGGCGCAGCTGACTGGCGAGGAACTGTACTGGCGCGCGGCCGAACAGGTCATGAAGTCGCTGGACGAGGCCGACCCACCAGACGGTCTCGTTCCGATCTACATCCAGCCAGAAACAGCGAAATTCCAGGGCAAGTTGATCCGGCTCGGTTCTCGCGGCGACTCCTACTACGAGTATCTGCTCAAACAGTATCTGCAAACCAGAGAACAGGTGTACCTCGAAATGTATCTCGAGGCCGTTGCCGGTATCCGCAAACACCTTGTGAGCTACTCGAAGCCCAGTAATTTGATGTTCATCGGAGAGCTGGAGCGCGGCATCGGGGGCCCGCTCAGCACCAAAATGGACCATCTGGTCTGTTTTGCGGGCGGTATGTTTGCGATGGGGGCCACCGAGGGGCTTGACTACGAAACCGCCAGACGACTGTCCACGTGGACCGACGAAAAAGAACAGCAGATGACCTTGGCCAAGGAGCTCACGCACACGTGCTACAGAATGTACCACGACGTGCCTGCCACGGGGCTTGCGCCGGAGATCGTCGTTTTCAAGCAGGATGCGAATAGCGAGAAGGACTTCTACATCAAGCCCGCGGACAAACACAACCTACAGCGTCCAGAAACCGTCGAGTCGCTTTACTACCTGTACAAAATTACCGGCGACGTCAAGTACAGAGAATGGGGCTGGGAGATCTTCGAGAACTTTGTCAAGCACACAAAGGTGACGTCGGGGGGCAAGGACACCAAGCCGAGATACACGAGTCTCGACGACGTGACGGTGACCCCGCCGAAAATGCGCGACAACATGGAATCGTTCTGGCTCAGCGAGACCTTGAAGTACCTGTACCTGCTGTTTGACGACGAGACCGATCCAAAATGGGATCTGGAGAACATGGTCCTCAACACGGAAGCGCATCCGTTCCCGCGGTACGCCAAGGCGCCATTTACCACTGGATGGAGACGGCAGGCAAAGCTCGAGAGCGTGGAGCCGGAGAACAAGGAGACTCCGACGCAGGAGATGGAAGTTGGCGACGCGGACGCAGACCTTGATGTTTTGGAGGCGAAACTCAAAGCTTCTCGCGACAACGAGGCTGTGGCAGAAGCTCTCAAGCAGAAGGGAGAGTTGCCCGTGGCGAAGCAGCCTGTTGCCAAGCCGTTGAACGAGCAGGTCGACAGCGTGAAACAGGAGCTTGGGAAGCAGGCGGATGTATAGCTATTGGAACAGTGTCCACTCATTATTCGGCTTCGGCCTCCACTTTGACCTCTATCTTTTGCTTCTTGACCACGCTGGCGATGGTGGCCTGGCCCTTGGCCCGTTTGGCCGGTTTCTTCTCCTTCTTCTTCTCGAATTTGGCCAGCTGCTCTTTTCTCTCCTTCTCGCCTAGTTTTTGCAGTTCAGCGCTCCTTTCAAGCACCTCCTTGTCGTCCTTGGACTTCCCGACTAGCCATTCCAGCAGCTTGATATCCTCGCCAAACGCAGAGTCGTCTTTGGGCTCTACGGGGACCTCGAGAATGAGCGGGATGCCTTCGAGTCGCGGGTCGTTCGCGAGCAGTCTGAAACACTCGAGCCCCAGAAAGCCCCACCCCAGCCGCTGGTGCAGGTCTCTGTTGGCTCCTAACGGCGCCTTGGAGTCGTTGATGTGCAGCGCACTCAGATACTGGAACCCGATCTTGGCGTCGAACTCGTCCCAGAACTTGGTCCACGCTTCTTCGTCGCGCAGGTCGTAGCCGGCCGCAAACGTGTGGCACGTGTCTATGCAAACGCCGACGCGCTCTTTTTTGTCAATCATCGAAATCACCTTTTGGATGTCTTCGAGCTCTCCTCCGACCAGGTTGCCATGGCCCGCCATGTTCTCGATGACTATCTTGACAAAACTGGTCTGCTCGATGGCCTTGTTGATGTTTGCGGCCAGCCGTTTCAGCGACTCCTCGTGGTCGGACCCCAGCGACGAGCCAGGGTGGAAATTGTAGTGGCCGATGTCGAGCTTCTCGCAGCGCACCAGATCGTCGAGGAAACACTCTAAAGACTGCTGTGCTTTGGCCGGGTCCGGGTTGGCCATGTTGATGAAGTAGGAGCCGTGCGGCAGCACGTCTGTGCGCGGATTGAACCCGTGCTCTTTGCAGAGCTCCACAAACTTGGACGCGTCGTCGTCGCTCAGCATCGGCGACACCCACCGTTTCGGGTTCTTCAGGAACAGCGCGAACGAGTTGCAGCCGACGTTCATGGCGTTTGTCACGGCGTTGTAGATTCCGCCGCCCATGCCCACATGGGCGCCGAATTTGTGTTTAAAGCCCGTCTCCCGGATAAACCTGAACGACATTAGCTGGAAATAATTTTCAGCTATTTTTTCTCGTGATCCGCTTGAGCGGCTCGGCAAACGTCCAGGCCGAGTAGCTGCAAATAGAGTTGGCGATGTGTACGCGCCGCAGAGCCATCGTACAGACCTTGTTGACGGCCCGCATCGTGTGGAACTTGATGTGCTCCTGCGTGCGTGCGTCGAGCTCGTCGAGCCCGTAGAACCGCAGGATCGCGTCCGTGTCCTCAAACTCGACCGCGTACTGCTCCGAGCCGTCCTCCGACGATATGTACACCTTGAAGTCGTCGACTATGACAAGCTGGTTCTTTGTGTTTTGCGCAAGCAGCGGCAGCTGCGGAGGAACATAGCCGACGATCTGTGCCGACACGAGGACGACGTCTGCGTCGATCGAGTCGAGCTGCCACAGCCGCACTTGCGGACACTCAGAGTACTCCGGCAACGCCTCTGGCGCAGTCACGAGGTCCAGCACCTCGTTCGTGTCGACGAAATTGGGTGTGTGCGGCTTGAAAGACGGAACAGCCCGTTTGCTCTCCTGGCTCTCCTTCAGCGAGTGGTCGGGCTCCAGTTTCCGCTTCGCGCCCAGCAGCTCCGACAGCCTGTAGCGCTCTTCCAAAGGCTCGCGCAGACTTCTGGGCACGTACTGCTGCACGCGCCTGAGGAAGTCCCGCAGATTGGCGTCCGACGGCAGCTCCTGCTTGATCATGTCCGGGGTGAGCAGCTTCAATCGCGTTTTCTTCATCTCGATCTCGTTCCTGTAGCTGTGGAGATAGCCGTCCAGCTGGACCAGCACCATGCGCTCGTAGGGCAGGTCGCACGGATTAAGCCCGGGGTCCGGGTAGTCTGCTGTCTGGCGCAGCTGAGCCAGGATTTTCTCGAACTTGTCCAGATGCATTTCTGCGCCGAGGATCATGGTGCTGGTCGCGGCCTGGCCCGACTTCAATCTGAACCGGTCGTCGTAGTGCCCTCTTTTCACGAGATCCATGGACGTGGTGAAATCCATGGCTTCGAGCAGAATGAACTGCGATCGCTCGAGCCGACGGTAGCTGCACAGGACCGCGTTCAACGTGCCGTACCGGCCGATGAAGGGCGCGTCTATCTGCAAGTCCTCTATTTTTATTGACATACAGTGTAAATAAATAAAATATTTTTACTTATCTATGAAATCAAAGACATTTCAGCCGTCCAGGAAATCCAAGGCAAAAGACACACAGCCCGACTCTGCCGAAAGTCTCTACATCCGGGCAACCGAGGAGGAAGAGTTTGGTGACAGATGGCTGGGCTCAGACCTGGCCAAGGCTTTGAGGTTCTACCAGAGGGCATACTCCCTGTACCTCGAATCGCTGCAATTGCAGACGGACTACTTGGACTCGAGATACAACGTGTCGCGGCTCCTATTTTTCGTGTACGACAGGTACGTTAAGAACGACGCTGTTGTTCTGGACGAGCTGGAAAACTGCTCAGAGGCGCTGACAGGCACGGCCAGCAGCGTGGTGAGACCGCTGCGAGAAGTCATCCAGGTGTTCCAGGAGTCGATCCAGATTGCACAGGCGGCAGAGGACTTTCCGTGGGACCTATACTACAACGCCGTGCTCTGCTACTTCGAGTACATGGAGGAGCTGGTGAAAGATGGAGATCATTTCGGAGAGCTCGTATCCTGTGGCGAAAAGTGCGTGGAACTGCTGAGAATGGTGCTTGAGCACCAGATGAGGGAGCTGGCTGCACTTTCGAGTCCCGAGGAAACGCCTGTCTCCGCCAAAGAGCACGAATACGAAACACAGCAAGAGGCAATAGTCCCGCCCACCGTTCTCGAGACCTGCGTCACAGGGTACAAAATCATTGCGACAGCGTATGAAGGGGCCGTTTCTGAGTATGAAAGAGGGCTGGTGGAGCTCAGGTTCGCAAACGCCGCGCAAGAACTCGACGGACTGGTGTCTACTCTCGTCGACCAATACTCTGCTCCGGCCGAGGACTTCGTTCCGCCGTTGTCCTCTGCAGACCTTGAGCAGCTTCAGGTCGCAAAGCTGTGCTACGAGGCTGCAAAAGCCGACAGCTTTGACACGCTATTCGATCTTTGGCGTGGCGCAAAGTCGGTAGAGACGCTTCTTCTCGAAAATGAGTCCTACAGAACTCTCCTCGCGAAAAAGGACGATATGCCTGCTGCCACGCGCTGGCAAGTGCTCTCGTCCATCAGCAATCGCTATAAGGAGGCGTTCGAGCTCCTGAGGCAGGAGTACGATCAGCTGAAGAGAGCTGCTACCAATTTGCAGCTAGGGAGCAAGATCGCCCAGATGTGCTCCATTTTGATTGAGAGAGCAGATGTGGACCTGGAGCGGTCGCAGACAGCTACGCTGGAGGAAAAGACGCGCGGTATTCTTGCCACAAATGCTAACAAGCTGCTGAGGAATGCAATTACGTACTCGCAGCAGTCAGGTGGCCTGAGAGAGAGCATGCTCGAGAAACTTGCTAGGAGGAAGAAATTGAAGGAGGCTTCCACGCGGCTGTGCATTTTGGAGGGTAAGACCTCAACCGAGGAGCTGGACAAGATAGTAGGGCGGGCATTCTGGCCTCAGGAGCTACATGAGCTAAAGGAACTGGGGATATATAAGGTGGATTGGCAGGGATAGATAATATAGGCGGATACAGACGTGCGACTGTGACTTTTTCCAGCTATATAATGCTCAAGCGCAGTCCTTGGGAGTAGACTTTCGTTACGTAAGTCTCGTGGCATCAGGTTGACATACCCTCCTATTTTTGATCAGCAGTGTGAAAAGGTATACTGGGGCCTACTCTATCAATAGATGGTTGCTTGTATCACTCCCGGGCTGTTCTGCTGAAATCTCCGATTTTCTGAAACGATTGCGACAACAGAGTGCAGGAGAGAGCTTACATACTTCAGCTCATGGATCTCGTTAAAACCAGCTGAAAGGTCAGGGCGTGCGCCCGCGTTGATCCTGACTTTATTGGCCCGTCCCAAAACCGGCTTGATTAAGTGGACAGCTACAGCAAGCCCTAGCCCAATGGATAATAACTCACATATTTTGTGTCTCAGTATTTTTGACGTCAGAATATTTTTTGTGGTTGTCATGGGCTATTATGTTTCTAGGCAGACAGAGAGAGCCTGCATTGCCACTTGACCGCACCGAGAACAGAGGCAGTTCCAGCTACAAGCTGCCGCTAGACGTCTTCCCGCGAAAGGTGCTCAACTGTGTGTTCAAGTACCTCGATATACCTGATTTGCGATCTCTTGCCTGTCTTGGAGACCCGTTCTCCTCGGCCACAAGACCGTTCATTTACCGGTCTATAGTGTACTCAGAGAAAGCCGACGAGAGAGTCGATACGAAAATTGGCGATTACAACAAGTACCTCCACTTGGTGTACACACTCATCGAGAACCCTGAATGGGCCAAATACGTGTTTCACGTCAGACTGGAGGACCCAATCGGCCAGAGGGGCAAAATGTGGACCGTCAAGCTGGACGAGATGTTGCGGGAAGACGAGCTGCGGTTGATGGAAGGTCTGGCCCAGACAACGCTGCTCGACTCGCTAGTCCGTCTTCTGGATCTCACCACAAATTTGCACTCGCTGCACGTGCCGACGTTGACCATCAAACAGCTCTCACTGCTGAAACTTTCCTCTGTAAGGGAACTGACAATTGCGATAGCCGAGGGAGACAGCATTGACGATTTTGTGGGCATTGACTTGCGGAACGTTACCAGTCTTTGCGTTCGCTTTGAAAAGGGCACGGATTCGCTTCTTACCAAGATGTCTAAGCATTTACGGAAAATTGGCGTTCTGGAGAGACTGGAAGCTCTTGAGCTGAACTACCGACAACGAGAGTTCAACGAGTTGCTCTCCCCAACCTGGTACGCGTTCTTCCATCCTCATGTGGAGCTTGTTCTGCCAAACCTGCGGAAACTGGTCCTGGACCACTGTCAGCTTGGCAGCAAACACGAGTATTTCTCCAGACGGCTGATTCAGACGGTTCCGCTCGAACAGCTAGAATCGCTTACGCTTGGAGTTTACGAGTCGTCGCACAAAGGCCTGAAACATGGCTCCGAAACGCATCCAACGTTCCTTAATCACATCGCTCCGCAATTGCGCAGCCTGCGACTCCTCGTCCTCAAGCCTTCAGGAAACTGCCTCCTGTGCCAGGTGAAGTCTGTCGTAGACTTTTTGCATTGCTATCCCCATTTACACGAGCTATGTCTTTTCACAAACACGCTGAACTCCATGAACCGCCAGGATCTCGCCACCGCGCTGACGGGCTGCACCGAGCTACGCAGGCTTGCCCTTTGCGACGAGGCGATCCACATGAAACTGGTCAACCATCTCAAACGGTGGTTCATCTACGAGAACCTAGTCAAGTTCGAAGCGTACAACCACTTCGAGTGCGAAATATTGCAGCAGGTGGAAAGTCCGCAGTTCGAGCGATACGCCAGCAAGTCGTTTGAGGCGTTTACTACAGCAAACTCGAGCCTCATGATTCTTTTCTGGCGAACGTTCCTGCCCCACGTCCGGGCCGACGCTCTGATCAGGGGACTGAGTGCGAACGAGTTCAAACTGTATGGCTACAATTTCCGAGTCGACCGCGACCAAAATCTGGTCCAGATGTACACCGGTTCCAAATTTGGGTACCAAAATCTGCTCTACTACTGAACCACGCCACGCAGCTGCCATTATGCGCAATTTTTTTTCCGCCCCTGGAATAGTGCGTCATGTATAGGTATGCATCATAAGGTACCGCTAAAAAAGGAGGCGGTGCGGCGTGAGGACAGTCCGTCTCTCAAAACTTTTATATTTCCCACCAACCAGCATGTTTAGAGCCCAGGTTGTGTTGCTCGTCGGTGCAGGCCTGCTACTCGGGTCCTTTCTGACGCTGCTGCATCCCAAGGTCGAGATCGTCAGGGACCGAAATCTGTACCATGAGGCCTATCTGCAGAGTCCTGAGTATCTGAACAACACACCCTACTCTATTGGGTCGAATCCCTTCGACGCCGACGTGACAACGAGACGAATCATGGAGGCGTTCCCATATGTCGCAAACTACAGCGAGCCTATAGAGAAGAACATTCTGCAGATGTGGAAGGTTGGTCCCGACGACCCGGATTTTCCCTACAGGCCCGAGTTTGAGAGCTGGACAGAGATGAATCCGGGCTACAACCACGTCCACTACACCAACGCGAAGCTGAACGAGTACGTGCTGAGCATGTTCAACGAAACGGTCCCGGAGGTCGCCGAGACGCTGAAGCAGTTTCCGAAGCTGATTTTACAGTCGGACTTCACGCGATATGTCTGGATTTTCCTGAACGGAGGAGTGTATGCGGACTTGGACACAGAGTGCATAGATCCGATCGACAACTGGCCTGACGCGCGCGACCGGTCCATCCACGCGGTGATCGCCATGGAGAGCGACAACAACATCCCCGAGTGGGACGAGATGAACACCGGCCGGCTGCAGTTCGAGAACTGGGGATTCAAATTCAAGAAACACCATCCGGCGCTGGCCAGGACCATCGCCAACGTGGTCAAGCTGACGTTCAACCAGCAGGCGTGCCGCAAGTTCGAGGACAGGTTCAAGCATATGGGGCTGGACAGCTGTCACCCGCTCGGGGTGATCGAGTGGACTGGCCCGGGCGTGTTCACGCAGTCGATGGTGGACTTCTTCAACAAGGGGGCGAAGTTGGAGATCAGGGACTTTGACTTCTACCGCACAAAAAAGGAGATTTTCGGGCCAGAGACAGACGACTTTGTGAGCTACAAGACGTTCACGGGGATCGAGTCGCCGCTCATTCTGAACGACGTGTGCGTGCTGCCGCCTCGCGGCTTCCAGTGCCAGGACGAGATGATCGGCAAGTACTGCTACCTGAAGCACAAGTTCTACGGAGGATGGAAAAGTGAGTGAGCTGTGCAGCTGTGTAATTTATATTTCGTTTAGCTTTCTCGCATAGTACAGGGAGGCATAGCCCCTAGAGATGGAGTTGTCGTTGTCGTACTGGAGACCGCCGGTAGCGTCGTTGAGGTCCAGCAGGCCGTTGAACGAGATCGGGGGCAGGACAACGGTGGAGTTGATTTGCACCGGGCCCACAGCCATGGAGAAGGTTTTGTAGGAGATTTTCGTCTTCTTCGGCACCTTGGGCCCGTAGAGCGGCATCTCGTGCTTTTCAGTGCGGCCGGTGCTGTCCTTTCGCGTAGCAGAGCCCTCGTTTGGGAACAGGTACGCCTGTTCCTCCTTGAACACAGAGGACACGAGCTTCCAGTCCTGCGAATTGAAATACTCAAACAGAACATCTGTGAACATGGAAGGTCCGGTAAACGAGGCGACGGGCTCAGACGCGGCGTCCAGCGCAGATATCCGATCCTCCCAGTTGGCGGCCTGGATCTTTGCCTTGTTTTTGTGCACGTAGTCGACGATGCGGCCGATCAACTTGGCCAGGAACGGATGGTGTTTTTTCGCCATGAAAATGTGCGTCCCAAACGTCAATCGTCTGTTGTAGAGCTCGGCCCAGTTGTCGGCGTTGTGGTCTGTCTGCACACCGACCAGCAGCTGGGTGTCGAGCACCCGGGGTTCATACCAGTGTCGAATGGGCTTGAAGATGTCTGTGTCGATGTCTGCGAAGAGCCCGCCCTCGCAGTAGATTAGGAGGTATTTGAGGAACTCGTGCTGGATCTTCTCGTGCGGCAGCAGGTCCAGCGCCCGAAGCACCTCTGGCTCGTTTTCGTAGCACACATCCACCCGTTTCCGCACAGCAAGCGTGCCCAGAAATCGGTGGACATACTCTGGGGCGTTGATATCTCGCCAGCGGTTGACAAACGGTTTCAGGTTTTCGGGAACAAGCTCGCCACGCTCCCAGAACTGCCAGATAGTCCGCTCCGCAGGCCCGTCGGAAAACGGGTGGTGCTTCAGCAGTTTGTGCTCTGTGGAGGCCAGCAGACCGGCAGGCTGCGGGGTGGCCTTGAGGGACTGGAACGGCACGAGTACGAGGAGCACGAGCGATATCACTGGCAAAAGTGACAAAAGTACCGGCTTGGCCTTTAACATGATTTTTATAGGAAAAAGGATAATATTATTTTGCAAGCCTACTTTGCAGATCCTTCGGCAGAGCTCAGCAGCTGCATATTCAGCAAATAACAATAAAACCCCCAGGGGCAGCGAAAGTCAGAAAAAAAAAAGTTGCCAAATATCCTTACTCGCATGAGAGCCTCCCGACTGTACTGGAGAGTCCCCACCGCGGGCGTGGTGCTGGCTGTGATTGTGCTGTTGCAGCTTTGTGTCTTCTACAGCAGAATGACCCCACCGGCCCCTAAGGTGTCTGCTGAGCCTCTGGACGAGATTACCCCTAAACGGGGCTTGACCCCGGCTGATTTGGAAGTGATTAAGCAGCTTGAGGCCGCGCGCTTCACCAAGGACCAGCAGAGGCTCGCGGACGACCAGCAGCTGGACGTTTTGCGTCTGTACGCTGCCCAGGAAAAGGAGCTGGAGGACCGGTACCTGGCCTCCCTGAGGGTGTACGAGGAGCTGGCGGAGCGCAAGCCCAACATCATCAGAATCTACTACACCAGAAAGGACATGCGGTACGGCTCGGTCGCGGTTTTCCGCAAGCTGATGGAGGCGTTTCTGGAGGTGGTTGACAGGAACAGCGTGGTGCTTGAGGACCTGGATCCGCAACTCGAGTGCACCACGCAGATTCCCGAGTTTTCTGTGCTGGACACGAAATACCCCGAAGAGTCGCTAAAGAACCTGTCCCACGCACATAAACAGGTCGCAGACGCCATTCCGGGCGGTAATCCGTTCCCAGACCTGTACAGCCACAGCGGCTACGTGATGCTGGGCGGAGGCTATCGCACGTGGGCCGCTCTGCTGAGCATCAAGGCACTTAGACGCACAGGCAGCTCGCTTCCAGTCGAGGTGTTTCTGCGCAGAATCGAGGACTACGACCGCGCCATGTGCGACACCGTGTTCCCGTCGCTGGATGCTGAGTGTGTCCTGCTTTCTGACAGATACGGCGACAAAATTTCCCAGAGATTCGAGTCCCTGGAGGACAAGTCTCTGGTGCCGTTTCTGCTGCTGGCGTCCTCCTACCAGAAGGTATTCTGGATGGACTCGAACGTGCTTGCTGCGGTGTCGCCGGATGACCTGTTTGAGAGCTGGCTGGGGACCCAGTACGGGTTTTTCAGCTGGAGAAGCAAATATGCCACCACGCTGAATCCTGCGTACTACGAGGTGGTGCGACTGAAGCCACGGACGCCAGCATACACGATGGATGAGAGCGCGTTTTTGCTCGACAAACAGCAAAACTTCGAGAACCTGATGCTGGCTGCGTACTACGAGCTCGAAGGGAAAAATAGTTACCACAAGCTGTTCGGACAGGCAAAATGCGGAGCAGGAAAACACGACTCGCTGAGCTATGCGACGCTTTTCTGTGACAGGCGCGAGTTCAGATCGCAGCTGCTGGAAGAACTGGGTGGGCTGCGGTTGCAACGAGATCCCGTCGGAGAGTTTGAGAACATGTTTGACGAGTACAGGCCGGTCCGTCCGGCGTTGTACGAGGTGGACCCTGCCAGATTCGACCCGGAGATTCTGACGAGTCCAGGCCGGATCTCTGGTGACTACAATCTCACCTACGACGTGGACGTGGTTTTGCTGGAGACGATGGACTTGTACGTCTGTCACGCTGACGAGCACATTTTCAGAAATGTGGAGGCGTTCTGCGACATCTACGTGGAGGAGCAGCGGAGATATCTACTCGATCACGAGATGGCAGCTGTCGACTCCCGCCCGCGCGGATTGGTGAACCGGCCCGACGATACGTCGGACGAGGTCAAGGATAGAGCGAACGCGGAGGTGATCTCAAAGCTCGTGGGGGTCGAAAGGTTGCCGGAGTGGGAGTGACGAGTCATATAGAGCAGAGTCTAGAATGGTTGGAAGCCAAATAAATGTGTGCTACTAGTTATCTTGCAATTATTTTTTGAGTACCTGCATGGGCCTCACGGCATAAGCCTGTTATCTACAGGATGATATACTATTTACCATTTTTCTTATCCACCTTGTCGCGCTTTTCCCGCATCTGCGGAACCTTGTCGGTGTCAAGGATCTTCTTTATGTCCTCGACCATCAGCTGACTAGCAGCCTTGGTCCGCCAGCCAAATCCGTGCTCTTTCTTCAGCTGTGCGTCCTTCTCTCTCTTCTTTCTCAGCAGATCGCCGTACATGTCGTCTATTTTCTTGCTTCTTTCCACGTAGTCGATCGTGTCGTCGCTGAAGAGCAGATCAAACACGCGTCCGTCGCCCCAGAAGAATCCCTTTCTGTCGATCAGCCATGGCGCCCGAGAGCCCTTCTGGTTCAGCCAGAATATGAAAACGGAGTCTCCAGTGCCGTAGAAACCGTCTCCCGTGTACACCTTGGCAAACTTGTTCTTGCGCAGGTGTGACAGAGGCATCGTGTGGATCGGCGTAGGCTTATAAGGAAGCACAGGGTGCGAGGTGAACCGAACAAACGGCTCCTTGGAATCGCCACCAGGAAGATACCACATTCGGCGGACCAGTCGCGACGGAGCAAGTGCAAACGCCACGCCACACAGCGCCGTGAGGATTCCTGCTGCTGCGACGATTGAGAGATGCATTCCCAAACGCAGATTGTTGTGCAGATCACTTAGATTGTTCTCATTTTCCTCGTATACGTTCATGGCCATTTCGTGGCCTATTGACAGGACGTTGATCCCGTAAATAAGGAAGACAAGACCGAAACAGTAGCAGAAGACAAAATAGAGTCTGTGGTTCTCGCTCTCGTAGATGAGCTCCGGCTCTTTTGAGCGTTTCAGTTGCGCATACATTTTTGCCAAGGGGTACTTGGAGGGTTCTGGGGCGTTGGGGTGTGGCAAGAGCGACGGCATGGCCTCCTTCTCGAGTTTCAGCGAGCGAGGAAAGCGGTCTGAGAGGTTATTTGTTTGTTTCGCCTGGCCGGGGATCCTTGCTGAGATCGTTCTTTCGAGGTCCGGAGGTACGCTGTACATCCTGAGCAGCACGCCTGGCCGCAAGGCACGGCCAAGCGTCTGCCGCGAGAGAATATTTCTGTGTATTCCCACAAGCATCATGAGGAGAAGAAAAATTAGCTGAGTTTATTTTTTATGTCCTCGCACAAGAAGATAATTAATACCACCAAGACGTCCGATCGACGGGCCGCTGCCGGCACCAAGGCCACGCGGTACCTTCACACAAACCAGGAGCTAAATATTGGTGACGACAGGAAGATCAACAACTCTCTCCAGTTGCTTCAGGACATCAAGCAGTCGTCAAAGTCCGATTGGGACCCTTCGCATTTTCGGCTCTTCGTTGGCAATCTCGGCCAGGATGTCGACGAGGAGCTTCTACTGCGCTCGCTGATAAAGTATCCTTCAGTGTCAAAAGTGCAGGTTCCCAAAGACCACAAGAAGGGAGAGAATAAGGGCTACGGGTTTGTCTCGTTTAGTGATCCAGACGACTATCTACGGTGTTTCAAGGAGATGAACGGCAAATACATTGGGTCGAAGCCGATCGAACTCAAGAAGGCAAAAAGCAAGGAGCCGGCGACAAAGAGAAATAGGAAAAGATGAGCAGAGAGACGATTTTGTGTTTCCAGGGCACGATTATTTTTTTATTTACAAAGTATCCGTTTTTATTTATTTGATACGCGCATGGACCTGGTGGAAAAAGGCCTGCAATTATTCGAGCGAGGCAAATACCGAGAGGCCGAGCACGTGCTCTCCAGAGCAGTTGGCATTGCACAGGTCGAGCTGAAAAAGGGAGAAACCCATTGGCGCAGTAAGCTGGGATTACTGCTTGACTCGCGTGCAGCGTGCTATCAAAAGCTGGGTGACCTGGACGCCGCCTTGCAAGACGCGCGCCAGCAGCTGGCTCTCGAGCCGTACAAGTGCAAGAGCTATTTGCGGGCATCGAAAATACACAGTCTGGCGGGGCGCAACAAGGACGCACTAGAAGTGCTCGAGGCAGGTATTCGTCGCCTGGAGCGCGGCAAGGTCAAGTACGGAAGCCGGCTTCAGATCAACGAGCGCCTATTCGAGAAGATGAGGGCAGAATTTGACCAACTGCATCAGAAAATGCTCTCGGACCCTCCTGCAAAGCGGAGGAAAGTGAAGTCCTACGATCCACTAGATTACCTGCCTTTCGAGCTCCAGGCCACAATTTTCTCGCACCTGGACCAGCCCAGCATCCTGAACTGTATCCTGGTGAGCCGCAAATGGAAACAATCGATTGCAAATATGCCAAGACTACTGCACAGTCCCGTTCTGAAACGACAGCTATCTCTTAAAGACTTTGTGAAGTTTCTCAACTTTTGCAGGTCGCGCCAGTGTCGCTCCTTCGAGACGTTATCGCTTTCACTGCGCGCGGCAGAGGAGTCCAGCATGCTCAAGCAGCTGTTGTCGAGCGGCTTTGAGGTCAAGAAGTTGAACTTGAGTTTGGCCAATCACGACAATTTCGAGCTAGCTAAACTTCTCGGCAATATCACGACAGGCCGGAAAATGTTCGCTGGATTGAAAGAACTGTCTCTCTCGTTGCCTGTCGTGGAGAACGGAGCTGGAATGACAGAGCTGCTTGGCTTTCTGGGGCCAGATATGACCAGACTGAACATAGTTATCACAGACTTGGTTGTCTCGAAGCTGGTCCGACGCGAGCCTAGCAAAATCAATTTGCCCCAACTTAGCAGGTTGGCCATCGTGGTGCGTCCCAAGCTGCACGAGAAGCTTAACAAACGGCTGATGCGAGTGCTATTTGCGAACTTCACAGCCGACAACGTGCAGAGTCTCCAACTAATCAATTGCGACACGGAGGCTGCTACCATGGAAAAAATGTTGCTTCGCTTGGAAAGGCTGGAACATTTCTTAGCGGAATGCTGTGGGGCTCTGACTTTGGGAGAATATCTAAGATGGCTCTCCCGGAACAGACTGCGTCTGGAGAGTCTAGCCGTACGGGAAAGTACGCTCCAGCGGCCTTCCAGCTCTGTCTCGGACACAGATCTGCGTTTTCTGGCGCGGCTGAAGTCCCTAAGTTTAGAGAACACCTCGCTCAACTTCCACCAGTTATTCCTGCTCCTGCAGAGCACAAACCACCAGCTGCGACACCTCAAGCTCAAGGCCAATTACAAGCTTATTTTTGCACGCAGTGCATTCGACACTCGCGTCCCGAATGTAACCACTCGTCCGGTAAATTTCCGCGAGTTTCTGCAAGCGGTGCCGCAGTTGGAGTCTCTGGCACTTGTCCAATGCACCAATCTCACCGACTCAGCATTGCGAAGCCTTTCAACGGAAATGGTGAACACCTCGTGCCCAAAGGGACTGAAGATGCTGGATGTCTCTGCAAACGAGGTGAGCGGCGTTGGAATCATTGACTTGTTTCAGAGGCCCAGAAGTTGGCTCCGGCTAGACCAGCTCCTGGCCCACGGATGCGATTTGCATCCTGACACCTTGTCGCTTCTCGTCCGCCGAGGCTATTGTCGGGATGTACAGAGCTTAGCCTAGCAGCCGTAAAATCGTACTGAGACGCGCATAAACAATAGAGCTACGTTACGTTTTGTTCGCTTGCATGGAAATATGCATAATTTAGATATATAATTTTGAAATCTCGTGCTTCTCAGACAGGTGCCGCTCGCAGGTTAGTTGCGATGGCGGCCATGGCTGTGAGCTAGTGTAGTTCGTATCATGGTGCGTACTCTGGCACGTATCCCTTGAAGACACGTCACTGACACCAATTGCCAGCACGAACACATCACCAAAGGAGCCCTGGCTCTTTGAGCCCGACCTGATAACACCAACAAGGGGGTTGATTTTGACACTGCGTTCATCCGAGACCTGGGTCTGAGGAAGTCACAAAAACTCACTAGCTCAATTTGTTTTATAAATAATAACTAAATGAACGATGTGAACGGATGGCTGCCCCTGTGCTAAAGAACCACAGAGTGGGAAGCAGGAAGCGGGATCATATCCGAATATCCGCAAATACTCTTTTCAAGCTAGAATTGGCGATCCATGGCCATACACCGGCAGCAAATTTGTAAACTATAGCGATCCATGCGATATTTATTAGTTTACATAGATGATATCAATGCGGTCGAAACACACCAAAGCAGAGCCTCATTTGCGTTCCGTATAATCTTCACCCTCTTCATCGTGGCTCTGCTCATCGTCAGACTCCTGGTTTTTGTTGTGCTCAGCGTCGGCTGAGTCTTGCGGCTCTTTCTTTTCGCTACGTTCTTGCAGTCCGCGGTCTCGAATTAAAAACCCTAACAAGAAGCAGACTCCGATCAGTGGGATAAAGAAAATGAACACCGTGCGCAGGGCATGGTATGTAATGCTGCGCAACTTATCCCGGACCTCGGGGCTGTAGGCAGTCAAATCTATTGAGTAAATGTGTTTGCTCAATTCTTGGATCTGTTCACTGGTTAATCCAACGTTCGATGTGCGCAGCTTGCTGCGGAACTGGTTGGACAATATCGCCGAGCAACATGCCATGCCAACGGCTGCTCCAACAGAACGGTTGAAGTTTCTGGTTGCAATCACCACTGCTCTATCAGGCAGGCGCGTGTGCGCTTGGAGCGCAATGATGGTGGGCTGGAACACACACCCGACTCCAATTCCCTGGACAAGCACGATGAAACAGATCCCCACCATTGGAACAGACCTGGTGAAAAGCGCAAACTCCAAACACAGTCCCAGGAGCCAGAATCCAAAGCCTGGAATGATAATAAAGTTATAATGCTGGAAGTATGAAATCAGAATTCCAGAGATTGTACTCGTGAGAGCCTGCACAACCACCATGGGAAGCGTCAGACATGAGGACTGGTACGAGTTCCATCCTCGCACCAGCTGGAAGTAGAGCGGCATGAAGTACATGTTGGCGTAGAACACCATGCCGAACAAGAAGTTCTGCGTCATCATGATTGCAACGCTTGGCGATTTATACACTTTGAGAGGCATCATGGGCAGGCGGGAGATCTTCCACTGCGTGAAGAGGAAGATCGCGAAAAACACTCCGCCGATGGTGAACAGACAGATCACCAGCGCGGAGTCCCACTTGTACGTGTTTCCGCCGCCCGAAATTGCAACCAAAAACAGAATGATGCCGATGGAGCTCGTGAAAAAGCCGTAGTAGTCGATGTTCTTGAAATTAGACCATTTGATTTTGAAGTCTGGAGGCGAGGGCAGAATCACCGCACTGACCACGGCAATAATTGCGGTGAGCGGACACAGAAAGTAGAAGTTTCCGTGCCAGCTGACTCTGCTTGCGAAACCACTGGCCACAAACGGACCCACCGCGTTGCCGAGCCCGACACAAGATCCCAGAATCCCCTGGTACTTGCCACGCTGCTGCAAGGTCACCAGGTCGCTCACGAAAATCATGCTCAACGAAGTGATCCCGCCGTTGGCTACTCCGGCAAACCCCCGAAAAACATATAACTGTGTGGCTGTGCGGCAAAAACAGGTCGCCAACTGGCTCAGGCTGAGGAGACACAGACAGAACACCAGAAGGATTTTGCGACTGAAGATGTCGGACAGTCGTCCGGATAAAATTTGAAATGACGTTTGTCCGATCATGAGCGAGGTGCCTGCCCAGGAAACCGTTGCCTGGGCATGCAGGTCTTCTGCGATTTTAGGCTGTATAACGGAAATCGACGTTTGGTCTAGGAACGAAGCCAATAAACCGAGTGCCAATGCCGAAAAGGCTATTATCAACTTGTGAAAGGGAAGCCGGTTGACTTGGTTCTGTAGAACGACTTTTTCTTGCATCTTTGCATCAGATGGGTGGGGCAGAGGCTCCTTTTATATAAAATCTCGCACGCGACTTTTTTTTTGCGGGACCGTACCGCACTATATATCGTTGCCGTTTTAGTATCTCAGTGCGTGCACGAAACAAAGAATCGAAGTCATTTGGGCGCAAATAAGCACTCTCGGTGTCTGTGATTCCAAACGCTTAGGTTGTGCGTGACAAGGCTTGCCGTTGTTCGCTCTTGCCAATGCGGGCAGAGCCGAGCTCCGCCCTCGGTCCAGCAAGGTACGTATCGCAGTAGAGACCCGAAACTCAGGGCTCCGGACTGCCAATCCAGGTCTAATCATGTCTCTGAGGTTAGCCCTAGCTTCCCCACGATGGCTTCATTATCTCGTGTCATTAGCTAATCCAAAAAAAATTTGAAAATTTTTATAGGCAAATAACACTATCAGACCAAATTGCATTGTGCGCTTTAATGCAAAACATGATGTCTGTACAGAATGCACCACTCATTGACGAGACTCTGAAGCGAAGGTACTCGGACAATGAGGACGTGAAGCGGCGAAAGCTCGATGTGGGCGAGGAGCGCGGCTCTGAAATGCAGGAGGAACCTGTCGCAGATCCAGACTTCTCGGGCAAAGTGTATAGCTCGCTCGTCCGTTCCGCCCTCGACAAGATGGAAAAGGTAAGTACCGTGTCACCCCTGCTCTGTTTTGCTAACTTCAGGACGATTGCTCTGCTATAGACGCACTGGCCGCACAGCTCGCACTGCCTCGAAGCAACACCGAGTCGATCTCGTCAGACAAGCTGGTGCAAATGCTGCGTGTTCTGGCCGGCGAGGTCACAAGACTCGACAACAAGGCCAGCGTCGCGCTTGTGCAGGCGCTGCTCAATATCGACTGGTTTGAGTACGAGAGCGACGACTTTTCCAGAGCATATTCCACCTTTCTGTCTGTACTCGTATCTGGAATACCGAAGTGGTGGAACGAGGTGGCCACGATGCTGGTTGGCGACTTTACGCGCAGGGAGCATCTCGAAACGCACCATAGTACGCTCAAATATATTATTCAGGTGATTCCGACATCGACGAACGCCATCCCAGGTATCTTGAAGCGTCAGTTCCCCAACAAGACTGCTCCGAAGGCCGACTTGGTGAACTACGTGCGCAACCTCCTTTTTCTGCTTGGCTACTGCGACCAGGTGCGCCATGCTGTTTGGCAGCTGATCGTCGAAAACTGCATCAAATTGGACGTTGAGCTGCAGAACGAGCTGGAGGAGCTGGACGACGAGGATATGGAAGAGGCGCTGAACAGCGATGACGACGATGACGACGCCGACGATGCCGACGAGCTCAGCGACGATGACGAGTTTCTGGACCAAGAAGAGTACCAAGTCGAGATCCAAAAGGTGAGCAATCTGTCGTCGAAGCTGGACAGCGTGATGCGGCTGCTGATGGACTCTGCGGCGCCGGTTTTCAAACAGGACCTATCTGCGGGTATTGCTCTGTTCAACACGTTGGCTGCGCTCTTTAAGTCGCACGTTCTTCCAACACATTATACCCGATGCATCCAATATCTCATGTTCTATGTTGCCCAGCAGCATCCGGACCTCACAGATTCGTTTTTGGTCATGCTGATCGACATCGTTTTCAACGTGAACGAGATCGGCTCGAACAGAGTCAAGGCCATGCAGTACGTGTCGTCGTTCATTGCCAGAGCCAAGAGTCTCTCTAAGCAGCAGCTGGTGTTTGTGATCAAATACCTCACGTCCTGGTGCTCTGTTTTTGTAGCAGAGCGCGAAAAGGAGATTTCCAACGGCCACGGCGGCATGGAACGGTTCAAGATCCTCTACTGCGTGTTCCAGGGCCTGCTGTACATCTTCTGTTTCCGCCACAGAGAACTCAAGAACGAAAAGGACGAGTGGGAGCTGAATCTTGACAAATTCTTCAACAAGCTCATCATCTCGGGCTTCAACCCGCTCAAGTACTGCAACGAGACCGTTGTGCTTATTTTCGCGCGGCTCGCGCAGCAAGTCGACCTCTGCTACTGTTTCTCGATCATCGAGCGCAACAAAAGAGAGAGACTCAACGGAATCAAGAACATGCAAGCCGGCTCTGTCTTCGAGAGCAAGCAGGAATTCCTCGACCTCGAAGCGTACTTCCCGTTCGACCCGCTTATTCTCAAACGGTGTAAGGAGCTTGTTGAAGAACACTATGTCGAATGGGAGAGCATAGACGACAGCGAGAGTGAATAACGTTCTTTATCAAGTACGTAAAACTAATCATTAATTGGAGTAATAAGCAAAATTAAATTTAAATCATTAATCGTCTTATGTTGGTCACCTTCCACTCTTTCGCCGACTCGCTGTACTTGCAGCCAACCAGGCGTTTGCCCGTTATCGGACACTTTCCCCCGTTTTCATCGCCCTCGCGCAGAAACGTGTAGATGCACTTGTAGCAGAAGACGTAGCCTGTCTCGATGACTGCTGGGTTGTGGATTTCCTCATGGCAGAGCGGGCAATTCGGCGATTTGGTGACCAGTCTGCTTCGCATCTTGCGCGACGCGGCCACCTCGTTGTTTAGCAGCGGCGGCACCTGAGGCGTTCTTTCCGTGACGCTATCTGTCTTGAAATTTTTCTTCACATCGGATGTGTTCCACCACTCGAGGAATTTGAGTAGGAAAATCGACACGGGCAGAACAGACTCTGAACCAAGGAGAAGGGTTTTCTTGAGCGGATAGGCCACTTGCGTATAAGCGGCAACCACCGACTCCGAGAGCGACATCGGCCTTATGCGACTGAATTTGGGCTCTGTGGAGACGCCCTGGAGGTACGCAGCGGTGCGGTCCTCGGCTAGCTTGTAGTCGAACTGGTTGAGTCTGGAGTACTGGATTCTGAACAGGTACTGGAGCAGACTCGTGGACTTGAGCTTGCCCGACAAATAGAGCACTTTGAACACGATATTGATCACCTTCAATACTGTCGAAATTGCAGGATACACTTTGAGAAACCAGTATTTGGCCAAATCCTTCTTGCTCTCGTTCGGCTTCAGTTTTTCCATGAGATATTCAGGCAACAGACTGTCGTACAGCAGATCAAGCTTCTCCTTCAGGAACGGGACCAGAGCGACCTCTAGTAGCGACACGCCAACCTGGCTCCTTGTGAGTCGTTTCAAGGCTTCGTATTTAGTTAGCTGTCCCGTGGCCGGGCTTTCGATTGCTAGATCCAGGTGATTGCACCGTTTGAGTCCGTAGAACTTCTCAATAAATGTAGAGTTCCAGTTGCGCAGAAAAGAGTATTCGACCAGCCCTCTGATCGCAAGGTTCAGCTCGTCAAAGTGGTTCAGGATCCTGATAAGATAGCGGGGGTATTTGTTGGCGTAATGGACCAGAACAAACCGGATACTTGGAGAAAGCAGGTTTTCCAGCTCCTTGGCGCTGATCACCTCAAACAGCGTTGGGGTGTTTCTGTCCAAAGAGCGGGAGTCCAAATTGGAGTAAAAGTCCATAGCCGGCAAATAAGCGAAAATGATAAATAAAATAAAATAAAATAAAATATTCATTATGACCGACAGGCTCACGCAGCTGCAAATCTGTCTCGATCAGCTCTCAGACATGTTTTTTGCTTCGCTGTCGTACGTCGACCAGAACCACGTTGCTGTGCGGCTGACGGAGGGAGACGAGATGCTGCCGGACCCCGATCACAACCCTCCGTCGGAAGCAGAGTTTAAGGCTAACCTAACGGAATTGACGTCCGACATAATACTAAAAACAAAGCAGATTCTCACAATAATAGACACGCTTCCAGGTGTGGGTGTGAGCAAGGAGGAGCAACTAAAAAGAATCGAAAGTCTGTCTCAGGAGCTGGCAGAAGTAGAGAAACTGAAGATACAAACCCTGGAGAGAAAAGAGAAACTGGGAAGCATAGTGGACGACCTGATAGTGCACGTGAGCGAGGGAATAGCTCAGACCAGAGACTAAATGCCTATAAAGATCTATATGCAATCACAAGACACGAAACAAGCACGGCGAGTGCTTTGTCCACCTGGAGGTAACTGAGCCACTGGCAGAAAAGCAGGAGTCCAAAGTAGAGAGCGAATAGATAGTTTTCGGGCCCGCACTTGTGGCGCGACATCACGAAGGGGACGAAGTGGATGACAAAGCCAATCAGGAAATCCGTCGCATGACGGTCGAATTCTATAGCCTCCGGTAGCCATTTCGCAGGCTTGTACGGGTTGGTGGTGGCCAGCTGCAGTAACTTGAAACTTGCAAAGCCGATCACAACCACTATTGCAGGCCAGTAAACCACCGGATTGCCCGTAGACCAGATCTCGTCATTGCCGTCCTTCCAGAGAAGAGTTTTCGTCTCCAGGAACGGCCATTGCAACGGTTTCAGGTCCTCGAGCTGCCATTTAGGCAGTCTTGCCTGGAGCCGTCTCATGTGCACGTGCACCTCCTCGAGCTTGTTCCAGAAGGTGAGATTCTTGTACTCCACGGGCGTTCCTTCGAGCTTTGGATGGATGTTTCTGTCAAAGTACCACAGAGACCGTACATAGTTTGGCTTCTCGATGCAAATGACCTCGTCGTGTCCGTCTGCCCATTTTGGCAGCGCATTCTCGGTAGCCATCACAAAGCACTTATTCTTCACGTTGAATATCTGGAACACAGACTCGACGGCTCTAAACCGCTTCGAGCCGAGCTCTGAGGAGTACTCGACGGCCGGACGGAGCTCAAAGTTGAGCCAGTTCTCCCCCGTCCACGACAGGTTGCCAATGGTGCCAACCTCTTTGTTGTAGTCTGTCTCCGAAAGCGGCGGCTTTTCGTCTGCGTTGATGTATAGATATCTCTGGGTAGCGTTGTGGAACAGGCGGATCTGCCTGCCTGTTTCGATGAATTTGGCTTTGCGCACCAGCTCGCCCATGCTGGCTTTCACTCGCTGCTCGACAAACCACAGTGTTTTGTCGGAGTCTGTTTCTGCAGCAGTGACCCGCTGGTTGCCCGACTTCGGGTAGTTGCTGCTCTCAGAGTGCAGGTACTTGCCCGTGTAGAAACTGCGAAGCGAGACCGAGGAGCCGTAGGAAACGTCCGCGATACGCGGCGGAGAAGAGTCGAGCAAGTGCTGGAAATGAGGCGATAACGACACGGCGCCGGGGCCTGAGTTCGGGAGCAAGCGCAGATGCACTGCAAACACAGAAACGTAAATCAGAACCGGAATAATGAGCCAAAGCTTCGCTCTGATCAGTGCGTCCTTGACTATAGTTCTTGGCCTTATAGTGAGATCGCCCACCTGGAGCCATATACTTCTGGCAAAAACCACCGCCATCCACGCAGCGGTGGCCAGTCCTATCCAGTTAGAGGCAAGTAAACATCCTAGCGCGATCGAGCTGCCCAAAAGCGCTGTAACCTTCCGTTTCCCGCTTGGGCTCCCGTCCAGCGTCTTGGTCAGGGCTATTGCCAGGCTGAAGAAAAACAGCGTTGGCGAAACGGCGGTGGCCAAGCGGGACTCCTGCACAAACGAGTTGTCGAAGGCCACCAGGAGAGCACCGGAAAGTGCCACCTTATGGCTGACACGACACGCTTGCAAAGTTTTGTACGTGAGAAGCACCGTAGCTGTCCCGAAAAGTGCGCTCAGCGATCGAAGAAGAGTCCACGAGACACTTCCGTGGCCAAGAAGGACAAGCGCCGCGTATATCAGCCCTGGAAGCGGCGGGTCGGGAGCGAGAAAAAAGCTGCCAGACTGGTAGTTTGACACGACGTCGTGAACTTTGGCTTCCCCAGGAACCAGAACCGGAGGAGAGCTGACGTTATGCAGTCGCAAGCCCAATGCTAGTGCTGCAACAGCCACTAGCTGTATTCGGTGTTTTTTGGGCATCTCCATTGAGACGGGTTTGGGGCTGTAGTATTGCCTCACCGGACCGTTCAACAAAGACATGAATAAATATGAAAAATATCGGACAGATAAAAAAACCAAGGCAGGACAGCTGAATGAATAGTATTTTGAGCTTACGCTATTGCTCTACCTGGAGGGTGACCATCGGCCTCTCTCGACAATGAGCTGATGAGTGGATTCAAGTCAGTAACCACATTTTCGTAGCGCAAGGTTCAAAGCATAAGAGTGGTGCGTGTATTTCTTCTATTCGGGACGCACTCCCGAGATTTGTATGCTAGATGCAGGGGCTAATTTATGAGCTGAAAGTGAACAGAGACGTGAGAGCAACACTAAGTGGCAGCTACGAGTGAGGTTTTTACCGGGACCTGCGATTTGGCTTAGAAGTGAATGCTGCTTTTAGTTCTTGGATAACATAAGCATCACAAATTTGTTGCAATTTATTCAAAAATAATTAACTCAATAAAGATCCATGGCAAAACCAGAGTATGGGACAGCCAAACACGCAGCCGGCCAGATGCGGAGGCGAGGGCTTCAGAAAACCAAGTTCTACTGTCAAGTGTGTGAAAAGCAGTGCCTAGACGAGAACGGATTCAAATTGCATATACAGTCGCCATCTCACATCAACAAGCTAAACTCGAAACTGGAAAAGTCGCACAACGATTCGAAGGCGCTTATCGGGGAGTACTCGGGACGATTTCTGGGAGACTTCCTGCGTCTGCTCAGAATAAACCACGGAGAAAAGCTCATCGGAAGCAACAGATTCTATCAGGAGTATATTATGGACAAAAACCATGTGCATCTCAACTCGACGAGGTGGAAAAGTCTGACGTCTTTAGTGCTGTTTCTGAAGCACCAGGGTCTGTGCAGGGTGGAAGAGAACGAGGAGTACGAGGAGTACGATGCAGAGCGCTACTCGATAGCTTATATCGATAAGAGCCCCAAAAAAGAGACCAAGGAGCTCAAAGTGCGCAGCGACGAGGAAGCGTCGTTGCGTGGACTGCAGGAGCAGATAGAACGCGGGAAACAACTACTGGAATCCTCGGAACCAGATACCCCAGACACGGCTATGCCGGGTCTGAATAATCATGATAAGATAAAAATATCTATGAACAAGCCTATCAATAAATGCGGCATGAAAATAGTGCCAGGAGTTGGACACGCTGTGGCGCCACAGGTCCGCAAAAGCTCCAAACTCAAAAGCCGCATCGCTGCGAAAAACGTGCTAGAATGAGATTATGTGAAGCTTAACACAATCTTCTTTTTCTTCTTTCCAGTAGCATTTGCCGCCTCTTTGGCCTGCTGAATGATCAACTCTGCTTCTGCGTCATATTGGTCCGAGTCGGGCTCTTCAGACTTAAGGATTCTCGTCCCCCACACCGTCGTCTTGTACTTCGACTCGTCTTCCGGGAGCAGTACGTTCTCGCCTAAGGGCGGAGCATCGGACTCCACAAACTTGTGTGGCGATGCCTGCTCGCCGTACCCGTAGTCGGTCAAGCTCAGATTATTCTCCTTTGAGTAGAACTGCAGGGTTTTCAGTTCCAGCTCTTTTTCAAAGACCGCCTTGCTGTGGTCCTCTCTGCGCTTTTTATTCCGCGACGCGCGGCTGCGTTCGCTGAGTTTCTTGCTAAAGCGAGCAGAGATTTCTTTGGGGAATTGCGGCAGCTGATCTGTCCAATCAAGCTCCAAAAACCCTATTTCTGTGCCAACAGGCAAATGTCCAAGATACTTAAGCTTGCCAATAGTCTCCTCAGTGAGAGGCGAGTATTCATAATTAATGTTCTCGAGAATGGGATGCAGAGTGAGCGGGAACGCGGAGTAGTCGCCGTACAGCGACTTGAGAATTTGAACGTCCAAGTTTGTGAGGAAGTACTTGACGCTCGAGTTGAATGCAGTTTGGTAGAAAAAGAAGCCCTTCTCTGTTTCTTGAAATTGTTGCTGACGAAGAGAAAGCTCGTCGAGACACAGACTCAGAGAATCTGGAGAGTCTGGGATCGCGGCCTGCGACGACTCGGCAAAGGACGCCGCCATAGCGTCCATGTGAGATCTGATCTTGAGCTCAGCCAGTTCGTAGTGGTGTGTACTGTCCCCGTATAGCTCGGAGTCCAGGGCCCTATGCAGTTTGAGCGTCTCCAACTCCTGTTGAAAACACTTAAGAGCGAAGTCTGGTCCACATTGCATTATCCTCGAGTATTTCACGTAGCGCGAGTCGTTCAAAAAGTTGTCAACAGTGGCGAAATTGGGTATCCACGGAATGTCGCCGTCAAACTGGCAGTTTTCCAGGTAGAGGCGGAACGGTTGGGCAAAGACCCGCGAGGCAGGCCTATACATGAGCTCTAAATCCACAGGCTGATCAACAGACGGCCGCTCGAACCGCTCGTCGACTTTCGTGATCAGTACTGGCAGCAATTCGTGTTTTTCTCTAATGTCCTCCGAACAGAGCGGACATTTGACGCGGCCCCGGTAGTCCTCCTGGGTCGAAAAGGCAGCAAACAGCCGCAACAAACACGTGTAGCAGAAAACATGGCCGCAGCGCGTCATTCGCGGAGCGATGAACTCGTCTCCAAGACAGATCGGACACTGGTGGTCGTTCTTGTTGATCAGCACCCGCAAGATCGAGGCGTCGTCCAGAGGCACGTTAGGGTCCAGAATCTGCGTCCTATAATCCCCGCGATAGTCCACAATAAACCTGTAGTTGACATTCACGTTTTGGCGGCCTGTCAAGTTCAGCCGGGCGCTCTGAGCACGATGTTTCCTAGAGCTCGGCCGACGACCGTGGCCGGTCACCACGTTGTGTTCTGGCAGCTGAAATTCCACCAGATGACTAATGTCGATGCCTTTCCGTCCTCTCCCCAAAGTCCTATCAAAAGGAAAGTCGTCCATGAGCACAGGCTTGTTGGTTTTGTTGTATCTCTTGGAACCGTGCTTTTTGGACTCCCTCGGCCGGGCCTTGGAGCTTGCCGTCGATTGGCTGGAACGCGCTGCGACGGCCGGATTGTTGGTCCGCGGAGAGTGCACACGCTCCTGGCAGCCGGAGGAAGGGGCTTTCATCTCCATAAAGGAATAGGGATAATTATTCAGGCAAATAATTACCTTTATTTAAGCAAATAATTGGACTACCTTTAAATTAATGGCAAAAAGATCACACCCACGTTATGTAATAAGCACATTATTTTAAATCTCTATCTACACGGTTCGTTATATCCCTCTGTTGTCTACCTTTCCCTCACCTCCCAGATATCCTCGCTGCTGCCTCTTTTGAGCTGCTCGACGAGACGGTTCTTGTAAAACTCCTGAATGTTTTTTTCCTTGATTTCTCCGGTGTTGAGGGAGTTTGAGAAGCAGAAGTTGAGCTTCTCGCTCTGCTTCTCGCACATACTCAAGTCGCCGTATCGGTAATAATTACGTACTTGGCCTCCCAAAGACATACATTCCATTAGTTCGTCCATGGCAGTGAGACAGGACATTTCTTTCTAGCATGTTAGACTCTGGCAACCATTCACTTACAGGAAACTTGTCGAGAGAGATCGACTCGGCCCTCTTACTGGCCTTTTCTCTCATGGAATTGAGACTTCTCTCCGTGGCCTGCGACGTCGACTCCGCAGACTTCGAGACGTACGCGTCGGCTAGAGCTTTCTGGAGATCAGCCAGGCCATCCTGCCCAGAGCCGCCGCTGGGCTCAGTTGGCTCAACTTGCTCTGGGACAGACGAGTCCTGGGCACGCTTTCGCCAAAACATAAATTTTTCTATTCCTAGTTTTTCCTGCACCGCCACTTCTAATTAGACACTATCTATTGAACTTCCTGGGAAAGAAGCGCCTCGGACTCCCCAGAAACGTCGCCCGCAACCACGCTCATGCCGATTCTGCGGATCTCGGCCTCCATTTTTGCGTAGGTGGTCTCCACGAGCTTGTGGACGTCGTCCTTAGTGAGCCCCTCGGTGCTGATCGGATCAAGAACCTTGACCTTGATTGTTCCCGAGTTGAAGTTTCTTTCCCTCAGACTGTAAATGTTGGAGGTGTTGGAAACAACAAGCGGAATAATCGGGATTTGCGCCTGGACCGCTAGATGGAACGCTCCTTTCTTGAATGGTAGCAGGGTAGGTCTCAGGGAGTACGATCTGGTTCCCTCGGGGAACATAAACAGGCCGCCGCTGGTGGCCTTGAGATCCTCAAGAGCCTTATTGAGCACACGGATGGCCTTCTCGCGGTCCGATCTGTCCAGGAAAAAGGTGCCCGACAGAGTCATGAACCAGCCCAGAAACGGCACCAATTGAAGCTGTTTCTTGGCTGTCACGACACAGCGTTTGGGGAAAATTCTGGCGAGCATAAATATGTCGAGCTCCGACTGGTGATTGGAGATCAGAATGGCGGGCAGACGGCTCAACTTCTCCTCACCCTCGATTTCTATCGTGGTGCGCATAACCGTGCTAAACAGGTAGTAGTAGAACCGTGCGGTGCTCCACTGAGCGAGGTTGCGCTTGCCAATTAGCGAGAAAAACACCGAACACAGAACGCCGTACGATGCGCTGATCAACAGGGTGCACAGGGCAACAAGGCCCTTGGTGTAGAACTTGAAGTGTTTCCCGATTTTTTGCAAAAAAGACATCTGAGATACTGGCTGGGCAGTGTTAGGGATGAGCACCCACGAAATGAACGAACACAAGAGAAGAAGGGGAAGAAACTCGTCAAGCAACACTTTGGAACAGGAGAAATTCTAAGACAAATTATTTTTGGGGGTTTTCCCTGTGTCAGGCTGAATTTGGCTGTAGGTGCATTCGGCGAGTAATCTCCGAAGAAGCTACAATAATTAACCTCTCCAGTTTCTTCTATATACATCCTATTGAGTTCTGTTGAGCCTGTTCAACCGTCTGGCAGTGCGGGCGTTGTACTTGGTACGTTGACCGTGCACAGGCAGTCCCATGGCGTGTCTAAGACCCTGGTACGAACCGGTCGCCCGCTTGAGCTTGATGTTGGAGCGGACCTGCTGCAGCAGCTTCGATCCAATAGTCATGTCTGTGAGTTCCTTGGTCACCGCCATCACCTGTGTTTCGTTTAGCTGGTGCATCCGCATGCTGGGGTACAGGCCGACCTTGGCGCAGATTCGCTCGGCCGTTTTGAGCCCGACGCCGAAGAATGTGTGTGCGAGTCCGATCTGGAGTTAGCGCGAGCTCGAGGAGGTACTTACGTCGACCTTGGCCTTGCCTTTGATGGCTTTTCCGAGGATATGGACGACCATGGCTAACAGAAAATGATGAAAATATTTTAGGTGCGAGGGGGATTTAGGTTCCGTACTAAAATAGCCATGCGCACGTAGCACTACAAGTCTTTTTCCATCGCCGCTTCGAGCCGCAGGATCAGGACCAGCCGGATCAGGCCTATCATGGTGACAAAGCTAGCCAGCCCAATGGGCACCACGGCAAAAACGGTGATGTTGTAGAGGTCCACGGTGCGCGGCACCTTGTTGCGCGGCTTCGGCTCGTCTTTGTCCTGCAAATGGCGGTCCAGACGCAGATTGGACGTGACAAAGTTCTGGATGATGAAGATGAGCGTCAGCACGCAACTGATCAGGATCCACACCGGCAAGCAGTACTCGTTCTGCTTGTTGTTGAACATGAACGTCAGCACTTCCACAAGAGCAACGATCAGGAGCGACATGCTCAGCATCCGCACTATGGCTGCCTGGATCGCGTACATCACGATCCACCGCACCATGAGCCCGTCCAGAATCGAGTACGACAGAAACCCAGACACCAAGCACCAGATTCCGGCAAGAAAGAACTCTGATGCCCGCACAGACGTCACGTTGACCTGGAACGGCTCGTCGTACATCATGGTGTACCAGGAGTGCCACAGAACAACTAGGTTTTTGATTATCACCAAAAGCGAGAAATCTCGGCAGATAGCAACGGCTATGTGTTCCCGGGGAGAGAGCCGTTTGAGTCCCAGCTCCTTGAGAGAATTGCGCTGTCTGTTGAGATCGGTGGTCGCTGTGGAGGATATACCGAACAAGATCGCCTGGTTGACTAGGTCCTCGTTCTCAAGAAGCGTCTCGCGCGAGCCGCTTCGTGAGTGTAGCATGTTGGCAGGCGCCCGTCCGCCTCGATTGCTCATAGTGGCCAGCGACGTCGACGACGAAACGTACACGGGTAGAGGCTCGTACTCGGCCTCCGAGTCCGTCGGAGGCGGGTGGTTCGCGTAATCTGAGTCTGTATCAAATACGTCCATTAATCATAAAGGCATAAATATAAACATGCTCACTCGGTACGAAAAAATAATTAATTTTCAACGATGCCTTCTGATCATCTCGTAAATGATATATAACACCTGCAACGGCAAAGACAGCCAGATGAGTCTGGAAGGCGTGTTCGGCGCCTCTCCACCAGAAGGGGGATCCAGGTCTAGTTAGATGGCCTCCAATTGCGCGCTGATTGACTCCAGCTCATCCTGCGCAGCCTTGTACTTGGCCTCCAGCTCCTCAAACTTGTTCTCGAGGTCGGCCTTTTCGCTTTCCAGAGAAGTGACCTTCTTCTCCAAGGTCTCGGCACGGATATCGGTCTCTCTCAGCTTGGCGGTAGTCTCCTTCAGGTTGGCATCGGCAGCTTCAAGCTCTTCCTCCAGCATCGAGTGTTTCTTTGTGTAGTTCTCGTTGGCAGCCTTCAGTTGGTCAGCGTCTCCAGCAACCTTCTTGAGCTCGCTGAGCTCCTGCTCGGCCTTCTCCAGTTCCTCCTCCAGAACCTGGTTTTTTCTGGTCAGGGCTTGGATCTGGTTATCCTTCTCCAGAGCTTGTTGTTCCATCTCTTTCACCTTTGCCGCGTACTCGTCAGCTTTTTCCTGCCAGGTCTCGGCATCCAGCTTGAGCTTGTTCAGTTTCTGAGGCGTTAGTGCTCGCTAGTGCAATTGCCTATCTACCTACCTCCTTTAATTTGTCCATTGTGATATTAGCCGTAAGAAAAGAAAACAACAAATCAATGGGAATACTCTATTTATATGAATATTTCGCGGGCTAAACACGAAACAACCCGCGCCAGCTATACAAAAAAATAAACTTCCCGGGTAACTCCAACTGATTTTCCCTATTACTATTACAAACTCAAACCCTACAAAAAGTCACAAGGACTGGAAAAACGAGCGATATCGAATAAAGCTCTCATCGATGCCTGTCATCCACTCTTGAATCTCTTCGACTGTTGTTCAGCGTCCCAATCCCTTGATTGGGCCTCGAAACCGGGGAAGTCTGTCAAGTACACAATGTCACTTTCATCGCTGTCCTCTTCTGCCGCCTCGGCTGGATCCTTCAATCCCGTGATACTGGCTGTCGCGGACCTCGTAGTACTGCCAGTCCTAGTCGACCCAGAAAGAGGAGAAAAGTCTTCGACCGACACGTCTTCCGACGAAGACGAGCTTGAAACGTTTTTTGGCCTATAGTTAGGATCAAGTGCTTTGTTCAACATATTGTATTGCACTTCTGATAACTCGTTCATCTTCGGGAACTCAATGTTGAATTTTATGATCAGGTCCCCATACCTTGTTTCTCCAAAGTCAGTTTCGGTATAAATTGGCATACCGTATCCCTTAGCCACCTTTATAGTATTTGGATTGGCCAAATCCCCCCTGTTGATGTATATTTTCATAATTTTCTTGTTCAAATGTTCGATCTTCAATAAACCACCACAAAGTGCCTTCGCAAGCGACAATGTGACTGATGTTATCAAGTTGTTACCTCTGCGCTGGAAGTTCTTGGTTGGTCGTCTCTTATCCTCTTGCAATGTTATCACCACGTCGCCAGGAATGATGTTAATACCCTCGTCAGCCTCATGTTCAAACACAACCTGGTATCCTGGCTTGACGCCCTTTGGAATTTCCACGTCCAAAATGACTTTCTTATCGATTAATCTGTTGCCATGGCAGGTTCCACATGTGTACTCCTCGGGTATGTACATTCCTGATCCGTTGCATTGGTGGCAAGTTGTCTGCACGCGTTGGTACACGATTCCCATTCTTGTTTCGTTGACGATGGTTCCGGTTCCCAAACAAGCGGAGCATTGTACTAGCTGCGTGCCTCCACGACCTGCGCACTCTGGACACTTGATCTTCTTCGTTAAACTCAGCTTCATCGTCCTTCCGTGGTAGAAGTCTGCAAGGGTGCAGTATGTCGTATGTAGAATATCTCTGCCCTTTCTCATACGTCTCTGGGAGTTCCCCACGGGTCTGCCACCGGCTAGAGAATCAAATAGCGCGTCCAGATCAGAGGCCGAAGACGAGCGGAACAACTGGTCGACGAATGACTCAGCCTGTTGGAAGCGCTCCGAGAGACTCGAATCAGGAACTCCCTTGAGCCCTGCCTCTCCGTATGCGTCGTATGTCTGTCGTTTTTTCTCATCCGAGAGTATCTCGTATGCGGTGGTTATTTCCTGGAAGACTCTGGTGGCCTCCTTTTTCTTTTCCTCGCTCTCGCCACTGGAACCTATTTTGTCGGGATGGAACTTGAGGGCTGCTGTACGGTATGCTTTTTTAAGCTGCGCGAAACTGGCATCTGGAGAAACGTTCAGTAAATCATATAGCTTTGTTTCCTTCACCATCAAAAACACTAATAACCTGATAAACTTGTTGTTTCAGCTCAGTTACAACTTCTACAACCGTAAGGTTGGCATTCCAATGTACTTGGTCTGTTTTCTGATCCAAGCAGTAACCGGGTCACCAGTATTTGGATAAAGACGAGACAAGAAAAAAATAGGCCCGCGACGCTTTTTTCTATTGGCTTCCATGGTTTCTTATGTCATCCGCTTTTCCCAGAACGGAAATGCTGCTTCCAAACCTTATTTTCCCCCACCGATTCGCCAGATCCGGACAGCGCCCGTGCTTAGGGCCCGGTAATCCACCGCGGGGTATGCATTTCGGCAGCTTTAAAATCATAGACTACTTTCCAAATCTCATGGCTATATAACAATGTGAGTGAATTTTCTCCCCATCAGCATTTTTCCCCAAAAAAACATGTCCAGCCAGCCAGCGTTGTCGTCTTCCAAAGCAGACCTGCCGCCTCCGATGGTGTCTCTGGCCTTTAGCAATGCGTATCTCCCGACAGATTACGATCTCTCGCTGGAGATCAGCTCCAAGGCCAATTATATGGGTTTAGTGGTGATGGATCTGGCTCCGAACAAGAGGGCTTTGTTCTCTGGTTCTGACCCGTTCCAGCTGGTGCTCAATGCTGTTGAGCTTGTTGTCACCGATGCGTATTTACTGGCCGGCACTCAACACAAGCTCAAGGTGGAGCAGAACAGGAAAACAGAGAGCGTCAAGTTTTCGACAGACGTTACTTTTGACAGTCTCAAGAACGAGCAATTGCGGCTCCGTGTGCACTTTATAGGCGTTGTGCGCGGCGTTGCGTCGATGAGGGACTTTACCAAGGGTGTTTTCAAGACCAAGTACAAGGACGGCGCGAATGACCGGTACATCATCTCGACACACTGCCAGCCGTCGTTTGCGCGGCTGATCTTCCCCTGTGTGGACGATGTGCTGGTAAAGACGAGCCTCAAGCTGTCGCTGACGGCGGACGAGAAGTTCACGTGCATCTCGAACACGCCGATCAAGTCGGCCAGCCCCATTGGCCAAGGCCGCCGGCTCGTGGTTTTCGAGGCCTCACCCAAAATGACCACCTCTGTGTTCTCCTTTGCCGTCGGCGAATTCGACTTTCTCGAGGAGAAAATCGATCTCTCCAGACAGAAAAACTTCCCGCTGCGCGTGTACACGCAGGTCGGCGAGTCTGGCCGTGCCAAGCTGGCGCTGGCGACCGTCAAGTCGACGCTGCCGAAACTCGTGCAGAAATTTGGCGTTGAGTACCCAATTGCGAAATTCGACGTCATTGCATTGCCATTTCTCAGCGATGGCGGAGTCGAGAACTGGTCGATGATCCAGATTCTCAAGGACCATCTTCTGACTCCCGACTCGGCGTCCCCGGCAGAGATGCTGAAAATCACCTCCATGATCAAAAACGTCCTCGTTCACGAGATGGTGCACATGTTCATGGGCGACCTGGTGACATTTGAAAGCTACGACTATACGTGGCTCAACGAGGCGTTTGCGACGTTCATGGCTAATACGATTTTGAACGAGGAAAGCGACGACAACCAGGTTTGGTTCGACCAGCTCGCCAGTGACGGCTTCAACATGAAAAGATACCAGGGGCTCGACAACATGAAACCGATTCATACGGAAAACGTCCCAGCAGACACTATTCAGAGCACTTTCAGCAAACACTCGTACGACAAGGGCATCTTTGTGCTGCGGATGCTGGCTGGGCTGTTTAACGAGACACCATGTGAAAATTACGACAATTACTTTAGTGCGGTCGGCGACTTCATCAATGAAAACAAGTACGGTCTGTTCAAGCCGACCGATCTGTGGATTTTCCTCAAGGAGCATCCTCTGAACAAGTTCAAGTACGATATCCCCACGATCATGTTCTCGTGGACCAGAACTGCTGGGTACCCGATCTTGAAGGTGAGCAGACAGGGTGAAAAGCTGCTGGTGGAGCAGCATCGGTTCTTGTACAACCCGGAGTCCAAGGTCGAGGACGTTCCGTACCAGGTGCCGCTGTTGGTGAAGAATTCAGATGGGACGTACGCGAGGTACATGTTGACAGATAGGAGACTGGAGATTGACTACTGCTTGTTGGTGAACGCCAATCACAGTGTCATTGCAACGGTAAAGTATTCTTTGCCCCAGTACGAAGCTATCGCAGAGAACTTTGAAAAACTGAGCAATATCGAACAGTGTCAGGTTGTACTCGATCTGTCGACAGTTTTCAGTGAACAATACCAGGACAGCGACGACATTCTGGGCTTTGTGGTGCTGATGAACAGAATTGTGAAGGAACCGAAAATTGTCAACGCTACGGCATTCAACACGGCACTATCGCTGTTCAACACTCTCACCAAATCTATTCTGTCAGTGAGCTATTTTGACGACCAGAATGCGTACCAAGCCATTGCAAAGTGGGAAAATACAGTCGCCAGCAGTCTTCTGAACTCGTTTGAGTGGGATGGGCTCGATTTCAGACAATTGCCAGCTACAGAGCTGTCTGTGCGCGCCACCCTGTTGAAGCTGGATTATTCGAGCGCGCAGTCCCAGACGATTGCGAAAAAACTGTACAAACAGCTGTTACACGGTCCAAAGGGTGCTGTCCCGATCAAGCTTGTGGCGGCGGTGTTGAACAACGTCCAAGCCAGCGGCTCGGCCAAGGAGTACAAGGAGATCCTTGGTATCGTGAAAAATCCAGACTCGGTCAGCGACCATGTCTACGAAGAGCACAGCACTGCGGACGTGCGCACGGCGGCGTTGACGTCGCTAGGGTACGTGACCAAGAGCGACCTGCAGCAGAAAACGCTCAACTATGTGCTGAACAACATGGACATGCCGTCGGTGGAGCTGGCTCTGGTGGGCCTCAAACACCAGCCCGCGGCGTTCGCGACGATCTGGGCGTGGTTTTGCATGCACTACAACGGCTTTTACGCCAAGTTTATGAAGGACAGCAAAAATCAGAGCTTTATTAGAACGTTCCACGGCATTGTGCAGCTGGTGTTTGAGAGCTGTCTGTGCAGCAAGGAGCTGACGGCCAAACTGGAGACTTTTCTCAAGGCGAAGAAGTTCGAGCCGCTCAACAGCGAGTTCCAGCGTGTTCGTGCGGCTTTCGGCGACAGACTCAAGCTCAACGAGGCGAATGGCCAGCTCTCGCGGTTGGTTGCCGCTTGAAAATAGACGTCTGTTTGTGGCCGTACACGGCCGAAAGCAGCGAGTCGTTCCACGTTCCTGTGCCCCTGCGCGCGTTACCAACACCGATTTTGACCGCCATTCGCGCAGCGATGACGCGCCGCAGATACACCTCGAAAAGCAACCTTGTGAGTAAATACTCGTTATTCCATATATCGTCATTTTGTCGCAGATATGGCTCCAGGTCTCTCCAGAGCATGTGTTTGTCGAATATTTCCCGTTTGATTCTGCTGTAGTGTTCTGAGTTTGACTCCAGACTGATCTCCGCCATCGTGCTCAGCCTGTTGTACGGCAAATTGAACTGGTAGCTAGGTTTCGGGAGCGACTTAACCTGCGGATCCATTCCGAGCTTCGTGAGACTCTGTAGCGACTTGTTCAAATGTGGTGGCAGCTCCACAGACTGCGGCGTCATGTAGTCCTTGATGCTCATGTCGGTAGGGTCTAGAAACAGCTGGCGATTGGCTACTCTGGTCCTGGCCACCGCGTACTTGAGCACCGGGTTGTGCTCGTACTGCGTTCGCGGCGGCGAGAGAGTGTAAGACACCAAGTACGGAGGGATATCGTGGAGGCTCTCTCTGGAGTTGAAGATGGCGCGAAGCTCTGACTTTGATGCGAAATGCGCTCTGTTGGCGAAGAGCTGTGATTTTCTTCCCGAATTTTGGCGCACGAGATTGGCGCGGTGCACAGGTCGTTTCGAGGGCGACCGGTGGGCCAGAACCGCTTGGCTGTGGTGTCTGGCGAAGCCTGTTGTAGAAGGCTCCATGAGTATGTTTACAGGAGTCTGATTTTTTTGGATCATGGTGCGGTTGGCTGGTCCCTATCTATTACCGCATTGGGAATGCACTGAAATATTTTATTTATTTTATTTTATTTATTTTATTTTATTTTATTATTTTATTTTATTTTTCATTATTTTTACACCAAAATGCTCTCCTTCTCGAGGATCCGCTCGGTCTCGCGCGTGAGCTTCGAGAAGCTGCGCAATGGTCCTTTTATGTTCTTGAACACCAGCAGCGAGCCGTTCTCCTCAGGATACGTCTGGCACTCGAATTTGCACGCCTTGAGCCCGAACGAGTTGTGTTTCGAGACGGTAGCCACCAGTCGCCGCGTCTCCTTGTTGGCCTGCAAGTCGGTGATCCCATGTTGTTTCCAGCTGACCAGCAGCGATATCAGCGCCTCGAACAGGTCGTTTTCGCCCAGAACAGTGTGCAATTCCTTGGTTTCCTGCTGCTCCGCAATCTCGCCCGTAAACAGAGCCAGGAACGCCTGTGTAATGGTTACCTTTCTCCGGGTCTCTTTAGCATCTCTGGCCTCGCTCTTCTTTCTCGTGCCAAACGACAGCTTGCGGAAGAACGAGCCGCCCGAGCCCGCGCGTCTGTTCGCCTCGTTGCTCTGTTTCTGCTGGTCCAGCTCCCCGAGCGGTTTGCGTTGCTTGCTGAACTGCAGCGAGCCGTCATTCTTCTTGCTGGCCACCACAGGCGACTCTGGCCGGCGCGTCGCATTCTCCTCGTAGACCTCCACCCTGTCCTCTTTAATCGGCGAGCCAGGGATCTCTGGCAGCCTCAGCGACTTGTACAGACTCTTGTCGGCAGAGTTGGCCGAAATCATCGTGTCTCTGGAGGCCTTGTAATTTAGGTTTGGAACGTCCTCGGACGACAACAGCATCGACTTCTTCTTGGGGCTCTTTGTCTTGTCGTCCACGAAATACAGGCCCTCGTCCTTATCCAGTTGCAGGTTCATGTCCACGGTGTCGTCCGCATGGGCGTCCGCATGGGCGTCCGCATCGTCTTGGAAAACCATGCTCAGCCGCGTGCCCTTGGACGTGCGGTCCAGTGTGGCTGCGTCCTTCAGGTTGCTGGCAGAGTACATCGACAGCACGCTGAGTCGCTTGTTGTCGGAGAAGTGCTTTGACTTGCGCGTCACCTGCGGAATCGTCACGTCGGAAATCTTGTGCGGGTTCTTGACTCTTTTCGGCTTTTCTGCGTCCTGTTCGTCCTGGGCCTCGTCGGTCTTCTTTTCCTGCTCCGCCAGCTCCTGCTCCGCCAACTCCCTGGCCCGTCTCTCGTCCTCCTCCTTCTGCTTCTGCATCTTCTCGAGTGTCTGTGAGACGCGTTTCTGGTACTTTTCGTACGCCTTGGCGCGCGGGTCCAGCCTTGTGACCGGCTTCGGCGGCGGGTTCACAGATGGCACTCGCCCGTGCGACACAGAGCGTGTATTAATCTTATCCAGATCGGACGCGTTGAGAATGCGCGAGATGCGCTCTATCGGGTTCGAGGAGTGTCTCTTGCTGGCGAGCGAGCGGCTGGACGTGCTGCGCGCAGAGTGCGTCGAGACGGTGGAGCTGGCCGAGCTAGCCTGGGCGGCCGCGTCGAACAGCGATGCAAACGTCGATTGACGCTTTTTCGCGTACACAAGCGACTGTCTCGCGCTCCTTCTAGACTTGTTAGCAGGCCGCTCCTCCTCCATCAGCATGGCGCTGATCGTCGCCAGCGAGCTGGAAGCGCTGAGCCGGGCCGCCTTGCCGTCGAACAGCATGTCGCACAGCGTCGCAAAGTCCGCGGACGCACGCTTGCCGTATTCCTCGACGTTTTTCGATTTTTTCTCGTCGATCGCCGCGAGCTTCGCGTACGTCGACAGCAGCTTCGACGTCACGCTGCTCCGCTTGAGCATCGTGCTGGACGAGCGCTTCGAAATGCCCTTGTCGGCGAACACCATCGAGCTGCGCTTGCTGCTCAGCGAGGCCCGCTTCCGGAACGGCGACCGGTCACCAGACCTGTCGGTCTTGGACCGCTGGAACGACACGGGCCGGTTCGCAGACGTGCCCGCGCTGAAGTTGCGCACCGAGCGGCGTCTGCCGGGCGAGCCCGTCTCGCTCGAGCCGGGCGTCACGCGCGAAATCACTGACGACGACCGCACGAGCGGCTGGCCCTGGTCGTGGTGGTCGTGGCGGTACCGCAGCAGCAGCGAGTAGAAGGTCTTCTCCGGGTTCGCGGCCGAGCTCAGCAGGCTCTCGACGATCGACTCCGCGTCGCGCCCGTGCCACAGGATCACCAGGTTCTCCAGGATCTGCTTGTCGATCTCGTCACGTGACCGCACCGGCTGCGTGGCCGAGTTGGGGTTGGGCAGGTTGAGGTAGTCCTCGTGGTCCTGCTTGTTGAACGGGTACTTTGTGACGAGCGGGTGTTTGAGCACGTCTCGGGTCTTGATGCGCGCCTCCGGGTCGACCGTGAGCATCTGCGCGATCAGGTCCTGTGCCTCCGGCGACAGGTCTTCGTGGATCTCGTAGCTGCCCTTCTGCACCTTCAGCAGCAGCTCGCGGATGTTTTCGTCGTCAAAAGGCAGTCTGCCCGTCAGCAGCGCAAACAGAATCACGCCGCAAGACCACACGTCCGACTCTGCGCCGTGGTACTGCAGCCCGCTCACGATCTCCGGCGCGGCGTAGTGGGGGGACCCGCACGAGGTCTCGAGCAGGCGGTCGCTGGACTCGAGCGCGGCCATGCCGAAGTCCGCGATCTTGACGTTGAACTGCTTGTCCAGCAGCAGGTTCTCGGGCTTGAGGTCTCTGTGGCAGATGCCGAGGCTGTGGCAGTAAGACGCTCCGAGAATTATCTGTCTGAAAAACTCCACCGCCGTGTTTTCGGGCAGCGGGCCGGACTCCACCAGAAGGTCGAACAGCTCGCCGCCCTCGACGTACTCCAGCACCAGGTACAGCGCGGTGTCTGTTTCCCACACGTCGTAGAGCCGGAGCACGTTCTTGTGGTTGAGCAGCTTCATGATGATGATCTCGCGCTCGATGCCGTAGCTGAGGCTCGCGTCCGGCGGCGACGCGTCGCGGCCGTCGGAGCCCAGCATGCTCTTGGAAACGACCTTGACGGCGGCCTTCTGGCCCGTGTGGACGTTGGTGGCGAGCAGAACGCGGCCGGTAGAGCCCTTGCCCAGCGTCTTGCCGAGCCTCCAGGGGCCTATCCTGACCGGGTTTTTCGCGGCGGCCGACTTGGAGCTGTTTGAGATGCCCACTCCCAGCGCCGAGGACGACACAAAGGACGAGGCGTACGATTCTTGTCGAGAGTGGGGCATTGAAGTTGAGAAAAGAGTAGAGCGAATTAAGCGTATATGAGCAAAACGTTGCTGCACGCGTTTGCCCAAATCGATCGATCACCTTTCTGAAAACGGAACCAAAGGGGTGCCTGCAAAACGCAGACGCGAGACGCGTCGACAGGCGAAAGGAGACGCCCCTGCACCAAGAGCACCCAAAATAAAAAATTATTCCTCCTCCGAAAAGTGTAGTGCTCCCTGTTCTGTCATTTATACACACGGTCGTTTAGTAGCTTACACTCTGCTGGCACAGCTGAGCTCTATACACCCCCCAACCTGCTCGCGGTGGGCCTCGATCACGTCGCTCTCCTCCATGTCCAGGTCCTCCGGCGTGTCCTCCGGGTTCACGCGGTGCCCATCGAACAGGAACCGCAGACTGCTGGCGTCCTTGCCCTGTCTCTTGCAGAAGGCGTCCATCAGTCTCTTCAGCGGCGTCGACCGCTTGATCTTGAAGAACACCTCCGACGTGCCGTCCGACACCTTCAAGTTGATGTGCGTGTCGCTCTTGTTCTCCGGCTTTGGCGTGTTTTCGTCCGACATGCGTAGATGTTTGTTTGCCACTTTTTTCACCGCTGGTGTGTCCTAAAAACGCTGCTTATGTAAGCAGCCTGCTACACCGGTAGCACGGGCTCCTGCGCGCGCACGAGCGGCTGGCCGCAGTTCTCGTCCGCCACGGGCGGGAAGAACTGGCGGTACGCCCACCACGACGCCGCCAGCCCCAGCAGCGACCCGCACGTGATGTCCAGCGCGCTGTGCTTGTAGTCCTGCGAGCGGCTGATGCAGATATGGAGAGCCACGAGCGCCGGCCCCAGCGGCGCCAGCTTGCTCAGGGAAAAGCCCGCGCGGCCCGCGTACAGCCTGTACTGGCCGCAGATCCACAAGTTCAGGAAATTCATCCCGCACCACGCGAACGACGAGTGGCCCGACGGGAACGATTTCAGGCCGTCCTGGAGCACTTTTTCTCCGTACGGCGCGGTGCAGTCGGCGACGGTGTACAGGCCCGGAACCGGGGATTCTGGCGACAGGCCGCACCGGTCCAGAAAGTCTGGTCTGGGCCAGCCAACCTTGATTTTAATAAACTCGGTGACGAGTCCGTTGAGCCCTAGAGCCAGTGCCAGAGCAAGACACGAAACACTGGCCAGGTGGACTGCGCGCTGTTTCTGGTCGCGTGCCGACCGCAGATACTGCGTCGCCGTCGCCAGCGCGATCAGCACACAGGGTCCGACGCACGTATACACCGCCAGTCGAGCGTCCGGCACGCTGTCAGCAGTGTACGGATAGCTGATGCGCGGGTCGGGCACGTAGAAATGGCGGTGGAACGGCGTCGCGAAGGTCTCCATAAGCAAAAAGACGCCAAAAATGGTGGCCACCACGGCCCACGTCGGTGCAAAGTACCGAGCGTACGCAGAAACCATAAAACAGAGCGAGAAAAAATGTCTTCAGATAAATTCGAAATACTTGGCTACACAGCAGTAGTTGCTCAGGTTGTAGTTTCTCATGGAGTAGCCGTCGATGATCTGCTGGACCTCATCGTTGAGCGTCTCTGACCACTCCTCGATGTTGCGCATGTTGCTTGTGTTCGAGCTGTTGCAGGATTTGACCAGCTCCCAGACCTTGTTCATCATGTTCTTGAGCGCGGTCCGGATCTCCTCCTTCGAGCTGTGGCAGTACGTCTTCTTGCTAAACACCTCCGACAGCAAAACGCTGTTGATCAGCAGCTCGATCTGTCGCTTCACGAAGACGGCGTCCTTCACCGCAGAAAGACGAGCAACAATCGGAAGACTGAACTGCGACTTCTCGAGCCCCGCGTTCGTCACCAGCAGGTTCAATGGCATCGTCGATGCATTAGAGACTGCCGTATCTAGCGACATCCTGATGCTGGCCATGCCCTTGAACTGTTTTCTTCCCGAGTGCACGTCAACGCTGGTGATCGTTCTCAGCAAATCGACCTTGAGTCCCTGTTTGAGCTCTTCCACCGTGAAGGAGCTCAGATCAATGCGCACGTTGATCATGGTGGACTTCGCAAAACTGCTCGGTATGTTATTGAGATTGGCAACCTCGAACAAGCTTCTAAGATCTGCCGTTTCCAGCCGTCCGTTTCTCTCAATCTCCATCACGCGCACGCCTTCGCAGACCTCAATCTGCGTCCGTAATTGAGATATGGAAACGTTGTGAAACTGGCTGATTAGTTTTTTGATGAGCAGCTGCAGATTGTCGAAATCTAAGACGAGATGGTGCTCCACACTTCGTCTGACATGTGTTTTGGAGGAGCCCATGATTCCATGATAGTGGTCCAGTAACTCTTGGGGATGATACGCGTACTCATCAAATAGCGAAACAGAATGGAACGTTGCGCAATGTTTGTCGCAGAGCGCTGTGATCATCTCGCTAACACTCTTTTGCGGTTTTCTGTTGTAACGTCCCCACAAACGATCGACAGTAGAATTCTCCTCAAAGTAGTGGACAGTCTTAACCCGTTCGGTATGGATGAAGATGATTTCATGAATATGTGACCCTGTTTTCGGAAAGCTCGTGGTTGCAAGAAGAGAAACATACTTCAAGCCATCTTGCCACATACTATAGTCAGAGTTCTGCACTTCATCTCCGGTAACCGATGTATAGCACTCAATATTGGAAATTACCTCCGCCCATCCCTCCCAATGGGGTGACATACATCCGTAGTAGTTGCCCAGAAGCGAGTCAGGGCGCTTGTTGCCTAGAAAAACAAGTCCAAGCTTGTCTTCTGGCTGCAAACTCTCGAGAGTCTGGGTAATTAATTGGCGCATCTCAGATGTATACTCCGTATCGTCCAGACAACTGTTTCCGTTGTTGACCATCGGAATGACCAGAATAAGAATCAAAGGGTCAGCGTCTGGTTTTGAAACTTGTCGTTTGACAAATCCCAATGGCAGATCCAGTCCTTTGGAAACAAGCTTGTTGAACTTGAGCACTTCTTCAGGGATGACTTTCTCGTTTCGTTCCAGCAGACCCCATGCGTTGGTGGACATTTGGATTGATGGCACTTCCTTTGACAACGATAGCGAGTCTTTGGAAAATAGATTACATGGACCAAACTCCCGATCTTCAAAAGGATTCTCGGCAACAAATGGATTGTTAGGATTTGCATGGGGCTGCCGTTGTGCTTTTCTCACAACTCTCGAAAGCATTTTCAGCCACTTGTCGTGAATAAGCTTATTCTCGCTCTTCAACTCAACATCAGGGACAGTCAAGCTGGCAAGATTGAGGGTGATCTCCAGGTTGGATTCGTCATCAAATACAGTGGATAGCTTGTCCATGATAGAGATGTTCTGAATGAGCTCATTTCCGGACTCATTGAGAATCAGAAGCAGCCGGTCAAAAAAGTACACCTGTGGATGGTGGTACCTGTTGCCGTCAATTGAGACACTAACAAAAATATCAAATAGCACGAGATGCCCAAGCTTGGCAACATCTAGATCCGAACCTGGACGTAGTCTCGACTCAAAGTTGTGAATCACCGCCTTTGAGATCTCCTGCTTCCTGTCCCATTCTTTTTTCTTACGGTCTTCAGGAAGCTCTGACAAAGAAGGCTCATAGTCGAGAGATTTTATGTTGAGGACACAGGAAAGATCGTAGTACTTAGGAATTGCATGCTCATTGGCGAGAACAATCTTTGAGAATTCAGGTATGATCTCAATTTTAGCCTCTGCTAAAGACTCGGCAGGGAAAGCGGACGAAGAAGGAGTTGTAGAAATCGTGGAAGGAAATGTGCTAATAATGGGCGAGTCGTAAAAGAGAGGCTGTGTCTTAGGCGACGGTTGCGAGAATTCTGGGAAAGAGGGCAGAACTGGAGTGACGGGGGTTAGTGGGTTCGGGAATGGGGCCAGAGGTGTTATTTGGTTTCTTAAGGTAGCTGGCGTCGATGCAAAAATGTCCTGATTGAACTCGCAAGAGCTGGATGACAAAAGTCTGCTCCTGATTATACTATCGTTGATTTCGTCGTCGTTGCAAGTATTAGAAGTGCCACAGATCGGACAGTGTACAGTAGTTTTTCCTCTGCTTGGAGAGCTGAAAAGTTCAGAATAGCACTCAAAATGACAATGGTGGCCACATGACATGTCCAGCAGTGTCTCGCCCTCAAAGACATTTAAGAGCGGCTCTTCACAGAAGCAGCAGTTCTCCTCAAAGGATATCTTTGACCTTTTTCTGTCAATTGATGTGCTTGTGACCACGCTGGGTCTGTTGTACGGCGAGCTTTGTCCAGACGACACGCTTGAGGTGCGTTGTGAGTACGAAAGCATGGAAGAGCGCGACGAGACAGACGAGGCTTCATGGTCGCTCGGGTTTCTCGGAGATCGGAAGAAGGGAGGGGGTCCAAGCTTGATAGATGAGACAGAGGAGGACGTGCTTTTCTGTCTGAAAAAGCTAACGGGCAATGAGATATGATGCGATATTTTTCTATGGCTTTGAGGCGAACATGCTGGGCCAGCAGACATGTTGAGTGAGAGCAAGAAAACAAAAGCAGCAAAATTCAAGGGAGCAGAGGGGGAGGAGTTTATATACACCACGAAAAACACACTTCAAACATATCTGATCCTTTAAATCAAAAAGCCCTCCCGAAACCATTAAATTATCTGCATGCAGACGTTCTACTCAAATAAGGATGCAGGAGCAGAAGGTATTGGGGCAGTATGAGACGCTGCATGCACAGACGTGATTCACATTTTGGTCATTATATCAGATATCTCAAACGCCATATTTACTCCACCCAACAATGCATCGAAGTTTCAGACGTGCAATCGCGGGAGATGTGGGCGAGATTACCCGGCTCTGTCTGCCGCGGCCCGCGTCTGGTGATTATGGGTGGTTGGCAACAGGAGCCGAGATGGGGTCCTAAGCTGGCCACCGAAGCGGCTTCCAAATCGGCTCCAAATTGGGTTTAAACTGAAGTATCCCGCCCCACGTTGTTGCGCCCAAGAAATAATCAATTTTCAAATTATTTTTATTTTATGTACTTTATCCGCCCTGTATCGCATCTTCCAACCGTGGAAAACACCCACCTGTTCCAGAACTACGAGCTCACTACACCACAGGATTGTTTAGGTGACGATGCCGTTCTTTTTTACGGCCATGAAAAATGGAGGGCCCAGATGTACGTCACTTTTGACACAGAGACAAACAAGATCCGACTTCCGTTTTCAAACTTAAAAACGCTCAATTGCCACGAATGTACATTGAGCGGGACGGATCCTCCCTCTATCGTGCTGGAAGTGTGGCTTTTTGTGCTTAATGAGAGCTTGCTTTGCTATCTCCCTTCCGCTGACATGATATTCGAAATACCGTACGAAAGCATCACACTAGTTGGTCTGCGAGGATCTCATATCTACTTAAACATAATAGAAGGTTCGGATTTAAACCGGGCTCCTGTTGAGTGCGAACTTTGGCCAGAGGAGGGTGCCAGCAAGTACCCGTTGTTTGGTGTTTTTTCAGGCTTCACGATAGACCAGCATTTACAAACAGCCTTAAGGGCGATAAACGACCGTATAGCAGCGACATCCACGTACCAAAACTCTGACTCCGAGGAACCGCAGGAAGAGCCTGCTGACGTGGAGGTACACCTGAACGAACAGGGACAGGCCGACGACGAGCTGAACGACCAACTGCTTCCGCTGGATCCAGCCAACAGCAGCATGTACGTTGAGCTGGGGATCATGAGTGGAAAACGTGGACGGGAGGAAGATGACGCCACAATCGGGGTGAAAACAAAGATCAGATAGTTTGTTGAGAAGCAGGCAGCTTTGCACCCTGAGGAGGATGGTTCTTGGCTCTAAAGTCCTTGTTGACCTCGTCCATGGTCAACCACTCGACTCCCTCGTGCTTGTTGATGTGTTCGATTAATCTTTCGTGCATCATCAGTACGTGGGGGCGGCCAGAAACATCTGGGTGGCACGTGATGGGAAAGACAAATTCGTCGTATTCGCGATAGAAGTAGTCAAAGTGGTCGCGCCAAATGTCCTCAATGTCGCGCGGATTGGCCCAGCCGTACCCGTCGGCGCTGTTTTTGATGAACATCATAGGAGGCAGGTCGTCAATGTACCAGTTTCCGGGAATTTCAACCAGACCGGTCTCCTTTCCGCGTTTCAAAGGCTTCATCCACTCATGGGCTTTTTTTGAGTAATCAATTTTGGTCCAAGAGTCGCCTGTCCGGAACCAATAGCACTGGCAGTCGTGGTGCGACATGGAGTGGTCGTACTCTATGCCATAGTCCAGCAGCATTTCCACGCCCTCCTGACTGGTTTCCCACCAGGGAGCTACGGAGCCTTTGGGCGGCTTTCCGCAGAATTCGGTGAGCAATTTAAACGTTTTGTCAAGGACGTCTTTCTGCTGTTCCAGGGTCATGTCGCTTGGATTTTCGTGCGAGTAGCCATGAAGACCGATCTCGTGTCCCGCGTCTCTGATCATGGCGCACTCCTCTGGGAAGGTTTCCAGCGAATGGCCTGGAATGAACCAGGTGGCTTTGATACCGTACTTCTCAAGCAATTTTAGCATTCGCGGAATTCCCACATGACCTGCAAACAGGCCTCGCGAGATGTCGCTGGCGGAGTCCTGGCCCCCATACGAACCCAGCCAGCCCGCGACCGCATCAATGTCAATTCCGTAGCAGCACAACACTCCTGGCTGTTAATATGGTGGTATGTAAACTAACTTTTTGGCATAAGTGATAAGACAAAATTAAATTAGATAAGTTATTAATTTAGATAATTTAGAAAAACCAAAGATAATACCAGATAACATTCTATTGGTAGCTGTCGATATACAAACACTCGCTCTTTGCGGTGAACCCGTTGAAGTTTGTTGCTGCAGCAGATGTATAGGCACCTGTATCTTTAAAGTAAAGCCAGTCACCAGCAATGACCTCCTGAGACAGCCTACAGTTTGGACTGATACAGTCCAGTCCGTCGCAGGTCGGACCCCAGACAGAATACTGTTTGGACGGATTGGCTGCCGCAGCGAGCTCCTTCTCTGGGTGGTTGTAATTTGAGTGGAACACAAACCGACCATGCGAGGTGAGCACTTTAGGCTCGACCTTCTGGTGGTCGAACAGAATACAATTGAGGTTGCCGTAAACACCGTCGTTCACGTATATTCTTTCCTGAAAGGCATCAGACCGCTTGGACGTGACATTGACCGCGAGGGTGAAGCACGAGGCTGCCAAAAAGCGGCCCAGCTCAGAGATGATTTGGAGATCTGGGAACTCATCAGCAGCAAAGTGGGTGTCCAGAGCAGACCGAAATACGGCCGCCGATGCGTGGAACGTGGGCTTCGAAAAACCACCCCCAATATCGAGCATTTTCAAGGTATAACCTAGAGACTCGGCGTAGTCAAAGACCATCCTGGAGTCTCTGATGGCTGTCTCGATGGTGCTGAAATTCTTGCAACCGGAACCAACGTGGAATGCGACACCCTCAAGATTGAGCCCCAGTTTGGCGCACTCCTGAACCAAAGTCCGCGCCTCGTCCAACGATGCACCAAACTTGATGGACAGCGGGCACGTGGCGTCGGAGTCGTCCGTGTGGATGCGGATAAGGACTCCACAGCCAGGGTGGTGAGCAGCTATCTTGCGCACCTCGTCGACGTTGTCCACAGTGGTGAGGTTGACACCATTTTGACGTGCGTAGCGCACGTGAGGGACGGCCTTGCAAGGGTTGGCGTAGATGATTTTGGACGGATCGGCACCCAAGGACAACATCTTCTGGATCTCGGTCTTGGAAGCACAATCAAAGCCGAGCCCCATCTGGAGCAGTGTGTGCAGCAGTTTTTCGTCGTTGTTGCACTTCACTGCGTAGAAAGGCTCCACACGTGGCATCTCTATGCGCCAAAGTCTGACAAGCCGTTTCAGTTCGCCCAGGTCACACACAAAGAACGGATCGAGTTCGTCTGGTTCACAGGTGTTGTGGTCGACGCTCTGGATTTTGGAGAGCAAAGTGGCCCCCAGAAGAGATTCTGCGTGGGGTGGAAACTCAGAAACGCTGCTCCACGCATTTTTCAGACCGGTATTGGACAAGGTGACCGGCTGGACGAGCACCGACGGAGCCATCGAGTAATTTTTCGCTAACAAACAATGCAACCGGTTCTTCTGAAGGATCTGACGGACAAACATACACCCTCGAGGGACAGCTACCTTATGTGATATAAGGTACAATAGAATTAGCGGACGTTATGCGGCAGCTCTCGTGAGGAATTTAGAAGAATAACTGAGAAAGAATATTTACGAAAAATTTTCACTGATAGCAAGGGATTTGCTGTTAGGGGGTGCAGCAGAGCCACTCTGTCGAGGACATCAAGTAGCGGCCATTTTGATGCTCAAAGCCGCTTGTCTCTATCTCTGGCGGCTCGCACGCTATCGGGACACGAAGAAACACCTGCTGGACCCGCTTGCATCGAGATTGCACACCGCGGCAAATTACGTAATAATGTTAAAAAAGCGGACTAAAGTATGAGTTGCGAACTTACGGCGAGGCTGACGAGGTCGAGCGAGCAAACGCTAAAGCCAGCCAAGCATGGGCCAGATCTTATCCTATGACTTGCTTACTTTGTTACTGTACACCTATTATACACCATCTATTCGTCAACCTCGACCTCACCGTCGCAATGGAGACAGCGGTATGCGTAGTGGTCATTGATCAGCACCTTGCCCTTGTTCTTCATGAGCGTCCACTCGCCCTTGGCCGGGATGCGCAGACACTGCAAGTTGAGACATCTCGCGTGGATCTTTTTGTAGCGCAGGCCGCAAGAGTTGCACAGCTGGCCCTCGGAGGAGGACCAGGACGGTCTCCAGCAGGGCGACTGGGTCGAGTGGCACGAGATGCACTTGCGCGTGGCGCCTGTGTAGTGTGCAGCGGCTGGTGTGTGCGCGGCTTCGTGAGAGACGTTGGCCGTGGTGCGAAGGTGGGTCTGGTGCGAGGCGGGGGCGTCGAGCGAGGTGTTGATGAATTTGGAGATGCCGACTCGTGCGTAGTCGCGGTGGTCGTGCTTGGCCGACATCAACATGGACGAAGGCGTCGGTGGCAGCTTGAAGCTGTCGGCGGATTCGGCGACTTTGCTCTGTTTCGGGCCCTGTGAGGATGGCTTGGCGGACGGCGAGAGCACCTCCATGTCCTTCAGACTACCAGCCTGGTAGGTGTAATTATTAGAGTACGGGTAGTCGACGAGGCCGTTAAATTTCTGGTACTGGGACTCGACAAATGCGGCAATCTTGGCAGGTTTCTTTGCGCGGGGCGGCTTGGACACTTTGGATAAGGCTTTTGAAGGTTTCAGCCTCATCGAGGTGCAGTATTCTCTGTATTTTTTGAAGAGTTCTGTGTTTTCGTGCTTGCACTTGTTGGAGTAGAAGTCTCTCCACTCCTCGTTCTGCTGTTCGAGCAGACACCCGCGCACGTTGCTTTCTGGTGCAGCCGATCCGAGCAAGTTGAAGGAGTAGCAGGTATCTGGGAAGTAGAAACAGGACTCGGCCTCGAACGAACGCAGCTTGGTCGACGGTTTAAGCGGCAGAGGCAGCTGGTGGGGCGAGCTGGAGCTCGAGGCAGGAGGCGTCGCTGGGGATTGTGCCAGGGTATGTCGGGACGCTGAGAGCGGTGTGGAGATCGACAGCGAGGCCAGAACGACGCTGTTGGAGGGAGGAGTGAGTGGCAGGTCGGCAAAGTTGAGTTTTGGGGTCTCGGGAACCGGGGACGATGGGGCTGTTCTGGACCGTTTCGCAGATGGAGTGGACGCCGATTCGGACACCAGCGTGAACGAGTCGGACATCTCTGCAAACGACCTTTTGAGCTGGGAATCGTGGATCAGAGTGCACTCCTCAGACCGGGGCCTGGACATCCGGTAGTAGGCGCTGGACTTGGTGTTGGTGGAGTCGGAATGCGACCTTGAGTGGTGGAGTTCGGCAGCGAGAGTGGACATAACGAGTGACAGTTTGGGGAGATGAAAGAAGGAACGAGAGACAGTCAGTTGAGCACAATCCTTCGCGTGTCACAGAGATATATATTGTAAGGAGATCGTTGATTTTCGTGGGGCTAGTTTTCTGTTTTTTCTAAATTGAGGGAAGAATTGTTGTGATCTGATCTGCCCCCTTTTCCAACTACCAGATAAATTTATTGATCTAAAGAGATCATAGTGCAGAATAATAGCAAACTGGCAAATTGCGGCAGAAGCTTATTGTTGAGCAGCCGAATTGAGAAACATGATTCAAATTGGGAACTGCATATATGCATGCCACCCAATCGAGAAAAACCAGCATCCGCAAACAGCCATTCCTCAACTACAGAAATCTGAGTTCGCACGCACATCCCTGCACGCGGAAAACAAATCCTTGGTTCCGATTACGTTCTACAAAAAAATATAAAATAAAAAAAATCTGAGAGCCAGCCCGATGTCAGATCCCACGGTCAAGCTGGAGAGTTTCCTCAAGACTCTGCTAAAGTCGCTGGATCAGCCACTCCTGCCAAATCAATCGCCCGAAGCGTACGCTGCGTCGGTCCTGCCCCAGCTCCAGACGCCCTCCAGGGTCATCGTGAATGGCACCCCGTATGGCTCAAAGCAGCTATTCCAGCAGACATGGGCCACCCTGCCGGCCTCCCAGCATCAATTGCTCAGTTATGACGCTCATCTAATTCCCACAGGCCATCCACAAAGCATATACAGCATATTGGCGCGCGTGAGAGTGCGGTTTGACGAGTCTGGCCGCAACCGATTAGGCGAGACCGCAGACCTCGTACCGGTCGACAGGCCGGCTAGACCCCTGTATTCGCCGTGGTTTGGCGTGAGCTTGCATATGATTGCCGACGAGCAACTGAATCACACTTTTGAGTGCGAGTGTATCAGCTCCTTTAACTACAGAGTGACCGAACAACCAGAGAAGAGTGTTTTCCATTTATAACTCAAATAACTCTTTTTATCCACGGCTTGGCCAGCACCAAAACAGTCATTCCCAGGCTGATGAGTCCCTGCAGCGCCACACATCCCATCTGGACATAAATTCCCATTCCAAGGTCGACCGCGGCGAGCTCGTTGTCGTTGGTCAGCTCGTTCAACTTCATCACGTACACGTACTCCACAATTAGGTCTCCCAGGTTGAGCACGAGCGAGGCGATGGTCAGGAAATTGAGGGCTCCCAGGATGAACGAGACGCGCTTCTGCATTCTGTAGAACCTGCTTTTCGACCTCAGCAGGCTCACAACCACCACCGCGTATGCGAGAGCGGCGCAGCAGCAGCAAAAGCTGCTCATAATCACAAAAGGCAGAATGCGGCCCAGGTGCCTGACCAGCAGCGCGTCGTACGCGATCTCGTTATCGTCTCCGAGGTTCTCCAAAATGGCGTGAAATCCGGTCACAAGCGAGTCGCCCACGTCCTGCGGATTGCCCTGGCTGGACATGATGCTCAGACTCATTCCAGCGTCTTTCACGAGCACAGACGGGAGATCCAGGCCGCCACGGAAGCTCGTGCATGTTCTTCTGTTGGTGAGATAGCTGTCCTTGCAGTATCCAAAATAGTTGATTTTGAAGATGTTGTCCACCGAAAAGGTGTCTATCTCCTTAATGTCCTTGTCTGTGAAATCGACAGCGGGAGAGTCTGTTCCCAAGTCCATGGCAAAGTACGTGATCACCTTAATGCTTTCTCTGATCGTGGTGAGCGGGCTGGAACGGGAGTCGTCGACGAACTGGAACTCGATTTTGGGCAGACAGTACACGGTGTCGGCGCTGCACGAGACGGAGACGCTGCCAATAAGCAGCGGCGGGACGAACATGAGCAGCGCCAAAAACGAGAGCACCACAAACGTGCGGTAGTATCCCTTTGTGGGCGCTATCAGGGGTTTTGTTTTTGGGGCGTACGACGTTGTTGTTGTTGTTGTTGTTGTGTAGTCGTTGGTTTTCGCCGTGCTCATCAACTGGTCGGAGCTGTTGGCGTCCGTGAGTCCCGACGAGCTGTTGAACGGCGAGACCGACATTTTGGACGGCCGTGCTGATCGCTCGTCCCTGAACGGGTTTTCGAGCGCGGCAGCTTGTTCGTCTATCGGCGACCGTTGCGCCGCCTCCTCGTTCGGGTCCGTGAAGAAGATTGGCTTGAACGACTTGGGGCCCGAAAACGTGTCGGGGAAGCGGGGGGTTTGGTTAGAGAGCATAGGATTAGCAATAGGCGCGGGAAGAAAAGGGAGAAAATTTTGGAAGGATGCATGCAAATAGACGATAGATTATCAATACACGAGCGATGACCGTAGAGCGAGAAAGACGCAGGCGGCACACCGGAAAAACTGCCCGAGAGCTCTGGCAGACTGCGTAACCTCGCGTGTGGTGCTCTGCCCTTGCGCTGATCCAGCTTAGATCTATCCAGGCTGTGCAAACTAAATCTATTTAATTTCTTCATGTCCCAGAAGTCTCTCCAGGGCTGGACGTTTGAGCTCAAAGAGCCCGAAAATGGCACGCCGCGTCGCTCGCGACGGGCGGCCGCTGCAGGAGCCAGCCAGATCCGCCTCACGCGCGACGCCGACTCTTTCGAGCTCAGAAAAGGAGACACCGTTCTTGTCTCGACCGGTTCGGGACCTCCCGATGTGGCGTTGGTCAGAGACATCGATTTTGGCACAGACACGTTTCTGGAAGTGCGCGTACTGTGGTTTATGCGGCGGTCGGAGGCAGACGACGACGTCCTGCCGGAAGACAGCCGTCTGGAAAACGACGTGTTTCTGACACCCCTTGCGGAGAAAATCAGCCTTGATGACATTGTCGGGCCGTGCACAGTGCTCTCGACGGCACAGTTCGCCGCCGTGCGGCTAGACAGCTCGAATAGTGACTCCACGTTCCGCTGCCAAAGGTTCAGCGACAGAGACACATACTTCTCGGACCTGGTCGATTGGGCCGCTTACGTCAGCAGAGATCCAGAGTATGTGTACGAGCAGGTGAGGGAGCTGGCCGTTCCGCCGCGGCAGGAGTCGCCACGCAAGAGAAAGCGCGCAGACACGCCCTCCAAGCCGAAGACCCCTAAAATGGCAAGCCCTGAGCCGGTGGGTTTGTCCGACAGCGAGGAAATCGACTTGGAAGACCTGGACTCGGCGTACGAGAGTCCGCTCGAGGAGAAGCCCAAACGCAGAGAGCGGAAAAGGAAGCCCAAAACAGCACAGAAAAGTACGAAATCCAGCTCTCCCTCAAAGTCGACACCCCGAAGCGTGCGCAAGGCCAACAACAGTGTGCCTGTTCTGCCGACCGTGATCCGACAGAAGTTTTTTGAGGACGACAACGAGCTGGTCATAGACGACGAGGATTTGCAGGAGGTGGTCGACAGCGACGGCAAAGTCGTCAAGACGTTCAGAAAGGCCAAAGAAAGGCTCCTGCCGTCCGCCAAGCTGCAGACGCTTCCGTGCAGAGACCAGGAGTCTGCACAGCTGTACGCCAGTCTGCTGGACGCGATTTTGAGCCAGCTGGGTCGCTGTATCTACGTGAGTGGTACGCCCGGCGTGGGAAAGACGGCCACGATACGGGAGGTGATCAAACAGCTGTTTGTAAACCTTGCCAATGACAACGATAGGAAAATGTTCAACTATTTGGAAATAAACGGTCTGAAGCTCATGTCTCCGCCCGCAGCGTACGAGGTTCTGTACCACAAGATTTCTGGTGATAACGTCAAGGCTGGCGCCGCGCTCGATTTGCTGGAGAGATATTTCGAGACCAAGGACGAGACACGGCTGCCCTTGGTTGTTCTGCTGGACGAGATGGACCAGATCGTGACCAAGAACCAGACGGTGATGTACAACTTCTTCAACTGGCCCACGTACGAGAACTCCAAGCTGATAGTGGTTGCCGTGGCCAACACCATGGATCTTCCCGAAAGACTGCTGACTAACAAGATTTCCTCGCGGATCGGACTCACCAGAATCCAATTTCCCGGATACACGTACGCACAGCTCAGCGAGATTATCAAGCATCGTCTTGAAAAGATCGAACGGGCCAATGAGAACAAGCTGGTGATCTCCAAGGACGCGATCGAGTTTGCGTCCAGAAAAGTGGCCAGTGTGAGCGGAGACGCGCGCAGGTCGCTTGTCATCTGTGTGCGGGCCCTGGAGATTGCAGAGATGGAGTTTCTCAGCAAACCACAGCACGAGCGCGACGAGCTCCAGGGACGGTACACCGTGGGCATCATGCACGTGATGAAGGCCGTGAACGAGACCACCTCGACTCCAGTGGCCAACTATCTTAGCTCCCTCTCTTTTGCTGCGAAAATGGTTTTGGTGGCATTTCTTCTGCGTCGCAAACGGACAGGGGCTGCCGAGCTGCCGTTCGGCGAGATGATAGACGAGATGAATAACCAGTTTGGCGTGGTACTGTTTTCCGAACTCAAGCGGCAACTGAGCCACGAACAGCTCGAGATGCTAGAGGTGCTGTATGGCAACGAAAATTCACGGCTGCGCGTGGACGGGCTGGGCTACATTGTGCGCGAGCTGGACGAGAGCGGTGTCATTGCGCAGCAACAGCTGCGTGCCGAACGATTGCGGCTGGTGCGGCTCAATGTGAACGAGGACGAAATAATCGGGTGTCTGAAAAAAGACGGTCTGATGGCCGACCTTATAGCCACCATGTGACTAATGTCCTCTCACCTCCTCTCTCGCGGACACTCTGCGGTCGGCTCGGTCGCTGCGCTCGGTGTAGATCAGAATTGGCTCGCCCACGTTCTGGATCTCGGGAATTCTTAATTTCAGATCGAATGCTTTACTGATCACAATTTTGAATATCTTCTGAATGTTGATCGAGGCACTGGTAGAGCAGAAAATCAGCGGCGCATTCATTGCCCGTGCAAACTTCTGCGCCTGTCTCGTGATCTCCTCCTGTTCCGCGTCGCTCAGGTCCACAAACAGGTCGTATTTCGTGCCCACCAGGAACGGGATGGCTGTTCTGTTGAATCCCCTTGTTTGCCGGTACCAGTCCTTCACCGAGCTCAGGGTGGACTTGCGGGTCAGATCAAACATGAACAGCACTGCCACGGCGTCGCTGGCCACCAAGGGCAGCATGTTTGTGAACTCTGCCTCTCCTCCCAGGTCCCAAATAGAAAATGTGATCTCGGTGGTCTTGATATTGATCGAACGTTCCATGTAGTTGACGCCTAAAGTCTGTGTGTACACCTCGTCAAAACAGTTTTCGACGTATTTGACCATCAGCGAGGTTTTTCCTACCTGTGCGTCGCCCACAAGGCCGACTTTGAGCGTAACCGTGTTCTTGTCCATAAATATAAACATTACACAGCCTGGGAGCTCAAGTAGACCCATACACCCGTGCACCAGTATTTACTATTATTTTTTGTCTCTCTCTTTCTTTCGTGCACGTGACGTTGGAGCGGGCAGCTGGCATTTATGAAAAATTTATCACGGAAAATATTTTGAAAAACTCTCTTTACGCAACATGGCTATTGGAAAGAACAAGAGACTGTCCAAGGGAAAGAAAGGTATCAAGAAGAGGGTTGTCGACCCATTCACCAAGAAGGAGTGGTACGACATCAAGGCCCCAACCACCTTCGAAAACAGAAACGTCGGAAAGACTTTGATCAACAAGAGTACCGGTCTGAAGAACGCCGCGGACGGTCTCAAGGGTAGAGTTGTCGAGGTTTGCCTTGCTGACCTGCAAGGCTCTGAGGACCACTCCTACAAGAAGATCAAGCTGAGAGTTGACGAAGTCCAGGGTAAGAACCTGCTCACCAACTTCCACGGCATGGACTTCACCACCGACAAGCTGAGATCCCTTGTTAGAAAATGGCAATCCCTCGTGGAGGCCAGCGTCACTGTCAAGACTTCCGATGACTATGTTTTGAGAGTTTTCTGCATTGCTTTCACCAAGAGACAAGCCAACCAAATCAAGAAGACCACCTACGCTCAGTCCTCCAAGCTGAGAGAAGTGAGAAAGAAGATGGTGGAGATCATGACCAGAGAGGTTTCTAACTCCACCTTGGCTCAGTTGACCGGCAAGCTGATCCCAGAGGCCATCGGCAGAGAGATTGAAAAGAGCACCCAATCCATCTTCCCATTGCAGAACGTTCACATCAGAAAGGTCAAGCTGCTCAAGCAGCCAAAGTTTGACCTTGGTAACTTGCTTGCTTTGCACGGCGAGGGTTCTGTTGAGGAGAAGGGCAAGAAGGTTGCTGGAGGTTTCAAGGACGTTGTTTTGGAGACCGTTTGAGCGACCACCGGGCGTAGCCAGGTATATGATAAATAATTGAAATTCAATTAAGATGAATAGTGTAGCCGAAGTAGGAGGTTTTATAACCTGATTTATGCAAAGACAAAATCCAGTATTTTCACCAAGCGGTATATCTTACATTATGTATACACCTGTGCTCTTAATTGTGCAGCCTCTTTTCGAACGAGTACAGTCCGTGGACGCCACCCTCCATCTGGGCAGACGCAGTTCTGATCTCGAATCTGATGTTGCCCTTGATGGTCTCTTCTCTCAGAGCAGAAACACTTCTCACACCAATATCCTGACAGGAGTGCTGCAGTCCGTTGTACAAGTAAGGGATAAACTTGGTGATCGATCCCTTGTCCAAAACGGATCCACTGACACCCTGGGCCACAAGAACCTTATCGCCCTCACTGAAGTATCTCGAGGTGGACGCGTTGGCGTTCTTGCCAGTCTGTTGCATGGCATCGATGGAGCCCATACCTCTGTACGTCTTCAGTCTCTTTCCATCTCTGTAGAAGTATTCACCTGGAGACTCAGACGTTCCTGCAAGCATGCTTCCCATCATGACACAGGATGCTCCCAAAGCAAGAGCCTTGGTAATGTGGCCGATATTGGAAACACCGCCGTCAGCAATACATGGCACGCCGAACTGGTTAGCAAACTGGGTCACCTTGTAGACGGCGGTACCTTGTGGTCTACCACAAGCCATAACCTCTTGGGTGATACAGATCGATCCGGAACCCATACCAATTCTCAGACCGTCTGCACCAGCCGCAATCAGCTGGGCAGCCTGTTCCCTGGTGACAACGTTACCGGCAATGACCTGCAAGTCTGGGAAGGTCTGCTTGATCCATTTGATCATGTTCAGCTGGAAAATAGAGTTACCTTGAGAAGAGTCCAAGACAACAACGTCCAAGCCAGCCTCGACCAGCTTGGCGAGTCTCTCTTTGTCACTGTCCAGAGTACCGATGGCGGCACCACAAAGCAGCTGCTTGCTCTGGAACGACTTGGAAGCGTGAGGATAGTTCTGGTTCTTTTGCAAGTCGGTTCTGGAAAGCATGGACACGAGATTTCCCTCGCTGTCGACGATTGGGAGCTTGCCCTTCTTGGACTTTCTCAATATATCGTTTCCTTCAGCCAGCGAGATTCCAGCCTTGGCGGTGATCAAGTCAGTGGTCATGATCTCCGAAACAGGGCTGGCGTCGTTCTCGTGGAATTGGACATCTCTAGAGGTGATGATACCAACCAATTTTCCTCCAACTTTACCGGTTTCTAAACTGTTAGTACGAGGGAAAGCTCTTCTTCAGGATATGGGTTTCCACAAGATCGTTTGATCGTGTCGGTAGAACGAAAGTTATTTTAGAAGTTCGATCATCACCAAAAGAGCAGAAGCAAAGTACTTACCGGTCACTGGGAAAGAAGTGAAGCCGAATTGCTGGCCCATAGCCTTGACGGTCGCAACCGTGGTCGAAGGGGAGATGGCAACAGGATCGTTGATGAAACCGTTCTCGTACTTCTTCACCTTTCTAACCATCTCCGCCTGGTCTTCAGCGGTGCAGTTGTGATGAATAATACCAATACCTCCCAAAAGAGCCATGTGGATGGCCATGTTGGACTCAGTAACGGTGTCCATCGGAGAAGAAACGAAAGGAGTCTTCAAAGTGATCTTCTTGGTCAACTTGGTCTCCAATTCTACCACGTTGGCAGGGAACTCAACCTTACCAGGCAAGATAAGAAAATCGTTGTAGGTGAGTCCACCGTGGAGCTTGTTGTCCATCAGGTCGTGGACAGAAAGTCCATCCTTCTCCGAGTAGGTCGAAAGGTATTCAACAGCTTTAGAACAGTCCAACGTTTGAGCCATCAGGAATAATAGGGGCGGTTTGCCAAAAAAAAAAAGAGGGAATTGCCTAATCTTTTATACTTGTTGACAGGGCAGGAAAAATTTTAGTAAAATTTTCATAATATAACCTAAAATTTTTCACCGCGTATCTGGGGACATATCGCAAAGATATCAGCTCTTTGGTGTTATAACCGCTTACCATGCTCTCCTTGCTAAAGATGAGAGCATGTAATCCAGATGACGCTTATCCGCTCCTGGTATAGACGATTGCCTGCCGGATCTTTATTTCCTAAAACAGTAATTCCTTATCCCGATTAGCACACCGGAGATTTATCTGGTAAAACAATTGAAAACTGGAAATGGCGATTCCCTGCTCTACCTAGAACTTATCGAACCTCAATGTACATTGTTCGCTGGTAATGCGCGATTCTTTTCCCTCAGACAGCGCCCAAGACTTGGCTACTCCAGGGTCTATCTTCTTCCGTGTAGGGATGTGCATTTTTATCTGTTTACTATTTTTATTTATTTGTTAGTACTATCAATGCCACAACCGGAGGAATCCCCGCAGACGCGCTACATGCGAAACATCCAACTCATGGAGAGCCAGTTTTTTCGCCAGATGTCGACTGTCGGGGCACAGCCTGTCTCGCCCCTGAGTTCGAAAATGGGAGTCTTGAGTCCACCCACTGATCCGTCGGATTCGCTTTCTCGATCGCCTAGCCCGCCCCCTCCAATTCCTCCAAAGACCTACCTTACGCACAGCCCCCAAACATCCTTGTTCAGGACGAGAATTGCAGAAACAGAGAAAACTTCAGTCTCAGGACAGAGTCGTTTTGAAAAGAATGCCAGAAGCAGTGTACAGAGCGACATATCGGCATCCGCGTCGCCAACCCAGTCACGCAAACCTTTATTCAAACCGAACACGTCGCTGAAGTCGCACAAATCGCTTCTGGAACAGGCTAGTCAGTCCGTAGCTAGGCCAGCGCTCCGATCGGACTCTGTTGAAGAAGACGAGTTGCGTGACTCAGTGGGGACCTTGGACTATTTCGGCCGCAAGGGCTACAGAGCGTCCAATGACGCATATAACTCGCTGCTATTCAAGAACTCGACCGATTCGATGCTCAGCGCAGATGATAGTCCTGTTATGATAGAAAACCTGCCCGAGAGCGTCAGGCTGATTGTCGACTCGCGTCCCAGCGGCCAGGTCCATGATCTCGACTATTTCGACGGCGCCCAATATAGTGCATTCTGGCACATAACGGAAGATGAAGCGCAGGCTCTCACAGACTGGAATTCTCTTGAATTCCATCGCCAAAATGCCATTTTCGAGCTATTTCTGCTCCTTCGAAAGCTAAGGATCAATCTGAAGCGCATGGTCTTTCATTACGGTCCGGCCTTTAGAGAAGCCAAGAACCTAACAGCAGACCAGGAAGCAGATTTCCAGAAGACTTTCGTTCCCCTTGGGGCCCTATACGAGTACCTGGAAAAACTAGTGCGCAAAAGGTTGAAACCGGCTTTTGATAACCATTTTTTTGTCAACGACCGTTACGTGCTGGACTGTCTGAAGAACTGGCTGTCAAAGCTGGAGCGCGATTACGAGTACATCTCCCGAAGCATGGTGTATCTGGCGAAAATTGCTGCCAACGAACGATTTAGAGAATGGATCGAAGTCACTGAGCAAACTGACGAGCTGGCACTCGGGAACAACTATCTTGCGTCTGCTAGAGAGCTCTGCCACTCGTATCTTCTTCAAGCCTTTGCTCCAATGAGGCTTATGGTGCTGGATCTGAAGAAGCTTTACGCGAAAATGGAGGACGACAGGCTTGTTGCATTGGCTCAAGACATCTTTAATCTCCTCAATAACATCAACAAGATTAGCGACTTCACTACCGATCTAGACAAGAAGATCAAACTGAACGAAAAATTGGTCTGCACGGACTACTTGTACCTGGAAATGGTGGATCTTTTCAATGCTAAGAGAAAACTTCGTGTTCCGGTAGACATAAATCTTCGGACAGCGATTTCTTCCGAAAGTGCCATGCTCTACCTGCTAGACAACTACATACTTCCACTGGTCAAACGCGAACATAAAGAAGCGAGCTATTTGCTCAACAAGCCCCCTATTGCGCTACAATATCTTGAGTATACAATACAGGAAGAAAACGGAGAAAAGACGCTAATATTAAAGGACACCGGAAACTGTTACACGTACAACGTCCGGAACGAGCGTGTGGATGCTCCTACTCTTTTCAACAACTTTGTTAAGGACATTCCAAAATACAAGGATGAACTATTCACGAAACTAAGCAAGACATACGAACTCAAACTAATCAACGGCACATCATTCCAGAGTCCGGTTCCCTATTACGAATACACTGTGCCGCCAATTGAGAGAAAGGAGCTTGATCTTGTGCAACAGGCTCTAGCTCAATCGAAGTTCAAGCCGTACTCCGTCCCCCCAATTGCTAATACCCAGGTGCTCAGCATTGACACTTTCCGCAGGGGTAGGGAGCTCTTCTTTGTTGTTGGAACGGCTGACGGGCTTTACATGGGTAGACACGACCAACCAGCAACGTGGAAGAAGGTCTGTTCATATCCGGATGCCGTCAAACTTACCATCGTGCACGAGGAGGTGGTTTTTGTCCTTCTAAAGGACAAGCTCTACAAGGTGGACACAAAGGATATGTACGAATGCTACGAGAAAAATCTGCTGTGCAACTCCAGCCTGTACCAAGTCGCAAAAGGCGTGAACTCGTTTGAAGTTGGTCCCCAAACTGTCCGTCGTGGGCCCATCGTAATGGAGTGCGATATCTTATTCTGCTGGACGGACAAAAAGATAATGTTCGGCATCGTTACTGCCAGCAACGGATGGAAGCTGACGTTTGAGTCAATGCGGCCCATTTTCAAGGTTCGGGGATTGCAGCTGCTACACCCAACAGACTTTGTGATCAACCACGTCAACGAGAACAATCCTATCTTTTACCTGTCGAACCTCAACACGATGGGCAACACACAACTCAACAAGATGGACACGCGAAGAGAACTCAAGTCGCGTATTCGTGGAGAGAGGCCAATTGCCGCTTTCAAGCAGTTTGTTAATGACAAAAACACAGACTATGACCTATTGCTGGTCTACTCTCGTTACTGCATGTTCGTGAAGTATAGCAAAGACCAGATCGTGTCAATTTCGCGAGCAGAGATACTTCGCTTTAATTTTGAGGTTCAGGACGCCACTTACGACAGCTACGAACAGATCCTGGTTGTCTGCGGCGAGCAGAACATCGAGATCTGGAGGATACTCAAGGACCGTCAGGCCAAGTCCGAGCTTATAGGATGCGTGATCGGGTCGCAGGCCAGGCTCTTGAATAAAACGCCTGGAAAAATCATCATCAGCCTGATGAACAACGAGCGTTATGCTGGAAAGGGCAACCAGCTGCTCCTGCACTTGCGCAAGCGCAAACAGTGAATTGTATATACCTCTACTTTTATACCCCTACGTCGATCGACCCTTGCCTAAAAAAAAAAACATTCAACATTTGTCTTTTCCCAATTGCTCCAGCCATGAGTCAATCTCCGCCAAATACGCAAGGACAGCGCAATATTATGCAAATCACCCCACAGCATGCACAGCAGCTTTTCAGGCACTACCAGCTGGAGAAGGATATGGCCGAGCGCGCAGGTATTGACACTCCTAAGGGAAAGGAACATTTGGAAAAGTCGCAAAAAATCAAGGAGGTTTTAATGAAGTACAACAGGAGACAGCAGATGCTGAATGCTCAATCGCAGAACAGAGGCTCTGGGACGCCTGTGGCGGGACAACAGAGCTCCCCGGCGCCGAACATGGCTTCTGGAATGTCCTCGCAAATGGGTACACCGCAGCAGCTTGGAAACATGCAGACGGCCGCCGGGCGGGCACAGGGCGGCATGAGCACGTCTCCACAGCAAAACATCCCAGGATCACGTCCGAATATGGGCCCTCAGCCGGTGCAGCGCCAGCAGTCGTCCCCTTCCCTGGGTGCAGACACCCCTCCTCCTCAGGGCTCTGGAGCACAGAGTACACAAGACCAGCACGCGAAATACCAGCAGGTTTTCCGGCTAGCCGAGCAGTTCAAGGCCCATTTGGCTGTGATTCAGGGCAAGCTCAATGATCCAAACACTCCGGCCAACGAGATGGCTCAATACATGCAGAAAGAGAGAGAACTGAGCGGCAAGGTGGAGCAATGTAGACGTTTTGCACAGCAACTTGCCCAGCAACTCAATCTTTCTCAAGGCGGAATCCCAAACCAGTCCCGAATGGGGTCTCAGCAGTCACAGGGAGACGTCTACTCGCAGCAGATGATGAATCCGCAACAGCAGGCTCTCCAGCAGCAACGAATGATGCAACAGCAGCAGATCCAGGGCCAGAACGCCAATTCTCAAGCACAGAGGGTTCAGCAACCAGGGCAGTCGCAATCGCCGGCCATGCAACAGCAGATGATGGGCCAGATGCCGATGTCTGTGCAAATGCAGCAGATGGCCAGCGGTAAGATGGGCTCCCAGAAAGCGCCCGTGCAGCAGCAGCCGCCAGCAAAGAAGCAGAAGGTCGCAACGCCAGGAGCAAGCACCCCAATCACTAACGTCAATGCTGCCGCATCCAAACCGGTGCCCGGGGCTGGTCCCGGTACCTCTGCCACGCCTATAGCCGGTACTGCCTCGTCGGAGTCGTCGCGGTCGCGGTTCCAGAACATGCCAATTCCAGAAGAGCTCAACATTGGCGTCCCGCAGCCAGTCTCTGTCAAGCAGAACAACAGGCCGTCTATCTTGAACGGGAACTCCATCAGTGCCGCCTCTTTGACTACTCCTGTTCTCGTTCGGCCACAGGACTTTGAGCTGGAAGGCGAGCGAGTGCTCAACCGCAGGAAGCTCAAGGAGCTTGTCAGGTGTGTTGGGGCGGACGAGGGTGACGCCGAGGTCTCGATCGACGGCGACGTGGAGGACCTGCTATTGGACCTCGCGGACGAGTTTATTACCTCTGTCACCTCGTTTGCATGCCGATTGGCCAAACACCGCAAGTCAGAGAGTCTCGACGTGCGCGATGTGCAGCTGCACTTGGAGAGAAACTGGAACATTCGCATCCCTGGCTACTCGTCGGACGATATCCGCACTGTCAGAAAGTTCATCCCGACTCCGTCCCACAACACCAAGCTGAACGGAATCTCCATCAACAAGAGTGTCAACAAGAGTCAATGATGTATTATAGGTAACATAACTGGTAATGTACTGTTACAAATAAACATTCTGCAGAGCCTGCTAGTTGCGTGCTCTTGCGTAGGCCTCTCTACCGTTGCTCGTCTAGGTGGAGCATATTTTTTGTCACTTACGTAATTTTTTCTACATGTTTTTCAATGCCAGCTACATAGGGCCGTCGCCTCTGCTGGTCAGCAGTAATCACATCTCCATCGACTATATCGTGCAAGTACTTCTCTACACGATTCTAAATCCCCTGGGGGTCTGGGTGTACGCGGTCCCAATGTACCTGCGGACGAAAGACTGTAAATATCTGCGGTACGGATCTTTGGTGGTTATATGCTGGGTGCTACGATATCTCAACCTGCGCAGCAAACGGTGCAAATATCAGCGGCGCAGGCACATAAACGTTATGATAACTGGCGGATCACACGGTCTCGGGCTGGAAATTGTGCGCAGATTCGGCGACAGCGCGACGGTCTTCGTTTTGGACCAGGAAATATCCGCTCAGCTCGAGCCGCTGGCCACGAAAAATGTGCATTTTCTCCAGTGCAACGTGGCGGACCCGGAGTCGCTGGAAACCGCGCTAAACACTGTCTTCAGCCGCGTCGGCCAATTAGACGCCGTGATCTGCAACGCCGGTGTCCGCCAGACCAGACAGACTCTACATCTGCAACCGGCAGAGCTACGAGAACTTTTCGATATCAATTACTTCGCCAACGTTCAGCTCGTACAGCACGTTCTGAAACACCATAGACACCCAGAAAGACTCCACCTTGTGTGTGTGAGCTCTGTCCTTGGGTTTGTTTCTCCACGCGGTCTGTCTGGCTATTCTGCCACGAAAGCAGGCCTACACACATTTTTCATGGGTCTCAGACACGAGGTGCCACCCAGCGTGGTCGTCAGCACGATTTTGCCGGGCCAGCTGACCACACGGATGTTTGAAGACGTGTGCGTTGAGAGGTATTTTTGGGCTCCCCTGGTGGATCATTGCAAGCTGGCGCAACGGATCGTTGAGCTGATAGACCGCGGCGAGAACGGGTTCTTTGCATTTCCGCTATACGCACGGTTCATTCCAGTTTTGCAGGCGCTCCCGTACTCGTGGTATCGGGCTCTCAGGAAATTTAGTCGAATGGACGACGTGATAGAGGATAGATAATTCAGTTATTTTTTTCCAGTTTTTGCACCAGCTGTTCGATAACTTTAAGTAGCTCGGTAGGGACAAGGTACCCGTCCGAGTTGAACACTTTCGGCAATTGGAGGGTATGCTGTATGGTGCTCTTGCCGTCCGCAAGAGTTATATAGTAGATCGGGTCGGCCTTGGATTTGAGTTTGGTGCTGATTGTCACCTTTTTTGACCCCTTGGTGCCAACGTACTTGACGTTCTTTTCGATAAATTTGGTGAATCCAACCCAGATGCCGTTCAAAATGAAAAATAGTACCACCAACACCGTCGTGTAGTTGACGTACTCCGAGTTTGAGAAGTCGTTCTCGTACTTCTTTTCCAGCCAGTACATCAATGCGCTAGCCCCAACCGACAAATAACCGACGAGAAGCTTGAAATCGGTATTGAAGAACGATTGGCTGTATCCCAGCTGAGCCATTATCTCCGGAAGCGCCTCGTCGCACTCATTGCGCAGAGCAATGGCGGAGTACAAATTGACCTTTTTCATGAATACAATACAACAATAATTATTTTTCGTGCCGTTTTTACACTATGTACGGCTCGGAATATTCGTGCTTGAAAATAAGGTGCGGTTTTCTTTTTGCCAGGTCGAGGATCGTCTTTCCAAACTCACTGTTGCACCAGCTGAACCATGGCCTCGTGTACTGGTGGTTTGGGGCATTCACGTGTATGCTCTCGTGCATCAGGCCTAGACCCGCCGTCGTAGTCTTCACGAGCTCCAGAAGCTCCGTGATCTCGTTGTCGTCGTCTGTCGTGCGGATTTGAAGCAGCAAAGACATTGGCCAGGCATTGGAAAGCCCGATATGCGGCCCTCCAATGCCCCTAAAGTACTTTCCTTTGTAGTAATACGGGTTGCCGTCTTTGGACAGAACCATCTTTCTGGTGTTCTGGTAAATTTCGTCGTTTTTGTCCAGGTAGCCCATGTCCGGCAGGGCCAGAAGCGAGGGAATATTCGCATCGTCCATGATGTTCACCCCGCCAAAGCCGTCCACCTCGTACGCAAACACGGTGCCGAACTTCCTATGGTTTACCACGCCAAACTCCTCAATGCCCTTGCAAATGGCCGTAGCGTACCCCCGCGCGGAGTTTGCAAAGTCTGTGAGGCCGTTCTCGCGCAGAACGGGCTCCAGCGTTGCCAGCTCAACCTGCATTTGCGCATTGGCCGGGATAAACAGCTGATATATACACGCGTCGTCTGACGGTCTGAACGCCGACCGTATCAGCCCGGTATTGCCGCACACGGGGTTGCCCGAGCCTGCGAGACTCAGCGTTTCCGTGCCTATTCGCGTCTCTCGCTGGAAAGTGTAGTAGAACGGCAGCAGGTCGCCGTTCTCGTCGAACGTGGGCACAGACTCGCGGCGCAGCACAGTGAGAATCAAATCAAACGCGTCTATCCAGCTCTGGTGGCGGAAAATCGATCTATCGTGCGAGTTCTTGTAGTACTCGTTCGTCAGCGTGAGAAACGAAGCAAGCGAGTCCAGCTCCCATTTGCACTCGAAAACGTGTCTCCAGGGCGGCCGCGGTCCAACGTAGTCGACACTCGACGGCTTGCGCTCCACTCCTGAGCCTTCTGGTGGCTGGTACGCGTTGCAATAGGGCGCCTTCTTAATGTACAGGGCCTGTTGGATAATGGCTCCCTTGATCAATTGCTGCAGCTTGGGGTCTTTCTTGACGAGCGGCTGGTATACACTGAGTTGGCGCGCAGAGTCCCGCAGCCACTCTGCGTGGATATCGCCGGTGGAAATAAAGGTGCGGGGGCTGTTAGTTTCTGCGTTATCTGGGTCGTGCCACAGAACTGTGGTGTCCAAAGTGTTGGGGAAAGCGTTCTCAAACAAGCGAAATAGGTCAGGATCGGCCATGCGCAGGCGCATCTCCTCAATGACGCTCTCGACGGCGCCGCTCGTGAAGGTGCGACAGTCTTTCGCCGGCCGCATGTATGCCAGTTTCAAGGGTCCTTCCGAGAAGGGGCCGTGTCTGTGCTGGGAGTACTCGACATAATCCGGACAGCGGGTGTCGAGCCTGTTGCCCTTGAACCACTTGGTCTGCAGGATGCGTTCGTCGACCGCTTCCAGGGCTCGTTCCGCTAGTCGCTCGCGTTCCTTCTGCACGAGGGTCTCCAACGCCTGCGACTGCTCGCTCAATTGGCTATCGGGATCGCTGTTGCGCGAGCGCAAATACAGCAGCACCACCACCGCCAGGAGCACGTATGTCAGCCGGGCTGAACGGGCCGCCCTGGCTATTATTTCATACCGCAATGCCATCAAATTTAATAATCAGGCCTATTTCGAGAAAAAAACACTTTCCTGTTTTTCCCATGTCAGAACTAGCACAGTAAGTATCTGCCCTATTGCACTAACACAGATTTGTTTCTGCGATTCCACCGGTCACACGCACCATCACGCTCACGTCGCTGGCCATGTGTGCGCTGAACGCGCTCAATATCGTGCCGTACGTGTCGTTTGTATGGTACTGGCCCGCCGTCTGGAACGAGTGGCAGTTCTACCGGATTTTCACCGGCCTGCTCGTGCCCCATCCGCAGCCAATGCAGGGATTGACCGAGATATACATGGTGTACAGCTTTTCACGGGGCCTCGAGGAGGGAAAGTTCTCCAGGATCCTGCCTGACTACATCTACTACCATTTGATTATTCTGCCCATAATAGTGCTGGCAACATTTATTACTGCGCCGCCGCTGATCTCCTCCACCCCCTCGCTGCTCTCTGCGCTCACGTACACGTGGTGCGTGGCGAACTACGACCAGACCGTCAACTTCTACTTCATGCAAATCAAGGCGTCGCTGCTGCCCGCTGTTTTTCTGGGCTTCCGTCTGCTTGTCGACGGTCGAGGAAGTTTTTTCCAGGCCCTCATCGGTATGTGCGCCGCGTACGTTTACAATTGCATCGAGACCGCGTCGGTCGGGCCGCTGATGTCGGTCATCACCGGCCAGCAGATGCTGGAGCCGCCTCACCGCGTCGGCACGACCGCCACCACGACAACTCACAACGTGTGGTACTACTCGCAGGGGTATCTGCCGGCTCCCGTGTGGCTCAGGACGGCTATTTCGAGGCTCACGGGCATCGACTACAACTCGCGGATCTTCCAGCGGCCGTACGGCATGATGTTCCAGGCGAAGCAGCCGGCAAAGAGCGCGGCGACGCAAACCTCGTTTCTGCGCAGAATGTCCAATAATGCGTTCCAGGGGCGCGGCCAGAGACTCGGGTCTGCCAAGGAATAAAAAAAATATTAAAAAAATGCACAACTGTGGTGTCCGTTTCCAGATAGATATATCATGACAAGAGACTCGCCTCTTTGGGTCGTCGGTTATGGCTCGCTCCTGTGGAAGCCACCGCTCCACGAGCTGGACATTTCGCGCGAGTTTGTCAGGTTCCCCGGCTACATCCAGGGCTATGCCAGACGGTTCTGGCAGAGCAGTTACGACAACCGAGGCACTCCCGAACAGAAAGGCCGTGTCGTGACTATTATCCCGAGCGACCAGATCGTTGGCACGCCGGCGTTCAAGCCGGATGTTCTTAGGTACGAGCTGGCGGGCAACGCAGACGCGCAGGAGATCATCAACGACAGCGCTCGGCTCTATTCCGAGCTCCGAGTCTGGGGATGCATCTACTATATTCCGCCGCAATATGCCGCCATGGCAACAAAGTATCTCGATTTCAGAGAGAAAGACGGCTACACGATCCACAAGATCCACTTCAACGTGACAGACCCCTGCGGCCACGAAGACGTCTTGCAGGGCCTGCCGTGTGAAAACGGCCGGTACATCGTCGAGTCGATGATCTACATCGGAACGGCTGATAACGAGTCGTTTGTGGGGCCCGAGGACGTCGAGGAGACCGCGAGGGTGATTCGCAAGTCTGCCGGCGAATCTGGGCCCAACGACGAGTACCTGCTTCTGCTGCACCACGAAGTCGAAAAAATGGGCGGCGACCCGTATCTGGAAGACCTGGTAAGTCACCTCAGCCGGCTTGAATAGAGCCAACTGCATATAAAATGAATTAATGTAGATTTTGCAATTCCCGCGCAATTCGAGAAATAAATATCCATGCGGCTTGATTTCCAAGCTATATAAAAACGGTCCGGCGTCCTTCTGAAGGCCATGGGTAGCAACACCGCCGCAAACGTCCTGAGTACGATAGGGACCGTCCTTTGGTGCATCCAGCTGTCTCCCCAGATATATTTTCTGTGGAAGCGCAAGGATGCCACCGGGTTCCCGCCCATATTCATGTTTCTATGGCTCTTATCAGGCATCCCGTTCGGGATATACTTCATCACGTCTGACTCGTACATCCCGTACCAGCTCCAGCCCCAGATATTTTCGCTGCTCTGCGCCATAGCCTGGTTGCAAAGCATGTACTACCCACCTTACAACACGCCGCTCAAACGGGTTTTATTCTACTGCTTTTGCTATGTCTCGACGTCGCTAGCAATGCAACTGGGATTTGGAATTCCTCTAAAGAAACTGTACAAAGAGGGTGTTACATGGCCGACCACGACATTTGGAATCATCGCCGCCGTGTTCCTGGCCGTTGGACTTCTGCCCCCCTACTACGAGCTGCTCAAGAGAAACGGCCGCGTCGTCGGAATTAATTTTATATTTCTAATGATGGACTCTGCAGGGGCCATTTTTTCGATGGCCGGAACTCTTGTGGGCGAGCTGGACGTGCTGGGAATGATCCAGTTCGCGGTGGTCCTGGCTCTGGAGGTCGGGCTGTATTTGAGCCAAGCCATATGGTATATTCGATTCCGAGTAATCAGGAAGGAGGATAAACAGGAGGCCGACGAGCTCGCGGAAGTGGAAGATCTGGGGGATCCAGAAGGAGCAAGCAAAGAGCAGGCTCAGGTTTGACTTTTTTCTGGCCACTCCCACCATTTTATAATGTCCCAGTTAATATCCAGTGCATCGAGGAACTTGGAGAAACTGCCGTCGCTGAATTCGACAGGGCGGCTTTGCTTCAGTCTCGCCAACTCCCCTTCTGTGCGTACGTCAGCCAGTGACGCCCTATACTCAGCATACTGATTGAGTCCGTGGACCAGCTGTTTGGCATCACTTTCAGAAAAGTATGAGAGATACGCTTCGAACAGCTCCGCAATCATTGGAAACCGCAGATCCACCAGTCTCCATATTAGCGATGTGAGCTCGGCGCGCCTTTCAAACTCGCCCAAGGCTTTTATATAAACCAGCAGAAGATTCTCTGTAGGGTACATCAGATCGGGGTTGTCCTTGTACGCGCGGTTGGTTCTGAGGTCGAACTCTTGTATAGCAAAATCTAGAGGTGTTTTATCGTCCCAGACAACGGAGTCGTAGGTTCGCAGCTCGCGAAGCCTTAGCGCGGCCAGAAACAGCGACGACAGGGCAAGCGGACTGTTGTCGTCAAGGAATTGTTGATATCTGGTGTGGGCGCCGGCAGGATCGATCAGACACTCGCCCACTAGGTGCTTGGCTACCATTTGCCGCGAGCTGTGGTCCTGCTCGAAAAGTGCGCGCGCCAGCTCGACAGGCGTTTCAAATACCCCAACCGACAGATTCTGGCGCGAAGCACGCTCCTCGATTATGGTATCGCACTCACGCTCGTAGCGGTCGACTAAATTCTTCTCTCGAACTGGTCCGACTTTTCTCCGAGGCACACGCAACTTACTGAAAAGATACAGCTTAGCAACAAAGTGAGCAAGGTTGATGTTGTCCAGAGCAAAATCGCCGGCCTCCAGCAGTTGCTCCACGCTGCTTCGCGACGGTATGTTGTCTATGAGTATGTCCACTGCTCTGGGGTTCGGGTCAGAGCTCCCTCTCGCAGCAAAATGGTTCCATATTTTTTGGTGACGGTTGAGAGACACATTTGTGGTGAAGATCTTGTAGATGACAAAAAGCCATATCTCCGGATACCGGTCTCTCAGCTTGCTGTCAAGCGACGCCATGAGAGAGACGAGCTGGTCGGCGAACTCGCTGCCCCAGTACCGTCCATCCTGGGCTTGGATAAGAAGAATGGACGTGCAGAGCGACTTGACGTTGAAGTCCGTGCGCAGCCTGCGCAGTTCCTCGATTGTGTGCGACGGCGACGACCTCGGCTGGCTCAGCACGCGCTCGAATCCGTCGATGTCAAACGAGTCCAGCTGCCACCGGTCGAATTTGGCCTGTGCTGCCTTGAATAGCTGGTAAGCTTTATCGCGGTCGCTAAAGTACGAGACCACCGACGCAGCAAGCATGATGTTGCAATCGATCAGATCGCTCTCTGATTCTCTGTTCGCCTTGTTGATCGCCGCGATCAGCTTCGACTGCGCTGCGTAGTAGTGTTTGCAGGGCCAGCCATTATTTTCGCCGGATACGTCCAGGGCGGTCCGCCATAGGATTTCCCTAATTTGCGGGACAAGCTCGGGCGAGTTGCTCAAAAGAAAGACGTCCAGTATGGTCTCAAGCGCGTCCGGTGCCTCGCGGAGCGCAAACAAGTAGAGGTTTGAAAATGCCGGCGGCAGCAGCAGTTTCCGGTTAAACAGAGGATCTGTAGGTTCCTGCAACTGGCTGCAGTACCACCACTTTTCCTGGTCCAGAAGAGCCACATCTTGCCCCCAGTGCCTGTAGAGCTCGAGCAGCGAGTAGAACTCCTGCCTGTTTTGCGGCTGGCGGAGCAGAATGTCGTATATCACCGGGACAGGCACTTTGGATGCGTTTTTCAGAGCGTACACGGAGCGGTACAGAGTGGGCGCAAATATGCTGTTTATCCAGTTCAGCACATCGTCGTCAGACTGAGCGGCAGTCTGCCAGCCCCTTGTCTGGTTGAGTTTCTGCTTTAGCAGCTGGAACGCGATCAGCGTCGACTCGCTGGAGCTGATGGCGGGCCAGTGTTGGCGGAAAACAAACGCTTCCAGAGTAGATTTTGCCACCGATAGCGGCACGGGCCGGACTCCACCCCGAAATGAGAGCGCCAGTGTCTCTGCAGGCGCGTTTTTGTACCGGGGATCGACAGCAGAAATCATGCAATGAAGCAGCAGACTCAGAACAGACTCCTCGTCCGTCAGCTTTTGCAAGTTTTTGTGGTATCCTGTATTGTCTGAGGCATGGGTTAGACTTAGCAGAGTGTCTTGGATGCTGCCCGAGGAGCTGGAGGCCAGGGACGCGCCTATTCGATAGTACGGCGACGAGGAGTACTTCGACTCGAGTATGGCAGAAACGCTCCGTGGGGTCTCTGAAAACGGACCTTTTGGCTCGTCTTTCGCCGTCCTACCATTGATAAAGTCCATCAGCATCTGTGTAGACCGGATTGTGTGATGGTGGCGTACAAGGCCCGCCGCGGAGGTCCTGCGCAACGGCGGCGAAACCAATCTCAGCATACTTCTCCACATACACAGCCTGGAGAAAAATAATTATGTCTCATGAATTTTCTCTGGAGTATCGGGAGATGCTTGCGGAGGCGCTGCGGGAGTCGAGCGGGTCGGACACGGGCTCTGAGGGCCCGGCACGGCCACTGAAGCGGCACGGCGGGCGGCGGGGCCGCAGCGGCGAGCACGAGGCGGCCAGCGACAAGCGAGCGAAGATCGAGCCCGCAAACGACTCTGTGATCGAGGTTTCCGACAGAAGCTCGGTTTCGCCGCAGCCGCCGCAGACAGAAGCTGCCAGCGCCGAGACGATTAGCGTGGACAGCGACGAGGACGAATACAGCGAGTTTGACGAGGACTTCGAGGACGTCGATTTAAGTGGCACGGCCCCAGATCTCGACCGCGCGAGCCTGTCCGAGGAAATCACCGTTTCCATCTCGCGGCCGACGAAGCAGACGCGCAAACAGAACGTTGTGTCGGCCGACGAGCGCTTGTTCCGCAAAACGCTGCATATGCTGTATTTGTTTGCGATGGTGGCCCACGGCGTCGTGCGCAACGCCTGGTGCAGTTCGCCCGAGGTTTTGCGCGTGCTGCGCGGCCAGGTGCCGGGAAAGCTGCTTGCGGAGGTGGACGCGTACCACGAGCAGCAGCAGCGGCCAGACGTGACCAGTGCGGCCAAGTCGCGCCGTCTGCTGGACCTGCTGCGCCACCTAATGCAGTACTGGTACCGGAGCTGGACGGTCGAGACGCGCCACCGCGGGCTGTACAGGAAGACGTGGGAGGAGATTGCGAAGCTGTGGGAGCAGCCGGCCGTTCAGGGCGAGAACGTGACGAAGGCGCAGTTCGTCAGGCGGATGCAGCAGCGGCGTGGGTCGCGCGACCTGGCGGCGCAGGGCTTTGTGGCGCTGCTGCGTGCGCTCGACATCAACTGCCGGCTTGTGTTCTCGCTCCAGCCGCCAGACTTTACCAATCTGGCTGTCCTAGCACCGTCTACCGCTTCCGGTGGCTCCTCCAAAGAAGCCAGCCCTGCTCCCAAATCCTCGCCGCGCCGACGCAAGGCCGCGTCGCAGCACGAGCGGCTGCTTTCTGCTCTGCGAGTCAACAGGCCCGTGTACACGAATTTCCGGCCAGAAGCACAGGACGACGTGCAGTACCCTGTTTTCTGGTGCGAGGTTTGGGACAGCGCCAGCAAACGGTTCACCAGCGTCGACCCGATCGTCCAGCGGTACATCGAGAACGTCGGGACGCGGTCCAGGTTCGAGTGGCCCAACAACACCACGTACGTGCTGGCCTACGACCGGCTGGGCGGCGTGCGCGACGTCACGCGGCGCTACAGCGTGCACTTCAACGCCAAGACGCGCAAGAAGCGTATCACGAGAGATCCGCGCGGCCAGGACTGGTACGACAAGCTTTTGCGCGGTGCCAACTCGTGGCGCCGGCTCGCGAGCAACAAAATCGACCAGTACGAGCAGGTCGAGTTTGAGCAGCGCTCGCTCAAGGAGGGGATGCCCAACTCGATCCAGGACTTCGCGAACCACCCGGTGTATGTGCTGGAGGAGCAGCTGAAGGCGAACGAGGTGCTGAAGCCCAAGATCAGCTGCGGAACGGTCCGCAAGAAGACGAAGGCCGGAAAGGCGGGCGAGCTGGTGCCGGTATATCGTCGTTCGAACGTGGTCACCGTGCGGTCTGCCAAGGCCTGGTTCTTGCGGGGCAGAGTGCTCAAGATTGGCGAACAGCCGCTCAAGGTGCGGGAGCAGCGCAAACAGCGGCCCGACGACGACGACGACGACGACGACGTCAGGCTCTATGGAGAGCACCAGACCGAGAAGTACGTGCCGCCGCCCGTCGTGGACGGCAAGATCCCGCGCAATTCGTACGGCAACATCGACCTGTACCAGCCGTGGATGCTGCCCGAGGGGACCGCGCACGTTCCTGAGAAGCAGGCCGAGAAGGCCGCGAAATTGCTCGAAATCGACTACGTGCCTGCTGCCGTGGGTTTCGAATTTGGCAGTGGTAGCAGGGGCCGCGGAGCAAGCGTCAGCGTGCGAATTGCTGGCGTGGTTGTTCTGGCGGAGCACAAGGAGGCTGTCGAGGCGGTGTGCGAATATCTGAGGGAGGAGGAAGAGGAGGCAGCGCGGAGACGGCGCGAGGCCGCGGCCCTGCGTGTGTGGGCCGTGGTGCTGGCCAAGCTGCGCATCTCCAAGCGGCTCGACAGGGAGCACGGGCTGGTGGAGGACTCGGGCGAGGACGCCCCGTCTGAAAGTGAGCACGAGTCTGCGTCAGAGGACGGCCCAGACACAGCAGGGGGGTTTGTTCCGGAAGCCGATTCTGGCGGATTTCTGCCCCAGGACACTGTTGCCCCGCCGACGAGCGATTCAGGGGCCGGGAGCGACAGCAATTCTGCCGACTACTCCGACTCCGAAGGCTACGAATTCGAATATAGTGATTAATGCATTACACCTTCTTGCGCTTGAGCTTCTCCTCCTTCAGCCTGCGCTCCAGCAACTCCTCGCGCTTGTCGTCGAGCCGTGCCTGCCGCAGCGCCCGCTCCTCCTCCTCGAGAATGTCGGCGCCCGTGGCCTCCATGTCGTCGTCGTCGACGTCGACGTACTGCCGCTTCTTGCCTCTGTTGAACAGCTGCCAGATTTCGTCGCTATTATAGTCGCGTCGGCGCTCGCGCGGGTCGTCCACAACAAAATCGTCCAGACTATCGTCCTCAATGAACGAGTCCTCGTCCTCGGCCCCAGAGTCTGCCTCGATGCCGTAGCTGTCTGTGCGCGCGCTCCGCTGCAGCGACTGCTTGTCCCGTTTCGCAGCGTTCGGCTTCTCCCGCTTCGACAGCTTCTCCAGCAGCGCCGGCGAAGGCTGTGCAAACTTCCTCTCGGGCCTCTTGCCGGCGTCCTTCTTCTTCGTCTCCATCTTGATCGGCGCGTAAACCAGCTTGTTCTTGTCGACGGTCTCCGCCCGCGACATCAGCTCCTTGAACGACATTTTTGGTAGCGGCGGCCGCGCCGGAGCAGCAGGTGGCTTCTTCGCCGTGTCTTTGCTGGGCACAGGTTTCTGTCTGCTGAGTCTGTCGCGCTCGCTGTCGCGCTTCTTCAGCATCTCGAGCCGTTTTTGCCGTTTAAGCTCCTCCTGCTTCTCCTTTTCTAGTCGTCTCGCCTCCTTGAGCCGTTGCACCGCCGGGTCTGGTGCCGGAGTGGTCAGGAGAGACCGGCTGGGTTTCTTGGCCGTCGTCGGCGTTTTCCTCGCTTCGCCACTCGATTTCGGCACAGACGCGCTCACAGACAAGTTCGGTGTCTGTTTGGCTCCGGAAGAAGGAGCGTGCGTGCCCTTTCCGGTGATCTGTGTCAGAAGCGAAGAGAAACTCATGAGAAAAAAGTCGCGACGGCGACGACACAAAAACGGCGATGACGCTGAAGCACCTATCGACGCCCAGGTGCGTCCCGACGACAGAACACACGGACGAGGCTGCCACAAGCGTGGCGAGCTGGTTCTAGTGTGCTGATTTTCCGCGTATCAGCTAGCCCAGCACCACCTCTCATCTACGATTATAAGGTAGTAACATTAGTACAATTAATTTAATCAGATTCTGTAGAGTAGGGCAAGGCCATTTCGTATCTATAGCGTCCTTTCGCCCCCTCAGCACCCACTAAACAATCAAGTATCTAATTGGAATATGGATTAGCTTGATGGCGTATCCAACAACGCCCATCATCAAAAAGCCTATCCCCACGGCGCGAACAAGTCTCAGGTACTCCTTCTTGGATGGCTTGGTGCACTTGGCAACAAACCGGGAACCTTCTTTGAGAAACTCCACAGGAGCCTCGGTCAGCTTATCGAACTCAGCCATAACAACTAATGGAAAATAATCAACGAAAAAGCAGGGTAAACGAATTTTTAATGCTCGTTCGATGATTTACTCTGCCGCTATATAATAAATTAGTCAAATCCGGTCCATTCTTCCTCCTCTTCCTCTTGCTCTTCCTCCTCCTTTTCGCTTTTGTTCTCTGTGTATCCCCACGTCTTCAATCTTTCGTCTCTGATCAGATCGTCCCGCACCTTGTTACGAAGAGTTTTCATCAGAGCGTCTTTCCGCAGCTTTTCAAACGGTTGCAAAAGTTCTGCAAGAGGAACATCGTCAAATTTCTCCTTGGCATTGTCTGCATCGGCGCCCTCCTCCTCGCCAACAACCACGTGCTCCAGCTCGTCCAAATAAACATCCACCACATGGTATGTGACCCCAGGAGGAACTGCTGGTCTGCCGCTCAGAACGTCGGCTTCAAGCGCCTTGATGTAATTTTCAAGGAACTCCAAGTCCCACTCTTCTTTCTGCAGCCTCACAAAGCACTCACGCACCACGTATCTCATCAACAAGTAGAACTTGTCCACTCTCCATTGGTCTAGGGTAGGCCACTCTTTGCAGACAACTGCCCAGAACGCCTGGACAAACAAGCAGAACTGCTCTTTGGAGATACATTCGGAAAAAAGCTTGGCAAGATCATCTGCCAGTCTCTGCTGCGGCCGTGGTCTATCGCTGAACCACATCGTATAGTATAATCCCTTCCATAGTTTTTCAAATTCTGGTAACGTGAGGGGTCGGACATCTGCCCTGGCTCCAAGATATTTTTTCAGAGTCTCCAAAGCATGGTCCCTGGTCTTGCGATCGGTGGATGCCAGCTTCTTGACAAACGTCTTGGTCTGCACTTTCTTCATGAATAAAATTTTCAGCACAGCCTTTCTTCCTCTAAAATAATTTTATTTTCTTTTATGGATACCGATCACCCAGGCTACAACCATTTTGGAGCGCCGATCCCGGATGATGAATCGAAATATGACGATGCAGGGAAAGCAGTGAGCGACTACATTCCAAACTACATCTCGAGTAAACCGTGGTACTACGAGGAAGACGCGCTCAAGGTCGACTCGAACCTGCGCAGGAAGCGAGCGGCGGAGCCCGCCTCTGTAGACAAACTTCGACATCAGCGTCTTGATCCCGACGCAGAATTTGTTCCGAACAGCGAGCCTCGGAAGGGCGCAGGGATCGCGGACGAATACGATTTTGTGGCCGAAGAAACTAAAAGACGACGGACGCTGCTCAAGAAGGGAGGCTGCGAGAACTGCGGCAGCACCAAGCATTCGAGAAAAGACTGTCTGGAGAAACCGCGCAAAATCAGCTTCAAATACCGCAAGCAAGAGCCCAAAAGCGGGTCTGGAAAGGTTCTTCGGGTGAAGAAAGACACTCAAGACTGGGAGACAAAGCGAGATCGATGGCACGGCTTCAATAATGAGGAAGACTACGAAGAGCATCTCAAGACAATGCGTGAAATCGAGCAGAAACGGACCGAGCACACGACAACGCAGGATTATGAGTACGACGAGGACGAGCTTGCTGAGATGGAAGAGTTGGGCATTGCTGAGATCTTGGCAAACTCCAAGACCATGATCGCTAGCGGTACCAATATTCCAACCAGAGCTCTGGATGAGAAGGCAAAATATCTGGAGGGTGTGGGCATCACGGAGCCTCAGGAGAAAATTGAAAAGACCACAGTAGACGACAACAAAGCAAAGTTTCTCAGTGAAGAGGGCGAGTTTGTTCGACAGGAATTTGGCGAAGCTGAGGAATTTGAAAAGCAGAAACGGTTCGCAAATACAAAGCAGAATAAAGATAATGGGAAGTTCGTTTTAGGAGAGCCATTGACCGGCCACATTGATGTGGCTGAAGCGCCACCAGCAGCAGAGAGACAGGCGATGAAAGAGAACGAAGTAGAGAAGGAACTGATCAGAGAAACAAAGAGGAGACAGTTGCTGGAGAAGTATGGAGCTTTGTGATGTGTCCGGGTAATTTTGTTTTTTGGTTGAACAAAAAAAGATGGAGAGAATTAATAGTATTTAAACAGAGGCAATAAAAATGGAACAAGAGAACCCGGGGGCTCCAAGCTCCGAGGAGACCCGCAGAGACCAAGAGGTTGCCTTGAACGCAATTCGCACGTTTTTGCAGAGCAAGAACTCCTTCGACGTTCTTCCGGTTTCTTACCGACTAATTGTTTTTGAGACTTCGTTGCTGGTTAAACGAGCACTAAATATTCTGCTACAGAATAGCATTGTCTCCGCTCCACTATGGAATAGCAAAACTTCAAAGTTTGCAGGACTGCTCACTTCCACCGATTTCATTAACGTGATCCAGTACTACTCTCAAAACCCAGACCAATTTCAGTTTGTGGATAACTTGACACTTGATGGCTTGCGCGACGTGGAGAGGAAATTAAATGTTCCACAACTGGAAACGATCTCTATCCACCCGTTCAAATCACTGTATGAAGCGTGTGTGAAAATGATCGAGAGCTCTGCGAGACGGATTCCCTTGATCGATAAGGACGAGAAGACAAATAGAGAGATAGTGGTGTCTGTGCTCACACAATACCGGATCCTCAAATTTGTTAGTATGAATTGCAAGGAGGCACGTATGCTGCAGCAACCGCTAAGTGAACTCAACATCGGAACAACCAAGAATTTGTCGGCCGTTAGGATGGAAACACCCGTGATGGACGTCATCCATATGCTGATTTCGAACTCCGTGAGCTCGGTTCCGATCGTTGACGAGCAAAATAAGCTGGTAAACGTTTACGAGGCCGTGGACGTTCTCTCGTTAATAAAAGGTGGGATGTACGCAGATCTGTCGCTGAGCGTGGGCGAGGCACTCATGAAACGATCTGACGATTTCGAGGGAGTGTACACTTGCACGCTGAAGGACAACCTGTGTGTGATTCTAGAGACAATTCGCAAGTCTCGTCTTCATCGTCTGTTCCTAGTGGACGATGACGGCCGCTTGGTCGGGGTACTCACCTTGAGCGACATCCTTAAGTACATTTTGTTTGCATGAGAAACGCTGATTTTTTGCTTGCACAGCCGTAAACCTGATAAGTATTTTTACCTAAAGAGAGCAAAGCGATAGATTGTTTTCTCCGTTTTCGTAATTTAGTCAGCAAATTTTCCACTCTTCGTTCTTTATCCCCGGCTTTTCTCTACCCACATTGCAGAGTCGACTTCCTTTCCCATGCCAATAACAGCAAAGCTCCCCAACGACATGCCCTGGGAATCCAAAGCTGCCCTGCCGCAGGTCACTTTGCGGTCCACGATAGCCGGTCTTGCTATCGGCTCTGTGATTCTTATATCCAACTTCCAATTCGGGCTGCAAACAGGCTGGGTTTCGATGATGTCGCTACCATCAGCATTGCTTGGGTTCTCAATATTCAAAACGTTGCAGCCCCGGCTCCATTGCTACTTCACGGACGTCGAAAACGTTTTTGTCCAGAGCGTCGCAGTTGCTGTTGCCACTGGGCCGTTGGCGTATGGATTCATTGGCATCATTCCCGCCATTGAGAAACTCATGACGGATGCTGAAAGTGGCTCGGAGTCCGGGATCGACCTGTCTCAAGTGTGGAAGCTCATGACCTGGGCTTTCGGACTAGCTTTTTTCGGAGTCTTTTTCGCTGTGCCTCTTCGGAAGCAATTCATCATCAAGGAGAAGCTGGCTTTTCCTAGCGGCAGCGCCACTGCCACCCTCATATCCGTTTTTCACGGAACGACACTCAACGTCGAGTCCAAAATGAAATCGCAGCCCAAACAGTCCTCGTCCGCAGGAGAACACGAATCTCATCCCGAACGACCCCCAACGCCGAACAACATCACAATCATCGAGTCCCAGGATCTGTGCCAGCTCCAGCAGGTTGAAACATACCAAACGAACATTAAGCTTCTTGCCGCTACCTCGAGCGTCTCCTCTATTTATACCGTTGTCGCCTATTTTATTCCTCAGATAAAGCGTATACCAATTCTTGGTAAAAGGATCTCGGATTCCTACCTGATCAACTTCCAGCCATCCCCGTCATACATCGGCCAGGGAATGATCATGGGATTCACCACGACGGCCTACATGATGGTCGGTATGGTGTTTGGCTGGTGTGTTCTCAGTCCTCTAGCACAAAAAATGGGCTGGGCCCCTGGACCGGTGGACGACTGGAAAGAGGGTGCAGAAGGCTGGATTATGTGGATTAGTTTGGCCATCATGATCAGCGATTCTATTGTCTCGCTTCTCGTCATCGTCGTCAAGTCGCTAGCGTCACTATACCGTTCACCTTCCTCTAGACCACTCTCCAGAGCTGGCTCTGTGGACTCTCCGCATGAGGAGCTGGAAAGACTGATTGATGAAAATGAGGTTGCTTCTGATGAAGACATTTCAAACAGCACTTATCATGGCGAAGGGTCGAATGACCGTACCCAGAAAAACTCTTCCTCTTCATTGCCCGAAGCTGATCAACTCAGTGACCGCTCCACATACGTGGATCTGGACGAGTCTCACCAAATCTCGGCGACTGTTACCGTTGTCGGGCTGATTGTGTCGTCGGTGGCCTGCGTGGTGTGCACGAGACTGGTTTTCGGCCCGGTTGTGCCGATTTACACCATCGTAACGGCAATCATATTATCTCTATTTCTGTCTGTTCTTGGCGTCAGAGCACTGGGAGAGACAGATTTGAACCCTGTGAGCGGAATTGGAAAATTGTCACAGCTGATTTTCGCTTTGATCATACCTAAATCTCAGCCTGGTGCAATCCTCATCAACCTCATTTCAGGCGCGATTTCTGAGGCGGCAACGCAACAGGCGGGCGACCTGATGCAGGATCTGAAAACTGGATACCTCCTTGGAGCGTCCCCGAAAGCACAGTTCATCGCGCAGATCTATGGATCGCTATTTTCCGTGCTGCTAAGTGCTGTGATGTACAAACTGTACAACAGCATCTATGAAATCCCAAATCAAATGTTCAAGATCCCTACAGCTGTAATCTGGATTGATTGCGCAAGACTCGTGAACGGTTCAGGGCTGCCTCCAAAAGTTTTTGAGTTTGCCATAGTATTGGGTATCGTTTTTGCAGTTATTTCATTTTTGAAAAACACCGTGACTCCAGAAAACAAGTGGCACAAGTACGTCAAGTTTCTTCCCAGTGGAGTCCCTGTTGGAATTGGAATTTACAACGTGCCCTCCTTCACTCTTGCACGGTTTGTTGGAGGACTGGTTTCATATTTTTGGCTCCGCAAAGTCACTCCAGGGAATTCTGACGCCAGAGTTCGTCTGATTATATTTAGCAGCGGCCTGGTTCTTGGAGAGGGTTTGTTCAGCGTCATGAACATGCTTTTGACAAGTCTCAATGTGCCGCATCTATAGATTGATTGTTATATTTACGGGCAGTCGCTGGCTGCGGGTTATGTGGTAACCATCGGTAAATTTTTCGATATTCTGGAGGATTGGCCGAGTGGTCTAAGGCGGTAGACTTAAGATCTATTGGATTAAATTCCGCGCGAGTTCGAACCTCGCATCCTTCATTCTTTTTGGAAAACAGGATTTTATTTATTTTTTGGCTAATCTTTAAAACTCTATGGACTATCAGAATAGAGTTGGCTCCAAAAAGGGCAGTGGTGGCATTGCAGGCGATGCAGAGACCAATCAGTACCGTCGAGAGCGCCTGAGACAACTGATGTTATCTCAGATCGATCTCGACAATGATCCCTATGTCTTCAAAAATCACCTAGGCATGCTAGAATGTCGTCTTTGTCTGACGACACATTTATCCGAAAGTTCTTACATAACACACACTCATGGCAAGAAACATCAGTATGCTCTTATGAAAAGAGCAGAATTGGACAAAAAGCCTACTACGCCTGAGCCAGGTAAAGTTATTGGGATATCTGCGATTCCTAAAAGGAGATATACAAAAATTGGAAGACCAGCATACAAGGTCAGCAAGATTAGAGATCCAGAGACCTTTCAAAAAGGACTTTTGTTCCAGATACAGATGCCGGAAGTAGCTCGAAACGTCAGGCCTCGGTACCGTTTAATGTCCTGTTTCGAGCAAAAGATAGAACCACTAGACACAAAGTTCCAGTATCTGGTTGTCAGTGGCGAGCCGTACGAAAATATTGGATTCAAAATTCCAAGCACATCGATTGACATGAGAGAAGGGCGGATTTGGGATTTCTGGGACAACGATACCAAAGAGTATTTTGTCCAGCTGTTCTATGTGGACAGTAATAACTCATAATGGACGTTAGAATGATTAGAATGATTCTGTTGCATATTGGTTAATACGATTGGCCATTTCATCAATGTAGAAGCTGATTTTGGAGTTGAGTTCGTTCATTTCATAGCTAGCACCTTTACACTCGGCTTCAAAGTCCTTCTTGAGTTTTTCCGACTGCATTTCCCAATCGACGGCCTCGTTCTCTTTGTTTCTGATGATTTCATCTTCTTCAGATTTCCTTTCCAATAGTTGGGACCTTTCTTCCCGCAGTTCCTTCAGTTTATCTTCTAGTTGCGTTAATTTTTGTCTTGTGTTTTCTTTGAACGCGGCAAGCTTCTCCTTTTGAGAGTTCAGTTGTTTCTTCAGGTGACTAATTTGCCTAGATTTATCGTTAAGCTCCACTTCCATCCGCTGAATTTCGTCTTGCATATTTTGAATGGATTCGGTCGACTTTTCCTGTTTACTGAGTTCAGTTTGTATTTCTTCGAGAACGCGATGGTAGTTCCGAAACTCGTGTGTAAGTTGCTGGAACGAGTCTATGGAGATAGAGATATTCTTCGATCTCTTCTCGAGCTCAGTCAAATGCTTTTGCTCATTTGCCAAACTGTCTTTTAAACTCTCAATGACTTCTTTCACGCTTTCTGGAGACTCTCTGATATAAGGAGTTAATCTTTCCAACTCTTTTTCACACTCCAGCAAGAGCGAATTTTGATTTTCCAGTTCTCGAATGAGACCAAATTTCTGCGTTTTGTATTCTGCGCGTGCGGCAGCTAACTGCTGCTGGGTTTCTGTGAGAGCCTTGAGTTCGTTCTGCAGTTGTTGGTTCTTAGCCATTATTTCGTCCTCACTATACCCTTGTCTTGACATCTTGTGGTTGAGATCCTCGTAGGTGGACTTGAGCGAGTTGTTGATTTTCAACGCGTGTTTATATTGAGATAACGTACTTTCACTGGAGACGAGTAGCTGCTCACAATCGCCCATTCTTTCCTCCCTAAATCTCGCATAGTTTATCAGAGCGCTCAAAATAATACGGATTCGAGATGGTTCAGGTTTTGCCATGTCTCGAATGCTGAAGTCCTCAACTCCACAGTCGCACAGAAACTTATACATTATTCTTTGTGAAGCAACAATGCTCAGCGAGTTCTGCAGTCCTTCCTGGTCATCGTCTTCATTGCTCTCCATCTGTTGAATTTTTTGCTTCAGTGAGTGAGGAGAGACATATAGAAACTTGTCCATAATCTGCTCGATCAAGCTCTTCATAAAACTCGGTGTCGGTTTCGTCAACATCTCTTCGCTAACACTGAAATCCATCGTATCAAACAAGGAAACAAGCTCTCTTGTCTCAAGAATGGGAAACTTGTAACGCGTACGCGGTATTGCTGTTGGTTGCGATGATCTGTAAATTGCACTGGGACGAGCCATGTTGAATTAAAGTTAAAGGATTCAAAACAAAGTTCAAGAAATTGTAAACAAATAATCTACATGCGTACACGACTGATATAAATTTATTTGATTTAAAGATTGTAGAGATTGTGTTTTTAGATGTCCCAGAATCTCCAATACCCTCCACGGTTTTACTGTGTATACTTGCTTCGATCAATAGCAAAGACAAATTCCTTTTATATCGGCTCAACCCCTGATCCGTATCGACGACTCCGACAGCATAACGGCGAGCTGGCCGCTGGTGGAGCAGATCGAACGAAGAAAAATGGATTCAGGCCATGGCAAATGACATTGGTTGTTTATGGGTTTCCGTCCAAAATTTCAGCATTACAGTTTGAGCACGCGTGGCATCATGCCTACCAAACGCGACATATTCCAGACAAGAAACGTATAGGAACGAAAAGTAGTAGCCGCAGCGTGCATATTAAGATAGCTAATCTCAAGCTGCTACTGAGCGCGCAAGCATTTGGACGCATGGGACTTCGGGTTGCAATTTTTCAAAAAGCCATATACGACATTTGGGTCATGAATCGCTACAACGTTGCAGTCGCCGAGTCTGTTCATCTGAAGCTTGATTTTGAGGAAAGTCAACAAAAATTGATAGAAGGTGGAAATTATGATCAAATAAAGACATTTGTGAAGTCCTTGGAGAAGGAAGAGGACGACTATTTCGAGAAGTCTCTGGAGGAACTCGAGCAAAATGACGCCCGCGAATGTTGCGTGTGCCATACTGTGGTAGATCAGTTTCAGGACGTGCTAGGTTTCTGTGCTAGCAAGGACTGCCACACTCTGTACCATGTCCAATGCTGGGCAGAAGAAATGACCAAAGGTCTTGTGTCTGAGCCGCTTTCGGACTCCGTACTTCCGCTCACCCCCGTGAAAGGCAAATGTGTCAAATGCCTAAAGGTCAACTGGTGGTGGCCAGTGGTCAAAAATTCCATGAGGCTACACCGACATTTTACAGAAATTGGAAGATCATGCATTGAAAATTAAGTTTATAGATTAGAGACGACTATCCTCTCTTGACAGCTTCTGTCTCATTGATCTTGGATTCGGAAGCGGTAGCCTTCTCGTCAACAGACTCGATCTGCTCTCTAGTCTCGCTTTTTTTGGCTGGCTGAGCAGCAGAGGGAGTAAACAAAGTAGCAAATATGCTGACAATGGTAGCAGATATAGCGAAAGTGGTGGTTATGGTACCGACAATCACGGAAGCAAAGAAAAATGCCTCGCCAGGGCGGTTCAGCAGAGTTTGGGTTGGGTCATCCAATAGATCGGCCCAGTATGCCTTTCCAGAAGCATAAACCTTCAAAATTCTGTCAACTGATTTATCGAACAAGTCAGAGACTAGAGATTGTTCTTCAACCTGGATTTCTGGCTCCTCTGCATCATATTTGGCTTGAGGAGCGTTGGCAGCAGCTATCTGTTCTTCAATCTCGACCTTTGGAAGGAAAGTGTTGTTGCCAATATACTCTGCTTCCTCGATAGAATGGCCCAAATAGATGTTGTCAAACATAATGGAGTCGGTCATAGTCCACAGCTCAAATCCCAACGCACCGATAGGCTCGAGATTCGAAGGAGTTAGGTCTTCGTAGTAGTCTGGGTTCGGGATCTTTCTTGGAGACCATGGACCCTTGTAATCAGGGTTCTCAATCAATTCTGGAGTCCACTTGCCCTTGTAGTCTGGATTTCTAATCTTTGGCGCAGACCATGGTCCACAACCGTGCTCTTCACAAGCCGGATTAGGGATCTTCGGAGCAATCCATTCTCCATCCTCCTCGTCGTCCCAGTACTCAGGCTTGACTGCATCTGGATCAGGAATGTACGCCTCTGCATCCTCATCCCAGTCCTCAGGCTTGACGGCGTTTGGATCTGGGATCAAATATGGAGCGTCTTCATCCCAATCGTCCGGCTTGACAGCCTTAGGGTCTGGGATGAGCTCGTCGTCAACCCAGTCAGCTGGCTTCTCATCGTTAGGATCATCGATTTCTTTAGGAGGGGTCAATTCAAAGTATCTGGAGTCCAGCAGTGAGCCCGCTTTTGCAACCTCACCATTAATTCTGATTTCAAAGTCTTGGTTAGGCTTGATTATCAACGTGTAAAGTGTTGATGTTTTAACGATTCTTGCCATTGGAGGCACTTTAAGGTGTTTCTCCTCGTATTCACCCGTTTTAGGGTTCTTTCTGCGAATAATAAAATGGACTTTGTTGGACATACCGCATTTGTCAGGACCAAACATAACCTGGTAGGGAGTGTCGTTGCTGAACTCGGACGAGTCGCTGATACCACCTTCCTGGCTCAACAGTTTTATGTATGCGCCACCGCATTCGAGACCCTTTTGCAGCTTCACCTCGTATTGCAACACCAAGGTGTTGTTGGTGTTGTCGAAAGGAGTAGGCAATCTTGCACTGATAGCATGATGGGCGGCCTCCGTCTTCACAACAAGACCCTTGTCGCCTTTCAATCCGGGGTTCACAGTTGGCTCTTCAACATCCCACTCGCCACGATACACAAAATTGTCATCGCGCTTACTGTGTGAAGGTTTCCACCGAGAAGCCCACGTTTCATTAAACTGCTCGAAGAAAGCGTCAGACTCAAGACTCAATGGCAAAAAGTCTTGGCGCTCAACATCTGCCGCATACGAGACCAATGAAAGAGACAGAAGAAGGATTGAACGGCTGACTTTCATAAGTGAATTAAGGATGCGTTGTCACTCTTATTAGAAATAATTTATTTTATTTTGACAATTAGTTCTCCGGATTTTCTAGAACGAGGACTCGTCCCAATTTTGCAGGGTGTTTAAGAATTATGTAGCTAGTTTTTCATGTATAGAATTTAGAGCTTCCCCAAAGCGCTGGCTGGCTTCCACAAGCTCGTCTTCCTCAGCAAAGGCATAGGTTGCTCTGAAACCGACTTTTTGGACGGTTTGGTCGACCATGAACCAGTGGCCCTTGGCAAGGAGCACACCTTTGTCAATGTTGGCATCAAAAATCATGTTTTCCAGTTCTGTAGCCCATTGATTTGCTGGTATATTTTCAGGCTTTGCAAAAGCTTCCTGTTTGATCTCGATCCACAAAAACATTCCAGAGTCAGGCAAGTTCCATGAGCAAAGCTCTTTTGGCACGAACCTTTCAAATGCGCTATTGAGTAGGGTTCTTCTTTTTCTATAATGTTGACCCAAATGCTCGACCCATTTCTCAAATCCCTGGGCCTCCCACGTTTTCAAGAGTTCGTGCAAGATAAGCTGAGATGGGGCGGCCGAGGAGTGAATGCTGACTTCGTTGTGAACCACCAGTTTATCGACGAACACCTTGTTTGCAGTCACAATCGAGCATCTGGCACCTGGGGTCATGATCTTGGAAAACGAGTCAAATCTGATGACTCTTCCGTCCGTGTCGAATTTCAGTAGACTTGGAAGTTTATCCTCGTAGTCAAGTTGCAGGTGGTAATATGGATCATCCTCCACGATGATCAAATCGTGTTTCTTACAAACTTCATAAAACTCGCCACGTCTTGCAAGCGACATGGTGATTCCCAGTGGATTCTGTCCCACAGGCATGGTGTAGATAAGCTTGGGTTTCTTGTGAGGCCCGCTCCAGTCAGTTAACAATTTGTCCAAATCTTTAGGGCATACACCGTGCTCGTCTACTTTAACAGGGAACACTTTCAACCTCATTGGACTGCAAGTTTCCAGAAACGCGGGATAAGTGAACTCTTCAGAAAGAATGGTGTCCTCGTTCGGGTCACATAGTAGTCGCAACACGGCGTCCAGAGACTGTGTAGCTCCAGCAGTGACAACAATGTCCCAATCATTGTAAAGTGGCTTGTGATAAGTTTCAATGTGTTTCTTGCTGAACGCGTCGAAATACGAGGTTCCTCTACCCGAAGTATACTGCAGGGCCTCGTATAGCAACTCGTTGTCTGGGACGTCAACTTTCTCTGTTGTCGAAAATCCGGTCTTTGGCGAGAGGAAATCAAAACTAACCGACTTCAAAGGGAAACAGTCAGGATGAGGCAGTCCGGCTCCCAATGAGATAATCTTTCCAAATCTACCCATCATCTTCATCACAGAAGGTTCACGAAGTCTCGCTTCATGACTGAGATACTTGGACCAGTCAAAAGTCATTGTATAAACTAATAGCAAAAAAGCTAAAAAATTCCTTCGTTGTATTCGTTACTCAATTGATACGAGATAAATCAAACAATAGCTTCAACAATAAAACAATTTCATTTCGTATCAGGCCAATCTACGCCAAAATTTGTGGTATATAAATATGTCATTGGTGGCAGCCGACTAAAGTGGCTCTCTCCAATTGAGCCACCTAATGGTTTTCATGGTGTCCATTCTGCGCTCATTCGGCTGCAAGCACAGTGGTCAATTCCGCTTGATATGCTCTCGGTGTACGGATGTTGTAAGTTTCGCGTATTCGATTTCGACCTGAAATAAGCAGTTTGAGAACAAATAAAAGGCAAATTAAAAATTATCTTTATTTGCCATGTCCAACTTCCAACAATACACACTGGAGCTCGAAGAGCTTGACAGGCAATTCAAGACACAGAATCCAACAGATGTGCTTCAGTTTTGTTACAATTATTTTGGCAACAGACTACAAGAACAAAGACAATATCTATGGAGTCAGAAGCAGAAAGCCGATACTTTGGGATTAACGCTTTTTCCTTCGACCGATGAGATTGCGCGAAACGTCCAGCGCAGGTCTATTCCTCAGTTCAAAAACACCCTCTCGGATAATGACCCTCACACAAAACACCAAACCCTCGAGTCAGAGGATCCTCAAGCAAGATCATCTGGGGAACCAGCTGCAGGCCTTTTCAAGACATCTTTTGAGTCTTCTCAGGCTTCACCATTCCATACCTCCGAATCGTCATCGGGCGCCGCATTGAGTCCCACGGAGGGCACTCAACCTGCGAACAGTACCAGTACCTCTGGCTTTGCTGCATCGGCTGCAACGTCCACTATGAGAATCAACGCCAATAGGAGAACCAGCGTTTCTGCAGAAGCTCTGAACCCCGAGACTTTCGGTGAGGATGGATGGAAACCTCCTGTTCATCAATTCACAACTGAGCAGTTGCAAAGATTAAATGCCAGCGTTCTTAAGAACTTTTTGTTCAGTCAGTTGGACGAAGACTCACTCAAAACGATTATATTTGCTCTGGAAGAGAAGCGCGCACCTCAGGGGACTGAGATCATCAAACAGGGAGATGAAGGTGACTTCTTTTATGTGGTGGAGAAAGGAACAGTTGACTTCTTCGTGAACGGCCAGAAAGTTAACAGTTCCGGTCCTGGCTCCTCTTTTGGAGAACTGGCTCTCATGTACAACTCACCTAGAGCGGCAACTGCCGTTGCTCAGACCGATTGCATCTTGTGGGCTCTGGATAGAATGACGTTCAGAAGAATTCTCCTGGAAGGAACATCCAAGAAAAGATCCATGTACGAGAATTTCCTCAAAGAGATTCCTCTGCTCAAGTCTTTGTCGTCGTACGAGCGCTCGAAGCTTGCAGATGCACTCAACTCGGAAGTGTACGCTGTTGGCGAAAACGTCGTGACAGAGGGAGAAGCTGGTGAGAATTTCTACTTCATCGAGAGCGGAACTGCAGATGTTATCAAATCTGGTGAGGGTGTGGTGTCGAAACTGAATAAGGGTGACTATTTCGGAGAGCTTGCGCTGCTATATGACTCTCCAAGAAAAGCAACCGTCAAAGCCACTAGCCCACTAAAAGTCGTCACTCTTGGAAAGAGCGGGTTCCAAAGACTTCTGGGACCCGCCGTTGACGTGCTCAAATTACAGGACCCTACGAAACATTGAACTGGTATATTTGTTCTTAATCAAATCTTTGACATACTAGTTGCAGTACTCATTTCTCTGTGACACCATCCAGACAATAGAGGTGCTAGCCACCACTAGTGGGCCCAGCAAACCTTTTCCGAATCTTGCAGTCTTGTACACTAGCCACTCGAGACCAAAATGGAGACCTGCTAGAACGTACGAGTAAAGACACATGTCATAGATCTGAGGATTTGAGATGTTGTACGAAGCATAGATTCTCACAATAGCAGCCAATAATGTCCAAGTTCCAAATGTGCGGGCAGACAATGGCGTGACTTCGCTTGGCCTGGCTTCGTAGACACGTTTGGTCAGGTCAGTGTTGACATAGGTCTGTACGGAATTGAACACACTAACAGCAGATATCTTATAGTTAGTATTCCTGAGAGAAAACACTTACGAAAAAGAGCCATTTTGGCAGATATCCCGGAGCTTGTGGCAAATAAGAGAGTAGCTCAATCTTCATGGCCAACTAAATAGCTTTTCCTAATATTGGTCCGCCATTTATTTTTTGGGTAAATAAGTTTGATTTATTGAACAACGTAATAGTATTCTTGTGCAATGGTAAGAACAAAACAAAATTGTCTGCATTGGCTAACGTCATAGTCTGAGGAGAAACTGGATGCATCATTGGACCTGCTCAGGCGGTTAGATCCAAAGAACATCAGCAAAAATTTAGACAACATATGCCGTCTACAGCCTGACTTAGCGGAAGAATTGTTGTCTTCGGTTGATACTCCACTCAAAACAGCACGCTGTGAGGAATCGGGGAAAACATACCTATGTTGTGATTACAACAGAGACGGCGATTCATACAGATCGCCATGGTCGAACATTTTCTATCCGAAAATCGTCGATGAAGATGAGGCTCCACATCCTTCCAGCCATTTGAGAGAACTTGAAATCTTTGCTAACCAATCATTTGATATATATCGCGAACTGTACTACGAGGGAGGAATTTCTAGCGTTTACTTTTGGGATTCTGAGGAAGAGAATGTGGATGCCTCGGGCACAATTGGCTTTGCAGGTGTCGTTCTGCTGAAGAAAACCGTCGACACAGTGAACCCGAAAGATGGAGGATCGTGGGACTCGATCCACGTGTTCGAGGTTCTTCCTGGCTCAAACCAGAAAGCAACATATAAGGTGACGTCCACAGTGATTTTGGACATTTCGAACTCCAACGACCCAAATATCTATCTCAGTGGAAACCTCACCAGACAAACTTCAAAGGACTTTCAATTCAAAGACTCCGCTTCTCACGTCTCGAACTTGGGAACGCTAGTGGAAGATGTCGAGAGCAGACTGAGGAATCTGCTCCAAGAAGTCTACTTTGGAAAAACAAAGGACATTTTGGGAGATATTCGCTCTCTTGAGCCCCTGGAAACCAAGTCGGAAGAAAGAGAAAAGCAGTCAGAGCTCATCAGCAATCTTAAGAACCTGTAGCTGTCGTACATGTGTGTAAATCTTGGTTTGAACATCCGTGCACCGGCGTAAGCTGAATGCAAAATAAATGCACTAAGCAATTTTAGTAGGCAAAAACTTGTGAGAGTTATAGTGATTTGATGACTAGTATTGCCCGAGTGTACGCTGATGTGAACGAGAAAAAGCCCAAGTCCTACTGGAACTATGAGAATTTGTCGATATCATGGGGCTCGCAATCCAGATACGAGGTGACAAGGAAGATTGGCAGAGGCAAATACAGTGAAGTTTTCGAAGGATATCAGCTTCCGAACGGCCTCAAAGTCGTCATTAAAGTCTTGAAACCTGTCAAGCGGAAGAAAATTAAAAGAGAGATCAAAATTCTTCAAAATTTGTCCGGCGGCCCTCAAATAGTCCAGCTTCTGGACGTCGTGCGGGATTCCAACTCCAAAACATCAGCCCTAATATTCGAGCATGTGGAAAACGTAGAGTTTCGTGTACTCTATCCGCAGCTGACAGATTTGGAAATCCGATATTATATGTATCAGGTACTGGAGGCTTTGGATTATGCTCATTCGATGGGTATAATGCATAGAGATGTTAAACCCCACAATATTATGATAGACCATCGCCAGAAAAAACTACGCCTAATTGATTGGGGTTTGGCGGAATTCTACCATGCTGGACAGGAATACAACGTCAGAGTCGCTTCGAGATACTTCAAGGGACCAGAATTACTGGTGGATTTCAAGCTATACGATTACTCATTAGATATATGGTCTTTTGGTGCAACATTGGCTTCAATCGTATTCCAAAAGGAACCGTTCTTCCATGGAAAGTCTAATACAGATCAGTTAGTTCAGATTGCGCGTGTTTTGGGGACTGATGGCTTGTACGCATACTTGGAAAAATACAAGTTAACATTAGGCCCTCAATACGAAGATTTGGGACACTATATGAAACGCCAGTGGATTCGTTACGTCAATCAGAATAATCAGCATCTGGTGAGCGACGAATGCCTGGACTTAATCGACAAGATATTGCGATATGATCATAATGAGAGACTATCTGCAAAGGAAAGTATGATGCACCCATATTTTGATCCGGTTAGAGATTCGATAAGACGTGTTTGATTATGGACACGTCGCTTAATATATTGCATGACTAGGTATGACCTATAATTTGCATTGCTTGAGTAGCTGGAGCAGTTCGATGTTTTTGTTCAAGATTAGGAACGCCTGTAGCCTTTGCCTTCTCGGAGCAAATCTGGCTTTTAATTTTCGTTTCGCAAAATTGTCTGGCAACTGTATTACGGTGTTCAGAAGCTTCATCAGATAGTAGAGGAGAAGTTGCAATTGCTGCTTTGAAAGGTCAATTGCCTCATCCACTCTTAGACTTGGTCTGAATCTGTAGTCTGATATAAGTTCAGCATATCTGGATCTATCCTTAACTGATGTGATTCGATTGGCAGCCATGATTATGTCTTGGATCAAATCCATCAAGCTGTAAATGCGCAAATTGAGCTTTGTTTTGTAGTGTTTTGCAAGATGGAAGTATGTGTTGATCAGCATAGTGTAATGGAAGTTTGCATTTGTTGTCGTGGCCGTAGAAACAAAGAGATTTTGAAGTAAGCTCAATAGTCGTCCCTGCTGGACATGCGAATCGAACCGTAAAGTGGACATGCCAATGTACTTTACAATATGTCTTTGGGTTTCAAATGTCGTTGAGTGGTCTGTTTCAATGAAAAATTGTAGAAGCCCTATTATACCCTTCATTTCTGTTCCTTTTAGGGAGCTCAGGGGTTTGTTGTTTGTGATTCTTCCATTAAAAGAAATGCCGAGCTTATCAGCAACATCTCTATACGCCTCATCTATCACAATAGCAGGATAATATGCAACTTTTTTGACCGGTTTGCTGACGCATTTTCTCAATTTTTGCTTTAATGACCAAACGTAGTCTTCAGTTAGAGTTGAGGTGATTCTACTTACCCTTCAAAGCTATATTTGAGCTGTTCTTGTTTCTAACAATACAGATTGCCCGCGTTAGTCATTGTATGAGACCGACTTACTAGTGCAAGATCCAATTCCTCGTTGCTCACAATTAATTGTTTCATTGTTGGCAAAAAAGGACACAATTAAGGGGAAAATAAATAGGGATTTTTTGTTTATTATTTTGGAACAGGAAGATTCATAGCCTTGAGTTCCTGTAATGGTGGAATAGTTTGATACATGTGTGGATCCAGTAAATCCCAGAGTATTCCGCAGTATGGCTTAGGGACCGGATCCACTTTTATAGTTTGTGTGTTTGTGACGACAATGTCGCAAACGGTGTCGAAGATTTCTGGCTCAAGCTCTTGTTCCAAAAGCTGACAATCATGCACAAACGCAACTGCAGGCGTGGATTTGTCAATACAACCAATAGTATACAACATCGCCCACTCACAATCAAAAAATCCGTGTCCTTTGCCAAATCTTATGCCTTTTCTGTTAATGGCACCGGTTCCCGTGATCATCACATCTACATGGAGTTTCATGTCCATCAATTGCCTCAATGTCACCTGTCTGCCGACCTTCTCCATACCATCTAAGGTTGACGCATACTCGTATCTTCGCGGATCGATTTCATCTGGGTCAAGCATCCAGAAACCTCTATAGATGCCGTATGTTGTCATGAGCACAGTTTTACCATCTTTAAGGGCTTCAAATCTGAGCTCTTCGAGACAGTTGTCTGGAGTGATGAAAAGCACCTTGGATTCAGTGTATGAGGGCTCTCTTTTGAATCTCGAAGTGGCCTCGGAGGAGCCTTCGAAATCTGCAATAAACTCTGCAAAGTTGAAGTGAAACCTCGAGTCAGGACGGGCAACCTTGATTAGCTGGGCCCAAACATCGGATCGAACATCTGACTTATGCGAAGACATTCTTGATTTTCGCGCCCGGAACCTTAAGAGTCAGTTTTATTAATTCGAAATAACGGTGCATTGTTTTCGTGCCGTATACCAAGATAGCCAAGCCACCTTCCGCATATGAAAAATTCGATTACAGACTAGCTTTCGAGCTCTTGAAAGCAGACGGTTCGGCGCCCTTGAGCTGTGAGGTGTTCTATGAGAGTTCCTGGTACCCGTTGGGGCTGCTGGTGCTTATCACGCCTGAGTGCCACAAGAAATAAGCGGCGACTCTTATCATTGTGATACGTTGGCGGCATCAGAGCAAGCTCGTCTTGTTTTGGTTGGTGCACTAAACTCTTATCGAGCTGCTTTTTAAAAAATTTTAACGTCCCAAACAAAGTAGACTCACAATGTTCTCCCGCGAGTCATCAGAAGAGAAGACCACCGGCCCCGAGCCAGAAAAGCAGGCCACTCCTGTTACCTCTGAACAGAAGAGATTGGAACTGGGAAACATCACAGAGGATCCGGTTGAAGCCTCCGTTTTGTTCACCCTGGACAATCCATACCATCCTTTCAACTGGCCCCTCTGGCAGAAGTACCTTATCACCATCGTTTACTGTGCTTTGCAAACTTTTGTGACTTTGACCTCGACAAGTTACGTTGCTATTGAGTTTTTGGTGCAGGAGAAATTTGGTGTCAGTACGCAAGTTTCTGCCTTGGGGCAATCGATGTTTATTTTGGGCACTGCCATAGGACCAGCTTTTCTGGGTCCACTTTCGGATATTGGAGGCAGAAAGTGGGTCTATGTGTTTTCGACCCTTCTATATGTTATCTTCAACTTTGGTAAGTTTGTGCTCGTCTCCGGTTTACTAACATTTCAGGCTGTGCTTATCCTAAGAACATGCCAATGCTTGCAATTTTCATGTTTATCATTGGACTTTGTGGCTCCACTGCTCTATCCAATGTTGCTGGTACCATTGGAGACCTGTTTGGAAATTCGGATGTAGCCTCCCAACCAATGGCGCTGTTTGTTTTCTCTGCCAACACGGGTCCGTCCGTTGGAGGTGTTGTTGGAGAGGCGATCAGTGAGAATAGCAGCTTAGGATACAAATGGTTGTTCCTTATTAACATCATAGTTGGCGCCGCCTTTTTTGTTGGCCTAATGTTTGTTCCAGAAACCCTGCCAAGAATTGTGATTCCAGAAAGAATGGCTATTGAAGGTAAAAACGTGCCGTCTGTTATCAAGAGAGAGTTCAAGTACTTCTTCAATTCAGTGACTGGCAAGAAACAAGACTTCATGAACGAAGTTACCGATCCTAAGGATCCAAACACCACCATCGTGGTCGAAAAGGTCAACGCAATCCATGAGATGAAGTTTGTGTGCGTCATGGCCTTGAAAATGATGGTCACCGAGCCGATCATCATCTTCCTTGGACTATTCAACGGTTTTGCCTATGGTCTGCTTTTCCTGTATCTGGATGGTATCTTCGACGTTTTCGTCTACAACAACCATCTGTCATACATGGATGCTGAGGTGACTTACTTGAATTTCGTTGTGGGTGTTGCATGCGTCGTTTGTATTGTGCCGATCCAGACGTGGCTCTTCAAACGTGACAGAAAGAAGAACGGCGGTGTTCCTAGACCAGAAGCCAGATTCTTGCTTTCTCTTGTCACTGTCTGGGGATTCCCAATTTCGTTGTTTTGGTTTGCCTTCACCTGTGATGGAAGCGTCAATTATTGGTCGCCTATCATGGCTGGATTTGTTCTGGGCATTGCCGATCCATTGTTGTGGCTCGCTATGTTGAACTATATCATCGACAGTTACTCGGAGGCAGGATTGAGCAACTCTGGAATTGCTGCTTTTACCATTCCTTCGTTCTCCATTGCTGCTGCGTTGACTCACGCTGGTATCGCGATGTTTGACGATATGTCTGCAAAATGGGCTATGGCTACGTTGGCATTCATCTCTCTGCTGGTGGTGGTGTTGGTTTACGTCTTCTACTTCTTTGGAGCTAAACTCAGAGCTTCTTCGAAACTCGCAAGAATTAGTGGAGTCAAAGCCTCGGCTTGACTGCTATTGTGTTTCAGTCACGCAGCAAGAAGACCTTCTTTCGTTTCTGAAATACAGAACCATTAATAAACCTCGTAACCTTAATATATTTTTATCTTGTGAATTCTGTCACGCAAAACTGCGGCTCTTTCAACTTTTTGATAGATTCATCAGCGCAATACAGAAAGGCAAGACTCATCATTTTGGCACATAACAAAAGTGGGTACATTATTTGGGACTGTGCCAACATCTGCCGCATTACTGAAGTGTGCCGTTTCTTCTGCGCTGTTTCGCTTGCTCAAGAGTTGTGTTTTGTTGAGTCTCTATGGATCAGCAGACGAACCACGAGCCTGCTCTAGAGGCACAAAACCTATTTAAACAAAACTTCCAGCTCTCAACCGCTGAACACCTGCAACAACAAAACATAGATACACATCAGCATGTACTTGCTGGACTCCAGCAGATGACGTTGCCCAATTCGCAACAGTCCGAGAGCTCTGCCAGCTCGGCTGTTTCCATGGCATCAACTCCCAACGAGAGTCCGCGGCTAGGCTCAAGAATATCTGCTTCCCACCAAAGACTTTCGTCTCTGCCTTCTCTGACTCCCAATATGGGCTCATACAACTCAGCAAACCAGGTCCCTCAGTCCAGCCTAACCCCACGTCAGTATAGGATATCAGACATGGACATCAACCAAGCACTCAAAAGACACCAAAGTGAGACCAACACCTTGAATCAGTTCAGAAATCCTTGGTTCAATCCAAAATCCACCCCCCGGCTGGCTCCCATAAACACGCATTTGGGCTCCGATGATAATTATTCACCTCTTTTGTTGCAAACACCAGTAAGAGGCGCTCCTCAGGGACTCCCGACAACATACGAATCTTCTACGTTCCAGGATACATCACAGATTGTACCTCCTCTGCGAATCAACGCCCCTCTTCCTCAAGACACCTATAACCATAATGCGCAGTTTGGTCCCGGTGAGCTCTACAGAAGACAATCTGTGGCGGCCAATTACTTCTCGGATCATGAACAAGTCCCCAAAAGCGCAATGCCGGTGTTTTCCAAGGGCTTTGAAGCTCACGGAGAGCTACATCATCCTTACAGCCCCGCTCCAAGATTTCAGCGAATTCAGAGTCTTTCGGACTTGAGGCCAGTGACCAACGCCAAGCCAAAATACAGAAGAGCATCGTCATCAACAACTTTTGTGTCACCGCTCAAGGCACTAACGACTTCTATCTCTGTAACATACTCAATGTGCAGGCCAGAATTTGACTATAAGTCCTCTAAAAATCCAAGAAGAGTGCTGACCAAACCAAGCCATCCTAAATCAAATAATGGAAACGATAACGAGGACGACGATTATATTCTCTATGTTAACGATATTTTAGGTACTGAGGAAAGCAGGAAGTACATGGTGTTGGATTTGCTCGGGCAGGGAACATTTGGCCAAGTGGTGAAATGCCAAAATCTCAAAACGCAAGAAATTGTTGCCGTGAAGGTTGTCAAGTCCACACCGGTTTATTTAAACCAATCTTTGACGGAAGCCAGCATTTTGGAACATCTCAACTCGAAAATTGATCCCCATGACAAGCATCACTTTTTACGGCTTCAAGACAAGTTTATGCACAAAAACCATTTGTGTCTAGTGTTTGAACTTCTCTCATCTAATTTATACGACCTGATACGGCAAAATCAGTTCAACGGGCTGACCATCGTATTGATACGGAAGTTCTCCGTTCAACTGCTCGATGCGTTGGCCGTACTCAAAGATGCAAAACTGATTCATTGTGATTTGAAGCCAGAAAACATCTCTTTGGTTTCTCTCGACAGGCCAGACTTGAAGGTGATTGACTTTGGCTCTGCATGCCATGAGCGACAAATACTCTATACCTACATTCAATCGCGGTTCTACAGGTCTCCAGAAGTTCTTTTGGGGTTATCGTACTCCAGTTCAGTTGACATGTGGTCATTCGGATGCATCGTAGCAGAGCTGTTTTTAGGTTTACCGCTATTTCCAGGATCATCAGAGTATAACCAGCTCTATCGCATCATACAAATGATGGGCATGCCACCAACGTGGATGATAGACATGGGAAAGAACTCTATGAACTTCATGAACAAGATAGAGCTTCCTAATGGGAAACATACCTATCAGCTCAAGAGTATGGAGCAATATTCAAAGGAGAATAATGTGAAGGAAACCCCTGGAAAAGAGTACTTCAAGCAAAGATATTTGGAAGATATAATCATGAATTATCAGCTGCCAAAGAAGAACTTGACTCAGCAAATGATCGATAAGGAGATGATGAACCGCAAGTGTCTCTCGCATTTTTTGCACGGAATCCTGAATCTGAATCCGTTGGAGAGATGGACTCCTCATGAAGCAATACTGCATCCGTTCATCACAGAACAGCCATTTAATGGATTTTGGAATCCGCCATCTAAAACTATAGGCCTTTCAGGTGGTTCTGGTAGCGGTACTTCTCTTGATGCTGTTAGGAGACAACGTTCTAAGAGCTTTGGCAATATCTAAATAGTTAGACCTGTACTATCTCTAATGCGATTTTAGCGTCAATCGGCGCGACGATATGAATCGGTGTTAGAACGGTAGATGGAAAATTTTTATTTCACATTTAACCAACTGAATACAATATGTCTACTCCAGAAGCCGATCACTCCAGAGATCCATGTCCGATTGTGATTCTCAGCGACTTTGGAGGAGCCTTTTCCATGGGTGCTATTGGTGGGTCCATTTGGCACGGAATCAAAGGTTTCAGAAACTCGCCGTACGGTGAGAGAAGAATAGGAGCCATCTCTGCTATCAAGGCCAGAGCTCCTGTTGTGGGAGGTAATTTCGGAACTTGGGGTGGTTTGTTCTCATTTTATGACTGCTCGATCAAGGCCATCAGAAAAAGAGAGGACGCCTGGAACGCCATTCTTGCGGGATTCTGTGTCGGTGGCTCCCTTGCCATCAGAGGGGGTCCTAAGCATACTTTTAACAGTGCTGTCACGTGTGCCTGTGTTCTTGCCGTGTTTGAGGGTGTTGGTATGATGTTCCAAAGATACATGGCCTGGGCCAACAAACCAGTGGCCATGCCGCTTCCTGAGCAGCAGGCTGGCCCGGCTCCATTGGGCGCATAGAGAACCTAGCGAGCAATTCAACCGTTGTAAGCAGCTGAGACGTGGTATGACTGCATTTTCGCCTTGTATTTATAGTGAATATGATGATATCTTGACCAACATGTTGTAGATTTTCCACGACCCTTGGTCTACGAATTTTGATGTGGGTATATTTTTTGAAAAATCAGACTTCATCGTTTATCATGAATATTTCCACATCCACTGTCGCCAGTAGAAGAAGAAGGGCGCGCTCGGCTCTTCAAGAGGATGAGGAGAATGCGGCAGAGCTGAAACTGGGCCCAGAATTCCAGCTGGAACAAATAGACAACTACGGCAACGAAACAAAGCTTGTGGCCTTAAATGTTTCTGAGGCCCGTATTTTGATCAGAGCAGCACTTCAAGAGAGAATGTCTATGGTTCAGAAACTAGGTGGTCAGGATGCTGGTCTTGCGACAGAGAATCCAGATGATGAAACGTTGGCTAGAATGGCAACCGCCCCAGGTGCGAACGAGGTCTTACGCAAGACGTTGGACTACTTGTCGACATTTGCACGGTTCAAAGACGCCGAAACGTGTACTGCTGTGGAAGCGCTTCTCAAAAGCTCCGAAAACAGTGTGCTGCACCCCTTCGAGGCTGCGCAGCTAGGATCTCTCGCATGCGAAGATATTGACGAGGCAGTGACTCTCATACCGAGTTTGAACGAGAAAAAGGATGAAGTGGACCTACAGAGAATTCTGGACGAATTGAACAGATTAGAGGCTAATTACTCGTGATCGAAAGTATATGCAAAATGTATTTTAGTTATCGGTAATCCTCCGGATGGTAGTATTCTCTCAGAAATCTTTTGCCTGCGTATTTCCAAAATCGTGGCAAGCAGCTATGCGGGACCAAATTGATGTTGTCGATTTTTCTAAAGTCTGGGCATATGCATCGTTTCCCAATGCGCAGCATTTGCGACTCCGGGCACGTCGCAAACGGAACATGGGTGTAGCCAATATCCTCGAAATGATGAATTTCTGAACGATTGAGAAGCAACGCGGCCGCAATGGAGTGCACAGGAGCATCTCCCCAGCGCTCGTAGTAAAAGCCACCGGTTTGGCTCAGGAACTTGAAGTATGTTTCATACTCGTTGGAGCGGAAGAAGTTGAGATCTCCAATTTCAAAATTAGACCAGAAATGGCACAGGTTGTACGAAGAATTATGTTCCACGACCAGAGGCTCTGTTCCAATGGGTTTATCGTCCGTCAGAAAATCTAACATGGAGTCTGGATGTACCATATCTGGATTTGCATTCATGAAGTCCTCCACGGCCTCCCATAGAGAAGGTATAGTGTCCTCGTACTCGATCAGGGAAATCACAAACCCATACTTTTTGCCATTCTCACGAAACAAACGGAAAGGGTCCATTTGGAAATCGCAGAAATACTCGACGTCGGGTTCCACTCTGAAGTAGTAGTCGTACTGTAGCACCAACGGTTGTTTATAAAAATACCCTGAATTAAAATGGCACATGTTTCTGTACGACTTGGACCCGCCGTATATCACTTTGCGGTCCTCGAAGTCCTGCAAGCACTCTTCCCACTTGGTCACATTTATGAACGAAGGAGCGTTCCAATCTTCAGGCGATATTAGCCCATATTGAGTTTTTCCGCTGGCCATGAATGTAGTGGCTTCCTTGAACCTCTCTGTAAATGGCTTGTCATTCAGAAATGTCCAGGTATAATGGTAATCCTTGTTGAATCGATCCTCCAAAGACCTCATTGATTTAAGGACTCCAGGAAGTTCCCAATTTCGACATAGCATTAGAATCGTAGCATTCTCTAATTGGGGAGTTCCAGAAACTGGCTTGGGGAATAGCTCATGCACGTATGAATTGGAGGCAGGTTTGAGCTTTGCCAGTTCTAGGTCCATCAAATGAGAATTTTCACGCTTAGCCACGACCTCGAGCGAACGTAAGTAAATCTCATTCAGATTCACTCCCGATTTGACTCGCAAATTCCATATCTGTGCGAGAAAGGAAACTAGTATTATAAAGGCAACGAGGCCTTTCGAAACAGCCATGATCGGTTTTGATCAACCAATCTGAAATGCAAAGTCTGAAAAAAATGTACACTGATATTCTCCTGGCTTTTACACTGCCTCGTTTTTCTTTTTCTCCATAACTGGCAAGCTTACACTCTCACTAGTCTTCAGATGGAGATCTTCGATTCCTGCCAAACCCTTCTTAATCACACCCCCTACAGGCTTGAATTTCGGAGATATCAGATATTCAAGAACAGCATCCATATTCTCGATTAGTTCGCGCAATTTGAAGTCACTATAGCCGATTATTATTGACAGACAAGTTCCCGTAGACGGGACGAATGTGGTGCTTCTGGCGATCGTCTTCACTTGGCGTAGCACATAGTCTGGTTCTACCCTCTCATCCTTCATCTTTGTAGACTTCTTAGATTTTACCAATTGGGCATCTGGCGAAGGCCTAGCCATTTGGACCATTAAAGGTAGCTTTTTATTGTTTTTGAAAAATGGCGACCTTCCAATTAGCGAAGGAAGTAGTTTGTACACTCTGTGGTCAGCGAGCAATAGATCATACTCATAATACAGTTTCTTAACCTGCTTTGGGTTCGATGCAAACAATTTGAACTTTTTCAAGCTGACTATTTCCCCAAACACATCTTCTGTAGGAGAGCCCTTTTGCTCCAAAGGAGTCCTATAATTTACAACCGGATCTTTGGTTATAAGCATAATCTTCATATTTTCATGAGTGTCTTTGGCGTGAGGTAATGGGATGATTCTAGGAACAAGATCTAAATCAGAAGAAGTTGGTTTCTTGGTGTCAATAATTAGGTAGACAGCTTCGTGATGATGACCTTGTGGCCCTAAATGTGCCTTTAGCGCCTTCAAAGATCGTATTGCTCGCGATCTGAGTTCATCATCTAGAACTGCCAGGCTCCAGTCGACTTGGCTCGAGTTAGAATCCATAGCTAGTTTTTTAATTTTTTTTTATTTTTATTTTTTTATATTTATCGTTACAAGTGATTGCACCCTTAAAACAAACATTTATTTCACACGACTCCTTGCATCATTTAAAGCCCGCTTCATTTCAAGCTGATAAGCCTTCAATTTTCCATTATGCATATTTTCAGCTACCTCAAAGATCTACTGACCATCTCAACAGCCTTTTCTATGGACATTTCTGAGGTAGCCTCTTCTACGAGACCTTCGAGCTGTTTAGGCTCAAATCCTACGAGTGTAGTGATGTGGCACGGTATGGGAGATACATATAATTCATCGGGAATGCAGGCTGTCAAAGCCATACTTGAGGAGGAAATACCTAATGTGTTTGTTCATTCAGTGTATCTTGATATTGATGAGAGAAAAGATCAGAGGCTCTCTTTTCTAGGGGACCTAAATACCCAAATCAGAGACGTATGCGATCAGCTCAATTCTATTCCGGAACTGGAAAATGGCTTTAATGCGGTGGGATTCTCACAGGGTGGACTGTTTCTTCGCTCTGCAATGGAGCTTTGTGATTTACCGATAAAGGCACTCATCACTTATGGCTCACCACATAATGGTGTGACCGACCTTCCACCATGTCCGGAAGATAATTGGCTTTGTAAGCGGCGAAACAGCATTCTCAAGAAGCAAATCTACAATGAAAACATTCAAAACTCTGTTGTGCAGGCTCAGTATTTCAGAGATGTGTACAATTTTGAGAAGTATCTTGAAAATTCAGCATTCCTCAAGTTTGTCAATAATGAATTCATAAGAGATATTAATTATGTTAACAACTTGACAAAGCTTGAAAAGCTAGTCATGGTGATGTTTTCGAAGGATGATATGCTAGTTCCAAAAGAAACTGCATGGTTTTGCGATCTAGATCCCTCTTCTGGTGAGATCATTCCATTCAACGAGACACGTTCTTTCCACGACGATCTCATTGGCCTCAGAACACTTTATGAACAGAACAAAATAGATTTCCTGACGATCAACGATTCGCACATGAAAATTGATGAAGATCATTTGAGACTTATCGCCGGAAGATATTTTCACTAGATAGCTCACGTGTGATACTTGACTTAGAGGAGTTCTCCGGTTCTATATCAGTGAACATTTCTTCCTCAATCATCCCCAAAGAAGTTTCATGCCTTCTTTTAGCCTCTGTTTGAGTCTGCTCTTCGCATTTTCGCTTCGCTCTTTCATCTAGCATCAATTTCACGTATTCGTCATCCGAGAAATCGCTGTCTTCGATTGATTCCAAACAGCATAAAGATATCTCTGTCCCCGATCCCACTTTATCGATGAAATTTGCCTGAATGACAATTCTTTCACTCATTTGAGCATTCATCTCCAAGTTAATCTCCATGTGGTCGTTTATTTGATGGAGAGGAATTTTCATGAATTTGATGAGCTCGTTTGTACTTTTATCATTAATCAGAATTGCAACCTGGGAGTGGTGGTGGTTTGAAATGTGTATTGCTGGTGGAGTGATAATTATTGAAATGTTCAAAAGACTACTGGCTGGGGCATTTCTGATGAATTCACCTTTTAGGTGAATTTGAGGAAATAACCTCAACTGACCGTATATCTTGCCACTATGATTGATGCCAAGCTGTTCAAAGCTCTCTTTGGAGAGCTTTACCGCTTCTTTGATAGAACAAATGTTGCTGGCTTCAAACTTCTTTGCTCCAGCTTTATCAAACCCGTCTATCTGTGTCAGTTCTAATGCTGTATTCTCCCAAGCTTTCGCACTCAAACACCTTCCTAAATACAACATGGATTTAAGGCTAGTTGTGTCTGCTTTGTCTTCGAAAATTGTGATCCCAGCATTTATGACATTCGACATTCTCCTCAAGACGTTTGCTTTGTCATAGTTGAAATTAAACAAAAGATTTTTAAAGCTGGGATGAGATGGATAGTCGAGACCACCAAGCTCAAATTGTACAAACAGGTGCACTTTCTGCCAAGCATCCTCAAGTTCGCCTTCAACCTTGTTTCTAATCAGTTGACTCTGATTGATCTTGCGAAAAAGGGCTTTCTCCGAGGATCGATATTCAACATTCCCAAATTCAGGGGCGCGACTCAAGACGTCCAAACATTTGTCCTGTCTAATATTTTTCAACGTCAGTAGGTATTTCATAGTGTCCAGTGATAGACAATTTCTCAACATTGTATTGCCATAACATGAACAAACAAATCTGCCCTGTTCTATAGTAATCAAGCCCCCATCCCATAGTTCTTTCATTTCTTTTTGCAAAAACAATTCTAAGCATTGACTAGGTTTCTTGTACATTATCTGCTTTACCACATTAGTGTATGAGAATGGACTAACAAGATACCGCTGATAAAAAAAAGTGGCTTTCATCCATTTTATTGCACTTTGAGAGTCGCTTATTTGACCTGAAGCAACCTCCTTAAGGAGAATCTCGCTCAACTTGGATGGTAAAGAGCTTTCCACTTCCTCTGTTCCATGGATAAGTTTTTCATATTTCGCTTTTTCGGCAGACTGAGTCATGATGACACATGCCCCTTCGTTTTCGAATTGTGGCCTTCCAGCTCTTCCAATCATTTGTAAAACCTCCAGGTCAGAATATTCTTGTAGGCTTCCGTTGATCCAAGTTTTTGTCCCTTTAATAACGACTAAGTATGCTGGCAAGTTGACCCCTGCTGCTAATGTTGATGTACAGCAGATGACATTGATTTTTCCGGAAAGAAATCCAGTCTCAATCACCTGCCTTTCCTCCGAAGACAAACCTCCATGATGATAAGCGACTCCGTTGTTGATCAGTTCAAGTAGGTGCGGTTGCAGTCGACCGGTGATAGGAGGCTTTTGTGGAAAGTAAGATCCGAGTTTTGCGCTCAGTGCTTTTGCAGTGGTTATGGTGCTTTTTCGTGTCGCACAGAAGACAAGAACAGGCTTTTTATTCCCAAAATTTTGGATGACGGTCAGGAGTTTTGACGTGAGAAACGCACCAAACTGGAACTCATTTGTCGTAGATTTTTTATTAAAACCTAGAACGGTCTTGGTCAACTTGACGGACCGATACGAGTCGTTGAATTTTAGGGTGGTGGCTGTAGGTTTGTCGGGCTTGCTGAGCCATTTGGAAATATCTTCAATGTTGGGGACGGTAGCAGATAATGCGATGATTCGAATATTGCGATACAAGCTTTTCATCCGAGTTACGACAGCTTCCAGATTTGCACCCCTATCCTCCTTGATCGTGTGTATCTCATCTAGCAAAAGCAAGCCGAAGGATAAAAGAAATTTCTCCCTGTCCTTGTATTGTCGAGTAAACGATTCCCATTTTTCTGGAGTTGAAATAATGATATTACAAGTCCTCGCTCTCTGAATCTCTCCCAAGCTTGAATCCCCTGTGAGCAATCCTACTGATATGTTGAGTCTCCCAAATCTATGAGACCAGTCTGAGATCCTCTCACTGCATAGTGCTTTCAAGGGGGCGAGATACAAAATCTTGGCTTTGCTATTTTCTTTCAATGCTCTGACGATCGCTAATTCGAATAGCGCGGTTTTTCCTGATCCGGTCGGGCTTGTAACTACGCAATTGTCTGGATCTTGGAACAGCATGGGAAAGGCACTTGTTTGCATTTTGTTGAAGTGACTAAACTTGAATATAGGAGCATATTTGTCTCCCACTGCAAACGTGCTCAAGTTAGAGATTGATTTTGCTCTTGTGCATTCAAAAAGATCCTCATGTGAGGGAGAGGACGGTGGCCTGAGCAAACGGTGTATCTCCTTTACTTGCCTCTCGGCACCCTTGGGCATCAGCAAATCCCTGATATCCTTCATGGCCTAGAATACACAAAATCTCCTTTCCCCTTTTTCTAGGTGCGCGGTGTAATTGGAGAAGCCATGTAACAACCAGCCGTCGTTTCTTGGTGATGAGCTTTGATTAAGGACCCATTTGTTGATTGTGAATCCGTCTTCCATGCTCATCTCGCTGTCGCTTCGTTTTGGCAATCGGTGACAGATTCAACTACCTATCATTTTTAATTAGACAGTTTGGCAAAATCAAGCCTAGCAGCTTTGTATTACATCAGAGATCGGTTGTGCCGTTCTATGATAATAACCTGGTGAAACAGGAGAGGAATATCTAATTACTGATCATATTGCCTTCATTATCAACCCAAATAAATTTGCTAAAATATTTATCTTTTATTGCAATGGATATTGAGGTTCTTGAAACTCGGGAAGAGGCCCAGATAGAACCGGGAAAGCAGGTGAGTGTTGAAAACGAAGACGTAGAACTAGAGAGTGTGGGCTCGTTGCTGGACGACGACACCGAAAAGCCAAACGCGGCAGACGTGGAGACGCGAGGGCAAGAGCTCGTTGACGAGAAAACTGAATACACCGAGGACGGAGAAAGCGAGCTAGAATATGAAAGTGACCATGTAGAGCTAGAAACAGAAGAGCCAGAGAAATGGCAGCAGGAGCCCGAGATGCAGCCAATTGGGGAGCCAGAGTTGGGGGATAAAGACGACGACAACGACGAAGAGGAAGGAGATGAAGAGGGGAGTGAGGAAGGAGATGAAGAAGTTGGCCTAACAGACGAAGAGCTGGCTGAAGAAGAGGACCAAGAAGAGGCACAGGAGGTTGGTACGATCGAGGACAATCAGGACGCACCAGAGCAAGAGCCCAAAGAAGTGGTAACGGAGCCGCATGCATTGTCATACGAGGTGCCTATTTACATTGATTTGGGGACAGAAGTTTACAAACTGGTTCAGCCTAATGTTCCGGAGGAAGCCGACTTCAAAGACCTCAATGTCCTTTTCGACGAAGATGTGTTTGAGCTAACTCTCGAATTGTTCTTTTCTCGTCTCAGAGCCAAGCATCGGTTCAAAAACGAACGCGAATTAATCCTCAAGTGCAGCAGTCTTGGCGATCTGGCCATTGAGGAAGATAACATACACTGTTCCAAGGTCACCCTTGGCGATATCGTAGACTTATTCAAAGGTCTGCGATCGCAGTCGGAAAACCCAGATCTTTACAAATTCATCCAAATGGAAGTGGTGAGCCGACCTCGGTTCATCAAGCAATACGAGCGTTTAGTGGATCAGCTGGAATCTGGCAAAGGGCTGGAGTCTGTGAAATGGGAAAGCAATACCGATAGTCTGCCTCGCAAGAAAGTAAAAACAGATGTTACATAGTTAATCTCGTCAACTCTCAATTAGTATATTGAAATATCTAACTACCTAAGCAGCAGTCAATCTCTTTTGAGAAAGAAGTCTTCCTTTTTGTCTAGAGTTCAATCTGACCTTCTTCTCATCCTTAGCCTTTGCAACAGCCTCCTCCTCTTCAGTCAAGATGAGCTCGATGTGGGATGGAGAGGACTGGTAAGCGTTGATTCTACCGTGGGCTCTGAAGGTTCTTCTTCTTTGCTTTGGAGCCTGGTTCACTTGGATGTTAGAAATGACAAGTTTCGAGACGTCGAGGCCCTTGGCTTCGGCATTAGATTCAGCGTTTTCAAGGAGGCTCTGAATGAATTTGACACTCTTGACTGGCCATCTTGCCTTGGTAACACCAAACTCTTTACCCTGAGCAGTTCTACCAATAGATCCGTTGAATCTTCTGAATGGAATGGCTCTCTTGTGGTCCAAAACTTGGTCCAAGTATTGTTTAGCTTTCTCGAGTTTCCAGCCCTTGATAGCCTGAGCGGTTTCCCTGGTGTTCTTGAATGACACTCTCAGGTACGATCCTCTAGCCGAAGCAGACTTGGCTGGGTTAGCTGGTGTTGCTGCGTATCTAGCCATTTTTTTTCTGTGTGTAGACCAGTTGAAGTTGTCTTTTTTTTGTATCCAAAGTAAAATTTTCGTTGCACGGCCTGAAAAATCTGGGGCAGTCAGAATAAAACCCGCCTATTTCTCACGTGATGAGGGCTCTCAAAAAAAAAAACACTCCCAGCCTAGAAAGGTCAAAAATAAATCACGTCGTGGGCTTCTGAACGAGCCCGCTGGAGTATCCCTCTTTGACATTGCGGTGCAGAGGTGTGATTATAAAAACGATATTCAATATCATTACAACCTACAAAATCTCTCGATATGCTTCATCTTGTCATTCCGTTACTATTACTGCTGTCCAGGATCAGCATGGCAATAGATATCTCAGATGAGCATTTTGCCGCCTATCCGAAGATGAAAGAGCTGATTGGCTCTCATTTGGTCAGCAAGACAGAAGAGACTCCTCCATCTACAAAGAAAATAACCTGGTACCTGAAGATAATCGACTCGGGTTCTGGATCTTTCAAAGATGATACGTTTCCTTCAGAATGCCCAAAGGATTCCCAGCTCTGTGGATTGACCGAGATTTCGCTTCCCAATCGTGATCCAGTAATTACTGAGGTGTTTTCATTTTCGAACAAATTGACACCACAGTTCGACGTCAACACAAGCTCTTTTACTGTCAATCTCCTTGGCGCTAATTGGGGAGCATACACATTGGATGCTCGAATTGAGTTTGTGTGCGCTTCCGAAGATAATGCAGAAGGTCTCAAATTGGCCATGTTTGATTATTCCACCGTGTCACTTCACTATGAGACTGCCTGCGCATGCAAATCCGACGAAAGACCTCCGAAAGACGGAAAGAACAAGAGTCCAAAAAATGATGATTCCAACTCGTGGGGCTTCTTCACCTGGCTGTTCATCCTTCTGGTCATAGTGATGGCCTCGTATATAATAGCACAGGCATGGATCAACACAAACAGAGTGGGCAGTTCACACGAGTTCCTGAACGAGTTGGTCGAGTCAATCGTCGAGACAGTGACCAAATTGCCCGAATTCTTGCGCGAGATAGCAAACAAACTGTTCAGCAGTGGGAGCAGAGGAGGGTACAGCGCAGTGTAATATATATATAAACAAATGCAGTTCGTTATGCAGATTGCGAGGTAGCCTCGGACCCTAAAAACTGACGCATGTTGTCGTAAGTGGTCTTCACTGTAGTCTCGAGGTAGTTTTGTTTCTTTTTCAAGTTACTGATGGAGTCCTTATTGTCATTGATTTGTTGCTTCAACTTTGAAATATAATCCTCAGACTTTGTCGTGAGAAATGTCTTTCCACAACTTTCCCACACATTTGCGTTGCCTGAGTTTGTAATCTCCTGGATCTGTAATTCGAGAACCTTATTTTGTTGAGCCAACCGCGTCAAGCTGAGATTCGTAATGCCCAACTCTTCTTTTTTCTCTTTCAGCTGGGTATCCATATCGGTAAGGAGCTACGTGTCAGCGTATAATTGGTGTAGTCACATACCTTTTGGAGGGCCTCTGGAGGAACAGACATTTTTCTTACTTTTGCAAGTGATCCATGAATATTTCAGTCTAGTTCTCTTGGTTATGTGCCCTTAGATTCCAGATTCAATTTTAAACAAATCACTGATAAACCTTGCTCCTTCAAATGCATCTAGGAATCCCCAAAAGGTCAGATCTCAGGCCCAAGGGCAAGAACAGGCCTCTTCTACCTATACCTGCATCTTTGAGAGGGCGTTTTAATGACTACAAGTCCAAGAGGACGATTCTGTATGCCATTCTAATACTCATTACTTTGAACTACATAATAAGCCGAGCGTTCTTTTCATCGGGAAAGCGACACAATTTCAATCATCTGATTAACCAGGAGGCTCTACAGACACTGCAGAAGAATCATGGTCTTTATAAGCACGAGATAATCGTGAATTCAAATTATATCTTTCCACCTACTGAGCACGCTCCACTGCTAAGAGAGCTGACGCTGGACAGATTATTCAAATCCAAAGTTAGCCCTGATAATCCTCAAGAGAAGACGTACTATTATTCTGATGATGACAACATCAACGACCTTAATGAGATCAAGGACAAGTCTAATTCGGAGAACCCGCTGGATCAGTCATTAAAAGCGTTTAAAGAGCATGGTCGTAAGGTTTTCAGACCGTCAGGCAGCAGAAAGTCACCAGAGATCGTTATTGTCACTGGAGTTGACTTTGAGCAATTCGAGCAAGGCCATTTGACCAAGATCGTTCAAAATAGAGTTGACTACGCACACGCAAACGGCTACGGACTATACGTTAGATGGATTCAGGAGTTCATCCCGACTTTACAGGAGTTCCACAATGATCGCAAATGGGCCAAGCTGTTCATTCTGAGGGCTGCTATGCATGCATTTCCTCAAGCAAAATACTTCTGGTATCTGGACCAAAACGCCTACATTGTGAGACACGACATTGAGCTCTATTCCTACCTGTTGGAATCGAAATCGCTCGAACCAATCATTTTGAGAGATCAACCAATAGTGCCGCCTAATGGGGCCATCAAGACGTACAAGAAAACCAAAGCCGAAGACGTCCGCTTCATGATCACACAAACCAAAGACGGGCTTAACACAGACTCGTTTATTTTGAAAAATGACATATATGGTAAAGGATTCTTGGAATTTTGGACCGATCCACTGATGAGAAAATATCCAAGTTTTGCCGGAGACGACAAGGATGCCCTGATGCACATCCTGCAGTGGCACCCGGTGATCTTGAGCAAATCCGCCATCATTCCGGGCCGGACCATAGCTTCATTGCATAGCTCCAACTCCGCGGAGGAGGCCGACGATACTTCTTTCTATCAAGAAGGCGATTTTGTTGTCAATTTCAAAGGCTGCGATGTCCACCATACGTGCGAACTGATACTGGATTCCTACTGGAAGAAGCAGCAGGCTTCAGAGTGAGATCAGGCTTCTTGGCCATGTCCTGATGGATTTGCATTGACTCGCTCTCCCAGTACCTGGAGAGCTACCTGTCTTCTTCTGTCTGCGATCTCACGAGTGACTGTTGTTGTCTGCGTATTGAGTCTTTTGATTGTTCTCAGGTTTCCGGATTCAATATCGTCGTCATTGAACGGTCTTATAATTCCTAGCAGTGCAGAGGTGTGGTAGCATGCTCGGCACAATGGTTTTAGTGCCTTGTGCAAACCAGCAGGAAAGAACTGAATGAACGCAAAAGTATCCGACGCGTCTCCTCGCACCACTGAACGGGTGTTGTTGGAAGGAAGCAGATCGCTAAGTGTGTTAACTTGATAATAGCGCAAATAAACCCAGCTGACATAGAAATTATTGAATATAGGCACAACCGGCACCAACGACCTTATAGTGAGAGACACAATAACAGCTGCACAAAGCAGGATGAACGGCAATTGTCTCAACCGAATAGACACTGTATTGAATATCTTAAGATTGTGTTCAGGAGACAATTGTTTGAGCACTACGACGAAACTCATAATAAGAGAGTAGACGCCATGGTTCACCGGCTCTGTAAGCTTCGCAGACTGAAATGACAATAAATGAAACAACATTTCAAGGAGCACAGTGCTTCCGTTGGTTGCCAGTGTGACTATGGTGATGTAATATACCGTTTCGGAAAATACCTTATTCTCGTTGTTGAGGTTCCAATGTTTTTCCAAATAATTGATGCCAGAGTAGAACACCGCTATGGCAATCAGGAACCTGAACACAGATGTCTCCACAAAACTTTCAGTCAGTAAAGTCCAAGGATAAAAGAACGCCCGGTTCGGTACCAGCTGAAGAACAGGAACCACTATGTCTGAAAAGGCGATTTCCGGATTTTGGTTTTTGGCAACATTGTAAGTTTGCAGACGAATGTATGAAGTCAGAAATGACAGGATAGTTGTCAAGCTCAAATATAGGACTGTCGCGTACGTCCACTGCAGGGAAGGCACTAATATAGCCATAAGTCTTTAAATAAATACAGGAAAATAATATGTAGGTGCAAAGGTGCGAGGATTTGAATCAGAGCTTCGAACGCAGAGCAGGCGTTGTCATCATGATAAACAGATTTACGACACAAGATGTGCCAGGGCGGTCTAGCAGGCTGCGTAGGCGTGCCCTCGAGTGTTGTCACTTCCTCGTGAGCCCTGACTTCCCCGCTGACATAAGCAGATTGTAAAGTTGAAATTTTTAGATTCCTTAAGATTACACCATGAAATCCTCTGATAAACGAGCAGCATATAAGCAACTGAGCGAGGAAGAGAAAAAGCAGCATCACATCAGGTCCGAAAATAAGCGACGAGAGCAAATCAGATCAACATTCGACAGTTTAGTGAAGGTGGTGCCGGATTTGACAGAGTCAGAGAATAGGTCAGAATACGCAGTTCTGTCCAAGACGTCCAACTATATTCGACAACTTCGTGGGGACAATCAAAGATTACTACAGATCGCAAAGGAACGCGGCATAGAGGTTCCAGAGGATCTGAAAGAATGATATCGCATTAGACGTGGTCATGTTACTTAATCGTCGTGTTCCTTTTCGTCCTCCTCTTCCTCTGATTCTTCTAAGGGCCACCACTCAGGTATATGAACCTTGGCAATGAATTTACCAGCAACCTCTGAGGAACTCTTTGACACTATAGGGAACTCGTTAGTGCCAGGTGCATTGTCGCGACTGATATCGGCCACGTATACAACGGCCAGGCCAATATTATTCTGCACTCTGATAATCTCTCCGACTTTTTTGTCTCTGCGCGTCTTCGACCCGAACGGATTTGAAGACTGAGGCTCAGCAACTTGGCTACTCTTGGTCGTGTTTATCAGCTGCAGATCAGAATACCGGCCCAGACCTAGATCCTCGTCTGCCAAACTAATTTCCTCGCTCACAGGCTCCCCAACTCTGAACAGTTGTATGGGCATGACTCGTTTTCTAATGACGCCCGAATGAAACGTTCTGATGGTAAGCTCTTGACCTACATAGCATCCTTTGTTGTAATTGATCCCATTCATGTAATCGAGGTTGTTTTCAAAGGGCAGTGTTTCGGACTTGAAGTCGGAAATTTCTGAAATTCCTACCAGAGTGCGCAACGCATCATACACCTCGTGCCCCACTTTGATGTCCTCTAGATTGTCTAGCTGGCTTTCTTGAGGAAGAACAAATTTGAGTCCAAAACATGGCGCTCGGTCGTCGAGTGCAAACCCTTGTAATCGCGAGGCATCTGGGGCGGTCAGTATCTCCTCATTCACAAGCCTGTCTTGTAAATACTTGCTCCACGTGGAAGCGGCTTCCACACTCTTGGAGTTTCTATTATTAAGATACTCTGACTGCAACAAGTCGTAAAGCTCGTCGAATTCCTCGGAATGGTCGTAATAAAACCAGCAGTTATAAGTTGCAACCGAAATATCGATCTTTGCTCGAAGTTTGTGCAGTTTCAGCATCATCTGGATTTGCCCAAAATTCTTCGGTGCCATCTCGAGCAAATACTTGGGGCCATTGGTTGGGGTATAGGGAGTTGGATAAACAAAGAGATCAGACAGAACTCGTCCCCTAGAGTTCAGGAGCATCGAGTACCGGCCGTCCCTTCTGATTCCCAGTCGTTCTGGAACCTCCGGGTCGTAGGTCTCGTCCTCGTGAAGAATGCCCCAATTCTCGGTTTGCATTTGCTCGTCTGTCAGGCCGAGCATTTTTGAGTTCTCCAATGCTTGTAGATCAATGGCGGAAATCGTGGTAAGGTTCTTTTTCTCAAAAGTGGGCAGCATCTTGGTCGTCAGCAGACCATTCAAGAACCTGGCGGAATCTGGGCCCTTGATCTCAAGCAGCTTCCTATTTAGCTTGATTAGTCCTCGCGGCGGAATTGCCCGCAAACTGAGATACGTCGAAAAGCGTCTCATAACATAAATATATACAATCTTTTTACGAATATTAGATATAAAGCTCATTAATTAGTAATCGATATTTGCAACTCACATAAACCAACCAAAAGGCTCACGACAGTTGGCATTTTTTCTTTGAGTTTGTATTGTACAGCAAATGGATCAGAAACCACTCTGGTCCTCGTCCTCTTCCTCCTCCGGATTCACAAGGTCTTGCTCCTCTTCTTCACCCTTCCTTGTCATTCGTTCAGTCAGAAACTCATTCACTTCGTCCTGTAAGGTAGTAACATAAGCTCGGAGTCGTCCGATTCGTGTGTCTGTGGCCTCCGTGGGAGCATCTCTGTCCACAGCACCAGCAGCAAGAACGTAGTCAGAAGGCCCATTGGTGCGTCCGGACGTCGAATGCGGTTTCGTTGGGTCAACTTCAAACCTCTTGGACACTGGGCCCGAGTATTCGGCCGTTGGAAGCAGCTCGCTGGTGTCCTTGGTCATGGTTGATAGGCTATCCTAGGAAGAAGAGGCTCCGGGTAACGTTTGATATAAAAAATTTTCAGTGCAAATTAATATATCTAAACTTCAACGAACATACCCCTCCATCAAATCGCCATGTTCACCATTGTTTCCGAAAGATTTGCTGGAGAGTGCGCTGTGGAGTATGCTGCCATACTTGATTCCGAGCTTAACACGGAGTACAAGAGTGGTTTCGAGATTTTGGCAGAACAAGAAAACAAACAAGAACTTCTCACGAAGGTGCTGGAATCAAGTCGCGAGCTCGCTAAATTGAGCGATAAAGTGTTCGAGCCTACTTTCAATCTTCTGCTTCACCTTATAGATATTCTCAGGAGCGAATTAGACGTGTCTCTGGAGCAACAGCTGTCCGTGATTTTGCCTGAGATTCAAAAAGTTGCTGTTGTCCCCGACGACGTGCTTTCCAAAGATAGATCCGGTATCAGAGTCAGTTCGCTTGTGTCTGTTTTGTCTAATCTGTTTAATTTTGTTCCCTCACAGTCTCAGCTCAAAGTGCAGGTGCTCAAATATATTCTTTCCATAGTTTCACAGCACTCAATGCCGAACTTGGCTGGTCCGCTGGCTCAACATCTGAAAGTGTGGCTAACCGATTGCGGCGCCTCCAGTGAGGACATCAAGATCATCTATATGCAGGTCATTGAGCTACTGTTCAAAGACCAGAATGACGCTCAGGCAGTGACACTCTTCAAAGAACTAATCCAATTAGGCGGATCGTCTCTTTCTATTTCAGAGTACTCGCAGTTTTTCATCTACACCCTCAACTCTGCAGTCTACATAAATCTGGATTCTATTGATTTCGAGCCACTGCAACAAGATACAGTGCTTTACAAACTGCTCTCCATATACAAGGACTCAAACCTGGAGGATTTTGCAACCTTGTGCAAAGATCTTTCCGCATACAACATCGACATAGACAATCTCACTAACAAGCTCAAGCTTGTTGCTGTGACCAGAATAGCGTCTAAGAAAAACCAATTGTCATACGCTGAAATTTCAGACGAGCTGCATATTGCATTGGACCAGGTGGAAGAATTCCTCATCAAATGCATCAAGTCTGGTCTCATTGCGGGAAGATTGGACCAAGACAAAGAACAGTTTTACATCCACAAAGTGTCGAAACTGAGCAGTACAACTAAGGAGGACTGGGAGTTTATTTCCTCCAGGCTCTCTGGATGGACCTCTCAGATCGCCAAATTACAAGCTGCTATCGAGTCGGTGCAGTCTAGAAGAGGAAAAAGAGTTCCTCCTCCTCAGGTCCTACAGAAGTTTTACCAGCAGAAGCAAGAATTGAAGGAGCAAAAGGAGCAGTTGCAACAGGAAAGAGAGAAAGAAGCACAACAGATTATGTAATATTTTTTAAAGTTAAAAATCCTTCGTGATCCAGAATTTTACAGTGGGCTATAATGTTTAGACTTCTTCTAGCCAACAAGGGTCCTGTAAATTGGACACGGCGATCCGTATTCACTGCGGGACTACAGAAGACGGCTTTCCAAAATGCATTTTTCACCAGATCTTCGCAATTGATCAACAAAACTTCTCTGTTCCGGAATTACGCCACTCACAGAGAACTCGCATACAGACTAAGAGGACTCGGGAACCCAAAAGTGTCTGGGTCCTTGGTCAAGTCGCTGATGTTTACTGTTGGTTTCTCGGCAGGCTGCTACGTTGCAACGCCCTACTTATTTAATTATACCCCCTTGTCGTACTTCAAACGGCATCCCATTCACTTACTCTATGGCCTTATTGGAATCAATGTTGGAATCTTCTTGCTTTGGAGAGCTCAGACAGCCAGTCTAAGGACAATGAAAGTTTTAAACAAGTATTTCCTACTGGAAAGAGGACCTTCAAGGCCATCTGAGTGGTCTCTTCTCTGGTCTGGCTTCAGTCACCAGGATTTTGCGCACTTGTTGATGAACATGCTCTGTTTGTACTCGTTTGGAACTACTATGGTGCAAGTTCTGGGTGTGGTCAACTTCACGTCCTTATATCTAATTTCGGGAGTGGCGTCTTCATTCACCTCCATCCTATTTTCCACCATAGCCAGGTCCTATGGTATGTCTCTCGGAGCCTCGGGCGCCATATCTGCCATATTTGCCGCGTTTGCAACCATTTTCCCCAAGGCCGGAATCTCACTATTTTTCTTCCCTCTTCCGGGTGGAGCCCAAGTGGCCTTGCTCGGATTTACTGCGTATAACATTCTTGGTTGCTTCTACAGATGGGGAGGTTTAGATTATGCTGCACATTTGGGAGGAACTTTACTCGGATTTCTCTATGCCAAATACCTGCAACAGAAAAGACGTTATCGATAAATAGATTACATAATAGACCATTTTCATTTGTCTCGGCAACTTCAATTGATGGTTCACTCTCATCATTCCCATTCAGGCCAATACGTGTCGCACGCCGTGGACAACTTGGATGACATTGTTTCCAGGGTAAAGGATATGAACTTTGAGGTGTTCTGCCTCACAGAACACGTTCCTCGATACGATAACAGATTGATGTATCCCGAGGAGATAGATAAAGGATACACCGTTGACTCGTTAGTCGAAAACTTTGAGAAGTATTACACGCATGCGCGATCCATCCAGAAGACCGTCAACACGGATCGCTCTTCCAGGCTGAAGATCTTGGTTGGTTTTGAGACAGAAGGAGGAATAGACGAATTCCATCTAAATAAATGTCTGCAATTCAAGCGGGAATTGAGGCCCGACGTAATTGTTGGATCCGTTCATCATCTGAAGGGGATTGATCTGGACTTCAATCGCGAAAAATGGCTTGAGGCGAAAGGAGATCTTACGTTGCAGGCGTTCTTCCTGACGTATTTCAAGCAACACCAGGTAATGGTGAAGACGCTCGAACCAGACATCATTGGACATTTCGACCTGATTCGTCTATTTTCTCTCCCCGATGACAAGTGTGAAGATACTGGGAAACAACTCAAAGACATCAACATGGAAACAGACTGGCCCGAGGTCTGGAAGGTGATTACAGAGACGGTAGAGTTAATTGTCTCGCAAGGAGGTCTTGTCGAACTGAATACTGCTGCAATTCGCAAAGGCTGGACAACTACGTACCCGAGAGACGACCTGTTCCAACTGATTCGCAAAAAAGGTGGCAGATTCTGTCTTAGTGACGACTCTCATGGAGTCAAACAGGTGGGCCTCAACTATGAGAAGGCATTGAAACACCTGCAGGAACTTGGCCTAGACAAGCTATACTACTTGGATTTGGACGTTTCTGGCACTCCCTTTATTAATAGTCGCACTCTGGAGGACATCGCAGCTGACCCTTTCTGGAATAATTACACCTGAATTCCTAGGTATTTATTTAGTCTCGTTAGTTAATAGATATCCCTTAAGTTTCCACTTTATGGATACGTCTAGCGCCTGCATTGGATTGACTCTTTCCTGTGATAACTAATCTATCCAGCTCCTCAGACGTCTCAGACATCTTAGACACAGCCGCGTCTTCTTGAGGGTGGTATCCGCCAAGAGCAATAACCTCCCATAGATATCCGTATAAGCTTTTCCGCATCGGATGATGAGTACGCTTATACTCTTCGAGGAGACCGTAATAACGTTCCTTTTTCTGCGGGTCTGAGAGCTCATTCATAAGCTTGAATTCCTCCATGTGCTTCTTGGTGGTTTTGTGAGTAAGATAGAATTCCTTGAGTAGTTCATCCGTTCCTAGCATCTTTAGGAGCATTGGCAGTTTGTGGGAGTTGTAAAACTTTCTCAGAGCCGTGCTCTTAACATGCTTGCCACTCAGCGCATACACGTGTTGCTGGAGCGTGGCTGAGGAAACCCAGAATCTCAACTCATCGATAAAAAGGTGGTTGTTGAAATGTTTTTTTCGAAGACCTCCGTTGTACTCCGAATTGAGCACTGTAGCGAAATCGTGCGGAATGAGGCATGGAGAGCCTTCCATCATCGACAGCCTCAGTGGGGACAGCTCGGAATACGTGTAGAAATGGTTGTTTCTGCAATTGTAAATCTGCAGTTCTTGATTTCTCTCCAAGGCTTCGGGGGATCTCTCTGGACCTCTGTTTGATCTGACAGGAGCACGCTTCACCTTTTGAGAAACACCTGTGTCTGTAAGTCCTTCTGTTGGCTCTGCTGGTTGATTATCTTGGGCTTTTTCCTGTTCTTTCTTGGCCTGTCTTTCACGATCCAGTCTCTCCAACCTTGGAGGTAATTTGTTCGTATCCGTCAGTGCCAGGCCGGTAATATCAATGTACATGCCACTGTCCACGTCGATGAATCTCGCATCGATATTATTTCTGCCGTTTCCTTTTGTTCTGTGTGTCGGATAAGATCCACAATCCACGTAGTATTTTCCGAATCCGTGCTGGACATCCTCGACGAGAAGCGAGTTGTTGTACTTCATGCAAAAGCGATCGAAATCCATGATCGGCATCTGAACATCGATGTCATTATCCCATTCAAACACTAGTGCGTTCCAGAACCAACTCAAAAGCGTACCGTGAGCCAGGAAGGACACAATACCCTCCTTGTACGTGAATTGCAACCATGTGTGAATAATCCTGTGAAGTATGATTTTGCGCTTTTCGTTCACGTCGTCGTACTGGTTGAGCTTGGACTCTGTCACAAGGCCGTTGAAAAAGCGGAAGTCATAATGGCCTCCGTTTTCGGTCACCTTGTGGCCGTTGTATGTAGCCGGCCAAATGATGTTCACCTCTCTAAATGACTTTTTTAGCCTGTTCGAAGGAACGGATCTGGAGTACTTGAGAGTCTGTAGGTGACGTAGTTGCTTTTCGTCGAGCTCATCGATGCGTTTTTCATAGTCCTCGATGATCTGGTCATACGAATAATTAAATCGGTCAGGAGGAATAACAAACTCATAATTCTGCTCTGCGGTGAATGCCGAATCAAAGTCGAGCCCGCTTTTCGAGGAGGACACAGAGTTGACCAGCATCTCGTACTCCATGGAAGCATCTGCCACAACAGTCTCGTTAGCCTGCAATTCAACAAACTCGTCGAATAAACCACTATCCAGCATGTTGGAATCTCCGGAAATGCTCACCTCGTATGAGCCTTTTTCCGTCAGAAAAACAATAGATGTCGGTACGGGCGCATATGATAGCAGGTATGACTTGGCGTGTATGAGCTTGTCACGGAAAGGTTTTTTACCCGTGCGATCTTTGAAATTGAAACCCGGCAGAAGAGCACGGCTCGTGTGACCCGTGTATCTGTCGTTATCAACGCAGGCTCTGTCTATGTTTCTATTTGGGTTCTTGAATTTGTGTTCAGGATTGTACGCTGGACCCTGGTGAAGAATGTCGTCACATGTCGGACGCTGGTCTTCTGGTAACTCCAGATACCGATTCAAAACCGATAAATCAACCCAGTCCTGCCAGGAAAATGGAACTGCTATTCTAGCTTTGGCAGCATCGCCGGCGCCCTGCTCTAAGAGTTGTCTGCGAATGTGGCTCAGGTACACAGACATCGTAATTCTTGGGTCGTACAACAAGCGGGATTCGCGAGCGGATTTATAGTCTGAAGGATCAAAGGTTGCAACCGGCTTGTTGAAAGCAGCGGAGAACTTCCAGTGCTTCTCGTAGTCTTGCGAAATGTCCCACGTATCCATCTGCTGCTCGAACGACTTTATGAAATCGTCCGGATCTGTCGAGGACGATGCGGCGCGGATGAGGCCCGTAACATCATTCATTGCATCCATCTGAGTTCCTACACTCACCAAACTGACAATCACCAAATTCAGCAAACAGACAGCTGCAACAAGCGTCACACAGCGTCGGCGTCGCGGAACCATCATCACGGGGTATTTTTTGTTGCTAGCCAGCGTCATTTATGAGAGGTCCATATATCTCTCTCTATTTGGAAGCTATGCAAACTGAAAGAGGTGACTGCTATATCAAGTGAAATATAGCACGTTAAAGACTTTATAGCCAAATAACTTGTTTGTCACTGCGTATTGGGCCTCTGTTGACGCGATCGCTAAAAAAACAGGTTTTACGCTTAGTACTATATTAAATGCTTAAAACTTAAATCCACAAATTTTGAGGGTCGTCCGCTTACCAGGCAATATTCGTGCGAGCAAACAATAGCTGTGAGGCTTACTACAAAGCTGACTATCGGCTGTCCGATAAGTGTCTTTAAAAATTTCTATTAGCTGCTTTCTAGCCACTCAACAGGCTTTTGGACCACCTCGAGCAGCCGTTGCTCTTCCGGACCGGGAGCTTGGTGGTCGTAAATCCATTTTGCCGTGAGTGGAAGACTCATCAGAATCGACTCAGTCCGCGACCCTGGAGTCTGTAGTCCAAACTTGGTGCCTCTGTCGTACACGAGATTGAACTCAACATACCGTCCTCTTCTGATCTGTTGCCACTCCTTCTGGACTTCAGTGTAAGGAGTGTCCTTTCTGCGCTCAACCAATGGAAGATAAGCAGGCAGAAAAGCATTGAAGCAGGACTCCACCATTTCCAAACACTGTTGAGGAGGCAGCTCATCAAAGTCGTCGAAGAAAATTCCTCCAATACCCCGGGTCTCGTTCCTGTGTGGAATGAAGAAATATTCGTCGCACCATTTCTTGAACCTGGGGTAAAGATCCGGCCCAAATTTATCTAGAGCAGTCTTGTGCTGCTGGTGGAAGTTGACACAGTCCTCATCATAAATATAGGATGGCGTCAGGTCGGATCCGCCTCCAAACCACCACGTCTGTGGAGACCCATCTTCGTTCATGATCTCGAAATAACGGTAGTTCAGGTGAGTAGTTGGAGCGTGCGGGTTCCAAGGATGGATCACAAGGCTCAGTCCGCAAGCGAAAAACTGTACGCTGCCACCAGCGCTGGCCCTGATGTTCTTATGATCTGCTTTCATTTTTTCTATAGCTTGAGGAGGAAGCACACCGTGGACGACAGACACATTGACACCGCCTTTCTCGAAGGTTTTGCCGTTCTGCAACACCATGGACCGGCCTCCACCTCCAGATTCACCGCGTTGCCATTCATCAGCACGGAAGCTAGCTGAATCAAGAGACTCCAGAGCACTCGTGATCTCGAGCTGCTTCTGTTTCACAAGTTTCTCCATCTGCACGCGGATGGGTAGCGCGGGGTCCAAAACGGATACCATTTCTGTCCTTAAAATTGGTATATACGTCTCTATTTAAATTCAAAAACTAAACAATAAATCTGGTGATTTTCGAGCTCGTGGTCCGGTGCACGGGTGCACGAGCAATCCCTGTCTGATCGCGAACGCAAAAATTTCTTGGCAAATCGGACCCTTGGTGCGCCAAACATCCGTGGCACAGAAAATTGGGCTGTGCACACTTTCGGTATCGACGAAAACGGGAAAACAGCGAGCTGGTCAGGTCGTAAACTCAATTCTCACTCAGTCCTGCCACGTTTCCTCGTCTTCTTAGAGTTCAGGTGTGTTTTGTAGTGTTGCATACAGTTATCCTGCCGCGAGAACCTTGCGCCGCAACCCTCAAATGGACATATGTGGTTCTTCACACCCGTGTGTATCCTCGTATGCCTTGCAAGATGTCCTGACGTGGTGAACATCTTACTGCAAATTTTGCACTTGTAGCGACGCATTGGGGGCAAGACGTCAGAGTTCTTTTCTGCTTTTGCTGCGGTTGGGGGGAATCGGAAGAGCCACTCTCGGAGCCACATAGTGGGGCGGGTCCTGGCGATTGTAGCGGATAGAGGCCAATGGCACATTGATGGAGGGTAAATTTGGTCTGCCAAGAGGCTGAAGCAAGGCTGGAGGACCAGGCATTGCTAGCGGATGGGGAGTGGTCGGGTCCGGAAGAGGCCATTTCTGCTCCGACTGGATCTTGGACAGAACAGAGTCTAGACTAGGCAGTTGCGTTGAAGTGTGCGATAAGTTCGTAGGCATTTTAGTTTCGTTGACCGACAACATCGTCCTAGACAGTTTCTAAAAATCGGGAACGAACAAAAATATCCCTCATTCTACTATTTATTATCTATGATGCAACCACATGGAGGCGCGGGACTGCCTAAAAATAGAGTAGGTCACACGCAAAAAGACTACTCACAGCTCTATCCGAGATGTCCTACAGCATGTCATAGCTCTGTGTATGGCTTATAGGCTCTAACGGTAGATTTTTCCAGGCTTCATAGTCCCATAAAACTGCCAAGTTTTACCAAGAACCCTGAATTTCCTAAGTCTTGGCAAAATTCAAACCCGTGTCCATTTTCGAAAAAGGAAAGAATTATGCCATGTGGTGATTTTCGTAGTCAAACAAACAATGTAAGTTTTCCTGCAGCCGAACTTTGCGTTTGCGGGAGTGACTAAGTGCCGGGATTACCATGGAGTGGAGAAACTCCGCAACGAACGGAATACTCAAATCTGACTCGCTCGCTTCCCATAAGCATTCGCATCGTGCCGGTCGCGCTTCTTCCTAAAGGCACGGCTTACCGGACCTCGACCAAAGAGCACGTGTTTGCACCCGCCAAGAGGCGGTTAGCGAAGGCTTGGCGTCTTGAGTCATTGTAAATCTGAATGGTGCATGATACCCAGTCCATGGAACATGCGGATTAGCATTAGTACTTGAGTACAGTAGAATAGGCCTTATTAGGCTACCTGAGCTTCGAGGGGTCAACCATCAACTCTGCAAGGAGCGGTGGACCACGATCGCTCGCATGGCAGCCTTTTTCGAGCCATCTTGCAAAATCGATCATTATATTCAAGAACTATCGAGAGGATAACAAGACTAGTTCTTGTTTGCGGTGGACTCCGAGTTGGTGTCGTTGGCTGCAGCATCAGGAGTAGGTGAATAAGCATATTTGCTCCATTTTCTGATTCTGGCGCCATAGATGTAAAATGCAAAAGGAATAGCACAGCATGCTAGCGAAATGAAGGCCATTAAACTAGACGCCCATTGATAGCCCAGTCTGTGATACATTTGAATGGTGAAAAGAGGAACACAAGCTCCCCACACTGATCTGACGAACGTCTTTGCGGCCAGGGCAGAAGCTGCGTAGTGCTGATACGAGTCCACGATATAGTTGTTGGCCGGATTGTAAAGAAGATTGAAACCCAGTCCGCACGCGAATCCCGAGAAACAAGGTCCTGCCCAGGAGATGCGAGGATACGAAGACCACGCAAAGGAAAATAGTCCAACAGGAACAAACCAACACCCAATCATCATCGGAATTAGTCGGAGCTCAGCAGGAGGAATCTCGCCTTTCCTTTTGTAAGCTTCAGCCCTTTCATTGTATTTCTTGTTGATTATAGGTGAGGCAGCAGTAGCAACCAAAACACCAACGGCAATTGGAATGAACATGAGGCCGGTCTTGGAATCGGACCATCCCTTACCTTCACTGTAAACCACAGGAAATGCAAAGAAGAACATGTAAAGCAGACCGTAAATGACAGACATGTACATGGTGATCAGGAACACAATTAGTTCCGACAGAAGGATCAGTGGCCTAAGCAATGTCTCCTCCACAACCTGCTTGGTAGTTCTGACCTTGAGCTCAGGCAGAGCTCTGTATCTATCGTCACCTGTGATCTTTCTGAGCTTCTTAGCTCTAGCCTTTAAAATTGTGCTGTGCGAAGTTTCAGGCATCAAAACGACAAACAAAACGTATATGGCGCCGCTGAAAATCAGCAACACCCAGTAGAGCCATCTCCAACCTGCATTATCACCAATAAACCCACCGATCAAGGGACCAATGACGGGACCAATGAAAGGAGCAGCAGAAAAGACAGTCATAGCTAGACCTCTTTCTTTGATTCTCCATAGATCTGCCAAACTACCCCCAATCAAGCACATTGGTGCCGAAAAAGCCAGACCGTCGATTAGTCTGCACACAAGCAGAGTTCCGATGTTCTTGGCCACAGCACATGGAATGATGAAAATCACTGCAACCAGTAATGTTGAAAAGTAAACCGCGTTTCTTCCGAATTCCTCTGACAGAGGAGCGAACATTAAAGGGCCAAACCCAAAGCCCAAAACAAATAGAGTAACGGTGAGAATAACAACTTCCTGGGAGACACCAAAAGTTTTCATTGGCCCCTTTATATATCCCGTCACAATAGCAGATGCCAATGCGACATCGAAGCATACGGTTCCCAAAAGCACAGTCAAAAACCACTTATAGCGTGTGCTCCAGTTTTGAGGATTTTTCTCGTCACCGTCCACGAACACAACAAGTCTCATCTGCGTCTCCTCAGAAATAGGATATCTCCAGGGATCATTTTCATGAAAGTCTGTGTCCGGATCGGGTGTGAACTCGGACACAGTTTTTTCGTGGTCAATCGGCTGCTCAACTGGTCCTAAACCTCCATAGCCTTCTTCATAGTTTGAGAGAAGACGCGAGATGGCCTGTGAATGATTGCTGATCAGTTTCTCTAGCTTTTGGCGATCGTCTTCCTCGTCATTTGTTTCGCCGTGAGTGAATTTCTTAACCAGTCCACTGATTTTGGAAATAGTACTCGTCAATTCATGACCGTCATTCTGATGCTCCTCGCCTCTGTAAGCTCCAGATTCAACGTCTTTATATTCCTGGACATTGCTGTCCATCGACTCTATATCGTCTATGCTCATGTCAAATACCAATCTAGACTATAGACTTTCCAGCCCTTAAATACTCCCTGGAGCTTGCTTCAGGTGTGAGGCCCCTAGCTGGCTTCCTATTGTTTTTCCTGCGTTCAGCCGCATAATAAATCACTCAACTAAGCCGACAGCCGATATTTTCTTGTAGCCCATTGAAAAAACTCCAATGCGGCTTTTCGTAGCCTGAAAAAGTCGGGCGCGACTGGCATACTTTTGCCGGTATTAATGATCTAAGTAAGTTTCTAGTTATTATTTGATTACGTAAGGCAAACGGATTCGAGCCGAGCCGACATTGCGGCTCCCTCAATCCGAGTCATTAGGCCATTATTAAGGTCGCGTTCAGTAATCGCGCGTGCGGATCTTATCCAGCACCTCGGGGTAATCTCTGAACACTTCGTTGAACCTATCGGGATAGCTTACTTGGTAAACCTCCGGGTCCTTAGCGAGCGCCAAAAAAAATGTTGCCGTTCCTGATCTAATGACCGAACTGATAATATTGCATATTTGCAAGGAAATCAAAAACGTGAATGCAACCACTGGAGCATAATACGTGCCTTGGGCGTTGTAGCCCGGTTTAGTGAATCTCAGATACAGATAAGCCAGCAAGGCACACACGTACCCAACAAAGGTGCAGTACATTCCCAAGGCTGTTCCGATTAGACAATCATTGACCAAGGCATCCATTCCCTTGTAGCTGAAAATGTAATGGGTGTCTCTGGCAGACTTCAGGTAGCTCTTGCCATAGAAGGCCACATATGAATACGCATAGTGATTGAAGTATCTCACCAACCACTCGATCACGTAAATGAAGCATTCAGTGCAAAGCAACAAGCAAGCTTGAATTCCCTCCCCGTTGTTCAGAGCATTTTGTCGGGCAATTTGGACTCCTTGACGCAAAAGCTGGATAAATGTGACAATCAGCGAACCGAAACAAATAGACCCAAATGAATAGGTCAGGGCCCTTTTCAGAGCACCCAGAGCCTGGAATTTTGGCATACCGGCGGCGGACTTCGAAAGATAGTACCAGGTACCAAAAATTCCACTCACAGTGACATGTATGACATTCTTCATCACTTCACTGATGTAATATCCGGCAAAGAAGACAAAAACAAGCAGTCCAACCAGTCTGGCATGATTATAGCTCTCCGAGGTCTCGTCGCCCCATTTCATGTAGGAGGCGACCACAGTGGCAGAGAAGAGCGCTGAAAAAGCACCTATTCCGAGGAACCCAATTGCGGTAATGATCCATGTACTAGGATACTGTTTCATCACATCGATAATAATTGTAAGAACGGTCGCGCTAAACGGAATTCTGGATCTCATTGTCCAGTACGAAAATGCTGTGAGTGCGGCAAAGATAAGAAAAACGATACCTGCCGAGTAGTAGCCCTTTGCAAGGTAAGCAATCGACGTTCCCAAGCCTAGGATGACATTCAATATCAACGAAGTTGTAATGAAGTTCCTTGGGAATATACGAGCAACGGCGATGGTAGCCAAGGAAAGAACCAAGGCAACCACAATAACAAATGCAAATAAAATTATGGTGTTGGTGTTCAAGGAGAAGGAATTGTCAGAATCATAGATAGAGGAACCCTCATACGAATACGAGGTGGCGTAATTTCTCAAGGTGATACCCGCAACAACAAAGAACCCAGCAACTGTAGCCAGAAACAGAATGGTGAATGGAACGTCGTGGAACTTCGGCTTCTCGACTTTAAATGTTTCATCAAAGGTTTCCTTACCAGGTTCAGGGGCTGGGGGGCGATCGTAATAATAATTCTGGTTCAGCTTCTCGTTGGCGGATAAGTAATTACCTTGCTGATGGTACATAGGCGGTGGTGCGTTGAAGGCCTGCTGGGGCTGCTGTTGGTAATAATTCGTCTGAAACATTGAGTCTTGAATTGAACTCGCAAGATTGAGTAATTCCGCGAATTAATCTCGATTACTTCGGTGAAGATGAGTTAGATTGTCAAGCATTTTCTGGAGCTATTTTTTTCTTGTATTGCACGACTTTCGTTACCCTTTACAGAATATGTATCTTTTTCCATGTGTCAAAGAGTGGCTTTATTCCGGGGTAAAAAAACCGCTACTTCTTGAAAAACATTTCGATATCATTTTCCAGCTTATCTGTCTCGTCATCTGTGGTGTCAAGAAAGAGAACTGAAGTATTTTGCAAATTCTTTTCTACGGTGTCTTTGACTTCTTTGGGTGGAGTTGTTAGATCGATTGTGGGGGTGTTCTGTTTGGTATCAGGGCTCTTGAACAGAGACGTTCGAAGCCCGCTTACGTCAACATCAAGTCGACTGCGTCTCTTTGTTGGCGATTCCAGAATATCCGAGTCCTCATCAGCAGACTCATAAGATAGATTTGGTTTGCTTTTGAGTGGAGAAGAGCTCTGACTTCTCTCTTTTCCTGGATCGAGCTTGCGTTTTATGGGCGATCTTAAAAGATTATCAAGAGTCGACAACTGCCGTTTCGGGGATTTTTTCGGTGATTTGCGCGGCGACTTACGGGGCGATTTTTTCTCGGTAGCTTTGATCTCGTATTGTTCGATCAATCTCCTTCCGTGAGACGACAGCTCGAGGAGATATTTCGGAACCCATGTAGAATCCAGTTTTTGTTCAGAATGGTCTATAAGCCGGTAGTTTTCATCATAGAGCTCTCCTTCCTTCAAAAATCGTCCAAACACTAATTCGCGATTGTACTTCACCTGGTACTGCTCCTCTGACCAAATAGGAACGTAGTACTCATCGGCACGTCTCTTCAAAGGAAACTGGGCTTTCTTGTACATATTGACAAATATCTCGGCATTCTTGAAGTAATCCAAGTTGTGGATCACTCTGAGCATATAGCACTCAGCCAAATGCTCCACCAAGAAGTCCCTGGTGCTACGTTGCACAGGAAGCCGGATATCGCACATTTCGCGGAAATTGGGTTTTTCAAACCATGCGACGGTGCTCTCATCACCTTGAAGCGCATCTTCTGAGGGACGGCTGTCGTGAACAGTCGTCCAAAGTGAACCACGACGTCTAAGTTTGATCGACTCATCGTGCAGTTTCAAAGAGTTTGGTTGTGGCAAAGTGGACAGCCTTATCGTTGATGGATGCGAGTCGACGCAATTTGTCTCGTATTTTCTGAATGCATAAATTTCAGGACAAAGATACGGATAAAAATGGATCATGAAGTAATAGTCTGAAGGAAAAGATACCGTACCGTTGAACTTCCTTCCGAAATATGTCTTGCTGTTTCGTGCAAGCGATTCCTGTAGCAATTTGTTCAAGTTGCTTAGCTTTTTGTCTCTCTCGTTCTTGCTGAAAGGCACCAGACCCAACAGTTTTTCTTTTCCCACAGCAACATAAATTTGCTTTAATTCTTCAGCAAAATCGATTGCACTCTCTATCTTGCTCCCTACTTGAGCCAACGCAATACAACGGGTAATTCCTAATCCGCTGATTCCTTGACTGAAATCACTGCCATTTATGCAGGTTAGGAACACCATTCGGTCCCTGTCAAGCCCAAGTACCTCTTCAATCTTCGACATTCGGTATGGAGTCACATAAAACTCCGGTTCTTGTCGATCTATATTTGCCTGTGTTGCGGGAGCATCTGCAACCCAACGGCTGAAGTTTTTGAGAATGATCTGCGCCCCGTACACAAACCCATCAGCATCATTGCTAATAATCGCGTCAATCACACCACAGTCGTTCAATCGGGCAAGTTCAATTTCAGCTTCCCCTGGCGCCTGGACATAACTGATATTCCATAAGTGTAGTAGGTTTTTTATCAAATAAACAATCTTCGCCCCTGGCTCGTCGTATAAGCCGCTTTGTTGTATTTCTTCGTTCGTTTCAAGGTACTCAACATAATAGTCATCGTCAGTGTAAAGAACGTCTCCCCATCTTCTTTTGTGTGTCTTATAGCGGCCGTCGAATACAAAGACAAAGGAGATGTGCAACTTTATGAGCTCCCTAATACGGGAACAGAAATTCAGGATCACTTTGTCATCACGAATGCTGGCTACATCTCCTTTATATTGGGAAGGTACCTGGGTAAGTTCGAAGATCCATTGGTAAACGTCAATTCCCACTCGTAAATGTCTTGCTTTCTCCTTGTAAAATTGCCGAGCATATACCCTTATGGGAAGACGTTGATCCTCAATCCCATACTCGGAAAACTTTTCCCAGAGACCTGGGATAGTCATCAGGAGAATAAAAGACTTATCCGTAAATTTAAAAAACTAGGAAATTTGATTTTACAATGAACCTCCAAACTCACTACAGGTAATTGATATGTCAACCCTTATTACATACAAGACCCATATACAAGAAATGCAATCACATCAAACAACTTCGCTAATGATAGCGGCAGCCTCTCTGTATGTAGCCAGTAGTTTTTCACACTTCTCTCTCTCCTGACTCAAATTCTCGTCCTCATAAAGCAGCTCATCGAAAAGTTCTTCACGGTACAGCTTTTGCACAAGAGTGTTCTGGACGCTTTCCTTTGAGAAGTTGACCAGCAAGCACATGATAGCTTTAGGGACTTGGTCTTGAATCATCTCTCGCACAATGTTGAAGTAGGAGATTATCAATCTGCGAATGAGCTCGCACTCAAGCTCTTCTCGTTCAGAGAGCTCTTCCTCCTGCGTCAAGTTAAGATGTTCCATTTTCTTCTCTATAGGAGATTGAGAAGGTATGTTGAATTGCAGGCCATCGGGCTCACTTGGGAATTGGGAAGTTTGGGGCTTGCTTGGTGGAGACGAAGCATTTTGAGATTGATCTTTGCCGAAGAAAAAGTTCAAAAAGAGCTCCTTGTCGCCATTTGCGGATGTGTTGGAAGGTTTTTCCTCCAACTCTCTCACCTCCTCTGCCTTGGATCCGGCATCTGAATATTTGTGCGATGAGGTGCCATTTTCAAGAGGAACTGACCCGTTGGGCGACTTGGCATGGTCCTTGCTTTTTTGTTTCAGCTTCTGCTTCTGTCTCTCTTCCACAACACTTGACATAGCAGCTGCTGCGCCGACAAAATTCGGATGGTTCGTGTTGATGTAAGCTCTGTGAATCTCTATCAGGCTTTCCACATATTTTGTAGTAGGGCCCAGCCTTTCTCTCAACAGTTCAGATACCGTCTCGATCAATCTGGTCTGTAGCTTTGGGTATCTGCTAAGCTCCTGAGAACCACAATTGTGACATATTTTCATGAGCTCCTCATACACAAGTTCCACACATCTGTGGGAAGGATTCTCGAGGAGTTTGATTTGTGGCTTCACTAGGAGGTCAAAAGCCAGCTCAGGAACAAACAGTGAGGGTCTTGGGCCGGTCGAGTTTCTGATTGCAGTTCTAATATCTTGAACCGGTAGATTTGAAACAGGGTTGATTGATAAAAGAGAGTTTCCAAATACTTCATTGTAGATATAATAGATTCTTGCACCCCCACATAGCTCCTTAGTACTGATCTCGCTCGAGTTACCTTCGATAGAGCTTATGAAGTTGTTGGCAAACTTGTTCATCAGCATCAAAATAAGAGATCCCCTGTTTTGTTTCGACACTATATTGAGATCACCATAAGAAGCCAGCTCCTGTTCCGTCTGGCCCATCAAAGTATTGAGTTTCGCTTTGATGTCTGGTAGTCTTTCTCTGATATGATGCATCAGTGTTTTGTTCAGAGTCTTGGCCAAAAACGCGGTACCACATCTAGCCGCAATATTCTTATAGGCAGGATGCGACCGAAAGAATTCCTCTTCAGCTCTCAGACTTTCCTCTAAAGATTTATTGACGGATATATCCTGCTGCGACCGATTGACCACACCAATGAAACCAAGCTTCAGAGGATATACCTTGCCTGTCAGAATGTCAAGGGCGTTTGTGCCATGGTCCATCAAGTCAAGCTTGGAGAGAATACCGATGGTTCTCTTCCCGAGAGGGTCGACCTGTCTGGCAAGCTTCAATGATTCGGAATTCACTAAATCCACGTTGGCTGGAGAAACAGCTAAAATGATAGAGTTTGGCTTGGAAATATATTCCAGAATAAGGTTCTTGATCTGTTTTTCGATGTCGGTTGGTTGGTCGCCAATAGGAATCTTCGTGAGACCCGGAAGATCGACCATGGTCAAGTTGAGGACTTTTGGGGAATAAATCTTTAAATTGATCGGTATTCTACTGATTCCTTTGTTCTTCCCGGCGATTCTGGACGTCTCGTTTTCGATTTCCTTTCTAATGTTGTTGAAGTTGTAGAATCTCTTGCCAGGGAGATGCAGGAACTCCCCCCATTCGGCAGGCTCGACCTGGCCGGGGCCTGCATTCCTAAGATGATCTTCCAAAGTGACTTCCGAATGATCCTGGTCTGCCTCAAAATCCGATTTATGCACCAAAGGGTCGTCTTCTTTGATATTGATCAGTTGCAAAATCAAGGGCCGCCTGGTCACAATTCCGGTACCTCTAGGAAGGAAGTCTTTGCCGACGATGTTCTCCAAAACGGACGATTTACCGGCAGACTGAGATCCTATGACCGTTAAAATGGGCAAGTCCAAGTCGGTCAAGTTGGTGTTAGTCACAATGTCCTGCAACTTGTTGACAGTGGGAATTAGGTCTTGCAATGCCGCCATGATGCCAAATGTTGCCAATTCACAAAGATGCTATCGATGGAGATCCTCAACGTATGGGGATTTGAGAAACTGGCCAGTTACTGATCAAATCTACAAGATACTCAAACGCGTAAATTGCTGGTATTGATGCACAACTGGAAATTAAACTATGACAGAGGGCCAATCGAAAAAGAATTCGAGAGGGTAATATTTTCTTTTAGACTACTTACATCATGACAATTGTTTTGTTGTAGATTTCTTCCTCTTCACCAGCATTCCCAGGTCTGTTACAGGCCGTTTGTGAGACTCCGGCATAGACAAGGAAATTGCATTGTTTTGTTTTCCTGTAATTTCTTGCAGCTCAACACCGTACTCTAGCAACCTATCGTATATGGCTTCCACCTCGGAAGGATCACTGTAGTCAGTTTCGGTGAACACTTTCCTAACATTTGCAAAGTCTTTCCCTTTCAGCATACTAAAAGGCCCCGGAGAAGACTCGTAGCATTTCCCTGTGACTCCAATTAGCCCAACGATACGACCAAGTCTGAATTCCTGTCTAATAGCGAGCTCGGTCCAAAACTGACCTAGAGACACCTTTTTTGCGCGGTTTTCGACCACCAGGTGCTCCAAAAACCTTCCCTTTGGATCATCGGGAAGAAGTGGAATGTTATAGACGGCCAACTCGTGAGTTTTTCCCGGTCTATTGTATATGCTACCAATTTTCCAGTCGTCCTCTGGAAAGTACCTGCTGATTTGACGAGGCTCCGAATTCAAGATATCAACGTATTTCTGGACACTCTTAAAAGACTTCTGGACGCTCGAATTGATCGATTTCAGCCACCACTTGAGCAGCGCTCCATCATCCAGTATATGCTTGCCTTTATTTTTATTTGAGTTGGGGAACAAATATTGATTCTCCGCCCGCGTGAATAGCACCAAATCTGTTTGATAGTCGGAATTGGTGAGCGCAAAGAAGCGAGAAGGCACTTGGTAGGTTTTTGACTCAACAATTTGAGGCAGTCCGTAGTCTTTGTCTCCTTTGGCTCGTTCAATTAAAATGTGCAAGGCTCTCTGAATCGGTGACGTAAAAGGAGGGTGAGGTTTGAGGATAGTTTTATACGTGTGCTTCACTCTCAGATCCCTGAGGTATTGGGTGATTGGATATTCAAATAGCCACTCCAAAATTTTTTGTACCACCGTCCCCACTTTCACCTTGGTCAGTCCTGTCGTGTCCACCTTTGAGACATATATCGTGCGCTTCAAAGTCTCCGCAATTGTCAAGTATACGTACACCTCTGTTGCAAGGACTGGAGTTTGGTTGTAGAAAAGAACGACAAAATGAACGGTCTTTACTGTATGTGGACGTTCAGGCTGATGCACAACGGGCTTACTGAGCTTTGGGATACTTTGCAAGTTCGCAAGAATGAAATGCTCGCCTTTGGGCAGCACACCTTCAAGAGACTCTGCCAACGAGGTCATATCCTACCATCAATACCTGATTACTATCTAGATATTTTTCTCGCGTCGTGCCGACGCGTCGACGCTATGCATCTATGTACTCGTTAGGATAAAAGATTAGTCGTTCAATACCATCCTTTGTCAACACCACCAGCCGAATCACGCCACCAGATGATCCGTCCCATCTAATGGCTTGCGAAAGCGACGTCTTGACAAATGATACCGTCTCATCTTTCGTCATGTCTTGCTTGAAATTCTTCTTGCAATAACCATAGATGAAGGCAGAACCAGAACCAGCAATTGCGTATTCGTGCTTGTGAATTGATCCTCCTAAAGGAATACTGTAGACCTGACCGCCGTTTTTCTCATCGTAGCCCGCACAAATGATACCTGCAGTGAGCATCTCTTTATTTGCGTAACACAGTTCTTGGAACAGCGAGGCGGCAATTTTGGTCGTTGGAGGCCTTCCGTTGTTTGCTTTGTACATTTCCAAGTGGTATTTCACTATATCCGCAACTGCTTGAGTATCTGCTGCCGATCCAGACCGACAGCACCATATCTTATCGTGAATCTGCGTCAATTTGTCTGTCACTCTGTTGGCAATGTAAGAGCCCGTGGTGGTCCTACTGTCTGCGCCCAAAATAACACCGTCCTTGAACTTCACTGCCATTATTGAGGTACCAAGGCTGACCTCGCCCTTCTTCAATTGCCCCACATCAACCGAGATGGAGTCCATATTGTATAATTGAAAGTAATTTTTTCGCCACTCAATAAGCATCAGCCCGGTGCAGAGATGGACAAAATAAAATCAGGCTCCAAAAATTTTCAACTTTCACAATTTATCGATAATGACCGTGCCAGCATTCGATTTCTCCAAGCTTTCGTCTCCAAATGATGCCTGGGGACCTTCCAGTGTGATTCCCGATAGCTTACAATTTAATGGTGTTCCGTACGCTCCTTTCTCCAAGGCAGACAGACTGGGAAAGGCCGCTGACTGGCAACAGTCGAAGGAGGACGAATTGAAACAGCAGCAGCTGAAAAATCAAAACCAAAAGCGCAAGGATCACTATCACGCCTATGGTGCTTCTGCAGCCAAGCTCTTTGGTGCTGAAGAAGAGGAGGAAGAATTCAGCGTGGTGGACAACAGCAACGCTATTCCTGCCAATCAACAGACCGTTCTGCGGGGCAGAAACAGGGTCGCCAACCAGAAATTAGGTGGTAAGCCCGGTAATGTTGCCAGAAACCAACCCTCCCGTCCTCAACAAGGCCATCTAAACACTAACATGAATCCTAACTATAGAAACTTCAACAATAGGTACAAGAAGGACGACAAGGTGAGAGAACCATCTCTCAAGGTAAACACTAAGTGGCACTCAGTTTCCGAAATTGAGTTCAACAAGCTCACCAAACTAAATCTGGAAGTCGGAGAAGGTACAGATCTAGAATCTTACGGAAGCGTTCACGGCTACGTGAAGAAATTCGAATCTTTCAAGCAACAGGCATTGAGTGTTGTTGACAAAGTGATTCTGAATCCAACCACATCAGAAGACCCTGTGATTCAAAGGTTAGCCAGCGAGAAAAAGGCGTCTGTTTTCGTGACAGACTCGATTCTCTCTCAACTGATGTGTGCTGCCAGATCGAGTTACTCCTGGGACATCAAGGTTACCAAAAAAGACGGCATCATTTATTTCGACAAGAGAGAAAATACCGACAGATTGGAGGTGGATGAAAACAGCTACAATGCCCCGATCGACCTCCCTGACTCGGACGTGAACAGCGCCTCAAACTTGTCTTTGGAAGCCACTTTTATCAACAACAACTTCTTGGCCAATTCTTTGGACTCGTCCGTGCAGGAGTTCGAACATCCTGAGAACCCGTTCGTGTCCAAGGCTACTAGCGAGTCGCTGCTGAACAAGGGCTACAAGTACAGAAAGTTCTTGCTTCCTTCTGTCAGTGACAACTCGCGGAAACTCGACATTATTGTGAGAACCGAGATTGACGCCTACTCCAGGGAGCAGAACAAGTATCTTTCTATCAACGCATTGAACCAGTACGCCCCATCGCCATCCAACGACTGGAAGAACAGACTCAGTGGGTCCAGAGGTGTGATCTTTGCTGAGGAGATCAAGAAGAACAACAACAAAATCGCCAGATGGACCACAAAGTCTCTTTTGGCTGGAATCGACAGCATGAAAATTGGTTTCGTGTCCAGAGCAAACCCAAAAGACAATACCAAGCACATAGTGGCGGGTGCTTTGACGTTCCATCCTTCTGGTCTCAGTGCCCAAATAAACTTGTCCCTCGGAAATGGCTGGGCTATTGTCAGGTCCATCTTGGACATTATTGAAGCTGACGGAGGAAAGAGTGACTACACCTTCATCATTCTGAAGGACCCAAATTCCCCAAAAATTACGATTTACAAGGTGACAGAGTAAGTATTAAACGTAATTATATTTCATCGCGTTGTATGAATACGTTGTCTTCATCGAGATACGTTCGCTCGGTGCGGACTCGGCGCGTCGGCGTCGAGATGTCTCCTTTTTCGGGCGACCTCTGTTTGACCTGGCGATATTGGCTGCGACGCTGCTCGAGGTACATTCTTCGAACTCGTTCTGTAGCAGGAATTGAATTTGTCCGTGCAACAGCAGGCGTGCGCAGCCACCTTCCGGGCGTCCCCGAAGAAACCCCTGGCGTCTCTGGAACAATTCCGGTGAACCGTCGGCGTTGGGCCAGCGGAGATAATGACGAGATCTCGTTCGTGTCCACGAAAACGTCCTCTCTATTATTTTTCTTTTCCTCATAGCTGAACTTCCATATATCAAAAAACACTCTCTTTTTATTCCGCGACCATCTCTCTTTGAAGCGGTCAGCATTTCGCAAATCATTCTGGATCTTGATCGCCTTGAGTGACATTTGCGACACAATGTGAGAAAGGAGATCGACATTGCTCACCTCCAAATGGTGATCGCAGATCTCGTTCAGTTCCAAAATTCTATCATAACCACGGAGCCATTTGTTGAACATTTTTGTCTCCAGAGACAATGTCCTGAAACTTCTTGCATCTTGGTCATCTCGAACATGGTCTTCCCATTTTTTCTTCCAAAGATTAAGTATCCTGGCTTCGCAATGAGACGTTTCAAAATCTGCGAGCTGGACTTCCAAATTCATATTCTTTTCTTGAGCCTTTTGGAATGCTTTGATCCAAGCTTCCATTACCGTCGAAATGAGCTTCCTCTCGTGTTCTTCATCACGTTCTAACCGCCACTCCTCAGCGCGCACTAGTAGATCCCTGGAGTGGGCCAGCTTCGAAAACCAGAATCTTAGAATTGATTTCTTGGTGAAAGTCGAACGGAACTTCTCGGCCTTCCGTTGGTGGTTGGATCGTGTGACAGTCAACGAATACCACCGCTCAAACATCTTCTGCGTCAATCTGTCAGCTCCGCCTTGCAAAAATACATCCTCACGCGTGCGCAATCGCCATGTTTGCATATATTTTTTCAAGATAATAGCCTCTCTTTGACGATACACTTTGGATTCCTGAAGGACCAGTTTCCAATGGCCCAAAACTCTTTGCAATAAAGACTGCCTTCGGAAATCGTCTGCTACTGAAAGCAGCCGCCGTGCTGTGTTCCATTTATTGAAGAATGTCACTAAAATTTCGGCATTTCTTCGCTCAATATACTCTTTGTAAACTTTCTGATGTCGATAAAATTGCTTCCAATTCTCAAAAATCCAGTGCACCAAGTGCCGGTTGTTCTTACTGCATAGCTCTCCTTCTAGAATGTGAAAATTGTATGCCATGACCCATCCATGGAAATAATTAGCTTGAATAAAACGGTCTTCATAATACTGCAGCCTTTTCGCCTTTTTTAGTCCGGGCGCTGATTCATTGAGCCATACGTTGAAATAATGTGACTTGATAAGAACATCTCTGGCTTGGTCAGCTCTCCATATGAGTTGACGATGATTTCGAAATTTCTGATGCCATCTGGTTAGCATCAGCTGAAGCGTCATCTTGTCGTTAATCATGGAGAGCTTTGAGCTACGAGCCATTGAAGCCGTCCTCCAAAGCCTAAAGAATCTCTTCTTGAGGAAAAAAGACTCTTTGCCGTCTGGACGAGTGCACTCTTTGAAGCGCTCGTATTTCTGCTTCCATTTGAGAAACATCTTAGAAAGGGCAAACAAATCCGCTTTGTGTCTACTTCGCGTTCTTCTTTCCACTTGCCGGACCCATTTTTGAATTTGGTTCCTGAGGAGTTTTGTGTTTCGGATCTGAATTGCATCTTGATTTTTGACAAGATAAAGTTGGCTCTTGTCGTACCATTTTTTCAGGAATGTGGAGATGATAGATTTCTTCCAAATGTTTAAGAGCTCGCGATCTGTTCGCACGTACGTCATTGAATCAAACCAGAGTCTCAGATATTTGCTCTTGAGCTCAACTTCTTTTTTCACACACACCAACGCATATCGCATACCCGCAGACGGTAACTGTTGCCCGCGGAACGAAAACATCTCTGAACTTGGAATGAGAGACAAGGCCAGCAGGTCTTCTTCGAAAGAGTTGGGTGTGACTTCTTTTTTGTTCCATTTGAGAGCTGCGCGCCTAACTTCTTGGTAGTATATATCGTCGCTTAGACTCTGCCCGTCCTCTCTCAACAAGTCAATATATTTTTCAAGTATACGGGTAAACCACCTCACAGAGAGAGGCGCTTTCTTGCGTTCCATATACCTTGCCAGTACTCGATCTATTAAATTCAAAATCTCTGTGACGTCTTCATCGTTCGTATCACGTTGATCATTTTGCATCAATTGTCGTATTATGGGTTTTAAGATGGGAATAATTGGGTTAAGCGATAGATAGTCGTCAATCTTTCGTTCGAGAACATCTCGATTCTGTGCGTTGCGGAGAGGATATTTGATGGTATTGAAGATCCGCAAATGATATTCACTGACCAGCTGCAGGTCATATATCACCTTGACACAGTTGATGCTCATAAAGGTTTCCACCGTCAGCCTTGCTGCTTTCTGGATTTTAGAAGGTGCTGGCGCGCCGGAAGGCACAGATGCTGTCAGCATCAATAGGCTTTGTTTATAGCACGTATTGAACGACTCGTTGTTTGTTTCGAACATGAGTGGGACCAGTGACTCTTCTTCTTTCATCAAACCACTGTTAGTATCCTCCAAGAGCTGTCCAGCCTTTCTATGGTAGTATAGTTCATACTCATAAGCTTGCGACACACAATCCATCAGACGTGATTTTGTAGAGAGATTTGATACAACGTTCTCAAGCTCAAATAGAACTAGTCTTATCTTGTTTATCATGCTTAGTTCCTGTGTGATGTTTTGCCGCAAATGAGGCCCTGTTTCCTCCTCAATGGAGCGTATCAGGGATTTGGTCAATAGCACATCACCAACAGCATTCTGCACTGGAAATTCGGTGTGATGGTCGTTGCCCCTCAGACATTGAAAGCTCGCTCGCCCAAGATGCGATCGTATCTCCAGGCTCAAATTGGTATATTGTAACTGATCGAACAAGTGCTCATCGATTCCCAGGATTACCTGCCAGAGAATACGAATTTCTCTCAATTTTAGTTTATCCACATCGGAGTTAGAACCAAGCTCACTTAGGACTCGAAGAAGGTCTAGCACATCGCTTAGATCGTGCGTATTCAGCTCATGTGCCATGAGTTCTATCATATACTATAAAATGACCATGAACAAAGCGCGTTCAATTATTTATATTATTTTTTTCCTTGGAGAAATCAAACGGTTGGTACTTTTCCCGAAAAGCGTCCTTTTGAGACGCTTCCTCCAGTAGCGTCTCTCTGCATTTATCCCATATAACTCTGCGGCCTAATTTCATCAGAAATGCTAGAACTCTGCGCGGGAACTGGAGATCAATGTTATCTTCGACCAGCTCAAACACATACCGGGTCTCAGAATCAGGACCAACTATGCGAATCTGCATATAATCCCCATTGTTTATTAAATGGGAAAGCTTCTCATTTTCCATGTCCTTGGTGTATACTAGGGTGGAGCCATACATTTTCTGGTTATATGCAATCTGTTTTTTCATCTGTGTCTCGAAATGTTCCTCTAGTTTTGCTTCCAAGGGAACGAATTGAATGTGGTGATGAATGGCATTTGCTCTAGATATTTCCCAGAATACCACCTTGTAGTCGCCCAAAGAGCTGAACATAGAGACAACGGACTTCTGGTACTGAGCGACCTCCTTGAATAATTTGGTTTCCTCCACTTTCTTATCAGGCTCTTCGGCATCTCTGTATTTACTGAATGTCGGATAGTGACCAATCGGGATGATTAAGCCATGGCCCGAAAATCCTAACCTGTCTCTCGTTGTTAAGGGCCCCTTGGCAACAGTCATGTAAGAACAGTCTGCGATAGAAATGATCATGTGTAGCTCAGCCTTAGCATTGGAGACACAGAAAAAACAGTTTTCGGGTGCAACCTTTTTCGTCTCTCGCTTTGTTCTCACCTCAGAGCCTTCAAACTTCCTTTTGCGGCTTTCGGTTTCAACCGGGGCTTCTAGTTGCCTTATTTGCGGTTTCTCCCCGAATTTCGACACTCCTTCTTTGTCCATTAGAGGATCGAGGTTCAAATTGAAAGCATAGTACCACTTATCTTGCGTCCCTTGTTGCCCTAGACTGATGAATCTTGTGACACGGTCATTATCCCATTTGAATGGTAATCGTTCAAAAAACTTGCCACTCTCAGAGCCAACGCAGAACCAGTATCGAGGACGAGTCCATTCAAGCAGATCATTCAATCTAGAATCTCCCACGAGAGACAATGTCTCTTCTTTGGCAATACTGGTTGGCCATTGGTAGGTTATAAGGATGTCCAGGAGCTGGTCTGCGAATACCTTTTCCAAGTCAGACTCAATATCGTCCAATTTACCAGAAACATAGCCAACACGAATACCACTTGCTAATCGAAGAATTCCGCATTGTTTCATATATTTGAGCTTGGACTTTTGGTCGCCTTCATATTTTCTGACTCCCTCAAAGTGAAAAATCGATGCAATGGGCTCCTCCAGCTCTTGAGGAAGAGAAGCTTGGTCAGTAATCACATCCCCAAGAAAAAATATTCCGTCGAACGGCCCGTGTTTTTTATGCAAATTGTTCGAGATCCTCACAGCTTTCGAAAGCTCCGTTGGACACGGATTTATAGCAAGTCTACAGGTCAGAAACTTGTTTTTTCAGTACTTACATTTTGACTGACTTCATCGAACAATATTACAGGATTAGTCCCTCGATATTTATTTTTTAACTGAAAAAAAAAGCCGTTTCTAAGATATGCGATGCGGCCTACAACAATTGATTTGTGACAGAAACTCCAGCTAGTTTTTCCCTATTTACTCTCTTGCGATCAGTACAGTGTCCCAAATGGCTCACTATATCCGTGATAATCCCTAAAGCTATTCTGAGCATTAAGTAGTAGCGGTGACAAAATGTTATTAGGGTTTAGGTTTGGATTTCCCTTGTGCTTGAAAGTGAAGCCCACAAAGCTCTTTTGATCAGTCTTCACGCTGTTATGACTCAATTTCTCATCGTTAGCACGCTTGGCCATTACTTCCTTGTATTTCGCCATGTCGTTTTCATTAGTGAAATCATCAAAGTATCCAGCATCCTCTTCATCGTCCAGCTGAGGTGTAAAGGGTGGCACGCGATCCCTCAACGATTCCCATTTGACTTCAGCGAAATACGGCATGGACATGATTTGTTTGAAAGAGCGCAATCTTTCATTAGGAGATGCAATAAGGCGAGTGATCAATTGCCAGGTGCGGTCACTGAATACGTATCTGCCATCCTCGTATCTTGGTCTTTTGAGACAGTCTTTCCATCTCTTCAAATTGCTATACGTCTCATCCGAAGAGCTCCCTGAGAATGGGGTATATCCGACAATTGCCTCAAACAACATACAACCCAGGGACCAATAGTCAATGGTATAATCGTACGACTTACCCTCCAGCACTTCGAGAGCCATGTAATCGGGAGAGCCAACGATCGAGTGTGCAAAGTGGATCTCGTTATTCCTCAGGGACTTGTACATCTGTTGTCTTTCTTTGACCGTGTGCTCCTTTGGCTTGTACTCAAGATTTTTCACTTGACTAAGTCTTAGTTTCATACTTTCAATTCTGTCTGTCGAGACAGATCCAGCAGCCAAACCGAAATCGGTCAGCTTGACATGACCCTTGGAGTCAATCAGGAAGTTTTCTGGCTTGAGGTCTCTATGCGTGTACCCAAGCTCATGAAGGGAGTTCACCGCAGCAAACATCTCGCTGATGTAAAATCTTGCGTGCTGTGGAATCAGATATCCGGCGTTGTTCAGCAGAGTACGGAAATCTCCGCCTGGAACAAATTCCATGGCCAGATACACACTCTCAGCATCCTGGAATGCATAATAGAGCTTCACGAGCCACTCGGAGCGGGTGTTGGTCAGGATGTCTCTCTCGGTCAAAACATGCCTGGTTTCATCGGTTTTGGTGAGAAGCTTTTTACTCAAAACTTTCAGAGCACAAATCTCCTTAGTATCCTTCTTCCTAGCCAGGAAGACTTGCCCATACCCTCCTTGACCAACTTGCGTGATGATGTTGAAGTCTTTGTGTTTAGGCTTGATTCTTCTTTTTCTCAGATATGCTCGCTCTTTGCCAACGTAGTTCTTCCATTGTTGCGCTCTTTCCGACGGTGGGAGCATTTGCAATGCTTCTTCGACCTGGCTCAATCGGTGTCTTCTGTTGATGACATAGTCAAACATATCACAATAATAGTCCAAAAAATACATCTGTGAGACAGTCACTAGTCTCTTTGTCTGTGCGCTGTTTGCCTTGACATAGAAATCTCTGTTCAGTCTTGCCGTCTGGGTGACTTGCATTTGGCTAACCGCAGAACGTGGTGTGCCGTACATTGGCAACGCTTGATGAACATTGCTTCTGCTAGGAGTAGCAGGCGGGGTGTTCTCCTTGTTGTACTGCACCCGCTGTACCCCATGAGGATCAAAGCTTCTGTTTGGAGAGCTGGAAGTCGACATATAAGAAACGTAGGAAGTATCCGCTGCGCCGTGCTGGTTTACGGTGGTCGGAGACCCAAAATTCAGGCTCTCCACGTCCCGCGAAAGGTCCTCCACATAGCTGTTGTCGGGCTTAGGGGTTCTGTTAAAAATACCGCCAATTAATGTCATCAACGGAAGAGCAAATACTTGGAACGATCTAAAGCTCAAACAGGACTTATTTACGCATTTTTAAAGCTATATGTTTACAGTTATCCTAATTAGGATTTTTTGAACGATCTAAAATTCGTGGCGCATGCGGTGGCACAGCGCATTCTCACGTGGCTCCTGGCAGCGTCCTTGGTACTTTGGCCCTATCGCGGCCTGCGTCTTCTGGCAGCTCCAATTGTCGCTTGCGTGCAATCTTTTCGTCGTCAAGCAGCTGTGCAACTTTGCTCGTAGCTGCCGATGTGTTTCCTGAGAACTTTTCAAGCTTGGAAGCAGCTGCCTTGGACAGCTGAGGACGGCTTCTGTTGGCTATGGCACGCGCGGAAAGCTTTCCAATCATACCCATTCCAATCTCCTCCCCAAAAGCGTCGTATTTTGTTTCTTCCTGCTCGCCGAATGCCATCCTGTTCTGTGCTTTCTCCAGATCAGACATTTCCATCTTTTCTTTCTGTTTGCGGAACCTCCGCCCAGCCCGCTTCTTAGACTTTTGGTCCACAGGCTTGGGTAGTGGTTTTATTGGACGGGCGTCTGGCGGACTTGCCAGTTTGTCCAGATGCTCACTGAGCTGTTGTCTCATCTGCATTCCAAACAAGTCGTCGGAAACAGATTTGCGCGCATTTGAGTAGTCAACCCTAGCGGCTAGAATCAGCTTTCCGGCCACCATCCGCACAGCCTTCGCTCGAAGATCCTCCGGAACGGACTGTACAAGGTCACAGTAATACAGGTACCCTTTATTTCTCACCCCTGCTGTACCTTTCATGAACGATGATCTGTTGACTCCCATGGACGGTATATTACATGACGGAACTTTGCATAGACCCTCCAAGCCGTACACGGAAAGAAATTGGGCAGCCACTGTGGGACCCACCAGAGCAGTCACATTTGGAGCTATACTTTTGGCTCTGCGAGAGACGTGGTTTCTAATTTCTGTCCTGCATCCCTCCAGTTCGAGAAGAAGGTCGCAGGCGTCGGATATGAGTTTCAAATGGTGCTGATCGAGATGATGACTATGGCTCGATTGTCTTAGAACAGATGCAGAGACCGTGAGCCCGAGAATCTCGTCTTTACGGAGATACTGCTCAAAGAGCTCCGGTCCATCGATAAGCTTTGACGGATTGTCTCCCACAATCCTCACTGTGCGAGCGTAATTGTACGGATTTCGGAGTAAATCATCGAGTTCAGGCCAGACTGGTTTATAATGGACAGTGATGAAGGAATATACCTTACCAATCTCTTCATTCAGATCGTCCAATAGATCGTTGGCATGCTGTAGTAGGTTGTCCTCGCTTTTTGAGTCCTGTTTCTCGTAGTATCGCAACTTTTCCACAAATTCGTTCACTCTTGGTAGTATATGAGAGTACTTCCTGATATCTGTGATAAGACTCAGATCTGGAACGGATATCAGCTGCTGCAAAGAAAGCTGCCCATCATCAGCATCCTGGAGTTCAGCATCAGACTCGTGGCCCTCTTCCTCGCTCGAATAGCCCGCCAATAGACTATCAGCAAGACCCATTTCGAAGACTATATTGTGCAAAGGACCGGGTAAGTGACTTTTTTTTTCTTCGTTGATAATTGAATCTTTTGACTTCTTGATTGTCAATAGTTTATGCTATTGAGCAGGTATACAGCCAGAATCAGTGCTTGTATACGAGGAAATCTAAACATATCAAGAACGTTTTCTATTTCCAGAATGAGTGAAGGACCAGCAGCACCACAGGATCCACCAAAATCAGCCAAGGAGCTAGAGAAGGAAAGAAAGAAGGCCGAGAAAATGGCCAAGTTCCTCGCTAAGCAGGCCAAGCAACAGGAACTTGCGAAGAACGCCGCCAAAAACCAGGAAAAGAAGAAGAAGGATACTAAGAAGGAGACAGAGCCGATTCCTGAGTTTGTCGACAGGACTCCTCCTGGAGAAAAGAAGATATTGGTCAGCCTGGAAGACAAGTCATTCTCTGCTTACAACCCTAAGGCTGTCGAGTCGTCTTGGTACCAATGGTGGATTAAACAAGGATACTTTGAGCCAGAGTTCACCGAGGACGGCGAGATCAAGCCAGAAGGCTTATTCTGCATTCCTGCTCCTCCGCCAAACGTCACGGGTGCTCTGCACATCGGCCATGCTTTGACTGTTGCCATCCAGGACTCGCTGATTAGATATAATAGAATGAAGGGCAAGACCGTGCTTTTTTTGCCAGGTTTTGACCACGCCGGTATTGCTACTCAGTCCGTTGTGGAAAAGAACCTGTGGGCCAAAGAAAAGATTACCAGACATGACTTGGGCCGTGAAGCCTTTGTGGAGAAAGTGTGGGACTGGAAAGAAGTCTACCATAAGAAAATCAAGTCTCAATTCCAAATGATGGGCGCCTCGTACGATTGGAGTAGAGAAGCCTTCACTCTCAGTCCAGAGCTTTCAGAGGCAGTCACCGAGACTTTCGTCAGATTGCACGAAGAGGGAACCATTTATCGTGACTTGAGACTGGTCAACTGGTCTGTTCAGCTCAGCACTGCTCTGTCTAACCTGGAAGTTGACAACAAGGTTGTTCCTGCTAGAAGCTTGCTCTCTGTGCCAGGCTACGAGAACAAAGTCGAGTTTGGTGTTCTGACGTCTTTTGCTTATCCTGTCGTCGACTCTGACGAGAAAGTCGTCGTTGCAACCACGCGTCCAGAAACCATCTTTGGTGACACGGCTGTTGCTGTTCATCCAAAAGACCCTAGATACACCCACTTGCACGGCAAGTACGTTCAGCATCCATTTCTCGACAGAAAGTTGCCGATCATCACCGATGCAGAGGCTGTGGACATGGAGTTTGGTACTGGTGCGGTGAAGATCACTCCTGGCCACGATCTGAACGATTACAACACAGGAAAAAGAAACAATCTGGAATTCATCAACATTTACACCGATGACGGCAAGCTGAACTCCAATTGTGGGGAATGGGAAGGTATCAAAAGATTCGATGCTAGACCCTTGGTCATTGAGAAGCTGAAGGAAAAGGGTCTTTATGTTGGTCAAGAGGATAACGAGATGACGCTGCCAATCTGCTCAAGATCTGGCGATGTCATTGAACCTTACTTGAAACCACAATGGTGGGTCGCACAAAAGAAGATGGCCCAAGCCGCCATTGACGCTGTCAAGAATGGAGAAATCAAGATTGCTCCAAAGAGCTCCGAGGCAGAATTCTTCAGATGGCTGGAAAACATCCAGGACTGGTGTATTTCGAGACAGCTCTGGTGGGGACACAGATGTCCAGTCTACTTCGCGAACATCGAAGGAGAAAACAATGATAAAAATGATGGAAAATACTGGTTCTCTGGAAGAAACGAGAAGGAGGCCCGTGAAAAGGCAGAGAAAGCGTTACCAGGCAAGAAGTTTACTCTTGAACAGGATGAAGACGTTCTAGATACCTGGTTCTCCTCCGGGCTGTGGCCATTTTCTACATTGGGCTGGCCTCGCAAGACCAAGGACATGGAGAAGTTTTATCCAATGTCCATGCTCGAAACCGGTTGGGATATTCTTTTCTTCTGGGTGTCGAGAATGATCATGCTTGGTATTAAGATGACTGGCACTGTGCCTTTCAAAGAGGTGTTCTGCCACTCGTTGGTTCGTGATGCACAGGGAAGAAAAATGAGTAAATCTTTGGGTAATGTGATTGACCCAACTGACGTGATCCATGGTATCAGCCTGGAAGACTTGCACAAACAGTTGCTGGCAGGTAACCTTGATTCCAGAGAAATCGAGAAAGCGAAGGCCGGCCAGAAGGAGTCGTATCCAAACGGTATTCCAGAGTGCGGTACCGACGCTTTGAGATTTGCTCTTTGTGCCTACACCACTGGTGGAAGAGATATCAACCTGGATATCTTAAGAGTTGCGGGATACCGTAAATTCTGCAACAAGATTTTCCAAGCTACCAAGTTCGTGTTGATGAGATTGGGCGACGACTACACTCCTCCTCCTACAGGTGCTCTTAATGGAGGAGAAGCTCTTGTCGAGAAATGGATTTTGCACAAGCTCTCCAAATGTTCTGAGAAGGTGAACAAGGCTCTTGACGAAAGAGAATTCTACGATGCCACACAGGCCATTTACAACTTCTGGTTGTACGATCTTTGTGACGTTTACATCGAAAACTCCAAATTCCTCATTTTGGAAGGAACAGACTCTCAGAAGAAGTCTGCTAGAGACACCCTATACACTTGTATTGACGCTGCTCTCAAACTAATCCACCCATTCATGCCATTTGTGACCGAAGAAATGTGGCAGAGACTTCCCAAGAGATCCACAGAGAAGAGTGAAACGATTGTAAAGGCCGCATATCCACAATACGTGGAAGAGTATGACAACCAGGAGGCTTACGAAGCTTACGAGTTGGTCTTGGAGATCACGAAGAACGCCAGATCGTTGCTTTCTCAATTTAACATCACGAAGAACGCACAGGTCTTTGTTGAAGCTTCCAAGCCAGAGTATGCTGCCATTGCTAGAGATCAGACCGATTCGATTGTATCCTTAATCAAGGCTGTTGACGGCATCACCGTCGTAACTGATGTCACGGACATTCCAGACGGATGTGCTCTCGCAGCTGTCGTCCCTGGCTGTAACGTCCACTTGCTTGTGAAAGGAATGGTCGACTTGGACAAGGAAATTGAAAAAGTTGTCAAGAAGCTGAATAAAGCTAAGGGTGCTCTAAATAACCTGGAGAAAATGATTAATGCTCCTGACTACGAGAAGAAGGTTTCTAAAGAAGTCCAGGAGAAGAACAGGACAACTCGTTCCAACCAGATGGCTGAGATTGAAGGTTTTGAGGCCACCATCAAGAACCTCGAGAGATTGAAGCTCTGAATATATAGTGAACCATAATAATAAGTTAGGCTTTCCATACATAATTTTGCGACACGTGACTTGCGATCGCCTGTCTGATCTGCTGGAAATTCAAGAGTATCTCTGATGCCGCACGGTCAAGAACGTCGAAAAGTTGCTGCTGTTTGAACGTGCCCAGTCCGTCGCAAAACAGAAGGTTGTCAATTTGCTGGTCTTCAATCGAGTAAACGACGACGAAGTGAGAAACAGAGCTGGCCAACTCTGATGATGTGGGAGACGTCCTAATCTCTCCTTCTGCGCTGATACTACAACAAGTAGCCATGACTGATGATTTGAGCGAGATTCCACTGTTGATGAGAGCGATGAAGACGGAATTTATGATTGCAACAAGCTGTCTTGCTGTGTAATCATTCGGTTCACCATTTTTCAGAATTTGAACCGCAATCTGTATCGTTTGGCGCGGGTACTGGTCCAAGTTTATCACGGCGGGAAGAAGCTGGCCCAGTTTGTGTTCTAATAGCGTTTCCCTTGTGGACGGCACACCAAAAGACGGCCTGATGTTTATGTCCAAATATGCCTTTGTCGGCAGCTCGTTTCTTGGTCTTGCAGCCTCTATAGGTCCCGTAACGGAACTCATCACCTTTGTGGCCCCAAACTCAAACGACGCGGATCCATCGACCTGATCGAGCGGGTCGTTCTCGACTATAATGGACATGGTAAAGCGGTGTTGAGATGTCAAAAAAATTTCAGAAAAATATTTCTTAGCACCATCCTCGTCACCATGTCTGAAGAGTGCTTCCCGCTCTCGAGCGTTTTGCCATACATGGAGGGATCCAAAATAGAGGAGATAGATCTTGGTTATCTTCTCAGTACGCTGGCGCGACCTTCGACGATCTCGAATGCATCCAAAACAGATCTCAACCATTTATGTGCCAGAGTCAATAACTATCTAAGCTCCAACAATGCCAAGCATCGCTGGCTAGGCTCAAAAATGGCGATTGTCCTCAATACACATATCGAGATTACAGCTTCTGAGTACACATCCAAGTATCTGGGAGCTTTGATCAGAGTTCTCGAATCCAAATGCTTCGTCAAAGACGAGGCCTCAGCTCCCGTCTATGCAATTGTGACACTAGAAAGCTGCTGTGACGCCCTATCATTCATAATAAACAATATCAGAGGCAAGCACGCACTGACTCGGGAAATGCTGACCCCCAAATTGCCTTCGATCATCGGATCTCTGCTTGAGATCATCAACTTGGTTCCGCAGAAAGCTATTGATCTTCTCTACGATTTGTTGAAAAACAACTCCACGACCTTCCGTCCCTTTGGCTCAAAGTTTGAAAGAGCCCTTTTGGGGCTTTTGGGATCCGATGGCTTCAACAAATTTGAACAACGGCTACAACATAAAATCCTCAAATCTCTCGTACTTCTTTCATTCAGTTTAACCAAGAATAGTACTAGTGAATTGTGGAGAACCAAGTTCAACCACTACGTTCAAGAAACGAAATCCGTCATTCAGATCTACTCCGAGTTCATGAGCCTCGATGAAGATGAAGATTTGACGCAACAGCTCAACGCTCTTCCTAGCGTACCAGAAAAATTCGAGCCACACTTCCCTCCATTGGACGTTGACCTCAACGAAAGCCCATTGCAGATTATGAAGATAGTTTCTCGAGTCGACTTGCTGGTGAATTTGCTGATCGAGTTTCTGCAAGTGCCCACTCCTCAGGTCAAGGCACCAGTCGGCTATCTGTTGATGATTGGCCAGATTCTTGTTGGCATCAACCACAAATTCACTCCTATAAAAAGAGATATTAGAGACGTGACCTTGCGCCAAATTATAGCACAGTCAGCCACGCTGATGAACCATGTCGGCCTGAAGATTCTAAATGTGTTGCCTAATATTTTTGGCGGAGACCTACTCCCGCATCTTAATTCCGTTCTTTCCTCGGTGGATACACTAATTCCGGTTAGCAGAGTCAACGGCAGAATCATAGTTGATGAGGTGGGTGTTTTAGATAATCCGGAGCTGATTTTTGCTGGTCTGAAAACCCGTATCAACTTTCTGGAGCTTGTAGAAGGATTCGCAAACATGAGTCTTTTGCACAAATCCATAGACGCAGCATTGATACTCTCGAAACCACGGATCCCTCAGGGGGTCGCTAAGACCAGCGAACAGAGGCTGAAAAATGTGTCCATGTCGGACCTTCTTTCTGATCAAAAAACTTTCATAACGGAAGCTACGCATGAACAGAAAAATGTGCTGAGACAATATTTCAAAGTTTTGCTCACCAAATGCGTTCTGAATTACTCAAAGCAGTCTGAGATTCTCCGTCTGATCATCTTGGATGCTGTCAAAGGTGCTGAGGTGAAGGAACTGCTTTATGCTGCACTGCTGTACCCTCACAAAGAGGCCCACGCTAGTGTGCTACCAATGGTGAAGCAGCTGCTAAATGATGATGAACTGGTTAGCGTCTTCTTGAATCCAAGACTTCCGGTGCTCCCTACCAAAAGAGTTGTTGATCAAGCATTAATGGAAGAAAGCGAGCAAGAAAGAGAAGAGGAAGAGGAAGAGAGACGAGTCAAGAAGATGAAGATAGAAGAAATGGAGACTACTGAGGCACCGGCAGAGGATAATAGAAAAGAGGACATGAGAGAAGAGAGAAAGGAAACGTTGGAGGCGAATTCAAATGGGGACGTTTCAGATTACGAGAGCATGATCTTCAAGCCTGTTGGACCGCTTGTGGAAAATCAGGTTGCACAACCTTCGGTCGAAAATGAGAAGCTTGTCGAAGCTGAACAAGCACCGTCAACACAATCACCACCAGGTTCTCCTTCAGATGCTGAATCCGATTTTGAGATCCCGGAGATCGATATCGACGATGACTAATGTAGCTATGGTTCGTATGGCGTTGACGTGGAGAGACGAGTCAAACCACAATTGTGCATAGCTGTTGTTCTCGCATGCCACATACAGATTGAACTCCTCGCATTTCTCAGATCGACTGAGCTGCTCGAAAAACCCACCTTTTGGCCTGCTACGTGGGACTATATTCAATGTAATATATTAGAGAGTTTATATATCTCTTCCCAGTCTCTACTTTGATTCAGAAGGTACAAAAGCGTCTTGCAACAAAAGTTGTAACAAGATAATTTTGCGCCAAACGCCTTCACCCATGCTCTCCCAAAGCCATCCCTAAGAACAGCTTATTCCCGAAGGAGGGAAACCGAGTGTGTTAAAAAACAGCGCCTAGTTTTCATCATTTCTTAGTAAAAACTAGGAAGGATAATTTTCATTCTGGAAAAAAATCCACTAAATGCATAGACAAGGTTATGCAGCCCGAGACTAAAAAAAAATTATTTTCAGATAATTTTTCAGATCAGTATGGCACCAGTGAGGAGGAAAAAGGCTGCGAGCACGGCCAGCGAGTCCGAGAAACTCACGATTGAAAGGGTAAAGGAACTCCATAACCAGATCAGAGAGTCTCCGAAATATTTTAACAATATCGCAGTACTGATAGATGAGTACAGAGCTCTTCTCAAAGAGTTTGGGACTCATACCAACGAAGACCTCAACATTCTGACGAGGTTTGTTTCCTTGACTTTACTTAAAGTGTTTGATCATATAATTGCTGCGAAGCAGCTGAAGTTGACCAGTTTTGAGAACGAACAAAAAGAAACCGTGAGAAAATGGCTGAAAAGCAAATACGATGAATTCAAACTTTGTTTGGTCGAGACATGGAAGATTGACATTGATAACGAGGGCATTTATGCTTTGAAAATGGACAATCTAGACTCGCTGATGAAGTTCATCAAGATCGAAAGCAAGCACTTTAGCTCCAACAAAGACGAGCCTTTTTTCTCAAACCGTACTTACAAGCTTGTCCTCGAACATCTGCTAATCACAGGAAACTTGTCTCAAATGCTAGCGCACGATGCAACTATTGACAATTTCTTGATCTTGGAATTTAGAGAGTCCTACTTCAACAAATATTGGGACCTACGATATTTCTTTTTCAGCGAACTGAGATCAATCTTAGAAACAGATCTAGACGAATACACGCAGCAACTAATAGTATCCAACGTGATTACAATCATCAAACCACAACCGCTGTACGATTTGAAAACCCCAGACCAAACGATGTACGTTGATAACCCACCCAAGACAGTCTATAACATGCGCCAATTTAGATCTACATTCGAAAAATGCGTTCTCAAATTAATCAATTTGAGTCTTCTACCTGAACAATATAAGGCATTTCTACTTATTCTACATAAGCGAGTCATCCCATTTTTCAACAATCCTACCAAGCTGATGGACTTTTTGACCGACTCATACAACCTCGGATTCAATGTCAAGGACATCAGCTTATCCATCCTGTCGCTCAATGGTCTGTGGGAACTAATGAGACAATACAATTTGGAATATCCCGACTTCTACACCAAGTTGTATGCAATTCTGACTCCCGAGCTCCTGCATCTCAGCTACAGGTCGCGATTCTTCCGTTTATTGGACGTTTTCATGAGTTCAACGCACATTTCATCGGCAATCGTGGCATCGTTTATCAAACGGCTCGGCCGACTATGTTTGACTGCTCCACCAGCTGGTATCGTCTGTGTGATTCCGTTTGTGTACAATCTGCTTAAAAGACACCCAACATGTATGCTCTTGATCCACTGCACAGAACGGGAAACAGTGGACCAATTTGACGAAAATGAGCAAGATCCAGCAAAGACAAACGCACTAAATTCATCTGCATGGGAACTGGAGGCTGTCATTCATCACTATCACCCTAATGTCGGTTCCCTTGCCAAGATCTTCACACAGCCGTTCAACAAGTACAGCTACAATATGGAGGATTTCCTCGATTGGAGTTATTCGAAACTGGTGGATAACGAAGTCAGTAAAAGGTTCAAGGGAGAACTGGCCCTGGAATTGGAGAGCTGGGATTCCCTGCTTGGAGAAGAGGGATACCTGAAAGAATATGTATATTAAGCTGATCTGAATTAACTATTCAACTGAATTTATTATTTGCGCGCATTAACCAGTCCACTGTCCATTCGTAGCACCAAAAACTGACCGCGGCGGTAGGGGCCGCTTTTATAAGAGCCGGTGTTAGCCCATGGTACGCGCCTCGAATACCCTCTGTAGCCAGAAAGTAGCGCATTGTTGCCACAAAGCGTCCTTCGTAAGCCATGTGCCTTCTTCTTTTCACTAGATCCAAAGGATACACAACCGTCTTCGAAATTGTACCTGCAACGAGGCCAGCGGCTGACTCCAACGGGGTGTTGGCCATGTGGTCCTTGTAAAACGAGTACACGCCAAAGGACACACCCATGGATATAGAAACGTATCCTATGGACAATTGTATACCCCTAAAGAAAGCTCTTAACCCGTCTTTGGCGTACATTTCTCCTGCTTCTGTCAAGATTGAGGTGAAATAGGGATTCTCTTTAGCCGCCAGACGAGTACGAAGCACATCAAAAGGATAAGACATTACTGTCGATATACAGCCGGAAAGCGCTCCTATGGTGACAGCGTGAATCGATCCTGGAACCTTGAGCTCCAGCGTTTTCTCTGTCTCTGACACGAGCTGGTTCAAAGTCGAATAGGTGGCAAACTGCGTGGCCCCATATATCAAATACATGATTTCTGCTGGTAAGTTGCCTTTCCAAAACGCTCGCACTCCCTCATTGTATAGGATGGTTCGCACTGTCTGAATTATTCCTCTGTATCTATCCTGACCACCGTTAAGCTGTAATCGAATCTTTATAATATCTATCGGGGCAATCACCATCCTGGTAACAAGCCCAGACACCGCACCACCTGTGGCAGATATGTAAGGTGGCACCTCAACTCCCTGCCGCAAGTTGCTGTTGGACATTCCATCGAGATTAAAGAGAGACCAAAAAAATTTCGGATCGGAGTTCGAAAAATATATCTTATATTCTATGGTACATTGATACGGATTTCGCAGACCAAATAGAAAAATCTATGCACGCTCAAGCTCTTGCTGTTTGAGTATCGCTTGTTTTGTCTCCTCATCAACAACACCATCAAAAATTTCCAGGGGCACGTCTTCTAAGCCGGTTTTGATGATGCCCTTATCTTGAATCACTATGTCGAATTTGAGTTTGCGACTATCGTGGAGCTTCTGTATAGAGCATGTAGTTGGCTGCATTATATCTGGAACATGGTTAACTCCTGTGTAAGGATCCCTCGTGAACTTTGACTTCACAATCTCTAGTCTGTCGTTAAGCAGCTCAGCATCGAACTTCCGTACACTCAAGGCCTGGTCATAAATCCAGGTCGTGTGAGGATTACTAGCCTGCACAAAAGCGCGCTCAAAGCCCGTTATGCCTGGAGTAAGCATAGCGACACGTTTTTGATCGTTGTTGTCGTTGTAGTAATCAAATGTTATGACGGCCGGAGCGCCTCGCTGAGCACCAGAATCAATGGCCTTCTGTTCGTAGTAGTCGTCATCCACCTGCTTTCCATTCACCACTATTTTGGCGCCGAATTCCTTGAAGATTGATCTAGCGGTCACTAAGAATATAGTTCTCGTCTTGTAAGAGTTAGGCAGCACGCCATTGGCTATCAAATCGAGCTTTTCTGTATCGCCAAGCGTGATCTTGAATAACCGCTTGTGTTTCTGGAACAAAAAGTACGAATCTCTGTATCCCACCAAACGCGCTGCTTCGGTAGCAATCATATAATATTTTTGTCCTCTCTGCGGAACCTTGAAAATACGACACTTGTATTGACGACCTCCGAGTAACCGGCCCATCTTGTCCACTTTTGTTTCTCCCTTTGGGTCCTCGGGAGTTATCACTTCGTCGTCCTTGATCTTGATTGGGTTTCCATCCTCATCCGTGAGTATGTTACGGTATTTGTTATTCGGGTCTCCTTCATCATCCATTTTCCGCCTCTTACCCAGACGAGGACGGCCACGCCCTCTTGTGCGCTGCGCTTCAACATAGTACACTTCTCCGTCCTCGTCATCAGCCAATCTTAGTTCTGGGGCATCTGGTGTTTGTTTCTCTTTCTTCACGAGCTTCTCCTTTGGTTTTTTCTCTGTCTGTGGAACATGCTCCTTTTCTTCTTCTTCCTTCTCGTCATCCTCCTCATAGTCAACATCGCTTTTGTCCTCAGTCTCCTGAAACACTTCGTCGTCCTCGTAATCAGACTCGTTCTTTATTGCTGCCATCTTGTGCACGCTAAATCAAAACGATAGTTTTTGTGATTATTTAGGTGCCGGGTAATTTCCAAAATTCAAGTATAAAGCCTGGACAAAGTGCCGGAGAATTTTTTTTCTCACAATTATTTGATTACCTAATCGGATCTGTGCTGGCCTAGAGAGAACAGAGCGGACGACTATGCAAGTTGGGGTCTGATGCGAGTCGCTCGGTGTTCGATCGATGGAGTTGATGGATCCCAAGTCCCTTGTCTGGTTTGACCTCTGTTTTCCTGGCTGTGATAGTAGAATCTCCAATATTCTTACTGCTGAGCGCACATCCTAGATCGACCCCCAAATTATCGCATCAACCAGACTCGTTGGTTACGTGCTTCATGCTTGGGAAATATTCTTCTGGACTATAGAACCTGAGCCTCAAATTCTCTGCGAATTTGAGGTCTGAGTCACTGAAGTCCATGCGCCGTCCAGCGGCGTCCCCGACGAAAAAGCTGTTGTCTCTGTCTAGCATATCTTCTGTGAGTTGGTAATCCTGTAGAAACTGGCTGAACATACCCGTGTTCGGTTTTCGGAAGAGGGTGTATAAGTCCAGATCGTGCTGGGACTTATCTTTTCTTGATTTTCTTGTGCTTGCGTAGTATATGACAGGAGTCTCCAAATGATCAAAGATATCGTCCATTTTCGTGGTCAGGATCTTCAAGCTTTTGGAGCCGGGAGCGTTGACCACGGCCGCCTGGTTCGAAAATATCACTACAGTGTAGTTTTCAGCTTGCAACTTGGTGAAAACCTGGGGCACATCAAACTTGAACTTCCAGTCGAAAGAGCCGCGCCCAAACTTATAGCCGGACTTCGTCGTGATCAGCGTGTCATCGAGATCGAAGGCTGCGATCTTCACTGGTGCGGTCAATTTGGTATCAAGAATATAGGTCAAGCAGTGCGATCCATGTGATCTCCAGCCCTGTCTGGGCTCGCGTTTGAAGCTTGCCGTAGACGAAGTGTGGCCTTTTTGAGTGGGAGTCTTGGTGATCGCAGACTCGGTTTTATGTTTCCCTGTCAAAATCGAAGCGATACTATTCCCGGTCATGGCCTAGTTGATTTATTTCATTCGCGTTCTAATTTTTGGCTATATACATTAACGAACTCTGCACAATAATTCGCACTCGAGGTTTCTTTTCAGAGCCTCGATCATGGTCATCACCTCCTTGTCTTTTGTCTTCACAAACACAATCTCACCTGGCTTAAGCTGTGGAATGTATCTCAGGCTCTTTCCCGAGGCTAGTTGCTCCAATTCTGGCACGGACACAAACACTCTTCTATTAGGTTTGGAGATCAAATTGAATTTACTCAGCACGGGCTGACCGTTACGGTACTTAAGGCCCAGCCAAAGCCTCCGTGTAGCAATATTGTCGTAGGTAACTTCCACCGGCTTGAGGTCTGGGCCGGCAGTGGAGCCTCTAGTGACAGAATCAATGAAACCTTCCTTGTAAAGCCCCAGCGCCACTTTCAGATGTAGCTTTGTGTATGGTATTTTTGCCAGCGGCAACCTGGCCATGGAGCAGTTCTGCAGATGCGCCCCAACATTGGCAAGATTCACGAGTGACATGTTGACTGTATTGACCAAGATTCAAGATGGAAAAAATTTGGCCAGATTAGTTGGTGCAGAGATTAGAAAAGTTGTATCTCGAAAAGCATGATTTCTTTCAGAGCTCTCAGAACTGCGACCCGTGGAGCGCGTTTCTGCCGCCCGCTGCCGATCAATACGTACCAGAAGCGCACGTACGCTCTGAAAGAGAACAACGATCCGCCAAAATTGGCATATTTCTTGCTGGTCGGTGTGTTTGGCACGCTCGTTTTTGTCTATGTTGCCAACAAGGTCAATGACCAGGATTCCTCCACGTCACTGGCAAAGCGGAAAACCACATTCACCGAAGAGGAGTGGGAACAGCAGATGAATCAAATTAAGCGCAAACAGCTGGCCTTCGACAGTTCCAACAACGTCTATTTGGTTCCCTACGGAGCGCACAGAGAACAGAAAGTGGAACAGCTCGTAAACACCCTTGGCCCAAACACTGCCACCGTGAACTTGAACGAACTCATCAAGCGGCAGATAGATGATCCAAACTCGCAGTACGGCGCATTGCTGAAAAGGAATCTGGATACATACGATTCTCAGAGAAACACCTGTTTCTATACTTTTACTTATAAATTGGCTGCTGGTGTTTTCACCAAACTTGTGAGAACAGAGATGCAACGGCTCAAAGCAAAGGACCCCCAGATCAAGAATTTCGTCATACTGAACTACCCTAATACCATGCCCGAGGCCGTTAAATTCGAGCAGGATGTGGCTACTGTGAAGAACCTTGTCCTTTTGGACGAGAGAGAATCGAATGAGAACATTGTGGACTACTTCCGAACCGTTGGTAAGGTTGTGGATCTAGAGAAGATAGAAGAATAGTGCAAGTAAACTCTGTATATAGTTAGTGAAAGTAGTCTTGTACCTTGCGACAATACTCGAGGTCGCGGCTCTGTGCGTTCGAAAAAGCATACACGTTCTTCTTCAACTTCAACATATCGCGGGTCGGAGCCACCTGGTCCCTATTTATCGCCCAATAGGTCACGAGAGCGACATTTTTAGACTTGGCAAAAGCCAACACTCTATCAAAATCTTCGAGCGAGAAAACCGTATTGTCGTCGTTGTAACCTATCATTGGGCATAACCCAGTCATTCTCCAAGCCTGCTCCTCGGTAAGATGCAAGTTCAATCGCAATTGGCGGTTCATCTCCTTCAGTACGCGAATGTTCTCCGCCCCCCAGTTGGATCCGTGGGGCAGCTTAGTGTAATAATCCATGATCATAGCGTTGACAACATTCAAATGGACCTTGCTGCTGATCATCATATTCAAAGCCCAAAGGGCATCATCATTCAATCCTCCCTCGAATTCGATAGGGAGAGTAAGTGAAACGTAGAACTGTTCCCCGAAGTGGCTCTGGACAAGATTTATAATTTTAGCAATTTTTGCAACCTTACTGTGCCTCTCTAGAACAGTGCCTTCAATATCCAGATCGATCCCTGTAAATCCTGCCCTGGCAACCAACTCAATTAGCCGAGAAGCCTCTTCTTCAACAGACCGACAATCTGAAGGATACTCGCCTGTTGCGCCGCCGATAGAAATAATGACCTGTCCTGGGAACTGACGAATGTCGTCTATCCACTGCTCAATCTCTTCATAGCGATCGTTGGTCAGAAAAGCCAAAGTCACACTGTTCAAGCCTATCAGAGAGGCATCTTTCAGGTTCGAGATCCGAAATTCTCTCTTTTCATCCTTGCTCCAAGCATATAGGTAGGGCGCGAAGATGGTCATAAGGAATAGCGCTCAAATTCCTCAATGTAAAAAAAAAGTAGCATAATTTCTCCCCTGGAACGACAGCCTACTTTTTGAAGCTCCCAAATCCCATCAATTTCTTGACTTCAAGGTCCTCTGCATCCACGTCAGGGTCCTGGCGCTCCTGGCGCTTCCGCTTCTTCGCCTTCTTCTTTTGCTTCTGCTGCTCGTACTTCTCTCTCATCTGCTGCACCCCAGTGGCAAAATCAACCTCAGGAGCCTTCTCCCGACTCCTCTCCATCTTCGCCTTTAACTGCCTGAGTCTCTCCTTCACCTGCTCGAGCGTCACTTCGCGCTGAAGCTCCGACTCGTGCGAAAATCCAGAGTTTACCAAATGCTCCTTGGAATTGAGGTGCTCGACAAACTTGAGGTCGTCCTTAAATCTTCGATTGCAAACATCGCAGAAGAAACTGGCCTCCTTGGCGTTCATGGAACCCACAAACGTGACACTATTGAATTTCTCAACCTTTTCAAGTTGCTCCCTGCGCGACTCAAAGAACTTGCGCACGTTCTTCTGCGACGCCAGGTCAGCAGACTGGTTGCCCTGCTGCTGCCTCTGCCGAGCCCGCTCCGCATATTCGGCCTCGTCCCAGGTCCGACGACCATAGGAGTCGGTAGAAGACATAGTAGAAAAAATATTTTAGCTCAGTGTCAGATTATCATTTTGGTGTATTACATAATCATCTAGTTTAGGCCTCCTCAACGATGTGGCCCTTCTCGGAAACGTAGATACCGTCCAAGAACTTTCTGATATCCTTGTTTCTGACTCTGCAGATTTGTTGAATGTCAGCGCAGGTCTGCGAAACGTTCTCCAAGGAGTTACCCTCAACAATCAGCTCGTCCTTCTGGGCAGTGGAGATGGTAGCCTTGCATCCTTCCCAGACCTTGACCTTTCTAAGTCTCTTTTCTCCCAAGAAGTTTCTGATCTCGACGTAGTCCTGGCCGTCCTCCGTCACAACATTGACGTTGATAGGGAAGTGCGCGTACACGAATCTCATCTTGTACTTGAATCCGACGGTGACACCCTTGACAAGGTTGGCAATCAGGGACTTGACGGTTCTCAGAGTGGCAACGTGTTTTCTGTCACCGTTGTGGACAGTGATCTTGATTTGTTTGTCCGAGATCTTGGTGAAAGTGACGTCGATGTGTCTCAAGTTCTTGCTCAACTGACCTCTTGGACCGGTGACGGTAATGATTCTGGACTTGATTTGGACGGAGACCCCCTCTGGGATCTCCAAAAGCTCGGAAGATTGGACGTACTTCATGCTGGTATAGCTTTGCGAGTAAAAATAGTTGGGCCAAAGTGAAAAATTTTGAGGCTCCGTGCAAGGGTGTGAAAACTCGAGGAATTGGATTTTTCACAGTCACACAGTCCTTTCCTGATACAGAACATCCAGAGATAGTAAAGAGCATTTGCATTTCGTTCATTATTATAGCGAGTTTCTGTCTGATTATACATTATTCTTCCTTCTTGTCTGCGGCACCACCTTCAGGTGTCTCCTCAGCGTTTTTCAAATCAGACACCTTATCCTCGTACACCGTCGAAGTAGCATCGAACCGTAGACTCTTGCGTTTCTTGGCGGTTCCTGCGGAATCCGGAGAGGCATCTGCACTCGTGCTGATATTACCACTTGCATTGATACTCTGCACGTCAGAGATCGAGGTTGATTTTGGAAGAGTCAGCCCTACGGTCTCAGAAGCCGAAGGCGGCAACGAGGCACTTTCTGTAGAGCTGTCGTCGCCTGGAGAAACCAGCTCTGCTGTACGAATCCATCTCCTGCGCCGCGTGTACTTGCTGAACGAATCTTCGGTGGACGGGTTCTTCCATGTGTTGTCGTAATAGATAAAACCCTCGTCCGGCTTGGGGTCGGCTGTGGTCTTGTATTTGGAGGAAGGCAGCTGCAACGCTCCGTCGTTCGTGAGGTCCAGTCTCCAAGTCTTGTCGATCCACCTCCAGTACATACCGGAATCGTCGTTGAGTTGCGGAAGCTCAAAGTTTTCAGGCGACTCGGCTTCGTTGAGGAACTCGTCAGTCCAAGGAGTTCTTTCGTAGCTGAGCAGGTTTGGAGTCCATCCGACTCCAAGCCACCGTCTCTGGTTCTCATAGAGAACATATGTAAACCTCACCGGTCCGCTATTTTTGCCTCCAGCCTTCCTGGTGACCTCTCTTAGCTTCTTGTTGGTCTTGTTCATGGCAGTCTTGAAAAGCGAGCTCTTTTCGTTGTTTCCGGACTCGAAAATTAAGCCTGTGTTGTAAAAGCAGAACGCTCTCACCATGGACGACCGCCAGAGTAGTTTTCTCGTCACCCTTGACCACGAGGAGTGGTATGTTAGGAAGAAAATCACAAGTATCAGCAAGAGTGTTTTTGGTGGAAAGATGAGGTAGCAGACCAAGATGTAGCCCGGGGAAAGAAAAATCGTTGTGAACAGGAGCCTGCGCAGGTCTGTAGAGCTCAGGTTCAGGGAGCTCACAGGGAAAAGAAGCATATCGGCACGAACGCTGACGGTAGTTAGACAGTGCACCACATCGTCCAATGTAGGACTCTTTTTTTGCTCCCTCTCGACATAGGAACGGAAGATCGAGTATATGAATATAAGACCAACAATTGATAAATGTCCAAGATAGATCACAAAATTCTCAAAGTATAAAATAAATAGCGTCGCAGTCGTCACCAAGAGCACGGATATGTAAGAAGTGTCATCCGTCCATGTGAGGATGCCCAAAATCTTGTTAAGAGCTATCAAATATGGATAGGCCTTGATCAGACTCTTGCTAACTGTAGGAGGCGTAGAGGACAATAAAGGGGACGATTGGGGGGTGCAAGTGATGTCTGAGCCTGCTGTCAGACTGGATTTTGCGGTGAAGTTTGCTCTCAGGTTCTCAGTCTCCTTCACTTTGACTCCTGCGGCAGCATTGATTGTGTTGAGGCCCGTTGTTGGCTGTACTTCTGAAATGTTGCTGTTGATGCTCGAAGGCGTCAGACTTGCCTTTGAAGCAGAATTTGAGCTCGGATCCGTAGGCATGATCAATGGGAAACGCAATAAGTTCCAGCCAGAGATATACTATGGAGGCTGTAAAAATTAGGAAACACGTTTAGCCACCGCTGGTAATTACTAGAAACCTTTTGGATTTTATATATTTAAAATATTCTTGTGAGATAATTTCTTATAGTAGTGTACATTTGACATCCGTTTTTATTATTTCAAGCAACGTCCTCCATTTCAATATCGTCGTCCTCGTCACCATCGTCATCGTTGTAGTTCCTGTTGTCTGCCTCCGAATCACCAAATCCTTGCTTCTCCTTTCTCTCCACCTCTCTGCTCTTCTTGTACTCGTCTTTCAGTCTGTATTTCAAAGCATAGGTTCCTTTGCGCTCCATCACGGCGATGTTCTCCAAGCAGTCTTTCAGGTAAGCTTCTGGCTGATTTGTCTTTTCTCTGATACCTTTCAACGTCCAGTAATCGTACTCGTTGAACAGATTGAACAGAACCTTCATCAAGTGCTCTCTGTCCATACGAGAAGCACGGCCTTCTAACCGCTGTTGCTCCTTCTTAGCAGCAAGCTCTCTTAAGAGCTGGATAGTCGAACCAGTTTGCAGGTTCGGTCCCGTTCTGCCTTGCAAGACACCAGCGTTGGCGTCCTTCATGTACGTGATGGTCTTTCTTTTCGTCATCTGCGCAAGTCTCCGTTTTTGCTCCAGTAGCTTTAGCTTATTATTTGTGGTTAATTTTGTAGGGATGACCTGGCACTCGTGAACGATTTTTCCAACCAGGGCAGTCTTCTTGGGAATTGTTTTGGCAAATGGAACTACTTTCTTTGGCTCTTCGAAAATTTCTTCTTCGTAACCGCGTCCACGTGCCTCAGGAATATATGATGCGCGTTGGGGAACCTTAGCAGTGGACCATGGATTCGATTCCTCTGGTTCTTCGCCGTCTAGAGGATTTAGTGTAGGTTGATCTGGCATCTGTACCATCTCTGTTCTAGTCTCTGCTTGGCTTTTGAACTGGGTAAGCTCTGCCTCGCTGAACACGTACTCATTCTCCACCACATGCTTGATCATCTTCAGTTCATATTCCTTATCGATACTTTTGTGCTCTTGAAGTTTCTCATTAAGCTCGAGCATGATTTTCGCCGGCGAAACTCCCTGCTGAATCTTTATATTGCCCAGCTGCCGTCCATCCAGCATTCTCTCATTTTTCCACACTTCAGAGAGCGCTGGGGGAAGCTTGACAAGCCAGACCTGATTATTTGCCTTGGACATGTCCAAATTAAGAGATTCACCGCTTTCTTCCAGCTGCTTATCGTTCACCTCTGCAATTCCATCAGGAATCGGCATGTCGTCCTCATCGTACGCTACATCCTGGAAAGACTGGTCTGCGTCGGCTAGTCGAGTAGCAGCCTTCGGCGGAGAAATTGCGCTCATAATAAATATTTTCATTTTTTTCTGCGAAGAGTGCACGCATATGTCCTGACAGAATACCATGGACTTTGCACGGGTGCTTAACTCTGAGATCGCTCGCAAGAAACGCGCTCTTCAGGACGAGCAGACGTCCAAGAAGGCCAAGACAGTGTCAAGCGCCGAGCAGACACGAGACCCACCGAAAGCGGCCGACGAAGTTTGCACACAGACAGTCGAGGAGACAGACCCAGACACCACGCCCTGTGAAAGTTCTGGCCCTGAAGCGCAGAGGCCCGACACACAAGTAGAGAGGCGGGCTGCCAAAACGCATCCCGGAGAGAAGTCCGACAAGCTCCTGAACGGTCCTCAGCCAGAGCCAGGCTCGTATCTCATAAAGAAGACGGATATTAGAGACAACCACGCCTTAGTGTCTCAACAGTGTCGCGACTACATTAAACATCTGCTCAACGTCTGGGAGTCGAAAAAGGATCAGCACGCGGAGGTCGATCTGCTCGAAACCAAGAAGTGGCTGCTTCCCTTGCTTGTGCAGCTAAAGAAAAAAACTCTGCCTCACGATCAGCTGGTGAGTCTGGCCACGATACTTTACAATATTCAACGCGAAAAATATACAGACGCAAATGAAGCGTACTTACAGCTCAGCATAGGAAACGTGGCATGGCCCATAGGACTGATCGACATAGGAATTCGCGTTCGAACGAACAACATGAAGATTGGTGAAGGCTCAAACATAAGCAACATCATGAAAGACGAACGCACTCGGCAATGGATTCTGGCTGTTAAGAGGCTGCTCACGTTCTGTGAGCTGCACAATGCTGGTTCAAACGATTAGGTTCCACAAAGTAACGCGAAGCCCCGTGCTGCCTCTATGAAGAATTTACACATGGCTAAGATAACGGTCCCAACAAGCTAGCATGCGCTATTTGGGAGAACAAGCGCAAGGCTTTAACAAAGCCACAAGCAGAATGCTCCTATTGTATGCGCAATTGTTGATGACTTCACCGCCCATCGAATATACCAGGCTAGCGATCTCTAAATATATACTGCCTAATTTGGCAGTCGATAAATTCTAGACCGGATTATGTTTACTATCCTTATGTCATACATGCTTTAGATATCACCTTTAGAGAATATAGTCAAATTTAGAAGTCCTCTAAGCCGCGTGCGTACCTTGAACGTGAAACAGGCCGTGAGCGGAAAGTCGGTATGCTTCGACCAAGCCTAGACACGTCGTGTAGTCTCTCACTGGGGGGCACACCTGGAACACCTGGCTTTTTTAGTTTTTCGACTAGGGTATTTCGGATTTAGACCGTTGCCAAACTAAGCTCTAAAAAAGTTAGACGATTGCATCAAAAAAGGAGGCTGATCCGGTGTGGCCGAATTAAATGAAGTTGGGGCATGTCCGGAAATATACGTAACAGGTGATTTCCGTACATCATGCGCAGAGCGACCTTCCGTAATTTCCGGTTAAATCCACTCGCGCAACGCCCTTTGCGGTGGTGATATAAATAGACGCATTTCCCCTCCTGCAAAATTTCCCATCAATTTTGAGATCACCAAGTCAAACAAATACCCACTATAAAATGTCCGCTCTCAACAGCTCTACTCATCACCAAGAGACCTTCTCTGACTTGCCTCTGGGAACTTTACCTCCAAGAAAGCGTGCCAAGACCGAAGAGGAGAAGGAGCAAAGAAGAGTGGAAAGAATTTTAAGAAACAGAAGGGCTGCTCACGCGTCTAGAGAGAAGAAGAGAAGACACGTTGAGTACCTGGAGAACTATGTGACTGATCTGGAGTCTGCGCTTGCGACACATGAAGGCAACTATCGGAAGATGGCCAAAATTCAATCTGGCCTGATCTCTCTGTTGTCGGAACATGGAATCGATTACTCGTCTGTGGATTTAGCTGTTGAACCATGTCCAAAAGTCGAAAGACCTGAAGGTTTGGAGTTGACTGGTTCAATTCCAGTGAAAAAACAGAAAGTCGCTTCGGCGAAGACGCCAAAATCGTTGAAAAAATCGAAGTCAGAAATCCCATCGCCAAGTTTTGATGAGGAGATGTTTTCCGAGGAGGAAAACGAAAATGACGATTGTATTGAGGAATACGAGAAATCAGGACAAGAAGCGACCATGGCTCCGTCTTTGACTCACAACCGCAAAAGAAAAGCGCAAGATGCTTACATCTCGCCTCCGGGCTCCACCTCCCCATCCAAGTTGAAACTTGAAGAAGACGAAAGGATCTCTAAACAAGAATACAGCAACTTGTTTGATGACACGGAGGACATTTTCCCTTCGGAAAAGTCATCGAGCCTCGAGCTGTATAAACAGGATGATCTGACCATGGCATCATTTGTGAAACAAGAAGGTGAAGAAATGGTGCCGTTCGTCAAGCAGGAAGACGAGTTGAAGTTTCCTGACACAGGTTTCAACGCTGACGACTGTCATCTGATCCAAGTGGAAGACCTCTGCTCTTTTAATAGCGTGCATCATCCAGCAGTGATGGTTGTAAAGTTATGAAAGACTCAAATGTTTGAAGCTATTTGGTGGAAGCAGCCTGAGATGAGACTGGTTTTTTGGGTGTTTGTTTGACAGTCTCATCTCAAGTAAGGGTATGAGTTATTGAGTTATCTTGTACTCAGCTTCTGTTTGCTTCAACTGTTAAGTTGGTCCGCAGCACCATTAACAGCAGAGAGTATTGACAACCACTTTGGATTTGACGACTATCTGTCTTGAACAATGAATTGAAGTGTATTTTTAGGGATTATGGGAGTTGGGTTGCTTTTTACGGGTTGATTTCAGGACTATGATGGGGCTTTTGTTTTCGGGACGTTTACGCTACATGTTGCCTACGAGTTTCCATTAGACGCGATTCAATGTGGCGCGTTTCTTTTATGAAGCTGCGACTGGTTTCTGCGCTATGGATGCAAATTAAGAGACAGGTAGGGTGATCTTCTGATTATGGAAGAACTATCCTGGTCTTCGGAATCTTGTGTTGTGTTTCAATCAATAGGAGTTTTGTTTTCAGTAATTATAGCATTGTCATGTTATGACATTACCAAGATATGCATAGGTGTATATCGCCAAATACATTACTTATTAAGCTTTCTTGATTCTTTCGGTGTACATTCAGATTATATATAATCAACCGCTTAAATGTCGGTCACCTTCAAGGTTGGTGGGAGTGATTGGATCAGCTTCTTGGCCTTGGTAGCATCATTCACAATCAAGGTGTAAAGGTACTTGGAACCTCTGACCTTGAACTTGGTTTGCTTGAATTTCTTACCGTTGGCATTCAGTTTGGTGTTAGTCTTGATGGTGGCAACCTTGACGTCGGCTCTTCTAGCCAATTCAACGAACTGCTTGATGTCGGTGATTTCTCTCTATAAAGTTAGTATTTGAGTTTGCTGCAGAAATAGGCCGTCTGCAAAAGTGAGAGCTCGTAGAAACGTGTGGTTGCTTCCAACCTGACCCAGTTGCTTGTCTTCACAGACGCGCCCTTTCTCTGCACCGCTATACATACAGCCATGGCGATTAATGTGAATATATGAAGATCGATATTTTTCAAAGTTTTTTTTTTTGCAGGTTGAGGGTGAGTAGCCCTAGTGCAAGACACGTGACCAAGTAATGTGCATAAATTATATCACCTTGGGTGGATAGACTGATATGTTCAAGAAACGGAGCGTGAAGCAGGAGCAGAAGCGAAAACGCGAGTCGGAGGAGACAGACGATGTGGGCGAGGTGGTAAAGAAGGGCAAGACGGAAAAAAAAGGCCTTGACACCCCTGCGATGGCGGAAGGCAAGAAAGAGAGCGAGCCTAACGTTATCAGGCAGGAGATCAAGAAAGAACAGGACGCGGAAAACCGATCAGAGGACCAAGAGGACCAATCTAAGGACATTGCGGGAAAGAAACCGCAAAGATACAACATCAAACAATTGTCCTCTAGCATCAAGACCAACACAGTGATAGATTACCAACCAGATGTTTGCAAGGACTTTCTTAAAAATGGCTACTGCGGATATGGAGATACGTGCAAGTTTTTGCACTACAGAGATGAGTTTAAGGTGGTCAAGAACCCGAAAAAGAGAGAATGGGAGGAGGTGATGAAGAAGAATAAAAGATTCTAATGTTTGTATATTATGCTATGCTACACGATTAATGAATCAGACGTATTCCGAGATAAGCGAGGTGAGAGACCCGAAGGTGCCACTGATCACGTGCGCCGTCGACTTATCAAGACCGCCGTTGGGCTTGTAGTTGCGTGCCAGTCGTTTATAGAGGATGCGGTATGTTCTCGACTTGAAGCCGGTAGGATCGATATCTGTCAGGGGAACACTTTGGAAGTACCAGGGGTCCAGCACATTGACCCAGCACTCGAGGTCTGGGTTGAACATGAACACATGGTCGTTGCTTAAAGTTACTATTGGCCAGCCGTTGGAGTTGAGCAGGATGGAATCCACCTTGATTGAATTCTCAAACCTCTTGGAGTCGATTTCGGCAAATTGGTTGATGATAGGAGATATCGACACTGCGGACAGAATACTTGCTCGCTTCTCCACATCCCAGCTGTGAAACAGGCCGGATGACGTGACGGCCAGAACATATTGCTTGTTGCTGAGCAAATGTGTCAGATTATTCCCCAATTGAAATGGAGGCAAGAGCTGACGGCCATAATCAGAAAGTATAAACACCACTCCCGTTTCCGTGGCCACAGCCCAGAACTCCACCTGGCGCCCATTGGCATCCACAAACGAGGAGCTGCAGGCAGCAGTGAACTTGTGGTTGTAAAAGAACTGGAACTGGTCTAGTTTCTCTTTTGCGCGGAACACTGATAGTCTGTTGATAGAGTTAAACTCTTCAAGGTCGTCGTGATCGAGGTTCTCCTCAGCATCATCCTCTCCGCCATTACGTATCTCCATCACGGCCCCGTTTGCGAGATCGGGCCCCTTAAATTCCAGCAGTACTCGTGGCTGCATTCTCATGTCGGTGAAGATGGTAGCTGGAGTTACCATCGACGTAGCGAGATACTGAGGGGTTTCCACCTCTCTTTTTCTCTTGGCTGTGGATGAGCGTGTCGAGATTGGCCTTTTGGGAGCGTGCGTGATCTCAGAAATGTGGTCAATATCGTTTTCGGTGTCGTGATCTCCAGTCGGCGCTTCGCTGACAATGTTATCGCGCAGAGAAGAAACCATGGTCTGCAACCCCAGTCTTGGAATTTTGACTGCCGGCTTCGAGAGCTGCGATTGGTGCTTGGGCTCACGTTTAACCACTGGAGCAGGCTTTGGCAGGTTTTGGGTAGGCTGGGAGCCAGAGATTAGCGTGGGAGCAACCCGTTTCTTGCCAGACTTCGTCACAGTCACTTTCTGTACGCTGGGAGTCAATGCGTTAGGCGTGGGCTTTGCCGGTGAGCTCACAGGCTTGGTCCTGATCGTAGGCATAACCTTATCCGGATGCTTTTTCGATCGTGGTACCAACATGTTCACCTGCGGTGCTGCCTGGGTCTTCAGCTCCGGCTGCGCAAACATGCCTGTCTGGCCCAGCGGCTCCATCGACTCCATTTTTTCCATGAGTCTGTCTAGCTTGGTCGAGGGCGTTTTTGTCTTTAATATGGCCTCAGCTTTTTCTTCCAGCTCCAATTGTTCAACACTTTCGGGGAAAACCATGCTGTCTCTGTCTGCGCCGTACTTGTTCAAGACACTATCATGCTGGTCGATTGGGATAGCAGTGCCCAGTTCGTACTCATCGAAGAAAACGGTCATTATCGAGCCGTCGAGAGAAGACAAAAACAAGATCTCTCCATTCGGGTCCCAGGCCAAATCTGTAATGGTGTTCATGGAAATATCCGCTGCAACCACGACCGGCGTCGCAGCACCCGTGCTCCATATAGCCAACGTCCGGTCCTGGCCGGCTGTTGCGAGCACAGTTGAGATTTCCGGCTCTTTATCCTTCTTGGAAATCCCTTCAATTTCATACAACCGTGGCGAGAACGAACATACCTCGCAAGGCGCGTCGTGCCCGATTAGACTGATATCGCTTGCCCAGTTGCCTCGCTCTATAATGGCAACCGAGCACAGACCGCCATTGATGGCATTTGGAGACGCAATGTTCTGGCCGTCTGGAGACCACGAACAGCGCCGGTAATACGTCGTGAGTGGAGTCTTGCGAAACGGCTCTCTTATAATCGATTCCACCGTAAAGGACATTTCCGTGGGAGACGTCCTGTGGTATCTAAAGATCCTCAACGTTCGGTCGTCCGAACAGGTGGCGAAGTACTTATTTGCCGGATCAAAAACCACACCCTTCACGTGAGATTGATGAATATCAAATCTTTTAATTTTCTCAAAGGTGACTCCGGACCACACGATAATCGAGCGATCCAGTCCGACAGTAACCAGGATAGACGCGTCGGGAGCCCACGCCATGTCCTGGATATCGTTGTCGTGAGCAACAAGACGTTTTCGCACCGTCCAATGCTCTAGATCTGCCGTTTCCAGGTCTGTACCAAACTGGAGACGATGCTCCATATTTTGGGCCATAATCCGCGTTTTTTCCTCGTCTTTCTCCCAAATGAGAATCACCTTGTCGTCAGACCCGCTCGCAAGAAAGCGCCCCGTGGGAGAAAACCTCACACACGTCACTGCTCCCGTGTGACGGCCCATTGAGCAGAGCGGACGACAGATTGTCGAGTCAAAATCAACGTTATTCGCTAACGGTTCCTCCAGGCCGCCATTCGAGCTGGATTCGGCCTCCAAGAGATCATTCTCTGGCTCCTTTTCAGACACTTCCTGCTTGTACTTCTTCAGCGTCTCCACAGACCAGATTCTGACCTTGCCGTCAAGACCTCCGGAAGCAAGCCGCTGACCATCCGCCGACACGGACACAGAGAACACCTCGTACTTCCGCTTCTCCTCCGTGTGCGTGAGCCAGGGAAACTTCAAAATATGCATACAATGATGTTAATTTTCGTTTGAATAATCTAACAACGGTCTATACGCTATGAAATCGCACATCCTTACACCACTGCTGTCGGCCTTACTCGTTGAACTCGAGCTCAACAGCCTTACCGAATCTTTCCAGGCCAATGTCCAGCTTCTCAAGAGCAACCGCGGCATAGGTGCCTCTGAAGAAGATTTCCGACGAGCCGTGGTCCTTGAAGTTTGGCGACTTGAACCACGACCCTGGAATCATCAAGCACCCCTGCTCCAGCGATCTCTCGTAGATGGCAGCCTCGACCTTCAGCGGGTCCTTGCCGAACTCGGAAGCGAACTTGGGGTGTTTCGCAGCGTCAATCTTTACAGTAAAAAACATACCAGCAAAAGGAGGCTCGTACTTCACGACGGACGGCATATGTTTGGACAGACTGTCGATTGTGAAGTTCCTCTTGATGGTGTACTCCTTCCTCAGGCCGATCAGCCAATCAATGTAGCCCTTCTGGCCCCATCTGCCAAGCAGACCGGCCACCAGGGTTTGCGTGAACCCAGAAGCGGTCTGAATGCTGACCTCGTGCAGCCTGACAAATCTCTCGAGCAGTGGCTTCTGAGCAACAATCCAGCCGAGTCTGGTTCCTGGAGCGAGAACTTTGGAGAAAGAGTCTAGTCTGACAACCCTGCCCTCAACGTCCATGGAAGAAAAGGATTTCACCAGCGCGGCGAGGAACTCCTCGTGAGTGACGGCGGCAGGCTCGCTAGCGTTTTTCTTGTAATCGTCCATTTGCAAGAAGTAGTATGGCTCGTCCTCGATGATGATGAAGTCGTGCTTGCAAGCAATATCATAGATAGCTTTTCTCCTCTCGTTGGACAGAGACGATCCCGTAGGGTTCTGACCGGTGCCGATAGTGTACAGCAGTTTCGGCTTTGGCTTGGATGGGTCCCACTCCGTGAACAGCTGATCCAGCTTCTCAGGAATGATTCCCTTGTCGTCCATTTCCACAGGGGCAAAATTGACGCTGAGGGCTCTGGCAGTCTCGATAGCGGAGGGGAAGGTGTACTCCTCCACGACGATGAAATCTCCTGGATTACAGAACGTTCTCAAAGAAGCCTCCCACGATTGAGTGTTCCCCACGGTGACGATTACGTCCCATTCGCTGTGTGGGATTTTGTGGATCAGCTCGGTGTGCTCCCTAATGAAACTGAGCAGCTCCGGCTGGCCCTCGGTGTGTCCGTATTGCAAAGATCTGGCAAGAGGGATATCAAACTCCAGGTCTGCAGTCTTTCCGACCTCTGTGACCACAGTGTCGGACTCGCTGGTAGGCTTGGCGCCAATTCCATTTGCAAAAGGAGGTGCGGGAGAAGTGGCAGTGATCTTGTCCCACGGGAAGTAGTCAGAAAGCGGGAGTCCTCCGCCGAGGAAAACGATGTTGTCCTTCCCGAAATACTTGAAAGCGGTCTTCAGGGCAGACGCGTTTCTGCGCTTGGCTTCGTTGGACAGGTGGTGGCTCAAATCTTTCACGGTCATACTAAAGCACACTGGAGACAGAAGAAAAAATGACTAAATACGTATTTCCCTCGAGATCATTTAATGTACATATACACCCCTACATATTAAAATGCATGAAAAAATTGTTAGTAATCGGGATCTCGGTAAAAAGCGGTACTCACAGGAAATAGCAGGATACGACGATCTTTGCCAACGCCTACTAACGGAAAGGAAGGGCAATTCGCGGGGAGGTCCGCACGCAGCCACCACAGCCGTACTTCTCAATGCACCGTGACTTCTCGACATACCCGCAGGTATTGATCCGTGCAAAGACGGTCCTTGAAGCACGGCACCCGAGAAACCATGGTGGTTAGTGGGACCGACAGACTGCGGACGTCGCAGACCAAAGAAAGAGCTTTTTTTCCGGTATTCGTGTTCTGACCAGCCAGTCCCAGGAACGGAAAACAAGCTCATGAAGAAACGGCAACCTGGTGATCGGCCATAATGGTCACAACACATTTTCGGAAACGTCTGGCTTTGCCAGCGGGCTGGAATTGGCGAAGCAGCGATATATGAGCACTTGCTCCGTCCGAAGCTCACTTCACATTCTAGCTGGCAAGATGAGGACGCTACTACCCCAGCAGCATCCTGCAGTTCTTCTGGACGTCTCCGTGTGTTAGATGGGGGGTGGCGGGGTGGCGTAAACACCGCATAGCGGAGAGCCCCAGGGTCCCAGCTGTGCGATATGGTGCGATGGCCTGAGACACACGACGACAGCTGAATATTCACGCCGCCATGCTCGCAGAATGGCAACCGTCGCGAACCGCCTATCAATTTCGCGTAGATCGCTGGCAGTCATCAGTATCCCAACAAATACAAAGCTGTTAATTTTTTTTTGGCGACGCGTCGACGCGGGCAGAGATCAGAGCTTTGTTTATTTATTTACTTTAGCTACATGGAGGAAATATTTGAAAAGTCACAGCTAGAGAACCAGCAGCCAACGTCCAAAAAGACCGAGGCCGCCTTGAAGCCGGTGGACGTGATGTCCATTAAGAATGCTGCGCAGTATGTCAACCAAAAACTCTCCGCCAAAGGCTATTTCTCGAACAAACCAAATAAACTGAGACAGCTGCTACTTTTGAGTTTGGATAGCTCTCAGTTGATTCCGGAAAATGCAGAAAACTTCGAGATCAGCGAAAAGGTTTACGAAAACGACAGGAACGTAATGAACATCATCTACTCGCTACTGAACTCTGCAGAGATTTCTAAACAGTTTAAAGAAACGGCACTCAAAAAGATATCTGATAAGGACGCCGAGATAGATATGCTTAAGAGCGAAGTGGACAGACTCCATGCCAAGGTCGACGAGAAGGAAAGACATATCCAGTCGCTCCATTTGGATATGATCAAGTCCGATCTGCAAGCCAAGCATTACCAGACCATGCTCAATAACGTTAACGCCAAGTATAAGGAACAAGAGCGCACTTTTAAGTTATATTCAGAAGAGGTGAAACGAGAATTACGCAGAAACGAAATGGAGGTGGACAGACTCGAAAGCAAATTATCCAACATGAACAAGCGCAAAGCTAGCCCGAGGGACCCTGAAATTGCTGAGCCGAAAAGACAGAAATTCGACAACGGCCGTTTTTTGTCGTTGGTCGAAGAGAACTCGCATTTGCAACACGACCTAAACAAGCTCGTTGGGGTACTTTTGAGGCTACAGAAATTCCTAAAGTCATTTGGCCAGCCGAACTCCGACAGTAAAGTGCCGTCCACCTTCATTCCGACTGACAATGAGCTTCTGGCCATAGACCACCATAATTTTGACTTGCAGAAATACGATTTGATACTTTTTGATCTGCTCAAGCCACTGAATGGCGACAGCATTGACGACACGTTCAAGTTCAAGAAGAACAACCAGGCAGACAAGGACCAGGAAATTGCGAATTTGCGACATCGGCTCTCAGAAATGGAGCAGAACTACGAACGCGTGCTGGCAACGATGGAACAATGGAAAACCTATCGCAAGCAGAGATGATCATTTTTATGTTACACTGTGGTGGTGGACGGTTTCGAGGGAATCTCGAAAAGCTGGTAGTAGTCCACAAGTCGGCCATCCAGGTTTGCTTCTCCCATTATTGGAAGCTTGAAGAGATTGCGCCAGCTATATGGTTCGACTTCTGTTTTGATGAAAAGGAAGTCCAACCAGTTCTGCAAAATTCCGCAGTCGAAAGTGGCAGGACTTGATTTGTGTTGGATAAGATCGTCACTGATCATTAAAAACTGGTTCAGTCCGATAAGTCTCGCACACTTGGAGTTGGTCACGAAATTCGGAAGACAAACGAACCTGCGCAATCCAGGCAATGCCACATCCTCGTTATTCAAATCGTTTATCTCATCTGTCGGCACCGAGGAGAAATTATTGCCGGTCGCGGTGTGCATATTACTGAGCTCGTAGCTGGTGATGCCCTTAGAGATCTGCAACGTCTGAACGATCAGCAGGAGCGACAACCAAGAAAGCTGGAAAAGGATAAATATTGTCAGATTGAAGATGAAAGGAGACGCATATGACCCAGCACACGTATCCTCGTCGAAAATATAGCATGAACGTTCCAGATCGTCTGGAACGTCCAGCTCATCAAAATACTTTCTGGCAAGCTTGTAGTAAGCGATAATTGAGATTTCGAGCGCAGCGCAAAAACCGAAAAACAGCTTGTGGTTTCTGACTCCGACATCGTTATTGATCCAGGGACAGTAGTGGTCGAATTTGGCAACGTTTCTATTTTTGAACCTGTTGAACTTCGATCTGAGAGGCTTTCTGATCGAGGTGTAGAGACAGAAGTTCCTGGAGTCGAATTTCCGCAGATCGATCAGGTCTTTGATGGTGGCTTTTATTCTCTGTTTATCTTGCTCGGCAGGGATTAGTCCTGGGTCGATGATCATTGCCTTGACAAAAGTTGCCATTGTGCAGCAGGCGGAAATGGCAAACGTCAGGTTGAGCAAGGGTTTATCTAAAAAGGTATTTGGCATGATTTTGAACAACCATGTCAACAGGCACCAAAACGCAGTTCCTGAGAACACCCCTGCAAAGAGCGACGATTTTTGAAGCGAGTTGGGCGATCTGCTGAAGTTGGGGACGATAATCCACTGGAGAATGAGATTTTGCAACCCCAATATAACCACCAGTATGAAAATGTCAAATAGAATGATTCCGCTTGTCATCGCGTACAAACACAGAGGGACGATGAGGTACGGGGACACAAAGATGATGCGATCTGCCACCTTCGGAGAAATGCGTCTCTTTACTTTTGTCCCGTCTGGATTGATGTCGCATTCTCTGAGAGCAGTTTTCAGCATACTGGTACAGTTCATGTCTGCGGCGATATCCCACGAAGACTTGTTGTCGTTGGTCCGATGGTTGAGGTCGCTTCCGTGCTCAAGTAATTTCACGAGAATTTGCTTCACCGGGTGGACGAGAGCCCAGCTAAGGGCGGTAAACCCTGTCTCGTCCACCAAAGATAAATCGGCTCCCTGGCGGACCAGAACCTCCACGGTGAAGGAGTCGCCCTGATAGGCGGCCCAATGCAGTGCAGTGCGGCCCTTTGGATCAGCCGCGTCGATATGCAAATCAGTGAAGTAGAGAATATAAATCACCATCATGACGTTGGAAGAATGCACAGCCAAATGTAGACAGTTGAAGCCCTGGTTGTCGAGAACCGAGTAATCTGCCCCACATTGAGTGATCAGGTAATCCGAAATATACACCAGACCGTATCTGCAGGCCCATTGGAGCGGCGTGGCGTCCAAGTCGCCGCCCTTGTGATTCACGTTCGCGCCTTTGGACACGAGGTACTTGAGAGCAGTCAGCTTATTGTTGATAGCACACCAATGCAGAGCAGTGACGTTGTCATCCAGCATGTCGTTCACGTCCACCTTGTGATTATCCAGCATGTCAGTCAGAACGTCAAGATCGCCGCGCTGAGCGGCCCCCATATACGTCTGGATAAGCTTTGTTTTTTCATCGTCTCTGGTCAGATCGACCTCGTGCACGGCCCCAACAGAGGCACGGTCATCTGAGGCTTCTGATTTCTCGAGCATTGAGCTGTCTCTCGTAGACGGCACGTCTGCCAACGAGTCAAGTTCTGTCTCTCCAGGAGTAGACATGGTGGTTATTTTTTCTAACGGGCCAAAATAGGCACAGCCGAGCTAGCAGCTCCGCTATTTTTTTAGCTCTTTACTCTGAAAAGCGTTTTAAGGTTCCCTAATTTATATATTAATATCTCGTACCCTTAGGCAACCAGGACTCTCATGGTATTGGAGTGACCGATACCTCTGGTGTGGCCCTGGATACAGACGACAGTGTCGCCTCTGACGAGAAGGCCGAGGTCGATGGCATGCTGGATACCGAACTGGAGTCTGTTCTCGATGTCCTGGATCCAGTTCTCGTTGCGCGGATCCTCATAGACAAACGGATACACGCCTCTATAGAGGTGGCAGTATCTGGCCGAGGTTGGGTTTCTGGTGACCATGATGATTGGACAGTTAGGTCTGTACTTGGAAACGAGTCGGGCGGTGGTTCCGGAGGTGGACAGGACAACCACGACCTTGGCGCCCTGATCAAACGCAGACGAGGCTGCGGCAATGGCAATGGTCTCTGGGGTCGAGCATGGCTTAGGAGTGAGGTCTCTAAGCTCGGAGAAGCTCGTGTAGTACGGAAGAGCCTTTTCAGCAATCAGACAGGTGTGGTGCATCATGGACACGGCCTCCAGAGGGTAGTTACCCTTGGCGGTTTCTCCAGACAACATGACACAGTCAGCACCGTCCAAGATGGCATTACCAACATCGGAAACCTCGGCTCTGGTTGGTCTTGGGTTGTACGTCATCGACTCGAGCATCTGCGTAGCGCAGATGACAGGCTTACCGGCGAGGTTGCACTTGGCGATGAGCTGTTTCTGAACGACAAACACCTGTGGAGCAGGAATCTCGATACCCAGGTCTCCTCTGGCGACCATGACACCATCGGTCTCTGCGAGGATGTCGTCGAAGTTGTTCACACCCTGCTGATTCTCAATCTTGGAGATGATCTGGATGTCCTTGCCTTCCTCTCCAAGAACCTTTCTGATTTCTCTCACGTCGTTGGCGGATCTGATGAACGAGGCAAACACCATGTGGACCTTGTTCTTGACACCGAATCTGAGGTCTGCCTTGTCCTTCTCGGACAGCGCTGGCAGGTCGACGTCGGTGTTGGGCAGGTTCACACCCTTGTGAGAACAGATTTTACCGGCGTTGATCGACTTGACCCTCAGAGTCTTGTCGTCGACAACTTCGAGGACTTCGAACGACAGAACTCCGTCGTCGACGTAGATGATCTTTCCGGCCTCAATCACCTTGGTGATATTCTTGTAGTCGATGTACATCAGCTTGTCGTCAGAAACCTCCTTGTACTTGTCGTCCGTGGTGAAGATCATCTCGTGGTTAGGCTCAATTGGATAATCTTTGCCGTCCCTCGTGGTTCCAGTTCTGATCTCAGGACCCTTGGTGTCCAGAGCAATTGCCAGAGGTCTGCCCGGATATATTCTCTCGGACTCTCTGGCGTTGTCAATGACGGACTGGTGGTATTCGTACGAGCCGTGGGAGAAGTTCATTCTCACAATATTCAGGCCTGCCTTTCTGAGCTTCACCATCATCTCAGCACTGTTGGTTTTAGGACCAATTGTACCGATAATAGACGAGCGTCTAAAGCTCTTGTCTGGAGTCGAAGTAACGTCGAGGCTGGTAAGCCATCCGAGTTTGGATTGCGTCTGGGAGCTCATTTTGGAAATATGCAAATTTTAGACAGGACTTCTTCCCCCCTTTATATAGTCGGACTATTTTGCAGCAGGTTGCCAGCACCCTGGCACCACCCATATTGGGTCATTTTTTTCCTGGTGATCTTTGGTCCGCTGGAAAATTGCACTCCGACGACATCCGTGCACGCGCAGTTTGTTAATCGCTTATGTCACCCCCTTACCCGATAGTTTTATTTTTATTTATCGCGTACCCACACAAACACAACCTGCCGCCGCGGATCTTTGCTATTTGTCCGGTTCAGCCACCAATGAACGCACAACCACACTCAGTAGCCTCTCTGCAGATGGCTCCTGTTTTGAAACCGCCCTCTGACCCGGAGACTGCGAGTCTGACAGAGTCGCTTATACTGAAGTTTCAACATGAGCTCAACAAGAGCGACGCACACATCCCTGACAGCGCACAGTCTGCGAAGCGGCGCGTGCGAGATATGGTGCGACGGTCGCCGCGAAAGCGTGCCGATCGGCCTTCGTCCAGAGCTCGGTTTCAGTCTCTTTTCGGCAAGAAAAACAAGAAAAACCATCAGGAACTGTCTGCGGAGCCGGGCCAGGATGAGCGCAGCACGCTGTTTTCGTATCCGTCGGCAAAAATTACGCTCTACGAAGTGTCGCAAGTAAACGAGTCTGCAGCCGACGAATTTCAGCCAGGACGAAGCGGGAACATTCTCGGCCATGGACGCTTTGAAGTTTACCAGATTCAGAACAAGGACATCACCTATTTTTCGTGCGGCTCGGTTGTGTATCCGATCATGCCACGGCTCAAGGTGCTGAAAATTAGCGCAAGCTCGTTCATCGTCCCGTTGTACAACCCCGAGCGATATTGGAAGATCACGTTATCCACTGAAGATGCGACCACAATAGCACAACTGGACTCGGTTTTCAGGGGTATTTGCCATTTTTGTACCATGTGTGATTCGCCGGATGCAGACGAAGCGGCTGAGCAGCCGAGTGAAGAGCTTGTTGAGGAAAATGTGCCGTCTGAGTCGCTGAGTCCGTCGCATTCGATGTCCTCGTTGAACTCGACAATAGCGTGCTTTAATTTGAGCAAAGACATTGAAACAAGCGAGGCGGACTTTTTGAAACACCCAACGCCAATCAAACTGAAATCTGTCTCGTCGTCTTTGGACTCGATTCTGGATCGGTTCCAACTGGACTCGGACGAAGAGGACGAAGACGGCAAAGTAGAGAAGGCGGCGGCAGACGAGAACGAGTCTACGGTCATTTCCAGCACCATGATGTCTTTTGAAGGCGACAGCAGGGCTCGCATCCTGAACAAAAGGTACTCGTTGACGTTCAAAGAGTGCGATGTGAGCATTTCAAGCCTGGACTTCGACATGGGTTTTTTGAAAGAGGAGGACGAAAACGGCGAAATCAACGGAGCTAGCATCTTGAAGGCCTCGCGCTCGATGCAGCTTCTAAAGCCCGCTACTACCAGACCCTGGAGCACGCGAGTGTTTGGGTGGTAAGTCGATCGACGGGGCCGTCGCGAAAAATAATTATTCTTTATACCATAGTGTACGCTTAGTGAACGATAGCATTTTAACCGCATACAAGATGTCGACAGGGCTTTCCGGGTTATCCAGAGCGTCTGGGTCGCCGGAGAACTTATCGACTCCAGGCTTCAAAGCAGCATTGAAGACGGAGTCGGACACCAACACGCCTGTATTTGCTGCCATGGACCAATCCAGCTCGCTGAAGAAGGAGATCGATGAGTACGAACAGCTCAACAACGAGGCGCGCGCGCTGGAGGAATTGCGCAACATGGATCTGCTCCCGCTTTTGCTGGACTTGGTTGAGAGTCTCAAGGCAGGCAAAATATCGCCAAAAGACTTCGACAACGCAGTAAGTATGAAGAGAAGCGGTTCTGCCAAAATCTAACCGTCAGACAGGCCGAATCAAAACAAGACTAAACAAGTTCAGGTCGCTACTGAACGGAATAGAAGGGCTGGACGAGTCTACAGAGAGCCGGATCCAGAAGATGGAGGAGATGAAGAGGCGGATCGGCGCGAAGCAGGAGCTGTTAAAGCGGTTCAGCGAGGAGATCGAGGCGAAATTCGGCGCGGAAAGGCCGATTGCAGAGGACAAAATGGAAATAGACCGGTAGCCACAGGCCCCCGCGTTATGTAATAATAGAGGTGCACAGATGTCGGGGACGAACAAGTTTCGTCAAATTTTTTCCACTTGACGAATAATTCAGGTTGCTGAAAATCTTGTAAATACATAAGTATACAGAATGGCAGCACCACAAATGAGCATGGGCGAGCTCAGCAAGAGTCTGGCGCCGGTTCCTAATCTCGGCAATGCCGGCAACGCCCACGAGGAACAGAGAGACGGGTTTTGGTCGTCAAACCCAATGTTCACCTTCGTTAACAACGTCGCCAGGTCCATTCAGCAGCACAGACAATCTCTGGACCTGATCAACCCAGGAACCATGGAGAACATCAACAAGGAGGTGGCCAAGGATGTGTTTCTGAACCAGATGCAATTCAGCGGGCTGAGAGCCGACATCAGCAAGACTTTCGCCATGAACCCTATTTTCCAGGTCTCGCACGGTCTCTCGATCGGCGGCCAGCTCCCAGCATATTCTTTCACGGCGATGGTCGGTAACGAGAAGACGTTCTTCCAGGGCACCATTGACAACGAGTTCTCTCTGACGGGAAGGTTTAACCACAGCTGGGACAAGCACAGCATCTCGAAGCTGACTTTCCAGCTGGCCCAGGGGCAACAGCCTATGTGCCAGATCGAGCACGACTACCAGGCCAACGACTTCTCGTTGAACTTCAAGACCCTGAATCCCAACTTCCTGGACGACACGTACAAAGGCGTGATGGTCGGCTCCATTTTGCAGAGCATCACCCCGAAGCTGTCGCTCGGTATGGAATCGGTCTACTCCTCGCTCCAGCCAGGTGTTCCAGGTGACGCGGCTCTTTCGTTCGTCGGCAGATACAACGCTGGCGACTGGATTGCGTCTGCTCAATTGCAGGCCCAAGGTGCCTTTGTGGCCTCTTTCTGGAGAAAGGTCGCCAAGAACGTCGAGGCCGGTATTGAAACCACCGTGCAAGCGGGCATGCAGCCAACTCTGAACGAGCTGATGCAGCCGGTGTACCAGACCGTCGTCGACGCCAACACCACCATTGGTGCCAAGTACGAGTTCAGACAGTCCATCTACAGGGGCCAGGTGGACTCAAAGGGCCAGGTTTCGTTCATGCTCGAGCACAGAGTCCTGCCTACAGTCGGACTGCTGTTCAGCGCCACCATCGACCAGATCAAGAACACGGCCAACATCGGCTGCGGACTGTCTCTGGAGTTTGCTGGCTCTGAAGAAGTGATGATGATGCAAAATGGAATGATGGATGCCAACGGAAACCCAGTCGAAGGTGCCCAGTTGGCATAAGAGACATGTACCTTGCCAAATACAGTATATAGGCCCGTAGGACTACAATAAATGAGCAAAAAAAGATTAAAATCCTGTCAGTTGCTCGAACGGTCTCTCATTTTGTCATCTGGCTCCGGTCTTCTCGGCAGCACCCTTGTAGTCCCTTCTGGAGGCCCTGGCACGCTTCCGGGGCGGCCTGTTTGAGGCTGTCCAGACCGCCGAGCACGCCTGTCTCCAGCTTCTTGCGGTGTACGGGTGCGTGGCTCGGTACGTGGAGCCCGCCATTTTAATTGATAAAATCACAATCAGCACAAAAACATCCCGTGCGCCTGCAACCGCGAATTCCACGCACTCCGCTTGCTACCTTTATGGCTTTCTATTGATCGTTTCATCCGACCACTATCTGCACAAAGCCACTTCCAACCATTTCCGGCCCGCATCAATTTTTTGAGCAAATCCCTCTCCAGGACCTTGCATCAGATCGTGTTCCAGTTCCACATCCCTACAGCAATAATCGCGCAGCAGCTATGAAGTTTTCGCATTCGCTTCAGTTCAATGCTGTTCCGGAGTGGTCTTCCAAGTACATCAACTACTCTGGGCTCAAGAAGCTGATATACTCGCTCCAACGCGAGTACGCCGAGATGTTGAATTTTACGGATCCGGAGGCCCTGCCGTTCACCGCTGTGGACGAGGACTCGAGTCCGATTAATGTGTTCATTGCGGCTCTCGACAAAGAGGCCGCCAAAATCAACAATTTCTTCCTGGTCAAGGAGAAAGAGGCCCTGGCCAGCTACGAGAACCTGATCGACGAGGTGGAGGAATTTGAGCGCGAGTTTCCGCCGAATCTGGCCGACATAGAGCAAAGGCGCCGACTCAGACAAATCCTGGACTCTCTACGGCCCGGCAAGCTCATCGATGAGGCACCTGAATCGGGTCCTGCTCCCGATGTTGAGCCTGCGATTTCGCAGGATGCACTGGGCAGTGCTAGCAATGAGCACGCCGCCGCTGCCCGGGAAGCGGACAAGAACCCTAACGAGCTGACCCACCGCAGGTCGCAGATCCTGTTTGACGACGACGACTTCAATCTCAGCTTTTTGGAGGCTCTCAAGGTGGAAAAAAGAAAACCGCTCGCAGACATGTTTGTTCTTCTCTCGGAACTGAAAAGCTACGTCGAGCTCAACAAGATCGGGTTCGGCAAGGCACTGAAAAAGTTCGACAAAACGTTGCACACCAAGATCAAGGACGAGTACATGGAAAAGCTCGAGAAGAGCTCTGAGTACCACGTTTTCAGGCCAGAAGCGATGGACGAACTCAACGTCCGTCTCGCAGGCATCATCAAGCTGTACTCGGTGTTCACGCACGGCAGCGAGGAGCAGGCCAAGGACGAGCTCAAGTCCAACCTGAGAGAGTACATCGTCTGGGAAAGAAACACGGTCTGGCGAAACATGATTGGCATGGAGCGGAAGACCCAGGCGGCCAGGGCCCAGAAACCGAACGTGGTGGATTCCGTCATTGTTCCGGTAGAAAAAATCGAAATTTATCTTGGTGCTGGACGCAAGATCAGCATCCCTACTGCAATCCTGACCGGCAACGGTCTCAAGGCGCTGCTGATCGCGATGGTCACCATCACGTTGCTGGTCTTCTCGCCGTTGCAGGACGAGCAGCAGAAAAACTGCTTTGCCGTGCTCGTGTGCGCTTCGCTCCTCTGGGCAACAGAGGCTATACCTCTTTTCACCACCTCTCTGCTGCTCCCTTTTCTGATCGTGGTGCTGAGAACTCTGGTCGACCCCGAATCCGGTGAGCCTTTGCGAGCTGTCGATGCGTCCAAGTTCATCTGCGGCGCCATGTGGTCGCCGATTATTATGCTTCTTCTCGGCGGCTTCACCCTGGCTGCCGCCCTTTCCAAGTACAATCTGGACAAAATAGCGTGCACTTTTATTTTGTCCAAAGTGCCTCAGAAGCCGGCGTACGTGCTGCTGTCGATCATGTGTGTGTCGACGGTTGTGTCGGCATTTATCTCAAACGTTGCTGCGCCGGTCCTCATGCTCTCTGTTATTCAGCCCGTGCTTAACACTCTGCCCGAAGGCTCGCATTTTGCAGAGGCCCTGGTGATCGGCATCGCGTTGGCGTCCAACGTTGCCGGCATGGCCAGTCCGATCGCCAGCCCGCAGAATGTGGTTGCGTTGCAGAGCATGGACCCGGCTCCCAATTGGTTGCAATGGTTTGCCGTCTCCGTTCCCGTGTGTGCCTGCGGTCTGCTTCTGATATTCATCTACATTATGTTCATGATGGACGCCAGAGATGCGACCATCGTTCCTATCCGGTCGACAGACGAGAAGTTCACCCATAAGCACTTCTACGTGCTCACTGTGTCTCTTGCCACGATCATTCTTTGGTGCGGAGCTTCTCTTTTCGAGCCGGTGGTGGGAGACATGGGCATGATAGCCGTGGCCTCCATGGTGGCGTTCTACGCTCCAGGTATTCTGTCTCCCGACGACTTCAACAACTATCCGTGGACCATTGTCATGCTTGCAATGGGAGGCCTTGCCCTGGGCAAGGCTGTGACCGTTTCTGGACTGCTGAAGACGATTGCCGAAGCGATCCAGGCCAAACTTGAGGGCTCGGCCCTGTTCACGGTTCTGTGTCTGTTTGGCATCATTGTGCTTGTCATGGCAACGTTTGTGTCGCATACAGTGGCTGCTCTGATTATCGTGCCACTGATTGCCGAAATCGGAAGAGCTCTGCCAGATCCGCATCCAAACCTGCTCATCATGGCCACCGCCCTGCTCTGTTCGTCCGCCATGGGACTGCCCACGTCAGGGTTCCCCAACGTGACCGCAATTGGCCTCAGAGACAGCGTTGGCAACCCGTACCTGACTGTTTCCACATTTATAAAAATCGGTGTTCCATCGTCACTCTTCTGCTACGTCGTGGTGGTCTCGATCGGGTACCTCGTGATGAAGCTACTGGATTTCTAAATAGATATTTAATCTGTACCAAAATACCTGGCATCGATGAATCTCATGCTCATCCACCAGTCCGTGTCGTTGTCCTGTCCTTCTTTGGGCTCGATGGCAGACAGATTCCCAACCACGATCTTCACATGAGGGAACGCGTTCAGTATACGGCGGAGCCCTGTTTCCGACGCAAGATACACCACAAGCACGATCTCTGACTCCTCCACGTCGTGGTCCAGTATCACTTTGATGGCCATCGTAGCAGCAGCCCCAGATATCACCTGGGCGTCAAAGAGCAGAACTTTGCAACCTGAAGCAAACTGAGGCAGTCTTTCCGTGTGCAGCTGCGGCTCGCCCGTTTGGGAGTCCGACTGGATCAGAACCTTGCCCACAATCGCCTCGGGAATGATTTTCCTCAGCGATTTCATGAAACAGTCTCCAGACTTGATGATATTAACTGCCACAACCTCCTGGGCCTGCACAACTCCGTCTGTGATTATGTAGCCGCTGGGTGTAACTATGTCGTTTGGAGCAGGCGAATAGTGGACGAGCTCAAGCGCTTCGCTAATTAGCATGCTCGCAATCCTGTCAAAATAGAAGATGAAATCGTCGTTTGACGTCTCTCTGTTGAGAATTATACTTTTCATTCCGAGCAGCTGGTTGGTTCTCGGCAAAACCCTGATATTATTGTGATTGATAGGAGCAACCATTCTCCCCAGTCGCGCGAGGTGCGCAAGGTGCTCTTCCGATTTTTTTTGCAGCTGCTTCCGGATATGTTTGATGATCATGTCAATAGCTTTGGTGTTGTCTGAGCCGTGTGGAATGACAATGTCTGCATTGTACATAGTAGGCCTCACAGAGGCAACAGAACTGGGCTTGACAAATTTATCCCACTGCTCAATGATGCCCTCGATGTCTCTTTTCCTCTCCACGATGTCCCTGAGAAGTCTGCGGCTGTAGCAAATATCCAAATCTGTATCCACGTAGATTTTGGTATCCATGAGGGCAAGCACTTTTGGATCGTACAACGAGTAGATGCCCTCCACTATGATCACGTTGGCTCCGTAGATGGATATGCTTTCTTCTGTTCTGTTGTGCAAAGCGAAGGAGTACACTGGCACCTGCGTTTTTTTCCCTTCCTTGAGCGAGATTATGCAATTATAGAAAGCTTCCAGGTCGTAGGCGTCAGGGGTGTCAAAATCATACTCGTTTCGATAAGCGAGTTCTCGCTGCTCAGGTGTGAGCGGCTTGTAGAAATTATCCATAGAGAGAAGCACCGTCCATGGCTGATTGATCTGCTCAATGATCTTCTGGGCCACAGTAGTTTTGCCTGACCCTGAGAACCCTGCCACTCCAATGATGTATGGCGATGTCCATGGAGGAATGTACTTGTTAGCCTGGAGATCCGTATGGGTTGAAGATTTGGCAGGCGGCTGTGAGGACGAGGGACTCATGTGCGGCAGCTAAAATAAAAAATTCGAAAAAATCATGAAATAAAATAAAATAAAATAAAATAAAATAGAGGTATCATGAGCGAGATCAGGACCGGCAGATTCAAAAGGCGACGGAGAGAATTTGAGGAGGACAATGAGCCGGTCGTGGAGCAGAGGACTCCTGTGGAGGAGGTGGAGAAGAAACCGGAGGACGAGGCGAAGGTGGAACCGAACAATCTTGATCAACTGAAACTTGGAAACAAAATTAAGCTCAATGAGGAGACGACAGACTTCAGCGAGCTGCGGCGGCTGGCACGCCAAGAGTACCTCTCGAAGCGGGAGGAAAAAAAGATTCTGCTTCTCCAGGCCGAGCTGCAGGACTTTGAGCGCGAAATAGAGCAGATCGGCTGGGATCGTCTGACTCGGAGGGAGCAGGATGAGTACCAGTTCAAAAAGAAGATCTTCACTATGATCCAGGAGCGCTGGGAAATAGAGGAAAATATGGAAAACCACTACTTGCTGCCCGATGATTATTTCACAGAGGACGGAAAGATAGACAAAAAACGGAAGCAGGATGCACTGCATTCCAAGTACAACGACAATAAGGTGGTTGATTGGGAGCAGGAGCAGCTCAAAAAAGCCGTGCGCGATACTCGTCCAAAAGAGCAGGAATATGAGTTTGTGTTCGACGAGTCTCAGGCGGTGGATTTTGTGAGCGATGAGCAAGAAGACCCCGAACAGAAACGGCTCCGTGAAATGATTGCCGAGGAGGAGCAGCGCATCAAAACTATTGACGAGACGCGGAAATCTCTCCCGGTTTACCAGTACAGAGACGAGCTAATAAAAGCTGTCGAGGACTACCAGGTGCTGATCGTCGTCGGAGAGACCGGTTCTGGTAAAACGACGCAGCTGCCGCAGTTCTTGCATGAAGCGGGCTTCACCAAGGAGGGCAAAAAAATTGGCTGCACACAGCCCCGGCGAGTGGCTGCCATGTCTGTTGCTGCGCGGGTGGCAGACGAGATAGGCACGCCTCTGGGCGAGCAGGTTGGATACACGATCCGGTTTGAGGACAAGACCAGCGAGCGGACTATACTCAAGTACATGACGGACGGTATGTTGCTACGCGAGTTTCTCACCGACCCAGAGCTGCTCTCCTATTCTGTAATCATGATTGACGAGGCGCACGAGCGCACACTGCACACCGACGTGCTTCTTGGACTTCTTAAGGACATCGTTACGTACCGCAAGGACTTCAGGCTTCTGATTTCGTCGGCCACCATGAATGCGCACAAATTTAGCGATTTTTTTGACGGTGCTCCAATCTTTGACATCCCTGGAAGAAGATACCCCGTTGACATATACTACACGTCTCAGCCGGAAGCCAACTGTCTGCATGCTGCCATCACCACGGTCTTCCAGATCCACCTGAAACAGGATCCTGGAGATATTCTTGTATTTTTAACGGGCCAGGATGAGATTGAGAGTATGGCCGACAATCTGGCCGAGACGTGTCTGAAACTCGGCGACCAGATCCCGGAAATGATAATTTGTCCAATCTACGCAAACCTGCCCTCAGACCAGCAACGCCGCATTTTCGAGCCGACCCCGGCGGGTGCGCGGAAGGTGGTTCTGGCTACCAATATCGCAGAAACGTCTCTGACTATCGACGGGATAGTTTACGTCGTGGACACCGGTTTCGTGAAGGAAAACGTCTTCAATCCAAGCACTGGCATGGAGAGCCTGGAGGTGCGGCCGTGTTCGAGAGCCTCCGCCGACCAGAGAGCAGGAAGAGCCGGAAGAGTGGGCCCTGGAAAATGCTACCGCTTATATACAAAGTGGTCGTATCTGAACGAGCTGGCCGCGAATCCGACGCCTGAGATTCTCAGAACCAACCTGGCGAGCGTGGTGCTGCTGCTGCTTTCCTTGGGCATCACAGACCTGCTCAATTTCGACTTTCTCGACCCTCCGTCCTCGGACGCTCTGATCAAAGGGCTTGAACTAATCTACGCGCTGGGAGGCCTGAACGAGAACGGCGAGCTGACGAGGATCGGCCGGCGGATGGCGGAGTTCCCGACGGAGCCGATGGTGTCGAAGACGCTGCTCACGAGCGGCGAGCTGGGCTGCTGCAGCGAGGTGTTGTCAATCGTCGCCATGCTGCAGGAGGCGGGTTCTGTTTTCTATAGGCCCCGAGACAGAAAAGAGCAGGCAGACAAGGCCAAGCACCAGTTCACGAAGACGCTGGGGGGCGACCACCTGACGCTGCTGGAGGTGTGGAACCGGTTTGTGGACAACGGGTACTCCGTGCAGTGGTGCCGGGACAACTTTGTACAATACAAGACGCTACAGCGGGTGCGCAATATTAGGGAGCAGCTGGAACGCATGTGTGAGCGGATGGGGCTCTTGGACGAGAACCAGCCGGTCTTGGAGCACGACCGATTGCTGGTGAACGTGCTGAAGAGCATTGTGGCTGGATTTTTCGTCAACGCTGCGCAGCTGAGCCGGTCCGGCGATTCGTACCGGTCGATGAAAAAGAACCAGGCGGTGTGGATCCATCCGTCGTCGGTGCTCTTTGGCGTGAAGCCGCCACCGAAGCTGGTGATCTACCACGAGCTGGTGCTGACGAGCAAGGAGTTCATGAGGACGTGCGTGCCGATCCACGAAAAATGGCTAAAGGAGTACGCGGCACACTATTATGGGGATAAATAAATTATTCATGTCACTAAGAAAATCTCTTCACAGTCGTCCGATTATCAATTTTAGTGGAGTGACGTTAGCATTTAAAAGCAGACAAGATTCCTATTTGCTGCCAATGCAAGTCGACTCTCTTTTTAACGGTGTTTCTGTGGTGGTGCTGTACGCCCCCACCAAGGACCTCTTTGCCCAGACGGCCGCCTTCTACAAGGACGTGCTGGGGTTCGAGGCCTCGGACGAAACGAGCACAAGCTGTGTCCTCAGCACGCCTGCCAATTCCGAGGACAAGGGCACAATTGAGCTGCGACTCGATCCGGCAAGGTCCGTGGACGAGCAGACCATTGCGGCGAATGTCCGCTATCTGCTGACCCACGAACAGAAGGTGGACTGGAGAACGCTCCAGAGCTGTGTCTGCTTCACCACGCACAAAATCGAGTCTCTGATTGAGACGCTGGAGAAGAATAAGGTGGCCTACCAGGCCCGGCCGGGCCGTCTGGACCCGTACGAGGTGTACGTGGTGGACCCATTGGGCTCTGTGGTGGGCGTCACCGATATAGGCAACACCATCGGAACCAGCGACCACTCTCGGTTCAAGGAAGTTGCGAACCGGATCAAGCTGCTGGACTCGGCCGGCACGGCCAACAAGGTCGCCTCCAGCACGAAGAACATTGCGGTGATGACGTCCGGCGGAGACGCGCCCGGAATGAACGCCAACGTGCGGGCCATCATCCGTGCTGCCATCTACAAGGGGTGCAAGGCGTATGCCGTGTACGAGGGCTATTCGGGGCTGGTAAAGGGCGGCCCGCAGTTTATCCGCGAGATGCACTGGAACGACGTGCGTGGCTGGCTCGCTGAGGGCGGCACCAACATCGGAACAGCCAGGTGCATGGAGTTCAAGGAGAGATGGGGCCGTCTGGCGGCGTGCAAAAACATGATCGAGGCCGGGATCGACGCGCTTGTGGTGTGCGGTGGCGACGGGTCGTTGACGGGCGCAGACCTGTTCCGCGCCGAGTGGCCGTCGCTGATCGCCGAGCTGCACGAAAAGGGCGAGATCACGAGCCAGCAGTACGAGAACCACAGACACCTCAACATCTGCGGCACTGTCGGGTCGATCGACAACGACATGTCGTCGACCGACGCGACGATCGGGTGTTACTCGTCGCTGGCGCGGATCTGCGAGGCCATCGACTACATCGACGCGACGGCAAACTCGCACCAGAGAGCGTTTGTGATCGAGGTGATGGGCCGCCACTGCGGCTGGCTGGCTCTGATGGCGGGCATTGCGACGAGCGCAGACTACATTTTCATCCCGGAGAAGCCGTCGTCGCGCAAGGACTGGTCCGACCACATGTGCCAGATTGTGGCTGCGCACCGCGCGCGCGGCAAGCGGAAGACGATCGTGGTGGTTGCCGAGGGCGCGATCGCGTCTGACCTGACCCCGATCACGTGCCAGGACGTGAGAGACGTGCTGGTGGAGAGGCTGAAGCTCGACACGCGGATCACGACGCTGGGTCACGTGCAGCGCGGTGGCAACGCGGTTGCGTACGACCGGCTACTGGCGACGCTGCAGGGCGTGGCGGCGGTGGACGCCGTGCTGGAAGGGACGCCCGAGACGCCGTCGCCGATGATCTCTGTGGTGGAGAACAAGATTGTGAGGAAGCCCCTGGTCGAGGCCGTCAGGCTGACCAAGTCGGTGGCCGAGGCCATCAACGCGAAGGACTTCGCCAAGGCGATCTCGCTGCGGGACTCGGAGTTTGTGGAGCATCTGAACAACTTCATGGCGATGAACACGGCCGATTTCCGGCAGCCGTCGCTGCCTGTGGAGCAGCGCAAGAAAATAGCAATCATCAACGTGGGCGCGCCGGCCGGGGGCATGAACTCGGCCGTGTACTCGTTTGCGACATACTGCATGTCGCGCGGCCACACGCCGTACGCGATCCACAACGGGTTCACCGGGCTCGCACGGCACGACGCGGTGCGCCCGCTGGATTGGCTCCAGATCGAGGGCTGGGCGTCGCTTGGCGGGTCGGAGATCGGCACCAACAGAAAGACGCCCGAGCAGGCGGACATCGGAATGGTGGCGTACGAGTTCGACAAGCACAAGTTCGACGGGCTGGTGCTTGTCGGCGGCTTCGAGGCGTTTGTGTCGCTGAACCAGCTCGAGAAAGCGCGGCAGTGGTTCCCTGCATTCCGGATCCCGATGGTTTTGATTCCGGCCACCATTTCGAACAACGTTCCTGGAACAGAGTACTCGCTTGGATCGGACACGTGTCTGAACTCCCTGGTTGACTATTGCGACGCTATCAAACAGTCTGCTGCTGCTACCAGAAACAGATGCTTTGTGGTGGAATGCCACGGAGGCAACTGTGGCTACATTGCGACTTTTGCACAGCTGTGCTGCGGAGCCATCGCGTCGTACGTGCCGGAAGAAGGCATGACGTTGAGCCAGCTGGCGCAGGACATCGAGACGCTGAAGGTGTCGTTTGCCAACGACCAAGGCAAGGCCAAGTCGGGCCGGCTGCTGCTGAAGAGTGAGAAGGCGTCGGAGGTGCTCACGACGCAGACGATCGCGGACATCATCAACGCGGAGGCCAACCAGCGGTTCGACGCCAAGACGGCCATCCCGGGCCACGCGCAGCAGGGCGGCATTCCGTCTGCCATCGACAGAACGAGGGCCGCGCGGTTTGCGATCCAGGCGGTGCAGTTTGTCGAGAAGATGTACGACACGATTGCCGGCGCGGAAAACGAGTACGGCGAGTTTGTGAACTCGCCGGCAGCGGCCCAGACGGCCTGTGTGCTGGGCATTGAGCGCTCACACCTCAAGTTCACCTCCATTAGACAACTATATGACTACGAGACCGAGGAAGGCCGCAGGGTCCGCAAGAACATTTTCTGGCAGGACATCCGCGACATCAGCGACTTGCTGGTGGGCCGTGTTCGGGTGAATTGAATTGGTACGATCAGGATAGAGTTTCGAGTAGCTGTAGCGTGGAAAAAAGCCGGTCGTGCTGTTTTGGCCGTGCAAAGTGTACCGTCATGTCGACCTCGTCGACGGCGGCCTCCAGCTTGCGCTCAGAGACGAGTCCCAGCACCAGGTCCAGCATTTCGGAGTCGCATATTTGCAGGCCCAGGATGCGAACCAGTGTCGACATTTTGATCGAGGTGAACGTCTTTGAGGCCGCAATTATGTTGTACTGGACGAGCAGCAGGACCGCGTCTTCCAGACGGTGCGGCGGCACCATCTGCGAGACTACGTGGCGGTCTATGGGGAAGACCTGCTCGTTTCTCATGTTGGCGAGAAGGGTGCGGACGGTTTTGTCGACGGCAAACGGCTGGCCGTCCAAATGGCTCACCATTTGTCGCAGGGCGTCGAGCTTTGCGTAGCCGTACGGAATGAGCAGCAAAGATTGCACGGCGAGCTGGAAGTTGCGCTCAAAGTCCGGCTTTGGGCCAGCCAGAAAGTCCAGTTGCGAGCTCAAGAAAGTTTCCAGCAAGTATGGCAATGCGGCAGCGTGCTTGTTCAGTCCAGCCAGATACGCCCCGTAAAGGTATTTGAAGTTGGAAACGACGAGAGCGGTGGGAAAGCGGCGCGATTCCTGTTCGGATAGCTGTTCTATAAGCTCGAGAGCGGCGTCGTAGACGCCGTCGTCGGTGTGGCCGCTCAAAAGTCTCAAATAGTGGTATTCCAGCAGCAAAGGACGGTTCTCTGCAAAAAGAGCCGGCTGCAGCGAGTCCAGCAGAGCACGGTCGGCGACGACTGCGGTGTGCAGGCGAATGGCACCATTCACAAGCGGGGAGTCGTATTGTGCGTCAGGGGCGCGGCGGTGGCTAAATATGAATCGCGCCACGTCCTCCAGCTCTCGCTCGTGTGCGTGCATGGCAAAGGAGATATATAATTTAATAATTCTGGCGATTTGGGGTCACCGCCCGAATCTCGTGCGCACATCGTTTAGCTCGCGAAAAAATAAAAATAAAACCATGAAGCTCGTCAACCTTGCGCTCATTCCCATCGTTTCGTATATCGTGCTCAACCAGCTGTTCAGCACGTGGCTTCCGAGAAACTACATTTTCGACAAGACTGAGCTGCAGCAGATCTGCGTCGGCGCCATCAAGGCACACCCAAACAACGCGACGGCCATCATGTATGCGGTGCAGGAGAAGATGTCCGAGGTGTACGGCGACCAGGTGGTCAACAAGCTGAACTTCAACGACTGGGTGTTCAACAACGCCGGCGGAGCCATGGGCCAGATGTTTATTCTGCACGCGTCCGTCTCGGAGTACGTGATTTTCTTTGGCACTGCCATCGGAACAGAGGGCCACACGGGCATCCATTTTGCAGACGATTACTTCACAATTTTGACTGGAGAGCAGCACGCGGCTTTCCCTGGCCAGCTTGAGAGGTCTGTGTATCTGCCCGGTGACCAGCACCACATGGCTAAGGGCGAGTTCAAGCAGTATGCTATGCCGCCAGGCTCTTTTGCGCTGGAGCTGGCCCAGGGCTGGATTCCGGCCATGCTTCCGTTCGGGTTCCTCGATACGTTTAGCTCGACTTTGGACTTTGTGACTCTGTCGAGGACGATCTACTTCACAGGCAGGGACATGCTGAAGAACCTAGCCCACGGCAAATTTTAGATAGATAACTAACCAAAAGCGTGAAGCGGGATAACCCAGCTGTCACTACTGTAAATGCCCACTCCCCGGATGCAGAGAGACGCATATGCTCATGCAGGAACAAGGCAGTGAATTTGGGTCTCCGTCGGAAAAAAGGCATAGGGACCGCAATTTCCAACGTTGTGTAATAGGTGCAGTGCTGCTCGGAGCGCACCTGGGGACTGGTTCTGGATCTGAGTCCAATGCCGCTGCGGGCTTTTTAGTGTGTCATGTACAGTTTCGAAATGTGCGACTAAGCGGTTACGTACGTTCATGCAATTCTCCCAAAATGCTCAGCATAGTACATGCAGGCTTTGTCCTGTCTAGCGTATGCCGGTGCCATGTACCGAGGTCCTGCCGTATCGATTCGAAAGCATATTCTTGGGTCAGTCAATAAACACGAGGCACGCGGCTCTGCGGCGTCCCTTACTTGCCTCTGTGCAGGCTTTGATCCTCCGAAATATGCAGGTAGCTCAGCGCTATTGTTCTCTGCAGCTTCGAGCCGTTGCTACATCGAAGTTTTAAAATTCGGGTCTCCATCGGGGCACTGTCCATGCCGGCGAAAAGTCGCGCTCACCTAGGCCGGTCTCTTTTGGGGTGTGCTTCCGGCGAGGTGCATTTCAGACAGAAACCCAGACCGAGCAACCGCAAATCCCCCGAAACTTCCCCTGTTAGTGTAACCCCTCATACGCCCACCGTCATGTAGTGTGGGCATCCACAGGCCCTCGGAATGCTCCATACTACTGCAGCGGCTTCGAAAAAAAAAAAAATACCATACCCTTCTGGGCAAGTGCACCTGCTGAGCGAGCACTGAGATAAACATCATGCCTCCAGATCATACATTGCTCTTACGGTTTCCGGGCGCCGAAAACAGAGAAAATTCTGTGCTGTGTGCGAAAACTGCATATGAAATACCGTTAACTTGTACTTTTCTGTACTTTCTTGTATTTTCACTTACTGATGGCTTGATTTTAGCAATGCCACGCACTTTCCATAAGCAGACATCGCTCACAAGCAAATGATCATGCGGTGACCGAAGAGTTGCGCTTCCGGCACAGAAAGGCGGCAGACGAGCGTTGCCCGTTACTGCAGTAACCTTTCACCTCGTCTCGTCCAGTGTCTGGCAACTTATCCTCTCCCTGACTAACATGGCCTAAGCGTGCGTCTTGCTCGACCAACATCATGTGCCAAGACTATTGTTTAAAGCCGAGATGCACGTAGTTGCCACCTTGGCAGAACATGCATTGTTTTCAACTGTAAGGCGCATATTTATTTTCTGTAAATACTCCATTTCAGCCTCATCGCAAAAGGCGTATATCTACTGAGTGCAAGCCCATGGGATCGCCAGGTACACAGTGTGCTGCTTCATCATTCATGACATATATATTAGTGGTAATTCATGTTCCCGGCCTCACATGCAGGCGGCTGAGCTATGAAAAACGCAGGGTTAAAAAGAGTACACCCGCCCCCTCCTAGGAAGAGCCGGTAGTGGGGTTAGAGAACCTGATGAATCGGCTGTTGGGGTATGTAAAAAGCGCGCGGATGAGGTGGGATCATCGGATTGACGTAAGCAGGAAGAGCCGGCGGAGGCTGTGGGTAGTAAACAGGGGTCATGTCGGCCTGTAACGGTGATCTTGGGCTGCCGCTCTTTGCACCGTGTGGAGAATCTGATAAGATCGCGTTGGGTGGCGGAGAGGCATGGACTAGCTGCACAGCGGTGAATGTAGGAGTTTCGAAGTTCTCGAACACCTGTTCCCAAAGCGACTCGTTGATCACCCAGTGAGGCATATCCTGCGGCAGCGACTGCTGATTGTGCTTACCGTTCTCCAAGTTGCGCACAAAGGCCGCCATTTTTTCGGCCATTTCCGGTCTGTTGCACAGTTTGTAGCATTCGGAGGCGCGTGCGTAGCAGTCGATCGCGTCCTGCGACTGGTTTTCACATCTCTCGTACACCTGTCCGAGGCCTTCCCAGGCTATTGCGATGGCCATTTGGTGGTTGTTAGGGGCGTTTTTGATCACCTGCGAGTATGCGTTCAGGGAGTCTGCGGGCTGGTTCAGTCTAAGGTACAGGCTGCCGATGGTCAGCCACGGGAGTGCGGATTGTGGTGCCAGGTTCAAAGAAATTTGTAGCGACTTGTATGCTTTTGTGGGTTCGCCCTGCAGGATGCATGCGCGTCCAAGCAGGTAGTGGGAGAGAAAGGACGGTTGACACTCTCTGTTTCTGATCTGTATCACCCGTTGCAAGAGGTTCGTGGCGTTCTGGAGGTCGTCCGGCGAGGGGTTATCCTGCAAAAGAAAATGCGCCTGCAGCAGCAGGAGCATCGAGTCCTCGCCCACAGTGTCCAAACCTTTCAAGCATGTGGCCACGGCAGCGGTCAAATTGCCGGCTTTCTCGTGGGACAAGGCCAGAAGTCCCCACAGAAACGCATAATCTCTATACTGGTCGTAAGGGGGCGGCGGGAGCGAGACGGCTGCGGTAAATTCCGAGACCGCGAGATCCCTCTTGTTCTGCTTGTTAGCAATAGCAGCAAGCTCCAGGTGCGCCTTGCGTGCCATTTCCACCAGCTCCGGCGCCGTTGATGCCGCTCTGAGACACAGGTTGAAGCTTTCGATAGCCTCGGGCAGCATGTTCATTCGCTGCGCCGTCTGGCCCAGAGTGAGCCAGATGGAGGCAGTGGGCTGGGAGATCTCTAGTGTGGTAAGCAAGATGGAGCGTGCCTTCTCAAGGTCTCCAAGAAGAAAGTAGCAATTTGCCAAATCGCGTCTGATCTCGGGGTGGGTTCTGAGAGGCACAAAGTGGTTGAAGGCTGAGTTGAGGATTTCGGCGAGCTCGTGTACTTTATTTAAGTCCAGTTCGAAGAGCGGTCTAGAGAGCGTGGCGGTTGTGAGTCCATGTAGAGCGTTTATATTTGCTGGGTCGTACTTGAGAACGTTGTGGAAACTGCGAGCAGCGATGTCGTTCGCGTGGCGAATTTCCAAGGCCAAGTTCCCGCAAGCAAGCCAAGTATGGACAAAGTCCTCAACCTCCGCTGGAAGCTGCGGGCTCCGGAAGCCAGGGTTGCCCTGTTGCTCTTGTTCGTTGGGCCAAATGTACGCCATAGAGGAAAGGAGAGATTAAATAATAATAGATGGGCAAGAAATTATTTTAGAGCGTATCAACTCTCTGACTACCCCCAGTGCAAGTGGTAAGGTCAGAATTCCATGCTGTATCATGCATGCGGGCTAAAATATAACATCAATAAGAAAAAATATTTTGATATGCAATGCCCGGCATAGACGAACGAAGTTGACAAAAAGGGCGCCAAAGACGCACAGTTGGTGTGCTCGACTCGATGTGTCAGGGGGGGACGATCTTCGGTTTGAAGCGTATGCACGGGCATGTGCTACTCGATGTGGTGGCCGGAAGTGCCGTCCGTGCGACCCCACCTCATGACCTGGACAGAGCAAGCGCCGACTGTTCGCGCCGGCCTGTTTTTCCGTCCAACTTAAGCGGCCCTACGCATACGGGTAATATCGTTGCGTTACTCACCTACAAAATAAATCTGACTTTCATGCATAAAAAGAAACGACTCCCGCGACCACATCATACATCTGCACTGGGGATGTATGTCTGTGCAAGGCAAATTGGCCTGACACAGCCGTGTCCCGTCAGAGCTTGGACGCCTTCACAAAACGGGTACCCTTAGCTATTTGCGCACTCAGTGCAGGCACGCTGTGTGATATCGCCTCCTTCTCTTCTGCGCTCAAACTTCCCAAACATTTCACCTTTGCGACGCCTTCCGGCCCAATGCTTATCGGAACCCCAAAAAATTCCACTTTGTGCATTATTTTCTGAACAAAGCAATCGTCGGTCTTGAGCCGCGAAACGTTCACAAAGGCAACCTCGTCCACAGTGTCGCCCCTACAAATCGCACGCAAAATCCCACACAGAAACCGGTTTGCTGCAGCCGCCATCGATAATGTTGCTGATCCTTTACCCTGTTTGGCCTGCACGACTTCGTCTCCGGCGTACCGGACACGGTGTACAAGGTCCTGGATCTCTGCGGAAGACAACCGCTTGCGCCACTTCCCCAAAATAGGCACGATTGTTTCTCCAGAGTGACCCCCGACTGTGTACACTTGACCACGCAGATCCCACGCCCCGGTCAGCTGACCCAGAAACTGCTCGAGCCTCAAACTGTCCAACGTGGTTATGCCAAACACCCTCTCTGGCCGGAAACAGTTCTGGCTCCGCAGCTGTTCCGCCGCAATCGGGACGGTGGAGTTCACCGGGTTCGAGATGATTGCCAAGAACGCCTCCGGACACGTCTCGCCATAGACTCTCACCAGCTGCTGGACGATCGACGCATTGATGTTGAAGAGGTCGTCTCTGCTCATGCCGGGCTTTCTGGGGATTCCGGCCGGGATAACCACGACGTTGGCGCCTTGCAACGCCATCCGCAGCTGCGACTCGTCTGTCTTCGTCAAAGCACAGAAATGCCTGACTTTCTGGCGGGTCGGAATATGCGACAGGTCGGTGGCCACCCCGACGGGGTCGACCACGTCGTAGAGCACAAGCTCGTCAATGAGCTCGTTTGTCCGCAAAAGCAGACTCAGCGTTTGGCCAATACCGCCACAGGCCCCAAGAACCGCGAGCTTCATGAGCGAACGGTGCGATTCCACCGGCTATATATACTTCTCCGCAAAGTGCATGTGACTTGGTGGTCTGTGTCGGTGCAAGGGTGTCTCATCTCTTGCGCACGTTCTTCCACTTGAACACCGTCCTGCCGTCCTTCGTCTGCACCTTCTTCTTCTCGCCCTTCTTCATCAGCTGTTTCTGCAGCTCGACCGTCGCCTGCAGCCTTTTCAGCTTCTCCTCGCGCTCCATGCGCTGCTCCAGCAGCCGCAGCTTCTTGAGTTTCTTGAGCTCGAGCTTCTGCTTCACGTACCCGTTTTCAGACAGCTCCGGCACGACGGGACCATCGGACACGCCGCCGGCAAGCCCGCTGAGCTGCGACTTGCGCAGTCGATTTTCTCTTTTGCCCAAGAGACTGGCGTCTGTGTCAAAATACTGCGCCGGATCGAACTGTTCCATCTGCTCTTCCGAGTCCACAAACACCGTGTGCGATCCGACCCCCTTGAAGCTGTCCAGGTTCTTCATTTCCTTCTCGATCTTGCGCGCCTCGCTCTGTCTGGTCATGGTCAGGTAGTTGGCGTCCTGTGTTTTGAGCAGCAGCACCTCGTCGTTCGAGAGAGCCTCGTTGCCGCGTTCTGCTATCAGGATTCCATCTTGGTCGGTTTTTCTGCGTGTCATAGAGTGGTAGTATTCGTCCTCATTGCGCAATTTGGCCTTCTGTTTGAGGATCTTCAGCTGGGCCTGTTTTTTGTGGTAGTCTGCCGCACGCAGCCGGTAGTCCTTCTTCTTCTCCAGGAACCCAAACCGGGCGCGCTCCTGCGGCTGAGCCCGCTCTCTGTGCTGTTTCTTTTGCACGTTGTGCACCAGCTTCACCATGATCTAAAACAAACGATTATGATTTTTTTTGAAATTTTTTTACATCTTTGCACCGCGAAATCTCACGACATGGGTGTAGCAGTGGTGAACGGCAGCAGTGGGCAGGCGGTACGGGTGGTCTTCATTCTGCGGCGGCTGTGGTGGCAACCAGAAACTCTGACTTTTCTGTTTTCCTTTTTGTCACTGCTCTGCTACTTCCCGCTAAGATCCATCTTTAAAATTATAATTATTTTAATATGACCGTTGTTTCTTGTTTACAAGAGTGTCACGAATTGGGCGTCCCCATAGACCGCGATCTGTACAATTCTCTCTGGATGACGCTCGTTGCGGGACGACATTTGGCCGTCGCGAGTCCTGAGCCGTCCAAAACTGCCGAGGTGATCGGCTACATCTGCAATCTCTGGGGATTCAAGGAGCGAACAAGAATAGTACATTTGAGAGCCGGCATGTCGTTTGAAGTCGTCGCCCCACTTCTGCACAGCCAGCTGGCAGTGGTGGTGTTTGTCAGCCTGGAATTCACCGATAGCAAGTTCCAGCAGGAGCTGGCGTCTTTCATGAACTCATCCAGCGGCGCGCAGTTTAGCATGGTTTCTGTGATGGCCAACCAAAATAGCATGGAGGTCAGTCTGAGACAGAGTCTGGAAAAGTTCATCTGGCTGCGTGAAGTGCACCGGGGCGAAGTTCCAGAAACAGCAAGCGTTCCCTTGTGCTCAGCTTCAGAAGAGCTTGAAAAATACCGATCAAAAGCCAAGAGCGTAAAGATCGTGCGCGAAGTCAGAACCTACATATACGACATCGTCGTGTTCACACGCATGCACCGAATGGTGGTCGCCGGACTGCCGACCCAGACATGGAAAGATATGGAATTATTTGTTCAGATCTACGCAGCTATCCACGACATGGACTATGTGACGCCGGCAATGGTCAAACTGGCCGCGGCGAAGGTGATCCCGTTGCACATCCGGATGGTGAGCAAGCCAGAAATGGAGCCGTCCGTTCTCTACGGCAGCGATCCCAAGCTCGTCCAGCAGCTGATCAACGTATGGGACGCAGACCTGGTCGTTGAGGACGTGCTCAACAATGTCCAGCCCCCAACCTAGACAAACTGAACTTTCCAAAACTTCAAGCAAGAATCGGCTCCGCCGCTGACAAGCTCATTTTCGCCGATCCAACTCACGCCGGCGACGCCCTCCTTGTGAGCGTTCAGCGCCTTGACGTTCTTGGCTGGCTTGCTGACCGAGTACACAATGATGTTTGTGTCGAGCGATCCAGAGACGACGTGGTCGTTGTCTGCGTTCCAGGAAAGAGAGTTGATCCTCGATGTGTGGAACGCCCACCTGGTGGTCACCAAAGACAGGTCTGCGAGCTTGTAGCAGTGAATTTTACCGTTGACGTCGCCACAGGCCAGATATTCTCCGTTCGGCGAGATCTTCGATACAGACGGCCGCGCACGCATCGGAGCGACAGCTCCAACAAGCTTGAATTGCTTGTCGTACACGTTGACAGCAAACGTCGCCGCGTTGGTCACGACAATGTGCGTCAAAGAGACAGCCACCGAGCTTGGGTTGTAGTCCAGTTTGTGCTGCGCAATTTGTCTGCCCTGCCGGTCGAGCACGATCAGCTCGTCGTCGGTGATGACTGCGCCGAACTCGGCTCCAAAGTCTGCCTGGATCGGCTGCTTGGACACTGTGGTGGCAGTGGCCAGTTTTCCGGAGTCTAGATATTTTATTGCGTCGTCCCAGCCAACGGTGACAACGCCGCTTCCTGTGTTTGCAATGTTGACGACCAAGTTCGAGTGCGTCTGGCCCGCGACTAGAGCGCCCGTTTTCGTCGCAAGATCCCATTTCATCACTCTGCCGTCATAGCTGCCCGAATAGAGGTTTCCGTCAACGACAGAAGACAGCGCAGTGATTGACTTCTGGTGGCCGTACACCACTCTGACGGGCGAGTCGGACGAGTCGGCGAAATAGTACAGGTCGCCGCTCAACGTGAGCCCGAGAACGTACTCGTTGGTCTTTACACAGCCGACAAACTGGTTCTCGAGCTTCTGTTCTAGCTGCCACGTTCTCGACGTTTCCCCGTCGACGCTGGTCAGTTTGATCGAGCCGTCCGCAGAGCACGTGACGAAAGTGTTCTCGTCAATCCAGTCGACGCCAAAAATGCCCGCCGAGTGCACGCCTTCGATCTTGCGCACGAAATCGCCCGTCTTGCCGTCATACACCACAATCAGACGGTCCGAGCCGACGCTGACCGCGTAGCTGCCGTCCTTGCTGAACTTCACGTCTCTGACAAAGTTGCTGTGGTGGCCACGGACAGACTGCGCAAACTTGAACGGAGGTCCTTGCAGGAAAACCATCCCTGCGTCGTCCGAAACGGTCACCGCACGGTATGGTCTGCACGGCCGAATGCTCACGGCGTTGATGGGCGCGCTGTGTCCGGAAATCTCGCCAACAGTGTTCCCCGAGTCAGCCGTAAAACAGTGGCCGTACCTCTCCCGTCCGTCACCCACAGCAATAATCCTGCTGGAGTCTGCGTCCCACGCAAGGTCGTTGATCCGGCCGCTGATGACCGAATAGTCTCCTTTCACGATCAGTTCGTCCGAAACGCAGTCCCAAACCTTCACGTTGCCGCTCTCGTCGCCGGAGGCAATGTAAAAGCCTGAGGGAGAGAACTTGGCCACTGTGGCCGGGTAGTTGTGGCCTCCAAACTGGATGCTCTCGTCTGGCTTGGCCACCGAACGTATGTACACGCATTTGCCGCTTGTGTAGACAATTCTATCAGACTTTGCGTCGTACGACAGATGCACTGCTGTCGCGCGAGCAGTTGCCGGGTTCGCGGCATATAGACCGATTTTTTCAACTGACATTAGTTCAGACACTTGTGCTCATTATTTATTATTTTATTTACGTTTATCTTCTGGTCGTGCACCGCTCAGCCTGGTAGCACGCTATTAAGCAGCGCATCGATCGACATCATCGGGCGCTCCCGCTGGTCTTTGGCTTGTTCTGCAGCCGCCGCCGGCTCTGGGACGGGCTTAATATCGAGCAGCCGCGCGACGAGGTCGCAAGCTGCGTCGATGTCGGCCGTCTGCTCCCGCGGCTCCGCCGGCGGGCGGAACTCGCACTTCCTGCCAAACAGCTCCTCCACAAACCGGCTGTACTCTTCAGGCATCTTTTCAACCGTCTCAAAAAGCGTCTCGTACCTGTCGCCAATTTTCTGTGCCGCTTTTAGCTGCCGCAAGTACACCTCTCGCATCAGGTGGGAGACGTAATGCAGTTTTGGCGAGTTCTGTCCCAGCAGCCGTCGCGTGGCCTCGCTCACACGGAACATCGACGGGTCGTCGCCCCGCATCTCCTCTGTTGGGATAGGAAACGACTCTGGGTCGTTCAACTCCACAAACCGGTAATCTTCTGGTTTTTTCGAGCCGTCCGGTCCGTCCAAGTCCATCAGATCCACGAGCCGGCCCATCTCGTGCAACATCTGCTCATCCGGAAAATCCTCACTGCTCAAATCATTCCCGCCTTTGCTGTCAGCTACACCACTCAGCTTCGCGTACGTCGACAGCCGCTCGTCCTCGGCAAACGGAAGCGCGACCAGAGAAAAGCCGTAGTGGTCGGGCTCGCCGTCCATCTCCTCCAGCTTGCGCTTGTCGCCCGTCTGCAGCTCGTGCTTGTACTTTGTGGCGTCCGTCAACACGACACACGGGCTCATTGCCGCCAATCGCACGGCACCCGCGTTCCGCTTAACATAGCGCACTACCGCCACCAGATCGTGCTCAAGCAGCGCCTGCGCAAGCATGTTGAACCCGAACTGGTCGCGCACCGAGCTGTTCTGATTATTCAGCAGAATCTCGGCTTCTCCGTGGAAATACCACGGCGGAATGCTCTTACGACGCACAAACTGTAGCACGTCTAGTCCGGCGAACGTGTTGACATTCAGCAGCTGTCTGAGCGACGACGTGACCGGCACCGTCGACGAGCCGTAGCGATACGCCTCCTGGACCTCTGTCGCGTCCACAAACCGCGGCTCCGCCGACTGGCTATCTGGCTCAGGAGGAACGTACTTGTCCGTGGTATGTTTGAGCTCGACCAGATGACGAGCGTCCGAGCTGGGGTCGTGCTGGATGCCCATTTCGTGTGTGAACTGCATTTTCTGGCTCTTCGTCAGCGGATACGCGTCAGCCTGGAATTTGACGGTCACAGCGTCGGTGGCCGGGTCGTAGTCGCCAGCGTACATTCTCAGCTGTTTCTTGTCCAGTCGCAGTGCTGTCGCGCAGTTCTTCAGGTCCACACTGTACACGTCGCACCCCAGCCTCACTTCGCCTGTGAACAATCGCGCAGCACGGTATATTCGCACAGGCTCCTTCTCCCAGCGCAGCAGGTCGCGGAACTGCTCCAGGCCACAGAAATACGACAACGAGGCGCGGCCGTCGCTCTTCTGCAGCCGTGTCATCAATTCGTCGATCTCGTCAAGATTGGCAGACACCACGTCGCTCTCGGTGTCTCTGTGGGCCATGCAGTTTACTATCGTGATCAGGACGTTGTAGCCAATCGCAGCGGTGCTCACGAGCTCGGTGAGCTGATCCCAATTGGTCGGATTTTGCATGTCCGACATGACGTAGATGGTGTATTTCTCCTTTTTCGTCTTTTTCGGGTTCATCTCCATAATCTTCTGCAGAACAATGGCTAGCGATCGCGGCAGGTCCACCTCCAGCTCGTCCACGGGGTCGGAATTGATCCTTACAATGTCCTTCAATCGCGCCATGCGGTCCCAGTCGTAGTGCTCAGGACCCTCGAGAACGCAGTTGTTCCAGTTTCCGGGACTGATCGTGTGCATAGGGTTGTCTGTGTGTTTGTCATGGAGCTTCGCGACGCCAAAGAGGTCGGTTTTCTTGCCGCGCATGGCGCTGCGCAGAACCAGCCCCAGTGCCAAGTCTACGCAGGCATCCAATTTGGACGCCATGCTGGGCGACTGGTCGAAAACGAAGAAAGTGATTTCTTTCTCCATAAAATAACTAAGATCAATAAAATAAAATAAAATAAAATAAAATACTGCAAAATAAGATAATAAAATAAAATAAACATGATGATCCGATACGGCGCCCTAGCGCGCGCACGGCCGCTCAGACTTGCCATCCAGACGCGCAGCATCATGAACAGGAAACAGAAGGAGGAGCAGCGATTCAGGGAACATATGGAGGCGCAGCGAAGAAAACGCAAGTGGTCAACCTACATCACGTCCTCTGTCGCCCTCCTTTTAGCAACCTCCGGCATACTGTACCTTTGGCAGCCGTGGAACCCCTTCAGCACAGAGGTGAGCCGCCACTTGCGCAAGGGCCTGTGGCTGGAGACCAGCAAGAACATTGATTATCTAAAGGCGTTGGAGCACTATCAGAACGCCCTCAGGCAGTGCAAAAAGGAGCAGATGGATAATCTGGATCCACGGTACACGGGCATAGTTCTGAAAATAGCAGAGATGTACGAGAAGCTGCAGATGGTGGACAGACAGCGCGAGGTGTACCAGCGTCTCAGCGACTTTCTTTTCGCCAAGCTTGTCAACGACGAGGTGCCTCCAGAGTGGAAGGACAAGGTTATTCAGCGAGACCTGGTGGTGGCCACGCGGCTGGCGACGCTTGCCCCCGCGGGCCAGACGAAGCGTGTGATGCAGGAGCTGTGGGAGCGGATGGACTATGCGGAACAGCAGACCGTTGCCAAATTCCCAGTGCTACATGTGCGCGGCGAGCTGGATATTATGGAGGTGTTGCAGCTGGACTCGTGGTCCGCGAAGAAAAAATTTATAGAGCAGCACCTGCCGCAGGCAAAGAAGTTCCTGAGCCAATGGAGCGTCGCGTGGCCGTGCTACACGGAAGACCTTGTGCGGGCGCGCGATTTGTACGCGACGCTAGCGATGTTTACTGCGCCAGGAGACGTGGCTGTGAAAGTGTTGCAGTCGAACATTTTTTTCATGAAGATCGCGGGGCAGGAGCCAATCAAGATGAGCACGGCGCTGCTGAACCTGGCATCTGCGTACTACTTCAAGAGCGAGCAGCACGAGGCCCGGAGCGCGCTGGCCGGGGACACAGACACGCTGGAGAAGCAGATGTTTGTAGAGCACGAGAAAACGGAGGCCCAGAAGGCGCGCGACATGAGCGCACGGCTGTACCGTGCGATCATCAGCCGGTACCAGGGCCAGGACGAGGACTCGGGTGTGTGTCAGGCGATGTCGCTTTACTCCTTGGGGGTGCTGAACAAGGGCCAGAAAGAGGCAGAGACGTATTTCAGCCGGGCGCGGGAGGTGGCTGCCGAGCACGGGCTGGTGCAGGTGATGGACAAAATCGACAACGAGACGCTGCTCCCAGCACCATTACAGCAGGTCTAAAACATATACTTTGCTATATTACTTACTGCGAGGTCATGACCTGCCAGACTCTAATCACATTGTCAGTGTAACCGGAGAACAAGTTCTGGCCGTCGTGGGACCAAGCAAGGGAAATACACTCTGGAGTCTTGCCCTCGGCAACCTCCGGCTTGAGCTCCTCCTTCAAAGTTCTCTCCTGCAGGTTGTAGATCTTGATGGAGCTGGCAGTGGCAACACAGAGCCAGTATCTGTTTGGCGAGAATGCCAGGGCGTTGATCTCGTCGCCGGCTTGCAGAGTGTACAGAGTCTTCTTCTTGGAGCTCATCTCCCACAGGATGATGGCGCCGTCCTTACCACCAGAAGCACACAGAGATCCGTCTGGGGAGATGGTGATGCAGGAAACGTAGCCGTTGTGGCCAACAAAGTCGGCAGCCAGGGTGTAGTCTCTCAAGTCCCAAGCCTAGAATAGTTAGTAAACCAATGAACAACCCGGTGATCAGAGATCTTGGTGATATTTTTGTGTCTCATTCGGTTGCCCGTCTGAAGTAGCAAATATGTGATACATCATGTCACCGGAGAAATATTCAACTTACCTTAACGAGCTTGTCAGAGCCGGCAGAAATAACGGTAGCAGCCTTGGACTCGTCGGTTGGAGAAGATGGAGAGAATCTCACAGCGTTCACCCAGTCGGTGTGGGACTCCAAGGTGGCCATACATTGACCGAGGGAGTTCCAAACCTTGACGGTCTTATCTCTGGAGGCAGACACAATCTGTCTGGAGTTGGCGGCAATGGAAACAGACAAAACGTCTCCCTTGTGTCCAACAAATCTAACAACAGATTCGCCGGTATCGAGCTTCCAGAGTCTCAGGGTCTTGTCCCAGGAGGCAGAGATGGCGTACAGTCCGTCTGGCGAGATGGCACAGTCTTGCACAATGTGCGAGTGGCCCTTCAGAGCCTTCTTGGCAACACCGTAGTTGTTCTCGTCTCTGGTCAATTGCCAGGTGATCAAGGTCTTGTCTCTGGAGGCGGAAAGGAGCAAATCTGGGTTAGCTGGAGAGGTGGCAAGGGAGGTCACCCATCCGTTGTGGCCGTGCAGGGTTCCTCTGAGCACTAGAACTTCGACAACTTCGTCAGCCATATTGTGGTTATATGAAGAATTGAATTAAAATTTTCAATTTTTCAAGGTCTGCCCCAGGCCAAAGAAAGCGGTGCGAGGGTGCATCTGTGACTGCTAACCTCGATAAAGAAACTACAGATTGCAAAAGTGTCTGCTCTTGGTACTTACCGGTGCACGGGTGATGTCGAGAAGGGACGTTTCGTACATACAATCCAGACTCGACGCGCTCCAGGAGGTCGACGTCCGGCTCGTGTCGATGCTGGACAACCTGTCGACGACGCTCGGCCTGCTCAAGAGCCACAAGGAGGCCGGCGTCGCGAACGAGGCCGAGTTCAAAAACGCCGCCTCTGGCTTCTACGCTGAGCTCAGCCGCGCTGCCGTGAGTCTGAGCAAGGAGGTGAAAATCATCAACAACAAGGTCACGTCGCAAACGGGCGAGCTCGACCTTTTGCCCGTCCAGATAAATAAAAAATCTGTCTGGGTGAACGATGCCAAGCTTAGGGAGGAAATCCAGCATCTGGACCAGCTCGCGGACTTCAAAAACATCGAGGTTCCGCCAGACGAGCCGGAAAGACCCGAGGGTTCGCCCCAAGACGACAAAAAGATCCCAGAAACCATCGACTTAGACGCTATCGACATGAGCGACGCAAATACATAACACTACCGCTTTCCTATAAAGTAGCCAACGAGCCCGGCCAGCACAACAACCAGCACCGTGACCAGGTCGCTCTGGCGCACCCTTCTGATGCTGGGAAGCCTGTAGACAAACATCAGCCAATTGCTCTTGGCAGCGGAGTACGGAGCATATCTGTCTTTCAGGGCCACCTCGTACCAGTACGGCTGTTTCAAAACCACCTTCCTGTGTGTGAACGACTCGATCGAGTACCTGCCGTGGTAATTGCCCATTCCAGACGTCCCGACACCGCCAAACGGACACGTATGGATGCCGGCATGCACCACGGTATCGTTGACCGAAAGAGCTCCCGACCGGATACTGTCCACCAGCTGGACCTCTTCCTGCTTGTCGGAGAAAATGTACGTAGCCAGCGGCGTGTCGTGGTGCTGCTGAACAGTCTGCACGGCTTCTGCCAGCGACGAGTACCTGAGCACGGGCAAAATAGGGCCAAATATTTCCGACTGCATCAGCGGGTCGTCCCAGTCGACGTCCGTGACCACTGTTGGGGCCACGAAATTTGTTTCCCGGTCCCGCGCGCCCCCAAATAGCAGCTTGCCCCGTGTTTTCTCCAGCAGGCCCGCCAGACGGTTGAAAGAGTTGCTGTCGACCAGATGCGTGTAGTCTGAGGCTTCCGAGACTTGGTACGTTTTTTGTAGCACAGCCACCATTTCTGCCACCACCTGGTCGTACACGGAGTCCTGGACGAGCAAGTAGTCTGGCGCCACGCAGACCTGGCCCGCGTTGCAGAACTTGCCCCAGAAAAGTCTTGCGAGCGCCGTCCGGATGTTTGGACAGCCGGCGGTGATGAATGCTGGCGACTTTCCGCCCAGCTCCAGCAGCGTCGGAGTCAGCGACTCCGCCGCCTTGGCGTGCACAATTTTCCCCACCGCGGTCGAGCCTGTGAACACGATCTTGTCGTACTTCTGCTCAAGCACCGCCTGGGCCTCCTTGAGCCCGCCGGTAACCACCACCAGTATTTCCGGATCCAGAGCCTCGGCAAGAACGCGGGAGAGCACTTTGCAGAACTCGGGACACTTGTCTCCCGGCAACTTGAGCACAACGTTGTTTCCGGCTGCAATTGCGCCTGCAACAGGGCTCAGGGAAAGCGAGAGCGGAAAATTGAAGGGCGAAATCACCAGAACTGTGCCCAGGGGCTCCTTCTCGATCTTGCACGAGGCGACGCTGAACGCAATGGGCATTGCGTCGGGAGTTTCCGGAGCAAGCAGCGACGAGAGGTTACCGGCCAGATAGGAGATCTCGCTCAGCAGCGGGCCAAACTCGGTAACCAGGGTCTCCTGGGACGAGCGGTGGAAATCGTGGAGTAATGCCGAAACGATGCTGTCCTGATGTTTCTGGAGGGCGTCTTTCAGGGAGAGCAGCTGGGCCTTTATGAATGCGTGCGACTTGCGCGGACGAGCAACGAAATCAAGCCGGAGTTTGTTCACGGCGTCGGGAATTTCTCCTAAAGCAACCAAAGACATATTTCAAGCTCAAAAATTAATTCGCTTCCAAAAATAATTACTGCCTTATCGAAATATATGGTCCATATCATCTCCTGAAAAATTCGCGTATCAGTCGCTCTTTCTCGTCCCCGGCCCAGTCGTGGCCCTCACGCCTCGCACGCTCGGCCAGCATGCTCTTGAAAAGCACCAGCAGATAGACGGCGATTAGCGAGAGCACAAGAAACAGAACAGAGAGCAGCGATATGATCCAGTACTCGTTGTGCTGCACAAACCGGGTCCAGCCCTTGCTCTCGTCGCAGCCCGGCTCCATATCGCTCACAAGGAAGATCTCGTCGTCCAGGTATTTCACAACGGCCAGAAACTTGCGTCCCACGAACGCCGTCTCGACGCCGAAATGCACGAGCTGGAAATACAGCAGCCGCACGTTCACCAGCTGGCCGCCCCTGTAGTCGTACACCTTGTTGTTGATCTGGACCGGCTCCATCTGGACGTAGTCAACAGACCGGCTGTTGCTGCGGAACCACCCGCAATCGCTCTGCGGCAGGTTATCGGCCGAACTCAAATTGTAGATAAGCTCCTGGTGCACAATGTTGCTTAACGTGCGGTCTCCGTCGTATTTCTTCACCATGATTTCCAGGCGTCCGAAAACGTCAGGCCGTTGCTTGGGGGACTCGTCGTCGTCCTCCAGCGTGTAGGTGTTGAGGAACACGTTGACATGGTCATTTTCGTACGAGTCGAAACCGATGAGCAGCTCCTCCGCCAAAGCCTGATCCGGGCCGCCGCTCGCTTCCGGCAATAGCGCAGAAACCAGGGTGCTCAGTAGCAGGGTCAGCCAAACACGCCACAACATACGGCCAGCAATAGCGTTCTTGCTCTACACTTATTCGAAACGACAAGAAGCTGCGAACGCCTTGCCGATTAGGCCGTCTCTTATATAGGACCTTGTTAACTTTTTTTCCCTACATGCAAATTTCCCAATTTGGGTCGGCTCCTGTGGGATCGACCCAAATTGCTGCGAGCCTAATTTTGTCTGTGCGGTAAACGATCGACGCAGTGTGCAGCTCAGCTCAGGTCGAAATCATCGATCTTGTTCTTGTACTTGAGCACGTTGTGCTTGATCTTGGAGCTGTCCGTCCACTGCAAGTAGTCCTCCATGTTTCTCGTGACCAGAAACGCCGGGTCGGTGATCACGTCGGGCCCAACTCGCACATGGCCCTGCTCCACAAACTTGACTGCGTCCGAGATCGTCTGGGCCATCTTGAACCGGCACATCACTACTCCGATCCGCCTTCTGCAGAACGAGCTGACGGTCACCTTGTTTTCCAGGTCCGATATCTTGCTCTTCGTCGCCAGAACGCCCATTGCGTACAGCTTGTCGAGAAGCAGCTGTTCGTGCTTGATTCTGAACGGGTCGTTGGGCTGCAGAAGGGCGAGCTTGTGTGCGATTTTTCTGATGTTTCCGCATATCTTGTTGTACTTGTGGTAGTCCTCTCTGTTCTGGATGTGGTATGTTCGCATCACCTGCGTGTCTCTGTGTCCCTGATCCTGCTTCCATTCGAGGAAGTCGACCTTCTTGAGCAGCCGTTGCTCGTGGTGCTTTAGCTTCCTCACCATGCTATAAAATATTTTTTCAAATTTTTTTCATCCATACACCAAAAATTGGTTTGCAAAATACTCAGTTTTCATCAACATGTCTTTTGTTCGGCGGTTCTCCAGCCTGAGGCCTGTGCTCTCTCACATCGGCTCGGCGCCCATCGTGATACCGCCGCAGGTGGAGTTCGAGTTCATGGACCTGCTTGTCCCGAAGTTCGTGCCGAAGGGGGCCAAGTCCTTGAGATTCGACAGAATGGTCACGGTGAAGGGACCCAAGGGGAAAATTGACCTTGCGCTGCCAGAGTTTGTCCAGGTGCAGAGCTCTGGCGGCAGGGCGGCCGTTACGGTGAAAAAGCCAGAAGACAAACTCCAGAGACAGCTCTGGGGAACCATGCGCGCTCTGCTCAACAACGGCGTCGTTGGTGTCACCGAGGGACACACCTCTACACTCAAGCTCCAGGGCACTGGTTATCGTGCCATGCTCGAGGACGTGGACGGCGTCAAGTGGGTCAAGATGAAGATCGGGAAGTGCGACCTGCAGGGACTTCCGATTCCTGACGGCATCACGGTCACGGCTCCCACGCAGACCCTGCTGATTCTGGAAGGCTGTGACAAGCAGCAGCTGAATCTTTTCGCTGCCAGTCTACGAAACATGCACCCTCCAGAGAGATACAAGGGCAAGGGAGTGTATCTGAACGGCGAGACCATCAAGCTGAAGGACAAGAAGGTCAAATAGTGACTTTTCTACGTAGCCGATTGTACATAGACGATAAAGCAAAGAATATGCGTGGTGCGTGCCACTTATTTGGTGGTTGCAAGGGCTCTAGAAATTCCAGTTGTATCGCGAAATATTTTAATTTATTAAGATGAATGTCGAATCAGGCACCCCGCAATATTGGAGCCAGTACCCGCTTCCCGACAACGTGGAGGCGCACGAGTCTTTTCCAACGCTCGTCTCGCGGAGCAGCACGGTCCAGAAAGAGTACAAGAGCCCTCAGGTGCTCGACAGACAGATCCTGCAGCAGCAACAGTTCCAGAATAACGGTGCCCACCGCGGCTACGTGTCTCCCTTAACCGAGGAGCACAATACGTCGTTTGCAGACAACTGCGAAAAGGTCGAGGAGTCGATCAGGAAAGACGTGGGCGACGGACTCTGGCAGGAAGTGTTCTCGGGCGCCACCAAGAAGTCCAGGCCGCTGGGCTCGTCCGCTAGCAGCGACTCCTCGAATACGCACAAGTTGCTGTCCGAAGAAACGCTTCAGGCCGAGAAACGCAAGGCCCAGAACCGCGCAGCCCAGAGAGCGTTCCGAGAGCGAAAGGAAATCAAGCTCAAGGAGCTGTCCGCCAAGCTGAGCCAGTCGGAAGGCGAAAGACGGCGACTTCTTCAGGAGATCGAGGAACTGAAACAGAAAAACACGCTGCTGGGCATCGAGAACGAGATGCTGCAGAAAATGGAGACTCCTGCGCTATCGAAAAGCCACTCGGCGACGCGGGGACAGTACGATTTTCCCCAGACGAGAGAAGATTTCATCAAGTCGGTGGTGGACGTGCGGACGTCGGCCCCTGAGGCGCCTGCCGCAGGAGTCCCGCACTCGATGGTGGACGGTGTTCCGTACACCATCCAGGCGTACAACCACAACAACGAAAAGGTGCTCACCGTGGCTGCCGTCTGGGACTATCTGAACGAAATAGCGGCCGAAAAGGATATAAACCTGGACATCCCGGGAATCATCAGCCAGCTAAGGGGCGCCGAAGTGTGTCACGGATACGGCCCGGCATACCCTGTGTCGGTGGTGAATGCGGTGGTGGAGAAAAATACGGAGTTTCTGATCTGATATGTACATTGGTTTGATAGCTCTTTATTTATCCTGCAAAATATGCGACCCATACTTTTTCAGAGCGTCTCTGATCTGCACGTACGACCCGTTCGAGCCAGAAACACACCCCTTGACCAGTATGTATCCCTTTTCAGCGTTCACGTCCAGAACCTCGAGGTTGAATATCGTGTTCCACTCGTCTCCCAGATGTCCAGCCATCTTCTTGCCAGGCAGCACTCTGGCAGGCGTGGTGTTCATACCGGTGGAACCAGCGCTTCTGTGGGCCAGAGATGTACCGTGCGAGGCCGGGAGACCAGAAAAGTTCCATCTTTTCATCACACCGGAGAACCCTTTACCTTTGGTTTTCGAGATAACGTCCACAAACTGCCCTGGCTTGAAATGATCCGCTTTCAGCTGCGAGCCAACAGGAACGAGCCCCTTCTCGTCCTTGACCTCAAATTCAAACAGGACCTCCTTGGGCGACACCTTGGCGTTTCTGTAGTGTCCCAACATGGCCTTTGTCTGGTTTTTGAGCTTGTGTCCGTACCCAACCTGCACAGCATAGTAGCCGTTTTTCTCGAGAGTCTTATGGTAAACGACCTCCACCTGGTCGATTTCCAGAACAGTGGCCGGAACACGGTCGCCGTTTCTGCTATAGAACTGCGTCATGCCGCGCTTGACGCCAATCAGACCCGGTCTGTCGAGGAGTCTCTTGCGCTGCCTTTTGGCCTCAGGGCTCTTGAAGGGAAGCGGGGCCACGCTATTGAGGGCCGGAACAGCCATCGGCGAGATCAGCTGTCTTTTCGACACGCCCGGCAGCACAGCCGTCGAGTTCAGCCGCCTGAGAATTAGACTGTACATGTGCGTTGATGGAAAACTTTTTGGTGGTTTTGGCCAAAAATGTTTTTTCCAGCTTACATAATACGCTATCCGTCTTATTAGAGTGTTCGATTACTACTTAGTAAGGAGTGTATGGGTACGCACATCTCTTGGCAAGCCTCTTCGCCGGAGCAACGTCTTCAGACTCCCCCGGAATAACGTCCCTCTTATTGACATCGTTCTTTCTGAGCTGTTCCACCTCGCTCGGGTCCTCTCCTTCGTATCCCTCCATGCCTGGCTTGATCTCGCCCTTTCCGTTGTTTTTCCAGGATCCTCCGAAGTGGTGGTGGACGTAGCAGTATTTGCCGCAGTTGTTCTCCTTGTCCTCTCTGAAGGAGGCCCTCGGGTAAATGACCACGTCGTCGATCATCACAGGAGCTCTTAAACCAGCAAAGAATCTCCACGAAATCACGTCCCCCTCACCGGTCTCAGGACCGTAGAGCTCTCCCGCAATGTCTCTCTGGTGGTCGATGTCGACGATCGTTGGGCTTGGGATTGAGTTAAGGTGCGCGTAGATAGTGTCTGTAAACACAACAGGACCGGTCCACACCATGATGTCCACGGAAGCACATCTATCGACGCCTTTGAAATCCTTGTAGTAAGCCTGCAGTTTATCGTTCTTCTTGGCCTGGAAAGTGGTTTCGACGATCTTTGCGATCAGCTTTCTGAGAATAGGATGCTTCGCCTTGGCCTTGAATGTCCATTGCTCGAACTGGATTCTTCTGGTCATGTAGTGCTCCCAGTTCTCCACGTTGATGTCTTCCTCGACGGCAACCACAAATCCCACGTTTCTGTCGGAATCGAACCACGTATCGACTGGCTTTTGCAAGTCTGTGTCGATGTCTGCGTAGACACCGCCGTTCAGGAAAATCAGCAGGTATCTAGCGAAGTCAGACCGGATGATCTTGTTCGGCAACATCTCGAACGCCTCGAGCACCTCGGGAACGGTGTCTTTGAACCGGATTCTCAAGATCTCCAAGATCTCGTCATCGGTCAGCAGGTTGTATTTGTAGGTGGGATTCTCGTTTTTCCACTTGTTCACGAGCTCCTTGTGGGGGAAGTCGGGGTCAGTTGAAGGCACCTTCCACATCTGCCAGATGCTCTTCTCGATTCTTCTGGCGCTGTTGTCATACGGGAAGAACCTGGCCAGCCGCTCTGCTGTAACTGCCGCATCGTACGGGTTGGCCCCGCGGAATTTTGGATTCAACTTGTAGAAGTTATTGAGGTATTCCGACACGATTCTCTCTTCTGTATTGATAGACCAGCTGGTTGAGAGTTTGAACAGAATCAGACCCAGAAGCAACCCCACGAGAATGGACAGCTTTTTGAACTTTGGCGACGTCGATGACGTCGAGTTGATGCCTCTGTAAGGCGATGCTTTGCTCATATCACTAAGAGAATGTGGTGGCGAGTTTCAGTTGAATACTATGCAAACTCGGATCTTGAAAAAAGGAGAAAGACGCTGCCAATCTTTCCTGCAATTTTGAACGTTCTCGTAACAGTCGAAAGCAAAATTCGATAGAAAAAGCCGATCGTAGCTGAGTTTATAAAAAAGCTTTCTGTTTGGTTTTCTATTTTTTTTTTTCGTTGTGTAGATCTTTTTCGTGTGCTAAGGCGAACGTGAAGCGCTAATTAATAATGTTGGAAAATCGCAAAATCAGCGCATTTCGTCCACAGGGCCAGTGACGCATACTTTGCCGGTTGCGCTACACTATTTTCAGTCCATCAGACGCACTTGCCACCTAGACCAAAGTTACCCCTTAACGCATGTGTCACGTCGATCGACCTATCGCAAGGTCGAAATCACTGTTTTTTTTTTTCATCTGCGAGTTGTCTAGCTTCTTTTTTCCCTTATGTTCAAGAAATTTTCCAAAGAAGACGTCCACACCAGGTCGAACGTCAAGTCGTCGGTGCAGCGTGGCCTCAAGACGAAGTTTGTAGAACAATATCCCGGTTTTGAGCCCATCATCGACGAGATCGTGCCCAAGAAGTCCACCGTGCAGCACTACAAATGCGAGGACAAAATCCAGCTCTACTTAGTCGACGGAGAGGTGCTTTTCTACCAGAAATTTGATGAATTGCTGCCCTCGCTCAAGCTCGTGCACAAATATCCCACTCTTTTCCCTAAAGTCCAGGTCGACAGGGGGGCGATCAAATTTGTGCTTTCGGGAGCCAATATTATGTGTCCCGGACTGACCTCCGAAGGAGGCTGGCTGCCGGAGGAGAATATTCCAAAGGACACCACGGTGGTGGTCTACGCTGAGGGAAAGGAGCACGCGTTGGCCGTTGGCAAGCTGCTAATGAGCACGGACGAGATCAAGAGCGTCAACAAAGACATTGCTATCGAGCTGTATCACTACCTCGGAGACGGGCTGTGGAATTTCCGTGAATAGCTGTAATGAGATATGAATGGCATTTATTCGTAGCTGACTTTCTCGAATTATTTGTAGCTGATTTTAAAATTATTTATTTTTGTTATTAATTTATTGCATGGTTTCTGACAACTACGGGATAGTTGTGGACTCCGGGTCTTCAGGCTCGCGGATCCAAATATACAAATGGAAAGACCCTGAAGATCTTCAAAAGGAGTCGAAGGACGCTGCCATTCTGTCGTCTGTGCCCCAGATTGTGCAGGAAGACAAGTGGACCTACAAAATCGACAAGGGGCTTTCAACGTTTGCAGACCACCCTGAGGACGTGTGGGAGGACCATTTCGAGCCGCTGATCAAATATGCTGAGCAGATCGTTCCAGAGGACAAGCTGGCTTCTACTCCCATCTTTGTTCAGGCCACGGCAGGAATGCGACTTGTTCCTGAGAAACAACGTGAAAGAGTACTGAGCAATGTGTGCAAGGCGCTGAAGGAGGAGACGCATTTCCAAATAGACAGTTGCGTCGATCATGTGCAGGTGATTGACGGCGAGACAGAGGGTTTGTATGGCTGGATCGGGCTCAACTATCTGAAGGGAAAGCTGAATCAGTACGATCCAAACATCCCAATGTCTGACCACGACTCCTACGGATTTATGGATATGGGCGGGGCGTCCACGCAAATAGCGTTTGTTCCCTCAAATCCACAGGAATTGGAGCAGCACAAAAACGATCTGTACGAGGTGAATTTGAGAAACGTGAATGGAGAAATGCAGCGGTGGCGGGTCTTTGTGTCTACGTGGCTGGGATTTGGAGCCAACGAGGCCCGCAAGAGGCATCTGAAGAATCTGATCACAGCTCTTCCGGAAGGCGTGAACTACGACAAGGATGGGGACCGCACGTACGATATTTTTGACCCGTGCTCTCCCAAAAACATGCGCATCAAACAGGAGCTGAACGGCATCACCTACGACATCACCGGTCTGGGAGACTACAAAACGTGCATGAAGCACGTGTACCCACTTTTGCTGAAACACCTGCCCTGTAAGGAAGACCCGTGCCTTTTCAACGGGGTGCACGCTCCCACGATCGATTTCGAGAAAGACAAGTTCATCGGAGTGAGCGAGTACTGGTACACTGCCAACGATGTGTTTCACATGGGAGGAGCCTACAATTTCAAGAAGTTCGAGGAGAGACTGAAGGAGTTCTGCGAGCAGGATTGGGAGCAGATAGAGCTAAATTATAAGAACAAGCAGTATGGAAGCAACATTCCGGAGGCGATCCTCAGGGATTCGTGCTTCAAGGCAAGTTGGGTGGTCAATGTGCTCCACGAGGGCTTTGGGCTGCCGAGATTGGGGTTTGAGACGGGCGATCTGTCCGAAGAGGAAGTGGAAAAGCTCAACAAGCAAGATACCGAGCATATTCCGTTTCAGAGTGCAAACCAGATTGACGGAGCAGATCTGTCGTGGACGCTGGGAAAGATTGTTCTGTACGCTTCGTCGCAGGTTCCGTCCAACGATGGTGTTCCTGTTGGAGTGATACCGGGAGAAAGTGCGCAGACGGCGATCGGCAATGCGGTCAGACCCGTGCCCACCGTTGCCGCGACAGACTCGCTGAACGGATATCTAGCAATGACGTTTGGAGTTCTGTTATTGGCCTTTTTAGCGTACGGCTTCTTCACCAAGAAATTCACGCACTCCAAATTTCTCTCCGGGAAAGGACTGAACAGTGTCCAGGCGAGTTCAATTAGAAGATTCCAGCAACAATGCTCCAGCAAAATCAGCAGCAAGCTGAAGTCGTTCAGACACGCATCTATGGTTGCGGATGAGGAGGCGACTATGTACGAGGACGAGTTTTCGCCGAACCTGCTAAAACGCGCTTCTTCGGCCTCGACTCTGGAAAACGGCAATTTTCACACGCTAAGAACACGCTCTACGCTGAACCTGTCCGATATCCAATCGGAGACTCCGCAAGTTGCGCGGTCTACGTCCGCAAACTCATTACCTGGCAAGATCGGATCGAGCGCTCAGCTGGACAAACAGGGCCTGCATTTTGACTTCATGAGCAAAAAATACAACAAGTACGTCAACCGATCTACTTCACCCAACAGAGGTGTCCCCTTTCCGCAGGCTCTGGGCCTGTCGAGCGGGTCTCATGTGGAGCTCAAGACATTAATGAAAACTAAGGCCAGCGACTAGGTGCTTGCCGATCGACGCAATCGACGCGATAAATGAGATTAAAAAAAAAAATTCAGGGAAAAAATTTTAGATCTATATAAATTCTAGGACTCTGCGGATGCGTGTGAAGAAGCCGACCTCCAAGAGAGTCACCACCCGCATGCGGGAGGGTATTAAGAAGAAAGCCGCTGCTCAGAGGAGAAAGGAGAGAAAGCAGGCGAAGAAGGACCCCACCTGGAAATCGAGACATAAAAAAGACCTGGGAATTCCTGCAAGCTTCCCCTACAAAGATCAAATTATCACTCATATTGAGGCCACGAAGAGAATCGAGCAGGAAGAAAGAGAGCAACGGAAGCAGTTGAAGAAGAGCGAGACTGTGCATGACGAGGAGATGATGAGCGAGGACGACGAGGAGCAGGAAGATGGAGGCAACCATCTGGCCGCACTGCTGGAATCCGCCGAAAAAGCTGCCGAGGAGTTCTCTGGAGAAGCGGACGCGGAACCAATGGAGGAGGAAGAGCTTGAGGTGAACGAGTACGAGATCACGCTGAGTGAGGATGAAGAGTACGCAAGCCAGCAGGAGAAGTCCAGAAAACAGTTTGACAAAATTTTCAAGTCTGTGGTCGATGCGTCGGACGTCGTGTTGTATGTTCTGGATGCACGGGATCCAGAGGGAACGCGTTCGCGAAAAGTGGAGGAAACGGTGTTGCAGAATTCAGGAAAGAGGCTGATTTTCGTGGTGAACAAGGTCGATCTGGTTCCCGACGAGAACTTGAAGTCCTGGCTGGAGTACCTGAAGCAGTCTTTCCCGACTATTCCTCTCAAGGCAAGCAGCACAGCCACCAACGCCCAATCGTTCAACCGGAAGCTGACGCAAGCGGCCTCAGCCTCAACTCTTTTGCAGGCCCTGAAATCGTACGCGCAAAAATCCAACCTAAAAAGAGCCGTCGTGGTAGGCGTGATTGGGTACCCCAACGTTGGAAAATCGTCCGTGATAAATGCATTGACGTCCAGACACGGCGGATCGTCATCTGTGTGTCCCGTTGGAAACCAGGCGGGAGTGACAACCTCGCTCAGAGAGGTGAAGATCGATAATAAGCTCAAAATCCTCGATTCTCCAGGAATCGTGTTTCCAGACTCGAAGAAGAAGAGCAAGGCGCAGCAGGAGGCCGAGCTGATACTTCTGAACGCCGTTCCTCCACGACAGATTACCGATCCGGTGCCTGCAGTGACGCTGTTGCTCAAGCGGCTGGCCAAGAACTCGCAGATGGCTGAAAGTTTCAAGAGTCTGTACCAACTGCCTCCTCTGCCGTCGTACGACTTGAACGAGTTCACGAAACAGGTGCTGATCCATGTGGCGAGAAAACAGGGCCGTCTCGGTAAGTTTGGTGTGCCTAATCTACATGCTGCCGGACTGACCATTCTGAACGACTGGAGAGACGGCAAGATCATCGGCTGGACTGTTCCAAAGCCTCGCGAGGAAGCCAAGAACATCAGCAGCGTCAGCAGTCTGTCTGCTCCGGCCAAGGTGGAGCAGACTACTATTGTCAAGGAATGGGCCAAAGAGTTCGACCTGGACACGTTATTCGCAGAGGTTGGAGTCTAGGCGTGTAATCCCTCACGATGAATACATTAGAGTGACTATATATAAACTTAAGCCTGGGAAGCCAAGAAAGCCTTGATGGCGGATGGGTTAGCACCGATGATTCTCTTCACCTCCTTGCCGTCCTTGAGGAAGAGGATGGTTGGCATGGAGGTGACGTCGTACTGGGAGGCGATTTCTGGGAGCTCGTCAACGTCCACCTTGTAGAAGTCGAAGCTGCTGTACTCGGCAGAGAACTTCTCCAGCATTGGAGCAATCATCTTGCATGGACCGCACCAAGTAGCGAAGAAGTCGATAACCACGAGATTGGACACGGAAGTGGCTTGCTTGAATTCGTCAGCGGATTGGATAACCTTCATTTTGTGTGCTGTGTTTGGACCTGTGGCAGATGCGGTATTAGTCGATAAAATCTTATTCACCAGGAACACAAGTGTAATAAGTATCAGAAAACTTAACATTCAAATTTTGCCGTTGGCGGACACCAGCGAAATATATAGGGAGGCGCGAATTTTGGTTAGTCAGCAAATATTTGTAATACGTAGCGACTGGCCAGACAGCCAGAAAAAAGGATGCGAGTTTGTGCAGCTGGAGCGAAGCCAGGATTAGTAGAGCCATGTAGAAGCGGCTAGATGAACCGCCTGCCGGCCCATGCAAGCACGGATCGGCTTCTTCCGGGTAAGTCTTGTTCTCAGCGTGCAGTACCCAAAATGATTTTAATAAAATAAAAAAAAAGGCAATTAGTCCAGATAATTGATAGAATTGTATTTAGCAAACTGGTTTTGTCTAAAGCAATATAGTTAGTGCGCCCGTGCCTTTTATCATAGGTTATCAGACTTTGAGCCGTGCACGGTGTGAGTCTGCAAGAAGTTGTATACAGGCGGTCGAAAGGAAGCAAACAAGAACTGTTTGACAGGCATTATATCCAAACAAAATAGACTAGTGCCGAAGAACGCAACATCAGCTGGCGCTCTGCAAGTGGTGTTTTTGGAAAGCAAAGAATACACGAGGTCGGCCAGTTTCACGCAGGATACTCGGTTTTTCCTGCTCGTTTAAAAGCAGGATAAGTCAAATTTTTTTACGGAGAACATTCCATTACCTTTTTCTTCCGGACACCTAGCTTAATAGAGTTTCGCACTGCAGCATTAAGTGTGTGAGAGCTGTTATGTCGTTTTTGTCGACTATATTTTGCTGTTTTGATAATCAGGAAACAGAAAGACGACAGACTGTCGCGGCATATCCGAAACTTTCGGCAACGCAATCTAATCTACAGAAAGCATTGAACAACAAACCATCTAATACACAGCTGCCGAAAAAGCCAATGAATGCGCCAAGCTCGGACCGTCCCGAACAACCCACTGCCGAGGATGCCAAAGCTCACGATCCAAACGAGCACGCCACGTTGAAGCAAAGTGCGGTTACGGAAATCACCGACTTGAAGGATTATACAGACAGTTCCAAAGACGACGATACGCTGAACCAGATTGCGGAGGCTCCGGACCACCAGACGCAGGTGCTGCAGAAACAGGCAGTTCCCCGGTCTATGGATCCGCTGCCGACCACAACCGCCTCATCTGATCTGTCTGAAGCAGGCGACATAGCAGAAGACGAGGAGGAGGACGCGGTTTTCAACGAGGAGGAGCTTGACGAGGATCAGCTTGTTGACTTGGATCTGACCAGAATACAAACAGATCAGGTGGTGGCGGCGTCGGGATGGTTGCTGGACCCGCCTCCGTCGCATTTACAAGGCAGAAAGTGCCTTGTGCTTGATTTGGACGAAACACTTGTGCACTCTTCCTTCAAGTACATTCGACATTCCGATTTTGTGATTCCGGTGGAGATTGAAAACCAGATGCACAACGTCTACGTGATCAAGCGGCCGGGAGTTGACGAGTTTCTCAAGCGATGCGGAGAGCTGTACGAGGTGGTTGTGTTCACGGCGTCTGTGTCGCGCTACGGCGATCCTTTGCTGGACATTCTGGACGTGCATAAGTCTGTCCACCACAGACTTTTCCGCGAGAGTTGCTACAATTACCAAGGCAATTATATCAAGAATTTATCCCAGATGGGAAGACCACTGAAAGACCTCATCATCATTGACAACTCGCCAGCGTCGTACATATTCCATCCGCAGCACTCAATCCCCATCTCCAGCTGGTTCAGTGACACTCACGACTGCGAGCTCACGGACCTGCTGCCCTTTTTGGAGGACCTCGCCAACAAGGAGGTTGACGACGTGTCTCTCGTTCTGGATGTGAATCTGTGACGCCAAGAGGAGCTGGGCTCTTCTCATTCATAGATGTATACTAATTTCATCATACTTTTACCATGCCACGCGGTGCAAGGGTGTCTCGTATAGAATTCCCTCTCGAAACAAATTCCAGACTGGGGGGGCCCTGCGCGCCTGCGCGTAGGCATATTTTAGCGCGAGTCACTAATGTAATTTTTCTTCATAGGGATGCCGCAAAGATAAAATTGGGGCTGCAAATTCTTGAATTGGAAATCTGTACTACCACAAAATCGAGCGCGTTTCAGACACACAGCCATGACACGGAACTCTGCTGCCAGACGTTCTTTGTGGGGCTCTATCAGGGGGATCAGCAAGCTAAAGGAGGCAGAGGAGGACACTATGATACAGCGACGCAAACAACCGTCTCAGGCGGCGCCCAGCAACAAGCGGCATTCAATGGTGGTGAACATGGACGACTTCAACGCCCTGAGTCGTATCTACAGGCTGGAAGACAAACGAACCACAGAGAACAAGGAAAACATAGGCGTGAAACGCATCAAGCGCCGTTCGATATACGAGGACGAGAGTGACTCGTCGCAGTCGGAAGACGCAAACACGACGGTCGACTCTGGCACGGTTCTGGAGCACCTGGACGGCGACACGAACGACGCGACCACGCTGCTAGACTCGGCATTTGACGACTACAAAATAGCACTCCAGGCATTGTCCATCGAGGACACAGTAAACCAGGATAACAAACTCAAAAAGAGCAGCGCGTTCAGGGACAGAGAGACGTTGGAGGAGATCGCCAAGCAGACGCGCAAAACCGAGCACGCAGAGACCCACGTTGTTGAGCGACGGGGCTACCTACTGATCGAGACAGAATTCTCCTGTCCCGGCGACAGCAGCGAGAAAAAAAGCTACCTGGATACGGATTACGACGATCTATTCGACGAGGTGGCGTGCGAGCCGCACCATTCGCAGCCGGTACAGAGAACTTCACTGTACTTCAAGAGGCTCACAAGTCCTTCCAGATGAGCTTCTCAAGCGTTTCGCTCTTGTTTTTCACCTCGCGGACAAAGCCGAGCGTCTGCAGCTCCGCGAGACTCTTGAAAAACCAGCTGAGGGTCATCTTGTCCCAAGTCAGGTCGTCTATTTCTGCAGGCAGCTGCGTTTGCAAGCACTTCTGTCTCAGTGCGTTTTCGAGCTCCTCGCGCGGCAGCGAGTTCTTGAACACCTGGTAGAAGTCGTAGACGTTGCTGATGACCCCTGCCTCTCGGCTTAATTTATACAACTCGATCACGGACGGTTCAAGGCACCTGTACAGTTTCATGTCGGGATTTTCCGCATCCAGCTCGCTCAGATCGGAATGCACCGTATTGAGCAGGTACTTCTTCGAATTGAGGAGCGAGTCAATACACGTTGCGCGCACTTGGGGGTTGAACGTGTTCGTGATCAGGTCCAGCGCAGAGAGATCGACGCAGCAGATCTCTCTGAACGGGATGTTGTTGAGGTCCAGCTCTTCCAGACAGCCCAAGAGCGCTCTGTTCAGTGCAGCCACGAACCGTTTGGTCTGCGACGCAGAGGACAGCTCCTTGAGGTCGTCGCTCATGAAGAGGGGCCCAAAGTCAGCATCCTCGCGCACAGTTTTGATGAAGGAGTTTACATCGTGCAACGATGAGGACCCGATTTTTTTCCAGAGCTGATGTAGAAAATTGAAGTTCTCGAAGTTGCTGTGCTCCTCCTCGTAACTCACGTTCTTAAAAATCAGTCGGAAAAGATCCAGGTTGTCTGTCCAGATGGACTGTTCTAAGAAGTATTCTTGCATGAAGTTAAGGAGATCCACCAGAGTCTTCATCTGGTAGCGCCAGTGGATGAGCTTATTCAGGCTCTGGCGCAGCAGGTCGCCGAGCGCCGCTTCGTCGTCGGACAGGAGAAGTTTGTGCAGGTTCGCCGCCTGTTCGGCGTTCAGACTCTGTTCGTACCTGCGAACAGACGGGAGTCGTTTGAACACGTCGAAGACGTGCGAGTTGAGCTGTATCTTGGAGAAGTCGCTAGTCCACATTACGCTGAGCGGCTGGCTGTAGTAGTGGCTCATATAGATTACTTTCATGCTGTTGACAAACTGCGAGATGGAGATCTTCGACTTGAGCTCGAGGAACTTGAGCACGAGCCGGGGCTCGAGAATTAGCGAGTCGTACGTGTCGTTGATGTTGAGAAGCACGTTTTCCATGATCTCGTTCACCGCCTGGCCCGTGTTGTCGATCTGGAAATACTTGGGCCGCATGTACTTGACGGTCAGTTTTGGTAGCTTTTCGTGGAATATCTCGAACGGCGTCGACATGCCGATCACCAGTTTGATCTTGGCCCTGTACTGGTTGTTGTAGTTCCACAACACCTTTATTAGAGGCGTGAGGATCGACGTGGGAAACGAGTCGGCGTCCTCGATCATCACTATCAGCCGCTTCTCCTTGGAAAACATCTTCTCCATCAGACTGTCCATGTCGATCGTCCGCGTCTGGCCCTGCTCCTCTTCCTGCTCGCTGTCGATATCGTCGTCCGAGTCGGACACCGGCACGGAGGCTGCGCGGCCGAGGTCTGTCTTGAGCCCGCGCGAGATATCTGTGGCTAGGATCTTCATGGTGAAGCTGACGGTGCTGCAGACCTTGCTGCTCAGTCGGACCACAATGGCGTCGGGGCTTTCTTCCACAAGGTTCTGCCACACATTTTGAAGCAGCAGCGAGTGGTTGGAGATGTTGGGGCCGAGGTTCAAGAGGGCAGTGCTTAGATCTAGAGGCTGGCCCTTGAACACCGTGCTGTTCTCATCTGACGAAAGGTACCGCTGCAGATCCTCAAACATGTTCTTCTCGTTTTTCTGGAGAATCTGGACGATCTGGTCGTGCTGCTTGGCCCAATTGTTGACGAACAGCTCGTATCGACGGTACATGTTCTCCGTGGGCTCGTTGCCGTTCAACAGGCGAACAAAGGGCAACGCGGACTTGGTGGGCACGCCTTCCTGGTAGTAGACGAGCGGGCTGTCTGGCACCGCCACTCGCGCTGCAGGCTTCAGCTCGTAGACCACCTTCTGCGAGTCCATAAAATCGTCAAACGACATGCAAAAAATACTAGATCTAAATTATTAAAATGCGAATTATTTACGTTACAGTAGAGACGAGACCAAGAACCGCTCACTGGCCCGTCTTATTGTTTTCCTTCATCTTGTCGCGCAACTCCATCGCGGTGGATTTTTCCACCTGGTACAGCGAACATATGATGTATCTGCCGTTGAGGTTGAAGCCCTTCATCTTGTCTAGTGCTGTCTGGCAGCTCCTGTAGTTGGTGTACACCACGAGAGCCTGTCCCTTGAGCTCCTTGTCTGCGCCGAGCCGAATCTCGTGGATGTTGCCGAACTTGCCGAAAATCTCGTACAGCTCCGCGGGCTTCACATCGTAGGGCAGATTTTTCACCAGTATGATTGGAAACTCGAACTGGTTGCGGAACAAACTCATAGCTAATAATTTTCGAATTTATAGAGCAAATTAATAAATAAATAAATACTTTAAATCTCTAATAGCCAATGCTCAGTACTCGGCAAGCCGCAGCTTCTTGCCGATGTCTCTGTTGGTGAACACCCGCTGGCGCGCGAACGGCGGCTCTGGAGACTGCTCGCGAGACTTTATGAGGTCCGAGTTCGAGTCCACCTCAAACGAGTCGTAGCCACCCAGAAGACGGATGATGGCAGGTCGCGCCCTGCGGCCGCGTCCCACGCGCAGGTCGTTCAGCTTGTTGGCGATCTCGGTGCCGAACGAGGCCTCGTCGTCGGGCTTCAGCGACTCGACGTACGTGTGCTCCATTTCCAGAAACGAGCTGTTCAGAGTGTCGAGGAACCGCTGCGTCTGGCGGTGCTTCGAGGACGCGCAGATGGTGATGGAGTTGTCCTTGATGATGTAGCCGAGCCCAAACCCGTTTGGCGACACCGGGCCGAAACCAAACAGCTTCAAAGACGGGTTGCCGCAGTTCGACGTCGAGATGATGGTGTTGTTGAGCTTGTCCCAGCCGGCGTCCGCAAAGATGGGCGGGATCTCGCGCAGCGACACGTCCTTGACCGGGTCGCGCGTGTCGCTGAGCGTGTTTTCGTCGTCCGAGTCCGACGTCTCGCCCAGGCTCTCGTCGCTGTAGTATCTCTTCCAGATGCAGAAAAGAGCGTACAGATGTCTGTCCTGGCCGAGCCCCTGCGAGCACTGCTTGGTTCTGGCGGCGTGCGCGTTGCACGCGTCCTTGAGCAGCTGCACCTTGTCGCGCACCGGCACGTTGTCGTCGAGGAATTTCGTGACAAACTCGTTCGACTGCATCGACACCGTGCGGACGGCCTCTGTGCGGCCGTGCAAGAACTGCTTCGTCATGGCCGGCTCGTACGTGGACTCGATCTTCCCGTAGAGCGCGTAGTACGCGAGCTGGAACGCCATCTGGACGTACGCGTCGGGCGACATGCCCATTTTCTTGATGCGCTCCATTCCGTACGACTTGAACTCGAGCGTAGCAAACTCGTTCTGGTTGATGAGGTCGCTGAGCCGCGTTTCGCCGAACCGCAGCGCCAGCGACAGCTCTGTCGTCAGCTTCCACTCGAGCTTGCGTGGCGACGTCACCACGTTGCCAAACGTGGACGGGTCTCTGGTAGCAGGGTCTGGCGAGTACGATTTCCAGAGCGACGGCGAGTTGGCGTTGATGGTGCGCGCAAAGCGCAGGATCGAGTCTGTGTAGATGTCGGACGCGAAGCGCAGCACGGTGTGGCCGTCGACGCCCGTGTGCTCGAAGTTGATGCCGACCTTGGCGTCCTTGGTGACGATGAGCTGCAACTTGTCGTACCACCTGTTGGTGCACGTGCCGACCTGGACGCCGTTCTCGAGGCGGGACTCGCCGCACAGGAAGTTCTTGGCCATGCGCGTGAGGTCGTTGCCGACCTCGACGTGGTCCAGCACGACGACGAAGAGCGCCGAGTCGAGCACGCGGACGATCTCTGCGTTGTCTGGGTCGCGGACGATTTTCTCGCGCAGACCGGCCCAGATGCGGCGGTTTTCCGTCGTGAGCACGCCGAACGACGACTTGGCCACGTCGCGGACGCTCGTCGTCTCGGAGTCCTCGACGATGCTCTGCAGATTGAGCCTGATGTCGGCCTCGGTGAGGATCAGGTCGTTGTTGCTGTCCATCACGTCGAACCAGTAGAACTGCGACCGGCTGAGCACGACGATGTGCCGCGACTGCGCGTCGGTCTGCAGCACGCAGCCCGTGTGCGTGGGCACGCGGCTGGAGCCAAACAGCTTGGGGTACTGGTCCATGTCGAGAACGACGCCGTTCTTGAGTCGATCGACGCTGAGCTCGTTGCGGCGCAGGGCGCGCACAAAGCGCAGGCTCGAGGTGGCCAGGCTCGCGGCCCGCGACAGCTGCGTCGACCGCAGCGGCGTCGGGTCGTCCTCCAGCATGATGAACGGGTTCAGGTTGAGCACGACCGGCGAATCGTAGTTCAGGTACGAGTCGTACCAGAACTGCTCGATATACGAGTCCCTGGTCTTGGCGTACTCGAGCAGCTGGTTCTGGAGCACGGGGCCCGACGTCTCGAGAAACCGGCGGCAGCTCGCGACCGTCTGCGCGTGCTCGTGCTCTGTCTGGAGGGGCTTGAGCACGTCGAGGTATTTCTGGACGGTCTGCTCGAGCGGCGGGACAGGGAGCTTCTTGAGGGTGTGCTGGTATTCGAAGGTCGTCATGGGGGCCTGGTGGGCGCGCGGCCGTATTTAAGCGGTCGGCATGGTCATTGCTTTGGCTACTGTCGTGACCGGGTGACGGCTTATCGGAGTGCACAGCCCGGAAAAAATATTTTGATGCATGGTCACGGGGAGAGAAATCTATTGGGTCTATCTAGCAAAGCGGGCTTTCCAGCAGCCCTGGACAGCGGAGCGGTCACTGGCGGTTGAGCCGCTCGAGCACGGGTTTGGGGTCGGGAGCCGTGTCCGCAGGAATGAGCAGGCCGTCCCTGACGCTCCAGCCGGGGCTGTCGTGGGTGGCGGCCAGCAGCGAGTTGAGCTCGCGCACCTGGGCGCCGAGCAGCAGGTCGCTGCTGGCGCGGATGCGGAGCGAGACGCGGTCGGAAGGGTCGTCTAGAGAGTACAGACTGTCAAAGTCTGTGGCGGAGGAGGCAGAGATCGAGCCGGCTTGGTGCGCACGGCCGGCGGACCGCTGCTGGTGCCTGAGGAAGTACTCGTCCGCGATGTCTGGCGCGCCGTGGTCGCGCGGAGCGGCGTGCGGTGGCGGTGCAGGCATGAGCGGGCTGAGCAGCTTGAGGTTGGCGGAGGGCGAGGTGGCGGGCGAGGTGTTGGCGGAGGAGGCAGAGATGACCGACGAGAGCGAGTCGGACGTCGTGGCGATCGGGACGGGCAAGACTGCGCGCCTCAGCTTCCTCGTGAGCTTGCCGAGCGGGCTGGACAGACACAGCAGGGGCGACGCCAGCGAGCAGCGCCGGCCGGCGCCGTGGTCTGAAGACCGTCTGTGGAGGTGGGTGCGCCACGAGCGGGAGCGGCCCTCGCCGCTGAGGTCGCCCGAGGCGTCTGTGCCCACAGAGAGCGACCTGCTCTTGAAGAAGTCCGCCTTGAAGTGCTGGAACTCGTCGCGGCCAGGCGTGCTATCTATGGCGCTGATGTTCATTGGGGTTCATAAGCGTGTGCGCCAAGGAAGGACAAGCTGCTTTATATATGTGTACGGCCCCGTCTGCACATTCTGGATCCCTTATATAGAAAAACGGCCTCCCATTCGAAGTTACATACTGAATCGTTCGGGCACGGCAACAATAGCCATTCACGCACCGTCGCTCGGCTTATGTGAGCAGGGCTGGCCAGCCAGCAGAGGCTATTGTTCCAACAAGAGACGCTTTTTTCCACAAGGCCCCCCGGACACCAAATCGGCTCCTCTTTTCCGGATTGGGCAGTTATGAGGTGCATATTTCGGCTTGCCGACCGATTCGATTGTCCTACTGATTGTTCCGCCTGTCGACGTTCTTGCGTCTGTACCAGCTAACAAAGTCGCGGACGCTTGTTCTCACACGTCGAAAATCGTTGGAGTTGATCGCCGTTTCCACCGTCCGCAGCAACTTGAGCCGCTCGCTGTCGCTCACGCTGCCCGCCGGGAGCCCCAGCATCGCCCGGTCCAGCCACCCCAGCCCCACCTTCGAGCCGCCCTGCAGCGTGCTCAGCTTCACCAGCTTCACCACGAGCTCGTTCGCCTCCGGCCAGCAGTCCGACGGGAACGTGAAAATTAGGCCGCGCAGCAGCTTAGTCAGCAGCTCCTCGCCCGTCGCAACGGCGAAGCCCAGCACCTTCAGTTTCAGGCCCTCGGGGATGTCGTCCACCATCGACACCGGCGGCGTCTCGAAACCCCACGAGTACAGGTCGACCAGAAACTGCAGCACCGCCGAGACCGTGCCGTACTCCAGATACGTCTCCAGCGCCCGCACCGCCACCCGGTACATCGGCTCCACGAGACTGCTCCCGAGCAGCTTCACGGGCAGGAACATGAGCACGTCGTTGCTCATCCGGAAAAAGTCCTCCACCAGCTCTGTGTACTCCGGGACCTCGTCTTTGCCGAGCTCGTCGAAATTCTTGACGAAGTTTCCGGTCTGCTGCACCGCAAAGCCCCATACTGCTTCCTTGACGTCTGCGGCCACCTCGTCCTCGGCCGCGTACTCCTTGATCAGCGCCCCAGAGACCCACAAATAGCACCCATGTCTGTAGTTCTGGAACCCAGAAACGAGCAGCTCCGCGGTCGTCGGCACCACCGGCAGCAGGTACGTCTTGTAACTCTGGAGCGACCGTCTCACGAGCTTCATGCACCGCTCGCTCACCTTGACCGAGCGGCCGTGTGTCTCGACGAGCCGCACCACCAGGGGCCACACGATCTCCATGACGATCCGGGCCACCGGGTGGCTCGCGTTCGAGAAGCTCTTGGGCCTGAGCGCGTCCACGTAGATGGTGAGGATCTCGACCGTGTCGGCGATCTGCGTCCGCAGCTTGTCGAGGTCCTGCGCGGTGGCCGGCCGCGCGCCGCAGTACTGGTCCAGTTTCTCCAAAGTCGGCTTCCAGAACATCAGTGTGATGTTGTGCAGCTTGTCCTGGTCACGCTCCTCCTTCAGAATGTGTGCTATGCCTTCCGTGATGTCGTACAGCGAGTCGATGTCCAGCGACGGCTCCACGTGCGAGTAGAAGTTGTAGAGCTGCTCCAGGTAGTTGCTCAGCAGCGATGCGCAGTCCATACAGAAGTACTTGAGCGCGTGCGACGCGGCAATGATGATGTCCATGTTCTGCTGCTGCTGGAAGCCGCTCGTGATGTAGTTGAGCTGCTCCTCCAGATGCTCCGGATGCTTGGCCGTCCACTCGGTGTAGCGGCCCAGCACCAGCGTCGCCGCGTACCGGATCTTTGGGTTTTCCGGCAGCTGCACCAGATACCGCATGATCTGGGGCAGGATCTTGCTTTCGCTCGTGCCGACCTCCTTGGCCATCGCGCGCATGCTGAAGAGCGGCGCCTCGATCTCCTGCCACGTGACCGGCTGCCCCTGCATTTGCAGGTTCATCTGGCTCTGCAGGATCCGGAACGGGATGTCCAGGGCCACCGGCGCGCCGATCACCGCGCAGCAGTCCTTCAGCACGTCTCCCATGTCGTAGCGGAACTCCTTGAACTTGTCCTCGGCCTCCTTGTCGTTGTGGAAGAGGTCGCGCAGCTCGGTCGAGTTAGACGTTGTCGGGTACCGCAGATGCTTGATCATGATCTCCACCAGCTGGGTGTACGTCGGGGTGAAACAGGCGCGAGCCTCGCGCCGGGCGTCGGAGACCAGCAACGTCTTGAGGTCGTACCAGAACTTGAACGTGTACTTGACCACGTCGAGGTCCTCCTCGTACGCCGTGAGCTGCAGGATGATGTCGACGAGCGGCTTGAAGTTGTACGGGTCTTTCGCGATGTGCACGTGCCACGCCTCGCCCGCGGTCGCAAACAGCTCTGTGAACCGCTCCACTTTTTCCGGGTCGTCCTGCGTCTGCGCCATGAGCGGCTTCAGCTTGAGCAGCTGCTCGTACAGAGCCACCACGACGCTGTCGTTGTTGCAGTCGGCGGTCTCGCCGACAATCGTCGACAGACACTCGATCGCGGTGTCGAACGTGTCGTCGGCGAGCAGGCCGTCGAAGATCAGCGTGCACAGCGCGTTGTTGGACAGGACCTGCTCGAACGGTATGTCGATGATCCACGACTTAATGCAGGACAGAACAAGCCTGTTGGTGGACGCAGAGTTCGACGCGCGCGACTCGGCCAGCGTCGTGAGAATGTACAGCACGGACTGCACGTTTGCGGCCAGAAGCTCGTTTGCGCGGACCTCGAACTCCTCGTCGGTCAGCGGCGTCTTTTTCACGTCGAGCAGCTCCTCGGGCAGGATTTGCAGGAACTCCAGCAGCGTGTCGGTGGCCGGGCCCGAGAGCACAGAAACGACCTCGTCGACAGCGTTTTTCCAGTCCAGGTACTGCAGCGCAAAGTTGGCCAGCGTGATGCACAGCTGTGTGACGACAAGCCGCTGCTTGCCCGTGTAGGCGACCATCAGCTGGAGAAGCGAGCTCTTGAGGGCCGGCAGCTGGTCGTGCGGCAGCTGCGCAAAGTCGTACTGGACCTTGGAACGCAGCGTCTGGGCGGCAAAGACGCTGGCCTGCACAGACGAGGACGGCTGGGCGAGGATGTCGAACGCGGTCTGCCAGGCCTGCTCCGACCGCTGGAACGCCAGCAGGTACTCGTTGGCCTGCTCCTTTACCACGGGGTCGGAGTTCCCATAGAGAGTTTCCAGCGCCTGGTTCAATTGAACGGGCACTGACATAACAAGACGAATGTGAATAATGGGTTAGGAGCGAAAAATGGAAATGAAAAAAAAAAAATAATGGAATTAAATAAAATAAAACACAATATTTTTAGCATGTCCGGCCGCAGACAGAAAGTGATGGTTCCGCCCATCAACCAGCTCTTCAAGTATCTCCAGCAGCAGTCGCGCGTGACGGTCTGGCTGTACGAGCAGACGGGCGTGCGAATTGCGGGCGTGATCCGCGGGTTCGATGAGTTCATGAACGTCGTGTTGGATGAAGCGGTAGAGGTCGACACGGCTACGAAGAAAGAGCGCAAACTGGGCAGAATTCTGTTGAAGGGCGACAACATCACGCTGATAAGCGGCCAATAGAAATGCATTGGTACTCAGAAACCGTCTACTTGCAGCTTCCGCTCGACGTCCGGGTACGCTGCCAACACCTGGGCAAACTCGTCGGGATGCGTGGCCTTATAAACCTCGGGGTCCTTGGCGAGCATGATAAAGAACGTGACGGCGCCGCTGTGCACGACGCTGGTGGCCACGCTGGCCACAAAGAAGCCGAACGCGCTCGCAAATAGCACCGTCATAACGACCTCCACGTTGACGTCCACCACGCCGTCGGTGTTCTGGGCCCACGCGGGTTGCACAGTGAACAGGAAAACCGCAGACACGAGACCGCACGCGTACGCGACAAGCAGCGAGTACAGGCCCAACGCCGTGTTGATCAGGCAGTCGTTGATGAGCGCACTGAGGCCTCTTTGCTCGACGAGCGCAAACGCTCCACGCGCAGCGTGCAGGAAGTCAAGCCCGTAGAGCGACACCAGCGAATACGCCTTCTCGTTGAGCCATCTCACCATGGCCTCCATAATAGAAGCGAAGATCTCGATGATGTAGAAACCAATGTAGCCTGCCAGTCCTCCCTCCTGGGCTGCCCACTGCTTGGCCAGGCCGGCCACGTTGCTGAGCGTCTGGATCACAGAGACAATGAGCGAGCCAAAGCAGATGGAGCCGAACGAGTACGTCACGCTGCGCCTGAAGGCCGCAAGGCCGGCGTTTTGCGGACACCTTTCTGCGTGCGAAAGGTAGTACCACGAGCCGTACACACCGGCCACCGTCGAGTGCAGCACGTTCTTGAGCACCTCGGCGATGTAGAAGCCTGCGAACAGCACGAAAATGCCGGTAGCCACAAACATGGTCTTGTTTTTCAGCTGGCCGGTCTCGTCCAGCCCCCATTTCACCATGGTTCCGTAAACGACGAGCACGGTAGCCAGACTGAACACGGCGGAAACGAGCGTGCCGGCGGCCGATATCTTCCACGTCACGGGGTTGTTCTGGGCCACGTCAATGACCTGTTTCAGCAGCAGCGAGCTGAGCGGAATGCGACGGCGCACGCTCAGGTACCCCAGGATACTGACCAGCGCCAGGACGCTAAACATGACGCCGGCCCACAGATTGTCGTTGGACAGCGCGCCCACGGCCAGGAGCGACGCGGCAGCCACGTTAAGCAGACATCCCACGTTGAAAAACGCTGCAGGCCATTTCCGCAGCACCACAATGCCGCCGTACGTGCAAGCCACGCCGGTGGCAAACACGAGGCAGATCAGTCTTGCCTGCTCACGGTTGACGTTTGCAACCTCCACGACAACATCGTGCGTGGTGAACACGAGCAGTCCCATAAACAGCACTAGAACCACTTGGAACACCACTGCAAACGGCCAATCCTTCCATGTGGGCTGCTCCACGCGGAAACTCTCCTCGAAGTCGTCCGAGGGCAGCGGTTTCTTCACATCCAATTTGTACTTCTCGCCGCCGGCGCCGACCTCAATGTCGTCGTTGCAATAGGCGGGCGGAGCGGCCTCGTCATAGCCGGGCAAATCGTCTTGGTAAGGGGACATGCAAAAATTAGGGCGAATAAATTATTTGTATTATTTAAATGAAATTAGAGCTAAATTAAACTTATTTTTCTGGGGTGTAGAGATTAGGAACCTGCACCCATGTGACCTGTCGCATCGGTCTTTGGAGTTTTATCTTTCCAGCCCAGCTGTAAACCAGCCATCCGCTGCTGAAGGCCGGCCCGTCGTATATAAGCCCGGCAAGCTGCTCTTGCGGGGACATGTCTTACCTCATCGTGCTACTGCTGCTGGCTCCGGCACTAGGTCTATCGCCCGAGTCGATAGCCAGCACGCTGGAGCAGCTTAGGGAGGAGCACCAGCTCGAAACTGCGTCTCTCGCCTTCCCGTCCTGCGTCCTTGAAGTGCTCTCGACGATCATGCCGCAGTGTCACGGGGGCCAGTCGGCGCTGACGGAGCACGAGAAGCAGGACACCGCGATCCGGCTCACAATGTGCATATTTGACCGCCGGGACGGCTCCAACGGCTCTATGTCGCTGCCGGTGGAGTGCTGGAGCCACGATAACGGCGAGTGTATGGCAAAACTCGCCTCAAATCCCGTCTGGTGGACCACTTTCTTTGGCTACCTGAATTTGGTAGAGCAGCTGTGCCATTACTACAGCGAGCCGTACGAAACGCAGAGACTGCTCGAGACGTACCGGGACGTTTGGCAAAAGCTCGACGGGCTTGTTGCCGCGCTCGGCCGGGTCGACGACCTCGGAACGGGCGTTCTGGACCGGCTCAGACAGAATTTGGTAGCAACATTCGACTCGTTGCAGCTGGAATTCCGGACGCGGTTTGAGGAGATGACAAAAACGGCAGAAACTCAGCTGAATACGGCGTTTGCGTCCGTAGACCTCAAGGTGGACTCGCTGCTCGCAAATATGTGCAGAGTGAGCGAGAATATGGAGAACATGCACGTCGAGGCGGTGAAGATGGCAGAGAATTTTTTCACAGAGCTCAATAAATGGCACGACCGAAGCGTGCAGGAGCTCGCGCAGCGGATGGAGGCGTTGAACACCGAGCTGCGAAAAAACACCGAGCTGGAAACCGAACGGCTGATAAGCAGCCTGTCCGCGGAACACGAGATGATGGCCCAGCAACAGAGGAAGATGCACAGCGAGACGGCGACGCGGTTTCGGGAGTGGGAAAAGCGGCTTGAGACGATGAACCAGTACTTGAGCAGCTCGCTAGCTCGGTTCGAACAGCTGCAGGACGTGATGGACAGGTTCAATGTGCTGGGGCAGATGAGCCGCGTGGTGTACGGGTGTGGTTTACTGGGGGTGCTGGTGGTTGGGTATTTTGTGAAATTCGAAAGGCTGCTGGTTATCGTGTCATTTGTGGGTGGGGCGTACATGGGCGCTGGCACTTTGGACTGGCTGGGGTGGTGAGATGGCTTGTGGGGTGGACACAAGTGCCACACCATCGCAGAGACAGTGTCTGAATTGTGATTTTGCACTGCATGAAAACAGTCTTGTTTGGGGCTGCACTACGCTAGGCTGCGCGCATGAGCTCGGGTGGAAGTGTCGAAAGAAATACACACCCCTATTGGGTTAGACACATGTTCGCATGGCAATCGACGGTTCGGGAAAATGTGAAATTTTCAGTTTACTAATCGGGTAACGGCACATGGAGATTGGGCAGTACACATTGTATCGATTACCCACAATACATCAAATGGTGCTACGGTGTCTTCCGGTCACTCGCGAATTTTAGCTAAGCATGAGTAAGCCGGCCGAGAGACACAATAACAATAAGATCAGATCCGGTCATCCCACTGTTTGTTCCCCAAGCAATATGACGCTAGGCGAGCACAAAGGACACTGCAAAGCAGCAACCTGTCCCCTGCCCCTAGCCCCTACTTAAGACAGCAGACGGAAAGAATTCGGACCGCGGGAATAATTGTTTGTCACACTAGCCTGACTTTTTTCTTCTTTTTCGGCATTTCAAGGAGCCGCTGACAGAAAAAGAGCAGATCTGTGATCCTGCTAGAAAAAAGAAGGTTGCGGTTTTCGAGAAGGCTCAAAGAGGCGAGTTTACCTTTTTCGTGGTCCGAAGCGGATGCGAGTGCATTTGGCCAAAATGTTGATCTGTTTCAAGATCGCCCCAGCCTATTTGATATGCATTGTTTGGTGCGGCGGGTGTATCGAAAGGGCATGAAGCTTGTCTCATAACAAGCTATTGATCGCGGTTTGTGTTAGCTATTGACGGCCAACAAGCCATCTTGAGCGGGACTTATTGTTTGTGCTAACAATAGTTTTGGGTCGGCGCACGAGAGAGTACCACACTAAACCCTTATGCAACTAAAATTTCACAATACGGCCGGTTAAACGTAACAAGCAGATCTAAAAACAGACTGCTAAAATTAACAATAATACCTCTCCCAAAACATGTAACATCGTCTCGATTTATCGAATTTGCAATTGGCGCAATTTCCCTTTGCATTCTTCTATATCGCCAAACATGTAACTTGAACTATAGACGTGCTGTATGACACAAACGCCAAGAATGATATCACTCGAAAACGCCAGCATGGCCAAATTAGATCCGGACCCCCTCCAGAGCTTGTCGCGGCGCAGCCTTGGCCCCATTCTGCGGTGACGCCCACCGCTGCTAAACTACACCACACCAAGCAACTCGAGCCCTCCGCAGACCGAACCCGAAACCGCATGGACATGCATGCAACCGGTTTAGCTACTAAAAGTAGCATAAATTCTCTCCACAATAGCAGCCTTAATTCCCTTTGCAATCGTATCTGCACGCAGCTGCAACCATCGATTTTACCACCATGCCAAGTTTTTTGTCTGATCTGTCAGCCCTCTGCCCACCTAAATATAAGCATGTCACTTTCCTCAATGCTCACCTCACAACACAGACATTTTTATATCCCATGACGTCTTCTTTTGAAAGACCTGGAAAACTTTTGTTGCCTCCTGTGCAACAAAGGGAAGAGATCCCTTCTTTGAGGAATCTCAACTTGCCCACTCCAGTGGTCTCCAACTACCACCTGCCACCTATGCCTCTCTCGGACATCAACGATGCCTCGCCGTATAGACGCTTATCCTTCCAGAACACTCTTCACTACTACTCTCCCCCAATGAACAATTATCCATCTTTCCCTCCTCCGCTGAAAATGCAGTCTCCGCAAACGCTGTCGCCTCTTCCGCACCTCGCCCAGACCTCGTCAGCTGCTAGTGTGAGAGGACCAGCGCATCTGCCTTCGCCGTACGGGGCCCAGCCAATGTCTGCCAACCGCAGCATGTCGTATCCTACGCCCCTCTCCCAACCCCCAAAGGACCGTGGATCTCCCCCTTCTGAAGCGAACAAACGCAAGAGACGCAAGGCACACGAGGTGGTACGGCTCTACAAATGCAATCACGAGTCGTGCCAGAAGGCCTACGGAACACTCAACCACCTAAACTCGCACATTGTGCTCCAAAAACACGGCCAAAAACGGTCTCCCTCGGAATTCAAAGAACTCAGAGAGGAGCTGAAACGCAAGCGGAAGCTCGAGAAGGCCAGCTCCCGACTGAGCGAACGCGAAAAACAGCAAAATATTATCTATTCGCAGATACAGAACGAGCAGGACCACGAGCGGGCTCGGGATGGTCAATCGTACAAGACTGCTACCCCCAAAGACAGCTACTACGTGCTCAACATGCTCCCGCCCCTCCTACGCCCCAAATACACGCCTCTCCACGACCAGCCAAGACTGTACTAATCCAACCACAAATGTTCGGTTTTCGTTACCAAGCGCGCAGCGAGCCGGTCTGAACATTCGACTTTGCCATCCACAACTTTCATATGGACCCCTTTCACTTCTAGCTCGATTTCGTGTTGCGCGAGTGTCTGAATGGACACGCTTGTGACGTTTTGGACCGGTCCCGCGGCCGCCTGTCCTTGCTTGAGAATGTCCAGGTTGTCCTTCACCATGTCGTTCAACCAAAGCTCCTCGGCCTGCTGCGACTCGGCCTCCCTGTGTTCGCGGCGCACCAGGTTGCGCATAAGGTTGTTCACCAGACACCAGCTGCGCAGCCCGCTGACCAGCGGCCGCAGTTTTTCCAGCCGCGCGAGCTTCACTTTATACAGTTTCACAAATTTGCAACCAGTAAGGAAAAACACGTCATGCTTTGACCCCTTCCCGTCCGAGAACCTGTGGCTGTACTCTTCATTTACCTCCTCGTAGAAGCTGTCCAGCACGTCCGCCGTGCTGTTGAAAACATTGTTGTCCGGCCCCAGCAGCTCGTATTCTTCCAAGTTCAGCTCCAATAGCAGGTCTTCGGGAATCCACACCGGCGGACACGGCTCCAGAACCAGAAACTCCAGGCTCACGTCCGGCTTCCACTCCCCGTTATACCACTCGGTCGCGCGCTTCGCATTCGCCGGCTCCGCACTTTCCAGCCGCGGGCTCTCGGCTATTTTAAAGTGGAGCAAGTAGTCTGGGTGAGGCAGGCCGGGCAGAAACCGGTCGTCGTGCCAGTACTTCACAAACAGCCCGATCTTGTCGCTGTGGTTCACCAACACCTGGCCGAAACCCCGCACGCCGCACTCCAGGTCGCTCGCCGCCTCGCCCGCCGTCAGCGGATCCTGCGGGGCCTGGCAGTGCTGCTGCTTCTCGGCCTCTGCCGCCTTGAGTAAATTGTACGTGAGCAGGTTAAACGTGTTGAAGAGGTCGAACGGCGCCGGCACAGAAAGTCTGTCGAGCTGGCCCAGAAGCCGCAGGTTCTTGTTGAAGTTGTCGAGCGTGGCTGCCTGCAGGTTGTCGTGCAGAACGCGCTCCACCTTGACGAAGTCGCCGAAGCCTTCGACAAAGTCGTAGCTGCGCGCGTCGATCGACTCGATGCTGATGGCGCTCGACAACGCCACGTTCCTGACGCGGCCGTCCTGGAAATCGATGTCGATCAGCAGGATCTTGCCGCTGAGCGACAGCCGCTCGATCTGCGTGCCGTCGCGGCCCTCTGGCGACGCCGACCGGCTGTCGGAGAACGCAAACACCAGGTCGTTCTGCTCGTTCATCGCCAGCACGTCCGAGAACGTCTCGAACCCGTAGATGTTGGCCAGCCGTTTGATGCCGTCGACGGTGACGCGACCGGGCCGCTTCAGCAGGATCTCCGAGATCCGCGACAGCGGCGCAATGAGCTCTGTGTCTACGCTCGGCATAAAATGTACCAAGTATTTTATTAAGTCTGGTGCACAGCCAGAAATATGTACATCTACAATTCATCGTGGCCCGACGGCTCTGCTTCCTGGGCGCTCTCGGTGGCCCCCTCGGCCTTGTTCTCGAGCCGCTTCTCCGCCTTTTTGAGCTGCTCCCTCAGGCTCCTGATGCGCTTCTCGTGCGCCTGTTTCAGCGCGCGGTACGTGCTCTGCACCTCCTTGAGCTCCTCCAGCACCCTTTCTCTCAAATCGAACAGCGTCTCCTTGTCCTTGGCGTCGATTTCGCCCTCGTGCGTCTCGAAGTGATCCACAACGCCCACAAAGTCGCTGATTCGCCTCATCCTCTGCTCCAGCTCCTGCTCGTCCACCTCCGGCACCTTCACCTTGATCCGCTTGTTGGCCTCCTCGAAGTCCAGTCCCAGCTCCGTGTAGTTCGCTCTCAACGACAGCGCGTCCTGGGACATCACCACCATGAAGTCCTGCAGCTTGTACATTGTCTCCAGCGCTTTTTCCTTGAGCCGCGCGAACTCTGCCAGACTCAGCAGCCTGTCGCCGTGGTTCACCAGCGTCTCCAGCTTGATCCGCATCACGCGCACGTCGTCGTACTTCTCCTGGATGTCCTTCACCGAGGCCGTTGCAGGGACGTCCTCGAGCCAGTCCAGCAGCTCCGACACCATGTCCCGTGCCGCGCGCACCATCGACGGCGGCCCGTTGGCCACCACGTTTTCGTCCTCGGCGTACCCGCGCAGATCGTAGAGCGACGCCTCGAGACTGTTGATCAGTGCGTCGCGCTGCTGTCTCTGCTTGTCCTGGTTCGTCAGCGATCTCAACTTGGACGCTGACTGGTACTTTGCCAGCGAGCCCAGCGGCTTGTAGCCTGGGTGCGAAGGTTTCGCCGTCAGAGAGCTGCGCACAGACCCGTTGTCCGCGCACACGGCCTCCAGGCTGCGCAGTACAAACAGCCTTCTCGAGTCCAGCGTGCAGTTGGCGAAGTACTCGACGCCGCCTGGGCACGCCGTGCTGTTGATCTCGTTCTTGAACTTGTACTGCGAGAACAGCTGGCCTGCCTCGAAAAAGTCAACCTGGACATCCCCCAACATGCCCTTGAGCCCCGGAAGAGCAACACTGGCCTCTCGCGACACAGAACTCTCGTTGAAAACCACCGCCATCTGGCCTCCTGCCGCCAGCTCGAAGTTCCTGGTCGCATGCTGCACAAGCTCGATTGGACGCGTGCGGAACTTGCCAGACACCGAGATGCCGCCCAGCAGCGTTCCAAACACCGCCGCCTCGTCTGCATTCACGCTCTTGCTCAGCAGCGCGTCGCCGCCCAGATACTTCGCCAGGTGCTTTTGCACAAACGGCACTCTTGTGGACCCGCCGGCCAGAATCACAGACTCGACCTTGCGGTCGCCCACGGCTGCGGCCAGCGGCGCCACAATGCGGTCCATGTGTTCCGTCATGTACTCCTCGAACTCGTCTCTCGAAACGACCACCTTGAGGTCGACGTCGTTGATCAGCGACTCCACAGACACCTTGGTCTCGCTGTTGGCGCTGAGCACGAGCTTGGCCTTTTCTGCGCTCTGCCGTAGCCTGTTCATGGCCCTGGCGTCGCTCCAGAGCGTTTCCGGCTTGATCTGGTGCTGCGCCAGAAACTTGTCCTCGATAATGGCCTGCAGCGACTCGGTGAACAGATTGCCGCCAAACGTCTCGTCGTAGCCGTATCCCTCGTTTTCCACCCGCAGCGTCTCGTTGTCCTTGCTGAACGACACGAGCGTGGCCTTGGTGGACCCGGCCCCCACGTCGTAGATCACGTGGTACTGCTTCTGCTCAAAGTCTCTAGTGGAAGCGTAGTTCAGAGCAACCGCGAGCCCGTCGTCGATCAGCGCCACCACGTTCAGCCCGGCAATCTCAGCAGCGTCCACAAGCGCCGTTCTCTGCGCCTGGTCCAAAAATCCAGGCACACTCAGCACCACGTCGGAAATAGTGTTGGAAGAGCCTCCGCCGAGTGTCTGGTCCCAGTGCAGTTCTGCCCGTTTTTTGATCTCCTCTAGAACCATGCCCAGCACCTCCTCGAGCAGGTACACCTCGCCGTTGACGTCGAACGCGACGGTGGGCCGCTGGCTCGACGCCGCAATAACCTTGATCCCCCGATATTTTTTCTCGAAACGTGTCACTTGTGGCTCGTCGATCTGTCTGCCGATCAGGCTTTTCAGCTCAAAATAACAGCTCTGCGGCGTCCGTGTGCACGCGCTCAGAGCGTGCGAGTTGAATTTGCGCTCTATCTGGCCGTCCTTGGCCAAAATCGCCACCCCAGACTGGTGTTTCCTTTTGGTCTCGTCGGTGAGGATCAGATCGAATGCCACGCCTGGCGCAACCAAGGCCGCCTTCGAATAGTCTTGTCCAAAGTCAATCGCCAGCAACGACGCCCATCCTTGGACGAAAACGAAAAACAGTGCTACCAAATATAACACCTTCATACGCTTGTCAAGAGGAAATAAACTTACAAAAAAAAAAGACTTATTTTAGAAAATTATGGAAAACCTTCCCAGAGGGCCTCGTCGAGATTATCGTAGACCCAGGAACGACAGAGACCACAGAGACGTGTACAGAGACCACCGTGGTCCTTATAGAGAACAGCACGGGTACTATGGAGAAGGCGGGTACGAGAGAGGGTACGCACGAAATAGGGAGTATAGACCTGCTAATGGGAGGCCGTCCTTCCAGAACAGCTGTCCGCCGCTGGAGAAAATCGCACGGGTGTCTCTCTGGGACAAGCCGGCGCCTGGGTTTGAGGGTGTGAGCGCTGCTCGCGCCAAAGCTTGCGGACTGTTCCCTGAGCCAGGCGAGCCCTCCAGAACTACAGACCTGGCAGAAATACAAAGACTTTTGTCGCACGCTGCCACCAATTACCGCTCGCAGGCATTCCAGGACTCGAAACTCACCCCGCTGGACTCGCGTGTGGCCAAGATGCTGATTCTGCGAGCAGATTTCAGCGTTGTCCGTCTGGAACGTGTGAAAAAATACTTGGAAAATTACCTGCTTGCTAACATTGTGCCCAACGTGAATTACGAGGATGTGAAGATACAGATGCATCCGACCCAGGACCCCAACACGGTGATAGTCCATACTTTGCGCTCCACGGTGGCCACGGCGCTTTTTGCGCTGACTGGCCTCGAGGTGCTCGAGCTGAACACTACGCTGTGTTTGGAGCGGCCAAAGGAATACGTGGTGTTCAATCCAAACGATACGTCTGTTCCGCAAGAGCCACTGGAAGATGTGGTCGAGTCGTCGCAGCTGTATGTGGCCAGAAACGTCCCATACGGCACGCCGCGAGAAAAGCTGCTCGAGCTTCTGCAGCCCCTGGCAAAAGTGCGCTCTTTGGCGCAGGTGCTTGACAAGTTGACGTACGAGTCCAAGGGAGTTGCGTTTTTTGAAATGGTGAGTGAAGACCCGGACATTTTGACTAAACTCAACAAGCTAGCCATAGATGACCAGGAACTACAGATTTTTCGGGCGTGTGAAAATCCAGAGCGCAAATACGAGCAGGCCGTCATCCTGTCGGCCGAAACGCTGTTTGGCGCGCTCCAGTCCGATAAAATCAGCCCGCATGCGCCTTCGGAAATAGTGCAGTTCCTCAATTGCGTTGCGGTCGAGGATCTTGTCGATTCGGTGAAATACAACGATATCAAGGTGGCCTTTGAGGCCGAGTGTTCTTACCACGGACATCCGGAAAAGGTGCTTATTCCCAGACCCGAGGGCGATTTCCGGCCCGGCATGCCTACGAAACCGGAGGTGGGCAGGATTTTTGTGAAGTTTCCAACGTTGCAAGAGGCCCAGAAGTGTGCCGAATCACTTGCCGGCCGCAAGTTCAACGGACGCACGATCTTGGCGGCGTTTTACGAGCCAGACGACTTCAGCAGAGCGCTGTTCTAGTTGCTCTCCCAGTCGGCGATTTCGTCCTCCACGTTCTCCCTTGCATGTCTCACGATGATGTCATACAGCTGGTCTGGGGTCTGCTTCACAAAAGTGAGCGACAGCTTGATAATCTGGCGCGCGTCCAGTCGCGGCAGCTCTCTTAACAGCAGCATTGGATTGGCCGACTTGAGCAGCTCGTCTCTTATCAGAATCGTCTGGGCCACCACAAAGAATATATTCAGATGCACGCCGTAGCTGAAGAGAAAATCCCAAAGCTCGAGCACCTGGTCCAGCGGCGGCGTGCATGCGCTCAGTGTGAGCACAGACGGAAGTGCGTAGATCTTGGCCGTGAGCATTTTCGATTTTAGAAAATTGTACAACTTAGGATCGATCAATTGTAATATAATGTCCACCAGCTTGACACCGTTGAGAACACCCAGCAGGTTGGGCGTGGTATACGTTGGAATGTAGCGGGTGGCCAGTTGTGAGTACAGGGCAAAGGCCTCGACTTCGCTTCTGCAGACGTACGCAAACGGGGCCGCCAAAACGTTCATTCCCTGGACGTAGGGCGAGGCGGGTGCTCCAGTCGAGTTGTGCAGCTCGAAGCTCTCGATTTCCAGGGCGTGCGAGTTTAGTATGCGCATCAGAACACTGGTGGACACTTTGCGGCTGAACTCCTCGTCTTTCTGGAACGTGCGGAACGCGTCGTTTTGGATTTTTGCAAACACGTTCGACGGACCTCGGTCAACCAGGTTCGCGTAGTAGTCGACGTCCAGAGGCTCCACTCGCAGGAGTATGGACCACACATACGTTCTGTACTGACAGAGTCCCTTATCCCTCGGCAGCCCCTCGCACAGGATGGTGTACCGCAACTGGTTGAGGCTGGAGAGGACGACTGTCTGGTTCGATTCAATAAAGCGCTCGATCGCGTCCTTGCGTCTTCCCTTCTTTTCCTTCATTGATTAAATACTTAATTCTAGTTTTGTATATGTAAATAATACACAGCCTGGAGATATCATTTCCCAGTTTCTACGCAGCTTCAGACTCCGTCAGAATTTTGTAGAACGAGAAAGGAGTGTATGCATAGCCCTCGCCCTCAAAGAACTTGGACATGGCCTCGACCCAATGCAGCCGCAGAGAGTGGAGCATGGCAGACGTCCCCTCCATGACCACCAGGATACAGACGGTGAGCACAAACCACATGCCAAAGAGCAGGAACACCATCACGCAGCCCGCAAAGCCCTTTTCCTTGTATGAGACAAACGAGTTGGAGATGGTCATGTCCCACAACACGGCCGAAAGCTGGTTGTGCGCGAGCGACAGGGCCCAGAGCCGGAGATACGAGGCCGTATGCGAGACACAGTTCAGACAGAACTCGATCGTGTGGATCACCTGGTGGATCATCACGTCTCCAAACTCAAACTGTTCCTCAGGCTCGTCGGAGTCGTCGACCAGGAAAAAGTCTTCGCCCAGCGAGTTGTCACGCGACTGCGCGGGGCTCGCCTCTTCGTTGGCTGCCAGCTGCACAGCCTGGTTGTACTCGTGCAGATCCGTGTACCCCAGCTCCACGGACTGTGCGTTCATCTTTTTCAGTGTGAGCGGCTTGTATAGGAGAAGCCAGGGAACACACACCAGAGCAATCAGGACAAGAACAACTTGAACGAAACCCTGTCCCGGATACAGCTGGTCTTCGATAGTCCCTGGCGACAGAAACATGTTGATCAGCATGTTGAGCAGGCTGGGCGGAGCCTTGCCAATTTTAATCCAGTCAACACACCATTTGTAGACGATTGTCAGCGAAAGATAGCCAAAGATGCTCTGCATGAACAACAGGCCCGGCACAAAGTTTCCAATCACGTCCACCCTAGAATTAAAAAATTTGTAGTTCACAAGCGAAAAATAGAACGAGTACGACATGTGCGCGAATCCCATCAGTATGGAAAGCTTCATCTTGTACGAGTTGGTGAAGAGCAGGTTGTTTTCTGTTCCATGCCACGCCGGGTCCAACCCAATCGGATATACTCCCCGCTGGGTACCTGTGATGGTGTCGCCTTCCTTCCAGGTGTCTGGCCACTTCCAGCCGGATTTGAAGATTGTCATTGATTTCGAGAAGACGTCGTTGTAGAGGAATCCCGTGTAAATAGAGAAAACACCCATCAGAACCAAAATGTAGCGGCCCGTGTAGGCCATGTCGAAGATCTCGTCCCTGTTCTTCATTGCGCCTATTTTTCGCTCGTTCAACACCAGCACCAGCGCTGCCAGAAACAGTATAATACCGTGTCCGACGTCTCCAAACATGATCGCAAACATGAACGGGAAAGTCACCACCGCTGCCAGCCCAGGGTTCACCTCCTGGTACGTGGCAATTCCGTACGCGTCGATAATGCTTTGGAACGCTTCTGTGAACTTGTTCGTCCGGTGGAATGTCGGCGGCGTCTTATTAGTGTTGATCACGTTGACCACAGAGTTGATATCTGTGCCGGACGTCTCGGTGACCTCGCGCAAACACGATTTGATGAGTCCTAGGTCGTTTGCCGGAATCCATCCTTCGGCTATCAGACATCTTCTTGTCTGGTCATAGTTGAACAGATTGAGGACCGAATAGATGCTTTTCTCCTTGGCTATCTCGATCTTCCATCTTTCGATATCTGCTGCCACCTCCTTGAGTTCCAACAGTAGCCGTTCCTGAGTGTGCTCGGTGACCTCATTCAGGTCTCTGATTTTCGTGTTGATCTCGTCCATCTGCGAATTGAAGACCTCGTAGTCGCTGTCAACGGGATACAAGGTTCCGTCGAGCGACTCCACGATCTTTTTGCACCGGGAAATTAGCGTCTCTCCATGCGTGAAAATGAGAAAAATGTACTTTTCTTTATGTTGGTTTGTCTTGGGATCCAGAATCGGCTCCTCTATAGGGACGTGGTTAATGTACAGGTTGCCGCGCAAAACACGCCACAGAATGCGCTGGAGCGTCAGAAACTTGCCGCTCTCAATCGTTCCGCTTATGAAATTCATCGTGGATCCCATGATGTTCAGCTCGGCAGCCTGGCCGTGCTGGCCGTTCTCTAAAAGCCGGTCGTTCAAGAGCCGGTCCGTCTCGTCCTCCGGCTCGTGCAGATGGCTCAATGGCGAGCTGTCGTCGGCAAGCTCCAAACTTAGTCTATTGTCGAAGAATCTTCTGGTGCCCAGTAAAACAAGGCGGTGCTCGAGCAAGGAGGCCGAGCTGTTTACCAGCCGCTCGTAGTTCTCGTCCATGTGGCGGATGTTCTGCTCGTACTGCTCCACCACCTGCATGAGGTCGTCGATCTGCGATTTGGACGGCCCCCGGAACGGATCGGCCGCATACTTCCCTGACGGCACCACGAGGTGATCCCACGAAACAACGGGAACGCGCACCTGCTGTTTCTTGATCACGCTGTCCAGATACCTCAATTGGCGCTGCGTGTTGTCTAAGCGGCGGATCTCCTTTACAAACGACCTCTGGAAGGCGTTCACATGCTGGTTCATATCGCGGAACTGGACGTTGCCCAGCTGGCCCAGCACAGAAACACAGTCTCGCGAGATCTCCGACGCTATGTAAAACTGGACCAGCAGCATGTCTGCCGACCGGAAGATCGCTTCTTTGGACTCTGTACTCATGGCTTAGAGATTTAATATTTTAACAGCACAGAAGATTCAAAATATGTGCGCCGCACACGACACCCAATTTGATAAAATAGTCTTTATGTCTGTGTCCGCGGCCTCTTACGATTCCCTGTTTCTGGGCTCCTCGGACTCCACCCTGGACCAGGACCTCTACACGACGTATCTGATTGCGGACTTTCACACCTACGAACACTTCAAGGAGGCTCTGGTCGGGTACGAGGAGGTGATCAAGGACATAGGCAGCATCCGGATGGTGGGCTACGAAGCGTACATTGTGGAGCAATGGATCTCCCAGCGGTCCAACAAGAACACCGTCGTCACGTACACGGGAGACTCGAAAGACTCGATAATTTGCCGCAAGTTCCAGATAATCAACGACCCGATAAAATGGCCGCGGGCGTTCCGTCAGTATGTCAACGAGCTGCTTGAGTCGAAGTACTCTTCGCCTACAGAGACCGACGAGGGCATCATCTACATCACGAATTTGTCACAGCTGGAGTCGTCGATGACTCTCATCCCGCTCCCGCAGGGAGATATCCACGAGCTCTACAAGACGTTCGTGGTAAACTATAACCTGAAGAAGCTCGGCTGTGGCACAAGAAGCGCGCTGGCGATCTGCATGCCAACGAAAGCAGTCGAGGACAAGTTCCGCAGCCTGTTCCAGATCCCGCAAGAGGTGTCGCTGATGTATGCTGTTCGAGAAATTATTGCTGTGGTTCAGACATTTCTACATTATTACGATCTATTAGATGCGCGGTTTTGCGACGGACTGCTGTGCGAAAAGACTGAGGACGCGATTTCCCGCTGGTGGACAATGGTGTTGCAGATTCCCGGGTGCGAGGAAGCACTACGTCCGAACGCGTGCAACTCTTTGTCTGCGTCAATTCTCACGATCCTCGGCTTCACGCTCATTCTCAAATCCATCCTGGAGACCGCAGGAAACAACATCAGCGTTCCCAAAGACCCTCTGGATCACGAGAAAATGCGCATAGCCATTATACAGCTCCAGAGAGCGCAGAAAATCAAAACCCACCCGGGAAAGAGCGACAATTACTCGGGTAAGTTCGATCTTGAGACCATCACCAAACTGTTGCAATTCTGTAACTCTGCCAAATTCAACCAGACGTTTGCCAAAGACCTGCACAAAGTCAGAAAAATGGTCAAAGACACTGTTGTGGACTTTACCTCTGGAAAGACGTTGCAAACCTTGAAACTCTCTCCTTCCAACAAAAAACTAAGCAAAGAGCAGGAAGTTCCTGTTTCCAAGAGACTTTACAACTGCCAGGACCTGGAACAGATCATCCAGCTCGCACACGGTAAGCGGCTCAATTATTTGTGGAAATGCAAAGGATACGAGCCTGATTTCGACCGATACTGTTTGGCGTCCGTAACAAGACGCTACCGGGCAGCGCACCTGCCGTACACGCCTCCTTCTATGCTGGACGACTCAGGAACTGACTCCGAGATGAACACTGTCTCGTCCAGCGCCAAAGCCCTCGAGCCATCGTTGATGTCGTTGTCGGCCGATAGAGTGAGAACGGACGACGAGCCGCTGCGCAAACAGAAATCAAAGCGCCTTATCGTTGGCGGAAGCTTCCAGGACAGCGATATTGCGACAGACATGCGGCCGCGAATGAACTCGTACTATGAAGACTCTTTCGAGCAGCAGGACAACGCGCAGATCAACCAGTTCAGCGCGAGACTGAACAGGAGACACTCAATTCCCTCCATCCAAAACGACCTCAACGTGCATACGATCAACCTTCATTCATCCAACGAATATGTGAATAATAGCATACTGCATTCCCAAGCGACGCTTCAGTCACGAGCGCTCAGATTGAGGCGCGCTAACTCATTTTCTTTAATCCAAGAACAGCTGACGAACGACTTCGACGAGATTCCAACTGCTGAGGTATTTTCAATGGAGACAATGGCTTTGGATTATCTGAAACTGCTACGTACATACAAGATCGACATTGAGAAAACTTCGAACTCGTTCAAGCACTCTACTCAGGAATGCAAGTTGCAATTGCTCGACAGACTCCGGCTTTCAGAATATACTGCCGAATACGAGACCTCGAAAAGCGAATATTCCAAGCTCGCAAAGAGATCTCATGATGTCAACGACAAACTCGTCAAGAATAATAAGATCAATGCCAGGCTGAAGTATGAGTTGCGCTTGCTGCTCCAGAAAACCAAGGAGGTGGAAACCAGCTTAAAGAACCTCAATGATTTCAAAATGGCCTCGCTTGAAAGTAAGATCAACGAACTGAAAACCAAACAGGAATCTTTGCAGATCCCGAAAATCGAAGAGCCTCCACAAGTGAGTTTCAAGGTCGCCTTGAACAAGCCCCGTTTGCTGGTTTCTCTCATTCTCAACTATTTGAGCGTCTGGTGGTTTTACCTCTGCCGCAACGTGGATTATACCCGCATTGAAGAACTATGGAAACTCATTGACAGAAATGACCGTGTTGCTCAATTTCTTGAGAACTTGTATCAGGGCGACGATCGTACTCCGCCGAAAAGCAAATAGCTACCCAAGCTCCTTATATAGTGTTTCTGCGTCTGTTCTCAATTTCTCAACAGTCTTCTGGTAGTCGTTTCTAGCCTTGTCGATCTGCTGGTTCAAAAATGTAATGTTGGAGTCGTAATCCGCCAGCCTCTGATCCACAAGGTTTTTGTATACTTGGGAGTACTCGGCGTCAAACACAGCTTTGTTCTGTATGTTGTCCTTGAGCAACGTCACTAGCTGACGGTGTTTCTCGAGAATTGCTTCATATTTGGACGAGAAATACTCCTCTTTCTGCAGTCGAGAAAGTAACGCGCGCTTTTGTTTCTCCAAGTAGTAAATTTCGCTGTCCTCTTGAGACAGGCGAACAGGTGTGCCTTGAGACTCTTTGGCGATCAGTCCCTGATAATTGAGGTCGTTCTTGCGGCAAAAGTCCTTGGCCTGCGAGAGCAGTTTCTCATTCTCTGAATATTCATCATTCAGTCCCAGAAATAGGCGGTTCAGCAAATGTTTCACTTGTGCCAGATCGGAGGACATGACAGATAAACATCTATACGATATTTTTTTCGCATTAAATCAAATATATAACTAGCGAGAACAAATTTCTACGATCTGCTCATTCTACCTTCATTTCTTGGCTTTCTTCTCCTTCTTCTCCTTCTTCTCCTCGTCGTCGTCTCTCTTACGCTTCTTGTCTTTCTTTTCCTTCTTCTCCTTCTTTTCCTTCTTCTCCTTCTTCTCCTTCTTCTCCTTCTTGGCTTTCTTCTCCTTCTTCTCTTTCTCCTTCACCTCTTCTTCGTCCTCGTCATCAGAATCGGCAACAGCCATGGTATCGGCGTCGACATTATACTCCTTGATTGGAGCCAAATCCACCTTCTTCTGCTCCTTCACGATATTGGTTGTTCTCAAATCCCTTCCTTCCAAAGCGCTCAATCTAGACTCCACCTTAGCCCGCACAGACAGTCCATACTCTCCAGAATCATCTCTATCTTCAGACAAGGCGTCGTATCTCAAAGCAACGGCAGCTTTGGCAGCAAGCACCCTGGCAATCTTTCCCTTGTTTCTTCCCGAAGCCTGTCCAATGAGAGATGCATGGTACAAAAGACCGTATTTGGGCGTGTCGTGCTTGGTCTTGAGAGCTCTGAACAGAGCTTTTTCGGATCCCAGAATCTGGATAGTCGAGGCTGGGGCCTTGGCAAGAGACATTAGCGATCCGGCATGGGCAATCAATCTGGCTCCAACTAGTTCACCAACCAAAGAGGTCAAATTAGGCGCAATAGCCTTCATTCTAGAAGACAGGTAGTTCGACAATTGTTCTCTGTATGCAGCAAACTCTACAATCTGCTCTGCCAACGCCTTGATGTTGTTCAGATCGTCCTCGGTAATCTCTGTTCCCATGGAAACCTCGGCAGCAGCCTTGACCTGTGCCTCAACCTCCTCAGGCAAGATCTCGCTGAAATCAGTGCTGGAAGCGTTCGACCTCACACCCATACTCAGAATGACTCTAGCAAAAGCCACCGAGTCGACAACGATCTTAGCCAGCTCCGGGAAATGCCATCCGTACCATTCCTTGCATCTCATGGCATAGGTGTTGAGTTCTTTGTCCAAGTCGTCAAGCAGCGCAATGGCTTGTACAATCATGACATCCACCTTGTCGGCGCTGAACTTGAGCTTGTGTCTGCCGATGGAGTGAGCCAAACCAAGGGACATGGTCGACAGGTCCTTGTCAGTCATACCGGGAAGAAGTTCTGGAAGATGCTCTCTCACGGCTCTGTAAATATCTAAGGTTGCAGCATCACTCACAACAGACCAGTTCAGTCCGAGCTTGTTGATGGCATTGGCCAGCTTGGTGTCCGAGACAAGAAGAGTGGACTTTTTCTCCTGCTTGGCCTCATCGAGAAGCCTCTGCAACTGCGGAGAAACCTTGCCTTCTATCACTGCAGAGGCCTCCTCAAGAGCATTAGCAGCAGAGTTGAACTTGGAGAATGCAGCGATCTTGAACTGTTTGAGGACCTTATCGGTGCTATTGAGCTCCTGAATTAAGCTCTGCGACTTGTAGATCTTCTTGTCCGACGCCTTCAGCAGGGCGTATCCAGCCGCTGTCTCTGTCAGAACGTATGCCATGCTATGAACAAGATTGAAAAGTTTTATTAAAAATTTTTGAAATTTTTTTCATACGTTATTCCGGGTAAATGCTCTAAGATCTATTTGCTATGCTGCTTTTCGTACTCGAGCAGGTTAGTCAAGAATCTTTCCTCAAAAGAGTCTCCGATCTGTTGTCGATGATCCCCCACACGCCGCGACTTCTTGTTGATTGTTCTTATCAGGTCTGTGGCCACGTCCGACTCTCTGAATCCAAGCTGTTTATACTCCTGGTAGCACCACAAGCTGACTGACTTTACTGCTTCTTTTTTCACTGTGTAATCCTCCTTGGCTTTGACTGCACGCTTATATTCGGACACTGCAAGCTGGAAAATGTCCCGGAGAACGAAAGGACGTGTTGCGTCGCTCAATCGAAGGGTAACTTTGGTATGTCTGCTGAGATACGGGTTGGGCTTATATTTGTAGTGATCAAGGCCATCAAAAATCCGGTCCTCGGACACACTACGCATGTAAATTGCCATTCCAGTCCGATAGCCATATTTTCGATGGATATATTTGAAATAGTTCAGCGTCCAGTAGTCCCAAAAATTAGCGTCTTTTTCGCTCACCCCGGCTATCGCATGGTCATACATGTATTTCAGCTTGTCGAAATCCATCTTATTTGTGTCCATCATATGGGTGACGTACGAGTTGTACGCATACCTCGCAGTCTTTGCATTTGCAGCAAGGATCATCGACCAGGCTGCCGAGGCATTGCTTTTGTCGTTCAAGGCAGCTCTGACAAGCTCGTTAAATTCAATAGCATCGAATCGAACCAGGTTATCTTTGGCAAATTTTAGAATCTCTTGGGCTCTATCGTACTTGCCCTCTTTCAAAGAAAGGGCCAGTAACGCACTTAGCTGGTTCGGCGAAAATCTAGTCGGCAGACCAAGCGTGTCATCAGTATATTGGTCCATTAAAATATTTCCTAGGTTGAAATTACCTGTTCTTGCGCTGTGGTAAATTAAGGAAGCCATCAATTCGGGTGACACTTTGATGGCTTCTATTGGCAGATTCATTACCAATTTATCGACCATGTGTCTATACCGTTTGTTTTTCGAGAAACAGCTCACAATTTTCGACATAACATGGTAATAGTAGTATCCATTTTGCGGATTGTTGTTCATAGAATCTAATGCAGAGTTGTAAAATACGTTGTGGAACGGCTCGATTATCCGCCATGTTCTGTAAACTGCAGCAGGATCTTTCCGGGAAACCCTGTCCTCAATGAATTTGTAGCAAAAACTCAGAAACTCGTCGACCGAGTTCTGGTAGCCAATTTCTGTCATTGTCTTGTTGTCTGTATTCGAGGAATAGTGGGAAAACAGCTCTCCGTTTCCTGCAAGCTTTGAGCCCAACTCACGTATGACGAGCCCGCAAAGTTCGGTGTCGGTGCTCTTGGATGATGATGCCTTTTCTAGGATAGCTGTGATTTGGGACGAGGTGAATGGATACAGTGGAATCTGTTTGATTTCTCTGCTGTTGTGTTTGGTGACTGCCATGTCATAGAGCGAAACAATTCGAAACACTTGCTTTAAATCCTGTACGTCTGTTTGCGGATGTTTCACGCACATCAGGTCAATATACAGTGAGATATTATGGTAATTGAGCAGTTCCAAGAAAGAGCCCATACCGGTTTGGAGAGATTGCCGCACGGTCTCCCGGATTATCTGACCAGCCAGGACATGCAAATCAAGACAGATTGCCATTCGGTAGATAGCAACCATGACGTTAATCGGTCGATTGGTATCGAGCCGACGCAGTAGCTTTTTACTACGGGGATCCAACGTTCGCGGAATCATCCGTTTGATGTGCTCAAAAATCATATCATTCTCAGAAGCAAGTAAGTCATATGACCTCGCTATGTACAAGTTGGCAGCGTTTATGAGAACGAGGTTGCGAGTCATGGTGGAAAGCAAATGCTGGGCTCGGGATTTATTGTCATTGCGCATAAGATATCCCAACAGATCGTACTTGTTGGGAAGCTTGTCAATATTTCGGTGTATACTTGTTCGAGTGGCAGGTGTTTGATCGGAATTCAGGGAATCTAGTTGTTCGAGGAGGGACTCGTACGCTTTCTTCTGTTCTAAGGAGTACACTGCCGTCCACAAATTGCGTCTTAAACCAATTCCCGTCATTGCCGGTACCTGAGGGCTCGCATGAGGCTTATATCGTCCGGCAATAAAAGCCCACTGCCGCATCTGGACGAATAGTGCTTGTTTTTCAGGTTTTATTTTATATTTTTTCCGAATTATTTTAAACTGGTTCCGTAAAAGGCCATCTGAGATTTTTTTCCTCACAGCCTTGATTTGTACTGATTCTTTTTCCCGTCTTTCGGTTCCATGTTTCGTCCTATCCATTCAATTCCTCTGCTTTCTTTGAGCTCTTTGGGTTTCTTCTTCTGGGCTGGTGGCGACAAGAGCTCCACTGCAGCGCCTCCTGCTCCTGGAGCTCCAGCTTTTCCCGGAAGCGTTCCGCCGGGACCAGGACGTGTTCCTGCTTCTTCCAAGCCAGGAAACCTGCCAGCTGCGGACGCTGCGGTCAATCCAGCTGGCTTTTTTGCATATGGGTTCCCTGGACCGGTCCATGACCTTGAAACGAGAACAGAATTTGTCTCGGTGTACGACCGTCAGAAAAGAAATCCATACTATGTCGTCGAACATATCACTCCAGAGTCACTGAAGCGTGATGCCTCGGGAGGAGGTGACCGCAAGAACTCAGTGTTTAAAGAAGATGAGCAAATTCCGATGAAGTTTCGCGGTTTTCTGCGAGACTACTTCAGATCAGGGTATGACAGAGGACACCAGGCTCCTGCTGCGGACGCCAAATTTTCCCAAGTGGCCATGGACGAAACATTCTATCTCACCAACATGTCTCCCCAGGTAGGGGCCGGTTTCAATAGAGATTACTGGGCACATTTTGAAGATTTTGTGAGAAGGCTAACTACTGGCTACGGTTCTGTCAGAGTCGTCACTGGCCCGCTGTACCTGCCGAAGAAAGACCCTGTTGACGGAAAATACAAGGTCACGTACGAGGTTATCGGTAATCCGCCAAATATTGCTGTTCCCACGCACTTTTTCAAACTGATCGTGGCCGAAAAGTCGTTCAAAAGAAGTCCCAACTCTGATGATATTGCAGTTGCGGCCTTTGTAATGCCCAACGCCGTCATCCCTAATGAGGTCCCTCTCACTTCTTTTGAAGTGCCTGTTGATGCACTAGAGCGCTCTTCGGGCTTGGAATTTTTGAAAATGGTGCCTGAGAACAAGAAAAAACAACTTTGCAAAGAGTTTAGCTGTAACATTATTGTGAGAGAGTTCAATGATACCGTCAAAGCTCTACCATCTGAATAAGCCAATAGATATGTTGAATAGACATCAAATAGTTCCTAGTAATTTCTGTTCGTATAATTGTGTTAGCCGACTGACGTTGCGTCCACGAGCGACGCGAAATTTGCCAGGTGCATCTCTAATCTTTTGCTGACTCTGCTGGAATAACAGATCCTTTTCTGTGTACTTTACCAGTTTTGAGGTGAGCTGCTCAGATGGCCTCAGAAGCTCATTCCGTAGCTTATCTGAGATTTTCTCTTTTTCGGACTCGAAAACGAAATCTTCAAAGGACTCATCCACCTCTATTTGCGGCTTCCGGTCCTTGGCTTTGCGGGCCACCGGAGGCGTTGGCGGCTCGGTTGTGCGAACTTTATATGCTATTTTTCGCTCCATTGGACTATCTGTAACTTGTTTCTTCTCGAAATTCAGAATGTCATCCATGCTGATACGATTCTCGAAGTCTTTCAGCTGATGTCCGTTCACAAGCACTTTGTCGTAATTGCGAAAAAACGAGCACAGGAACTTGAACAATGAATCAAACCCGCTGTCAAGCTCTTGGTCAGCCCGCTCGTTATACAAGATTTTCGTGAAAGACAAAATCAACCGTAGATTCTGTCTCTCTTTCATCTGCGCTATGTTTTTGGCGTGTGGCTCGGTCTCTTCGTGAGACAGCTTTATGGCAATGCGCCGCATAAGAACTAGCAGCTTCACCAAAATATAGCTATTGTCATAGCTGAGACGTTGGACGTTCAGTATCGGAGTTGAATTTTGAAGAGACTTCAGAGCCGGTCTTCTGGAGACGGGATACTTGAAAGACAACAACTCCCCAAGAGCCGTATTCAAATCTTCTAGCCGTGAGAAGTCGTAGTTGTACTTGGTAAGCACATCCAGAGGAATGAGTGGCTGCTCAGATTCGCTCAGTTGGGCAATGAACCTCTCAAGGATGAGATAATGCTCCACGAACGAGAAATCGGACAAACGTAGCCGCTGGTCACGGCTGAGAGCATCGCTGAATATCTCAACCGCAACAAGAGTTTCGTGCTTCAACTGTCCGCCCTTGATCAGGATCAACCATTCTTCTGGAGTCAATTGTTTGTCTAAATGCTTGGTTGTCATGTATGAGAAAAGGTTGTTGTAGATTTTGGAAAACTGTTTGAATGCTAATCCATGGGACAGGTTCAGAGGCATCCCATATATTTTGGGGAATTGTCTATTGAGAATGATGCGGTCGTTACCGTACACGATTTTGTCCACAAGGTAGCAGGTCAGGGAGATGGGAATTTTGGTGATATCGATGTGTTGGGCCAAAATAGACAGGTTCTCACAATACACGATCTGCCTCGTAAAGTTCCAAAACCTTTTGAAGAAGTCTACGACAGACTTCACGATCCAATTGCTCCCGTGTACCAAATATACCTTGTAGAGGTATCTTTTATTTTGTGATGGGATGAGGTTAAACAGCTTAACCAGGTTCAACGGCATTTTGAATGAAGTGACTTGATCATTATCGTGATCACAAAACCCTCCAGCAAAAAGGGCCAAGCAGTGTTCCTCTGCCGGCATTTGGGAAACGAGTCGTTCCGCCAGTTGCGCTATTTGGCGTTCATTGGACAGCGAGGGAAAATTGGTGGTGTCAAGAACATATAGCGGGAGCTCCGTTGACGGATCGTACGTGTCTGACTTGAAAAATACGCGGGAGCTCATAAATAGTGATGTATCCACAAAGTCGAAAAAAAGTCCACGCTTTTTTATTTACATTTAGTCAAGAAAAAAAAACATATCCAATAAAAGGGGCGGCACGTCCTATATAACATCCGTTATTTTTCAAGTTTTCGTCGTCTCAACAGAAATCATGAAATTCAATAACCGCGGGTGCCTCTACTCCTTCTTGTTTTCCTTGCTGGCGAGATACCGCAATTGCGCGTCGAAAGTGTCTCCATTAGCTCCGCCATCCCTGATGACAGCAACTCTCATAGTAGCCAACAAGTTGTGAGCAGCGTTCGAGTGGGCATACACACCTCCATTAAAGGCCATCGTAGCATCTTTACCAAAGGAGGTTCTGAGCAGAGCTTGTCCGCCCGGATGTTCAGTAAGGAAGTTAGCGCAGTCATGCACAATGCCCGAGATGATAACCAGTCCTTTCTGTTCTTTGGCCTTCTCAAAGAATGTGGACTTGTCCCACACTGGAAGCTCACTAAGCTGAGGACCCCAGTTGAGCTTGGCCCTCATTCTGTCCAGTTTCTTTTGTTGCTGTTGTAAAATACCTTGGTCGATAGCGTTCTGCGAAAATCTCTTCAGGTTGTAAGCAAGGCCTACCTTGGACAGAAGGTAGATGACCACCTTGGTTGGGTCGTACTGGTACCATTTGAGTGCGTTTCTGTAATCCGATGGGAATTCGTGGTGGAAGTTATGGTATCCCTCTCCAAAGGTGACGAGAGCGGTCAAAATGTGGTCTCTTGGAGTTCTTCTGTCGTCAAATGGCTGTTCTCCAATCCAATGCGCAAGCGAGTTCACACAGAAGGTCGCCTGCTGAATGAACACGGCTCTCAGCAATCCAGCATAGATAAATCCACCCCAGAAGTCGTTGAACAGATAGTGAGTAAGCAAGGCAGGGAAGAGGAATGCCATGAACACCATGAGCAGCAGGTAATGTCTGTGCTGGACTCTGACAACCCAGTCATCTAGCAAGTCGCTGATGTCGGCTCTTGCCCTGTATCTTGGATTTGGCACCAGAAGCATCCATCCCATATGAGAATACCAGAAACCTCTCTTCGCATCGTATGGATCTCTTGGCGTGTCTGTGTATCTGTGGTGGACCCTGTGCTGATGTCCCCACATCTTGATGGATCCTTCAACAGCAGAAGCTCCAAAGAGGGCGAAAAAGATTTTCACAGGTAACTTGCAATCGTAGGCTCTGTGGGCCCAGTGTCTGTGGTATCCAGCGGTAATGGAGAGACCACCAAAGCAGTATAGTATGACCGCGGTCACAAAAGTGTGGAGCTTCAAAGGGACCCATTTGGTGGAGACGAGTCCCGCAATTGGAATTGCCAGCACCAAAATGAAGTTGAGCCAGTTGATGTGACGGTGCCAGTTTTCCCAGGTCCACGGCTGCTCGCTGATGTGCTTTTGCTTCAAGTACTTGTTCTTCAGTTCCCTGTCCTTAGCAAGCATCATTGCCACCGAGTCTTTGCTCAGCTCTTCAGCTGTGACATCTGTCATAGACTTAGTTCCCATCAACTTTCCTCCTATGCCATAAGCCACTATTCTCTTAGCAGGCTTGTTGGTGCCTGCAGCCACAGCATTAGCAGTGGATAGATCCACAGAATCCAGTGCCGACATTTTTGTGAAAGGAATTGCTGGGTGCTAGTGAATATATAACTTTACCAATAAAAAAAATTCGAGATCAAGCCACAAATGAAACCGCCCCGTCGATTTGTTGGGATGCTGCCCAACAGAGAGAAATCTAGTCGACAGACGTCGACAAAAAAATTGCCGCCGACAGCTGTCAATTTCTTTTTTTGGGAACAAATTAGCCTGCCTCGGTGCACTAGCTGACGCCGCTAATCAGTCAGCTTTTGCTTGTCGACCGATCTCGTAGTGTGTCCACCATCTTCGCACAACACTTTTAATCGCAAACAGTGACCCGATAAATGGAATATACTCCAACAGGGTCACCCATATAGAAGGCTGCACCTCGCGTATCACGCTATCAACCTGCCGGTTGAGCTCTTCCAAACTATTGTTATTGTCTAGTACGTAATCAGATCGCTTGATCTTGTCATCGTTCGACATCTGGCTCGAGATTCGTTTTTCACACTCCGCGCGGCTGAGTTCCGGATTACGCTCCATCAGCCGTTCCAATTGTATCTTTGGGTCGCAGACCACACTAATTGTCGTACCACAAATGATATCCATGCCTGCTTCGAAAAGCAGCGGCACGTCAAGAACCACGATTGACTCCAATTTGAGCCAACTGCGCAGCATTAGCCATAGCATTTCTTTGCGCACTTGTCCGTGTGTAATCTTGTTTAAAACCTGCAATTCGCTTTTATTTTGAAACACATATGATCCAAGAGCCGGTCTGTTCAGAGTACCATCCGGTAAGACCAAGTCAGGGATCTTGCCACCAAAATATCGCACGATTTTCTTATATGCAGGCCGTCCAGGCTCCACTATTTGGCGGGCAATCTTGTCGGCATCGATTACAGTTATGTGGTGTTCTTCTTGTAAGCGTTTGGACACTGTGGATTTTCCGCTGGCAATACCTCCTGTTAGTCCTAGAACAAGCATATTTATTTTTTTATTTTTCATGGATCCATTTAAGATATTGTTGCACTGGCTTGAGGGCGACTCGCAGCGTCCCGCGGCTGTCATCTCCTCGAAGATCCGTGTAAACAAAGACGCGGTTACTGGACGGTCGCTCGTAGCCAACAGTGAGATAGCCGAAAAAGAGCCACTGATAAGTGTACCGCACACCTATTTATTGAATTATGTTACGATACTCCAGCATCTCGCGAAAAGCGCAAATTGGGTCTCTCCCGTAAACTCTAATGAGTACGTTTTCGTTCCTGATGGGCAAACTGATCCGATCTATGCGAAATTCGAGCTATTAAAAGTGTTGAAATTATCGTCCTTCCAGCTGGTTTCACTGTACCTTGTGCTAGAGAAGCAAAAACCAGACTCCTTTTGGAAACCCTTCATCGATGTGCTCCCATCAATAGCAGACCTTGACGGGATGCCTATGATTTGGGCTCTCCAAAATGATCCATTATTTGATCTGCTACCAATTTCCATAAAAGAGCACTCTAAAACCCAGCAGGAAAAATTCCTTACTGACTACAGAGCTGTTCAGGAGTTTCTTTGTGATGCTGGCTTGGACTGTGCAAATCTTGTTTCCCAAGATGATTTTCTATGGGCTTGGACTTGCTGCAATTCGAGATGTCTATATATGGAATTACCACAAGTACTGGAAAAACAGCTGGAGGACAATTTCACACTGGTTCCTTTTGTTGACTTCATCAACCACGCCCCCGAAGATCATTGTTCCGTCAGTATGTCTCCAACTAAGGGATTTCAGGTGACCTCTGGGTCCCGTCCGTATAATGGCGGAGACCAATTATTTTTCAACTACGGAGCGCACAGTGACGAGTTTCTTCTCTGCGAATATGGGTTTATGCTTCCAGCTCGTTGCAATCCGTGGAACAACATTGATATAACACCCTACATTTTGGCATTGTTGAAAGCAGAACAGTCGGAATTCCTCAAAGAAACCGGCTACTACGGTGAGTACACTCTCACGTCAGATGAGGTGTCATTCCGAACTGAAATTGCTCTAGCAACGCTACAAGAAAAAGACCTTCGCAAAATACATGCGATGGTCAATGGCCTGAGCGACGGTGCAGCATATAAAAAGAATTCCGATTTACTAGTTCGAAAGATCCTGAGCAAGATTTTGTCCACCTCCATAGAGCAACAGGAAAAACTTCGCCGATATCCCGAATGCTACAGATCATCGTTAGTTGTTCAAGCACATCATAATATCAATATAATTTGTGACGCCTATATACATGATTAACATCTAAGATTTTCAGCGAGTTCGTAGCGCATGTAACCCTCGTTTAAAACTTATTGTTCCTGTCCCAGCGGCGATTTCCGAAATCCCTTCTTTCAAAGTTACCTCCGTACCCATTACCAGATCTTCTTGATTTGTATGATCGGTCAGTTCTGTCTCCGAAATTCCTATATCCTCTGTTGTTGTATCCTCCGGAGCTGAATCCTCCTTTCAAACTGCCCCTCACGTTAAACACTCCTTCGGCCTCATAAGATGAGATTCTAAATCTGTCAAGATCAACTGCCTTGACAGAAGGCAGATTACCCTCTCCCATAAACTTTTGATAAAGGTCTCCGCAATCAAGAGCAAGACTTTTTGGATTACCATCTCTCTCAATCCGAGGCACAGAAGCATAAGATCCCAAAAGCGACGTGACCATCTGATTAATATCACATGGAATGTTTTTCAGAACAATCCTCATTTGCTGCTCAAACTCAGGAGCGACCTCAGGTTTCTCTAAAACCTCAAAGTCATGACCTTCTTTCTTTAATCTCTCAGCATAAAACATTTCGTGCTCGGTCAAGATGGAGATAGACTCTCCTGTAGTTCCGGCTCTTCCTGTTCTACCCACCCTGTGAGTATGGGAAGCCGTTTCTTGTTGCACTCCTAACTGAATCACACTGTTGACTCCTGGGAAATCCATACCTCTAGCACCGACGTTCGACGAAACCAAAACTGCCTTTCTAGCACTTCTGAATCTGACCTGGTTTCTGTTGCGAGCACTCTGACTCAAGTCTCCATGCAGGGTGTAGACTTCAGCTTTTCTTCCGTAAAATTCGTCGATAACCTCTTTAGCCAGACAGTAAAAGAAATCCGTGGTCTTGATGTTAGGCATGAACACAATCACCTTAGCATTGTCAGCATTTAGTTTTTCGATCACCAATCTCAAGGCAACGGCAAAACTCTCAAAAAGGCTATTTGTGGTCACTAGAGACTGATCAACAGTGTCCGTCACTTCTGGCCCAGAACTCACGTCAATGAACTTATAATTTTCGCCCATCAGTTTGCGAGCAAGTTCCTTAGTGTTCGAGTCCATGGTGGCAGAAAACATGGTCACTTTCAGCAAGCTAGGATCTTGATGATTTTCTTTGATCCGGCTAACAACAGCCAAAAGAGCTTCCTTGAAATCCTGAGCGCAGAGCACGTCGGCCTCATCAATAACAAAGTGTCTCAGATCTTTGAACGATTTTGCAAAATATTGGTCCGACTCCAGCATATCTAACAGCCTTCCTGGAGTAGCCACTAAAGCCGCAGATTTGAATCTTCCATTGACTCCCCGCCTAATCTGATCATACTTCATCTGACCAACACACAAATCGATACCTCGGCGATTGTTCCTAGGGGCAGCATCCTTCCAGACTTTATCCAAAGCCCTTTGTGTTTGGAAAGCAAGGTCTCTAGTGGGGTTGATCACCACGGTGTGAACGCTCTCCTGCTTTCCAAAACTTCTGTCACTCAACCACTCGTTCATCACAGGGAGGCCAAATGCGTAGGTCTTACCAGTTCCGGTTTTGGCTCTCACTAATACACCATTGCTGGTAGTAAGCATCTCAGGAATCACTCTTCCTTGAACCTCTGTGAGGGTATCACTCGCGACCTTTGTGAATGCATCCTGAATTTTCAGGTGAAGGGCAGTTTGGTCAACATCAAGGTTTAAACCTTCGGTGCTGTAGAATACAGCAGCCCTTGTCACGGCTGGCCTGCCTAGAGTTGCCCTCACGGCAGTAAACGGTTTCAGAAGAACAAACATAGAAATATCCTTTTAGATCAAGTTTTTAGGGAGCGAAAATTTTTCATAGGTCGATCGACTTCAGGATACAACAAGTACGTAATTATTTACCATGACAAGAAACGCGTTCTTGTTAGGCTCGGACTTGAATTTCAAGTTCTTAGCAGCCCAAGCCAAGCGAACGTTGGATCCACAGGAATTTAATGTTCAGCTACTCTTTAACAGTTCACGGCTGTTCAGACGATTTACCGAGGCAGGATCTAGAATAAAGTACATGAACAAGATGACCCCAGGTAATCCCACTGCCAAAGAGCTTCAATTCAAGGCCCTTGAAAAGCTTCCCGACACGCCCGGGGTGAAAATCGACGATTTAATAGTATGCATGAGCACGCTGAAACTGGATGAACAGATTCTTCCATACGCCAGCAGAATCTCCAAGGATACAAATGTATTATTTGTGAATCCGCCATTGGGAGCAATACAGGCAACTCTGGATCATTTGTGGCCCCGTAGCTCTGACCTAAGGCCAAACGTGTTTCAAGCTGTCACCACGCATGTTTTGTCCGGCTCGTCAAATTTTGGTGTGAATCATATAAAAGCAGGAAAACTGCTGATCTCCGCATATCCATCCAAGCAAAGCTTTGAAAGTTTTGTCAGCGCGCAGTCCACCTTCTTTCCTGCGGACACAGTTGTTCCTTCTATCGTGAAAGGTTTACTGAACAATCGCATACTTCAAGCAACGTATTGTCCTTTGAAGGACGTTTACCAAGTACAAATTGAAGCAATGGTGGCAGATTGTTGTCTAAATGCTTTAGGCCAGCTCCTGAATTTTGACCTAGGGTTGCTGGGCTTCACAGAGTCGGTTGAGCGCATCGTTTCCGACATTGTTGATGAGTGCATACAGGTTTTACAGTCCACGAGCCAATATCATTTGTTGCATGGATACGACCCGTCAATGACGCGGTTGCTCAAGAAAGAGCGCCTGATGGTGCTTGTTAAGGAGCTAGCCGAACAACATGGCTTCAATCATCAACAATCAATTCCTGGCTACGCAACCAGCTATATTGTTAACTCAGCCAAGCAACAGCGCCAAGCAACTCCTATCAATAGCTTGTTAAACAATCTGCTCATATCTAAGCGTCAACTAGAGCATAGACAAACCGAGCTGCCATTTGTCAAATAAATCTCAGTACAACACCGTACATGTCGCGAATCCTTCTGAACAATTACACGACTTGCCCAGCGCAGCTAAAAAAAAAATAGAATCTCTGAGCGCTAAGATAATTTGGAGATTTACTGTCTTTGTTTGTTTTATCAAATACTCAATTAGTGAGCAAAACATTGGGTTCTACGAGATAAATCTTTTGAAGCCCTCTAAAGCATAAAATAGAAAGGAAGAGCTTTAGGCATTGAAATAGCTTGGGTACCAACTAGCATCAAAGATTCAAAAGGATAGCTTTTTTTGTTTTAGCCAAAAAAAAAAAAAAAAATATCCCTTTTTTGTTTCTATGCGAAAGTCGACTATTCTTGTGGCCTAAAAATTATAGTTCCGATGAGCTATTTCGAAACTGTTATGGAAACAGAGAGCATTGACCGTCCTTGCACGGGAGATGTCTCGATAGATCTTGCTAACCACATGGTCAAGACTCCGCTTATGTCTCTGGACTTGAATAATATTAACCTCCATGGCAACGACGTGAAGGGCCAATCAGCTACCATCCCGCTCAATGATGGCAACTCTTTCCGTCCAGACTCACGCCAAACAAATTCATCAGGGAACCTGCAGCCCACTCTCAATTCTGCATTTGATCCAAAATTTCTCGACATGTACACCACCAATTCGCCCAAAGAAGTGATATCCCCAACACGATTGCTATATAAAAGTTCAAACAGCACACCGAGGCTAATTCCCGCAATCTCAATGCTTACACCAGGCGGTTTCAGTGATGTGTTCAAGCAATCACCCCTCAATGTATATTCGAGATCCGATCCGCCTCAGTCGGCTTCTAGAATGATGTTCCCACGCTCCTTGTATGAAGAAGTTGAGTTAACGAACGCTTGGCTTGGGAGGGATACCCCGAATGGCGATACTACAGAAAACATGCTTTCTGATGGACATGCATTTGGCAATATGAATGATTCCCATTTCTACATTCAATCCTCATTGCCTGGTTCACGAGAAGCTAACAGGGCACCAAGTGGTTTGTCTTATTCGAAAGAAAGAGCGAGGAACAAATTAAGTGTTGAAGCTATTAGCCCCCTTCCCTCCTTAAGACCTGTATCAGAGAGTTTCAAAATCCCCACTTTTAATATACTGGCAGACCTGAAGTATGAAGAAAAAGATTTTGATTTTGGTGTGGATTACAGACAACATAAAAAAACCAAGACAACTACTTTTCCAACAGTGTCGAACACGATAAATGACACATATGGTCCCCTGCTTATAGGGGAACAACCTGTGAAGAAGAAAAGAGGAAGAAAGCCAGGATCCACCAACAAGAAACGCAAGGAAACCGCAGCGAAAGACGACAAAAATAAGAAGAAAAAGCTCAAAGTTAGATTTCCGAAAAAGAGAAAGACAACACTCTCCGACATAGATCCTGCTGTTCACTTTCAGTTTGGGGACGATGACGACTTTCTTGGGGACGACGACTTTGAGCTTGCCGGCATTGACTCGCACAAACCACATGCCTCTGGCGGGCCAGAGGATATGCAAGATCGGATGAAGAGAATAAGGAATCGTGCCCCTCGATCTAAGAACGGTTGTTGGACTTGCCGACTAAGAAGAAAACGATGTCCTGAGCAGAGACCAGTTTGCTCCGAATGTGTGAGATTAGGTCTCGAATGTGACGGTTATTCTTCTGAGCGACCTGCTTTCATGCGGAATGCAAATGCTGCAAAAGGAAAGATGGAAGAGATTAAAATTATTACGCTAGCCAAGAAAAAACGTGGTTCAAAACAAAGATATGAACGCGAACAACGCTTGTCTGCAGGCTCTCCCAGCGACCCGCTCAAACCACCTAGTTAAATTTGCAACCGACTCTTTCAATATAAATTGTCTATTAATTATAAATGTATATATTAGGGATTTCCATACTGATGATACGCGTTATAAGTTTTCTCTGTTTGGCCGGCCTCTTGATTCATGGTTTCCATATTCAAAGGTTGCTGAAAGATGAATGGATTATAGTTCATTGCATTAAACGAATCTTCCAGAGGCAACTGGGGAGGAAAATTGAATGCATTGCCGCTGGTTTGGGCCGTGAGAGACTCAACTGCAGGCTTGAAGAATTGAGATTGAGACATATTCATAGGGTAGAAAAATCCCATATTTGCTTGCTGTGGTTGCAGATTGGCCATCAACGGCTGATTCGACCAGATATTAGGAAATATCGGAGGGCTCGTAGCAGGAACGGTCTTTGGCGGCGCATTAGTCAGCTCTGTAGAGTTTGCGGCGCTAACAGGCTGAGTAGCCAAATCTTCCTCGGTGTCGCTCACAATCGAGTCAACCATTGAGACAAATTGATGTTCACTTTCCTCGTAATTCAATTTACCATCCTTTAGAGGCTTCGAGCGTTTCTTTGAAAATGGCCTCACCTTGCTGTCTGGGATCAAGAATAATTGAGTAGTAGGATCAAATTGCAAGTCGACTTTGTTCTCACTTAGGATGCGAATTCCCAAGTGTGCAACGGAAATCATTCTGAGGACATAATCACAGAGTTTCATGGACTTGTGACTTTCATCAGGAAGCTCTCCGATCAAAGCAAGCACCGAAGTCTCAGACTTCTCTTGAAACTTGCTGTCATCGAAATCATCCAATAAATAATTGATTGGTCTAAATTCCTTTAAAGTAACATCCTCTTTAAAAAGTCTTTTTCTTTCAGGCTTGTAGTCCTTGAATCTTGTATTGGCACCCACCTGGGAACTTGCCTCCGGGTAGATGCGAAAATATTCAACAGCGTTGTTGACGATCTGGGCTAACTTAAAAGCGTATTTCGGAGTCTGAACTAAGTAGCTTCTTGGTAGTTCTCTCTCTTTGAACCAACAAAGCATCAGCCTAATAAGTGGCAGTAACAAATGTGTGAGATCAGGCTGCTGTGAGTTTCCATTCCAGTTATCCAGCGAAATCTGCATCATGTTGTCCAAGAACCTAAATGTGAATTTCAAGTACTCTCCGATGATAGCGGTGTTGTGGTCTAGCTCGGGGTGGACCATATTGTTATCGACTAACAACTCGAACCCTCCAATCAAGATCACAAGCTGTTTAAAATATAGATCATTGAAAACCTGTTTCCGATAATCCAGCTGTCTCATAAATGTGAAAAATTCCGTCTCGATGTCCTGGACCGAATGGTGATGAACCAAATAGCCCTCCGACTCCTTCCACTGGCCTGGCAGCAGATAATAATCGAAGAGAACGAGGAACTGATACCTCAACAGCTCATACTTCACATTTTTTGTGAGATCGGATTTAGGCGTTGAATTATGCGCTTCGAAAACTCTCAACATCGGATTAGGTTTTCTGGACACATAATTGATAAGGTTACCGAGGCCGATGGGCAATGGCTCACTGCTGAGGGACGACCGGATAAAGTTGTAGACCACATTGAAGCTGTCCTCTTTGAGATTATCGATGATAGCAATGTGGTTGTAAGGGTCTCCCAAAGAAGGCAAGATCAGGAGAGCCAGTTTATAGAGCTCAATAGACTTGCTATAATTGTTGTTGTCTTCTTTGGAGATTGAAGCTGTCGGCAAATACGTCTTTGCAACCAACGCGCGATATCTTGAGAGGTCTCCGATGTAGAGAACGCATTTGCTAATCACGTAGACCAACGATTCGATCGTACGTTGAGATGGTTTTTTTCTCGGCTCTTTAAAACTGATGTCTATTTTCAGCGTCGTCGTAAGTTTCTTGACCGGGATAAAGAGTAGAACATCATGCGATATTAGAATCTCCTTCACCAAACTGATATAAAAATCATAGCACTTGGAAATAAACCGCACAAAATGCTCGAATGTCTTCCGGATTTCCACACTCGTGAAAGGCCTTTGTTTTTTGGACGACGACTTCTTTTTAGACAGGTACCGAAATTGAGACTGGAATATCTTGATCGTAGGGTGATGAAGGTCTACCCACGCTCTGTCGACGACCTTCCCCAACATATCCCGAGAAGCGGTGGGCACGCTCAAGTTGTCGAGGATGTAAGTTAATAGCTTTGACTGAGCGAAACTAACGGTACCAAGCAAAAGAGACTCATCGCTAGCGTATTTGTTGCCTAGAATCTCCAGTATCTTCTGCTTGTTCTGAGATAATATCTGCTCTATGGGCTCCTCCAACTTGGAAGGATTATTGAATTCGGAATTCGTCATGAGTGAAACAGGACCAAAACGGGGCTCATTGAATGACTGTAGGACGCAGGTATTACTCTTATGATGAAAGGTAACTCAAATATTGTGCTCTTCTCGAAGAGTATTTTACCGCGCTTGTGGATCAAATCACCTGTAAATTCCTGACACTATCTTGAGATAAAAAAATATTTGTTAAGAAATCCACGGTAATAAAATCTCTCATATACCAGGCGATTAGTTCTATGATTGATGATTATTTGCAAATTGAAAAAAATTTGAGAGATGCTCCGAAACCAACCAGGCTGGTTACAACGCAGCTGCTCATATCAGCGGTAGCTGGGCTGCTGATTTTTTCAGCTTTTTGTGTCCTAAGATGCCGGTTCCCCAATATTTATATGGCACGAATGAACTACCTAAGCGTGTCAAATCGCAAATTCATGCCTCCCGTGCTCTCCACCAAGTCTCTATTTGGCTGGCTGGGTACTGTTTGGCGAATAACGGAGGCCGATGTCTTAGAATACGCAGGGCTTGATGCCTTTGTGTTTCTTGGGTTCTTTAAGATGAGCATAAAATTACTCTCTGTGTGCTGGCTTTTTTCGGTTTTAATCATCTCCCCGATTCGCTACTACTTCACCGGAGACTACGATCAAGGTGACGGTGACGGTAACTCGGACGCCAAGGATCCCTCGGAGGCAACGGATTACCACACGTACTTGTGGCTGTATGTCATTTTTACTTATGTCTTTACTCTCATCACGGAGCATTTCCTCATGCAGCAGACACGCAAAGTTATTCAGTATCGGCAAAATATCCTTGGCAACCAAAACTCTATTACGGATAGGACCATCCGGCTAAGTGGGATTCCGCCTGAACTTCGAAACGAACGCGCACTTCGAGAAAGTATCGAGTCCTTGGGCATTGGTAAAGTGGCCAAAATTGTCATTTGCAGGGAATGGAAGAAGCTGGATTTGTTGTTCAAGCAGAGGAATCGCATCATTCGAAAATTAGAGGTTTATTGGGCCAGGTACATTGGCACTACAAAAAACCCAACCTTTAACATTCGGCCATTTGTTGAAAGCTCCTACCCGTTGACACCCGAATCCCCGAGATACAGGGACGAAGAAGAAGGGTCGGATAGCACACATACAGAAACAGCTTCGGACGCATCTGACTACGAGTATGGCTTGAACTCTGTTGTCGAGTACCAAGGTTCTTCGACCGATATCAATCCTTTCGGAACGAGTTTTGGGTCCGCGGTGTACAAGAAGAGACCTCAAATAAAACTGGGCTTTCTGGGGCTTTGGGGTAATTCGGTGGATGCAATCGATTATTATACCCAGCAATTGAACGTGATTGATGAAGAGATCATTGCCGCTCGTCAGCGACATTATGCTGCCACTCCCACAGCATTCATCACGATGGACTCGGTTGCCACAGCACAGATGGTGGCACAGGCAGTTTTAGACCCTCGCGTCAGTTTCCTGATCACACGCACCGCTCCTGCCCCCAAAGACATCATTTGGGAGAACGTGACTCTGCCGCGCAAAGATAGAGTCTTGAAAATCTACTATATCACCATATTGACTGGCATCATGGGAGTTGCCTTTATATTCCCTGTTGGTTACCTGGCTACTCTGCTCAACTTGAAGACAATTAGTAAGTTCTGGCCAGATCTAGGGGAGCTTCTTGAAAAACACGAATGGGCACAGAGGTTTGTTACTGAACTGCTTCCTGTGTATTTGTTTACCTTGTTGAACTTTGTGATCCCATACCTTTACGTTTGGTTGTCCTCCAGACAAGGATTCGTGTCTCACGGAGAAGAAGAGCTATCGGTGGTGTCCAAGAACTTTTTCTATGTTTTTGTCAACTTATTCCTGGTTTTCACGATGGCTGGTACCGCTTCCAATTACTGGGGTTATCTGAGCGACTCCAAGAAGCTCGCTCTCCAGCTAGCTACCTCCTTAAGAGGATTATCGTCTTTTTATGTGGATACCATCTTGCTTCAAGGATTGGCTCTTATGCCTCTGAAATTGCTGGTTACAGGCCATGTGTTGCGTTTTATGTTTATTAGGGCAAGTTGCAAGACACCAAGGGATTTCAAAGAACTGTATAGGCCGCCTGTCTTCAATTTCGGCTTGCATCTGCCGCATCCCATCCTCATCTTGATTATCACATTGCTCTATAGTGTGATGTCTACCAAAATTCTGTCCTCGGGGCTTGCATACTTTATCATTGGTTATTTTGTCTACAAATATCTGCTGATCTACACATGCATCCACCCGCAGCACTCAACAGGCCAAGTCATGCCAATTATCTTCCGTCGCATTGTTTTAGGACTTCTTCTCTTTCAATTGACAGTGGCGGGCTCTTTGGCTCTGAACAATGCTTATGTTTTGGCGATGTTCCTCATCCCCTTACCGTTCCTCACGATGCTTTATCTGTGGAACTTCGAACGCAACTATCTGCCGCTGAGTTATTTCATTGCTCTGCGTGCTATCAACAAGGATACGCAAGCGGAGACAGATCTGCAGAGCTCTGCTGGCGTAAGAGCGAATCATGCTTTGACAAACGGAGTGAGTTTCTCATCGTTGAGATCGAGCACTATTGACGAGCGCAGAGAGTATAATCAAACTTACGAGTATCCGTATTTGGTGCAAAGTTTAGATGGCCCATGGCTGGCTGTGGATGCCGAGCAGGTTGTGATGGCTACAAAAGACGGCACAGTGCGGAAACGGTTCACCTTCGAAGAGTTTTAGAATCTATAGAGCGCGAATATATTCTGAGCGATATTCAAAGACTAAGATATTTGAACAGTTCGGTCACCAGCTCCAACTTCAATTGGATTTGATGCATTTCATCCAAAATAAGTGTTTTGAATGGTAGATGGTACATGAGTCGGAAAACCGACATGATCAAGAGTCTGGTGACAATGAGCTTGATTACATGGCTCGTAAAAACAATCAGCGCGATCTTCCAGTAGTGATTGTTCTGGTTTTGTAGTAGCACGATATGGATGGCCTCAATGAGGATGACAAGATGTATGATTTGTACTACGTTCGTTGTGATATTGAGGATGAATGTGTCATATGGCCAGATAAGCATCACAATCGGAAACAGCTTGATAAGGTTGGAAAGCAAAATGGTAGAGGAAACGATGCTGATGAAATAATTTCTGGAAAAGTGGACTCTTTGAATGTTTGGAGGGCTTGATGACGTAGACGACGAGGAGGAAGTAGACCTTGCCACTCGAGGCAATTCATTGGGAGGCAAAGCTTTGGAAGACGACAGAGGTAGATGATTTTCAAATTCCACTGTTATTGGGTATCCAAACCCAAGGAATTTGTAGATGAAGAATTGAAGCGACAAATGCAGAACAACGGTATCGAGGACGGCCTTTGTCAAGAAGAACGAATATTGCGACATGACACTTGGCAGTTCCAAGACGATCCGATTGATCAACGACGTTTTGTGTATATTTTCCAAATAATTCTTCTCCTCGTAGGCCCATGTCAGGTAGACCTCCAATAGAAGCATAAGCACCAACAGGCGCAAAAACGGGCCATTTCGTTGCACGAATGTTCTTTGGTTGCCTTGCAAAGCTCCTTTTCCGTCCTCAAAATCCGCTCCATAGTTCAGCGATTGGTTGTAGATCGTGTGTCTATAAGCCTGTGGCTTCAGAAGCATCAAATCGATGAATAGTAGCACCTTGTCAAATTCTATATATCGGTCTGCAACTTTGTGACAGTTAGTACAAACCGTCAATCGAATATGGTCCCCTTTGTATTTCTCATAAAGAGTTTGAATGGGTGTAGAGCACTCTACACAAATCATGCTCAAAATTATATTTTTTTAATATTATTTATTAGCATGTCTCAAAGAAAGGTGTGTCCGTATTTTCAAAATGGCAATTGCCGCTACGGAAACCGATGTCACAATCTCCACATCAAAAATGGGCATGAGGATCTGAAGAGTTTCACATCTGCTTCGTCTTTGCAAGCGAAAACAGAGGATATAAGAAAAAATATCGATGGCATACTGCCTGATGTTCGCAACGGTGCCATACTTACTGCTTTTAGCTTGCCTCCGCCTGCTAATGTGAACGTCATAAGCGGAAGAGACATGTCGTACGAGGAATTGCGGCTTCACTACTATCGAGACCCTGATACAGCCGTTCGTGAATATAATAGTCGAAAACAAGACATGATCAAGTGCCTGGAATTTGTGCGAAAAGATGCCCAAAAGGCAGCTAGGTACCTTCAACTAGCAGCAGAGAAAAATCCAGCAGATGTCAAACCGTTCATCAATTTCTCTATTGATACGAACGCCGCTCCATCCTCAACAGCATCCTTACCGTTTGGAAATCGAACTTCGTCGCCTTTCAATCAGCAGGGCTCCTCTTTCGGTTCCACTAAAAATCCTTTTGGGGCCCCTGCAGCGCAATCTAATCCTTTCGGCTCGGCAGCGACAACTAAGTCCAACCCATTTACATCGACCGGCAGTCCTGCTTTTGGAAGTGCAGGTTTTGGGTCCAGACCCAACCCCTTTGGATCACAAACCAACACAAACAGCGTATCTAATCCATTTGGTAGCTCCTCAGGAGCCTCTTCAGCTTTTGGCAAAACAGGTTTTGGACAGCAAATGGGGGCTTTTGCAAGTGCCAAACCAAATCCATTTGGAGGCCAATCCAATGCATCTGCAAACACTACCAGTCCTTTTGGTGCTTTCTCTGGCAACACAATTAGTTCTGGTATGACGTCCTTTCCTAACGGTGCGGCTACTGCTGCTTCCCCGTCTTCTGCTGGTCCCTTCGGCGGCCAAAGCACGGCTTCCACTCCTTTTGGGGGCCAAACTAGTACGGTCCAGCCAAGTCCTTTCGGAGCAGTATCACAGTCCACTACGGCTAACGCTGGTCCTTTTGGAAACCAGCAAGCATCTTCTGCTTTTGCAAAAAGCGGGTTTGGTGCATTTGGGGCCCAGAAGAGCAGTCCTTTTGCACAGCCGTCCGCCAGGGATAGTCCCTTTGGCCAGGCTGTGGCCAACAGCGGCAGCAGCTCGTCACCTTTCCAGCAGTCATCATCACCTTTTGGACAGGCTGAAAACTCGCCGTTTGGCCAACCAAATGTGTCATCTTTTGGACAAACGACAAAGCCTAGCCCTGCAGCATTCAAACAGGCTGGAATAGAAGAGCTAAAAACGAAACTTGAAGACTTATCGGAATCTATTATAAATGAGTTCAAAGCCGAGCAGTTTACTCTGGGGCGGGTCCCAGAGGTTCCTCCTCCGCTCGAGATGTGCTAAGCGTTACTGGCTGTTACAGTCCGGTAACTGTCCGCCAGGAGACGTGAGCTTCGGCTGGTCAAAGCAAAAGCTTCGCGATACATGGACCCTATTTCATGGAGCACCTGTTCTCTGTGAATGGATCCTTCGCAAATTGCCTTCAGTTTGACCTCAAGGTTTCTGCGTAAGAAAGGTTTAGTCAAGGACATGCTATCAAAGCCAATCTGGCTAAATCCTTCTGCCAAGGCGTAGCCGAGCTCTGTTGGAATCAGAACCTTGGACTTGGATTTTCCGCGGCCCTGATCCTCTTTGGTGACATATGAGCGCTCTATAATCTTCTCAATATGCTCTGCGATTGTTGCATCGGTCCCAATTCCGTTGATATCCATCAGGGCAATCAGTTCAGGCTCGGTGAGAGGGCTCGGTGGTGATGTTTTTCCTGTGGATAGCTGTGCAGAGGTTAGAGCCACCTTATCACCGGCTTGGACTTCAGGAATCTTGGACTTGGAAGACTCCCACGAGTTGTAGACATACACTTCCAAATAGTTGAGTTCCTTGACAACTAGTCCAGAAGTCGTGAAAGTTTCTGTCCCCCATTTGAGAGTCAAACTAGTTCTCAAACCGGTCGCATCTCTAGAGCAACACCCCAAAAACCGGCGCACCACATATTCGTAGAGCTTGCGCTCGTTTGCATTCAGTGACTCACCGCTCGTGAAAATAACTGGATGAATAGGAGGGTGAGCTTTGTCGTCGTGGGAGCCCTCTCTCGGCTGCCTGAATTTGGTACCATCGTTTAATAGCATTTGGGCATACTGTCCCCATGTGTGGGATTGTGTTTGCAACTGAATCAGTTTTTTCAGATCCATGTTTTTGGGAAATCGGTCGGTCTCTGTCCTGGGATAAGAAATAAATCCAGAATTGTACAGTTTTTCCGCAATGGTGAGCGTTTGCTTTGCACTGAATTTGAAGAATCTAGCACAGTCTTTCTGCATCTCGACTGTTGTTAGCGGCAAAGGAGCCCAATTTGACGTTGGCTTTGTGTCGAGCGATACCACCGTCGCCTCATTTCCATCCATCTCGATACAATTTTGGTATATGCATAGGGCCGCAAATCTATCGAACAGATGACCTCTAGTCCATGTGGCAGGTGTTGTTCCTTTGGCTTTGTCATTCTTCTTTTTGAAAGCGAGATTCAAATACCAGAAATCCTCGGGCACAAAGTTTTTGATTCGTTTGTACCGGTCAACCACAAAACCAAGGGTAGGAAACTGGCATCCTCCATATGACACAACGTTGTCATATCTGAAAGTTCTTCTGAACAAATCCGTGAGAAGTCGCGTGAAACTGGATCCAGTACGCAAGTCGAGCTCCATGCGTGTCAGCACAGCGTCGATCGCCTTTTGATCTAACTTCGTGGTATTGCACGCAGCCCGAATCACATGCGACCGTTCAAGATGGGAGAAGTGCGCTCGCTGGGTGGTCTCCATATTTATGCTCGGGTTCTTCTTTTTTGCCTGTTCCATAATCTCGTACCCAATGTATTCTCCCTCTCGATCGCAATCTGTCCATATCATGAGAATATTAGATCGTGAAGCTTCGTCAGTGATATTCTTGGCAATGTTCATGGAATTCTTGTCAGTATATTTTGTGAGAACTGGGGCGTCAAATAGACTCGAGTGCTCGCATTTGCCCCAGCCGTAATTTTCAGGAAAATCTATCCTGGTAATGTGGCCAGTCACTGCCGTCATCGTAACCTGGCAGCTTCCGAACTGCGGGAAGTTGAATTCGAAATCGTAGTTCTTGATCCAGCCAACCTTTGTTTCTCGCGTGGATACCCGCCCCCCTCCAAGGATGAAAGCCACAGCTTTTGCAATGGCCGGTTTTTCGGCAACGCAAAGAACCCTCATGACGCGTAGAAAAGGATAAATATTTTGATCTGATTATGTAACGTTTCCCTGTGAAATATTTTTTGATCTGATTATGTAACGTTATTTTGTGAAGTATTTTGCACCATGTCCTGCTCGAGGTACTCACCGCGAAGCTTCAACTCCGTCCTCCGACATGCGCACTACGACAAGATATTGCCCTATGAGCAAGGCAGCCGAATTCAGGAGCAACTAGTCTCGGAAATGCTTGAGAATAAAAAGAACAAGATACCAAATGAAAAACCTACGGTCCTGTCTTTCCAATTCCAGCACACGTACACAGGAGGCAAACGTGAACGGATCAATACAACTGCCGAGCGCCGACAATTTATAGAGGCCATAAAAAATGCTAAATTCGTACAGACATCCAGGGGAGGCCAGATTACATACCATGGTCCGGGACAACTGGTAATATATCCTATACTAGACTTGAGCGAGTTCAAGGGTCTTAAATCAAAATGCTATGTATCCTTACTCGAACAATGCGCAATAGAAACTTTGAGAGAACTTTGGGTGGGCCTTAATGCGGTGACAACCGAGAACACGGGAGTCTGGGTTGATAATAACGGGTTGCGGAAAATCGCCTCCATAGGAGTCAATTTGCGACGATCGATAACATCTCATGGAATATCAATCAATGCATTTCCAGATATGACATATGTAAACGATCCGAGAATAGTGCTTTGCGGTCTTGACCAGTACCAGCAGACATCAATCAAGGAAGAAACCGGTAAGCTGGTGAATATAGAAACACTGGCTCATTCATTTGTGAAGCACTTGGCTAGCCGACTGGGCTTGAAGATAGAATCTCACCCCAATCTTATTTTGGAATCCACCGAACGATGTTCGGATCATACTTGAATAATAATGCAATAACCATGGCGATCAACATTGTAGAAGCAGCAAATATTGGAATAGTATGGAACTGACGTTGCGCGGTAAGCGGCTTTTCGACTTTTATCTCTAGATCATCGGGTTCCGGGTTATGTTTTTCGTCCTCAACTTTTAGCGGCTCAGCTTCAGACGAAGGCTCAGGCGGCGGCAGAGACACCTCTTCGGAGCATTCTAATTTGCGCGTCAGTTCTTCCACCTTGAGTCCTAAAGAGTAAACCTCCTTTTGCGCCTGCACCTTCAGAGTTTTCTCGTTCTCTAATTCGTCTAGAGCCGAGCCGAGTTTGGACTTAACGTTTTCCAACTCTTTCAGCACTTCGGAATGAGCTTCCTCTTTCTCCTTAATCGCTTCGGCTGCATTCATCTCACCGGCACGAGCGACTGCTAGTTGCTCTCGGAGGCCTATCAACTCCTCTTCTAAGATCTTGACACGCTCATCGGAGTCACTTTGTCCCAGGAGAAACGCTTTTGGTGTATATTGTGTATAATTCTTCATGAACTTTGAAATCTCTCGAAGCCTCTGCTGTTGTATGTACTCGTTATTGATTGATATAATGAGTTTTCGTACCACATCATCGAGCTTGGCTGACGGCCTGATATTCAAGTTAGTCACAATTTTGTCCTCCTCTTTCTTCTTCGTTGTCTCTTTCTCTTCAACATGGGAAAATTCATCCATTAGTGATTCTAGCACTAAATCCTCTTGCTCCTCTATTACATCGCCAAAAATCAGGGCATCCAATGAGCTGTTGAATAGCTCCAGTTTCTTGCTTTCTTGATTGCCTTCACTCAAAGTTTGGCTTATGACATTTTCATAATCCTCTAGACTCATGTATGTCAATTCCACCACCTTGCATGTAATCTTCTTGTGCGCCACTTGAGACTCTAGTGTCGTCCCTAGGTCTAACTTGTCGCCTAATTTCAGCTCATATTCTTTGTGTGGCTCCAGTTTCTCATCGTTAATGAATGTCCCATTGGACGACTTTAAATCTCTAATGTACAGCTTGTTATCTCTGATGAACAGCTCAGCGTGATTTCTAGAAAGAACACGCGAGTCAAAGTACCCGTCTGTTATCTTGTTTGTGACCTTGGGCACATTCTGACGGCCAATCTTGAGAGACTCTGGCGCGAGGGGAACATTCAAGATTTTGACAAATTCTGACGGTGACTGGTCAGGAGACACAAGCTTCACAACGTGAGCGTATTTTCGCAAGCGTGGAGGCGGTGGATCACTATCATGTAATTCAGGCTCATTTGAAAGCGATCCCGAATATAAGGCATTATTGACAGAATTGTAATTGCTTTGTGTCTTAGAAGCCGAACGTTTTCTCTGGTACACAGGCTGGTCCGTCCGTTTAATATCTGCCGTGGCATTGCTGACCTTAGTAGACATAACTGGTGCCAATGGGATAATCGCTGGAGCAGGACAACGCTCGTCTGATCTACGTATTTTTTTGTTCCAAAGTTTACCCGTTGTATCTTGACTTTCTTGTGATTACATAATAAATTGAGTAATCTGTTGGGGTGCTACACCACATCCTACCATAACGTGAGGCATTTCAAGGCATAAAAGCTCTGTTAAGTAGTGGAACGCTTGGAACAGACTCTTTCCATCAACTAGCATGAGAAGGATTGTGTTTTTCCAAAAGTCAATTCGGCAGATCAGTAAATCTTTGCGACATTGTACCGATTGTCAGCGGACTAACTTTAGGTAAAAGCCAAAAGTCCAGTGAGCACCGGGTACCATCTGTGGTCAAGAAGACTCCCAATGGTAGCAGGATTTGGTTCCAGCAGTAGAAAGGATCGAAATTACAATAGTTCCTATCTGTTTCTGGCCATGGTGGCTACTCAGTCATGAATGAAGCCTGCACTGCAGGTTACATTTTTCGATGTTGACACAAAAAAGCCAAATGTGTTCCCAATTTGGGGCCGTTGGGTGCTGCTTAAAAGACAAGATTCATATGGGAGGAGAGGTCCAGAAAGCAGAATGCTGGGTTTGAACACAGAAACTGAACGACAAAGCTGTCGGAAAAGTGAATACTATAACCACAATACTCCAAGTTTGCTCAGGTTGCTATAAGGGTCCGTATAGTCGATAACTCACAATTCACCCTTATCTCGGCTTCACCAATAGTAAAACTTCCGTTACTAATAAGTTTTCCGTAAAAGGAAATCTGCTCTATCAAAACGGGCTCTATGCAGCAAGTTTCTATCTGAGTACGATAACGGTGGGTAGGATCACATAGAGGTATATAAGAAACCGTAGCCTGTACTCTCTCTTGCGAATTTAATACAAAACTATCACTATGAAGCTATCGCTCGCTATTCTCACTCTGGCTGCTTGTACGTTCGCTTACAATGGTACAGAGACGTTGACCATCACCTGTACCGAAGAAAAGTGCACTTCTGCTTACGTTTCAACTTACGAAGGTGGTGCTCCTGCCGTCCGTGCTGGAGCCCTAGCTGCTGTTGGAGCATTTGCTCTGTACGCCCTGTGATACTGATATAGTAACTTTGTAATACTTTTTGCTAAAAAGGTGAGATTTATTTATTTCTAAGAAAAGATGTACCAATGGTGTAGGGATGTTGTTTTTTTCGAGAAATCTGGGCTTTGTTTTTGTTTCTTCGCTCCAGACAGGCGATATCGGGCAGTTTTTATGCCGAGAGCAGGGTCCTAATTCTCTCGGAAGCATTTTCATGCGATTGCAATTTTTATCCTTTGTCTCCGCTCGTTAAAAACCGAAAAGTGCGCTTGCTGCTCAGCAGAGAAGCCAATCAGGGACTACTTTATAGATGCAGGTTATGCCACTCGCGTAACAATCGACCATATCGGCTACCCTGATTCACAAATCTAGAATATGGAGACCGTATTTGGAAGCAGCCAAGCAGTTAATTAGAGATATATAAGGGCTCGAGCTCCTCGAGTGGAAGCCATCGAAGATATCCAATGCTCTCGTTTAAGACTCTTTGTGCTACAGCTTTCGCTCTTACTGCCGTTTCTGCTGCCCCTCAGGCCGACCCATTTGCTTTCGCTAAGGCTGTCGGACTTCCAGTTGCAGCAGAGGCAACTTACGAATGCCATGCTTCTTGTGGTTACGCTATTTTGGCTGCCCGGAAATGTTCTCCAGATGGCAATGAGGACGCGGACTACGACTCCAGCTGTCTCTGCTCTTCCGGCAGTGAATTCTTGTCTTACGTCCCAGACTGCCTTGACTGTGGATGGTGTCTGTGGAGTGACTACGGAAAGTTCTTGACCTCCGCTTTGGGTGAGTGTTCCACGAACACCGAGCCAACTGGTACTACTTGTGCCCCAAGCTCTTCGCAAGCACCTGCCTCTTCCTCTGCTGCTGCTGAGTCCACCACTGAAGCCTCTTCTTCGGCAGCTGCTTCGTCTACCGAAGCTACTGAGGCCTCTTCCTCCGAGGCTACCGAAGCTTCCTCTTCCACTCCTGCTGCCTCGACCGAGGCTGCTACTTCTAGCACTGCCGCTGCTACTTCCTCTGAGGCTGCTGTCAGCTCGTTTGAGAGCGCCAGCTCCTCTGCCGCAGCTGAAACCCAGGTTGCTGAGTCCAGCTCCGCTGCTTCCTCTTCCGTGGCTATTTCTAGCTTCTCTACGTCCAGTACTAACGGAACCATCTCCACTTACTCTGGAGCTGGTGCTAAACTCGCCGTTGGAGCTGGTGCCGGTATTGTCGGTCTTGCCGCTCTTCTTATGTGATACTCTAGCGAATCGGAGATTCTGCTTTTATTCAATGTTTTTGTTTTTGCATTAATTTTGTAGGTGGCTGTGCGGCTATGTCACAGTTACTTGTTGTACTGTGGCGTTGTGCTCCAGAAAAGTTTGGGCTGTGGATTTGTAAGCCACAGCTATTTCTTGCCAATTTTTCACCTATTTTGGCACCCAGGAAAACTCTGGCTCTTCTTAGGCACTCTATTCTTGTTTTTCTTACTTAAAGTCATATGACCCCCAGAACATGATCACTATGGATCCTGAAAGGAAAGCCTCACTCTTAGATGAATTTGATTTCAATTTTTATCCAGCTAGTAATCAGGAGCAAAGAACGGACACCGACCTGTCGTTGTTCTCGAACAACGAATTCCGCAACTTTGATTCTGATGAACAATTGACCATATCTCCGCAAGAAACAAGTCTCGATCCACAACTTACCACCATATCATCGCAAGTTCCGAACAACAGTCTCGAAAAGAGACGCCGAAATACTCTTGCCTCAGCGCGGTTCCGCATCAAGAAGAAGCAGAAGGAGAAGGAAATGGAAGAGAGGTTTGATCAGATCCATCGTCACATAGATTCCCTGAAAGTCAAGATCAAGACCTTGGAAATGGAAAACAAATGTTTGAAGGAGTTGTTACTAACTCCTGTCGATTCCAAGGCACCTTCTCTTTCCGGCACTTCCAATTATGCTCTTCTGCAGCTCATCAAACAACATTCCGGTGACTCTTTCAAGGTCACGACTGTATAGTATTACCGATTTTTTCTGGCTTGCCGGTGACGGACCGGCATCGGAGTTTTTCCTAACCCACGACGAGATATAAATTCACGATTAGATATACGATCCAACTAATTCAATGGCTACTTATTCCACTAAAGTATTTGATCACGGTAATTACGAGTCTTTCAGACCGTCCTACCCTGTCGAATTTCTCGAGCTGATCCTGAAATACCATCACGGCCCAACCAACCGCCTGCTCGACGTTGGATGTGGTACGGGACAGGTGATCTTCCCCTTCTCTCGCTACTTCACGACATCAATTGGGGTTGATCCAAGTGAAGGCATGATCTCTAGATGCAAGGCGAAAAACTCTAGCGACCGGCTTGAATTTTATCAAGGGAAAGCAGAGAACTTAAACATGATTGCTTCCGCTTCAATTGACGTCCTCACAGCCGCCGAATGTGTCCACTGGATGGATCCAACCGGCTTTTTGAATGAGGCCGCTAGAGTGCTAACTCCCAAAGGCACTCTGGCATTCTGGTTGTACCTCGAGCCAATATTCCAAGATAACGTTTTGAACGAGATCTATCACAAGTACGTTATGGGAGATCCTACTTTAATGGCACCTTATTGGGACGAGGGCAAAAGCAGGTTTTATGACTGGCTGAAGGATGCTACGGAGCTCATTAGTGAAGATGATAGGTTTGAAAACGTTGAACTGGTCAAATTCGACCAGCTACATTTGCCTGAGGATAAACGGGAACGGGCGTTGAAATCCAGAACTTTTGATGGAAAACCGCTTCTGTTCCTTCAAAAAGACTGCACTCTTGAAGAGTTTCTTGCTTTCATCAATACTTACAGTCCTTTGCCAGCGTGGTACAGAGCAAATGAAGGAGCAAAGGGAACAGAAAGGGATATTATGTTCCGCCTGGAGACGGAGTTAAGAAGTGCTGGAGTATGGGAGAAAACTCAAACAATTAATTGGGATACGATGTACTGTTTTGCTAAAAAGAAATGATGGAGTGACCTATACTTATTTATACTTGCTCCTTGATTGGTTCAATGTTCCAAATATTGTCTGCATATTCTTCAATGCAACGGTCACTCGAGAAGAATCCCATGTTGGCAACTGAGATGATGGACTTTCTAGTCCAGTTGTCCTGATCTTTATATTCCTTATCAATCGTTCTTTGTGCCTCTAAGTAGCTTTCAAAGTCATCACTGACGAGGTAGTAGTCGCCGTGGAATTTCACGTTTTCCACAAGCGTGCGGTATTCTTCGTAGCTGCCAAATTTGCCTGACTCGATAGCATCAAACACTTGATTCAAAGAGTCGGGAATTGTTAAACGGCCCATGTTATGTTCGTGGCGAAGTTCATCCACATCCTCTGAAAGATTTCCGAACAAGAATATTTGGTCCTCTCCGATTTCTCTCGTAATTTCAACGTTGGCGCCGTCAACCGTACCAATGATGAGACCTCCGTTCAACACAAACTTCATATTCGAAGTTCCTGAAGCCTCTGTTCCTGCTGTCGAAATATGTTGAGAAATGTCGGAAGCTGGACAGATAGTCTCAGCCTTGGAAACGTTATAGTCGGGGATGAAAACCACCTTCAGTATATCACCGATATCTGGATCTGAATTGACAACGTCAGACACCGCGTTCACCAGCTTGATAATCTTTTTTGCGGCATAATATCCAGGAGCAGCCTTACCGCCGATAATACACACCTTTGCAGGCCACTTGGCGGCGCGTTCTTCTTTTGGAGTCGCCTTGATCTGTAGATATCTCCAGATCACACCAAAAATGTTGAGCTGTTGGCGTTTGTACTCGTGAATTCTCTTAACCTGTATGTCAAACATGCTATTCGGATTGACTTCAATTCCTGTCAGCGACTTGATCATATTGGTCAATCTAGCTTTGTTATACTTCTTGACTTCTACCCAAGCTTTCTTGAAATCCGAGTCCTCTAGGAAGTTTTGTAGCTCCTGGAGTTTCTCTAGCTTAGTGAGATAGCCATAGCCTCCCAGCTTTGAAGCAATAAGCTCGCTCAACCTGGGATTGGCTTGCATGAGCCATCTTCTAGGGGTGATACCATTTGTAACATTTGTGAAACGTTCTGAGCCATAGATCTTGACAAAGTCTTTGAAAATCGTGGTTTTGATAAGCTCGGAATGTAACTCGGCAACACCATTGACTCTGTGAGAGCCAATAATGGCTAGATGAGCCATACGAATGTTTTTTGGTGAAGACTCTTCAATCAAGGAAACTCTCGTCAGCAGGTCTCTCTCGTTAGGGAACTTTTTCTCCACCTCCTGCAAGAACTCGAAGTTCACCTGGTAGATGATTTCCAAATGTCTTGGCAGCAGGTTGGCAAATAGTTCCAAAGGCCATTTTTCCAGAGCTTCAGACATAACGGTATGGTTCGTGTAGCCAAACGTCCTTGTCACGATATCCCAAGCTTCACGCCAATCAACCTTCTGCAAGTCAACCAGGATCCGTTGCAACTCAACAACAGCAATTGTCGGATGTGTGTCGTTCAATTGAATTGAGACATAGTCGGGTAACTGTGAGAACGGTTTATTGGTTTTCAGGAACCGTCTCACAATGTCGTGCAAAGATGCTGCAACCCAGAAGTACTGCTGCTTCAAACGCAATTCTTTTCCTTGATAAAAGTTGTCGTTAGGATACAACACAGCTGTAATGGACTCTGCCCTTTGTTGCTGCGACACGGAATTGGTGTAGTCTCCTTGGTTGAATTTCTGGAAATCGAATTCCGTGGTTGGCTGGGATGACCACATTCTCAGGTTATTGACATTGCTAGTTTTGTATCCCGGAACAGGGAAATCATAGGCGACTGCCAGCACTCTCTCTCCCCCGTGCCATTGCTTGTATAGGGCACCTGTCTTCTCATCCTTTTCGGTAGAAACGTATCCATAGAAGTCCACCGGAATTCGGATCTCGGTGCGAGGAATCTCCCATGGATTTCCGAACTTCAACCAATAATCAGGGGCTTCAACCTGGTAGCCATCAACGATCTTCTGCGCAAAAATTCCGTAATTGTATCTCAAACCGTAACCCCAGCCTGGATAATTGCCGGTAGACAGAGAATCCACAAAGCAAGCAGCAAGTCTTCCTAGTCCTCCATTTCCAAGACCAGCATCTGGCTCCGTTTCAATAAGGTCTTCAAGACGGAATCCCAGCTCATTCGTGGACTTGTTGCACAAATCCTTTATCTCCAGGTTGATTATAGCGTTATCTAGAGCTCTGCCCATCAGAAACTCCAATGAGAAGTAATAGACGCGCTTCACCTGCTTCACAGTATGCAACTGTTGGGTTTTATTCCAGCGCAGGATGAGCTTGTCTCTGACAGAGCTCGATAAGGACTGGTATGCGGCCAAGTTGTCGCAGTTGTACATTGACCGCGCCAATGTGGTTTCTACATGGTCGATAAACCGTGCTTCCAGTTCCTCCGCAGACTCAAACTCCTTCGTTCCATATTTCTGCCACGCTTCGCGTGCTTTCAAAGGAATGGAGTTATCGATTGCTTTAATCTCCGTGGGCGTGAAACCAGTAAGCGACCTCTTATGGCCCTTTTCAGAACCACTTGAATAAAACATGATGTACTCTCTTATCGGACTAAAAGGAGTTCAATTGAGTACTTTACTTGTAGTTCTAACAGTTTATTACGTCCTCCTTGCTTTGGTGGGGTACAAAATATTACTGCTTAGCTGCTGCTCCCCCTTTATATATTATGGTTGCATCTTGGTTTTCACACACCTAAATCAGATGATCGGATAAAAAAGGAGTTAATGAATAGTGTATTCGGTTCAGATGACAGCAGGGGAAACGATCGTAGAGCCGGAGTATTTCTCTAGTCCTTCCCCAGAGTAGCTCGTTAGCGGGCTGATTTCAATTTCCGAGCCGCGCAGAGTAGCTCCCGCCTTTGCGAGCCAGCGTGCGCTTCTTTTGAGCAGATTTGCTTTGCATATTTCGGGATCATCGTTGGCGCTTCCTGGAGCATTTTTCAGAGGCGAAAATTCTTCGGCTCTGTCCACTTCTAAGCAGCCGAACTTATGCATCTCGACGCTGGAGAATACGTCAAAAATAAATTGTTCCAATTTAATCCCGTTTGGGTCGCTGGGTTCGATAATCTTTCCAGATCCCACATCCAAGCATGCTATTTTCTTTCTGGCAACGTGATAGGGCAAAAACTTTCGGTCAGAAATCCATTTTGGGATCATGTCCTGCAAAAATGCAACATTATAATAGTGGTTCACAATATTAGCTGCTCTGAAAAATAGCAGCCCTTGTGAGTCTCGTTTCTCCCTTAAGTCCTGACTAACTTCCGAGTATTCAATTACGGCGGGACGTTTGGTTTCTTCATCCATCACTATCAGCCCAACATTCTCATCAGCGCTTCGCTTACGAACCACCTTGGTAGCAATATTATACTTATTGCTAGAAGCATACCCGATAAAAACTGGATCTCCAACTTTGACAAGGACGTTGTCGACACAATACATGTGAATGTGCTCAATTCCTCGGTTCGCAAATTCTTGCAATAGCCCGTTCTCATAGATGGCCTTGTAAAGTCCCCCGTTTCCATCGGGACTCTCAACCAAGAGGCCTTTGGATTCCAACAACAGCTTGGTACCATCCAAAGAAACTGCAGGAAGCGTTCCCTGATCAAAAAAGATGACTTGCGAGGATTCCAGGCCAAAGTAAGCGTTCTTGATGAAAAACTCCTCAGTAGCTGCTCTAGTCGGTTTGGAGGTCATGATGTATAGGGGAATCACTTTTTTGGCGTTGGCCAGTTGTTGCAGTTTCTTCAACCTTTCTGCCTGAAGTTGGAACAGTGATTTTTGAGACGGCAGGCCAACATTGTAGCAGCCTTTTGGAGCCGTCGATCCAAGACGACTACCTTGTCCTCCAGCCATTAGAATAACTCCTACTTTTCCCTTGGCGATAAGGTCCAATCCTATATCGCTCCACTCTTTCAGAGTCTCTGAGGAGCTGTCTAGTGTTGAGGCACATGCCTGTGCCGGCAAAGGGGAAAACCGCCTGGATTTCGAAACCGACGAGCTATATCTAATCGCGTCCTGAACTTCTTGAAGATATTGTGCTGGATCGGGGATCTGTTTCAATTGAGACAAAAAACAATCCCGCTCACCATCCTTTAAATCCTCAAATGATGCAAAAAGATGCCCCTGGTTTGCCGAGACGTAGCGTTCCTGGATATCGGACATGAGATCAAAAACGTTTTTTGATCTGTTCCTGTTTATATTTTACTGTTTAGAAATAAATTATCGCATCTCTGCACCATTTAGTATTTAAGTTGTCGGAGGATAACCTCTGCCTCTCTTTTACCACTGATATAGGCCCCGTGAGCACCGGTGTGGCCTTCGTAGCAGTATGCTTCACCGGCAAACCGTAAGCCACGCACGCCCTCAATAAGACCGTCATTGACTAAGACATCACCCACTGCGTTTCCAGAAACAGAACCTCTACTGTAAGGATCGGAAGACCAGTTTGTAGAGAAGACAAGATTTGGCTTAGGGAGCTCACTTTGCTTTTTACCAGACAGTTTGGCGATAATAGGCTCAAGTAGCTTGGGGCCGTACTTTTCGACATTCTCCTCGAGCAAGCGAGATGCGGGAGCAGGGACCAGGAACATGAGTGCGGGAGCATTTTTCACAGTTTTCAGGTTTACAGCCAAAACGGGGAAATCAAATGCTTCTAGCTTGTCCGCCTCTACCTCAGTAAGCTTTTTGTTGTATTCTGGGGCTGGGATGTAGGTTGAAGTGGACACAGACTCATCAGGCTTGGGGATAATAACGAATTTTTCTGTCTCCGGCCAGAAAACCTCGTTGTATTCGTAGATCACCTTTCCGAGCGCGCAGAAGTGTGTTTTCGAGAAATTGTCGGTGATAATTCTGGGCAAGTCTGGGACAAACGTGATTGCCCCCTTGGCGTTAGGTTCCTCGATGCTTAGTTTCAACACGGACTGAGGAATGGTGACGACGACAAACTTAGAGTGAAAAGCTCTGCCGTCCTCAGAACTGACATTGTATCCGCTGTCTATCTGCTCAATCTTCTTCACAACGGTGTTGGTCAAGATCGAATCCTTAGGATACCCTTCAAGCTCGTTCTCCAATACTTTCTCGTAACCACCTGACACGAATGCATCTCTTCCGACGTACGGGGGGTTGGCCAGTCGGGCAGAAAACATATCCCATTGCATTCCATTTGGAATTTCTGTCACTCTGAGCAGCGACGGAGCCCATTTCTTCTGTTCGTCCGATAACGTGGGGGCCATTTTGGCCAGATATTCCGCGCAGGCTGTTTTCAAGTTCACGTCTTCCCCAGGTCTAGATTGGGCATATAATTTTATTTCCTCAACGATTGGACCAACATTTACAGTAAGGGGTCCTTCAGGTCCAATCACGGCCGCCGAGTTCTCATCAAAGAAGTACTCGACGTTTTTTTTCTGTAGAGCATTGTGGAAGAGCGGATTGCTTATGGTGGCATGAAACCAGCAGGCACCAATATCATAGCCGTACTTCGAATTTGGTGGGTGATAGGTGTACAGCCGTCCGCCAATTCTGTCCCGAGCTTCCAAAATCAGGGTGCTCAATCCCTTAGAGTGCAATTCTGTGGCTGCTTTAATGCCCGCAATTCCAGCACCGACAATCACAACGTCGACAGTCGTCATGTTCACTAAAGATAATCAGACTGAAAAATTGGCCCCGCCCGATAAATTTACTCTAAAGATCAGGATCCGAAAAATGCAATCTCTACCTTGAAATGCTCTAAATAAGGCTATACTTTTTCTGCGCTCAGGTCCGACTTGATTCGGAACGTTTGGCCTCTCCAGTCTATCCGTGATCCCAAAACAGCGACAACCCAGATTGGGAACGCCAACAACTCACGCAAAAACCAGTGGACAAAAAACCATCTGATGCTTTTATCACGGGTTTTCCGACTGTCGAGCTTGATGAAAAACGGCTCCTGCAGACCTCCACCGCGTACGCAATCAAAAAGATGCTGCAGTTGAATATAATCTGTTAGAAACCATGCAACGACGTGGAAGACAAAGTATGATTTCGAAAACAGAACGTTCTGAAAAATAACACCAACAGCAAAGCTGCCATACAGGCCGCAGAGAAAACACTCGGTCGTAGGCTCCAATAGTGTAGCGGTAAGGACCATGTATTTGCGGACCCTAAGCCATCTGATTCTTCGATAGCAGTAATCCCTCAAAGAGTTTGAGCCCCCAAGAGGCTGAACCACGCAATCACCTGTCATTCCTGTGCGACCCTGCCCATAATTCCACAAAGCAATGCCAATCATGTTATCCTCTCCGATGTATCTAGCAAAAAAGCGTATTCCCTGGCCGGGCTGCAAGCTGTAGTACTTTGCATCCTTGTGAATATCACCACTTTGTCCATTGGAGCTAGGCACCGTTGCAAGTTCTCCCATGCGAGAAACAGCCTCATCGAGATCCGAACGTCTGTACACGTTCGACTTTCCATTCACGCAGGGGGCAACAGCAAGCTCATTAAAGGAAACATAGAACTTCGAATGCGATGTGGCCAAAAAGAGCTCATCCAAATTGGCTCCTAGCGTAGCTGTCGGAAAACCTCCCAGTGACACGGCGAGCGGCGCGTGGTGAACCAGGTTGATTTTCCGCGAGGTCGGACTACCGTTGTTCAGTGACCGTGTCAGAGACACCACAGATCTTTGCAATGTATAAGGATGAGACCACACGTTGGAGTCCTGAATCCAAAGAATGTCATACTTTGCAGCTTTAAGTCCCTTGGCAAGGTTGTTAACCTTAGGATTCGGCCCATAGGTGTCCTTGGCACCTTGGTCTTGATCGATCATGAGCTTGGCATCCACATCCGGATACTGTGAAATTAATTCCTCGACCACCGGAATTGACGGATCGTCCTTGTCCTGGACACAGAAGATTATTTCCAGCTTTGTTTTGGGGTACTTTTGTTCGAACGAGGACCGGAGGCAGATTTCCAATTCTGGATCAACGCCCTTCAATGGCCTCAGAATGGTGACGCCTTCCAGTTCCGAGACTTTAATCTGGGAATCTATCTTCGACCGGGAACTTCGCGTGAATTTGAAAGTAATATGGAAAAAACCGTTGTAGGCCACGGCTATGACCACTAGATACCATACGAAGAAAACGTATGCAAGCAAGACTACCAGAACCGGTCTATCCACAGTCTCGTCATATCTGTTCATTGTTTAAAACGAGTGGACTCAAGCTTACTAATTGCCTCTCTAGATCATGAACCATCAACAGGTAGGGAAAAAAGAATAGTGAAAAAAAATGATCAGGTCTATCGGCGCGTCGAAATGGCACATGCGCAACCGCGCCGTGACACAAGGACGATCCCTAAAACTCATAGATAGCATCCAATTGCTCGCAGCATCAAGATCGGGAAGAGCGGAAAGTCAGTTTCGTTAGGATATTTTTATCTGCCGCATCTACGAGGTAAGATCCTGGACACCGAAAATAATTCTAAATAATCATAATTTTTCAAGTCAATTATTTCGTTTACGATGAGCGACAACCATGATCATAGATCCTATCTGCCACCTTCCCCGCTGTCACAGCCGTTGACGGGTTATGATAGAGACTGTGATACTCCAAAAGCTGCTCTGGCTCCTGTGCATCCCAAACCCGTGCGAGAGCCCTATTACAAGCGATTAAACACACCTCTTAATACCAGACCTGCTTCTCCATACACCTTGAATCCTCCTATAGATTCGGACGGTCTTTCGTGGCCTTCGCTGGGCGCTAGAGAGCGCATTGAATCCAACGAAGCGGAAGCCAAAGCCAGAGAGGATAGAATAGCAGAGGCCGTCAAGACGATTTTGACTGAGCTAGGAGAGGATGTTAACCGCGAGGGTCTTCTTGAGACCCCCCATCGGTATGCACGAGCCATGCTTTTCTTCACCAAGGGCTACGAGGAGAATATCAAAGACGTCATCAAACGTGCTGTTTTCGAAGAAGACCATGATGAAATGGTGATTGTCAAAGATATTGAAATCTACTCGCTATGTGAACACCACCTAGTTCCGTTCTTCGGCAAAGTCCATATTGGATACATTCCCAACAAGAAAGTGTTGGGGTTGAGCAAGCTTGCAAGACTGGCTGAAATGTACGCAAGACGATTCCAGGTCCAGGAAAGACTTACTAAGCAAATAGCTATTGCCTTGAGCGAGATTCTGCAACCAAGGGGAGTTGCCGTGGTTATAGAAGCCACCCATATGTGCATGGTGAGCCGTGGGGTGCAGAAAAGTGGAGCCATCACTTCTACCAGTTGTATGTTGGGATGCTTCCGTGCCCAGCAGAAGACCAGAGACGAGTTTCTTACACTTTTAGGAAGAAGGTAAAGTTTGACCGATTATATTATATGCCGTAATGTACACCCTTCATTTCTTTTTTTTCGAAAGACTCGAGCCTATAGTTATATTCACTTTTGGAGGAACCGGGAATCCAAACGATTTGCCAACTTTCACCAAGTCAAGCTTATCAACTTGGTACACCGTCTTGAGATGATGAGAGGCATATGCCTGCAAGTATGCCCGGTACCCATCTTTAGCAGATTGGTGGAGCCAGTAGTTGTTCTTGACAAGCTGCTCCAATTGGGACTGGACGTTGGCGATTTTGTTGGCTGGGAACTCATACTCATTGAGAGGCACTTTGGCGGCTTTCAGATATCTCAGGAATCCTAGCTCTGAAGGAGTCAAAAACATCAGCGATTTACCTTTTCCTTTGCTTCCTCTAGCAGTACGACCAACACGATGGATGTAATCACGAGGATCATCAGGTGGATCGAATTGGATAATCCAGTCGACCTCTGGAATATCAAGACCTCTAGCAGCAACATCCGTACAGATCAGGATTCCCTGTTTGGCGTTGCAAAATTCAAAGAACGTGTTGGTACGTTTTTGTTGCTTCTGTTTCCCGTGGAGATCTAAAACTGGTAAATCAATATAATTTAGAAGCTCACTGTAATATTTCACACAGTTACAAGATGACAGGAAAACAATAACCTTCTTCTTGAGATTCCGCTTGAGGAAGGAGAACAAAAGCAGGAATCGTTTGTCGCTGTCACAAACAACGTATCCCTGTTCAAGTCCATCGGCAGTTGAGGTCTCTCTATCCTGGTGAACGTTGATGTATAAAGGTGCCTTGTTGAGAGACACTCTAGCCAGATCCTCAACCTTGGTGGTCTGGGTTGCAGAAAACAGCATGGACTGTCTTTTTTCGTTAGGTAAGATCTTCACAATTTGTTTCATTTCATCCTCAAATCCAATTTCGAGAATTCTGTCCGCTTCGTCTATAATCAGTGTCTTCAAGTTCTTGAAAATGAATCCCTTCGTGTTTTGCAGATGATCCAGCAATCTTCCGGGAGTAGCAATGATCAGGTTTACACCTTTTGCTAACTTCTCGGCCTCTTGACGTCTGTTTGCACCACCAATAAGAATTCCTAAAGTCTGGGAATGGTGTGCCATTAGTTCACGAGCAACACCAAAGATCTGGAGAGCCAACTCTCTAGTTGGTGTAATGACAATGGCACCCGCTCCATTACGAGGCTTGAACTTGAGTGAGTACAAGAGTTCAATGGCGGGAATTAAGAAAGCGAGAGTCTTTCCCGAGCCTGTTTTGGCAGCTCCAAGCACATCTTTTCCGGCCAGAAGCGGTGGAATGGTTCTAGCTTGAACCTCAGTCATCTTTGTAAATCCCATGTCCTGTATCCCCTTCATAGTTGGCTCAGACAGATGAAGATCGGCAAATTCTTCAGGGTTTTCTTTGATTTGTGGTCTAGCAGAAGGATCAGTTTGTTCCTCTCCTTGTTCCTTTCCTTCTTCTTCTTCCTCTTCTTCTTCCTCCTCCTCTTCCTCCTCCTCTTCTTCTTCTTCCTCTTCTTCCTCTTCCCCAGATTCGCTGCTGTCGTTGCTTATCTCTTTGTCCTTTTCTTTCTCGCTTTCACTGTCTTTCTCTAGAAGCGCTTCCACATCATCATACTCGTTATTGATCTCAGTAACAAGAGAATCGGTGTTTTCCTCAACTTCCTCTTTCTCTATGCGTTGTCTTTTGGACTGCTGCGGGCTCTTGGCCACCTTTCTGTGAGAACGTTTACCCATCTAGATCAAAAGTTTTCTAGCTAAAAAAAATTTTTATTTCATGCATGCTTAGGTAATGGTAGCAGATCGACAAACAGGAATGAGATAAGTCGATCTAAGCAGTGGAGACAACTTATGGCGTGCGCGACAATTAAGTTAATAACATGCACTCTCAAAGGGTACATCGGGTGCAAAGGCATGAAGCGCAGCAGGTTTACCCTACTGATATCAGACCTATTCTCAAATTTAGAATCAGCAGGAGTTAAAAATCGAAAGTCAGTTTTATGCAACCAAACCTCCTCTGGCTTGAGATCAAACACGACAGTTAGTTTGTGCGACGTGAATAAACCCTGCACTGCTTTGAACAGCCTTCGACTGGCACTTTTTTCGAGCTCAGAGATTAGATAGCATTACAAGATTTTTGTCGTGTCTCATCAGCCACCTGCGCCACAAATAGCAAGATAACTATTTTCGGATCGAACTATATAAATAAAGAAGCAGCTCCATATTGCCCTTCTATCTATAATGTCCGAAAAGAAAACTTTTATTGTATGTGCAATTGACATAATCGAAATCGAAACTAATCAGCCAGGTCACCCTCAAGGAGAATTGCACAGATCCAGCAATTGCAAAGTAAGTAGCATCGTGATTTTGAACTAACTAACAATTCAAGGTTTAAGGAAGGAATTAAAGCCGTGGGAGGCGAGATTCAGCATGAATACTCACTAATCAAGGGCTTCTCGTAAGTAGGAAAGATGCTTGACTAACATACAGTGTCAAATTGCCATCAATGCATGCCGACTCTCTGCTGCACAAGAACGAAAACGTTGCTACCGTGGAGGAAGATCAACAGGTTCACACGCAGTAGGCATTCACGAACTTTTGATTAGCCTCTGCGGCTCAAATCTGTTTTAAAACACTGACTCAGTATTATTGTTCTTTGGCTATACGTACTTACATAATCATATATCTTGACTTGACTAGATTAATTAAATTAATTAATTTGTGACTCTTCGCGAGCTGTTTCCCCGCGGTGATCGCCGGCAGCGTTCTCCTATAATTTAAATACGTATTACTCTCGGTGATTTTTTTTGGCTTAACAGATTCATTTTCCATCTTCTGTTCAAATATTAAATGGCTGACGTTGTACTAGGTGCCCAGTGGGGTGATGAAGGAAAAGGTAAATTGGTGGACATCCTTTGTGACGACATCGAGGTTTGTGCGAGATGCCAAGGAGGAAACAACGCGGGTCACACTATTGTTGTTGGAGACAAGAAGTACGATTTCCACATGCTCCCGTCCGGACTTGTGAATCCCAACTGCGTCAACCTGGTTGGATCTGGTGTCGTTGTGCACGTCCCATCGTTTCTGGAGGAGCTAAGCAAAATCGAAGCGCAAGGTCTCGACTGCAAAAACCGTCTTTTCCTATCTTCTAGAGCGCACTTGGTGTTCGACTTCCACCAACGTGTTGATAAACTTAGAGAGGCAGAACTGTCCACCAATAAGAAATCCATTGGTACCACTGGTAAAGGAATCGGGCCAACGTATTCCACGAAAGTGTCCAGATCTGGAATTAGAGTTCACCATCTAGTTAGTGACGAGCCAGATTCGTGGAACGAGTTCGAAACTAGATTGAGAAGACTCGTGGATACTCGATTCAAAAGATACGGCGAGTTCGACTTTGATGTGGAAGCAGAGATTGTCAAATACAAGGATCTGCGCGAAAAGATTAAGCCCTTCGTGGTGGACTCTGTCCAGTTCATGCACGAGGCCCTTGAAAAAAAAAAGAAGATCCTTATCGAGGGTGCGAACGCTTTGATGTTGGACATTGACTTTGGAACATATCCTTATGTAACGTCTTCCAATACCGGCATTGGCGGTGTGCTGACAGGGCTTGGAATTCCTCCTCAGAGCATCAAGAACATCTATGGTGTGGTCAAGGCATACACCACCAGAGTTGGCGAAGGACCATTTCCTACCGAACAGCTGAACGAGGTCGGCGAGAAGCTGCAGGATATCGGCCGCGAGTACGGAGTGACGACTGGACGGAAGAGAAGATGCGGATGGCTGGATCTCGTGGTGGTCAAGTACTCGTGTCTCATTAACGGATACACTTCCTTGAACGTCACGAAGCTAGACGTGTTGGACACTTTTAAGGAGATCAAGATTGCTGTTGGATACAGCTACAAGGGCAAAAAGCTCGAATCTTTCCCCGAAGACTTGTACGTTCTGGAGAAAGTCGATGTCGAGTATGTCACTCTCCCGGGCTGGAACCAGGACATCACCACGGTAAAGACCTACGAGGCCCTGCCAGATAATGCCAAGAGGTACCTCGACTTCATCGCGGACTTTTTGGGCGTTCCTGTCCAGTGGGTCGGAACTGGTCCAGGTAGAGCTAGCATGTTGGAGAAGCGTTCGTAAGGGGAATCTAACGGCTGTCTAGACAATTGATATACGAGAATAATTTTTTTGCTTCCAGTCACGTGATGACACATAATAGAGATAGTTGGAATTGCTCAATTGTAACAGCCACGATTAAACCACGGGCAGATCGGCCTCAGTTATGTTTGTTGTCGCAACTCTTTAGCTAAAATTCCCCTTGATTGAGCCGGTTTCCTTCATTTCGTTATAGAATGGTACAACCATGAGCGATCAGTCATCAGATATTCAGAGATTCCTGATCGAGCTAATCAACTCATCAAAGCCGAAGGTCTCGCCTAACCGGGCCATCAGGTTCCCCGCCGAGCCCATGACCGATGAGGATCTGGAATTTTTCAAACTTGCCAACGAAGTGGTCAAGAAGCATCAGTACCGTATAGACCCGACCATTAGAGACATCTTGAACAGGCTTCAATATGAGCACTCGCCACACGGGGGTCTACCTATCGCGAGAGAGTATTTGGGCGCGCAGGCAAACGGGCTCATTGGCCAGCGCGAGCTCCCCTCGGCTGCAGAGATGGAACCCAGAGGAAGCCGTAGTTCGGAGATGTTCCCTCACTTGGACCAAGATGTTTTCAAGCGCCAACAGCAGTACCATAACGGACAGGTGGGCTCCTCTTTGTACGCACAACGAGCGCAATCGCAGAATACAGAACTTATTAGCCAACTAGCTGCAAGTATCAAGAGCATGGACCCTGTGGCACAACAGGAGCTGCTGCAGAGGCTCTCTGGCGCGCTGTCTACAGACGGGTCATCACAGTCGCCTAGCTCATCATCTACGCATCCGCAACAACTACCACTGCTCCAGGGGCTAGGCTTCCTGGGGACAGCTCAAAACACGAGGGACAACGAACGGGTTCCGAATCCCAACCACTCTACGGCGACAACCCCCGAGCCACAGCCAAAAAGTCATGTTTGTGGGACATGCGCCATGACGTTCAAGCGCTCGTCGGACCTCAAGAGACACGAGAAGATTCACTTGGAGGTGCCTCCAAACATCTGTCCGCAGTGTCAGAAAGGGTTTGCTCGCAAAGACGCATTGAAACGACACATAGACACGCTGACATGCAGGCGCAACAGAGAGCGTTTATTGTCGAAGCTTAACGAGGAGAGCGTGAGCGATTCCGAGTGAGCCTGTGTATAGTATTCGATTCATAAGCAGAGCTTTAGTAATCGCGATTTTATCCAGGGCTGCGTAACCGCTTGTCAGCTCGTCGAAAAATGTCGATTTGGAAAAAAAAAATGAAAAATTCGTACCAAGACAGCTGAATCAAAATGCCAATTGACCCAGAAAAGCTCGCAAAGTTGCAAAAGGCCTCTGCCAAGAAGGTCGGCGGACAGAGAATCAAGGCAAAGAAGGTCAACAAGAGTGCTGAGGCCGATGACACCCAGCTGCAGAACACCCTTAAAAAGTTGAACGCTGAGGTTCTGACCGGCATCGAGGAGGCTAACTTCTTCAAGGAGGACGGCAAGGTCTTGCATTTCAACAGAGTTGGTGTCCAGGCTGCTGCTGCCTACAACACCTACACATTCAGCGGTTTCGCCCAGGAGAAGACTTTACCAGAGTTAATACCAAACATCTTGCCACAGTTGGGTGCTGAGAACCTGAGCATGTTGCAAAAGCTTGCTGAGCAATTGCAAGGAAGCCAAGCTGGAGCCGCTCCAGCATCCAAAGAGGAGGAGGACGTTCCGGAGCTGACTGAGGGTGAGACCTTCGAGAATGATGTTGAGTAGAGCAGATACATAATGAATGTATGACTACCATATTGTTGCACTGGCAAATATTCCGAAATACATACAAAGAAGGTGCTAGTAGTTATCCAATCAAGCAAGGGCCACCATCAAGGCAAGGACGAAAGCGTAGGTCGACTGCAAGCCGGCGTTGAGGTCCGCGGCACCGGCATGTATCTTGGTCTCGATAGCAACTGAGGATCCACCGGGCAAAGTGTGGATAGAAGTGCCGTTACCTGGGACAGCAGTGAACACGGGTGGTGATCCGGACAAGGAAGAGACGACTTTAGTTGAAGAGGCCGGCGTCACAGTTGTGATAACAGATGTCGAGGTTCCTGATGTCACGGAGAATGGAGGAGGATGAGTCGAGGAAACCACGGGAACCTCTGGACTGCTCTCCGACAGGATAGACTTTGACGGAGAAGGTGGTGGAACCACGGACGACTGAGGAGGAGCAGAGGACGGCGTTTCAGTGGAGTGGGTCGTTGTCGATGGCAGAGGGCAGTAAGTGGTAAAGACTGTGGTAAACTCTTCAAATGTCTGCGTCGTGATCACACATCCGGTGGTGACCGTGGATCCTTCTGTGGTAATGACCGTAGTCCATGTGGTTGGAGGCACTGAGCTGTGAGAAGAAGGCACCGTAATAGTAGAGGTGAGGGAGCTGCTATGGGTGACAGGGGTCGAGCTGGACTCCTCGCAGTCCGAGGTCTTGGTGGTGCTATCCTTTTCGGGCGAATGGGTGGACGAAGGATGCTTTGGAGCTGTAACTGTCACGTAGGCAGTACTGGTTGTCTCGGATTGCCAATCGTCCCCAACAGGCCTAGCTGGAGCAAGAGCCAGCAGGAAAGTAGCAGCGGCCAAAATCTTGTATCCCAACATTATATGTAACTAAGCTTATGGGTGACATTTTGTCATCTGGCTTTAAATATATACCCAATTGAAAAGTTTCTGCACTTCTATTCTGGGCTACTAGAAAACCATGTGCTGTGTGCGGTCTACCTTTTTAGTTGCTCTGGATCTCATGAGGAGCCACCTTAATTTTTTTCTGCTACCACCGTAACAGAATTTTTTATTGATAAGTAAATTCCCAGATCTTGCCTGCTGGACGCCAGACGTGAAATTTGCAAAACATTACGGCCGAACAATCTGACCATAACCTGGTTAGCCCTTTTGGTAATACAGAGAAAAAGTACCACTCAGTCCTCGATATGGTGCCATATAGATTTTATGTTCAACCAAGAGAGACAGTTTTTGCGCGTCTGTAACAGGAACGAAGTGCCTCTCACGACTCAAATTTCCACATGCTAGAAATTAGGCAAACTCCGTACGACACGCAACTGTTTTGTGTAATGAACGCTGCCGTTCACTCAAAAATAGCTTTTGAAGCCAGTGGAATCAGAATTTGGGCAAGTCGCAGCTCGTCGAGATTCTCTGGATCCACATCGATAACATCTTGCGTACAAAACTGTTGCACCAAATCATCGTCGCTGCTGACGTCGGTCCCATCCAGTCGGTTCTCGAAATCGTACTCAACGTTCTGTAGCATTGCAAACCGCTTGAAGCTTGTTTGGTACTCGTCTTTCGTCGCAAGCAATTGCTGGTAGATTGGAGATTTGATTTCATACAGATTTGGATCAGCCAATTCCACAGCCTCTATAGTCCTACCGGTGATTTTGCTCAGTTGCGATATGTCTCTTCTGTGTCTCTCTAGTATGAGAAGCTCAAGCAGGCGGTCATGTAGTTTGGAGGTCGTTGTCGGGACAAGCTCATAACTCCCGTCCGGCCTCTTCTCAAGTCCTCGAAAGATCAGCGAACTGTAGTCCTGCGGAATGCTGTCAAAGAGGTCAAGACGAAAATCGATCATTTCCTGGACGTCCCTTTCGCGCGCATGTTTAATCTCCTTGAAGAGAAAAATGTTGTAGTCGAGTGGGAAGTCTGACACTTGGGCGAGCTTTTGAGAGCTGGCTGTCTGCAATTTAGCCAAACTGGGTGGAGACTGCACAAAGGACATTTTCTACAAAAAATATTTAATAATGTCGTCTTTTGTTGTCGATCTTTGGGACTCCGTTTTCCAGCCGGGAGCAACGCCCACACTTGTGAAAGCGACCCACGCGTCTTTCGTTTGCTTGGTCACTTCTCTGTTGGTGATGATATTCCTCAGCAGGTCTATTCACTTTGTCAACTTGTTGGTGATCTCTCTTCTACTATGGGGATCCGTGACGTGGTTTATTGGAGAAATAGCGAAAGAGAAGAACAAATTGGAACAGAACGGAAAGGAACAGCCGATCAAGAAGCAGCAAGACTCCAAAAAAGAGAAATAGACTTTGTATCCACGCTGCGAGACGGGCTCAGTCTAATTATTAGCTCAGCCATTACTAATATAATTTTGTAAATTTAATTATATCTCATGAGCAAGAAATTTATGCCAAAGACGCCCGTGGACTTGGCTCCGCCACGGGACGATCCCATAACAATGGCTGAACTTGCGAAGTGTGACGGTAAGCTTTGCGACAGCATTGCAATTTCTAACAAAAAGGTGAGCAAACGGACAAGATGTACATAGCCATCAAAGGCACAGTTTTCGATGTCTCGCACAATCAAGCTGCCTACGGCGTCGGTAAGGGCTACCACGTATTCGTTGGCAAAGACGCGTCACGAGCTCTTGGGAAAAGCTCTCTGAAGCCCGAGGATACGTCACCCGATATAAGCTGGGATTATTCCACCTTAACGGAGAAACAACTGAAGGTCTTGGATGACTGGTTCACGTTTTTCAGCAACAGGTATAATATTGTGGGCCGTGTAAGCGATCTGCCTACGAAGAAGGACACGTAGGCCACCTAAGTGACCCCAGGAGCCTATTATCTAGTTGCGGATGTCGGATTAAATCTTTGCACCGACAGAAAAGTCGTGCGCTGTGTTGGTAATTCAAGGGGTAGTAAAAGGTAAATAACAGGATTAAGTCAATTTTGTTTTGATTCAAAAAAGTTTTATTTTGCACTAGCCTTCGTTTTTCAAGTGCAAAATGGAACAGGCTATGCTCGTCAACAACCGCAGGCCCCAAAATGTTGTGGACGGGGTGCCTCGGAGCAGCCTGAGTCGCACATTGGGCGATAGTGCTTTCATAGATGTTCGGAAAGAGACCCCGTTGCCGAACAACAACAGACTCCAATATGGTAACCAGCCGGGATCATATTACCCTCCAACAAACTACCAGGGATACCAGAAACCTCATCCGGGAGCATATCAAGCTCCACATCAGCGACACGATATGTACATGCCCATGCAACCTCAAGTAGACTATTATGGCCGACCACCTAACATGGCTCCTCCAAGGATGTTTGGTGAAGGAGCATCGCATTCGAGAAGAAGTTCGCTTGTGTCAAACTCTTCCAGCTCAGTGAACAAGTTTTTCAAGAGAGGAATGAAGTTCGCCAAAGATGACGACGACGATGGAAACGGAGATCCGGACGGCGACGTGGAAGTCGAAGCCTCTGCTAGCACAGTTTCTTTTGACGACCTGCAACACATAAGAGGGGGTGGAAGATACGGAAATGGCTCGTCTGCTTTGGATACTCAGCCTTATATCCCCATGATCTCCAACAGACCACGAGCTCCTAACGGCCAACTGTCAAATGTGCAGTACCGTAAGCAAATGACCGCGCAGAAGAAAATGGTAGCTGCACAGATGGCAAATGCCAACAAAGGCCCCCCACGGGCAATGAGTTTGGAGGCAGGCATGATGCGGTATCCCAGAACGATGTCTATGCAATCAGCAGGCCCAGGCCCCGTGAGTCCAGGCCCCAGAATGGGATATGATCCAAGGGCTATGTCCATGCAAACGAGACCTCCGCCATTCAATAATCAATTTGGTGGTCCTGATCCAAGCAACTACAATTCTCCGAAGGCCATGTCGATGACGTCGAGATTTTCAAATTCGCCGTATAGGGCTCCACAAGGCATGGCTCCTCAGCCTACAAACTATGGCGGTAAGGTGGGTCAAAATAATCCAGCTATTCCAAGTTTCAACTCTGAATATCCTCAGACCAGTCAGGGCATGCAAATTCCACCTCAGATTCGTCCCGGTCCAGGAGGCCAACTAGGTCAACAGCGCGCTCCAAGTCCTTACTCGCAACTGCCTCCGACGTCGAGACATCCTCAGCCCGTCACCCAACAGACTATACCCCAGCAAGAACGTTACATGACTGTCAACCAAAGCAAGCCCGGACAGATACAACATGTCAGCACTTTCGAATCGCAAACTTCGCCAGCCTTTTCAAGCACAGCACGAGTCATTCCACCAGCTGATCAGAACGAGACGTCTTTTCCGGTGCAAAATAGGCAAACTGCGCAGCAATATACTGCAACCGAACCTCAAATTAAACAAAAAGCTTTGGGAGCTGAGGGATCATCCAATCCTATCAGTTCCATAAACCGTGCAAGTGATCCACAGTTGCAACAGTTGCAACAGAAGCATAATGATGTACCTGCAGAAGTTGCAGCGAATCTAGAGGAGGAAAGAGGGGTCCAGCCGACTGATGAGCCTTCTCAGGTTCAAACTACCGCTTTTGAATATTCGCCAGGCAATATTCCTCCTCCAGAACCGTTCCAGCCGGTGAAAAAGAACAACAGGGGTAAACTCAACCGCTATGTATTCGCTGACAGTGACGATGAACATGACGAGGGTCCAGTGTATCAGGAAACAGATCTTATCAAAGAGCTGCCAAGTGACCAAGGGCCATTAGACAAAAAGACTGTGAAAGAAGAACCAGCCAGAGAGAGCATGGAAAAGCCTCGGGGGAAGCAACCTTCTCAGCCCCATTCTGATGGCTCCCAGACTTTTGACGCTGGTCCTCTAACTTCATTGAATTCAGTTTTGTCGACTTCTACGCAAAAAAGTCGTAGTGAGCATGATAAGACAACAAGACAGTCGTCGCATCACTCTGAGCAGACTGCATTTCCATCGGGAGGCGAGCCGGATTCGTCTATGTTCTCGCTGACATCGTCGCACGAGACCCCTAAAAAGCAACGCGTTGCTAGTTCTCAGGTGTATCAGCTTGCTAATGCCAGCTCATCCCATCAAGAAATTTTCACAACAGCAACAGAACTACCGATTGATGAGAATGTGCAAGACATGCAACAACCGAAGATTACTACTGATATCGATGACTACGATACTAGCAAGAACAATTCGTACTCAACTCTCAATGATTTGGAAGCTCCTCAGAATGTGATTGAGCAGGGTGACAACTCTTCTTTCGACTCAATCTCTAAAACTCCGGACCACACAGTAATCACTAATATTGACACTGAAAATAAGGTTAGAGACCAAGAACTTGATTCTCTTAACCCAAATTTCGCTCCAAAAGGGAACTTTTCTGATTCCAGGGATTTCAACAATAACTCAATTGGGACCGGAGGCGCTTTGATGAGTACTGAGAAACAAAACTCCTTCAGCAGTTCAGAAACTGTAAGTCCCGCTATGAAAAATATTTCAATTGAGGAAAATAAGGCAGACGGTGGCGAAGGTACACTCGAAGATAACTTATATTCACCGCGCGAGCGGATTGTTCCGCCAAGAAGTACTCGTCGCAGAGAAGACACCAATTTAACGCATGGATATGAGATGCAAAGATCAATGATTTCCCAGACTATGCAAATTCCACAAGAGCCTGTGCCCATGGCCAAAGCGCAAGAAGAAAATGAGACTCAAAAACAGCATTCTGTCCCTCCCAATGTTGGGCATTACAAATCGATGCTCTTGCCTGCTCAGAATGACGAGTATTCGAAGAAGGGGCAACCTACACAGCACAAGAACGACTATAAAAAAGATGATAATGACTCAGGTCTCAGGTCTAACAGCTCATCAGCCTCATCAAAAGTTCGCTCCAGGAAACCACCCCCTCAGCCGATCGCAGCCAATAAATCCACGCAGCTCGAGACCGCAAAAAAATCACCGTTTATGGGATTCAGAGAAGCATTTTCCAAGCCAGTTTCCACAGGAAACAGCCCAAAGCTGCCTAATGCTAAGCATTTCCTAAAGAAGATTTCCCGAAGGAAGCGTGATGAGGATGGCTATGCGAACAGTTCAATAACAGATTCTTCGACGATTTCCATACAAAATAACGACTACGCCCAGAATTACCACGGACTCACAATCAATCTACCTCCAAAAGATGCAGATTCCAATTTCAAGAACAAGAAGTTGCCTAAAACTCCTATCACCCCTTCGGACTCGCTCATGAACTATAGATTGTCAGTAAATTTGGCCAATGAGGAGAATGACCACAGGTTGAGTAGAATTATTGATATGGATCTTGATGAGCAGGGTTTCACTCAAAATTCGAGTTTAGATGACATCAATGGATATAACACCAGTACTGATTTGGAAAAAGCCACCCCTCTTGCGAGCCCAAGTATGAATATGGATACAAGAGGGGATCGGACATTTGTTAAACAAACTCGGCTAAGTGGACCTTCAAGTACAGAGCATATGAACGGTAAAATGGCAACTCCTCCTCTCAGTAAGGGAGAGGAAGATTTCAACTTCACGTCCCCAGAATCGAGCAACACAGGAAAGATTTATCTGGGAGATTATCCTGAACTTGCCACTTATCAGCATATGATGAGCAAACAAAGCCAGCGTCAGGATCAACCATTGAATACCAAATCGTCTCAGAATGCTTTCCAGGATGCCAAGGAGAGACCACTAGTGCCACCTAGCTCATTATATGACGTAAAGGACAGACAGATGACGCCTGTCTTTCAGTCAACCAATCAACAGAATAACCAAGCTGCAGTCTTCACGCCAGAACAATTGGAGCTTTTTAATTCGAACCAGGAACTGTTTAATGAGCTTCAAATTGTTTCCAGCGAGCTGGCAGATAGCATATCCAGAGAGATTAGACTTCAACGCAAGTTGGAAGTGAATAATATCCCGGTCGAGGGAGACGTCGTCTCTGAAGAGTCAAAGATTGCAAGTCTTACGCAGCAACTGGCGGATGAAAGACGCAAGAGGTTTGCTGTGGAAGAGTTCCTTGCCCAGCAGTATAATAAAGGGTTTGATGTTGAGGATCTCAAAAAGAAGGTGTACAATAATTCTGATATGGGTTACAAAGTGTTCAAGTTGACTGAAGAAATCAATCTAAACAAATCGAAGTACGAAATGATGGAGCAAGAGAATGGCGAGCTCAAGAAGAGGCTAGAAAAGTTGGCCAGCGAGAACAAGGAGCTAATTGGCACTACCATTCCGAAATTGAAAAACCAGCTGGAGGTGGCCGAGAATTCAGTTTCCGCGGCTACCTGCGGCTCTCTTTTGAAAGAGATTGAGCAGCTCAAGTCTGAAAAGTTGCATTTGAGGAGCCAGCTGAGCTCTAAGGGCAACATCGCAGAGCTCGAGTCTCAAAAAGAGGAGTTGCGCGAGGCCCTCAAAAACGTGAAAGCCCAAAAGGAGATGGATCTAAGAATGTGCGCAGAGAGAATCCGTACCTTGGAAGCCAAGGTTGAGAAGCTCACTCTGACGAATGAACGGTACGTTCAAAAATTTGGACAGATTGTGGCTGATGAATGACGAGTTGGTTTATGATCATGTATGTATATTGTTAAGACAGTACGAATGGAAGATACGAAAAATAAAAATACTGAATTTTTCATTCGTTTATAAAGTATTGAAATTTACTTTGAATATGGAAGACCCTCCACACAAGCGCAAGAGAAGCGTTTCTGATGATGAGGGTTACGAGCCCTCGTTGATAGGATCTTCCGACCTCCCTGGAAGAGCTCCACCAGAAGTTCCTTCAGAGGGGTATCAGCGGTCAGAGTCTTGGGCCAAGAGGCCTAGACGAGCCTTATTACCAAGGGAGGTGGAGTTGGCCAAGAATGTATGCGCCGAGATCGGAAAGATTGGCGAATATCCTCAACAGTTGTCGCTCGACTTGGAGAACGTGTCGGGTTCCATTGCGCAAGAGATCGACTCCGATGACTACTTGCGCAACTCCCTGCTCGAATTCCTAGTGGCATTGACCGTTGAACAGCCCCAAAAGGTGTTCATTGTTGGTGCGCTCGTCCAGCTGACAAATTTCAAAAACCCCAAAGCCGGTCAGTATGTCTTGGAGTACCTGCATTCAAAGGCACAGAACCTATTTGAACAGATTAAAGTTGCTAGCGACGACGTGTTGGAGTCTAGCGAATGCGGTGTGATTACTAGACTCAAGCTTATTCTACGTCTGCTTGCTGTACTGAGCCCGATGATGGTCTCTGGCGATCCAATCACGAGGACCTACGAGCACTTGATGGAGCTGGCCGTCGAGCTACAGGACAACTCCGTCCAGCGAGTCGCAGTGGCTCAGCTGCTGTATTTCAACGTGCTAGTATCTGTGCCGTATTACTTAGCGGTGCAGAAAGATGAGAGCTTTTCGGATCGTGTTCTCGCTATTGCACGCAAGTTCAAGCTTGCGGATGTGTCTGAAGAGAGCCGGGCTAACTATAGACACTTCAAGTCTCCTAACAGACCGTACGAAGCTAAGGAGCTCGTGAAATTGATTTTACCTGCACTGGAAGCCGTCGACAAAGAGCTTCCGTTCTTTGTTGACTTACAGCAAATAATCAGGTCGCACGAGCCTGAGGATGTTGAGAAACACCTGTTCCAACAGTTCAACATTCCGTCGAGTGAGCACTGGGCTTCGTACAATCTACGGGGAAATATTGATTCTCTTTGGAAGTATCCGCGCTATGTCTTGGAATGCTTCTTGCCTTCTGTCACTGGTTTCGATACGGTTCCTCCAGTCGACTCCTACCTCTCTATAATTCTAAGAGACGTGACTCAGGACATTGTTCAGAACATGGAGTTCAACCGTGTTACTGTTTCCAGACAAATGTTGTCATTGAATGTGTTTTTCAACGAGAAACTGTTCTCTAAACCTAACTCTTCCATCGACAAGCTCACGATCCTCAACAACCTCAACTCGGGCGTGGATTTGATTAGCAGCTTGGAGAACAATGAGGAGCTCGATCCACAAGTCAAAGAGTCCATGATTCAGTCTGCAACGTATGTCCAGCAGGAATTTGACCAGGGCTACACCTCGACGTGGAAGATGGAGCAGGTGGTCACCGAAGCCGTGCTGGACCTTATGTTCCATCTTCCAAATGCGCCTTCCCCCTCTGTGTACTATCAGATGCTTTTGGCGGACACGTGCGGAAGAGATTGGGCAAACGTGAGACGGGCACCGGAGTCGGAAGACAAGGTCACTTTTGCCAAAGTTCTGGGCACTGCCATTCGCTTCTTCTACTCCAACTTCAAATATCTGGATTTTGAGCTTCGCGAGAGATTTGTCCTCTGGATGACCGCCCAGCTCAGCAATTTTGGATTCGACTGGCAATGGACGGAATGGATTGACGATCTCAATACCTTAGACAAGTTATTCTACCATCCAGCCATTTATCTTTTCAGGAACATTATCGGTAGAGAGATACGACTTAGCACTCCTCAAACGATTAAGGCTACCTTGCCCCCAGAATTCCACCGCTTTCTGCGGCTCTCACTCTGGGATAAGAGACAGGTGATTAACTTTGACAGCAAACTGTTCGGATCAAAGCTCGCAGAGTCTGCTTACGAGACGAACTTCGCGGCAGAGGAAAATATAGAGGCGATCCCTGAGGATGCCGGAAATGCCGAAATCTACCATATTGTGGACCAGTATCTGTTCAACAGCGAGGACCACCCGTACCACGAGGTTTGTCACAGTATTTACACCAACATTCAAGAAGGAGAGTCGCTGCAACAGTTCAACGATTTGATTGTGCTCCTAAAGGAACAAATAGCCAGGGAATCTGCCGAACATCCGGGAGCCGAAGAGTATCTTATCGGAAACATTGACTGCTACATTGTGACACTGGTGATCCAGTCCACATGTATCATAGGTTCGCGTTCGCTATCCGTGGTCGAAAGTGGTGCTCTGGAGCTTTGTGGGGCGAAGCTACGCAAGGTGCTTGGGCTTCCCGCGGCAGAGGGAGAACATGAAGACGTGGAGAACGACCAGTTCCCGCTGTTGAAGGCAGAAGAAGTAGTTGAACGTCAAAAATGGTTGATTGACGGCGTGCTTCGCCTGTGGAATAACGAGCCAAGAATTGGCTATCTGATTTTGGAAAGAATCAAGAATAAGGGATTTATTTCTAGTACGCAGCTGGTGGACTCGTTCTTTGCTAACAATGAGAGCTTGACTATGATCAGCCAGGTTTATGCTAGTGAGCTTTTCGACCGCATGGTGACGAGTTCTGGGTCAGAGGCCGAGTCAAAAGATTTGCTACAGACCTTTTACAGCAAGATCATCGAGCATATCGAACTTCTGATTGAGAAGCTGGGCGACGACCGCGAGGAAATGATCTTAGGCACCGTCGAGACAGAGGAAAGCGCAGACCAAGACACAGAGTTACGCTGGGGTCTACACGGGTGCTTTGAAATCATGCGCTCAAAAGCACGCAAATTCGCCAGCCTAACTGATTTCGAGCTGCTTGGCGAAAAGATCGAAGGCGGAGTGCGTTCTGAGGTGGCTCGAAAATATGTTGCAGCAATTGTCGACGGCATCCGCACATCGGCCAATTAGTTACTCTTAGCAATAGCTGATACTTAATGTACAACAATGTAAACTGCTGCACGAACGCGGTGTAGAGAATTTTAGAATAAGGAGGAACGAAAATCAGACACGCTGCAATCCGGTCCCCTGAAATCGGGTAACACGTGATGGAAACCCGATGTGAAAAAGAAATCGAGGCCTGGATATTTTTAGTAGTCTGGCCGGGATTGAAGATGACAGCAGCGGAGGCAACGAAGCGATCTTTGATGTAAAAGCTCTAAAGTGAGAAGAGACGCCATGCAATTGGCGGACGTAGCCGCAGAGTTGGCACGTCTAAATATAGAATTCCATACACCCTTTCGGATAGCCCGCATAGTTGCGCCACGTCCACCTAGATTTTTCTACCGCGACAGAAAAACCATAAAACACCTCTATGTGGCGCAGCACATTTTGTTTTGGATCTGGCACAGGATCCACCGTGGATTTGTCTCGTTTTACCTTTTTGTTTTTTTTCTTAAGCTGTTAACTCTTTGACCATCTCTCTGGGTGTTAATCTCGGCCAAGCACTACGACGACGCAAGCTCCATATATAACTGGGTTATAAGGTTGTATATCCGAGCGCGCACAGAGAACCCCTTAGAGTTAAACTGATTAGATATTCATTCGTTTACTCAAGAGGTAAGTTGTCCTCATTTTTCAGCAGAAAGTTTGATCTCGTGCTATTCCCGGTGTTTGCTACGTGTTCCGATGAACACAGTAGGGACACAAGTTTCCACAGTGCCAATACATCAGTCGGCCCACAAATATTATGTACCGACCAGCAGAAAAATTTGTACACCGCAGATTCGCGCAGATCAAAGAGGAAATCCACCCGGCACAATTAAAAATAGCCCGCACGGAGGTGCCTGATTCAGCTGAAATTTAGATACAAAATCATACTAACATTCTTTAGTAAATAGGGATGTCGTATAACGATAATACCTATCATGACCCGAATAGGGCCAACCAAGGACAGGGTGGCTATTACAGCGAGAATTATAGCCAGTCCGAAGATGCCTTCGGTCAACCCCCAGGTCAACAGGAATACTATGATCCGCAAGACCCTTACTACCAAGGTTACGCACAGGGCTATGATCAGCAGGACGCTTACTATCAACAAGGCTATGACCAACAATATGCCTCAGATCCTAACCTGAACCAGCAAGGATACTATGACCAACCTGGATCGCGTGATCCAGAAGCTTACTCTGATTTTAGCTACGGTCCAGGTGGTGCTCCTGGCACTCCTTATGATGGATATGGAACTCAGTACACTTCATCTCAAATGAGTTACGGTGGACCAAGATCATCGGGTGCTTCTACCCCTGTTTATGGGGCAGGCCCATATGACCAATCGGGAATCAGCGCTTTGCCCACCGATCCATATCCCGCATGGACTGCTGACAACCAAGCCCCAGTTACCATCGAACAAATTGAAGACGTTTTCATTGACCTAACCAACAAGTTTGGTTTCCAAAGAGATTCTATGAGAAACATCTTCGACTACTTCATGACAATGCTGGACTCCAGATCCTCAAGAATGTCACCTGCTCAAGCTTTACTCTCGTTGCATGCTGACTACATTGGTGGTGATACTGCCAACTACAAAAAATGGTATTTCGCTGCTCAGCTGGATCTGGACGATGAAGTCGGTTTTCGTAATATGGCTCTTGGTAAGCTTTCGAGAAAAGCTAGAAAGGCCAAGAAGAAGTCCAAGAAGGCAAGAAAAGCTGTTGAAGAGAACGGTGAAGATACAGAGAGAACCTTGAGTGAGTTGGAAGGTGACAATTCTTTGGAAGCCGCCGATTACAGATGGAAAGCAAAGATGAACGCGATGACTCCTTTGGAACGCGTTAGACAAATCGCTCTGTGGCTTTTGCTCTGGGGTGAGGCTAACCAAGTCAGATTTACTCCAGAATGTTTGTGCTTCATTTACAAATGTGCTCAAGACTACTTGAATTCTGAAGCATGCAGACAGAGAGTTGATCCTGTTCCAGAAGGTGACTATCTCAATAGAGTCATTACCCCACTTTACCGCTTCATCAGAGCTCAAGTTTATGAGGTTGTTGATGGCCGCTATGTCAAGCGCGAAAAGGACCACAACAGCATCATTGGTTACGACGATGTCAACCAGCTTTTCTGGTACCCAGAAGGTATTTCCAGAATTGTTTTTGAGGATGGCACTAGGTTAGTCGACTTCCCACCTGAGGAGAGATACTTCAAATTGGGCGAAATCGAATGGAGCAATGTTTTCTTCAAAACATACAAGGAAGTCAGAACTTGGTTACACGTTGTCACCAACTTCAATCGTATCTGGGTTTTACACATATCAATTTTCTGGATGTACGTGGCCTACAACGCTCCAACTTTCTACACACACAACTATGTCCAAGTGCTCAACAATCAGCCGCTTGCTTCTTCGAGATGGGCTTCTGCTGCTCTGGGCGGTACTGTTGCAGCTGGTATCAACGTCTTGGCCACTATTTTCGAGTGGATGTTTGTTCCTAGAGCCTGGGCCGGTGCTCAGCATTTGTCTAGAAGACTCGGTTTCCTGTGTTTGATCCTCGCAGTCAACCTTGCTCCTGTTATTTTCGTGTTTTCATGGGCAGGTCTGCAGACAAAATCGAAAGCCGCCGAAGTTGTTTCCATTGTTTCGTTTTTCATTGCCGTTGCCACAATTGTGTTTTTGTCTCTCATGCCTTTAGGAGGTTTGTTCACTTCGTACATGAAGAAATCCACAAGAAAGTATGTGGCATCGCAAACTTTCACTGCCTCTTTCTCTCGTTTGGAGGGATTGGACATGTACCTTTCGTGGTTCATGTGGTTTTTGGTTTTCGTCGCGAAGTATACTGAATCTTATTTCTTCCTGATCTTGTCTCTGAGAGATCCAATTAGAAATTTGTCCACTATGACTATGAGGTGTCACGGAGAAAAATATTACGGCAACGTGGTTTGCAAACAACAGGCCAGAATCACTCTGGGTTTGATGATCGCTACCGATTTGGTGTTATTCTTCTTGGATACTTACATGTGGTACATCTTGGTCAACTGTTTGTTCTCTGTCGGAAGATCTTTCTATCTGGGTATTTCTATTTTGACACCTTGGAGAAACATCTTCACCAGATTGCCAAAGAGAATCTATTCCAAGGTTTTGGCTACCACTGACATGGAGATCAAGTACAAGCCAAAGGTTTTGATTTCCCAAGTCTGGAATGCTATTGTCATATCTATGTACAGAGAACATTTGCTGGCCATTGATCATGTTCAGAAATTGCTTTACCACCAAGTTCCATCGGAAATCGAGGGCAAGCGTACATTGAGAGCACCTACATTCTTTGTTTCTCAGGATGACAACAACTTCGAGACGGAGTTCTTCCCAAGAAACTCTGAGGCAGAAAGACGTATCTCTTTCTTTGCTCAATCTTTGGCTACACCTATTCCTGAACCATTGCCTGTGGATAACATGCCTACATTTACTGTTTTCACGCCTCACTATTCCGAAAAGATCTTGCTCTCTTTGAGGGAAATTATCAGAGAGGATGATCAATTCTCTAGAGTCACCTTGCTTGAATACCTGAAACAACTGCATCCAATCGAGTGGGATTGTTTCGTCAAAGACACTAAGATTTTGGCTGAGGAAACAGCTGCATTTGAGAATGGTGAGGAGAAGGATGAGGACAACATGAAGAACGAAATTGATGACTTGCCCTTCTACTGTATTGGTTTCAAGTCTGCCGCTCCTGAGTACACTCTGAGAACCAGAATTTGGGCTTCTTTGAGATCTCAAACCTTGTACAGAACTGTGTCTGGTTTCATGAACTACTCCAGAGCTATCAAACTGCTTTACCGTGTTGAGAATCCTGAGATTGTTCAAATGTTTGGCGGTAACGCAGAAGGATTGGAGAGAGAACTTGAAAGAATGGCTAGAAGAAAGTTCAAGTTTGTTGTTTCTATGCAACGTTTGACCAAATTCAAGCCGGAAGAGCTTGAGAATGCGGAGTTCCTGCTTCGTGCTTACCCGGACTTGCAAATTGCATACTTGGATGAAGAACCACCTCTCAACGAGGGGGATGAGCCAAGAATCTTCTCTGCCTTGATTGATGGACACTGTGAAATTATGGAGAATGGAAGAAGAAGACCTAAGTTCAGAGTTCAGCTTTCCGGCAACCCAATTCTGGGAGACGGTAAGTCTGATAACCAAAACCATGCTATCATTTTCACCAGAGGTGAATACTTGCAATTGATTGATGCTAACCAGGACAACTACTTGGAGGAATGTCTAAAGATCAGATCCGTTCTCGCTGAATTCGAGGAGTTGAATGTCGAACAGGTCAACCCTTATGCTCCTGGTCTGAAATCTGAAATCAGCAAGATCCATCACCCTGTTGCAATTGTTGGTGCCAGAGAGTACATTTTCTCTGAGAACTCTGGTATTCTTGGTGACGTGGCTGCCGGTAAGGAGCAAACTTTCGGTACCTTGTTCGCAAGAACGCTGGCTCAAATCGGTGCCAAATTGCACTATGGTCACCCTGATTTCTTGAATGCTATCTACATGACTACTAGAGGTGGTGTTTCCAAAGCTCAGAAAGGTTTGCACTTGAACGAAGATATCTATGCAGGTATGGTCGCCATGTGCAGAGGTGGAAGAATCAAGCACTGTGAATACTACCAGTGTGGTAAAGGAAGAGATCTTGGTTTCGGATCTATCTTGAACTTTACTACGAAAATTGGTGCTGGTATGGGTGAACAAATGCTCTCCAGAGAATACTACTACTTGGGTACTCAGCTTCCTTTGGACAGGTTCCTTTCTTTCTACTATGCTCACTTGGGTTTCCACATCAACAACTTATTTATTCAATTGTCTCTTCAGATGTTCATGTTGACTTTAGTCAACCTAACCTCTCTTTCTCATGAGTCTATCTTGTGTCTTTACGACAGAAATAAGCCAATTACTGACATTCAGTATCCGTTGGGTTGTTACCAACTGATGCCGTCCATTGACTGGATTAGACGTTACACGCTGTCGATTTTCATTGTTTTCTTCATTGCCTTTGTTCCATTGCTTGTCCAAGAATTGATTGAGAGAGGCGTGTGGAAGTGTGCTTACAGATTCTGCAGACACTTCCTGTCTCTTTCCCCATTGTTTGAAGTGTTTGTTGCCCAAATCTACTCTTCTTCTCTGTTGAACGATATTTGCGTTGGTGGTGCTAGATATATCTCCACCGGAAGAGGTTTCGCAACAGCCAGAATTCCATTCTCTGTGCTGTATGCCAGATTTGCCGACTCCACTATTTACGTTGGTGCCAGATGCATGATTATGTTGCTGTTTGGTACAGTTGCACACTGGCAAGCTGCTCTTCTCTGGTTCTGGATTTCCATTGTTGCCTTGATGTTCTCTCCATTCGTGTTCAACCCACACCAATTCTCCTGGGAGGACTACTTTATCGACTACAGAGACTTCATCAGATGGTTGTCCAGAGGTAACACCAAATGGCACAGAAACTCTTGGATTGGTTACATTAGGTTGACTAGATCCAGGGTCACCGGTTTCAAGAGAAAGGTCATCGGTGATGACTCCGAGAAGGCCGCTGGTGATGCAGCTAGAGCTCACAGATCCAACGTCTTCTTCTCTGATACTTTCCCATGTATGGTCTACACTGCTGGTTGTTTCATTGCTTACACTTTCATGAACGCCCAAACTGGTGTTATTGATACCGAGCCAGTTAACTCTGTGCTGAGATTGGTCATTTGCTCTTTGGCCCCAATTGTCATTGATATTGGTGTCTTGTTCGGTTGTTTGGGCCTGTCTTGTTGTGCAGGTCCAATGCTTGGAATGTGCTGCAAGAAGACGGGTGCTGTCATGGCTGCCGTTTCTCACGGAATTGCAGTCGTGGTCAACCTTGTCTTCTTCATTGTCATGTGGGTTTTGGAAGGATTCCACTTCGGCAGAATGCTGATCGGATTGATCACCATGATCTATGTCCAAAGACTGATTTTCAAATTTATGACCTTGTTGTTCTTGACCAGAGAGTTCAAGAGCGACCACGCCAACGTCGCCTTTTGGACAGGAAAGTGGTATGGTTCTGGACTTGGATGGGCAGCATGGACTCAGCCTTCCAGAGAATTCTGCGCCAAGATCATTGAGATGTCTCACTTTGCTGGTGACTTTGTTCTGGGACATGTGATTCTGTTCTTGCAATTCCCAATTCTCTGCATTCCTCTGATTGATAGGTGGCACTCTTTGATGCTCTTCTGGCTTAAGCCAAGCAGACAGATTAGACCGCCAATCTACTCTCTCAAACAGGCTAGATTGAGAAAGAGAATGGTGAGAAAATACTCCACTTTGTACTTCGGTATTTTGATCATCTTTGTCGTTCTGATTGCTGCACCAGCCGCAGTTGGATCTATGAAGAGTGTTGATATTGAAAAGCAAATCGGAACCTTGCCTAAGTTTGCTGAAGGCTTGTTCCAGCCAAGACACCAGGACAACAACGATACTGGATTCGGCACTAGTGGATTAACCCATCACTGGACTACCACCACGTCTTTGGCCACTTGGTCTACCAAAGCATGAGTGAAGCGTCATTGAATAAAAGTTCAAGACATAGCAAAGTGTACACTAGTTGGACTTTTAGGATCCATCGTGAAATTATATATCTGCGATTGGTTATATTTTGAGATACAGTTACATAACATTACTATAGCAGTATCAACATTAAAACATTTTTAGTGGTGGAATAATCTGATAGGGTTTTCCACATAAACCATCTCGTAAGAGTCAGCAGCATCAAAAACGGCTCTATCCATAACAGAGCCAGTTGGAGCAGCAACGTATTTCACCCCAGATCTGGCAGCCCTGTGGATGTTGTCTGGGAATGGGAAGAAGGCGTCCGAGGACAAGGAAACGTCTGTCAGTTTCTTGAGCCACTCACGTCTTTCTTGAGCCGTAAGTGGAGTGGGAACTTCCTCGAATTTAGATTCGTAGTCACTTTTTTCTGGCTCCTCCGTTGGGATTTGACCAGTGACAAATAGATCAATAGCGTTCGACTTGTCTGGTCTCTTGACACCTTTGGCCCATTTAAAGCCCAAGACCCTAGGGTGGTGTCTCAACCACCAGTTGTCCGCCTTGTCACCAGCCAGTCTGGTGCAGTGGATTCTGGACTGTTGTCCGGCTCCCAAACCAATAACCATACCATTCTTTGCGTAACAGACAGAGTTGGATTGGGTGTATTTCAGAGCAATGGTGGCAACAGTTAGGTCGATCGAGGCCTGCTCTGTCAAGGCAGTGTTTTTAGAGACAAAGTCCTTGAACGAAGAAGAGTTGATGATTGCATCATTTCTCTTCTGTTGCAATGTGATGCCGTAAACCTGTCTAGATTCGGTAGTCTTTGGGGTGTAGTTTGGATCAATTTGCAGGACACAATACTTGCCGCCCTTCTTCTTCTTTAAGATATCCAAAGCAGCCGGCTCATATCCTGGAGCAATGACTCCATCACTGACTTCTTTGGAAATGATAGACGCAGTTGGAACATCAACAATGTTGGAGAGCGCAATGAAGTCACCAAAAGACGACATTCTGTCGGCGCCTCGCGCTCTAGCGTATGCATTGGCCAGTGGCGAAAGATTCTCAATCTCACTAACGAAGTAGATCTTTTTTTCCATATCCGACAATGGGAGACCAACAGCGGCACCAGCTGGAGAAACATGCTTGAACGAAGCGGCAGCTGGAAGGTTCAAAGAGGCAGACAACTCCTTGACCAGAGGCCAGGAATTCAATGCGTCCAGCAAATTGATGTAGCCAGGAGAGCCGCTCAAGACCTTGAACGGAAGTTCTCCTTCAGTAACGAAAGCCTGTGCTGGCTTTTGGTGAGGGTTGGCACCGTATCTCAGGGGCAGTTGAGAAACACCCTCCGAGTATCTTTTTCTGAAGAAATCCGAAATTGCACTGTCATAGTCAGCAGTATGCTCAAATGCCTTCAGGGCAAATATTTGTCTAGCTTCAGGAGAAACGTCGCCTTTTGTGGCCAGCTCTTCCAAAAACTTGGAGTAATCCTTAGGATCAGACAGAATGGTCACTCTGGAATGGTTCTTGGCTGCAGCTCTCAGCAAAGTAACCCCACCAATGTCAATTTCCTCAACCGCCTCATCAATGGTCACGTTGATCTTAGCAACAGTCTCCTTGAATGGGTACAAATTACAGACGACAAAGTCTACCATATCAATGTTTTGTTCAGCAAGATCTTTTTCGTCCGATTCGTTCTTTCTGGCAAGAATACCGCCATGCACAGCAGGGTGAAGTGTTTTAACACGCCCTCCCAGCATCTCAGGAGCATGAGTGATACTGGAGACGTCTTCAACAGGGAAACCCGACTCTCTAAGCAATCTGGCGGTTCCTCCAGATGCGAGAAGTCTCACATCAGCTTGGACGAGACCTTTGGCAAGATCCAGAAGACCTGTCTTGTCGTAAACAGAGAGAATGGCAATTTTGGATTTGCTCGACTTGCTCATGATTAATTATAAAATTAATTAGACAGTTTCTTAATCGAATTCCTGTAAAATTGGTAAATTAATTTGATCATGAGTTGGAAAAAAATTAGAGGCAGCAGACAAATTAGACGTCCTTCCGATTTTACCGTAATTATCAGGTTGTCAACACTTTATTCGATTAAGTTACTTCGAAATATAGATACGAACAAAGCCCTAACAGTGGCCTTAACACCCAGCTTACTTTCTGTATCTCCACAAAGACAAGGTGTTGTGTTGCTTCCAGGTGTGTCTTCTTCCCTTTCTGGTCTTGTTGTACAGGTGACCCTTGGCAATACCTCTGGATTTCTTTCCAATGGCAGTAAGACCTCTAGCCTCCCTGTGCTTGTGGACAGGGTTGCAGATCCAGTTGTATCTTGGATCTCTTCTGATGGCTTTGTGTTGAGGGTCAACACAAATAACCTCGTAGTACTTGTAAGTGGAGTCCTCGTTAACCCAGTAGGAGTTCAAGACTCTCAAGTTGGCGGCCTTTCTTCCGACTCTCTCCTCAGCGGTAGATCTGAGAGACTTTTGGTACTTCAATTGGTTGACACCTTGGTTGGTTGGCTTACCGTACGTAGCACCCTTTGGAACAGGCCTCTTTCTGCCACCTCTTCTGACTCTAATTCTGAAGATGACGAAGCCCTGCTTGGCCTTGTATCCAAGTCTTCTAGCCTTGTCTGGTCTAGATGGTCTGGAAGCTCTGTGGATCACAGTCTTCTGTCTGTACTCCCAGCATCTGATTCTGAGAAGGAATCTCATGACATCAGACTGCTTCTTTCTTTGCAGCTCCTCGAGATATTTGTAGGCACCCATGGTTGATTAATTGATTAGCTTTGAGTTTAGTCGAAAATGAAAAAATTTGGTGGAAAAAAATCAAGGTCCAGAGGGTTTGGCTCAGAATAAAACATCACGTGACAAAAGAGTAGATTGGGTGGAAAAAAAAGACCCCCCAAAAACATCCGGCTATTGTTACGCATCCCCACCCCTTTCAAATCCATGTGCACGGATGTGCCGCCTTTTGCGCGTAATTGCGTCTGAAAACGCCCAATCACACGACCATTATGCACGTGACCAATTCTGATCTTATCTCTTCTGAGCCCTTATCTGACCGCTCCAAGCACATACCATTCCCCTCCAGCTCACGATATCTCCTGAATTGTCCCGTGCTACGTTGCACGGGCAGCTAAAGATTTCAGGTGTGGGATTTCAATTTCGCGCATAACCTTCGTTCCTTTCGTCCTGCCCCAATAGCAATTAAGCTTGCAGCAGCAATTTAAACAGTGCACTGCCCGAATGTGATGCGATAGGAACCTCCTAGCAATTAATAACCTGTCCACACTTTATACCCTCAACTAGTAAAATGTAAGTTAATGAAAACTAATTGACTAACCGGTACAGGTCTCAAGAAACTAAAGCCACCGCCAACGATGTTCAGAAGAAGGTGAACAAGTCTGCTGACAAGACTGAAAAGGAACTGGATTCCTTGGCTCATCAAACAAAATCGAAGATTGATGAGGTCTCCGACAACCTTTCAAAGAAGGTGGATGATTTCAAGGATGACTTGCCACAAAAAGAGGCCAAGGTCAAAGCGTATTTCAAGAAGGCTTACAACTCTGTTGTGGGTACTGCCACCAGTCTCTACACAAGCAGCGTGGAGACTGTGAAAGAGAACCCGGTCACTACCTCTCAGCTCTTCCTCGCCCTCGTTGGAACAGCAGGAGCTGTTTTTGCTCTTTCAACTGACCCTGACGTTTTCAACAAATGGATCAGCAAAAGAGAGAACAAGGCATTGGCTGGTGGAATAGCAGCCACCCTTGCTGTTCTAGACGGTCTCTTCATTTCCTACGTCAAGCAGAAGAAATCAACGTAACCGAGATTGCGTATACGGCGAATATATTTTATTCATCCATTGTACTTATTTTTCCGTTTCTTCTAGGTGTTTCATTCTTTCGTCCAAAATGGATTCTATATTCCGTGTTTCTCCCTGTTTTTTAAAGATGTGTGTAAAACCGTGATCATCACCTCTGTGACGAATGACCTTGCCGCTCGGCAACATCTCCTGATCTGAAAGGTCAAAAGATGCGATCTTCACGCTGGCCGGCGATCCAGCAGGCAATTCTGTCGGGTTGACAAGGGTCTGCTTCCGTTTTCTGGTTTGTTTGGAAGGATGGATAGAACCCTTCTTCATGAATGACCGGAACTGATAGAGTCCCCTTTTCATGCTCGAATAGCTTTCTATATCTTGTTCAACTAGCTGCGATTCATGCATCCAAGTCCAGCTCTGCGCTAATTCGTCAAAGGCATTCAATTCCATTTGTTTGCGTAATCTGTTATTCTTTTCAAGCACTTGGAATGCATCAGTGTCGGTAGGCCACAAACTGACTTTGACCAAATGGAAAAGCATGTCCACGGAGAGCCCAACCACAATCAGCACCAAAATACTGGCCCAGAAAGTAATATCCTTGCCAAAGTGCTCAAATAGCCCGTGTGCAACATAGTATATAGTGCTGTCTTTCGTTTTGTATAGTCCCACAAGTAGCATGCACCATAAAAGCCAGCCAAAAACAGACACACAGAAGGATATCACGGAGAGCTTGGTAATTGAATGCATCTCGATAATGTTACATTTTGCATTGATGATCACAATCAGCACAGTGAACATCACCACGCCCAGAGGATAGGTTGTGTTATCCAACGTTGCAGGAAATCCGTAAACATTCCACAAACAGAAGCACAACGTCGTACTTTGCGAGGCAGCCAGCAGCGACCAGAAAAAGAACAATTTGAAATTGAACGATTCGCAGTTGCGTCCCTTGGCGTATAATTCGGGAACAGCTATAAGAGTCGATGGCCGAAGATCCTTGTCAAACATTCCAACACACAGCACTGGCAAAGACGTGAACAATGTGTTGAACATCGACAATGACCACGACTCATATAATGACGTACCCGTAAAAAGTGTGTATCTCTGGTACAGTAGCTGTGTCAAATAGAACAGTAGTTCTTTGTAGAATGTGCAAAGAACGAATTTGGAAGTCCTGATGTAGTTGTAGCGACCGTGAACCAGCAAGAGCTTTAGCAAGTATCGGAACTGCGCAATAGAATAGTCCGACGTTCTGGCAGCCTGCAATCCTTCCTTACCGGTAATTCCAACACCAACATCTGCGCTTTGAATCATGGCAATATCATTGGCACCATCTCCAATAGCAAGGGTGACTTTTGACTTATTTAATTTGCGAACACTTGTCACCATTTTGGCTTTCTGATAGGGAGATGCTCGACAACAGATAACAGAGTCTGACTTCATACAGAGAGAGATGAACACCGTCATCAACGTGCTGTCCATTTCAATCTCCGACAAGGTGCCCCCATCGACGACAACCACACAGTGAGCCACGTTTCCTTCTTCAATTTCGAGCTCTGCAGCTGTCATCATGGAAGACAGTCTTTCCGTCCCTTCGTCAGTAGAAAGAACAATAACTTTGGAGTAGTCCTTGATTAATCGACAAGAGTACCCAATGTTTATTGCAGTCTCCCTTTTATCTCCGGTCAGCATCCAAAGCTTTATGCCTGCTCGTCTTAGCTTTTCAATGGCTGCTGGGACCCCTTTCTGTAATTTGTCTTCTATGGCAGTGGCTCCCAAAAGCTCCAAATTCTCTTCCAACTGACAGCCAATTTTCTCAACGAGTTCAGCGCGGTTTGTCAGAGAAGTCTTTGCCTTGGCATATCTTTGGGACCATTCTGAATAAACATCTTCAGAGAGATAACGGTACGAGTAAAGCAAAGTTCTCAAGCCCTCCGTTGAAAAGTCTTCCACATGTTCAATGGTCTTCTCTAGAACGTATTCATCGTTGACAACCAATCTATCCGATGGAATGTATGACATCTCTTCGCGTAGGTTATACTTTTCCGCCTGTTTCAACTGCAATGACCTTCTAGCTTTGCTCTTAATCTCCTCAAGTTCGTGTCTTTCATTATCCTCAGAGAGGACAGAGTCTATGGCTCTAGAAGCGTGACCGACGCGAATAGGCGACACACCATCCATTGAAGAACGGGACAAGCTCAGACTTGGTCTTGCAATTGAAGAGGTCGAGCTCCTGCCCTCTCTTGAACGGACAGAATCCATCGATCTTCTCTGTAAAATCAGTTCTGCCTCATACCGTTTCCGATCGGCGACGCTCCTCGAAAACTCTTGCTGTTTCGAATGGGCCAATTGAGAGTTCCTCAGCCTCTCCGTAATGACATTGTCCGCTCCTTTACAGAATAGAACAATCTTCGAATCTGGAAGTCGGAGTATCACCGACATTCGTTTTCTATTTGACGAGAACTCAACCACATCGAGAATCTCGTAGTCCTCAAATACAGGCTCTTTATCAGATCCGTGCGGGTACAGCTTGAGCGTGATAGTTTTCTGTTTCTTTTCGAACAAAATGAAGCCCATCTCGCTGGCGGCCTGAACTAGGGCCAACTCATCAGGAGAAGAGGCCTGGTAGTTTATGGACTCCATTTCTTCCTCAAAGCCTTCCATAGTGTCCATCTCGGGAACAGAATCACTCTTTGCTTTCTTGGGGAGACAGGAGTGACACAATGCAATAGAAAGAAGAAAGAATGTCACACGCTTGGCGTATATGGTGTTCGGATTTGTCTGTAAATATTTGATGAGTTCCGCAGATGACTTGATGCTAGGTTTAGAATCTAGGTTCTGTATTTTCGCAGTTTGCGCGGTTACCAAGCTTGGATTGACAGATGACAAGCTTGACCGACCAGCGAGAAGTGGAGGGACTGATCCAGTTACACCTTTGCTGGAGTCAAGAGCTACATCCACAGAGTCCACAGTAAGTGGAATCTGGGCTGTTTCAGGGTCCTTTGCATCAGATTGATCCATATCATGAATCCAAGGTGTACCGCATACGCTGAATTTGCGAAAAATCATAACGTTATCGGTCAGGGTACCAGTTTTGTCAGAAAAAATATAACTAACTTGGCCCAATTCTTCTAAAATGGTGGCAGTCCGTGCTTCTGCGGGCGTGTTAGACTGAAGATGGTACATGTCAATATCCCACTGCAATAGAAGCATCTGAACGGCTTTGATGATCTCCATTGTAACATAGAGAGACAAAGGAATAAGGGTGTTGTACATGATGATGAAACCCATAATTGTTGGAGCAATACCGGCATCTTCGCCTCTGACGTACCAGTTCTTGTCTCTGTATTTTTTATAGAAAAGTCTCTCCGCCATAAAAGAAAACATCGATAGCGTGACAACCACGAAAACCATGAACGCCACGATGTAATTGATTGATTTTTGCAGTTTCGGTGCCTTAATCCGTGGATTTTTGATGGAATTCATTCTGATTTTCGTTTCCTCACCACTGAAAACAACCACCCCCAAACAAGAATCAGTGTTTCTGATAATCGACCCTCTGTAAATGATATTTTCGGGGCCTAACGCAAATTTTCTAGTTTCATGAGATGTAGGGTCTTCAATGTCTAAAGATCCCTCAAAGTTGTAAAGATCAGAGTTTGGATCTTCACAATGAATATTAGCTTTCAGTTTGCGCAGTCCCTCGATTGAGTTGGCTAGTTTGTGGAGTTCCTGATTTGGCAGCTTGGACTTCAAATTCGTTTCTCCATCCAGAGCCATAGTCTCTACAAATGCTTCTCCCATGTCGTTTGTCGAAGTCAGCAAAACGATGTCCGCCGGCACCCACTCATCACATTCAATCTTCACGATGTCTCCCACTCTAATGTTTTTCCATCTAGTGCGTATTGTCGAGATTCCCTCTTTGCTGAGAAGTTGTTCGTTGACAAAAGAGTTTTCGTCAAAAATCATATTTTCGTCTTGCGAGTCTAGATCATCAGTATCGAACGACTGAGTGCTCGATCTCAATCGCGAGAAAGATGTTGCGCTTTTACTGTAAACGTAGTGTGAAGAATAATGCGACTTTCCCATCTTGAGCACTGTGCTTGGCTTGTTATTTTCGACCTTATCCAATTTATGTCGTCTCAGGTCGTCCCAACCTTCTCTCAGTATAGAGATCGAGATGAAGATAGATAGGGGAATGATGGTGGTAGATGTACCAGTTGTTGACCACGAAGGTATCAACTGCAATATCGCAACCGTCATGAAGTAGCAGTTGGCGAGCTTGGAAAACTGCGCAATCAGCTGTCGAGGCAGAAAACTCAACAAGGTGTACTTCGACGAGGTAATGACGTTGTTCACATAGGGCTGATTTGTGCGGTTATCCAGCAGCAGCACCTCACCTTTCTTGTTGGTTATAGACGGCTCTCCGCTGCGCTTGAGGTTGACAGTGATCGGGAGACGGCGGCCACCCTTGGACTCTGGAGCATTGGAGACTCCCATGAGAGCATTCAAAGTGGCCTTGATAAAATGATATTTGCTCGTCGTTCGTTGTGTATAGTTGTACTTGTATTGCGGTTCATCGTTCAAATCAATCACAGATTGATTGAGTGACCCAGAGCTGCCAAAGAGGCTGGCTTGATTTGCTGGCGAATCATCATGTCTAAATACGTCGAGCTCATCTGCGAGATAAGAATTGTCCACCTGTTTGAGTTCGATTTCGGGAGTCGTTAGGTAGTTTTCGGCAGACTGCGCAACGTTCTTACTGAAGAGCTGCGTTCGGAGACTGAAACCACGTTTCCGAGTTTTCACTGGTTTGGATAAGGGTCCTTCCGAGAAAATCTCTTGCTCCACTGTGATAGTGGGAATACCATTTAAATGCTCTGAGGACGAACTCATGTAGAAACTTCTCTCCAGATATGTCAAGCACGCTGGTTCAACGGGCTTTGTCGCGACTCTCTAGATGTACAGTACTTCCCTATAAGGACTTTAATTCTTCCGGATGATTTGAAGAAATCGTACGCACACGTTTAAACATCTATTTCTGTCAGATTCGTGCATGGCGCAGCATCAGTGAATCAAATGACCATAACCATGGCAAAATTGACGGAACCTGCATCTTGGCCGATTCCTGAAACAGATGCTGGGCTGTTCACTCTTATTCTCGCGATCAGACTCGCCAACTCTCTCTCAATCAATACTTTTTTCCAAGCCGACGAGTACTGGCAAGCACTTGAGCCTGCACATTATCAGATTTTTGGCTATGGTTACCTGACCTGGGAATGGCGTCAGGGAATCCGGTCTTTCATGCATCCTTTGCTTTACGTTCCAATCTACAAAGTATGTCAAATCTTGAGTCTCGACTACGCATATCTGCTTTATCTGCCTAAGGCGATGAACGCGTTGATCTGTGCGGTCGGTGAGACATTCCAGTACAAGCTCACATGTAAATGGACCCAGGACCCTTCAGTTAGACGCGCAATGTTTTACTTGAGTTTATTTTCGCCATTCAATTGGTATTGTTACTGCCGGTCATTCTCAAACTCACTCGAGCTAGCACTCACGACTGTGGCACTGTTTTTATACCCTGAGACATTTGGTGTTCACTACATCTACTCTATGGCAATTGCAGGGCTGTGTTGTATAATTAGGCCAACAAACGGCCTGATATGGGTGGTTTACGGGCTGCGAAACTTCTACAGAGGTCCTCGGCTCAAAATCATAATATCCACCATTCTCATTGGTATCGCCGTTTTGAGCGTCGACCTCATAGTAAACCGTTATTTCTACGGCTCTTGGAGAATTCCCTACATCAAATTTCTCGACTTCAATGTGTCTAAGAACCTCTCATCTTTTTACGGAGTGTCAAGGTTGGATTTCTACTTTCTTCAGGCTATTCCTGTGATACTATTGACCTATCTCCCATATTTTATGATTGGGTTACTAGTCAAGAAGTCAAGAGAGCTCAAATTGGTACTCATCATAAATCTTTTGGTATTCTCCTTGATTCAGCACAAAGAATTCCGATTCATTTATCCCATGATGCCTATTTTGCTCTTCTTTGCCACACATGGGATGCTCTATGCGCTCAGAAAACTCAAACCTTTAACATCATCCAGCTTGATTCTTTTCATTGCACTACTGAACACTGCTATGGCATTCTATTTTACACAGATTCATGAGAGTGGGGTCATTACCGTCACCCGATACCTTAGAGATGAAATTGGTAGCAGTCAATCCTCCATCGGATTTTTGACGCCGTGTCACTCTACTCCATTTCAAAGTCATTTCCACCTACATCCAAATCAGGTAGATATTTGGTTCTTGACATGCGAGCCTCCGTTGCAACTAAGTTCCTCATCAGATCTAGCTACTTATAGAGACGAGTCGGATGAATTTTATGACGATATGCCAGGATTTTTGCAGCGCAACTTCCCCTCCCTTACTGCAGACAAATCAAAGGATGAGACCAAAGGACCCTATCCGCATACATGGCCTGAATACTTAGTTTTTTTTGAGAGCCTGGAGCAATTCATGAAAGAATACCTCCGTAATAGCAGCTACTCAGAACACCATCGAATTTTTAATAGCAGATTTCACTGGGATTCTCGCAGGACGGGAGATGTCATTATATACAAGCTTAATTAGACGTCCCAAAATGATTTTGTGTCTTGTTGCCTGTCTGGGGCAGCCGATTCATGCTTTATTAATTGTTCCAACGACTCTTTTCGAACTGTTGTTAAATCCAGATCAAGGCCATTTTGTTGCGCAAAAGTATTCAGGGCATCAATAGTTTTTCTTGCAGACCTCCAGTTCTTCTCTTGTATGTAGACATCGAAAAGCCCGATCATGCAATTGTGATCACCTAGCTCTGCTCCCATTTGAAACCACTTTTTGGCCTTGTAGAGGTTTTTGAAGTAGTTCAGCTCCAAGAAACCAAGCGTCTTGAAGCTTTCCTTGAAACCCTGCGTAGCTGCCATTTCGAGGTGGTAGCGAGAACGTAGAGGATCAATTTCGTATATCAGACCCAGCATGTAGTGAGACTGTGCTACTTTAGACATTGGAGCTAGCTTGATGGACTTTTCAAAGAAAATCTTGGCACGAAGAAGCTGATTTTGCTGGAAATGGATCATGCCCATCGTTTTGTAAACTTCTGCGGACAGGAACGAATTAGCATCGAGTTTTATAAATTTCCAGTACTGATTCACAGCTTCTTGATATCTGCCCTGGTCATAATCATAGTCTCCACCCATCTTGTAAACGAGAGGATGCTCAAGATTTCTCAGCTCTTCTATGAACTTTTTCGCCTGAACCTTGTCCTCATCAGTGTATTCTCCTTTTTGATCTCGTAAAGCTCTAAAAGAAATAATTGTCAATGCATCCCTACTCCCAAGCTCCGCAGCTCTCTCTATAAGTTCATCCTCCAATTCAACAAGGTGCTGATTTGATGTGTGGGTCTGAGTTCTTATTTCCGCCAGAATTTTCTGAAACAGAAGAAGATCTGATCCTTGCACCTTCTTTGGGAATGATAGTTTATCCTTTCCAACGTTATCGTAAATGTCTTGTATCACTGGCATGTACTTTCGTAGGTTCATTCTAGCGTCAAAGTCAAAAAGCAGACGCTTGATGAGCTTGCGCTGGGGCAAAATGTCCAGCAATAATGGTCGTTGAGTGGAATAAGCACGAACCAGCATATTAAATTTAATTTTGTAACTCTAAAATAACTTATGCTTTTTAAATTTCGGAGTCATCAATTTTCATGCCCCCCTCTCCACAATTGAACCACACTCAGGGGTCTGGTGGGACAGTTCATCCAATAGAATTGGTGGTGCAATCATTAATCGAATCACCACTTGAAGTGCTTAACCTGAACCTCACATCTCTATACGAGTCTCAAGTCATACTATCAAGCATTCTACGCCAGCTTGAAGGTAAGTTGGAACGAACACGGGAAAACTTGGCGGAATGTCAAGAAAGTAAAGACAATACCAGTATCTCACTGGATGACTATGTGAAGCGAGTCACAGCTATGAAGTCGCAGCTGAGTGCCATTAGCTCGAAAATGGAAATTATCGAACAACGAGTAGACAAAATATTACAGAATATGGGCTCAGAATAACATAGTCATATCCATCGTCTCAACTAGATAATATGATCATAATTTTAGAAGCCAATATGGATAACCGGTATTTTTGGCGTGGAAGCAGATCACCAGAATGCTGTATAAAATGAAAATGCCGACAGATAATCCAATGGAACCAAACAATCTCAACTTGGCATTCTGCAACTTTTCGAACAAGTCCACCAAAATCACCATACCGACGCAGAAAAGTCCATATATGACGGAAACAATCTGTGTTTCGACTCCCAGCTGTGCTTGGTGACCGCCCATGAAGTACATGTTGGAGCCATCTTTATTTGTACGAATGTACTGTGTATTTCTAATCACATTAAACATGTAACCAGATGTGAACAGAATGACAAGTAAAATGCTAAATGCTTGCCAACCCCTTTTGTTGGTGATGACGGCTAAAACCCTTTTATAATTCAGTATGATGATCACGCTAAGCCCGAAAACGATGCAAAATGATAAGAAGAACTCAGTGTAGTTGAATTTGGTTCTTAAAGTAAATAGCTCGGGGCTTAGGTGCGTCTTAGCCACCAACCAGCTGGTCAATGTGGAAATCATATCAGTGCTCATAAACACAAACTCATCACTTGGTTTTAGACCACTTCCTTGCTGTGCATTATAGTAGTAGACTTTTGGGACGTTATTAAGTGCCAACTGTTGAAAAAGCTTTCTGGAGTCTGGGAAATCAGAGTATGCGAAGATCAACTTCGTATCATCAGAGCCAAGACCATGCGTTTCAACATTCTCATAAAATGAGGAAGCAAGCTGCTCAAATACAGGTTGGAACTCATTGCATAGAACGCATCCAACTTGTGGACTTGATGCGGTAAGGTACAGTACTATGTCAAAGTCCTCGTTGTTCAAAAGGTTTTGGTAATTGGCGTCGGTAATCTTAACAATGTTCCTCTTGTACTTCGACGTCAAAGTTTCATATCGCACGCCCAAGCAAGCAGGAATCAACAATCCAATGGATAATAACAAAGAGGCAAATCTCATTGCTTGCAGTTGGACTGAGCTTGAACAAGTTTGCGAACGTGTTTTAATTTCAGTGTCTCGGGATCCCGACGCGGCGATCGGCGCCGTCCTAAAAATTCAGTTTCGTCCATGATTTTTTTTCAACCTTTAAGCTTCGTGTTTAACTAAATATGCCCATTAGATCCCTCGAGCCCTATCTGTTTGACCTGAAATCTGTGTCCAACAGTCATATGGACGTTCTGGAGAACGCAACCATTGGAATTGAGGTTGAACATTATCTCTCGAGACTTCTTACACCTAGGAAAGAACCTAACCTTGAAGCAATCGGAGGTTTCCCAATGACCTTGAAGAAGCTGATGGAATCGGATTTTAAGTCATTTGAAGAGCTCAAGATAACCCCGATATTTGTGTTCCCAGGTCTGAGAACGGTAGATCAGTTTGATTATATCAAAGAGCCTGAACTACTACAACACGAAATGAACTTTAGAAAAATATGGGACGAAAAAGTTGCAAGAGAGCATTACAATGAGAGTTTCAGAGATTCCAACACACCATTGGCTTTGAGGCCAATCATGGATGACTTGATGCAAATCCTGGAGTCCAAGGGCGTGGACTATATCGTCGCTCCGTATTTTGCATGGATTGAGCTTCAGTATCTGCTGGCAGAGAACTTGATACACTGCATATTTGGATCAACAGATGGCCTTCTGATTGAAGGTATAGAGAAGTTCATATTCAGCATGGAATTTGAAAGCAAGCAGTTTAAATATTTTGAAAAATCTAGTGTGCTTCGAAAACTCAATCTCAATCCAAAACAATTCAGAGACATTTCTATGTGTGTTGGGAACGGCTTTCAACCTTATAACATCAACATCTTCCCCCATATCCCATCGTCTCCAACGTTCCCGTCTCTCCACGAATTCATCCTTAATGGGGGCTCGATCTACAACTCTCTTCTTGCGTTGCCGAATGGGGGCAGATACATGGAAATATATCAGAAGGGATGTGCTTCTCTTGACTACACCCCGGTGCTCAAAGTGAATGGAAGAACCGAATTGTTACAAATGGATAGTGACACATCTTTCTTGTCGTCTGTGGCAGCTAGCCCTCAGACTCTCAATTCTTCCAACACGTCTGCGGAAACGACACCATCAGAACCTTCGAGACGGATTCCGGACGACTTACATGAGGTGATTGGGCAGAGATTACCGGATGAGCTGTTTTTCTACCAATCGATAGGCCTTACGGCGTTCGAACTCTGTGAAACATTGATTCATGGAACACAAGTTGAAAGACTACCCTTAGATATGTCAGTGACACCGTTGTACCAAAAACTTGTCTGTGATGAAGAGTCTCTAGAGATACGAGGTAAAACTCTAAACCTGTTTGCCAATTCACTCAACAGATACCACCAGTTCAAAAAACTGCGCCTGGAGACCGTTTTCAATGGTCGCCAGGAGTATGAACTCGTTCAAAGGATGACTCCTCCCCTTTATCTCAAGGTGAAACCTCTGCTTGTTAGACACACCACTGCCAGATCATTCCAGTTAGCAGCTTTTCTCTCAGGAATGAGCGACGAGTTTTTGGAAGACATGGTGGTTGCGAAAGCCGACGAAGAGGGCGCCAGAGTTTCTACTAGCTATGAAATAATCTCCACGGGCCTGATTAGAACGCTTTACATCTATGGATTCTTGTCGGAGAATGATTTCAAACTGACTGAGTGGGGAAAACTCTTACCTCATCTTTCCAAGTCGGTCAACGTGGAGATGCTACTTCTGGTGCTCATTTTCTTCAAGCGCTTTTCTGAGTTAAAGGCAGATGATATTCTACAGCCCAACGATCTGAAAACAGACAACATGCAGTACAAAAACGCCGCGATTTTCATTTCCAAAATACTCTCTCTCCAACCAATGTCGAAGCTTAGTCCTGTCAATTATGTTTATAAAGTCCATAGGCCTTTGCTTCAGTTCAGATCGGTGATGGACAAACTGAAATCATACACCAAAGATCTCGTGACTTCAAACATCATAGCTTTGGAGTTGTTAAATCACGATGACCTGGACAAATTCCAACGAGACAATAGATCTTGGAGAAAACTCACGACGGAGATTCCCTTCAGAAGATCACTTCCGAACGTTCTTTTGGGAATTGTAGCACAGGAATTTTTAGAAACATACCTTGCTAATCTGGACACGGAGAAAGCGTCTGCTTCCGTGGATCAATCATTATTGAAATCCGTCAATGAGAAACCATCGGCAGAGTTTTTGAACGGCTTGAAGTTTGTGAAGCAAGTTACTGTTCTAATTCGCGCTTTACTACAAAACAAACTCATAAAAGTGGACGAGGCATTCATTACCATGATCGAGACGAGCGAAGAACTTATTACAAAAATCGAATCCAGCTAGTCGACCGACTTAATTCAGTTGAAACAGCTCTAAACATTGGTCCATAAGCTCAGAGATCAAATCAAGTTGATTTTGAGCTTCTTTCCAGTCTCCCGCATCGATTGCATCCCGAACGCCAGGGAAAGAATCATAGATGAATGACGTTTCTTTTGTTTCGGGAATTCTAAACTCATTTCCAAATAGAACATTCTTATGCCATGGTCGATCATAAATGCCATTAGAAGATTGTAGTATTTTTTCTAGAAGGACGATCTTTGCGTTCCAGTCCCACCTGTTCACGGCCAGCAGGTTTGGCTCTGAGCCTGAATCAGCGTTAACAATTTCGGTCCAGGTTTTGATAAATGACTGCTGCTCTCTGGCAATACTTTTGAGTTTCACCAAGGACGTGTCAAATCTTGTGAAATCCAATTTGGAGTTCTTATCTTTGAACTCAACGTAAGAGCGCAAATCCTTCATATTTCTGTTAATCGCAGAGACCATGTTTAATATATCGTAGGGAATGATTGGCTTGTCAGTCAATTGCAAGATGATTTTCGCCACTAATCGAGTCAGTGCTTTGTGATACTGCATTTCACTGTCTATGTTCTGTTTCCTGAAATTGTCAAATGTGTCTAAACAGCTGTTTTTGGGGTAGCTTTTGCCCCGGAATCGAAATTCGGCGGAAGGCATCCCAAAGTGAGAAATGAACGGCTGGTAGTTCTTCGTATTATCTTTCATGGACAAAAAGTTCTTATCCCAAACTTCGGCAAGAGATTTATTTGTGGCTGGATCTTCCACCAAACTCAACGTATCCTGAATCAATGAGTGGAGAATTGGATCTGCGGCTATCTCCAGCTTGGAGCCAGACACAGCATCACTCAAGTCAATATAGCTGTATCCTTGGCGGTTGAAAAAGTCACCTTTACTCTGAGCAAAGTAGGTAGAACCAGCCATATTGTAGTCTGTTCCGGAAAATGAAACGAAGTAGATTGATCTGAGAGGTTTCCATTTCATTGCACGCATCATGTTGGAGAACAGAGAAATGAGCTCGAGTAAAACCGCAGTTCCCGTACTGTCAACAGCACCAAATCCAGGAGAATCCCTTGCTGCCCCAATGACAATTGCAAGATTATTTTGCTCAGAACCCGATATCCGTCCAGCAACATTCCAAACCTCCTTATTCATTCTTTCTGCCACTTCGTTCGACATATCAACAATAAACTCGTCACTTCCCGTCCAAATTTCAACCTTTTCATTACCGAAATCCAAATCCCATGCCTCTAATCTCTCCCCATGTCCTTTCAAAGGAGTCATGATGTTTTTGACGCTTTCCCAAGAGATTGGAACACTTGGAATGCGCGGCGTGCAGTTGTTGGAATTCCACATAATATCCAGGTCAAAATAGTCTGGGACACGATCGAGAACCCCCCCGCCAGGACTCACCATATTTCCAGTATAAAAATCTGGTAATGCGACAGGTTCTTTTTGAATAGATAGCATGTTATAAGCAGAACCGGGTTTCGGGTCACTGAAGAAGAGGACTCCAGAAGCCCCTTGTTCGTGTGCGTAATACAATTTTTTGGATTCCATCAAAAGGCCTCCATATTTGACCACCACGACTGAGTCCTTGACATTCACCCCCTTTTCCGCCAGCACTTTATAATCCTCTAATGTGCCATAGTTGGCGTAGACCACACGACCCTTCGCTGACCCTCTTTTTGAGCCCGGATTGAATGCCATCTGTTGCAATTCGACGTTGTTTTCATTATGGTCTTGGTCCGTCGATTTTTCGATCAAATCACAATCGTGGATTAATTTATCTCCCTCGTATAGTTTAACATGAACTTTTTCGGGATAGTTGACATATGCAGTGAATTTCGAGTTTCCGTCCAATTGAAGTCCTGAATCGGAAACAATGTCCTCAATATATCGAGCGAGAGCGAGATCGCCAGCTGTGCCGGCCATGTGGGGCATGGAGGATAAGTACTCCAGATTTTCCTCGATTCTGCTAACCTCCACGTGGGAGTCAATGAAGGAATGGAGCTTGTGCACATCGTAGAAGTCTCCATACAATGACCCGGCGGCATCCGGATACAAGCCAGACATCGATATAACATAAATGATTGTGGCAATAAATAGAACATATAGGAGTCGTTTAATGATAAGCGGATTGCCGACTTTGGAAATGTAACTTTCGGTTTTGGTGCTGATGAATCGATAAAGCTCGTAAACCGGGTCCAGAGCGTTATTTATAGGACGAAAAAATCGTTTGTTGAAACTCTTTGCGAAATCCCCGGCCTTGGTGAACAGCTCACGCGGGCTCATTCTTTGTCTCTGTGCCGGTTCATCTATATCAAGCTGCTCATAGTTTGCAAACTCCCCAGAGGCATCTTCCAAAGTATCATAAGCCGGTGGCTCTTCGTCAGGTAAATTTGGAATCTCCAGGTATTGTCCCTGGTTGGTCATTAAATTGTCTCGGTAGATTTGATCGTCTTTGAAAAACAAATATTCTGATAAAGCTTGATGCACTGCCGGCAAAAAAATTGAATTACTGTTACCATGAAGAGTTACAACATTGCGTAAGTACACCTGTCTTGACGCCTAACAGCCAAGAATGATATCAGATTTCTTCTATCCCCAGCCCGGAGGTATGGAACTTCATATCTACCACCTTTCGCAAAAGCTCATAGCCAGGGGACATTCTGTTGTGGTAATTACCCACGCTTATGGCGACAGAACAGGGGTTCGAATGCTGACTAATGGCCTTAAAGTATACTATGTCCCATTCTTTATCATATACCGTCAAACGACTTTTCCAACGGTGTTTTCATTGTTTCCCATACTTCGTCAAATCCTGATCCGCGAGAGCATCGATATAGTTCATGGTCATGGTACTTTCAGCTCCATGTGTCACGAGGCAATTTTGCACGCCAACACAATGGGGATTAAGACTGTTTTTACAGATCATTCGCTGTTTGGATTTGCAGACGTGGGTTCGATTTTGGGCAACAAACTGCTAAAATTCACTCTCACCAATATCGGTCATGTGATATGTGTTAGCCATACGTGCAAGGAAAACACCGTTCTACGAGCCAGTTTGGATCCGTCCTCAGTTTCTGTAATCCCAAATGCGGTTATTGCTGATGATTTCAAACCTGCAGAGGTCAAACCGTCATTGAAGAAAATCACTGTTGTCGTGATCTCGCGACTGTTTCAAAATAAGGGGGCAGACCTTCTGACGGCCATAATCCCTCGGCTGTGCTCCACTCGGCCTGATATACATTTCCTAATTGCTGGCGATGGCCCAAAGTTCATCGATCTAGAGCAGATGAGGGAAAAGCACCAGCTACAAGATAGAGTCGAACTCATTGGAAGCATACGGCATCAACAGGTTCGGGATGTGATGGTGCAGGGACATATATATTTACACCCATCTTTGACCGAAGCTTTCGGAACAGTACTGGTCGAGGCTGCGTCCTGCGGGTTGCTAGTGGTAACAACCAAGGTCGGAGGTATTCCTGAGGTGCTCCCAAATAAAATGACAGTTTTCGCTGATCCGGATGAAGAGTCGCTGGTCGATGCTGTGAATCTGGCAGTGAGAAAGCTCAAAGAAAATAAAATTGATACAAGCAGTTTTCATGAAGAAGTTAAGAAAATGTACGATTGGGGAGATATCGCCAAGAGAACAGAAAAGGTGTACAACATGGTCTTTGAAAGAGAGTCCCCCTCTCTTGTGGATGTTCTAATTAAGTACTACAATTGTGGCCCTTGGGCTGGATTACTGTTCATATTGTGCGTGGTCGTCGATTTATTTATTCTCGAGTTTCTGACCTGGTGGTGGCCCGAGTGTGATATAGACAAGGTGAAGAAGTGGCCACAAAAGAAAGCCCAAATAGACAAATGAACGCGCTTTCATCCCATTAAGATGTTGAGCATTTTGGTGTAGCCTTTCAATGCATTTGAGTTATCCTCTGTGATTTTTGGAATCTGAAAGTGTTTAATGTTAGCAAAGAGCTCATCAGCTCTCACCATCTCATCGATATTGGTACTCAGATCCCACTTGAGTGGCCGAATGTCAGGTAAAAAGTCATAGGCAGACTGCAGTTCGCGGTTTTGGACAGTTCTGGAGGTATCAAGCTTGGTTACCAGTGCCCTGAGGCTTGAGATTTCATTTATGAGTTCCATTTTGTCCAGTCTCATAAACTCTTCGTAGACTCCACGAGTTTTGTCGTCTCCATAAAGCTGTAACCTTCTAGTTGCCTCATCAAGTTGTTTCAAGATCTCTTTGTACTTCACCTGTGCTCCCGTGTATTCTTGGTTTAGTTTTTGATTCTCTAATTGCAATTCTTCAAACGACTTAGATAGCTGTATCAGTTGCAATTCCTCTGTTTGGTGTTTGCTCAACTTGGCCTGGAGCAGAGAGATCTTCATTTGAAGTTCCTCAATAGTCCGAGCTTGCTCGTTGCTCGTCGTATCATTCTGGATGTCTGTGTGTCCAGCAAACCAGCTTGTGAATGCAGGGATTCCAACAGCTTCAAATTCAGGGAAGTCTAGCTTAGTAGAGGAGATTTTCACCAGCTCTCCGAACACCGCAATCTCCTCACCAGCCCTTATTCTTTCATCCAGCTCGCAAAGAGTAGCAAAAAGGTCTTCTATAGGTCCAAATCGAACATTAGGCCCACTTATTAGCCCTTGAGCATTTTTCTCCAGCATTTCGAGTGCACGGATTTGACCGTCGAGTTGCCTCATCAAATCCTCAATGGTCACTTTCACTTCGCTAAACCCATACCTTATCCCGCTCAATAACAGTCCGTCCTTTAGTAGACCACTCAAAAGAAGACAGTACTCAAGTTTGTGGACAGCCAGCAGCATGTGCTTGAGGACTTCCTCCCTGTTTTTCACAGGTCCCTCGAATGGAATCATGAAACTTTCGTGATACTCATGTGCTTCAAGCATTTCATCAAACCTTTCCAGAAGCCCAGAAACGTGCTGCGCGACAGCATCTGGCACCTCTCTGTGATATTCGCACGTTCTTATTATACAATATGCTTCTAAGGCAAGCCGTCCTAGGGCAAAGGCATCGCGAAGACACTGCGATTGATGGAAATAATCATCAACACTTGCAACCTCACCTAGTTGACCAATAAAATGATCTTCGAACTGGTGGCACAAAGTTCTAAATCTCACGACCTGGGCCATCTCCTTTAAGCTTTCTGAGCCGCCTTCAGATCTTAAGAGGAGATTTGAATACTCTTCCAAAGCTAAACGCTCCGCCTTGTGCAAGACCTGCTGTTTTTCCAGCTGGTGCTTTAATTGCAATTTTTGAGAGTGATGGTGTTTCAATTGAGAAAGAAGCTTTTCAGTGTTCTCGTTAGAAACGCTAGAATTTTCCGGTTGTGAGTGCTTCTGCAGAAGTAACTGATTGAGCTTTGCAACTTTGGTCTCGAGATCTTTGATACGAGCTTGTTCTTGCGCCAGCTTTTCTTGTGTCTGCTCTAATTCAGCCCGCAATTCATTTTCTATCTCCAAATGACTTTGTTCCAGATCTTTATCAAGTTCCAGCAGGGTTTCGAGCTCTTTCATGGCTGCCTTACAATTTGAGAGTTCGTCCGTCAATTCAACATTTTGGACCGTTAACGATTCGATAATAATTTCGGCGTTAGCTAGAGACGATAATTTGGTCTGAAGCTGGTCGTTGAGTTTTCTCAACTTGTCGAGCTCCTTCACATATTCTTCTATTTGAGCACTGTCAACATCTCCGCACCTAATCGAGTCAGCTGAAATCTCTTTTTTCCTGTCTTGCAACGCAGCCAGTCTGTCAGCCAGCGTCATTTTTTCCATGATTTCTCGCTCTAATGATTCCTCCAAGGATATCACAGTACTTTTTGATGATTCCAATTGAGCCGTAAGATCGTTCACATCCGATCGCAGTTTCAGCACTTTGTCTTCCAACGATCTGATAATAGCCTTCAGGCGAGTCTCGCCCGAGTTGGGCGGCTGCAACATTGAAGGACGAACGAAGACACCATGTTTATCTTGTGCTTGGAAATACCTGACTCCAGCAACAGAGCCATCGTTCTTCCCAACCGGTCGGTCAAGTTCAACTCCAATCCACTCACCGGGCTGAAATTGAGTTGGACCTATATATTTGATAGTTCCCTCCACATCATTTAGCACCACTCTATCATTGATATTGTGCATATAAGAAAATCAAGCGATCGCGTATTTTTTTGTTTTTTTGAAAACAATTACCTACCTAAATCATCATGTCGTCTCTGAAGAGTGGAAGACAGATGAAAGTTGAGCTGCTCAACGAGCAAAAACAGGAGATCAGGGAGGCTGTAAGTATGAAGGCATGCAGTCTAACCTTAGTTTACTCTATTTGATATGAATGGTGATGGATACCTCGACTACCACGAATTGAAGGTGGCCCTGAGAGCACTTGGATTCGACATGTCCAAGAGAGAAGTTCTCAACGTAATAGACGAATACGATACAGACAACCGCAAGCTGATCAACTACGAGGATTTTTTCCAATACGTGGGGAATAAAATCATTGAGCGCGATCCGATAGACGAGATCCGCCGCGCGTTCAGATTATTTGACGACGATGAGACGGGAAAAATTAGTCTTCGAAATCTTAGGCGCGTTGCCAAGGAATTAGGTGAAAATCTGACAGACGATGAACTCCGGGCGATGATTGACGAGTTTGACTTGGATGAGGATGGGGAAATCAACGAGGAAGAGTTCATTAATATATGTACCGAGAACTAGATTGTACGAGTAACAAAAGCGAGCTTTTTAATGCGGTAAGTAGCAAACTTTAGAGTGCTCTGGCCGCCCTACTGTTTTCACAGCCTTAATTATTTGGCGCATCGCCAAATAAAGGATACAGAAATATCCTGGGCTGGACTTCTTATTCACTTCCAACATGAAAGACGTTGAGAAGCTCGAACAGACAGAGGTTGTTGAGAAAACAATATCTCTTGATCAAGAGAGCAGGAGCGACACGTCAAATGTTGCGGAGCACACTCTAGCGGCGTTAATTTGCACCCTACCCATTGCGGTTACTTTATATCTGAGTTGGAAAGATCGGAAATTCATGTCAACGGAGCTGTCCAAACAGGAGCTAGTAACAAGACTATCGCTGTACAAATCAAAACCACCAACCACAATATTTATCAACTTTCTAATCTCCCTAGTGGGCGTAGAGAATATCCTTGGAATTAGGTCTTCTCAATTTGTCACTTTCGCATCGTTCTACTTAGTGGCGATCTGGTCACAGGCATCAATGGTGATCGTGCAAGTGGTTGGAATAGTTAATGAGATGCATCTAGAGAGAGAGTATTTTTGGTCAATGTCACTTCTGATTATCGTTTTCATATCCATCGCCCTGGGGTCTTCCATTCGTCTCTACAGGGCGCAATGCACAACCACAAACGATGCCCAAAATGGCCTCACACTTCTGAGCTCGTTCCAGGCATGGCTCACAGCTTTCGGTTGTCTTTTCGAATTGTGCCATTATTCGACAATCAATTTCAACAATATGGTGAACTACTATTCCTTCCTCACTAACAGTGCTGCTGAACAGCGGACGCTGGTTCTGCTGGTCACCATACACGTTGGTGCAATGGTCATAGTCGGAGCCGTGCTTCTGACAAACTTCCTATGCTGTCTCGGTTTTGAGCGCGAAACAAAACCTTGGATTGTGGATCAGCAATCTACTGCAATAAGAATGATGATTTGCCCGCTACTGTCCATCTCAATTCTTCATTGCATGCAGAATGAATGGGCGGATTTGTTCAATTCGTAATAGCTAGTAATATACAAAATAGTGCACCCGTACACCTGTAGACATGGATTGAAGAGATCCGGAATTGAAAAAAAATTACCCAGTGGGGAGATAAGACACCAAGTGTACTTTGAGTTGACAAGAAGGTAATAAATCTGGCCAGCTTTTGCTCATATTATTCAACAATTGGAATATTTCCGTGAATTCAAGCCCATTTAGAGATACAAACCACGAAAAAGCAAGCCAAATTCCACTAAAACTATGTCTAAAATTGCTCAAACTGCGAAGACAGCGTCGACCTTACTGAGGTCTTCTATCGGGAAAAACATCAGAACTGCCTCTTCTGGCGCTGGTACAGCTACTATGACTGTTAGAGACGCTCTGAACAGTGCTATGCAGGAGGAACTGGACAGAGACCCTGATGTGTTTTTGATGGGCGAGGAAGTTGCTCAGTATAACGGTGCATACAAGATTTCCAGAGGGCTCCTAGATAAGTTCGGCCCAAAAAGAATTGTGGACACTCCTATCACTGAGATGGGTTTCACAGGTTTGTGTGTTGGTGCTGCATTATCCGGCCTTAAGCCGATCTGCGAGTTCATGACTTTCAACTTTGCCATGCAATCCATTGATCAAATCATCAACTCTGCAGCCAAGACCTATTACATGTCTGGTGGCAAGCAGCCATGTAACATTACCTTTAGAGGTCCGAACGGTGCTGCTGCAGGTGTTGCTGCCCAGCATTCCCAAGATTATTCCGCTTGGTACGGATCCATTCCAGGTTTGAAGGTCATTTCTCCATTCTCCGCGGAAGATTGCAAGGGCCTTCTAAAGGCAGCTATTAGAGATCCTAACCCGGTCATCTTCTTGGAAAACGAGTTGTTGTACGGTGAATCTTTTCCAATGTCCGAAGAGGCCGCATCTCCTGACTTCGTTCTACCAATCGGCAAGGCCAAGATTGAGCTTGAAGGTTCGGATGTTACCATCATTTCGCATACTAGGAACTTGATTTTCTGCCTTGAGGCTGCTAAGGTGGTGAAGGAGAAATACGGTGTCTCTGCTGAAGTGTTGAATCTCAGATCCATCAAACCATTGGACGTGCCAGCGATCATCGAATCCATCAAGAAGACCAATCACGCTATCACGGTGGAGGCTGGATTCCCTGCTTTCGGTGTTGGTTCGGAGATTTGTGCTCAAGTGATGGAATCCGAAGGCTTTGATTACCTGGACGCCCCAATTGAGAGAATCACCGGATGCGAAGTTCCAACCCCTTATGCCAAAGAATTGGAAGATTTTGCTTTCCCAGATACCCCAACGGTTGTGAGAGGTATCGAGAAGGTTCTCTCTTTGGGTGAATTTGCCTAGAGGGGGTAATTGTAGAAGTACATAAAAATATATTATATTGAATTCAACTCTATCTTCTTTCCACGCGCGCTTTAACCCTCTCAAGACTCAACTTGACATCTCCTTTCTGGAAATGATCAAGATTGTAATACTTTGGAGCCAACTCTATTAACCATTCTGGTTTGATCGCAGTGACTGTACGAATATAGTTCTTTGACGTTAGAACAAATTCGTTATAGATCAGCCATTCTTCTTGTTGCCCAAGAACGGTCGATGGATGGATCAACACCTCTTGATTATCTTTCACTGTAATGTAGCCTTTTCCTGCGCTCTTCTTCTTGGCGACTTGCATGAAGAAACCAGCAACCAATGCCTTGCGCAGCCTCAGATGATGTTTTGGATTATCATAATCAGTGTAGTTAAGCTCCAAATCGTATTTCTCCATCAATTTCGAGAGTTGCCATCTCACATTTTCGGCAGACTTCAGAGATCTATAAGATAGGAAGTTGTTCTTGCACCACTTGCTAACGCCAATTTCTTCTGCTTCTTCCGATTTGAAAGCGTTATAGACATTCAAAAGTGTCAGATGATCTCCGTAGGGATGAGCAAACACCTTCTTAGCTTCCTCAGCTGCAGCCTTAGCAGACTTTCCTGATGGGCGAACGAAAACAGAAGGAACAGACAACATAGCAACAATCGTCAGGATATCCTCGGAGCACTTGAACTCGGGAGAACCAATCAGCATAACAGCCAACATAGGATCTAACGGGAACTGTGATGCCAATCTTCCCAGCGCAGTGAGCTCTCCGGCGTCATCCAAACACCCCAGGTAGTTCAGCTCTTCCAAAGCTCTCATCATAGTTTCTGGAGCGGGTGGGTCCATGAAATCAAAATGCACAAGATCATCAATACCTAGTTTCTTGAGTTCCAACACGGTGGAAGACAGGTTGGTTCTCAAAATTTCAGGGTAGCTCTGCTCTATGAGCTCCTTCTGGAAAGCCTCTTCTGTGTATAAACGGAAACATTTTCCGGGACGCGTACGACCAGCTCTACCTGCTCTTTGCTGTGCGGAGGCTTTGGAGATAGGTGAAACCAAGAGCGACTCCACCCTTATTCTGGGATTATAGACCTTTTGTTTCGAGAATCCCGGATCAACCACATAAACAATACCATCAATTGTCAGGGACGTCTCGGCAATGTTGGTAGACACAATCACTTTTCTTCCCGGCTTTCCACCAGGTTTGAATGGCGCTGGAGCAGGTTCAAATATCTTCTGCTGTTGGTGAGGAGGTAGTGAACCATATAGTGGATAGACTGCGAGCGGTCCACAGCCCTCTTCCCTTATCAAATGATCGCCCTCCAAAGAGATTTTCGAGCATGCATCTTCAATTTCCTCTTCACCTGTCAAAAAAAGTAGTATGTCACCTTCGTCTTCAGTAGCATGAATTTGTAAGACAGTACGGATAGCAGCATCCAAGTAATCTCTCTGGAATTCAGGAGTATAGTAAATTTCGACGGGATAAGTACGACCGGGAACTGCCAGCAGTGGAGCATCGTTGAAATAGCTTTGGAACTTCTCGGCATCGAGGGTGGCAGACATAATAATTATTTTTAGGTCTGGTCTTCTAACGCTAACCTGTTTCAGGAGTCCCATGAGAATATCAGTTGCAAGCGTACGCTCATGCGCTTCATCCAAAATTATGCATCCATATCTCGTCAAATCGTGGTCCTCCATCGCCTCCCTGAGAAGCATACCATCGGTCATGTATTTGAGGATTGTCTTCTTCGATGTTTTATTCTCAAATCTGATGCTGTAGCCAACTTCTTCTCCTAGATTCACATCCATTTCATCTGCCACTCTGGCTGCAACCGACATAGCTGCAACTCTTCTAGGTTGTGTACATGCAACCTGCGTGCCTCTTAAATGTGGCATCTCGTCATAAAGCACGAATTGAGGGATTTGCGTTGTTTTACCGGAACCTGTCTCACCAACAAAAACCATGATCTGGGTTTTATGAAAGATCTTGAGAAACTCGTCTCTTTGAGAGTGAACAGGCAATTCTCGACGGACTTTCAGAATATCGAAGTATTTTTGTGAAAAAGGTTTACCTGTAAAGGGGTTCTTCTCTCCATCTTCAAGTTTCCTGGCGTATTTAGCTGTAGTCTTGTTACGCTTAGAAATATTGAATTCACCTCCATTGTAAATTTCAAGCTCTTCATTCTCCCTTGTATGAGGATGGATGGCAAGTTCATGCTCTGCCTTTTCAGCAGCAATCTGAGGAATCGATGTCTCAGCTGTCTTGGAGCGCTTCTTAGGTCTTGATGATTCCCCCATTGTTTTAGTACAAAGAACAATTTTTTTTCTCGTTTTTTTCAATACTTCATACAAATGTAAAGGTGTGAAGTTTAATTCGAGCTGTTGAAAAGATAGACCAGTCGGGCTTTCAACTTCATGTCTTCTAAATTATTGTACCAGACTTATACCCTCGCCAATGGAAGTAGTAAAGTTGTCAAAGAAACTGCTCGTGTGATCGTTGCCAATTGCTCACTGCTCTCAAACCTTCTAGGCAATGACCAACTGTATGTCGATTCGAGGGCCATGGCCCAAAAGGCCAAAAAGCAGCCCATGGATGAAGATTATCATCAATCGGAGGATCACGACATGTTCCAAGCAGCTCGCGAGAAATCAAAGAGCGTCAAGCAGGCTGAAAAAAAACCGAACGATATTCTAACAAACAGTAAGAGACCCAAAGGCCGAAAAAGTAACATCTCTAATAAGAGAGAGTTTGGCACCACTAGGTTTCTGAATGATGAAGACAACCGGAAAGTCAAACCGAAGGTCATTGGAGAGGCTGACAAGGCAGATTTTGAAATGTCGCAGTCTCCAGTGCCATCTTCAAGGATCAGCAGATTATTTCATTATGGAACGTTGGCCGCAGGAGTTGGGCTCGACATATTGCGACAAAGTGCCGAGAGCTATGCGAAAGGTCAAGATTCCAAGTCTGTTGGATCCATGATTATGTCTCCTCGAAACATTGACCGTATTGCTCGCAAATTTAGTCGTATGCGGGGTGCTGCGCTGAAACTGGGTCAAATGCTTTCTTTCCAGGACGCGTCGGTGCTGCCGCCAGAAATACAGCAAATTCTCCTTCGTGTCCAAAATAGTGCTCATTACATGCCGGCGGAACAACTGGAGAAAGTCATCTCTTTCGAGCTCGGCGATGGCTGGAGAAGTAGGTATTTTGCTTCTTTTGACGACGTACCAATTGCGGCAGCTTCCATCGGACAAGTTCATCGGGCAATCACTAAAGACACCCATGAACGAGTTGTGGTGAAAGTCCAGTATCCTGGAGTGGCAGACAGCATAGATTCCGACCTTGATAATATCTTGACTCTTCTCACGGCTTCGAGATTGCTTCCACCGGGACTATTTCTCGACAAAAGTGTCGCTAATGCAAGGGTCGAGCTGAAGTGGGAATGCGATTATCTTCGAGAGGCTCAGAATATTGCGCGGTTCGGCGATTTATTGAAGGATGATCCTGTTTTCGTGGTTCCCAAGGTGTATCATGAATTAAGTGATGAACATGTCTTGACAATGGAAGAAATGCGGGGCACCGAGATTATGAAGAAGGAGTGGGCTCAGGAGACGAAAAACTGGATCTCATCGAATATCATGAGACTGACGCTCACGGAAATAGCCAAGTTTAGGTTTATGCAAACTGATCCCAACTGGGCCAATTTCCTTTATAACGAAGAGACGAACAAGATAGAGCTCCTGGACTTTGGCGCATGCAGAGATTTTAGGAAGGACTTCATTACCACGTATCTCAACTGTTTGCGCGCCTCCGTGAAGAAGGATTACGATAGAGTGCAAACGTACTCCAAGGACATGGGATTTCTCACTGGTTTGGAAACTGACAGCATGACTCAGGCCCATGTCGAGTCGATTATTGCGCTGGGCGAGCCATTTTCTCCGGTCGACAACAAGGGATCTGATTACGACTTTACCAATCAAACGGTGACCGATCGTGTTCGCGGAAATATCAAGTTGATGTTGAATGAAAGACTTACACCGCCTCCCGAAGAGACGTATAGTTTGCACAGAAAACTCAGTGGTGCGTACCTTCTTTGCGCAAGGATGAAAGCCGTTGTTCCGTGCGAAAAGATTTTCGAGGACATTATCGGTCTGGACTACGAGTGACTGTATATAGTGAATGCACATCTACATGCAAGATAAGTACAAATCACAAACGGCCGAGTCACACGATTACTGGCTGTGTAAAATATTTTGCCACGATAAGATTCAACTTTCCTTGGAGGAGATGTCTATTGGGTATTCGGACCCCACGTTCGGAGAGTCAGCAGCCTTTCTTCCAATGGATAGAGCAGTGGCTGGCCAAACGCGGCCGTCGTTGAGACATAATTCATCACTTTCGAGGGGCAACATTCATCGTCGAAGTTCAATTATAATGGCTGATACGGGACAAAAGATACAGCGATCGTATTCATTTTGGGACCAGACACAGGATGAGATAGAGCTGGAAAGCCAAATAGAAAATAACAGACGGAACGTAGAAGATAGGATCCAAGGGTTTCAGGGTAGACTTAAAGGCGTGATTTATTCTGACACTTGCAGAGGAGTGCTCAAGGGAGCTTTGGCCTATTTTGTTGCATCGTGGGCTGTCTACTCGACAACCCTCTCCAGTATATTAGGCAATGCCGACTCGAAGCATTTGATTTGCACAATTGTCGTTTATTTCCATCCCACAAGAACAAAGGGGTCTATGATTCAGTCTTTGATTTTCGTGATCCTGTCACTCTCGTTCGCGTTTTCGATCTCGGTGATACTGATGAGCATTTCATCCAAATCATATAACATGGAAAGCCCTGAACTCGGTTATGGTATTGATCTTGTTTTCAGCTGTGCTGCTCTTGGTCTGATATCATTGACAAAACAGTGGGTCAATAAACCCACATTTAACACCGCTTGTTCGCTGAGCGCCATAGTCATCATTTCGTGCGTCATCAAGGAAGGTAGTCAAGACGGTAGCGTTGTGCCGTGGACCAAAATTGGGTCGATTTTCAGAATTGTCTTAGCAGGATGTATAGTCTCTGCATTGACTTGCTACTTGCTGTGGCCAACGTCTGCGGAGGCGAAGTTGAAGCAACATTTGAACGAAAATGCAGATGTGCAGTCACGTCTTCTCAAATTGGTGTCAAGATCCTTTTTAGGGTATGATCACATAGATTCGTCTGAGACAAACGAGCTTGTCGAAAAAGTCAAGTCGAGCCTCAAAAACCTGAAGAAGTACCTGGAAGAAGCCAAGTTCGAACTGTACTTGAAGGGAAAGGAAAAGGAGTATCACCTGCTCGAAGACCTAGTAGAGTCTTGTGGAAAGCTCTGGATGACCATGGCTGGAATGAGGATGTCTGTCGAGTTCAAATACGAGCTTCTTGAAACAAGTAACCGTGTTCACACAGAAGCCACGTCCTTGCACAGCTATTACGGAGGACAATTTGACGGCAACACATCTAATGAGAGTGATTTTGACGACGAGGCTGTTGCAATAGACTCCAAAGAGCTATTTGACTTATTTGTCTACCATCTTGGACCATCTATCAAAAGTTTCTCGTACACTGTCAGACAAATCTTAAGCGGTGTTCCTTTCAATTCAGATAATGAGATAGAACCCGCTGTTGAACAGTATTCTAAAAGCCTGGCTTTGGCAAAGGATTTGTACAGTGAGAACCATTTAAAGGCCCTCAAAAAACTTTACGATCAAGACCTCTTCAAAACGGAGACAGACTTCGACTCCAAAGTTGATCAGGAGGAAGTGGCTGCATCGTGCGGAAACTTCTCTTTCCTGTTGTTGGAGTTCTCTTCGGAGCTTTCTGAGTACTTGCGAATTCTGAAGGAGTTGAATGCCGTGTCCACTTACGATGACACAAAAAGCTTCGAGTTTCTGAAGTTTTGGAAGCGATCGTTCTCTCTGTCGTCCACTGCTCCTCGAAACAGTACTATCAATGATATGATATTACGAATTCAAGGAACTAATGAGGATTACAGTGCCAAGATGTCTCTGAATTATAGAGTTTGGAGAGTAGTCAAAATCTTAAGAAGTGTGGATGTCCAATTTGGTCTGAGAGTGGGTATTGGCTCGCTGTTCATAGCCATATTTGCATACATTGACAAGACCAAGGACTTCTTTGATGACTGGCGAGGCGAGTGGGCTCTGGTGACATTCTGCATTATAATGAATAAGTCTGTTGGAGGCACCACGATGACGATCAAATGGAGGTTTCTGGGAACATTTTTAGGGGCTTTCACCGCATATTGTGTTTGGGTTTTATTATACCCCAATGCCCTACTAATGGCAGTTGTGGGATTCCTATTTTCTATCGGCTGCTTCCACATTATCATCAACTGGGAAGCAAATAATGCATTCGGTAGATTCATTCTTCTCACCTACAATTTAACCGTGTTGTATTCGTGGACAATGGCCAATAAGGTGATAGATAAGGTGCCTGACTATGACGATGAGGGAGGAGACAACCCGATCATATTTGAAATTGCTATTCACCGTTTTCTGGGCGTTTCCTTTGGAGTGATCTGGGCTTTGATCGTAACAATGTCTCTGTTCCCTAATTCTGCACGGAGCAGGATTCGCAGAGGGCTCTCCATCTTGTGGTTGCGAATGGGCATCATTTGGCACAGTGGGCCACTGGCTTACGAGGTTGACGAACACAATGAATACAGACTTATTGGTATACGGGACAGGAAGACTATTCATATGATCATGGCCGAGTTAGAGACTTTACTCAAACAGGCCCCGATGGAGATTAGACTCAAAGGACCATTCCCCATAGGGATTTACGAGAAATTGCTCATTTCAACTTCTCGGATAATCGACGCTTTTGAGAACCTGAACTCCATAATCGAGATCAATAAAAAGCTTACCCCCAACGAGCACTCAGTGCTTCAAAGTTTAGCAGGCGAGATGTCGGAACTTGAGAATCGTGTATTCCTTATTTTCTACATGCTAGCTTCTGCTATGAAGTTAGGGTTTCCACTCGCAAACAAGCCTGCCTCCACCGAACATTCAAAAGAGCGGATGCTCGCTAAATTGAGCGAGATCCGCAAACGAAGTACCTCAGAAAAACAAGTGCTGTCAGACGAAGATTTTGTCCTACTCTATACGTACAACCTGGTCACAAATTCAATTACCAATGAGTTAGATGTTCTTTTAGGACTTGTGGCAGACTTGTACGGTAGAGTTTCTGAGGAAACTCTCGAACTGTGATGGACTTGTTATCGAGATCGCTGCCATTTCTTAATTACGTGTCGCCAAGTAATTTATGTTTTCATTCACGCAAAAATTGTAAAGTATTCTATAAAGATTCGGAACGTATAGCTGCAGTATATCCACCGAGTCCCAAATTACAGGCGACTCAACATTTGCCATTGGACGATATCGACAGCAATCGAAGGCATATTTTATTCATAATGGTTAATTCGGCGGATGAGGGAGCCGTGCCTTCCGTGATTGTGGATCAGTTAGATGGTTCTTATAATGAAGACGACGACCCCGATTACACATCAAACGGAGCTTCGGAAACTTTTGATAATGAAGAAGGTGAGACGGAACTAGAGTCTGAAGTAAGCGATACCAATCCGGGAGATCTTTCTTCCATATCCTCGGAGTTTGACAACATGGATAAGAAACCGCTCAAACAGTTCTATCCTAGGCAGGATACCCAGTACCAAAGCACCGCAGACATACTTTTGCAAACCCACAAACGCTTCAAGAACCTCATACACAAACACGAGGTGCCGCGCAAATTATTCCATGTGTCCATTGGATTCATTACACTATATTTATATACTATCAATGTCCAGACTCCAATGTTGATCAAACCGCTAGTGACCGGATTTTTGTCAGTGTTATCGCTGGATCTTTTGCGGTTTAGATCACATAAGTTCAATCAACTATACTGCAATGCGGTTGGTTTTTTGATGAGAGATAAAGAGGTTAATACTTACAATGGCACCTTGTGGTATCTACTTGGATTGTGTCTAGTTTTCCAAACGCAAAAGAAGGATATTGCTGTCATGGCAGTTCTACTTCTTAGTTGGTCAGACACTGCTGCGTCTACGTTTGGTCGTCTGTACGGTCACTTGACACCTAAGATCACCCAGACAAAATCCCTTGCCGGATCAATTGCAGCGTTCGTTACAGGTGTCGCATCGTCGTATTTGTTCTACGGCTATTTTGTGCCGGCATACCCTGAGGTCAACTATTATTCCGAGTTCGCGTGGGAGCCCTCAAAGAGCTATCTGAGCCTGCATGCCCTTTCATTTTTGTGCGGATTGGTTGCAGCAGTCAGCGAAGCTCTGACTATATTCAATTGGGATGACAACTTCACCATTCCGGTGTTTTGCAGCGGTTTCCTATGGGCGGTTCTCAAGGCTTCTGCCAGAGACTAAGTCTGAGACAATTCTAAAGTAATAATATACGGCAAACTCTGTGTGACCAAGCAAGGTAGATTAGTTCTTGTTGAAGACTCTCATCCATGCTCCAACTCAAACATCCCTAATCGCTATAGATTTCTTCAGATGAATGGTTTTCCATCGATTGTATTCATGACTATACGTTAATGAAAGAGCTGATCGCATCATGAACCATCACAACGAGCCTCAAAGGTGCATCTATGAAGTGAAGCGTCGAACTGCTCTCAAGGTAAATTATAGGAAAGATTTTGTACAGTAAAGCAGAGACTTGAGTCTTCAGAAATGATCTATAATAGTTTCCTTGATGAATGACCCAGGGGAAGCTTGCAATATGGAGAAAGCTTGGACATGCATAGTGGTTTGAAGATGACATATTTCAAGCAAATACCTTGCAGTGACTGACCGCTTATTTAAGGAACATCTTTGATTCCTTATCATAAATATGATAGCCTGAAACCAATTTCTTCGAATAATAAATAGCACAACCATAGTTGGATGCCAACATTGATGATATCTACATTAATGATTGCTCGTGACCCACGTTTGTCTTTACTGTTGTTCAACATTAGTTTTTGGCCACAGGCTCCAAAACCAGAGGTTAAGAAATATATACGCGGGTGATCATAATTATTGTGCAAGAGCGTTTGAATAAATGTATATTTTGTCCAGCATTAGAAACTGCTGTGTACTGTGGCTTTCTCAAGCTTTCTTTAAGGCTCGACTTGTGGGTGGAACCTTAAAGTCTCAGCTTTCAATTTTCAGCGATCATCAGAATTTGCTGCTGAATCTTGTCTCATACGCAACAGCTCATGACCATGCTATATATTAAGACGGTATGCGGAATTTGAAGCCGTCACTGGAGGCCTCTCCCTTGCTCTTGTCATGAAAAGGGAGAAAAATTACTAGGATCAACGCAATGGGACCTTTTTACATTTAACTGTTAATTTAATCAAGCCTTATCGGGACAGAAGTCATCGAATTAAGCTACTTTTCACGATATTTCCGGCTCGCTCTTTCTCTTCTCAGAAACCTAGAATGCCCCAGCATACGAGAGACAGCGTTTTAGAAATTAAGAAGTTTTCTATAAGCTAGCTTGTAGTTTGCTTGTTTCGCCAAAGACGATTTAAAGCACATTGCCCATTCACGGATCATTGGTGCACAGTAGCGATGTACAATAAATATTAGTTGTATATGTTTGCAACTCTTCTCATCCCAGCAGACCAAAAGAACTTACTGTCTCGCTTCCATATCTCGAAGGGCCTTACTCTAGCAATTATTGTCTCAATGCTAATAGCTTTAGCTGGGCGCACCATTCAGTGGGAAGTTTAGCGATGTGGGCTCTTGCCCGATGTATTCTATTAATATTAGGAAGATACATGCACCTGCTCCACGAATAGCTGTTACGTACACATTAGACAAAAATCATTTGCGAGCACCCTTCAAAAATCGTTAGCAGCCTTTCTCAGATCTTGTTTCAAAATGTCATCCAACATGCCAGAAGCGGCAGCAACCAATCCCAAAAATGGACGGGATGGATCCAAAACCTTGGAGATGTACTCGGGATGGTACTGAGTAGCAACGAAAAATGGATGATTATCGAGCTCCAGGATCTCCATTCTCTCTGCTCTTTCATCTTTGCCAACAAACCTCATTCCGTGTTTTTCAATGGCCTCAACCATGGCTGGATTGATTTCGTATCTGTGCCTATGTCTTTCCAGCACAGATTCTGCACCACCGTATAGCCTTTTGATAATAGAAGACTCAGTAGCAGGAACGAAGCAGGTTGGTCTCAGGCCCAATCTCATGGTACCTCCCATATTCTCCTTGTCAATTTCAGGCATATAGACAACAGCTGCTTGTTCATCAGTGACCTCCGGAACAAGTTCAGCACTGGTTGCACCTTCAACATGCAAGACATTTCTGATGAACTCAATAACAGCCACCTGCAGTCCAAGACAAACACCCAGATATGGTATATTGTTCTCTCTAGCCCATTTTGCAGCAGCAATCATTCCCTCGACACCTCTGGAACCAAAACCACCTGGAACCAAAATACCGTCAGCTTTACAAACCAGCTGCCATGCAGAATGGAAGTCGGCCTTGTTCAATAATTCGGTTTCGGGTTCCAAATTTGCCGACTCTACCCAGACAATTTCCAATTTTTTGGAACATCTCATTGCACTGTGTTCGAGCGATTTGATCACAGATAAATACGAGTCATGTAAATTAGTGTACTTCCCAACAATGGCAATGGTGACTTTTTCGTAGGATCTATCATGCTGTGTTGTCAGCTCAACCCAGTTTTTGTATAGTTCCTCACCTTTAGCAACCATCAGGGGAGGAATGTGCATTTCGTGAAGTTCTAATCTCTTGGTCAAGTAGCTAATCATCTTTTGTTCTTTTAGAATGAGCGGAACATGATAAGTAGATTTCACATCGTGAATAGCAAGAACCTGCTCAGCACCAACATGACAGAACATCGCTATCTTGTCGATCGTCGGCTTTTCCAATTTGGAAGAACACCTGCAACCAATCATATCTGGAGAGAGGCCAAGAGACCTCAGATCTTTGACTGCAGCTTGCGTGGGCTTGGTCTTTTGTTCGCCATGAATCACTGGAACGAGCGACACGTGAATCAACGCAAAGTTTTCATGTCCAACTCTAAACTGGAATTGTCTCAGGGCTTCGACGAAGGGAGCTGATTCTATATCACCAACAGTTCCGCCCAATTCAATGATACAGACATCTGGCTCCATCCCAGATGGATCAACAGGAATTCTGGCAACACGCTCAATCCATTCCTGAATGGCGTTAGTGATATGAGGAACAACTTGAACAGTTTTGCCCAAGTAGTCACCTTTTCTTTCCTTCTGGATAACAGTAGAGTAGATCTTGCCGGTAGTAATATTGTGATCTTTAGTGAGTGAAATACCCAGATATCTTTCGTAGTTTCCCAAGTCAAGATCCACTTCTCCACCATCATCCAAAACAAAGCATTCCCCGTGCTCTAAAGGAGACATAGTTCCTGCGTCGATGTTGAGGTATGGGTCAATTTTGATAGAGGTGACTCTTAAACCAAGAGTTTTCAACAGCATACCAGTTGATGATGCTAGAACCCCTTTTCCAATACCCGAGATAACTCCACCAGAAACAACGACGTACTTCATGATAATCCTGTGTAGTCAGAAGTAAGACTATCAGATGAAACCAAAAAATTTTTAGAAGATTTTTTTCTCTTCGACGCGACACGGTGCGTCTTTCGACTTTACTTATCGCTAAATTTGACCCCGGCTATCTTGCCATTATCGTCTTTCATGATCTGCGCTCTATCCGTCTTGACTAATACATTCAAAACCTTTATTAGGACCGCTGGATTGATTCCATAGAATTCTTGTGTTTTCGCCAAGTCACCTTTTCGTAATTCGTACAATGTCAGCACAGTGTTGCTCTGCCCTGTAATGTCAATCTGAAAGTTAGTAAACCGAACAGGAACGCACTTACCCATTCGAATATTATGTTTGCCCACTCCTCCAAGGTGTGCCAATATACAATGATTCCGTGTTTGTGATTTTTTGGATTCACCCATTCGGCTTTCTCTTTGGAAATCATATCGTTGTAAATCTCCAGGATAAACTCACTCTTTAAGCTTCTGTCGATCTTGTTATTCGTAAAAAGAGACTGCTTAGTCACTTCTGCGTAGTCGTCATCATCATCATCTTCGTCCTCAGGATCGACGTGGTCCAGCGCTGAGTCCCCTGACTCCCCGTTCAACGATAATATCCAGATCTTGTTGTATCGGCAGTAATCTAGTATCAGTTGAATCCAGTGAGATTTTTGTGTTTCCAACGTTTGACTATGTACCTGTTTAGTGAAAAACGGAGGAAAGTCATATATCGAAGGGAACTTGAACGACATGAGGAATTTGCCAAATAGAAAAAGAAAGAATCAATTGTAATGAAATAATTTATTTATCGAACAACGCGTCATGGCTTCGCTAGAAGACGAGCACTCTCAAGTTTACAGACAGCTAGTATCTGTAGTAGACCAGCTACTAGTTGCAACGAAGAAGGCCAAATTGGAAGAGCTTCCGCAGACGATTGATAAAGAGTTTGATGAAGCGTTGCAGAAAATGCCAGATCTTCAACTGGCGCTTCTGCACGCGGAAATACTCCACAAGGATTCAGAGGAGACGGTAAACTCATTTCTGGAGAAAATGCTGAATATACGACTTCGCATAATTGAACAGCATATGATAACATATCCCATACTGCGTGCTATTCACACGGATAACGATTCCAATATAGCCAGACTAGCTAAAGAGTGCGACAGGTCGAACAAGTCTTTCATGGATGAATTGAACAAGACCGATAGTATTCATAGTTTCCTGGATGGGTCAATTGAGAACGTGAACAAGAGCCTTGGAGGGCTTCGTGAATTGGTGCAAAAATATCTACATCTTGTGGAGGAAAATAAAAACCTCTCTTTTCAAAACAAAATCAGGGAGGAAGAGCATATTCCAGAACTGGAGCGTTTGAAAGAAAGATGCGCCCATCTGATCAAAAAGAATCTTGCCCTAAGCAGTTTCAATATCAGTCTCATATCATCACTTTCCAAATCTGATGTGTACAATGATACATATTTACGCGAGACACTGCTATTCTGTGGTGATTACGATGATTACAAGCTCGAAGAATAGATCATGATCCAAATATGATTAATGTCTATGTACATTAGAGACCTATGTTAACAAAGAGTCTATTGTTAACGACCTCCCAGTCGATACAGTTCCAGAAGTTTTCTAAGTAATCAGCTTTACCGTTGACTCCATAATCCTCAATGTAGGCGTGCTCCCATACATTGCAAACCAATAGCGGGACGGTATAGTCTTTGATTTTCCTGCTCAATCTATCTTTGTTGGAAACTAGCTTTTCGAAGTCCTCAATGCTGACGGCACCATTAAGGTCAGACGATTGGTTTCTGCTGTACAAGTATGGGGTGCCATCGTTGTTGCAAGAAATGATTTTAACGGTTTTTTCCTGTGTCTCCACAAGAAAGACCCATCCATTTCCGGTCAGTGTATCGGCGGCGTACAGAAAATCATTTCTGAGATTTTCTAGTGAGCCAAATGCTGTGCTGATATATCTGTCGAGGCGAGATTTGAGCGCAGGTGGATCGGTAGAGGAGTCCTGCAGTTGTTCGAAGAACAAGTGGTTGTTGTGAGATTGCGAGGCGTAGTGGAACAGTGGGCCTAGTTCAGGCTTTTTGGCGGTGGCTAGAGTGATAGCCAGCGGCGTTCTTGTCTCGTGCTCGGTTCCAATGGTTTTGAAAGTGAGATTGGTGGTCAGAAACTTCTGGTAGTCTGTCCAGCTCATTTTGTACTGTTTTGGGGACATCAAACCCTTGATGCCTTCTTGCGACCACTGCTGATGGTTTCTGAGCCTGGGCACTAAGTGAATTCCCCTCGAAAACACTCTAGACAAACGCATCTGGAAGTTGGCGATGAGGAAGTTTTGAAAAATTTTGGAGCCTTTTAAAAGGTAGTGCGGGACAAGTAAAAAGTTCAATATAATTAAAGGCAAAATCACATGTGGTCTCCGCTGATACGGTCAGTTAAGATAGCAGCTAGGCAGTCGAGAAACAATTGCTCCAGTGTTTGGAACAGGAGGTGGTACAGCAGTCGGTATGGGATGAAAAAGACGACTGGCCGATATGGAACAGACGATTACTCGCGATCCTCGTCTTACACCAGCTTCATGCATACGTCTAATCCTGGAGGAATCATCAGTCACTCGGACCCGCTGGCTGCGATATTGTCTCAACCGACCTTGGTCATACAGCGGCAAATTGAGTACATGAACTTGTTCTTGGGATTTGAGCAGGCTAATAGATACGTTCTGATGGATTCTATGGGCAATCAGTTAGGTTGGCTTTTGGAGCGCGACTTTGGATTCACGAAAGCCATTATGAGGCAAATATACAGGCTTCATCGCCCCTTCACTGTGGACGTACTAGATAACTACGGGAACGTTTTGATGACTATCAAAAGACCGTTCAGTTTCATCAATTCTCACATCAAGGCATTTCTTCCAAATGTGATAGATCCCCAATACCCGGATGGGGCGTTGATCGGAGAGTCAGTTCAAAGTTGGCATTTGTGGAGACGAAGATATAACTTATTCAAAGCGAGTGGGGAAGACACCTTCGACCAGTTTGGAGCCATTGACTCCGGCTTCTTATCCTGGGAATTCCCCGTCAGGGCAGAGAATGGAACGATATTGGGCGCTGTTTCGAGGAACTTTGTTGGATTTGCAAGAGAATTGTTCACGGACACAGGCATCTATGTGATCCGAATGGATCCGCTGAGCTTTCAGGGGCTGGAAGATTTATACTACCCCGTCTCTGAGAAAGGAATGACGCTTGATCAAAAGGCAGTTTTGCTAGCCAACGCAGTGTCCATTGACTTTGACTACTTTAGTAGACATAGCTCTGGACCTGGAGCTGGCTTGATGTTTTGGGAAAGCGAATAATGTAAATAGACTACAATGGCGAGAATTTAATGGGAGTTGAGTTGATCAACTATACAAAACCTGGGGAAAAACCATTCCATAGAAGATACTTAGGAAGAGAAGCCAATGACACCACAGGCTGGTCTGCCACCGGCATTACCAGTCTTCAAAGAGTCTGGGTGGCCACCCTTACCCAAGTCATCGGTACCAGAGTGAACAACGACAGTTCTTCCCAAAATGGAGTTTTCACCAAACAGTTTGATTAGACTGTCCTGCTTAGCACCCTTAGCAACCCCGTTGGCATCGGTGGTAATGTTACCAAGGTCACCGACGTGTCTCTCGGAGTCTTCTGGTGCACCGTGGTTTTTGCCGAATGGGTTGAAGTGTGGTCCAGCAGAAGTGCAACCGTTGGTGTTATCACCGAATTGATGGATGTGGAAGCCTCTCAGAGCATTTGGATCGTTACCTGTGATTTCCCACGAAACGGTGGTTGGTTCAGACTCGGAAGCCTGCTCGAAAGTAACAATTCCCTTAACAGTAGAGTCTCCTCTCACGACAGCAACTGCAACGTTAGCAATTGGCTCGATCTACTTTCTACTTACCAGCTTTGACCATTTTCGATAGAAGATTAAGAAGCTGAGTTTGTTCGGAGTTTTAAATATTCTAGAGCTATCGTAATTGGTGGCAATTACTGATCTCGCACTACCCCCCGCTGACATAAGAAACGGAGGAAAGGTAAGTTGCGCAAGGCATTACAAACTCTCAAAATTCAAAAAGCAGTGTCTCGTACAGTTGATCTTATCAACACATCTTCTCAATTAGATCGCATATATATATGAGATTTCTGGGCCTTTTAAACGGTTGAATAAACATATTTGCTCATCGTAATATTTGCTCAGTCCAAGTTCCACTTAGTAATATTTTTCAGGCTGTGCTCCTCAAGTCCGAAATATCCCGCATTGGGATAAGTGTGATCATTTTCCATGAGATCGTTGTTACATGGATTGCTGTTGTGTGCTGTGGCACTCGCCTCGCTTGTTGAGGTTGACGACTCGAATTTTGAAAGCCTAGTTTTTGGCCAGCCGGGTAAATACTCGTTTGTTTACTTTTACGCTCCAGGATGTAAGCATTGTCAGGATCTGGAACCGCATTTTGAGCCACTGGTGGATTTGTACGAGGGTACCAATCTCCAAATCTTCAAAATGAATGGCCGTACGAACAAGAGGATTCGTGACAAGTACCAACTTTTTGGATATCCTACACTCAAACTCTTCTCCTCCCACGGAGACGATATTGGAGCCTACACAGGTATCCGGACGACCACAAAAATGGTTGAGTATCTCGAAGATGCAACTGGTATTCATCCAATATACCCACCAAAGACCGTTGTCGAAGTCACGCCGGAGAATATCGACCAGGAAGTGTTCGAGAAGTTACAGAATGACGTTTTGCTCGTTTTTTATGCTCCGTGGGCAGAACGTTGGGATAATGCCCATAATTCTTTTTATGAGAAGTTAGCCCAGTATTACAAAAATGAGGTGAAAGATGGGACACTGTTCAGAGCGGTAGACGTTTCCAAAGCCGAAAACAATGCTTTGCTGGCGCAATTCAAGGTTGCAAAGTACCCTACTCTTTTCTACTTCCCTAAAAATCGTGAAGACAATAGAAAACCATTCAAATTGGATCACGACGTGGGTCCAGAGGAAATCGTTGAGATACTGATGGGGTCGGATGCAGGACAGAGAGAGTTTCCGCTGGTGGACAGTTCGGAGTCTCCCGAGATCGAGGAAGATACCGAGGACGCCGAAGTGAATGTCCAGTATCGCGATCTTTGAATTCTCTGGTGCAAGGAGGCGACCTATAGATTGTATATTTGTGATTAGGAAAACAAAATTTACTTGCGTGTTAAAGAAGAAGCATAAAAAGATGCTGAATATCTTCCGAATTGCCGGGGATCTGAGCCATTTGGCTTCTATCTTTATTCTCTTGCACACCATTTGGACGAGGAAGTCCGCTAAAGGCATTTCATTGAAGACAAACATCTTGTATGCTTTGGTATTTGTGACCAGATACTTGGATCTATTTTACAGTTACGTGTCGCTGTACAATACTCTTATGAAGGTATTCTTCATTTCCTCATCTATATACACCATTTTCTTACTCAAAAAGTTTACCAAAAACATCGGAGAATACAGTGATGATTTCAAGATTCAATACTTAATCGTGCCATCTTTTGTGCTTGGTCTAATCTTCAACCACAAATTGACCATCACCGAGGTCTTGTGGAGCTTTAGTCTTTGGCTCGAATCTGTTTGCATTCTACCACAATTGTTTATGCTCCAGAAGAGCGGAGAAGCAGAACTGCTTACGATCCATTACATTTTTGCACTGGGTCTTTACAGAGCATTGTATATCCCAAATTGGTTCTACAGATACTTCGCCGAAGGACACTTGGACAAACTAGCACTGACAACAGGTATCATTCAAACATTAGTGTACTCAGACTTTTTCTATGTCTACTACCAAAAGGTTATCAAGAATATCGGTTTCAATCTACCTCAATAAATTTATTTACCATCAATCTCTCTTCAGCGGATAATACTCAGTCCTCACCCCATCTTTAGTCACAATCAAAATTTCCAACCCATCACCAACCTGTATATGTCTTTCGGTGGCCGAACTGAAAGCATCCCTCACCAACTGTATGACTTCTTCTAGTGAAAGGAAACGTAGTGGTTTCCGTTTTTTGCCATCACTTGCAGGGTCCATCTGGTTTTTGAAATTGACTTGGTTGTCCAGGAATGGCATAATCAAGGAAGCAGCTGCTCCCCCCGCACGACATTGTTCTCTTTCGTAGGAACCAACTGGGTCGAACGAGTAAATAGCACCTTTGCCCTCTTCATCCAGTCCCCCCAAAATCGTGTGAACGTAGTATGGAAAAAACCGTTTTCCGTAAAGAAGATGTTGTATGAATCTCGCTGCGCTCTGCGTGCTCATTGGCTTGTTGTGGTCAAAATGGTACCATTCCAGTTGGTTCTTAAAGACCTTTATGAGTTGGGCAGAATCTGCTGCAAATCCATTGGCTGTCAACAGGAGATTGTTACCAACATCGAAGACTTTTGGCTCATAACGCGTATTTATGCTGTAACCAGACGTACTTCTAGTGTCGCCAGCTAGGACAGCAAAATCCTCTCCTGCAATTCCTAAGACGGTACCACCATTATCTATAACGTTAGAATAGGGAAAGCCATTGGTGGACTATACTTACCAGTATATGGGTTGAATCTGTGCTCTATTGGTTGGAGAGGAATCTCATTCGAATACTCAGATGCCAAAGTCGCAGGCTGTGCCATCATTCTGTCCTATGTATTCAAGATCTTTTGCCTTCCAAAATTTAAAATCGTCAAATTCACAGCGTGTAAGGATTTATTTCAAGAAATACTTAAGATATAGTTGTAATAGAATGCAACAACCTGCAAGTGGGAGTCGGCATCAACGTATTCGTTGTTGCCGTGGACCCCAGATGTCATTGGTGTGAACCCTGGTTGTCCTCTGAATATGTGGTCGGTCAGGTCCCAGTAATGTCTAGTGTCTGTGTTACCCGTCATGATACCGGCACTAAGAACAAGAACGTCATCTTCAAACTTCTCTGGATAAGTGATATCCTCATAGAAAGTTCTGTAATGTCCTGCCAGAGAAGCCCAAATCTCATCGTTGATAGGCGTCACAGGTGCGACTGCAAGCTTGTAAAGAGCCTTGATTTTGATCGAGCCTGCCAGGGTAGGTTCAATGAGGATCTCGTCATCGACAATCAGTCCCATACGATGTTCTTGGGCAACACCTGTGGCAATTCCGGTAACTCTATCCATTATGGTGTCGAAGTCGTTTCCATGAGCAATTCTATGGTTGATTAGCGCGGTCACGTTTTGCGGAAGAGCATTTGCCTTGTCTCCACCGTTGATAATATCTGCTGCGTGAGTTGTCAAAACATTGTACTTGGTGATTTTATTATTCAATAGCAACTTGATAACTCTTTCGTTTGACTTCTCGTCAAAGTGTGCTCTCAAAATGTCCCTCTTCAAGCTCTTTTCAATGTCCGCATACTCTGCTATGCACTGCAGAGTATTCAGTGTCGGGTTGAAGTTGACGAGAATAGGATCATATAGTCTGTCCTCATACCTACTGATCAGTTTCGACATTGTACCAATAGCTGTGTGGTCTGGTGGAATTGAAGAGTGTCCTCCAGGCTGCAACACCTCAATGCCAAGATCCAGGTAGCCTTTCTCGCCGGTAGCCAGCATAGCAAAGTATCTGTTTTGCAGTTCCATGAAAACACCGAAACCCTCGTCGATGATATGGTACAGTGACTTTGGACCGTATCTTTCCAGCAGGAACTTGCTGATATGAGAGGCACCATACTTTCCGCTGCTTTCCTCATCGAATCCAAATGCGAAAATGATGGTTCTCTCTGGTTTGAATCCCTTTTCAAGCAAGTAGTCCATTGATTCCAGCAAACCAATCAACAGGTTCTTGCAGTCACTTGCGCCGCGACCATAAACTCTAGTTCCGTCATAGAGACCGCTGAATGGATCTTTGTCCCAGTTTTGAGGATCTCCGGGAGGAACAGTGTCCTGGTGGGCAGTAAACATAGCAGGCTTCAATGAAGAGTTTGAGCCCTTGAACTCCAGCACAATTCCGTAGGTATTGACTTTGAAAACATTGGCCGCGTCAAAGACTCTTTGGAATTCGGTCTCTAGGTACTCATGGAACTTTGTGAATCTGGTGAAGTCCGATCCTTCATCGTCAATCCAGGTTGGAATCTGGACTGCTTTGCTCAATCTTGAGATCGATTTGTTCCTGAACTCATCATCATGAAGGATATAGACACTAGTATCTGGATCCTTGAACTCAATTTTGTCATAGAGTGGACACAGAAGCTCATCTGTGGAGTCGGTGGAAGCGGAGAAAGAGACCGAAAGCGGCTCCTCCGACCACATCGTGCACGGGAATAGATGAAAGAATTGGTAAAACCCACAGAAAGCCAATACAGCCAACAAGCCACGGAAAGCCAACTGGCTTCTCTCACGCCTTTGATTGTTTGCAGGTATCTCAGACACGTCTTTTTCTTGCATAGTCAAATATGCTCAATAGCTTGAGTAAGAAGCTCTCTTATATACACAGCACTGCCGGATTTTGACTAAAGATATTCCTAAACGGGAAGAAAGTAAAATTACTTTTTCTATTGATATGAGAATAATGTGTGGCCGCAACTCTTTATGCAATATAGCATAAAAATCCCTATTGTCTACACGCATGAGTAGCAAGCAGTATGGGACAGTATCCTATCCAACACTAAAAATTCCGTCCTTTCGGCACCAGCAGTCATCAATCTCATTCTCGTATTGAATGTAGACTCTTGATATTGATTTAGAGCTTTTGAAAAGCTTGTCGACTTTGCTGCGCAGTGAAAGCGATGTCTCGGTGCGATAGTACTGTACGTGAATGTAACCCGTCAATTTTGAATTGGTATCACTAACAGGCCAAAAACGCGGGGTTGTGTAGGACTTGACGCCAGGAACCTTTAGGACCTCTCCTAAGACATATTGTAGCTCGCCCACCGAGGAGTCATTCGAGGCAAGAAGAAGATTCGAAGAAGACGATTTGAGAAGCGGGACTGAAGACACCAGGATCAGCAATGCAATAAATATAGACGCGATTGGATCAATGACCTGGACTCCGGTCAACTTGACTATCAGTGTTGATAAAATCACACCGACAGAACCTAGGGTATCTGCCAAAATATGCAGGAACATACCATGCATATTGTCACTCAGATTCGATAGATGCTCGTGGGATTCAGAATGTTCGTGCACATGTTGATGTGTGTGTTCATGAGAATGACTATGCAAGTGCGAATGACCATGCGATCCATTGTGGCCATGGTTGAAAGCAAATATTCCAACCAAATTTACCACCAGTCCAAGAATGCTGACAATCAAAAGTTCGTCGGTCTTGCGCAAGTCGACTGGATGGAACAAACGCTGAAAGGACTCATTAAGAATTCCAAATACCACACCTAAAAGAAGCGAACCATTTGTGAAGCCCGCAAGAGTCTCGATTCTTGTCAAACCAAAGGGAAACTCCTTGGTCGGATACTGCTGGTTATTTTTTGCAATTAATGAAGCTAAGAGGCCTAGGAACAGTGAGGTGCAGTCCAACAACATATGGAGAGAGTCACTTAGAAGACTCAGAGATTTGGATCGGAAGGAATAAAGCAATTGTATAAACATGAAAGACACATTCAGTAGTAGGAAATTGAAAATGGATTTTGTCTCTTTCGAGGTAAAAAGCTGGAAGATTAATGACATAAAAGTAGAGTTGGGATGCGATTTATCAGAGGAGGTTGCGTTGGAAGATGAGAGCTCATATTTTCTGGTGGGATTTACGATTAACATGAGCAGCATGTTTATTGCAAAGTTAAGTGCATTCATTTTGAGTGTTTCCAATTTGCTATGAGAATCTGTGGTCGTCTGGAGGATCAGTGCCATAACAGCATTCAAAATGATGATGTTTCTTTTATAGTTAGTCAAAAACAAGCTCTTAATGATAAACTGATTTATAGGGTTCGTATGGTTGATATCCAATTGACTTATTGTGAAGATTGTCAATGAACCAGCAGTGACAAATATCATCTTCAAGTTGTAGCTTTCAAATTTATACGACAACATCATGATAGTGCTAAGCACGAGAAGTACTCCTGAGGTTTGAATTTGCAGGTGGCCAAAAATTAATGGCTGCTGTTTATCTGCCGATGACATTAAAAACACAACAATCGGGATCAACAGAAGGGCATACATGAGCACGAGCGATATGAGGTCCTGCCCATTGACACTTGCAATCATGACATCGAACAAAAATGATAAAACATATACGATAGACAGCTGATGCTTCCTTATCAAATGAAGTGGTCCACCGCTATCAATGGCATATGTCTCTTCCAGTTTGGCAGACATGTGATCATCCTTTGGGCCCGAGAGGAGCAAAGCAAGAATGACCAAGTTCATGAACCTTGCTGGACATAGTAACTGATCTGCAAGAAAAATCAAGCTTATGGAACCAAAAACCATCAGGTGTCGCGCAAGAGACAACTGGACACACTTCTTTGTTTCTTTGGCGGAGGCAGCACCCTCCCCTAGCTTTGCCAATACAGCTACCACTAGCATAAACAAAGACGACAAAAACGCGGACTGCACAAATGAGACGGTATAAAAAGCGAACGAGGGAGTCTCAAATTCAGAAACTGCATTTGTAAGTTTGAGAGACACGAATAGGGTTGGTAACGCTAGAAACAGCGGCGCCAAATCTATAATCTCTTGCATTGATCGCGTCTCCCTCTATTCTAGTTTGAGCAAAAATATTTCAACACATCTATAGATGCAGGTTAAGTCGATCGACGCCTAACGTCCAGCGATTAGTGACAGACTAAATGCTTTTTTATTGAAACCATTCCAAGTAGGCTTTCTAACATAAATGGACGAGTCATTCACGAATGAGCTTCATCTTCGTAGATACAAAATTGTTCCTAGAGGCGCCAGCATTAAAAACTAAAGTTGAGCTGAATATTTTATTTTTCAATGTTGAAAAACCATGTACGCTCTTCCTTGTTTCGCTGGCGCAAAGGATGCCGGACATTTACGAGGCTAAACAAACTACATCCTGCTTTGGAACTTCAATTCTCCAACACTGAAAAGACAAGCCGAAAATCGCTCGATGAAACCAAAGTCATCGAAGCGCTTAGACTGTTAACTCCAAGAGATCTCGTACAGGACATTCAATATTCTAATTTTCGCAAAGCAAGGCCCATCAAGCATTATCCACTACCACCACCAAAAAATCTGGAAGCATCCAGCATCAATAGATATACTCGAGCCCTTGTAGAGGCAAATTATCAGTACTCTTTGCAGGCGGAAAACTACATCGATCAAACGCTGCAGGACTTGATCAGCACAGGGGTATTGGACCTAGAGACTTACAACTGCATTTTAGAGTACTACGTTCGGAAAGTCAACTACGGCTGTGCAGGCATGATTAAGAAGAGAATGGATGAAGATTATGTGGAACCTGACATCCGAACTTATAACCTACTTCTTCAACTATATTTGAAGTTCGATAAAACTAGCACAAGATCGGTACTAAGTCTTTTCGAAAAAATGAGGGAGGCCAAAATGGAGCCGAATCTTTCGTCTTTGTATTTCGTATATTCAAATCTGAAGCAGATGGATCATCTCTTGCTTGAGGACATGATGGTTATGAAGGTGCCTCTTGATAGCATTAACACAGTGATTGTGAGAAATATGCGCAGGTCAGGTGTCCCACCCAAACTCATCCTTCAGTTTCTTGAGGACCAGAAGATTCACAGTGGCATTCCGGTCAAGAATGCAATGATTGAAGCTTATTTGAAGCTTGAACCTGCATCCGTATTTGAGTACATTGATCATGCATCTCAGAGTGACGCTTTTAAAGGGAACACTAAAACCGCAAAGCTGTTTGTTTCTCATTATTGCACCAAGGGTGAGCCATATTTTGGTCTTTCGTATGGCAAATATTTAGCGGAGAAGTTTCGATTGACTAATACTGAAGAAATCTATGTCACCATGCTCTCGCACCATCTGAATGTGGTTCTTTCGCCCAAACAGTGGATTCTACTGGCTAGATACTACTACCATAAAGCAAAGAAGCTTGTTCCCGCAAAGTTGAAAAATCAAATAAGTTCCAAATCCCTCCAACTCGACTCCAATACTGATTTCAATGAAGAGTTCACGAAGCACGAGTTACAGGTCTTCAGGAATATCGACTCTGTTTTCCGTTGGAAAGGGGCGCCTATTATGAAATTATCGGATAATACCCTAGAATACCAAAGACTGGTAGAAGAATATTTTATGAAGACTAATTAATAGCAGTTATTTGCACTCTTCTCCCCATATTCTGACCCCTTCATCGATCTTGGCCACATCTAAATGACTGATGCTCATTCGAACACTCCTCTTGCCCCATCCTCTAGGATCTCCAGTCACTTCAAAGTTGTCTCCTGTAGCAAGGATGACACCCCTTTTTCGACACTTGTTCGCAATCTCCTGAGCATCGAGGTGCTCCGGAAGAGTGACCCAGTTGAAGTACCCGCCCTTTATTGGAGCAATTTGAGTACCGTTCGGTAAGTACTTTCGAAGTGCCTCATTCAAAGCCGCTGCACGTTTAGAATAAGTAGAGTTAAGCCTGGCAAGTATGTCGTCAATTGCTCCCATTCTGTAGAGCTCCCCAACTATCACTGTGTTCAACTGTGAAGGGGTGCCACCGGACCTCGTCGCACCTCCTTGGGAAAGCAAATAGGCCAGCCTTGGGGTGGCAGATTCTTGGTAGCCAGTTCGCAGACCTGGCCCCAGAATCTTGGAAAATGTGGTATTGGAAATAACGTTACCATATTCCTCACCTTCAGGCAGTGTTTCCCTGTCTAAGTATACCATCCTTTTGTAAGGCACTCTATTATGGAAATCCAATAGTTCATACACGTCATCGCAGATAATGAGCATGTCGTGTTTTCTAGCAAGCTCAATCAAACGCTGTCTATTTTTTTGGCTCAACGTCCCACCCCGTGGATTTGAGAATGTAGGCACAATGTACATGATGTACCTATAGATTTTTTTCAACGGTCTATCTGGATCGTGAATATGAGCGATATCTTTTTCTGAGATGGACTTTGCAATCGGCTCCTGAGAATCATAGAAATCCAATTTCTGCTTGAGCGTTTCCATGTCAATCTGACCATTTTCGTCTTCTTCTATGGATGTCATCCGGCCTCCAAACCCAGCATCGATGAATATGGAGTTCATCAGAAAGTACGTCGGACTGACAAGGAATGCTTTTCGCGTGACACCAGTATGCGCGGATGAAAACTGCGCTAGAATGTTCATGATGCCGTATGAGGATCCCGAGGTTAGGTTGAGACAGTCAGCGTCTGTCTTTGTTTTGAGTTCAAACTTCTTATCATTCCAGTCGGCTATCAGAGTTCTGACCTCGAGATTGCCAGGATCTGTGCCGTAATTTAACGGATGCGTGTTATTGACTCCGTCGTAGTTGTCCATGGTATTATCAAACCTGGATAGAACATTGTTGGCAGCCTCGAGAATCTTCTTGTTTGGCAAGAGATCGATAGAAGGATGTCCTTTGAAGAAATTATACTTCGCAGGAGCTTGATGAGACATTGGAAGTGTGATCTCGAGAAAAAATATCTGCCTATATTGTGGCTTCAGTCCAGCGATAAGCGATTTGATAAGCCAATTCGGCACCACTCAAATCAATGAGAGTTGCGAGCATCAACTTGCTTGGATGAGCCCATACCTGTCTGTTCTCTGCAGCACACGTGGCAAAGTGCACACCCCGTGCCATTAGCTGCTTTGCACAGCCATATTCTGTTTGGCCATATACACTTGAGGTAAATCAAATTAAATTAGTTGCTGAATAATTTAAACCTAAATTGTACAAATGTCGAGCACTAGTCCCGAAAAGCTGGAGGGAAAAGACCAGTCAGATGAGTACGAAGATTGGGTAGATTCCCCGGACGACGACGTCTTGGAAGAAGATGAAGGCGTTGCTCCGTTGGATGATGACGACGACTATGATTACGATGACGATGGCGACGACGATGCTGATGATGATTACTATGAAGATTAATTGTGTACCTCAAGACAATGAAGTGGCTGTGTTGCCTCTTTTATTACCTCCTAAACTACCCCTTAAAATAAAGTATGTAAAATCGTGAAAGGGGATAACCCCGTGGAAAAGCGAGCAAACAAAAATCATGAACAAATGCCATCATCGAAAATACCGTAATTGAACCACTTATGACCAAGAGCATCCATTGCAGTTATACGTTTCTCCGGATCGAATGTGAACAGATGTTTAAGCAAGTCAATAAACCAGTACCAAAATTCATACTCGTCATACTGTTTCTTCGGGATGTTGTACTTTGCAATGGACTCTTTCAAAGAAGACTTCATATCAAACGGAAGGCCAACCTTGGAGCCAACTAGATCGGCAAGCGTTGGAAGTCTCTCAACTTCGTCGATCAACTTCATAGGAGTTTGCGGCGTTGGGAACAGAAGTTTCCCTGTAGTCTTTGAGAAACAATTTGCAATACAGTCGGAATTGGAAGTCGACTTGCGACGCGAGGAAGAGTTGTAGTAATATTGGCTGAAACATTTCCTCACGAGTTTTAAATCCACAGGTTCTCCTAAAGTCCGCTCCATCATAGCCAAATGTTGAGCATTTTCGTGAGTTTTGAATAGAGCATCGCCAGTCACTAGTTCCACCAAGATACAAGCCACAGACCAGAGATCGCAAGGATACGACCATCCTATTCCCAATATGATTTCAGGTGCACGGTAGTGTCGCGTTGACACCACAGAAGAGTGATATTCATCTTCAAATATGGCAGAACCAAAATCAATTGTGTAGATCTTTGGGTCATTTAGAATGTTTCTATAAGTTAAAGAGCTTGAAGTTCCATGTGGCTTCAAATATGGTTTTCTGGTATACGAATCGTCTTTCAGCAATATGTTCTCTGGCTTGAGATCGGTGTGGATCAGATTAAGATCATGCAAAAATGCAACCGATCTTAATAGCTGCTTCGCAATAGCCTGTACGTGAGAACCAGGGAAAGGTAGAAATTGGTTTCTTTCGAGAAAGTCATATAGCGATATCTTTAGGATATCAGTCACAATACAGATATGACCTCTATAATCGAAACATTCCCTCAAATGAATACATTGGTTCTCGTTTTCCGGATCATGCTTTTTCAACATTGTGAGTACTCGCAATTCCACCTTCGACGCCTCTCTGTATTTTGGAATTGCACGTATTATCTTGATCGCAACTGGACAGTTGTTGTATTTGTCATGGGCTTTGATAACCTTGCCAAATGTACCTTGGCCAAGCAGTGATTGTATTTGATATCGGTCATTCGCAAACGATGCGCCTGGCACTATAATGTAATGACCATCTTTATCATCACATGGGGTATCCTCGACAGATGTCGCCGACGTATTCGCGGAATCATATGAGTCAGACGACGAGTTGCTGCTATGTTGATTGAATGTACTCAAGTTCAACGGAGCATCAGCATTGAATGAAAGTTTTCTATTCACAGACTTTGGCGTGTTGTAAGTGTAATTTGTGAACTGGTGCTGTATCAATGTGGTTTTCACATCACCAATTTTCTCCTGGACTGACTTTTTATCGAAGTTTGGCTGGTAATTCAGCTTGGAGTACGAGAGCTGAGGCAGAGATTTAGTTCTCTTTTTCTTGATTCTTGGACCACTTGATTTAGAAGGACCAGATAGTTTCAGGCTAGCAATCTTGATATTGTTCGTGTTATAGTACGAGGAAAAAGAGTTCCTGGGGCGGGAACTGTCCCTGCTGATCAAACCAGATTCGCTGTCTGTCGCATTCATCAAGTTCATATCGGCATCATCGAGACTCAAATAGTCGTCCATCACATCACTGTCTTTGAAAATATAATCCTCGGCATCCGAATCAAGATTGATGACTTCCTGGTCAGTATAAGACGATCCGCTGGAGTATTGTTGTTGGTTCTTCTTGTATGCACTATGCGACGGCCCTTCAGGACCTTTCGAGGACACCATCTGTGCGGAAGAGAGTCTTGGCCTCTTCCTCTTGTAATTGTTAGCAGTTAGCATATCGAAGATGAAACCTCCGGTTATATCCGCTTGGGAACAATCAGTTTAATCACCTGTGTTGTGCGAGATCCCACGAGTCTAATATCTGTTTTAAGATGAGCTTCCAGTAAGAAATTAATATAAGGTTTGCATCCTACGTGAAAGATATATTGCCCTCTTCAGCCCCCTATATATTTTGCCCCCCCTAAGTGTTAATAATAAGCAGCCGCATAATTAATTGATTCTATCAGGTGTCGGCCGCAAATTGCAGGATTTCCGCGGGGACAGCAATCGATTTCCTGGTTAATTTGTCGCACTTTTCTTTTGTTTTGCACGGGCACACGATAAGCCGCTCCTATGTTGCACCACACAACACGCAGACCACATGAGGAAATCATGGATTACAGGAACTTTTCATTGTAGATGAAACATACACGGTCGCTTCTACGTAGACGGAACAAGCGCGCTATGGCGAGGATACTCTCGTCAGTGTAGGGATCCGAGAAGCAGATTATTCGCGGCGCGTATTAGAAATTAAGTGCGGGCATTTGGAAGCTGCAGTAAATTTCTGGCCACACTTTGAAGGCGGACCAGTTCATCTTGTAATGAAGCAAGCCTAGCCCAGTGATCCGAAAAAATGTCCTGCCTTCGAAAAGCAAGGAAAGCCAGGCTCACATTGTACTGTCTGCGAAGCAACAGCGCTAAACCACTTGGCATCTCTACACCGACTTAGCCACCTTTTTTTTTTCCATAAAAGTTCCCAGCACCATTTGCCACACTATTGTTTATCCTGATTAGATCGTCCTATAAGCACCAATGTCACAATCACTGACCATGTTATCGAACATAGATTCGAGCTTGATGAATCAGCAAGCTGTGGGGGCGGGTGATCGACACGGTGACTCGTCAAAAATTACAGGAACAGATTCGTCTTCGTTGGGTCAGCAAAGCAACTCCGAAGACGATGAGGAAGAAGACAAGAGCGGGCTCTCTGAAGAGAAAAAGTACCAATGCAGCCAGTGTCACCATTCATTCACTAGAAAACATAACTTGAAGTCGCATATGCTCATCCACACAGATGAAAAGCCTTTTGAATGTACTCATTGCAACAGTAAGTTCAGAAGGCAGCATGATTTGAAAAGACATGAAAAGCTCCACACCGGGGAAAAGCCATATAGATGCGAAAAGTGTGACAAGAGATTCGCACGTGCAGATGCTCTGCTGAGACACGCAAACTCCTCGTCCGGGTGTGCTGGAGCAGGATCCACTTCCAGTATGGACCCTTCCTTGTCTCCTGGCTCCAGTGCAGGAACAGCGCTGGGGAAGCGCAAATCTTACGATGAACAAATCGTTCAAATGCACCCTTTCAAAAAATCAAAAGATGCCACCAACGCCGAGGCAGCTGCTGCCGCCGCAGTGGCTTCAGCCGTGTCGAATTACTACGTGCAACAAGCAGCTGTCCAGACGCAGCAAAGACAAAGCAGATCTCGATCCACGCAACAGTCCGCCCCACCACAGGTCTCGCTCAACTCTACAAATAACTACATGCAGTCCGCAGGATATGCTCAGCAGCAGCTCGCCAATTATGGAGGAAACAACGCGAATGATGCCACATTAGCCGAACTTTACGGCACTATTGCTATTCTGGAGGCTAAGGTGAGCACGCTAGAGTCGCGAATCATGGAACTGGAGGGCAAAGTGTCCAATGCTGGCCATTAATTTGTCTACTCTCATGCTGTATTTGCTATTTACAGGTTGTACTATAAACAAATGATGAGATCATTTTTTTGAATCTCTTTCATCTTCGGGAAGTCCCAGGTCCTTCCAATCGACTCGTTCCATAAGTTCATGATCCATGCGACATGCGAGGTAATCTTTTGCTAGTAGACGGCAGTTCGGGGCGTTCTCGTTTCGCACAAGCTTCATACAGTTGAGGTACTTCTGCATGTGCTCTTTGCAATCCCCGTAATGATCCAGAGGAAAGGCACCTCTATCGGGAGGCGTTGGGTTCCATTTCTGGAGACGATTACCCGGGTTTGCGGACATCTGCTTTTTTCAAAATACTAACTATTATGCACCGAAACGTCAATTTTTGTTGATTTTTTGTCTATACATCCGTGCACCAGGCTAATTGAAATATGCATTGGACATGTAGTTGGCGATATTGAAACCAGCCAGTGTGAGCACGAGCCAACCACAGATGAGCACTGGGATTGGTATAAGCAAGTACTCCGTTTTATGAAGGAATGGGAGTGCGTTGTAACCGTAGAACGTAATAATACAGTAATATGATGTCGATGCTAGATATAGGGTGTTTCCTAGCAGTGTGGAAATCCAATTGTTGAGTCTGAGTAATGGCAGCAGAATGAACTGCACCAGATAAAGACACACCCATATGATCAGATATGCATTGCAGTGAATGTCAAAGCAGTACGCCCACTCCAACATGGAGTCAGTGGGCAAAAAGATATTGCGTAATCTTTGTGACGACGAGGAGGTCATGCTTGTGTTTGGATTCTGAAGAAAAAAATTGTTGGCAAGGATCCAGCCCACCGTGGCAACTGACACACCTACCAGGACAAAATCAACAACAACCATGTACAAGATCAATTTGAAAATAGTCAAAATGTCTGTAGAGTAAACCAAGCCCCAGAGAATCGCGCTGATCGTGAGGAAAAAGCTCAGAAGAATAACAAAGCTAGGATCATCTCTCGACCACTTATTCTTGGTCTGCTTTTGGTAATATAGGCTCTTGTAAACACGCTTTGGTTGTAATATTAGGTTGAGCATTTCCCAAAGGGCGGTTTCGAAATCCAATGAGCGCACATTCAGCAGCCTTTTGAAATAGCGTGGAATAGCAAAGCCAGAATCCATTGACTTCTTTAGGTTTTTGATCTTCAGTTTGCGCTGCTGTCGTTTTGCAAATGATGATAATGTCGTTGACGAAGACTGCAGTGAATTGGCTACGCTGGCCAAGTCGTCCGGTTGCGAGGTGGGAGTACCAAGAATATCATCCTGTGTTATGGGGAGGATCGGGTTTGTTTTCGAATGCAAGCCTAGTCCTTCCAGTTGCTTTTTTGGCATTTTATTAGTGATTCGATGAGTTTTACGTCACTAAAATCAATTTACTTTTGGTCGTGTACTTAGCGCATCCTTTTAGTCGAGATATCTGTCTAAAGGTTCTCCCATGGTCTGCTCTAGAACCTTCACAAGACCAGTCCGCACCTCCATCTCTACTTCTTCATTATCATCTTCCAATAATTCGGCTACTATTGGAACCATTTGAGGAAGCAGTCCAAGCCAGTTCTCTCCGACTTTCTTATAAATATTTTTCAGTGTCCTCACAGCCCAGAGTTTCTCCTTAGGCTTACAAGTGGCCTTCATATGGCTCAAAAGCAGACTATTGATAGTCTTGTTGTGTTCGTCCGAGGAGCTTGTCGCTTGCACGAGACTTGTCACGGCTCTAACAAGATACTTACCAATAGAGTCTTCGATAGTACTGAACTGAGAGCATAGAGCTGCTGAAATTGGCGTGAATCTTGTGTCTGAGTGCCAGTACTCATCTTGGTCGTACTTGAATGATGATGCCAAGGAAAGTAATACCAATCTCTTCAAATTGATCTGGTCGCTTTTCTGCAATCTGTATAGCAGCGATTCAACAGAGTCCACCAGGTATGAGTAGTAGGAGGTGATAATAGACTTGAGGTTCTCCTGCAACTTGTTGAAGAGCTTAAAGAAAGCAATAAGGCGGTCTGTCTCGGTGATCGAAGTGGTGACATCTTCACCATCAAAAGCCCACCTCACGATCGAGGCGAATAACGGTCTGAAGGTTTTGTCGTTCAACTTGAGCACATACTGCAGACCACACTTGTGAACTGAGGCCTCGATCTTGTTCACTGTGTTGATATCCAGATCAGTGTCAGCTCTGTACTCCAGCGCCGATAAGAGGAATTTCACGAATGCACTCGAATTGGTGACTGCAGTTTTCTTATCGATTTTCTCTATCACCATCTCCATGGCAGACAAATGAAGGCCAATTGCGATCACGTCCAATTTGGAGGCAAACTTCCAAAGAGAACAAAAGGTGAGTAGCAGGGTTTTACCATCCATATGATCCACCATAACCGTCAACACAGAGGTGCGCACAGAGTCCGAAACGTGGGATGAGCGAAAAACGATTTTGACCATGTCTGCTAAATTAGGAGTGACAAACGATGGCATCTTCTTGACAAGACTAGTAAAGAGAACAAGCATTGCAGTTTGAATTAATGGGGCTGTATTTTCGTCTGTTTTCTCGAAGATGTCGAGCAGTGGAGGTAGAATTTTGGTGAAATAGCCAATCATTTTGACACCAATGACGCTGATCACATTGGTAATGCAGTTTATTGAGGAGACCACGATCTCGGGGGCACCATTGAGCAAACCTGCAGGGGAAGTAACAACATTCAATGTTTTCAAATACAACGACGAATCGATGTGAACGGTGTATTTTTGGAAGAGACTAGCGAGCGTATCAAGCGAAGTCTGTGATAGTTCCACGTCTCTCTGCGAGCTTATCATGGCTAAAAGATGAGGGAGTAGACTGACAACTCCTTCATGAGCTTTAGGATCCTCGACGTGCTCAGAATTAAACTTGAATGCCGTGAGAGAAGTGATATGGATCAAAGTTTTCAATGAAGCATTTGGAGAAGAAAGAATGTTGGAGATAGATTCCACGAAATGCTCGATAGGAAGCAGACCCAAGATATCATTAAGGAGTTTGTAAAGCTTGAGCAATATTTCTTCTTCTTCAATTTCCTGATGGCGAGAGTCGATTATCTCAAGAACGTCCTGCACCAGCTTGGCGAAACAGTTCAGCAGTGGCTGAGGATCGATACCTTGAAGACAAGCAGAGGCAACCTTCAGTCTCAATCTAGAAATTCCATTGATGTCTTTGGCATCAGAAATGGCATGTCGCAAAAAGGAGAGCAGACACTTTCGCAGATTAAATAACTCCGATTTGCTTAGTGCCACATGTGCAGGTCCAAAAATGACTCTAGAGCTTAGTTCCATAAATTCGGGCGACTCCTTGTCCACAGGTTCTTCAGGAACCTTTTTCCACAGATCCAGGAACTTCTGAACGGCTTCTAGCTGTTCTTCGATCTTGAAGTTCTGCAAGAACGAGCACGAAAAGTCGGTCAACGCAGAACAGTCCCCCATTTTGTGTTTAGCATAGGCGTTGGCATACTGCTGACCGCACAAGAACAAAATCAGGTGAATTGAGCTAGAGCTGCCAAGAGTTCTAGCTAATGTCGTGAATAGTCTGACTCTTCTGTGACGAGGAATATGTTGGAAGGCACTCACAAACGAAGTGAGCAGAAATTCGACTTCTTCCACCATGTCTGAAGTAGTGGCTTCGGCTAAAGCTGGGACCACGCACAAAATTGTCTGTTCAACAACATGGAAAGAAAACTCGTCATCCTGTCTGATTGTGTGTGCCCCCATAAAGGTAAATATTGGCATCACAGAGTGCAATATAAGTTCTGGAGAAAACGTTGCCAGCGCAGCAACCACCAAAAGCAGTTTGTTCTGGACCTGTGGCGAGTTTGAAGATCTGATTGCTGAGACAACAATGTCGGCACGAACCGAAGTGATTTCTTTACCCTTCACTTGCGACTTTTCCAAAGACTTGATCACATTTGTCATGCAAGAAGCTAGTGTCTCCTCGGAGTACAAAATTGGCAGCTTTCCGTCAGTACCCAAAGTTTCCAAATCATCAAGGATATCGAACAGCAATTTCAACAACTCGAATGAGCCTTTGAAATTTTCTCTACTTTCTTTTTCCAAAACGTCTAGTATCATCGTCACTTTCTTCAAATGTGTGGAGGCCATGAAAGAAATTTCTTGTTCCTTCATTGCTTGGCGGGTTGATGCAGATGATCTCCTTCTTCGTTTAGGAATATTGGACTGCTGTTCTGATGAATTGCTGAGAGACGAGTCTTTTAAGATTTGCACAAATAAATTGTTTGACAAAGACAGTGATTCCAACAACTCAACTGCATCGTAGCAAATAGTGGCATCATCCTCTGATAATCCGGAGTCGATTATGGTTTTGACAATACGGATCTGATGTTCAAATTTGAATGTTGGAAGCAGTTCGGCAAGTCTTGCAGCAGCAGCATTCGACAGAGACTCCGAAGAGCAGTTAAGGGCCTCCTCAAGGAATTTGATGGCAGAGTCGTTGTGTTCTTTTTCTGAAACGATTTGAACAATCTGATTTTCGAAGTCTGCGTAGTCAACACCTGAGGAAATACATCTCGACCTCCAAACCTCTCTTTCGATCACGAACGACTCTAAAATCTTTCCCAAAATTTGGGATGGCGGCAATGATCCTTTCGTCACTTTTGCGGCATCCGTAACTAATCTGACTAAATGCAGCTTTGGAGCCGGTAAGATGATGATGTTAGCATGCGAAGCAAAGAATGCTAAAATGATGGTTCCCGTTTTCTTCTCACCAACTAAAGACACAAACAGCTTTCCAAATTGGTCAGCACTTGTGCTAATGTCAGTAGCTTTCTTGACAATGTTTTCGATAATTACATGACCGACTTTTGGGGACACCATAGAGATACCCTTAGTTGAGTCACCGTACAATGTTCTCTCCAAAATGGACTCCTTTCCGGAAGATCTCAAGTTCGCCTGTTTGAAGATCTCCAACGCATTGGAGCGGATGAGTCTATTGGCATCCAGCAGCAGTACAGTTAGGATAGGGACCAAAATGTCAACGTTATACTTTGCGTCCAACGATTGAATCTGAGCGGAGACTAATTTAAGTGCGTACGTTCTTGCCTTGAGCGGGATGTTCTGCAACAAGGACGCGCGTAGAAGAAAGGTGACTAAAGCCGCTGTATCTTCAAAACACGAAGAAAGGAAAGAGTTGGCAGAACCTTTTAGCATGGATTTCATATAATGTTTTAGCAATAGAGAGAATTCCGTATCAATCTGAGCATGAGAATCCATGTACGATGCAAAGGAGCTTTTCACGGTCTCCCAACTCTCGTCTAAGGGAACAGATCCATTGTCTTCATCAAACGATTCTTGCTCATCATTTTGCTGAGGTTCGGTCAAAGTTGTCTGGAGGGACATTTCTAATTGATCAATACTGACTCCCTGTGTTTCCAATGATTTACTGAACCATTCCGGGGATTGATTCTTGATGTGCTTCAAGATGTTAACATAGACTGAGGTGTCTTGCACATTCATATTATCAAAGATAGCCTTGCACAAAGCTTGAGTCTGCTCGAAAGTGAAGGCGAAGTCACAACTGACGGCTGCAGCTCTGTGGTCTAGTTTGTGATTAGATATCAGTGTTATCAAATAAGAACACACAAAGTTGGAATCTCGGGACCTATTTATCAGTCCAAAGTATGGAGAGTTTTGGTCCAGAAATTCAGGTATCCGATTGAATATAGAAAGAGGAAGCGAGTCTAATGGATCGGTATGCACTGCCTGGTATAGTTTGAGGATGCTAGTAAATGCCTGTGTCTGTGGTCTTTTATTGTCGAACTGAGCGTGAATTAAAATGGTTTCAATGGATGCCATAAGAACGTCTCTGGAAAGAGGAACTGCAGAAGATAACACTGCCATGATGGTGTAGCCACTGACTTTCGAGTCCTGATCTTGCGAAACAAGCAGAGATCCACAAATAGTGAGTACATGGGGAACAAAATCAACCAGCTTGATTGAGTTCTCAGATGCCAACGCAGCGAGCGCAGAAATCGTCATGCTGACGAAGAAAACAAGTTGCAACCGATATTGATTATTTTTTGCAATTTCTTCGCCGAGGAATTTGGAGTACAAACTGTAAAAGTCAGTATCTGTGAACGCTTTTATTATACTGTTTCTTGACGGCAGTTTGTGATTTGCCTTTTTGAATGCAGAGAGCCATTGGAACATCAATGGCATTTTTGGCAAAACGTATAAAACTCTCTCGAACACAGGCTCTTTATAATAGGGAAGCGTAGTTAACAAGAGTTGCTCAGCGTTGTGATAATTAATCTGGAACCTTCTTAGCAGCCATTCAGAGGCTCTGAGAGCGATGGCCAGATGCCAGTAGGGTGCAACCAAAGATAAAAAAGCATTGATTGTTTTGTCTAAATTCTCGTTTTGCTTTTGAGATTGAACCTGTCTGTCAATACCTATCGATGTTTCACTAAAGATTGATAGCCTAAACTTTCCGAACCGCTTGTCAATTTGCTCCAAACGATTGAGGGCTTCAAGTGCTTCATAATAGATCGTCTCGTAGTCTTGGGTGGCAGCCTCTTGCGAACTATAAATGAACGAGACAGAATGGATTTTCGATCTCCTCTTTCTATCCAGTGCCACTGTCTGTGTGTTCTGTGCAATGGCAGAAAGCTGCTGTTCCAAAAGAGACATGATGTCTTTTACACAGGAATGTATGCTAGATATTTTTTTTTTTTTCTTGTTTGATTTGAAAATTTTATTTAGCTTGTACACGACTTAACAGTTTAATTATCGTCAAAACAAAAAAAAAAATAAGTGGTTCGCCAACATGAACACTAGCAAAGGAGCCAGTGACGTCTTGAAGCGCACCTCGGACTTTTTGCGTAGTGGCCTTGTGAAAGAGCAGCCTGCATGGTACAAGCCGGTTGCATACCACCCTCCTAAACAAGCTCAACACAAAACTATCAGACCGGAAAAATTCTCCAAACTGAGTAAACTTTCGGTGCCATCAAGAAGCGGAGACTTGTACAAAACCAGATTGACACCCTACGATTTGAAATTAGACCTTCTCAAACCCCAGAATTTGAAATACCTGGAAGATAAAATAAGAAACGTATTTTACCAGCAGCACCCCTGGGAACTCGCAGATCCGAAATCTCTTATTGAAAACGAGCACACCATTGATAACAAGAATCAAAACTGGTCCCATATGAGACAACTGACCAAGAAATTGGATGGAGAGAGTGTTGTTCAACGTACGTTGTATGTGATGCGGCACGAGAAGCTCAGTTTATTGAAGGCCTACGAAAAAGCCAAGTACGAATACTACAGACTCAAAATCGAGGAGGAGACAGAGATGAATGTTGCACGAGAAGAACATGAGATGTTTGGCGCTGTATATGACAAGACTGTTGTTGAGCAAGGCTTTGAGAAGGAAGCGGAAGTGATCAAGAAGTGGAAAGTTCGCGCACTCGAGGAGACCCAAGTTTTGGAAGCCAGGATGAGCAATCTGTCATCTGATCTTGGCGGAGAAGAAGAAGTACAAGCTCCAGACGAAGATACTTTATTCAATGATTTGGAGGATGCTGCAACTGAAGAGCCGACTCAATAACTACCTGTTTATAGCGCAATAAAATATAAAGTATGATATAAACATGCTTAAGACTATGTACATTAAAACCACGTTTTCCTCTCCAATTCTTTTCTTTCGATGCGCTTCTTGTATTTTGATCCCTTGGCCTCCACAATAGTCTCATCTGCCTTTGCCACTGCATCGGCAATCTTCTTTTTTCTCTCGTCATAGGTTCTCTCCCATTTGTGGCCCTTTGGACTCAACACACCCTTCAAAAGCGGCTTACCTTCAAACTTCTCAGCATAGAACTTCTTGTTATTCCGCATTGTTGGCATCAAATCCGCTATTCCAAACTTGTACGCGAGCTTGTATAAATCTGATTGCCTTCTTAGAGAATAAACAGGTTCTTGAACTTTACCAGTGACCGGATGTCTGTTTGGAATAAATGGATTGGCATCTGGGGCATTAGTAAGTGTTTGCTCGGACGCATACTGTCTGAAAGGGGCTGGAGGGTAGCGAGTAAAAAAGTTGCGGAGCTTTAACGGCAACTTCTCAAAGGCCTCCACAGCAGAGACGTTAAACAGCTTGGACATGTTCCGTTCAAAGTTTCGTGAAAAATTAATTCATCCAAAGATCAGCGTAACGAAATAAAACTCTCTCCTTGCACGTGATACAGGGTCACGTGTGAGATTTGTATGGGCCGGTTCTGTCAACAACCTACGGCGGCGACATGTGAGATATATTGAGGACATGCGATCGAGTCTGATGTATCCTACTTCATGTCACAGCAAGCCGGGCTCTTCAAACTGTTTCATCTTATCAAGCCTTTTTTTTTTCCGAAAAATTTAGTCACATAATTTATCATGCTTCACCGGACTACTTTTGTTCGCACCGTGCAAAAGCGTCTATTTAGCACCACTAGTGCTGTTTACAAGAAGTCATCGGCATCTTTTGTCGCTGAAGTGGATCCATATACCGTTACGACTTACTCAAGACCGCCGATTGTTTTCACGAAGGGAGAAGGATGCCATCTTTGGGATATGGAGGGAAGGAAGTATATCGATTTTTCTGCCGGAATCGCGGTGACTGCCCTTGGTCACTCGCACCCTGAGATTGCGAAAATTATGTACGAGCAAGCTACCACTCTCGTTCATAGCTCCAACTTGCTTTACAACCAGTGGACTGGCGAATTAAGCAAACAGTTGGTGTCCAAGACTCTGGAGTCAGGAGGCATGAAGAATGCGTCTCGCGTGTTTATTTCCAACTCCGGTACTGAAGCCAATGAAGCTGCACTGAAGTTTGCAAGAAAGTACGGCAAATCAATTGCGGATAATAAAATCGAGTTCATCACTTTCGAAAACTCTTTCCATGGGCGGTCTATGGGCTCGCTTTCGGTCACGCCAAATCCAAAATATCAACAGCCATTTGCACCTCTGATTCCTGGAGTGAAAGTTGCAAAGCCCAACGATATCAAGTCCGTGGAAAGCGTGATCTCTGATAAAACCTGTGGAGTGATTATAGAGCCAGTCCAGGGAGAAGGTGGCATATTTCCAATGACTTCTGACTTCATGGTTCAGCTTAGAGACTTGTGCAATAAGCATACTGCGCTTTTGATTTACGACGAAATCCAATGTGGATTGGGCAGATCTGGAAGACTTTGGGCGCATTCCAAGTTGCCAGAAAGTGCTCACCCTGATATTCTTACCATGGCTAAGGCTCTGGGTAACGGATTCCCTATTGGTGCAACTATGGTCACAGAAGAAGTTGAGAAGGCTTTGAAAGTTGGTGACCATGGAACCACTTATGGTGGAAACCCGCTGGGAGCTCGAATTGGATTATATGTGCTCGACAAGGTCTCGGATCCTGAATTCTTGCAACAAGTTGAGAAGAAGTCGGAATTTTTCAAGGTGAAACTCAGCGAACTAAGCGAAAAGTTCCCAGATCAAATCAAGGATATCAGAGGGGAAGGTCTTTTACTTGGTGTGGAGATGAACCAGGACCCGTCACCAGTTATACAAAAAGCCAGAGAGCTGGGATTGCTGGTTATCACTGCAGGTAATAACGTTATCAGATTTGTTCCTGCTTTGAACATTGAAGACTCTGACATCATCGAGGGTCTCGATATCTTGGGTAATGCTTTCCAAGAGACATTTACCAAATAATTAGATATATAGATATAAATGATATTTGTCATAAAGTGTGAATTATGGACACCCCGTTTGCATCGATGACGAGCGAGAAGTAAAATCCTGCCAGGACGCTGATGTAGACCAGGATTAGAATTGAGCCCTTGAAATAATTAGACTTGCCCTCAGCATACACGTAGGTGAACATATACACCGATATGAGTGACGCTATGCAATCCCAGCGAGGGAATATCAATGAAAATAGATTGTTAATGTCTGACGGTGTGGCGTTGATGTTTCTGAATGCGGAATACATGGTGACGATTGGAATTTGCAACAGACAGACCTGTAATGCATACGCAGATCCAATCTCCATTGAGAGTGCCACGTTTCCATGGGTTGCAAAAGAAATAGCATTGACGAACTCTGTAGTGTTCGGGACTAACGCAAACACTGTCAATCCAAGGAACTTTGGATCGATGGGGAAGGCGCTAAGGACATCATCTACCACATCCACCAGTATTTCGGCAATGACAGCATACATCAACGTTGCCAAAAGTAAAATCGTGGTACTTTTCGTTCTGGACCAATTCGGAGCGTCATGGCCACCATTCTCTGTTGTTTGCATAGTTTGCCCTGGCTGGGCTGGTTGTGCAGGTTGCGAAGCTGGGCTTTGTGTGGGTTGCTTTCCGGTTGTTGCTTTTTGATTACTGCCCTGAGTCTTCTTATGACTAAGAGTGTTATCAAGACGAAGAGATTTGATGCTCGTGTTCTCGGTTGCATTTCCGCTATAATTGTCTGTTTTCTTCTCTTTTTCGGACACCACGGGAGTACTCCAAATGAGGGCTGCGTGTGTCTTGAGGGTAAAGAGTAGTCCTATGCAGTACGCCAAAAACAGTCCAATGGCACAAATGGCTGCAAATGGCCTCAAGTACTTTAAATACAACTTGTCCACTGCGAGATTCGGCTGCAGAAAATGACACTTCTTGCAGTCTGCTCCATTTTCGTAGTGCTCAGGTTCGCAATCAAAGCATTGAACCTCGTACTGTCCATAGATTTCGTATAAAATCGTGGGAGAGAGCATGATGACTATGGCATAAAGCAGCATGGTGGAAGAAACGCCTGCAGATGCCGGGTTGTATCTTTGTGTCTTTCTACGAAACGCTCCGCCACACATCGAAGTCCCGGGCAGGAGCAGAACAGCTCCCAAAATGGAGCCTATTATAGATCCCTCGACCAATTTTCCTTTTGACTGATTTAGCGCAATGCAGTATAAAAACACTTCCACAATGGTGGAGAAGAATGCATTGATGACGGCACCGACACCCATTGAAGTTTGCGCGGAAATGGATGCGACAGCTTGACCGATAAAGTATGCTAGCGGGATAACAGAAACAAGACACAGTATGAATATGACCACCGGAGAAACAAATATAGACTCAAAGCCAAAGTACTCTTTGAGAACGAAGAAATCAAAGATGGTAAAAATCACCAGGAATATGAGGTTGATAAAGAAAATGTTGGTACCGTCCACGGTGTATTTGTAATAGTGCAACCCAAGACTTCGGTAGGTGCATATCAAGATGGATTCGTTGGATGTGTTGGATGCATTGGAGGCCAACTTGCGCTGGTAATAATCTTTTTCAATCTCGATGGAGAGCGCTAGCGGATGTCTCCTAATATGATTGCACACGGTAAAAAGCACCTTGGCCATTGGGATTGTGAAAACAAGTAGCCATAAAGCAGCACCCAAAGCAAGCATGACTGGCTGAGCACAAGTGTAGAACAAGACATAGAAGACGATTCTTCCGATATTCCATTTTCCTCTTCCAAATAGTCTCTGCTTGTAAAATGTGGTATCTTCGTCCTCATCAAATACCTCCTCGCTATTTTCGCGATTTGCATCGGATGCGTAGTTCGTACCCATACGGGACCGCAAAGGAGTATTTTCGCTTGCCCGTCTTTTCCGATCGGGGGCTGCATAAAAAAGACGTCCTTCTTCCTGTGTTCTCCATCTTGCAAACTCGGCAAGCGTGCTACCCACATTCGCATCTTCCGTGAGATAGTTTTTGTCTGCTCTAAGTAAGATGATCTTTCCAAATGGAACAAACAAATAAGTGCCCAGATGTAAGTACAGTTTTGCGTACCTGACGGAATCACTCTTTTTGGGATTGGAAAAGACGGTGAACAGTAAAGTAATGCAGCCCATCACGAGGCACAGTATCAGCAGCACGAAACCAAACGTGCAACTCCAGATAAAGTTACAGAATGTATTTGTAGCAGAGACCTCCCTAGCAATTTGCGGCGTCGAGTGGATATCATTTTCTGCCTCAATCTCGACTGATCTGTTTTTCTTGTAGATAGCGGGCTTCCAAATACGTATACCAAAAGGGTGTGTCTCATTAATTGCATCTTGTCTGCCCCTCAATGTAAAGCTCTCGGCAGAAGATGTAGACTCCGCGTCAGAAGTATCGCCATCTCTTTCGGAGAGATCTTGAGCAGAAATGCGTGGTTTTATGGGCTGGCCGTCTTCTGCCTGCACGGATGAATTTTCCTCACCGTCGGCATGGATATAGTCCCCCTCCCGTTCTCGTAGGATAGCCAGCTCTTTTGAGGTGGCTATTAGGTTTTGCGCAATTTCGGCTTCCAACTCTTGGATTTTGCGGGACTTCGGATCATTGGAATCTGCCTGTGATGCAACAGCCTTTTTGAAGCGATGACGTAGGGCATCTGAATAGCCTTCCAAGTACTCTCTGTTCAAATCCTCCTCAACTTCATCCTCGTCGTCGTCAACGCTGAAAATATACTTGGAGCTTGGTGCTTTTCGTAAAAATGGCTTTGCTTTACTCGGGTGAGCATTAGGTCCCGTATGTGAGGGTGTACACACTTTTGGAGAGGACACTGTACTATTTCCTGCTATATTTGGTGAACCGGATGTGCCTCCTTTATCTTTGAGGAGAACGTATTGTCGGTGGTGAGATGCGGAACCTGTGAGATGCGGTTGGTAATTCATAAGCACATGGGTAGACGGAATTGGAGTAGCTCTCATTGATTTAGAGGATTTTTGAGCTTTCGGCCCTTGTTGGTTGCCGCTCTTTGCAGATAGTGCAGGAGACAAGGGAGTGGGGCTATTGGCATTGTAATCTACTTGTGAATTGGACACCTTTTTTGCAGATTCGGAGTCGGACATTGGATGGCTGTCAACTCTTGAATTGCCAAAAATTCAAACCTGGCTTCTTTGTCTAGATATGGAAAGCGGTTCTGAAGACTATTCAGGGCCAATATAGTGCTAATTCAGATTTTGTAAATATTTTAAATTTTACCATCCCCATACGTTTTCAAAACAGGCATGCCATTTCAGCTTACTTAAAATATAAATGGAATCATAGCTTTTCTGTTCTTTGGATATTTGTCACCAAAAGTCTTCTTGTAGTTCCTATGCTTCTGCTTGGCCCAATTCATCATAGTTAGGGTTCCAATAATGAAAAATAAGTAGCACGACCAATTATTGATCATAATGGCATAAACCAACCAGCCCAGACTCTCAAAAAAGTAGTTTGGGAAGGAGACCAATGAGAAGGCAAAACCATACGGAATTCTCTTCTCTCTTGATCCATCACTTCTCAGATTCATCAGGATGAAGTGACAGTAGAAATTGGCCAGTTGGCAAAGAGCCCAGAGGCCAATATAGATATATAGTTGTTTCAAAGTCCTGTCTTCAACATTGAAAATGTATTTCTTCCAACCATAGTAGTACCTGTCCTGAGGGGCGTACACGGAAAGCGCAATAAACAATCCATTGAAAATCCAGTAATGTCCGCAGTTTCTGAACAAATACTTCAAGGGCATGGTCTCGGCAGAGAACATATGGACGAAGGTTGTTTCAAATTCTCTTTTTAAGTAGTGAATCATGGTCAAGATGTAAGCAGCAATCTGAGTGTATGTGTTGAAATCTGGGTCATACAAGCCGTAGTAGACCAGGGAGTGGATCAACATAGGACCAAAATATTCAATCAAGTAGACCGTTTTCCAGCCAATCTGAGGTCCTACATCTTTTGCATAAACTGTGAGAGTTTCCGTCGTAGAGAAGTCAAGTCCGTTAGCTTCTAATGTCTTCTCGTTCTTGAGTGTTTTACGGATGGGCTTCTTGTCAGTGGACTCTTCTTCTTCCAAAACAGAAAGCTTAACTCTGTTGGGATCAATCTTGTTGACCTTAGCGTATTCGTTAATGATAGCCTGCACTTTTGCCTTCGGATCAGTATCGCAATTGATCTTGCGCAAGCTTTTAGATCTAGGAACAATAATGAGATTGACCATGTTATCCAAAGAAACAGAGTTAAATAAAAAATTGGGTTCATAACCTTGTTGAATTTTAGATATACCTGTTGAAGATTTATCATCCTACGAGAATCATGAAACTGGTGAAGTTTCTGATGAAGCTAAACAACGAAAAAGTGCAGGTAGAACTGAAGAATGGAACCGTCATTTCTGGGGAAATTGTCTCCGTTACGCCGTCTATGAACATCAACCTGAAAAATGTGAAAATGACTATCAAACACAGAAATCCAATAAGTCTGGAATACATCAACATAAGAGGTAACCAAGTTCGCCTTGTCATTTTACCTGATGAGCTCAACATAGATAGTATACTCTCGGACTCCATGCTGAGGCCAAAAAATTTATCCACTGTTGCTCCAGTACAAAAAGCACAAGCTCCTATAAGAGGAGGAAGAAGAGGACGCGGAAGAGCTAGGGCGTTTTAATAACCATCACATATATATTGGGCTGTCATTAACGTTCGTGGTTCTCAGCCGTGGGCTGCTCGTTGTCCCGTTTCATTTTTTTCGTCTTCGTACATGCGTTCGGATTCTTCCTGCAATGAACCTTGCCGCGACTCTAACAGCTCCTGGTCTTCGAGAACCAATCTGTCAATAAGGCGGGGAAGCACCATATCGAAAAACTTATCTTCTTGCAGCAGTTTGTCAATATACTCGTCCAGATGAATCGACTTGACTGTTTGGTTTTCAATCGTGTTTAATCGTCGACGGTCGGCCAACAAAGGCTCCAGTTTCTGGTAAACTATCACCGATTGGCAAGTGATTCTAATATACAGAGCTGCTAATGCCGTGAGGTAGATAAAATCCTTCTGTACGAGCAAATGATAAACTATATCGGCAGCAGGTTGAAGCTGCAGAAGTCTGAGCAGGAGGCATATAAATGGGGTTGGAAGTGTATGTCCAGCATTTGCATAAGTTCCAATTTGCTCCAACTCGACGCCTCGATCCAGAAGTACTAGCAAGTCGGCGTGTTGGCATTCTCGTTTCCAATATTGGCTGTCGAGTATTCGCTCGCGTAATATTTTCTCGATGAGAAAAACAGGGTGAACACCATGAACTCGTTTGGTATTTGCTACCAGTCCTCTATCAATAGTGACAGACATTTGATGTAGAATAGAGAATAGAAGATTATGATCTCAATCTCCGGGTAAAATGATAGTTGGTCGTGGCTTTCTTCAAAAAAATTTGTCGAAAAACCAGCGACAAAACAAGGTATAAGGATTTAACTGTTTGGTGTATTAGACAAGACCTCAAGTTAATTGAAGACTAAATTACTGTTAAACCAGAGCGCTGAATCACTAAAAGGTATGTTTCTTTCATGGTTCGGGCAATGACAAATTTGAATTCACAATGAAAGAAGTAAACGATTTTCATAAAAAAATCTTTGTTTAAACGTTAACAGCATTGTCTTCCAAATTGTGGCCCAATTATTGTCCTACTAACTCTTCAGATGTCCGAAGAATTAAATCAAGCAGCCAAGGACTTGTCTCTCGACGAAAAGAAGGACGTGACGGTTCTGGATTCGAGGGAAGAGTTCAACGTGAAGCATCCACTAAATTCGAAGTGGACCTTGTGGTACACCAAACCAGCGGTGGACTCCAGTGAGAGCTGGTCTGATCTGTTGAAGCCAGTTGTTGCTTTTGACACAGTCGAAGAGTTTTGGGGTATCTTCAACTCCATCCCAAAGGCAGACGAACTACCATTGAAATCTGACTACCATTTATTTAGAGAAAACATCAAACCAGAGTGGGAGGACCCTGCCAATTCTAAGGGTGGCAGATTCTCTTTCCAGTTTAAGGGCAAAAGGCTGGAACATGGAATCAACGAAATCTGGACCAGAGCATTGTTGAGTGTTATTGGTGAGACCATAGAAGACGATCAAAATGAAGTCAATGGAGTTGTTTTGAACGTCAGAAAAGCGGGCTACAGAGTGTGTCTTTGGACGAAGTCCTGCGATAGAGCTGCACTTGTGCCTATTGGAGAAAGATTGAAGAAGATATTGATGCTCAGAGAGGGTGAGTCTGTTGAGTTCATCAGTCACAAAGATTCCAACGACCGTGGAGCAAAACCTGCATTCTACGTCTAAACCCTCTCTCACCCCCACAGCAAGATTTTAACACACAGTTCTCAAGCTGGACATAACTCGAGTTTCGTTGCATCCATGACCCAATGTATTGTGCTGATACGTTGTATAAGTGGTTATATAGCTGAAAATGCTTAAATCAACAATAATTTATTTCTGGTTTTAAACTAAAAATACACACATCGCCTCTAGGATATCATAGTAAAAATCACTTGGTTGCTGACGATGAGACAGTAACAATGCGGTATTGCTTGATAGTGCCCACAGTCTGTCCAGAAGTAGCTAAGCTCCCCAGACCAACAGAACCGGTTGACCATGACCCAACAGTAGAATACAAGGAGTAGAAACTCTGCGTGAAAGTGATCGAAAATGTTTTGGCAACGCCAGCCTCGGTAGTTGTACGCCATGCAATAGTAGGAGAGACGGTTGTTGAGCCCGTCTCTGTAGAAGTGACATCACTGTTGCTAGACGCAGATGTCAGCGCAGAGGTGGTTGGAGTCGTTGCGGCAGCCGCTGCTCCTGGAGTAGTCGTAGTTCCTGTTCCCTTGGTGCCCGTCCCTGTTGTTCCCGTTGTTGCTGTAGTTCCTGTTGTTGGAATCGCTGTAGTAGCTGCATTGGCTGGCGTCGTGGGCGTCGTAGCTGTAGTTGCTGCATTGGCTGGAGTAGTGGTGGTTCCAGTGGTACCAGTACCAGTGATTCCTGTAGTTGCGATTGTGCCGGTAGTTGGTGTTGCCGTAGTAGCCGCGTTAGCGGGGATGGCGGTCGTTCCTGTAGTTCCTGTAGTTCCGGTAACGGCAGCTATGGGTGTCGTGGCCGTGGTACCGGTCGTGTTTGGTGGTGTTGTTTGTGCCGTCGCCGTTGTAGCAGCATTTGGTGTAATCGGTGTAGTTGGTGTAGTTTCTGTTGTAGTAACTGGGTCGGCAGCCAGCGCGAGCGCAGCGAACGTAATCAGCCAATATACCGCTCTCATTCTATATATTAAAGGAGCAATCGAGTACGATAAAATTCGGTAACTTGTTTTTTTTCAAACATTTCCTCCCGGCAACACCCCTCCCCTGAGCCTCAGTATCGCTTATGTAAGTCAAGTGTACCTTGTAATTGTATTTTTAGATAAGGAGATGTACGGTGGCTGTCAGGGTTTGTGGCTAAGCAGGCGAGCTTGAAGAAGCACCACCGAACCAAAGCCGCCAAGATTATTTCTAACGGCTGCACCTTCTGGCACCTACTCGAGCACTTAAAAAGCCCCAAAAGCATCTTTACGTGTTCCCTATTTTTTCAAGGATATATTTGCGAAGGCTGGGAGATCTAGATGTATTCGACGGTGTAAAGATGAGGTTGTTTTTTGCAGGTGGTTCGCGAACTCTGTGTGTGCCACGGTCACTGCCCAGCTGCAAGTCCAAAAAAACGGTAAGGAACAAATAATACAGCACGGTTTTCGGGTTTCCTTTCGGTGTTTGAAGTTTTGGCTTTCTGAAGAGGTCGTGCATATTTTGGGTGTTTACCCCTGGAAATAAAATCCCGGTTTCTGTGATCCTACTCACCGCTTTTGTGTTTCAATGGTTCGCGGAGGCAACTACATTGCCCTGGGTGCATCAGAAAACCGGTTGGATTTCTCCAAAATTCGCCATTATGGTTTATGGGCGTTTCTGCTGCTCAACATCGCTATCTTTTTGCGCTTGTCCTATTCATTATGTAGCCTCAAGACTCCGGAAGCGCCTTTTATAGACTTGAATGTCGCAAATTTTGAGCGATATCTTCAGCCTATGGACTTTGCAAATGCCTCAGCTGTTTTCAACGAGGTGTATGATGTTCTGAAGCAGAAGAATGCGGACATCAATCCTATCGGTGTCAGTTTTATTCCAGCCTATATCCCAGAAGGGACACTATTGTACCATTCCAATCATCGAGGCCAGCCTCCGAAAACTGTTGAATGGGTTGCTATGGACTATGAGTTCAGCTACAATTTTGCGCATCTGAGAAGAAACAGGCCAAGAAAAGGTCATGATCCTGGGGGTCCTCCAAATTTCAAGCCGCCGGGAGGCAAATGGCCCTCTCATGGTGACCATCAGCCAAATTTTGATGGTCCTGCATCATTGTTCACATTCCAGGTGACGAAACCTCTGGACAAAGTCATTGTTCTAGGTGGTGCGTCGGCTGCCAAATCATTAACAGGAGAAATGGACACACAGTTTGTTCTATCTCAGGTTGCAGATTACGATGATTTTAATGAGCGGATTGCTGCCGCTAGGATTTGCTCGTGGGGGAAGAAACACGGAGGTCTCGATGGATATGTGCGATTAGAGGTTGGCTTTGAAATGGTCGTCTGCGACTTTGAAGAGAAAATGGTTCCAATTTCCAATGTGACTCTGGCGAATGCAACAGAATTTCTTGACTTCCCTCCAGAGAAGTTTGCAGATATCGATAATGGAGAGGATCTGAATGCCGAAATAAGTGCGGTCATCGACGTGGTCGAGGCAATGACAGGATTTGAGCATTATCTCGCTGGTGCAAGGGCTTATGATGGTGAGAAGCGGATTCTGCTTGATTTCTCGAAGTTTGTGACTCCGCTGAATAGGACATTCGTTCATCCAGATCCATATCTCAGACGAATCCACAATATTTCATCGGAATTGAAAACCGACTTGGTCAACTCAGTGCAAGAAATGCTGTCAACACCAAACGATCCGTACAGCTCTACGAACTGGCAGGTGGTAACTGACTACATTGTTGACAAGTTCGCGCCAATGCTGGTCAATGTGAACTCATCCTTTGCTCTCTATGGCCAACATAGGGACCATCAGACATTGGGAACCAACCTGACCGCTTATACATACAATTTTGTCAGACGATACTTGAGCGAACCTGACCACGAGCTTCTTCCAAAACATCGTGCAATGGCCATCTGGGACTACACTCATCCATACCAGTCTTTGAAATCGACAGCAGACTTCTTCCTCTGGAACTCCATCACCATTGTTCAGTCGAGGATAGTGGATACAATATACAGTTGCTTCACCTTGAGCAGGAAGCTACTATCCCCATTGACCGGAGCCTCGCTTCCTGATGACATAGATGATCAGATTTTGAAAGCCAAGGCTGAGCTGTCTGATCTCCTGGAAAGTTTGCGTTGGGCATACTACTACAGATGCTCCCAGAGCTGTAACTTTGACGAGCTTTGTTTCGTCCCTACCTGGGGACCCTCCCCACTAGGTTTCAGCAATGCCAATTCCACTGGCTTTTATGATGACGGAACTGGAAGAGCAAGAATTAAAAAGGAGCTCAGATGCATCAACTACGATTTGCTTCTTCAGAAAAGCGTTAAACGTGGTTGAAGCACAGTGTAGATTCGAGTAATGAGTGAAAGGGATTCTAATCAAAAGACTACGGACCAGATAGGGTCTAATTTGCGCTGCACTTGAAGCTTTTCCTAAGGCTGTCAGCCTATATTGTGTAAACTTGCCCATTTCAGTTGTAGCTTGTACCTTTGATGTTACTTGATCTACGAAGCATCGCCTCTAGATGAGGTCTCTCCATCGTGTATTATGATGTGAAACAATCATAAAAGTGGGTTCAATATACCGATTTCAGCCGGATGTTATCCCAGGGCATCATCAACGAGCACAAAATATAGTCTTGAACCCGCTCACTTGAGCCTGACTCGGGATGGTAGCTACATTTTGCCGAAAGTCACTTGCAACACAGGGCATGAAAGTAGTCGGATGCAGCCACTCCAAAACCTCAAATAAATTGCAAATGAGCTGGCAGCTAGATTTCAATAGTGCACAGAGCAAGGCCTATCGTCGTGGTCCTATATCACTGAGTGGCCATGCCAAACCATTTGTGAGATATCTTTGCGAAAGCTTGACTTGGCTTACATACTCGTTATGTAATCAGATTCATTTTTTCCTCGAACCCATTTTTAAGAATACGTTTTACAAAGCATTTAATTTGCCTATGGAACGAGTGGATCAATATAGAGACCAAGCAGCTGTCCAATGGACTCGGCTACACAACACATACCAGCGGTATCTGGATATCGCGACTCCCCACACAGTGTATAGATGGGCTGCAACGTATGTGCTGATGTTTTTGTTTGCCTTGAGAATTGTGCTATGCGAAGGATGGTACATTGTTTGCTATACATGGGCTATCTACCTACTAAGCATGCTGTTGCAGTTTCTGACGCCTAAGTTTGATCCGTCTTTGGAGCAAGAATACGAGAACGAGTCCATTGAAGAGGGTACAGCAAAAATGAGTGACAAAGATGAAGAGTTTAGGCCGTTTATCAGAAGACTTCCTGAATTCAGATTTTGGTTGAATGCCACCAGAGGCACAATTGTAGCTTTGGTCTGTTCATTGTTCAGAGTTTTTGATATTCCTGTCTTTTGGCCTATCCTCCTGGTATACTTTGTGATTTTATTCACTCTGACTATGAGGAGGCAAATCCAACATATGATCAAGTACAGATATCTTCCGTTCGACATAGGAAAAGCACGCTATGGGCGCAAGTGAGCTCTCATGTGAATAAGGTGTGTCTGTGGAAAATCAGGAAAACAATAAAGCACCACAAAGCAAGGATAATGCGTCCTTGTGTTGTGAGGACAAGATAAAAAACGAATCTCAGTATGTTGTCATTATAGTTCGCCACGGCCCGATAATAGTTCCATCGCTTCCGTGGCTTTAAGTCAATCTCATTATTAGAAAGATGAGTAAACTTGTCCATGAGGTACCCCTTGGAGTTAATCAAAGACATAGGGGGTTCCAACGGTACATCAATTCTCAGGTAAACTGGAATGTGGTCAGACAGTTTTATCGATGGAATTGAGTCGTATTTGATGACACGTTCTTTTGATTCATTCAGCCCCATCAAATCTTCCTCGAGGTCTTTGTAATCGAGATATAATATTCTATCGCACCAAGAAGGGGTCCTCTTATAATTGTAGGTCGATGTGCCTGTTTTGAACTTGTAAGTTGGAAGAAATTTGATTTCTGGCTCCTTGAATCCCCATAATATTCTGCCAGAAGATCGCATGATGTTTAGTTCGTCTAGTTCCATGCCAGAGCGTTCTTCATCAGGGTTTCCGGCAAAGTGGTACGCCCCTGTTTTCCTGTAATTAAGATCCCCCATGATAAAGCAGTGTGAGTTGGGTTTATGCATTCCGAAGCCATCCTGGAAACTTAAGCCGTGTAATATGCTATCAAGATCAACGTTTCTTCTCATCAGATATTTGACACCTTCGTTGGCAGCCAAGTGTGCCACTACAAATGTCAGCTCGGTTGTTTTGCCATAATCAGCCTCGTACGAAACTCTCAAGCCCGTGGCTCCCTTGATATTCGTCATGAAATATCCCAAGGGAACATTTGCCGATCTTCTCACTTTTCGACACCTGGACTTGTATGGAGAAATCAGAATAATTCCCACGTTTCCTACATGATTTATCTCGATCACCTCCAAGTTGATCTGGGTTTTGGCCACCAAGCTATCCAGCAGCAAGTTACTCAACGCCAGAAGCCTAATATTGATGGTGCAATGATTTGTTCCCTCATTAATGGAAGAGATTTCTTGGAAACCAAACACCAGGAGATCGGGCACGTGCCCCTCATTGTGTGCAATTAAATTGGCAATATCCTCACCAAACTCGGGCACAATTGGGGTTTTCTTACCGCAATTATAGGTAAGAAGGAACAGGGACAAAGACATAAAGTTTCAGAGCACAGCCAGATATTGGTTTTAGGCAAGCAGATATTTTTTACAGTTACAAAAAAGAAAAAACGGAGTCATTAGGCCTCACTTGGAGCTGAATGTGTGCGTGGCTTGTCTTCGCTGGAAGGGTGCACACTTGATGAGTTGGTGGCAGTGATAAACTTATTTGGGATCTTGTCAGGTCTGTAAAACCTCAAATCAACCCTTCCGACCAAGTAGAGCAGATTGACAACGGCTTCCAAAAACCCCCAGAGCATGTACATAACCACCGGTTTGGCTAGCCACCCTTGTGTAGCGTACGTTGTATCAAGAAATAGGAGCACGCATCGGAAGATCGCACCAATGAAGACACATGCAGATGTGAGAGCAACCAGCAAAATTGAGCTATTGTGCTTGATAGAATATTTGGCTTCCTCTTGAGCTTCATATTGGTTGAGTTGTGACGATTCATCCGCCATTGAATAAAGATCTCCGCCTCTCAGGATGGTTCTTTCCGAGTGTTTGGCGAGGTCGCCGTGCCGTTGAACAAACAAGTAGCGTCCTTCCTCAGCAGCGCCCTGAGGAATGTAATACGTCGGGGCAAACGACGTGATCCAAAATGGCTGGAACACGGTTGCTTTCTTGTCCCTAGAAGAAGGGGGGATCAAGAAGGCGCACATAACAAGCAGTATGGCCAACAGCGAGTAGAAACAGATAAGAACGGATGTCACCTTCACAACGTTGCGGCACATGTTGTAGTGGCTTTGGCTCAGAAAGTATAAATACGGCACCACGCCTGCAACAATTGTCATGACAACGACTGCCACCACAAGCAAATAGATTGTCATCATGGCAATCTGGAAGTATTTCTGGTTGCCGCCAACAGGATGGCGCCAAGTGAAGAGCCGCTGTGCCAGTACGAGGTTGAGAGAGGCCAGAAACACCGTTGGAAGGACAAGTAGGACTTCGGAAGCTATGCCTGTGTGCAATCTGAGGATGTTCTTTGCCCACGCGATTCTCAAAGCAAAGCCTAACAGTCTTATTAGACAATAAGCTGCAAAACCGAGTGACAACGGGAACCAGTGTCCTCTTGTCTTGTTCTTGGAAAAGATAAATAAATGGCCAAGCATGAGCAAAAAGAACACAGCTGTAAAGACGCTGCTTGGAGCAATGTCTTTGTGGTCCGGATAGGATCCGAACTGAGACTGCTGTTGATCTTTGAGATATGTGATAAGTGCATCTGGGATCTGCCGATTGGATTGCAGGTGAAGAGCATTTTTAGCAATATCAACAAGCTTCACAATCCCCGTGCCCGGTGCGGCGTTATCTGTCAAGGAGTTGATTAGAGAGGGTAAAGAAGACATGTCCCCGTTGCCTTTTCAGGCAGAGGGTAGCTGGCTTATATAGTATATTCTGAACGGAAACAAAATCGGGAATTACAGAGACAACCCTCCAGTAATGAGGAACTGTTCGAGGGGCATCCTGAAAACACTCGCACTGAGTCATTTCCGTTATAATAATAAGCTTTTCAGATTGTGGGGTACAGTGTCTGATGTGGTGTCAATCCAAAAAACCGGACCAAAAAGCAGAACGCATATATGTCGGGCGTTGTTGGCAGGCTTCATTGTGGTAGGCTCACGAGCACAACCCGAATGGTTTGACCATAGTGCAGAAACAGATAATAAATGCTAGCCGTTTGCTTCTCTGAGTATATATAGAGATGCATATTTCTAAGCGATCTGAGAATTATATGTATCTGCAGTGTCTGTGAAAATGGTAGCTACAGAACTAAATATGTCAAAAAAATAAAGCCAAAATTCTGTGTTCTGCAATTATAGAATAAAATGGCTCTTCACCGAAACACCCAAAATCATGCGACTTCAACGGAGTAGAACATCATTTTGAGAGTTCCAGGTCTTATAAAAGCTTTATCTAAAATTGAGTGAAGCTCCATTACTCGTTTTGAAAGATGACTATCGAAACTGCAATCTTATCTGCCAGCACAGAAAAAACCAATATTGACACACTCTCTCGTGAGATGGAGACCACTGCCGACACTGACAGTGTAATGGATCATGAGAACTCCATTGAAGATAATGTCTTCGGAGGCTACGACCATATCACGTTCTATGTGAACTCTGCAGACATCACGGCAGAATATTTTATCCACGTTTATGGCTTCACCCCTTACTGTCACAAAGGCCTCGAAACTGGATCTCGCATTACCAATGCCCGTGTCGTCCGCAATGGAGCTGTCATTATTCAATTTGTGAGCTGTCTCAGACCACCAGAGTCAAAGGGTCTTTCCGAAGACGACATGAAGCTCATCCGGGAAATCCATCACCACACTACTACACACGGAGACGCAGTTAAAGATGTTGCGTTCCAGGTCCGTAATGTGGAACAAGTCCACAAGAGAGCCTTGGAAGGTGGTGCCACGTCAGTGCTGGAGCCCACAACTTACGAGGACGAGCATGGTTTGATCACTATTTCTCGGGTTGGCGTGATTGGTGATACAACGCATACGCTAGTTGACCGGACTTCATACTCTGGTTTTCTCCCTGGAGGCTACCAGCTTGACCAACTGGAGAACAACCGCCCGACAGAGGTGAAGTTTGACGTAATTGATCACTGTGTGCAGAATCTCGGTTGGAACAAGATGGTCAAGAGCTGTGAAATGTACAAAAAGATCTTCGGCTTCCACAAGTTCTGGTCTGTGGATGACAAGCAAGTCTATACGGCTTTCTCTGCCCTCAAATCCACAGTTATGGCGTCACCTTCCGAGAAGATTAAAATGCCTGTCAACGAGCCAGCCAAGGGCCTTAAAAAGTCGCAAATTGAGGAGTTTCTGGAATTTTATGGTGGTCCTGGTATTCAACACGTTGCGCTGAAGGTTGATGATATTTTGAGCACTGTCGAGGCCCTCAGAGCACGAGGTGTGGAATTTATTAGTGTTCCTGAACGGTACTACCAAAACCTGGAGAAAAGATTGAAGGAAAGCAAACACCCAGAGTTCAAGGAAAGCATGGATAAGATCAGGCAACTTGGCATCTTGGTCGACTTTGACGAAGATGGATACCTCTTACAGCTTTTCACGCGGTCAGTGTTTGATCGTCCCACGTTTTTCTTCGAAGTCATCCAAAGACATAACCACAACGGGTTCGGGGCTGGCAACTTCAAGGGACTCTTTGAAGTGCTAGAGGAAGACCAAAAGAGAAGAGGTAACTTGGTGGATCAAAACGAGGAAGTTGATCCTTACGACGCTGAGGACGACTAATTAAATGCTGAAAAATGCAGGAACAAAAATTTCGGTTACAACTGGAAAATATATATGTAAGTATCGTTCGAGAAACGATGGTATAGTGCTTACCAAGTTTGCATCTCTTCAAAGTAGTCAATCCTCTTCTTGTCGTCTAAGTGTTTGATGACAGAGGCCCTGACAGTATCAGTCATATTAGGGTGAGCACAGATGCCGAAAGCAATGGATCCAGAAGTCTCGGAAATTTCTTCCTGGACAAGCTGGTCAACATTGATTCTTCCGCGGCGAAATTCAACGAAATCGAAGGCCTGTTGCAAAGTTTCCAAGGTAAGGGTGTGTTCGGTGGTCTTTTCTCTTTCGGATCTCTTTTCCTCAGAAAACTCCACAGAGCTACCAGAACTGGAGGTTGTGTCAGTGTCGACTTCGGCTATGCTGGAATTAGGGTTCGAAACGTAGATGATAGGTCTGCATTTAGTGCCCTTGAATTGTCTCAGCTCCTCCTTGAACCAGTTTAGGGAGTTGTATTCTTTCACCGACCAGTAGAGCTTCACCTCCGTCTTAACATTTCGAGACACAAGGTCCAGTGCATAAGAGAATGGACCTGGGATACCATTACCACCAGCAATCAGAACAGCCTTATCAAACTGGTGGTATGGGTTCTTCAACCCGTATGGACCTTCAACAAGGACTCTAACATTGAAAACCTTGTGGTCGTGTTTTCTAACTCTATGACCCATGATCTTGGTAACACCGCCTTTAATCTTACAATAGAAGTGGATGTGGTCTTTGTCTGTGATAGACTCAATCAAGGTAAAAGGATGAGATTGCCAGAAGGTTTTCGGAGTTAAAAAGTAAACGAAACCGTGGGCACCTGGGAAAGGCTTCCAGTAGCTCTTTGGATAAGGAACTGAAAGTTTGATGGTTCCTTCTTTTTCGAGGATTTCACATCTAGCAGTTCTAACTCCGAATAGCACGATTCTGGCGATTCTGACAGCTCTATCGAAACACCAGAGAGCAGCACAAGCGTAGTAATATTTGCCGTAATCCTGGCTAGAGGCGTGTAGCCAAGCGGTCCATAAGAACATAGTCACCAAAACGATGTGGCCGATAAGGAAGAACTCATACCAGTATCTTCTCACTCCATAGACAGCGGCACCCATGGCCACCCAACAGCACACGGCTGCTGCAATGCCATGACGAAAGTAAGAAGCATGGATTCTGGTATGCCATTTCCCAATAGCAAAAGACTGGATAGTCATGGCAATAGCATGCACTAGCACCTCCAAGCACAGAATTCTGCCAAGGGCTTTGTGGAAAGTGACAAATCTAGAATATGGCCACCTGGTGATCCACTGCATGATGTTGTTTCTTCCCGGGAATCCAAACAGCAGAGGGAACAAGTAAGACGCTAGAATAGCAGATCTATCACCGATGTATCTTGAGTAACCCGCAGACTTCGTTTTGAACACCATATCGCCCTTGTAGTAGGTGATTCCAAGAATAGAATTGGCCAAGAAGATGTAGACGAAGAATATGACAAGAACAATGGTCTCAAATCTGTCGGGGAACAGTCCTAGCAGTCCAAAGTTCTCCATGTGCCTGCCTCCAAAAATAGCTGGCAGAGCAATATGCTTTCTCCAGAAGTTAGTAGCTGGGCCTACCAGCTTTCTTCTCAGAGACGGTATTAGAATAAGTGACCAGTTGATGACCGCGCACACAACTAGCAGCAAAGCCCAGGCAGACAGTGCTGCAATACCCAAATAGCGGGACACCGCCATATTGTTCCATCTATGATAGTTACCCTTGTAGTAGCCCACGTAGTTCTTGGTCAAATTACCACCGGTGATAGGATAGTTGATGATAGCTTTTTTCTTGAAGCCCTTAACGTCGCTGATGTTGACCATGTACTTGGTAGCATTTTCGTAGGCTGCATGAATACTATCAACGGTGAAGTTGTATTTGTGACAAGTCTTCATCAACTCATGGTCTGCAGCGTGGTTATACTCTCCACTATGATCATAGACACAGGCGATCCAGGAACCCAACTCTGCAGGGTTGGAGCAAGCACAAGCACTGTCCTTGCTGGTTTTTTTGCAGAAAGTAGCGGTAGCCTCAACTGCTGACTGGCAAGCAAGCACAATATAGCCCTCGTGAGAATAAGTTTTGTCCGAGGCTGCTAGACCAGCTAGACCAGCTAGACCAGCTAAAACGAGCCATTTGTTCGAAATCATGACTAAGTACTGGTTTACAATAAAATATGGTGGCTAGTCCGTATATATACGAATCTTAATGGAAACGGGTGGCACTTTGCATCTGGAAAATTCACTAAACAAACTCCTCCTATTCGCTATTCTCAAGTTTTTCAAAGTCAGACATGGTAAAAACTGCGACAAATTTAGCCAGATGCACGTCACCTGCAGCTACGCATTTATCGAAGATTGTTAGGAGGGGCAGGGCAGGTTTTAGTAACAGTCTATTTATACTGGTAGCTATGGTTTAACATATATTCTGACTTCTGTTTGCCAACGGTCAGGAAAGATCGACAGCTCGCTTAATCTCGTACACGTATAACAGCTACTGATCGTTGAGATAATCTGCGTTTTAACTACAGTAATATGCAACATGCCGCTTTCGCGCATTATAAAAAATAATTGTCCGATTCGGATCGTTGAAAAAGGGCTTAGCAGGGTACTACAGGTTGCCAAGATTAATGGAAAAACTACGGTCTAGGCACGTTCGTTAAACGGTAAATACATGAAAATATCATTCACACAATGTTCTCACTAAGAACCGCCGACCCCTGGCCCTTTTCCAACCAATTTGTCTACGATGTCCGATAAAATCCCAATAGCTTATTGTCGTCACAATACTTCTCCTGCAAAGACCATATTACTATTTTCAGCTATTGTTTTTTTATGTATTTCCGCAGTAAGATTTTGCAACCGATCCACGACCAGCCGACACACGGAAAGAAGACGGCTCAAGTACTTATCAACCACCTTCATATCATATGAGCACGAGCCATTGCTCAAAGCCACGCCTTCTACGAAGAACTTGTACTTCTTCTCCCGTTATATGCGCTTGAGCCAAGTTATTACAAGAAGTCGATCGGCTGAACGTTGACGTACTCCATTGGTCAGCGCATCACTGCTCCAAGTTAAAAGGGTCCTTTTAAAATTTGTTTTTTTCTTCTTCCGGCGGGGGATGCACCTGCACATAAAGAAAGCACTCTCCAATCTGGAAAGGGTTTAAAACGTTTTTCAGGACCCATATATAACTGTCGCCTATAAGCTGTCATCTAACTTATCGACTCGTCTGCCATGACTCAGATGTAGAAGGTGACATGAAAATCAAACAAGGGCCCGGCGTAGCAACTGACTCTTTCACTCAAGCCTACGCTGATGATCAGAGAACAGTTGAATCAAGGGTGCTGTTGCAATCGAGGAGTACAGAACCAACAGCTCCACAGTATGGAATACAAATAGCGTTATGGACCTCGTATGATCAGTGAGTTTTCGATCAGTTGCGTAAACCTTTTCAGGCAGTGAAAATAACTGTCGTACTTTCTATTACGTAATCGTTCATATGATTTAGCCTGGAGTTTATTTTATCGCAGGTCCCGGACCAATACCTGCTTGCACATAACGTCATTTATGCTTGGGCCAAGCATCTGATTTGTACCATGTCAAGAAATTCGAGAAAAATCTGGCCTCCAGTTGTTGCAGCGACAATAGTTGCTGGACTGGTAATAGGAGGTGCTTGGGCGTTCAAGAGAATTAGCCTTGGGCTTTTCGAAGAACCTGCGAAAACATCCAAAGCTTGCAAGGGCAACGATCAATCTGTGTCACTGGTTCTCACTCAAAAGGATCTTGACTCTTTCAGTGCGTCGTATCTGAATGATTATCCAAACCTGACTGTCGTTCTTCATCCCTCTGTTGATAAATCAGAATTTTTAAATCGGTTCACTGTGCAAAGACATTCACACAAAGTCATCCAAGTTCGGTCAGAGGAAAGTATTTTCCATGTTCTGAAACAACTGAACTCCAGAATAAACCTCGTAACAATGAGGAACCTGGAAATGTCTGCAAAAGAAGTCGAAGGATTTCATTTAGATAAGTTTCTGACTAACATTGATGAGGTGGATAGTATAAATAAATATGTATAGCCCGAGCAGTTAACGTTTGACGATGTCTCTTCTCGCCCCAAAAACAATATTCTCTGTCTTCTGATTGCTTCCACTCATATAACCGTACTCTATGGTACTCCATGCAGCACCACTATTTGCCGAAAACTTCTTTGGTTTTGGCGGAACCTTTGGGCGCTCATGTTTGGCAGCGATGGCGGGCCCGATCAAGGGATATCGATCCCCAAACCTCTTATGCATCAAACGTGAAAGAGACTGTATGGCCATCACTACTTGATATGGATCTCGGCGTTCATATAGATCGACTGTTTGGAACAACTCATCTTGAGGAACCCCTTCCGACTTGATGAAGTTTAAAAATTGCTCAATTGACTCCATTTGTACAAATGCCATTTTGCTTTTCTTGACCGGAAGCGTATTTGGTCCCCAAACACAGTTTATCAGCTGCGATAAAACTTCCCCTGATTTGAGGAAATCGACCAGGTCTGTGGACCTGAGTTCATTTTCGTTGATACTCGAGCCCATAACATGTAAAAGCCAGTCTTTGACCTCATTCTGAAGCGACGGGTTGTTATACTTCTTGCTCCTTGACGTTTTCAAGTCTTCATCTAAATTAGAAACGTCCTTCATTAATTAATAAGTGGAGGACTGAGAAACACGCTTATTTTTTTAATTGTTCCAGCCGCTGCAACTCCAGGTGTATTCCCAAAATTAGTGAAGTCCTCTTAGGTCTTCTGGTTCATTTTTACGACACTTTTCATTATGCCTGCTGGAGGAGAAGTCCACATTTTGCTACAACATGTGCAGGTATCGAATGCGGTCAATGTAAAACATATTATACAAAGAGCAGTTGACATTTGTCAATCGCTAGGGCGGACCCTAACTTGTTCTGTAACGCAAGGTCAGGTTTGGGTAATATTTTTTCTCTTGGAGGGCGATCAAAAGGCTGCTATCGACCGGTATAGAATGGCTACAGAGCTTGATGAACAAGACGGACTCATTGATTCGCCAGAGGTGCAACAAAAGCTAAACAATATCTTGAACAAAATATCCGGATTTTTGCAACGCGAGGTTGAACGAAATCCAAATTATGGCTCGAACGAAAGAGGTTTGAGCTCAACGCTGATATCTCAGGTGCTAAGTGGAGGCGATTCCACTTCGTCCCAGTTGGGTATGCTCTCGTCTCTTCTCGGCGCTGGTGGAAGCAAAAGCACGGGTACTGGACTTGGAGGAGCGATGGGAGGAGGAGCGAGCAGATTCGGATCATTGATCTTGGCCTTGGCTGGAGCCCGTGCAACTCCCCAACAGCAACAGATCCATGGTGGATTCAATCTCGGCTACCTTCTGGGAGGCGGTAGTGGCACGGCTAGCTCCATGGGTGGAGGAATGGGAGGAGAATTAGGTTCCCTGGTTTCTGAATTGCTGGGAAGGACAATACATTGGGTCTAGATTTGGTGGAGGACAACAAGGAGGTCATGGATTTGGCGTGGTGGGAGGCCAAGATGGATATGGAGGAGGTAGACATGAAAATGCTGGCTATGGTCAAGGTGGATTTGGTGGCAGAGGAAGGTATGATGATAATAGCTATGGCCAACACGGTGGACTTGGTGGCATGGGAGGACATCGTCAAGCTTTTCTTGAGTTTTGAGCAATGAAATTCTCAGAGTCAAGGGAGAAATACTGGTTTTGACATTTTATGTGTTTGTCCACTTGATTTACGAAACACGAATAAACGAAATTGAGAGCTTGTTTATTATTCTGTTTCGATAAATTATAGTGCTTTGTCCAAGGCTGTAGGCGTCTTGAGTGCTGATAGCCAGATTTTCACTTGCCAGTTTAGCATCCTGAAGGTTGTCAGATACTGATCGTTGGTTCTCTCTGAATTAAGAGCCTCGTATGAATTTAGGTTACCTCGATCGGTTTGAGACGCAAGAGTAGAACCCGTACCGGTTACTTTATGACAAGCCCAGAAATAGAAGACATCATGGAAAAGTGCAAACTGTGATGGTGTTGCATTACACTCACAAGTTATACGAAGTCATCGATTAATATCAAGAAGCTAATTGTAGTGGTACATTTACGTAAACCAGTGTTAAAGTTGATCTGCCAACTTTTTGACGGAATCAAATTTTTAACAATTGCCCCTACAAATAGATAAGAACCCGAGGAGGGAATGAATTAAATTTGGCCCAAAAGTTTCACAAATTAACGCAGGCCATACTTATACCTCAGAGAGCACTTTATTGACATTTTGGGAATATAGGGTTTCGATCACCCTAATCGCGGTTTTGCAGTATTTGGTGAATATATTGTAGACGGAGCTGATTTACATTCGGCCATGTTTCATACCCCTCCGACAAAAGACAGCTGGCAAACAGACACATCAGTCAAGTTCTCCTATGATGCTGAACAACCGGATGTCCTAGAAAACACCCAGCAAACAGCTCTCAGCTCTCAGTCGCAATCAGATAAGTCGCCGGCCATTGGATCGGAAAGACGTGACAGCAATGAAAAAATCCTGAATTCAGTCCAAACGATAAGCAAAGACGAACTTCCGGCTTCTCTTCTAAAGCACTTACAGGACTTCATAAAATCTCTCAGAGAGCCTCGATACGCAAAGCCTCTAGCTACGTTCGAGATCGCTGAGCTGTTCCAAAGATTTTATACAGATTTTAGCATCAGAACAAATGACCTCACGCATAGTGACAAAAGAGTGGAGTTGAAGGAGCTTGATAGACCATTAAATAACCCTTCTTACAAGTACAACCTCATTGTTGAGCGCTTACTTTGTGAGAAGTTTTACTCATCTGTCATGTTTCCTAAGAAGGGCGTCCCGATAGATGAATTTGAGAAAAAACTCAACTACGATTTTGGAATCAAGCTTGCATACCTCAACAGTTTGGACATCAAGTTTGAAAATTTAGATATCCATTTGGATATTGATGAAGAGTCATTCGTGGACAATTTGCATGATCGCATACTCCCCCAGTTCGAGATATTCACAGCGGAGCGCTCTCCTACGCTGAAATTGAAGCATTTGTCCCAGATACATGCAGAAATTGACAAGCTGATCAGAGAACTTAGCAAAAGCACCGTATCCGAACTAAATACGGACATTTATCTTCCAATCCTCATTTACATTCTGATCAAACTTGAAGATCTGCGGACGCATGCACTCATTTCCCAATTTGAATTCATTAAGCGATTTCGGAACGATTATATCTATGACGGTATTGACGATGAAAAGGGCCAGTTGTTGTATGTCTTCACCAATTTTGAGGCAAGCCTTTCTTATCTTGCTAGTGTGACTTTGGACAATCTTAACATAAGCTTGGACGAGAGTATTTCGAAGGTTCCTGAAGAAACTCGTGAACTGTTTATTAAATTCTTGACAAAGCCGTTGGTTTTAGAATCAATTGAGGAGGAAATCAAAAAAATACGACCTCTTCCGACACCTTCTCGTCAACCTTCTTCCCTCTTGGACTCATCTCGGTTTTCCTTGCTGGCACCATCTGAATTTTTGCCCTTATATCATGCTGATCAAGGCATCCGAAACATAAGTAATGCTGTGGACTCCAGTATCAAAAGCATTATAGGGAGGGTTTCGTGGCTGAATTCTATTGGAGCTACAGACAACCATGACCCTATTTTGGAGTCCACAAGACAGCAGATGGAGGAAAATTTAGCCATACAATCCACTGTCTCACTTCCAAAAGTTGAGGAATCCAAGATCACTCCGACTTCGTCGATCTCCACCAGCGATTCTCGTCATCATGTACATACTGGCTCCGACGTATCGTTACAACTCTCGTCACATTTGGATCAATCCGAAACGGGAGAAGATATGGGAGCATCCACGATTACTTCGTCAACATTGGTTCGTACAAGGTCGCAAACAGACTCCATTGTTTCATCGCCTAATGCTCAGGATAAATTTATCAACAAATTTACCAGCAGCATGAGTGGAGTCATGAAGAACTTCCGCCCTGTGAGCGCATCGTCGTCTAGCTCCTCTCTCAATGTACACCTGGAACCCAATGCTTCAAGTAATGGAGCCTCTCAGAATACCATCAGCCCCTTCAATACAGGAAGCAACAGTCAATCAGGAGATAAGAATAAGCCTTCACTCAACAAGATGCGCAGCCGTACTACTAGTTTGATAAATACGGGTCTATTTAATCAGGAGTATTCAAAAATGGGGAAGGCAGGGCTTCTAAACTCCATTGAGAACGCGTTTGAAAATGTTAAGAATAGAAGCCGAGGAAGTTCTTTGAGTGATCATCTTCAAAACCGTTCTGAAGATCATCAAAAGCTTGCCAGCATTGATATTTCAAAACTAGATCGCTTTGGCAATAAGCCATTCGAACAGCTCTCTGTGTCTGAGCTATCGCAGATGTATCAAAACTACCAGTATATTTTAAGCATGTTAAATAAGTTAGATAACTAAACAGAATACATTATAACACTTCGGCATGAAACTTGCCACACCTAGATATATTTTTATTATCAAGGAGGAGAGTTACCGTGTTTCTTCTGACAGGAAAAAATATCCGTCCCTGAAAATATATTCTATCGCCATGTATTCGAGCTTCAGCAGGTACATCGAGTCCCCTGGGCCCAATACCAAGGAAATGGCTCCATCTCAAGTGCCTCGGTATATCTACAACCTATGGAGAAGTTATAAGTATATGATTCTATCCACTGTTGCTGTGTTTATATTGTTGAACTTGAGCCTGGGTGATCCTAGCACTTCTGTCAGAAAGCGATACAGCCTGTCAGACTTTTACCCACAGAGCTTTTTTGGAAATGCTACTTTGATCAAGACCCCGCCTCCTCGAAAGAACGTACATGATATGTATACAATCGAGGCTCGACTTGCTCACTATTTTCCTTACAACTCACAAGGTGAAATTGAAAACAATATTTGGCAGATGTGGCAACAAAGACCAGACGACAAGAAATTTCCAGTAAACTGTTTCCCCCACATCCAACGATGGAGATTGGTGAATGATGATTACAACCATAACCTCATCTTGACGTCCGAGGGAGAATCCTTAGTTTCAGATTATCTCAAGGATCAGGTACCAGAGGTTTTGGATGCACTGCTCAAACTTCCAGATGCTCGGCTCAAATATGAGTTTCTCAAGTACTTGATCGTGTACATTGGAGGCGGACTGTTTGCGGACATTGATACAATTTGCGCGAAACCTATGAAGTACTGGTACGAGTCTCGTATTATTCCGGGCAAGCTCATGGTAGGCATTTCCACAGACTACAATGACGAGAACTGGACGCTGCTGTACAACAGAAGACTATCGTTTTCAAACAAGCTTTTCAGGGCGAAGTCTCATCATCCTTTCTTGGCAAAACTTATTGCTCGAATTACCTATATGGTTCACAACGATGATCGCATAACTCACGAGATTGACTGGAATACTGCTTTTGAAAATTTGGATAGTAATGGCGAACCATTAACACAGTGTACTGGGGAATCGGTTTTCACTGACACTTTATTTGAGTATTTGAATGAGCTAGAATCTCCTTTCATCTACAGAGTTGCAAGAACAGATAAAGATCTATTACCGGAAAAGATTGTGGGCCCTGAAACACAAGATAAGATCTCATACAAGCTGCTTAGTCTGGCTGTTGGGCCAACACAAGTAGATGATGTTATAATAATGCCTGAAATCACCTTCAAAGGATCTAAGGAGTTTGAAAGTCATAATTCAAAAAGCATGAAACAAGATTTCACAGCAGAATACGATGATGAGAATAAAAGAGAAGGAAATGAAAAACTTTACTACGCAAGACCACTGAATATACTCACATGGGACGATTTCGATGAATCTTACTGAGATAGAGTGTGAAACATAGGAAATACACAATCACAATTAGCGGTCATGCTGTGCCCTATTATTTGTTCCCAAACTATGGGGTTTCGAGCTAATACTGAGGTATTATCAGGCTTCTCAACAGCTGTTACGATCCAAGAGAAGATTCTATTGGATAAGGTCAATCGGTAATTCACAACATGATATATTTCGCTTCTAGTTTGTAGATGTCGTTTCATCAGAAGTGGCCAAGCCTAATTCAATGAGTTGCTCAGTCGATCGTACGCATCATTTTAGAGTAAAAGCGTAGCAATCAAACGACATGCGAGCCAGGTCAGAACAAAGAACACGACGGGTATGACGTACACATTCAAGATCTCAAGCCTATTCCGAAGTTTTAAGGGTATTTTGGTTGATTTCACTCCCTCTACCAAATGACCTGTTTTGTAATAGTTATCCATCATTTTGTCCTTCTGCACCCAAAGTTTGTTAAGCCAAAGTTCAAATTTTCTCATATCTTCTTCTTCCTCCTCCTCGTTTGCATCCTCACTGAAAGTGCATCCGTCAATAGACCTTATATCAATTGCTCTGACAAACATACTTAATGTCTTCGGTCCCTTCCCGAGCAGATAGATTGAGCGCAAAGTAAAAGAGTCCTGAGCATATTCTGTCGCAAGATGGTCGCTGTAAGCCATTGTGAAATCAAGAATAAGGCCTGTCTTCTTGTACATGTGTTTACATGCTAGGTACAGACCTTTAACGCGGGGCAATAACACATGGTCTAGCTTGAAATCGAGCTGCTGACTTGCCATGAAATCATCTGACCTTGGTTTGGTGTTGGGACTCAGATTCGTACCTTCTGGGAAAATAAGCAGCCAATGTTTCTTGACAGAACTTAGATGCGCAAACTTTTCAATCATATATGACTTGTCTAGGTCCCATTTACGATTGAGAAAAATGAAATCATAATTCTTCATGCCATACCCCAGAATTGGTATCCTTTCCAGCGATTTCTTCATAATGATGTAAAAGTTCTCAGCGCATTCATTCAAATACGAGACAAACCATAGGAAAACCCAGTCTGTGTATAGTTGATGATTGGCAATCAGAATTGCGCTACTGTTTAGTTTCAGCAAGGACCGCTCGGCATTGGCCACATCCTCGCTAGACGAGACTGTATCGGAATCAAATGACAATTCGAGATCGGTTGGGCATGTAAGACTTGTGATGAAAGTGATCAAAATGACAAAATTGCGCTTCGTGAAACCGATCCACCTCGTCCGTAATCCCTCATCGCCACCTAACGTCACATTCACCAGCAATTGCGAGAAAACAATGCTCAAACAACCAGTCGCAAAGGTGACTATGGCAAATAACAGACGGACAACTTGATAGATTGTAGGCCTTCGACTCTGTTGTTGTTGCGCGCTAGACATAGAGAAACTCAAAACGAGCGAGCTAATTTCGCGTAATATTCAATTTTTTAACTATAAATGAAGCTGATACTGAATGGGACGTAGGATCCTAAGAAGAAAGCGGAGGAACATTGGAAGCACACCCACCAATAACGTTTCCTGCAGGGTCATAGGAGCATACTATGTAAGTTCCCCAGTAGTCGTTGCAATATTTGTATCCACATCCAACCTTCGTTGTAGATTTCCAGATAACCTGGGTGAAGTGATCATAAACAGAACAGCCCGAACCATAGTTGTAGTTCTGTCCTTCATTGTACCAAGCATCCACGGTACCGGTGGTAGAGTAGCCTAGGGCCAAGTTTTCGCCGTACTTTCCTCCGGAGTGAGTCAGAACTCCGGAACAGTCGTACTGGTCAGCGTAGTTCTGAGCATATTGGGCAAGAGTGTCATCCCACGTAAGCGCTTCAACACCGTGCAAAGCTCTTTTGTCGTTGTGCTCCTTGAGGATTGCCTCCTGGAAGTCCGAGTTGGAGGAATCAGATGAACTTGAAGAAGTGGCCGAAGTGGCAGATGCGGAAGATGCAGACGTTTGGGTGGTTGAGGAGGCCTCTGTTGGAGTTGGTGTTGTCGAAGAAGTGCTTAGTGTGACTGGAGGAGCGGTGGAGGCTGGCTGAGCACTGTCGGTCTCATATGGGTCAGCAGAAGAGCTTGAAGCCACCTCAACGTTGAAAGTTCCAACAAGGTCGTCCTCATCCGAGGCTGCCGATGAGGTAGTGACAGGTGTGCTGCTCGTTGTAGCACTCTCGACACCGCCGAGCGCCTGAGTAGCGCCTGGAGTGATGACAACGGTTTTCTTAACGGTTTGGGTCACAACAACCAGCTTTGGATCAGCTTCTCTCTTGAGATGAAGAAAGGGAGCGGCAGTAGCCAAATGTCCCAAGACACAGAACGTGACAATTGATGAGAGCTTCATTTGTTTGGACTAAGGAACGGAATGGGTCTGATTGTAAGACACGAAAGAATGAACGAATGTTTAGATGCTGGCTGTGAAAAACGAGTGATCACGTCGGCCACGAAAGAAGTGTTGACAGATAACCTTTGAAGTGCAAAACTTAGTATAAACGTTAAATGTTTGAGTTTATATTCAGCACAGTTAGGTGCGTGTTTGAAGAGCTAGCCACAAGGAGATCTGCTACCAAACACGGTATGCAGAAATAACAATACAAACACGGTTTAAAACAATACACCTATATCGTTCACCACTCAATTCTTACGCTCAATTTTGTAAAGGTGTTTGACAATAGATATTGTCACAAGGTTGAAACTTATTGTATTTTCAAAAAAACCGAGGCGGCTCTGATCTCGTGGCTGGTTTTAAGCGAAGTTCAAATCTTCTTGTTTTGAGGGGTCGGTTCATGGCCAGCAAATATGGCTTGATTCGGAAGGATCATGAGGCAGTCCAAAAACAATCATCGTGGCTGCAGATCAAGTATTTCCTAGCTGGGTAATCATGGAAGCTTTGCTCAGGAACCTCAATTTTAGATCAGCATTGATCTCTTACATCATTCGGTTGATCATTATTATATATACCGTATTTGGAACTGAAGCGTATGTTTGGGCTATTCAGGGAAGCCATCTTCGATCATTTGAAAGAATCTCTTGCTTCTTGGAAAGGAGCCAATCACCGTCAGATCAAGGACCAGCTCCTCTACCTCGGATAATGCCCTAGGAAGACCTTCTCCATCCCAAACTTCCACGAAGAACACATACCTCCAAGGACTAACAATTGAGGGCCTTGTAGTTATAGATTGCAAGTTGAGGTTGTAATTTTTGAACACTTGCAGTATGTTGCACAGGCTTCCAAAATTGTCGTTGTCCTTGATAATGAAGGTGAGCAAAGTCATACTCTTGTCTGACACCGAGTTGGAGTCAAACGCAATATGAGTATCGGGTAATGGCTTTTTGCCTAGCACCAAGAATCTTGTAGTGTTGCCTTTGAAATCTTCAATTTGAGAAACCTTGACCGGCACGCCGTGAATCTCACTGGCAGTCAATGATGCCATGGCAGCCGTTGTCTGTCTCTCATCTTCCGTCTTCAGAGAAGCAACGATCTCGACTGCTTTCGAAGTGGAGGATGTGTCAATCTTCTGTATTTTGATATTATTATCCAGCTTATGTTTGTGTAGAAATTTATTACACTGAGACCACACTTGAGGATGCGAGTATATAGTTTTGATCTTTGATATGTCTGACGCAAACGTTATGAAATTATGGTGTATGGTAACAAATTGCTCGCCAATCACTTGGAAGTCGGGTGTTTTGACCGAAGAAGCTTGAGAGCTTCCGCTTTGCTCTAGCTCCCTCAGTTTGAGTTTCAGCTGATCTTCCTTGATGAACCAATCGCGAAATAGGTCATAACTCAAGACAACTTGCCCGTTGGATGAATTCTCAAAAGGGATTATGCTGTAATCACACTCATCTTTCGAAATCGCTTTGAAGCATGAATTAATTGAGGGCTGTGGAAGATAAATCACCGATGCGTCATCTGATAGGGCATAAGGTTCAAATTGTTGGCGTGCAGCCTACTCAGTTAGCACTTCCACGAGAACCTTCGAAGGCACTTACTTGATGCGAGTATGTCCCCGGGGGACCCAAATATGCTACCTTAATTGAAGTCATGTTCATTCATTCATAGACTTTACTCATAGACTTTTTTATGGGTATAAAAATATTTTGTCATAGCAATGAATTCAGTTACATCAGTACACAAATTAGTTTTCCATACTCTGGGCTAGCTCTATCAATTCATTCATGCTGAATGTAGGATCTCCAGAGTTGAACTTTCTCAGCAGTTCCAATCTCTTCTGGCTGCTTTCGGAAGTCGTCTCGGCGAGCCCACCGTAGAATCTTTGAACATTTAGCAGAAGTAGTTGAGCTTCTTGCAAAGTGACAGAAGAGTCTTTTTCAACCTGTCCATTCATCATCACAATTCTCTTGTCATCTTTCAGTTCGTGGTGGAACATCACCGTTGTGTGAGGTCTAGCGTACTCCTTGTGTAACTTGTACTCAGCAAGAGACGTGATCAGGACATGCGTAGTATGAGGACCAACAAAACTCCACTGAACAAAGTGAATTTCCACTGGATCACTCTTACCTTCGCCTTCAACCTGGGCTTTTTCGCGGGGCAGCGGAAGGACAAACGTGGGATTTTTGACGGCATTGTTAAAAAGCCTTTCGAACGTGTTGCTTGGGACAACAGCGCTCAAGGTGTTTTCTCCTTTTTGGAATCTCAGTCTCCAAAGAAACTCAATTTCGTCCGCCTTGAGACCCTTGATCTTCTCCAAATCCAAGTATGAGTTTAGAGTCTTATATGGGTCTTTTGGAGTTGATGGGTCTATAGGGGATCGCTCCTCAGCCTTTTTTCGCACAGTATTTTGCTGTGCTTTCTCAAACGCTTCGAGCTCTTTAAGGGGGTCTATCTTATTCATTTCAAGCTTTTTCTTCTCGATCTCGTCCTTCAATTTCTCTTTCAACTGTTCTGCGTTGGCGGCCCCTAGTTCCCTAGCCTTCTGATCCAATTTCTCTTTGTACCTAGCAATCACATCTCTTTCAATAGCTTTGGAGGCGACAAACCGAACTGGCGTGACTTTCGCCGTTCGAAAGAAGCACCTTGGTCTCAAAAACATATCTCCCGAAAAAATGAAAAATCACGATTTGGCACAATACTTGAAAAAAGACTTCTGACATGTACATCGTGAGCCCGCATGCACTACTTGCACTTGATGTTCTAAATTCACCATATAGTACTGGCTAGTGGATTCTTATGATATTGATTCTGTGGATCCTCGAGCCAACTCAAGCATAGCAGCGTGCCGCCTATATATGTACAGGTTCAGCGATAAATTTAGTGCTTTATTTGCTTCTTCCATTAGCGCCAGTAGATTGAATGACACAACCAGATTCCAACAACTTCCCTACTGGGAAGAGCGAGCAGCCCTCGTCGGCGCCAGAAGTGTACATGTCAACACACTACGCCCCAGGAGATCTTCCAAACAATTACAATCCTCCTGCTCTGAATCATGATTCACCTCCAAAGGTTGGCATCCCACCCAGTGAGATACGCAATCCTTTCTTACAGAACACATCTGCGCATCAGGGGACGTTCTATGTAATATTTCTCCCCATCGTAGCCGGTTTCGTGCTCGCGTTTTTGATAGGTTCCGCTTATCATAGGTTTCGAGCCAAAAGTCAAGCTAAAGATGCGAATTCAACGGAGGAGTCCTTTGACTCAGATTGTACAGAACCACTTGATGAGGGAGGAGCAGTGCTTGAATTTTTGAGAGACAGATCCCGCCCTGTTGCAAACGAGAAGACCAATCCTCGTTGTTCTAACTCCGGCACTACGTCGCTAGCCAAAAATGAGAAAATCTACTATCAACCACTGGCGGAAAAGCAGGAGGTTACTACTCTCCAGCTGAGAAAGCTCGAGATTTGTCCAATCACCAGTCCACCTTTCACGCCTCCTCAGCGACCTCTGCGAACAAAAAAGGCAATTAGTAGTATTCTTCTGGATGGATTTATTGAAACCGGGGAAATTCCTGCCATTGTCGAGCCCTTGGTTTCGAATGGTACAAAAAAACATATCTCTGATCTCCATCTATGTTACACAAAACCTTCTCCTTCTGAAGCCTCAAGGACATTTCAATCGAGCAACAGCTGCAGTGGGAGCCCTGATCGGCATTTACTTAACTCAAAAAGTCTTTCGAGGAGCGACAAGGGGGTGAGGAATCCTTCGAATTAATATTTTGCTGCCTTTTCATAACACAATTCTCTTTACAAATTAGTCAACTACAAAATTAGAAGTGAAAATAACCAAACAAAAGCTTCTGACCTTCACATGATCACACAGCTTTTGCTTTCGTTGTCGGAGACGTTGGCGGCAGCGTTGGCCCCTTTTGGTTTAGCGGTAAGAGCGATACGGGCTGCTTCTGTGAACACCTCATTAACTCCACGATTTTTCATGGCAGAGCACTCCAAGTATCTCAGAGCCCCAATATCCTTCGCCACCCCCACCCCCTCCTCATAAGAGACAAGTTTCTTGCCCGAGGGAACATTATTAACCAACATATCATTCTGACCAATATCTGGATCCGTACTTCTCAAGTCCGCTTTCAAGCCAACAAGAATGAGCTTGACACCTTCGCAGTGTTCAAGAATTTCACCCACCCATTTGTTCTTCACGTTTTCAAGAGAATCGTGCGAATCGATAGCAAAACATAGAATGATACAATGTGTGTCACTATACGACAAAGATCTCAAGCGGTCAAACTCCTCTTGGCCAGCAGTATCCCATAACGATAACTGCAGCTGTTGTCCATCAATAAAGATGTCATGAATGTAGTTTTCAAACACCGTTGGCTCGTAAACTTGGGGAAAGTAACCTCTGGTGAAAACATTCAGGAGCGACGTCTTACCACATGCACCATCTCCGAGGATAACTATTTTTCGCTGGACTGAATGTTAGAATCTTAGTACCATTTACTTACCAGGCTTGGGAGGGCTTCCACAAAGTGGCATTTGTAATAGTGTACACTAGCGCGTCTTGATGTCCAAACAGTATTGCAAAACCTAGAATTGGGCTTTCAGTGTATGCTTTGATGCAATTATTGTGAGGAACCCCGAATTCTACTAGACTATGTCCGTTTTGAGGAACTGTTAATGTAAATAGAAAGTGAATTGTAGCACTTTTTTACAGACTCTAAAATTAATCGGTGTAGGGGTGCGATCATACGTTTTCGCAAATAAACAATTGGAACGATAGCTTCCAGGATGGTTTCCAAGCAGCTGCATGCAAATAATCGAAAAGGGAACAAACTAGCTCAGAACCCCTTGTTGAAGGCAATCAGTGGCCCCCCAGCTCAACAGCAGAAAATAAAAGAAAGTCGTCCCATGAAAGCACTGATGAGCACCAAGCGGAAGCCGCTCAAGAAAAATGCACTTGCGCAAGCTCTCAGTGTAACGCACGGAAGTAAGTCCTCTTTCCGAGCAGCTCATAAGAACAGCTCTACAAAAACCAATAACAGAACCCTTTCTAAACGCATCGGACTCTCTCCGGCCCTGAAACGAAAACTCGAAGAGGAGAAGAAGCTTATAAACAGAATTCAAAGACCGCGCTGTTCCAAATAGCCAATTACTGACTTGTAAATAGTGAATCACGGACCAGAATGGCCGTTCATGTTATAACTTGTATCTAGTAGTATGGAGCCGAACGGTTTTAAGTCCTGTTGAAAGTGTAAGGATGCGTCGTGACGACCAAAAACTGACGGAAAAAAATAATCATTTGTTAGGTTTCAAATATGCTGACTCGCTTCTCTAAAATAGGTCAGTCTTTCCGTTTGGGCACTCAAACCAGATGCATCTCAATGCTCGGTCGTTTGAAGCCAGCGCCAAACTCTCAAGTCAATGAGAAAAGAGTTGGTAGAGGCCCGGGATCAGGCTATGGAAAAACATCTGGGCGAGGTCAGAAAGGTCAGAAAGCCAGAGGATCGGTGCCCAACTGGTTTGAAGGTGGTCAAACCCCAGTTTATAAACTGTATCCAAAGAGAGGTTTTATTAGACACCAAAAGCTTGATTTACACGAAGTTCCACTAATTAAAATACAACATTTTTACGATTCAGGACGTTTGAAGTTGGCTCCTGGTGAGACACTTACGATGAAAAAGATGAAAGAGACAGGTCTGATTACAGGATCCCTGAAAGATGGGGTTGCTATTTTAGGTACTGGAGCCCCAGCATACAAGCTCAGTATAAACATAGAGTCGACGAAAGCCACGCAAACAGCGATCGAAACTATCGAGAAAAATGGTGGTAAATACACCTCTAGATATTTTTCGAGATCTCTTGGTTACCAAGCTCATATGGCTCCTGAGCGTTTTATGCGCTCGAAGGGATACGTCCCCATGCAAGCAAAGCCAATTGCTAGACGTGATATTCTGTATTATACCAGTCCAGAAAAACGTGGGTATCTAGCCGACTCTGATTTTGCCCAAGTGGTCAAGGAGGGAGTGACAAGGGCTTCAGTTCAAAGAAAAGAGGTCAAATCGCCATTGCTGAAACACTTGGAAAAGCTCACGAAATCCGAGAGGAAAGATTATGGCATCAATGCGTTCACCAACAACACTATTGTGGCCTTCTCTGACTTAAAATTCTAGTGCACCTCCTCTTTACTACTTCTGTAAATACATGACATCCGTTCTAAAAACCCACTTTTCTCCATCTCGTACTGTAGCAGCTTCATGGAGTAAACAATCGTCTCCATGCTTATGGAACAAAGCCATACCTTGCTGTGGCTTTACGCTTATCTGACTTCCGCTTCTATTTCCTTGCTCATCATAAAATATTGTTTCGCCTCCTTTCAGACCCTTGTCGCTGAGATAGATTAGAACTGTCCATTTTGATATTTGGTCTCCGATCTTGACAGACTCATCATAGTGCTTGCCAAAGTATTGGCCTTTGGAGTACCTGTAAAACCTTATATTAGGATTGAAGGCTTTTGAAGATTCCAATTCTTGCACTATCCATTCGTCCACGGCACCCAGCTCAACTTGAAATTTCTGTATTTTTTGGAAGTGATCATATATCAGTCCTGCGTTTTCGGGATCCCTGATGCAAGCGCGGTCATTGACCCGAGACGCGTAAAGCTTGGACTTGATGATGGGTGTGGTTTCGAGACTAAGACTTTCCTGTATGTTGGAGATCAAATCCTGACATTGCTCTTGGCTCCAAAAGTTAGATATTGTGAAAATCTGCCCTGGGATAACACTTGTGAAGCAAGTCTTGTAGAAACCCACCTTTTCCGATTGATGTGATTGAATTGATGTTGGGAAACTAAAAGTAGTCCTACACTGCGGCTCGGATGCTGGAGTCTTATTCTTTCTAGCCATTGAATATTTACAGAAACGCTACACAGCCCGTATCATCAAATATTGGGATTTGGTCTACCAACCTCTGGCGTGATAATTCAAGTTATCCTCCCAATCATCGTCTCTATCTTGATCGTAAGCAAGATGGTCGTCATCAATGAAAGGCGCATTTGGGGTGTCTGTAGTCAGCAATCTTAGCTTATTTCCCATTATGCCATTTGCAATGATGTTGTTAGACGGTTCACTCTCAGAACTACTCTCTTCATCAGCCGTGACAATCCCATTCATTAATGTAGCAGTAGAGGACTGGTTGGTGTGTATATTGTTGTGCAAGCGTGCATGATTGGAAAGTTCGCTCAAATTCGTGGATGATGCATGAATTAGTTTGTTTTCATTATTGATAGACTCCACAAGGTTGGATGGAAGCTCTTTAGTCAACATTTCTCTTGTAGTGATAGCAGTTGATACCTTTGTAAAGTAGAAGCTGCCCCGATTCTCTAAACCTGGCCTGCTAGGATGATGGACCGGAGAGCCCCGATGAGAATGAGTTCTAGAAGGAGCTAACGATCCTGGAATCTCAATTGACTTGACACTGGACGAGATGCTAACAACCTCTTCCGAATCTTTGTCGTTGTCTTTCCCAACTGACCCGCCCCTTGATGCGTGACTATTTTTATCATTAGGATGAGTCTTAGCTGTCGTTTTGGGCACCAAAGGCGAGTGTGTAGAAGGTTTCGTGTCCCTGGCTCTAGACTGGCGATGTAAGTTCATGGTTGGAAGAAACATGTGAGTGGATAGTGCAGTGGGAAGAAGAGTGGCTGCCGTTGGCGGCGCGTTGGACTCGTGGTGGCGATCGTAGTGTCCGTTATGTATTTCGTTTGCGGTTGCATGGGGTCTCCTGTTATTAGCCAAAAACGACGCCAGTGATATCGCAGACTTAGAAACAAGATGAGGGTTATTGCTCGAGTTGTTCCGTGTCACTGGGGGCCGCTGGTGATCAGTTGAAGGCACCGGCGAGCTTGTGATCTTTCGTTGTGCAAACGATTTTGTCGTCTCGGTTGGAGACATAACCACGTCAGCTAAAGCGTTCACGTTAAAGGCAGAGGTTGAGGCTCTTGACATTTCTGGACGATCCACTGCTCCAAGAGACGGTGAGACCACTAGACCAGGACTTTTAGACTTCGGCCTGCCGTTCTCATGCGACTTTTCTGATACCTCATTACCCATCTTATCCAGAAACAAGCCGCTCAATAAAGACCTCTTCATTTGTGGTTTTTCCGTAGGCTTCTGAATGTTCGTCTTGCTGAAGTTCAATTGTTCTTCTCCTTCATCGTCGTCATCCAAGTCGGAATCACCAGACATCGAAGACCAGTCTGATCCATCTGATATCTCATCATCTGATGAAAACATTATGTGTTGCTTGGTGACTGCCTGTTTTCCAGGTTTATTGTCAAATAGAGACACCTGGGACCTCTGAGTTTCTGACTGTGGTGAATGCACAGCAGTGTTCGTCTTACTAGTGCCGTAAAGAGCGTGCTGCTGATTTAAGCGCTCCAAGCTTCTATCACGCTCTATGTGCTGTGGTTTCGTTTTTTGTGGAGACTCAAGTGGTGGTTTGCCGTCATTTACAGGTTGATTGAATAAGCTCCTAACTTTTGGAGAAGGAGGCGATTTCGAGGAACCTCCCTCAGCTTCCGGGGAAGGTGTATTCTCTATGAAAAACATATGGCCGCGCGACTGCCTGGTTTTGTGGGGCGTTTTATGTATAAGACTTTGCTGATGATGTAGATTCTTCTGTGTTAGCTTTTTAGACTCGTCCAAATGTCGCTCATCGTCAGAGTTCTGCTCGCTATCGGACACATTGGTGGTAATTTCTTTGGTACCCTGGTCAGTCTCGACTGAGACTGGGCTCTTTGTCCTAGATGTTTCCGAGGAAAGTGCTTGTTTCGAGTGTTTTCTGCCTTTGGTGATAGGGTGCTCAACCTTCCCCGATGAGATCTGTATCAACGCCGAGAAATCACTTTTGTTGAAGTCATTCTTGAGCAGGATGTTACGATTCACGACGCGCCAACTGATGTTTTCTAGTCGTTTGCCATTTTTGATCACGTCGCTTGATTTTATGAGGGTTGTCCACAAGGTCAACACGTTACCAAAGTCTAATTGCGCTTGGCTCTGGCTACGCTGTAATGCTTGGACAGTAAGCTGTGATAGCTCCAGGAACGGAGGCGATCTCTTTCGATCTAGCGATTCCATGGTGCCATTAAGAAAGAAAATTCTTTTTGTTACACTAGTCTAGTACGTAAAAATATTACCGGATGAAATCGTGATGCTGAGCCAAACGTTTTCCCCGGGAAGCGTGACCAAATTTTAGGATTGTAGATATTTGTTTGGGAAGAGTTTGTTTATAGCAACTTTCAGATGCGTACACTTATGCAACGTACACTTATGCAATTGTTACCTTCTAGTCAAGACCACGATCTGCCCATATATATAGACTCGACCGGGTGATGCGGTCATCCAACCAAAATTTCTGGGCTGTGCAGGTCGAATGACCTACGTATGAAAGGTCAAAAATATATAGTTCCGCATTTATACAATAAATATTTTCCTATCTTGCCTATCTAGCCTCTGTATAGTTCTTCGATCAGTTTATTTTCGAGTAGCGTCAACTTCACAATTCCTTGGACGTGGTGCGGTAAGACCCTTCCATACCATATGACATCGCCGTTACGCTTGAAGATTAGTACATTTCCTGCGTAAACATGTCCTCCGATATGTGAGATGATTCCCAATCTAGTATTTTTTACGCCATGCAGTTTTAGGACCTTCTCAAATTCTTGGAGGATTAATGGAGCCAACTCCCCGCATCGGACATCCCTTTTTAAATGACCACAGATCAACACGAGATCCTGATCTAACTTTTCAGCTGGAAACTGAGCCCTGAAATCTTCCTGAATTTTTGCCACGAGTCGTGAGTCTTCTTGGTCAAGATTATCGGGTATTGTGCTCAGATATCCGATTAAGAACTCCTCCACCTTGTCTGGAGCCACTTCCACCCTGAGACCATCCGGGTATATGCCAATCACCGTGTTACCTTCTGTGGTTGGTTGTTCCTGCAATGTCGTCATGCTGGTGAGCACCGGATGGAATGGGTCCAGCACTTTGCGTTTGTGCACTTGGATTTCCGATATGATTGTCCCCGGGGAAGTCTCAAACCGACTGGGCCAGTTTTTGTAGTCAGGATCACCAGACAACACGATCAAGTGTTTCCAAGGATTGGATTTCGTGTGCGCGATGGGCTTCGTATGATCCAGTTGTTTATTCTTTGGAAAGGTGGGTATTCGGCAATACGTGCATCCTGTATCGATTTCTGGTTTTGGGCATGCAGGAACTCGTTCCATAGGCACTTTGAACGAGTAAGTTCGTCTTGGTACACGAGCCTGTCTCCACATCTTGACGGTCCCCTCTACTAAACAGTAAACCTCTTCGAGGTCGGCTTTTTATTCCCCAAAAAAATAAACCGGGTTTACGTAATCCAAGTTCGTCGGAGATAGCTAAATGGCCCTAGCCACAGCATCCTTCGAAACATCGTGGTAGATATCAAACCTGCGCTGCAGTGTGATTGGAATGTTTTTTCTAGCCTCTTCAAGGACCTCCGGCTTCAGTTCGCAGTAAACAATTTCCTCGCCATGACCCGCTTCCACCAGAACGTCCCCATTTGGATCAACGACCATGGAGTGTCCATAGGCCTGGTACCCGCCACCTTCAACGTTTCTCGCAGGCGAGCACATCAAAACGTACACTTGGTTATCAATTGCCCTCGCGACAGCAAACTTGGTCCAGAACCGAGGGCCCGTGACTGTATTGAAAGCTCCTGGGTAGCACATGATTCCAGCACCTTGTCTAGCTGCAACCATTGCCAATTCTGGAAACCTGATATCGTAGCATATTCCGAGACCAATCTTACACAGATTGTTCAATTCGAAGATAGTCGCTTTGTCACCTGGTGCTAGGGAAATGGACTCTTTGAAAGTCATTTTGCCAGGAATGTCGATATCAAACAAGTGAGCTTTTCTGTGCTTGGCGACAATCTCCCCCTTATTGTCAAACGTGAGTGAGGTGTTGTAAACTTTGTTGTCAGAGCCAAGTTCTGGAAATGATCCTCCTATGATATTGACATTATACTCTTTGGCAAGGTCAGATAGGAACCTGGTTGTCTCTCCTGATGGTATTGGCTCGGAGTACTTCCTAAATTGATCGACAGCGTATGGAGAATTGAAGCATTCTGGCAAAACGAGTAAGTCAAGACCGGGCTCTTTTGCTAAAGCCTTTGCGGCAAAATCCTTGACTTTTTGCAAATTGGCCTGTTTGTCGGAGCCGGTATAGAACTGAAGTAGCGCAACCTTGATATTTCTGTTAATGACAGACATACTGTTCTTGATTGACATTAACTGGGGAAGTGTTCCTATCTATATGCGTTTGATTACATATCGGGTATTGGACGTTTTGAAAAATTGCCTATTTCGAACGAGTCACGTGCAGCTATGTGACACTCTCTGAAGCCAACCTTACATTTGCCATACTCACAGGGATTACAATCCTACAACGCGGTTGGCGGAAAGCCAATCTATTCCACCGAAGGTCTAGATAAAGGTTGGAATCTCGTCCCAAGTCCATGGATCATTGAATCTCAGATCCTGGTTCAAGGAGCTGATTTGCTTGATTTCATCCTCAGACAGATCGAAGTCATTCACGGTCAAGTTCTGAACCAGTCTCTCCTTGTGGTTGGACTTTGGAATCACCAAAATGCCTCTTTGGGTAGCCCATCTCAGAAGAACCTGAGCTGGGGTGACATTGTGAGCAGAAGCAATGCTGCTGATGAGATCGTGCTTGAGCAAAGAAACAGTGTCCTTGGCCTTAGCATGGTCGAGCTCCACGAAGGATTGTGGTCCAAAAGAGGAGTATGCAACAACAGTAATGTCCTGAGCTTGAGCGTATTTGATCAGTTTCTCTTGAGTCAGGTATGGATGGTGCTCAATTTGAAGCAATTGGGGTTTGATCTTGCAACCTCTCAGTAGGTCCTGGACCAGAGCACCCGAGAAGTTGGAGATACCAATTGACTTGACAAGCCCTTCCTCAACAAGTTCCTCCATTGCCCTCCAGGTCACAGCCAATGGAACGTCCTCAAACTCCCAACCATTACGGCCACAATACAATCCTGGTGGATATTTCTCCTCAAATGGGACGAACTTTTGGGCAATTGGGAAATGGATGTAGTAAATATCCAAGTAGTCTAACTTCAGGTCGTCTAGAACTCTTCTAATTGCCTTCTTCACGTTCTCCGGCTTGTGGTAACTGTTCCATAACTTTGAAACAATAACCAGCTCCTCTCTCTTAACCAAGCCGTCTTCGATTGCCTTAGCAATTCCCTCTCCGACCTGCTTCTCATTGCCATAGTCCATTGCACCATCAAACAGACGGTAGCCAACTTTAATTGCCTCGTAAATCTGCTCAGCACAGATTGACTTTTCGACTTTCCAGCAGCCGAACCCAACGATTGGGATTTCAATGCCATTGTTCAACTTGACTGTCTTGGAGGCCATCTTTTCAAAAAACACTGAAAAAAACTTGAAAAACTAAATTCCTGTAAAGGTGCTTTTTCAAGGAAAGTGTCCGTCCACTATTATATATGTTTGCTGTTTCGGCATCGTCTTTACCTTCCCCACCAACGCCCTTGCTGCAAGTCCGGAAAAATCGGTGTGAGGTGTGTGGCCACTAAAAAATTGCACGAATTTTCCTATTCTGCCTCTGCATATCCTTATTCATGCCTCTGATCGACGACATACAGGGTGTTCTTCCCGAGGATTTGCCCAAAGATCTATCAAAATACCTACTCTTTGATAAAGTGCGCAGTCGTTGGGTGATTGACAATCCAGAGGAGGAAGACTCTTTCGAGTTTAATCCTATCTTAGAGCGTTGGGTACCTGTTATTCAGGATTATCAAACCGAGAAGAGACCTCATGATGAAGTAAGCAATCCCGAAGATTTGAAACGTGAGAAGCGTCAACGGCTCGAAGAATTGAAACGAGAGAAAGAGGAATTGAGGCAGTATCGGCAAAAGAGAAATTGTTGCATCTATGTTAGTCAGGTTCCCAAAGACATCACTTTCGAGGAACTGGAGGCGATATTTGGCAAATATGGAGTTCTCGCACAGGATTTGCGCACAGAATCCTCTAAAATCAAAATGTATAAGGACGAGGAAGACCACTTCAAAGGCGACTGTCTAATAGAATATCTGAAAGAAGAGAGTTGTGATCTTGCAATCGGATTGTTGGATGATACAAAGCTTCGACCCGCAGATGAATCTCCCATTCGAGTTTCAAAAGCTGAGTTTAGCAATCAAACAGAGCCGAAACCTCGAGTAAAAATGAAAACTAAGGAACGTCTGCAGCTCAAGAAGAAAATTGAACGGATACACAAGAAATTGCACGATTGGTCTGACACGGAGGAAGATGATGAAACAAGGCGATTGAGAGAGGAAAGGACGCTAATTTTCAAGCACTGTTTCACGCTCAAAGAACTTGAGGACGATCCGGGAGCAATATTAGATATCAAAGAGGATATACGAGAAGGTTGCGAAGAAATTGGCGACGTTACAAACGTTGTCTTATATGACCTTGAAGAGGACGGAATTGTCAGTGTTCGATTCAAGTCCGCCGTAGCTGCAAACAATTGTATTTCCAAGATGAACGGAAGGTACTTTGGAGGCCACAGGTTACAAGTGGAGAAGTATGATGGAGTAACTCAGTATAAAAAAAGCACAGGAGATGCTGCCGAGGCAGATAGATTAGATAAGTTCGCGCAATGGGTTGAAGGTAAATAGGTCGTCAGCAGTTTGATGATGTAATCATCTTTTTTTAAAAAATTTTCAGTAGGACAGTCGAAGACACACGAGTTACTATACTATGCCACCAAAGAAGCAAGTTGAAGAAAAGAAGCCTTTGTTGGGAAGACCTGGAAACAACTTAAAATCTGGAATTGTTGGTCTCGCAAACGTTGGTAAGTCCACCTTCTTCCAGGCCATCACCAGATGTCCACTAGGGAACCCTGCGAACTACCCATTTGCAACGATCGAGCCCGAGGAAGCTCGTGTGATCGTTCCCTCAGAACGTCTCGACAAGCTCTATGAACTATACAAGCCCCCAAAGAAGGTTCCAGCTTATATTACTATCTATGATATTGCTGGTTTGACTAAGGGAGCCGCCTCTGGTGAAGGATTGGGTAATGCTTTTTTGTCCAACATCCGTGCCGTCGACGCCATCTATCAAGTTGTCAGATGTTTCGATGATGCAGATATCATTCACATTGAAGGAGACGTTGATCCAACAAGAGACTTGGACATCATTTCCAATGAGTTGAGACTGAAAGACATTGAGTTCGCCAAGTCTCATTTAGAAGGTATTCACAAAATCACCAAAAGAGGAGGTCAGTCTCTGGAAGTCAAGCAAAAGAAAGAAGAAGCCGCATTGGTTGAAAGGATCATTGAGCTTTTGGAGAGTGGCCAAAGAGTTTACAACCAAAATTGGACTGCCAAGGAAATTGAAGTCATAAACACCATGTTCCTTTTGACTGCCAAACCTACCATCTATTTGATCAACTTGTCTGAGAGGGATTATGTCAGGAAAAAGAACAAGCATTTGCTGAAGATCAAGGAATGGGTTGACAAGTACTCTCCAGGTGATGTCATCATCCCTCTTTCTGTTTCCTACGAGGAGAGACTGTCTAAAATGGAGACAGATGAGGAGAGAGCTGAAGAGGAAAAAAGGGTTGGAGCTCCATCTGTTCTACCAAAAATCATCACAACTATGAGAAAGAAACTGGATCTTATCTCCTTCTTCACTGCTGGTGAAAAGGATGAAGTGAGAGAGTGGACCATCAGGGATGGAACTAAGGCTCCTCAAGCTGCAGGAGTTATTCATACAGATTTGATGAAAACTTTCATCTTGGCAAATGTTATGAAGTACGACGATTTGATCGAGTTAGGAGATGAGAACGCAGTGAAGGCTGCTGGTAAATTGCTTCAAAAGGGCAAGGATTACACGGTTGAGGATGGTGATATTATCTACTTCAGAGCCGGTGCAGGCAAGAACTAGGTTTATGTAATGGTGTAAAGATGTCGTATGATCTTACCTTTACGAACTTGCACTTGAAAAAATCGACAAACTTGAATATACACGATCGATGATGCTACGACCACTCTCTTCTCCAGCCAAAAGAGAATTCCGTTTCGTCACTAGGGGATTTTCTCTCTCAAGGATGAGTTTGAATGAGCTGAAGTCAAAGGACTTAAAGTCCGAAGCAGAACCCAAAAAAAGAAAGCCTTTGTCAAGACTTCCTGTTGGAGGCCCGGACTACTCTAAGCAAACACTGAAAAGGAACCCCATTGAGTTTTTGACATGGAAGTCTGTTGTTGTGTTTGTCATATTTGGGTCTGCCCTCACTTATGTGTTCACTAATGAGAAAGAAAAGCTCAAGCTAAGAAGGGAAGCCGAACAAAACCGGGGAATGGGTAAACCCTTAATCGGTGGGCCATTCAATCTGATTGATACAGAAGGAAAGCCATTTACACAGGAAAATCTGAAAGGTCGGTTTTCGATTATCTACTTCGGATTCACAAATTGTCCTGATATCTGTCCTGACGAACTAGACAAATTGGGCTTGATTTTGGACGGACTCAAATCAAAGTACAACATCGAGCTTCAGCCAATCTTTATTACCTGCGATCCAGCAAGAGATTCACCACAGGTTATCAAAGAATATTTGAAGGACTTCCACCCATCGATTATTGGGTTGACTGGAGACTACGATGAAATCAAGAAATGCTGTAAGAACTACAGGGTGTACTTTTCGACTCCGCGCAACGTCAAGCCAGGTCAAGACTACTTGGTTGATCACTCTATCTTCTTCTATTTAATGGATCCTGAAGGTGAATTCATCGATGTCTTGGGTCGCCAATACGATGCTGAGCAGGCAATAGACAAAATCAAGTCCAACGTATCTGTCTACCAGCCTCGAGCAGAAAGAGAAAAGGCCAAGGCAGGGTGGTTGGGATTCCTGTACAAATAATGCTTCAGTGTTTTGAAGACAGCAAACTGTCATCATTCACATGTACATATATCAGATAAAAACTATGATCAGAAATTTAGGCTATTTCTTGAGGATATTTCTCAGATTTTGCGCTTTCTAACGACTACCTACATGCCTATATTATCTTCTATCTTTCTTGCGTTAATTAAATCTCACGCTTATTTGGGAGTACAAGTACAGAAAATTTTCAACGTCAAGGACGGAAAACCCAGCTCAGGATTTGTGAATCGCCGCAGAGCCCCATCATTGTTTTTTTTTTTTTAGTGTCGACACCGCACTATCTGTCTGTTTTTAAAGGCATGAATACGTGTAGTTTGTAATAGCTGGCAATTATTGAGAATACTATGCTCTACTGTGAGAGTTCACTTGGCCAAGTTTAGTTTTAAGTCGGTATCCGGCCGAGATCTGAACATTGTAATTAAGCAAGTTGCTGTTTATATAGTCCGTTATTGCAGGCATCGTTAGCGTAGCTATCTATCTCGCGTTTTGTTTGGTTATTGCACGACCGTTGTTTTTGAGTTTTCCTTCGACAAGTCTCAACTTTTTCTTCAAGCAGAGGCAAATAGGATGAATTGTTTGTTTGTCAAAACTAACTAAGCTAAATATTCCTTTTTCCAAGTAAACGCGGTTGAAATTTTACATCCTTATTATAAAACTGGTAAAGTCACGTTGAAAAGGGGTAAATCAAAAATCAATCAGTGACTCCCCTAGCAGACAACAAATATCCAATCATAGAACACTTAACATCGTTTTCCATTAGAACTTGCAAAACATAATGGTAAGTACTTGAAGATGGTACTTTACAGATGGGAATCTCGAGAGGGTCCCCTTATAGTTCCGACTTCAGACAGACGTTCTAACGAGTTTTTAGGTGCTTTTCAAACGAAAGAAAGTGGAGTTCAGCCCACCTCCAGCTCTGCCTCAGGATTTCGATTTATCGACTGAAGTCTGGTTTATTCCTGAAACTGGAGAGTGGTTTTTGGATTACGATCAGTATCTGAGTCGCATGGACTACTACAATATAAAGAAATTTGTATGTGAAACATCCGGAAACTCCAATTTCACATTTTTCGAAGCCCTGAAAGTTGAACAAAGTGAAATGAGCATGATGGAGGCAAGATTTCCGGATCCAGTTAAGGAGCCAATTCTGCGATACGTGTCATTTTCTACAACTCCAAGAATTGATGCTCTAGTTGATGAAGTTTACGCAAAATTCAAGGACGATTTTTTCCCAGGGGATCAGGTAGTGGTCAAAACAGATTCTGGCGATAAAGTACACGGAGTTGTGCGTGAGAAAGCAAGATTCAATGCCATCACCTTGCCTGATGGAACGGTGAAAGAGGGTTACTGCTCTTACCGAGTTCTTCTTCAAAATAACGAGGAAATTACCGTGAACTCCATTTCACAAATCGCCAGAGAAAGGAATTCTTTCACCAAATGGTACGTTAAAGCATTTTTGAAAATGAGTCTCACCAGATCCACTAGACTTGGTTCTCCTTGGGTCTTGAAAGACTCAGTCGCAAAAAAATACAGGATTTCATTGGAGTATCCTGACCATCTCAAACAGTATGAACATCCAAAGGATTCACTAAGAAAGATCACGCTCACCAATAAGCTCAAAGCTGATGAACACATATTTGACAATCTCAAAGAAACTCCGCCTACCGCTCATGAACAAGAAAATGGGTTCACATTGCAGTTATGGAAACAAAAATGGTATGATGCTCTGAAACACTGTACAGTCTATTTCCAGGATACTCCAGAAAGTGATGCCGACCCAGAGATCAAACAGAAAATTCTTACCCTTTTCCAATATTCAAGCGTCAAAGTTCTACCGAAATTTGACCCGAAGACCGTTAACTTTTTGGTCACTTCTATCCCCTACTCTCCAAAAGCCGTATACACGCCTGACAATATATTCTATCATGTTCTCGACAACAAAATTAAAGTCTGGCATTATGAAAAGTGTTTTCGGTTTTTTAAGAGCTTGAACATCACATATAGAAAAATCATGACAGCTCAAACTCAAATAGATGAGAATTCAGCATCTCCGGACGTGACGTCTCCTAATCCTAACAATGGTTACGTTGATATATTGCCTGCCTCTGGATTGAAACCACAGGCCGCAACTCCTTTGGATTCAAGAAGTTCGACTCCTATCAATGTGTTTAATGGCAGCAAATTCAGGCCACCAGGGCTTATTGATGACCTGAAGCTGCCGTTTCGCGGGGTCTCAAAATCACGTCCCAAAATTATTAAGCTTCCAGGGATACAAGATAGTTCTGATATTCTGGAATCGTGGATATTTTTGAACATGTATGCAAAAGCTCTAGTTATCGACAATTTCACTTTTGACGACTATTTCGCTGCATTAAGATGGGAAGATGAGGAGACTATCTGTCCGTTGCTTATGGAGATTTACTGTGGTATGTTCAAGGCTTTCATGGATGGTAGACGTCGTCTTTTAGTTACATTACCAAAAGAAAATGTTCTTGACAACGGAGATGATGATGATAAATTGAACGATGACGATCAGCCTGATGATGATGTTTCCGAAATCAAAACGGAGTCGCCTAAAGTTCTTGCGCAGGATGAAGATGAAAAAGCAGAACTCTCTCATGAAGAAGACGAGGCGGAAGAGGAAATCATCAACCACAATGCATATTCTTTCCTGAGATACAAAAATCGTCCATGGGAAGATAGGCTGGCAACGCGTCAATTCAAAGAGGGAAATTGGCTTATGGTGCTGATCGGAATAATGGCGACAGTCGAGTTCTTGCCAGAGTACAAAGCTGACATCAACCGTATATTCGAAATCCTTGCCCCAGCCGAGGAAGCATCAACAGCTGAAACATTGCAACGGAACTACTTCAAAAAGCTTTCGGCTGAAGATCGTGCGAAGACCATTGCTATAATGATGTCACTGCTTTTAAATGGTACTGTGATTCGGTCTCATATCGATAAATGTTTGGAAGATGCAACTGCCCTTAGGCGTGACCGGCTTGAGCTCATAAAAGAGTTCAAGGTGATTATGGATCAGGCAATTGTGATTCAAAAGAATATTATCGAAACTCTGAAGCCTATCACGACTGCTCAAATAAAGAATTGGAACCATGACCCTGAAAAAACGCAAGAGCTTATTGAGCAAAAGAAAAAGGTTAGTAGGCTGGGTTTCAGCTACCTCCCACCCGAGCCAACTGCTCTGGAGAAGGCTGTATGCGCTAGTAATCCGGATTTCATGAAACTCATTAAACAAAGGGTGGAGAAGATGAAAGAAATCGATGAGATGAAACAAAAGCGCAGGAACCTGGAAAAGAGCTTGAACGAAATCGATTGTCAAAGAATTTGTTACATTGGCCGTGATAGATTTTACAACAGATACTGGTGGTTTGAGAAAAATGGTCTCCCTAACTTAAGCTCGACCGCACACCATGACGACGAAGAAGAAGATGGAGCCGACATGAGCGATGCCGGCTCTGAGTATGAAGAGGAGTCCTATTTAATGGGACGGTTGTGGATTCAGGGTCCTGGTGATGAAGACCGTAAAGTTTTCCTAAAGTTTGACGATGATCAGTTAAAGAGATGGAACGAAATAGTACATGGGTCTTCGGAAAATGCTAGCAATGACAAGGTAGTCGGGATCGATCCAACTGATAAACAGAAAGATGTAACAAATGCGGCTGCTAATGTTAAAGATGACAAAGAGAAAGAGTCTGTGAGAGATCCTCATTTTGTCGAGGCTGCGCGAGCTCTCTTTGGTCTCACATTTGATGAAGGAGAAGTGAGAGACGAAAAAGGATTTGTGGTTGTGGACAAGTATGGCTCCACCATAGAGAGACAATTTAGTTCTATCGAGCGAAAAATTCTAGAAGAGGGCAGCGATATCTTGGTATCGTCATCTGACTGGGGATACCTTGAGCGTCCAGAGCAGATTGACGAACTATTGAGATGGCTAAACATCGAGGGGGAGCGGGAAAAGCATCTACGCAAAAAAATAGTGGATCTTCAAGATCAGATTACTAACAGTTTGAGTTCTAGGGTTAAAACTGTTGGAATCGGCTGCAAGTCAGATGACGAGCTGAAATTTGAGAAGGTGATTGCTGAGACAGAAATAAGTGAGGATGATGACGAAGGCGGTGACGAAGAACATGGTTCTCAGGAGGAGGATGATAGCAACAAAGCATCCATACGTTCCGAGGCTAGGAAACGGAAGCGTGATGATGATGAAGTTCGAATGCCAAAACGAACTAGAAGAGGTGGGAAACGCGATTTGGAGAAACAAATGATGAAAGAACGTCAAGCAAAACTGGATAGATTGGAACATGCAAAAGAGATGCTGCATTCTTTGAGGACAGACAGAGACAGGCAGAATCTACTGTCATGGGTGAATTCTCGCGCAGTGGAAACTTACGGTTACTCTCACTATGAAGGCCCCAAGATTGCTGCAAAGTCTATAGGAAGAGGTCGTAAGAAGGCTGGAAGATAAGTGTGATTATGCTCATAATAAAGAGACAAGAAAACAAATTGAAGTGTATAGTCCAATAGAATTTAAAGTGGATGTAAAAATGAAAAATAAATTTTCCTGTACAGATTGTTTTTAAATGCTTCCGAGACAGGTTTACAGGACTGCTACTAAACAACATAGGGTGCCTGGTTTTGCTGGTAAAAGGCTACAATCTAAAAGGGTATCTCCAAAAGAGCTGGCATCGCAGTCTCATTTGCCTAAAATAGAAAATCCAGAGACCCCAGATAGGGATATAAATCCCAAAAGGAAACTTCCAAAGCCAGCTTATGAGTCTGAAAACTTCAAGGTGCCCGAATGGAAGCGCGCTTTTGGAGAGCTCTTTATAAATGTGTTCCGTATCGATATGGATAATGTGAGGGCTGGAACAATGGGAGGATCGAAATATTATTATATGTGCAAAGATCAAGGATTACAGTTCAAAGACGAGCCGTTGTCCGAAACAGCAATCTTCTGGTACCAAACTCTGGGTTTGCCTCGAACTTTTGGCCAATGGTTCCAGATCACTGGCCTTCATGTCTGGTTACTCTTTGTTAGAATGAGAGCCATGCCATTCAAAGTCGGGAAAAACTATCAACAAAAGCTCGTCGACAAATTCTTCAAAGACATTGAGCTCCGACTCAGTGAGGAAATGAACATTCTTTCAGGACAAATCAGAGAAAGTTACATGAAAGACTTCCATTCGCAACTTTTAGGAATAACATTTTCGTATGATGAAGCTCTTGCTTCGAACTCAGACAGCGTGTTAGCTGCGGCTCTCTGGAGAAATGTGTTTAATGGTGACAGGAACATAGACTGTGTCAAATTAGAAGCCCTCGTGAGGTATGTCAGGATGCAACTATACATATTGAACAAAATTAGTGATAGAGCATTTGGTTTTGGCGATTTTGAATTTATCGCACCAAATGAAACTATCGAACCACTTACACCTGAGGAAGAGGAAAAACTGAAGGAGGCAACTCGTCAAAAGTATGAACCGCAGAATGGAAAAATTCTGCCTAGTAACCGCTCGAGCCTTTCGCTAGACGAATGATTTTTGTATATACGAAATTTGAAAAAAATTAATCCCTGAAGCTCTTATGAGACTTACTCCGATATTGATACAGGAGGCGCCGTGTTTTCGAAATCCTGCAGGAGAACACGTTCTTAGCTTGCGAAACTTGCAAATAGCATTCATTGAGAGTTTCAATGAAACGGATGATGTTAATGAAGCTCTGGACCTAACAAACAATGAGATACGCACACTTAGTTTCAACACACGCTTGAGGAGAATCAAAACTCTCTTACTTGCTCGCAATCAGATTGTCGATATAGACGCTAACATCGCTGCACTGCTTCCCCGTCTTAATACATTGTCATTAGTTGAAAATAATATCTCACATTTGTCAAATTTACTTCCTTTGAGGCACTGTCGCAACCTCGAAAACATATACCTCACCGGTAATCCAGTCACAACTTCAAGATACTACAAGGAGTTTGTTGTTTGGTTAATACCTGGATTAACTGTGCTTGACTTCGAGCGTGTGAAGCCTCGTTTAAAAAAGTCCGCTGAAGAATTGCTGGGCACGTTTGACCAACCCAGCAAGCTAGCATTAAAACTTCTAGACAATAAAGAGCTGGAGCCTCTGAAGGAGCCTAGTTCCATAGAAACACAGCAATCGATCAGACTCACAGAGGAAGAGCGATCCAAACTGGAGGCCGATTTGATGAACGCGACTAGCCTTGACGAAATAGAGCGCATAGAGTTAGCTTTGAAACGAGGCTACATAGAGTAATTTTACAAATCATTGCGTTTATCCTAGTAATATATCACGAAAGCATATCTTTGATTGACATTCGAGAATCTTTCAATTTGTCATCGAGGCCAAGTAATCCAAACTTTGTACCATTCAGCTCAATCCTGTTCAGAGATAAGACATCGGGCAGCACATCTATCAAACTCTCATCATTTTTCTTTCTGACGAAGCACTGGTGACACACTTCTCCCTGGCTACCAGCCTCCTCGTACCATCTCAGAGATCTGGTATTATGGCAATGCTGGCATTCATGGGGAACAGGTACAGGAAGTTTAGCAAGCGAGGTGTCTCTTTTCATCATTTTGAGAGATTCTTCATAGAGCTGATGCCAGTATTCGCCTGTTGCTGCAGACCTGTTTTGTTTGAGCTCTGTGCAATAAAGCTTGATGAGTGGTTGTTCCTTCTTTCCTTTCATCTTTCCAGGAGCGCGTAAGGAAACAAAGTCTGTTAACTGGTGACCACAGCATACTATCCGTGGTACTGGCCGCATAGATTTGTTGAAATCTTTCACTTTAGAATTGAACGTTCTATCAGGTACCAACTCGAATCCAACAGTGCAACCTTCGGTATCCAGGCAGCATGATACGTGTATAGGCTTCTGACAAACTTTACAATCAAGGAGACTGCCACCGTATCCACAAATGGTACATTTTCTGCCAGAGTTTTTCAAAAGAGAAAGCTCAGTACCAAACACTGGTTGCAAAGAGTTGGAGCCAAATCCGCAAAAAGGATCAAAGGTTGCACAGATTATATGGCACCAGTTGCCACTTGCCGTTCTCTTCAGGGCATCAGGGTATGAGTATGAGAATCCTGATTTGCTTCCTTTACTATCTGTCTCCTTTGCTGGGCACAAAACACATTTGTAATGAGTGGAATACAGAGGGTGTAGGTCATTTGAACAAGTATCGCAAAGCCACTTATAACTGCTCAGTTCCGATGGTGATTCCATATTGATATCTCCATAGCAAGATGCATGGACATTCAAACCACATAAAGTGCAAATCAAGATCTCTTCAGCCATTCCATACTCTCTACACACGCAGCAGGCACGAGTATCATTTGCAAATGGCGGTTTGTATTGCTTCTCCCCCTTGAATTGATGGTTTGGTATGGAGATATCAAACTTGCTTTCGTAGCGGGATTCCAGCGGAGCAGGTTTCTGCTTTTTGACTTTACTTTCGAGAGCTTCTTCGGAAACTCTTTTCTTCAAATTCACCGGCTCTTCGCTTTTTCGCACTTCAGAGTATGGTAATGTGACCGTTAAAGATTGTTTTTGAGCAGACTCTGCTTTTGGAGGTTTCTTGACCTTGATTGACTTTTTCTTTAGCTTGTCCTCGAATGGATCTTCATATGAACCCATATCTTCCTTAATTTTTGATTTGCTCCTTCGTGAGATATCCGGTTTCTTGTCACAATCTGTGTGCTTACGAGGCCACAGCTGACACTCTTCTCTTGCTTTGATAATTTTGCGGGCATCCTCGTACAGCTCAAACTCGATCTTTCGCTTCCATCCATTTCCACCCCGTTGACTTTGTTTGCGCATAATCTCGTAGGGATCTTCCCACTCTACACCATATTCTCTCCAAAGACGGGCACACCGTAAACAAAGACCTGGGAACACCTGCTCGTATGATTCTGGAAGAGTAGTTCCTGAAAGCTTGTACCATTTCTTGGAATTTCTTGTATGACAGTGCTTGCACTCAAAAATGACATTATTTCTCTCAATCTTCTCCGTACTATAAGAAGAATCATCCTCAGAATCATTAACGTCGACACCCTCTGCTTTTGCAAGCTTTGTCAAACGATTTTTAGGTCTGCCTGCGTAGTTATCCCAAATTAAATGGCCATTTTTTGTTTTCTTCCAAAGGTAGTAAAATCGGACTATCATAGCTGATGACTGGGTCTTAACGTCTTTGAACACTGGGAACAACTCGCTTCCATTTATCTTGACAGACTCCTCGAACCTTTGGATTTCTTCCGGTGTAAAGGTTGGCTCCTTCAAAGAGTCTCTCGTAAATTTGGATACTTCCTGTAAAGCTTTTTCAGGATTGTAATCATTATGCATCAAAGTTTTCAGTGCAGCATCAATGAAATTGGGTGTCGTGGGAATCATACCCAGCCTCTCCACAAAAGGCTTTGCATCTGCTAGATATCTTTCAACCATCCCATCATCATTTTCAGGTTGCTTCCAAAGAAGCTCGCTGGTAGCATCCGTGCCTCGCTCCACATATCCTTTAGGTTTTGGTTGTAGCCATTTAGGTAAATCATCAGGATCATAATCTCTGTACTTCTCCGGCATGGGAAAACTACCACTGTCTTCGTCGATCTGCGATGGACTTTTCTTTTTGGTACTCTTTTTCCGGCTTTTGGCCTTTGAATAATTTGAATCGTCATAGTATACGACTGGGTGGCCATACCAATCGACAATTCCCGTAAACTGGTGCTTTGTTCCCAGTCTTGAGGCCGCTCGCGGATATGGTCGGTCTTGGAGGTCTAGCGCGTCTTCTAGTTTGGCATGCATACCGAGGTATCTGTATGGCCACTCTTCCAACTCTCTTCTTTTCTCAAAGCTCAAATTCTTATCTGCTTCAAGAAATGCAATGGCAAGCTCCTCATACCGTGCAAGCTTGCCGTTCGGTGGTTCTGTTTCATTAGTCTGAATGGATTCGGACCTGGATTCTGCTTCCATGGGCGTCTGGGAACTAGAAACGTCCTCACTTGCATCGGAATCTTCATCTTTTATCGACGCTGCAATCTGAGAAGGAAGACCACTATGGAGCATATGACCCCGTTTCTCCGACAATTCTTCCTCCAGCTCTTTATTACAAGCAGCACAAAACCATGCAAAACCTCTTTTGGGTTTGTTCATGATAGGCGGGTCCACACAAAGCAAATGGTAAATCTTTTGACACCTTAAGCACTGTACTGAATCAGAGGATGCGGCCCATTGCATACACTTTTCGCAATTTTTCGGGTCTGACAGTAGATCTTGTCCTCGTCCCACCTCGACAAAAATATATTCATAACGTTTCGTGAGAGCTTTGTAATAGTTTGGCGGCAAATTCGTGAGCTTTATCGTTGGGAGTACGTCGTACATTTTCACCATGTATCTATCATAGAGCTTTTCAAAGTAAAAACTGTGAGGAATCATTCGGTATGCATCCAAATCTTCAATTTCTGATCGGTGCTTCACAGTAACGAAACCTCGAAAACTTGAGATAGGACATTCATCCATATGCAGAGATGCAAATAGCAATCTTGAATCCGGCGACTTCCTGTTGAGATCGCGCGGCCGATAAAACCAGCAAACTTCGAAGTTGTAATTCTTTGCGCTTTTGGTGGCATCGTCCTTCTCTTTCCGAGCGAAACCTTTTATTCTCGCAATGTAGTACGGCTCTCCAGGAGGCTCGCAAATCATGTATATGAAATCTCCCTTTTTTATTCTCGTTCCATCCTTGAGTGTGAGAACGTTGTTTTCCACCTTTGCGCCCTTGAGATCAAGCACAACGTTGAATTCCTGGTCACACTCGGGCTGAAAATTTGTCGGTACCACTTCGTCAACCGGAACATATTGAGACTTGTCCTGGCTCTTGTTCTTACCTGCTAGCTTTGTAGGCGTCTCGGGTTTAAGAGGCTCGGCCTTCTTGGTGGCTTTCTTGATAGCACTTGCTTCTCGCTCTTGTTCGTGCACAAGGTCAAGCTCGCTTTTTTCTTTGTAGTTGACGTTGACAGTTGTCTTTCGTTTGGGACGAGCAGAGTCCATGACCACTGTAACTAGATTGTCACGCTTAGCCTCTAACAAATAACGAAAGCAGGAGTAAGAAGAGGCCGTGGCGTTGGAAGGAAAAGATATTTTGCGTGCAAAAAATCACTGCAAGTCTGGCGCACGACGGCAAGGGGATGTATCTTACACATAACCAGACTCATCTACTGGTATGTATGACTACGTTTGCATCTGGTATATGGACACTAATCGTTGACTTTCGCGACAGCTTATTAGCTGACATTTACAGAACTGGCAACCATGCAATATTGACGCTATCGCAAATACGCGGAAACAGAATCTTAGATGTAAGTTTGCAGGAAGTAGCTGCGGTAGAGAGTATGTCTCAAGTAAGCGGAATGATCCTTGTGTTCCTTAATTTCTTCCATCTAGGAATTACGGCAAATTAAAAAAGTATCTTCCAAACTCGTTGGGTCAATAAATCGATGTGTACACGTTGTCGATCTAGAGTGTCGTTGAGACAAAGTGTGCCCACGGGGATTGCCTCCGTTTGTTCAGGAGCGGCCTTGCATGAACAACGGACGCAAAGATATTGAATAACTCGATTTAAAGTTTTCGGGTGTAAAGATGTAAATATCCAAAGTTTCATAAAACAATTCAATGGACCAAGAGAGAGGCGTGCCCGATATCCCGGGGGATTTGGTATCTCCTGAGGTTGCAGACTACTTGAAGTCACGTGTATCTCGAATATTGAGAACGAGGTTCAATTCCTTTCCAGGTTCTCAACCTGTGAGTTTTGCAAGAGAGCACTTGACAACGTTAAAAACCAGAGACTATCTTGTGTGTGAAAAATCAGATGGCCTGCGATGTTTGCTTTTGGTGATGATCAATGAGGACACTGGAGAGGAAGGAACGTTTCTTATCAACAGAGAAAACCAGTATTACATAGTTCCTGGGTTTCATTTTCCAAGGACCAGCAAAAACTTCGACAGCTCGCATAATGGTACAATCGTTGACGGTGAGCTAGTTTGGAGCAGAAATCCGGTCACTGGAATCAAAGAAATACGGTATCTGATTTTTGATTGTCTTGCTATGGACATGAACAGTGTCATGCATAAAAACTTATGGAAAAGACTGTACCACGCTCAGCATGAGTTTCACAAACCATACATGGATCTTCGGCGGACCTTTCCAGATGCTTGTGCACAATTCCCTTTCAAGCTGGATTTCAAGAATATGACACAACCGTACAAAATCCGCAAGATTTTCCAGGAGATGAAAAACCTGACCTATGTTTCTGACGGGTTGATCTTGACTTGTTGTGATACTCCTTATATTCCGGGGACAGACAGCAATTTATTGAAGTGGAAGCCTGCAGAAGAGAATACAATAGATTTGAAGTTAAAATTGGAATTCCCTGTATATGTTGACGAGTCCTTACCCAAGCACGATCCGAACCGGGAATATTATGACTACGATGCGACCCCTACCATCAAACTGTATGTCTGGAAGGGTAAAGAGGAGACTGAAGACGAGTCCATTGAAGATAATATCCAACGGAACGATGGAGAATATGTGAACAGCTTCAGTGGCTACGAAGAATGGGGCCAATTAACTATCACGGACGAGGAATGGGAAGAATTGAAAAAAACGGGCGAGTCTTTTAACGGGCGAATTGCAGAAGTCAGAAGAAATGAGAAAGGTGAGTGGAAACTCCTCCGTTTTAGAGACGACAAGATTCATGGAAACTACATCAGTGTTGTCTCAAAGGTGCTGAAGTCCATAGATGATTCTGTGAGTAAGGAGGAGCTCATAGCTGCCGAGGATGAGATTAGGGCCAGATGGATGGAAAGAGAAAAGCTAAAACAACAGTACGCTCAGCACGCCCAGCATACGCATTCGCAACAACCCCCTCCTAAGCCTGAACCAACCCCTCCACAGAAACGCAATATAGAAGCCGCTCCAAAACCTGCTGACGATGATGAATATTACGAATCAGACGGTTTTGAGGAGTTGCCAACATACACTAAAACAAAAAGTCCAAAATATGGAGACATGGAACTTCCCAGTAAAAGAAGACATGTATAACTAGTTGTATAGTAATGCATCTCTATGTACAATCTTTCTTATATATAAGAAAACACGCAGTTTTTGTAAAGCTCCCGTGGATTTCCATTTCCAGAGAGTAAGAACTCCATCTCGGATAGTCTTGGCAAGACCTCCTGGATATTGTCCTCTCTTGAAAATCCTCTCTTTTCAATTTCATGGGGAATCATCTTACATTCTAGCATGTGCTCCACAAGAGCGCGAACTTGTTCTCTGCTCATTCTCTGAACGTGCAGATGTTCTAGATTGCCGTTTTTAACTAGCTGTTCGGTAAATTTGCGATCCCACTGATCAAATTTGGCGTAGTAATCTGGCTCCCGTAATCCAAGCGCAACAGGGATGGTGTCGTTATCCTTGTGGTCGGACTTCGTCGCCATGACAATGGCGCCTTTCTGGAATGTCCTGTCGCCGCTGATAAAATCCACCAGAGTTCTCAACAATTGAAATTTTTGGAAGTAGATCGGGTTGTTGTTTATGTCTCTGTACCTAGTGTTCGCAAAGTGACAAAGGGCACTAAAGTTGTCAATCGTTAAAAACACAGGAATTTCTTTCTGAGCTGCAAGTTCGTCCATCAAGAATTGAAAGACATCGGCACGGCTCACTGCAGGGTTATACAGAACTTTTCCCAAAACTTCACGTAGTGTATTCTTTTCGGTGAAGGTAATGGGCGTTTGTTTTTTCACTGATTCGAAAGCAGGAGAATATGGTCTTGAGAGATTTATCTTATTGAAAACGCTCTTGTTCAAAACAAACCACTTCTTAAGCAAATCTCTGCTTGCCATTGGCTGTTCATACAATCCTGTCGCATTGTTGTATTTGAAATCGTTAGAACCGTCAACAAGAGCATCCATATTCGAAATTTGAAGAACCACGCTGTCTTTTTCAACTGCTAGAGCATGGAATTGTGTAAGCATCGTCGATTTACCAACGCCCAAGTCTCCCGTTATTATCATTCTATTTTCTTTCGATGAGGACAACAAGCTCTTGGTGAAAAATTCATGAACCTGACTAGTCTCGACTTTTCGCGATAGAGTAATAGGTCTGGAGTACAGTTCGTTGAACTGGTTAGGTTTGAACGCACCAAGGATGTGCAATTTCTGGTAGCTTGTTTTCTTGAATTTAACAACCTCATCAAGATGCAGGTTTTCAGCAGAGAACACTGGCAATCTCTCGTGAACTTCCTGATCAGTGGCGCTCTTTTTGTAATTCTCAGAAATTAGCAGTTTGTTGAATCTTTTATCCTTGCCGGGACCTTTTTTGTCTTTGGACGGATCATATTTGGTCTTTCTACTGAACGACTTGGATTTATGAACCGCATGCTGAAATGTAGAGCTCGAAAACGGACGCCTTTGGGAAAGCCGGGCAAGCCCTAGAGGTCGAAACATCTGTATCCTTCAATATCAAGTTTCTTCCAAAGTTTTTTTTTCGCTTTCAGCTGGAACTCGACGAGTCTTACGTAATAGTTAACGAAAGTCAAATTAAGCATTATTACATAAAAGCTAGGTCAGCCGCGATTGGGATTAAATTAGCCACTGCCTAGTATCTCAACATTATCTCAACATGATTAACATTCATAGCGTGCTCGGGGTGTCATTTAGATGTTAAAAACCTTTTTGAACTTAGCAAGGTACTTCTTCAAACCGGTCTTAGTCTCCTCAGTCTTCGCAGTCTCCGAAGCTTTACCCTCAGCATCAGTAGCTGCATTGTCAGTCTTGTCCTTGGAATCACCTAATGCAGTAGAAGCCTTATCCTTCATGTCGTCAACAGCAGTCTCGACCTTGTCCTTAGCATCGCTCAGAGCAGGCTCTCCTTGCTTCTTAGCATCCTCAAGAGAGGATTCAACCTTGGACTCAAATTCCTTAGCAGAGTCAGCAATAGTTTTGCCGGCCTCGTCAGCCTTGGTTTCGGCTGTGTTGATAGCGTCAGTAGCTTTGGTTTTAATCTAGAAAATGTCAGTTTACTACAGCATTGAGTAAAAGAACATACCTCTTCAGAAGACATATAAAAAATGTGTACTATATTTACAATCGTTTGGTTTCATTGCCCTTTATATACACATACCAGCCACACAGTACTAAAATCAGGTAGTATTATTATCGGAAGGCTGTGTAATTGAAAGGAACAATAATACAGGCAACTCCATTGTGCCACGTTATTATAGTTTCTGACAGCGATAGGTAGATATGTGTTCCACACTACCCTGGGCAACTATTTTCGGCAATGGATCAGCTATTAGGGGAATGTACATTTCGTGGCTAGTTTCGGTTCAGTATCGTACCGAAATTATGCAAGCATGTTTTATCTTTGAAGCAATTTTTGTAGCCAGCTGTGTATAATTGTTTACGTCACGTGTCGTACGCGTTCCACACACCAACCATCATCTGAGACCGATAAGTATTTTACGAAATAGAACTCTTCATCCGTACACCAGATATATACAGGGAGGAAAAAATTTTCGGTGTTAATAGGACTCATAAAGGCGTCAGAAAACCTGGCGCGGCAAAGATTCACGGCAAACTGCTTATTTTTCTCAGCTGGCGGTTTGCGGGAAAAATGTAAAAATTGAGTACCGCCATTTTCATATTCTAGTGTTTTAGAATTATATTTAACAACACCTTAGCATATTTTAGTTCTCTGGAGTATTCATATCTGACTCACGATGGATTTACGGGTCGGCAGAAAGTACCGGATCGGCAGAAAGATCGGGTCAGGTTCTTTCGGTGATATCTATCTTGGTACGAACATTATTTCCGGTGAGGAGGTCGCTATCAAGCTCGAGAATGTTAGAGCTAAGCACCCTCAACTGGAATACGAGGCGAAAGTCTACAAGGCTCTTTGTGGAGGTGTCGGCATTCCTTTCGTGAGATGGTTCGGAACAGAGTGCGATTACAACGCTATGGTTATCGATCTTCTTGGACCATCTTTGGAGGACCTCTTCAACTACTGTAACAGAAAATTCTCATACAAGACTGTGCTTTTGCTTGCGGATCAGCTTCTCTGCAGGATTGAATTCATACATGCCAGAAGCTTCATTCACAGAGACATTAAACCTGATAATTTTTTGATGGGCATTGGCAAAAAAGGTTCACAAGTTAACGTGATCGACTTTGGTCTTGCAAAGAAGTTTAGGGATCCAAGAACCCATCTCCACATTCCTTACAGAGAGAACAAAAATCTTACTGGAACAGCAAGATATGCATCAATCAACACTCATCTCGGTATCGAGCAATCTAGAAGGGACGATTTGGAATCTTTGGGATACGTCCTCATATATTTCTGTCGGGGCTCTTTGCCATGGCAGGGTTTAAAGGCGGCCACCAAAAGACAAAAGTACGACCGCATCTTGGAGAAGAAGATGGCAACCCCTGCTGAAGTTTTGGCTAGAGGCCTTCCTCTTGAATTCAGACATTACCTGAACTATGTGAGAGCTCTAAGGTTCGATGACAAGCCTGACTATATTTATTTGAGGAAAATATTCAGACAGCTATTCATTAGGGAAGGGTACCTTTATGATTCGATTTTCGACTGGACTGTTTTCAAGTACAAGCTGCACCAGCAGCAACAACAACAACAACAGCAGCAGCAACAAAAGGCCATTCAAAATGGCGATGAAGGCGAAGGAAAGCAAGAGGACAAACAGGAAGACAAACAAGACCCTACGACATTACAGCAACCAACACAGCAGCAGCAGCATAATCTCTCATCGCAACAACAATATTACCAAGATCCAGTGTCCAGCCCTAATGCCGTGAAGCCGCTATTACAACAATCGCAAAGTCAGGCCCAACCGGTTCCTGATCCATCTCCATTGCCTGTAGGCACTCAATACAAGAGCGTTCAGCAAGGTTACAATAATAAGTCTGCTTCTCAACTGAATGCTCCGCAAAACCACGAACAGTCGAACTTTAATCCAGCATGGCTCTAGTTGTCAGTTCAGGTAAAGATTAAGTATATCAACTCCATTTTGGTACTTCTGTTGTTGATCAGTTAGCTGATGTCTGTTTGTGCGTATTCGTATAGTATATTTTAGCTTATCTGGGCCATTATTTCTCATTGTCCATAATCAATTCAAATCTAATTTACAACCCTATAAAATTAATCGTCGCGACTACAGTCGCATTTCGGACTTGGTTTTCGAAGCTGCGTTGGCGGAGACTTCAGGCAAGGAGTCTTTTACCCGGGTATGAAGAACCCCATACGTAAAGTATTTCGTTCCCTGAATTTTATTAGAGGAATTAAAACAAAGAGAGGCATGACTGATATCTTTTTTGGAACGACTACAACTCTCAACAGGTTTTCGTTCCTACGAGCTAACGATGACTTTATTTCCAAAACTATTCGAGATCCGCTTTCACCTTCACGTTTAGTATTTTACAAACAGGATGGCAAAAATGGGGTTCATCCGTATATGATTCAAAAAAACGGCAGATATGGCTTGCTCAACTTGCAATTGAACACGCTTCCATCACAATTGGTTCAAATTTTTCATGACTGGAGTGTGAAGAATTCGAAGAAAGCGGTCGATCTGAGGGACGATGTTACAATGGTCTTTCTGGGTCTCGATGAAGACGGGTTAGACGAAAGATTCCTTTTCAATGATAATTCTTTGACTAGCTCTTTCATATACCCGAATTCTTGTGAACTGAAAGAATACCCTCAGTTTAAGTACGATAAATATCAGGGGACTCCATACTATGCAGTTGATGTCACACACAGTCAAGAGCTCCAAGCTTATCTCTCATCGTTTGACGACGTTAACATAGTGAGCAACATGATGAGTATTCTTACCGTGTCCAAAAATGAGTCCTCCTTGTTTGCGTACTCCAAAATGTATGTTGATTGGCTTATGAGAAACAAGTTCTGTCCAGGCTGTGGGCAGCGAGTGATTCCAGTGGATGCTGGAACAAGACTTTTATGTCAAACTCCCAAAGATGAATGTCCTGTGAAAAGCTCTGCTGTGAGTAATGTCTGCTTCCCCCGTACAGATCCAGTCATTATCGTGGGCGCTGTCTCCTCCGACGGCAAAAAAATCCTTTTGGGGAATAGCCGAAGACATCCCGCAGGTCCAAACGGTAAGAGAATGTTCTCGTGTATTGCTGGGTTTATGGAACCAGGGGAAACCATAGAGGAGTCCACACTCAGAGAAATCTGGGAAGAGACTGGATGCTCCGCACAGGAAGTCAAGATAGCTGCAAGTCAACCTTGGCCGTTCCCTGCAAATCTGATGATTGGCTGCTTTGGGGTTGTTCACTTCAATGGAGTTCATGAGATTATTAATACGGAGTTGGATAATGAACTGGCTGAATGTAGATGGTTTGATGCTGACGATATCAAAACCCTTTTGAGTGGGGGAGAACTTGAAGATATTTCTCTTCCAATGGAAGGAAGTATCGCATACGAACTTATTAAGAGCCTTGCTCTCGGTAAATACTAGAGATTCCAATTTACTAAACGCACATAGACATATTTCGTCATACTCATAACATTCATCGTTTTGCTGGAGCCTGTCCTTCTTGTGCGGCCTGCATAGCCTGCTGCTTAGCAATATCCTCGGCGGTTGGCATTCCTTCGGTGAAGATTTTCTCCAGAGTTAACTTCTGATCAGCCAACAGCTCCTTCGTTTTCTGTTGTTCTTCTTGCAACAGCTTCTCTCCATTCTCCTTCAAGTAATTGTACATGTGAAGGTAGTTTTTCTGCCCATGTTCTCTGATCAGGTCCAAAGGCATCTTTTTAGGTCTGATTTGGGAGATACCCAGTAATGAGGAGGTAAGGGTGGAGCCATTGATTTGCTTCTGCTCTTTTTCCCATTGTTGTCTCAACTTCGCCTCTCTCTCAGCAAATTCTTCTGGGATTTTCTTTTTATCCTTGAACGATGCTAAAACAGGTCTCACATCCTTAATTGGCTGGGTGGCCAGGTATTCAAGGAAAGGAATCAATCTAACAAGTTTATCGTCTTTTTTGCCATCCCATTTATCAATAGGAATTGCGTTTTCAGGCTGCATCGAATAACACGATTCATCTGGATCAATGATGATCAGTTTTCCTAAATCTCTGTTCATCAAGCTCAAATCCTTGATCACTTTCCCATCTTTGGTTCTGCAAGCCTCGCGGAACAAAGAGTAGGAAATGAACGCATGATAGGGGTCCAGTTTAGCAACAGCCGTTTCAGCAAAAGCCATTGAAGATCTAGAAAAGATCACAATTTCATAGTATTGCGAAAGGTAGCCCAAAAAGTAGTCGACCCCTGGTCTCTTGGCAGTCTTCCATCCTTTTTTATGGTCCCAATCGGCATGAATAAGCAGGTCATCAAGCTCTAACACTAAGGTCAACGGGTGTCTGTAGGGAGCAGGAGGCGGAGGCGGAAGGAGATCAGTGAACGCCGGTTCGGAAAACACGTTTGTGACTCCCCACATTCTCTTCTTGAATCTAGTCCACACGTTCACTGGATTCAGTCCGTTCTCATCGGGGTTGTACAGTTCCTTATCTTCCTCTGGGTCCCAGTCTCTGGAATTGTAGATTCCTCCTGCCAACGCGGCCCCTAGAACAGAGAACCAGAACAATTTGGCCAGTCTGTCTTTCTTCTTATCTAGAGAGGATTTGACATTGTTTCTTCTCTTTTTAGGTTGACCATACTCGTCTTCTTGCGGTTCGTATCTTTTAGGTTCTCCTTCAGATTTGGGCTCTGTATCTATGCCCGCTTTGGCAAGAAGGTCCTCGTCCAGGATGGAGTCAGATTTTTTCTCGTCCTTTTTCTCACTGTAAAATCTATACCGAGACGCATCCAGAGTGCGTCTCGCAACGATTGGCTTTTGTGTCACCAAACGTGCACATCTGGCAGATTTTGTGACAAGGTTAATCATTTTATGTACAGGTAAGAGGCGAATTAAATTTGAAAATTTTTTTCAGTCCTCCAGATTACTACTAGCTGTTACAAGATTAGTCTGTTGCAGCTGTCAGGTCATCATCATCTCATGAGTCAATACTTGCGTAGACCTCTACGACGATGGTTTTAGAGCTGTCAATTGATTTGACCTTTGATCCCAAAACTTATGAACTGTAACATTACCTCGTATCACCAGCTTGGAACCAGAAGGTTTGTGTAGTGAAAAGTTTCGCGAGGAGCTATTTTATATATTTCCTGGTCGTGTACTATTATCATAACGGAAAAGACAATCCATAACTAATCTTTCCTGGCATGTCAGACCCGTTCGCTTCACAACTTAGCCAGTTCAGAAAAACTGTTCGCAACTCATCTACCACTCTTCCCTCACAGCGACGTATAGTTGATAAATCTTCTTTGAAGCGCTCGAACGATGCCGGGAACGATGATGAAACAAAAAGACCGAGAACAAGCGACTATGATTCTGCCCCTGCAAGCTCTCTTTCCATACGTTTGATGACCGCCTCGGATTTCATCAAGACCAGTGACCATCCGGTCAAAATAGACGAGCTCCAGCAGCATATCAAGTGTAAGGTGGATCCTAAATTGTTGAAGGTGCTCACAAACGTCGACAGAATTAAGTATGATCCTGTGAACCAAACACTGGAGTACCTTTCGTTGCATAATATTAAAACTGGGGATGACCTGATCAAGGTTCTTGAAAATCAACCTACTTTCTCTGGTCTTTCGGTGAAACAGTTGAAAGATGGATGGAATGGATGTCTCGAGACCTTGGCACAATTGGAGAAAGAAGAGAAGATAATAGTTCACAAGACCAAGAAAGAAAATGCCCCACGCCATATTTGGTTGAATGTTGGGTTCTATAAGCTTGAAAATGTGGTGGAGCCAGAATTCTATGATATGTGGGCAAAAATCAAGGTCCCCAAGGGTGATGATCTTGTTAGACAGTTGATTGAAACTGGATCGAAGCCTACCAATGTTGATCCAGATTCCGTAAAGAGTAAGAAGGTTGCTCCCGTGCAAGAAAGGAAGCAAAAGAAGGCAAGAAGAGGAAAGATCACAAACACGCACATGAAAGGAATTCTCAAGGACTACAGTAAAATGTCCTGATGTAAACATTTACACCAATGATACTTAAAATTAAGACTTCAACTATTGTACAGACTAATCTTCGGCGTCTTTCTTCTTTTTATCTTTCTTATGCTTTTTCTCCTTCTTTGAGGAATCCTCGCTCTTTCTCTTTTGTGGATTTGGTGTGGCAACAGACTTATCCTCCTTTTTGGCCTCCTCATAGTTATCCTTACCATATCCTGTTGGGAAATGTCTCATTCTTAAGTCGAAATGTTGCTCCACATCACGTCTTTGAGTCACTACCTTCCCGTAGTTAATCTCTGGAATTTTGACCTTCTCCGATACACTATAAAATCTCGAAATCTCCAGTTTGGGAACAGGTTGAAGTGATTTCTTGTTTTGTGCGCTCATGATTTTATATCTTCTCTTTAGGACGTCCTGCTCTGTTGCTGCAATGTCTTCGTTCAACGCATAATCGGTATCTTTCACCTTGAACTCAGTCGTTCGACCGACTCCAAGATTAACTGGTAGCTTTTTGAGTTTCTTGATGTTCAAATCTGAAGGCACCTGAATCAACCAGATTTCCTTATTTTTTAGATTCTTAGGTGATAGCCTTCCCACAATTTCCAGATCTTCCACCTTCTTGAATCCCAGAGGCGGCTGAAAACCACGGAGTTCCTGATCAGAAAGATCAGAATCAGAATCTACCACCCTCTCGTTCGAAAGTTGGCCCATTGAACTAAATTTTTTTATGAAATTTTTTATGTCCGTATGTAGATTATCGTGCGCCAACCAGTGACAGAGTGAACATTTAACTGTAGTCTCCACTGTTAAAGATGGAGATGTCTACAGAAGCCTTCACGTCTTCTATATCCAAACTTTCTATGCCTCTATTCACCTTTGCCTTATTCTTGATTTTTTCATTTAGAGCACGAGCTCTTTCGGCAAAGGATAAATATTCGCTTTCGTCACCAGTGACGTAGGAGCCCGTAAACACACCAACTTCGAAAGAGTCGATGGGCGGAGATGTCTTATTTGTCAAAATCTGAGAATCAATTGTATCGTCTCTGGAAACAACAGGGGTCAAAGCAAGCTCCATCTCGTGGTCTTTAATTTGATTATCCTTCACACAGCATTCAATAAGATCTTGAAGATTTTGGTAGAAGACGCGGTCAGCACCAATTGCTTCCGAGATTTGTTCATCTGTTCTATTGTAGCCGACCAGCGCACGATTGTCAGCAAGATCAATTCCATAAATATGGTTATGTCTGATGGCAGGGCAACATGATGCTATATAAACCTTCTTTGCGCCCGCTTCTCTGGCCATACTAATAATTTCCTTTGACGTTGTACCTCTCACAATGGAATCATCAACCAAGAGAACCGATTTCCCATAAAACTCGGAGGCCATTGCGTTCAGTTTCCTCCTCACCGAGGACTGTCTTTGTTTCTGGTCGGGCATAATAAATGTTCTACCAACGTATCTGTTTTTGATAAAGCCTTCTCTGTAGGAAATGTTCATCGTATTAGCGCATTGGAGGGCAGAGTGTCTTGATGTATCTGGAACAGGAATGACCACATCTATCTCTTTTCGCACATCAAGTCCATCTTTCTTGAACTGACAGGTGATGTTTTCAGCCAGTTTGGTACCCATTTCCAATCTCGATCTGTACACACTAATTCCATCCAAGACGGAATCAGGTCTTGCAAAATACACATATTCGAAAATGTCGGGAGTATACGATTGCATAGGCACAACCTGCTTAAACTCGGGAACCATGGAGTTCTTCGGTATAATGACTGCCTCTCCTGGTAGAATGTCTCTGTACACTTGAAACCCATGAGCTTTCAGAACAACAGACTCTGAAGCAAGCATGTAATCTTTCGATCCATCGTCCTTCAAGCGCTCGCCGATTAGGAGAGGACGAATGCCATGAGGATCTCTAAATCCTATGATACCATAGCCGGCAAGCATAGCAACGCAAGCATATGCGCCTCTGACTTTCTCGTACACCCCCTTCAAGGCCTTGAAAAGATCGTTGTTGTTGACTCTGGATTTTCCATACGCAGCCAACTCACTGGCAAATAAGTTAAGCAAAAGCTCAGAATCAGAGTCTGTATTGATGTGCCTGTGAACCACCTCGTCGAGATAAGTTCTGAGCTCTTCTCCATTAGTCAGATTTCCATTGTGACTCAAGGCAATGCCGTACGGAGAATTGACGTAAAACGGTTGCGCCTCCGAATTGGCACTGGAGCCTGCGGTGGGATATCTAAGATGAGCAAGACCCATATTTCCAACAAGTCCCAACATCCTTTGTTGAGTGAAGACATCACTAGCCATTCCGTTGCCTTTACACTGGTAAAGCCTGGCTCTTTTTCCACATGTAACTATGCCTGCGGCGTCCTGACCTCTGTGCTGTAGGAAAAGACATCCATCAAAAAGCTCAGCTGCACAATTCTGGCTTTGATCAGCTAGCACTAGCCCTAAGATTCCGCACATTCTCTGCTATCCTCCTTGTCAGGTCTTCAGTGCAAAATTATTGCTGACACAACTTGATGTAATGCTGAAGATCAAGTTCCTTTCAATGAAGTTTTTTAGTCTTAATTTAAAATGACTCTGAAAAATTTGTAAATAACGTCGATCGTCGCTCAAGATCTAAGAGATATAGAGATACATTCCTTCGACAGTCGATATCGCCCATGACAAATCACAGTGATCGTTTTATGGAGACCTTTGCCTCAGGCAAGCCATCGAAGCTTGACGATTTAGAGGTGAAAAGGCAGCAGGTGATCTTGGAATATAATCAGAATATGCTCAACGAGCTCTTGAGAGAGAACTCACTGCGACCTGTCAAAGTGAGTCAAGTTAACGTTCTCGGAGACAATTTGCAATTTCGAGATAGATTTCTTGCACGTCAGTTACAACCCTTGTTAAAAAATCCAGGTTTATTGACTTTAAAGTCATTTTTACAGAAAGTCGATACCACAGCTTACAATTTTACGAAAACGACAGCAGTTGAGCAAGTAACTTCCAAAATTGATTCAACTGCTCTTAAGTCACCAGGAAGTTCTCTTGATACGCTTGAGCTAGTGGCCAATGTGAAGATCAAGCCAGTGAAAAAGCTATTCATGAAAATTGGCACCAATGTTGGTAACGGAGAAGGAGACGGCTATCTATCGCTTCAATGGCGCAACATTTTCGGTGGTGCAGAAACACTTACCTTTGATACCAATATGGCTTCGAATCAGATTGGCACTAGGAACAGATCACAATATCTTTTGGATTATAGTATGCCAATATTAAACAGCCCAGATCACAAGATTGGCATCCTGCTTTACCATTCTTCCAGATTCATAGATTATACCACTTATCATGAGCAGATTGTTAGCGGGGTTACCACGAAATTATCAACTAATTACCTCCCTTTTGAAAATCGCTTTAACCAAGAGCTTACATTCGAGAATCTCATACGGACAATGAGTCTCGAGCCATCTCCAAATGGCTACCGCAATAATTCTCTGATTAATGACTATTTTTTGTTCAACGCTGGAGAGTCTCCAAAGTCGAGCGTTGTTTACTCGGTGTCCCACGATACAAGAGATCAGCCAATTTTTCCAACTTCGGGACATCTTTTCAAGTCTACCATTGAGTATTCGTTTCTTCCTGCATCTACTTTCTTGAAGACAACTCTGCAGCTTTTACAAGCCTTCAAGATCAGCAATTCTTTGAGCTTGAGCATGACTATGAAACTAGGATTCATCAAAGGCCTGAACAATGCTCTTATTCATCCGATGGATAAGTTTCAATCGGGTGGACCTAACGATATCCGAGGATTTTGGACATCAGGCATAGGACCTAAGCAAATGGGACTGAGTATTGGAGGTGACGCATCTTCCAGTTACGGGCTCAGTCTGTTCCAACGTATACCGTTTCTGTCATCTGACTCCAACTTCAAGCTTCACTACTTTCTGAATTCAGGTAGACTGATTAATTTGGACACCTCCAGAACTGGCTTATTCAGTTTATTCAATCAGCTGAATACCACGGCAGGGTTTGGAATTGTATATGCTCATCCGGCAGCTAGATTTGAATTCAACTTCACTCTGCCGATCGCGATACATAACGGCGATGAAGTGCGCAAAGGTATCCAATATGGTATCGGTTTATCGTTCTTGTAAATTCAAATGACTAATAGATTTGGAGAGACTCTACAAACCCATTTTCTTCTTCTCTTCGATGGAAGATTGGTGTAATTTGATCACCTCAGGGATAATGAGGGACTCTATGTCAATGCCAGCATCCACCTGTTCTTGTGATAAACGCACCCATCTTTCGCTTTCTTGGGTAACAAAGACAACCTCGTATTTTCTGCTTTGCAGCAGATTGCCAATGACCAACTGATGATTGTACCTCTCGAGTGCACCTCTTGCTTTTTTTATCAGGATTGAGCTATCGGTTTCCAGCTTGAACGATACTATCATAGAAATTGGGGCCCAGGAGTCCACTAGTCTGCTCAGAAACTTCGGAACTGGTTCTAGATCGACCACCAACTTCCCTCCTGACTCCTGACTTTGAATTTTGTGCTCAGGAACTCGAGAGGAAGGAAGAAAGAAGTCCGAGACTGCTGCCGCTAAATAAAAGAGAGCATCAGAACCGATCACCGAAAGTTCTTGCGCGATGAGTTTCAAAGTGAATAGATATTGGTGCACGGTAGTGAATGGTACCAGTAATAGCAAGTTGTTGCTCTGGGCGTATCTATATTTGCGGAGCACAACAATCATTTCTTTCTGGAACTCAGCATTGACCTCTACTTTTCCATCTTTGGACTCCGTCATATAATCTAGAAAACAATTGGTAGTATGGCTGTAGTGTCTTGAATAAGGTAGCAAGGAAAATTCTCGGTGTAAAAATACCACTGCGTATCCATTCTCCAAAAAGTACTCTGCGCTAGTTGCACCTCTCGTCCCTGCGCTGAAGTTGTCAATGAATCGAACAGTATTGTTTTCCAAAGGTACCGTGGTACCTCCAGAAGTTACCAGCACAATTTTGCGCTTTTGGAGATGGTGGTAGTTAATGAATTCCGCAACATCTCTGGATATCTGAGATAGATAAGGGGGGGGCTTATGAAGCCTGAAATAATTATCCTCGTCGATAGGTTTTGCCGCAGGAAATTCGGGCAAGTTTCGATCAATTGCCGTCTCGGTATCGGGGACAGAAGTATGAACTCGTTTATCGCCAGACATTATACGAGAAAATAGTTTTGATTATTTGAGTCTCTTGTTTATTGGCACCGCCCAAGCCAAAAAAAAAAAAAAAAAAAAAAAAAAAAAATCCATGCTGATACTTTAATGACGATCGTGTTTCTGGATGTTAGCTTGGGACCTAAACCTCTTGGACGCGTGAAGATTGAGCTCTATACCGAACAACTTCCAAGAACGACAGAAAATTTCCGCCAATTCTGCACAGGTGAATATAGAGAACTCGGAAGGCCTATAGGATATAAGAACAGTCGATTTCATCGTGTAGTGCCTGGGTTTATGATTCAAGGGGGCGACTTCGTGAGGGGGAATGGAACTGGAAGCAAAACGATTTATGGAGTGGATTCGTTTGAGGATGAAGGCTTCATGTTTAAGAATGAGCCTATGACCGTAGCTATGGCAAACTCAGGCCCCAATACCAATGGATGTCAATTTTTCATCAATTTGGCTCACAATAGTTTTCTGGATGGAAAACACGTGGTCTTTGGGCGTGTAATCGAGGGTAAGGACATTATTCGGACAATTGAACATGTGACCGTTGACAATGAACGTCCCGTGATTGACATCAATATTTCGAATTGTGGAGAAATGTGAGCTGATTTATTACGTGCCGGTCTGTCGTAGGACGAGATCAAAAACTCATCATACGGGACCAATTTGACTATCTTGGTTTTTGTGGAAAATAGGGAAGTTTATCGGAACGAAACTTTTACACTCTGCAAATCAACGCAAACTCAGCGGTTGCAAAATACGTCGACATTGACCTCGAGGCATATTTGCAAGCCTTCTAATAGAGCATATGGCTACAGGATTGAATTCCAATTGTTCATCGGTAAGCACGTATACATCCCAGGTGACTTCAAAAGAGAGGCCGACCACAGGCACAAGTCTGAATGCTCAATACAGCTTTCCAGCAAGTGCAATTGGGGGCGGGCGAGAAGTCTCTAGCACAGTTTTACATGCTGGTGGACTACACAAATCTGTGACCAATACCCTAAGGGAGCTGTTTCTCCCCGCAGGTTCTCCTCTACAGTGCATAAAGCTTCTGAACGACAAGAATAGATTTGGATTCCATTATCCTTTCATCAAGTTCGGCCCACTTGTACTAGCAGAAAGCGCATTAAAATCAGTTGATGGGGCCCTTGTAGCCGGATGCCGAACCAAAGTTTCATGGGCTTTCCAGACGCAACGCTCAAAATCCAGCAACTTCCACGATCTATGTGTTGGCGACTTATTGCCAGACCTGAATGATGAGATGCTTGGCCGTTTCCTCACTAAGTACAGTTCTCTTGTTCAAGCAAATGTGATGTGGGACATGAAATCTGGCAGATCGCGAGGATACAGATTTGTATCATTTCTGGATATTCAAGATGCGAACAAGTGTCTTTATGAGATGAATGGAGCTCCGGTCGGTGGACGGTCAATAAGACTCAACATAGCAAGTCGTAAATTAGACCATCATCATCCCTCATCGAACTGCACGCAATCTATGCATTCTGACTTTTCAATTATTCAACCACATCCTTTGAGCATCCCTTCCATTAATACTACCGACTATTATAATACAATATACCACCGAAGCTCTTGGAAAAGGACTACTTACCTTGGAAATTTAGTACGATATGTGACACAAGAAGCCCTCGTTTCTTCATTGTAAAATTTTGGCTACATTATTGACTTCTAATTCTAATCCGAAAGAAGATGTGCCTTCGTAAATTTTGACCATCACGAGCACGCTGCTGAAGCAATGATGCAGCTGAATGGTATGCTGATAAATGGGAATCAACTTAAGTGCGGTTGGTGTAAACAACAAAGTTTGATTACCCGAGCGGATCATGCTTAACGCTAAAAATCATTAAAAAGATTGCTTATTAAAGTGAATTATGGCGCTTGGATCTAGTGGATGATGCTGCAGACGCGGGTTCAGTTGGCGAAAGCGAAGATCTCTCATTTATATGTCTGTCCGTCATATCTATTCTGTTACTTTCGACGTCTCTGTAACCGTTATATGAAGGAACAAACTCGTGGTCAAACTCTATAGCTTGTTCATTCTCAGAATCATAATCCCTTGCATGTAAATTTCTCCTGAATTCTCCCGCAACCGCAGATGCTTTCCTCTTCAAAAATGGCCAAATGTTGCCGGTATCGAATCCCTCGTTTCGAGTTGTGTTGACCCTCAGCAAAGGGCCATGGTGCGATGATGCATATGTCGGCGATGTCTGCATACTTTGAGCCCGTCTCAGAGTATGATGGGCTTGGAGGTCGTCCCGCATTTTGATCTTGTCGGTCTCAAGCATGATAGCCCTGTCTATTGAGTAAGGCAAACCTCTATGTCTTCCTCTGACCATCATGAAAATAAGCACCACTTTAGACAGAGTGTTGAATTGACCGCAAAACGATGGTGTAGTGTTTGGATAACCCAGACTCAAACCCACAGTACCGTAGGCAGAAGTGATCTCAAAAAGGCAGCTGAAAATAGTAAAATGTATATCACCTTTAGTCAATCTTCCACTCTCAGAAATACAAACGATGAACAGACCGAGAAACAGGAACCACAAATCAAAAGACAACTGTTTGCGCAAATGTGTGCCGATGAAAGATATCGTCTGGTTACTCTTCCCATTCTGATTATTGTTATTAGTATTATCCGTATTGTTCGTGGAGCTAATGTCGTTGTTGTCAAAATAAACACCCAGAGACTGTTCCTCGTAGACATTGGTTCGTCTAATAGATATTGCCAATGGCATCACAGAGATGTACATCATCACTAGGTAACTTACCTGTACGGCCGGACTCAATTGAGACAAATCCACCACTGATAGGCCTGCTGTCCTAGTGGATATAGCTTGGAAAAGCCCATCCAAAACACGATATCCCGGTCTCACGTCTTCCAAGACGCTCTTGTTGAAATCCAGAATGATGAAAAGCAACCAGTCGATGCAATTCAGCACAACCAGCACAAAAAATAGCCACCACGTAGGCCCCGACGGGAATAGCAACGTGAAACATCTTCTCGGATGTTCTAGCAAAAATTCCAACGACTCTCTGTACAACGTGAGTGGCTTTGAAAAGCGATGTAGTATCCAAATGATGAATCGAAGTAAAATTGGAAATCCTGTATTTCCAGCGACAATCAAGAATCCTCCTATGATTAAGGTAAATGCGTTCTCTTTGAACGACATCATTGAGTCAGGGGTAAGAGTAATTCCCAAATCGTTAAAGCATGTTTGGGGATACCAAAAGCCCCACCATGCTGGGGCGATGCCATCACTTCTAACGATATTCAAATACTTCATCGTCTTCGTTATGAAAGGAACAAAGCATATGATTCCCATGAGGTGGAAGCCAGTGTAGTAGGAAACTAGAATAGTACTGAGCAATTTCAAAGCACGGTATTCCACACCTCCTAGCTCTTCCTTTTGTTCATCTGTCAACGCCACAAAAGTGGAATTTCTTCCGATGGTTGGTGTCCAGGACAAGTAGTTTGGCGGAGCATGTTTGCTAGACCTAGAATATAAACTAGCAAGATCATTATCTGAGAGAGTCTCGATGTCATCCGTGAAGACATTGAAAACGCCCGTACGAGAAGATGTAAAACGTCTTCCCATTCTAGTGAATCTGTTGTACTTGTCCTTCATATTTTTGCGCAGCATCTTGTCAAAGGTTGGTGATTTCACAATATTAACACCTTTTTTGCGTGAGTCTGGTTTCTTCTCTACTGGTACGTCAAAAGTGTGGGCCCTTCGGTCGAGTTTGGTGCCATGTTTTCCATGTGGTATCGTCATAACATGAGATTGTGTTCTTCCCGCATGGCGAAAACCCACTCCATTCTCCTCGTCGCTGAGGTCATCGTTGCCTAGCGGGTCCTCACCTGCATCTTCCAAGCTTGAGTTTGCTTCATCGCTCAAAGCACTTTCGTCTTCTGCTTCGGGCTCCGGAACAGGAATTTGTGATTCCCACCTGATTGTTGAATTTTCGCGTGGTCTGACTGGATCTTGGAATTGTATAGACTTTTCTTTTAGAGGATTTGCAGAAGAGGATGGACGTTGGTCCTGCATTTTCTCCATCTTTCTGATTTTCTTCAGCTGTTTGCGTTTCATTTCTTTCTCATGGCGACTAATATGGCCTGGGAGTTTGCTTCCAGTCCTTTCTGCGGGGCCTTGTATAACTAGTGCCGGTCCGGATTCATCCTCTGCTGTATTATTATCTCTCTGCTGCTGCATCATAGAAATGGACATATAAAGGTCACGTGGCTCAACATCTTTGTTCCTCCTTTTGTTGGGTGGCTTCGGTAAGTCCACAAACTTGATGTCTTTCGACCTTGTCTCCGGGACTTCTTGCTCACCTTCTTCCTCACTGGGCTCAGTGTAATGTACCACGTCTCCCCTGTCCGTTGGATAATCATGGGATGCGTAAATGTGAGATAGTTCTATCTCCTGACCTTTTTCATGATTCTTTAGTTCCGGGGATCCACCTGAGCTTGAGGACATAGGAACAGTATACTCATCTTCAAAAACTTTGTCTAGCTTTTGTTCTCGGTCCTCTTCTTGTTGTTTTTGATTGAGTTTGTTTAGTCTTATACCTAGATCCTCAGAAGCATTGTGAGTATTGTAACTTTTATTCTGAAAACCAGTAGTATTGGATCTGTTTTGGCGCAAACTTCTAGAAGTATCCATCGTATGTGTTCTGAACTGAGCGAGAGTCGCCGATCGACGCATCTTGAAATTCTGCATCGACTTCTCTTTAATGTCATCAAATGATTTCTCGAACCAGAAAAGTCTCAGAAACACAATGGCCGAATGGATAAATATTGGAGTTGTGAACATGGTCACACAGTAAATCACTATCTGTTGGTATAAGCTCAAATTGTTCGTGTCCACAGTATTTAAACCGGCCTGAGTTGACGCTCCTGCAGCGAAAAACAAAGCATCAATGTATTTAATGTTTTTCTTCGGGTAGATCAAGATGGAACCAATAACGCACCAAAATATGATATACGTATAGTGCGCTACCAAGAAGTTAGGAATCAACTTTCTTACTATTGGTCCTAGTTTGGCTTGAACGTGATATATTTGTTTTCGCGCTTTGAACCAGAAGGTTTTGGTACCAAACATTTCGCTTTGAACAGAAAGGCTTCGGCCAGACATAGGTCTTAATGTTTGTCTTCTCATGTTTCCGTTTTCAGGTAATGCTATGCTATATATTCATGATTCACTTTAAAGTTATTCCCAGAGAGTAAATTAAACTTAGTTTTTTCTTCGCTGTAAAATATATTTTTCTAGGATACATTGAACTAAAATCCCTGCATAATTAATTCCGAGGTTGTTCCTGTCCACTATTAAGCAATGCTCGAGCCATATCAATCTCGGAAGAAGCTGTAGCATCTGGACCATCACTAGGACTTTGATTATGGGATTTAGTAACCGCCGGATCAATGGGAATCGAATTAGGGGTTTTATACCGCAAACTTTGAGAGTCCGCAGGAGTAGGGGTTTCTGAATGACCGCCAGGCGAATCGTAATGGAAATTGGACGTTATACTTGGATGGTAATGGGATGCATAGTCCGCGAACGAATGGCTTTGATGAGGTTCTTGTATGTGGCGATGTTGTCGTTGAACCATTTCAACGACATCCGAGATTCCGGAACTTGCCAAAATATCATTGAGAGGATTAGACGAATCAATGTGTGAGTTCTGATATATGTGAGCAATGTCCGGTAATTGTTGCGGTAGAGAAGAATTCGGCGACTGTTGGTGAATGTACTGCTGCCTTGGTGACTTTGTTCTCAGCTTGGGCGTCGGAACTTCCGATCTTTTCAAGGATAAAAGGGTGGGATCCTTGCACTCCGGGCAAGATTTGACGACTTGAGTGACCATCTCTTTGATTTTTGGCCAGTGATACCTATCACACAAATAAGAAGTTGTTTTGTTGATCCCGACGTGGCCACGTTCGTGCGCGTCTTTGGTAATTCGAAGCTGCTCCTTCTGTGTCATGATCACTTCTTTTCCTTTTAGATACAAATGACCGTTTTCCACGGTGTAGTGAGAAGCGAGAGCTCTTAACCGTGATTTCTCCTGTCGATCTGCATCATCTGGATACTTTCTTGTGAGAATAAAATTGCGAATTTTCTCATATTTTGAAGTATGGTCGGTCTTGGTCTCGGGCGGATCTAACTCTCTACCATAAGTGATAGCATCTATCAAAGAATCTTTGCTACTTTTGAGCAGTCCACAGCCTTTAATTCTCCCAACCTTTTTGAAATGAAGGCTTTCCAAAACATTTTTGGCCGGGGCATTCGTTTCAAAAATTAGCTCCATCATCACATAAGTATAGCTGAGCTTTGGAGCCCAAGCCAGGAAACATTCGGCTAAAATTCGGCCTATGCCTTTTTCTCTAATACCAGCATTCACGAGTATGTTTGCTGTTGCCACATGTGCACATCTGCCCGGATAACTTGCTTTAATGAAAAACGTTCCTAGACATCTCTTGGCCCACTCCTTGTGCGACCACGAAGTGTCCAAAGTTGGGTCGTCGCCCAACACCATTACAGCAGCAAATTGGCCAAACCAGTAGTCTCTAAACTCGTCGATCGTCAAAGGCTCGAAGAACGGTTGAGTGTCTCCCCTAGCGATTTCGTCATTGTATTCCTGCGTTAAAAATCGTAAAAGCTCAAATGGCAAATCGTCAGGCGAAAAAATAGGATAGATCGTTGCTGTTGTCTCTTTATCTTTCAGTAACACGGTAAGACGCTCAATGCCAGTGGTGACGTTGTAATGAGGGACAAAGTGACTGTTAGATAAGATAACGTTATTGAAACCACCCATTTGGGAGATACTATGCCAGTGACAACTTTTACGCGAAAAGAAAATTTTAGACTGATCGATTGGTTTGGAATAAATTTCCCTGGAAGTGCGACTAAAAAGGCAATGCCGTAGAAAATTTTTTTGACGAATCGAGACTATCCGACGCTGAACCTACGTACGTTTCTTGGTAATTCTGGGCGGCATTCAGTAAGTTACATCATAATCTTGCAGTTTCACAGGGCTTGACCGGAACTCTTTATCTGTAAAACTATTATCATGGTCAAGATGCACGAGGGTCCTGCAGATAAGACTGTACTATTGTCGAAAATGTAGAGATAAGCATTACAAATTATTCCCATCTGCCATATAAGTCAGATCTGCTCCGCTCATTAAATCGTGCGCCGAAATGAAGTTCACTACCAAACAAGGTCCAACCGTCGAAGCTCTCGAGGTCACTTCAATAGAGGACCAACCTAACAAGAAATCCAAGTTCGTCACAGATGGTCAGACGGTTCGAAGGTTACGTCGTCGTCACATCGACCTCATCAGTATCGGTGGATCTGTCGGCACAGCAATGTTTGTCACTATTGGAGCCTCCTTGTCCACAGGTGGACCAGGAAACCTTTTGGTTGCATTCGTGCTCCATGCTTTTGTGATGTACATCGTCACTGTCTCGATAGGAGAAGTTGTCTGTTACCTTCCTGTTGACTCGCCTTTCATCACGCACGCTGGACGTTTCGTTGATCCTGCCCTGGAGGCCTGCTTTGGATATAACTTTTACCTTCTCATGGCTCTCTATGTTCCGTTCGAAGTGACTTCCGTCAATAGTATGATACATTTCTGGACAGAAGACTATTCGGCAGCTGCATCGATTGTTCCAATGATTGTTTCCTACGTCATACTGAACATCTTTGCTGTGAGGTGGTATGGGGAATCTGAGTTTTTCTTATCGATCGGGAAGGTCATCCTTGCAGTTGGACTAATGCTATTCACCCTCGTTACGATGTTGGGCGGAAACCCTCGCCATGATAGATACGGTTTCCGTAATTTTGGAAGCTACAATGACGCTTTCCCTAAGTATCTTGGAAACAGAGCAAACGCTTTCTGGTCAGCATACGCAAAGGCAGTGTTCAGCGAGGCTGCTCCAGAGTATTTGGGTATGGTTGCAGGTGAGGCTGAAAACCCAAGGAAAACCATGTCAGTCGCATTCAAAAGTATTATTTTCAGATTGATTTTCTTCTACGTTTTTGGATCGCTTTGTGTGGGCATCGTCCTGAAACACAATGATCCTACATTGGTCAAAGCTGTTGCAGAAGGCGCCGCTGGTGCTAATGTGTCACCTTATGTCATTGCAATGAGAAACTTGAACATCAAGGTGTTGCCTCATATTGTCAATGTTCTGTGTATGCTGTCCTCCTACTCAGCTGGAAACTCATACATGTATTGCGGGTCCAGATCCTTGTTTGCCCTAGCCAAGAGAGGGCTTGCTCCCAAATTTTTTAGCATTACGACAGCGAACGGGGTTCCAATTGTGGGTTTGGCGCTGTCAACTTGTTTCGCCTGCTTATCGCTTCTACAACTTGGAAGCTCGGCTTCCGTTGCTCTGAACTGGCTGATTAATTTGACAACAGGTTCCCAAGTTCTAAACTACTTCTACATGATGATTGTTTACCTTGGTTTTTACAGAGCCTGTAAGGCTCAGGGCTTGGATCGGTATTCTCTACCTTTGCAAACCTGGGTCACCAAATTGCAACCATATCCCGCTATTTTTGGGCTTATCGTCACATTCTTGATCATCACTTTCCTAGGGACATTTGCTTTCATTCCTTCCTTTGATGTCGATTCGTTCCTTTATTACTACTTAATGGTCTTCCTAAATATTGCAATTTTTGTGGGCTGGAAGATTTTCATGAAAACCAAGTTAGTTGATCCTGCCACAGCTGACTTGACTACTGGGTTGAAAGAAATAGAAGACCACGAGGAAGAATATTATGAAAGAGTGCAAAACTCCAAGATCAAGCCTGACAGTAGGTTCGATAAGCTGCTGTCCTGGCTTCTCTAAACTTCTAGCTTTGTATAAAGAAAAAAACTATGGAAATTCCAGTTACAGTATTTAAAAATAACTCAAAGTAATGGATCAATGGGTTGAGACGTCCTTAAAAAATCGACTACATAAAACCTGTAAGATTAAAGGGTTAAAGCAAGTAGCATTGGCTGGCCAGTGCACGATCTGTGAGAATTGTCATTTGAATGCGCAATTCAATCCAATAAAGGTTGGGAAATGCTGTTTTCTTGAGCCGTTTGTGACAATTGACTCTTCGAAAGCTGAAGTGAGATTAGGGTCCTACACACGAATCGGCTCCAGAAGTATCATTCGATCGGGCGCAACAGTAGGTAGCAGAGTGGATATAGGGTCCGGATGTATTTTGGAACCCGGATGTGTTATCAGAGACTGCTGTGTAATTGAAGACCACGTTAGAATTCCAGCAAACTACTTAGTACCTCCCTTTACGAGGTTGACCAAAGAAACCGACATCCTGAGAGAGTACGAATTGTCTCCAAGTTATAGGCAAATCAATGAGGACAAACTTCGTATTTTGCAAGCGGTTGGTGTCAGGGTAGAAAATAATAGAAATTGAGGGAAGCCTGCTCTAGAAAAAATTTGTAACAGAAAACTCATCAACACCAGCAATGTCGGTCGATTTTAACGCTTTGGCTCAACAGTTTTGCAGCTTCTACTATGATCAATTTGACAAGGACAGATCTCAGCTGGGAAACCTTTATGTAAGTGTTTGTTAGCCACATTTGTTGGCATTTCAATTCAAGGCTAACGACGTTTAGAGAGACCACTCCATGCTCACTTTTGAGTCTTCCCAGATCCAGGGTGCTCGCAACATCATTGAAAAGCTCACATCCCTTGGTTTCAACAAGGTGGCTCACAGAATATCCACCCTTGATGCTCAACCTGCATCCGAAAATGGAGATGTTCTGGTTATGGTTACTGGTGAGCTTCTGATTGATGACGAACAAAATACCCAAAGATATTCTCAAGTCTTTCACCTCATTCCAGATGCAGGCTCTTACTATGTCCTGAATGATATTTTCAGACTCAATTACGCGTGAAGAACAAACAACTAACAGTTTGGCTTGTTCGGTCTGCGCTGAGACTTGATAGTAATTGGCTTTAAAGCGACATTAGATGCTCTCTAGTTTGTTTGCAGAGTAAAAGCTACCTCACATCTGTACATTTATGTTGTTGGTGTTGGTGTGTAGTGATGTGTATAAATGTACTGGATTGCTTAGTCGCGAAGTAAAATAATATGGACGTGCCACCTGTTCCAAGCCATGTAAGTATATTTGCATATTTCTAACGTTTTAGAGACCAAACCGAGATACCGACGTGCCTAAGATCCCAACCTCGCGCCCAAGAAGGTTGGAATCCCCTGATTTGTCCGAACTCGAAACTCCAGCGGTTCCTTCCACGAGGCCAAAGCCAAAGGACGGTGGAGACACAAAGAGCAGCAAAACTCCCTCTGGCGCTGACACTCCGTCACTACCAGCTGTTCCAGCAACAAGACCACGAAAAGCAGCCACTCTGGACACCATCAAAACCGATGCCACTCTCGAGCTTCTTCCTGGAACGCCAACGTACCAAAATGTCTTGGACATATACACCCAGAGTCCAGAACAAATGAAGGAAGGAATAATTGACAACGTTCCGGAAGATAACGAGCATGGCCAGATTGACAAAGTTGACGATGGTTTGAAAGGTACGGAATTGTACGAGACAACGAATGAAATTGAATCTTTGGAGCCTGTTCCGTCACTCCCAGCACAAACAAATGAGACCCCAAACGTACCGTCCGTGGATGAGAACAGGAACTCGACTACTGAATTGGCAGAGTCTGTTGATAGTCATTCAGAAGAGACTAAGGGCGAGTTATCGCCTGAAGAATCTTCTGTCACGAAAGAAAAAAGCAATTCCACTCCCAATGAACCTGAACCACCCAAGGACAGAGACTCTACACCGAGTGAAGGCAACCAAATATCTGAATCAAACCTCTCAATACCTGATCCTGCTTCAAATCCAAGCAGCTTGGAGCCCGCCAGTGACTCCATCTCGAAAAAGTCATCCGATGTAACTTTGGGTGTTTTGCCCCGGAGCTCAGCAGAATACCATAAGCCTGCAGTTCCCAAGAAGCCGTCGTCTAAAATTGCAGCTTTTCAGCAAATGCTTGCTGAAAGACAGCAGCAAGACATGGGGATGTTTAAATCAAGACCTCCTGTTCCAGCTAAGAGGCCTTCTCAGGGAGCTGAGCCTTCTGAGCCTTCTGAGACCGGTTCTCAGCATACGAGAAAGCCTTTGATTGGGTTTTCTTTACCGGGCGTAGCATTTCCTGGAATGCCTCTGCCAGGAATCTCCTTCACGGAGCCTGAACGTGATCAGGTTACTGATCACGTTGCGGATGTGAGGAAAGGGAGGACCAAAGGGCCAAGGGGGCGCAAACTACCATCTCGTGTGAAGGACAGCGTACAAGTCAACGATGAGACGCTTGGAAATAGACTTAACATCACTGTGACAACTTCCTGGAGTATTGACTTGAGGAAACGTGCAAAGTCTGATGATGAGCTACAAAATGATGAGCTACAAAATGATACTCTGCCTTCCATCGATGAAGACAAAAACGGAGATGGCTCAACTTCTGAAGCTCAAGGAACAGAAAAGCTAGAGGGGGATCCACACGAGAACATTCTTGACGAAGAATTCATTGAGGTTATGAACGAAGATAGGCCAAATCTGAAAGCTGACGGTTTGGTAAGCGGAACCATAAAAGAGCCGGTTTCTCCACCTTCCGAGGAACTTGGCTCAAAAAATGATGAACCTATCTCCGATTTGGAGGCACTTGCACCAATCACGTCGAACTCGCAAGACGTTGAATATTCTCTCGAAAAATGAGTCTCGATTGTGAGCTGCATATGATGGAATCTTCCACATCTGAAATTTTTCGGTATTTTCATGCAAGTTCAATAAACAAATAAATAAATAGATACGTTGGAAAAGTTTCAGAATTCACCAAACATGAAATACGCTTTCTTGCTGTCGCTCCTCGTTGGTTCTACAGCGGCATCACTGCCGGCTATCAATGTAACCGGAAATGCCTTTTTAAACTCCGAAACGGGCGAAAGGTTTTATATAAGGGGTGTTGATTATCAACCCGGTGGATCTTCTAACCTAACTGATCCCCTGGCAGATGTTGATGTGTGTTCAAGAGATATCCCTTACTTCAAGGACCTTGGTCTGAATACCATTCGAGTCTACTCGGTGGACAATACGTTGAGCCACTCTGAGTGTATGGAGAAGCTTGCAGATGCAGGAATTTACTTGATCTTGGATGTCACTACTCCTGGAACATCAATATCGAGAAGCGACCCTAACTGTTCTTACAATGCAGACTTTTTGCAAAACATTTTTGCCACAGTCGATGCCTTCGCTAACTATACTAATGTCCTGGGCTTTTTTGCAGGAAATGAGGTTGTCAACAATGAAGACGTTCTGTTTACTGCTCCATACATCAAGGCTACTGTTAGAGATCTCAAAAAGTACATTAAGGCAAGAGATTATAGACAGATCCCTGTGGGTTACTCAGCTGCGGATGTTGCTTCGGTGAGGCTAGAACTAGCAGAGTATTTGAATTGCGGAAACGATTCAACTGCCAGGATTGATATGCTTGGCATAAACGACTATTCTTGGTGCGGTCACTCCTCCTTCACTCAGTCAGGATATTCAGAGAAAGTGAAAATGTACTCCGGATTCTCTGTTCCTATGTTCCTTTCCGAGTACGGTTGCAATACCCAGGGTACCAGAGAGTTTACCGAGGTTGCTTCTATTTATTCTACTCAGATGTCTTCGGTTTTTTCTGGAGGACTGGTCTATGAGTATTCTCAAGAAGACTCAGACTATGGGCTTGTCAAGATTGACGGAGATTCTGTCTCCCCCCTGGAAGACTATAACAATCTGAGATCTATGCTGAATTCTACATCTGACCCCCAAGGAACTGGAGGGTATTCTACGTCTTACAAGCCTTCAAAGTGCCCGACTGATTGGAATTTCACAATCACAGTCCCAGATACACCAGAGGATGCCCAAACTTACTTTGACAATGGTGCAGGTGCAGGTTATGGATTCGAGGCCGAAACGCAAGAGTCTTGCGACAATGACGATCTTTCTAGTGTCAGTTCTCAATCTGTTACTTCAGCGGTCTCCTCTACTGCTTCGTCATCATCAACTAAGCCATCTTCCTCTTCTTCGTCCTCTTCTACAACCTCCTCCTCGTCATCGAAAGGTGTCGGTGGCCAAGTGCAAGCAGGCACATTCTTCTCTGTTTTCATGATATTGTCTGCTTTGCTAATTCAATAGACATTCACAACAATCTTTTTTCTACTACACTCAATTATATATATTTAAGGTCCAAATTTATTACTGAAAAAAAAAAAAAAATTTCAAAAAGATTATAGCCCCTTATGATTAGAGGATATTGCTTGTCACAGAGGCCAGTCTTATGGCCTCGCAGGGGCTATGCAAGTAAATCAAAGGAGCTCCAAAAGTCTTCCCGAAAGAAAAAGATAAGACGCAAGCAAGAGATCGATAAATTACGCGAAAGAATCAGATTAAGCTCTCATAGAAACGTTCATAATCACTCCACGAACTTGGAAGATGCGTCTAAATATAATCCACTGCCCAAGTACTGCTCACCAAACTCGGAGATTCCCGGTTTATGTCATAACCTAGATAGAGTATTATTTTCGCCAGGCGTGCACTATATGCAGGATCCCAGAACGAGAAAGTACAATTTCTCCCCTGACTTGAAGGAAATACCAAGTATAGACGACTTCAGGTTTGACCTTATTGCAGGTTTTGTTCCGCCAAACAAAGATCCTCTGATGGTGAAAATTGGAGAGGAGATCAATGCGTCATCAAATGAAAACCAAAAGAGCATCAAGTATTTTTCTTCTACTTCATCGATGACGAATACGTTGAAACATTTTCACATGTTACTCAGTAACTACCGTCCATGTCATACAAGCAATTTTTCGAAGGAATTTTCGTCGACGACAGAATTCTCAAAAAGTACGCGATGTGCCGCTTTCACTGTAGTTGCTCCCAAAGGCGGCGGAATTTTATCTGTGGATGCGGATAGATCTACGGATACCGAGATTGCACTCTCGTTGCTTGGGCATGAACTCGAGCTTATGTTGACCGCCGAAACGAAGGAGTTTCAGAAATTCTTAAAACACTCTGACTCAGAGGAAGCTCCAGCTCCTCTGCCCAATAATTATCAGTACGCCAGAATCGGCAGTTTCTTAATGAGATCGCAATCTGATGCCAAAAGTGATATGCTACCGGGCACAGGCATCTTTGATCTCAAAACTCGTGCCGTTTGTGCAGTGAGACATGATATCAACTATAATAACTATCATCTCACAAATTATGAGATCGTCAGAAATACCGGACTTTACGAAAGTTTTGAGCGCGAACTTTTTGATCTGGTTAGAACAGGTTTATGGAAATACAGCATGCAAGCGCGCATTGGTAACATGGATGGTATTTTCATCGCATACCATAATATGCGAAGATTCTTCGGCTTCCAATATTTGCCTACAACAGAAATTGACCATATATTCCATGGGTACGATGGTCCTCGAAAGTCGAAACAGAATTATGATGATGTGGTCAACGATTTTGGTAACCATTGGCAAACAAAAAGAGAAGCTTTGTCTTCTTTCATGGCCGACTTTGAATTCCGTGTTTCCATGGAAATGTGGCAAGCCGTTTTAGATCTTGTTACGAAAGAGACGAACCATAGGCCATTCCGCTTGATCACAAAATGCGACAGAAATATCCTTGGAACCTATTTAGATGTTGTTGCTACCGTCGTGGACGAAGACATGCTCAAAAATCTCAGTACGCTTGGCGATGATATTGTAACACTTGATAAGGAGGATTTGGCCGCCACGCAGAAAGACGAGCTGCCAATGGAACGTATCATTAGACTGGCAGAGTCAAGGTCTCTTCAACACAAGCGAATGCTATCGCTAAATAAGGACATTCTCGATTCTACCCTTGGTGACCCAAGCAAATGTTTGATGTTCAGAATCACAGCGACACATTATTTCAACGGAAAACTATTCCGTGGCAAATATCCTACGCCCCCTCTTGATATTTTGGATGAACACCAACACAATACTTGGGAAGTGAGATATAACATCAACCGTATTTACAATCGGAGGAAAATAAGACGCTGCTATAATAGATATGTTACCGAGGCAGCCTCGAGCTTGCAGGATCATCCTGTAAACCGGGAGAACACTGAAAAGGCTTATATGGACCAGAAGGCATCTCCTCTACAACGTCTTCTACGTGCCTATAGTGCCAAATCCGAAAAGAGGAAGAAACTTTATGGGGCTAATCAATAGAATGTACATAGCTTACAAAGAAAAACTACACCTAGAGAACGACCAAAAACTTGCCCTTGTCGCAAAAGTTTGATGAGCTCCACAATTCAGAGTCGGAAGAGATCACGTCGCCTGGATGGAACTTCGACTGGTGTGTATTATTTGTGTTTTTGGGAACGAGCTTCAGTTTTTGATCTGCATTGGGCTCATTGAATTCATCAATCCTAGGAACAATGAGTTTTCGGAGATTTGCCAAAGCTATGTTTTCGGGAACCACAATTGCAAAAATGTCATCTTTGTAGTAAAATTTCAGTTTGATTTTGTTTACCGAATCCGATGCTTGCTCGCTTGGGGTATTTAAACTGGTATTCGAAACGTAATGAATGCCATTGTTTGCAGGATTTGAGATTACTCTCATAGATGATGACGATGACGACACTGAGGATATCCGTCGCTGCTGCTGTTGCATCTGTATGCTGTTTGAGCGATTGATTGCATTTGTTCTTTCGTAATGTGACAATCTATCTTGTTGATACTGTGAGTTTCTTGTGCTGTGTTGAGGAGGGCCTTCTGAAGAGTCGCTTTTATTTAGAATTATCATGTTGGGAGGAGTCCTCATGGGCTGAATAGGTATTTTCTGAATTCCTTCGGTATTGGCGAACTCCTGATCACCATCAAATATCTCGAAGAAAGAATTCACTAGCACACTCTTGGAGATATAATCCGGAAGTTGGATCAATCCTTTGAGATAAACATCTAAGTCAACAAGGCGCTTGTGACAAAGGCTTTCACTGACTTCCATCAAGGGCCCAGGAATGAACGGGATAATTCTGTCTCTCTTATCTTTCGTGTCATATTTTCCTCCTTCCTTGGGCCATGTACTGAGTACATTTTGATGGAAATTGAAGAAGTCTTCGTAGTAGCGACAGAGGCTTCTCACGACTCCATTGTTGAAGATCACTCTAACCAGGTACCAGTACTTCCCGTTAGTGCAAGAAAATGATTCTATGTTTACGTCGATTGCATAGGTAGGCATGGGCTCCGTGGCTCGATTTCTGTTAGTGGAAGAGTTCCTAGATATTTCATTTCGTTGAGCGGCCATTCCAACCGTTCTTGCGCTTGCTTTGTGGCGGTTCTTAATTGCTTTCCATTCTTCAATTGTGGGTATTCTTTCTCTGTCGATAATTTCTTTTGCTGAACCCGAATACGGCACTTTGGATGTGATATCGAAAAGCTGGACATAGCTGACGGGAACCAGTCCGGGTTCGCCTATTTTGTCAAAAAACTTTCCTATGAACCACTCATACTCGTGATGAGCACAAATGATAATACTGTCTCCAGCTGACACGTCAAGCTCATCTTGTCTTTCTGCTTTGAAATCGTAGAGTAATCTTCCGTAAAGTGATGGCTGAGGAGAGACCTTTTTCTTGACGCTTGTTGTGGGTGAGAAGTTCGTTGTAACCATAGGACTTGCATTGGCACTGGACGAAGGACTTTCACCAGTCGGTTTGTGCGTTTTGTCAAAAAACTTGAAGTGTGAGGCAGGAACTCTACCCTTAATATTTCTCACAGGATCATGTGCTTCAACGTAAGTATCGTTGTGATCAACTTGCTGATCCACGTAAAAAAAATCGCCAGATTTAAAGCTTAGTTCACCAGGTACCTGGGCTACATAAGAACTCATTGCCTGAATGACTTTGGTGGGAGCATTTAGTGAATTTGACAAACGACCGGATCCTAAGCCAGCATTCATAGATACTGTTGAGGAGGTGGATGAGACCCGGCTCACTGACGCTTTGTCTTTTCGATCTTTGGAACTTCTTTTAAAGAATCCAGACATTCTTTTGCGATTACTTGAGATATTAGGAGTTGATGTACCAGCTTTCTCTGAAGTATCTCAATTTAATTAATGTGGTGCGAGTACTTAGTCGATTTGTTGTCTCTTATTTTAATGATTGTATAGTTTAAATCAATATTTCTCTTTCGAACACGCTAATTTTAACCTGAGACACTTTTCTCCATAATATCGTAGGCATTAGAAAAAAACCGAAAGGGGAAATTTAGAGAGCGGAGTACGTCAGACTGTGTAGACGCGTCGTAAGAGTTACATCATCTATATATCATTTTATAAACTTAATTTGGTAAACGAGTCATTAATTTTCCACAGGATCTCGTCCCAAGAGTCCTCCTGCAGTTTGCTTTTGCGATAAATATCCAACAGATTCTTAGTTCTGATACCTTGAGATGTGTCGTCGTTCATCACCAGTAAAAAGTCATACGTCAATGCCAGCCTCAAAAGCTCCAGCTCATCTTGAGGCATCCGCTGTAGAGTGATCTTGGAAACTGATAATTTGATTTCGTTGAGCAATTTCATATTTGGCAGCTCTAAGATGTCGCTTGTATTTTCAAATTCATCATCTTGCAAATTGGGCTGCTCATAAACAGATTCGCTTGAGGCCTCGGAGATTGATTTTTCAGTCGATGAAAATTCTGAGTTCGATCCATTCGACCCGTTCAATTGCCGCGTCTGATCCAGATCCTGTAAGTAATGGAGTCCTATTGCGCCGCCAGGGTGTCGATCGCCAAATCTTTTTTGTCTCACCTCTAAGTCCTTGATATGTAATTCTGAGAGGGCAATACTAACTCCGTCCAGTAATGTGAGGCATATGGTGGTGGTTATTGTAGGTGCCTGGAGACCATAGAGGTTTTTTTCTGAGACCTTGGGTGGCAGCTCTGCATAAAAAAGAGCTTTGACCTTTGGATGTTTCGATAAGGCAGACACTTTTGTGCATGTAACCAACACAACAGGAACTGAAGCTGGCACATATTCAAGTAAAGTGGTAAGCTCTGGAGAGTTTCCAGATGCCGATATAATGATCAAAGAGTCGTGGTGATCTTCTCTAATTATTCCCAAATCGCCATGTAAGGCTTCTGATGGGTGCAGTAAGGCAGAGTGAACACTCAGAGAATTTAATGTAGCCACAGTTTTGCCAGCAATCTTATACGATTTTCCTATTCCGCTGACAACGACCTTTCCGCCCTGATTCAACGAATTGTTCAATATCTTGAGAGCGGCCTTCATATGGTCTCGAGACCATTTTGAATTGCGATATTGGCCAACAAGGTATGATATGGCTCGGTTTTGACTAGCTAAAATCGAATCAACTCTTTTGACAGCATCTTCCAGCAGTGGTGATGCATCGTCTTCTATGTGAAAGGATAGCTCTGAACCTCTCCTAATCATAGCAACATTGATAAATTAAAAAAAAATTAGTAAAGTGTGGCTTTTGCATTAACCGCAATTTTCTGGATGTCAAAACGAGTGACGAAAGGAGTCGTGAAAAGGACCCTAGAATTTCAGTGAAGTCGACGCCGACTTGGTCAATCACCACAGGTCCTCTTGATAACGCCCATTCAGTTTGAGTTGTTTGAGCGTCTTTGACGCCTCTTCCTCACTAATGCCCTTTCGTTGCATTATTATCTGTCTGATCAGTTTGCTCATCTTTGATAATTTGATGGCATCTCCACAAACATAGAAGTACGCTCCTTGCTCAAGCAACTCATGAATCTCTTTTGAGCGTTGTAGGATGATATCTTGAACGTATGTCTTGCGAATAGGATCCTCTCTAGATAAAGCAAAATGAACAGACAATTTCGATCCTAAAGCTTTGCTATATTCTGGCCATTCATTGGGGTAGAGAATATCAGACTCATCTCTGCATCCATAAAAAAGAAGCATCTTTCCAATATTATGTGTAGCAGACAAGGCTATGCGGTGTTGGACAAATCCTCTAAACGGCGCAATACCAGTTCCCACGCATACCATTATCATTGGTCTATCTCCATTAAGAGGCGGCTTGAAACCAGATTTCCTAACAAAAACTGGAGCTGTCTGCCCTTGCTCCGACTCCGGGAAACAAATGCTTTCGATGTAGTTTGAACAAACACCATAGAATATTTTATCTTTGAGTTGCTCCCTCTGGCATTTCACGGTGAGATGAGCTTCGTCCGGATAAAGTAGTTCTGACGATGCTATTGAGTAATATCTTGGTTCTAGCTTACCCAATGATTCAAGAAGAAAACAAAATGGGACATCGGGCCAAGGATGACCGTCGGAAGCCTCTAGCGCTGCTTCCCACAAGGTTAATCGTTTGTCGACGACTTCTTTTGTAAATGATTCTCTAGAGGAGAGTATCAGAAGGCGATCCTTAGATATGTCGGAGGGTGCGAAGTTTGCCAATGTCTGCAGCATTTGAGAGGATATAGCCGAGTTGATGTTCAAATAGTGTTCAACTATGGCTTTGTAAGTCGTCGGAGATGGGATCCAGAGTGGAAATTCCGATCTCAATTGAATAACTTGTTCTGCTTTTTGTCCTAGACAGAATACGAACATGAATCTTGACACGTCTTCTGGCCGATTTGTAGGATAGACCCCAAGGTGATCTCCTGCTTTATACTTCATTCTACATCCTTCTAAGCTGACTTCACAATGAAACTGGCATCTCTGTCCATTAGTGAACTTTTGCGAGTTGACAAACCGTGCTCTGAACGGTTTCGCAATATGGTATGGAGGTTTATCGAGTGCATTCAAATCTCGCAAAGAAGATACTATTTCTCCATTAGCATGCCTTCTTGGTGAAACCTCAGATACAAGGATTGTTGGCCTATAAATTCGCGCTTTTGAAGGCTCCCATCTGAAGTATTCAGCTAAGGTCGGCATGAACTGGTTTTTCCATCGTATGTAGTCTTCCAATAATTCTCCTTTTTCATCATTTCCTTCACCATAGTCAAGTAAAGTGGAGCCCAGCTGACTGAGACAATTCTTAAAGTCTCTGGAAGCTCCCTGATAAATATCGAAAGCAGCATTTCCTAAGCCAAATAGACCATAACGGAGGCTCTTCAAATGTTGTCTATTCTCGGAGCATAGTTCTGAAAGATACTTGAATGTTTTGGATGCATTATCACACTGCTCTCCCTCACCATAAGAAGAAACAAAGAATATTATGGTTGTCTTTTGTGCGCTGTCAATGAGTAAACTGAAATCATAACTGTCTATAGCATCAACAAGAATCTTCTTATTGTACTTCTCTAGCAGCTCGTTGGCAAATTGGAAAGCCAATTTTTTGGCCGAACCTGTCTGGGAACCATATAAGATTGTCAGCATGTCTGAGCTATCTGAGCTACAGTAATTTGAAACTGTATTTCGATCATCGCGGGCTCCGATGATTTCCATCGTAACGAAATATCATGAATATATTTCTCTAGCCTAAGGCAGTGAAAAGCTTGAAGATCTTTTCGTTGGAAAAGAAAGGCTTTTGGTGAAAATATAACTGTAACCGAACCTTGTGGTATCTCTATACAAGACCTGGAGGCGTGTTAACATTTCGACTATAGCAAACATTTGAACTCCGTCTTTTGTTTCACCCTTTCTGTTTGAATCTAGGCACTATATCAATCCCATCGAAGTTCCTGAGTGAATGAAGAAGAGGGTGCACCCTTGACCTTGACTACTAGATAAAAAAGGACTGAATGCTCTTTTCTAGTACTTCTAATTGCTGTTATGTACTTTGGTTCTCGATTAAGCTTTGATTCCATTAAGAGTAGTGATTGGCTGTCCTTACGACGTGAGACGAGAGGTGAACAACAGTAGACGATCTTCTGACAATGCCCTTTCATATAATACGATAATGATTAATCTTTTACTCTGATTAACCTCTATATCATCAGTTTTTAGTAAAAAGCTCCTGGTCGGCTGCAATAGCAGCTCTGTATGCGTCCTTGTTGTCTGCAAATTCTAACAAATATTCCAATTCGAGCTCATGCACTTGACTTCCGAGCATCACGACGGAGTGGAGTGGCTCACCCGCATCGTATTCTGCAAGCTCTTGAAGGGTGGCAGCCTTGAAGGACTGTGTAGGAGACCCTAAACGTGATACGGCAACACAAGGAGTCTGCGGTGTATATGCTCTTTCTTTCCTCTTCTCTTCAACTTCCAGCAATTGTTGACAGCACGTGGCCACAGACATGTATCTAGGAGGTTCATATACAAGTCTTCCTTTCATCAACTCATCGAAATTAGGCTCCTTGACTTTGATGTCTAGTAAGAGCAGTGTGTGCAGTCCAATCTTTCTATTCTCCATTATTTTGTGATAGAATGAGTCGGGTCTCCAGTTCTCAGTAAAAAAGACAATGGAGACTGCCTGTCCAAATGTGTACAGCTGGAGCCCACATGCCCCGACTGCATTCATCACTGAGGCATTGTGGATCGCCTCCACTTTGATACCCAGTTTCCTGGCTCTTATCACCAGGTCGGTGTGTGTTGTAGCACCAAACACATCTCCTACCACAAGGAAAGCAATATCGTCTTCTTGCGCATTTTCCAATATCTGATCTGATCCACTTTCAACTAGCTCTCTGTCAGCAAGAATCACGTCTCTTCCGTAAAATTCCTCCAACGATTCTTTATCAGCAGCCATAAGAATGGACGTGTAAGCTTCCAAATACACACGTTTGCACCGTTTCACTATCTCCAATCCTCTCACCGTAATGTCAGTCGCGTGCGATAATCCTAGGCCTACGAGGTACAACATCACGGGTCTTTAATTATTTGATATTTTTTAAATTTTTTTTTATCAATTAACCGGGCAGTGTCTAGATATATTTTGAAGTCTTGGTATGTCTGAAAATACCCCATTGCTATCAAGCAACAATGAACGTCCCTCAAAGCCAACATGGAAACGCTACCGTCTAGATGTATATATTCCAATGGTTCTAATTGCAAGTTTCATCTTTGCAGCCTTTCTCACTTTTGCTCTAAGAGTCAAACCGCAATTAGGCGATATAGTTGCCCAAGGTACTGATTTTGATTCAGATGAGATTAAGTTTTTGGGCGTGGAAGATGATGGTGGCATACTTCTGGAAGTGAAGGGAGCAAACTATAATAATTACAGTCGTATTGAGGATCCTATAAGTAGGGCTTACTTCAGATTTGGGGGATTTACAATTCGGAAGCTAAACCTCGCTGTTGACGACCTGGAGATGGTGGTTTTTGATGAATCCAAAGGAGATTACAAGAAGATGGGCACTGTGCAAATCGCTCCATTTAGAGTGAGAATAACCGATATGACGCAATCCGATCTGGCACTATTTGTTAAAGTATACCCCAAAGCTGAAGGCGTTCTGGGTGTGATCAAGAGAATTATACTCTCGGGCGACGCAACGTTACGACTTCAGGGAAATGCAAGCGTAAAGATACTTGTTTTGAATGGGTACATTCCGGTGTCCAATCTTATTATACCTTTGGATTTACTTATATGATTCAACCTGGAGGCAGCTGAGAAGCGTCAACAACGTCAGACGCATCTTTGGTTGGATCAGTGCCATTCTCGGAGGAGAAGGCCTCTAGTGGTGTTCTTGGAAGAGCCATCATTCCCGATCTGGCAATTTCAAGAATTCCAAATGGCTGCACCAGGGCGATATAAGCACTCACCCTGCTTGGCTTAGCACATAGTTCAACCACGCAATTTCTGTCCGACACATCAACAACCTTGCCACCGAATTGTTTGGTCAAAGTAGTAATAGCATCAAGATGCTCGTATTTTTGTCTCAATGCTTGAGAAGGAGGCAAGTTATTAGGGTGAAATTGAGACTTGTGCAAATCCTCAGGGATCTCATCCACTTGCTCATTGTGATGAGCAATCAGCTCTTGGAAGTATTCAGAGCCTAGAAGCGAGATTCTCGCTAATAAAAGCTCCCTCTTGATGATCTCTGTGTTAGAGTAGTCTAACACAGCGTATACAGGCACCAAGTCTTCGATTTGGCGTCTTGCTTGTTCAATCACCGCGTCTTGACCATCCAGAACGATAGTCATACGACTCAGATCCTTAACCTCAGTGTTGCAAACAACTAATGAGTCAATGTTGAATCCTCTGGCAGCGAGTGTTCCAGAGACCAGCGACAGCACTCCTGGCTCATTTTGGACCAAGCAGTTCAGCACATGCTGGTTCTTCGGAGCCTTGGATGGAAGTGGGGTCTCGTAAATAATAGAAGAGACGGCTGCACCAGCGGACCAGTTTGGAGCATCAAGAGTAGGCAGATGCGGTCTTTTTTTGTTTCTGTGCAGATTTTTGTAAGCCAATGCCGACGTGGAAGAACTGTTGTTCCTTGCCAGTGTCAGCACACGGCCAACATAGGCTCTGCTAACTTTTATACTCAGCATTAAAATATTATCTCCAAATGAATCACTTCCAAAAAAACAATTCCGTCACCGGTGCGGTGAAATACTAAATTTTTTACGCCGGTCGTCGCAACAATATTAATTGTATTTTACCTATTCGGCACCAGTGGTACGCCAATCGAGAAGCTCCCTCTCTAACAGTAGAGCTTTTTCTCTCGAGTCATCGAGCTCCCGCAATGCTCGTTTTGCACGAAGAGTGGCTTCATATTCCTTCTGCTGCAAAACCTCCAAACTGGAATCAAGCCTCGTCACCGTTTCCTCCAAGTTCTTAATATCATCCTTGTAACGTTCAATAGTAGAAGTCTGGATCTCATTCCGATGCTCGTAATCCTTGACCAAGCGCTCAAGATTGTAGAACTTTTGGTCTTTTTCACGCTTGGTAGCATTATGCAAATATATTTTTTCCTCCAGTTCTTGAACTCTAGCAGTCCAGTGATTCCGTTCAGACTCCATCTCCTTCTGATGGTCCAATATCATGTCGTCAAGCTTTGTTTTCAGCTGCTTGTTGAATTTGGTCAGAGCTTTGTTTTCCTCAATCACCATCAGTGAGTCTCTTTGAAGATCAGCCATTTGGGCTTCGTATTCTTGCAGTTTCCCTTCATGCTGCTGAAGTCTCTCTTTCAGATCCATTGCCTCCCGGCTTGTCTTCTCTAGTTCCCCACGGAGTTGAACCACTGTAGCTGCATTCTCTGCATCATCCTTGGCCTTAGCAAGGTATTTATCAAATTCTGCAGTGATTTCTGAAACTTTCACCTCGAGCTCACGCTTTGACTCTAGCAAGTTATCCCTCTCTTGCAGAAGATCCTCGTTTGAGGTCTTGAGGGCCTTGACTTGTGATGTAAGAGTTTCCATTCGCATTAAGTGTTCTTGTCTTTCCGTTGTGAGCTTGTCATTTTTGTACATCGTCTCCGTAAGGGCTCTTTTAAATTGTTCATTTTCTTTCAACAGCTCGCTGTTACTGAACTTGATAGTACGAACTTCTTTCTTCGAACTTTCAAGTTGCATGGTGACATTCTTGATCTGTTTGTTCAGTTCTGTCTCTTTGTCCATAAGCCGCAACAAATCGTCATTCAACAACTTAATTTCTCGGTCTTTTGAGTCCGCTTGATTAGAAGATGAGGACAATCTAAGCTCTTCCGCATTTTCGTGCTTGTCTTTGAGGGCATCGTACATCTCTTGAAGCTTTCTCAGCTCAAATACTTTGTCGGATAGATCTCTTTCAAGATCTCTGATTTGAGTGTTAAGCTTAGCCACCGTAAGATCTGAATTACGGTATTCTTGTTGTGCCTTAGCAAGCATTTGCTTCGTCTGGCTCAGTTCATTTCTCAAAAGTTCCTCAGCGCGTTTGACGGTCTGGACAGCGACCTCGGCTGCCTCAATCTTGCTATAGTAGTTTTCGGCCCTTGTCTTATAGAAATCCAAAGATTCTTGCAAAGACTGGTTCTTGTTTGTCAAAATTTGCAGCTTCGAGTTCAATTGGATAGATTGTTCTTGCTGTGCAAATTTTGCAGCATTGCTCATTTGCAACCTTCTTAGTTTTGTTTGAGACTCGTTGAGCATTGAGCTCAACCTCAGATTTTCTTGCTTGAATATCACCGGATCTTTTTCAGGAGCCTCAATATTAGTTTGGCTATCAAACTCTTGGGTGCGATCTTTCAATGGACCTGATCTTGAGATCTTGAGTTTATCTTCCAGGGACTGTAACTTGATTTCTGCAAGTTGGTATTTCGACTTGTAGTCCTCTTCCAACCGTTCTAATCCTCTTGACTCACGAGAGTTATTCTTGTAATAAAGAAGCTCTTTTTGCAAGTCAATGTTCAGTTTTTCAAGACGTTTATTAGCAGCTCGTTCGGCTAAAAGCTCGTCAGACAAATCACCGGGAACTATGTCCTTGCCAGAAGCTAGCTTCTTGAGTTGAGCTCTTAGTTGCCTGTTTTCATATGCCTCCGAGGCAAGTCGAGTTTGGAGAAGTTCTATATCTGCAGTTTCCTGCAGTTCTGGCCTACTGGATGATTTCAACTGATATTCTGCCAGTTTAACATCTAGACCTTTCTTGATCTTATTCAAATGATTGATTTCAGAGTTGGCATTCTTGAGTTCCTGAGATAGTCTCATCGAGTCCCTTTTTCCAACTTCCACCTCTATCTTCATTTCTTCCAATGCCTTCTTCAGATCCTTGATTTCTCTATCATATTTCTGCTTACCACGGTCAAAGTTAATCTCGTCAGAAATCTTTGCCTCCAAAAGAGCTTTTACTTCTCCATAATCATGCTGCAATTGCTTGTACTTATTTTGAAGCTCGAGATACATGATTTTTGCCTTTCCCGTCTCTGCTTTGTGGTCTTCTTCCTTTTGCATAGCTTTGTTCAAGACTGACCGTTCTTGTTCTTGTTCTTGTTTCTGGAGACTTTTCTGCAAAGCATCAACTTCATTCAGTATGTCTTTGCGCTGTTGATGGCTTTCGAGTAATTCATCGTCCTAGATTGGTTAATTATCTGTTTTCAAAACGAAAGGAGAAAGAACTTTATATGTCCAGTCGTAAGTTTCGAACGTACCTTCTGCTTAAGCTTCTTGCTCATGTCTGTGTTTGCATTTTCAAGTGCTGCTTCGAGTTGTTTGATCCGTTCATCCTTCTCCATTGAAGAGTTTTTCAGAGACTCGATTTCCTCCCGAAGGCAGTTTGCATCTTTACTGTTTGCTTCCAACTCCTCTGTAAGAGCGTCAATTCTCTCAAGGAGCCGCCTTTTTTCTTGCTCTATTGTTATTTGAGAAGCTTTATAATTATCCTGAAGCAACTGCAAATTCGCGTCTTTGTCCTTCAATTGGTTTTCAAGCTTGAGATGATTAATCTTTAACGTTTCCAAATGTTTAGATTTCTCTGACAGTAATTTCCTATCAACCTCAATTGCTCCCGTTACTGACGCGAGGTCTTCCAGGAGTTTATCTTTTGTTCGTGTCTCCATTTCCTTTTCTGCTTTAAGAACATTAATCTTTTTCTCCAGTGCCTGTATTTTTTGATTAAAGAAGGATTGGGAGGAATCAGAATCTGCCAGTAGAGGCTTTAATTGAGAAACGATTTTGAACCATGGATTGTCAGAGACGGTGTTGTACACGATGAAATTTTTTGCTATAATACGAGATGCTTGCATCTTTGCTAGTTGAGCTTTAGTTCTTTTTCTCAGTATCGCTCCTCGGACAACGGCATTTAACTGAGAAACTATTGTTGACAGCCTTCTTGTCTTTTCTTTCTCCAGCTTTGCAAGGACTCCGTTACGGAAGAACAGCTTAGTTGTACCAATCTTGTAAACATCAGGATTCAGATGCAAATCTTTGAGAATAATTTCACAGGTGTCTTTGCTCCTTCTTCTCAAGCTTCTAGAAGAAACTGTACTTTTGGCCAAAAGCCAATAAGTTTCAGCAAACTGGTCGAATTCGATCCTATTAGGATATCCGGATCTGGCTATACGAATGCCTTCCAAGACACCATTGCATCTAAGTTGCTCGAGAACAAGCCTTTTATCGAACTCTCCTGGCATTTTGTTTGTGTTGGGCAAAATGCACCTCACAAAGTGAGGATGAGTGGCAGACAGTTGGCTCATCAAGTCGTTGAGCTGTTCCTTATGCCTTTGGGCGACAGTTCTGAAACGGCCACCTCTTCTTTGACCTCCTTTGACTGGAGAATTTGTCAGGTCAGTTTCAATAGAGGCATCAAACAAACCTTTGACAAATGCATCCTTGGATCCTGACAGAATTTCAACAAGAGTGTTACTAAGCGGGTCTTTGTTCTTGTCAAGCCAGCCATCCACAGAATACTCAACCGTCCCAGCATAATGCTGAACAACGAATGCATCTCTAAGTTTGCTTGGCTTGTACCTAGAATTCTGATTCGTTTTTGAGTCTAGCTCTCGGTGCAGCTTTTCAAGGAAAGAGGCATCTGACCCTTTAGGAACAACGCACTCCTCGTTCAAAAGAGAGAATATCCCAATCTTGTTGGAGGAAGTACCTTCAATAAGTTCGATTGTGGGCTTAAGCTCGTGACCAAAGTCGACGTAGTTCCAACTGATACCTTCCCGCAGATATTCGCTTTGCTCCAAGACAAACATATGGTGGTTGAAGAACTGCTGTAACTTTTCATTGGTATAGTTGATGCATAGTTGCTCAAAGGAATTTCTGTCAAAGATCTCAAACCCTGCAATGTCAAGGATGCCCACAAAATTTTGTGCCTCTATTGATAACAGAGAGTTACTGTTGAAATTGTCGTTGATCTTATTCGCCAAAAACTGGAACAAACGTTCGTATAATGACTTCGAAAGCGCATCGACGGTAAATTTAGCTTGAGAGGCTGTACGTTGCTGAGTGACAAGTTCTCTCCCAGCTTTAACTCTAGACGTTAGCAAAGCGGTTCTTAGTTCATTTTCTGACACTCCAAGGAGCTCGGAAACTGTATTAATGGGAGCGTCGTCGCTGAACTGAGCTTGACTGTCGTCTTTACCTCTGTTTTTGAATGTGAGATTTCCTAGGTGCAAAATAATGGCAATGATCTTAAAGATGTGGCCTTTTTCTTCCTTGCTGAATTTCATGACCTCCAAAGCTTTCTGAAGTTTAGAGTATTCCTCTTTATCATTTATACCAGCGACGGCATGGTTTGTATCCTTGAGGTAACCATACTGTTGGAATGAACGGATTAATTTAAGCTTTTTGAGTTCGCTCTCAGACGCACCTTTGAGGAATTGATAAAATACATGATAATTTCTTTCTTTTTTGTCTTGAAGCACAACCCGCGATTTTTCAAGTAGGTACCAGTCTATATGAGCGCCGACCAATCGTCTTGTAGAGTGTTGAATATGGATCTTGATAAATTTACCAAATCTTGAGGAGTTGATATTTTTCACGGTCTGAGCATTACCGAAACTTTCAAGAATTGGGTTGGCTTCCAAAATCTGGCTTTCAAAACTGGAGTGTGTAGAGTTATTGTTGTCAGTGGAAACAACGGCGAGAAGGTATTGAATCACTTTCTTTGTGGTCTCTGTTTTGCCGGCTCCAGACTCTCCAGTGACCAGAATGCTCTGATCCTTCCCGTCCGTGATCAAGTTTTGGAAGGCTTCCTCACTAATAGCGAAAATGTGCGGTTTGCGGCTGGTCAGCTTCTGGTCTTTCTCGGATGAAACATTCTTGTCCGGCTTGAAATTCTTATACATGCTAACATAGCTCTTATCGTAGATATCCAACTCCTTGTAGGGATTGACTGCAACTAAAAACAAACCGGAACAGGTGTAGATAGAGTCCTCTTTATAGCGTAACATAAGGTTGTTCACAACTGAAGGTTCGCTGAGATACGTCATGGAAGCCATATCCTCACACTTATCAAACTGTGGAGGATTGCAACGCTCAATCTTGTCGACATCCAAGATGATGGGGGTTTCCGGTGAATTCTCAGGTCTCACTTTGACCTGTTTTCCGTCACTTATTGTCTCGATGATATGCCCTTTCACAAATGTCTGTTGCGGGTCTGGCAACCAGACTAGGCCATCAACTAGCAAGCCATCGTCAACCATAAAAATAAGCGATAGACAGATCAGACCTGGTAAATGTTACTGATGTGTTGCGAGTAATATAAACAATATCTATAATCTCTGAATTTGTTTATTTATTTCCATATAGGTACTTATTCAACTTCACAGCCGTAAGTCAGATCCACTCCACCCAGACGCCAAAATGGTTCAAGGTGTATTCGATTTTCTGCTTGGAAGTAAAAATGAAATGATCTGATTGGCCGGGTTGGGAATTTTAAAACCACACCATACATTATTTACTGGTCGTCGTTCATCTATCTAACTGGTAGTATTCCTTTCCTGATTTGATGTTTTTTCAGTCTTCTATAAAGAGAAGTAGACAGAGAATCTTCTAACAATTCGCATACAAATTCTTACAGGGTTTCAAGAATTGTGCTTAGTATATTAGATACTGTAAACTTCGTCTGCTTTGTGTTTTCTAGGATTTTTCCCCTCGCGTAACTGGCAATGCCAGGATCTAGTTTGCGCTGAATAACTCCTCCTTCAAATCAATTCCTAACTCTTCTCTGACATCCTTGAGCTCATCGAGGTAGGCTTGATATTGTTCTTTGTTTTCAACTTTGTGTTTCAAGCCCTCGAAAACTCTAACGGCAGTAGCGTAGTCATTGACTCTTCTGCAGGCTCTCAAAGCTTTTTCGATGACAGCTGGAGATGGCACCAGGTCATAGGAGAAACAATTGTTTAGGACTCTTTGAACTTCGAAAAGGTCGTAAGCTTCATCGAACTCCTTCTCGTATCTGATGGAGAACTCCTCAAAGGTTTCTTCGTGGTGGTCAGAAGAGTACTTTCTGATGTTCATAAATTGGACTGGTCTCATTGGTCTAGCTTTCGAGACAAGACACACATTTCTAGTGATTAATCTGCTGTTTTGTCTCAATGCACCTTGAATAACGTTCGAAATCATTGTGTTTCGTATTCTATGAATTTTCTAAAATATTTCCGCTGCTAAACTACAGTTGAAATTAACACTTTGATAATTGGACAAAAACTTCTACATAATAAAAAGTTTTCAGAACCACGCCAGCACCGAATTCTCGTGTTTATGTAAGCACAAAAATATGTTGTGAACGGTAATCGGGATGAATGCCTGATACCTAAGAATATGACTCACTGCTTTTATATGCCGACTATCTGTGCTTTTCCTTCCAAAATCCGTCTTCTTTAATTTTCATGTTTTTCAGCAGAGCAGACCACCTACGTGATCGGGCGGCTATAAAAAGATGTGGTCTTTTCGTTAGCGTACTAATCAGCAATTTATGATCGTAGCCCTCTTTCCACGAATCGGTAATGAGCTTGTCGATCAATACTTCTGCTGCTCTTCTTCCTCGCTGATATTTGGCGTAGTTAATTGAGTTAGGAACCAGCTTCAATGCCAATTTCTCGAGATACCTGTAAATTTTGAGTTTTTCTGAAAAGTTGAACTCTGACTCCATAATGCAGATCATCATCTGATGAATCAGAGCAGGCGGTATATCCGTACTATAATCAATGTAATATTTCTCAAGCACTTTGTCAATTAGATGTGGATTGGTTGAGAGTAAGGAATGCACCATCCGCATTTTGGCATGCACGGTAGCTTGCAATCGAACTTGTTCCAAAGCGTCCTCGCGCGACACCATACTGTTGGTTTTTACATGATCAGAACAATCGGTGATATAGCCCTCGTTTTCTAGTTTTGAGCACACAAGCTTCAGCTTTTCCAGCCCAATTTCTTCTTGATCATCTTTAATGTATCTATAACGTGGGACGTAGCCTGTCAAGAGGTTTTCGGCTAAGCCATCAACTGTGGAGTCCATGACTTTGATCAAACTTCGCCGAGTGTTTGAATCTGTAGCTTGAAAATTCAGTGACTTGTAGAGTGTATAATTGTCAAGAATTGAGCTAGTCTCCACAAAAGAATCCCAATTCATAGGACCTTTATCCAAAACGAGACGAAACAGTATGTCAATCGTAAAGCTTGCCCCCCGAACTTTTTTGTGAACTTTTTGGTGAGTGTAGCTCTTTTCTGTGAATAAGCTATCAACGTAGTTGCCGATAATGTATGAAATGCTATCGTTGTCCAGTTTCTTCAGTTGTCTGCGTATAATGATTAAGTGCTCGGAACCAAATGGCACGACTTTGGGAACTTTCGAACCCAATATGTAGAAGTTAGCAACTCTCTTTTCGTTTTCTGGTGGTAAGTCTTTCACTTTATCCAGTGGTTTGGCAAACAGATCGCCAAGTATTCTTTTTCTTTCTCTATCAGGAGCTTCTGGCCGGAGTGTTATGAACCAACGTAAAACTAAATTCATCAAGAGAAGTCCATACGAATTGCTTTGATGCTCAAGTATTGCAACAAGATGTTTTAGATGAGAGCTGCTGGGTGAAACTTTGGCGGAACAAGCTCCAAAAGTGGTCATATACCAAATCACGGTAGAGGGCAATTTATCTGCGAATTCAAGGAGCATTTTTAGTAATTGCAGCCAATCATCTGTCGAGTTGACATGCTTTGTAGTCACGCGCTTGATAATATTTTGGAGGATAGCTTGCCTATCCTTTTCGTCACATATGCATGTTCCAAGAGCGAAAATTCTTTGCAATTCCTTGGCATCTCCTGCTACCTTTGAGAGTTCAGTTAAAAATATTCTCTGCATCGATGGGGGCAACTTGGAAAAGGCTTCGTCCGTGATATGTTTACTGAAGTACCTATGTTGAAAGAACTGTCCCTGAAGCCACATATCTGGTGATTTGCAAAACTCCCAAAGCTCTTGTAATTGTTTTTCGTTTAGTATGAGCTTATCCAGAATGATTCTCACGTCATTTACTGTAATATGGAGCATCAGGAAGGACTCAAAAAAGGCGCTTGAAAAGTAGCGACATCTCGTGTCCTTCTCCATATGCGGTACACATGCCAGAATAAAAAACCCAACGCTGTCAGGGGCGTTAGCAAAAAGTTGCTCGAAGGTCTCTGCCACACGAAAGAACTCTTTGACCTGAAGTTTGGGATCAGGCACATTTTCTTTAATGTTTCGAATCAGAAGCTTCAGCTTGGTACTTTCAATTATATCACTCCCATCTTGGTTACTAATCCGTTCCAGGTGGAGTTGCAATATTTCAAAGGGATAATCCGTTTCCAAATATCTGTCCTCCAACTGGTTCGCAAGCTCTAAATCAACCAGTAGATCTTTTCTGTCTATTTGAAGAAGTATCCGTGGGTTTGAAAGTTCACGCACAAGATGCCTAAGAAATTCTTTTCTTGACCAGTCTGAATCGAATTGCTGGACCAAGAGTGCGTTAATATAATCTAAAAAGTCTTTGAAACTCATATCTGCCCCGTTGAGTAAGATAGAAGCATTGGTAAACCATCTGGTCCTCAGCAAGAATTCTAGTATTGTTGGAAGTTCGTCTATAGTTCCATTGACAACATATGAACTCAGAAGAGTAACGTGATGAGGCCTCAAAGTGTCCTTACTTCGTTTCCAAGTTCCGATATATGTATTCTTGGTATATGGTCTAGAGTTTAGTATTCTGATGTCGGCCGTCTTACGAAGATTCAGATACTCGTATTCATTCCTATTACTTGTGTGTTTCGCCGTATGTTCCACATCTGCTCCCTGATCGGAGAGGTACATTTCTATGCTCGAGAATGTTGGCTCGACAATACGTCGCACGTAGTTCCCAAAAACGCTGTTGGCCCAGCTAACTTTGTCAGATCTGCCTTCACCATCTGGAACGCACTTCGGTCTGTTGTGAAGACATCTTCTGACAAATTGATGAGCCCTGCGCGCATTCATCAAGGAGTGAAAAGATCGTATATTTCCCCACATTCAAAATAATACATAGGTGTACAGGTGTTTTTAGCCATAAATCAAAAAGCTATACAATTATTTCTTTTGTCCTTGAGCTGCAACAGCAGCTGCACCAGCAGCAGCTGCCTCAGGGTCCAGATAGTAAGATGGCTTGATTGGCTTCAGATTCTGGTCCAACTCATAGACGAGAGGAATGCCAGTTGGAATGTTCAAACCAGCAATGTCCTTGTCTGATATGTTGTCCAGATGTTTGACCAAAGCTCTCAGTGAGTTTCCATGGGCAGCAATCATGACAGTCTTTCCTTCCAAAAGCTCCTTGGCAATCGTATCCTGCCAGTATGGAAGCAGTCTATCAATCACAAGTGCCAAGGACTCGGTTTTTGGCAAAACGTTAGGATCAATGTCTTTATATCTCTCGTCCCCAAATTGAGAGAATTCAGAAGAATCTTCAATTGGTGGAGGTGGAACATCATATGATCTTCTCCATGTTTGGAATTGCTCTGGACCGTACTGCGCCAAAGTTGCGGCCTTGTCCTTGCCTTGTAAAGCACCGTAATGTCTCTCGTTCAATCTCCACGATCTGACAACTGGAATGAAAAGTCTATCTGCCTTCTCCAATGCAATATTGGCAGTTTGTATGGCCCTGGTCAATTTCGAGGTGAAAAGGATATCTGGCTTCAGGCCAGATTCTTTGAGCAATTCACCAGCTCTAGCAGCCTCTTTCTCACCGACTGGAGAAAGACTCACATCGACCCAACCTGTAAATAGATTCTTTTCATTCCATTCGGATTGACCGTGTCTAACAAGGATGAGTTTTGGCATTTTAACTTAAAATTGAAAATAAATGGAAATGTAGCTCCTTTATATATCTTGTAAGTCACGTCACTGCATAGGAACTTACTATTCCGAAAATATGATGTCCCGGTTTCTCGGGGATTTTTGGTGGAAGGGTTAAAAACAATAGATAGATGGAATAGAACACTTCAATAGCAGATTGTGGGTTCGTTAGAGAACAGTAGAAGGCAATTGCTAGATCCCACTAAATTTAAAGGGAGAAACCCATATGAAAGGGAATCTAGGCCATCGTTACCAAACGAAGTAAGGGGAAAATAATGCTATCGTCAAAATAGATGACAAAAGCTGCGAGGTTCCTATCCTCTTTATCACTCTCTCTTTTCTACATACGCGAGTGATTGTCACCACAGGATCCAGAGGCTTGTTTGTGCGCTTGTACGGCGATCAAGAAGTCCTCTTAAAACCATCCTTGCACGGTTTAGTGGAAAAAAAAGGGCAAAGCACTGTTTTAAATTGTTTTTTATTATATTAGTGTTCAGAATTTAGACATTGTGTTCTTTTAGCGTAACGAGTAGTTTCACGCCCACATAATCACAATAACAGAGCCAATGTTTAATTTCTCAGGAAATTCTAACCAAAGTGGCCAATCGGGACAAGGTTTCAGCTTTGGAACAAATAATAATCAAAATCAAAACAACACCGGCCAAAATACATTCACCTTCGGCAAGGGTGATGGTGCATCCTCAAACAGCGATAATGCAAACAAGCCTGTATTTTCATTCTCCTCCGATAACAATAAGCCGAGCTCACTAGTGACTTCTAATGCAGGTACAGAGAAAAAAGCTCCACTGTTTGGATCTAACCCGTCATCGACCCAGGCTCAATCACAATCACAATCACAACCTCAGCCTCAGCCTCAGGCGTCATTGTTTGGCTCAGCCGCCACCTCATCGAAAACCGAAAGTAAGCCTGCGTTTTCCTTTGGCGCAACCAGTGCCTCTAACACAAGTTCGTTGTTTGGTGGACAGAAGACAGATTCGAAATCGACAGCTTTCAGTTTCGGAGATGCTCAAAAACATGACGCTAAACCGACTACCGGTTTCTCATTTGGAAGTTCTCAGTCTCAGAATTCAAACGCATCTAATAATCAAGCCACTCAGTCATCAGGAAATACTTTCAATTTCGGTTCTACTTCCAATGCAAATGCAGCAGAATCCAAACCTCTGTTTGGTTCTGGAACTGCGGGTACTGGTAACTCTAACTCTTTTCTCAGTGGAGCAAGTTCATCTCTACCCAGTGATAAACCGAATGAGAAGCCAACTTTTAGCTTTGGAGGTCAATCAGATAAACCCTCGTTTTCGTTTGGTTCTATGTCTGAAAAAAAGCCAGAATCTTCGGCTCCTGGTTCTGCACCAGGCTTCTCCTTTGGTGAGAAGAAGACTGAAGATGCGAAACCTACCGTTTCCTTCGGTGAAAAAAAAGAGGAACAAACGAAGTCTACCACGGGCTTTTCTTTTGGGACGCAAAACACGGAACAGCAGAAACCTAACTCTGGATTATCCCTTGGTGGCAACAGGTCTGAAAATGAAAAGCCAGCTTCATTTACATTTGGAGATAAAAATAAAAGCTCAGAAAATGCAAAATCTTCTTCGCTTTTCTCGTTTGGAGGTAATAAGGCAACTTCCAATGAGGAAGGCGCTTCAAGCGGTACGTCAACCATTAAAGAGCCAAGTAAAAGTACGGGATTCAATTTTGGGGCTAAAGATGAAACCAAAACGCCTGGAGCATCTACTACTCCAGCTTTTTCTTTCGGCACTTCTAAAACTGATGATAAAGCTGCCGCCGGTGGTTTCAACCCGAACTCTACAAAAGATTCCTGCAAGGAGGATGCGACAAACAATAACGAAAAGAAAGAAGATAAGAAAGTTTCGTTTGGCTCTGGTCGCGACAAAGCTCAAGTTAAACTCGAGGACATCAAGCCGCAGCCAATATCGATTAAGAATAAAACACTAGAGGATCTCATAACAAAGTGGACAAATCAACTCTCCTCTTCTGCTAAGATATTCGAAAACTACAGCGACAAAATTAATAGTTGGGACCAGATACTTGTTTCTTCGTCAGAAAAAATCTCAAAATTGTATGCAGACTCTCTGACATGCGATCAGAAACAGTCCAAAATTGATCAGACTCTCTCGTACATTGAAAAGCAACAGGAAGAACTTGATAAGTTGCTAGATGGGTATGAGAAGCAGTCTGAGTCGCTTCTTGCTTCGGTGCAGCAAGTGAGTAGCGGCAATGGGAATGAAAGAGTGTTCACAAACGACCAAATTCGGGAGAATTCGTATAGGCTTGCAGAAAGTCTTGAAAACAAGCTTGACTCTTTGGAGACTAACTTTTCCTCCTTGATTTCCGAAGTCAATGAGGTGAGCGATTCATTCAACAGGTCTCTGCTCTCTTCAAGCTCTAAAAGCCTTGAAGAGGAGTCTTCGATGGAAGATATCCTCAAATTACTGAATAATCATTTAGAGAGTCTTAACTGGATTGAAAAGAACGAAAAGCTTCTGAAGGAGCAAGTGGAATCTCTTACGCGCTCTACAATATAGTGCTTAATGGCCAAATAAGATATATTTCTTGTCCTACTTTCTGAGTGCTTGTGATACCTTGTTTAGTAGTCTTAATTCCAGCCTTGTGCGATCAAAATCTTTCCTTTGATTACAATGCAAACTGTTATTTTTGTTCTTACCAGAAGAACTTGACTTCCTTGTCCACGAAGCGGATCTTTTCAGCATGTCTCCGAGCGGAGACGATTGATTCTTGATGGGACTCGCAGACAACACTCCATCTTTATTCTCCTCATTTGATAGCCCCGAATACAGCTCTATGATTTGAGTCCCCATAGTACTCAATTCTTGGTCAGACATGTGGTACAATGCGATTGCATCCTTTGTTATTTGCGGAATATCGAGTTGTAATAGCTCTTGACAGTTTTTGTTTGTACTGACACAATCAAATGAGCCTGAGTTCTTTGATTGATGATTTTCCTGAATATATGTGAATGTCGACTCTTCGGTAGGAGAGCCTGCATCTTCATTGATAAGGATTGCCGATGGTTGTAGATGGTTTTTATGTCTGTCCTCTATAGGGTAATGAAGTAATAGGTACATGGCCTCACCATAATCCGAGATAATCAGCTGCGATTTGATAAGAGAAAGGAGAAGGATGATAATATAAGGCAAAAGTAAGCTCAGGTCCAACTTTTCGGGATGCTGGGTATATGAAAAGGCAACAAGTGTATCCCAGAGGTCAAATGAGTATTCGAGTCCTATCTCACGGATTAGTAGCAGCCTGAAGTAACGAATAAGCCAAATGGATGATTCTATGCGCAGCTTATTCTTTAAAAGGTGATATTGGTACTTATCCAGAAGCCGAAGCTTGAGATCAAACTTAATGCTCTCTTGAAGAAGAGAGGTTTCGTCGTAGTAGAGATCAACCAATGATTCTGTCATCATGTGGAACATGCTGAAAACATCATGACGTAAATACTTCGAGTCCATTAACTCCACGACAAGGGAGGTTCCAGGGTCCACATTCTGGAAGCTTGTCTTGCAAATGGATTCTCTTTTAAGTGTAATAAATATCATTCCTGCTATCTCGTGTAATCCCTGAGAATACTGACGGCCATTGAGCTTCCACCAGATGTACAGTACTTCAATCAGCTGTCGTCTGTTTTCCTTATTCTCAACGAAATACTCCGGAATTTGAGGAAACAGTCGATCGACATCTGCAATCAAGCTTTCTAGAGTTTGAATGTCTGTCATTTTGGGTGCTTTGGGGGTATCTAATGGATGACGTTGAATTCGCATCCTAGACATTTTCAATTTCTTTCCAAAGCTATCGCTCAGATCGTGTTCGACATTTAAGTCACAGTAGAATTCGTGGTCTTTTGCAAGCTCGTTCCATGGCACCATGAACTCACTTCTCAATATTTCATAATCTTTTCTGCATTCTCTAAGCATTCTCAGACTAAGTTCTTCTAGATGTCCTGTGATTTGAAACGCTACAATTTTCCAGAGTAAAGACCGAGAGTAGTGAGCCGACTGGCGTGAATATGAGCCTAAAAGCACTAACTGAGGTAATTGCTCCGCCCTGCATTTTAGCAGAACATGGCGAATCCGCTTAATTGTATTTGATTCTTTCATGAATACGACATTCGAATTATATCAAATGGTTCTTTCCATAAACTAAATATCTGCTGCTTACTTCAGCTATTTATCGGAGTCGCAGGAGTTTATCGAATTCGTGTCTTCGTATAATGATAACTCAGTGTCAAAATTTTCGTCTTCATCTTCCTCTGAGTTATACAGAATGACGATCATCACTGATCCAATGATGATTGTTGACCCGAGAATAGTCAACGGACTTGGAAGATGGTTGAAGAGAAGGTACTCTAGAACAGTTGTATAAAGCAACTGCGTATATGACATAGACATAGCTCTAGCGGCCTTCTCACGCTGCATACCCATCGTTGAGAGGTACTGCATAACAAAGCCTGCTATGCCAACTATTGAAAGAAGAAGCCATTGTTTCAGGGTATGAGGGATTTCCAATCGTAGCTGAAATATTATGGCTCCAGCAGATGATAAAATGAAGGTTATAAGAGCGAAAAAGGAGACCGTAAGAAGAGGATGCGCATGGAATCCGATTTTCCGGATGGAGCACATTGAGATACCGGTCCCCAAACAGGACAAAAGAATTGCGCCCGTTCCGACGAGTCTTAAAGTGGCAGAGCTTGACTCAATTATCTCAGAGCTGTCAGAAACATCTTCATCAGTAGTTTCCTGCCCGTGAAATATGAAAGAGGGTCGGGCAACTAGAATGACTCCAAAAAAAGCCGTTACACCACATATTGCTTCCAACCGAGTATACCGTTCGCCCAGGAAGACGTATGCCATCCACGACGTCACTGTCGGTGCCAAAAAGCTCATGGCCACCATGTCAGAGGCGGATAAATACATTAGCGCAAAGTATTGACCCGCTACTCCAACGAATCCGCCAAGACCTCGTAAGATCATGTAGATCCGATAGCCGTTAGGACCAAATGGGTAATTTGGGTCTCTCCATAAAAAATATGAGCAGCATATGTATGTGATGAACATCCGAATTGCTAGAATATGTAATGGATGGATCGGGGGGTCAAAGTCCTTATCCAGCAACAATAGCTTGCAGAAGAACACCATAAAAGAGTTGAAAAGATTTCCCAGCAGGATGAAGCAAATTCCCGAGTTCTTCCTGAGGTAGTTTTCGTAAATCTCAGTAATCATGCTCCGTTTTGATGTGCGATGGCCATGTCAATAGCAAAAGAGGGATTAAATGAAGATGACTCTCTCTATCTATATGCATCTCTGCACCAGGCCAAGATTCTTATTGTTCTCTATAAAAGCCGGTATTTTACCAAAAAAAAAAATATGGCGCTGCCATTCATATTCGCGGGTCATTTTCTATCACGCAATCCAATTGGTCTACTAGCCAAACGGTTCTCCCATTTTGCTTTCAATATCAAATTGTTTACACTGTTTTTTGTACTTGAGCACTTCCTTTAGATTTAAAAACACGACCAAGCACGACCTTCAGTATGTCTCACAGAAACAAAAGACAAAAAGTTGACAGCTCGCTTATCGATGAAGAATTGATGAGTCAGACCCATGATCTCAACCATTTAACAAATTCTCAGTTTGTTCCCCAGCAAGCCGACTCTTCACTCATCCCTAAGTACAACTCAGATCTCTCTAGTCTCCATATTCCTAATTATCCCCAGGCACAGCAAGGACCTCAATCTCGAAAGATTACTTTGAAACAGGAATCTGATGCTGAGACCCAAAGGATAGTCAACGAAACTATGGTGGCTCAGGCGGCCCAAGCTGCTGTCGCTCAACATCAGCAGCATGCTCAACAGTACTTTACCCAATCTCACGGGCAATCCCAGTTCGACTACCAACAGACATCGCAGTCTCAGTCTCAGCAATACCATCTCCCACCTCCTCCGCAAGTTTCTCAAAGTCAATCCTACCACATTCCTCAGGTGGCTGGTCAACAGATGCCCCACTCAGGTGACTACCAACAAGTTTCAAATCGCCATATGAATCCGTCGGCGAATATCTCGGATGGTAATGATCCTAGTGATTATCTCGTGACGCCTATGATGGAGGAGCAGGTATTTGACAATGTCAACGTGTTGAAAGAGTTTGTGAAGGAGTTTGGTAAGAAGAACGAATTTGGTATTGCTATCGCGCACTCTAATAATAAGGCTATATACTTCACCTGTGAGCTAGGAGGTTCTTACAGAGAAAAAAGAAGTAAGAAGCATCAAGCTGGTCAGCGGTTTAATGAAGGCGGCGACTTGCAGTCTCAATATGAGTCTAAAAAAATTGGCACTAAAAAGATCAGATGTCCTTTCGCGATGGTGGCTAACTTCTCTAAGAAGAAGAACTATTGGACTTTGAAAATCACGGAGAACAAACACAATCATGCCAAGCTGAACCCTCTAGAGGATTTCCCTATGCTGAGAAAGCGCTCTAACAGGGTGAACTCCACCATCAAGGATTTGTACTCAACGGGTGATAAGCCTTCTGTGATTCATCAAAAGCTTACGGCAATTTTCAGTGATATAGTCATCAAGAGAGAAGACATCTACAACGAGATCAGAATATTAAAAAAGAAGGGAATGGTGCCCACGAACTCCGAAATCAAAAGCCGAAAGGTGGCAGATGAAGATTTGGCAGTTGAGCAGCAATTTCACCAATCCCAACAACCTATGTTACAAGCGCATGGCCACAGTGGGCAATCTCATGAGAGTCTTGGGTGGCCTCAGGGATATCCAACAATCGATGCGGACAACAAAAAGGAAGTCGAGCAACAGGCGGCAGCCGCCGTTGCCGCAGTTCAAGCTTTGAAAGACCAGCCACAGCACTACCCATCATACCCACAACACTATGGCTCTCAGCAAGCTTCATCATCGGTGGAGCACTACCCTACTCAGCAGCAAGGATCGCAGACACAAGCTTCTTACCAATACCCAACGGCACAGTACTATGGTAATCCCCCTCAGAAAGAAGAGCATTTCAATATTGATGAGCGACTACTTGGTGGAAATTAGACACGTATTTTTTACAAATTAGTGTATTTCTAGATATAAAATATACGATAGAATGTTCGTAATACAGGATAGATGATTTCTACCCCGGAGAAAAGGATTCATAATCTGGGGAAAAATTAATTACCGGGTGCATGAATTATATTGAAATACAATATGATTGGCCTGAGACGTCGACTCCGACATGGAGCAAAGGATAACGCATCGAACTCCGCATCACGCGGCGGAATATAAATAGAGGTACAGTTTAGAGGTCAGTAACAACCAAAAGCATTATGACTAAAATCAAAGTAAAGACGCCCGTGGTCGAAATGGATGGCGATGAGATGACAAGAATAATCTGGAAACTAATCAAGGAACAATTGATTCTTCCATTCTTGGACATCGATCTCAAGTACTACGATCTAGGCATTGAATATAGAGATCAAACTTCTGATAAAGTTACAGTTGACTCTGCATTGGCGACACAAAAGTATGGCGTTGCAGTCAAATGTGCTACTATCACTCCGGATGAGGCTCGTGTCAAAGAGTTTGGTCTCAAAAAAATGTGGTTGTCCCCGAATGGCACGATTAGAAATGTTCTGGGTGGTACAGTCTTTCGTGAACCTATCATTATTGATAATATCCCTAGAATTATACAGCATTGGGAAAAGCCAATCATCATTGGCAGACACGCTTTTGGGGATCAGTACAAGTGTGAAAATATTGTGACTCCAGATTGCGGAGGGGAGCTCAAGATCGTTTTTGTTCCGAAAGATGGTAGCAAAAACATAGAAATCCCTGTTTATAATTTTGACGGCAAGGGCTGTGCCTTGTCGATGTATAACACCGAGGAGTCTATTCAAGGTTTTGCTGTCAGCTCTTTTGAGCTGGCGCTTGACCGTAAGTTGCCATTATACATGTCGACGAAGAACACCATTTTGAAGCAATACGACGGCCTGTTTAAAGATACCTTCCAAAGGATTTACGAGTCACGGTACAAGGACAAGTTCGAGAAGCTGGGAATCTGGTATGAGCATCGACTGATTGACGATATGGTGGCCCAGATGGTGAAATCCAAGGGAGGATTTATAATTGCTATGAAAAACTATGACGGAGACGTCCAATCAGATGTTGTGGCCCAGGGATTTGGCTCCTTGGGTTTGATGACATCGGTTCTTATTTCGGCAGATGGTAAGTCTTTTGAGGCAGAAGCAGCCCACGGTACTGTCACGCGGCATTATAGGCAGCACCAACAGGGCAAAGAAACGTCCACGAATTCAATCGCTTCTATATTTGCTTGGAGTAGAGGTCTCATCAAAAGGGGAGAGTTAGACAATACCCCTGACGTCGTTAAATTTGGCAGGACTCTCGAAAAGGCAACCGTTGATACCGTCAAGGACGGCATAATGACCAAAGACCTTGCCCTAGCTAGAGGAGAGACCGGCCGCTCTTCGTACGTGACGACCGAGGAATTTATTGGGGCGGTTGCAAAAAAGCTAAACCTGCTTTTGGAGACATAGATTAACTGTTTAGGAGGCTAACCTACTTATTTATCTACCTTTTTCAATCAGGTTTGCGTAGACGTAAACTTTCAGACAATTTGCTTCTGGAATACCAGAGTAATAGACTAGCTCGGGAAGAATGTCGGAATATCCATTAGGGTCACTTGCGTTTGTACACGCATAAAAATTGCCATCTGCATAGTTGTTAGGGACGATTCGACCTTGGATATAAGTGACGCCCTTAGCAATGTCATGAAGTCTAACTATCTCTGATAGATCCCAAGTAGTAAGTGAAACACCCTGCGAGAGTGCGACAAATTTGTCCAGAAGCATCAGCTGCCTTTTGGTAGCAAGGGACTCTGCTTTTCTAGTGACACTATTGTATAATAACCGTATATTTGATAACTCTGTTTCCGCTAGGAAAACGTAATCAATGCCACTTCCCTCGTTGATTCCATTAAGATGAAGATTTGAAATTGTTGAATTACTTGCTCTTATAAATAACTCCATGGGATAAAATGTTTGAGTGAGTGACACATTCTGCCCCACGGGGTAGGCAAGCAACGATGTACAAACGCACAAAAGGCAAAGAAGCAGCTGATAAGAGTTCATCACCCATCCCCAGATATAACTTTAGCATATTTATATACCATGGACTACATGTTCTGTTATGGTGTTTATTTTGCCACGGAACTTAGTATTTTCAACCTTTTAGCTCGTTGGTTTTTGACCAATATATTGCTACCGACACTAGAATACAAAAGTAAAGAAACTCCACAAAGCAACTTCAACCACCGAAACCGTACAAGGTTCTTCCTTGTCTCTTCAAGGCGTAGACAACGTCTAAGGAAGTAACGGTCTTTCTCTTAGCGTGCTCGGTGTAGGTAACAGCATCTCTGATAACGTTCTCCAAGAAGGATTTGAGGACAGCTCTGACTTCTTCGTAAATCAGAGCGGAAATTCTCTTGACACCACCTCTTCTGGCAAGTCTTCTGATGGCTGGCTTGGTGATACCTTGAATGTTATCTCTAAGGATCTTTCTGTGTCTCTTAGCACCTCCCTTTCCTAGACCTTTTCCACCTTTTCCTCTACCGGACATTTTGATTTATTATGTGATATATTATCCAGACTGTATGGGGACCCGAGGCTGTATTTATAACATTTGCCAGTGTTTATCCTGACGCGCTTCACCCGGCCTACAAAATCGTGTTCAGTGATAAAGTTTACGCACCACCCTTGGGTAAACTCTGGTCCTATTTTTTTGACTGGCAATTTCGGACTATGATTTACTTCTGTGTCCGCGTAAATCTAAGAATGAACGTCGCGACTGAAGTAAATACTTTGTAAACAGTCAATCGTGATATATAAAGGATCGTATTCCACCCAACCAGTTTGATATTCTACATATTATTCTAAAATGGCTAGAACCAAGCAAACCGCAAGAAAGTCTACTGGTGGAAAGGCCCCAAGAAAGCAACTTGCTTCTAAGGCTGCCAGAAAGTCTGCCCCAGCTACTGGCGGTGTCAAGAAGCCACACAGATATAAGCCAGGTACTGTTGCCCTGAGAGAAATCAGAAGATTCCAGAAATCTACTGAATTGCTTATCAGAAAATTGCCATTCCAAAGATTGGTCAGAGAAATTGCACAGGATTTCAAGACTGACTTGAGATTCCAGTCCTCTGCTATAGGTGCTCTGCAGGAGTCTGTTGAGGCTTACCTTGTTTCTCTCTTCGAGGACACTAACTTATGTGCTATTCACGCTAAGAGAGTCACCATCCAAAAGAAGGATATTCAACTTGCTAGAAGATTGAGAGGTGAGAGATCGTAAGCTTGAGTACATTGTATATTAGAAATCTATCGACTTAATTTTTGGTTACGTAACAGCAACTCGCAAAATTGAAACTTGTTTTTCGCTCTACTATCTTTGCTGTCCAGCATTATCTGGGGTATCAAAATGTCCGTTAACAGGTCCCGACTCCACGAGATTTCCAACTCCCCAGTTCCGGCTTGGGCATTCACTGCAGGATTGCTGGCCACAAATGCTATCAAGCCGCCAATTGAAGTTCAATTAGCTGCTGCTTCCCGTGCCCAAACTTCTCGGCTCCTCCCTGCAATATTGAAACCATCCAAACCTATCTCTCCTTATCCGAATGGTGTTCACACGTTATTGTTTGGCTCTTTCATTGGGCTTGGGGGATTCATGTGCTACGATAATGATCCGATCAACGGCTCAGGTTTGATTAGTGCGTGGAGCTTTCTTTACTGTTTGGCCAACTCTCGTCGTGCCATATGGAGTTGGAAGCTTTATCCGAAGTTTCTCCTAGCAGGTGCTGGCCTGAATAGTGTAATTTATGGCGGTCGGTTTTTTGGGTTCTATTGAGGTGAAACGTATCACCATTCCAGAGGAAGCCAGTTGCGGTGGTGTGCGTATTCTTGTATATGCGAATCATCGAACATCTCAATGAATTGTTGGTCTAGCGGTCGCTCCTTTGGGTAGGCAAAACGTCGATATTCGTCAAAAATCATGCTTAATGACCATTTTTGTAATTTTCGAATGCATCCTACTATACATCCTGTTCTGTGCTTTCCCCTGTTGCAATGCACCAGTATTGGATGATGCTCGGGATTAGCGATGATCTTCAATGCCTCGTTTACCTGGCCGGGCTTGATTTTAACAAATGGTTCTTTATTGCCACTCAGGCCCACTTGGAAAAATTGAATATCGTTTTCCCTCAGGAATTCCATATTCTCCGGAGGGTATTCTTCTGGTATTAAGCATAATACGGACTTGAGCTTTAATTTCAACATGAACTCAAAATTCTCAATGCGCGGGAACGAAGAGCGATATATTGATCCGCATACCAATGCGAAATTTTCCGGAGGTGTATAAGATATTCTGCGGGGCCCACTCTTGTACTGTTCAATCAAGGCCGGATCTGTTGGAACAATCTTGTCGTACTCCTCTTCATCTGCACCGTCCGAGTACTGTTTGTGTCCGAGAAAAATAGGTGGCAGCGACTGCGTCTTCAATGCTTTTTCATCAATAAGGATCTCTTCCTCGTTCGCCTGCTCAAAATCAAAAATCTCAGCTTCTTCGTCCATTCTTCGGGAACTTTGCTGGTCACGTTTCAAAGGGTCGAAAATAGGCAGGCCAATGTATACTTATTATAATCCATCCTACCTGGCTTCGGAAGAATGTTAATAGTAGTTGGGCCTATTTGTTAATTTTGTTGCGTAGTAGCTCGTGCACGGGTGTTTTGGTTTTTTTTTCCCCTAGCATAAATCGTTGTCTTATTCCAATACTGAGAACACACACCGATGGTAAGTTATCTTAGATTTCTTGTCCTCTAACCTAACAACAAGTCCGCTTTATTCAACTTCACATCTCTTTTACAGGTGCTTCTTTTGTTGATCTGCACTGCCACATACATACACTCTTCATGGCCAGCAATATTGGACAAGAATAAAACAGGCGTGTTGGGAGTGTTTTGGAAATGCGCCAGGGTTGGAGAAAGGCTTAGTCCGTATATCTCAATTTGTTGCATTGTGATTGCCCTGAATCAGCTGCTATAAACAAAGCTATATGCGTTAATGGAATTCGTTCATTTCATTGTCCCCTAGGGCGAGAACCCGAGATTTCTGTGATCCAACGATTCTCTCCAATTTTATCAAATCCAACTTGCTGAACATCGCTCTCACCATGCACAGATTCAAGTCAACTACGTCTCCAGAGCTTTCGGAATTGCTGTTGGCCATGTCCAGGCGTATTTTGTTATCGACAATGAACTTCAGCACTTCCGAGTAGAAACTTGGGTCTGTAGGTATACCATAGAACATGACATTACGAACACCTTTGATATCGTAACGTTTGTAAAAGTGCAGTCTCTCGGTGTACAGCATTATGCGGGCATCGCTTTGACCCTTTGTGAATAGAGCACGATTTCGAGTCAATACAGATTGAGAAGAGTACTCGTCTATGGCAACAAACGCAATGCTAGTTTCCTTTTCCAGGTAGTTTTTCACGCGAATATAGTCGATGTAGGATGCAAAATATATCAATGTGCCATTTTCATACGACACCTTGTGCTGGATCTGTGGTAGTAACACATTCCTGAAAAATGCAAATCGTTTATCTGGTTCATCTAATAACGAGTCTGCTTCAAACCTCATAAAAACCTGTTTCAGCCTAGTCTGATTATTAATAAGCCCTAGTTTTGTTAACTGATATTTCAGGTTCGCAAGCTCACTGTCATTGTCACCACACAAAGTCTTGAACACCGCTGTTCCTCCCAACAGGTTCACCGATATTTTGGGATTACTCATCGTAACATTGTTGAGCTCTGGGAATGGGTATTTAGTAAACCCTATCACCTGTGCAACATACTTGTAATGGTCATTGATTGCCCACATTCTGATACGACTGAAATCAACATTCAGATCGTCAAAGTCTTTTGGTGGAATGTTGAGACTTTTAGACATAACTTCGCTCACATGGTCCCAGTTCTGCATATATAGACCTTCCGCTTTATCCAGCACAGTGATTTCTATGGAACTCAAAAATGATTTTTTGGTTTTCTCCAACGTCATTCTCAACCCTAATGGGGAAGCGACAATCACGTCAGATTGATCAAATTTGGAGAACAACTTAAGCGTCTTCCTTGTAAATTTTATTCCCAAACAAAAGAAATCATTGGAATTCCCCTTGAAAAACTGTTTGAACTCCACAGGCTTTTTTGGATTAAGATCATTGACATCAAATGCATCATAGTACTGTTCCTTGAACCTTGCTTTATATTCCACAGTGTCTGGAGAACTAAGCTCAATTAACTTGTTCACGACTTCCCACGCGAAATTTCGCGTAGGTAGCAGGATCAAGACTTTAGGACGAGTGTATCCTTGATCCCTAAATTCGGGTTCGTGTGCAGGATCTAGTTTTCCTTCTTCGATTTGCCTTTGCACCTGGATTTTTTTCTCATTATTATTCAGCGCCCTATCCCTCGTCTTGTATATATGGTTCAAACAATGGAGTAAGTAGTATTCTTGATATTTAGTGGTCACGCTATCTGGCATGCCTAATAGCTGAAAATTGACATTTTGGTAATTCAACAACGATTCCAAAAGCTCAATTTCCAGATTTGTCGGGTCTCGGTTCACAAACTCGTCCTGAAGTTTTTGTTTGACGTTATGGTATTTGAGTTTTTTCACAATGTCTTTTGGAGCACTTTCGTCCGCATCAGTATATCTGTAATCAAGTTTGATGGCTTTCCCTAGTTGCTTTCTTTCAGACAATTTGAGCTTAGAGTGGCTTTTCAAGTAATTGTCAATTTCCTTCTCTATTTTCTCCTCATCATTAAAATGTCTGTTGAATGCATCAAATTTGTTGTGCACATCCTCATTATCCTGTTCCTTGTCATCGTCCGCTATATTTTCATATTCATCTTGCGCGTTGTCCTCTTCTTCTTCTTCCACCTCGTAATCAAAAATCTCCTCATTCTTAGTCTCGTCCTCTCGAGCTACCTTCTTTTTTGATTTCTTCTTCACAACTTCTGGGTGATCGCTTTTGAGAAGTGTAACAAGAGCATTATATGCACCAATTTCCTGTCTTCCTGTGGCAACATCTTCTTCCACTTCTTCCTCATCAGCTTCATCATGCTGATCTACTTCTTGCGGATTTTCTTTAACTTGCATATGACTGTTTCTTCCTTTGTGAACTTCTCGAAGTTCCTTTCTTCCACTTTTGAACTTCTTCTTATTTGAAGGAGCAGCAACATGTGCTTCATTCTGCCTTTTCTCTGGTCTAGCCAAATTAGATGGCATTATAGAGCGAGCAGCAGTATCTATTAATTTTTACCCTTCAAGATTTCGCAAGAAAAAAATTTTTGAAACAATATAGCATAAAACGCTTTATCGTTATTCCATCAAATCATTTTTCGCTATTGGCAGTTTCGGTTCTAATCTAAACACTGTTGAAGCGTATTGTGCCTGGCTACTTGAAAGTATAATATATAAATCTCTTTCAAACGCTTGACACGAAATATCGAAATGAGTTCACCCAAACAATCCCCCATTGGAAGTCGGACGAATTCTTCAACGATTGACTATCGTAAGAAAATAAACATTTATGACACGGTTTTGCAACTTATACGAATAATTTTGGCATCGATATATCTGTTTTATATCGTGTTAACCATCCCCTTGAGCTTTGAAATAGGTGGAATAGATTGTGGCCTGAGTTATTCCATCACCATTTTGCTCATCTATTTCTGCCTCGCTACCCTCAGGGTCCTCAAATATCATCGCATAATTTCGTCATTTCTTTACTACACGCAGCACTTTCTACTTCCTAGCTTGTTATCCATTTTTTTAACCGTGTTCACATCTTCGGACGAATATAATGCAAGTACGCTGATGAAGAAGATCTGGTGGCATTTCATCATAAAATCTTGGAAATTATTCCTCATGAATTCCACTCCGCTATTTACTATCCTGGAAGGATTTTGCTCACTGCTTTCGATACAGGCTATCGGGCAAATGTCACAATATTTGATAAAGCACAAGTCCGACACATGGTCAATTGTCAACCTTATCACAAGTGCTTGTATTTTATCCTCATGTCTGTTCTTCTTTGTGAAAATATATGTTTCTCCTATAGATTTGCAAAGGGTTGGACTAATTTCCGCCTCATTGCTGGGATCTGCATTCACTTGTACGATACTCATCACTATTTTTGGAATCTATTCTGGAAAAGCATCTCCTCTGGAATGCTCCCTTATGGTGGCATATATCGTGAAATGCTGCTACGAACTATTTCCCGAACTTTCAGAGCTGAACTTCAATATGTTACTCAAATTTATTATGAACGAGTTTAAGAATTTGGATTATCAAGCCAATTCTTTGAATAAGGAATTTCTCAATTCGATCCAGACAACATTCAATAACTTCAGGACAGGAAGGGACCTTTTTGAGTACGTGCATTTTGAGTTCCTGGCCAAATCAACCACTAAAGATAAACTGCTTTTGGTTTACGTTAAAGTGAAAGAGTTTATCGTGGACGTGGTGATAAAATTTATTACTGAAAACTTCCCTAAGTCATTTGAGTCTCTTTGGGACTTCCTCAAGATTTCCATCAGCAATCTCACCTTTTCGATTCTAATTCAGTTAGCATACAGAATATGTGTGTTCTTCGCTGCAACCAAAATAATACCGATTCTTCAGCCGGTTCAAAAAGGCTCCCCTCTTTCAACACCTTCTTCTCCAACTCCTACAAAAATGAACAGGCATGAAAAGAGTGCAAGAAACAAGTCCACTTCGAGTCGCTTGATTTATCTCTATTCCCCTTGTATCATCATTGCTGTTTACACAAACCTCATGATTCAATACATCGATGAGCTGGACTCGCACAATCATTTTTGGAACTGGCTCAATTTCCAGTTTCGAGGAACAAGTGCTCAAGTTCCTGAGGTCAGTAACTCAGTCCACTCATGGCAAGTGTGGAACTGGATAAACATTTTCGGTGTGCTACTATTATATTCTCTTGAGTTGATGAGCCATGACCCTGACGATAGCTCGCTTACGGATCATTGGAGTATCTAGTGATCTCCCTTCGATCTATTGTATGTATATTATAGTTTGTTTTCAATTCAAAACGCGATGTTCTCTACTTATGTACACAGTTCCTCTCAGAAATCCTTACGGTGTTCATTTTATCGTCCACGTCATTCAGACTCGGAGCTTGACTCAAAAAACTAATCTCATCACATGAGGAACATGTGAATCAATACGCTTCGGATTTCCTAATCCAAAGTGTATTGATTCTTGCTATAGTTTGGCATCTTTGACAATGCTAATCACATCCTGACATTTATCAAGACTGAACAAACTAGATAAAGGCGTCCATGGAAGAAAGTGAGCTCCATTGGGTTATCAACAGTAATGTTGACAATCATCATAACTATGGTTTAGATAGCTGTATCCATTGCAGAATATCAGGAGAAGCCTCCCAATCAAAGAGCTAACCAAGCTCTTGAATCAAACAGTGCATCGTCAGGCACATCTATGGCCCGATCCATACAAGATCCAACCAGCCAACACCAACGATGGCAAGAGGCCAAGGTGTCAGCCAATCGTAACAAGTAAGAACCACTTCTGCATCCTGACTCCTCACTGCTGATGAGTTATATGACCCATCGACGATTCCGCCTGCAATCTACTGCCGGAGACTTTCCCCAAGGCATCATGAGCTGACGCTCCGTATGAAAGCCTCGAAAGATGATTCTTTCTCCATGGACGTAAAAGAAAAAAAGAAGAGAAAAAAAATTTTCTGCGTACCACTTGCGTTTGATGACCAGAATCAGGGTGGTCAATATTTCACTCTAGCAAAATGCGCGATTGATTCGACTGACACTAGATCATGATAAATTAATAATTTTATCTGTAATGATCATACCCTTGTCGCCATCAAGGGAAAGGTCAATCTCATCTTACATTCATTATTTTTCGGTTATTAAACATTACGATAATTAATTTCCTTGATATGCAAATATTGGGATTTTACTAGTTCTCAAGTAAAAGCTGTAAAAGCAAGCTAATGGTTATAGTTTTTGGGATTTTGTCTATCCACAAAACCTTACTTATGCCACAAAAGTCATTAGTATTTTGCCAATACGACGATCTCAGGCAACGGCCTTCAAAAACATACAGAGACCTGGCAGGCTACAAACTACAACAACACCGTAAATTGTCATAATGTGACAATGTAAAATTGATTTTCAAGATAGCACAGCCGGCTTTTCTTATAGAACGTTATTTAACATGTCAGCGAACTACTGGACGTCTTCGCAGCGTAACAAATGGCAGTTCTCACGCAAGGGATTGCGAGATGCTAGGTCATCAGTCACAAAAATGGAAATACAACTCTATGGAAATGAGTCCATCATGAAGTACGATATAAACATGAGGATATATCTACATCAGTTAATTATCAAACTTGGGAGGAAGTTGAACTTGCGTCAGATCATTCTCTCCACAGCCGAAGTGTATCTTACTAGATTCTTTGTGAGAGTCTCTATTAGGGAAATCAACATCTATCTTCTCGTAACGACATGTATATACATAGCATGCAAGATGGAGGAAAGTCCACAACATATCAGAACAATCTTATCTGAGGCTCGAAATTGCTGGCCTGAATTCATTCCAAATGATTTGACGAAACTAGCTGAATTTGAGTTTTATCTTATAGAAGAGCTAGATTGCTACATGGTTGTTCATCATCCTTACAACTCTATACTTGAAATGGTCAACGTGCTAAAAAATGGTGACATGGCCTCTCGATTGGAAGTTCTTCCCGAAGAACTCCAGACCTGCTGGTCAATTGTGAACGACAGTTACATTACAGACTTACATTTGCTTTTTCCACCACATGTCATAGCAACAGGAACCCTATATTTAACGTTAGTCCTGGGTGCCGATGTTCGCAAATCAATGAATAATATCTCCAAGACTCAAAATCCGCGTATCGAAGCATTTGTTAATTTCCTGGCAGCCTCCAATATTGACTTAGATGAGGTGATAGAAACGATACAGGAGCTACTCACATTGTACGATGCCTGGAACTCTTATGACGAAATGTACATCAAGAATGGCTTGCACCAAATGTTATTAAACATGAACAGATAGGTTCTGAATTCCAAAGGGTAGGTCTATCACATAGAGCGGTTGAAGGTATTCTAATTTGGAGGCTGAATGGTCTTACTCCTGAATCTGGAAAGGGGTTTCATTTTACCATCGCGGATTATGTAATTTAAAAAAACTAAGCTGGAAAAAGAAGTGGAGTTATCAACAACGCATCAAGAAAACAGAATTATCATCCTGTTTTATCTTGCCTCGACGCGCAAAACAAATCAACAAAAGGAATAACATATAACGTTGATACTTTCTGCATAAAGTTGCTCTTCTCAAATGACTGTGGAATCTCTTCCGAGTGCGACCTCCTCTGCTTTCAACCTTGGTCGAACCACTTTGAAATCGCGAAGCAGCTTTAAAAGCGGCTTGAAAAATCCTGCTGCTTCTGAAACCCCTGATTCGCAAGCCGCTAAACTGAAAGATGATGGGTATCGCCTTGCAAAGCTAGAAAACGCAGATAAGTTACTAATACAGATGGTGGTTTTAATCGATATTGCAATTTTTGGACTTTCGTATTATTACCCCTGGTTTTCTAAATTTTACACTTTACAATATAGATACCCACATAGTGACTTCTATGACATGGGTATTGATGATTCATATTTCCTGATATTCAGTGTGCTAAATTTGGTACTCATTAGAAGCTTTTGCATGTTATACATATTGAAGCCTATTGCACGGTCTTTCCAAATGTACAAACTCAAAGCAATACAGAGGTTTAAAGAACAGGGGTGGTCATTCATATATTTTTCCCTCTCGTGGTCATTTGGATTTCATTTATATCTGCACTCAGATTATTACTTGGACTGCGATAAGTTTTACGAGAGCTGGCCGAACGACAAAATGTCGGCCTCCTTTAAAGCCTACTATCTTATCCAAACTGCATGTTGGTTACAACAAATGATTGTTCTTCATATTGAAGAGAAAAGAAAAGATCATTATCAAATGTTTTCTCACCACATAATCACATCACTGCTTTGCATAGGCTCTTACGCTTACTACTTCACTAAGATTGGACATGTTATCTTTTTACTGATGGACATCGTCGATGTTTTTCTTTCATTCGCCAAAATCCTCAAATATTGTGGCTACCAAACCTTTTGTGACATAATGTTTGCCGTTTTTATGATCAGCTATATTGCGCTACGGCACGTTGTATACAATTATTTGTTTTACCATGCTTACAAAAATGCCTACAAGATGCATGGAACTTGCGAGGAATTGGCGCCCCTTGGTGACTATAAGATCTGTTACAGCAATGCAACGGTCAATATATTTTTATCATTACTTGGTGGATTGCAACTGATTACAATCTTCTGGATGTTCCTCATTGCCAAAGTAGCATATAGAGTCATTTCTGGAGATAGTGCGGATGATGTGAGAAGCGACGATTCAGATTAGTTGCACAGTTAATAGATGTATATGTTATTGAAACAACGTAGAATATAAGCAAATGAACATTACTGCGATTCCCCAGATGACTAGAATCAGCGAGAGCTTTCGAAGAGCTTCATTTCGGAAGACCCAGTGATCACTATCTAGTGGAGAGTGCGTAACTAGTACATCTAGCATTTTTGGATTGTGAATCAGTTTATATCCATAAAATCCAGGGAGCACAAATGAAATCAAAACTCCTCCAGTAGAGCCTACCAAAGACAAAACCAGCTCAAAAGACTCGAGCTTAATAGCTGCAATATAAGCGACAATCAGCATGGCCACGCTGACTTTCACAAATCTCGAGCCGGACATAGGGATCACTCTAGCTTCACTAGATAGCAAGGGCTGCGCTTCCTGCGAACTCTTGAATTGGCTCTCTATCCAATGATATACGTTATTAACCGATATTCTTGCGGGATGAAACATCAAGGGGAAGGAGAGAAGCACCATCAGTGAAAGCAATCCCATACCCAATTTGGTAGGCCACGTATCGTTGTACATTAAGATGATGTTGCCTTCTAAGGCATTTCCAAATGTAAAATAGCCTGAGAGACCAACTGTTGCAAACAAGACAGTGGTAATGGTCAGCGAGATTGTGATAATTTTGAATATACGGGTCAATCGAGGGTCACGTAATTCGGAGATGATCGAAAATTGAGTAGGACATGTGAAGGCAAGAACAATGATTGCGAAGGTTTTGAAGACCGGCTTAAAACCTTCGGGGGTCCACCAAGAGATGGGTCCCTGTTTTTGCAAAGGAATATGCTGGAACCCAGTCGCCAGCCCGTAAGCGAAATTGACATAAACTAAAATGACCAGATACGCGATAGCCAAGAGAGAGACAATTGAGGCATATTTCAAGCTATCAAGCCTCCTGAGAAAGCACAATGGAACTGTAATGACAGCCGAGATAGCTATGTAAAAGAGTCGCATCTGAGAGTCTGTGAAGCCAGAAATTGGAAGAATGAGTGGCATTAAATCACCAGTCAGAACAATGTAAGATATGTCCACGCCGAAACATTGTAATGCGATAGCCAGGTCAAACACAACACTCAGACTTGGATAAGTTATTGAACAGACGGTGAAGAAGTTTGCATTACCTTCTCGAAGGAATTTAGAAGAGATTGCTTGCAAAAACAGTCCGAAAATATTCGTTGCAGCTGCGAAGACAAGAATCAAAAGACCGAACAGAACTGAGTCAGTTCGGAAAGCATACGGGAGCAGCAAAATTCCCGACCCAATGATGGTATTGACGGTATTAACCACCGAGGATGAGACTGTCGCCGTTGACATTAAACTCAAATATTTAGTTATTAAAAATTAAACACTATATTGAATAAAAATCGAACTCCAGGCGAAGGGCCACAGGAAATATGTCGGGTGGAAACCGTTCTCGATTACAATCCAGAAAACGAATAGTTCCGGCAGAGAACCGCAAACGAGCTCCCTTCTCTTGCGACCGCTGTAAACTTCGAAAGACGAAATGCAGACGGCTGCAGGATAACGATCTGAAGTACGATAATATTACACCCTGTATACAATGCACCAAAGCCGGTGTTTCTTGCACAACAACAATTCCCCGGAAGAGGCGGTTCTATGGGCCAATAGAAAACATCACATTGCATTATAAGTGCTTGTTAGCCCTTGTTTCCGGACTCTTTCCCGACAAGGACGTTTATAGCATCGAGGAGTTAATGGAGCTAGGGAAATCATTTAAATTTGAAATGCCTACAGACAACAACAGTTTAGATGATATACAGAACATTCAAGAACTGGACGATCACAACATGCAGGATATGACTGAAGTTAAGAAGGAAGAAAAAGATTCGACCATCCCTGAGGAAACAAAGTCCGAGAGTGAGGGTGATGACGAAGACAACGACTTGGAAAAGAATACAGACAAACAGATTGACATAATGGACGATGATTTATCTAGAGATAAGCAAATGCCCCAGCTTCCACCAAACATCAAACTGAAGGCTACAACGTACGATCGAGACCGCCTGATTATGGATCGCTTTGGACACACGCACTTTATCGGTAATTTTGGAACTGCATCATTATTGAATGGACTATGTGACATAATTATTAAAAGGTCTTTCAGCGTGAAGCCACCGATCTCGACCCAGGATATTCGAAATAGTTCCGTCCAAACCATTACGTCTGAGAACGAACCCATTTACCAATATCCGACACATCTGTATAATCTGGATACCATCAACATCAATCGCTTTCCTCTAATCAACTTACTGAAGAGAAAGGAAGCTGACGTCTACAAGAACGTTTTTTTTGAGAAAGTCCATCCATACTATTTTATCTTCAACACATTCAAGTTCGATGAAAAATACGAAATCTTTTGGCAAGAAATTGCCAAAACAGACGTCAAAACAGATGGGCCATTTCCAATGAAGATTGGGAGCGCCGAGATATGCTGTATCTACATGGTCTGGATTCTTGGCAGACGGTTTCAGCTATATACGAACCCACAAGATCTTCCTGCGGATTCCGAACTAGATGATGATCTGATAGGACGTTACATTGATATCATCAAATTGTCGCTTTCAGACATCGTTTTAACGCCAACTTTAGATGGAATCCGATTGCTGATTTTATTATCTGTTTACCTATCTAGCATCAAAGTCCGCGAGAGCGGATATTGCTTGATGCAAATGGCGGCTATTCAATGCAAGAGTTTGGGATTGCACAGAAAATTCATTGTGGATAAGTTTAATGACGAAAAAGCAGATGAAATGAAGCGTATCATGTGGTCGTTGACCAAAAGCGAGACAACGTTGTGCTGTTCATTTGGAAGAGCCAGTGCAATCCCTTGGGAAGAAGTGGATGTTGAACTGCCTACCATGTCAGATGTCGATAACGAGCTCTTCAAAATTTACTATGTTCAGAGTTGCAAGTTGACAAGGATCATTTTTCAAATTCTAGATAATAAACGCAAATCATCTAAGGAGCCTCTGTCTCTAGTCAGCATCGAAAAACTGCTTCTTTTCCAAAAGCAATTACACAAGTTTTGGGATCGCCTGCCCGAAGAGTGGAAGGATTACAAATCCCTACCTGTTCGCCGTTACAAACCTAAGCTCCATATTCAATTTCACTACTACTTCATCACATTGACATTGCCCATTTTCATGCATATTGTAAGCGCTCAGTCCTCCGTCATCAATCGTGATGATCCAATACAATCACTTCTTGTGAATGGAATCAAATCCTCCTTCAAGACAGCAGAAATTTTGACCTATACTGACTCTAACGGGTTTTTCAACGGGACACTGTATTACGATGTTTTCTATTCTTATAACGCTATCATGGTCCTCACACTCACCTACATCCTATTCAAAAGTCCAAAGGGGAAAATGGCAAAAAGTATTCTTGATCTTGAGTATCTGGACAAGGAGCACGACATTAACTTCTCCAGTCTTATGAAAGCAATAAATCTGATCCGAAATCTCATTTTGAATAACCTTCATCAAATTGACGGGACCATGAGAAGAATAAGTGATATCATCGAAACATTATTGGAAGATCTAGGAATAATCCAGATCCTGGTCAAAGAATTCAAGGCACGCCCTAGTAATGTACGCAAGATAGAGGGAAGAAAAGAAGGTGGCAGCACAAGTGTCAACGGGGGGATCATCCCTGGCTACTATCGTAAGCTGCGTATGAATGATAAAACTAAAGCCAAAAAACGTCGTGTGGACAAAAGGGTGGACGAGCTCACTTGTTCGCCTCCTTCTCCTCGCCTATCAGCGGCAGCAGAAGAACAGGCGAATCTCACATACTCGTCAATATTCGATTTCCCAAAATCCCAAAATCCATCTTCAACCAACGTTGCAGGCCAAATTTCCCACTTTGAACTCCCTGTCTATGATGAATTCAGACCAGATCGACAATCCGAAAACTCAAGATCTTCAACTCCTGTGGACCTGAATGTGAATGAAGCATTGAACTCCATCCTTGATACAGAACTTATGGAGGTTCTCTTTGGTGCGGATCTCGCAGGAGCGAACCCTCGAGCTCCTAGCAATGACTTGTGACCTGATTTTATATATTGTGCTACTCAAGTACACCTTCCCAAAAGGTATAAAGAATCCACTGCTTCGTGCTGTCAAATTCTGATTGTGCAACGACTATTTTAATCACGAAGTTTTTGCCGTTTTCGGAATATGTTTTCTTATCAGTTCAAAGATCGATAGTATAAATAAATACCTGCTTGAGCAACCTATGTCGATTCTTTTATTCATGGTCGAACAGATAAATTGGCTTTTGCTACTGATCGTGAGCGGGGCCTGCGGGTTAGCTCTGTTTATCTCCAAGTTTTACCTTGGGGAAAATACTCAATCAAAACCGTCTGCTTCCAAAACAGAGAGCATTTCCAAGAAAGGAAAATTCCACTCCGATATGAACGCACCACCTCCTGAACCGACACCGCTTTACATTAAACCCGAGGAAGTGAGTAATAGAGATGATCGTCCTTGGAGGCCATTTAGAGTTCCATACCATCAGACCATGTCTATATTTAAATTGGATATCAACCACTGGTTGGATATGGATAAGTATTACGTTCATTACATTGAAGAAAAGAAGAGGGTTTTCCATACATATGGCAATGAGCATATTGGATGGAATCCTGAGTCAACGGAGGCTTGCAATGAGTTGCTTGATACAGTCAAAAAGCACCTGCTGAAAAGGTATCCTCTTCTCTTCACCACTGAGGATGATGGTTTGCATGTGAAGAATGAACTTACTGGTGAGGTTCTTGACTTTACCGAACCTTTAAAGGATCACCCCCTGGTCTATGTCTCGAAAATGGCAAAAGAAGATTTTTATATTCTCCAAAAAGATAGCGATGGAGAGTACCGACTGGCCGCAGCAGCAGTTCCGTTTCCAGGTGGCTCCTTTAAAATTAGCGAGAAGATTGGCAAAACAGTGGATGCGATTCACGATGTGGTTCCTTATTACGCAGAAAAGCTGAGAACCTCCATGTTGCGGTTTTTCGATAAGATGGCTCCTGCAGATCCCGTCGAGAGAGCTTCTTTTTATATCTCCTGGGACCATAGATTACTTTTGAACAACATATATGCTATGAAAGAGGGTGAGAAGGTGGATTCGAGCGTGCTACCAACAGAATTCAATGTTAGAGTTGAAAGACAGACATTGCGGAGACTACCAAAAACCAAAGCTATTATTTTTACCAACCATCCTATTTTTTACTCGATCGATGAAATGAAAGATGAACCGCTTGTCCCATCATTGCTGCGCAAAATTCTGGACGAGGCTCCGGAAAAAATCATGAAGTACAAGAACTTTGATGCTTTCAGAGAGCATCTCGTTCCGTACTTGGACGGTTTGATTCAGAGACAAAAAGATCTGGGCCTGATCGATGACGACACGCCGGTTAGGACTTTACCAACATACCCGTTTGCTCATTTCACCAAGGACTATGACGAAAAGACTGGGTGGTCTAACCCCAAGTACCCTCACAATTACTCAAACAAACTACAAGATGAAATTCAAGCTGCAATACCTCTTGAGCAATCAGCTTTTGGTACCCCTACCGCTGCAAGAGCTGCCAGAGCTGATAATCTTTTAGCAGCATGATTTGATAACTGTTGGGTTATGTTTTTAGTTAAGTAGCAAGTTACTGAAAGACGCAGATATGATATTTACAAGGTGAGCAGCAAGGAAGCCTTGACTACCATGGCCAATGTGTGTGCACTTGTCCTTTGTTTGGTTAAAGCCAAGAAATCATATACAGCAAGGCAGTATATGAGTAATTATTCCTGAAGAAGAGGAGACAGAGTGCAACCTCAATGTAGGAAAAAATGGCTCATATTTCCTCATATCCTCCGTTCCCACCTGGTGCCTAGTTACATATTGAGGAATCATTACTGTTCAGGGCTCATCATCTCAAATTGTGGTTGCTGAGCGGTACGTGATCTACGTTGATACAATAAACCTAGGAAAATCTAAGTTCAGGCAATCTAATAATCAAATACTCACTCCAGAAAGAATCATTCCATCTTTCATTCCTATCAAATCTATTATTAGTTCACTTTATTATCTATCTATGATTATATGCAATTTTCTGTACCGGCTAGAATCTTTTTGAGAATTCCGATATCATCAACGGTTTTGAGGATATCCATTTTCGGAACGCTAGACGATAGTCTAGAATCACCGTAGCTAATAGGCCCTTTGATTTTGGACGTAGCATGTACTTTAGTGTTCGTAGTTGAGGAAATACTAATAAAAGAATCGGACTCCAATGAGCTCAAAACTTCGAGAAATTCGCCTCGATTAAGAACACCAATGACTTTGCGCACATCTTGTAGTGATGCATAATATGAATAGAATGAGTTAACGGATGCAAGAGTTTTGGATTTTTGACTTTTCAATACTTCTTCATATTTGATAAGAGAGCATAGCACTGTTTTATGCTGAATATTGAGATCCTTCAATTTGGAGTTAAAGTTTGAGCTGACTGTGCCGTTGCACACTTTAGCCAGCTGGGCAATCATTACTTTGGGAGCATTGTCAAGAGTCAAATTGTAAAGCTCTTTGCTGCCAAGTTTTTGTGCTTGCAAGTTTTCTGTTAGTTCAAGAGCTCGATACATAATATCAAAAGCACTTCTCAAATCTCCTGTCGTAATTGCCGCTTTCTTGGCACAAAGTTGGATTGCAGCAGGATGGACCAAAGGAGGAACACTTGTTTTGCCATCCACAAGAGAGCAGAGCTTTGTAGTCAGAACTTGTTTGATTTGATCTGCATTATAAGGCAAAAAAGGAATCAACTTGGGACTGATGTTGTTGCATTTGAGCCGCGGAAGGAATCGATCAGTCAAGTCCAAAGCATTAGCAATTCCAATGATGGCCAACTTTGGATTGTCGTTTGACATATTCGATGCCCACGAAAAAAGCTCAAAGAGTACCTGCTGGCTATTACCCATGAGATTGTCCATTTCGTCCAAAACCACAATTGTGATATCGCACTTGGACTCGTCTGCTAGAAGTGTCTTAAGCTCCTGAGGAGTTCTTTTTTTGCGTGTGAACTGACCCTCAAGATCGCTGCAGATTGCATCAAAAATGTCTTCTGCTTTGCGCACAGTCATGCAGTTGATCTTTGCGATTCGGACTCTGCGGTTCATTCTCTTCGAATTTATCCTCACCGGGATTTTGTAAATCTTTTCATCCGCATTTTCGATATCTCCCACAATTAGAGAACTCAGTATCGCGTTCACCTGAGCGGTTTTTCCGGTCCCTGGAGGACCTGACACATAAATAGATGTAGATTCCAGCTTTAACAAACATTGATCTATATGTTGCCGAAGAAAATGGGCTTCAGTCTCTCTTGCAGTCAAAGCAAAACCATGAAGATCCACAGCCGAACTCCTCAAGAATAGTTTTTTCGCTTTTGAGTAAACTGAAAGGGGTTGCGAATTAACGGCATCAAAGAGCTTTGTATTAAGAGAGCACACAGTGTTTGTCTGAACATTTAAGATTCGGTCATGCTTCTCAGGAGTAACTGGAGGAGAAAGAAGACCTAATGAACTTGTCGAGGTCTGATTCAACTTGATCCGTTTGGCTTGTATCTCCCGCTCTATAGGATCCAAGCTTCTTTTGATCGCAGATGACGTGATATTGGCCATTTGATTAGACATAGAAACGCGGATGAGGAAAATTTATAGTTCTAGGTTTGAAACATGTCTCGGACGCTTACTTTACTATCGCGACACGCTCGATTAAAGGAGCTGCTCCTGCAATAAATAAACTTTCCCAAAGTGGCAATGATGGAAAATCACGAAAAAGTTGTTTGTTTTGAGTCGAGGCTTCCTATAGAGTTACCCGGTCCTGATTACGAGATTTTCTTGTGGTCATTTTTTGAGAATACATACTGATTCTGCCATTTATGGTACGGCTCATGAAAAAAGAGGTGCACAAATAATTTCCTTTAAAAAGATTAAGAGGGCTATCTTACTTCTACTCATACTAATACACTAATAGTTAGTGAATGTCTACGAAATAGGGACGAAAGCTAAAGGTACTACGGTCATTGTACATAGCAGAGATTTTGCAAAAATTTCACATCAAATAGTCAAGGTTCTGAGGCTTCAATCAAATCCAAGCTATAAATAATACCACAGGATGTCTCCTTCAGAGCATCCCAGACCAAGCTATAGTGGTTCCAATAACAGCAATACAAGAATATACAAGGATGATAATAAAAGGCCGCGAAAATACATGCCACCTCATCACAGCCAGTATAATGGTCATCACCAGTATCAATGCACAACTCCCCCATATGGCCAGAAAAACAACATTAACCCATTTTCTTCAAGGCGACATGACCCACCGGGTGCACTATCAGGTGCCTTGAACAATACCCAAGGCTCTGTGAGTAGTAATGGGGACTCATATAATTCATATCGCCCGAGCAATAGCCATGATTCAGGCTACGCCCGAAATTCATTCTCGTCAGGAGGGCCAAGACGGAACAGATATCGACCTTCTCGAGGACACCATATTGCTGGCGCTTCCAATGGTCGTGGAGGTAGCTCCTCCAGTTATTTCAGATCATATAGCAGTGATGGTAACCCAAGTGGTTCAAATGGAAGATATTCAAATAGCTATTACAGCAGAGAGCATTTCAGAATTGAAGACTTCAGACAAAGTTCAGTTTCTGCGCACGATGACGCATATGCGAGCGGAAGATGGGCTTCAGAGAGTCGAGATCGCAGCGCTCCTCTTGGAGATGAATCTTCCAAAACTGGTGATCTCATAGGAGGGTTGAGCAACAAGGGTGGTGATTTAATACTTAACAGAGACTACAGATACAACCGCGGGGGAATGCGTGATTATAGACCCTCAAGAGTACACTCCACTGGCGGGGGATATGCGCGAAGTCATTATCGGGACGAATATCGGTCAGAATATCGCGAAGAAGATGACCGATTTTGGGATGATCGCCAAAACTATCACAACTACAACAGAACATATGATTCTGCTTCGCTAGAGAGTTCACAATCTCCGTTAAGAAGATCGGAAGTAGACGAGAGGGCTCACAAAACAGAAAGAATGGAGATGGAATCAAATGAACACAATCAGAAGGATACCACTGTGAGAGACACTGGAACACAGACCGACATGTCCAATTCTTCAAGTCGAAATGATACTCCAACTGAAGCAGCTCACGTACCAGCTAAGCGGGATGAAATGGCTGAGGAAATAATCTCGGCAAATGATCAAGGTGCACAGGAAATTCCACTCTCAGATTACAATCAGGTGAAAGGTGAAGTTGAATCAAGCTTTGAAGTGAAGCTTGGCGATTTGGAAGCAAAAGAGGTTACTGCCAAAGTTGATGTAGAAATGGACACCACTGAGGAAAGGTGTTTTAAGGTAGGAGACGTTGCATCGATCACGGAAGACAATGATCAGAGGGCATCAATATCAGAGATAGGCTTGAAATCTGAAGAGGCGGAAGAGGAGCAAAATACAGGGGAAGGAGAAGAACAAGAGGAAAAGGAAGATGGTCAGAAACCAGAAGAACAGGCTGCACCTGAAGCAGGAAATAAATTGAGGATGGATTTACAAGTCACTGCTGTCAAATCACGGGAAGAAACTAGATCCATCGGACCAGTTGACAAACAAGGTACTCACTCAAATAACGAGGGAGCAGTAGCAGAAGCCACAATTACAATCAAGTCTGCTAATCCAGATGTGGAGGAATGTATTTTCCCGATGAACAGAGTGGAAACCAAGTTTTATGAACTCAAAAAGCTTCCTGTAGCGGAGCGTCGAAAGACATTAAAATATCTGCAGCCAGAGAAACTCTTTGATTTGCACCAATACAACTTCTACAATTCAGCCTTTGTGATTTTCAAGCAGGCTGATGGCCCGAATTTGCTGGAGAAATCATTGGAGCACCAAAAACTTCTGGCGCACAAGAAGAAAGACTTGATTGAAGAATATGTTTACCGAAAGCATTTATGGGAACGGAGAGTGTCATTAATGGACGAGCAGTTGAGCAAATTCTATAATGTTGGTGAACCAGAATTGAAACCTCAAACGAGCGAAAGTTCAAAGACAGAGATCACTGAAAAGCCATTGTCAGGTCGCCGTGGTCGTCATGGCGATACGGTCAGAACTGAAGCAGAATTTCTGGAAATCTTGGCAAGCCTGGAAAAAGAACGTGAGAAGGATCCTATGGTTAGAGCGCAACATGGATGTGCCAGAATTCCTGATATGATAATCGATCCAATTGAGCGATACGCAACAGTTCATATTCTCGATTCAAATAATATGGTGCGCGATAAATCACAGTGGGCCAAAAGAATTGAGTTGGATTCTTTGGACACGTTCACACTGGCAGAGCATGAAAAATTCTGTGAAGCTTATAGTCTGTGGCCCAAAAAGTTCGGCCGTATATCTAATTATATGGGCGGGCTAAGAACACCCGAGGAGTGTGTTTTACATTATTACAGGACGAAGAAACAAGTGAACTTCAAGCAGATTGTGGCTAACAAGAACCGGAGGGCAACAAGAAAAGCCTCCAGTAGCAAAAGAAAATCCAAAGACGGAAGGATTAGAACTGGTACCCACACTCCTGAACCATCCACAGCCGATTCTGCGAACATCAGTATTGAAGGAACATTGGGCAAGCCAAGTGATGAAGAAGGGGAGCCAGATAACAATAAGAAAAGGCTGAACACCTCCTTGTCTCCTACAGAAAAGAAGAAGCAAAAGATGTCAGAAAGTGTGCCAGTATCAGCTTCATCGAATGAAATAAGCAGCAATATTCCCGCAACATCGCTCTCTCTAGATGACAATGAAAAGGGAGAATTAATTAGAAGGACAGCTGTCGCGGAACCGCTAGTGAAACCTAAGAAGAAAAGGGGCAGAAAGAAGTTAAATTCCGAAGGACCTTCAAGTGCTCATAATCTCACAGAGTTGAAAGAAAACGTCCCTGTATTGCAATCTTCAAGTGGGGATCCTTTGGAAGTAGCTCGTGAAATGAAAGAGGAACTTGACCAGAGACTCAAAGACACATCACCATACAGTCAGAATGACCAGGAGAGTCGCGGAACGATGTCGTCTGGTACAGAGGAGAGCGAAAAGAAGAAAGAGAAGCACAAGGACAAAAGCCATATCACAAGTTATTGGAGTGTGCAGGAAATCAGTTTGTTTCCGGATCTTCTTCAGAAATACGGAACTGACTGGGAAACGATGTCGAGGCATATCACAACCAAAACTTCGACCATGGTGAGAAATTATTATCAAAGAGGATTATCCGATAATTCAAAATGGGAAGAGTTAGCTCGTGAAGCAGATCTACGGCGTACAAAAGAGAAAGAGTCGCCGAACGCGAAGACTGAGGGTGTGAATGGTCCTCCATTGGGATATTTTTATGACAGACGGCCTTCTGCATCAGTACACTCAATGGATGAACAAAAGCTGGCACTTTCTGAACCTACTTCTCAAGGCATACAGCTTCCCGTTTTGCATACCTACTACCCATCTTCTAGCACAAGTGCCCCTGCTGGCCCCGAATCTTCCGTCAATCTAACTTCAAGGTTACCTGCGGTAAGCCTTCCTGAGAAAATTGAAAGTTCCGAGAAAAACCCACCATTGTTGCAGGTTCCACTTCCTGTAAATAGCAATCCATTGTCTTCCCTAGTGGAGGCAGCAGGCTCCGTCCAAAAGGGCGCTGATTCTAATCCAAACCTCCTCAAGATGAACTCGTTGTTGAACACTGTATTGCAGCCCCCACATCTAAGAAGTGCGGCGCAGGCTCATTTGCAACCATTGACGTCGACGTCATCAGTGTCCCCTTCTTCTCCATACACACCTAAACTGCGTTCATCTATTAAAAGTTTACTAAATGATGAAAGGTCGGACTCCAAGCCGCAACATGCATATTCCGCCACAAACTTTAACAACTTGGTGAATGCCAATGATCGAGCTCCCGAGGCCTCGGACAAAACCGTTCAGACTACAACCGGGATGACTGCACTTGATGCTTTAGCCCAAGTGGCATTTGAGAGAAAATAGCTGTCAATTCAATCCGCCCGCACACATAAGCCGTCTATCCGGATACCGCTTTACTTACGCTATGTACAAATACTAATGTTCTTAATAAAGCATTTTAGCTGTACTTAATAAACCTGATACCTGCCAAAAGTGTGCTTACATAAGGCTTAGTTATTTTGCGCTTAATGAGGAGGGTCGGTAAGAGAAGAAACTGGTCTAGTTGATGAGGCAGGCCTCATACTGATCGAGTTCAACTCCAAGTTACCACTTTTGGACCTGTTCATCCTAGTAGTCTATCAGCTCCGAGCTGGCCATCGAGTGATTGTGGAGACTATTCGTATTCATGTGAGCCTATGAACCTTTCTGTGAGTAGAGAGTACCTTGTGATATTTTGGGTCATAACATATATTCACCCGCTTGCTTTCCCAATAGCTACTTTTGGAGAGTCACTTACAAAACGATATGATGCTGAACTTGGGGGTCTGACTTGATTTGTGTAAACCACTCCAACTGGATGTGGAATTTTCCGCATCTTCTCTCGCCTAGAAGTTTGAAGCCGTTCTTGGCTTATGCCACCTGGTTTATCTCTGAGTGAAAGGAGCCTAAATACACGCGAATTTCTGACAGGGAATCAAGAAAGAGGCCAAATGCTATAAGTAACTAGTACATTATAGAAAGCGAATTGAATATACATGACATGAGACACCAGAAGCTTACATATGCCTTGTTGAAGGCCAAGGCACCAAAAGACATAAATGCACAAATAACGGTTTATTTTTCTTTTCCGATCATTTTAACGTGCATAATCAGAGGCGCCAGATTATGCTTACGATTTGGACTAGTTTCCAAAGAAGTCTGTAAACCATAAAAAGACCGAGGCGGGGGTGAATCCATTATGACAGAGATAATTAAATGATCGAAAACCAGGCTATTTTATTATAGTCCGTAATCTCCATCGCATTGGTCGGTTCTTTAGTCGATTACGAAGGGATCTTCCTCGTCACCGTTACCTGTGAAAAAGACAGGCTCTGAGGTTTGTGCACTTTCTGCATTCGAAGCCGACGTTTTAGGGTAGGAAGCGTAATCTGATTGTCGAGACCCATCTCTCAAAATTACCTGATCCACTATTCGGTCAATTTCATCTTCTATCTCTCTGTCTGATGACTCGAATAGATCATCTAGATTTGCTTCATCTTCAAAGCGTTGCGCAGAAGTTGAAGACGCCCTCTTTGCAGCACGCTCCGATTTGATTTGCGCAATCTCACGTTCTTCCTCAGAACTATCTAGATCCTCCAATTCAATTATCTCCGAATCCTTTGCGTCCTCTTTATTGTCAGCTTCAACAAACGACCAGCTGCCATCTTGAGATATCCTAATCTTATCAACTTTAGAACTTACATCTAGCTGTCCCAAAATTTCCTGTAGTTCCCCTACTATATACAAATCTCCTGGGTTGAGGATGCTGAACTCTAATTTGCATATCGGACAAGTGAAATATTCCAGACTATTATTCGGTTTGTTCTGATCTCTATTTCGGCGTAATTGAACCTTGTACTGAAACTCGAAAGTTCTTCTGTTATGCTGATCGGGGTTCAGAGGTCGCCTCTTTGTATCACTCAGAATTTCACAAGCATCTATTTTCTTTGCGGACTTTTTCCTCACGTTAACATGGAATGGTTCTAAATTATTCATTTGCATGAAGCTTTCCAGTTCAAAACATTCAATATGAGAACAATACCTGGATCGTAAAGGAGTCTTCATTCGCCTTCCTGAAAGAGGGTCATTGAGCGAGAGCACAATCGCTTCCTCCATTATATCGTCATTTTCGTGGGTGGGTGGTTTTTGTCTTCTTACGTGGCCAAAAAGAGTCATTTGTTGCGGATTCTTCCGTTGCCTCACGCTACTGGATCTGGAGACATGTCGTGAGGTAGAAGTTTGTGTATCCAAATCTGTCTTAGCTTGGAAAAGATATCCAGACATATGCGAACTTGTCGTTGGCTCATGGATTGGTGGCGAAGTAGAGCTCGGTATCGGGATTGTTAGGCTTGGGTCGATGCGAGCAGCGTCAGATGGCTTGATAATGCTTCTGAGCTCTTTGAATCTGGCTATTTGTTTTTGAAGTTGTATTAGAAGTTGATAGAGCGAATATGGATCCATGGCCGGTACCTGTAGCCAAAGACTACCATGAAGTTCTCTGAGGGAAGCGCTCAATTCGGCAGGTATACTTGGATCGGACAGTATTCGATCCAGATAAACAATGTGGTTTCGTACTATGTTGATCTGAGAAATTTTATCTTGATCTTGGGGCGTAAAGGCTGGCTTTTGTGATAGGGAACCATCGGGAGCTGAAGATGTGATTTCTTGATTCCCTCGCAAAAAACTTTTGGGTAGCTTCAATGTGACCCATAATGATTTTCCCTGTTCTTGTTTCGTGAGCCTCTTTTGTCTTTCTTTATGAGCTCTGGAAACTATTTCGTCTAAATCATCTGCATCACAAAAATCAGAAAACACATCGCTCTCCTCTGTTATCGGCTGGATTTCAGGCTCTTGTGATAATCGGAGTTTCACAGATGGGGATTTCTTGGCCTTCGTAAAGAATTCGTCCATGCTTAAGTGTGCATTATTCGACAACCGTGTTGATACTACGGTAGCTCAATAAAGAATTTAAAAAAAAAAACCCCAAAAAAATTAAAACATCACCATGGCTATTGCATTGTTCATATTGATGGCAGCGTTCGTCGCTTTAGTGATTTTCCTTCCACTTCTTTCAGGAATGTTTACTTATAAGCCAAACCCGTCATACCTTGAAAAAAGAAAAGAAAAGGAATCAGAAAAGCTCAAATCGCAAAACGATGACGGGTATGGCGGATACGTCCCTCCTGATGAGCAACTCGAATTGGAAAAACAGGCCAAGTCTTCTGGATCTCGAATCTACTCTAAAATAAGCCATTTGACTCAGGACGATATTCCTATCAAACTTCAGCTTCAGAGCCACGGGGAATTAAAAAACCGCACAGCTCGAAAGCCTGTAACGACAGACTCTAATCCTAACAGTTTTGATTACGACTTAAATGAATTGATTGACGAGGACTTTGAAAGCGAGAGGGCCGAAAATTCCAAGGTTTACGCACCCGGCATAATATCAAATCATGAGGAAGTATAAATTGTACAAAGCTAATAATAGTTTAATTGTTTAATTCAATTTATTTAAGTGAATAGTCACAAGTTGGCTTGTATGGCAATCATCTCATTTTGTCGTAACTCTTCCTCTGAATTCACACGGAGATTGTCGTCGAGAGGTTCACCCCCATCAAATGCACTTTCCAAATTCGAATCCCCACTTTGATTCATTTTCGATTCTCCATCAGCTTCAGTATTTACTGGAGTCAGGGGTTCAAGTTCCTGGGATTCAAAGTCATCTCTAGGATCGTTTCGAGAGCTTAGTTCATAAAATAACATGAAAGTTCCCTGAGAAGCAAGCACCTCAGCCTCAGAAGACACCCTGACTATTTCGTCACTTATCCTCCACCAGACTCCACGGTACTTTCTGTATGCAATATAATGCCCATAGTTGTGCGTTCCGAAATGTGAGATGACAGATTTGAGCGAGTATTTCAGGTTGGATGAGCTAGAGTCTTCAGCATCTGCTCTACCTTTATCTTCACCCTCATCGTCACTTTTTCTAAACGGTAATCGTGCATCCGTGTTTATATTATCAGGCTCGGCAACGTAATCAGCAAAATTGAGCCTAGTAGGGAAAACAATTTTTGCGTTGTTCTTGCGCACAGTGTAGGTTCTAGGATCAAACACCGAGCGACTTATATGTATGCACAGAACTGGAGGAGGCCTTGCGAAAAACACTTGCTTAGTTTTCTTCGATTTTTGAATCTTGTTTTTGGTGTGAAGTCTTTCATACACGGCGTCATTGATAATTGGTTTCGCTAGTTCCTCCTCAATTTCCCCAATTCGTTTAGAAGTGAGCTCCACAAGTTTCTCCGTTTTGGAGCCTTGCTCTTTGTATTTTTCGAGGGCTTCGATTAAAGTAGCTCTGATCTCAATTAGACCGCATCTGTTACATTCCACACCGTCGATGATTTCTTGTTCGATCCACCCGTCCAACAATTCCTCGAGCGTATAGGTTGATTGAGTAGGAGATGACAAATTCAAACCTAGCCCACTTATGACTGAATAGCGTATTCCTCCCATCTCTCCACATTTGATGCAACCAATTCGCTCGCACTGAAGTCCATCAACTGGAGTGATGAGTTTCATTGGGTATACTTTAGAGTCCGCATTAGGATAAGAAGGGTCAATCTGTTTAGCAGGCAGATAAATGGTTCCTAAATCACCCAGGTTTTGCAAACCTGTCATCATTCCGTCTTCGTAATCAACGAATTTGTCTTGGATCTGTCCTTTTTCCTTCTCTTTTGAATCGTCCCCAACATATTCTTTTTCAACTTGACTCATTACCGACTGGTAAAACTCCTGAGCATCCTCTTGATTGTAGCCCAAAAACAAATGCTTGCTGGGGCCATCTTTCATCACTTTCAGGAGATTGCGTGTCTTGTACGTAGGGGATTTATTGCCATGCTTGTCGTTCAACTTTCTGAGCAATTCGTATAATGCAGAAGAAAAAGGGGGCTTATTTTGGGGAGAAATATTCTCATTCTCGGTGAAGCTTTCGAGAAAGTCCATTATTTCGTTCGAGGAAGCTAGACTTTGTAAAACACTGTTCATAAAGCATGTGTTGCCATCATTCATTAAACCGCCAATGGATCCGCCTAAATTCATTGCTTTTTGATAACTCTCTCGTGCAGAAGGATCGCTGCTCGAGAAGAGTGAGTTCCTGAATCCTAAAGCGGAAGAAGATCTTGTCAGCGCTGAATTGAATTTCTCACCGAGTCCTGCCATGATCCAATCAAAATAACTGTCTTTCGACCTGCTTTTAATAAACGGCCTGGTAATAAGCACTGCTAATCCAATAGTCAAGACACTGACCACGACCAGGTTCCAACTTTTGTCAGGCCAAATCACTTTCGTAAACGATTGCTTGAATGCTTGGACAAAATTTGCGTATTGGTCCACCAAACTTTCTTCAATGACAGCTGATTCTTGGCACAAAACACCCAGGCGCAATAGAAATATCCAACTTATTGTCAGTAGCAACTGAGGCATCAGCTTTAGCTACCTTTGGATAAATATACAGTATTTTTGCGACTCTAGGCTTGAACAATAAAATACTAGATCTCTAGAATTAATATAAATTCTCTCGACTACTTTCGTTGATACACGACATTAATCATAATTTAACTCGTACTGGCCTTACTTTGCACTGTCAAAATCTGATCCAGCAAGCTGTTGTAGTCAGAAACGTCCAGAATTTCCATAGGGATTTTCGAGTCGGTGACCTTCTTAACGCTACTGGTGAGCGGTCTCTCCTCCTTTCTCTCATTTTCAATTTCTTGCATCAAAGGCCGTATGCAACCTTTACCGCTTTCCGTTTGAAAATGGCGTCTCAAAGCATCAGTCCGCGCAAAGCGTTTACCACATCCCCATATGGTAAATCCATCTGCCAAAGTACCACGACATTGATACTTCTTTTCTCCAGAATGCAATTCTTCGTGTCGTTTTCGATCGTGTTGTCGCGCAAATGCCTTGCCACATACAGTACAAAGGAAGGGTCGCTCATTCGTGTGAGTGCGAAGATGGGACTTGAGATTATACGGTCGCGTGAACTTTTTATCACACACAGGGCAAGCAAATGAAGCTGGATTCTTCTGCGACTTTCTATTAGGCGAAGGTGGGGCGGCAAGCTCAGAGAGTTTCTCGCGGGAAAGTGAAGCATCACTGTCATAATCTGAATCCTCCGAATATCTGGACCTCGAAGCAGATCTGGAGCGCGAACTGGATTCCGAATGACGTCGTTGCCGTCCAATTCTCATTGAGTTATGCGTTCTATCATCTGGCGTAAGATAAGCATCGTCCACTTGTAAGTAGTTAGTATTGTACAGTCTGTCGTTGTCTGGGGTGCTATAGCTTGAGCTATCAATAGCTTGTGAATGGGAAGCATCCTCCACATTGATTGAAATTGCAGGAGTGGAGGAAGAGTCTTCAACTTTGATGGCAGGTGTATTGCCTGCACTAGCCGACCTTGATCTATTGGGAGAGGATGCCTTCGACGACGCAGAAAACAATGATGGAGTGCTATCAGCCACTTTCTCAGGGTTTTCAATCACTATGGGCGGAGCCGCCGACATACGTTCCTGCTCTTTGAGATTTTGCTCTGTAAGATTAACATTTGGTACTTTGATTGCCGACAATGACAGCTGACGAATGTTATCAGAAACCAACTGGCTTTCAAAGTCGTCTTGTGGCTCAACATGGTCGTCCCCGGCAATTGATTCAACTGCTGATAGATAGGGCGAATCTGAAGCTGACAGCTCAGAACCCGTGGATGACTCTGGTTTCCTATATCGTCTCCCAAAGTGTGGTTGCAAAAGAAGATTAGGGTCAGCACTAAAATGAGAAAGTCCTTGTGTTAGGCTATTGCCTTCTGGGTATCCGGTATCCAAGTCCCGCGCGCTGAAATTAGGAAAGTTCGCCGTTTCTGATTGCTGACTCAAATATTCGGAAAATGCTTTATCAATCTGTATCAAAGGAGCAGAGTTATCGACCTTTGATGTGTTAGAAGTTGGCAACGGGTCATCAAAATGGATATAAGACTGTTCTGGAGGTGTATCCACCGATGGCATGTTTAAAAATTCCTGCGTAGAGCCCAAAACATTGAATGAGTTGTTTGTGGCATTATTTGAACTGAAATGAGCACCTGTCATGGTTATTGCGGAAACATCATCAAAAAAAGGATTTCTTTTCTCTTCGGATGAAGGTTGCAAGTTATCAAACAAGCTAGAAGATGGTTGGTGGCTCACTGACGTCAAAGATGATGCGTTCACAGAATATTCCGGACCTTCCTCTTGAGCCGGAGTATATGATGTGAGGTTCAAAAACTTGTCAATCACGTCTTCTTCTTTGGCGGAGTCCTTCGGGGGTATAGAGCTGGAACTAGATGACTTGCCCTGAGGGCTATCACTATAATAGTTTGACATCTCTAGTGTGAGTTTCTTAAATCACAAATACCCAGCTCTTATGGTAAGTAGTAATGGACAGTATTTTTGGATGAGATTAGCAACAGATTAAATTATGCTTTTTTATTTTTAAGCTTTAGTCTAGTAACACAACGTCATACTGTTACCCGCTACTTAATAAGTAAATTTGAAATAAATTATAACTCAGATCCACACGACCTTTTTTCTTCTTTATATACAGAGAGTACTTTATTTTGAAGAGGGAAGCGGTTGCGGAATGTCTGCAAGCTTTCCTTTTCCAATAAGGGTTCTTCCTATCGAGACATGGATGTTATCAACTTGAAGCTGAGCATTTGAGTTCAATGCATGAGTCACTACCTCGGCATTCACGCGTGATTGCTCCGTCTTGAATTGGCCTGATTTGTAGAATTTGAGTTCCGGTCTTATACCCCTAACTGTGGTATCGACAATGTTCTTGAAATCTGAACCCGATGATTTCGAAAGGGATTTGACGTCGGAAACTTTGCTGAATCCGACCTTTGGTATAGTTGGGTTGGCGAATGGGTACAGTTTGTTCATTCCATGAAGTTGGGATTGGCCAATATTTGTAGAATTCAAGGCCAAGCCGTGTTCTTCTGAAAATCTAGAAATTGCACGCAACATTCTGGATCTCAGACTGAATGCCATTTGGGATTTGTTTAGCTCTAGCTCACCGGGAGATGGTTCTTTGATTTTATATTGCAGCGGATCTTGAGGCTCAAAATAGCTGATGCTCTTGACGAAACTCTTGATATCATTTATCGCATCGGTGGCTTCCCATGTAACCTTCAGCTCTTTGTTGTCAACACTAGAATCGATTACTCCGAGTGATTTCAAGTCGTGCAATTTGTACTCTGGGAGCTCACACTTCTTAAGTTTGTCCCTTTGTTCGCGAGCCTTTTCTAGCCTCTTCACGATGCTCTTCCAGTGGGACATGTCAGGTTGAATGTTTTGACTTCTAAGAACTTTCAATGGCAAGTCGTCAAACACCTTCATAGCTGACTCAACATAAGGTTTCATATCTTGATTATCGTAGGCATCATCACTTTGCGTTTTTCCCTTCCGATGGTCACGAACAGACCTCCATTTGGACGATGAATACTGCGCTTTTGGTTTCTTCCCTTGCAAACGCTTTTCTCTGAAAATGCGAGGCTTGTTTTGGCTCTGATTTGCGCTTCTGGCTTGGTTCTTCTCTTTGAGAAGTTTTGGCTTTGCAGTATTATTCAATTCCTGTGGTATAGTCCTCAGTTTATCAAGCAGCAGCTGCTCATCATTACCGGCTGGCCCCTCGGTGGAATACATCCTCAGAGAGCGCACCAGCGCGACTGAACGTCTCAAATACATGTTCAACATCCGAACAATTTTTCTCAACTTGTATTTTCGCCAACTTTTGTGCAGGGTAAATTGCGTCGATAGTCCTCATGATACTTGTATTGTAAGATAATGCATCAGTTGCTGTTCGAGCATGCGATAACCAAATTCAATCACTCCCCGCTAGACGTCCTCAAAGTTTACAATGAGTACAAATACTCGAAACTGGATAACCTGGATGCGATCAAAGGTCATTTCCCGATGAAACCTCACCTAGCCTCTGTCAATACCTTGTCTTTGGATCCTTTGTATAACCGATATTTATTTTCTGGAGGAGGTGAATCTTCTATCAAGCTGTGGGATATAAAGCAGCAGGATGAAGTAGAAGAGTTGGAACCTATTTATACTCTTCCATCTAAATCGTTGCATAAATTTGGCATCACTCATATTAAATGGTGGTCCGATAACGGATTATGGCTGTCGTCCTCATTCGACCACACCTTAAGTGTTTCGGATGCAAATGAAATGCAGCATGTTCATTCTTTCAATCTTGGCTCCAGAGTGCTTTATTTTGATTTTGAAGATCATGGCCGCAATTCTTTGGTAGCTGTTTGTGCGGATGGGGGAATAGGAGGTCTCAGACTACTGGATTTGAGAACTCTGGCAGACGCTCATACACTAGGAGGTGGAGGAAAACTTCAAGGAGGCTTTGGATATATGCTGAGTTGTCGGTGGTCACCCGCAAATCCCAATCTTGTGGTTGGTGGCAGCCAAGATGGTTACTGCATAGGGTGGGATATACGACGTGCCGATGGTTGTATTTTCAAAATGGACTACAACCTAACAACAACTAACTACAAAACCAATACCAGACAGCTACTGTTACACGAAACCACTCCAAAAGCACACAATGGTGGAATCAACTCTTTACTTTTTACTGATGATGGGGCAGAACTTATAACTCTTGGACATGATGATAAAATATGTGTGTGGGATATGACAAGTGCAGAAAAGCCTCTTAACAAGCAGGTCAATTTCGGCCCCCTAGTGAGGAACAAATCCACGCAACACATTAGCATGGCTTTAAGTCCTACGAACGAAACAGAGCTACAATACTTATGGTTCCCGTCAGAAAACGGCGAGATCCTAATTTTCCGACTTGACGACGGTAAGCTTGTTGCCAGATTAACTAAAAATGGGAGTGCTCTGAACAGAAGGACGACCAGCATTGTCTATGCTAAAGATAGCTCGATCAAGTACTATAGTGGATGCAAGGACGGGACTATATCTGTCTGGGGCTATAATTCTTTGTTGGATAGCCAAATAGCTCGAGACGGGCTGGATTTTGATAGCGGAAACCCTGGAACGTTAGCAGGCGAGACCGAGCGTTCGGACGTCCTTGACAGGATACATGACGAGATCGAAGCTAATAGGATTCGTGCAAAAAACACGGAATTTCGATGACAGTGTTGAAAAAAAAATATTTTGTAATACTTCTGAAGTATCAGCATAATAACACTTACTGTAAAAGTAAGACGTTTGATTCTTTCCAAGGAGGCAGGGAATTATAGCATTTACGAGGGCGGAATATGATAAAGTTGCAAGTTCACATTGTTCCGCCGAGCGCTGCTAAAGCAAGAACACCGCTCCCTTACAATGGAACCGGAAATAATGTCGATATGAGTGTGATGCAGATGCAATCGCAAATATACCCTGGTTCCCAGTCTCAGCCTAATAACTCCTACTATCCGAACTTCACACTCAATGGCTCAAGTACGCCGCTGGTTAATGGAGTTTCGGGTTTCCATTCCCAGCGTCCAAGCTATGGCCCACCTCCCCATATCAATGGGCCTTCCGATGGTACTAAAAAATTCCTCCATATAACGAAAAGTTCGAGTACTCTTCAGGATGTTTGTGTCGAGATCCAAGAGAGATTCCTGAGGCTATATCCTGAACAAGAACCCATCATCATTCATCAAATTCAGGACAGCAATGAGTGTGACTTGGATCCGGAATATTCAGTTTCAATGATCTTTGATACGGACAACATTTTACGTGTTCTCGTGGAAAATGAATTCACAGGGGAGGAGGCTGATGCCAGAGGAAAACGCCACCTTCACAACGATTTGAATCAGGTCATCAAGAAAACAAGATCGTCTCGCAACCAACGTATTTGGCACGAGGCTAGACGACCTCCTCTGATAGAGGCTGAGGAGGCATCTCATCAATCTAATTTAACGCTCCCAGCTCCCAGCGATGGCAATCAGGATGCTACGGTAATTATTGAGCCGAAGAAGAATCTTAGTCCGCGAAATGCTAGCCCCGTGAATGCTCCTGGGTCCCCGAAGAGAATAACGTCTGGAATGCTCACGTCTCAATTCCAGCCTGATCTGTCAAAAGGTCAAGATCAAATCGAGAACGACGAAGGACGTGATTTGCAAATAAATGACGTACTAACTGATAGCGACCATTATCAAAGCGATGCGAATCAGGATACCTCTACTGTACGAAAAAGGCCGAGTGTGCCAACTAAAGCCGACGTGATGAACCGCATGACTTCAGCGCAGCGAAAGTCTCCAGTGTTGTTGAACGACACTTCTAACTCATCGTTCTCTTCCATCCCTGCCCAGACTTCTACACCTGCCAATGTCGTTTCGAATCCGTCATTTAAGGAGACCAAACCTATGAAACCATCTCAAGTCACGAAAAAACTCAATGATTCCGTCAAAGGTCCGGATGCAGATCTTGCGAAAACAGGAGAACAAAAGGACGTCAACGAAGAGGATTCTACGACCCCAAAGGCTAGAGGCAAAAAGCTAAAGGGAACAAAGGAACAGAAAGAGCCGAAAATTGATTCCAAAGAGGGCGTAATGCAACTTACACCACATGAAGAAACATCTGCTGCCAAACCTCGCAGAGGCCGTCCTATTGGCAGCAAGAATCGCGTCAAGAAGACTGAGACAAAAGAAGGAGGATCTCAAGAAGGAGAGGAGACCCGGAATCCAGAGGAAAAGAAAAAGCTGGCCCGCAAACCTAAAGCAAAAAGAGCTGAAGCAGCAGCAGCAGAGAGTAGTGAAACAAAGGACAACCAGAAAAACAATACGGCTGCCACCGAATCTATTCCACAAATTGCTGAAAGCAAGACTGGCAGTGATACCAGAGAAAAGAAATCTGCGAAGAATCGCTTTATTGATCCACAGAAGCATGGCATAAACTACACTAAAGCAGAAGTGATCGGTCTATTGAAAGATGGAGTGAAGGAAAAAGCAAAGACTAACGGTACCCCTACACAAGGAGTACAATCTAACGGGGTTGCTGAGAAAGAAGCAAAGCTACCAGTGGCACCAAATTCTCAGCCGCCTGTGACACAAGCACCAGAAAGTGGGTCGGATTCTAGCGACGATGACGATGACAATGACGACAACGATGACGACGAGTTAGAGGATGAACAGGAAACCATGAAAAGACCTAGAGTCGTCAATGCGCCAAAGAGCCTGATTGGCAATCCCTCTGTCCTTTCCTCGCGCAATAATTCCACGTTGAATGAAAGCCAAATATCGTCTCCACCTCCGAGCACCCAAGAGGCCCGTGTAATTCCTGAATTGCTTTCGCAGTCACAAGCACAGCCACCACATGTCTCTCAATCTGAGAGTTCGATTTCTTCACTCCCAAAGCTATCCCAGTTGATGGAACGTGGTCTACCTGATGTAAGGGAATTCAGCCAAGGTGTCCAAGCAACCTCTGCTTTCAGGCAGGAGAGGCCCGAGTCCGACTCCGAAACTGAGTCTTCCGATTCCGAGGATGATTCTGACGACTCGCAGGACGATAGCTCTGACTCGGAAACTGTAGGTTCTCAGAGATACCTTGATGCGAAAACTGCAAGTAATATTGTTTCCAAGGCCAAGGGTAAGAAGAAAAACCACGGATTTTTGGATCTAATGAAAGATGCTCGAAAATAGCTAAAATAGATTAGTTAAGCCATATAGAAAACTAGCGACGTTGTTGACCTTCGACAAACCCAAGTGCGTCGGCTTGGCCGATCTCACTCACTGTACTCACTTTGTTGTTGAACATCACTCCAAAGAACTTGTCACAGACTTTGAGCATTTCTGGACGGAACGTAGTGCATATGAATTGAGCGTGCTGGGAAAGTTCGTGAATGATCTGCGAGACAGATGTTCTGTATTGAGCATCTAAGTTTGCATCAATCTCATCAAACAGGTAAAATGGAGCTGGGTCACATTTTTGAATTGCCAGGATGAGAGCAATCGCACAGAGCGACTTCTGTCCGCCAGAAAGTTGCTCAATTCTTTGTTGTTCGTCCTCCTTTGAATTAAAAGAGACAGAAATCGAAACACCGACGTATTGGTCCACCAATTCAGTATCCTCCTCATCATCAGAGTCTGACTCTATAGCTTTCTTGCCTTTGCCCACTTTTTCACTTCTTTTTTGAATGATCAACTTACCAGTTCCTGCTGGAACTAGCTTTTCAAAGACTTCTGTGAAGCCGATACTCACTTCCTTAAATGTTCTGATGATGGCATCATCCTTTCTGCGCTCAAGAACCGAAATAAGATCTTCAATGGACTCTTTAGCATCATCAAGCTCATTTCTACGAGCCACCAGTGAATCACGCTGTTTGGCAAAGTTAAGGAACTGTTCTAGGGCCTTCTTGTTAACATGACTGTACTGCTTCAAACTCTCAGTGACTTCGTTTAATAGAGTCAAAACTTCACCTGAGCTTTTATCTTTGTAAGCAGTAAACGCTTCTTCTGGCAAGACACCCAGATCTCTAATTTTTCGGCTAATCTCGTCGCGCCTGTTAGCCAGCAAAACCTTTCTGCTCAGTGATTTTTCAGAGCTCTTGCCATAGTTTTCTAGTCGCCGCAAGAGGTTCCGTTGCGACTCATTGAGTTTTTGAAGCTGATCTTCAAGATTTTTAAGCTGTTTCTTCAATCCCTGTGACTTGCTGTGCAGCTCAGAATTCGAAGACTCCAGTTTCTCTCTGGTCTGCTCCAAAGTTTGCAACTTTTTCTCGAGTTCTTCGACCTTGATGTCATTTTTTTGCTGGGAATTGGACGTCCGCAAACTCAACTGCCTCAACCGAGGGTATAGACTGCCATTCAACTCGGATATGAGTGATGAAGACCGCAGCTCCAGCTCGTTGAGCTGGTCGTTGACCTGAGTGTATTCTTCCTCGGTACTCGAAATACTTTCACTGAGCTTTTTGAGCTGTTGCAACTCGATCTCGCTTAGATTTGATTCCTTGAATTCAGATTTTAATTCATCTTGGTACTCGCTAATCTGTTGCTCAGAAAGTTTTATTGAGGTTTGTAGCGACTCGATGCGCCCCTCCAGAGAGCCAAGCTCCTGATCATATCTACTTTTTTCATTTCCAAGTTTCGACTTGATGGACAAATAAGACTCTTTTTTTGTCAATAGGGCATCTAGTTCTCTGCGCTTATTTGCCAATTCTTCGCCTGCTTTGGTAACTCGAGCATCCTTGTCGGCAATCTGTTTTTTAACTTGTTCAAGCCTCTCCTGGGCACCGAAAATCTCAGATTTCCACTTGGTCAAGTTTTTAAGACAGTCCACTCTTGAACGAGTTTGATCGCGGAATCCTCCCGTAAGCACTCCCTTTCGGTCACATCTATCACCATCTAGAGTAATGGCGTTGAGTTTGTAAGCTTGCGAAATTTCTGCACCCTTTTCGAGCGTGATGCATACAACTGTCTTGCCAAAAACTTGCTTCACAGCAGGCTCCAAATATTCGTCAAATGCAATCTTCTTGATGAGCGGAACGCACTCAGATGTATCCGGATAAGACACAGTTTTAGGATTTAATCGGTTGAGAGGCATGAAAGTCACACGTCCTGCTTTTTGTCTAATCAGCTCCTCCATAATGAGCGTCGCAGTTTTATCGGTATCAACGACAATATGAAACAAGGAATTGCCGCCAATGACTTCGACTGCAGTCTTGTATTTTTCGCTGACGTTAATGAGCTCTCCCAAAGTTCCATACACTCCGTTCAAACCAAGATCTTTAGCTATACGTTGGACTCCTTCGAGTCCCAAAGCCATTGAACGATCCATAGTTTCGCTGACTCCCTGCTGGGCTCTCGCTTTTTCAGTTTCGTATGTCTCGATGATACTATTAAGCTTACTTTCTTCTCTCCAAAGCTGTTTCCTGTCGTCGATAAGTTGGTTGTAGTCGAGCTTCAACTTCGCCAGCTCTATTTCGAGAGAATCCATTTCAGTGTCAAGAGACTCAGCATTTTTAGCAACGCTCAACTCAGCAGCGAGATTTCCCGCCACAGACTCGATTTCTTCTTTATTTCTCAAGTAGACAGCTAAATCACCTTTTTTGGATTCAAGAGATTCCGACAAATTAGCAATTTCTGATTTAAGCCATTCATCACGTTCCGCCTTGCTCTTGAACTGTGAAAAACGGCCTTTTTTGGAAAGAAGGAAGCGTTGCTGTTGCTTCATCTCATCCAGTTTGCCTTTGATCGCACGTTCGTTGGCCAAAGCTTGTTTCAGAGCAGGCTGACACTTGCCAACCTCTACTTCTTTCCGAGATATTAGAGCATTTAGGTCCTCCAACTGAGAAGCAAAATCAACTCCAGAATAACCAGTGTCTGCTTCTGCCTCTTTCAACCGAGCGCTCGTATCCCCTATAGTGGTTAGCACGTCTCTAATTTCGGCATCATTCTCAGAAATGTCAACGTCAACGAGTTTCAGATCTGCCGTAAGCTCTGCGATCTGCGCATCAATGGTTTGAGCCTGTTTCTCCCTCTCGGCTAGTTTTTCAACCAACGAAGACGTGTCCTGAATAGCAGCTGCATAGTCTGATTCTAAGGACTCAACCTGATCACTTAAATTCGTCAACTCTCTATCATAAAGGTTATACTCGAGGGATTTTTTCTTATTATTGAGTTTCTCAAATTCCTTAAGATCATTTTTCTCCAAGTCGAGATCTTCCAAACGACCCTCTATGTACCTTAACATCTCGTCAATTTGCTCTCTCTTTTTGTTGGTTATTGACATCTCTTTGAGCGAGTCTTTCAATTTCGTTTCAAAAACACGAGCTCCAGCAACTTCTTTTAGAAGCTGCAACCTTTCAGAGTCTTTGGCATTAGTTAATGAAGTGATTCGACCTTGTGGAACGATATAGTACGGATTGGACTTTGAAAAACCAGCACTTTCAAGTAAGTTCGTAATATCAGACTTGGTGGCAAGTTTGGAGTCTAGCGAGTAATCGTCTTTCTTCATACCAATTGTTCTTCTAATCACGACTTCGTCTTTGTCGATAGGAAATCTGCGATCCGTATTATCAAAAACAATCTCCACATAAGCAGACATGACCGTACCCGAGCCTTCGTGAATCAGTGACTGGCGTTCCTCTCTTGTCATATTGGTATATGCGTCGGATAGAACAAATCTGATGGCTGCGAAGAAATTCGACTTCCCTGACCCGTTACGCCCAACCACCACATTGTGCTTGGGGGAAAACGAGTCTATGATCGTTGTATTTTTGTAGGTTTTGAAACCCTGTATTACGATCTGCACGTTAGCACCTTTCCAGTCATCTACTTACTCTCTTGATATGCATATTTTGAGAACATATTTTCAAATCAACGCGTCTCAATATTTTCGTGTCGCGGAACCTACTCCTTACACCAAAAAGCATCAAGGGCGATAATATTTTGGTTCAACGAACGGCATCTTGGACACAACTGCGGGTCTTAGCTTTCCTCTAATCTCAATCAGAACTTCGGTGCCCGTCTTCTGATAAGGCTTATTGATAAATGCCTGTCCAATATTGCCTCCAAGAGTAGGAGAGGGAGACCCAGAGCAAACTACACCGATTTGTTTAGATTGATCGTCGCTAGCGAAAATCTTATTTCCCTGGCGAGGGGAGGGGCCTTTGGATTTGATGCCAACTCTCTTGAAAGTAACCGATTTTGGATTTTCCAGCTGACCCAGTATCTTTTCGCTTCCGTTGAACTTGTCCGACCTTCTAGACTTGGACACTAACCAGTTCAAAGACGCTTCAACAGGTGTAATCTCTTCGTTCAGTTCATGCCCGTATAGACACATTCCTGCTTCAAGTCGGAGCGAGTCTCTTGCAGCGAGGCCAACTGGTTTCACAGCCTCGCTCTGCAAAAGAGCAAGGAAGAACTCTCTCGCAACGCCTATATCTGGGATGGAAATTTCAAAACCATCTTCACCAGTGTAGCCACCTCTTGCGATATGGAATTTTTCTGAGGATCCGAAGCCATCCAGAGGAATGAATCTGGATTCGCCAAAGTATAAGGTGCTCAGATCAGATGAAGTGTACTTAGACACAACTTCCTGAGCTTTCGGTCCTTGGATTGCGAGAAGGGCACCTTCAAACGTTTGATGTTCGATGCCAGAACCTTCATTGTAGCTACTGAGCTCTGATTTGATGAACTCAATATCCTTAGCTCTGCAGCCTGCATTGGTAACAATATAGAAACTATCTTCATCATGCTTGGTGATCATACAGTCATCAACAACACCACCATTGCTGTTAAGCAAGACGCTCAGGGTGGAATGAAATGGCTTTAGAGAGCGTAAGTCAGTAGGGCATATCTTCTGCAGAAAAGAGGTAGCGTTTGGTCCTTTGATCCGATGCTGCAGCATATGAGAGACATCAAAGACACCACAATTGGTTCTGACCCACTTGTGCGATTCAATATGAGTCTGGCCCTTGTAAAGAACAGGCATCGAATAACCCGCAAATTCGACCATGGTGGCTTTGAGCTTGATATGCAAGTCTGTGAAGGGTGTAGCCAAAAGAGAGGGCTCAGAGGAGTAGTGCCTGATCCCTTTGGGCCATAGTAAGAGCGCTCTCCGAGAAAACATACTAAGTTTGAGGTGATGTGGAGAAACCGGTAAGGCTTTATAGGCAGATACGCAGTACAAAGTCTTGACCGGAATTTGACCGGAAATTACTTGGTGACTTGATTGATTTGAAACCTTATATTTTTTTTAACTCTGGTCAGCATGCCTCAATTGAGTGAAGACAAGAAGAGAGTGTTGCTCCAATTGCTGGTGCGCTAACCCAGACCTACTACCGATACACTGATCGCAACGTCTAACGATAGTGTTCAACCGCCATGAGTCCCTATACACGATAGAAAGGTCCATCGCTCGTGAGTTGAGAGAAATAGGGGTATTGCGCTTCTCGCGAATTCCATTCTTCAAAACTGGACTACTTGAGCACCTAATAGATCAAACTCGGAAGATGATATACTGACATCGTGGTTTCAAAGTTGAAAGGTCTTCCTGAAGCTGGACTAGAAAAAGAAGTATAGCCCTTCATCATTTAGAATGCCGTCTCTCGGTCGCAAGACCGAACAAAAGGATGCTGGTGCATCTTTCGAGTTTGTTATAAGCTTTTGGCTCAGAAACACATCCTGGAAGCCCAAATATATGAGCTCAGCAATCGAGCTTACCCTTGCAACTGCTAGCGACCACCTGACAGGAACCATACCGCACAAAATCATCCCCGATAATTTTTTCCGAATTGATCCCTCGGGTTTTAAGCCCAGCTGAGAGCGAATCGTATGCCAATAATTTCATTAGTTTAAAGACCAATTGCCAGAGTCGAGCTAGCCATCAACCCCAATTCCATAACGGACAGCATACGATAGGGAGACTGCTAATACTTGGCCGTCCAAATGGAGATCAAGCTGTACAGGGAGTGTGACTCCAAATAGCTATCTCAACGAGTCATCAAATCAGGAATCTTTGCTCTCTATGTGTGGAGCTTTAGTCACAGGAAAGACGTTCGTACGAGTCAAGGGTTCTCTTGTACTTCACAAAAAAGACCAACCAGAGCATATTCGCAGCAGCGAACAGAAGAACCTCGTATAACGGAAAATAAACTAATCCAGCTCCCTTTCCGCCTGCGGTTGAGTCTGCGATTAGTCCCATGACGTAGGGCATGACAGTGGATCCCATGGCTCCCAATCCACATATTACAGCCACACCCGCAGTAGAAAACTTTTTGGGTAACGTTTTCATCGCTATAACCACAGTGGTAGAAAACATAGGGCCGACAAAGAATCCAACGAAGCATATAGAGCATACCATCAATGCATAGACCTGATTGAACAGCCAGAAAAGAATTGTTCCAATCGTGACCAGGGTGCAATATATGACCATCGCTTTGGTTTCGTAATCTTCAAATAGATGACCGGTAATAAAGCTAAGGAAAAACCGGCCTGCGGTGAAGGCAATCCAGTATGCGCTAGTGACATATGACGAAGACTTGTCGGTAAATCTGTGGATGTTCAAAAGGTAGTTAAAAAGCCACACACCCATGCTCAGTTCCGATCCCAGATAAGTAAATAAACACAAGGAGAAAAAGATGACGAACTTGTTTGTGATAATTGTCTTGAACGACAAATATTCATCAGTCCCATCCTTCTCACAATCTTGTTGTAATTGGTATCTATATTTCCATCTTGTTTCTCGGCTGAAAAGGAAAATCGAGCCCACAAAATTTATTGCAATGAGCCCCAATATGAAAAGGTAGTACTGGTTCCACGCAAACCCACGATGAATCAGGAAAGTGCAAAACAGGGGGCTAATGAAACACCCCAAGCCATAGAATGCATGCATCAAGCCAAGTAGCTGATTGCTATACTTTAAGCCACCAACGAAAAGATTCATCGCACAATCAAGAGTTCCGAAACCAAGTCCGTTAATCATGGATATTGAAACAAGCGTCGGAAAGTTCAGCTTTGCATATATAGCTGTAGGCATTATTGCCATGACCAGCAAAGATATTGGGTATAGGCCTTTCAAGCCCAACATTTGGCATACCATGTTGTTTCCGAAACTTGCGATCATATATCCTATAGCTTGACAAAGAAATAAATATGATATATGTGTTCTATCAGTTTGATAATCTGATAAAAGATACTCCATAACCGACCCCAAGGATTGATCTGCCACGCCAATAATCATGAAGCTAATCACAATTACTGCTACCTGTAATCTTAATCTAATCGATCGTTTTACATCTCTGCTTCCTAGATAAATTGTGTGACCTTGGAAATCTATAGAAGTTGGTATTTCAAAATCCTCATCCGTTCCAAATTCATTGTCGTATTCATGTGGAAACTCAAAAGACTTATTCTCATTCTCTGGGGTGAGAGTGCTGAGCTCAAAAGATCCGCCGCTCATGTAGCAATTAGTTTAAGATCCCTTTAAACTTTTTTTCTCCCCTTGGGGTAATACAGATATCCAACGTAGTGGAACTCCAAAAATAAAAACGTTCATGCGACATGGTAAGCTATGAAAAACATTAGTACTTGTTTCGTGTTTTAAGCTTGATCGAGAGACTCTTCAGTGAACTGTGAAGGAGACCCGGTAATCCGTCAAAACCCATATCTGCCAACTTTTCTAATATATCCAGTCTCAAATAGTCGTAGTCGGAGTACATGTCGTACCATTGTTCAGAATTACTGATTAGTCTGTTGAACTCGGATTCGTTCAATGGCCCTGCAAGACGAATATCAACCCCATTGTGGTCCTCAAGACGATGGATTATATCAGTAATCAATGAAGAGTATGCAGGTGCATAGAAGACGTCAAAGTCTTTTTTGATGGAATCAAAGTCATAGTCCTCCCTATCGTCGAAACTTGAATCGTAGTGATGATAGCGCTGTTTAAGCATTTTGGTTGTGAGAGCATAAGGGAGCATGAACCCCTTGGCAGTCGATTTTTCATTTTTGTCGAATGCCTTGTCTCTCCAAACAATATTACACAGATCCATCACGTAGGAATTGTGCAAATTCTTGAGCATGCTGAACGTTGCATGAGTCAAGTCCGAATTTATTGCACCAAGTCCTTGTTGTGTAGAAAGAAAGTTTGCGTAGTAACGTCTGCAAAATGTCACATGTCGACACACCCCATCGATCAGAGCAGAGTTCGATGAAAAATATAGATCATAAAGTACAACGGGTGGCAAAACTAAATTTGATAATCTGAGGTGCTCATAGTCGATTCGATAAACCACACGCAAAAATCTGACAAAGCTTAATTTACATTCGGTAAACTGGTTTGCTTGGCCACAAAAACTCTCCGTAAAATCACTAATCACATTCTCTATCAGATTATTGACCGTTTTCCAAAATTCTTCGTCCTCATGAGGCGTCTGAACGATGCACCAATTCGAGATGAGACCAGATGTAGACTCCAACGCACGGGACACACTACCAGAATTCTTTAAGAGTGGCCTGAGCTTCTCATAGATTGGTACAAATTGTAACCAAGGTCGATATGCAAGGTAAGGTAAAAATTCGTAAAACTTCACGGTACCAATAATAGGGTCTTCAGGTTGCAAGCCTGACAACAGAAATTCCTCCAATGCTGGAAGAAGAACTAGCGAGATTCTAGTGAGTTCAAGTAGTCCATTGAATAATGGTTCGTGTGCAGGATTGAGCTTTTGCCCCTCTTCACCAAGAACGACTTCCATCCACTTGTTCAGCTCTTGATAATCAAGCTGCAGCAAAGCGGTATACAGAGGAAGTTTTGGGTAGAATTGGACGAAAAGGCCGAGAGTTTCAGTTACTTTGAAACTTGGCTGCACTTTGTAATGCGAAAAATCATCGATCTGGTATAATAACAATCCCATTTGTCGAGGCACAGAAATGTTGTCCAGATGCTGCAAATAGGCTGGAATTGTGTAGCAATCTGCTACTGATCTGGAAGTCAACATGTCTATCGTATTGATATCAAAAGTAAGCTCGTCAAGCTTTTTACGCTTATATCGATGTCCCGCGGCTGATACCCCATATCGCAAATTGAGATACTCGAGCATTTGATTGAAGTCTTGTAAATTATAGTAAAACTCCTGAAAATCTTCAATCTCCATCAGCGGCGACATGGTATCAGTATTCTGATTGAACTGATAGTATTGAACTTTGACATCCACCAATGACTCCAGCACTTGGTGATCCGCCTTGAATACATCCTTAGGAAGCCTTTCATTCTCGACGATCTCTTCTAATTTATATCTGTAGGTATCGAACAGAGGTAAATTATCCTTTCCTTGCAAATAGCTATGGATGACTGTCACCAAAGGCAACACGCTCTTGTCTTTTTCGTAGAGTTCAGTCAAATATATGATTCTGGAAGCATTGAGGAAGAACTTGATGTTAAAGGACTCATCAATTTGCGAACTCAGCTGAATCAAATAAACTATGATAATGCTAATATGGCCTCTGATGTACCCAATTGGCAGCATATTATAAAGAAATGGAAGAATACGCAAATAGTCTTTACCTAGCCTGAAATTGAAAAAGTTGGAGACAAGCCATTTGCTCATATTGGTCTGAATCTTCGGGTGTATTGTGGTTCCTTCGTTGGAAAACGTAGATAATTTTAACGAGCTGATAATGCAGAGAAATACATCAAAGTCTAACAGCTCGTAACAGTGCCAAATCTTTACAATTCGACATTTGATTGAATTAGTAAAGAGTCTCGTGTTCGTGGTGTCTAGCACGACATTAAGCAGTATTTTGAACTGGCTCAGACTAATACCATATTTTGGTACTACCAATTGAAGTTCGCGTACAGTCTCTTTGATGGAATATGTATCAGATTTCTCGTTGGCTGTCCGCAGAACTTCAATAGAAGAATCAATAAAGTCGTAGTAGCGCTGAATTTTGGCGCGCCTTCCAGAGTCCATTTGGTCCTCAAAGATATATATCTTGTTTTTATTTGAGGTACGCGATTTGTTCTGCACGCCTTTGCACCACGCGTTAATCCAACTTGATCGAGCCAAAAAAAAAGTTCTTAGAATTTGAGATGTCTTCGTCAGAAGAGGAAACGCCTTTGAACGCAGTCAAGCGCAAACGTGTAACTAAGAGGCCTGAGCCTATTTTGTCTGAATCAGAGGATGGTTTGGCCACAGGATCAGAGAAGGTGAAGACGCCGACCACATCATTTAGCGAAGATGAGACTGATGATGTACCTCTGAAGAAGCGGAAAACCAATTCAAAAGCTGCACAAAGTAGACCCACAGTCAAAAAGGAAACACAGTCAAGCGTTTCGGTTTCTCCCCGGAAAAAAAGTCAGAAGAGTAAAGAGCCCAAAATCAAGAAAGAAGAGACACCCAAAGTTAAAACAGAAGATGAAGCGGAAGAGGAAGAGAGGTACAAGTGGTGGGAGCAACAGGATTTGAACGACGAGATTGTTTGGGATACGCTTGAGCATAACGGAGTCATATTTCCTCCAGAATACGAACCTCTCCCTTCTCATGTGAAGCTGATTTACGATAAAAAACCCGTTTCTCTCCCACCAGCTGCTGAAGAAGTTGCCGGCTTTTATGCAGCCCTACTGGAGTCTGATCATGCCAAAAATCCGACCTTTCAAAAGAATTTCTTTGCCGATTTTCTAGAGGTACTGAAAGAAAACGGGGGGTGTCCAGACGCGGAAATCAAAGAGTTCGAAAAATGTGATTTCAGCAAAATGTTCGAGTATTTTCAAAAGCAGAAGGAGGAAAAGAAGGCGATTTCTCCCCAAGAGAAGAAACGAATCAAACAGGAGAAGGAAAAGATGGAAGAAAAATACAAATTTTGTCTTTTGAACGGTCGGAAAGAGCAGGTTGGAAATTTCAGAGTTGAGCCTCCGGGATTATTCAGAGGTCGTGGAGCGCATCCGAAGACCGGTAAACTGAAAAAGCGCGTTCAACCGGAGGATATAACTTTAAATCTGAGCAAAGATGCACCAATCCCTCCGCCACCGGAAGGCCATCAGTGGGGAGAAATAAAGCATGATAACACTGTTGCATGGCTGGCCATGTGGAGAGAAAATGTGCTTGGATCCGTTAAGTACGTGCGATTTGCTCAAAATTCCTCTCTGAAAGGTATGAGTGACTTCAAGAAGTTTGAAAAGGCGAGAGAGCTGAAGAACTGCATCGATGCTATCAGGAAAGACTACCGAGCCAAGTTGAAATCTGAGCTCATGATGGATAGACAATTGGCTACAGCGACATATCTCATTGACGTATTTGCGCTCAGAGCGGGGGGAGAAAAGAGCGAAGATGAAGCAGACACCGTTGGTTGTTGCTCCTTAAGATACGAACACATTTTCCTGAAGCCCCCAAACACAGTTGTTTTTGATTTCTTAGGTAAGGATTCCATCAGGTTCTATCAAGAGGTTGAAGTGGATCCTCAAGTTTTCAAGAACTTGAGAATTTTCAAAAAGAGTCCAAAGAAACCTGGTGACAACTTGTTCGACAGAATTGATCCCTCCGTGCTCAACAAATATTTCCAATCGTATCTCCCGGGATTGACTGCTAAGGTTTTCAGAACTTACAATGCGTCCAAGACCATGCAAGACCAAATCGATTTGATTAAGAATGAAGGTACGGTCAATGAGAAAGTGGTGAAATTCAACGCTGCCAATAGAACTGTTGCTATACTCTGTAATCATCAGCGGACGGTTAGTAAGAATCATGAAGCAGGAGTTCAAAAAATAAATGAAAAGATAGAAGAAATGATATGGCGCAAAATCGTGCTGAAGCGTATGATGCTGCAACAAGACGAGTCGTTGAGGAATAAGGATTCCAAATACTTTGAGGAGATTGATGATTTGAGCAAGGAGGAAGAACAAAAAATCATTGAGCGGGTGTTACAAAAAGAGAGGGAAAAGATAGAGAAGAGATATGAACGAGAGCTATTAAAGTTGGGATACGAAGAACTGACGAAAGACGAGAAGACGAAGAAGAAAGATGAATTAGCAGCCGATCGCAAGAGCAGGTTAGAAAAGCACAAAGAACTAGAGAAAACATACAGAAATGAGTTCAAGAGCAGAAAGTACGAGATCAAGTCCACACAAACTGTGGAGAAGCTTCAACAGCAGGTGGAGAAAATTGAAACAAGGATAAAAAACACTAGTCTTCAGCTCAAAGACAAGGAAGACAACTCTCAAGTTGCGCTGAACACATCCAAAATCAATTACATCGACCCTCGACTAACAGTTATGTTTTCCAAAAAGTTCGAGGTGCCCATCGAGAAGCTGTTCACTAAAACCTTGCGCGAAAAGTTTGCTTGGGCCATCGAATCAGCCGATGAGAACTGGAGATTCTAAAGCTCATAATAATGTAATATAGAATGGTTAAATATATATGTACCGAATGGCGCTATGTATAGAGGATAATCATGCTAAGAGGGGCTTAATATTGTCTAGCAGCGGCCTGACAAGCCTTTAGCTGCTGCAAGTAGAAGTCGCAAGCCTGATAGTTGCCATTCGATTCCTCCAAACATCTAGTAAAGTTTCTAGCATCCGCATCACAGGCAGGAGTGGATTGTTGTTGGTATTGTTGAGCTGAAGCAGCCGGGACTTGCTGCTGTTGGTACTCAGCAGGCTGCGAAGATGATCCGGAGAACAGACCTGTTATACCTGCACCTATAGTGTGACCCACTGCGGAGCCGACCGCGACACCAGCAGCAGTCGAGGCCATTTGCGAAAACAGACCTGGCTGTTGTTGGGTCTGCACCGGATGGCTGTAAGAGTGCGTAGGAGCTGGTGCAGCCATAGTGGATGCTGGTCTGGCACCAGAAGGGGCAGATCTAGCAGCTGGAGCAGGTCTTCTTGAAGATGATCTTGGCATGTTGAAAAATATGTAATTAAAAAAAAACGCGAATCTATTTGCCACTGCTTTATGCTGGAGATTCGAGAAAAAAAGGGGCGAAGGATTAAAATTAGCCACGCTATCAAAGACCGGGTAATTGTGGCTAGTTTACGATGTAGCACTAAAAGGTGGGGTTTTAGAATCGCAGCTACCAATGTTTTGTTTTGCACTCAGACAGGGTTGGAGGGTTGCAGCATGGAGCTCCATAGGAGTTCGCTCAAGGAGTTTCTCTGTCACTGCATATAGTAGGCAGAGCACTGGAGGAACTGGTAGCCAAAGGGCCGATGATAACGATTTCTATCAAATTAGGAAAAGAGGCAATCGACCAGGAGAAGGTGATCCGGATGAACCAGAGCTAGCCTCAACTTACAATATCAAAATAAGCTCTGCAATGGGTAACTATGAACAGTTTATCAATGAATCGAAAGACTGGGATACTTGGAATCTTTACAACGAGGATTCTCCAGACTTTCCTGTTCGTAAAAACAAGATTAGACATTTTACGTTGAACTTTGGGCCGCAACACCCTGCAGCTCATGGAGTGCTGCGATTGATTCTTGAGCTACACGGTGAAGAAATTGTTCGATCAGATCCACACGTTGGCCTTTTGCACAGAGGAACAGAAAAATTGATTGAATCCAAAACGTACATTCAGGCATTGCCGTACTTTGATAGACTTGATTATGTCTCTATGATGACCAACGAGCAGGTGTTCTCCCTTGCTGTGGAAAAACTGCTTAATATTGAAGTGCCCATCAGAGCAAAGTATATTAGAACAATGTTTGGAGAGATTACGCGTATTTTGAACCATCTCATGTCTGTTCTATCGCACGCTATGGACGTGGGAGCGCTGACACCATTCCTGTGGGGCTTTGAAGAAAGAGAAAAATTGATGGAATTTTATGAGCGAGTTTCGGGGGCTCGGTTGCACGCTGCTTATGTGAGACCAGGTGGGGTTTCACAAGACCTTCCTTTTGGCTTACTGGATGATATCTACATGTGGGCTACCCAATTCGGTGACCGTATTGACGAAACAGAGGAACTCCTTACTGACAATCGTATCTGGAAACAAAGAACGGTAGACATTGGAACAGTGACGGCAGAAGACGCTCTGAATTATGGTCTGTCGGGTGTCATGCTTAGAGGATCGGGTGTCCCTTTTGACATCAGAAAGTCACAGCCATACGATGCCTACGAATATGTCGATTTCGATGTTCCTGTTGGAACTAGAGGAGATTGTTACGATAGATATTTGATTAGAATGGCCGAGTTTAGGCAATCCCTGCGGATTATCGAACAATGCATCAACGATATGCCTGCAGGCCCCATTAAGGTTGAAGACTTCAAAATTGCCCCACCAGCCAAATCGTTGATGAAAACTGATATGGAAGCTTTGATCCACCATTTTTTGGTGTTCACCAAAGGTTACCAAGTTCCTCCTGGTGAGACTTATACGGTTATTGAAGCCCCGAAGGGAGAAATGGGCGTGTATGTGGTGAGTGACGGATCAGAGAGACCATACAGATGCAAAATTCGTGCTCCTGGATTCTCTCATCTGGCTGCTTTTGATCACATTTCAAGAGGACACTTGCTACCAGATGCTGTGGCAATCATCGGAACGATGGATCTTGTGTTCGGAGAGGTTGACAGATGATGATGTGAAGCTATTTATTTGGATCTACCTTATTTATTGAAGATATTATTAACTCTTACTGTCGTGCAACTTCCTCAACTGAAGGACAGGTGCACATCAGGTTGATGTCTCCATAAGCGTCATCAACACGTGCAACGAAAGGCCACGTCTTAAAATCTCTCAAGAATGGCAGCGGAAAGCCAGCTTTTTGTCTTGAATATCCTCTAGATTGCCATTCTTCTTCATCGGTTTCCAACAAGTCTCTAAGTGAGTGAGGAGCATTTTTCAGGAGAGCTGCGCTGCCACCATTTTTGACATCCTCAATCTCTTTACGAATAGAGATCATCGAATCGATGAATCTATTGAGCTCATCCAGGTTCTCAGACTCAGTAGGCTCGATCATCAGGGTTCCTGGAATAGGGAAAGACATAGTTGGAGCATGGAAGCCGTAATCCTGAAGGCGCTTGGCAACATCAATGGCCTCAATTCCAAATTCTTTGAATGGTCTCAGATCAATAATAAACTCGTGCGCGCAGTATTTGATTTCATGGTGTGCAGACTCATCGCCCAAAAACATGATTTTGTAGTGATCGCGAAGCCTATACATCATGTAATTGGCATTCAAAATAGCCAAACTAGATGCGTAAGGCAGGTTTTGAGCTCCCAGCATCTTTATGTAAGCGTAAGAAATGGGCAAAATCGAGGCCGACCCGAATGGCGCAGCTGAAACAGGATTGATTGCAGTCGACGCAGTGTTGGTGGAAGGAAACAAAGGGTGCTTTGGCAGGAAGTCCTTCAAGTGTTCAGCAACACAAATAGGCCCCACACCTGGACCACCCCCACCATGAGGTATAGCGAAGGTCTTGTGCAAGTTCAAATGACAAACATCAGCTCCCAAATCTCCCGGGGAAGTCAAACCCACCTGAGCATTCATGTTTGCACCATCAAGATAGACCTGGCCCCCATGGGAATGGACAAGGCGGACAGCATCTCTAATAGTAGGCTCGAACATACCGTAAGTTGATGGGTAGGTGATCATGATAGCAGCAAGGTTGGAGGCGTGCTTAGTGGTCTTAGCTTCGAGATCCTGAAGATCAAGGTTTCCATTGCTAAGACATTTCACTGGAACCACCTTGAGGCCCGCCATCGTAGCGGAGGCCGGGTTGGTTCCATGAGCACTGACGGGAATCAGGACCACATCTCTGTGGCCCTGGCCAATGCTCTCTAGATAAGCTCTAATGACTGTCAAACCGGTGTACTCTCCCTGTGCGCCCGAATTCGGCATTAGAGTTGTTTTGCAGAACCCAGTGATATCTGCAAGGTCACTCTCGAGCTCTGTGATCAATTCCAAATAGCCTTTGGCCTGGTCGCTTGGCACAAAGGGGTGAATATTTGCAAATTCAGCCCACGTGATTGGAACCATCTCCGTTGTGGCGTTCAACTTCATGGTGCAGGAGCCAAGAGAGATCATAGAAGACGCAAGAGAAATGTCCCTCTGCTGTAGCTTGTATAGATAGCGCAACATAGCAGTTTCCGAGTTGTGCGTGTTGAAGACTGGGTTGGTGAGGATCTTGTCTGTTCTAGCAAGATGGTTGGGGAATTCGGGAAGACACTGAACACCGTCAAAATTGGCCGTTTGTGAAGTGAACAATTCCACGAGCTTGGACAAGTCGTCTTCGGTGACAGACTCGTCAAGAGACAATTGTATCTGTTTATCGTTGACCCTGAATAGATTGATGTTGTACTTATTGAGGGCCTTAGCGATGAATTCATCTGAAGATCCCTCAATCTGAACGGAGAGCGTATCAAAGTAAGTGGCATTGAGAACGGTATGCGGAGAGTTCTCGGTAATTTGATCGGCAAGAATGCGTGTGAGACCGTGAATTCGCCTAGCGATCGCCTTCAAACCATCGGAACCATGATAAACCACGTAGTTGGCGGCAATATTCGCAAGCAAAGCCTGAGCGGTGCAGATGTTAGAAGTAGCCTTCTCTCTCTTGATATGCTGCTCACGAGTTTGAAGCGCCAAACGAAGAGCCTGATTACCGAGTCTGTCTTTTGTGACACCCACAAGTCTCCCTGGAATCTTCCTTTGCAGTTTGTTAGTGACAGCAAAAAAAGCAGCATGAGGGCCTCCAAAACCCATAGGAACGCCAAATCTTTGTGAAGATCCCAAAGCGATATCAGCACCGAATTCAGATGGCGGCTTGAGAAGGGTCAAAGCCATCAAATCAGAAGCCACTGCAACCAAACCTTTATTGCTATGCACAATGTCGGCGATACTGGCAAGAACTTCCGGAGAAGGAATGGTACCATCTGTTTGAGGGTAAGAGACCAAAACACCACACAGCTCACTAGCAATAGGTTCAACGTTAGTCAGATCATCAATAACAAGCTGAATTCCCAAGGTGTAGGCCCTGGTTTTCAAGACGGCGATGGTTTGTTCGTGGGTGTTCTTATCAACGAAGTAACTGGTTTTTTTCCCACGCAATTGATTATAGGACAAGATCATGGCTTCCGCAGCTGCAGTACCTTCATCAAGAAGAGACGAGTTTGCCACTGGGAGGCCAGTAAGATCAGAAACAATGGTCTGATAATTCAACAGACTTTCGAGCCGTCCTTGCGAAACCTCGGGTTGATAAGGAGTGTAGGATGTGTACCAAGCCGGGTTTTCAAGCAAATTCCGCTGGATTACAGCAGGAAGGATAGTGTTATAATAACCCTTTCCAATGTAAGACTTGACCAACTTGTTTTTGGACGCAATTTCCTTCAACCGGTTCAACATCTGGGTCTCGGTGTATCCCTGTTCAGGTTTGATCTTGAGAGGTCTTCCAACAAAAACATTTTCTGGGAGAACCTTGCTAATGAATTCACCAAGGTCGGAACACTTCACCACAGAGAGCATCTGATCAACATCTTGGGGCTTGGGGCCCAAGTGCCTGCGCGCAAAAGTATCCAGGTCAGCTAATCCTTTATTTGGGGGATAATACCCCTTAGCATAGGCTTTTGACGAAATGAGTCGCAAGGAGCCATTGAATGCAATCCTGGATGACACCGACATTGCCAGAAAAGAAACTGATCAATTTTGAACAACAGATATAGGACTGAGGGTGATATATAAAGGACTGATGCAGATTGACTTGGAAAAAGAAATCTGCGGGGATAAGAGTCAAATTTACTTACTTGGTGACTTTGCCCGACAGGATTGAAACAAATAAATATTCAGCATATTACATAAGCACCACCGCTTGCGTTCTGCGTCCACTATTGGCAGCTACCCACGAGCCATCGGTGTTCCAACACACATTGTTCACCTCCATCTCATCAAAAAAGCCAAAAGTTGGAGTGACAGAGTTTTCTTGCTGGCTGCAGGTTGTAAGGTCGTAAATCAATACTTGGCAATCGTCTGCCCCCGTTAGGAGGAAGTTTCTGCTTGGATGCCATGCTATGCTATTAACAGGTGCGACATGGCTTCGCAAAATCTCGATAGGCGTCTCGGGATACCTCAAATCCAATATCAAAACGCGATTGCTGTCAGCTTCTATGGCGGCAATTTGGTTGGCATTGTAGTTAGACGTTGCTAGTCGGAGCAAAGGTACACGCTGGCCCACTGATGCATCCTGGGTAGAAGCCAAAGTAGCAATACTTGCGATTGATGACCTGGTGGACTGGGGCTCGTATATGATCGTGGAATGTTCCAAGGATCGCAAATCGAAGACTCTGATGGATCCGTCATTGGAACAGCTGGTGAAAACATGCTTATTACCATGCAGGAACTTGACATCAAACACCTCACTGTCGTGTGCAATCAATTGCGTTTTGGCCACCCCGCTGCCTCGCGAAATGTCCCAAAGCGTGCACGTAGAGTCTATAGAGCTTGTTATTATATGTCGGGGGTCGGTTTTGTTCCAGTCGAACGATGTGAGCGGAGCTAGTTGATTGAAGTTTTTGGTTTTTGAGTTGGTGAGTGTCATTTTTTCAATGATCCTGGAACTCTGCGCATAAGACTGTGAGGGATCGGGTTCTAAGAGCTCGTAGATTCGTAGACACTCAGAACTTGTCGCTACACATGTCACATCAGGATAGAGCGGCATTGATGGATCCCACTGTAGTCTTGTGATAGGGTAGTTGACTGTAATCTCTGCCACCGAAGCAAAATCATATGCGTCTGTTGCCTTGGTGCCATTTTGTGCATCGTCGGTATATATTGGAGAACCTTTGATGATCTTGAGTCTGTTTGTCGAATCCTCACGGAACGAGCTGACAGCAATTTTGGCTGTATCAGACTGCGCACTTGATGTCCAATCCAGCCCATAAACAGGAAAACGGGAGTCATGAGATGAAGACCTCGGAGAAGAGTGTGTGTTCTCGGGAACAGCAGACGGCTGATTGTTGGAGGGAACGAAGCGAGACTGTCCAATCCCTAGATGTTAGACAAAGAGTGCTAATACCACTTACGCGAAGGTGCTTGGAGGTGTGGCTGTTCTACGGCGATGGATGACCGTTTCGCTAGCTTGCTAAAAGGGTTGTTATCCATTTCTTGACAATTAGAGTATTGGTGGCTGAGGTTTAAAGGTCACATGTGGCGGTGCAATTGAAAAGGGGCAGAAGCAAACTTCAATCAGTCGGGTTACATGCACAGGACAAGAGTACCAAAATATAACTAATTATCATTAGAAGCTCAATGAAGTCATTGAGCCCGAGCTGGTACAGACACTAAAGAGGTATCTATGCAAGTGGGAAGTGAAAAGGTATCGAAGAGATCACAAATCACAACCGTAGCTGCCACGGGAAAATATAAATCAGGACAGTTTAGAAAGACAGTAAATTGAATTGAATACCAGGAAGTACCAGCACCAAATATCTCGTAACTTTGAGCGGCAAAGACGATGTTTATAGATTGATCGCGAACAAAATGACTCCGAAAAGTCTTGCGCTTCGTTCAGAGTTGCCAGAACGCTTAGTAGAAGAAGGCAGCAATGAAAGCAGCTCCCAGCAAGCCTGCGGAAGCGTAACCCTTGGCAGCAGCACCCTCCAAGATCGAGATGCTGGAGGCAGTAGCGCCAGAGCCAGAAGCAGAGCCGGCAACAGAAGAAGAGGACAGGGTGGCAATGCCAGTCTCGGCCAAAGTGGAGCCGGCAACAGAAGAAGAGGACAGGGTGGCAATGCCAGTCTCGGCCAAAGTGGAGCCAGCACCAGAAGAAGAGGACAGGGTGGCAATGCCAGTCTCGGCCAAAGTGGAGCCAGCACCAGAGGCACCAGAGGCAGCAGGGGCAGCAGGGGCGCCAGGGGCGCCAGGGGTGGTGACAGTGGCAACAGTGGTCGTGGTGCCCGAAGCAGTAGCAGCGGCAGAGCTAGCGCCACCGGTGGTAGTGGTGGCAGCACTAGTCTTTGTGACCTCGTAGTACTCACAAGTGGTAACGTAGGTGGTGGTAACAGCACCGCTAGTCACAGTGGTCGTGACCTCCAAAGCGGTGACCGGAGTACTAGCAACTGGGTTGGTGATGGTGGTGGTGTACGTCTTGGTAACCTCACCAGCGGTCAATGGGCAGTAAGTAGTGTAGACAGTGGTCAAATCAGTAACAGTGGTGAGACCAGTGACGACGGTAGACTCTTGACCCTTGCACTTCTCCTCAGTACAGGTGACAGTGATGGTGGTGGCCTCTGGAGCGGCAGACTCAGTCTCGCAAACAGTGGTGACAACAGTAACTGGAGCCAGAGTGAGAGTGGTGCTGAGTGGGCAGTAGGTAGTGTAGACTGTGGTCTCATCGCTGACAGTGGTGACACCAGTGACAATAGTCTCAACTCCGGTGCACTTCTCCTCAGTACAGGTTGTGGTGAGAGTCACTGTACCAGAAGCAGTCTGGGTGATGACGGTAACGCCTGGAATCTCCGAGGAGGTCGAGGATGGAACAGAGCTTGAAGCACCGGAAGACGAAGAGGCAGAAGGAGCAATGTATGCGGTAGCGGTCAAGTAGTAAACGCGCTCAGCTCTCTTGGCGCTCTCTGGGTCAAGGGTAAGGGCAAAGGTAGCAGTGTAAGTACCTGGCTCAGTAATGGCACCAGAGAAGATGTATGCGTGGAAGTTCTGAGCCGAGTAACCAGAAATGCTAACATCCAAGTCAATGTCATCTTCAGTGGACTCATTGTTGATTGGAATGCTCCGTCCGTCAGCGTCTGCACGGCTTAGGCTTGGGTCGAAGGCGCCAAAGCTTTGGCTAAGCGACAAAACGCTGAAAGAAGAGAATTGAAGAGCACCAGGAATGGTGATAATGTACTCAGCCTGGCCATTGTTGTCAATTGCCTGGATGGATGGAGCGAGAGAGGTGGAAGGAGCGGGTCCAGAAGATGAAGTAGTAGAGTTAGTGTATGCGGCAGTCACGGCGTTGGCGACCATGGAAGCCACAACGGCGATGCTGAACAACGAAAGCTTCATAATGGTAGTTCTCGGCAGTTCCGGGTGGTAAAGTTGCTAGCGAGCGTTATACCGATGTCAACCAGAATTAGACCTAGAATAAAAGGGCTTTCTATACGGCTTTCGAGGCTTTGGGAATGTCCTATAATTTATAGTGATGCGCTCCTTTTGCACTTGGCTGAAGGCACGGATCTCTATTACGTCCACACAGGGGCTTGAGGAGTTTCTTTTTGCGTAATATTGCTAAAGGGCTATTGTTGGAAATTATTTGGCCGATATGCAGTATCTATTCAAACACGGTACTTTTAGCAAAACGCGGTCTAAGGTGACAATTAAAAAGAGCTGAAGCAGCAATAAAGAGTTGCCATGAGCGTTTAAGCGTTCTAGGTGCTAATGTTCCTACTTGCTCGACTAGCACAACTTACCGCACATCCGAAACGAAAATCTTGCCAACTTCTAATTTCGAAGTTTCTGCATGTCGCTAAATTTAGATAGCCTAATTCTGCATTCGGACCGCTGAACGCTGCATTAAAGCTTGAATCATCAACCCTTCGAGAAAGTCTAGTCCCTATGCTAATCGTGTTCGTGGAAATGGTCAGAGGGCATTTAGGCCTCAGATTGGAGCCTGGGTTCAAGGGGGCTCGATTTCGTTTTGTGAATGATTTGTTCCTACAAGTCAGTACCCGGTAACTCTATTTCTGGCGATCGAGGCTGTATCGTCGTTGCTCCTCAAGCGAGGCGAGGCGGGGCGCACGCCTTTCGGCCCGCCAAGTCTGTAAAAGCCGAATCTATTATTATTCAACCTCAGCGACTGACACGCGCCTCAGTACAATCATACAGGACGATCGAAAATAGTTACAAAATTCTCCATTCCGATACAATAGAATTAGCAATAAATACAATAGATCAGGAAATTTTACGAACCAGCCAACTTAGCATTCTTTTTTCAGGGCCAAACACCTTTGAGTTCAGTATGTCAAAATCGCCTAAAATAGCCAAATTGCTGGAGGTGTAGGATCATAATCGTCTAGATCGCCCAATGCAACTAGATTCTAGAGCATTCCAAACTGTATACCGGCATGCTCTAACGTGATCCATATGTGACGGTGTTATGCAGTCTCAGTATGAGTATGTCCCATCATTATTGTAGCTTAGACTGGTGTCCAAATCAGTTATCTACCATCGGTTGTTCGTTTTTGAGGATGATCGTTAGGATCTGATGTGCATAGCCCCAACATCTGTCTACAACAACCCTCGACGCGATGGAGCGTGAAAGATCGGACATCGCTAATCAAAGTCTGTCAACCAATTTACTGAGCCACACATGCTGACACATAGTCTGCCATACCTTGTCGGCGGAGCTCAAAAAAAAATTCTGGCAAGTAGCACTGTATTAGCAGAATGGGTTTTAGAAAGATGTTCAAGCCCCCAAAGGAGATGTCCAAGGAGGACGCCAGAGAGTTTCTGCAGGATGAGGGTATCCCTGTGAGGGATAAGGAGAATCGTCATCGCAGAAAGTTTAAGTTTGGAGAGTTCTCGAAGTTCGCTCAAAATGAAACACAGGAGCAACCTATGCTGATGCCCCGAATCCGTCAGGATCCGGCTTCACATGGATCATCTGCCGGTTCTTCTGACGACCCATACAATCCGGCTACGCAATCGACAGTTTCAAATGTGACACAAGAGACAACAAATCAATATGAAGGTTTAGGAAGGTACGGTGGCGCTCCTTCCTACCATACATTCGATCCTTATGATAACGACGCTTCCGCTTCAGTCAACCAGCAGAATACGTACCAACCACAGCTGCAGCAAGTGCAGACTACACAGAGACAAGAACCGCCCCAAGACACGTACGACACGCAAACTCAAGATGACGATTTTGATCCTAATACATATCCTCAGGCTGCTGCGGCCACTTATGATCCTTATTTAGACTCTCAACAGCAACAAGTGGAAGAGGAAGTGGACGAGGAAGAGGAAGAAATTAATCGCATCAAGCGACAGACCAAGGATGTTAGGGAAGCGACTTTAAAATCCACACACAATATATTGGGCCATTTAAGGCAGGCAGATGACACGGCTGTCAATACCTTGGGAACTATCGGTGCTCAAAAAGAGAAGATGTATGAGATAGAGAATTCATTAAATGGAATGGACACGCATCAACGGTTTATCGATGAACATGTCAAACAGTTAGAGCATTATAACAGAGGATTGTTTCACATAAAGGCAAGCAACCCATTCACCAAGAAATCGAGGATGAGGGCCGCTGAGCAGCAGTTCCTTGCTCAGAGACAAGCAGATAGGGAAAGAGACGCGAGCCTCAGTTCCAATCTGTATCATACTCAAAACGAGATAATAGACCAACTGCGCGATGCGAAAGAGCCTGTTGTTAATTCAGAGCTGAAAGACAAGTACGAATACGAGAGACGTGTAAAGGAGGCTTCTAGATTCTTGGGCGAAGAACACGATGAGGAGGATGAAAGGATGGAGGTAGAGTACAGCAAGAATGTGGATGAAGCGCAAAAGCTCGCAGCAAATTTGAGACGCAAAGCCAATTTGATTTCGCAAGAAATTATGTCACAGAACAAGAACTTGAAAGATATCAGCGAGAAGGTTAATAAGGTGGACGATAAGCTTGTGCTTACGACTAACAGGATCCGGGGTATTTAAATGAACAATTTGTGTTATTGCTACTTTGTTGATATAGCTCATCTCTAGTGGGCGGAGTGTAGTCAGATAAGTACTGGGAAGATAGACTTCTTAAGTTTACAGGAATTCGCCTTGCCAAGTGTGTAGGAGCCCTTCGGTCTTAGTGAGTCGATCGACCTGCTTCATCCGGGTAACTTTTGTGGTTTTGCATGCGGCAGAAATCTCACTCCACCAATTAGAAGATGGTCAAAAACGGATTAAAAAAATTGATTAGTGGTGTAACAAATAAACAGGCTTACCATAAACCATAGACCCAAATGTTGAGAGCCATTGGAATTAGACAAGCGAGAGTCATTGGCAGAAGATTCAACTCTTCCGTGCAGAACGAGCCTGCGTTCAAGAAGGCGGACCCAGCAAAGGCCAAGGAATTCATTGAGCACTACGAGGCTGTCATTCACCACTCTGAGAAGACCTCCAACCTGTGGAAGAAAATCACATACTTTGTCGCTTTTCCTGTCATTGCCTTGACTGCTGTCAATACTTACTTCGTTGAGGCCGAACATGCTCATCACAGAGAACACACCAAACACCTCTCTGACGAGGAGTGGCCAAAGGACTACCCATACCAAAACATTAGAAGAAAGGACTTCTTCTGGGGAGATGGCGACAAGACCTTGTTTTGGAATCCAGATGTGAACAGGCACGTCAGAGACTTTTGAAGTTTAGCACGTACACAAATTCAATATATTTCATACAGATGACAGAATGACTACCAGGCTCTGTAATTAAAGAGCAGAGAAGATATATAGATTATTGGTGGCGGCAATGGCAACTGAGTTTTCGTTAGGATGCCAACTCAAATGTAAAATTGATTTTTTGAAATCGATGGTGTCGAAATCCATCTTATTCATCATTGTTAAGTTCTTCCGCTTATTCGAATTCATCTTCTTTGCCTTGAAAGCTGACTTATCCGCTTGTAGCACAATTTCCTTTTCTGGACCCGAGTTGCCCACCACATTCTGGTAGATCATGAAATTATTGTTGTATGAACCGGTCATAATGGATTTGTTGTCTCCGCTGAATTGCACCTCAAACTTATCAAAGATCGCGTCATTCTCGTATGTATCACACAACCTATCCCGGAGCTGCTCGTGAATGTTGATTGTTTTGATTGGCTCTGATTCCATCGCTATGTCCCATATCTTAACTGTCATATAATCTCTGGACACGATGTATCTGCCATTTGAGCTAAACTTGACATCTGATATAGAGGAGGTAATTTCTGTGAAAAAGTTGTGGTTGGATGGATCCATGTATTCCTCAAATACACGCGCATGGTTGTCGCACAGCGAGTTGACACGCATATCGTTCAACTTGATGGTTCCTTTCGAGGAGGAATACATGAACAAGTTGCAATCTATAGGATGGAATTCGGCACTGGTAATCACTTCGGTAAGTTCCTCCATATTGACCGGTTTGATATCTACAATGTTGAAAGATTGGTCGGCTATTCCCAGATTCCACAAATTGATTCTGAGGTCATCGGAAGAAATGAAAGTTTCTTGATCAGAATTCACACTGATTGAGTTTACATGGTAGGCATGAGCGTTCGCATATATCTTTTTTGGTTGAGCTGCTGTGATGGTATCGTGCATGGTTAGTCTTGGAAGCTTGAGGTTTGCCGCAGATGAAAGCATGGGGTAGGGTTGTGTAAAATTCGTATTTGTATGGAACGCGGAATATTGTGAGGGAAGTTTTGGAGATAATGCCGAGTTCTCGCTGAGATTGTTTTCCGAAACCATCTTTATCTGCTTTTCAAACACCTTCCACAGCTTTATCGTTTTATCGTTGGTGGAAAGCAAAAAATTGGATTGGTTGGAACGTTTCAGCCATTTAATCTTGTTGATTTTCTCCTCAATCTCCAACGACTTGAGGTAATCAAACTCAGCATCATGAGACTGGAACTCTGTGTAAAATCTGTACTCACAAGTTTTCTTGTTCTCATTTCTTTCGAATAACACAACTCGTCCTCCACGGTCGCCTGTAGCTAGGAAATCGCCGGTATGATCGAACTCTACTGTGGAGATGATATCCGCCTCGGTAATATTCTCAATGTCGCCTTTATCGCCAAAGCATTGGCTGAATTTCCAGGAATCGTCCATATCTGGCTCTATATGAATGAATTACCTATTGATGCTTCGCCAAAAAAACACAAAAAAACAGAAGATGCCCCAAAACCAATTGACAACAAGAATGCGGTTTGTAATTTGACTTGCCAGTATAAGTAGTGCTTTTGTATACACCTGTAGAATACACGCCAAATAGTGTAATCGCTAATAAAAATGCTAGCAATCCGCCTTCTATGATTGCCCCTCTTATAGTTCAGGACCACTTGGAATCCAGTACAATTTTTTGCTTGCAATAGCCAGAGACCTCGGTGTAAAGATTTTTAAACGCCTAGAATATCGTACGGCAACCATCCTTACCATACCGCCAAAAACCAACCTACTGTTACTTATTTTATCAACACATCATTACTGGACGCTATACATCAGCACTTCTACTATCTAACTTTAAGCAGCAGCCTTCTTAGCAGCGTCAGCAGGAGAAACTCTTCTTTCTCTGTTGAATCTTTGTCTGACTGGTGGAGTTCTGATTCTTCTGTCGGTTCTAGATCTGACTCTCACAATTCTGGCGTGAATAGCGCACGAGACACAGTAAGCCAACTTGTGGTACAGTTTTGGCAGTGGATACTCGTCATAGACGGAAGCCTCAGACAGGTCTCTCACAGCAGCAGCCTCGACCATATTTCTGATAGTGACTCTTTTGATGGCCTTATCCTTAGGGACACATCTAGAGCAGTTGACACATCTGATAGGCTTGACGTGTCCTCTACCCTTCTTGTTTCTTCCGTTGGATGATCTCTTCTTTGGCATGCTGGATGGTTAGACTATACGAAAAAGGAACACGCAATGATTCAAAGGGTGGAAACAACGGATAAGTTGATTGATGACTCGGTATGACAATCCCGCTATTGACTTCGAAGACGTATTCCTTCAACGGTAGGTACTTACTTGCACTAGTATCTATAAAATAAAATATGAAAAATTTAATGAAAAATTCGTCGCAGGTGCTCCCACCGGGTAGCCTGACGAATCCACCGCGACTTTTACACGGACGCCTGGTAAGTGCACGGTCTGCTGGGCGGACAAAATATTCGTGCAGGGAAAGCCTGACCCCCGCAGACATCACGTGAACAAGGATTTTCTTGAAAATTTCTCAAGGAGCCCATTGGAAGTGTAAGGGTGTACATAAGTTCCAATAATACGCTCCAATAATACGCATTTAATTGGCTGTCGCGAATCGTGCCACTACACCGGGTGAAAATATATTTTGCGTGGTGGCCTACCGGGAATTCGCGAGGAAGCCAACCAGCGGAAGACAATTCAAAATTATAAAAAACAATTAGTTGTATCGAATTACAATCAACGTAGGTACTTGCGGAGTGGCTCATTAATCACCGTTATAGTTGCCAGGATCTTTTTGCTAACTTTCAGATGTTGAGACAAACCATTCGACTAGCCAGACCGGCCAGACTCTTCTCCACTTCTGTCATTGCTAGAAATGCATCGCAGACACCAAAAGAATTTAAGACAGCCAAGAGCCTTAGTGAAGTTGTTGACAAGTTCGACTTAGTTGGTCCTGGTGCTCAGCCAGGTACCGTTCCTACTGATTTGGAGCAAGCTACCGGTCTTGAAAGGCTTGAGTTGCTTGGTAAGCTAGAAGGTGTTGAGGTTTTCGAAAACGAACCTCTTGATTCTTCAAGAAAAGGCACCATGGCCGACCCAATCGTTGTGAACTCATACGACGAGTACAGATATGTCGGATGCACCGGTTCTCCTGCTGGCTCCCATGAGATCATGTGGCTCAAGCCTACTGTGGAGAAGGTCGCCAGATGTTGGGAATGCGGTTCCGTGTACAAATTGAAGTATTTGGGAACCGGAGAAGGCCACCACCACTAAGTATAGATATGTTATAATATGAAATTCGCCAGAAATCTTTATATGCATAGCATATTACACGAAAAAAAAGTAAATTCCTTTTGACCTGGTCCTTGCTGTAACGAAGGAAAATGACCGAAAAGCTTGCTGCAAAGCCTCTTGTTGCGTTCTTCGGGGGTTTGAATGAAAATTTACCAGAATTTGAACAGTTTACGAAAACGTTTGATGTGGTATTCTATGAGTTAGTCTCTAGAGAACAGTTTGTGTCAGATCTCAAGACTAAATTACAAAATGTTGAAGCAATTTACGGTGCATGGGCTCCATTCGGGAAAATCGGAAATCTGGACAAAGAGCTGGTGGCCAAGCTGCCCTCGTCGTTGAAATTGATTACTGTTTGTTCCGCAGGGTATGGTGGAATAGATCTGGATGCTTTACGTGAGAGAGGAATCAAATTTTGCAACTCTCCGACGTATGGTGCTTCTGCAGTGGCAGAAACTGTCTTATATCATGTCTTGAATGGGTTTCGAAAATTTGGCTTGTTTGAAGCGACGCTTCGCCAAAATCCACATACAATCGAGGCCCGTTCACTACTGGGCAATGTAAAGACTTTCGACGCTGATCGCGGAGTATATGTCCTTGACCATAGCAACAAGTCAAAGTACTGTTTCGGACATCATGTGGGGACAATTGAGGTCCACTCGCCCGTTGGGAAGACTGCTACCATCATAGGTTTCGGGGCTATTGGTAAAGAAGTGGGAAAAAGACTTTCCAGCCTAGGTATGCAAATCATTTATATCAAAAGAAACAAGCTTTCCTCAGAAGAGGAGGCTCAATTGGGTTACAAAGTGCGCTACGCAGCCAGGATCCATGATGTGGCAGCCGAATCAGATTGTATAGTTCTTTGCCTTCCTGCCACTCCACAATCGGTCAACATGATCAATAAAGATGTCATTCAGTTGATGAAGAAAGGTGTGGTTCTTGTCAATGTTGGCCGTGGGTCCCTCATCAATGACAAAGATATGATACAAGGATTGAAGGATGGGAAGATAGGATTTGTGGGTTTGGACGTGTTCCCCGAAGAGCCATTGGTTCACCATTGTGAAAGACAAGATATGTCCTTGACTCCTCATGTGGGGTCGGCAACAAGTGAAAATTTCGATCAGACAGCCATATTCTGCTTGAATAATATCAAACAGTACCTGCTCCATGGTAAAATAGAAAATGTGCAAAACTAAATATCTAGAAATCTTAAATTGAATAGTAAATAAATATATAAATAGGACCTGATCCGCTACAAATCGCTCCGAGTGATAGTGGAGACATCAAGTGGTTCATTGACAAGAACCTTTGGCCCCGAAAACGGTTCACAGGACTCCCTTTTAGTTGTCCCAATAGGAACCTCTTTTCCTGACTTTAATGCTTCCAGGATCTTAACAGCGGACTCTGCAGTCAAATCCTCGTAGTAGTCATCATTGATCTGCATCATAGGTGCATTGACACATGCACCCAAACACTCAACCTCCTCAAGGCTGAATAATCCATCCGGAGTAGTCTGATTTGGTTGCAAGTTCAAATGTTTCATGATTGCCTCAATAACTGAATCAGAATTGCACAGCTGACAGGGCGTTGTTGTACAAATCTGTATATGATACTTTCCAACTGGCTCTCTGTGGTACATAGTGTAAAAAGAGGCAACTTCGTACACTCTCATAGCCGGCATGTCGAGGAGCTCAGCCACATGGTTCATGACAGCGATTGAAGTGAACCCGGCTTGTCTTTGTCCCAGATCAAGCAAAGGCATGACCGCAGACTTCTTGTATTGTGGCGGATATCTCTTCACGATCTCCTTAGCCAGCTCCTTATTCTCAGGAGTGAACTCAAACTTCATCTTCTGGTTGTTGTGCTGATTGTCGCGATGAACTGCAACAATGTGAAGGCCACGGCCTATAAAGGAGCGCTTTGAAGCGCTCAGACATGTATATCTTGAGAGAAACATGAATTGGAGTTGCAACAAAAGATGGGGTAATTATTTCAATTTATACTTTTGATTAGCTAATCAACAATATGGGGGCCAAGCTACACAACAGAAGACTCACGACACCGCTAACAGTTATGCCCAATACGCTTGATGTTTGGATCACTCAGATGCAATGCCTCCTATACAATGCATCTTCGGGCACCTTGCGGCCTGCTAGTGTTGTATATATAAAGATGTTTTTTCCCTGCTGTAGGTCAGAAAAAAGTGCAAAACAAGATCTTTTCCAAGGAGCTAAATCGCACTGATTCAATAATAGCCAGATTAGTCATATCGTGCCTCCTTTACGTATCCACTTTATCAACTGATAACCTTACTTTGGTTGAGAAAAAGCCCTGCGTACATATATTGGCGAGTGAATTTGAGTGGGATTATTATCACACCCAAATATTCCGGATTACTTACCTCATCGCACTGGAATTATTTTTCCAAATTCCAAACTGTGTTATCAAATGACTAAGAAGCTCTCACTCGAAACAGAACTCGTCCACGTGGACGACACTAACACCCACAATGCCTCAATCACTCCAGCATACATGTCTGCTACTTTCAAGGCCAAAGACCTTGACGAAATGGGTCAATATGACTACACCAGGTCGGGAAATCCTACTCGCTCAGCTCTGCAGAACCACCTCTCCAAAATCATGAAAGCGAAACATGTTTACGCTCTCAATTCTGGAATGGCCGCTTTGGATGTTATTGTCAGAAGCTTGAACCCAGGTGACGAAGTTGTCGCTGGTGATGATCTTTATGGTGGAACTGATAGACTGTTGACATATATCAAAACTTTCAATCACATCAAAGTGGGTCACTATGACACTACCAATTTAGAGCTCATTACATCCAAGATAACAAAGGACACAAAAATGGTTGTTCTGGAGTCGCCAACAAATCCTCTGATTAAGATCTGCGATCTAAAGGCCATTGCAGATCACGCTCACAGGCAAAACCCGGATTGTGTGGTGGTTTTCGACAACACCATGATGACGCCTCTGTTCATGGCTCCTTTGGAGCTGGGAGCTGATATCCAATATGAGTCTGCTACAAAGTATTTGAATGGACATCATGACATTATGGCGGGGGTGATTGCTACTAACAATGACGAGCTGGCCAAAAAGGTTTTCTTCGTTATCAACGCTACAGGCGCTGGCATTGCTCCTTTCGACTCTTGGCTGCTGCTTAGAGGCCTCAAGACATTGGCACTGAGAGTGGAAAGACAGCAGGAGAATGCCATGAAGATTGCGAAGTGGCTCGAGTCGCAAAATATAAAGGTCAGATATCCCGGATTGGAGTCTCATCCACAGTACGAGCTCCACAAGAAACAATGTACAGGTACTGGAGCAGTGCTGTCCTTTGAAACGGGAGACGTGGCTGTTAGCAAGAGAATCATTGCGGCGTGTAAGCTATACTCTGTTACAGTGTCGTTTGGGTATGTGGCGTCACTGATCTCTCTTCCATGCTTGATGAGTCATGCATCGATCTCTGCGGAAACCAGAAAAGAAAGAGACTTCCCTGAAGATCTCATTCGGTTATGCGCCGGTATTGAAAGTGTGGACGACTTGATCGAAGATCTTTCTCAAGCTTTCAAAGTCGCTGGATTTAGATGATTTTAGACGTATAATACATGCTACATCTTGGCGTCCACCTAGTAATCCGTGCACCAGCGCCATAAAATTTTTCTGCGGCAAGAAATGATTGAGTATATCAACAGATAAAAAGGAGGAGAAACAAAACCAGGAAAAAGCATTAGTTACGATTGAGTTAGTAGTCTAAGAAGCGGGCGATTGTTATGAAAACCTAAATCCAATTTATGTCAGCCTTGCAACGTAAAAGATCGGGTTCTTCCAATACTACTCAACAGGTCAATAGAAACATAATAGCCTCACACTATCAAATTGCACAAAAAATTGGCGAGGGCTCGTTCGGTATCATCTTCAAGGGCTATGATTTGCTGAGAGACAACCAACCGGTGGCGATAAAGTTTGAGAGCCGAAAGTCCGAAGCCCCCCAGCTGAAGGACGAGTTCAAAGCGTACAAGATTCTCAACAGTGCCATAAACAATTACCTGCGTGATGGGCCTGAGAACGATAACCACCACTATCTTTCAATTGAGGGTATTCCCAAGGTGTACTATTTTGGTCAAGAAGGTTACTACAACATCCTCATAATCCAATTACTTGGACCTTCGCTGGAAGATTTGTTTGAGTGGTGCGGTAGAAGATTCAGCGTCAAAACGGTGGCCCAGGTGGCCAAGCAGATGATTCAGAGAATTCAATTTGTTCATGAGAATGACCTCATTTACCGCGACGTCAAGCCCGACAATTTCCTTATTGGCGCAACCTCCGACGACAACCTGATATACTTGGTGGACTTCGGAATGATAAAGCAATACAGAAACCCTGTTACCAAGCAACATATACCGTATAGAGAACGGAAGTCGCTGAGCGGCACTGCACGGTATATGTCTATCAACACGCATCTGGGAAGAGAACAATCAAGGCGAGACGATCTGGAATCTCTTGGTCACGTGTTTCTCTATTTTTTGAAAGGAGAGCTTCCGTGGCAAGGACTGAAAGCACCAACTAACAAGATGAAGTACGAGAAGATCGGGGAGAAAAAGCAAGCCACTTCAATTCAGCAGCTCTGTCATAAACTACCGAAATCGTTTGCAGACTACCTCACATATGCTCGTAACCTGCGGTTTGAAGAAGAGCCTAATTACGAGTATCTCATATCGTTGATGGATGCCGCGCTAGAGGACATCGGCGAGGTGGACGATGGCTATTACGACTGGATGAAGCTGAACGATGGGAAAGGCTGGGATTGGAATAAAAACAAGAAAACTAATCTCAATGGATACGGGTCTAACAATCATCATGCTAGCAGACAACACAAGTCAAATAAGGCTTTCGCACCAACGCGGCGCGTTTCGCAGCATACGAAGAGCGATCCACACGAGAGCCAACCGCGGTCGAAAGTGGATGAGAACACTCGGCTTCTTTTAGGAGCTGCTAACGGCCATTACGACTCGTCAGGAGATCCGTACCAGCAGGACACAGAGGAGATTCCGGAAGGGATCTTTGGCTTTTTTAAGAGCGTGTTCTGTTGTTGTCTGTAGTGTATAATAGAGGTAGAATGATGAGACGAAAGTTCGAAAATTTCTGATCGCGACGATAATATTCAATTCTTTATTACACCAGACTATTAAATCATGTCAGTGTTTGAGCTTGGTGATCGTGCGCTAGTTTATCAAGGAGAGTTACTGTATGAGGCCAAGATACTCAAGATATTTTATCCCTTGTCAAAGATAATCAAATCTAATGACGAGAAAACTAAAGAAGTTGTTGAAACCGCACCAGAACCGATTTTCCTGGAGAAGTATCGATCATCAAAGGCTTATTTTGTACACTACAAAGGATGGAAGTCCAAGTGGGACGAATGGGTCACACCAGAAAGAATTCTGCCATATAACAAAGAAAACTTAATCAAGCAAAAGGAGTTGGTTCAAAGCCATCGATCTGGCGAATCATCGATTTCGAACCGACCTAAAGTAAAACTTACGCTGAAAAGCGGGGTCAAGCAAACGAGCAATGGATCATCGAACTTCTCTGAACCTTCCAAAAGGGCCGAGTTGAAAGTCCAAATTCCTGATTCGATAAAATACGTTTTGGTAGACGACTGGGAAAATGTGACTAAAAAGCGCAAGCTGGTTCACTTGCCTTCTAAAGACTGCATTGCCAACATTGTAGCTGCATACACCGCACAACTTCAACTTTCTTCGACGACTCAAGACGATCCTGCGCTAGACAATAAGCTTGAAATTGCTCGCAGCCTAAGGCTCTATTTCAACCAAGCGTTAGGCTCCTTACTTCTTTACCGTCATGAAAGGACACAATACAAGATGGTGTTGGAAAAATTTCCTGATTGTGAGATGTCGCAAATCTATGGTATAAATCATCTACTGAGGCTTTGCGCCATTCTGCCCAATTTAGTGATACAATCGACAATGGACCCACAAAGCATTTCTCTTGTACGTGAGTTCTTGGAGGATTTTTACGTTTTCTTGTGCGCAAACCTGAAAGAGCTTATGGAAGATTACGAAAACGATCTGCCCACGTATTGAATTTAGATATAGGTCTCTATATCATCGATATAGAGATTGAGTTGCCGCATCAGCTTGTCAAGAGGCGCTTGTTCGACTAAGGTTACATCGGAATGATTACTGGGTTTGCGAAGTGACTGCTGCACAGACTCGCGGTGCAGCCCGATGTAACTATCGTCAAGACTAATAAGCTTCCCGTTAGACGAATTCAAGTTGATGATACCGGTTTTGGAAGACTCAATGGATGTGCCACACTGGTAGCTTTCATAATCTTTTCCTTCAATGGAACACTTGACCGGACTGTCTCTGAACACGACGTCCTTCATATTCCAATAGATAATACGTCCGTCTTTGGCTCCTGTAAAGATACTGTTTTCCGAAACCCATTCAACGGCTGTGATGGCACTTGAATGGCCATCCATGGTGGCGAGCGGCTGCTGTTTTCGAATATCCCACAGCTGGATGCTGTTGTTCTCCACTGCAGCACATAGTTGATATGGGTTTTGTGGAGACCATTCTATGAGGCGCGTTTTGGTGTGCTTGTACGAGAGATATGTCGAAGTGCAGAGATCTGTTTGGGTTGCAGATCTCATATCAAACAGCCTGATACCGAAGGATCCTGCAAAAGCAACCAGCCCGTCGTTATTTTCACTAGCTCCAAAGGATTTTATACCCCGGGCTTTGTTTTTGTAGAGAGGACTCGAGGATCTTGAAGTATCCCACAAGAAAATGCTCTCTTTGTAGATAGACATCATAGAATTGGCCAGACAAGACTTCCACGATTTCGGGCTTATCTCGATTTGAAAGTTCTCCCCAATATCTGTCGACGAAGTATGCTTTCTGTGGTTGAACTGCTTGATGAGGTCGACGTGGGTCAAGTTTGCAGACCTGATGTTTGAAATAAGAGAGAGATTAGCAATGCCATTAGTGTGGCCAGTCACCATCAGATTCAAATCATTTGTCTCGTCAAGAACATTGTGCAACCATTTTATAGAGCAGACATTTGGTGCACTAAAACTGGTTAAATAACCAAGCAAGTTCTTCTCAGTGTCCAGACTGAATATTTTGATATTCTGGAGACTTGAAGAAGATCCAACGGCAACCAAGTCCTGGCTGACGTCCAAACTATTCAAAAATTCGTATGGATTTAATGGAGAACCGTAATCGATTTTCCAGTAGCTAGATTGCAAACCCTCTTGCATAGGCGACTCATCGATTGGGTACATTTAAAAGAATGACTAAAGTTGGATTGGGTATGGTAAATAGAGGCCAGTGGAGAAACTTGCCCCTTTATATTCCAGCCATGTGTTTTACAGTTTGAAACATCTTCGAGAAGGCTGGATCGAAACGAATTTGTTTTCGGTATGCACTGCCCGGTTTGGAAGTCCAGCCGGTAAAAATTTAACTTCGCTAAGGTTGTATATTTTTCGTATCCGGCTCCATATACGGTGTGCTCGTCCACCTTGAGGAAAAAAGCGTACTGGCGTACCGACCTTCTTTTCGCAAAAGCAAACTGGTTGTATATGTAAATCTTTTATTGCGATTCTCCAGTTCAGCAAGCGGAGTAATGAGACGCTTTGGTGTTCATGTGCCTTGACTAATCTACGTCTGATTCTGCAGCAGGCAACTTTCTAGCATGCTGGAGATATCACAAGATCTAGCTTTCAGTGCGCCTGCTATATCCGTAATTAACTGAGAATAAGCCAATGCTTAGGTAATCGCGGGATTAGAGGAAGGAAAAATATCAGAAGGCGATATTGACTAATTGATTTGTTTGTAACGTCATCATACCCATTTTACAGTTACAGTGGTGGGTTTTGCTTGACTATAAAGTGAAAAAGACGGGTTAGGCAACTGCATTAATTGCTTTTTTAGGGTATCCAAGTTCATTTACTGCATTGTGACCAGTTTGTCACCAAAACTATAGGTAACCTCCTTTCAAAAACACAATTCTGCTTTTTGGCCTACAATGTCAACGAGGTCTAAAATTCGGGTCAGAGTGATCGCAGCTGAGGGACTATGTAAGCGAGACGTTTTTCGGTCCCCCGATCCTTTTGCAGTTTTGACGGTCGATGGCGCACAGACGCAAACAACCGAAACTGCCAAAAAGACTTTGTCACCGCACTGGAATCAATCTTTTGAGTTTTCTGTAACGGAGAATTCCATACTGATCGTACAGATATTTGATCAAAAGAAGTTCAAGAAGAAGGATCAAGGCTTTTTGGGTGTCGTCAATATCAAAGTCGGAGACGTTATCAATTTGAACGACACATCGAGCGAGCAGACCGTCGCTGAGGAGTTGAAGAGGTCTAACTCACATTTGACTGTTTCAGGAAAATTGATACTCACGATTTCGCATCAGAATGCTTCTGCCAGAGACTCCAGAGATCCTTCCAATTTTGCGCAAACGAACACATCAGCGCAGACACCTGCGTCTACCATAGCTTCATCTTCAGTTACCAGCCCAAGGGCTCCGGTGGATACGGGAAACCTAAACAATCAATTCCCAGGCTCTGCTGCTGCCGCGGCTATATCGTCATCCGTTAGGCCCCCACCAGCAAGACAATTTTCCTCGTTCGAAGATCAGTATGGTAGACTTCCACCTGGCTGGGAACGGAGAACTGACAATTTTGGCAGAACTTATTATGTTGATCACAACTCGAGAACTACCACTTGGAAGAGACCTACACTGGACCAATCTGAGAGCCAGAGAGAACAGGAAAGGGAACGAGCAAGGGAGGCCGAAAGAACGCAATACCGTAATAGAACTTTACCTGAACCTAATTCACAGGTAGACCAGGCTACTGCAATGACCATGGCAGCTACCGGAGCAACGAGTCCTGGCCTAGGTGAACTTCCTCCAGGTTGGGAACAACGTTTTACCCCAGAGGGAAGACCATATTACGTTGACCACAACAGCAGAACCACCACATGGGTTGATCCAAGAAGACAACAATTCGTTAAAAGCTTTGGTAACAATGGGGGCTACAATGCCCAACGATTGTCAGCGATGGGCCCACTTCCAAGTGGTTGGGAAATGAGATTAGCCAATACATCTAGAGTTTATTTTGTCGACCACAATACCAAAACTACGACCTGGGATGATCCAAGATTGCCATCATCACTTGACCAAAATGTTCCTCAATACAAACGTGACTTCAGAAGAAAGCTGGTGTATTTCAGATCGCAACCTGCAATAAGAATTCTGCCAGGGCAGTGTCATATTAAGGTTAGAAGAGATCATCTTATGGAAGATGCTTTCCGTGACATTATGAGGCAAACCCCAGAGGATTTGAAGAAGAGGCTGATGATTAAGTTTGAGGGAGAAGAAGGACTGGATTACGGTGGAGTTTCTAGGGAGTTCTTCCAACAACTTTCACACGAAATGTTCAATCCATTTTACTGTCTCTTCCAGTATGCGTCAAGTGACAATTATACCCTTCAAATCAATCCAAACTCGGGCGTGAACCCGGAACATCTGACGTATTTCAAGTTCATTGGAAGAACTGTTGGTTTGGGTGTATTCCATCGTCGTTTCCTGGATGCCTTCTTCGTGGGTGCGATGTATAAGATGATGCTTCATAAAAAGATTGTGCTGCAAGATTTGGAAAGTGTGGATTCTGAGATGTACAAATCTTTGTGTTGGATGCTCGAGAATGATATCACCGACGTCATATACGAGACATTCTCGATTGAAGAAGATAGATTTGGAGAGAAGGTTATCATTGACCTGAAACCAAACGGTCGAAACATCGAGGTGACGAATGAAAATAAGAGAGAATACGTTGAGCTAAAGACCGAATGGATTATCTCCAAGCCCGTGGAGGCTCAATTCAAGGCATTCATGGACGGATTCAACGAACTGATTCCGCAGGAATTAGTTTCGGTCTTCGACGAAAGGGAACTGGAGCTTTTGATTGGAGGACTTGCAGATATCGACATTGAAGATTGGAAGAAACATACAGATTACAGAGGTTATCAGGAGAGTGACGAAGTGATCCAGTGGTTCTGGAAATGCGTGAGTGAGTGGGAAGGAGAACAGAGAGCGAGGTTACTACAGTTCACTACCGGCACGTCCAGAATTCCCGTCAATGGATTTAAAGATTTACAAGGATCGGATGGTCCAAGACGTTTCACTATAGAAAAAGCTGGAGAGCCAGACCAGCTTCCAAAATCGCACACTTGTTTCAACAGAGTGGATCTGCCTCCGTACAAAGATTACGAGTCGCTGAAAAAGAAGCTCACTATTGCTGTTGAAGAGACTATTGGATTTGGCCAAGAGTGAGCTATCCGTCGACCTGTTAATACGAATTCCTTTTTCTAATTTATGAGTATCTTGAACTGAGAGGTTTAGGAGTAATATGATGTATGTGTTCTTGGAGACACCACTTTGTGTTATTCAACAGTGATGTACTATGATGCACAACATTAATTTATCCTTAGCCAATCGGAGCCTCGCATCCTAGGGTCATGACAAAACGCCATTCAAAAAGGAGCTGTAGATCAATGAAGAAGATCTACATCGAGAATCCGATGAAAAGGAATAAATGAATATCAAATTTTTTGATTCGATATTTCAGGTAAGGACTGTGTAGGGGTGTGTCCGAGGCATCAATTATAATCCCAAATGTCACTGACATGCATTCATGCTAAGTAATGGTATATATTTCTATCAGCTTCATCTCTTGCCAAGTACTCTTTCTCAATCAAGTCTTCAATTCTCTGCTTAATAAAGGAAGGTTGTGGTCTGAATCTGTTGATGAGTTGACGAATGACCTCGTTCACCAGCTCCTGGTGGTTGGATTGTCTGCGAGCTTTCATAATGCGCACAACCGCAGCCTCAGTTTCAAGAATTCTTGATTTGTTAATGGCATCCATAGTCTCGGATCTTTGCGAATCGTCTTCAACCTTCGAGCCAGAAGAAACAGTGGAAACCTTTATTTTTGTTTGAGGAGACTTGAACTGTTCATTCACTGAAAAGACATCCGTAGGGTGAATGTCCTTCGACATTGGATCCTTCTTTAGTAGTCTGGTTCTGGAAGCTACAGAAATAGATTGCAAATGCCGTATCAAGTCTGGTTTGGGAATCCTCGTGATTTCATGAATCTCGTCGAAAGTGTACTCTTGCTTGCCCGAACCCTCTCTAAAGCACGACAAAATGATAATAGCAGAATACGTTGACATATTCACTTCGTACGTCTTTTTCGGATAGTGAATTCGAATGTCAACAGTACCGAAGTTGGGAGCCCACGTTAAATTTCGTCCACCATATTTGGTCATGTAAAATGATTCGTATCTATTCCTTAGGAGCTCTAGCTCTTCTGGGTATCGCACCTCACTCAACGCTTTGTTGATAGGCATAGGCCAGAAAGTGGTCGTCAAAATCGACGTTTCCATATCCAGCCTTCTACCATTGACTTTGCGAATTTCCTCATCTCCAGAGAGTTTCCGGTTGAAGTCGCCTGATAAATCTTGTGAGGTCTTGATATCTTTAAACATCCCTTCAAATTGCGATGTAAATGATGAGCCTATTTCTTGTTTCAGTTTTGTGATCATGTTCATTTCGATATCGTTAGAGCTTGATTTCTGTTGCAGCAGACGCCTTGCGAGATGATTCTTGTAATATTTCTCAAAAACATCCTTTTCTTTGATGAACCGGAAAACGATAATCGATTTGTCGAGTAGATTTTCTACTTCTTCCTGCGATTTGTCCTTGAAGGATTTTTTAATACCATCGTCAATGTACAGCGAGAGGTATTCTGCAGTTTTATTATCAAGATTCAAGAACTCGGAAAAGGAAGATTCAATTTCTCTCACGACACCTGGATTTCCTTCAAAAGAGTTCTTGATTATCGTGTCATACTTCTCCTTGAGATCCAAGAAATTTTGAATCCAGCGCACAGCAAATTGTGTAGCGCTTTCTTTACCACTTTTCTTCTTTGCCCTTTTTTCTGGATCCCGTTCCTCAGCGTTCTTTTCTTGAAGTTCCAACTCCTCCTTTGTTTTGCTATTCAGATTTTCACAGTTACTTAGAACGTTAAGTCGAAGCTGTCTTTTAAGCATTTCAAACTCAGAATCAACACGCCCAATGAGTCTGTACAACGAAGCCAACATCTTGAAGTTGTTTTCACTAATCCAGTTTCGAAGCCCATCATTTTCAAGTTTCATTATTGACTCCATATTTCGCGTTATCAGATCGTTGTCCATCAGCTCGATAAGTTTCGGCGATGTCACATCAGGAAGGTATAATTGAATCCGCGCCTCCTCGTCTTGGCTAAGTTGCATCACATTATCAATGTATATCGTTCCCGATTGGTATGCAAGAAGCTCCGTAGCCTTCTGCTCAAAATACGAGTGACTCTGTTGTAGTAATACAGGCTCAAAATAACGAAGATAGTAATTCTCCCCATATGGAACCTTGTCATTTGAATCCATCGATATTGTCTCTGAAAGTGAGCTAAACATGAAGATAATCGCCTTGATAATGAACTTGTCAATCATTTCACCATGCCTGCTGCGATTGATGTATTCAATGATGATTTCAATGGCAGCCATTCCAATTTCGTTTTGATTGTATTTGATCACACTATCTCTGAAAGCTTTAAGCCCGACATCGTAGATCAGCGGTAAGTGAAACTCTTTAGCATAAACCCTATCAAGATACATCAGCACATCACTGATCATACGCATGCTCAGCAAATGGTCCTCCCAGACATCGTTTAGTTTTAACAAGAACGTTCTGTTATCGTCACTTTTGAGACTGTCGAGAAGTTGCATACGAGTTTCATTCAGCAAATACTGTTGTATGGCGAGCTCCACATGGTCGTAGAGCATCTTTCCCTTCTTGCGCAACACTAAATTGTATGCCTTCCGGTAAAGTTCCTCAAACGACAACTTTGAAGCATTTTTGTGTTGAATTTCCTGAATCGCGTCCCGGATGACGGCCCATGTCTTTTCAAAATCGATCTCGTCAGAAACGATCTTCTTGGGTGGCCGAATCTTGGTCCGCCCACGAACCCCCCAGGCGTTAGACATGCTGATCTGAGGAACTTGTAATAGGTTACGCAGCCCAGAAAAAAATGTTTTCGCAAACATTCCTTATAATGGCATCGGACATTCTGGACGTGTTCAACATCAAGGAAGAGGCTCGAGTGCAGCCAAAGAAGCACGCCCGCGCAGATAATGACTTTGGGACACAGTCAAAAAAGAAGAAGCATGCCATGAGCAGGGAGTTGTACAATCTTATCGGTACCAATTTGCCTCCTGTCGCTGTTGAGAAAGGCTTCAAATTTAAAGACAAGATCAATTCAGGGAAAGCAAGTCCGTGGGTGTGGGCACCTTTCAAAAATGAAGCCAGGTCAGACGAGCTTGAGCTTCACCACTGGGTGAAAGGCCTGGTCGCGCCATCAGATGAGAAAAGATCATACAATTTTGCAAAATACAACACATCTCTTGATATTCCATCCTTCAGCAAGGAAGAGTATGATGAAAAGCTAAAGGATTTGAGCGAAGACTGGGATTATGACGAAACCAAGTATTTATTTGATCTGGCTAAAGACTATGATTTAAGATGGGCGGTGGTATACGACAGATACGAGTATCGCAACGACAAACACAGAGGCCTCGAAGATTTGAAAGAACGACTGTATTCTGTATCAGCAAAGCTTTTGAGCTCCAACCCTGATGGCACAAGAGATGTTGCTTTGATCAAAGGACTTGAATCGTTTGACAAAAAACAGGAACTGGAAAGAAAGCAGTATCTGAACCGTTTGATCCATAGAGCCCCTACAGAAATTGCCGAAGAAGAGTCTTTGGTCATCGAGGCCCGAAAGTTTGAACTAGCCGCGAAGAAGATGCTGATGGAAAGAGCACAATTGTTGCAACTTCTTGACTCGCCCCAATCTTCCGCCTCGATTGAACAATACACCACGTCGTCTGGTCTCACCCAGCTCTACAATTCTCTTATGACTGTGGACAAGTCAAAGAAACGGAAACCGGAAGTTCCAGTTCCTCCTCAACTAGGCCCAAACGCCATTCCTCACACTCAACAAATACAACAAGCGCAACAACAGCATCTAATGAGACAACGCCAGGGGAAAAAATCGACTTTGTCGCAAAGATTGTATGGAGGCAAACAGGAAATATCACAACAGCAGGCACAGTCTGAAGTTTGGCAACTTCTACAATCCAAGCTCACAGCTGAAGAGATGGAGGTTTACGGATTGAGGTTCCACGACGAGAAGTTGCAACCGGGAGTGTATATTCGTTCTCAGAAGCTGTCAAGTTTCAAGCCTGCAGTGCAGGCTAAGGTGGCGGAAGTCTTGAATGAATTGCAAATGTCCATGAAACCTACCCTGCCTACAGCAAATGTTTGCTCGAAGTTTGATCAGTTACTGCAAAGCATTGCTACTTTGATTGATCTAAAGAAGCAGACCGATAAGTTGAGCGGGGAAGTGGCTCTCATTAAGAGTCAAAAGGGAGTTGAGTAAAGCGATATGTATAATAATAGCGACAATTACAAGCAGGTATTTATCTTTCAAGATTGATGGCGTTGCCGAATTTAGCGTAAAGCAGCTTTTTCAAATTATTGAGGTCCTGATCGATGTCCTCAATCTGGCTTTCTAGCTCTCTGATTTTAGAATCCAGCAATTCTTGATCCTTCTCCAATCTTTCCACAATCTCAGACTGTTTCATCAAAACAAAGGAATCGCCAATCTTATAATTCAGTTTCTCATCTTCGTCTACAAGTTCAATCTCTAGTGCCAAATCGTCAAGATATTCTTTCTCCTGTTTGTTCTCGTCAAGAGTTGCACTCAACGCATCTCTCTTCGAAATCAGTGTTGAGAAAGAGTTGATCTTTTGCTGGTCTTGCCAGGTTACCTCCGTGGTGTTTTTCTGGCCCTCCGGTAAAAGTTCCATGTTGTGCAATTGAATTATTTCCAGGAAATATTTTTTTGCTGCGCTAACATTAACGCGTCATGGCAAACGTTCAATCTAAAGAGCTTATTAAACGGTATCTCACCGACTCAAAGGAATTCCAGCAGCTACTATCACGAGATAGGTTTCACTCAATTGTTCAGTTAGTCTGCCGTAACCGACTATTGAGCCATGAGGAAACCCAGCTTTATGATATACTATCAAGACAAAAGCAGAACACTCTTGAGCGCGTTGAATTGAGTATTGACCAACTGGATTTGAGACGAATAAACAGAGACAACAATGAGACTACAGTACCATTGGAAGATGCAAGTCTTTTGCAATTGATACAATCGATGGATCAATTGAACCAGTCTCTTGAGTCACGAATAGAGGCTATAGAGAAAGATGTGAAAGTCGAGCTAGAGGAAATTAATGACCAAATAGATGCTTTCAACGACCTCAGGTATGGAAGCATCAATTTTGAAACGTCAATTGAATCATTGTGTACGGATTTAGGTCGACTCGAAAATCGCTTATTGGAATTGGGAAAATAGTTATACATTTATATGCTGATCTATATCGGCAACATCAAATTCGTCGCCTATGTACTTGAAACTCTCGAACTTCCAATTCAAAGAACATGAGAGATGGAGCATGTATTTGTTACCGCTCTCAACACCTATAGCTCCAGTTCTTTTGGAATCCTTTATATATATTAAACGGCTTATGCGGGAATGCAATAGAGCCATTGCACACATAGTGCACGGCTCGTGTGTGGTATAGACATGATAGTTGAGACAGAGATAGTTTGTAGGAGTTGAAGGGTCTGGATGAGATTTTCTACGCTGCAGCTCGTTTTTTGCAATTTCGTCAATGCAATTCATTATTGAATGCTTCATAATGTCCGATGAATCGCGCAAGTCAAACTGCTGTGCCATTATCTGATCTGTGGAGGGGTCAACAAAGATGGTAACCACAGGGAGTCCTTTACTCGTTTTGGACAAATCCGAAATCAATTTCAGGTAACTCTGTACTTTCAGGTTGTAGAACTGCTTGTAACTTTCGTTCAGCTCTTGTATCATGGGGTTCCCTTTCCAAACAATAGGCCAATATTTTGCTGACCATTCCGCGTTCAAGTGTTTGTCAAAAGGCTTGTTAATTGGAACTTTTACTTTTTCGATGCATGTGCGTTTCAACGGGCCAAACAATATCTTTTCGAGCTCTTTTTGGCTGATCTGATCACAGGCACAAAGAAGAACCTTCAGCAAAACTCTCTTATCCTTTTCCACTTTCAAGAACCGCTTCAAATGCCGCAAATTGTTGGAACTCTCTTTGAATTCGTTTTTGATTATTGAATTTATCAACGAGGATTCTTTTGGTTCAATGTATACTATCCAGTGATCAACCAAAAAAGGCTCCACGCTGTCTTGGATTTGTACTCTCCGATATTTCTTATAAAAGGTGAAAGTTTCATAATCTATATCATAACTCATGGTACATGAAAATATTAATTTCCCATGAGGTTTGATCAGTATGTTGACGAAAACAAAACATCTGATGATTTTATGCCCTTGATCCATGACCTTTTTGAGACACGTTGGCATGAAACAGAACGTAAGATAGAGATTGAGCGAGTCAGAGACCATAAGGTTCCATTGTCGCTGGTAAAGCCTAATTACAATCACGAAGAACTGATCGATATTTTAATCAAACATCTGGCTGATAATCACTATGAAAACGCTCTGATCAATGGCCTGGTGACAGGGGACGATTTGGGAGTAGCCAACACCTATGGATTCAAAGGAAGAAACGTTGTCACCAATCTATTGAAGTCTCCGGAATTCAGACTTATACACACAATCATAGGAACGGAGACATTTTTGGATCTTTTAATCAATCACACCGCACGAATGGACAACGTTTATCTTTGGGGCGAATTGAACGAATGCAATTACAAGTCACAATGCAGATCATCACAATTGAACATAAGGAACATTCTCTATAGTGAAATATGGTCCTTGCAGCGGCTCGACCCCCTTCCTGAATCTGCCTCTTTGATTAACGACGTCTTCAGAACGAAAAACACATGCTATCCAAAACTTGAGTTTCTACTTGAGTCAATGCGCACCTATCACATGAATCATCAACCAGATTATCCATATATATTAGACTCGATTTGTCCTGAACCAAAAAACATTAAGACTAACTTTGACTTAGCGGTGGAAAAACCATGCGTGATCAAATTTGTCACCATTGTTCTTGAAAAGATCATGCCCAAGGAACTCTTTGGGTCGCCTCACAATAAGTCAGTGCTATTCAAAAAAATCGCTGAAGTTCTCAGTAGTCATAAAAAGGATTCCATTTATGTGTGTAATGTGGCCAAGAACTTCAGGATCACAGATATTAACTGGCTGGTACCGGGCAGAAAGATGAGCAAGCACGAGTTCATGAAAGCACAGAACACGTGGCTCCAATTTATCTGGTGGTTTTTCAATTCGATGCTATTCAAATTGGTAGCTTCTTTTTTTCATGTCACAGATATCTCCCAATCTTTTGAATTACTCTACTATAGACATGATACCTGGAGACGGATCTCAAAAGAATTCAAAGATAAATATTATGGTCTGTTTCTGCAAAGGAAACCTCAAAATCTGAATAGCTATTTCACTTATGCGAAAAATGATGATTTCATTGGTAGTCTGAAACTGCTACCGAAAGCTCACGATTTTCGATTTATCACAATGCCGTTCAGGGGTTCGGGGAAAAGTGTATTCGAATACATGGATCGTTATAAGAACGAAGTGAGGATAGCGAATCTTGTTCTTTCACATAAACGGAAAAAGAACTGTATTAATTCAGTGAGTGATCTTCCTTGTGAGCTGTTGAAATATAAAAATCAGATTAGTGGTTCAGTATATGCAATAAAATTTGACATCCGACAGGCCTATGATACCTTGCCCAGAAAATTGATACTACCACTGATATCCGAGCTGCTCAAGGAGATTCCCGAAACCTTTCAATTTCACATTGAACGCTATTTTGTGCTTAGCGCCCCTACTGCTGCTGGCAAACGAAAACGCCGCAAGCTTTCAGTCCTGAAGGGATATGAAAACACAACAGTCTCAGATAAAGTGCTAACCCACGCTAATAGCCCCTCAGTATTGAAGAAGAGTGAAATTATGAAGATCGTCGAGCAGCAACTCGAACATGCAGCTCTGCTCTCATCATCAGATACGTTTCACAGAAAAAGAGGTGTTTTCCAAGGCTTTCCGCTCTCCGGGATCTTTTGTGAAATTGTCTATGACAAGCTTACGGAATACCTGCTCTCGCTAGGAAGAGGGAATGTGAAAATCATCCGCCTTGCTGACGATTTTCTAATATTGACAACGAAGATGGACATACTAGCAAAGTATCAAAAGCTTATTGAGAAACGCATTCCCGAATTCGATGTTCTGGTGAACAAGCAAAAAAGTGTTGTATCCGAGGATACTGTTGATTTCCTTGGGACAACAATAAATTTGAAGACATTAAGCGTCACGAAAAATCTTGTCTCCTATGATCTCACTCCAGTGCGAGTTTTATCTTTCAAAGCCTTGTACTCCACTCTAGTGATTCATCTCAAGCAGGCATTAGCGTCAGATTTTTTCAGTGCAGACATCAATGACGAGAAGACTTTGAAGCAAAATTTGCATATCCTCCTTCAATCCCTGTCTTTAAGATTTAAAAAGTCGAAAAAATCGGTAGCAAGAAACGACAGGATGGAAGCTTCGAAGTTTAACCAGTTTTTGCTACAAATAGAAAAGTTGATACTTACGAAAGTGGGTACATCATATCTAACGTATATCCGCTCGCTTCTCAAAACTTTCTGACCAGCATGAAATGTCTCGTTTCTAATCACCGTTCATCATTATTATTCCTATGATCGCCCTGGATCTCTGATGACTCAGCAGTTTCGTCCTGGGCCTGGTTGCCAATCAAAATCTCCCTCTCCTTCTCCCTAACTTTCTCGGCTTTCATAATGGCCTCGACCCTGGAATCATGATCTGGCTTCAAACTGAGAACTTCGTCCATTAAGGCATTTCTCATTTGGCTTATTGAAACAGATGGGTCTGGAGGAGGAAGAGCTATGCTTCCACCACGCATCAGTTTTGGATTTTTCTCCAACTCTTCAACGCATTTCACTATCAGCGCATATGTATCATCCGCAGAACTTAAATCTTCCTCAAGCAAATGTATAATAGTCTCCTGCTCTTTGAAAAATTCTTGCTCTTCCAGGACTGCAGTAAGCTCTGCTTGCCACCTGGCGTTCCAGTTCTTGCGTTCGATGGACATATATTGCAAAAGCGAGGAAAGACTCGTTTTGGTCATCTGAAGTTCTTTTTGAACATGAAGAATTTGTTTTTGTGTAGGCTTGCTTCCACGCTTGCTAATGTCCAGTTTCAAAGCTTCAATGATGTCTTGTAAGTCATCAATTCTAGTGACCAGGTTTTCGCATTCCGAACTAACCTTACGTTTGCATTGTTCCATGTAAGGGTCGCCAATAACTCCCTCGGGAGATAGAGATGAACTTTGAAAGTTTTCTACTAGCTCCAGCGCATCTTCAATTGCCGCACCAACACGCTTTTTTAGTGCTTTTTGTAGCTGTCTAGCTTTTGTAAGTTCATTTTTGAGAGTCTCGATTTCAGTCGTGATATCAGTTGAGGTCAGATTGGAGTCTGATGAAATGACTGCTGGCTCTTTCACGACTACACTTGCTCTTGAATCTCCTATACGACCACTCAAGTTCGCTTCTAGCTTTATAATCTCATTCCGCAGCGTTTCTGTTTGACTCTTCATCTCTTTCATTAATGTGGTTGTGAAATCAGGTTCTAAAAGTGATATAATGACAGAATCCGTGACTTCTGAGGTATCCTCAAGCTCGTATGCAATGTCTGTTGGCGACATCTGTATATAAATGGGCGGAAATTCATTCTCAGGCACATATCCAAACTTTTCTGTGAAAAGGGTGCGCAATTGAGTGATTGTGGTTGGTAATTGAATCTGTGCTTTTTTGATGCGTCCTTCGAGCTTAACAAAAATAGTCTTCCTACTATCGAAAGCCTCCTCTAAAGTGATCGATGGAGCTGTGAGCTGCTGATGAATCTCCGACTTTTTGATGTTTTTCGAAACTTCTGCTTGCAAAGGACTGCTTGGTGGTTCCGGGCTTAACGTCTGTTTCTCAGACGGAGCCGGGGAATTGCGAGGGCTGATAGCATTCATGGACATTATTTTTGAAGTTTGGTAAGCAGAGAAACGCTTCGACGCTTTCCTCATAAGAGAGCGATTGTTTTGAAGACGAGATATAGCATCGTTTTGAGACTCCGATGGCGGTGGAGGAAGCGGAGGACTAGTTGCGGAAGCAGACACATTAGCTGGGCCCGAGACAGAGCGGTGGTTTTGAGACTTGCGTTTTTCAGCAACTGATTGAGACTCCGCCTGTTTTTCTTTCAATATCTTCATCAATTCTGCTACTATTTCACCAACTTTTGGAAGAAACATGTCGAGCGTGCTTTGTGACGGCTCCAAAATTAGTGATTCCTCTAGCACTTTCCTTAATAAATTCGGAATGTCTTTAACATCGCTAGTGTCAACACCACCAGCCACGTATGCTCTTCGAAGAGCCTTGAAATCATCACCCACTTGAACGAATTTGGCAGAAACCTCACCAACAGAAGCGGTTTTGTTGGCCCAGGCAGTTAAAGATTGGAGCAAGGCTTTGGTGGAGGTGAGCAACTGCGCGGTGGCAGACGATATACTCATCGGAGTCTGCAAGTTAGCAGCACGAGCAGGTAAACTTACCGATTTACGTTTCGACGGTGACTTCGACGTCCGCGGAGTCGTCTGGTGGGGTGAAGACATTGTTTAGATATTTTTTAGGTTGAAGTTGTGCTGACATAATTTTTCTGCATAAAAAAACGCGTTATACATCAGCTTGATAGTGCACAGGTGGTGTAACGGTTGGATGGTTGAGTTTGAAGTGCCAAACTCTCCCGTGCGAGAGGATGAAACGATCAGCTGGGAACTGGTTGAACAACTCTTGGCTGCTGTTTCATCTGATCGTAAGACCACGGTACAAGACCGCATTAATGAGATGTCAGGAAGGAAAACGCGCAGACACGGGTTTTGCCAGCGGCATGTCTACACTGCGGATCTGGCCGAATACCTCAATCTGGCATCTCGCACAGACTTAGAGCGCATTTCTCGAAATGGTGTCTCTGATGGACGAATCTTTTACCTGCTCAACAGAAAGTACATCAAATTACGACATTTCTATGAACGGCATAAAGTTGCAAAGCATCGCTTCAAAAAGAAGAACTTCAATGTGTACCTGGAAGATTTTAAACGCTACCAGGCTAGCCGTGGCCGCGGTGGTAAAGCCTACTACGAGACCATCGAGGATAAACTCAGTTCTATCGCTGATCGTCGCTACTTAGTGAGGTTGCAAAGAATGGAACTTGAGCAGGTGAGCACAGACGAAAGCGAGGAATCTGTAGAAGAAATTGACCCGGTGGTAAATGAGTCAATTAGTCTCCTATCTGATGAGGAGGAGACAGCAGCAAAGGGGGTTCTGCCGTCGGCAGTGCAAAACACTACTGTTGATGCCGAGAATAGCCAAGTGAGTATCGACCTCTCCTCGCCTCCCACTACTCCCGTGAGTGTCCGATCACTAAGCTCAGCCCCCCTAGTACAACAGGATGCTACACCGGGGCCTGTCAACTCCCCGGGCGCCTCAACGAAATCGCCACAACAGCCGCGCACTGGCACACAACAATTGCTGGAGGAGTTTTCGAATCTTGAACCTGACTACAGCCGCAGGACACGAAGGCATAAATTTTCGCAAGACCATGTGTATGTCACTGACATAGCAGTGTATTTGAGTCTATCTTCGGTTTACCAGCTGAACGATCTTTATGACCAGGGAAAATCCTACAACGAAATCATGTCATATTTGGAGTCTGTTTATTCTCAGAGACGAAAGGAACGTGAGGAAAAAGAGATCGGCTACGGTCCTTTTTACAAGCCAACGTTTGCTGCGTACCTTGCCTCCGAAACTCACAAGCTGGCAGAGCAGAATAATGTTGCGAAAGAGACAGCCATGAGCGATAGTGGCGAAGATGAATACGTGGAGAATGAACTCCCTATCTTGTCCTCACCTGTGTTGGCACCAGACGCGCACAGCGAGAACGATAATCTCTCACTGATGGAACTTCCTTGTCCTGAGGGTTTCAAGGAGAACAGTCAAGATAGTCAGGAGGACGCTTTCGTATTTCGCAACCGTCTGCTAAAGAAAAAGAATGCTTTGGCGGGCGTGCTTCCGCAATCATTTTTAAAGCTCAACGAGCCACAGTCGGTCACCAGGCGACAACGAGAACCACGGGCACCGCGACCAGGCCTTGCACGGAAGAGGAATCATAAATACTCCAGGACTGACGAATTTGCCGATTTCTTGACCAATGGCGATCTCCAAACAGAGATTCGGCCATTCAAGTACGTGGAGACAAGAGCGAGATGCACGCCTTTTCAATTGGAACCAACATTCGAGTCTACGGAAAATGTTAAGGTTATTTCTTCTCCATCTTCCGACTCTGATGTGAAAGAGCTTTTTGAAGTGACTGTTAGGAAGGACTATGCAGAAGAAGATCGATCAGCAGGCATTGATTACATGCTTAGCAGAGCCTCAAAAACTAAGAGAAAGGCGAAGAGCAAATCTAAAAGACCACGCACTGGCACATATAGACGGCCACGAAGTGAAACTCCCTCACTAAGATACGGACGTAAGGCGATTCAAAGAACCACAGAGTTTCTTTCGAAAAGGCCCCTAGAACAAATGATATGGATTAGTGATGAGGATACAAGAAACACAGACAAACAATCAAGAAACATAGAGAAGCGTACCCCAATAGCAAGCCACAAGCGCAGAAAGAAACTTGCCATTACAGGAAACCCGGGAGATCCAGAGCATTTTTATTACCAGAGACGTCGGATTTTCGGCACTGCTCAACTGGAAGCTATAGCAAACGAGGAAGTGATGGAGGTCAGGCAACCACTACAGAACAAAACCAATTCATATACTAATGTCTCGGATAGGCTGGGTAAAACTCATTTGCAAAAGGCATTCCATATGGGAGACTTGAGCCTTGACAGATTTCAGGATCTTGACTCTTCCACGTCCTCGTTGATTAATTCCAGACTCTTCCATGCTTGTTTGGACGAGGATGGCAACTACTACAAGCCCGAACCTATCGAATTCTCATTCGGAAACCTGCATTACTCACTTGACAACTCCAATATAGAGAAAGCTCCAAGATTGACAGAAGTCTTGCTGAAGCAACTATTTGCATCTCTTGCTAAAGAAGCATTATCTGAGGAAGACCACAACAGTGTTAGGAAAACCTACATCTGCATTCTGCAATTGACTTGGAATATGATCAGATGGAGTCGGCACGATTTCATAAGATTTGCGAAGGTCCTCTTATCCTCGTCTTGGACGTTTTTGGATCTTACAATTAAAGCAAAAACCAAACTTCTATATGCGCCCTTTCATCTAACCCTGACTACTCTCGCAGGTAGGATTATGAGACAGCTCAAGGAAGATCATCAAGGTTTTGATCATGTCATAGTAAAATTGCAGAGACAAATCAACAGACTAGCATGCTCGGTTTCCAAATCTCATTTCTATTACGCATTGAAGGATGACTCAACTAAGTTTATGGAATCGATGCTGATGTTTCTTGCCTTGTGTCCAAACCCTTGGAATCAGGTAGCATCTTTGGCGAGAGAGTATGAGCTGTCATTCGAAAACGTGGTAAGTTATCTGTATTTTGTTCACTCCCAGAGGCCAGTTCTAGTTGATTGGGAGTTTTTCATGCATGAAATTGAAACTCTAAAAGACCCTCTTGATATACGGAAGTCTCGAGCTGTTCTATCAACGGTCATGAAAATTATCAAGGAGCTAAATTGGAATTTCGAGGAGCTTTTACTGGTAAAGATCTATAGACTCATCAGCTACCATCGCTTTGAGAATACTGGAAGTATGAAGAGAGTCACAAGCAATGTGCCGTTGTCCCTCACCATTTCTGAGTCTGATGGATTCCTAGACATGTACATCAAATTCCTGACTCTGTATGTCCAGCAATATATGGAACCAGAGAAAAGGATGAGCTTGATCGAGAAAGTCACGCCTGTGAGCGACATCAGCACGTGCACTGCTAAACTTCTTGGGAATCGAATTTGCCTTCTTATGGTGATGACTCGACTATTCAAGCATGACTTTTCGAAACAAGTGGCCAATGTCTTCGGGGTTTTGATTGGGCTTGGATCATCATCGGCAAATGAGCATACTCTCGATCTCGTTAGTTCTTACACACAATGTCAGTTCGAAGTCTTCAAAAAAGCTCCTCTGGCGCTTCTTCGTGGATGCTTGGTTCAAGTTGTCGATTCAATCAACAGCTTAAGGCTGACCTCAGATGTATGCTCCGATAAATTCCGTTATCTGGCGAAGCAAATATGGGATGCAGCTATCGATGATAAAGAAGACGGCCGAGTTGGTCACTACTTGTTGGTGTTTATCTCTTTACTGAAAATTCGAGTGTCGCACCTTTCAGTTGTGATTCAAAGAACGATAGACGTCATTCGAAAACTTATTTGGATGAAGCCGGTCGCTTTCCAAAAACTAACTCCCAAATTACGAACAGAGTTACTTTCTGCGCTGAAATCAATTGTGCTAGCGCCGGAATTACTCAGCGAATCCCTTAAAAAGTCAAGTATTCATCTTTGGGTGCATATTAGCTCTATCACTGGAGTTGTTACTGATGCTTTGATTCACCTGGAGTGGCAGTATTTTGGCACTGCCCATACGAGGTCCAAGTACGAGTTGGCATTCTTCACATCAGTAATGACATTTTACAGGGATCAAATTTCAGCTAGCTCATTCTCGGAAATGTTCAGGGTATTCCTCCAAAAGCTTGCTGATATATGCACCAGAGACCTTTTTGATTTCTGTAAGCTTCTGGCACAACAAAACGGACACAGTGGATATCTAGAGTTTAGAACTGGCAAAAGCCTCTCGGATATGTCGATGGAGGAATTCTCGGATCAAATAATGCGTGTTAGCGTTCGGATTCTCGCTCGTTTGGTGGTTGCAGCTAAAAGAGGCAAGGAACAAGATGCCGACTATCTAAAAGTATTTGTGAGGTCCTTGAGCGACGTATACAAGAGATCTATCGCCCAGGGTAAGTTCGAAAAACCTAAAGAAGATTTTGTTACGCTGATCCGGTACCTCAATACCGTTGCAAGCTCTGTTTTACAGACAGTGCCAGAATTTATTGACTTGAGGCATGAATTGGCAATTGAGGACGTGCAAGCGCCACTTAACGAACGCTTTGAATCTACAGACAATATGACAGACCTCATGATCCTTCTGGAGAGCGAGTATATCAACTCGTTGATCAATTACAAGCTTGAACTTTTTCGGGATGACGTGGTTTCAGATCTTGATGAACTGCCAGTGCTTGAAGTCAATCCACTTCACAAATCGGTGTTTTATTCCCTTTTGACCATTATCTCTCTGCATTTGCATCAACTTTCTTTTGACAAATCCCATTGGATTCATCTTCGAAACTGGCTGGATATAATTGTCCTTGCTGTGAAGAAACGTAGATCGTTTTCGCAGGCAGATGTCTGGACTCTAGTTAGATTGATCACCTTGTGTTCTGAAATCGGGAGCTATAAAACATCGAACGAGGATTCTTGGAGGCAATGCTCTGAATTGATATATGAGCTCTTAAATCACCTATCAGTTGCTTTTCTGGGCTACGATGATATGGCAGATTTCAAGAGATTGTTCATATTACTGGAAGCTTTGGACGAGCCAAAGGAGTACTTGAGATATGCCTTCGAAGTTCCTGAAAACCTGCTAATGGAATTCAACGCTTTGTACACCGAATATTCCAGCCTACTGGTAACAAGACTACAAGGCCGTGAAATCACTACCGTTAACTGTGATCTTGCAGGGTCAAAAGCTCTTGCTGAGCAATCATGTGGAATATATGGCCCTAGTTTTCGTGCTATGGCTTCCAATGATTTTGAAGGAATTGCATTTAATTAAGTATTGCTATCCTCTTTTTTAGAATACAATTGTAGGGATATAAAAATATCCCTAATTCGAGGCGCTAAGAAAATTAAAAAAAAAGTATCTGATCTTAATCACTTCTTTGATGACTCTCAGTTCTGGGAGAAAGGTCAACAGTGCCTCAGCAGTAGAAGCTCAAAAGAAAATAGCAAATGTGCAAGAACTAGGTCCCCCGAAAGAAAGCAAAAAATCTCCCTCGTATGGCGCATATCAAAATGATCAAGAGAAACAAACTAGGCTGAGAAGAAATACGATGCAGTTTCCGGTCCCTCCCCTGTCTACTTCTCCAGAACCAGCGGTCATAAGACTCAAGAGCGTCGATCGATTTTACTCAGGGAATCTACAAGCAAGTGAGCCGCAGGTCATTCACTCTAGCTACCCTGAAGAGAGATCCACTTCTCTGGAACCCGAATCAATTGGAATCCGTAGAATGGAGCACATAGAGGGCTCTAATCTTATTGTTTTGTCCAGTGCATCTTCAACCAACTTGCTATCGCAGTTTGATCCCTATGAACAAATTGTCAGAGAAGGAGATTCGGGGATGTCAGCTAGCGTTTCTGGTCCCCTTGACTCGGATGACCTGAAAGGCGAGCAAGCTTCCAAGCTTTCAGTACCGAAAGTGAGAAGTCCGGATAATGACAGCCCCGGTGACCGGCGAAGCGACTGGTCTGAAGGACAAAATCTTATTCAAAAATTTGGATATCTATCGCCAAACGAGATAGAGGCATCAGTCAAGAGCCAAAATGAAAAAGAATCAGTGACCGATGTCGAAACTGAAACATTGCGCTCCTACAATAGATACATGACAATCAAGGAACATAGGCTTTTTGAAGGTGAGGATAGAGAGAATGCCATAAACTCTGCTGCTTCTATTACAGGGATGTCCAGTAAAAAAGGATCTCTGTCTCAACCATGGGCCTTTGGAGATGTCGATGCACTTGAAAGAGCCAGTGTCAAAAGCTCGAAGTCCGAATTCTCCTTCAGCAGAGCAAGTGTGCGGAAGTACACTGGAGGATCGACAAGGAAAACCATGGTTGATTCTGAAGACCGCAAGAAATCAGTGGAGTTCAAAGATACAGAACAGGAAGAGTTGGCTAGTTCCGAGGCGGTATATCAGTACCGTCTCACGATGTCTCCCTGGATTGGAATTTTCTTGGCCTTCGTTTTTATCCTTTTACTTATATATGCAACTTTGGTGTCCATCAAAGCGTGGTCTCCTTCCAAAGTGGGACGAGAGCAAGTGGCTCAATATTTTCAGACGTTGGATGAACAGGAGAGATATCCGGAAGTCACTAGCATTTTCGATGATTTCAATCTCGGCAAAGGCAAGCTCTCAGAGAGCTTTTTCTTTCGTAACAACAATACCCTTCAAAATAACGACACTCAGATTGATCACTCGATGGTTAATTCATTCAAAGGCATCAGCAGCAAATACAAGGGCGATTATGAGATAAGGGCCCTGATGGAGGATGACAGATTGAAGCAATCCTTTTATGGTCTATCTTACGCCCCAAGAGGGGTAATCGAGCCGATGTGTCAAGTAACAGAAAGAGATGTTTTATTGGATGTCGCGCTATTGTCAAGAGTCACGACTAGAGTCAGAACCTATGGAACGCAATGCCGTCAGGCCGAACTTATCCTGAAAGCTTTTCAGGAGCTTGATTTGAACATGACAATTGCTCTTGGAGTGTGGATTGGAGAAGACGACCATTCGAACTGGAAACAGATGAATGAAATGAAGTGGTTGCTTAGCAATTTCCCGAAACGCTACTTTAACTCAATTATCATTGGAAATGAAGTACTCTTCAGAGAAGACAAAACCGTGAGAGAGCTAATATCGTACGTGGAAGAAGCAAGAACTTATACAAAGTCCATTGGATGCGGTGACATTCCAATTGGGACCTCTGAGTTGGGATCCCAAGTCAAACGTGAAATGGTTGAAACGTGCGACTTCATCGGTGCTAACATTCATCCTTTCTTTGGAGGCGAAGCAGTAAAAGCAGGAGTACAATGGACAACAGATTTCCTTGAGCAACAGGTGTTGCCATTTGTCCATAATATACGGCCAGAAGTTCAGGTCGTCGTTACGGAAGTTGGCTGGCCGAGTGGTGGCGGGCAGTACATGGCTTCAGTTGCTGGGAAAAAGGAAATGCAGCAATTCCTTGAATCATGGGCATGTTCACCCATGACACAAAAGTTCGCATGGTACTATTTCGAAGCCTTTGATGAGCCGTGGAAGAAAGTGTGGCATGAAGAAGGTAGTAAATGGGAAACCCAATGGGGATTCTTCACCCATGACCGGAAGCTGAAAGAAGCAATTAAGCTTCCTGAATGCGTAGATACCGTCAACTTTTCCAATGGTCTTGGGAAGAATGTTAGCAGAGTCCAATGATACAATTTGAATCTATTAACTGGCTTTAACCTTGGAGGTTGCTTTCTGAATGATTTTGTAGTTTATCCAACACCAGAATAACATGAAACAGCCGAAAGACAGTATAACATTCGAAATCACCCAGAGATGTGGCAGCTGTTGCGGGGGGTCGAAAAGACAATCGAGTACGTGTAGTAACGAGGCCAGAGTATACGAACTGATGATGACAAAACGCCAAAATAAGTTGTGAGGGAGCACCGGTGTTGCTAGTTCCCTCGCAAGAACAGGAATTTTGGCCATTCTTAAATACATTCTGATCCAACTCAAATTGCCCATGAGCCAGTTGCTCAAGATCCCTAAGACAAAATATTGAAGAGACAATTGATCTCGCTTGAGAAGCGGCCACATGGAGAATAGAGCAATGTTGGCAATCCAACAAACCATAGATATGACATCGGGGTCAACTTCGTTGAGGAGAAGGGTGATTGGCATTAGTGGCAGAAGAATCGATTTTTCGTGGACCTGAAACGAAAAGAGATAGAAAGCCAACGAGCAGGACGCCAAACACCAGGTGAATAATGTCTTACTTGGCTTCAGAAAGATAGTGATGGAAGCGGGCGAGATTCCTGCCAATGTTATCAGAAGAGACAATCTCTTCAACTGATCTTGAGTGAAGATATTTTTGTATTTGACAATCACGTTTGTTGCGCACCAGAAATTGGCTACTTTATCTTCGAAAATGCCTCTGTCAAATGGAAACACACGGATCATTATCTGAATAATTTGGCCGAATCCACCTTGGTACACGAAGGGCAAGAACATCAGCACAAAGGTACCGATCACTGAGGCTCCTATGGAAACTAATCTGAGAAGGTTCATCTTGGAGAAGGGGAAAATGCAGACGCTGAGAAGATAGAAAAAGAAGATAGGAGCGTAGTAGAGCGCCATTTGCTTGAAACAAAGAGCCAACACAAAGAATACTGAGCATGAAGCGTAGTTATTTTCCAAGAGGTTGACAATTGCAAAAAGAGAAAGACCAAGCATCACGGAATTGTATTGAAAATGCCCATGGTCAATAATAATCAAGGATGGCTGGTAGAGAATGGCCGCTGCAATGATAGTTTGATCGATAGGAGAAGCCTTATTGTAATGTCTGCCCATCCATCTGGTGTACATTAGCACTGCCGGAATGTAAATGAACAATTCACTCAAAAGAGCTGTTATTCTCAGGTAAGACTTCAAGTCGTCCGTTTCGAGTCCTCTTGAGACATCAAGAGCGAACCACGAGCCATCTGTCCAGGAGCCAATTATTCCGAGAAGCCAAGAATGAAAGGCAGTTAAGGGAGGATAGTCCAGCCCCCAATATTGTAAATCATAGAAATACCACTCCGTAATTGGCAGATGTGTTGTTATTTCCATCCAATGGCGTTGAGCTTCGAAATCTCCAAACATGGGAGGTGTATTTTGTCCCGAGTAAGGCCCCAGACCTACTGCACATCGCACAATGATGGCGAAAACAATAATGATATAGCGCGCAACCCACTGGTTTGGAGCTCGTTGAAAGGGGATAAGAAAGTCGTACAGTGGCGAGCTTTTAAATAGAGATACAAACTTGGAACGTGACATTTGATCTGAACATTTTTTTTGGCAGAGCAAGAAATCTAGACACTAAACAATCGCTATGGAGTGAGGTACTACCATTGTGACTCTTTACAATATTCTTCTAGCTTCTCTCCCTTTTCACCAATGATTCGTTTAATAGCCTGTATAATCTGGCCGTGAACGTTGGTAGTAGCAGCTATGACCCCCTGACTATTCAGTGTTCTGCCATGGTTAAATTCTAGTGGTAAACCGTAAATATCAGTGACTTTTCCACCACTTTCATGAACCAACAGAGCACCTGCCGCATGGTCCCAGATCTTTTCACGGTACGCGGGGTCTTTAGGAAGTCTCAAGTAAATTTCGGCGTCACCTTTCGCCAGCGCGCAGTATTTCACTTGCGAGTCAAGGTTCACAGACTTGCTTTGTATATGCAAATCTTGCTTGATCAACGATTGCAAACGATGAGATGAGTGTCCTTTTTCAACACCCTCTAAAACTTTGGCCTGTTCGACCGGAAGAGAATTATTTACCTGAATTCTCATACTTCTGGTGAAGGGATACACTAGATCGGACTTCAGGTCCTGGAAATAAGATCCAGCGCCTCTGACTGCGGTAAAAAGTCCTCCAACGGGTGATGTTCTGTCGTTTAAGTCATGTGGAAGGTTTGGACAACCAATAACACCAACTTGGACAATGCCGTCCACCATTAACGCAAGACACACAGCATATTGATCTCCTCTCAAGAAGCCTTTAGTGCCGTCAATCGGGTCAAGAGCCCAAATACGACCGCTCGATCCACCCTTAGATTGTCCCTTGTCAATGATATCACATAATGTGCCGCTGTCCTCAATGACACCCAGAAAATCATTATTGCTAGAGTCCTGCTTTTGAACGTACTGCACCTGAGAAAGGATGTTCTCACCGAGGTTCTTCTCCTTGATCAATTGGGAGTCTTCTTCACCAACAACCTCGTCGCCCGGGAAATTCTTGAGGATCGAGTTGATGATTATTGCTTGAGCTCCAAAATCCCCGATAGTAACTGGAGAATGGTCTTCTTTACTGACACCTTTCAAATGTTCAACAGCAACCTTCTGTGTCAGAAGGGTGGCTCTCTGGACTGCCAGCTGAGCAATGTGTGTTTCTTTTAAGTATGCTGACATCTTCAATAAGCCCATTAACAATTTTTCAGTACTTACATACAAGGTTAGTCACGTGAAACTTTTGATCTCTAGTATAAATCTTTTAAAAACAGTGAAAGCACCCCCTTAGGCGTGGCCTTCTGATCTACAAGCAACATCCGCACAACTTGGCGAAGAATCCATTGTTGCTCTTTTTCGATTCCGTCTCCTGTTTTCCAGCTCCTGGTTGAGTCTTCACAGGCTCATTAATAGCCTGAGGCTGCTGTTGTATGTTTTGATACTGATACTGTTGTCCTTGTTGTTGAGCAAGAGGGGAGCCTTGATTTGCCGGGGAGAACCTGCCGCTCTTGTCTGGTAAGTTTGGCAGAGGTCTATCGCCAGAATGTGTATCGTGCGTTCTGTAAACTTGGCCAGGTACTGCTGACGAAGGTAAAGCCTGCGCACCAGCTGTACCGGAGCCAGTAGGCTGCTGTGTGTTTCGAGGTCTTCTTTGTTGGCTGTGGCGGTGTCTCTCTCCTGGAGGATTAGGGTGACCATAGCCATGCAGGTTTGGCTTCTTGTTAATCGTAGCATCCCACCCGCGACCGCCGTTCAAGTCCATCCAATCGTAGTGTCCATCAGCAACATCGCCAATATCGTCCAAAACAGACAGAAGGAGTCTTCTGTATCCCTCGTAGTCAGGTTCCGCATCAAACTGCAGGTTTCTAACATAGTCCAGATACTGAGCAAACTGACGTGGGAATCCGTGACACAGGTCCAAAACTGGAGTTGTTCTCTTTTTCTCGCCAATCTTTTCGTACTTCTGTTTATTAGTAGGGGCCTTGAGTCCCTGCCATGGTAGCTGCCCTCTGAGAAAGTAAAAGAACACATGTCCGAGAGCCTCCAAATCGTCTCTTCTGGATTGCTCTCTCCCCAGATGGGTGTTAACAGACATGTATCTAGCTGTTCCGCTCAGCGATTTTTTCTCTCTGTAAGGTATATGCTGCTTGGTTCTTGGATCCCTGTATTGCTTAGCCATACCGAAATCCACCAGGTGAACAGAATTTTCGTCTGGAAGACCATGTCTTCCAATTAGAAAATTGTCAGGTTTGATGTCTCTGTAAATAAGATCTCGCTCATGGACGCTTTGAATTAAGGTAATCATCTGGACAGCCACTTGAACAACTGTCTTGACTGAGAACTTGCGGCCACACCAATCGAAAAGGTCTTCCAAAGATGGACCGAGAAGATCAATAACCAAAATGTTGTGGAGTCCTTCTTGGCCAAAGTAGTATGCACTCGGGATACCCTTTACTCCATTCAAATGCTTATAAGTTCTGTACTCATCTCTAAGTTGCGGAGCTTCGGTTTTTCTAGGTTCAAATTTGATCGCAACTGGAATGCCGTTGATTAGATTCGTTCCCTCAAATATGACACCAAAAGATCCCTCTCCAATCTTCTTACCGATTTTATAGTGGAGCCCCACCACTTGAGAGCTCGAGCTAGATGAGTTTTGCTGCATTTGTTGTTGCTGTGCCATTGCGGAAGCCTGTGCCTGCATAGGAGGAGGAGCGCTGGCGGAGGAGTATTGTGCGGTTGTTGACGGATTTTGCTGATATCCGTTTGCGTTGTTCAGATTATTTGACGCTGCCAGTGCTGCTGCTGCTGCAGGAGAAGAGTGGTTTGGTCTTGTGGACATTTATCAAGCTGTAAAACTGATCCGCTGAAGAATGCAAGGAAATAAACGAGGAGTTTGTGCAAATTATAATTTGCTGTAAACCCTTTAACCAGATTTCTAAACAACAGAACCACTAGACGAGAACTGTTCTGGACAACAACTTTTGCTGCAAATGTTGTCAAGTAGGAGTGGATGATTATTCGCAGGTGCCAGTATGTCTTTAAAAAAACATAAATCGATGGACCTGTTGAGAAAAATGTTTTGATTTTTTGAAGTGAACGAATAAACACTTACGGCAACAAAAAAATCAATTAACGCAGTACGCAGGAAGCGAAAAATTAAAATCGCGATAGTGACGTCCGCTCTTGGTTTTGATTTCAGGATAAATCCTACGTACAAAAGTAGCCTCAGGAATCGCTAGTTATGAGTCAAGTAACGTATGCAAGTCTGAGTTGTTTGTGGCACAATACTCTCCTCATCCCGCAAAAGGTTTGTATATGCGCCAAAATTTTCCTTTTCTCACATGCTCCTTCCTTGTACCCACGAAAAGAAGAGGCACGAAAGCCATATTTTACCATTATAACACCTCTACACCGATAGAAATGATTGTGGTCTAGATCTACGCGTTGTGGCAAAATTTCGCTGCTCCGAATAGAATTTGTGGCGGGTATTATCCAAAAGAGGTAAAAAATAATGTCCGAAGTGGTGGCGGTGCAGTTTTTTTTTTTTTTTTACAACCGACCGTTATTTAACAGGAAAAAAGTAATCGTACTTTTTGTGACCAAACTCATCAAATCATCAAATTTGAATCTGTGGTTGGTTCGTTATCATTGTGGTGTACTTGAACACAAAGCGACGATGGTTTTGAAACGGTCCTTTTCGACACGGCTGCGGTCGAAGTTTGCCAAATTGAAGAAAAGTCCAGATGATCCCTCCAATCCTTCAAATGATCCCCTCGATCTTTGCCCCAGAGTGACAACGTTCGCCACCAAATTAAACAGTGACCAAAATTCGCCATCACGCATCCAAACAGTGTCCGATCCTCAACGTTCACCAGTGTCGAAGGACGTGGTATTGCTGCCGTACGACCCTGAGGATCAAAACTCGCTACCTTGCAGTACTGAACAACTTACTCCAATAATGCCCCGCTCAAGTTCCGAGTTGCTTTTATTCCCCCTTCAGTCATCACCTCTAAAGCCTTCGGGGCAAAGACCAGCCGATCAGAATATGGAAACTCTGAATTCCGCCAATACCGCTACGGTATCCATGTTATCTCCTACTATAGATTTATTCGATTCGGCTATCTCAAAAACCGAATCCAACTGCTCCCTACCTATAACAGAGCCTTCACCCTCTCCACATATAAACAATGATAAGTCCATCTTTGCAAAGGCAAACCAGATTGATCATTTTGACAAAACCCTCGACATGACTGAAAATGACAAACTGGCTGAACAAATGGCCCTAAATATCTTGGACAAGATCTCAGAGGAGCAGGTTGATGAACTTGCTTTGTTAAAGGATGAAGTGATTCGTCCGGTTCTTTCTCCATCAATTAGGTGAAAAGATGTTTGCGTCTGAGACGACTTTATGATTATTTTTCGCTTTTGTATATATGCACCCCTAAACTGCCTACGTATTATATTTTCTATCAGGCATTTTTCAAAAGTCGCTGAAGTATGGTAAGTAGGTTATGGACATTTGGTATCTAACAAAGATAGCCTCGTCATTCCACATTCACGGCTATCAATCATCTCGAAGATGAAAAGGATATCGAGGAGCACTCACGAGAGCTGCAGGTTGAGCTTGGGTTCAAATTATTCGAAGAGGCTCTAAGTGCTCAAAAACAAGGCAATTTTGACGAGGCCAATGCCAAGTACCAGGAGCTTTTTCGTATGGAAGTCTTGACAGCCAGAAATCCAACGAATAATCCCGCTATTGAAACGCTCAAATATCTCTGTCTCCGCAATCGTGGCGTTTTGAAGCTGACGCAGATCAAAAGAGGGCTCGATGGTGATAATCACTCAAACAAATATGAGCTTTTTAAGGATGCCCTTGATGACCTGATCTCAGCTTTGTCTCATGGAAAAGGCGATTTGAAACTTATAGAGCTCCTGATCCAAATTTTCGAACGTTTGAACACCAAGAAGCTGAGCCGATTTGCATACGAATACGATTTGCTAAAGTCCGAACACGCTGCCCAGACACAGCCGCATGCCGGAACTGCATTCACTGAAGAAGATGATATTCAGTACGATCTGAAGCGTCTTGACCAGTTGCTACCCAATCAACTCAGCCTTTTGCGCGGTTACAAGGATTTTCTCAAGGAATTGGGCGTTGAGTCCGCTTCCTCAAAGTTGCTAGTGGATATTGAAAACAGAACCACCCCCCGCAAAGAGGTTTCGATGGACGCATTTCCGTCTGCCGAACTATTCAAGACCTTCAATAAAGAGGAGCCAAATTGGCATTCTGTCATCTTGACCTGCTGCGATAGTTCGGTGGCATTAGATGAGCTTTTGAGGAAACTTAACGAGCTCTTGCCCAAAAAAGGACGATCAAAAATTTATGACAGCTACATTCTTACTGACCGTCCCATTGAGGGAGTCAATTTCGAGCTAGTGGAGACGGGAGACAATCCAGAAGAATCAGAGCCTAGAGCAGAGCAAGAAACAGAAGACAATGATGTCATAGTTGCTCCTGAGGATGAAGATTCAGGGTCACCCTCCAGGCTAAGTTTTCCTCCTGGTGAGGATTCCCAACACTACAAGGAGGACACTAAAGAATCACCGCCCAAAGTGGCAGCCCCTAATACTACTCCTACCGTTACGAAACGACAAACACGAGCTAATAGGGAAGCTGAAGCGAATGAACTCAGCAGTGAAGCTTTTGAGTCACAGTTCTTGTTCCTGGAACAGACTTTACCACAGTACTTGATGTACTGCGGTGTCATTGTGGATGGATCGGGCAAGTTGACAGAATTATTTCTTCCCAATTCTCAGTTACGAAGTGGGCACCAAGAGCATGACGACCTAGCTCATGTATTCAATCAGTGGAACAAAGAGGACACGGAAACACTTTTCGTAAAGCTTGAAGATGGACATAGCAATGAAGAGAGCAAAGAAGCTTCGGTGAAAGAAGTCCTTAGCTCGTTGAGTAAAGAAACACTAGAAGAAAGAAGGTCATTTCACGATTTAGACGATGGCGGGCTGAAAATGGTGATATCGTCTATCAGCGGGACTCGCTTGCAGTTCAATCAGATCCGATTATCAATACTAGATTATTTGTTCTCAGTCAGGGAGTCGGGGGGCACGCTGGTTACGGACGGATTCATGAGCGCAGATTCTTTGAAACAGCTGCGTCTGTTCACTGATGCCGTTAGTTTGTATGTTTATCGACAATTGAGCGACAATCTTTTGGAAAATGGACCGGTGGATATTAGAAGTCTGTCGTTCGGTGTTTCAGTTCTTGAAATCCTAGTGGATTACTTCATTTCCTTGAAAGTGGATCAAAAACTCAAGAAATTCGGAACTAAAGCGCTATATAACGAGATTGTCCAGACAGAACAGATCACATCACGCAGGATTGAGCGCTGGATTTCAATTTTGAGTGACCATTTTGAGGACATAAGTTTGAATACTTTATACTCACAGCTATGGCTCAGAACAAAATGGAGTCAAATGTGCTATTTGCAACAGCTTTCTACTTTTGACTCGGAGGTGCTTTCCACGATCTTGACCACCATGGCCAACATTTCAAAATCCGTACACGTTGACGTTCTGATGGTCAATTTTCCCAACATTCCACGATTGAATAGGGCAAATATAGAAGTCCAGCTCTCAAAAATGAAAATATTCAAGACCTTTACTGAGAGTGATGCTTCCAATGAGATTCTTGAGCGAATTTTAGTTGATGATGATGAACAAAAGTCTAGATATAATAAGGAAGAAAAAGAAATGGATGACTTTATCAACAGATCGCCCTTTGAGCTGAAGATGCGTTTATGGACTATGCTATTTAGATTTTACCGTGAAGCAGAGCTAACGGATAAATTTCTACGAGGCTTTGAACGAGTGTTACAGATAATGATGATGGAAATTGAGGGGGATAACTTTGCCGAAAAGACATTCTTCCAACGCAAGCAACTGTTGCTCAAAATACTCGGATTTTTCGATTTATTTGCCAAAGATCTTGTCAACATCGGAGTCCAGAAACGATGGGATTTACAGCTGTCCAACACAAAGAACACTCTTCTTATATTAGCGAAATTCTCAAAGCTTTCTTATATCTTTCTGCTCCATGAGGATAGTGCTGAAATTTCAAATACTCGGACTTCGATCAGAACAAAATCCAGAATTGCTTACAAGAAGCTAGCGGATATTGCTGTTGTCAGCTTTACGCTCCTTGGCCTTTACTATTCTAGCAGTTTGATAGACCGAAAACCAGAGTATCTCAATGACTTCTACGCCATTTTGCACGAACAACTCGGGCTTCGGCATATATGCAATGGATACAATAGCGCGTTTTTGGATTTCGTTGAGAAAAGGCTTGTGGATTTGGATTGGGAGCAATCTGATAACGATTTCTTCCAGACCTTGAAATGTCACTATGGGATCAATATATCAACCGATAGTTTTAGTACTTTTGATCACGGAGCCGAGCCAGGCACAATGGGAAAGGTCAATGCAATCACAGTGAACAAATATATGATGAAATACTGTTTTAAGCGCAGGCATCCAATTTTTAATGTTCCCAAGGCAGATATCAAGAGCGTTCTGGACATGATTTATGATGTCTTAGGAGATCCTGAGCCGGACAACTACTCTGTTTCAAATAATATGGAAGCTCTAACTGAGTATCTAGAGACCAGATCTTTAGATACGCGTCTCATGAGGCTGTCTTTTTATGGCTTGTTGTCGATTCCTCTCGAGGAACCATGGGCTGAAAATGAAACAAATACTTTAGCAGATGGAGTTTACTTCATGCAAGGTTTACTTGCCTTAACCTTGTTCAAAATCCGCAAAAGGACCATGCAAGGACGCTCGGCTGAGCTTGACTTCGTTATTAAAATGTTTGAATATGACATTGCATCTGGTTCATACAGATTTGAGTCCTGGCTTCTCTTGGCACAAGCCTATTCTTATTTAGTGGAAGATGATATCATATGGACTTCTGACAAACTCAACAACGTGGACAAGAAACGCAACACTGCCATATTGCAACGCAAGTCATTACTCTGCTACTTCATGTCAATCAGCTTGTTCACCAGACTGAGCACGGAAAGGCAAGAAGGACTCACTCCGGTTGCCACAATGCTATGGACTTCCCTGGGGAAAGAACTTTACAATGCAATGATGAGTCCTATGGAAAGGCTGGCGCTGGAGGTTGATTCTACTACTGAAGCAAACTGTGTTGAGACTTCAAGCACGTTGTCAAATATTTTTCACCTTCCACTCAATATTACCATGTACAGAGTCCTGGAGATCTGCTTTCATCACGCATGTCATTTGAACCCGAAAGATTGGTACACCCATTTTTATCTCGCCAAGTCACAATCTAAACTTAGAGGAAAGAATCGTTACAAAACTGTCTTCAAAAATCTGCTCACAGCGTGCGATCTTGCTCTGAAGGCAAGCGACCGTGATGATCATATTGTTGAGCCTCATTATTTCCTATGCTCTTTGACCTATAAGTCAGTAATGCGTGGGGACGTATCTCTTGAGGAAGGATTAGACATCTTGAAAAGTGATCCACTGTTCCAGGAGTGCTCATGTGAGTCATCAAATTTAGACCAGTTTGGCAAAATGATTATAGGTCTTCTCCAAAAGTGCATCATCTACGATAAGAAAAACTGGCAGCATAGGCCCAAGTATCGCATCGCCAAAATTTACATTGACCAGTATAAAGATCTAGAGGCCGCAAAGAATGAAATGCTTTCCATCATCAACCTCAAATCTACAGTGCGGAATCTCAGCAATATATGGAAACCGGAGAATGAGCGCCCTGGAAAGCATTTTGTTTACAACTATAATTACATTGTCTTTTTTGTTGAGCTTTTGGATCGCTCAAAAGACGTTCACTCTTTATTCCAGCTTATCAAGAAGCTGAGGAAATTGGGCTCAAGCATGGTTGACCAGATCAAAGTCTTTGATCTTGCAGTTGCGAAAACTTGCGCTATGATAAAAGAAATTGTGAAGGTTGAGCCGGGATTCTTGGACGATGTATTGTCAAAGCTTGTATTCTCTGATTTTGTGGCAAGAAGCAAGGAATTTGTCAAAATGATGAAAGAAAAAGAAAGCTTCACAGACGAAGAAAAGCTGATTCTGTACTTCTTGTTTGAAGTTGGAGAGTTCAGACGCATGGCCAATGGATTTGCTGCAACAGGTGTGATAGACGAGTGTTTCCATACGTTATTTCTGATGCTGTTCACTCGTTATGAGGATTGGGCTAACAAGGAGGTTGTTCCCGAATATGAAAAATCCTCTCAGGTTGAATTTGTGGGAGGTAAAGGCAAGTCTGGGCAGCCATCAACTCCAACTCGTGAAAAAGTCAAGGTTGCGAGAAGAGACATCACACCTTTTTGTATTCAGACAATCAGTGCTGTGAGTAAGCTACTCGACTCAATTAAGCGAGAACATGGCGAAGGAACTTTTCTTAAATATACAATAGACGAGAAGAAGAGTCCAGAAAGGAAAATTATTATGAGCGCCCCTGATGGTGATGGAGATGAAGAGACCCCCAAGACTCCCACAATAAGCTGCAAAGAATTGAAGTTAGAGCCAGCGATCGAATTCAGCATTAAGCGAGCATCAGATGATGAAGATTCGTCTCAGGAAGCCAAAAAGCGAAAACCCGACGAGGAGACTTCCACGAACAAGTTAGAGTTATAGATTGATTAGTTTTCAAACTCGGGATCAATTTTAGCAGCGCTTTCACTGATACCCCATTTTTCAGTAACAGTGTTGGCCTGGCTCTTGATCTGATTGATAGTGTCAGGCAAATTTGTGGTAATCTTACTTTTCAACTCCTTTTCAAGAAGCTGCTTGTCCTCGCTTTTCTGCCTTTTTGATAACAGTTCTGAGTCTTTTAGGCTGCAAAATTCTTTCATCGACAAGTTACCCCCGAGAAGATCCTGTGCAAACTCAGTGCTCTGATTTTTCAGAGCAATCAGGTCTTTTCGAAATCGTTCCTTATAGTTGTCCAGGTTATGTTTCCGTGATTCAAAGAGTAAACACTCGTACTCGGATGCTAATTGACCAGGTCGGACGGCAGATTCACTATCTCCTTGTATTTGCGACAGTGTCTTCTCTATTTTAGACCTGCATGCGGCCCGAGTCTATATGTTAGTTTCTGGACACGAACACCTACATTCTTCCAAACGTCATCAGCATTGTCTCCCAAATCTTTATGCGTCTGTCTGACTGGGCGTTTTGAGTTGAATTTTGTCTTCCTAAAAGTGTTTTTCATAGGAGACTTAATCTTGCAAGCTAAAGCTACATTTTTAGCTTTGCTTTATTTTGGATTCCTCCACGACCTTTAACGGCTATACTGGAGGTATCGATTGTTGGGTTGGCGTGGCGCCGAATGCTAAAGCTAAACCCAGATGGATTCATTTGACGTTCTGAAGAAGTATAATTGGAAGCTGTAAACTCTGCCGGCTTAGGTTTTCTCACTCTGTTGAGCATCGTATTTTCTTCGTTTTTGTCGATAATGTTTGTAGAGCCATTAGGAGACAGGAGGGGTCTGGCTGGCGCTGTCTGTGGAATCTGAATTGGTTGTGTTGACCTCAAGTTAATTAGACTTTCTTCCTGAGCTTGTATCTGTTTTCGGAGTTGTTTGTTCAGCATTTCGTATTCTTCTAGTTTACTTTGAAAGAGAGATAATTGACGTCTGACAATCTCATTCGAGTTCTCCCGCTTCTTAAGGCGCAGAACATTTATTTCGTGCTCTAGTTCCCTGATTTGACCTTGGTAGCTTTCATGTACATGAGCAATCTGCTGTTCATGATATTTGACTACCCTTTTCAATTCTTGCTGGAACTGTAAGCTGTCAGGAGAATCTGATGTTGGTTCTGTCAATGTGTCCGTTGAGCTCCACTTTGCGGAATCCAATTTCTCCTCCAAGCTGGTATTGACCTCTTTCAAATACATCGTTTCGTTTCTGAGCTTATTTAATGCTTCCTTTAAAGGACCGAGAGCTTTATCCTTGTCTATGACTTGCATCTCTAGTGCTTGATTCTGTTCTTGAAGATGACCAACTTGGCTTGCCAAAAGTTGGACTTCGGCCCGCAAACTCTCGTTATTTTTCAAAATCATTCCTTCATCGATTTTCTGATTCGGAGCGGCAGATGGCGTCATCCTTGCAATTGGACTAGAAACTTCAATTTTCAATTTAAGTTCTTTTGGATCTGGTTTCTGGCGTTCCATAGCTAGCGCGTGCCGTACATATTCAGAGAAACTGAGCTCATTGCTCAAAATCAACATTTCGCGTTGATAAAACTGCATTGGCTCAGGAACCTCCTCTTTTTCTTCGCTCTTGGCGAAAACATGTTTGTAATCATCAAGCAGATGTTCAAGATCGATCGCTGGAGCCTTTCCAAAATCTGAAACGTAGGACTTCATCAGCTTAACAGTCTCCTCTTCTTCGACTTCCTGCCCTTCCAGTAGAGCAGGATGCAACCGCATCTTGCACAAAATGCTTTTAGATTTGGTAGCAAGCTGACTTTTCACGGTGGCTATCAACTGCTGTGGGGAAACAGCATACAGAAGCCCTCCAAGCCGCATATACTCCACATCCTCATCTGCAAGCCTTACAAATATCTCGCTCAGCCTGCCAAACTGTTCCCTGAAAGACCTTACCACCATCGGTGCCAAGACACAAAGCGCATTAATGGCACACCCTTGCACCGAAGAGTCGCATCTCTCCAGCACGTCTATCAAACGCTCGAATAAGGGGAGACTTTCAAATTGGGCATCAAGGGGACGTTCCATAATACTCTGAAAGAGCGCAAGTGTTTGGAGTTCCTCTGTGACTAGACTGTCTGCTAAAATGGAGAATAACCCTAGGGCATCTACTTTGATGTAAGATGATAAGATCCTTCGTATGTTCAGTCTGCGGAACCTGTACTTCTCGTTGTCTTCAAATGGTAGCTCTGGTGGTACGTCAAATGTTTGTAAATACTTTTGAACAAGAGATCGGGCCAGGTCGCGATCCATAGCACATTCTACAAATTTTGTAGCGAGCTTAGTTAGGCGAAGATTCGAGCCAGCTGAGTCTATCGACATCTCAGCGTACCATGTGGTCCAGACATTCAAGTTCTTGACGTAATCTTTGAGAACGATCAAAGCTTCTAAGAATGAGACCTCTCGATCAACTGAATTTACCATCTTGTTATACAAGACGGTCAACTCGTCTCCTATCTTTGCATTTGTGGAATCCAGTTCTGCTCGAAGATGTTCCGCACATGTGCTGATCTCATCTTGATTAATCGGATCCTTTTGAATGGCCTCCTCAAGCGCTCTAAGAAGACCTCTGTGCATGGCCCGTGTTGGCTAGGTGATAGAAATTATTTTTACAACTGGCTGTGCACGCTCGCTGGCTTCTCAATGTCGTTCCTAGATGTGATCAAAGGAATGGATGTCGTGCCTTATCCTCATGAGGAAGACTACGACATCTTTCAGAAGTCCGTCTACGTGTTATATTCTCACGATCGCCGCTTTCAGCTAGGATATCTGCTTCCTCTCGTTGTCACAGAACTAGATCGTTCAGGCCTTGTATTTGTGGACAAAGACAGCCGGAGCGTCCAGCTTGCTCCAGAACTGTCCACTGTGGAGCTCAGATCCGACAAACTGAACCAAATGGCCACGGAATGGAAAAACGCCGGATTGTTTTCCACCCTCGACGGCTGGAGAAACGAGTTGTACACCATATACTCCCCCGAGAAGGAGCCTTATATGTACCTGGAGCGCGCCCTATGTCCTCTTCTCGGTGTGGTGATGTACGGCGTTCACATAAATGGCTACGTACGCACCAAGGAAGGCTTGAAGCTCTGGATTCCCAGAAGATCAGCCACGAAACAAACGTTCCCAGGAATGCTTGACAACACCGTAGCCGGTGGACTAGGCTACCCTCATGGACTAATGGAGACGTGCATCAAAGAGTGCTATGAAGAGGCAGGATTGACGGAGGACATCGTAAAGCAGAATCTGCGCAACGTTGGCGTGATGTCATTCTTCTACCAGTCCAAAAAGGGTGATTATACTACAGAGGCTGGCTTGCTCCAGCCCGAGGTAGAATATCTCTACGACCTAGAAATGAGTGGCAAGACACTGCCAAGTCCTGTGGATGGTGAAGCTGAGGATTTCCAGTTGCTGGGTATTCCACAAATATGTGATCTTGTTAAATCTGGACAATTTACGCCAACGTGTTCTGGTGTTATTATAGACTTCCTGATGAGACATGGGTATCTTGTGCCGGAAAATGAGCCCCATTATATTGAGCTTGCTGCTAGACTGCATAGGACTTTGCCTTTTCCTCTCCGCTAGCTTATTTAGCGAAATGCAACTTGATGTCGAAGAATTGTCTCTGCAAAACTTCTGGAACAGAGAGAGACACATTTCCGTAAGTAAGAGGAGCTAGGAAAACGAACATCCTCACCAAGCAAGCCGTGAGTAGCACAAGTACCGAAATGTATGGAATCCAGTATATGGCGCCAGCCTTGGTTGTGTCCTTAGGATCTTTATATTCCTCTGTTCTGTTTTCAGTGAACAAAAATTCCAGCAGGGCAGCCGAAAACATAGCTGCCAGCAAGTGTGCAGGAAGGTAGTGGTGAAGAAAACGCTGTCTACTCATGAGAAAGAATGGGAAGTAGTGAGTGGCCCAGCCACAAAAGAAGAAGCCAATGCTTTTGTACAATCTAGCTCTGGATTTGTTGTTCAGAACGTAGATTTCTCTTCTTCTCGTGACCTGATCGGCCAACAGGATTCCCAAGTAGTTCACTAGAAGAGCCACTTCGAGCCACCATCCAAATATGTTTCCTATGAAATAGATTTGTTCCCTGGTTTCCGCCTTGGTCCAAAAGGACACGCCAGATAACGAAAGAGGCCAGGACTCAGGCAGCGAAGCAAACGGATGCGAGGATGTCAACTTGTTGTTCTGCTCAAACATCGTCATCTGCAGCTCGTACCACTTGGTCAAGAATGGCAACCGCTTGACTTCCTTGGGAACGTATTCCGCACGCTTACCAGAGAGGCCAATGATAGAGTCGATGGTCCAGTAGTTGTCAGCGTCGCCAACTTTCTTGTTACCGTTGACTTCTTGCTGATTGAAACCCCATTCTGGTAGGAGCTCATCGTCGTGGGTCCACATGGTCACAATGGTGGGAACATGGAAGAGTTTGACAACCGAAGCCTTAGTCTTGAGGACATCGCTTTTTCTTTTGTCGAATGGATCAAGTCTGAACAACGTATCATTAAATCTAGTGGTTTCTCCTTCTTCAACGTTGATCACGGTGAACTCCTCGTTGGTGGGATACAACGGTGAAGCAACGTCGTGAGTGAGCAGGTATCCGTCAGTGGCAACATGCTTCAGTCTGATTGTGTCACCTTGCTTGACTGTCTGGCCCTGGTGCTGACCGTCTGGATGAGGAAAAGCAGGAAGAATCTGCCAGTAGTTGTTTTCGTCTTCAAAGTCTTTCACACAGGTGACTTGCTGACCTTGAGAAGAGATTCTTCCGTCGTCGTACCGTAGCGGATAATTGAAAGAATGAGAGTGGAGCAGGCATTCAGTATCTCGGTGTTTGATGGTGATGATGTCGTGATATTGAACCTCTTTGGCCTCTCGAGCAAGTGGAGAGTCTCCGAGAGTCTCCTGGAAGTCAGCTGACATGAAGGCGTCGCCGGGTCCAGACTTGGTGAGAATAGCAAAATGGATATAGAACCAGCCAAGGTAGATTATGAAAGGGAACACAATGAGCCCAATGGCTCTGTGAACAACATGCCTGGCAAATATTCTAATTGAAAGGCCTTTCTTAATGTCCAATAGTTCCCATAGGTCCCAAATGACAGCCACTCCAATACATGCAAAAGTGAAAACACCGACATATTTGGTGGAAATGACGCAGGAAAGAGAAAATCCGGTAAGGAAAAGCCATTTATACCAATTGCGCGAAAATGGCTGATTTCTCTGCTTGACAAACTTGACGTAGCAGTAGACTGATGCAGCAACGGAGACAATCAGTGTTGCGTCCAACAGGATCAATCTGGTCTCTGCGACATGGGCATTATCAAAAAGCACGAGGAGCGCAGCAAAAGTACACGTTGGAATCGAGTAACCACACTCCTTCATGGTGTTGAAGATCAGAGGCACTGTTAGTGCTCCTAGAATGGCAGAAAGTGCCCTCAGTGGGATATATGGGACGGAATTCGTGATGTAGCTGTCTCCGATATTGTCAAATTTAAACTTTCCATTGAAGCCAACAAGGTATCCCACGAACGCAATCAGAAGCTTGGCAAATGGCGGGTGCAGATCAAAAAAATAGGTCCGCTCTAGATAGTAAGATGCGAATTTTCCAAAGTGAACCTCGTCAAAGACCACTTCGTCAGGATACCAGATGAAGTAGAATCTTGTGGCCAGGGCCAGGAAAGTGAGCACGATGCTCGTCAATCGGTAGTATTTGTCCATGGCTGGATCAATTACTGAGTTCGTATCGATCAGCTTAGCTGTCTGATTGCGGACAGAGCTTTTAGCAGGCAACCTCTGTTTAGGAGCCATGATTCAGTTGACACGACACGTTCGAGGCTTTTTTTTCTCCTTGAAAAAGTAAATAGCTTTCTGTCACAAAAAGTTGCGGCTCTCAATAGTAAACTATTCCCGCTGCTTCAAAAACCCTCAATACAACATGCTAAGGCACTATCGATATTTGAAGGAGACAATGAGGTTGGTCTCCCGTAGACACGTGTCCGATTTCCATGCAATGCAAGAAGCTTTTTTGAATGACCTGGGTGCAACTTCGGCGAAAACTAAAACGTTCAAGAAGGCGGTGACCTCAGAAAAGCCTGCAGCCCCAGTTGATCCTGTAGTGAGCACCACCTCCTCAGGGTCGAGCACTGAATCCTCCGTTCCCTCGCAAGGACCAATTTCTCAATTCTTCGATTCTTCTTTGAACGATTATTCGCCTCAGCAAGTCGAAGGGTCGCACAACTGGTCGGAAACTTTCCACGGACTAGCTAATCAGGCATTTCCGAAGGAAGCACAGCAGATTCTGGCAGAACCAATACCGGACAACGATATTGAAATCACGCCCGATGGACTGCTGTACCTGCCGGAAATCAAGTATAGACGGATTCTTAACAGGGCTTTCGGTCCTGGAGCATGGGGTCTGGCACCTCGTTCGGAAACGCTTATATCTAAGTCTGGATTAGGTGGTTTACTAACTAGGGAGTACGGTCTTGTGATTTACGGTAGACTGGTGTCTATTGCCAGAGGCGAGCAGACATTTTTCAGCGATAAGGGCATTCCCACCGCCACTGAAGGATGTAAATCTAACGCGCTAATGAGATGTTGCAAAGACCTCGGAATTGCCTCTGAGCTGTGGGATCCAAGATTCATCAAGCAGTTCAAGAAAAAGAATTGCGAAGAGCTATTTGTGGAATACGTTCCCACCAAAAAGAAGAAAAAGATCTGGAAGCGCAAAGGTGAAGACGTTGAATATCCATTCAAGAAGTGATTCATCTACAGATTGTATATAGAAGTAACGATTCATTCCTCTACTGGTTCTTATTAAAAACCTATGACACTTACAAACCAGCCAAGGCTCTTCTTCTGTCTCTCTCTTCGGCAATGGACAATTTGATACCCTTACCCTTTGGCAAAGAAACGTATGGCTTACCGGCCTCAGCACCAATAACAAACACGTTCGAGAGTCTGGTGACGAAAGTGTTCTCCAAAGCGTCCTTGATGTGGACCAAGTCGAAACCTCCCTCGTGCTTCTCTCTGTTGGTGATAACACCAACTCTACCCAAGTTACGACCACCGGTCACCATAACCAACTTACCAGTATCAAATTTGAGGAAGTCGGTAATCTTTCCGGTTTCAAGATCGATCTTGACGGTGTCATTGACTTTGATGGCTGGGTCTGGGTATCTGATAGTTCTACCGTCGTGGGTAACAACGTATGGGATACCCTTCTTACCGAGCTGGACCTTCTTGACCTTGCCCAACTTGTAAGAGGCTTCTTCAGCAGTGATTCTGTGGACAGCAAATCTACCTTTCACGTCGTAGATGAGTCTGAAGTTCTCGTTGGTAGCCTCCAAAGTGATCACGTCCATGAAACCAGCCGGGAAGGTAGAGTCGGTTCTCACCTTGCCGTCAACCTTGACGTGTCTTTGCATCAAGATGGCCTTGACTTCTCTACCGTTCAGAGCATACTTTAATCTGTTTCTCAAAAAGACAATCAATGGCAGAGACTCTCTCAACTTGTGTGGACCAGGAGATGGTCTTGGAGCGTAAACACCCGACAACTTGTCGAGCATCCAGTGCTTTGGAGCTGCTAATCTCTTGAGATGCTTCTTTGGTCCTCTTCCCATGTTGTTTGGTCACTGAATAGAGTTCTCAATAGTGTAGAAAAATTTAATTTAGTCTTCCCAAACAGTCTGCTGCGTGAAAATTTTCAGAACCACTACTCCTCGCACGCGCGCCCGGCGCTCGTGCTGGGGCCACCAGGGAATTTTTAGCAGGGTCACAAATGCAGGTCACTTGCCCTGAAATAATGTCACGTGATTTGATTTACCACTTCTTACAGTTCACTGCCAATGTTTCAGAGAGTATTTCTTAAGCAGCTCCCCAACGTTGTACTCTTCCTCGCAATCGTTGTAAAAGGTGAGTTGCTGAATCAGCGAGTAGTAGAGCAGGTGGTCTCCATCGCAGGCTTTCTGAAGTGCCCACAAGACGTAGCGCTCAATAAAGTCGTAAAATACAACATCCACAGGTTTCTGCTGGTCCGTGTACTCATAGGATTGAATCACATTCGGCACAGCAAAATGTGGCAATGGACGGTGGATGGTGTCATCGCCATCATTGCCAAGATCATCAGTTGTCGTCTGCCCATAGCGGAGTTTGAGAGTCAACATCCTTGAGTTTATTTCGCGTTGGTACGGAGAAAGGAGCCCCTCCAAGTCAATAGTGCCATCGATCTCGTTCTCAAAAATGTAGGGCCCTTTGTTCAGAATTGCCTGGATGCGATGTGCTATTTTGGCAGGGACATTTTGAAGAACTTTCCATTTGTTTTTGAACGGTGAAACAATGAATTGCGAGTTCCTGTTAAAATCTCCCTTGTAGAGGTCGTATCTGATAGAGCCAGTATTGATTAGCACAATTCTTGAGTTGGACAGTGGAGGCGATATCGGATCCATGTTCTCGTGACAGATTTTTGGCTTCAGCTCTCGAAGGATGTCTGTCTCAAAAAAACGAAGCAGGCTATTCGAATCGTTTGAATAGTAATCTGCTCCCGTCATATAATAATTCTGGGGCACCACACCGAAAGACTCACCCAGATTCAAGATGTTGCTGTAATTCATCAGCTTCTCCGAAATCAGCAGGCCTTCCTCAGTATTGAACTCTTCAATGGTAGCCTTTTTCGTATGATGGAGGAATGACTGGAGATTGAAGTCAATATATTTTCTGTCAATTGCGATGTTATCACCTTTAATATTGCTCAGAGACATGAATCCCACGGTCTCGCAGTATCTTCCACTTTGCAAAGCGAAAGCTTTGTCATCTAGCAGGGTAAAGTCTCTAATATGCGAATGGCCGCCAAAGTACTGGATCGGAGTGTCGGGGAAGTATGTCCGCAAGACGCCATGCAATATGTATAGTTCCTGCCAGCTATGACTGACTGGAATGTGTCCGGCAACAAGAACTAGATCCACAGGTTTTTTGGTGTGTGTCTCAAGCAAGTCCAAGAACCAGTCCTCTTTGACAACTGTGTCAATAGGTGTGACTCTGACTTTCTCGTTGCCTCCCTTGAAATCAAACATAAAAGAGAGAGCAAAGATGTTGTATTTCTTGACCTCCGTGGTAAAGTACCTATATTTTCTGTTGCCAAAAACAACATATTCACCATCGTTGTTGAGATACTCGACATTTGTGCTGATAAAGCGATCTCCGTAGCGAGGTACAACAGTATTGTACTCCAGCTCACTCACTGCTGCGACGTATAATTCGTGGTTACCGACTGTCACAATATCATAATCTTGCTCCATAAAAACGTCTGAGGAGTACAAGCCGTTTGGGTTGGTCAGATCACTTAGTCCATTGCCATCATGGCGATCCCCGGTGTCAATAAGTAACAAATCAAAGTTGCGAGCATGACCAATGCCTCGAAGACGGGTAGTGAAACTTAAGAAATCGCCCCAGTCAGCCGAGTACTGTCTCTGATTGAGATGCCCCAGATACCACCCATGCGTGTCTGTGGTATGCAAGAAGTTGATGTCACCAAAAGATAGCTCTCTTAGAGTCTCATCAAAATGTGGCAGCCTAGACTTGGGTTGGGACCATATGGTGTAGAACAGGAACACGGTAGCTGCCGAAAGAATGTATATATGCATCTCTTTTTATCAAATTCCCATTAAAGAATTTATATCTATCTGCCCCCTTGCACCAGCTGGGGTAGATAATTATTTTGTCCCCTCATTTTACGATCTCATGTCGGAACGTCAGCAGTTCCCTGTGTACCCTAAGCCAGTGTGGCCCGCAGCAGAAAAGCCTGATTACCAGCCTGTTGATACAATCACGCATACGGCCAAAGTCACCCTCTGCACCGGCCTAATTCTGGGAGGAATGCACTTCAGAAGAATGCTTCAGCATAGAAAGGGGTCTGCCAGGCCAAGTCATGCCAGATACTTGGCTCTGTTCGAGCTTCAGAAACATCATTTCATTTCTGCACCATTGGCTGCTGGAACGTACGTGTTTGTTTCTGACTCGCTATATAACATCAACGAAGAAACGAGAGCTTCTGCCGAGGTTGCAGCTGTTTCGTCTGCCTTTTTTGTGGCATCAATGTTTAAATCAATGCCAATGAACGCAAGAGTTGGGATCAGTCTTGGATACGGACTGGCTACCGGATTATTTTTCTGGGCTGGAAAATGGGGTCTGGGCGAGGCTAGTTTACATGCAACCAGAAGTAGGGGCGAGGTCCATGACCAGGAATCCAATAGGTCTTTAGATTCCGAAACCGAAATGGGCAAGTATCGGAAACAAGGCTTCTGGGAGACGATGTACAGAAGACCTCTATCCCAAACTGTTGATGAGCTGGGTGAAGGAAGAGGAATTGTCAAATTCTGAGCTTGCCATTATTTATTCAAATACACAATTAAAAATTAACAGATGTTAACTACAAAAACCTATTCACCATTTTCGTATCGAATCGCAACACGCACCTTGCCATTACAATTGTAACGCTTGTTCAACTTCTTGATCTTTTTCTGGAGTCCAAGAATACGGCTGCGAACACTGTAACTGTACTTGACATCGTCGCTTGGCAGCAGCACCGAGACCTCATTTTTGATTTTAACCTCTGCCGTTTCGTCATCTGAAAGGTTGAGGTCGTTGACGCCATTTGTTGCATTTGCAACGTTGACCTCACTGTTTCTCACATCCGTCTTCACCTGGAAAACTAGAGAACCTGGACGAATGTTTCCTCCAGGATTGATTCCACAGATCACGTGCATCATCTTGCCGCAGAATTTGGTCCAGTACATCAATTTTTCTCCATTTTCAGGATCAGCATCCATGACCAATTTTTCCAGGCGAGAATAAAACTGCTCTTCGCTTGGAGGGATATCAGCTCCCCATCGCTCACAGCATGCAATTCCAATCAAGGCTCTTATTTTGTGTGAAAGTCCATGAGAACCGGCAATGATTCCTGTAGTGGCCACATGGAGAGCAGCAGTTGGCTGGAGCTCCTTTGGATACGAGCAATGAACAAATGCGATATTGCACAGAGCAGGAATTACACGGTCAGCGACCTCAGAGGGCACCACGTTGCCGCTAGGAAGACTCGTTTTTAGTAGCTCCCAATACTTGCCAGCAAGTAGTGGTGCATATGGTCGGGTAGCAGTCAATATAGGGTCCTCCAGTTTGATTTGATCTGGGATCATCGAGTAGAGAACACCTTCTCTGACTCCACCCTCACTGAAATGAACGGTTTTGATCTTTGGAAGGGACTCGAAAGCAGCAGAAACTAACAGCCCCACAGCTGGAAGCTGTTGCTCGCGTCTAGCAGAAACCTTGAAGAGCTTACCTGTAGAATCAAATTTCGGAACTTCTGCTTTCAAAAGCAGATAGTTGGCCATTTGGCGCACGTTTTCGTACGTGGTGGAATAGCCATTAATGATCGTCTGAATTGGATAGTTTGGATCGTTTGCAAGCAACAAGTGTCCGAGACCACGCAAGCCCCCTCCACAACAGAACAATCGAAAACCTCCGTTAGCTTCAGCCTCTTTGATGAGCTCATCCGGTAAGTTGATTTTTTCCAAGGCCACTTCATATGCTTTCTTGATTTCGTCGTAAACGTACATGTGGTCCTCATACTTTAATCTATTGGTCAAAGCTGCAGCACCATACGGAAGCGAGACGGGGTGCTCACTAATATTGATCTCACCGTTCTTCGCTTGAATCCAGCTAATCTGCGTAGATCCTCCTCCAAGATCCATTAGAAGTCCAGAAATGTCGTGGAATGAAGATGCCACTCCGTAAGCCCCAGTAGTTCCCTCTTCCTCTTTGCTAAGTAAGAATACCTTCCATCCTGTTGCCTGATAAATAATGTCTCTAAATTCCTGAGAGTTTGATGCCTCACGAGTTGCTTCTGTGGCAACGACCTTGACGCCGTTCTCGGGGACTCCGAAGTCCTCGCAAATCCATTTGAAGCGTCGCATTGCCCTAATGATTTCTGTGATTGCATCATCCGGAATCGGCTTTTTCAAGCTGGAGTTCGCTGAGTCAGGCAGCTGCACATCAAAAAGGGAAATTCCGAGTCTGTCCTTGAAAACACATGGCATTATTCTTGCGTGGTGGGGAGCTTTGGACGATATGGAGAACCGAATTCCATTAGATCCGATGTCAACAATGGCTGTGAGAGCTCGGCCAACCACCGAGGCTTCATTTTCGTCATCCAAAACGTGTGCCTGGTGTTCATCCAAATGGTGGTTATCACTGGCTTCTTGAAATAGAAGGTTCTCCTCCAAGGACATTAAATTGATAAAAATTTTGTGGAAAAAAAAAGATTTGTCTAATTAAATAAATTAATGAGTTTGGACGGCCAAGATATAGAGGATCTTCTCCATCTAGCCGGTGATATTGGTACTGCTCATCGGCAGGTTGAGCAAAGTCCCAGCATGATCACCAAGCAGGAACGGAATGATTTGGGTCAGTTTCACCAGGATGCGAAACAAGAGTCTGAAATCCTGGCTCAAGAAGCTCTAACGGCAAACAACATTAACATTCAGGAGTCACCAAAAGTGAGCTCTACTTCGATTTGGTCCTTTTTGGGCTCTTGCGGAATAAATCTTGTACTGCCTTTCATCAATGGTGTAATGCTCGGCTTTGGTGAAATCCTGGCCCATGAGATCGGCTTTAGATATAACTGGGCAGGAGCAAAGGTAAGTCTCTGCCTTTGTAATCTTACTAACAAATAGGTTGTTCCGGCTCATAGACTTCAAAACAAGGAGCTTCATAGAAAGAGCGTTCTGTTGTAATGCATAACAAGCGATAGGTCGAAGGATGCAGGGCTAGTTATCTGATCGTTAGGCCCATGACGGCAACATGCATCTCTTCCAAACTATATATTATGACATCTTTGCACCGCTACCCCAGATTTTTATCAAGCGGAATATTCGATCAAATCACATGCAATAGTGGGGAAGTTTATTTAAAACATCAGGAAAGGCCCACTGATCTCGCATTATTGATGAATAGAGACGTGGCCTCCTCCAATAAGTATTTACTGCGGACCAGTAGGTACCTGGTTGCTCAGTATGCCAAGCAGCGCAATGTGATTCTTCGGCTGGCCTACGCTACCATTATATATATGATTTTCAATGGCGGTTCCTCGAGCAAAGGCAAACCATCTATTAAGTATAGACCAGAACATAATAATGGAACCGTAGCGGAACGGCTCACGCAAAGATTCAAATCCTCTCCGTTGGTTCTTCTGGTGTCCCAACTGAGTTACAAAAATGAAAAAACGAGACCAATCTTGGGTTACATGATTCTGCAGATAGGCTTGTCACTGGTTAGGGCCGTCATTGCTCTTAAAGTCGCAGCTCTTGATGGCTACTTGGTCTCGTCATTGATAACAAAACGGTTCAAGACCTTTTTCAAATATCTGCTGCTTTGGACGCTGATAGGTGTTCCGGCCGCAGTGACGGAATCTTTGTTAACAAAAACGAGACAATTGTTAGCACTAGCCGTACGCCGTAATGTGACCAATGAGGTACTAAACATTTACCTTCCTGATAGTGGGAATAGCACAGTGTACCATTTGATCAACAAGTCCAAACATACAAACCTTGGGGACAGCATAGATGACCCTAATCACAGGATCACTACCGTCATCGAGCAATTTTCTAACAGCCTGAGTTCTATTCCTTCGCAGGTTTTGACTCCAACGATGGATATTGCTCTTGCGGCACATCAATTGTCAAAGACAGGGGAAAATGCGGCAGAGGGGGGACTTTTGCTGGGGCTTATTACAAACGTTTCTACTTTGGTTCTCAAAATCTTCACCCCAAACTTCTCGAAACTGAATGCGCTCAGGAACTCCTTGGAAAATAAGTTTCATGCCCACCATTCTAAAGTGATTAACAACAGCGAAGAAATAGCTCTGGCGAAAGGGCACAGAAGAGAAATAGACTTATTGGATATGAACTACTTTGAGCTTGAACGTTTCAAAAGAATGGAGCTTCGCAGAATGGCTGTCTACGATTTTGCCGTTTCATTTATTTTCAAGTATACGTTGGGAGCTTTTGGATTACTTCTCTGCTCACTTCCGATCTTCACTACTGCATACAAATTAAATTATAGGATTTCTGAAAATGCAAGCAGTCGAATTTCTGCAGACTTCATCACTAACAGAAGGCTGTTGCTGACGGCATCAGACTCGCTGGGGAAACTAGTTCGGGCTAAGAAAAACATTCAAAATTTGCTAGGATATAGTGAGAGCATTTGGGAATTCGAACAGGTTCTGACAGAAATCAACAAATCCGTGGAGGAAGAAGCTAAGTTGGAAGCAGCCATAAATAACGAGCCATTGGTAAAAGGACCGAATGTCAGCTATGGTGATGAGATATCCTTCCTGCACGTTCCGCTGGTTACTCCTACTGGAACAATTTTGGTTGAGGATCTCACTTTCACCATTAAGCCAGGAGAGAATTTGCTGATTATCGGTCCCAATGGGTGTGGAAAGTCCTCCTTATTCCGAATTTTGGGCGGCCTCTGGCCCGTTCAAAATCCCGGTCATCTTGTTGTTCCACAAAGGCGCCAGGACTTGTTTTACTTGCCGCAGAAAAGCTATCTAACATACGGTTCTTTGCGCGAGCAAATTGTTTATCCTGACACTCTCGAGGAGTACCAGCAGAAACTGTGCGATGCCCGAGCTACTGGAAGCCTAGTCAGAGATGATGTTTATCTCATGGAACTTCTTCGATTGGTCAAATTGGAAAAGCTTGCTGAGATTGTATCTGAGGACGAAGACGAGGAGGAAAAACATGTGTTATCTTCTAGCAATTCTCCTTTAGACACCGTGAAGAGGTGGCCTGATCTACTTTCAGTCGGCGAGCAACAGAGGTTGGCACTTGTTAGAATGTATTATCATCAGCCGCGGTTTGCTGTTTTGGATGAATGCACTTCCTCCATTTCTCCAGACCTTGAGCAAGAATGCTATAGACTGGCAATTGAGCGATTCGGAATCACTGTTCTGTCGGTGTGCCACCGCACCTCCTTATGGAAATTCCATTCCCATATCCTCAAGTTCGAAAGCAATAAAAACAGGGATACGACAGACGAGGAAGACGAAAATGACTTCGATAACGGTAGAATCAGTATATCTCCAGAGCGCTCTGCGAAAGTTACGTTTAGCAAATTTGACCCCGCTAAGAGACTAGCAAGACATAACGAACTGATCGAGATTGACAATATGCTCAAAAACAGATCCAACATACGCAAGAGATTGCAGTCTCTTGACTACATGAGAAATCGCAACAAGAAAATCTTATATATTCAAGATGAGGACTAAATTTAGAAGAATAGGTGTTTTTTATCCTCTTTCTCCATCACTTGCCACCAGTCCTGGTCGCGCTCCCAGCACTGGGTCATCAGGTCCACGGCAAACTGTGCCGAGGGCGAGCCGGTATGAGCTATAGTTGTCATCCGTCTCAGGTGGCGGGAACGAAGTTCTTCGTTGTTGGAATCACATCCAGAAACAAAAACGGGAAGAAAGATGCTTATCTGATTTGGTGAATCATCAAGTAGATGTGAGTCAATAATAGAGATCGTTTCTGCGCACATGTCCTGGATAAGTGGAGAACTCTTAGGAACCTTGAGCACTCTTCTGTAAATTTGGTTGACTCCAAATAACATGAACACTCTGTTTATAGCGATTATAGTATCTTGGCTTTTGGCAGGTACCGAGGATAATTTTTGAAAGGTGGACGCCATTTGAAGGGCACGATCGATCACTGAAGGAGGCACCCCAGCAGAAGGGTTTACCCGGGTACGGAGGTTTGTTTGCTTGATGAGTTCGATCGTCTTCTTGTACAACGGAAGATACTTGATATTGAAGCCGAGAAAATAGTCCACATTGGCATGAGATTCATCCACCATCAGCGACTCGGCATCCTCGTTGGACTCGAATTCGTAGTCAAAATCGCTAGGCTGAGCGCAAAGCTCGGAAATTTTCAACTTTTCGTTGTACTTTTCAATGTCCTTAGATGTTGGCTCTAGAGGGGAAGCCAATTGAGCCAGGACATCAATGTAAGCAAACCATCGCAAGAGGAAGAAGATCAACTTTGAGCGCTTTATTTCTCCGCTAATACAGTGTGACTGCAAGTCCCTGCTCTCTTTGAACAGTTTTTCGAACGGTTTCTTGTAGCCTCTCAACAGGAGGATCTGTTTGGCACCGTTAAGGTGCACCTCCCAGTCATGCTTGAAAGTGAACACCATAAAAGAGCTGATTAGGAGAACGAGAGTAAGAGTAAGGTCGCTGGTCGATGTTTCTTTGTTCTGTAACAGCTCCAGAAGATCGCCGAGTGACCTGCTCAGCAACTGTTCGAGCAATTCTGCTGGCTCGCTCTGGGTTGTGAGATATGACTTGTGTGCCAGCCCGTAAGCCACAGTGACGGCCAATAGACCGTCATTGGAGAATGCGAGCCGCGGAAGGACTTTCTTGAAAGGGTTAAACTTCTGCACGGCGTCGCCAAAAGGCATAAATAGCTGTGCTGTAGAGCTGAAGAAAAAATTGAAAGCCTCGTAGTAATCGGGAACGTTCAGTAGCAAATCGGGTAAAGGGACAAGTCCACGGGGAATCGGTTCCAAAATATCTGAGCTGGAGCTCTCCGAACATGTACGTGAAAAACTGTACGTGCTGGATGAGGTGGAAAACTCTCTATTCATAGCCAGGGTATCCTCATCATCTTCTAGATCCTCTGTGTCCAATTTCGACATTCTACCAGACCACTTGCGCTCTTTGATAAATGGTGTGGTATGCAAGTTGGATTGCAACGTTGGTCGAGACAATTCTAGCTTCATTATGTCATCCGAATACTCATCAACCATATCGGTGATATTTACATCAACTGGGGGCGGCTCGGGTAGATATGGCTCGAACTTCTCCAAGATTTGCGAGGATTGATTTGCAGAATCATACATGGAGTCTAGAATATGGCTTACCGAGCGTATATTGTCGTGAAATGATTGGGAAGACGAGCCTTCGGCAACTGCAGGAGTTGCGATTACGGGTTGAAGAAACAAACTCTGCTCTTGAAGCTCCTGCTTGATTCTAACTTCTGCCTGTGAATTTGGGTTTGATTGCTGTAATATTTCGCGGGATAACCCGGCGACAGGATTCAGTTTTTCAACCCGAGGATTCTTGTACGGTCTGCCACCCCATATAAGCTTAAGGGAGTAATCACATTCACGGGACGCCTTTTTGCAGTTCATGCAAACCGGGCGTGTTTCATCACATTTAATGCGAGCTTTCTTACAGGAATGACACCCGTTCCTGCTCCGTGTCCTCTTAGTGTTCGACGTCCCCATGTGAATCAAACGAAGGTGAGATAAGTTTAAATTTGATCTGCCAATTTTCAAGGCGTGCACATGTGATTCTTTTATTTGCAAAAAACATTAAACCTTCTTTCTCTATGACGGGACCTATAAAAGAGGAAAACGACCCGGAAAATTTGTCCAGGGCAGCTCAGGGCCAGGAGTGGAGCGATTCTCGTACAGCACAGCAAACACGAACCTCAGGATCTGCCAATGTTGCTCAGGGCCAACAACAATTCTCTCAAGCTGACTTGAACCGAATTGTTCTCGAGTACTTGAACAAAAAGGGTTACCATCAAACCGAGGCAACTCTCAGAAATGAGGCCACGAAAATACCAGGTGCTCCGACAATTCCTGTGAATCCCGCAACGACCAACTTTCAAAAGCCAGAAACCATTGTGTCCAACCGGTCGAACATCCACTTTCAGCAACAACAATATCTCCACCAACAGAACGTGTCGAGGCAAAGACAATTTGATGAAGACCCTCAAATGTTTGGCAGAGCTTACTTGCTGTATCGCTCATGGTGCGAGAACTCGCTTGAAATGTACAAATATGAGCTGGAGAAATTCCTCTACCCGATATTTGTCCAGAGCTATCTGACGCTCATCCAGCGGGGGGACGTCAACGATGCGAGAAGCTTTTTTGAAAAGTTCCACAGCGATCATCTGCTGTCTCACAGTTATGAGATTCGGTCGCTTGCAGGAATTTCTTTACCAGACCATTTGGAGGAAAATGAGATTGCGAGGCTGTTCAAGACTGAAAAGTACCACGTGAACGTATCCAAGGTATCCATGAATCTCATTTTGAGTTTCCTTAATGAAAATGAGGCAATCGGAGGCGGAATCATTGTGAGAATTATCAATAATACCATGTCTATTACTACTCAAGTCGAGGTGACTACTCAAGAAGAGGAAGGAAATGGTGAGTACAAAGAGGGAATTGCTGCAATATATCAGCTGCTTAATGACGAGTCTCATAGACTCAAGAAGGATACTGATTCATCTGAGGTTTTCAACAGCAAAGCCGTCAAGCTGGGGAAATTCCCGGATGATCCGGAGTTCGTCAAGGAGTTAGAGGCAGAACTCCAGCAAAAGGATGAAGCGCAAAAAGACCAAAATCCAGAGAAAACTCTGATGGAGGAATACGAAGAAAATTTCAAGGTGGATCCTGCAGGTGATGATACCCCTGCTAGAGAATTGCTTCCTCTGCCCCAAAAAACAGCTTTCGACCTTAAGCGTGAAATCACTAAAATTCAAGATTCCCGGGCCAAAGTCAAACTCAATGCGGTCCAAGCCTCTTTGCCAAGCACATGCATGTACACATTTCACAATACGAATAATGATATGACCTGCGTTGAGTTCAACGACGATTCGACTGTTGTGGCAGGAGGTTTCCAGGACTCGTTTATCAAACTGTGGAGTATTGATGGAACTCCACTGAAATCTGTTTTGAAGAACGACCCCTATGATCAGTCTGTCGATGGATGCCGTCGTTTGATAGGCCACTCTGGTGCGGTGTATGGATTAAGCTTCAGTCCTGACAATCACTATCTTCTCTCATCTTCGGAGGACAAAACTGTCAGATTATGGTCAATGGATACTTACACTTCGCTTGTGTCATACAAGGGTCATAGCTCGCCTGTGTGGGACGTGAAATTTTCCCCACTGGGACACTATTTTGCAACTGCTTCTCATGACCAAACGGCCAGACTATGGTCGTGTGATCACATATATCCTTTGCGAATCTTTGCTGGCCATCTGAATGACGTTGATGTGGTAGAGTTTCATCCAAACTCCACGTATCTCTTCACGGGTTCTAGCGACAAAACGGTTCGGATGTGGGACATTGCCCGAGGAGAGTCAGTGCGAATCTTTATCGGTCACAACATGCCCGTTAACGCTTTGGCAGTTTCTCCTGACGGCAGATGGCTGGCAACTGCGGGAGAAGATTCAGTGATCAACATGTTTGACATTGCCTCTGGGCGCAAGCTGAAGTCGATGCGTGGACACGGACGCTGTTCTATCTATTCGTTAGCTTTCAGCAAGGACGGATCTGTGTTGGTCAGTTCCGGTTCAGATAACTCTGTTCGCGTTTGGGACGTGAAGAAAGGGACAATGGAGAGTAACAATCCTCAACCAGAGAAGTTTACGTTGGAATCTGTTTTGGCAGCAAAAAATGGCGATGGAAAGGAAGCTGCAGATTCTCAAGATCAACGTTATCAGAGACGTCAAGAAGAGATGCGCAAAAGAAAGGAATTTGCTGCTACGCAAGATCACATGGCAGTGTATTTTACTAGGAAGACTCCTGTTTACAAGGTGCACTTTACTCGGCGAAACTTGTGTTTGGCAGCGGGTGTTTTTAATGGTTAGTGTACAATAAGGTGTAAAAATAAAGCGAAATACTTATTCTCGTTAAATGGTTTTGAATATGGGTTTCGCCGGGTCCCACGGCCCTTGTAGTTCGTCTTTGTACTTTTGCAACATGATAAAATGCCATGGTCCAATCACCATTATCGAAAACTGCAGGCCCACCCATAGCAGGAACCAGCCCACACCAAATATTTTATAAACCGCGAAATCCACTGCCACAGTGATGGCTACCACCTGAAACCAGTGAAATGCCCAAAACTGACAGCGCCGCGTGAAGTTGTTGAAAACAGGGAACAATCCAGAGACCTCAATCGAAAAAACTATGAAGCAGAAAGCGCTGAGATTCGAGTTAAGTCTGGACGCTAGCACAATGGCGTTGGACAGGGAGATGTTTTTCGACAGATTGGAATTGGACGTCTGAAGCTCAAAATTCAAGGTCTCAGACTGGCGACCTGTATGCGAAAAGTCAATCGAATAATCATGGAATAGTACATTGAGCAAACAAAGCCAGGTCGACAATGCCCAAATGGAATCTGATGCAGTAGAGTTTGTTAGCGATTTTAAGACAGGCGAAAACGTCAGTAATGTGAGTAGGATAAGAATAGCAGATTTGAGAGTGTTGAAAAGATCGGGTGAATTGGGTTCTCTTAAATATCTCTCCAAATCCAATGTAGGCTCTTTTGACGTGAGCTCTAAATTATGCGGAAACGGCGACGGCGATCTAGAAGGGGGGAGTGATTTGGATGAGTTGAATTTAGAGTATCGTGTTGGACGGGTCAATTGCTCGATCTTCAGCTTTTGCAAATTGATAAGTTCTCTGTTTCTTCTGATTTTCAATGTGATCACATAGACAATAAAGCACAGCGCGGTTAGTGATGAACTTAATAAAGCGGGGACCAGGGGATTCCAGTTAAGCCTGTAAATGCCGTAGAATACAAGTACGACAAGCATAATTATGGAGAGATGGAGTACTATTAGCGTGAAGTCTGAGAGGAGCTTCCAGTATGAATAGTTAATCACCGTGGAATTACGTTTCAACTGTGACAAGAACGATGCGTCAGTATAATTATCCTCATAATCCTGTTTATACCAAAGAAGCTTTTTCCATGGTTGTTTTTTGGGTGCCTTCACATCCTCCACTCTCTCGGAGAGAGACGTTATTGATGATGAGTCCTCTTCAGAGTCCATGTCAAAAAAAAAAATTCTTGCACAAATAAATACCATGTCAATATTACGGGAAACGAGTCCCAAACTCGATCTGCTCGAGCGGAAATCAAGTGGGAACTCGTCAGTAGTGCATAAGGATGGCAGCTATGATACCGACGGTCCGAATGCAGACCTGAGTGCTCTTCAAAGCAATGTCTCGCAAGATTCTCAAGTTGTTTCTACCAGTAAACTAGAAGAGGGTACGCTTTTCGATCGATTGCACAATGACTTAGACAGCGTGGTCAGCACCCCAAAGCAGACCGGGTCCACGAGCATAGACTACCTTCCTAGTAGATCAAATTATGAGGATACGGGAATCCCGGATGATGACTTCAGGCCTGCAAGCCAACCGCGACTAGCTGACAAGATTGCTTCCACCGGTCAGCTCATCGATGGCCAAGACGCTATTTACGAGAGCTTGCAGAGGCGACGGTCTATTCGGAGACTGAACTTTTTTGATAACGCGTATTTGAACAATGTCGAACAGCTGAAAATGTCACAGATGGGGTTACTGGTGCGGCTTGCACGGGATAATAAAGAGTCTTTTTCGGAATTTCGAAATGTTTGGACGGACTACGAAAACAAAGAATTCGATATTAATGAGAGCGATTTTTTCAATGCCATGGAAGAGAAGAACGAGGCGGCTGAGGAGCAAATCGACGCATTGAAGCAACAGATCTTGAGCATGGATGCGTACACTAAACAGCTCTGGGAGCAAGCAAAGTCGACTTGGAAGTCGGAAAAATAGCCGCACAGCCCAGCCCGGACGGTTTCTTGCGGAGAACAGTTTTCCAGGGTGTCCTGAAAAGCTTAGTAAAACGTGGCGAATGTCGGATGGTAAAACATTTGTGGCGGTGTTCGATCGGCTCATATATAAAATAAATGGAATCTCAACTAAATCATCAGATTACATATAACTTAGCAATTAAAAGAATGAGCTCGCCATTGGAATTACCGGCTTGGAAGAAATTACAAGCTATCTATGACGATTATGGAAAGGCCTTTTCGTCGAGAGATGCGTTTGCTTCCGACCCAGACAGATTCTCAAAATTTTCGCAAATCTTTGAGAACTACGATGGATCCAAGATTCTCTTCGATTTCTCCAAGAATTTGATCGATGACAAGATACTTTCCTCTCTCATTGAGCTCGCAAAAGAGGCCAACGTTGAAAAACTTAGGGACGAGATGTTTGCTGGCGTCCACATCAACACCACCGAGGACAGAGCTGTGTACCACGTTGCGCTCAGAAATAGGGCATTGAAGCCCATGTATGTCGACAATGTCAACGTCACTCCCGAGGTTGACTCCGTGCTGCAGCACATGAAGGAATTCTCTGATCAGGTTAGATCGGGCGAGTGGAAGGGATACACTGGAAAGGAAATTACGGACATTGTCAACATCGGAATTGGTGGATCGGACTTAGGTCCGGTGATGGTTACGGAGGCGCTCAAGCCATACGCTCATCCAAGGCTTTCTGTGCACTTTGTGTCCAACGTTGATGGTACCCACATTGCCGAGACTTTGAAAGTGTGTAATGCAGAAACCACGTTGTTCCTGATCGCTTCCAAGACTTTCACGACTGCCGAGACTTGTGCGAATGCAAACACTGCCAAGAATTGGTTCCTGCAAAGAGCTAAGGACGAGGCCCACATTGCAAAGCATTTCGTTGCCCTGAGTACCAATGCGTCAGAAGTCGCTAAGTTTGGTATCGACACCAAGAACATGTTTGGTTTCGAGAACTGGGTTGGTGGAAGATATTCTGTGTGGTCTGCCATTGGCACCTCTGTGTGCCTGTACATTGGTTATGAGAACTTTGAAAAGTTCCTCAGAGGTGCTGAGGCGGTGGACAACCACTTCACCAGCGCTCCTTTGGAGAAGAACATCCCATTAATTGGCGGATTGCTGACCATTTGGTATAATAACTTCCACGGTGCCCAGACCAAACTGGTGACTCCTTTCGACCAGTATATGCACAGATTCCCAGCTTATCTGCAACAACTGTCCATGGAGTCTAACGGAAAGTCAGTCAGTAAGGACTCGAAATTCGTCAACTATGAAACTGGTATTGTTCTTTTTGGAGAACCAACGACGAATGCTCAACACTCGTTCTTCCAATTGGTCCACCAAGGTACCAAATTGATCCCAGCCGACTTCATTCTGGCTGCCAAGTCGCACAATCCGATTGAGGGAAACCTGCACCAAAGAATGCTTGCCTCGAACTTCTTTGCTCAAGCTGAATCTTTAATGCTCGGAAAGACCAAAGAGCAAGTTGAAGCTGAAGGTGTCTCTGGTGATCTTGTGCCCCACAAGATGTTCTCTGGTAACAGGCCTACTACCTCGATTCTAGCTCAGCAGATTACACCAGCAACCTTGGGAGCCCTGATCGCTTACTATGAGCACGTGACATTTGTTGAAGGTGCTATATGGGGCATCAACTCGTTCGATCAATGGGGTGTCGAGCTTGGAAAAGTGCTTGCTAAGGTCATTCTGAAGGAGCTCGAGAACGAAAAGCCTGTAGAGTCCCACGACTCATCTACCAGAAACTTGATCAACCAGTTTAAGGAGTGGGCTTAGTTTTTAGTTTTATAGATGAGTTCTCGTTAGTTTATTGAATGAAGATTATATTGGAAATTACTCCCTAAGAAAAATCTTGTTAAATTCCATATTAATAATAAATACCCATCGTAATCGTAGTGACGTGCCGGCCTCTATTTACTTCATGTTCCGCTTGAGCTTGAGACTATCTCTTTTCCGTTGTGCTGTGACGTTATAGAGAGGATCGACCTCAACTTCAGGCATCGCCGCTCCTGTCGGTGTGCCAGGCCCAGAGAATAGCGAGCTGAGCGAGTTGGCTTTTTGTGGCCTCTTGGGGAACACAGGGTTCGGTGGAGACTGCGTAGGTGGGCCAAAGTGGAACTGTGTCTCGGTGAAGGGGCTTTGCAACTTGGCAGTGTTTTCAAAGGAGAAGTGATCGATACTCAATTTTGGTTTAGATGATGCAGGGGAGTAGCCAGCCCTGGACTGCGGCGGAGTGATCATTGAGATATCGGTCTGAGAATCTCTATAAGGCATTTGGAGCGGCGGCACTTGCTGAGGCGTGATCTGGACAGAATCAACAAGGGAGTCAGTAGAGGAGAGTCGGGTGGCAGAAAAAGTCGGATTCTGGTGAAGCCATGAAGGTCTTGGTTGGGGTATAAGTGGACCTGACATTGAGGAAACAGAACTGCACCGCGTGAGAGTGTCGGCATCGGCGGCGGCAGCACTGCACAGATCGAGCAAGCGTCTTCGGATAATAGAAAGGCATATCTCTTGGTTAGAGTCCTTTAGTAGATCGTCTGTGGTTTTTTGACTTTTGTCCAGCTGTATTGTTCTGTCGCTTATGAGGCGTTGGTACATTTGCTTAGAAATTTTAGAAACGATACCTGATGGAGGAAAGTTGATGTTGAAAGGGGTGATGTTTGGTTTGTTCGCGTATGAGTGGTAAAGTCCTATTAAAATGTCATCGAAAACTGGACTGAATTCATAGTTTTGCATGTTCACTGGACTGTTATCAGCCGTGTCAAAGGATGAAGTCGCGGATGAGAAACTGTTCACCTTAGACAGCTCCGGATACTGCGAGCTGACAGAGTCCGACCGTCTCACACCCACCGCTGGCGTTTGGAACAAAAACGACTGGCCTTGGTCGACCGGAGTCATAAATCCATTCACGCCGCTGTTTGGCGTCGGGACAGACGGGGACGCGGAAGGCGAGTCCTTCCTCGAGAATTTCAAGTTTAAATGTAAATTGGTCTTCATAGCCTTCATCTCAAATGTTCATGTGAGCCTCTGAGTGTAAGCTGCTAGAAGTCTAAAGCGTCTGTGGAGAGAGTATGAAGGACAATGGAATAAAAGGTGATAGATCTCAAGAGAAACAATTTGACGTATCCAAAGGGACGTGTCTCCTTTAAACTGCTGGAAGGGAATATTTCCCGATTTGTCGAAATTGCTCGCGTCGTGGTATGCCCAAACGAGATTCGGCCAGAGTGAGGCAAATAAAGGCAGTTGGGTACCGCATACGTACAATACACAGAACGCAAGTAGCGTGATGGAAATGAGAGTCAAAGTCAGACTCCGTGTCGCTAATCGTGCAACCTATGCTCTGAGAAGGACTTTGGCTCTAGGAAAATAATCTATCTATGTCCGGGTAAATTCTTGATTGCTTTCTAACTCTTATTCCGTTACCCTCACTTTAAATGCAAAGGTGTGTTCGTAGAACATTTGCCTAATTATTCTGTTGATTTTTTCTATACATCAAGACTGTGCCCTCGCAATATACGCAGCGGAGCCAAAACTGAAAAATGCAAATAAGTCCTAAACATATAGAGTTTGAGCGTAAGTACCTCAATGGACTCGGTCCTAACATTCAGCACCATTCACAACTTCGGCCACGAGCTCCATCACAATCACCAACGATTCGCAAACGAGTATCGCTTTCAAAGTGAAAACCACAGCCCCAAAGCTTTACTGCGTCCGTCCTAATGCCTCGATCGTCAAACCGAAATCGAGCATGGATGTGTCTATCATATTTCAGGGGCTTCCAAAGGAGCCTGCGATTGGCACCAAGTGCAAAGACAAATTCTTGATCGTTTCTGTCCCATGCTCTGATGATCTCGATCCAAAATCCGTTTCTACCATATGGCCAGAGCTTCAATCCGAGGCAGGGTCTACCACCGATGTGAAAGTCAAGGTGGTTTTCAACTACAGTAGTTTGACCAATACTATCCACGAAGAATCTTCACAGCAATCTAAATCAGACGACAGGGACGCTGCTGTTCTGGCGGCAGCTCCATTGGCTAATGGCCACAGTGGTGCGGATGAAAAACCCGTCTCCGAGAAGAATGCGGTGAACTCCGACAATGTGCTACAAGAGACCATGCCTGCGGCCCCATCTACCGCCACCAATAAAGAAGCTGCTGCTGCCGCTGCTCCAGCTAAGCAGGAACCTGCCACTTCTACTTCTGCTTCCTCTTCCAATGTGTACGTTGTGGCGGCGCTCTTAGTTGTTCTGGCCGTCTTGTACGCAAAATTTCTGATGTGAGGCCTTTTTCCTGTGCTTTGGCCGATTGATTTGCCTGGGGTTTGCAGCAATTGAGACAATCCTGCGTTTATAGTTGTTTGGTCAGCTTCGGTATTGGAGCGCTGTAGAATAACGCAACGATATTACTCTGCTGAGCATTTCGAGGCTGTGTATGTGTTTGTAATCAATTCTGTGTTTTCTAGGGCAAAATAAAATTAGTAAATTTTGATTGTCCAAAGGATGAGCTTTCGACATCCGAACATCGCATCGGGGGCATCCTTTATGCAAGCTCCCGACCTGAACTCCAGCGTCATCAGCATTCAAAGTACAGAGGATAGTTCGTCGGTGTATAATCCCTCCTTTCGTACGGAACACGATGCCGACTCGGGAGAGGATAGCGATCCAGAGATCGTCATAACAAACAGCCCTTTTGAAGCGAACGATCGAAAGCGCAGAGCTTCAGAATCCATCACAGACACAGAAGAGAGTGACGATGACCTTATAATCTTGGGGTCTGATGGCGAGACACAGGAAGAAAAGAAAACCACATCCGATCTGTTACAAGACGCCGCTAGTCGCCAAAATAGCGTAAAGAGTCTAACAGATGTGACTTGTCCCATCTGTTTTGATGAGATCGAGCAATGTGTTGTGAGTCCATGCGGCCACTTTTACTGTTCCAACTGTGTATACAGAGCTTTGGCTAGTTCCAAGGTCCGAAACGGCTCTCGGGGATGTTGCGCACTTTGCCGGAAGGTTGTCCAATATAAAGATCTTGTTTGGCTTAAAGTGCGAATATTAAAAGATTCGCGCTGATTTAATTTATTCATCATGGCTGTCACTAACTCCTCCAAAAGTTGGCGACTATCCGATGACAACGAGCCCTGTTTCCTAGCAGGATTCCAACATTCGGCGCCCTATACTACGATTAAAAAGGGAAAGTTCAAGGGGTTAATTGACAGCAGGCCGCTGCGCTGTCGATACCATTCTGTTGATCGCAATTTTTGTGTTTGTGGGTCTCTACCATTAGTCTCTAGTCCGCTGCGCAAATGCTCTCCATCTTTTCCCGAGAACGTTTTCGGGCAGATAGAAAGCGTAAGCTTACGCCCATCCTCCTCCTCGAGCTCTTCGAGTTCTTCCAGCTCCTTCCCATCACTGACACTTTCGTATTTCACCAAAGTTGGGCGCCCTAGACAGTGGAGTTACAAAAAGTCTCACATAGGGAAGGAGAATGAAATCAGCGAGAAAAATATCTCCTATACGGACCACAAGGCTTCGAGTCTGTCAAAAACGACGTCCGGCAAATCACAAACTAAGAACATATCTGAGCTCATGGATTCACTCAACACTGACACATCCACCGCTCTGGACGGATCACCAATTGGCGAAGGGAATATCATCAAGTTTGTTTCGGGATCAGACAACATGTTCAACAAAAAGCTGATGAGTTTGCTCCATAAAGATAAGGAGATGATCCACGAAGGCCTCGAAAGGAATAGCCACAGCTCTGCGCCAAGCACACCCAATCTTCCTAAACAGCCAAACACTTATTCGAATATATCGTTTCAAACCGAAACTAAGGAGGGCGGTCTTGACAAACTTCGTTGTCGTCCTTGTGGAAAGAAGAACAAAATACTCTTGAACTAGCATCGTAATACGTTGCCACTATTCTCAAGCCACCTACGTATGTAATGCATGAAGTATGTTTTACATGTTACATAAACCGTTATAGCGGAGATCTAATGATTCAGCATACCGAACTTTTCAGTTGCGACGAATCATTTGGCAAATCGTTATTAATTTAGGAATACTCACTACATGCGTCCAAATCCGATCGATTTTCTAGATTTAATGAGCATAATTTTGGACTGTCTTGCAGAATTGCAACCGGTGCTCTTTCAACTGCATTTCACGCATGTTCTTCCACGGGATCCGAAAAGGAATATGATGACCATGAGCTGTCTTTGGTATCTGTGCCGTCAATGATTTCCGAGTTCAATGATCTGCAAGAGTTGTTTGTTACGGTCTCAGTGTAAGAGTCTCGGTGTAGAGGGAAGATATCAATAACATAAGGATATCCACTAGGATTGCAGTGAGCAAAATCTTCGTATCGTAAAGACCAGTTGCGCAGAATCTTCCAAGGAGTTCGAGCATTTAATTGTTGAAAAGAATCCAGTTGTAGGAAAAGAAAACTTTCATCAAACATAAGGGTAGACGCCTGGAAAACTGAAATGCCATGTGCCAAACAGATCAACCCTTGCAAAACTGAACTGGGTGAAACTTTAATTGGAGATATTTGCGCTTCATAGAACCCGTCACGTCTGACGAGTTGGGTTTTCCGCTTTTTCTTCCGTTTAGAATTGTAAGCCATGATGCACCAAGCTTCCCTCTTACCAAACTTCTTTGCAGGTTCTCCACTAGCCTCAACTCTGAAAAGCCAACTCCATTTGAAATCCAAAGCTTGATCATTAAAGGACCAATGAAAAGCTCCAGGATCTCAGCAAGATGGACTCGAACGAACAACAGAAGACCTCGCGAATCAGATTTGCCTCTTCTGGTTAGAGGATCACCAACGTAATCAGCTACTTGTCTATCCTTGAAGAGCTTGCATGCTGCTGGAAAGAGCGGAAGTCGAAAGTAGTCCACTGTCCCATAAAATAATAGTCTGCAAATCACACAATATGCCCTTCATTGAGAAACATTACCAGAGTTTCATGAAGAGGTTGAACATGAGTCAATGTTTTTGTTGACGTTGGATATGCTAGCTCAAAATCACCTGACTAAAGTCGTGAACTCTGCGTGAACTCTGCGAGGTACTATCGTCATTTCACTTTTTGATCTTGCTCGATCGGTCGTGCAGCTACACAAAAAGCTTAGACAGGTTTCGATTTCATCGTTTCTCTTCTATGTACCCCGGAAACACGCACGCCACCTATAACAACCAGTACCAACGTCCTTCGCATCCTCCTCCTTCGCGTCCTGTGGGCCCTCCTCCTTCACGTATGTACCAGCCCCCAGCGGGCGCACCCCCAACTCGGCAGTATGAGCGCCCGGCTGCTCCTCCTCCATATTGGGGAGATCAACAAACGCAGACGTATCAAGGAACCGGTGGTATTTCCTACCAGCAGCCCGCCCAGCAACCCCCAATGCCAAACTTCAACATGCAAAATCAACAAATCAATGGCACGAATAATGTGCAGCAGTTCCAGTACTCATCTTGCACTGGTCGCAAAAAAGCGCTGTTGATCGGAATCAATTACATTGGCACAAGAAACGCATTAAGAGGGTGCATTAATGATGCGCACAATATGTTCAATTTCTTGACCCGGGCTCAGGGATACAAGGCTGAGGATATAGTAATGCTAACAGACGATCAACGAGAGCTTGTTAGAGTTCCAACAAAGGCTAATATGATCCGTGCTATGCAATGGCTCGTGAAAGATGCACGGCCAGGCGATTCTTTATTCTTCCATTATTCGGGTCACGGAGGACAAGAAGAAGACCAGGATGGAGACGAGGAAGACGGATTTGACGATTGTATCTATCCTGTGGACTTCCAGCAAGCGGGATCTTTGATTGACGATGTGATGCATGACATCCTGGTGAAACCGTTGCCAGCAGGCTGCAGGCTCACATGTATTTTCGATTCGTGTCACTCGGGCACTGCTCTGGACCTGCCTTTCTGTTACAGAGCCCAAGATGGTGGCATCAAGGAGTATAATGTTTGGAAGGAAAGTTCAGGCGATGCCCTGAGTCTCGTGACAGGCTATCTCACTGGAAATCCTGGCTTGATGATGAGCTCTGTCGGCAACGTTTTCAAGCGTGTCAAAGCTAGATCCGGATCACGTGCTGAGCAGATTAAACAGGCCAAGATGTCACCTGCCGATGTTATCATGTTCTCTGGTTGCAAAGACTCACAAACCTCTGCGGATGCCAACGAAGCTGGCTCTTTCACAGGTGCTTTGAGTTATGCCTTTATCAAGGTTTTGAGCGAGAACCCTATACAGAGCTATCTCACGCTGTTGCAAAATATCAGGGCAGTGCTTGCACAAAAGTACACCCAAAAACCACAGCTATCTTCATCCCACCAGATCGATCCTAACGTTCGGTTTATTATGTAAAAAATAAAAGCTAATAAATAAAAACTGATTATCCTTTTTGCAGGCACAGTTGTGGGATATGAAGTCGCTCGATCTTTCCGTCTATTTGGTCACTAACAACGAGATGGTTCCCCCTGGGGTCTCGTTCCTGGAGCAAGTTCAAAAGGCCATCGACAATGGAGTCACCTGTGTTCAATTGAGAGAGAAGGAACTAAACACTCGGGAGTTCATTGACCGAGCTAGAGAGGTCAAGAAGTTGACCGACAAAGCAGGCATTCCGCTCATTATTAACGATCGTGTCGACATTGCGCTTGCTGTTGGTGCTCATCTGCACGTAGGTCAAGAGGACATGGAAGTTTCTGTTGCCAGAAAATTGCTGGGCCCAGACAAGATCATCGGTGTTTCGGCTAGCAAGCCTGAAGAGATCGAAAAGGCGCTTGAGGATGGTGCGGACTACGTTGGAGTTGGAATCTGCTTTGACACACAGACAAAAGTGACAAAGAAGCTGCCAATGGGCCCAATGGGATCACAAAGGCTGCTGAAGATAATAAAAGACTCAGGCAAGCCTATGAAAATATGTCTAATAGGAGGTATCAACCATACTAATATCCAGAGGGTGAGGGCTCAAGCTTCAATACCGGGGCGTGCTATTGATGGCGTTGCTGTGGTGTCTTGCATCATGGCGGCCCCAGACGCTGCGGCTGCTACGAAGGAGTTGGTCAGACTATGGAACGAGCCACCCATTTTCTGGGATCAGATGGATTCAGATTCAGATTTCAATATGAGCGGGGCCATAGCTAACGTTCTGTCCACTCATCCGCTTGTGCACCATATCACAAACGACGTGGTGAAGAACTTTTCTGCAAATGTCACCCTTGCTGTTGGTGCTGCTCCCCTTATGAGCGAGTGCTCCGAAGAGTTTGACGACCTGGCTCAGTATCCAGATAATTCACTTTTACTCAACACTGGAACACCCAATGAAGAGCAAACCAAGATGTACATAAGTGCCTTGAAGGCATATAATACGTACGGCAAGCCGGTTGTGTACGACCCCGTCGGAGCAGGAGCCTCGAATACTCGAAGACAAAGCGTTAAAAAACTGTTGCTCGAGGCATACATGACTGTCATCAAAGGAAACCAGGGCGAGATCTTTACTGCTGCTGGCGAGGAGAAGTCTATGAGGGGGGTCGACAGCGAGTCTGAAGAGGCCCTTGATTCGGTCGTGGCGGCAGCTAAAAAATTGGCTTTGCAAAGCAGATCTGTGGTGGTCGTCTCAGGAAAGACAGACGTTGTTGTCGATGGAATCTTGCACGGCAGAAGAGACATTACAGGGGGCGTGGCTGTTGCATTCATCCAGGGCGGCCATGAAATAATGAGCCGTGTTACGGGCACAGGTTGCTCTCTGGGGTCCACCATTGCTGCATTTGTCGCAGCCAATAGAAGCAACCCATTTCTAGCGACTGTGGTTGCCTGTTCTATCTACAAGCGTGCTGGAGAAAAAGCTGGTGCCCAGGCAAAGGGACCAGGAACGTTCCAGACATTGTTTATGGACAAGCTAAATGAATGCGTGAAAACCCAGGATTTTGAAAATCCAAAGATTATTCTAACATAATTAAACGAAATTTTTTGTTTTCCTTATTTCAGTTGCCAACGCGTAGAATGTCCGACGAAGTACAGAACGGCAACACGGCTGTTGAGGTTGCTTATCCTAGCACTGTTACCGAGGTCCATGGATTGCTATCACGACTGGCTGTTAGTAACAAGGATATTGAAAAGAAGAAGATTTTAAAGATACTGCAACAGTTGGCAAGGGAGAGACAGAACTATGAAGAGAAATTGATTGAACTTGAAAAGAGTTGGGCCCAAAACAAGGAGTCGGTTGATACTGATCTTTTAAAGGTTCAGGTGATGGCGTTCAACCTTTTGAGCAAGGACCTTGATTTGCCGTTGGAAGTACAGACCAAATTACTGGGTGAGTTAGAGGTCGACTCCTCAAATGATCATGCTACTCATATTAATGTACCTACAGATTTCAATGAGAAAGCTCAGTTTTTCGGTTTGGACCCCCATAAGACGGTTCCTGATCCTGAAATACATTCTACAGGCAGCACTTTAGGAGAATCCCTTGTCAGACAGAAGTTAGAGTCAAGAATACTTGAGCTGGAAAGCTTGCCCGCTAATATTGGTCTATATGATGCTGCGTTTATTCAGAACGATTTGGAAAAATCGGCGGCCGACATTTTGGATAACGTCGATGAACTCAAGATTCGGGCATTAAACGAGTTGAAGGCTTTGAAGCTTCTACCTGAACAAAAACAGCTGCGTCGCAAATTGATCCAAGATAGTTTAACAAGTGTGGTGCATCAGAAAAACAAATATGTCTCTGACAGCTTCCGCGCGTTGAAGCGCTCTTTTTCAATCAGAGACAAGCAAAAGATTGAGCAAACATCGAGACTTGCAGAGAAGCTGCAGGAGCAACAACGTCGTGAGAGGGAAGAGCTGGAACACGACTACCAAACTCACAAGGTTAACGAACTTGCCGCTATCTTTGAGGGGGTTCGAGACGAACTTGAAGAGAAACGGAATGCAAGACATTCTCTCGCTAAGGCTTTGCAGCATTTCCATTCGCAAGTGGAAAAGGATGAAAGCAAGAAGCTTGAGCGAATTGCCAAGCAGAGACTGGCAGCTTTGCGGTCGAACGATGAGGAAGCTTATATGCAGCTCCTCACCAAGACCAAGGACACAAGATTACACCATCTCATTCAGCAAACGAACAATTTCCTGGACTCCCTTGCCAATGCTGTTAAGGTTCAGCAAGACGAAGCCCGTGCTATAAGCTTGCAGGACCGCGCAGAGGAAGGCTTAGAGCCATTGCAGGAAGACACCGAGGAAGATGCTGATGCACGTCGTGAAAAGATCGACTACTATGAGGTGGCCCACAGAGTGAAGGAGAAAATAGAAAAACAGCCCTCGTTGCTTGTGGGTGGTACCTTGAAGGAGTATCAGTTGAAAGGGCTCGAGTGGATGGTCTCGCTTTACAACAACAACCTCAATGGAATTCTGGCTGACGAGATGGGGTTGGGAAAAACTATCCAGTCTATTTCGCTGATAACCTATCTGATAGAATCTAAGAAAGAACGAGGAAAATTTCTAGTGATCGTTCCGCTTTCCACAATTACCAATTGGACGCTGGAGTTTGAAAGATGGGCTCCGAGTGTCAAAACCATTGTCTATAAAGGAACGCAGCACCAGCGTAAACAGCTCCAGTACGAAGTTAGAAGTGGAAATTTCTCTGTTTTGCTAACTACCTACGAATATGTGATCAGGGACCGACCGCTGTTGTGCAAATTCAAATGGGCTCATATGATTATTGACGAGGGTCATCGTATGAAGAACGCAAGCTCTAAGCTTTCATTGACGTTGACTCAGTACTACCACACAAGGAACAGACTGATTTTGACGGGTACACCTCTGCAGAATAACTTGCCTGAGCTCTGGGCACTGTTGAACTTTGTGCTTCCAAAAGTTTTCAATTCTGTCAAATCGTTCGATGAGTGGTTCAACACCCCATTTGCAAACACAGGCCATCAAGACAAGTTAGAGTTATCTGAAGAAGAAAGCTTGCTTATTATCAGAAGACTGCACAAAGTTCTGCGTCCATTCCTACTTAGAAGACTCAAGAAAGATGTTGAAAAAGACCTTCCAGATAAAGTCGAGAGAGTTGTCAAGTGCAAGCTTTCCGGCCTTCAATCCTGTCTGTACAAGCAGATGTTGAACCACAATGCACTATTTGTTGGGGTAGGTACACAAGGAGCCACGAAGACAGGATTGAGGGGATTGAACAACAAAATCATGCAACTCAGAAAAGTTTGCAACCACCCATATGTTTTTGAGGAAGTTGAGGATATTGTCAACCCTTCTAGGCTCACCACGGATCTGATCTGGAGAAGTTCGGGAAAGTTTGAGCTGCTTGACCGAGTTTTGCCCAAGTTTAAGGCTTCTGGCCACAAGGTCCTTATTTTCTTCCAGATGACACAAGTCATGGATATAATGGAGGACTATCTAAGGTTCAGGGACATGAAGTACATGCGTTTGGATGGTTCCACGAAGGCAGACGACCGCCAAGATATGCTCAAAGATTTCAATGCCCCAGATTCCGAATATTTCTGCTTCCTTCTGTCTACCAGGGCTGGAGGTCTGGGATTAAATTTGCAGACTGCAGATACGGTCATAATCTTTGATACGGACTGGAATCCTCATCAAGATTTACAAGCCCAAGATAGAGCACATCGTATAGGTCAGAAGAATGAGGTGCGTATTTTGAGATTGATCACTGAGGACTCCGTGGAAGAGGTGATTCTTGAAAGGGCACATCAGAAGTTGGACATAGACGGCAAAGTTATTCAGGCTGGTAAGTTTGATAACAAATCGAGCGCCGAAGAACAGGAGGCATTTCTAAAGAGGCTCTTGGAGGCGGAGAAAATGAAAGCCGAGGAGGCGGAAAACGACGATCTGGACGACGAAGAGCTCAATGAGATCCTTGCAAGAAACGAAGATGAGAAGAGACTATTTGCTGAAATTGACCAGGCCAGACTTCGAGACGATCAAAAATTAGATGGTCCTAGATTGATGTCCTACGAGGAGCTTCCGCCCGTGTTCAAAGAGGATATAAGCCTACATCTCGAGAAGGATAAGCCTGATGCTGGGAACAAGAGAGAACGCAAACAGGTTGTGTATGACGATGGCCTCACAGAGGAGCAGTGGCTGGACGCCATGGATGCTGAGGACGATACTGTGGAAGCAGCAGCACTCCGTAAACGAGAGTCCATGCGTCAGCGTCGTGCAAAGCGTTCTGCTGGAACGTATGAAGAGGAGGGTGAAACTCCACGGAAGAGACGCAGCACGAAATCGGCAACTCCAATGAGTGAAGAGAGCTTCGTCGAAGACGATGACAATGACGTGGACGAAGAGCCGTTTGTGGAGTTGTGCGAGGAACTGTTGCAAAAACTGGTGAATGCTACCGACGAAAATGGCCGCTCAAGGTCGGAGCTTTTCATGACTGTTCCGTCCAAAAAATTGTACCCTGACTACTATCAAATCGTGAAGAAAGCGGTCGCGATCAAGGATCTTCAAAAGGGTCTGAAAAAAGGCTCCATTGTGGATTACCAACAGTTCAAGGAAGAGCTTCAACAGATGTTTGAAAACGCCAAACTCTACAACGAAGATGGGTCACTGGTGTACAATGACGCTATTGAGCTAGAGAAAATAGCCAAGGAGGAATTAGCCAAAATAGACGCGGAGCTGGGCGAGGAATAGCGATGTAATTATACAAATTATACAATCTTTAATTTGGGTTCGAGTTTGAAGTAAAGCAGATACGGGATAACCATCCCGGCCGCTAAGCCAACAATTTTCTCTGGAAGCGTGTGGTAAAAGATTGCTGTGATCGTGAAGAGCAAAAGCCAGGCCGACATGTAGACGCTACAGCAAAAAAGTAAACCGTTGAGCAAGAGCTCAGAAGCGTCAGGTCGATACGTCTTAGAAACGTTTTCTAGCTCCAAAATTAGACAGAGACCGAAACAGCTCAAAATTAGAGAGTGCCCGCTGAATTTCGTTCCTCCAACCCACTTACCATTTAGGATGTGGCATTGTCGATAGTTAAGACCTGCTTTTTGCAAACAATGGCCACCTGTCAGTTGAAGTATCCTATCAAACACAGGGTCTCCGAAAAACCACACGATTAGAACAGAGAGCCAGACGTAGATCACTGCTAATTTAAATGCCTGACGCGACAGGACCGTCCGAATAGACAACTCCGGGCGACTGGTAAGAGGTAGCACCGTTTCGGTTCTCTTGGTACTTATCACATAGTACGTGGACAGTGAAAAACATAGGAAAAACCCTTCAAATGAGTGGCCCGCAAAGACTCTATTCAGAGGGCCCTTTGAGTTCAGTAAGAATGATTCTTTGGAAACCTTCACATCCAACAAATCTAGCACACTGTTCACTAAGGTGCCCCATATCAGAATTGTGGGATACAACAGAAAAAATTGACCCCTGTATTTGTATATATTAGCGAGATTCATTTGAAAACAAACCATATAAATTTGCTGAGTATATTATATATTTGATTTTTCATACCACGCTTGCAATCACCTCAAGAAACTTCTCATCAAGATCATTAAAAGATAATCCAGACAATAGAAGCTCAATCTGCTTGGACGCGCTGCTTACTTCGGGATCAACGTAGGTGACCATCGCTTTGGTGACCCGGTACAAGTCGCAGATCAGAACTATCTCTAATTTATCCTTGACGTTGACGCTTATCTTGGTGAAATCTAGATCGTGATCTAAACCTGATGGAGACTCAAGTTTTTCTTGCAATTTGAGGAAAATAGCCTTTTTGAGCTGTAGTTGTACAAGGTAGCGGCGCACATGGCCTGCGAATCGAATCATATCGTCATTCAAATGCTCGTAAGCAATGGTATTAAGTGGAACATACTTGGGGACGGTCGTCTTGAAGATCTCCCAGAGGTCATTTTTTGGATTTTTGCGCAAGATCACATAGTGGGGGGTTGTGTATTTGAAGGAATATGGGTCAAATATATCGAACCGTATCCCCAAGAAGCGGTCAGAGTCGCCTGCTTGTGGATCATTGACCGGAAAAGCAGTGAGTCCACCTAACCGATACGCGTTCTCCAAACAAATTGCAGGAGCCAGTCTTTCGCGTAATTCTTCATATTCGTCATTGCTACGTTTCATCGCATTTTCACGTTTTTGGCGTTTAGCATCATTCCTGCGATGCTTATCTATCTCAACTTGTCGTATTCCTTCGGTCATCAAGTTTTGTATTAGCTCATCAAAATATTGGTGGTGTGCCAGTTCTTCGTCAATTTTCGTCACATCGTCCTCCACTTCCTCATCTAGAGCCGCTATTTCATCGTCCAGTTTCTTTTCTGTCTGCTTCAGATCTGCAATTTCGCGCACCAATTCTTCTTTCCGCGCAAGAAGATCCTCTACAGTAGACATGCAAATATAAATAATTTGTAGATAATAAAATAATTTCTTGACAAAAATGATAAATAAATAAAAATTTGATGGATGTACACATTCATTACAAACGCATGAAAGAGGCACTCAAAGTAGCTGAAACAGCATTGAGTGTACAAGAAGTACCAGTTGGGTGCATTATGGTGTATAAAGATATGATCATCGCTCGATCGTTTAATCAAACAAACCTTACCCTGAACGGTACTAAACACGCAGAGTTCGAAGCATACGATCAAATACGCGCATTATACCCCAATACATACAGAGATATTTTCAGAAACACAATTTTATATGTGACTGTGGAACCATGCATTATGTGTGCTTCCTTGCTGCGACAGCTTGAAATTCAACTGGTAGTATTTGGATGTCCGAACGAACGGTTTGGAGGGAATGGGTCCATCTTTACTGTGAACAAAGATACCTCACACTTGGAGAGACCTTACAAAGCCATTCCAGGTGTCCTCAGCAGAGAAGCAGTCACCCTTCTGCGTAAGTTTTATCTTCTGGAAAACAGCAAAAGCCCGACATCCAAAGACAAAAAACACAGACGTCTTGAACTCAATGACTTTCCATCAATCGATTATTCGCGATATCTTGATCGAGACGAGTTCCAAAGAACGTTTGGGCAGGAGTTCGGCTTTGTATTTGACAACAATCTGTTTCTCGAATTCGATGAAAATGGAAACGTGGTGAATGAGCCAAAAAATAAACGGATCAAGACGTAGTTGGCTCATTCATTTTGCTCAAGCTTTGTTCTAGAACCTCATTGTTTTTCACCACATCGTTATGGGAGAAGAACTCATCATCCTCGCTCAACTTGTTTTCAAACTCTGCCCTGTTTTTCGGGTCTGTCTGTTCTAGTTGCAAATTTTGCCAGTCATGGAGCAGGTCTGCATAGTATTGTAGATATGAATCGCTTAATAATTTGAGAGACTCGTTAATTTCTTCAGTTTTGATCTTTTCAAACAGCTGATACTCATCAAGGATATCCCTTTCAAACTTTTCGAACACTTCAAATGCATTCTTTTTCTCCTTCTCAAGCACTTCAATTCTCGCTTGAAGCTTCTCGATTCTCTCGTTGGTTAGATTCCCGTGAGCATGTGATCCCATACCAGTCATGGACTCGAATTTTCTAGTCAAAAATGTTATGGCGCCCTCAGTTGAAGAAGTGACTGAGCCCCCGCTCATCAGATACTCTTTCTCCTGCTTGGCCTTTTCCAGATAATTGGACAACATTTCATAATCGAGCGCCTTCGCTTCTTTAAGCTTGACCAGGGTTTTGAGCTGCGTGATGTAGTGCTCGAGATCTCGCAAGGATGTAAGGTAATTGTACTCGATATCGTGATTCAGATAATATGCTCGCTCAGAAACCTTCTGAAGATTTTTGCCAAACTTTGAGAACTGCTCTGCAATCTGTTTTGTGGGCAGGTCTTTGCCGGCATCTGTGCTTTTGCCTTCAAAATCGTTGCTGAAAAGAATATTAAGTTTTGAAAATTCTTGTGAGAAGCGGGCAAAATCATCTGAAATATCCTGCTGTCTTGCCAACACTTTCGAGTAAATGTGGTCAATTTTCACAAGGTTATCCTGTAGTCTTGTGGATTTTTCCTGTATTTCCTGAAACTCTTGCTTGTGCTGTGACTCGTAGGAAGGTTTTTTGAAGCTATTCATGATATAGTCTGTGACTGTTTCTATATTTTGAGATGCTGAATTGCTTGGATCAATAGAGCCTGACGATATCTTGAGGTTGGATTTGTAAGTATGCCAGTAATCAGAATCCTCCAAGAAAACATGGAACGCATGTGACCTTTTGAGGTAAGGATGCTTGCAAACACGTGTGAGAAAAGTGTGAAGTGAGACAGCCCGCTTCGCTGTAAACTCTTCAGTGAACCTTCCACCTTTGATATACTCCAAGCGCTGTTTGTTTGGTAGAGGAGGAATGACGAGGGAGGGGAAGTCGTTTGCTAGGCAGTCGTAGAGGAAACTGAAGTCAGAGTAACGTCTGCGTAATTTGTATTCCTTTTGTTTGAAGGACGGACAATTCGTTCGTATCTCAACTAAATATGAGGTGTATGGGTTCTGGCCGTCGTACTCTGTCATTGGGCTAGAAACTCGAGTCTCAATATAATAGTCCTGCGAAATCTCATTTTTATCCATTGTATCATGAGCAACGATACTTTCTTGGCCATTGACTAGATCAGGAGTTTCAGGATGCGGCAAGGATGAACCAACAAGCAATCCCGATCCGCTATCCTCTGCGTCGCCATGGTCCTCCTGTGCACTGTCAGCTTCCATAGGAGTGACAACACGCGAGGTTTCCTCATCGACCGTGGGAAACAACTTGCTAGGATCTGACTCGTTTGTCGGATCGTCCCGGTCCCATTGGACAGAGGTGAATTGATCAGACATGTTTGTGAATGAGGAATAAATTAATGGCAAATTATTTACACAAGTTTTTCATCCCGACACCAGTTAATTTCCTTCCCTTAATTCTGGGTTTTGTTCTGGTTTTGGAGAATCTTTATCTAATCCCTGCTCCAACCGCTGGTCAGCAGGAAGAACCCAAAACTTTGGGTTCGTTTTGGCCCGCACCTTGTATAGCGTGCCATCCTCTTTCTCAATTACTCCATACTCCAAATTAAGGCAGTGAGGCAGACTTTCAACGACTAAGTTGTAGTCTCCATAAGAGAGGGCAGACACCCGATAGAATCCTGCTAGCACTGGCAGAGGCAGGAAACCGTCGTCATTCATGTGTTTTCTAAGGAATATGTCTTTCACCAGATTTTGGGTCGAGAAGTAGTAGTCAATTTGTTTGGCCAAAGTTTGAAGCATTGCATCCCGCATGTTACTGTCCTGTGGTGGCATGGCGATCGGTTGCGGCTGTTGCGCAATGACTGGAGCATATGGAGCTGGGGCGGCCGGATATGGAATGTAAGGAATTGGAGTGTAATAAGGTTGCTGGGGTATGAAATACTGCGAATGCTGGTAGGTTGGACGACTATGGTGATGTCTATTGTTTTGACCGTTATAGGAACGGCTGTTGTATGGCACGTAAGGAAGTTGACTAGTCGGGCTGCTGGTTTTACCGTTCTGGCCACTCTGGCCTCCATTCTGGCCACTATATCTCCTGCTATGGTTATTGTAATTGGTTCTGTATTGACGACCAGAAAAGCCATTTCCATTGCCGTTCGTCTTGGACTGCTTCTGCTGAGACTCGGCAGACTTCATGTCATAAGACTCGACGGCAGGTTCAGCAAGTTCTTCGGTCGTCGGCGGCTGATCTGGTTTCGGGGTGTTGCTCTCTGAACTACTACCTTCGTTGGTATCGATCTCGCGCACTTCGCCATTCTTTTTGGCGCTCTTTTTGGCGTCTTTGTTCTCCTTGGCTTCACCATCCTTGAAATTCTTCTTCTTATTCTTCTTCTTGCCCGAACCCTTGGAGGTTGGCTTGTTCGAGGCAATTACCACGGATGCCTTGAGCGGAACCCACTTCTCTTTTCCAGAAGCCGCTTTCGCGACGGAAGGGGCATTTTCCGATGTAGTCTCTGGAAGAAGAATAGGCTCGCTTGGAATCTTCGGGGGAATCACAGTAGGCGTCGCCCCCCAAACGTTCGTAGCCGGAAGAGGAGCTGGTGCTAGTTTGGCCTTCTTTGGCTCTGCGTCCTCCTTGGCAGGCTCAGGCTTATTTTCTGGCTCCTTATATCCGGATCTAGAAGACTTCTTGTCCTTCTTTTCCGGCTTTTCCGCCTTCTTTGCTGACTTGGTGTCATTTTCAACCTCTTTCTCGTTCAGATTCAAGTTCGAGATGCCATTTTCAAGCTCGGATTTGGAGTCATTCGACGAGGCTGGCGCTCCAGCGGCATGAGCATACGAGAATATGGAAGACATGATACGAGACAACTTGTTATAATTGAGTAAAATTGCAATTCGTGTGGTAAATCAACACCTTCCTCTGCCAACTAAAGCTGAACAATCTCCATATATTGAAAATTTTTTGTGTTTTTGTTAGGCCCGGTTACCCGCTCGATATACTTTGCAAAAATACACCCTTGCCCTAAACCAAAACAATTTTCAAAACAAGGATGTGCTTGTATTGTGCGACTATTGTTTGAAGTCCAAATTCATTCGAGTTTTTCATCAGGAATTTGTTTTTCCTTCCGACATTTCGTCACCTCGGAAAAGTCACTTTTCGGGTAGACAATGCCAGTGCAAAGATGTATGACGTATTTCTTTCGGTCGCTGGTCCACAACAGAACAGTCAATTTCTGGGACATGGCTCTATAAAAGAGCCATGTGGGGCTTTCATTAGGGGCTTTGGTAATGTCGAATGTAGCTTATGATCCTTACATGCAAAGTCCCGATGTTGATGCGTCCAAAAAATCCGCAGTACCTAAATATGTTTCGCATGTTGTCGTGAGCGCTATGATCGTGGCTGGTGCTATGATCGTAATATTTTTGATGTACAAGCTTCTGACCAAAGGGGCAGCAAATCGGATATTTAGGAAAACCAAGGATGATAGTCACCTCTACAGCAGTGACCAGATGCAATATATTGATATGGAACTCAATCGTATAGATCCTACAATGCCTACCAGGCCACATTTGGTATACCAGAAAGTGTAGTAGTGTACCAGCGAAAGATCGGGGCTGGGGTAGAATGTGGCGATGCAGAAATTTTTTTTTATCATGCGCTCTGCCCATTCCTCAAATAAATACTGGCGCAGCTCCAGGTGGAGGTGTATACATTAAATTAATTAAATATCTTGGGCAAGCAACAAGATACGCCTGCAAAAGGTTAGAAAAGGAATAGACGGAGGCTTTGGCAGTTCAACACTATTAGCCTTGTGCTTATATTCTGATAGAATAAAACTTTTCGTCCCCTTGTTTACAATTTTTTATTGAGTGCGCAGTTTGCCTCAATTGAAATTGCAGTCCTTCATTTGTCATGAGAAAAGAGCTACAATATATCCTGCTAGCGCATCTGTTGCTAGTGGTATTTTTGGTCTACGAAACCTTTGACTTGATAACACTGCTTTATGATGATAGTTTTCAGTACGCTTTGCTGGAATCTGAGCTATCTCCTACTGTCGATAGACCTCAACTCATCCCCAAAATAATTCACCAGACGTACAAAACAACTGAGATCCCTGATGTCTGGCAACAAGGACAACAAAGCTGCATCGACCTGCATCCTGACTATCAGTACATTCTCTGGACTGACGAAATGTCTAGGGAATTCATATCCGAGCAGTATCCGTGGTTCTTGGAGACTTTTGACAACTACAAATATCCAATTGAGAGAGCAGACGCTATCAGGTACTTCATCCTGTATCACTTTGGTGGAATTTACATTGACTTGGACGATGGGTGTGCTCGAAAATTAGATCCCCTGCTCACTGTTCCGGCGTTTGTGAGGAAAACCATCCCCACCGGTATTTCCAATGATGCCATGGGCTCGATGCCTAGACATCCATTTTTTGCCAAAGTGATCGACTCTTTGAACAAATACAATAATAACTGGCTGGTCCCATATATCACAATTATGTACTCCACAGGACCACTATTTTTGTCTGTGATATGGAAACAATACAAGAGATGGGGCGTTCCTGATGCAGGCGTGGTGAGGATTCTCATGCCTCAGGACTACAGCAATGGAGAGCATCCGTTTTTCAGCATCTCGAAGGGCTCTTCATGGCATATGGACGATGCGAAATTCATGTTTTTACTCTCCAAGCATATTGTTTGGGCTGTAATTGGTGGCTTTGCAGTTGCGCTGTTATTCTTTTACATGGAGTACCTCATGTACTCTTTCTTCATCTCCAACACTTTCAAAAGATGGAGAAAAGGGGTCTGGAACTTAATGAGACTGAGGTCATGGTCCCACGGAAACAACTACACTCGTTTGAACCCCCGAAAACAGGCCAAGTATCTTAAAACAAGAAATAGAAAAGACTCCAACTTGCCAGTCGCTATCAACATTGATTTGGAGAAAAACGTTATGGAGGTTTGAATGTCGGAAATTTACTTGTTGTGTATAATAGCATTTACTGTCAATGTAATATATGAATGAAATAGACGGCTAGCATTGTCATGGAGGAAAAACCAATAATTCGCTTGTTAATAAACTGTTTCTTCGGATAAAGCCAAGACTAATCAGTCGGCGATGTCGGACAGAGCCCGTATAAATTTCTCCAGTCGTCTAAAATAATTAGCCAATTATTACCATGCTTTTTGAGTTCATCATTCTTGCTGCGTGTGTTGCCTCGCAAAAGGTCCTCTCTGATAATGTCTGGACTTCGACCTCGTCTAACAACATGGTCCTTGTGACTCCAACAGTCACTGATGGAGTTACTATATCTGCTTCCCCTGTCTCGGACTCAGCTACCGTTTGGAACTCTCTTGATTCCTCCGGAATCCCATACTTGGTTACGCCTTCTGTTTCAGGCGCTACTACCATCTCTGCATCTCCTACTCCAACCGACAGTTCTTATCCAAGTCCAACAGGGGGAGCTCCTCCGGTGCTGCGCTGTATGAACGAGAGAGCAGCCGAATCCAACTATGGATATCCCTTCTGTATTGCCAACGGCACCGAAATGATTGTTGGTGAGACTTACTGGATCACTTGGGATCCAAGGTACTGGGGAAGTGATGACATCGTCAGAGTCCGTATTTCAACTAATGCCTATCCGTCGGTGGATGGAGACGAATCCCTTTTCACATCTGATTACGTCATCAACAATAACGGATACTTCGCGTGGGAAGTCAAGTCGTCGTACCGCAGAAGCGACACCGAGGGTTACTGCTGGCTGCTAATCACACCACAATTGGACTCCACCAGCAATGCCAAGCATACAGGAACCACGTACGGACCGCTAATTCGAATTATTGAGCACGAATCGGATGCCTACACTACCATCAGCAGGAAACCTTCTGACAATGGTGCGAAGACCAAGTCCAGCAATTCTAAGGTCAAGGTAATCGTCCCTGCAGTTGTTGTTCCTGTTGTTGTTTTGGGTTTCCTGATAGTTGGTATCGTGTGGTATTTCCGTCATATGCATGGCAAGACAAGCCTGGCAAACCTTATTCCTATGAAACGACGCGAGGCTGATGCGGTCAGTGTTACCACAGACGACCTACGGTCAGAGGTCACTGACATGCGCTCGGAGGTCACTGATTACTCAAGGAACACTAATCCTTTCCGTTAATCAAATGTAAAACTCTGTTTGATTTGTGTCAGGGGTAATTAAGTACATTATTAGGAATGTAAGTTTGTCACAGGTGCAGCTTTCTATCCAGTTTGGCAAAATCCGTCGTACAGGATCATAGGAAGTTCCAGATTAAAGACAATGAAGTTAATGCCCACGAACGCCCCGACGATAGTCCCAATCCAATAACTTACCAAAACTTTGTTGATCGTCTGGACGTTGTTGTAGCGACCATATTCAGGAAACTTTTTGTCTAGTAATTAAGCCACTGCAATACAGTGATTGAGCTGCAAATTTTCAGAAGTAATAAAGTCGTAGTACGACTATTCTTCTAGGAAGCAGTTGTACTTGCCAAATGGGTACAAAAGTCTTTCATCATGAGTGACTGTTGTAACAAAGACCCCAATGGCGAATACCAGCGCTTATGTAGCCAATTACAATTTTAGTCACATGACTGAAATTATCAAGTCTCAGAATTGTTCATCGTTAGCTAGGTTTGCTTATTTTTGATTGGTATCCTATTAGTCAAATTTCTAGACAATATTTTACTAGGCTGTGCAATTACTAACAAGTTAGTAAAGACATGAAAGTAGTATAAAAGGGCCTTGCAAAATACCGTTGATCGAACTCTAAACTCAAAATGGTCTCTTTTCGTACAATTCTGAAGTCTATGTACTGTATGGAGCAAGCTGAAGGTGTCGGAGCTAAAGTGAGGCGTTCTGTCGGTACCATGGGTATGAGAAATTTCTCACCTTTCCTTATGTTGGACCATTTCAATGTGAGTCCCGACGCTGGATTCCCGGATCATCCTCATCGTGGTCAAGAAACTATCACCCTTGTCATGAAAGGCCAGTTTTTGCACGAGGATTTCACAGGAGCTTCAGGTGTTCTCAATCCGGGCGATCTACAGTTTATGACAGCCGGCAAAGGTATCTGCCATTCCGAAATGCCTTACTCTCCAGACGGTTCGCATGTTGAAGGAATGCAACTTTGGGTTGATCTTCCCGAGAACTTGAAGCATGCAGAGCCCCGTTATCGCGACTTGCGAGACGCAGAAATTCCCGTGGCAGAACCAAACGACAAGGTGAGGGTCAAGGTGATAAGCGGTAAATCGTATGGTGTTGAGTCCGTTAAAGATCTCGCGTACACCCCTGTTGAGTACTACAACTACACAGTCAAACCTGGTGGAGAGTTTGTGCAGGAATTGCCTACTGATTTCAACGCTTTTTTGTACATCTTGAGAGGATCTCTTCTGATTAATGGATCCACCATTCCTAAATACCACGCTGTGTTTTTCAATAGGGATGGAGAAGCAATCGGCGGATCGGTTCCAGAAGATAGCGAAGACACAAATTTTGTTATTATTGGAGGCAAGGTGTTAAATCAAAAGATTGTCCAGCACGGTCCTTTTGTTGAAACTTCCAAAGAGCGTATTTATGAGGCCTTCCTGGACTACCAGTACGGGCGCAATGGATTCGAGCGTGCTCGGGGCTGGTCCAGCAAGATTGGCCATGGAGTGGACGAAAAACTGTACCGCGTTTTAACTGGCGAGAGCGATAAGAAGGACACCAACGTGAAGGTGGATCTGTAAGCTTATTTCTCCCACAACATTGTTTCATAAATGCTTAGTACATACATAATCTTTTTTTTAATATTTTGATATTTTTTCGGAGATAATTTCAATGGCAAAGGTTGTAATAGCATGTCGCAAATAGACCTAATAGAAGATGCCACTTTGCCCAGATTGGAGTCCAAGCCACAATCACAGTCTGGATCGGACATCACGATCGCTCAGAGAATGCTGAGCGCATGCACCGGGTCGTTGTTAACATCTCTGGTGGTAACACCTTTTGATGTGGTGCGAATCAGGTTGCAGCAGCAAGAACTGCTTTTTCCTCCACATTTCCGTCAAACTGCAACTTGCTGTAAAAAAGTGTTCTGGGAGGATGCTACAAAACCGAGCAAGGATCACTTTTGCTCAAGCAACGTATGTGCGCAAGAATTCAAGATTAACGGTACGTTCTCGGGACTTACAAAGATTGCTCTCAATGAAGGAGTTTTTACGCTTTATAGAGGTTTGTCCCTGATGCTCATCATGGCGGTACCATCCAATATGGTCTACTTTAGCGGGTATGAGTACCTGCGAGATAGATCTCCTTTGAGAAATCAGTTTCCGATTTTCAACCCTCTTCTTTGTGGGTCCTTCGCGCGAATCATGGCTGCAACAGTTGTGGCCCCATTAGAGTTGATAAAGACCAGGCTTCAAGCTGTTCCTACATCGACGTCAACGTCCTCCGAAATAATGAAGATGGTCGTTACGAACTCGTTCAAAGAAGTGCAAAATAAGGGAATTTTCTCTCTGTTTAAAGGGCTGCAGCTGACCCTTTGGCGCGATGTTCCATTCAGCGGAATATATTGGTCTTCTTACGAATACCTCAACGGCAAACTACAGAGGCTGCAAATTCTCAACTCGTCAGAGCATGAGCATGCCGAAATATTTGCTAGGTCGTTTATTAGCGGCTCTCTTTCGGGCGTGCTGGCAGCAATCTTTACTAATCCTTTTGACGTTGGGAAAACACGACTGCAGGTAACTTTGGAAGACGCCGGGTCCTTGAACAAGCTTGTGAATTCAAAAAGCACCAAAGAATCGATGTTTAAATCGTTGCATACCATCTATAAAAACGAGGGCATGAGCTCGCTCTTTGTGGGTCTAGCTCCACGGTGCCTTAAAATTGCGCCTTCGTGTGCTATAATGATCTCCACATACGAAATCAGCAAGAAATTATTTGCAGACATGATATAAGGCGTCTGTTGGCCTGAAGCAGCTACCATCCTTCACCTGCCCGAGACTTCAAAACGCTAGGTATGCGGATCCCTAGCCTTCCCGGCATAGCAAGACTTTGGGAGGACCCAGGTGGATCGTTTAAGCCCTGTTTAGAATAGGAGCACACACTTGAATGTTGGGTGTGTTCATTTTTGAGCTGGCACCCACAATCTGGACATTTAAGAGGCTGAGTTTGTAACGTCCCCAGTTCTTCTTTTAGCTCATGGCCAGTCAAGTGTTCAGTGCTTGCTCGAACTTCAGTTGGACCAGTCGGGTTGACCAAACTCATGTATTTTTTCTTCTTGCTTCCAGCAGGCTTGACACTTTCTGGTCGGCCCTTGTATTGGTTCTCCTTATTTTCCGATGTTTCTCTCGAGCCAAGATACTGGATCTTATCAGATGAGTCGTCCAATAAGTAACTTTTGCGACAATTGTAAATAGAATCGGCATTCAGATATTCAAAAAATTCATTGCAACCATCTTTGATATCGGTAGAGACACTTTGCATACTTAGGACGTAGTCTACCAAAGAGCCTTGCAATGAAGTGTTGATGGATTTGATCAGCTGCTCATCGACTACTTCAATGGAGATGTTTAGCTCTTCCAATGCCTCTCTCGACAAACAGGTATTGTGATTATCGCCAATTTTGCGCTCCTGATCTCTAAGTTGCTTGAAAGTTCTTGCTCTTTTGAGCTTGAGTTCTGCGGATTTTGATTCTCTCTGAGACACATGGTATAACTGCAGATTAATATTTTCCTTCTTTCTGATCATTTCCTCATCAAGTCTGCCTTGCAACTCTGCTATCCGACTAAATTCAACCAACAAGCGTTTGTTCTCAGGGTTATTCAATACATTTACCCAATGAGAAACACCGCTCAAAAATTCGTGCCTTCTTTTCAGAACCTTCTTCTCGGCATTGATCAGTTTTCGTAACTTGTACATGACAGAGGCAGCGCTAGGCGTATCTGGACTCTTAGCGCCAATGAATTCCAGTGTCTTCAGTAGCGGGTTGATGATTGCTCCGGAGTGGTTCATATTTTGGTATTGGAAAAAACTCGAGCTTGAATCCATGGAGCTACCTAGGTTGCCTTGCTGATGGTAAATGGAAGAGCTGTGAAGCGGGCTGGAGTGCAATGATTCAGAGGCATTGCTTTTGTCTCCTATTCTTGTATTTGAAATCAAGGAGTTGAAGTAGCCCTCTTGATTCATTTGTCGATGTTTATACTAAATAGGGGTATTTCACTTTTTTAAGGATCTTTTTTTACTCCAGTCTTAACTTAACGCCGGAAATAAACAATTCAGATCTCATAAATTTTTCATAATTAGACCTAAATTATTTATAGATGAGTTCTTTTAAGTTGGTCTCGTCGTTCGAGGTGGATTATGCGCCTGTGAGTGTAAAGAAATGGAAGTCCAATAGAACAGGTCTTGAGGTTTGCTTGATCGCGAAGGAGTCGCCCTCTGTGAGCGGTTGGTTCGCTCTGGCAACTGAGATATTTGACGATAGCGGGTGTCCGCATACTTTGGAACATCTAGTTTTCATGGGATCTAAGAAGTATCCGTATAAAGGACTGTTGGATATCCTGGGAAATTTGGCATTCAGTACTACAAATGCTTGGACGGCCACAGATCAGACCGTTTACACTTTGATGACAGCCGGCTGGGAAGGTTTCAAAATGCTACTTCCAGCCTACTTGGACCATATTTTACACCCCACGTTGACTGATGAAGCATGTTACACTGAGGTTTACCATGTTGATGGAAAAGGAAAAGAAAAGGGAGTTGTCTATTCTGAAATGCAGGGAATTCAATTTGAGCCTTCCTTCGTTGCGCTTTTGGAAAAACAAAGAACTCTCTACAAACATTCAGCTTATAGATCGGAGACAGGGGGACTTGTTGAGAATCTACGTACCTTAACGAGCGATGAAATACGAAAGTTCCACAAGAAGCATTATAGGCCAGATAATCTATGTCTTATAATAACTGGAATGGTTGACGAAGAGGAGCTTTTGAATATCCTGAACAAGTTCGATGCAGAAATAACGCCATTGCCCGAAATTCCAAATAAGCGGCCTTTTGTCGACTCTGTCCAAGATGGCCCGTTGCCATCATCAGTTACGAAAACGGTATATTTTGGAGACGAAGACGAATCCAAAGGTGACTTGACATTGACGTTTATTGGTCCGCGCGGCGTCGATTTGCTCGAATGTTTAGCGGTTGAAACACTGTCCAAGTATTTGACGGACTCGTCGGTATCCCTGTTCAGACAAACATTTGTGGAGATTGAAAATCCGTTGGCTACGCACGTTTCTACGTACAACGATGATTATATTAAGACCGCTATCAACATAGATTTTTCGAATATTTCGATTGAGAACATTGACGAGATGCCAAAGAAAATAACAGAAGTCCTTGCATCCCATGAAACTCAACTAGACATTAATAGAATAAGAGATGTGGTTGACCAAAGTAAGTGGGATCTTATTTATGAGGCAGAAAATGACGATGATACATTTGTGACGTCTGTCATTTATCAGTTCATCTATGGGGATAAATCGAGCAGTGATTTACCAGGCTACTTGAAGGATCTAAAGGATTACGAGATTCTCATGTCATGGGATGCTGCCACATGGAGAACACTCTACAGGAAATACTTTGTGAACAATCCGTCATTGTTCATAATAGCAAAGCCATCGAAAGAGCTGTATCGATCCAACAGAAAGGCCAGCAAACAGTTGCTGAAAGACAGAAAAGCCAAACTAGGCCCTGAAGGCCTGAAAGAACTTGCTACCAAATTAGAGAGAGCCATGGAAAAAAATAATACTCCAATCCCTGAAAAAATCCTCGAATCTTTTGGCTACCCTGACGTGGCCAAGATCAAATTCATTCAGACCCGATCAATTGCCGCTGGAATAAACCATGACATTGCCAACGACGTTTCTTCGGCGATGGCTAGGAAGGTTGAAAACGACACACCAGAGGATTTCCCACTATATCTGCATTTTGAGAATATCAAATCGAATTTTGTTACTGTCGACCTGCTGTGTTCATCGTTTGAAATTGATCAGGAGCTTTTAAACTACATTCACGTTTTTGGCAGCCTTTTCACATTACCCATTGAGCAAGACGGTAAGCTTGTGCCCTATTCGGAAGTGGTGAAAGACGTACAGAGAGACACTATTTCTGCCAGTGTCTCCACCTCCTTCGACAACAATTTCCAAGAATTTGTCGATTTCAGAATTGTTGCAAGAAGTGAAAACTATGGAAAGGTAATTGAATGGTATACCAAGTTATTGCTCCATACCAAGTTCACGCAAGATAGAGTTAAAGTCGCTGTCGAAAAAGCCTTGAATAATTTGCCATCGAAGAAGCGGTCCGGGTATTCGATGCTGAGCACTCTTATGAATAAACACATTAGAAGCGAAAGATCCCTTGCCAGAGCTCAAAGGACATATCTCGTGGAGGATTTCCTCAAGGACGTGCTCAAGAAAATTGATTTTGATTTTGACTCGGTGGTCAAGAGCCTTGAACTGTTCCGTCGGCAGCTTATAAAGCAAAACAATCTGCGAGTGTTGATAGTTGCGGATGTTGCGAGATTGGAACATCCGGTGAGAAGCTGGGAGACGTTTGCAGCAAGTGTCAAATCCACGTCAGAGCCACTCACCGATCTACCATATACGTCTAAGGTTTTGACTGATGTGGGAAGACTCGAAAGGTCTGGTAGGTGCTATATCATTTCAACGCCCGGATCATCCGCTAGTTACATGGATTTGATGGCAAGAATACCGCAAGATGCAAATGTTTCTGAGTCTGCAAAGATTTTATTGGCGGCAGAGGTGCTCCAGTGTGTTGAAGGGCCTTTCTGGAGGGGCATTCGGGGATCTGGTCTAGCTTACGGTGCTAATGTATACCGTGTTGTTGAGTGGGGAACAGTCATGTACGACATATATCGTGGGATTGACGTCGAGAAGTGTTTCGAGGTTGGCAAAGAAATTGTTGAGTCTTATGCATCCGGTGTACAACAGATCAACGGCAAGGCATTGCACGGTGCCATGTCATCTGTTGTGAACTCTTTAGTCAATGGTCAAACCAACTACGTCAATGCAGCATACAGAAAGTTTTATGATCAAGTACTCATGAAAAGGGGTCCTGATTACAATCAAACGCTAGTCAAAAGTTTGTCACAAGTGACATCGGAAGATGTGGTCGACGTCTTAAAGAAACACTTTCTTCCGATGTTCGATCCTAAATCGTCTGTGTGTTTTGTTTGTTGCAGTCCTTCGAAGGTGGAGAGCATTGAGAGGTTCTTCAGCTCGAAAGGCTACGCTACTTCTGTGGAACACGTCGCTGCCGATGACGACGAAGAAAATTACGAAAGTGACGAAGATGAGGATGATGATGACGAAGAGGAATATTACAGCGATACAGACGATGACGGTGACGAGGGAGAAGATGAAGACGAAACTGATTCAAGTAGTGAGTAGTCATTCACAGTTAGATAGATGTATCATTTATTTTTTTTCTCAGTGACCTTTTGTTCAACATTGAGCCCTGCGTAGGTTCCCACCATCCTCTTGGTTTCGTCCAAGTACTTGCCCATAACGGACTCAGTTTCTGTGGCCAATTTATCTGCCTGATCGATCATTTTGCTTGCCTTATTGAACAAGTCTTTTTGTGACGACCAAAGCTCTGGCTGGTGCTTCCTTTCGTAATTATCAAACCAACAAATGACGTTCGAGAATGTCGATGGGAGGAAAAATCTGAATGCAGCCACTCCGCATAATAATGGCACGGTAGATCTGACGAGAATATTGCTGCGTCTGGTGAACACAACACCTGTCAGGAACCCGGTCAAAACGTAGAGCGAGTTTGGAAACAGCTCTTCTCTCTTGTCGTGGAGGGAAGATAATGTGTCTGTCACTTGGCGTTCCACTTTGTAATACTGTTCCGATTGTTGAATGTACTTATCCTTAGCAAGACCAAGGTACTGAATGAGTTGCAGTCTTGCGCGTTTGATATTTTCCTCCAAAAATTCAACTTTTGAGTCTCTGTTCTGCCCTACTTTACTTGTCTCTGGCTTCAATGGCTCTAAAGGAAGGCCCGGGATAGTGTTTTCAGTGGCTGCCTCATAAAATTTTCTTTTGGTCTCACACTTGATCGACTGTCCATTCAGGTAGACCATTGAGGCAACTATGGGGAGGCCAATCTATGTCGTTAGTCTCAGTGTAATAAATCACCTACCTTCAATCCCCTATACATGCTGATAATTCCAATCACGTTGACTTTATTTTGTTTTGGACGATCGACGGGACTATCAAAAGATGGAAAAATTTTCAGAGGTTCAACTTGGCTTCTTCTGTGTTTTGATAGAATGACTGAGCAAACAACACAACACGCTAAGTTGACGGCCCAGGAGGTCGATATAGGCAGAAAGTATGATCTGACCCCTAAATTTATACAATTCTTGGACAGACACCTCATTTTTCCTCTTGTGGAAAACCTCGACACGATTTACTCTTCTGAAGAGGTTGAGTCTATGGAGTATGATCTACTGAAAGACACCAACATGACCAAGTTCATCAGGGAAAAGTATGCTAGCTTGCATCCAGGTGAAGCCATTCCTGCCGATCTTGAAATGAAAGAAAAGGCTATTGAAGAGGAATATGCCCGCTTGAATGCGGCAACTAACAAAACTCTGGAAATACTTGCATCCAAAGATGTGCAGGAGTCACTGAAACAAGACAAGACTTACAACCGAGAGTATCTTTCGAAAAACCACCACATTGACGATGCAAAGATTCTGGAGCTGTACAATTTCGGAAAATTTCAGTACAATAGAGGAGACTACGTGGTTGCTTCTGACCTTTTGAACAACTTCAGACTCCTCTCTGTTAACCAGGATCTGAACTTGAGCGCTACGTGGGGTAAAATCTCATGTGAAATCATCACTGAGTCCTGGACTGACGCCTTGGAAGAACTCAACAAGCTCAGAGAAATCATAGACAATAGGCATTTTAAGGGGTCAACTCTTGATCAACTGAACAAGAGAACGTGGTTAATTCATTTCTCGCTGTTCATTTTTTTCAACCTTCAAAATGGTTTGGAAAATCTCGTGGATTTGTTCTTTTCTTCTTCATATCTGTCTACCATTCAGGCCTCATGTCCTTGGATTTTGAGGTACCTTGTGGTTGCAGTGATAAATTCCAAGCCGCAGTTAAGACAGAAGAGAATCAAGGACCTTGTCAGGGCCGTGCAAACAGAAGAATACGAATATCAAGACCCATTCACCAAGTTTGTGGAGATTTTGTTCGTGTCATATGAGTTTGATAAGCTGCCAGAGGTGATGAAGCAATTCAAAGTGCTTGCCACAACTGACTTTTTCATTGGAAGTTTGGACATTGCCGAGCTTTATAAAAACGCCCAGGTTCTGGTGTTAGATACCATTGGAAAGCTTTACAAGGTGCTGTCTGTTGAACAATTGAAAGAGTTTTTGAACGACCAGAACATTGATATTGCACTTACGAGAGACAACTTCAAGCTTGAAAATGACAAAGTGTTGATTCGCGTTGCAGAGACAGGTTCTGTCTACCAGCAAGTCTATGACAAAACCAAGGCATTCAACTTTAAGACTAACCAATTGCTTAACAACGCTTTTAGCATTAATTCCTATAACCACAAACAGTCTTCGCAAGAAGCTTAAATAGGTGTAATACGTTAATTCTATTTACATAAGCTTTATCTTTATTGACTTTCTCTCGGAACAACTTTGTAGTCCGTAAAGGTCTTGTGGAAGCCATTCTTGTCTGATTTCATCCTTGGCTTAGTCTCGCTCTCGACATCCTTGTACCATCTCTCTTTACAAAGAGCCACAGCATCTCTGAAGACTTGTTCCCCATTTTTTCTGTGAAGCAGCAAAGCCCGGACATTCTTCTCAGTCAATTTATCTAGAGGCAGACCTTGTTGCTCCAGTCGGGCAACCACGCGCGCAAGATACCAGAACTTCATCTCTCTGGTAGAAGAGTCTACTAATTCCAGCATAGCTTGGGGAGCATTGTCTCCGATACGAGGTTCAAGCTTTATTATTCTTGTGTATCCTCCATCTCTGTTTGCATAACGATTAGTCAGCTCGTTGAGCATTTTGGGTATGACAACGTCGGGTTTGTAGAGTTCGGCATCCAATTTGGTGCGTAACTTGTCAAGCTGGCCTGACTCTTTGTAACGTTTTGACTTTGTGATCAGATTTTCTACTAGTGCTTGTGTTCTCTTTGCTTTAGCAAGCGTGGTTGTGACGCTCTCATGTTCAATTAAAGATGCGCCCAGATTTCTGAGCATATGCCGAAGCTGCTTGGAGTTCTTGCCCAGAGTCATAGTGATCAGAATTTAGTTTAAAAAAGCTTTCAGTAGAGTGCATGCGGGCTCGAAACCGGAGATCTTTTTAATTTCGCTAAACAAAAGAAAATTAAATCTGAGTTAATAATTATGACCGGACGCATCCATGGTTTCTTAGGTGGCGTGCTGCTCACAGGCTCCATAGCTTATCTTACTGCTCGTGAATTTCGTCTAAATCAAGCTGTCATTTCACAATCTTTGAAAGAATCATCGCGAATCATCGAGGAAAGAGATCTTCCAATTCCTCATCAGTCTAACGTTCTTCGATTTAGACAAAAATCCATCGCTGAAAGCATCAAAGACATTTGGAACCATGAAGTCATTAAAGGTGTCAATTACATTTATGCGCTCGATTTCTCCGGTGTGGGAGACTCGATTACCAGAAGTATAGACCGATTTATAAACAACAAAGAGTAAACACGATATTATCTTCGCTTATCTTCTTGCTGTGATTCCTTCCTAATCAAATGCTCATGATATAGATCAACAAGTCGACCCACTAAAGATCCAACGAAGCTCAGAAATATTTGTGCAAACCACCATTCCCTTGGATTAAGCCCTAAGCTGAAGGAGCCCAGTACCCAGCCGATAAAATCAGTATAAATGTAAAGACTGCCATTTTGTAGAGATTTTACCACGATGTCCGCGCATTTCTCCGCAGAGATGGCAGGCGAGGCGCCTTCTATTTCCTTAGTCAAAGCTGGCTTCGTCAAGTTCTCCTGGGCGTAGCCTTCCGATTCAAAATTTCCAGGAAATAAAGTGTGTACCTTAACCCCGTATGGTAAAAGCTCATGTCGCATGCAATCCCCAAAAGCCTTCACAGCAGCTTTCATTGGAGCATATTGTGAGTAGCCGTAAAAAGCATAAGAAGCTATGACAGAAGAACAAAGCACAAGATGTTGTTCCCGAACTTTTTCGGTGATCAAGGGAAGCATAGCGTGGACAAAGTAGACGGCAGTTCTATAGTTAATATCTATTCCCTCATCAATCTTGGATATTGGGATCTTGGCAAACTTTTGAGGATAGGCGATACCCGCACAACAGATGAGATCATCAGGAAGTAAGTTCTTTAAAACTAGGTGTTCGCGTACTTTCTCACAATTTTCGTATTTAGAGAGGTCCGCTGCCACATAGTCGACGAATTGATCTTTTTTCCGGCTGAGTTTCTTGATTTCTTCTACACAAGTGAGTAGTTTTGTTTCTGTGCGGGAGATAATAATGATATTGGCACCTTTCAGATATAGATTCTTTGCAAGAGCATAGCCTAAACCTTGTGAACCTCCTGTAATCACAATCAATCTACCATCAACGTTATACTTGTTGGAAAACATACTATAGATAAGCAAGTTTTTTTTCTGTCAAACACCTAGCGTTGTATTGAGGTAAGATAGAGAGCGCAGCTTACAACTATAAATATATCACACAAGAAAATGGATGTCAGTCAACCATGCCTGCTCATGTGCTGGCTTTTGATCGCTTCCGCTCAGCTTCATTGCGCATTTGTTTCGCTTGCTTTTCCATTGCCTTCTTCAGATCTCTTCTGTAGCCAAATTCAAACGCAATCTCCCACAGAACAAAGTATGGTGCCAAAACTAGCGGCTGAATAAGGTTGTCCAGTAATGCAGGAGCCCGTTTCTCGTAGTATCCATGACCGAAAAATTGTGCAATCCAACCAGAAACATGAACACCCAACGCATAGAAGTTGACCTGAGAGCTTGGGAAATGAGAATGAAGGTATGTAGAAGAATAGGCCGCTGCAAAGACAAATATCAGGGAGACAAGACCCATACCTGGATCCAGCAAGAGATAATAAATACCATAACCGATCATTCCGGCTTGAGCAAGGGAGACGGGTCCCAAGTCAACAGCACCTGCCATGATCACCCCTGTGAGAAATATTAATGGAATACACATCAAGTGTATCCCAACGTTTTTAGGATGAAAATGGTATGCCTTGTAATAGGCTAGCTGGTAATTGAGATCCAATAATCGTGACATTAATTATCACTTTTGCGTAGATGGGGTAATTTTCCAGAAATGAGATTTTAAAGATCAGTTTATATGTTTAATATGTATATGAGCGCATGCATTCAAAAATTGCTTTCCTCTCCACACTCTACTTAAAGGAAATTAATATATATATATTGCTTCCTTAAATCAATATGTCTTCTTTAGAGGAATTGAAAAACGAGGTGGATCAATTGAAAGAGCTAGTTGCAAGACAAAGCAAAGTTATTGGCCGCACTGGGGAGCAGCTCCTGAGATTCCAGGTAAGACAGACTGACAGAGAGCTTAACTCCATTGATGTGCCTAGAGTTGGGACCGATAGCACAACGTCAAAACATGGACAAATTGACACATCGGAATTTGCCACCAACGATGACATTGTTCAGCTCGTGGGCGAGCTGCAAGGTCAGTTGAACATCTTGGAACAAAGATCACTCAGGAGAACCATCAACTCGGGACTTTCGAAAGACACTGATCTCATTGCTCCTGTTTTGAACTCCGATGGTGACGAGCCTCCTGACACAATTTACCCGAAGACATTGAAACAGTTCCGCGAGTTGTCAGATGACTCAGTGCTTGCTCTTTGCCATTTTTATGAACTCCTGCCACCAACTTTGGAAGAAGAGGCCAAATTGCGTGCTTTCATGGAAGGGAAAATTAAGTCCCCAAACGTGGATCCGTCTGAATTTAAGCCATCCTCCGTTGACTACTCTAAAGAGGTGCTTGATAGCTTGTACGACGACCTTGCAAGGTTCTTAGGTTTAAAATTCAGAAAAACCGAACACGCATGGTAATATTTTCATTAAACTATAATGTATAGCTTCTGTCGTCTTCCTTCTTTCCAAACGTTTCCAAAAATGCTTGTCCGATGAACGCGTGAAGGTCAGACGTTTGCATTGCTCTGTAATGTTGATCAAAAGCTAGTTTAGACGCATATTTTGTGAGAATGCTTCCGCCGTAGCAAGCGAGCATTTTCACCTCTTGATCAGTCAAAACAGGCTCTTCTTTGGATTCTGCCCAAAGCTGATTACGATATGAGTAGGTGCCCCACGCCAGGAATGTGGCAATCATACCCGTAAGCGAGTCTCCTTGTCCTCCAACTCGTCTAAGGCCACCATCTTCTTCTGCAATAATCAATTGCTCTCCGTCCACAATCAAATCTACGGCACCTTTACGCAGAATTGTCACCTGTAATGCCTTCGAAACAGCCTTGGCCTCAAGATTAGGATCCGATTCGTGAATGCTTAGCGCATCAGCGATGCGCTTAAATTCCACTGGATTTGGTGTTATGATAGCCCTGGGGTATCCACGAATGATATCTGGTTCCTGAGAAACGAGATATAAACTATCGGCGTCCAAGATCACTGGCAGATTTCTCTTTTTGATCTCGTCAATCACTATCTTCAGGGTTTCCAACATCACCTTATCACGCCCAAATCCTGGCCCAATCACCACCACATGTATTCGGTCAAGCAATGAGGTGATTTTGGGCAAAATCTCGGACCTTATGTAACTATCAATCGATTCTGGTGTTGGAGTCTTAGATTGGAGGCGGAAATGCTCCTCTATCTTAGAGCTATCTCGCATATAGGGGTGAACCATAAGATCAGGGGAATATGACTTGATTACTGGAGCGGCCGAGTACTCGCAAATGACATGCGACAAATCACATCCAAGAAGAGCAGCTGCGTGGGCAGCAAAGAATGGAGCTCCCGTGTAGTCTTCGCATCCGCCAATGACAACTATCCGACCGCATTGGCCCTTATGGAAGCTGGACAACAAAGGTGGGATTAATTTGCGAGTGAGGTAGACTAGCTCGTTCTTTGACTTGAGTGTTTTAAACATTTTGTCAGGTGAGTTAGTCCGCCCTACCTAATATATATCGCACTGAGTTCTAGAAGAGTACGATCGACGGGTCGCTACTTTGCTGGGGTAGACGGATTACTCACATGGTTGCTCATGACGGGAAGACGCACCTTTGCATTACATGCGCATATCTACTGGAGTCGCATGTTGCAGAATTGGCATTGTGGCTGGAATCGGTTATTAAAACGCAATTTTAAAGAGAGTGTTAACTCAATTTCGAGCTCTCCACCAATCATCGCTTTTTTTGTTTTGTAAGCAATCGAGGCAAAAATTCATCTAGCTACTTATTTGACTTTATTCTCTTTCACGATGTCATTTGCTTTATCTAATCTAGCCCGTTTGAGAACTAAACACGTTCTTCCTATCTTCGCTGCAGCTGCCAGCAGCTTGTATTTCTACCACTCAATGAACTCGATTGCTAACGAGGCTCCTGTCACCCTGAAAGGCGGCGACGAGTGGATTGACCTGAAATTGAAGGATGTGAAGCAATTGTCTCACGACACCAAACTTCTCACTTTTGAATTGCCAAGCCCAGATGCTAAATCTGGTTTGAATACCGCATCCTGTGTTTTGACAAAATTCGTCACCGAGAAAGGCAACAACGTTATTCGACCATACACTCCAATCAGTGATAATGAACAACAGGGAACCCTGGAGATGCTTGTTAAGCACTATGATGGAGGTAAAATGTCTTCTCACATCTTTGATTTGAAGCCCCAGGAGACTTTGTCTTTCAAAGGTCCTATTCAAAAATGGAAATGGGAGCCAAACTCCTTCAAGGAGATCTTTTTGCTCGGCGGTGGTACCGGTATTACTCCATTGTATCAATTGATTCATGAGATTTTGAAAAACGAGAAGGATCAAACAAAGATTAAGCTCTTGTATGGATCCAAGACTGTTGATGACATTCTGCTCAAGCCGGAATTAGATGCCTTGGCTACCAAGCACCCAGATCAGTTCAAGGTTAGATACTTTGTTGACAAAGCTACTAAGGTCACAGACCAAAAGATCACTGAGGGTTTCATCACCAAGGATGTTCTGTCTAAGGAGCTTTCCGGTCCTTCCGATGACATTCACATTTTCGTCTGTGGCCCTCCACCATTCTACGACGCTGTCTCTGGAAACAAGAAGTCTCCAAGTGACCAAGGTGAGCTCACGGGTGCTCTTGCAGAGCTGGGCTATAACAAGAGTCAAGTGTTCAAATTCTAGAGGTATTTAGATTATCGGCGCGTCGATGGGCGTCTTATTTCAGCACAATATAGGTTTTAGGGCTGAAAAAAAAAAAAAATATTCTTACTTAGCATATCTTCTAATATGGCGAAGAAGATATCCAAGCATTCGCGTGCGGCCCGTCGGGGAGAAATCAGTGAAATAACCGGAGAGGCAAAAGATCTTGAAAATGTTCCTCGTTTGGAAAAAACTGACACCATAGGACCGATGATTCGTGCATCTGCATCGAAAAACGAACACTTATTGCGCCAGAAAATGGAAAGAAAAACTTCAAAGAGCAAGTCGGCTATCTCCAAAGCGATTAAGACTAGAAGGAAAAAAGCGGTTATTATTGACGGAAGACTTGGGTCTAAAATCGAGGCCAGCATCAACAGAGCAAAGGAAATTCAGTCCATGAGAAAAGCTAATTGGGATACAATAAATAAGCAAGTTAAGGAAGCAGTGAAAGGCAAACCGTTATACAATAACGACAGAGGCCAAACTGAAGGACATAAGGATGCCACAGAAGATGATAGTGACTGGGAAAATATGGATGAAGAAGAAGAATCAAACGATCTGGTGTCCACTAATAAATTTGCGCTATTGGAGGAAGTTGAGGCATAAAGATGCTGAGCTTTTATGTACGATATATACAAGGTTAATGGATATTGACGGTTTCACGGAAAGTTTGTGCAAATTTGTCGTCAATGAGTGAGAGCACAGACAACGCTTGTTCTCTGGCTAGGTAGTCGCTGTCCGTTTCCACCATATACTTAAGTGTGGTATCGAGTTTTTTTCCGTACTTTCCCAAAAGTTGTAGTCCCTCGTTAGCCGAGAGGATATCATCAACGAGGACGACTGCAGATCTTCTTAAAACGGCATAATCTGTGTTTGTCTCTAATTGTAAGATTCCAAATACGCAATCCATGATGTCGTCCATATAATTTAGAGTAGCAAGGGGATTATTTCTGCACAATGATCCAAGTAATGACATTGCAGACGTTTTCATCGCAACTTCATGGTTGGAATCCTTCCTGACGATGGCCAAGGTAGTTCCAATTATCCGACCTGCATTCTTCAAAGCGTTCCCAGAGAAGTTGATGTATCGGAGGATCACCTCGCCTAGTTTGAGTCTTTCATCTATATTTATCTTGGGGTTTGAGTAAATATTGAGATAGTTATTGATCAGATCTTGGTCAAACTTTAATAGCTCCTCTAGTCCTCGAATGGCGTTCAAATAAACAAATGGTTCGGGATCTTTAAGTTGCAACATATGTTGATTGATGGTAAATTCCAAAGATGTCGTCGCTGACTGCGACTCGACCAGTTTTCTCAGTAGCTGGAGCCCATGAACCCTGATAGGAGGCGAGTTGTCTGCAAGATTCTTCAATGCCTTCTGCTTGATTGCTATATCTTGTTCTTCTTTCGTAAAGTTTTCCGCCTCCTTTATATCTTTTCCAGATACAATGGTGCTCAAATGTTGAGATAAATCTGGGTCCACAGATTGTAGCGCTGATTGTATGTTGGACACTGTTTTGAGAGATTTGGACGAGAGTCTACCGTCGGTTATAATTGTCGATAATATTTCAAAAACAATTTTGAGGTTGGCGTTGTTGTCGTTTTCTTCGTCATCTGAATCCTCCTTCTCATTGATGACATTTAGAGTTTCTGTGTGAACTTTCATTTCGTCTTTTATCACAGAGTACAATAGTTCCAGAGTGTTATCAACCGATTTGGTCAAGCTGTCTTTGAGATTGTCGCTCAAATACTCAATCACCTTGAGATTGATCAGCCCGACGAAGGGATTCTCATCATCTTTGGTTAAAAGCCTTTCGTCGGCGTTCAACCAAGCTTTTAGACATTTTAGAAACACATATTGCACTTGCTCTTCATCGATGGCACTCAATTTTTTCACCAGCTCCCCAAAACTTGTTGCTACGAAATCCACACTGTCGAGTATATCAACATTAGTTTTAGTTGCGAATTTCTCTTTGATATATGTTAAACCATTTTCTCCAGAAGCAAACTCCCACGATCTCCCATCAACTGCCATCAGATTATTCAGAAGAGTGTTCAGAATTGTGTAGTTCCCGTCTGGCCTTGCCAAGACAGAAATGAAAACTTTCTCAGTTAGACCGTAATCTTTGGACATCTTGCGTTGGTAAAGCAGGTATGACCAGAAGGGCACAGTAATTGGCTCGAACATTGTTCTCACAAATTCCTCGTTTCCGGATGTTCTTGTGATGGATAGTACTACATTGAAAGCATTGTTGAGCTCTACCTCGCTAGTGAGCATGATATTCTCGTCGTCATTTGAAAGCTCCCTTGTATCTGGATTGAAAATGTTCCATATCCGTTTGAAAACAAAATCACGTACAATGAGAGGATTCTTGACGTAGAGCTGTTCAAGAAGCTGAGTCACGATAGACACCATAACTGGCCAATTCACATGAACCAAAATATTGTATAGTTGACTTCCGATATTCTGTAGATACTCGATTTTAGTCAGTCTTGATGGTTTTGTAGTAAGCAGTACTTTGAGCACTTCATCAATCTTCGCAACATCAACCGTCTCGCTTTCTCTTAAGCCCATTATGACCTCAATCAAAGATTGGACTCCATTGTGCGCCCTCTCAACGACAAGGTCTGCCAAGCGATTCATAACGAAAAGCTTAAACCATTGTTGTAAGGGCTGGGATATAAGAGAACCATAAAGCGAAAACAATTGATAGGTTGACGAGATGGACTCCAAAAACTTGAAAGTTGATTCATATTTTGGCTCATCCTTAGCTAAAACTATGCAACAGGTCAGCGCATCCGTATATCCTGTGCCCACAACTAATAGGTTTTTCAGATCGCTATCTGTTTTATAGATCTCTGTGAATGTGTTAACAATGTCCTCTAGGATGGATTTACCCCGGGGATAGGGTATTTTGACAACTTTTAATGGAATTTTGAAACTCTTTAGTCTGCGCTTTACTAGAGGAAAACCAATTCCTTGTGGTAGACAAGTATAAACACCTTCTATCACAATAATGTTCACCATTGTGCTAACAGTCTTCATATCGTATAAGGGAATTGCTATCATATCTGTCTGGTTGCTACGTGGGACAAGGTTATGGATCTGTAGCAAGAATTCTAGAAGTTGGTGAATGACTAGCTTCCGTCTTTTAAGCTTGTCGTCAGTGCGTTCTTCAACATCTAGTTTTGCGTACATCTCATCAATCGTGTTTGGACTCTCCTGCGTGCCGATGAAGTCACTCACCTTATCAAATAGCTTGCCAAGACGAGTAGTCCTTTTTCTCACATAAGTCGGATCTGGTTTAAATCCTTTCAGCTCTTGTTTGATCTTTGTGAGATCTATCATCTGACTGCTGCTCTGACCATTCTTCTGGCCTGTACTCTCATCTTTCGAGTCCTTAGTTGAAGAAGCCATCTGCAATTTTGCAATTTAATAAACTTTGGCAGACAATACAGTGTCAAAAAAAAAAAATTCAAAAAATATATAGCTTGGATAATCTATCTAAGATGGTTGACTTGCAGAAGACACTGTCTGAAGAAGAGATGGATGATATCATATATGAAGCGAGAGTGGGGGATCTTGATTCTTTGAAAGAAATTTTCGAGAAACATGTCGACCCCCAAACGCTACTGACCATTAAAGACGAATACACTTTAGCTACCCCCATACACATGGCAGCGGCGAATGGACATGACAAGGCCTGTCGATACCTATTGGGGTTGCTTTCTAGGAACGATGCACAGAATTTAGTTAATAAACAGAATGAATCGGGAAATACGGCGCTGCACTGGGCAGCGTACAATGGGCACACAGAGACAATCAGGGTACTTTGCGAATTTGGCGCAGACCCATTCCTGAAAAACAAGTTCAACCACGACGCTATCTACGAGGCAGAGAAGAATAACAAATCTGAAGTCGAAAAGTACTTCTTGGAGAAATTCGATATTCAGCAGGACGATGATGAACCGGCACAGAAAGTCCAGTACAAGGAGGGAACGGAGATCGAGAAGGCAACGGAAGAATCGCGTGAGGTGGAAACTCTCCGGAAGGGGCTCGAGTCTAATCAGTTGTGAATAGATTTATTTAATGTTACGTGCTACCGTGTCGCACTTACCCGGCTTGAAGAGGTCCAGAAAGTGATATGTTGAAAATTTTTGTAACGAGAAAACCGCAGTGAATCACAATATGTCAGAAGATTTGGGATTCGATCCGTCGCTAAAGAAGAAGAAGAAGGTCAAGAGCAAGGCTGATGCTGAGGAAGCTACCGCGCCATCTGAGGAAAACTTAGATGAAATGTTCTCGTCTCTAAAGAAGAAAAAGAAGAAGACAAAAGAAACCGATACCCCAGAACCAGTGGATGAGCTCGTCGATGGACTCGAAGGGCTCAAACTGAAGAAGAAGAAGAAGAAGAGCACGAAATCCAGTGAAGCAGATGACTTTGACAAACAACTCGAGAAAGCTGGTATTCATGCCGACGATCAATCATCTAGCTCGACTGAACAATTACAGCAATCACAATCACAAGACTCTCTCAGTAATACAGTTTTGGCATATGAAAACCTTCTTTCGAGATTCTACAGTATTCTCAAAGAAAAAAACCCCGAATTGGCTGGAGGCCAGCAGACCAAGCTTAAGATCCCTCCTCCTGAGGTGGCCAGAGAAGGTAATAAGAAGACCATGTTCGCCAACGTGCAGACGATCGCTTCTGTCTTGCAAAGAAACCCAGAGCATCTCATTCAATATTTGTTTGCAGAGTTGGGTACTTCAGGTTCTATCGATGGTGAGAAGAGACTCATTATTAAGGGAAGATTCCAAGCAAAGAATATCGAGAGTGTGCTGAGAAGATACATCCAGGAATATGTTATCTGCAAGACGTGCAAATCTATGAACACGGAACTCAAGAGAGAGAGCACCAACAGACTGCACTTCATTGTGTGTCGCGCCTGCGGTTCGACGAAGTCGGTGTCGTCGATCAAAACTGGTTTCCAGGCTCACGTTGGAAGAAGAAAGAGAGTGTAGATTACTATTTAACTATGGTGATTCGCGTCACACGTCATTATTCAAACCTCTTCTAGTTCATGTCTTCTCCTTGGTGGTATTTGTCGTTAATGTATTGCATGAAGTCATCGTTCAATCCACTAACGACGTCAACATCTCGCAATTGCTTGAATTTCTTGTAGTTGAAATACAAGTTCACGAAGTCTTTCAGCACAACAACTGCAACGCATCCCAGCAGGTTTCTCAGGAACTCCGCCTCATCCGGTGTGTTGATGTGCTTGTTCAAAATCTCGTTGATGTGAGGTATTCGGGATATCAAAAGTCTACTGATAAGCTCCCCAAAATACGGCCATGATAGGGTGGATGCCAAGAAGAAGTAAAATTGCGATCCCTGGAAAACCTTGGAGTAGTCAAACTTGAAACAGTTGATTAGCTCCCGTCTAAGTCTTGAAAGATGGATTTTTCTGATGATCGAATTAGAAGTCAGCGCTTTTAATAATCTTTGCAATAGCCCAGAGAATCCAGAGCCTGCAGGTTTTGGAGACTCTGCCTCTTTCTCTGCCTCTAGGTATGCAAACTCCTCCCTGTTTTCTTCTTCTATCCGTTCCAGTTCCTTTAGTGAGAGCCTGTCGGCAATAAAACAGGGCTGAACTTGCTTGCACCATCTGTAATACAATCTGTTGAGAGTCAAGCTGTAGGTAGCCCTATAAAGATATTGGAGAGGTAAAGTTAAAAGCAGAAACTTCTTTGCCGGATTATCCTTCAGATCCTGATAATCCCTATAAAGAAGCAAAGGAAACACTCTCCCAATCATATTCACTGGTCCAGTACCCAAAACGTTCATTCTCATGTACACCAAATATAAGGGTATCGACGCGGTGATAATAAGAAATTTGGGTATAGGAATTAGTCCTTTATCCAAAGCGGAGACCAGAGTTCGCGTAGTGGTGCTCTTGACATCGAAAAGGGAAAGCTGCACACTTTGTGGAGTTACCATTTGCATGACTCGTAGACCCGTTGCGCTAAGACCGACTAAAAAGCCCATGCTTACGGAAGCGACCGATGACGATATCACCGTAGAGGAAATCCCCACACGCATAATGTTGGATATACCTGCATCGATGGTCTGTCTAATATTCAAGATACGGGAGTTTGGTGTCTGGAAACATAATTGACGTTTGCATTGTGGACAGTCAATGAAGACAGTGATAATCTCGGATTTCTTGATAAGAGGCAATCCGATAAATAGACTCTGTATATTGTAGTTGAACATGAGGGTGCTTGGCCTTGAGTTCGGATCACCAGATCCAAGGCCATTTTCCTGTTTTCTTTTCTGTAGATCAAGACTGGAAACCCACGATAAGAAACACTTTCGATGCGCCACAATCGAGCATTTGCAAGGTTTCACCCAATCATTGGACTCTTTGCGGTTACAAAATGGTGCAAGCTCATCTTTTCCGGCCAAGCATATGTAGCACGCATGGCTGGAATCGTTATCTACTGTTGTAAGTGACTGCATTGAATAAATATTACCAAGCTTAATTTGTTTGACCTATTTTTTATATAAGGGCATTACATAACTAAATATAATATAGTCAACGTCCAAAGAGACCGAAAAAGCCAGCTTTCTTCTCCGACTTTGAATCACTGGCGGTCACTTTGGATAAATCTGAGTCGTAGTCTATATAGTTGAAGGCGACATCAAACAGAACAGGCTTCACTCCCACAGGTTTAAGCCCGGCATCCAGATCGGCTATTTTAGCCAGTAGCTCGTCGGTAGCCAGACCTGGAAACGCATCGACATTCTCAATCAGGTAGTCCCCAAGAAGAGGCTTGTGATTTTCCTTGGTGAAGTACACGGTAAAAACATGAACTTTTGTGAACAGAGAATTAGACTCAGACTTGAATTTTTCAATCTCCTGGGTGTTTGGAATGCCTCCTTCAAAAACTTCCTCCAAAGGCTTTATTTCTTCGACAATCTCCACGGTTTTTTTCAGCAAGGCGAGTGACTCTATATACTTGCTGGATACCAAGTAAGACTTAGCTAACTTGTAGGTTTTCAGCGCAGAGAAGTATGCTTGCAACGATAGAAGAGAAGAGTAAAGGCTCTCATTATGGGCCACACCTGAAAGCTCAGTGAGCTCTTTGAATGAGGATATGACATCGTCGTATAGTTTGATGCATTCCTTAGCGTTCTCCAAAAATGCTGCTTTTGAAACCGTTTTTTTCTTGTTCAGTTTCGCATTCACTCTATTCAGGAGCGAAATATTTCTTCTGATTCTAAGAAGAAGCTGGTGGTAATCGATATACGTCATGATCACGTATTTGTCCTGATTCTCATCGTCATCCGAATCTATGCCGCCCTTCAATGAGCTTTTGTGAGAGTTCGATGCATCGGTCCACAGCAAGAATGATTTGTCAAATGATGTAGGATCGGCCTCCACTACATTCTTTTCTTCGTTCTGCGCTTTGGTGATGGCTCGGGCAAGATCCAGATCTTTCACCGGGGCACTGAACCCAAACCACGAAACTGAATCGACCAGTGTGGTTTTGGAGATAGGCTTGAGAATATCTTCATCTTTGCTCTTCACAATATTGATAGCCTTGCTTAGATAAGGAATGGTGTCTTTGGTGGTGGCATATGTCTTTGAAAATTGGAGAAGATCTGGATTTCTGTCGTTCTCTAGCTTCAACGCACAAAGTTTCAACTCCGAGTCGACGTACCCCTCAATGATCTGGGTGTATAGGTCAGAGGTTCCCGTCTGGGACAAGTATTGCAATGAGCAACGAGCGACCGAGAAAGCAAAGGCGGCCTCTACCCATTTGATGCGCGAAAATGCCAAGCGACCTTCAACATAGCTGGCTAAGATCAGAACTGCTAGCAATTTGAGATCGTCTTGCTCGTTCGTCAGTAGAGCAAGTAACTGCTTAGCATGTTGACGAGCTTTCTTTAGTTTGGATATGGTCAATGTCTTTGTAGTTCTTGAATACTCAATCTGGCCGCACGTGATCTCCTCCACAAACACAAGATCTCTTTCAATCAGGTATAAAAGGACATCACCAAACCTGGTGTCCATTTCATAATTCTCCGGACTAATCGAGGACGTCTTTTCTTTAGTTTTATAGTTTCTGGTGTCCTTGGTTTGAATTTTGAGTGTACGGCGGAGCTTTAGCAGTCGGTGCGAAAGTCGGTGCCTTATTTTTGCATAGTCCTCAGCTGAGCTTGGAAAGGACTCCAAGCGCTCACCAAATGTTGAAATCAGTGGAGACTCCATGATGTATAAAATCAACGAACAATATTTTCGTCCACCTATATTTTGGAGGTTGCACTACTAAGTTCCGGCATGTCAGACAAGTGGAAAAGCCTCTTGGGGAGCGAATTTGAGCCGGTTTTGCTTCAGAGGGTTGGCTTGGACATCAAAAACTCAACAAAGGTAATACTCAAAGACTGTGAAATCTATAACTTCTACGATGACGGGGTCAGTTTTGTTATAATTAGCAATAAAATAGACAGTATTGATTTCTTCTTCAGAAACAAGTCTTTCAGGCCATGTCAATTGGCTCTGCCCTATTATCTTGATTCAGAGTTTAGCGGGAGGCGTTTGTTGGAGGTTTTGGGGGAGCCATTGGAAAAAGGTGGAGGCACCTCAGCAAACATTAATATCTGGCTCAGATGGAAAAATCTACAGGTCGAGCTGGACGATAAGAGCTGGGAAACGGCTAAAGACGCATTAGTGAAGTCAATTACCATATTCAATTAAACACTAGTCATGTGAGATTACAATGTCGGCATCATCAGGTGCTTCATGCACAATCTCTTGGGTCTTGCCTCCCTCAAACTTCTCGCGCACTGATAGATAATGCTGGAGCTCTTCTGCCGACACCGACGGAACCAGTTCATCTCTAGCTTTGGCAAAATCTTCTGCTTTTACCAGTACCTCTGTATCCTCGGACTTTGCTATGTTGTCAAACCAGAACCGCGTGCTGATCTTATCTCCTACCCCACGACCACGATTGTACTCATTAATTTTCTTCTCCACTGTACCGGCAGTTCTAGTCATGGCGTTCAGCATCGCGTCGGAGCATAAAGCATAGAAGTCTGCCCCTGTATACGTGAATGGACAGGTTTCCGCGATTTTGTTGAGGTCGACCTCGTGGTCAAGTTGGAACTTTCGTGTCAGTGCTTGAATAATTTTAGCCTGCTTTTCATGAGTGTCGGCAATACCAAGATAAAGCATTTTATCAAACCTTCCGGGGCGCAAAAGGGCCTCGTCCAGCAAATCGGGCCGGTTCGTCGCACCAACGACAAAGACGCCATCTCCTCCTTCGGCTCCACTCATGCCATCTAATTCTGCTAAAAGCTGGGAAACAATACGGTCCATCACTCCTCCAGAATCCCCCTGATTTCCTCTCTTGGGAGCAACCGAGTCCAGCTCATCGAAGAAGATCACACAAGGTTTTGCATCGCGTGCTTTTTGAAACACTCGCCGCACGTTTGCTTCTGACTCTCCAATGTACATATTTAATAGCTCTGGGCCTTTCACTGAGAAAAAGTTGAGAGCAAAATTAGTAGCAATAGCCTTCGCCAACAGAGTTTTCCCTGTTCCTGGAGGCCCGTAGAACAAGATACCGCTTCTTTTCTTCATTCCCCTGCTGAATAATTCTGGATGTTTGAGCGGCATCTCAATCGTGTCCAAAATTTCTTCCTTGATAACATCGAGTCCTCCAACGTCTTCCCATTTGACGTCTGGGATTCTAGGAGCACCGATCATGTCGCTGAATTTGTTTCTGGCATCATTGATGGATGCTTCAAAATCCTCAGGTGTAAGTTTGATACGACCACCGTTGAAGGATAAAATCTGGTCCCAATTTACCCCTTGTTCCTCAGAGAGCCTTTCGAGCCGCTCGATTGCTATAGCGATCGTGTTATCCACGATAGACACCAGGTCGTTCGCAGTCAATCCAGCGCTTTGCAGTGCCAATGTATCAAGAGAAACGTCTGATCTTAAAGCCACAGGTGTTCTGTCTTTAGCTTTCAAATTATCTAGCAGGTCTGTCAAAATCAGTTTTCGTTCCGAATCAGTAGGGACATTAACATTAATTTCAAACTTGAACTTTGACCTGATCAACTCCGAGACGGCATCAGTATCATTTGTAGACCCAATGAATATGACGCCTTTCGATGTGTATTCATCGATCAATTCAGCAAGCTTCAACGACATTGAGTCCTTCTGTTGCTGATTAGGGTCTGGTTTCTTCGCAAGTGCTTCGATGTGCCGCACGAAAAGTATAACCGAGCAACAAGTCTCCACAACCCTGTCAGACTTACCTTTAATAGTCCCAATGGTCTTGCCAACAGACGATTGGTTGAGAAAATCGTACGCATCCAGCTCAAGCAGATTGGCTCCAATTTCTGTAGCAATGCGTCTCACAACTGTGGCTTTTCCCACACATCTCGTCATGCTGGAGAGGAGAATTGTAGTTTGCAGCCTTGACCTCTCGCAGCTATTGTCCCTGATACGGAAGGCAACATTGACAATCTTCCGCAACTGGTTAGCATAGGGGAACGTGATCACGTTTGAAATCTTCAAGCAAGGATAAGCGAATTGTCGAGGCAGCTCCAGATAATCTCTCAGCTGACTGTAGGATATACCGTCGCTCAAAGGTACTTTGTCAGGGCAAATTCCGGACTGGATCATTCTCGTTTTCAAAGGATCGATAATGTACTGTGTTCCCGCTACCAAGCTCTTGCCATCATTCGTCTCGGCAGTCCCTTCAGTGATTTTGAACCAGGCAAGCTCGTTAGGTATTCCTTGTGGTATGATAGTAGGCTGCGTCTCGTCACCAGATGCATTGTACGTGCTGAAAAGGGACTTTGCCAGCACGGTGTCTATGGGCACCGGGATGTACTGGTCTTTCATAATCACACGATGTTTCGATTCAAAGTATGACTTGAGGTTCGACAAAAATAAATGCTGCATTGTTCTGTCAAGCGTTATTGGAGATGCTACTCTTGCAATTACCACCTCTTTGGCCAGAGGCACATGATTTTCCAGTTTTTCCCAGACAAGATGGCCATTTTGCCGTTGACTGCAGAGTCTCTTAACAAAAACTCTCCGAGGGTTTCCGATAGCGTTGAGAAAAACAGGCGAAAGATATATATTTTCCGGATCAAAGTCATTTGGATCTGCCAGTGAAAATACCCTTATGGTTATCATTTCCCTTGCACTCTTATCACATGCGCACACGATGCCGGCCCCACAATCACAGATTTGCAGCTGCACAAGATCACCACTGAAACAACCAATTCTCTGCAACACTGAAGAGCATACGCAGGCAAAAAGCTGATCGTCCTCGTGATCGAATTCGTGCGAGGATCCTAGGATGTGCGTGCATTCCATCAACGTGCTGTATTTCAGGAAGCTTACTTGAAGCTCAAAGGGCTGAAGCGTCAAGTTACTGAATATGGAAGTGTCGTCGAATGCTAGATCCCCCAAATTAAGGTTGGAAGCAGAGAAATCCGTAGGCGTAGATATGGAGATCTGTGAGGCTCCAGGGCGAGACCTGTGAATTTTTGTGTTTATCCCGCTCTTTAGACCTTCCTGCTGTTTCAAGATCACCAAGTTGGTATCTAGAGATAAGAACCCTTGGTCAACAGGTTCACAATGAATAATCTCGCCATGCAGAGTTCTCAAAAAATCGTTTTTGCGAATCAGGATGTGGCCCGCGCTGGATCCTTTTTCTCTGCCTATGAGCTCAAATAGACGCTCCTTGGAGACGCCTTCAAGTAGCTTGTAGACGTCTCGAGGGAACCCCATAATGACAGACGTCAGCGACAGCACTTTTGTCACAGGAACTATAATGCAGTTCTCCAAAGTGAAATCAGATCCATAGTTGCTTGAGATTCGGGGGCTGTGCAATTCAATGCTGTCCTGTGGAAGTTCGCTATCCAATTCGGCTTTTAACAGCTGGGATTCGACGAATATCGGGCTTCCTAATAACTGTAGCGAAACGAATCTTGTTTTATTATCTAATGAATCGCCATAGATAAGCTTATAAACCTGACTGTTCAGGCTTACATACTCCGATTCACCATCAGAATCCAAAGCCAGCTGAACTTTAGCCCTCACGGGTCTTGCATATGGCTCAATAGGTGATTCCACAAGCCCAGGCATTTTGTTAGGATTATTTCTCCACTGACATAGATTTAACGAAATAGCCTCCGATACCTGAGAAGACTACACAGCCTGAAAAATTTTACAGATATTAAGTACTGGTTATCAGTTAGTTATGCAGTATGCGCTCTTACTCATCGTGATTGTTGACGACAGCTGCCGCAGCTACTGCCACGGCCGCAAATTCATCAGGACATAGCGCATCCTTGACGTCTCGACCGGAATCGGAATCAGAGGACTCATTGTAATTTGGAGAGCTCATACTCTCCGACTTGTTGCTCTGAAGTATCTCCTGTCTCTTATCGTTGGTCAGCTTATGAGCCCATTTCTCTCTGATTGCAAAATCAAATAGACTTAGACTGCCTAGTGCGTCCTGAGCACACAGACGCTGCTCTCGCATCCACATCTCCTTTTTCGCTTCACTTGACAAAGTCATCCAGTTCTCGAACGCGGTGTTCAGCTTGTCCTTGTAATCGTCAATTCCCAGATTGGCCGATAAATATGGTAAGCGTCTGCGTAATTCGGGATCTGAATCGAGATGCATGATCAACGTCTCATGCGTTTGAAACGTTGGAGGATCATGCGGCCAATCTTTCGGAGAAAGGAAAAATAACACCATACGCGGAAACGAAGGATGTGCAGCCAAAGAAGGGGTGCTGATACTCTTATAGAACTGTAATTGCGCGTTCTCCCTCACTCTGTAGATTTTGCTTTGTGTTCGTCGTCGTTCTCTATTTTTCAACTTCACATAGTCTCTCCTATTGTAAAGGCGCGCCCTTTCTGCCCTGCGTGCGCGAACTTCCTCTGGATTACCGCGTCTAGCCACATTGGAACGAATTCGTTCAATCTGGTCCGCTGGATGCATCGGAGACCCTTTGCGATTGTCGAGGTGTCTTCCGAGGGACCCCGGATGAGCAAATGTCTTGCCACAAAACCGACACATCTTTTTGGGGTCCACGTTTTCGGGAACCTCCAACAGACGGAACGAGTTGCTTTCGTCGATGTGAGATGGTTTATCTGATTGTTTCTCATCCTTAGCTCGCCGAGTCTCTTGGTACGCTACCACTGCAGTTGCAGCTGCATTTATGTTTTCCTGATCTTGTTGTTTTGAATCTTCGTTGGTGATAGAAGGATCTATGTGGAAGTCCTCGTTGTTGAGAGCTGATAAATCAACCCCGAAATTGTGTATTCGGACATCATTCTGCACATCGTCGACGTAGTTCATATCATTAAGGTATTCGTTGACCTGATTGTCAAGTGCCTGGTGGTCATTTTTATGACCGTTTGCAGTTCGGCGTCCCTTAGAAACATCGCTCGAAGAGGACATTGATATACTATCAATATTTATCGAATATTATTCTCAAAAATATTTACGACATTCAACTTTGGCTCAGGAAAGGGTGTCTAAGGTTGATTTCTTTTCACTCCCTGAATCGAAAGTTGCAGAAAACAATGCCTGTTATTGATGTCTCGCCAATGAGGTCACCGAAATCAAGCTGCTACCCAGAACCGAGCTGAAGATCTCTCCGTTGCTTTCTGCACCGCCTTTGGGGCTAACAATGTACTACAAAAAGTAGATGCATTATATGTTCAGCCCATAAAAATATGTACATTCTTGTTCCTGAATTTAATTAGATCTGAATCTTATGGACGCCATCGCATCGCTCGACTCGTTGATAAAGGCAATTTACTTGATGTATAAGAGCGATCCTCAATTCCTGAGTCAGAGCTTTGAAGCATCCAAGGACTCGAACTATAGCAAGAGCATCTTTACACTTTTCGACGTTTTCTTTCGTTATCTATCGAAAGTGGAGCGATTGAAATGGACAGACAAACTACAAAATGCTAGTCTTTTAACACTGGTGTACCGAACCATCTCTAACGTTCTGAACGAATATACAGGAGTATAAACTGTGTGTTGATAGATGTGAGATTTTGTTGAGGTTTCGGGTGGGATCTTCTGGTGGTGCCCTATGGTGTGACCAGATCGGTAGCGCAGCAAAGCACTCAGAAGAGACGCAACGATCTTTTAAAAGAAGAATCAGATCTGCAGATGGAAAGCCTTACTCTTACTGCAAGAGAAATCTTTTTGAGACTGATGTTTGCGAAAGACGGCTCTATATCCATTGAGTATATTTTCGAAGCATTAAAGATCTCGATCGACTGACAAATGATATAAAATTCGGAGTGAAAAAGGGATCAAAAAGATTCAGCAGATTAAATAGTCCGATCTAAATATTCAACAATAATATAGATTATGAGTGCCAAAGAAGTTTTGGACAAGTTTCATGAGCAAACGAAAAGTAAGTGAGCCAGTTCTTTGTGCTAACCAGTAGTAATAGAAAAGCAGATAGATAATGCAGATGAGAATACCGATTGGAAATTGATTAGAGATGATATTAACAAGTTCAAACATTGGGTCGCCAAGATCCATGAGACTGGAGGAATACCTCAGTATGATTTGAAGAATATCACGAGCACAATCGACTCCTGGGTCATTTCTCTCGACGACAAGAAACGTTCCTTTAATAAGAAGAAGTTTAGGTTCAGCTATAAGCCAAGTCGCGATAATAGATTGTCCTATGTCGAGTCTTCACAGTCTTCGACTTTTGGCACGCCAACTATTTATGGGAAAGACGGAATTAAGTGTGTTATCGAAAAGACACATCAGGGAGTGTTTCTTTCTGAGATCAAGAATTCGATAATAGTAATTCCCGCAGATATGGTTGCCGGAGCTGTTACTATGAATAACTGCAGGGGCTCATTATTTGTGATACATTCCGAGTCGTTCCTATACGCAGAAGAGCTGAGAAACTGTATCATAATTGGAAGAGCTCACCAGATGAGACTGCACAAATCTAAAGGTGTTTACCTCGACATTCAGATCGAGAGCACAGTCAATAAAATCATTATTGAAGAATCAACGTCCATCAAATTCGTTGACGGTCGCAATGTCGAAATAGATGACTTTAGTGAGCCTTCGAAAAAGCCTGTCAATTACACTATGGTGGACAAGCTGGTGAACGAGGCGGCAGTTGCTGAAACTCAGCTCGAATCGCTTTCGAGCCTACTCAAATCCATAATATAAGGCTGTGTTCGATCCCATATATTTTTTTCTATCACTTCCAGTCATGACGCCTTCACCGGCAAAAGCTGAGATGAGCGCCAAGGAGAAACTGGAACAGCTGAAGAAGCAGCGAGCGGAAAATTTAACTAGACTTGCTGCTCCTCAGAGAAGCTATTTGAGCCCTAATGGTCCCGTGACGCCTAATGTGACACCAACGGTTTCGCCAATGGATAGTATAATGACTACTAACGCGCGCCGAAAAATTAGACTGAAGCCGGGGCATTCGCCATTAGATTGGGAGACTAAGAAAAAGACATTCAACATGAAAGGATCCATCGATCCTAGGGATTTTCCATTGCGAGTGACAAGGGAGGAGCTGAACAAACACAATAAAGAGCATGATTTCTGGATTTGCCTAAATCATAAGATATACAATTTGTCGCCTTATCTTGATTTCCATCCTGGAGGTGTTGAGGTCTTGATGAAGTGTGCAGGAAAAGACGGGACGTTTTTGTTCAACAAATACCACAGATGGGTAAACTATGAAAGGATCCTAGACGCTTGTTTTATAGGTTTTCTGGTCTGAAACAGCATTAATCGCATTATTGTACATTAAATATACTATTACTCCAACTCAGAACACACTTCTGCCACTAAACTGACGAGTCTCCTATCATATCTTTCGCCCTGGTTCACTAGCTCAGCATAATGTCGTTTGAATGCAAGATAGTATGCATCTTTCTCCTTCATGGGCAAAGCGTCCCAGCGTCGTCCTTCTCTTCCCGAAAGGTGCTCGTAGAGTCTTTGTGGGGTGATAATCTGGTATCTAAATTCAGACGTGTTCGATAATTCCCTATATTGACTATCAAGGAAAAGTCCAAATCGTTCTTTGACGCTCAGGTTTCTTGACTCATGTAGTTGCGGATCCGAGGGTTTCCTTTTCAAATTGAGCTGCTGAAGTGTGTGGCGCAACATCTCAGCTTTTTGGATGTCTGGCTCAGAAAGTTTCACTCTTTGTAACCGCACGGTTTCTGATAATATTGTGGTTTCGTCCACTGAAATATCGTTTCTGTTTTCTTGTTTTTCAAGGAGAACGTTCTCTCCAGATGATCTGCCAGCCATCTTTTCAAATCTATCTATTTTCTCGGGAAAAGCTAAATCTTCAACACGCTCCGCACTCAATGGTCTATGAGACTTCAATGGGGTAGATGTTATATCAAACCGATATGAGATGTCTTGTTGCGGTACGCATTCCTCGTAGTCAGTGATGGACCCTTCTGTCGTATCGTCAGTATCGATATGATGAGACTTTTCAGTATTCCTTGATCTGCCAGACTCTAGCAGGTATGGAACGCTCTCTGTAGACTGTAAACTAGCATCATCAGTTGATTGATCGGTAGAGATCTCCTGGACTTCAAGCTCTTGCTGTAAGTTTTGCTGGACTGGAAGAGACGTGTTGTGGGGGCATTCCATCAGAGGTAAATGGGGGACCTGCGTCAATGACTTGTCTGTTGTAGTGTCCAGTTCGCTTTCTGTAGCAAACTCGATTTCTTCCTTCGTTGGAGAACTTTCAATAAATTTGCGGAGTTCTGAGTTGTTACCAAAGCAGTAGTTATCGTTAGCTTTCGTCCAGTCTCTTTTATCTATCACCATAGAGTATTCTTTCAAAGATGTCGTCCAGAACTCCACCAGGCTCGATCGGCTAGCAGGAGAGTTCGTGAAGATGAGGTTTCGAGTCTCTAAACAGTGTCTAGCAAAGTTCGTTAGCGGCGTGGAGACTTCAAAAAAGATCCCGGGATTATTATTGAGACACATGAGTCGGTCTTTGAAAACAACAAAATGTTGTTGTATTTTATCCTTCAGTGGCTTTATGTCGGATTTCTCCAGTTCCTGAGTGAGCTTTTCAATCAAGTGACCTTTTTCACATGAGATGATGAACACGGACGCCAAAAAATCCATGTTCCTTGACATCTGAATTTTGGAGTAGTCTTTGCGCATCGATTTGAGGGACAGCGTCTTTTTGAGTCTGCTGAACTTAAAGAGTTTGTTCTCCGCTTTGTGTGCTTCTTTGATTGTGCAGCGCAAGTAATCAATGTAATCTGTAGCCGGCTCCATGAGGTATTGGTTTGGAATTTTGAAATGTCTAACGATGTCGTTAAAAGTGGACAGTGCAAGTTCATAATCTGCTTCGGTATACCCAGTGCTGAAATTCATGGGTCCATTCACTTTGACACGTTCGGCACTGAGTAATTCAGCATCCTCAAAGCTAGCATATTCCGGAGTTTTTGGAGGTTTGGGTAATCGCATTTCAGGCATAAAAGGCAATTTGAGGGACACAATGGTCAGCTGTCCAGGCCGGGCCGGGCGTCGTCTCATCTTGTGTATTCCCAGTTTTCCCATAACATAATCTCCTGGCAGCATCAATGACGAGAGATGTTGGATTTTGTCGAAAGTGCGAATAGATTCAAAATACGCTTGGTCCCTAAAAACATGGAACGAGCCCAAGCACTTAAAAAAGCGCAGCGTGACACGAAGTACGAGACATAGTGGATTCAGACTCGTATCATGTGGCAGCATTATGAAACATACAGCGGTTTGCTGCGTCACTATGGTTTGTTTGGGGCTGGGATGACAGGTACAAAATATTAATGTTTATTCTTTTCCCTATAAGGTCTGTAATAAATAAATTCTCATCCGTGCACACGAAGTGATTTTCAGAGGAGATCCAAATACAACGGAGCTGCCTCTTAGCTACAATCAATCTATCAGATCACAATCTTGACGTTGTATATCGAAGCGGTACTGTATTTTATATCGTATACTATAAGTTAGATTTGCAGCAAGAAGATTCGGCACCAGACTCTGGGAAGTACTGGGACTTGTTGAAGCTCTGGGTGGATTGAGGCACCGAAAGAGCAGGGTTCTTGTCGAAAAATCCAAATGGAACAAGGCTTATTTCATGGGCCTCTACAGGCATCACCGGGAAGTCTTCAACTCTTGGGATGTGAGTAAAACCGAGAGTTGCCCAAACCACTGGGTCGTCGTTTCTGACGTTTTCGTCACGTCTTGCCCAAACACCCAATCCGGTGTCTGTTTGGGATTGATTGGTGAACTCACCAGCAGCGTAGAGCTCGTTATCTCTATACTTGGTAACCCAGACTTGCTGAGTGGCAAATTGGGCTCTCCTGTTATTGTACGAGTCTTCGTCGGCGAGCAACATTTGCCTGGCTGGCATCACAACCTTGTATGCCACAGGCTTTTTGGATATTGGATTGATCTTGTTCTCGTTAATGATCTTGTAGGATCTGTTGGTGAACGGAGACTGTTCGACATAGCCTGGCTTTTCGACGACGGTTCTTTCGGTCACAAATCCAACGTTATATGGGTTCAACTTGGTATTTTTCTCCATACGAATCACATCGTCGAAAACGACAGTATTTTGGTAGCCATCCACAGCAGGATCAATTCTGAATGAGAGCATGTGCTGGTGGTAGGCGGCCATCACTCTTGGGCCAACGTTAGTACCCCAAGGAACAGTGACGTCCTTGTCCAGAGGCATAGTGGACAAAATACCGGTGGCTCTGACGTGGATTCTGATTTCACCAGCCTGATCGAAGATGATGTTTAGCATGTACTCGTAGTTGGCAACGGTAGCAATGGTCTGAACAACAAATTCTCTCCTTCTGGCAATCACAGGAACATTGGTTCTATAGTTGGTGTGTTTGTACAGTAGTCCACCGTCCTGCTCGTGCAAACAAACAGTGTTCGGAATCAAAACAGAGTCACCATTTGTGTTGACTCTTCTGCAATCCATGTATTTGATAACTCCCAGGCAGTCGCATCCCAGAGCCAGACTGTTACCAGAAGCACCGAAGCCGCAGTCTCCCAAGTCGAAGGCCTGTTTTCTGTGGAACGGAGCTCTTGGATCACCGTATGGCACCGTCATCTCAGACAATGACAATCTATAAACGACAGACCTGCCCTTGAAGTGGATGTCGTAAATAGCAAATCCTTCTCTTACAGTAGGAATCACAAAAAACTCCCATCCTTGCCACGAGATCTTGTGACCGTCAACGCTGAAGCTCGGTCCCTCAGGCTGCTGGACAATCAGTGGCTTGAGTGGTAGGATAGCCTCGCCATTGAGATCTGGATGGTACTCCACGAAGGGGAACTCGTCCCAAGCCTGCGTCTCGGTAACGGTTTCATCGACTCCTCCTGGCAAGTAGTCCATTCTCACAAATTTTTTGGTGCGACACTCGAAAACGGGAGAAAACTTGAGCGGCAGCGAGTAGTGATTGGATTCCGGATGAGCAGCATTGGCCAGATACATGTAGCACTGGATCAACATTCTGTCCTCCTTGCTGTCGGTTCCGTTCATCCAAGGGTCGCAGACGACTCTGACGTGGGAAGGAAGTTTGAGCTTTTCAATCTCCGCCTTGACGAGAGGGTGCGTAGTTGCGAGGTGCTCAATTTCCTGGACATCTTCGGCAATCAGTGGACCAATGACACCCTTTGGCTGTTTCTGGTTGGTGATGATGTGTCCGTATGTCACATTCACGAGAGCCTTGTAAAAGTCAAGACCAATATAGTAGTAGACGTAAGTCATTCTCGAGATGTGAGGAAGAGGCTTGCCAGTTCTCTCAGCCTCAAGATATCTGATCATATCCTTTTTCGGCGGGTCCAGTCTATCGATCTGGATGAAGTGTGGCTTTTCTGGACCCTTAGTGGCATCCTTAATAAGCTGGGAGGTGAGCTGGAGTTCTGCGTCGGAAATGGGGTCGAAAGGGTGAACCATTTTGCGAGTAAATGTATTCTGGGTCCACCGCTGCTTTATATATGCACCCCGGAAAAACAATTTTTCAAGGTCTTGTTAAGACCTTCCTGATAAGGAAGGATGAAGCGTTTGGATAGAGTTGTCAAATTTGAGCTTGTGAGCGCTTGCGCTCAGTGTTATCGGCTAGAAAGAAATCCATATACGTAGGTGACTAATTGTAGTTATAAACTAGATTTGCAGCAACTTCCTTCTGACGAGGCTTCCGGGTAGTACTCAGATTTGTTGAAGCTCTGAGTGGACTGTGGGACGTCCAAAGCTGGGTTCTTATCGAAGAAATCATTTGGCACAATAGCAATCTCATGAGTCTCCACAGGCATGACGGGGAAATCTTCAACTCTAGGAATATGAGTGAACCCGAGAGTGGCCCAAACCACTGGGTCGTCGTTTCTGACGTTCTCGTCCCTGTAGGCCCACTTCTTAAGACCGGTGTCATTTTGTGACTGGTTAGTGAACTCGCCGGCAGCAAACAGCTCGTTGTCCCTATACTTTGTAACCCAGACTTGCTGGGTAGCAAAATGTGCTCTCTTGTTATTGTAAGAGTTTTCGTCAGCGAGAAGCATTTGTCTGGCAGGCATCACAACCTTGTACGCCACAGGCCTCTTGGAGATTGGATTAATCTTATTCTCGTTGATGATCTTGTAGGATCTGTTGGTGAACGGCGACTGTTCGACATAACCTGGTTTCTCAACGAATGACCTTTTCGTCACAAAGCCAACACCGTAAGGGTTTATGTTGGTTCCGGCTGGCATTTTTTCAACATCGTCGAATACGACAGTATTTTGGTAACCATCCACAGCAGGATCGATTCTGAATGACAGCAGGTGCTGGTGGTAAGCAGCCATCACCATAGGTCCAACGTTGGTACCCCAAGGCACGGTGAGTCCTTCTTCAATTGGCATGGTGGACAAAATACCTGTAGCTCTGACGTGGATTCTGATCTCTCCGGCTTGATCGAAAATAATGTTGAGAACGTATTCGTAATTGGCAACCGTTGCGATGGTCTGAGCAACAAACTCTCTTCTTCTGGCCGTGACAGCACCGCCAGTTCTATAGTTCATGTGTTTGTAGAGCAAACCGCCATCCTGTTCATGCAAGCAAACGGTGCTTGGGACTAGTTTCGGCTGTCCTTTCGAGTCCGTGACGGAACAGTCCAGATATTTGATAACGCCCAGACAGTCGCAGCCGAGCTTAAGAGTGTTGCCAGTGGTTCCAAAGCCGGAATCTCCCAAATCAAACGCCTGCTTTCTGTGGTACGGTGGTCTTGGATCTCCATATGGCACTGTCATCTCCGAAAGGGACAATCTGTAGATAACCGATCTTCCCTTGAAGTGGACGTCGTAAATCGCAAATCCCTCTCTGGCAGTTGGCACCACGTAGAACTCCCATCCTTGCCACCAAATTTTTGAGCCTTCTATTTTGAACGATGGGCCCTCGGGCTGCTGAACAACCAATGGCTTCAGCGGTCTTGGGGTCTCGCCATTGAGATCTGGATGGTATTCAACGAACGGGAATTTGGTCCAAGGCTGAGTCTCGGTGACAAACTTCTCGTCAACTCCGGAAGGCAAATAGTCCATTCTCACAAACTTCCTGGTCAAGCACTCAAAGACAGGTGAAAACTTAAGCGGCAGAGAATAATGGTTCGACTCGGGGTGCGAAGCATTCGCCAAGTACATGTAGCACTGAATCAAAAGTCTTTTTTCCTTAGGGTCGTCTGTTCCGTAGATCCATGGATCACAAACCACCTTGATGGATGGTGGCAACCTCAGCTTCTTGATTTCCGCTTGCACCAATGGGTGCACATTCAACAGATCCTCTATTGCTGCGACATCCTCCCAGACCAGCGGGCCAACGACTCCTTCTGGCTGCTTCTGAGTGGTAATTACGTGGCCGTAGGTGCAATTGACAAGAGACTTGTAAAAGTCGGTTCCCAGATAAAAGTATGCGTAGGTGATTCTGGAGATCTGAGGAAGTGGCTTCCCGGCTTTCTCAGCCTCCAAGTATCTGATCATATCCTTCTTCGGTGGGTCCAGTCTGTCGATCTGGCAAAAATGAGGCTTTTGCGTAGCACCGAGGGAGTCCTTGATCACCTTGGAGGTAAGCCGGATTTCGGCGTCGCTGATGGCATCAAAAGGATGAGTAACCATTTTAGCAGGCGATAAGGATGAAAGCAGTACGTCTGTACGCTTTATATAAAAAAGAGCGTCTGGGCCGTGATCGCAAATAGGATCCCGAAAATACCCAGTAGGGAAGATAATGCAGGTTGCACAATACTTAGTCAGTCTCGCGAAAGGGACAGAATAAAAAGGATGCACTCATCTAGGAAATTGGCGGCCCTGCGTATCCGCTGCCGCCATTGAGCAACAAGTACTTTATTAGCGGCTCATAAAAAGAAGTCTTAGCCATTTGTCCTAATCCATTGGCTCTTTAATGTCACATCCTTTCCACGCCTTGATCTTTTTGCCCTTTTGAGTATAGAACAAGTTCTACGCTACTTGCAATTACATATCTATGCGACCCTTCCTATTAATTTAATCGAAAAAATCGTCTTCTTCGCCCTCGTCCTCGTCCTCGTAATGGTTCGAGCGGCGATCAAACACAATCTTGGTCTCGTTGCCCTTCCTTTCCTCTTTGGACACTTTTTCCAGAATCTCCACAATGTCGCTCTCCGAAATCTTTGTTCTAATGGCTCCAGATTTGAATAGTCTCAGCAGATAGCTCTCCACCGATGTCACCCGCTCTGGTCTGACCATTCGGACACGGGAGAGTCGCTCTTTGGCCTCTGGCTCCAAAATCTGGGACAGTATTGACTGAGTAGGATCGTTTTGATTTCTGAATGTTAGTCCGCGTTCTCCGGCGTCCTGGCACTTACGTCTTGTTTTCTTGTGTTTGCGATCCGCCACCTTGTGCGTTTCTCTGCAACTCGGCCAATCTCGCGGCCCGGATAGCTGCTAGTTCTGAGTCGTCCATCAGATTCAAACTTGTGTGCAGAGAACTTTTTTTTGCGTCGATCGGCGCATTATCTGAATAGATAAACATCTTTCTCCTTCAACCGTCCCGCCATGTTTCCCCAGGAGGACTCGTTGAAGCCCTTCATCGGGCAATCCGAAGATCCTTTACTTCGCACAAGCATCGACCTGGAGCTTTCAAGCATGAAACCTGTTTCGAATACCAAGCATGCTCAGAAAGTGGCTATCCACGAGCTGCAGGACTTAGAGGACGTCGACCTCGACGACAGCTCACTGCGCAGAATACCCGGCTCTATCCCACCCGTCGCATACCTTATCTGTTTAGTTGAACTGGCCGAAAGAGCATCTTACTATGGGCTTACCGGCTGTCTCAATAATTTTATCCAAAGGCCATTGCCGGCAGGCTCAACCACGGGCTCTGTGCTCGATCCAACCTCTGACGAGAGCGCAGGCGCTCTCGGCCTTGGACTTGGTGTCGCTTCATTTCTGACGCAGTTGCTCAGTTTCTTGGCCTATGTCACTCCGTTGTATGGTGGATATATCGCAGATACAAAATACGGCAAGTTCAGGAGCGTCTGGGTAGGCGTCACCATTGGCTTTTTTGCTCACATGGTGCTTGTCGTAGCTTCTTTGCCATTTGTGATCAAAACTCTTTGGCTCTCTCTACTTTTGACGGTTGTTAGCATTATAGGTATTGGTTTTAGTGCTGGCTACATTAAACCAAATCTATTCCCCCTGCTGGTGGACCAATACGCTGTTGACGAAAACTACATCAAAGTCCTCTCTACCGGGGAACGTGTGATTGTGGACCGAGATGCCACGCTCGAGCGGATGAGTCTGATCTATTATTTCTTTATCAACTTCGGCTGCTTCGTGGCCATCTTTTCTTCCATCATTGAGAGAGCTTTTGGTTTCTGGATGACGTATGGGTTCACTGCGCTTGTGTACTCGGTTCTTCCAATCATGCTTATTTACCTTAAACCTCGCTTGCATCTGAGCGAGCCAACAGGTGTCTCAATCTTTGAAGAGGTCATTGTTTTACTCAAAGAGCTATTCCAGCGTGGCTGGCTCACTAGAATGAGTCAGGGCAGATTCTGGAGCATCGAGATCTCAGCAGATACGCAAAAACTGGCTCCCTCAGTGACAGTCGAGGATCTGAGCACCACGATTCAATCGTGTGTGATTTTTCTATATTTTATCATCTTCAACTTGAATGACGGGTCTATCGCCTCGATCCAGATCAATCAAGCCGGCTCAATGAGAACCAGTGGCATTCCGAATGATATGTTCCAGTCCTTCAATCCTCTAGCAATCCTGATAATCATCCCGATCCAGGACTATGTGCTCTATCCACTTCTGCGCAAACGGCGACTGACATTTCATCCAATTCATAAAATAACCGTTGGATTTTGTATATCGGCTACGGGTACACTAGTTGGTGCTTATCTTCAATATTTAATTTACAGCCGTAGCAAATGTGGATGGGAAGGAGCTTCAGAGTGTGAAACAGTGGCCCCGATATCAGCCTGGTGGTGCTCCCTGATGTTTGGGCTACAGGCTACCGGCGAGTGCTTTGCGACCGTTACTGCCTATGAGCTAGCGTATACGATGTCATCACCGGCGATGAAGAGCTTTGTGGTGGCCCTCTTCCTGTGTTCGAATGCAATCTCGAGTGTCATCGGCGAGATGATCAGCTTCTGGGCCCACGATCCTAATTTGTATGCCATCTTCATGAGTTGTGCGCTGCTTGGTTACGGCTTCGCTGTCGTATTCCTTCTGCAATTCAGAAACCTACATAAGCAATTGAATAGTTGATTGACCTGACCTCCCTGATTCTATATTCATATATTTACATGTTCACACCTTTGTAAGGCCCTGTTGCTTGACCTCATTTATTTTGTCGTAATCGATTTCATTCAAAATGGCTTTGGCGCCTCCGTTAATCAAGAGTAATGCCAACTCGCGACCAAATGCAACAGACTCCTCATAGTTCTCCACCTTCCTGATTAAAGTCTTCTCGACAGACTGTGTTCCTCCGACATTGAGCACGACAGATTTCATGTACAATTCGTGAGTGTCCTTGTTGTAATCTGACCAAACTCCAACAGGAACAGAGCATCCTCCTTCCAGAGTGCGCAAAAGTTCTCTTTCAGCACGGCATCTAATCGAAGTTGATTTACAGTCCAACCGCTCACAGATCTTTTTCATCTTTGGATCATTCTTACGGATCTCAACTCCAAGAGCTCCCTGTCCAACTGCGTAGAGCATCTCATCAGGGCCCAAATATTGTGTGATTCTATGGCCCAAGTTTATTCTTATCAAGCCAGCGGCCGCCAAAATGACACATGCATAATCGGAATCTGGAGCGTCAAGCTTGCTAATTCTGGTATTAAGGTTTCCTCTGATGCTCTTGAACGTCAAGTTTGGATGGTTCTTCAGCAATTGTGCGGATCTTCTTACGGACGAAGTTCCCACTACAGAACCGTCTGGCAGTTCAGAGAGGGACTTGTATGGGGAATCTTTTCTCATGACTAGCGCGTCTCGTGGGTCTATCATAGTTAGTAAAGAGCAAATAACCATCATCAGAATAAGATCTTTCCTCAACGTAATTAGGAAGTCTAACGTCTATCAAAAAATCTTAGAGTTCATCATGAAGGTTTCAGTGTAACTTACCTTCTCTTTGGAGAATGCATCCGAGTTCAAATTCGTCTGGCAGGCTAGTTGGCATGTCCTTGAGCGAGTGGACAATCATGTCTATTTGTTCGAATTCACCAAAACTCTGAAGTAGAAGGATCTCCAACTCTTTGGTCCATAGCGACTTGCCGCCAAAAGAGTACAGCGGTTTGTTTTGCACTTGGTCACCCAAAGTGCTCAATTTGACAATTGGAGTTTGCAGATTTGGATAAAGTTTTTGAATGCCTATACCAACAATTTCAGACTGGACTACAGCGAGTTGGGATTTCCTGGAGCCGATGCGGACAGTATTGTTAGGAATGTCAAGATCTTCTTCCACCTCATCAAGGATGGGTCCAGACTTTGATTGATTATTATTAAAAACTGATGCCGACGAGTCGTAAACAACCTTTTCTTTCTTTACAGTGGAAGAGGAGGAGTTCGTTGTCTGGGACATCTTTTGCTGTGATTGTGGCAATTGTGCTGGTCCTAATGAGTGGATGGTATGCAACTTGTTGAGTGGTGATTGGTGAAGCGGTGACGACAACATTGGATATGTAATGAAATTAAGCCTTAGGGCGCTCCGACTGACGTCAAAGAAATTTAACTAAAACAAAAGATAGATTGATAAGAAAATGAGAAGAAAACAGCTTGAAAATCTTCCCGATCTTAATACTTCGTTTTAGTTGATATTTATTTTAGTTTTATAGGCTGTTGAAAAAAGTCTTTTTTAACTCGGAAGGTGCAAGGTGTAGCTTACACCGGAATTCTATTCTCTATAAGGAAAAGTAATTTTCTCGCCAATGAAAAAAAAATAATTTGTAATTGGAAGACAGATTAAAACTGCTCAATATAAAATTCAAGAGCGTCTTATAGGCTATTTTTTTGATCTCCTCGAGAACAATGCCAAATAATAAAAATAGAAATTTCTATATTATCAAAAATATTGCCGCTTTTTGGACACCTCACCCCGTGTGTATCAGACCAGCATCCTTGAACCAGAATATATTTTTTTTTATTTTGCACCACGTATTGGAAGCTTGACGTATCCGATCAAGACGACTAACATCAGAAAAACCCAAAAATTGTTTGCTCATTTTTTTGAATGACACAACCCTAATGTCTAAATTGGTACCCATTCTTCTGTATTCACTAATAATGGGGGTTAGGTAGGTGATCTCTCAGTGCACATAGCCCTTTCTAACTTTAGCTCCTTCATTTCGGGCCTGATTCCATTATCAATTAATTTCTCCGCAAGCAGTCTGCACCTCGTTTCCCTGTTTAGCGTAGGCCTGTTAATCTCGACGGCATTCGTTCTAATCATTCCCGAAGGACTAGAACATTACACTGTTCATGAACCGATAGGTCTATGGCTCTTGGCTGGTTTTATCGTGTTATTCAGCATTAATTCTATTACTTCCATAGTCGGCTCCAACACGAGCGTTCCATCCCAATTCGAACAATCCTTCCAGCTATCGCACTTGAGTGATGATTTCACACGACCATTGTCGCCTCCAGAATCCGCACAGGCCCAGCCACAACTGGAACCGCCATTAGTTTTTGCAAAATCAGAGAAGAATATGCTGCTAGCACCTTTTAAGAATCCAAGAACTTTAGGACTTATCATTCATGCTCTCACAGACGGTATTGCCTTGGCATCTTCCATAATGTCCGACTCGGACGGATCTGTGGACTTTACTTCTGTGTTCGTGGTTTTTGCCATCTTTGTGCATAAGCTGCCTACTTGCTTCGCATTATCCTCTCTCCTGCTCGCAACCGGAACATCCAACAAAGAAATCCTCTACCATGTTGGAGTTTTTTCATTATCGTCACCGATCGGTGCAGTTTTGACTTACTTCATGGTGGCGTTCGTCATCAATGGTAATTTCAATGAGGCCGCTGGCGAGCTTCTAGTCTTCAGTGGTGGAGCTTTTCTGTTTGTTGGTTTCCATGCTCTTCATGAGACCCTGAATCATAAACAGAGTTCAAAAGATAGAACTTCTCAAACAAAAGGGCTGGGTTTGTGCTTATTGGGAATGATCATACCTGCATTTATTGCACTCGTCAAAGACGAGGCATAAACCTTGTCGCGCTTCTTTATATAATAGACCCATTAGTATACAGCTTGCATCTTATCAAAGATCACTTGCGCTTAAGAGCTTTGCGGTTCAGCCACTTATCCTTTTTCGATCGGATGTTACTTGTTGGAACGCTCAACAGACCCCTATTCTTACTAAGAACCTGAACTCGCACAGGACCTTTCCTGACCACTTTCTTACTCATTCCACGAGCTTCCTTGAGCTTAGCTGTCAACAACTCTTTTCGAGTCATATCGTTTTCCTCATCGTCAAAAACGATTTTTTTGGGCTTTTCGAACTCCTCTTCTGTGTCGTATTTTTGCAACAGATCTTGCGGAAGAAATTTCGGGGTTTCTTCAGCTTTTTCGGCCCGTTTTTTGCGCTGTTCAGCCTGCTCGCGGTTTCGTTGTTCAATCTGCTTTCGCTTTTCTTTTCTTTGTCGTTCTATATCTCGAAGAGCAGCACGCTCAGCTTCAATTTTCGCTATCACTTTTTCTTTTCCCGTAAGCAAAGTTTCCTCTTCAGGGGCTTCATCGCTATCTTCTTCTTTGTCGACTTTGAGATTTAAATTTTTGGATTTAGTCTCGTTGACTCCCTCAAGCACATTGTCATCTAACTTCTTACGACTCCTCAAATTCCTGCTTGACATTAATAATGTGGATATTTTTTAGCAAAATTTTTTTTGTTTGATCTCGATCTTCGTCTATCGACGCGACTAAAGATCTGACCGACAATCAAGAAGCCCCAGTGCGCAAAGAATCTTATACCAGAGTATCACAACAATATCGCCATTCCCTGTGTAATATAAAACTATGCTGAAAATGACGAGAAGTATGACTACCCCTAGAGTGAAGTAAAGTTTATGAGCACTCACAAAACTCAAAATTGGGGATGGTAGCTCAGGGGCTTCTTCACAAATTGTACGGCAGACGGCTTCTCCCAGGTTCCTTGTTAGTGTCTCGTCGATGATGCTGTTTCCATCTCCTGACTCTAATAAACTTTGAGTACTCAAGAATTCTTCATAATCTTTATATTTCCTTGGAATCTTCTTAGATTCTTCATACCTGGAGTTGTTTCTGGGCTGGTAGCCCTCTGGAAGACTCGATTGGTGGGCACTAGAAGTGGAAGGTTGCGCATCAGTAGACCCGTACGTTGAAGCCGACATATTAGATTATCCAGTTATATTAGGCGCCCAACCCCCTTTTTTCCAAAAATCCTGTTTTTTAAAATACAGGGGCTTGCATTGCAGTACATAGACTCACACCAAAATTCTAACTGCGAGTATAAGGGCCAAAATGATAAGGAGAAGAGAGCCCACTATGCGAAACCCATACCTGTTACTGGAAACAAATCTCTTCAAAGCTTTAACGTGATGATGGTATCTAAGCTCGTGGTTTCTGGTAGAGGAAGCACAGTCTGCCTCACAGACAGGCAAGATTGGTCTGGTTTCTTCGTCTGTAGCCCCCGACGTCAAATAAGACCTTAGGGAATCAACAGCAAGAATGTTTCTGAATGAAGGGCAATTCTCTGATGCCTTATGTTGAGGGGTATCGTTTGCTGATGGAACGGGACTTATAGAAACTGGTATCATATTTTCCACGTGAGATACCATACTACGCAAAGAACCTCGCTGGCTTCCATAATCATTTGTGGAGCCATAATGTATCGGCTCTTCCTTTAACTTAGGAGAAGGTGATGCAGAACCTATATCAGATAAGTTGTCAAAAGCAGTTTTGATCTTTTTGGGCGACTTCGACCTTGTTGGAGTTGACATCCGGCTTTGAAGCCTGTTGAGAGTGGAAGTAATAGAGCTTGAAGACCTAGGTCTTCCTTCCTTATGGTATCCTCTCAAGGGATTCAAAACCATACGAAAATAAATCAGGGACAAGTTTTGGCGCCCATTGGGGGATTTTAGGGATACGCGACATAGTCTAATGTCGTACACTGCCATTTAACTATTTATAGTCTCGCTAGATTTATCAAACTTGAGACCGTCGTTGCCGTTTATTGCTGACTTCGGCTTCGGAACCAGACTTTTCTACGATACGCTTTAACATTGCCTTTCCTTTCAGTTTACCACCTCCACTGATGTACTCAAGGCGGTTCAAATTGAAACGCAGTGTTTCGGCCAACAGTTCGTCCTTAAGGCCGTCAAGCCGGTACCAAACATGATACTTGGTAAGCCTCTTACCCGTTGCAAAAATATCCTTCATCTTCTGTTGTACCTCTGGAAGCGGATTTGCGCTGTTTTTGATTAGTTCTGCAAATTTGTAAGGAACTTCCACCAATCTCAAAGTGCTGGTTGAATATATTGGGACAGGCTTGACATCCTCATCTCCAAAATCCTGGGGTTCCAAATCCTCGTCATTGACCTGCTTGGAAGTTCTTGTTTGTCTTTTTGCCGGTCCCCAGTTCCGTTTAGCTTTCCTCTTCTTTTTGGTGGTCTTCTTTTTATCTCCCGCTTCTTCAGCTTCTTCATGCTCTATTTCCCCATTCTCTTCGTCTTCCTCTTTTATCTCAACACTCCGCTCTGATTGCTTTTCCAGTTCTTCCTTTTCCTTTTCAGCTCTCAGTTTTTCTTCTTCCTCCCTCTTTTTTCGCATTTCATAGGCATCGATCTCACGCTGATTGTGAACCATAACAAAAGAGATCAGCAATTCAACGAACATTTTTTTGTATTTTTTTGACAAGTCTGAAGATGATGCTGAAGGAGGAGGAGATGCGGACACTGCCGGTTTGAGCGAGCCTTCTTTTGAGTTATCATCCAGGGGACGGTCATCGTTCTCATCATCAGCTTTGTCTCTTTCGTCAATAATTTCGATAATTGAGTCCTTGGGGAAATAAAATCTTGAGGAGTTATTTTCGTGAAACTCAATAATCAGGGTAGCGTCCTTTGTGTACCTCTCTTGGAAAGCCGTTAGCCGGTCGTCTCCAGCAAGCAGCTTCTCCAATTTAGCTTTTTCTTCCTGTCTCTTCTTTTCTCTCTTCTCTCTTCTTTCTCGTTCCTTGTCCATTTCAAACTCGTCGCCAAAGTCTATAGGGCCAAGGTTCAATTTTTGCCGTTCCTGACGTTCTCTTTCTAACCGTGCCCTGCGTTCCTTGCGCTCTTGTCTTTCTCTTTCCTTCTCCAATCTCTCCTGCTCTTTTTGAAGCTGCTTTTTCTTTTTCTTTTCTTCTTTTTCTTTGGCTTTCCTCTCCTTCTCCTCTTGCTTTAAACGCTCCCTCTCCTCTCTGGTAAGCTGTCTGCGTTCACCAGTTGCAGGATCCTGGGCTCTTCGAAGAAAATCCTGTCTTTCTTGGTTCTGTTGTTGAATTCTTTGGTAGTAGCTTGCTGGATTCCCCATTTGACGAGCTCTTTGAATGTAGCGTTGAAATTCTGCTATCTGGTCGCTGGAAGCGTTACCAGATGCAACAATTTTCATTAGAGAGCTGAGATGTGGATCTGAGCGGGCAATGAGATTCAGATTTTGGATCATCATTGCATTTTCAGGGTTGGCCATTAAATCGTTAGACTTTCCGTCCTCAGCTGGTTTTGGCGGCGCTGGCTCGGGAAGGGACGCAGGAGGCGGCAGTGGCTTGACTATTTTGGGCGAAGGGGCAACAACAGACGGTTCCTTTTTGACTGGTGTTATTGAGTTGTTCTTGACAGGATCACAAGGCTTGCTCAGTCTTTCATCTCGAAGTTTTTGTCTTTCCTCTCTTCTGCGTTCCAACTCTTCGAAATACCGCTTTTCCTTCTCCTCCTCTTTCAAAATAAACAGTCGAATCTCAAAAGTATGCGGCCCGGCAACGAGCTTCATGTCGCACATCTTGCTGAGTCGGTCTTTTTTGCGGCCATCTGCAGGAGTCATGTATTGTTCTCGTCTAGTCCAGAAAGTCTTGAAAACGTTATGAAGCCAATGATGACGAGACACTATCAGCGAATTATACAGAGTAGCAGAATCTCTGATCGAAAGAGGGTTGTCTAGCTGTTCATAATTTGGCTCCTGCTGAGACAAAGGAAGATGTTGTATGACTTTGAACGGTCTGTTGAGACGTTGTTTGTATGCTGCTTCCTTGTCTATTACTTCGGACTGCTCGATAAGAATAACATTGTTAGATCGGCTCAGTTTGTGTTCGGTCGTGGCAGTGCTCACTCCAGCCTCGAACGACGAATTCGGGTTGGTACCAGACATAAATAAAATATATTTCTCGCTTGTATTTTCACCCTTACACCTGTAGTTTTAAGTTGGCACGCTTTAGATCAAAACATCTTTATGGGCACTCGTTTAGCATCGCAGAACGGCCTTGATCTGGATTCTTTCACCAAGAAGCTGAAGCTACCCTATAAACCTGATTTGGAACAGTATGACACAGGTGCTATAGTACGGGTGAAACTTCGCAACTTCATGTCGTACTCGCTCACAGAATTTCACTTTGGCCCCAAAATAAACCTGATTATAGGACCTAATGGAACCGGAAAGTCCACTTTTGTCTGTGCCATATGTATTGGACTGGCAGGAAAGCTTGATTATCTTGGTAAGAGTTCTATGAATTTGGATCAATTTATCAAATCGGGTCAAAAAGAGGCCAGTATTGAATTAGAACTCAAGGCTGCTGGGCAGTTTGAAACGGTCACAGTTGAGAGAGAGTTTGTAAGAAAAGGAAAAACAAGCTGGTATATTAACAAGAAGCCTTCGAACGAGGCTCAAATCAAGAAATTGCTGAAAGACTACAATATCCAGCTCGACAACCTGTGTCAATTTCTGCCTCAGGATAGGGTGGCAAGATTCGCGTCACTCAGACCTGAAGAACTGCTCAAGGAGATTGAACGAATATACGAAAACGGTGAGCTTCTGGAGCAGCATAACAAATTAATAGAGCTCTATTCTTTGCGTCAAGAAAGAATTAAAGCTATGGCAGACATAGAGTTCCAGCTTTCATCCTTGCGAGAAAAACGCAAATCGTTGGAGGAACGTGCACAGCAATACCATGAGTATCAGCTACTGGAGAAAGAGCTTCAAAAACATGAAACATTACGCCCTTATGTTGAACTGAGTACCAAAAAGCATGCTCGGGAGGAGTTGAAGCAGGAGGCAGAAGAAATGAGCCAGAAAATCAAGGAATTTGACCAACGGATCCTCCCAATGAAAGAGAAACTACAACAATTTCAGCGTAATTTGGGCAGTACTGAGACGCGAATAAACGAATACACTTCTGCAAAAGAGAAATACACCAAAGAGCTGCACCAGAGTTTGGAAGCTATCAAGGAAGTTAACTCCGATATACAAAAACTGAACGATCAGAGACTCTCAATGGCAATGGATCTCGAAATACACCGCAAGAAATGGCAGCAATTATCTGAAGAGCTTGATACCATGACCCAGAAATTGGACTCGCTTGAACTTCTTAGTGAAGAAGAAACACAGGAGCTGAGGGATCGTAGAGCACTGATTCAAGATAAGCTTTTGGAAGAACAGGAACCAATAGATGGTCTGGAGACAGAGAAAAGAGCACTGATGAGAATCAATGAACAACTAGAGACCCGCATCAAGACGAGCGAGAGCAGTCTGAAGTCTAAGGACCGACTACTTGTTTTAGATGCACACAGATTTGGCAACATAATAAAGGCTGTCAAGCTTTTGAGAGAGCACCGGAAGAAGATGAAGCTAGAATATTTTGAGCCCCCAATTATCTCGTTGACTGTCACCGATGCAAAGTATGGGCCCGCTTTGGAAAGGTCCATTCGATTCCAAAATCAATGTGCTTTCACTGTGCGCAACAATGAGGACTACCAGAAATTGGCACGCTTTCTCTATAACGAACATCCTGACATTGGGCGCAACATTGGTATCCGTACCTTGAGTGAAAACTTTAGTTTTCAACCGCGCATCCACAGGGAAGAAATTAAGAAGTATAACTTTGATGGTTACTTGGTAGATTTCATTGAAGGCCCCAGGGAGGTGATTCAAATGGTATGCGAGAATGATAGAATCCACAATATCCCTGTGTCTCATCGCGATATCGATGCGTCCATCAAAGATACACTCTCTTACAAGATCCGAAACGAGAACTTTCCTATGAGCGAGTTTATTGCTGGCGAGGCCTATTATTCGTTTAATAAGTCGAGCTACGGGTCTAAACAGGTCACCGCGAACATCAGAGGCTTCTCTTCAAGCCGAATCTCCATCTTCTCAGGCGGTTTACCGGATGATAAAAGATTGGAAATCCAACATCAAATCCATGAGTGCAGGCACAAAATATCAGTAAATAATCAAACACTGGGGAATCTTTTACAAAAGATCAAGGAAAAACAAGGAATGCTCAAAGATTTGGTTAAGGAACGAGACGACTTGACTGCGAAAATTAGTCGGCAGACTAGAGCAGAGAAGGATAGGGAAAAATATGTCACCCACATTGAAACATTCAAAGACAGAATGAGGGTCGAGAGAAAGGCCATCAATAAGATAAAGCACAAGGAAATTGAAGGAACTGCCTCAAAATTGGTCACCAAAATAGGCAAACTGGAGAAGAAGAAAATTGAACTTTACGAGCTGATTGAGCCAACCATATCAAAGATATGCGAGCTAGACGAGAAACTACTTGATGCTCAAATTTTTGCGATCCAGGAAAACAACAAATTCAGCACTATCGAGTCCTTAAACGAATCGATCTTGACTAGACGCGAAGAAATGTTAGAGAAAAGAAACGAGCTCAGAAACGCTTATATCAAAGCTAAGGAAGAATACACTCAAGCTCTTAAAGACTACAAAGCTTTGCTAGAGACTTTTTCTGATGAAGATCGCTTAGAGCTCGAAAAACTGGTTGCCGATCTTCAAGAAAGCGAAACTTTGACAGAAGAAGGTGTCAACGCCGAGATCAGTAGAATAAAATCACAGATGCGTTTACGCCGAAATGGTGCGGGAGCAGACTCATTGAAACGCCTGGAAGAGGTGGAGAAAGAAATCCAACAATACGAGGAGAAATTGCCGGAATTTGATGTTGATGTCGGTATTCTTGATCGACAAATTAACGATCTTGTATCGGTATGGAAACCAAAACTCGAATTCGTGATACGAACTATAGCAAGAGATTTCAGTGAGAATATGAAGGCCGTGGCCAGTGCCGGTGATGTGCAGCTTGATGGTGAGTCAGAAAACTTTTCGGAATGGAAACTGAAAATCCTCGTGAGCTTCCGGGATAGCCATGCCTTAATGCAATTGAATGCCGCACAGCAATCTGGAGGAGAAAAATCCGCAACGACGGCTATATTCCTGAACTCTTTGCAGGGCCTTACGAATACGCCATTTCGTGTTGTTGACGAAATCAATCAAGGTATGGACTCAAAAAATGAGAGACTTATCCACGAGTTGATTGTGCGTAAATCTTGCTCGAGAAGTGGCTCACAGTACTTTTTGATCACTCCTAAATTGCTCACAAATCTCTACTATGGCACTGGAATGCGCGTACACTGCATTCTTGCTGGAAGATGGTGTCCCAACTATCAAGATAATGTGGAATTTCTGGAGATGGGGGTCGCAGATAAATATTTTTGAGTTCTTACAATAATACACGTACAAAAAAAAACGACTAAGTTAATAATTTATCGGGCTTTTATATTTTATGGCTGCTTTAGAGCGACAATTTACCAAACTTGCACTTCTTGAAGCGGAACTTGGGGCGTTGGTGGAGGATTTCCACACGCTGAAACAGGTTGGAGATGCTCCTGTTCTCAATTCCAATGACGATCTGATGTTAGCGTTTAGTAAACTTGCAAACTTGATCAAATACATGGAATTGCTCCTGGTTGAGAAGATAGACTCTAGTGGAGCGGGGCCCGAAGTTGATCGATTTCGAGAAGGCGTAGAGGTTTACAATAGACATCTGAACTCAATCAAGGAGGATATTCCGAAGGACGTCAATTTGGAGATTAGTACAATCAGGCTTGACGAAGCCGTTAACAGACCAAGACCGAAGATAAAGAAATCCAAATCTGTGAGATTCAAGGAGAACCTGATAGACCCATCAGAATCACAGAAGCGGGAACAAGCTGCATCATCCTCTCCTTCTAAAGACGAGCCTAATAAAGATTCGCTTTTCGAGACCAACACAGTATACAAGGATGACGGCAGGAGTACGATAGATCCTTTGCGAATGTCCAATAAGCAAATATTTATGGAAAACCAGCAAGAAATTATAAATCAAGATGACATTATCAATTCATTATCGCAGTCGGTCAATAGACAGCACGAAATGTCTTTGCAGATTGGAGAAGAAGTAGGAAATCACATGGTGTTACTTGACGATCTGGAGTCCGGAATTTCAAGAACAAACGCAAAAATCATTCGAGGACGGTCTAACATAGATCGATTCCGGCAGAATTTGAAAGAGCATGGCGACTGGTTCACGATATTCGTGCTCGTGATTATCATGTTCATCCTACTAGTTGTTCTGAAGTGAGTCAACCAGACACAATGCGCATTCTCCCAGGATGTTTATCCTCGGCCATCGAGTAAATCGATTGAAGCTGTTCTGCAGTTTTGGAAGACACCGAGTGAAATTTGAGCGACGAAGTGCTTGAGGACGCTGCTTCAGATCCCGTCGTTGGTGTATCTGATATATAATTGAAATTTGGGTGCTTCGAGGACTGCTCTGTCTGGGCTTGGCGAGGTGCGATAGTGTTTTGCGGGAGGCAGAAAGCAGGGACTTGTTCGATCTGGGGCAACTTTGGAGGTTGCTGATTTGCGGCAGTCAGAATCTTGAAGAGCGAGGCAGAGTCTATCTGATTAAGGTTTTGGGGTGAGTGCAAAGTCGAGCGTTGGTCTTTGGCGTAGCGCTGAGAATTTACGATAGGACAGAATTCGAAATCTTCTTCAGCATCGAAAGATTTGTACGTATTGAGTTTTGCTCTTGCTAACCTAACCTCCTGGAGTCTATGAGAGTCTCTATCGGACATGCTTCTCATTACGACAGGGTATATATCGTCCCGCCAATACCAGAAGAGTTGTAAAAGGAAACTCTGAAAAATTTTGTAAACCCAGACACAATTATCTGACATCCAAAAATGGTGAGAGTACGAACATTGCACACATCACGGTGCAGTTTGAATAGCTCCAAGATGCAATTGCATACAAAATTCACTCTGAGGAGGAAATCAGCCCAGAAAGAAGAAGTTTCAACAGACTCGAAGACTCCCGCAAGAACGCGATTTGCTCCTTCACCTACCGGCTTCCTGCACTTAGGATCCCTTAGAACAGCGTTGTATAATTACTTGCTTGCTAGGGCCACGGGAGGTCAGTTTTTGCTGCGCTTGGAAGACACTGACCAAAAAAGGTTAGTTACCGGGGCCGAAGAGAACATTTATGACACATTGAACTGGCTAGGAATCAAAATTGACGAAGGCCCTACAGTGGGAGGCGCTTATGGTCCTTATAGACAGAGCGACAGATCTGAAATTTATACGCGCTACACTAACGAACTGCTGGACAAAGGGCTCGCATACAGATGCTTCTGCTCCAAATCCAGGCTGGATGGGCTTCGGGACTCTGCAAAACTGCTCAAACCACCCACAACTGTATCGTATGACAGACATTGTTTGAAGGTATACACTAAAGAGGAGTCTGCTGCTAAGGCTGCTCAAGGAGAGGAATTCACCGTGAGATTTTTATCACCAGACAAGTATCAAGAGTTCAACGATTTGCTCCATGGAAACGTCAATTGGCAACCGCAGGTAAATCCATTCGACAAAAGATTTGAAGATCCGGTGCTGCTAAAAAGTGATGGTCTACCTACCTACCACTTTGCCAATGTCGTTGACGACCATTTGATGAAAATCACTCACGTTATTAGAGGAGAGGAATGGCTTGCTTCCACCCCCAAACATATCGCTCTATATGAGGCTTTCGAGTGGAGAAAGCCGAAGTTTGTGCATATACCGTTACTGACGACTGTTGACAACAAGAAGTTATCCAAACGTACTGGTGATATTGACATTATGTCGTTGAAGAGACAAGGTTACCTTCCCGAGGCTCTAATTAACTTCGCAGTTCTTTTTGGATGGGCTCCAAAAAGGGCTCAAGGAGAAAAATCGAATGAAATCTACAGTATGGATTTCCTCGAGAAGCATTTCAACCTTGACGGTCTGACAGTTGGCAATGCCAAGGTGGATTTTCAAAAACTTAATTATTTCAACAAACATTACTTACAACAGAAACTTCAAGATCCCGAATTTCTCGATAGGGCCTCCGCTGATATTTACGCTAAATTAAATCAAGACCGCGGAATCACCCAAGAATATGTGAAAAAGGTGCTTGTGAAAACGGGAAGCTCCCTCACCACGCTTGATTCTGTCTTCGACGAGAGTTTTAAGTTTTATTTTGAACGTCCTACATACACTAGAAAAGGACTCGAAAATGTCCTTAAGCCTGGAGAATATGGGGTCGTGAAGCTGCTAGCAGAGCAAACAGATTTCACTGACCTCAAAGCTCTAATACCCAGGATCATGGCGGTCTATCCTGATATCACGAAAAAAGACATTTATCAAACTATTCGTTATGCAATTAGCGCGGGACAACCAGGAACGAAACTTCCCGATATGATCGAGCTCTTGGGAAATGAGGAAGTGATTGCACGACTAAACTCTCTAAAGGAAATCTTGTAAATCGCGCACTAATTCATCGTCAATTTAAATTATCAAGGAATTTTGGATCGGTAGCCAGTTTCGATTTGAACTTGGCCCACCAGTCGTCAAATTTTTTGATTGGAACCTTATTTGAAGAATCAACAAAAGAACTAAGATAGTCATAAGCGTTCTTGATAATTTTGTTCGAGACAGATTCAACCTGTTCTTTGGTCAACGGTATGTCGTTGATGGAGAGGCTAGGAGGAGCAGGCAAGGACAATTGAGGTGCTTTCGACAGCTTCAATTGCTCTAGCTGAGCAGTAGCTACCGTCAAAGGTTCGATGGAAATACCAATGACTAGTGTAGTGTCCACGGGCGGGGATGAAGGGTCAATCTCTATGTCCATATCTATATCTCCTTCTTTTGCGACTGGCTGTTGTTGCCCTCCGGTTGTATAGGCCTCGGGATTAATTTTGAATATGGCACTTTGCTTGTTTGTATCCAGGCCTCCCAGAAGCCGGAAATCTGCCAAGGGTATGCCGCCTTTTTGAAATTGATAGTATATCAATGCACCATAACTAGGATCAAAAGGTACATTGGGGACAAGGAAGATCGAAAGGTGAGATATCCTGTTAGCCGATATGTTCTCATACGTTGTGACATATTTGAGTGTGTCTATTTGATCAGCCAGCTTAACTGGCCGCCCGGCCAACGTTGTTCCAAACATGAAGTCATTAGATAGCTGCCCTATATTGAATTATTTATTTATTCTGCCATTATTCTAGAAGGTTCAGGTCATGTGACTAGAATTATAACCAAAAAAATACGCGTTCTTTAGACACAAGATGGTTCGCATTGACCAGTTTTTTGGCAAGGCGGCCGTTCAAAAGGTGGGTATCTGGCTATTTTTATATACTGACTCTGCAGAATAAGGGCAGGAAGGCTACATATGATCCTAGCTCCTCGCCAAAAAAGCCACACAGTCAAGAAACGTCTCAGCATATCAAAACAAAGCAACCTGCCAATTCCAGCATCATTTTGGTTGATTCTGAGGAGGATGAAATAGTGAAGCCTCAAAGAAAGCGGAAAGCGGAATTGATTGAAAGCGAGACCGAGGAGCCTATCAAAAAGGAGGCCAAAGTCTTGCCCAAAAAAAGTCCAACTAATACCAAGAGCACTAAACCGCAGGCCGGTACATCAAGCCAATCTAGTCAAACTGCCACCGGACAGACAGCACAGGAGATATTGGAGACAATTCCTGATGCCGATCCGAAATACTTAGAAGTTGATCCGGAGATGGAGAACATGAACTTTTTCCAATTAAAAGCGCGCACATCTGAGGCTCCTGCACCAACAGGAGACAGGGTACTTCCTGAAGGGCGACCAAATTGTCTCAATGGATTGACCATTGTATTCACAGGTATTCTTCCAACCATTGACAGGGATGAATGTGTGCGGATAGCTTCTAAATACGGAGCAAGAGTTACGAAGTCCATCAGTGGGAAGACAAGCTTGGTGGTGATTGGTCACGAGGCAGGCCCCAAGAAAATTAAGATGATAAAGGAGAAAAAGATCAAATGCATAGATGAGGACGGGTTTGTTCAACTTCTTCAGAAAATGCCTGCAGATGGTGGCAGCGGAGAGGCGGCTCAAGTCGCCAAAGCTAAAAAAGAAGAAGAAGAAAGAAAGGCCATCGAGGAAGCAGAAAGGGAAGAGCAAGAGAATAGAAAACGACAATCTCAATTGAGGCAAGAGCGGGCTAGTCAGCCCAGCCAACCGGAAAGGCCTAGTGATAAACCGGACACAGAAAAGCTATGGACGGTTAAGTACGCCCCAACAGATATCAAGCAGATCTGTGGAAACAAGGGTAATGTAGAGCTGTTGCAGAGCTGGTTGGAACACTGGTTCGATAACGCAAAGAGTGGTTTCAAGGGTCCCGGCATACATGGTTACCGTGCAGTTATGATCAGCGGACCTCCTGGAATCGGCAAAACCACTGCAGCTCACCTTGTGGCAAAATCCCTTGGATTTGATGTGATAGAAAAAAATGCTTCTGACGTGCGATCCAAGAAATTGCTGAATGAGCAGCTGCGATCGTCGCTGAGCAATTCGTCGGTAGTTGGTTACTTCAATCAACTCAAAACGCATGACCCAAATAACCGCAGAATAGTCATGATCATGGACGAGGTCGACGGCATGTCGAGCGGAGACCATGGAGGTGGAGCTCAGCTTTCGCAATTCTGTCGTACAACGGAGACACCCCTGATCTTAATTTGCAACGACAAATCGCTGCCGAAAATGAGGACTTTTGATAAAACTTGCTACGATCTTACGTGGAGAAGGCCTACTGGAAAAGAGATGAAGTCTCGACTTATGACGATTGCCCATCGAGAGGGACTGAAGTTGGATCCAAATATCATTGATCAATTGGTGGCTGCCACCAACAACGATATCAGACAAATTATCAATATAATGTCGACTGTTGCACGAACCCAAAAAACGCTCAATTACGAGAACAGTGAGCAGATATCCAAGACCTGGCAAAAGGAGGTGATTTTAAAGCCGTTTGATATTGTTGGCAAACTTTTGAGCGGTGCCAGCTATGGGTCTCATGCCAGATACAATCTATCAGAAAAGATCAATCTTTATTTTAACGACATGGACTTCACGCCGCTGATGATACACGAAAATTACAGAACCACCACCCCGTCGAAGCTGAACGGATTTCCCGCAAACAAGCGGAATCTGCGGCATTTGGAGCTGCTAGAAGAAGCCTCAAATTCCATTTCGGAATCAGACCTGGTCAACCAGCTGATCAGAGGAGGCGAACAACAGTGGTCATTGGCTCCGTTTCATGCTGTGCTGTCCAGTGTGCTTCCTGGCTCCAAAGTTGCAGGTGGCATGCACGGACGTATCATGTTCACCTCGTGGCTTGGCCAGAATTCCAAGAAAATGAAGTATGATAGAATTCTTCAAGATTTGCAATACCATTCCTCTACGAAGACAATGACAAACACACAGGAGCTGAGACTGACCTACATCCCATTTCTGATCAACATGCTATCGGATCCATTGATAAAGAATGGAGCCAGCGGTATCGATCAGGTTTTGGAATTGATGGACGAGTATTATCTCACGAAAGAAGACTGGGACAACTTGATGGAGTTTGGCGTCGGCCCAAAAGGCAGAATGGATCAAAAGCTCAAGTCTGTGAGCTCTGCGACCAAGTCTGCATTCACCCGAAAATACAACTCTTATTCACATCCTACTGTGATCTACAAGACCGGAGATTCAGTTACCAAAGGAAGCCGGGCTCCTGCTCCCAAACCAGATCTTGATGACGTTATCGAGGATGACACAAAAGATGTGCCGGACGACGAGCCGCAAGAAGCGCAAGACGACATTAAGAACGATAAACTTATCAAGCAAGTCAAGAAAAGCACAAAGAGGCGCAAGTAAAGCTGTGAGGACGGATATAGCGTTTACATAATCTACCGATTTTTTTTTATGAAAAACATGCGACGTTTCTACAATAGGTAAACGGAATTTTGCAAGTAAGGGGGGGACAAGAAAACGGGGTAGTTTTTTACGACAAAAAGATTCGATTTTTTCACCTTGCAACAGTTACCTAGGCTGATTCGACTCACTAATACGTGCATCTTGTCAAGATGACAGCGCCGCCTCTTTTGCGTCCTCCAGGGTCAAATCCCAAAAATGCTTCACGTCGCCATAAGCTGCCGTCGCTCAAAATTTCTACGCCGTCAGGCCAAAACCAAACGCCCCGGCTTCAAGATGGTAGCAATGCTCAATCTACAAAAGAATTCGATGCCACGGATCCAGTGATTGTGAGACAGTATGAAGTCGTCACATCAGAGAATATTGTCCGTCATTCGAGCGATTCAATGACGGACTCAAATCCTTCAATCGTGAGCAGTAAGAGCACGGATACCTTAATCACCGAACTGAGCAACCTCAATTTCACGAGCAAGGATATTGACCCGAACGCCAAATTAATGAAGTGCTCCCTTGAAGAATTAGATGAAGAAGATTGGCGACGGCTAGCTGAACTCAACCAAATTCGCACACTGGAGGTGCTAGGAGAAGGGAATGGAGGGTCTGTCAAGAAGTGCGAGCTTGCCACAACTCAGCAGGTGTTTGCTCTGAAAACGATTACTGTTGATCCATCACCTAGTTTCCAAAAACAAATAGTGCGAGAACTCAATTACAACAAAAAGTTTCGGAGTGATTACATTGTTAAGTATTACGGGACATTCATTAATTCTGCGGATGCGTCGATTTGTATCTGCATGGAATATATGGGTGGACGGTCCTTGGACGCGATATACAAACAGTTCAAGAAAAAAGATATGAGGATCGGAGAGAAAGCATTGGGAAAAATGGCGGAGAGCGTGCTTCGAGGCCTTTCCTACCTGAACCAGCAAAAAGTGATGCACAGAGATATTAAACCTCAAAACATATTACTAGACTCTAAGGGGAACGTGAAACTTTGTGACTTTGGGGTCTCCGGAGAAGTGGTCAACTCGCTCGCTACTACTTTCACCGGAACCTCTTTCTACATGGCGCCAGAACGTATCAGAAATGAACCTTATACCATAACCTGTGATGTATGGTCACTTGGGCTGACTTTGCTCGAGGGAGCAATGGGTATGTTCCCCTTTGCAACAAAGGATCCAAATTTGCAAATATCTCCAATTGAGCTTCTTTTGATAATATTAGAGTTCGAACCAGAACTCAATGACGAACCCGAAGAAAATATCACCTGGTCAGCAAGTTTTAAAGACTTCATCAAGGTCTGCTTGACCAAGGAAAATCGCAAACGGCCTAGTCCACGGCAAATGTTGGAACATCCTTGGATGCGCGGCCAAATGACCAAGAAAGTTCGTATGGACAAACTGGTCCAGTTCTGCTGGGAAGACTAGACAATTGTTAGCTACAAGGTACGCCAAAGCTCTCAGGTCAACGTGTCTTTACTCATATAATTTAAATCATGCTATCAATCTTCTTCGTTGTAGAGATGCTTTCCGAGATATTCTGATTCATTTGCTTATTCCTTTTCCTCATTTTGTCGATCGTGTCCTGTGCATTTTCTCTCACAACTCGTCTCTTTCTTGGATATTCGTCTTCATCTGAGCCAAGAGAGTCTCCATATCGCTTGCGTGTTTCCTTCTGCAGGAGCCTGATGTACTCAGTCTTCTCCTTGTCCAACTCATCGCGTTTGGCTTCCAAGTCAGCAAATAACTTCTCAAACTTGCGCTTATTAAGCTCATTTTCAATCCTAAGCTCTTCATATCTTTCTTCAAACTTTGTGTTTATTAGTTCTTGAGATGCTCGAAGATTAAGAATCTCACCTTTAAGATCAGTAAGCTTGTCCATCACTGTCTCTCTGCTTTCAGTCTTGAGCTCGCGAATGAGATTCTCCAGAAGGCGAAATTTCTCGTTCAATGTTCGCTCCAAACTGTGGGGAGAACTAATTGGCTGGACAGGGTCGATTTTTATCCCTTCAGTGGGCCTTACCTCTTGTTTAGTTTCTTGCTCTGACGCAATGTCCTTATTTTCGTTGTACAGCACAGATTGCAAGAGTTTGGAGCCAATTGAGGTCAAAGACCCCAAAAGACTGTCATGGGCACGACTGGAGGTTGGCTTTGTCACTCGCGAGCGCCGATCTGTTAGCGGATAGCGTTTCTTCTTGATGGAACTTAGAATATCATCAGTCTCAAAGCGTCTAGAGTCTGGAATACTGCGAATGGGCGACTCACCGAAGAGTTCGTATGATTTTTTTTCATGAGCGGATGGTCGCAAAATAGACCTAGGCGATTCATAGCGCGTTTTGAGGCTTGATCCGATGGACGATCTGTAGCGGTCCGTCTTCAAATTCGTGCTGCTATTGTTCTCCAAAAACTCGCTTGCTGCGGTAGACCGTCTTCGTTTCTCATAGTCTGACAGCTTTGTGTCTCTTGAAAATCGGACGCGCTCCGAAGTGGGTGTCCTTGAGAAGTTGACCATTTGATAAAATAAAATATTCCAGACGCGTAAATTTTGAGATTCGGAACTATAAAAGAATCCTCGTATGGAGTCTCCCGCAGTTTTACCAATTTCTCTGAAGCCATCCAACCTTCGACCTTTGGCATACCGCGTGCTTTCAAAGAAACATGGCTTGAATATCCAGTCAAGTGCGCTGGAGAAGCTGAGCGAGTACGTGGGGAAGAAATTTGGCCAGGAATGGCGTGGGGCTAAAACTATCACTTTCCTAGAGGAAGTCGCCAGGCTATGGAAAGAGCAAAATAAAGGTTTGTTTCTGGATGGAGATAACATTGATATTGTGATCAAGGAGATCTCATTGAGGCATGAGAAACAAGAAAATGCCAGCAGACAGAGCTCGGCCATCGAGCCAAAAACGAATTTGGCAGGTCTTGTGAGCAATGAGCTGCGGGAAAGCCAGTCATTTGAGGTGCACGAAGACCCGCTTGAACCTGCCGCCCTTGAACAGGTGCAATGGAAGGATTTTTTCAAGGCTGTGGACATCAAGAACTACAGGCGATACAGATATAATCATGTGCGCAAACAGTTCGATGTGTTGTCTGCCGATGCTGAGGGTGACAAACTGGTCCTGCCGTCGACACAAGATGCCGTTAACTTGTTCATCCAGCGATTTCATCTTCTCAAAGATAGACTCCTGAGGAACGAGAACTTCCAGCCGACGACGTTCAGTGCTGTCAATTCATTTACAAGCAACGGACCCAAAGAGGTTGAGAACCAGCAAGTGACATCGATCAAGAATTTGTTGGGTCGGCACGGGCAACGATTTTTCCTCTTTGGATTGTTGACTCGGAGCGCGCTGGGTCTATGGCAACTTCAGGACGATACTGATTCGATAGAGCTTGACCTTGGGCAGACGCTGTTTCCTCAAAATTGCTACTTCACTGAGGGGAACTTCATCATCTGTGAAGGTATTTATTCCAACAGCGGCAAGTTTTATGTTAGCACCATGATTCATCCTCCAGCGGAAAAAAGAGAGACGTCTTTGGAAGTTCTGGGTAAGATGGACTTCAACTCTGTATACAGCAACAGCGGTCGTATTGACCCTGTACTACGCTCAAAATTATTGCGTTTGGAGAAGGATCTGGCAGACCACAAGTTCATTTTTCTAGGGGCTGATATTCACCTATCTGATGCGAAAGTGATGGAAGGCTTAAAGAAGCTACTTGGTAAACTCAACGAGGAGCTCGAAATGGGCTCTTCGACACCTGTTGCCCTAATTTTCAATGGGTCTTTTACGTCGCGGCCTTTCAAGTCAACCCAGGTTTCGTACAACAGCCAGGTCACGTCGTCAGGGGAGTACAAGTCCTATTTCGATTCTTTAGCATCCATTCTTGAGCCACTTTCTGAACTGTGTGCAACCTGCAAATTTGTGTTCGTTCCAGGAGACAATGATCCCTGGTCGTCAGTTGTCACCAAAGGTTCCAATTCTGTGTGGCCCAAATTCAAGCTTCCTAAGATTTTTGGAAATCGGTTAACCAGACTGGTGAAAGATATAGAATGGTGCTCCAATCCATCAAAACTAATCTATTTGACCCACGAGGTTCTAGTTGTCCGCGATGACCTAGCAGGACGGTTTCGTCGAAATGATATAAGCCACATCTCAAAGATCAAGGAAAACACCGAAGCAGACGAAGAGCAGCTGGAAATCGACAAGCTCTCAAAATCCAAGATCTCGCCAGACGTGCTTGAGGCCAGAAAGGTCGTCAAGACATTGCTGGACCAAGGATATCTCTCGCCATTTATCCAATCCATCAGACCGCTGGTTGCCAACTACGCTAATATGCTAAACCTGATACCCCTTCCTACGCTCTTAATGCTTGCAGACACAACATGTCCGCAATTTGATCTCATCTACGAAAATTGTCATGTCCTAAACCCAGGAAAGTTCTTCGACAACAATAAGTTCAACTACATGGAGTACTATCCCTCATCTAGAAAAGCCAAGTTTAGAGAGCTGTATTAATCGTATGGATATTTCTTAATTGAGTTCGTAACGTGATAAGGCATGCAGTAGACAGGATCCACGGGAACCAGGTCCTCGTATCCAAGCAGAGACAATCCTGCGAGGCCGAAGAGGGTGTGGTACACATCAACCTGGTTCCCAGGACGATCGCTGATGCCCCCTTCTTCGGGATCTTGGCACTGTAAAATGAACTCTCTCAATTTCTCTCCATTAATGTAGTCCAGTCTGCCCAATATGCTCAGGGAAGACATTACCCACCAGCTGTAGCACACATCGGGCAATTTTTCAGGACGGCCGTTCAAGCCTCCGTTTTCCACTTGACGTTCACTGAGCCACCATTCAAGTGCTTCCCGGTCTTTAATTTTGTCTACTTGCCCAGCAATCGCTAGAGTCGCCAAACATGTGAATATCTGTGCGGAATGCGACTCTGAGCCTGGCACCAGGCCAAATCCACCGTCGAAATTTTGACATCTGAGTATAAAGTCCACAGCCGGATCCACGATGTCGGGACTCAGGCTCTCGAGAATGCTGAGCGATTGAATGGCCGTGTAAACAAATCGCGTGTCAACTTCGCCAAATCTGTCACCCTGAAATGATCCATCTGGCAATTGGAGGCCCTTGATAAATTGAAGTATCTGCGACTTTTTGTTGTTTATGACGTCCAGGGAATCGTACATTTTTAGAAGCTGTAAGGCGGACAATGTAGATAGGATATGCGAATCGTGCTTAGGGAATGCTCCAAAGCCTCCATAGGTAGTATCATAGCAGTTGAGAATGAACTCCACTAGAGTTTTCTTGTCAAATTCATTCTCCGCTCTCATAAGAAAGAGCGCACAAGCTCCCCAGTATATTCCATTCATACGGAGGTGCTCGCTTAGCCAGTACTCAAGAAACTGTTTCTGGTCGTCCAGAGACTTGATGTAAGCCACATGCTTGGATTTATCCAAAGAAGTCATTAATTAAATCGTATAGATACTGCACAGCCTTGTGAGAAAAACTAGAGCTTGTTTGTGAACCGGCCGGAGGAAGACGATTCTTTAGGTGGAGGCGTCACTTCTGCGTCTACGAGCTTGGACCGGAGCCTTCTTCGGTCCAGCAACATAAACTGTATTTGCTGTCTCATGGAAGAGAGAGCAGCGGTTTGGTTGTGTAGCTCGTCTTTAATCTGGATATTCGCGTTCGCTACCGCGGTGACCAGTTGCTTATTCAGCTCGAACTCCGACGCCAAAGACCTCAAGCGGTTAAACTCCGTCCTGAGCATTTCAAATTCCATCATGAGTTGGACGTAATCTTTATCCTGCAGGCTGTCAAATAACCTGCCAGGATCGGCACTGCGATCGCGATCCATAATTTCTTCCAGCTGCAAAGAATAGCCAAGATTAGTCATCTTGCCCTGCGTGATAGAGTCGAGTATCGTTGATATTTGGGACCTGAGCAATTTGTTTTCATCGGCCAGATCGTTGATCTTTGTTTCTTGGAGCTCAAAGTACCCCGAGAGTTTGACAAAGACGCATTCCAACGAGTGGATCTGAGTAAGAACCTCCCTGCTTCCCCTCCACTCACAGCCGTACTGCTTCCCTGGACACCTTACATGTATTTTCTCACAATAGCTTTCGTGGTTTTCGAACGTTTTCTCTGGGAACTCAAGGTTACAGCCATTGCATTTATGAAAGTTCTTTGCGCACTCGTTTTTCAAGTGATGTTCCTCAGCTACAGCATTTATATTATCGCCGCACTTCGCACATTCAAACAGCTTGTGAGGACACTTCTCGCCTAGGAACCGCCGTTCAGTCAGTTGGCCGCACACTTGTCCATTGTCCAGCTCGTGTTCGCAAGGAAATCGCGTATGGTCACAGGAGTTGACCAGGTGCTGCTTGATAGACCAGCGGGGACCTACCCACTTACAGCCACGAGACGCGTTAAGACATCGCACTTGAAGGTCATCTGTGATATTGCTCAATATAATGGGGGCAGGAAATATATCGTTGTAGTTTTTCTCTTCAGCCTCTTGACGATCCTCTGTATAGTTCAGTTCAATACGATCCAAAGGACACTTGTTTCCCAGGGGAGACTTGAAAGTTTCCAGAATACATGTCCTGCAGAACGTGTGTCCACATATAGTTGTGTACGGATTGATGAAAGGCAGTTGACAAATGGGACAGTTGAGATGTTCAGGAATAGACACGTATACTAAAGTCCTCAAGTCTATTGGGGCTTCGTCCAAAGAATCTGTCATATCGTAGCCGCTACCGTTGGGGGAGCTAGCAATGGAGACATCTTCCGGTTTCAAAACGGAGAGAAGTTCGCCCTGTGGGGGCAGCAACCCCCTGTTAACAGAATCTTGCTGCCCCCGCGTTTCCAGCTCGAGTTGGTCCAACTCTTGTGCAATAACATCCATTTGAAGGAAATTTGGAATCGTAAATTGCTAAATTAATTTTCACCCGCATTTAGCTGAATATATATTTATTCGTCTAGGCTACTAATATCATACATTCTAATTGATTGTGTCTCCTAATAACTAAAATTACTGTACAGATAGTGGTTGTTGTAGAAGTGAAGCGACAGTGACAAAGGAATCCCCTGCCATAAAGGATGTCTATCGCAGACTCATGCAGATTCGACGCGCTGGACTTCGTCAATATGTTCTAAGTCAAGCTTGTCTATAGAACCAGCAGGAGAAAGCTTCTGATGCTTTCTCTTCTCGGCCAATGCCAAAGACTCCTTGATGTTGAACCCTCCTTTAAGCAGGTTCTGCGTCTCTTCCAATGCCAGATTTGAGAGTTCTGGGTAAACGAAGTAGACGAAGACAATCGATACAGCAGTAAGTGCTGCGAACAATGCAAAAGTTCCGGTAGGGGTGATATTCTCAAGCATGGTCAAAAACGTGGCAGAGATGACCAAAGAACCACTCCAGTTGGTTGCAGTAGCGTAAGACGCACCAGTACCTCTAACGTTTTGAGGGAAAAGCTCGGACTGTTGCCATGGGACATTACCACTGCCAATAGCGTATGCAGCCACATACACGATCATAAACACCATGATCACATAGCCCCAGTTACTGACACCTCCTTCAATCTTGACACGGTGGTGTTCAAACTTGAGGTCGACATAATGGAAACCAATGGCACAAACTATCATAGCAATCATCATGACTGGAAGAGAGAACAGCAGGATCTTCCTACGGCCCACTCTGTCGATGATGAAAAATGCAACAAAGGTCATGAGGAAGTTAGTACCAGAGACGATGATGGACACAGCAGTGGAGTTGTTGAAACCAATGGCCTTGAAAATAGTGGCGGAGAAGTACATGAGAGAATTGAAACCAGTGAACTGCTGAATACCTTGCAAACCGCAAGCGATGATGAGCGCTCTGAAGTTTGACGGCACGCTGTGGATTTGCTTGATACCGTTCCATGTTCTCTGCCACACGTTCTTTCCCTCCAAAGAAGAGTTGATGCTTTGAATTTCGGCGATCTTCTTTTGGATGAGAGTAGTAGTGGCGCCATGGTGCGTTCTGGCAATAACCTTGGCAGCCTTTTCCAGCTTGTTCTTGGAAATCAAATATCTTGGGGTATCTGGCAAGAACAGGAAAGCTGCAAGTTGAATAGCTGGAGGCACCATGGAAAGTCCGACCTGTATTCTCCAGCCATTGTTGACGTGGGTCAATCCTGCACCAATAGCGTAGGCAATAAGTTGACCACTGGTGATACCCATACAGTTGAGGATAACGAGGCGTCCCCTGAATCTAGAAGGCGCGAGCTCTGAGATAAATAGAGGAGCGATGAGTGAGCCAACACCAACACCAAAACCCATAACAAATCTACCTGAAATCATAGTCCAAACGGTTTGAGCAGCGCATTGGATAATAGCGCCGGCAATAAAGAGAGCATTCGAGAACATCAGGACAGGTTTTCTGCCGAAGATATCTGCCAATGGACCTGCAACTACTGCGGTGATAAGAGCACCCAGAGAAGTAGCGGCGGTGATAAACTCTTCCTCACCGTAGGTCAGGGTCTTGCCCAAATCGGTTCCAATAGAAACAAGAGCGGAAGAGATGTATCCCGTATCGTAACCAAACATAAACCCTGAGATCGAAGCAAGACAAACAAGAACCACAACCAGAGGTGTAGGCTTGGCGCTATCCATAGCGATCATATCAGACTGACTGTCTTTGGACGAGTAATCAAGGGCATCCACATTACTAGAGGATATCTCGTCTTGTTTGGCTGGATCTGACATTCTTGATATAAAACGAATATGTTGATGTTTTCTTGAGGAGAAAATACGTATTATTTATATTGCAATCTGCAGGAATGGTCTCTATCAGTATCTACTACTCCGTAGAAATCTCGAATTTTCTTGAGTCGGGATTTTCACCGAATAGGTGCCAGGGTGGTGGTACATTTTTCGGTATGCACACCGGATGCTGCCTGTGATTGGCTGGTGCGGCGGCTTATTGCCCGAGCGTGATGTTTGCGGTCAGAAGGGGAGGGGAGGGTAACCCCGCAGAGAAAGAAAATCTAGCCCGCTGTGCATTTTAGGTCATGGAAGCAGGGTAATCCCCTTGATCACAAGGCAGCCTGACGCGAAAGACAATTATTCCCAGAAAGGAAACATAAAAGTTTCAAGTCTCCTTCAGCTTTTTTCCACCCTCCCCTTGTTCTCCCTGTTCTGAAATTTTGACAACATGGCTACCGTTGCGCCAGGATCGACATCAGGGATCAACTCGATTCTGCCCACTATCGATCTCAACTTTAAGTATTCTGAGATTAGGTCGCAGATTAAGGATTTCTTTCTTCATTTCAAATCCACCTCAAACGTTCAACCTGATGACGGAATATATGACTATCAGATTGATGACGTCCAAATGGATGATAGCGAGATTGGGCAGGGCCCTAAATACATGAACCTTCTCCAGAAGATTGCAAATAGAGAAATCACTACTTTATATATCGATCTGGACGACATCAAACTATACGAGGACACACAAAATATCGCGCAAAACGTGTCTCAATCGCTGCCCCGCGGTCTGGCAGAGTTGATCATCAAGAACACGTACCATTACGTTGAGTTGTTTTCGCAAGTGGTGGACGAGATCATGCCTCTTCCGACCGTGAATATCTCGCATAAAGACGACGTGCTGGACGTCATCATTCACCAGCGAAAGCTGCGTAACGCACGAATTGAAAACGAGCACCATGAAGAGCTTGCTGAAACGCAACTAGGCGAGGAACAAGAGGAGCTCAGAAATGTGGACACGCCTAATCTCTTCCCTCCTCAACTGACCAGACGCTACTGTATCTACTTCCGTCCACTCACGGTTACGGCCAAGGGAGGTAAGGCCTTGGCTGTGCGCGATGTCAAGGGCTCCTATCTAGGCCAACTAATTACAGTCAGAGGAATCGTCACCAGAGTTAGCGATGTCAAGCCGACCGTTCAGGTTACTGCATACACATGCGATACCTGCGGATTCGAGATCTTCCAAGAGGTCAACACCAGAACCTTCACACCGCTTACGGAATGCACGTCGGAAAGGTGCATAAGTAATCAACATAGAGGAAAGTTGTTTCCAAGTACAAGAGCCTCAAAATTTTCTGCGTTCCAAGATGTCAAGATACAGGAACTGGCCAACCAAGTGCCAGTGGGACACATTCCAAGAACCCTTTCGATTCATGTCAACGGTGACTTGGTGCGGTCTATGAACCCGGGTGACATTGTGGACGTGACTGGTATATTCCTGCCTGCTCCGTACACAGGATTCCGTGCTCTTAGAGCTGGTCTTTTGACCGAGACCTATTTGGAAGCTCAGTTTGTGAAACAGCACAAACGCAAATACGAGTTTTTGGGCCTCACTCCCGAAGTAGAGCAGAAAATCCTTGAAATTACGTCCCAAGGCAACGTGTATGAGAGACTAGCCAACTCCATTGCACCGGAGATTTTCGGCCACACAGACGTCAAAAAAGCTCTGCTTTTGCTTTTGGTGGGTGCTTCGCCGAAAGAAATAGGAGACGGTATGAGAATAAGAGGTGATATCAACATTTTATTGATGGGTGACCCTGGTGTGGCTAAGTCTCAATTGCTGAAGTCTATATCCACCATTGCTCCCCGCGGCGTCTACACTACTGGTAAGGGTTCTTCAGGAGTGGGTTTGACTGCTGCCGTGATGAGAGATCCTATTACAGACGAAATGGTGCTTGAAGGTGGTGCTCTGGTGCTGGCCGATAATGGTATCTGTTGTATCGATGAGTTCGATAAGATGGAGGAGGGAGACAGAACAGCTATCCATGAGGTGATGGAGCAACAGACGATTTCCATCTCGAAAGCAGGAATTACCACGACTTTGAATGCCAGGGCCTCGATTCTTGCCGCTGCTAACCCGCTTTACGGTAGATACAACACGAAATTGTCGCCCAACGAGAATATCAACCTTCCTGCCGCGCTTCTGTCGAGATTTGATGTGCTGTTCCTTATCTTGGACCGTCCTAGCAGAGAAGACGATGAGAAACTGGCAGAGCACGTTGCTTACGTTCACATGCACAATAAGCCACCAGAGTTTGGCGTAAACCCGATTGATTCGTCCACCATGAGACAGTTTATCTCCATGGCCAGAAGATTCAGACCTGTTGTCACTAAAGAGGTCAGCGATTACGTGGTCCAAGCGTACATCAAAATGAGAAAGGAAAGCAAGATGATCGAAAATTCCAAAAAATATTTCAGCCATACAACTCCGAGAACACTGCTGGCAGTGCTCAGACTCTCTCTGGCTCTTGCAAGAGTCAGATTCAGTAATGAGGTGGTTATCCAGGATGTGGACGAGGCCTTGAGACTTATGAATGCAGCCAAGCAGTCGTTGTATCAAGACGAAGCTGCGGAATTGGAGGAGTCACCAACAGCCAAAATCTTCAACCTTATCAAGGAAAAGGTTCACGATTATATTGCTCATAACGGCAATAAGCTGGTGCCGATGTCGCTGCTTAGAGACTCTTGTTTGGGAAAAGGTTTCACCGAGAATTTGTTTAACGAGTGTATTTACCGCTACCAAGCGCTTTCTGTTTGGCAGGTGGTGGATGACGGCGAGAACCTCGCGATTATTGGAAACGTCGACGACGAGGATATCGAAATGTTCTAATTTATCAATAAAATTAAATATTTAGTTTAGGCCGAGATCTTTCATCACCATGGCCTTGCATATTGGATGATAGCTTTGCTCATATTTTTTGAAGGTAGCCACGGCCAGCTCCCTGTCCGCCTCGTTAAGCAGCACATATCCTGGCCTAACAAATTTCATTCTACCAACAGTACCCAGCCAGTCGGCCAGTTTCTGGTATTCAGATTGAATTTGGGCCGTTAGCAACAGTCGGAACCACCTGAAAAGAACCTCAGCGTTGCTGGAATTCTCATACTTTGTGTATTTCTTTTTCATGACTCCAATCGCCTTTTGGCCATTTTTGGAGCTCCAATCGAATCCATCTTGATTCTGATAAGAAACAAGCTTGTCTAGAAAGACTCCATTCTGGTTCGATGTGAAATTCTCGATATCAGACGGTGAAAAGTTCGACTCCAGCGAACTAGGCGAACTACTGATCACCTTAATCCATCTGCCTGCGAGCGAGAAACACTCGTCAGCGAGAGTGGTGTCGAAGTTCGGTTTTGGAGGCAAACCCGGAGCGTACAACCAGGTCTCCCAGTCAATGGTATCCAGTAGATCCTTCTTATCGGAATAAAACTCATAAAGAGTATCTAAGAACTGGTACGTATCCAATGACTTGTATTTGAACTTCTTGAAGTAATGCTTGATGAAAGGATCGAATGCTTCCTTGCTGCCAAGGGTCTGTTCAATGTGGAACAACAGATTGAAGCCTTTTTCGTAAGGAACTGTGCTGAAAGAATCGTCTGGATCATCACCGTGCTTCAAATTAAGCACCAGCTTGCTGTATTTCGAAGCAGCGCTGCCCATAGCAGCTATTGAATTTTCCAGGTCAGTCCATCCAATGATGGAACTAAAATGTCTATGCTTTTCACCATGCAATCTTTCCAGGATCCTACGTTCCAAATAGACAGTCCATCCCTCATTGAGCCAGAAGTGTTCAAAGGAGCCATTTGTTACAAGATTACCTGCCCAACTGTGACTCAATTCGTGCGCAATGACATCGACATTCTCTTTGTCACCAGAAATCAAGGTTGGAGTGGCGAAAGTGCAGTTCGGATGCTCCATGCCACCAAAGGGCATCGACTGAGGAAGCACTAAAACATCGTAGTCCTTCCACTCATACTCGAAAACAAGACTCTCGGCAGTCTTGATGAAATTTTCGGTATCGTCCTTGAACTCGTTTTGACAGTCTTCCAAAAAGCTGGGTTCAGTCCAAACCCTGGAGCGAGGACCTATTGGTGCATCTTTCAAGTCTCCAGAAGCAATGGAACACAGGTATGATGGAATTGGAACCGGTTGGTAAAAGTTATAGAGGGTGCTCCCGTCTTCCAAAGGAGTTTTCTTAGACAACAAACCTGACATCAACACCGGCAGAGAGGATTGGATATTGAACTCAAACGGACTTTTGACCGAGGGAGTATCAAAGCACGGGAAAAAAGAGCGAGCATGGATAGCCTCGCATTGGGAGAACAAGTATGGAAGCTTCTTGCCGTCAGTCTGCGGTGGCTCGAGCCATTGCAGGGCGGTACCATTTTTGGTCGTTTCGTAGGAGATTTCAAGCTTGAAACCATCGCCGGCCCTGAAGTCGTAGCTGACGTAGAGCGGAACGCCTAAAGGCCCATCGGTTGGTTTCAGCTCAAAAGACTGGATGGCATCGTTGATTCTCACGTTTTTGATTTTGAGATGGGCAGTATCCAGAACTAGGACTTTGGTATCGACCAGAGGTTTCATTATGTAAATTACAGATCCATCCAGAATCTTGTCGTAGAACTTAACCTTCAAATCGAGGATTGACTTCTCCACCTTGAACTCATGATAAGATGATAAGGTAGAGGGGTCTTGCTCCGGTGACGACTTAGGCACATGAGGAGCGATAATGGACCATAGTTTTGGGCTAATATTAGGATAATTCGTCGACATGTTGCAAGAAGATAAAAACCGTTGGGGAATGGTGTGCTTTATGTACCTCCAATACGTGCCGATCGGCCTAATAGGCATAAACTATTATTCAAACAATACAATTTGTGTGCCGTTTATTAGGACGGGACAGGTCTATCGACGCGACAGGGTTCGCCAGCCGCGCATAAATCACAAAATTACGGCATCCGTCCGTATGTGCCGAACACAAAAAATTGAAAGAAGCAAATATAGCTGCACGTGACCATAGAAAGGGCAAGGAGCTCTTACCAAATGTTTGAAAATTTTCCTGAGAAAATTAGATATTATCCAACGGTATAGTAAGTGCCTAAACATACTGGTGGCGTTGACGGATTATACAGACATTACTAGCATTGATAATCCTTGCGTTTGATAGGTCAACCCACTGTTCATCAGAGGCTAACATATAGGTCAATATGCAGATTTTCGTCAAGACCTTGACCGGAAAGACCATCACCTTGGAAGTCGAGTCTTCCGACACTATCGACAACGTCAAATCCAAGATCCAAGACAAGGAAGGAATTCCTCCTGACCAGCAGAGACTGATCTTCGCCGGTAAGCAACTCGAGGACGGCAGAACCCTTTCCGACTACAACATCCAAAAAGAGTCCACTTTGCACTTGGTCCTGAGACTGAGAGGTGGTATCATTGAACCATCTCTTAAGGCTTTGGCTTCCAAATACAACTGTGAAAAAGCTATTTGCAGAAAGTGTTACGCCAGACTCCCACCAAGAGCTACCAACTGCAGAAAGAGAAAGTGTGGTCACAGCAACCAACTGAGACCAAAGAAGAAGCTTAAATAGTTGGTATATGAGACTAATACTAGTGGAGTAACAAAAGTAAAAAACTTTCTCAATGTTTAATCGCCTTATAGGAACGGCTTTCAGAAGAACCTTTAGTGCGCTGACGGTCCAAAACCCGCCAAAGGTGATTCTTTCGCCTCCTAGAGGACACACGTCACTACTCATGACATCCACGGCATCGCAGCTTGAGGCATCGATCGATGGGTTGATCAGACTTAATCGATCAGTTCCCTCGTTGCAGTTGGTCTTCTTTTGCGTTGACTCCATTCTGAACTCGAGAGACGCTGTCTCCGAGTGCTGGTTCGAGGACAACATGCTCATCCATCACTGCGAGCAGTTTGAACCCTCAAAAGATAAGTGGACCCCGCAATCAGGAACCGTAGAGCTAGAACTCCACGGATCCGATGTTGTACTACCATTGGCACATACAATGTTCCAGAACACATTGCCGGCTACTTGTTTCTTTGTTGACAGCGAAAACCCTCACAACTGGAAGAATCTTTCTCATCTAAAAGTGCAGCTTCCATATATTAAATCCTCCCATTTTAATTATTCGAATTGCTTGGTGGAGCTACCGCTGGAAAAAAACCCAGCACAAGAATACATTGTCACAGAACATGAAGGGAATATGATAAAAACGATTAACATGATTCCTGCATCCCAGTATCTCATTGAGAATGAGCATCTACAGAAGTCGAAGAATTCTCTCTTTTTTAAATTGTATGACGGACCGCAAGTTCCAGACTACATGGAATCCTATCATAGAATTACAGTGGGAGGTTTAGGATGGGGCGAAAAACAAGGATATCTGGTTTTAGACCGGCATGTTGGTTCCTTAGACCACAAAAAGCTAAAGCTTTTCCAACACCAACCAGAAACGGCTGTGCAGTTTGACAGAAATAAGAAATCTATAGTGTTAGAGTGCTCCACGGAACAACAGAATTACCGGCCTACTGGCTCGAAGACACCAATTGTGAGCAATCAGATAGGATTGGGTTCCGAGAGAGGCTTCAGGCTGAACGGTGTCTGGCACACATCGCAGGGAGAAGTGGTCCAGATCCAGGTCACGTGACCGTAACATTACGCGCTCAAGGAACGTAGTACGCGCTACCCGGCCGAGCCAAATTAAATTTGGCAATTACGTGTATAAACATCTAATCATCAACACCAAAACGCGATGTCGAACTTTCTGTCCCAGCTTCAATACCAGCCGGTGAGTGTCAGAGTCTGCGAGATCAACATACTAACCGATTTAGCTGACGAATTTTGCTGACAACCTGAGCATTGAGAGCGTTAAGGTGAGTGTTTGATTCCAGTTTTATTAACCTTTAGCAACAGATCGCTAGTGTTCAGAACAAGTTCTCCTCGATGAGGCCTCCCCAGGAGTTCCTGGACTATAGAAGATTTTCCAAGCCTCAAAACTTTGGCGAAATCCAGCAAAGAGTCAGCTATAATTTGCCTTATTTCCAAGCCAACTACATCGCCATCGTTCTTCTACTGTCGGTGTACGCGCTGGTGACAAATGCGTTGCTTCTTTTTGTTCTTGGGTTCACCGGGTTCGGTATCTATTTCATCTCGAAGTTGAAAGGCAGGGACTTGGAGTTACCTATAGGAAGACTCACTACATCACAGCTTTACACGGGACTGGCCGTCATTGCTGTCCCACTTGGATTCCTTGCGTCGCCGATTAGTACTATGATGTGGCTGATTGGTACTTCCGCCGTTACTGTGTTGTCTCATGCCAGTTTGATGGAGAAACCTATTGAAACGGTCTTTGAGGAGTCGGTTTGAACGGGTAGATAGTATAAACATTGCAGCAGTATATGGAGCGAACATAAACTGCGTAGAAATACAGAGCTATAACTATGTAAAGGCAGTATGGTTTACGTTCATGGTACTTTTACGTCCGTGCTTTCTCAGTCGAAAGAAGACCCAGAATTTTAAGTCATCGCAACGCTCATATACTATCTAAGCTTGACTATTGCGGTTTTTCGTCATCATAGAAAGCAGATCCCAACCAAAGAACGCAAATCCATCTGCTCTCCTTTGTTGGGAGAATAAAAGTAAGTTAAGAAAAAAATTAGCTAGAGTCTGTCTGTATTTTATATATATAGATGAATCTCGACCCTCACTTGTCAACTCTGGCGTAGAATGGGACGTATAATTTCAATCACAATGCGAAAGATCCTACGTTTCGAGTCTCAGCAGTGGTTCGTATGACTTCTAGCTACTACTACTCATGTTATAGTTGAGTACCACCTCAAATCATTCTAATCAGTATTAATGCATACACACAACTCCACTTAGATGTTAAGCTTAGTTCTCTTCCAGTGTCTTCTCTTAGCGTTCCATCTGATCTTGTTGTTGGTTCTCAGTCTGATCCATTGAGGCAATGGTCTGTTTTGGTTCTGAGCCTTAGCAAGCTTCTGCTTGGTTTTGAAAGATTTGTGAGACTAACAGTTAGTAATGACGATGAATACGGAGCATTTGCGGTTGGCAAGCTCCTTGGTGAGTTGAATAATACATACAGGCATCTTAATATGTTTTAGCTATTAAAAGTCTTTTTCAAGCAAAAAAGTTCAGCAGTGGTGCACAGAGTAGGAATCCCTGGAAACGGACAATAAAAAAAAGCAGTCACAAGAAACTCTGCACACAGAAAGCCACATCTTTGCACCAACTCTTCAGATTTGAAAAATTTACAAATCTATAACTATACCATCATGACTAGAACCTCCGTTTTGGCTGACGCTCTTAACGCTATCAACAACGCCGAGAAGACAGGTAAAAGACAGGTTTTGATCAGACCTTCTTCTAAGGTGATCATCAAGTTCCTTACTGTGATGCAAAAACACGGTTACATTGGAGAATTCGAATACATCGATGACCACAGATCCGGAAAGATTGTCATCCAACTGAACGGTAGACTCAACAAGTGTGGTGTCATCTCTCCAAGATTCAACGTCAAGATTAAGGACATCGAGAGATGGACTGACAACCTGTTGCCAGCCAGACAGTTTGGTTACGTTATTTTGACCACTTCTGCTGGTATCATGGACCACGAGGAAGCCAAGAGAAAGCACGTCTCTGGTAAGATTCTCGGTTTCGTTTACTAGACAGGTATATTAGAGTAATAAAGTCATTGATTAAAATCGAAGAGTAGAATGTGATGCCTATGGTTGCAAAGCGGTAGCAAAGGCAAGATGAGTCATCTCTCGACAGAGAACTGGCTCCAGTAGGCACAATGGAAACTAGGCACGACGACTTGCGGCCTTGGGCATGAATCTCGATATCGCCCCGCTGTGGCTATAGCGATGGGGAAGGGGGCCGTCGAGCAGACAGGCCATGGTGTAAGGTGGAGTTAATACTCGTGACTGCGTTCTCACACTGCCACCACCTCGCGAATGAAAATTTTAGGTGTGGAAAAAATATCAAGCTCTCAATAGAATCATCATGGCTGCTGAAAACGTTACTCTCGGCCCTCAAGCTAGAGGCTCCAGCGAAGTGTTTGGTGTTGCGCACATCTATGCTTCCACCAACGATACCTTTGTTCACGTTACCGATCTTTCAGGAAGAGAAACCATCGCCAGAGCTACTGGTGGTATGAAAGTCAAAGCCGACAGAGACGAGTCCTCCCCATACGCTGCCATGTTGGCTGCTCAAGACGTTGCTGTGAAATGCAGAGAGGTCGGAATCACTGCTGTCCACGTCAAAATGAGAGCCACCGGTGGTACCAGAAGCAAAACCCCAGGTCCAGGTGGACAATCTGCTCTCAGAGCTCTGGCCAGATCTGGACTGAAGATTGGCAGAATCGAAGATGTGACTCCTATTCCATCCGACTCCACCAGAAAGAAGGGTGGTAGAAGAGGTAGAAGATTGTAAATGGTGGACATCAAAATCATAATACAATGGTCGTTTCGAGTGTTGTAGAGGTATAATAAGAGAATGTCAAATTGACGAACTATAAGAGCAATAAGGGAAAATGCTGCCACTTCACAGAGCGAGATGGCTTTTCTCATTCATTCTGCTAGTTATAGTGTGCAAACAATTGTAGATCAATTTTGTATATTTTTCTCCATTTATCTTTATGCCCTTGATAGTGGCTAATTACTTGCCGAGGCTGTCGACAACAACTCTCATGGCCACCTCCCTGGCCATGAGGGTAGGGTTTCTGCTTTTCGGGATCTACCAGGACGCATATATGGATCTTCCGTACACGGACATAGACTACTTTGTCTTCACCGACGCTGCCAAATTCGTGTTCAATGGCCAATCGCCTTACGCAAGAGACACATACAGATACACGCCGCTGTTGGCATGGCTTCTTCTTCCAACCACTTACTGGTTCGAGTACGGAAAAGTCCTTTTCGTTCTCTGTGACCTCGTGACAGGGTACCTCGTCATCAAACTTTTAGACAGGGCTAAAAAAAACAAATCATGGAGCATCCTGTGGCTTTGGAACCCAGTGGTGGCCACAATAAGTACCCGGGGAAGCTCAGAAAGTGTGTTGACCATAGTGGTCATGCTGGTCACGACATTTTCTCTTAGCAGTCAATATGCTATTGCAGGCCTGTTCCTGGGCTTGGCTGTCCACCTCAAAATCTATCCACTCATATACATCCCATCAATCCTTCTGACCATCGACAAATCGCAGCCATGGTACCGGCCTGTTACCAGAGCAAGAATAGTCTTTGTGCTGACAACTGCACTTGGCTTTGGGGTTCTTACAGCTCTCATGTACCACATTTACGGTGACGAGTATCTCCAGGAGGCATATTTGTACCACTTGAGTCGGTTAGACCATCGCCATAACTTTTCGGTTTACAATTTGACGTTATATTTCTCGTCCTACCAGGGATTTTCCTCGCTACCACTTTTCCAGAAGTACGGAGTCCACGTTGAAAAACTGGCCTTTCTCCCTCAATTGGGTCTTTCAATGGTGCTCATACCTTTAAAGCTAGCCAATATCGACCTAGTTGGCTGCTTCTTTGTCCAAACGTTTGCATTCATCACCTTCAACAAAGTGATCACGTCGCAGTATTTCATCTGGTGTTTGTGCTTTTTGCCGATCTACACGGCCAATTCGACCATTAATATTACTAAGACTGCTTTCCTGCTTGTGGCATGGATTGCAACCCAGGCGCTATGGCTCTGGAACGCTTACCAACTGGAATTCCTAGGTAAACCGGACATTTTCACTACAGGCATCTGGGTCAGCAGCTGTTTGTTCTTTGTCTGCAATTGCGTGCTCCTTATTGCCTTTGCCGACGACCTGAGTGCCCAAAAGCGAGCTCAGCTGCAGAAAAAGAAGCATTGAGCAAGTGTATACTCTACCTGTTTCTTCCTAGACAGGAAAATAAAAAATGCTAGCCGAGGGGCGGGATAATTTTATCAGGTCCGTACGCCGTATCGTACCTACCGGGCCGGTGGGGAATTTTGTACTGTTTAAAAAAAAATAATCCATAACACACGATTATAAAGTTGTCATTTGCACATAGAAATTTGCCAAGAAGCAAAGAACAACTGTCTGCCTCGCCATGGAGAACTTCGAGGTGCGAGCAAAGTCGTTCACTATCAAGTGGGTCAAAGCTCCGGACAATTCAGTTGTGAAATGGGAACTAAAACCGTTGAAACGATCTGTTAACTTTGGAATTTACGAATATAACAAAGCAGACTTCCCAGCTGCTTCGACAGCTCCAAATTCCTCTTCAACAACACTATCAGAGAATTTGAGCCTCGATGAGGTTAACGAAGTCCCACACAAGATGTTTGGGGTGCTGCATCAGAATCTACGCGAATTTTTCGAGTCCCTTGCATCTCAGACTCCAGACACTCCTTTAACTCCCAATGGACCATCGACGGGACCACTTCCAAGACAAGATACGGCGATATCTACAAGCTCTGAGAAAAGAAAACGTTCAGAAAGCCTTTCGTCTCTCCACGATTCTCGAACTCTCTTGGAAGAAAAGTTAGATAAACACCTGGTAAAAAAAGAATGGATCGGAAGGTGTCAAGGAGACGAGCTTGTTACAGGAACATTCGAGGTAGGATCTGGGTCCCTTTTTGCATTCATCTTCGACAATACTTTCAGCAGACACAAAGCGAAAACAATTATGTTTAATCAATACATTGAAATGAACGGACTAGTGTATCAGGCATCTGAAAATCCACAGCTATCGTCTTCCTACCAGCTGAATCCCATAATCGAACAAAAGAGGGTGGACGAGAGGGAGGTGACAAGACGGCTTGAGACTGCCAGTGCGCCTGTTGGACATACAAGCGGCGGAGTAGTCAATGGAAAGGCTTCCGTTGTCTCTGCGCCCCTACAGAATCATGTGAAATTCAGCGTCCCCGAAAATGAGATAGCCTCCAAGTCGAAGAACGTATCACTCTTGAGGGTAAAAGGTGGACAGTACCTCCAGGGATTTTTGCTCAAGAAGAAACGCAGACGGGGAGGAGCAAAAAGCTTTGCCAGAAGATACTTCGTTCTCAATTTCAAGTACGGAGTGCTGGACTACTACTTCAACGACGTCACGAATCATGTCCGTGGTAATATGTTCATCAGAAACGTTGTCATCTCAGCCGATCCGAAGCAGTTAATGATGTTTCTAGATTCTGGGATTGAACAGTGGATTTTGAAAGCAATGAACCAGGAAGATTTCAAGATCTGGGTTCAGGCCTTCAACTTCATCAAAAGGCAAAACAAGCTCATACGGCAAATGGACATTCCGGAGCACGATGCATTCCTATCGGCTCCTTCTCCCATAGAGGCCCAGGAGGATCACAACGGAGCTACTCTTGATGATGAAATTCGGGTGGGGAGAACACTTTCAGTGATAAATCCTCAGTACAAGCTCGTTGAGCAAAAAATTTCACAGATTAAGGAGATGGCGGAAAATCTTCAAGCGCAGGCAAAGCAGCAGAGGAAAGTAAGCATGGATAGAAGAGGTTCATTCTTCCGCAAGAAAAATAAAAAAGAGCAGAGTGACGATCAGCTGGACCAGGAAAGCATAACTGGTTCGGCCACAGCCTCGTTGCACGGCGGATCTCTATATGACAGCTTGGTTTCTGAAATCAGAGAATTGCAAATTCAATATATGTTGCTGGTCAACACGGAAACTAATAGGGGATTTAGTAGGCCTCCGCAATCTCCATCGAGAAGAACCCTTACAAGGACAAACACAGCTACCACCTCTGTATTTTCCCAAGAATTTTTTGATGCGCAAGAATACATTGATGAAATGAACCGTTCTGTCTATTTGGTCCACTCCACTGACGAGGACGATAGCGAATGCGAGAACAAATACGACGATGCCAGCATGTCGAATATATTTGACAAGCCGCCTTTTGGGCTCGCAATGGATAACAATCTTTCGAACTCAACGTCTTCGTCGGATGAAGACGACAGCGATCAAAAAGAAACGGTGATCAAAGCTGGAAGACGATTTCCTGCTCGAGAGGACCTTTATCCTTTGGAATTAGGGAAGTCTGTGCAATATAGAAAGGATATAAAGGAGAGCTCCTGCGATCCTCCGTCCTTGATCGGGTTTTTGAGGAAAAACATCGGAAAGGACTTGTCGTCCATATCGATGCCAGTTTCAGCCAACGAGCCTCTCTCCTTCTTACAGAAGTACTCAGAAAGCTTTGAGTACACACATCTGTTGACAGACGCAATGAAAGCCGCGGACTGCGGCCAGAGGGTGCTACTGATTGCGGCCTTTGCCGTGAGCTATCTCTCCTCGTTGAGGGTCAAAATCAGGAGCGTTAGAAAGCCATTCAACCCACTTCTCGGTGAAACTTTTGAGCTTGTGAGAAATGACTTGGGGATCAGACTAATTGCCGAGAAACTCGTTCATAGACCATTCATAGTTGCTGCACATGTGGATTCAAAGGACTGGACCATTGACCACGTCCTCTCGCCTCAACAGAAATATGGCGGAAAGTCTGCCGAAGTCTCCATAATTGGAGAGCTGACCTTGAGATTTAGAAACGGCGAGATTTACAAATGGAGTCAGCCTACGACTCTTCTTAAGAACCTCATCGCTGGCGAGAAGTACTCAGAACCTTGTGCGCCCGTTACTGTCAGTTGCAGTAGCGGCTATAAAGCAATTGTGAATTTCAAGGCATCTGGAATGTTTTCCGGACGTTCTGAGGAGCTGACTATCAAAGCCTACGATAATGCAGGCAAGAAGCTTCCAAAAGAAGTGGTTGGTACGTGGACACACAGTCTTAGATACACAGATACTGGCGAATGCTTGTGGAGAGTTGGAAACTTGGTGCCAGATTATCAAAAAAAGTATGGATTCACCGAGTTCGCGGCCAGTCTTAACCAGATTACCGAGATAGACGAGGGCTGTGCACCGACAGACTCAAGACTGCGTCCAGACCAGCGCAAATACGAGAACGGTGCTGTTGATGAGGCAGAGAAGCTAAAGCAGCATTTAGAGGAAGAACAGAGGAAGAGAAGAAAAAACACAGACGGGACAGACGCTGTGCATGTACCGGCATTTTTCAAGAAAACTGGCGAGGGCGATTACGACTGGAGCTTCATTGAAGGGGAGCACAGCTACTGGAATCGCCGCAAGAGAAATGATTGGAACGGCCTTGTGAAGTTGTGGTAGATTAATAGATGTATATTGGAATGAATGATAGAATTCAAATTGGTGGAATTTCTCTGATGAAGTACCTGTGGTTGTGTCCGCCTGCAACTACCACCTGCGCGGGAGGACCCGTTCTTTGCGAGGTGTTGATGTTCATTCTTGGTACGTCGTCTACGCGACCTTGCTGTTGCAGATAAGGCGACAAGAATGGAGAAAGCATTTCGTCGTTCTGAATAGCCTCTTCAATGGCCTCCTCGATAGCCTCCTGCACCACTTCGTCCTCGTTGGACAGATTGGCAAAGACAAAGGAAGAGAAAATTAGGATAATGCCAAGATAGTATCTAGCTGATGTGCTCTTCACTTTGTAGAATACAGAGTCGCAAATCATGTTGACGGGAATTGCGGTGGAAAGCGACAACGACGTGATCAGCGGAGAAGTCAACAAGGTTGCCAAGATCGAAAAATAGTCCGAGAGACAGTTGAAAAGCCCTCCAATGAAGACAATCCAGAAGATCGTAGAGCTATCTGGAAGAGAGAGTTTTTCGAACCCAAGGAAGCTTGCGAACAGAAGCAGAGGACACGCCAATATGAGAATACTCAGTCCCAAAAGACCAAATATGAGCCTTTCGTTGTCTGGGCTTGTCTCTTTGCCTATCTTCACTCTTAAAAGGACTAAGTAGCAAGAATAAAGAAACGTCCCACAAAGAGCAATGCAATTCCCCAATATTGGGTTGGGGGATGCGGATTGAGAAGATGCCAAGCTGTTAAAGGTTATCAGACATATTCCTGCGATACTTGCCAGGACGGAAACTACCTTGCCCAGGGACAATGTGTCGACGCCACATAGATAACTGAGAAGAAGCGTAAAGACGGAGCTTGTGGTCGTGAGAATCGTTTGGTTGGATGCGCTTGTATACTGTAGTGCAATTGCGCTCAAGGCAGCGTTTGCATAATAAATAAGACCAGCCTGGACCGCAACAATTATCAATTCCTTGAGCGAGAGCTGCTTGGAAGGAGCGTGGAGAATTATACTTGAAGAACCGCAAGAATCGTATGAGTTGAACACAGAATCGTCGAGCCTAGGCTCGGAGGCTGTACAAGCCTTTATCAGGCTTTTGAACGCGGGCTTGATCCCAAATATAACAAAAAGACCCCCATTTACGTATGCCACAAATAAGGGGTGCTGATACGAGTCCCCCTTTAGAACATTGTTCGTCAGCTGTAGTCCAAACACCCAGGTTGCCACAGTCAGGAACAGATAGAGGAGTCCCCTGAGCCAGTTTCTGCGCTCCTCTGTTTTGATGATATCCACGACATCCTCAATTACCTGCTCGCTGGGGAGATCGACATGAGAGTCCTTGGGTCTTGGCGACCGGATCACTCCCCCCGGGAGAACAGGTGACTTTAGGAGGATCACTGGTGACCGTAAATGCGTCTGTCTCGGCGGAGAACTCATGCCATCAGTAAACACTAGGGTATAGAAATAAAATTCGCAATGAGATTTCTCTTGCCTAAAACGGCTGCTGAAGATAAAAATGAAAGCTCATATGAGACGGGGAAATTTACTGTTTCGAGTTGCAAAAACTAAATTAAGACGAAAGCAAATCGTTAACCCTAAAATGCGTAGCACACCTGGCGAGAAAGAGAATGTGTCTCAATGTCTATTTTCTCCGACTACTAGAGCTCAGGTCGCAGTACTTCCACAGAATGTCCGGTGGCTTGTAGAATGGATTGGTAGGGGAGCCCGAATTAGAAGATGTTCCAATTAGAGATTTGGAACGGTATCTGAAACTCTTCACAGGAGATAGTGAAGGTCTTCTTGTGTGCAGAGAACCCTTGGTCTCAGACTCGATACTACCTAGTTTTCTGCTATCAAAACTAAGTCTTTTCCTCTTCTCAATGATTTTTTCCTTGATGACAGTCGGATTTGAGGCGGATACAAAATCGGCCTTCTGAATTTCCACATCCTCACCAGGTGGAAGGTTGAGGTAATTGTGCTCGATCTCGGCGGATGACAAAGAAACCGTCCTATCGATTTCCCAGTTCTGGCTGAGCTGTTCAAAACCTTCCAGAGGCTTGAACGCCCATTGCTTGTCGAACGAGTAGGAGGATATCTGCGTGGATTCTGCACTCGCAATGGTAAGAGCAGGAGAGTCAAATGGATCTGGCTGGCGCTGGTCAGTTTGCTCCGCGTCCTGCGCTGGCAGCTCAAAACCGTTCTTATCAGAGTACGAGACAAAATCAAAACCGTAATCAATGTCTCCTAACGGAAACTCTGACTCCGGCTCATTTGAAAAGATTCTGTACTGGTCAAAGAGGTCCATCTATGAGGTCTGCTCAAATAGAGGAAGCCTTGAATTATTGGCAGCAGCTGGTTTGAAGTGGAATCTGGCAATCTAATAAATGGAGCTTAACAATAACAGCACTCAATTAATTCCATAGTGCAGATCTTGCAAGTAGACAATTGAATAGTGGTGCTTCCTACAAGTCTTTTATACATTTTTATTGTCGGGACAAAAGCAAATTAACAATGTACGGATTATGTAATGCTAATCAGTTCTTGTGGGAGACAATTATCGCAGCATGTAAGTGCATATGCGAAATAACCGTCACAGGTGTAAGACTACATTCATCACAAGACACGCACAACTTGTTTGGCACCTCAGAATGGCAGCCTGCCAAGACAGGAGGTAGCATAGCGTTGAGACACCGAGAAACAAGCGTTATAAGATCAACTTGGGGCCAGTCGTCGACAACGCAAGGCCTTGAAATTACAAATGATTCTCACACGAACGACACTAGATGTAACTTCAAGTGGAAATAGGGCGGGGGGGAGCGGCTCGCCGCCCTCCGGCGATCGGAATACTACAAATCAGCCTGCCCCTGTACTTTGCTGCCCACCATGCCAACTTGAAACAATCCACATTGGAGCACTAGGACGCAAATTAGCGAGCACCCCTTTGACATACACAGTGTGTCTAGCGCTAAGGGGCGACAGTATTTTGTGGGCGAGAGCAAATAATCTGTTGGTTCGCTCCCCGATCGCCATTGCAGGCAGAGCTTCCTAAAAAAAAAGCCGCCCCGCCAGACTTCCGGCTTGGGACGCAAACTTATTGATCCTCTGTGATCCGTGGAAACAGCCGCGGAAATAAGGCTTGCTGGTGCTGGGGGAGTTATGTTGACAGCAACATGACCACATCAAACGGACGACTATCACGTTAGCCGTGTACCTACAACGACTGTTTACAAGCAACCCCCGCATGAATTTTGCTTGTTGCTGAAGATTTCAAAGCCTCAAAACGTGATCTCAGTTTTGCAGTGTGAAACGGTGATCTCATACGGCTCACGAAGTTCTCCAAAAACGTACCCAAATATATTCTTGTGGCTCTGACACCCTCTATTATACATAATATACATTATGTGACCTTCCTAATCTGTGTCAAATCTTAATTTGCGCGGTCTTATTGGAGGCTCTTCGTCCACAAGCTCCCGCACTGCCTTACCGGTCTTGTCCACATATTTCAGATAACCTTGATCTGTTTTGCGTGGTGATTGTGATCTTGCAGATGATAGGGACGGCCCGCGAAAGGGATTTTTGATCTTCTCCTTTCGTATTGTTTCTCTGTCCTCGCTCTCATCTTCCCACACGTGTTGCTTGAAAGGTTCCGGTGTCACGTTATTACGAGGTGTTTGGGGAGCCTCGTCTTCAAGAAGAGCACTGCTGAAATCCAAGCGGCGTGCTTTGATGGATTTTTCATAGTCGGTCAATTTGCGAACTATCTTCTCCCCTGTTTTGTTGTTGACCAGCTCCACCTCCTCCTCGAAACGAGAATAATCCGTCGTCTCTCTCGGGGCCCTTGGCTCTCCGCTCTCCAGGAACGGGTTGTTCATAGTGGCTCGCAACACAAATCGCTCGTCGTCGTCGCCCGAAACGGGCCGCTGCGGAGCAATGTGCATATTGTAGGCCTGTTCCTCCGTCATGACCTGTTTGGCAGGGGTTGACGGCACAGCAAATTCATCGATTTTGAAGTCGAGCTTCTTGGTGACTTTGTCCAGTCTCCGCGGGAGGTTTTCTCCCTCTTCGTCTGACGAAAACTGTAGGTCCTCTTCCAGATCGATCTTGTAAGATTTGCTGAGATCAAGCCTGGCATTCTCTAGTCTGGGCCCGCCAACGTGCGACTTGCGTCCAGAGCCAACCGTTGAGGGCGCCAGCGGGAAAAGTACGCTCGGCTCGCCAATTTTTGAGGCTATTGCATCCGTCAGGTCTTTACGTCGGCCGATCCTTGGCGTCTGGTCTGGTGTTTGTAATTGCTGCTGTCCACGTGTGTGATGGGCAACGGGAGACGCTGCCACAGCTTGTTTTCTGGGAAGATGATGGGGAGTATATGGCGTGTGCGGATGATGTTTGGTTTGATGTGTGCTAACGGGCGTCTTGAGGTATCTATTACTGCCTGCTGTTCGCGTCCCGCTTGGCGGTGTCGATGGCTGCTGAGGCTCAGTCTGGTGTTCTGGAGACCTCATCTTTCTGCACTAGATCCAATTCCGACGATTGCTTATTTTGGTTGAGATCAATCAAAAGTCTAATAAATCGACAATCACTTCTTCTCGTGTCGTAGATGGCTGGTTTATTTTTCTTCAACTTCAATTACTTTTCCGTTTTGGGAACCACCGCCTGAATGAACAGGAGACAAATTTTTATTTTCGGAACTTACATAAGCTATGGAAGCTTACCAGGTCGGATGCAATATGTAGCAGTACACACGCTTGCGGATCTCCTCTGTCTCGGGAGGGTCCTCAGGGAACATAGGATGATCCCAGTGTACCATCTCGACGAACTCGACATCGAAGTCAAAAAGCTCCTCGGCGTCAGTGAAAAACCTGAAGTCATTTTCCACCATCTGCGGTTTGGGTCTATGTGGAGACCAGACAACAAGACACTTCCCGCCGCTTCTAGGCTCAGATGGATCTCGTAGCGGTGTTATCAGCTCTTTTGCAGATTTGAGCAGCTTGTGATGTTCTGAGTGGTTGAAAACCAGATCGCTCATGATGATCAAGTCTGCCGTGCTGTCAAGTGTATTTTTGATTTCCTGCGTATCGTTGCCCCAGATGAACCCTTGCACGACAATCCTGCTGGTCAGCTCCTTATCTGCGAGACTGTCCACGTTGATCTGTATATTCTCTAGCAGATCAGGATCTGGATAGTCTGTAGCTACCACTTTTCTAGCACCGTTGATAGAACACAGCAAGGACGGAAGAGCAGCGGCAGAGCCAAATTCTACAACATTCTTGTCTCTAACTAGCTTCTGTGCGTGCCCTTCAAGATAGTTTGCCGTGTAAATACCTGCGTTCCACAGCAGATGTCCCCAGAGCGGCGATTTTCCAACAAGTCGAAGATTGATCCTGTCTATTTCAGGATGCGCCTGCTTATGCACCCTCGTATACATCTGATAGTGTGCTTCAGGCCTAGGGGGTCTGAATGTCTCAGGTTCCTCAAATAAACCTCCATCCAGGCCCAGCTCGTTGTCCGACATTAAATGTTTTTCGTAAGTTAATTTTTCTTCTGGATGGCTTACGTAAGATATACATATATCATGGACATGTGGTGACCTCCCAGTCGGAAGGATCGTGAACGTCTGGGTGATCGAGTGTTTTCATCTCCACATCTGACAGTTCGAACGAGAGGACATCAAAGTTGGTGGCCAATCTGTCTAAATTCTTAGTTTTAGGGATAGGAATGTAACCTTTTTGAATAGACCATCTAACGAGAACCTGCGCAGGGGTGACGCCTTTCTTCTTGGCAATTGCAACGGCATCAGGGTCGTTGATGCGGTTCGCATGAGAAAATGGTGCATATGCGATAACGGCGATGTCGTTTGCGCGGCAAAAGTTGCAGAGTTCTTGTCTCATGCACCACGGAGAAACCTCGATCTCGTTGGCCACAGGTTTGTATTTGAGACCTGGCCAGGATAAGAGCTCCTTCAGATGGTCAATGCCGTAGTTGGACACACCAATTGATTTCACAACACCCTCATCAACCGCCTCCTGCATGGCCTGATATGTTTCGAGTCTCATTTTCTTGCCCTGTGTAGGAGCATGAATCAGGAGCAAGTCAATATATTTCAGGCCATCGATCTGCTCCAAACACCCTTTGATTGCTTTTTTGGCGTTTTGGTAGCCGTGCTGATTTGTCCACAGCTTAGTGATATAGCAAACATGTTCTCTTCTATTGTGTTCCGGGTCCTCCTTCATCCATTCCAGCACGCCCTGAGCGCACTCCTTCTCGTTACCGTATAAGACTGCGGTATCGATTAGGCGATATCCAATTTTCAGGGCTTCCTTGACGACTTCGGTGGCGTTCGTAAGTTCCCAAGTGCCCAATCCCATGTATGGGAGATAGGAACCATTGTTGAGCTTCACTAGCTTTGACAACATGACGGGAATTGGATAAGAAAATTTATCTCGAAATTTTTAATTGCGATATGTAGTGCAATTTATAGTGGAAAAACAGCAAATCTAATCTATGGTAATATATGCTAGCAAAGCTAAGAAACAATTTCGTTTCCTTATTTCGGTAACCCTGTTTCCACATTGATCAACACCTCATCCGAGTCCTGTGGGCCTGCACCAACCTCGGTCAAAATAACTCTGGAAACGCCCGACCCCCATGTTGGATCCAACTCAATGGATGGAGGAGTCAGGGTCTCGGGGTCAATCTTTTGCCATCCATCAACAGACTTGAATAGAGCATGGAGTAGGCCTAGAACTCTCGACTCGTTTTTCTGCTCGTAGTAGATCACGGCATTAGGTCCTGCGTCGAACGTATAAGCTGCAATTATTTTTCCGGCAGACTCGTTCAGTAGGTTGATGAGCTTGATGATTTTTTTAGACGTGTCGTTCAAGTAGAAGATTGGAGGGTAGGAGTCTAGGCATGTCGCATGGAACGAATTGGAGTCTTTCATGGTCAGCTCGGCAAACAACGGGAAGTTCTTCTCCCTGATGGATTTTTTCATTTCTTCAAATCTCTGCGGAACAACCTTTTCGACACGGTGTTGAAACAATGATGACGTCTTGACGGTCAGTTGCATACCGCTTGTACTAGGAACGTCCTTTTTATCGTCAGAAACCACCAGAATACATGCCTTCATGTCTGGCCAATGACTCAGCGGAGCCACTTCCACAGCCTTGGAGTCCTCGCCGTTCTCTAACTCTCCCATCTCCCAGGCCACGTATCCTCCAAAGAGCGATCTGCACGCCGAGCCAGAACCCTTTCTTGCAATCTTGCTGAGGTCAGAGGCACTCTGAGGGAGCTCATAAAGTTTTGCAACAGCCGAGATCAATGCTGCAAATCCGGCTGCAGATGATGCCAGACCCGCGGCTGTCGGGAAGTTGTTCTCGCTGACAATGTGCAGGTGCATTTTGCTGAGTTTTGGGAGAGATCCATCCTGAGCTTCGAGTTCCTCTCTGTGTTTTCTGAGATCGCGCAGACACTGTTGGGTTCTCGGCGTGTCCAGAGAATGGGGTTGGCCATTTAGCCACAGTTCGTCTCTTTCGAAACCTTCAGAACAGGAGGCAGTGGTGAGAGTCCTCAGGTCTTTCTGCGACAAGGTAACGCTGATCGACGAGTTCGTCGGGAGGTTCAGGTCCTTGTCTCTTTTTCCCCAGTATTTGAGGGTCTGACGTTAGCATCAAAAGCTAGGCCATACATACAGCAATGTTCACGGGTGCCGTTCTCGAGGCGTAGTAAATCTTAGCCATTATTAATGATTAATCACGGGGACACCAAATTATTCCCTCTATTTTTTTTTCTTCGCGTACTTCGTTCGTATAAATCCTCAGATTTTCATATTTGTCAATACAAAACATATAGAGGCTGAATAATACAAATGTTAAAAAGTGGAGGAAACGTATTCGAGCTGAAAGCAATCTTTGGATCAAGAAGAAACCTTCTCCCATCTCCAGATTCTGGCTTTGCAATCTCCAGAACCAGTAGCAAAGTAGCCCCCATTGACTCCTCTCTTCTGGGTCATGACAGGCGACACATTCACGCTGATAACAGAGTTTCTGTGCCCTTGTAACATGATGTATGGTTCACCGGTCGCCTTCTCCCACATTATCACACCTCTATCTTTGGAACCCGACAGGATGAACTCGTCGTCTGGGGTACAGCAGACAGAAAGAACAAAATCCTTATGTCCCACATAGGTGACCTCGCAGTTGGACTTGGACGATCCCTGCTGTTTCTGAAGGTCTTTCAAAGACCACAGCTTGACAGTTCTGTCCAAAGAGCCAGAAGCAATATCTTTTCCGTCGTGTGTGAATGCAACCGAGTAGACTGAATCCATGTGGCCGTTTCCGCTCTCATTAGCAGAGTCGAGTCTTTCGACCAAGAAGCCATGGTTGGCATCCCATACCCTCACAGTTCTATCCAAAGAGCCTGCTGCAATCAGTTTTCCGTCCGGCGAAGCAGCGACCGTGGTGACACCATCCTCAATACTAAGGGTGAGCGAGCACTGACCAGTGAATACATCCCAGATCCTGACGGTTCTGTCTCCAGATCCGGAAACCAGCTTGGAGCCATCGGGGAAGAAGTCCAGCGAGTATATATCCTGTTCATGTCCCTTCAGGTACTTCACAATCGTTCTGGTAGCAAGGTCCCAGATTCTAATGATCTTGTCTTCGGCACCAGTTGCGAGGAACTTTCCATCTGGCGAGAAACAAACAGATCTAATATACAAATCTCCGGTGTCTGTGTCGTATGACCCGTTGGAGCTGGCAGACGACTCATCGCTCAATCTAGCAACCAGGTCGCCTGTTTCGACGCTGAACACTTGCGTGAGCTTGTTGCAGCCAGTGGCTAAAAACTTGCCGTCTTTGGAAAACCTAACACAGCAAACCACAGAGGTGTGGTCAAACGAGTGCACCAGTGACGTGTCAACCTTCTTTGGAACCTTCGGGTTGTAAACTATGTAGTATTCGCTGTGCTGTTTTTTGTACGGCAGACTGCTGTACGAGTCAAAGTCTTTCAAGAATGCTGGAATCGGCTTGTTGTGCTGAGACCTCATCACGTATCCAGCGTCTTCAACCTCGCTCTTCACAACAGAAGTCTGAATAGCGGCAGGAGGCTGTTCTGGTGAAGGCTGGGTCTGAGAAGCTGCTTGTTGCTCTTGGGTGGAGACTGGCGGCGGAGGAGGAAGCTGGGAGCTCTGAGAAATTTCAGGCTTCGCGCCTGAGGCTTGCGCGTTGATTTGCGGAAGAGCACCGTTGAAACCTGCGCCGCGGTAGTCGGACGGGGAACCACTGAGATTTGGCGGCGGCAGCTGCTGAGGAGTCTGTGGGAAAGCTCCTTGTGGCCTATCAAGAAGTGGATGCTGTTGAGATTGCACCTGAGCCTTCACCTGAGCTTGCGCCTGGGCCTGAGCCTGGGCCTGCTGCAGAGATTGTTGTTGGAACAGTCTGTCTCTGTTTTCGAGGTCCTGTTTCAATCTTAGGATTTCCTTCTCGTAAGCCTCCTTCATCGTTCTGTGGGCCTGTTCCAGTTCGTACACGGTATTCCTGATATTGGTGAGTTCCTGGTGCTGCTGGTTAATTTTTAACTCATAATCGTGATGGTGGTCTTTGTAGATTGTTGTTTCTCTAGTGAGATTGTCGAACTCTTTCTTGACAGCATCCAAAAGCTCATCCAGACGTTCACGTTCCGGCATTGTATGGTTGCTGCTGCTTGGGACGGCTCTTTGGTACGACATGTCACTAAATTATCCAGCTTGTCAATTCTCCAGTTGGCGAGTCAAGGTACCCAACAAATTGAAAACCGAGTAGCGTAAATCAACGGGTCTCGGTTTAAAATCACAGAAGTCTACTGTAGATTCAAAAGCGCGTTTTGTTTAGCTCCACAAAAACAATTTGCAACTAGTAAACTAACAGCAAGAGGAAGAGCAGGTGATCAAAATATACGGAAGAAAGCAAGAAAAAAAAAACGAAACGAAAATGTGCATGGGGACGAAAAAGACGAAAGTCGAAAAAACGATTAGTTGACGTGAAACTTATCACCAGCGACAGATGCGCTGCTTTAGGGTAATTTTACGTCCCGGAATGAAAAATCTTATGATCGTTCGCTTTTCTGTATACGTGTTCTGATTGGCCCGTTCGGTTATTTCGCCCAAATTTGTCCGTTGTCTAGTCTGGCGGGATGTTGTTCTTTACGCACTATTTGCGCTTTCCAAATTTCTTGGCAGTCCGTCCTTATTGTCTACCTCTATGATCATTCTTATTGTGCATCGTATTGTTCCGAGCATTATTACCGAAATGCTTTGTGGCGTAAGAGCACCCGTGCACCACAAAATGAAACAACACACGCGCACGGGGCGCTTACACGACTTGCCAGCCGTCAACAACAAAAGATTTTATTTTTCCTGGCATCGTACGGTACAGGAACACGGCAGCTAACTCGACTATCCGGTGTAGAGATGTCTTATAAGAGATTACCGAAACCAAAATAATTCTCCTTAATAGACAAGCATGTCAAGTGCCAGCGAGTTTTTGGACAAGGGCGTGGACCTTGTGAAGAAAGCCATTGAGGCAGATAGTGCCAGTAAATATGACGAGGCATACAGACTGTATTACAACGGCTTGGACTACTTGATGCTAGCCCTCAAGTACGAAAAAAATCCCAAGTCCAAGGAGACCATCAGGTCCAAATTCACCGAGTACTTATCGCGCGCAGAACAATTGAAAGAGTACCTTGATAAGAAACAGCAGCAGGACCAGACAGGCGAGGCTAGTGCGACGTCTGGGTCTGTGAAAGCAAAGAAGACTAGCGGAGGAGAGGATGACGACAACGACAGCGATACAAAGAAACTGAGAGGTGCCCTTGCTAGTTCGATTCTAAGCGAAAGGCCCAACGTGCAATGGAGCGATATCGCGGGTTTGGAACTTGCGAAAGAGGCTCTAAAGGAGGCTGTCATATTACCCGTCAAATTTCCTCATTTATTCAGAGGCAAAAGAAAACCGGTTTCTGGAATTCTCCTGTATGGCCCTCCGGGTACAGGTAAGTCGTATTTAGCCAAGGCGGTTGCCACAGAGGCTAATTCTACATTTTTTTCCGTGTCGTCATCCGATCTGGTGAGTAAATGGATGGGTGAGTCTGAAAGATTAGTGAAACAGTTGTTTACGATGGCTAGGGAGCAGAAGCCGGCAATCATTTTCATCGACGAAGTAGATGCGCTATGTGGTCCAAGGGGAGAAGGCGAATCCGAGGCTTCGCGGAGAATTAAGACAGAACTTTTGGTTCAAATGAACGGCGTTGGTAATGATTCTGACGGTGTTTTAGTGCTGGGGGCGACGAACATTCCATGGCAGTTGGACGCAGCTATCAGAAGACGGTTTGAGCGTAGAATATACATTCCCTTGCCCGACCAGGAAGCCAGAGTTGAAATGTTCAAGCTAAATATTGGAGACACCCCATGCTCGCTCACAACGCAGGATTACCATACACTTGCGCAAATGACGGAAGGATACTCAGGACATGACGTCAGTGTTGTTGTGAAAGACGCTCTTATGCAACCCATTCGTAAGATTCAGATGGCTACGCACTTCAAAAAGGTGGTCTCGACGGACGAGGAAGGACACGAGCTGGTGCAATATACGCCATGTTCTCCGGGGGAAAGTGATGCGATTGAGATGAGCTGGCTGGATCTCGACGGCGAGCAATTGAGAGAGCCGGAGCTAGGTATTAAAGACTTCATCAAAGCCATTAAAACGAACAAGCCTACGGTGAACAAGAAGGACCTTGACAAATTCGTTGACTTTACAAACGATTTCGGTTCAGAGGGGAACTAGAAAACAAAGCTCTATTAATATTTGGATATGTTAAAGTTAGAGTCCACCACCTTAGAAAGTTCAATTTTGATCAGCAGCAGAGCAGCGCCCTTGTTTTTCAAGAACGGCTTGGCGTCTGGGTTGCTCTTGATGTGTAGATCTCTGTAATACTTTGTTTCCTCTGAGTTTTCGTCCTCGTCGAAAACTTGCTCGACATACCCTGTCAAATTGCAACTCAGCTCGCATAATTCAGATTGGTTAAGGTCTTCGAGCAATCTGAGTAATTGACCGTGTCGCGAGACTCCGCTTGCTTTCGTCGATGTGGTCCAATCATGGACCAAAATGGAGCATTGTGGGTTTTGAGATAGATTATGGTACTTCTGAGTATCTTTTGGCGTGGAAATAAGCATATAGTGGTTTTTGCCAGTCTTGTCGTTATACTTCTGCTCGGGGCTGATAAGCGTGTAATTCATCAAACTCACATGAGGCACGTTGTTGAGACAGGTTCCCAAGTGGATGAAGTTGGCATTTTGTAACAGATGCAACACAGAGCTAGGAATTTCGGTTGTCATCTAAAAGTGGTCAAGTATGAAAATACTAAATGTCCAAGCCAAGATAGGGGGAGAAAATAAAAAATAGTGAGACCAGTATCTAGATTTATTTGGGCAAACGAAACTTTCATGGCTTCCGGCTCTTATCCCTGGGAGCGGCTGCCGAAGCCTGATATGGCCAGTACAACCTTCCTTCTTCTCCTGGAAGGCCCTGACGACGCTTTTGGACTACAGGCCGATTGTCCTAAGACGCCAGTTACCCCACAAGATCCAGAAGTCAGCGGAGAGCAACAAAGAACACAGAAGATCAAAGAGGCAATTCAGCATTCACATGAGTCGCCGGCGCTGAAGGCTAAGATGGCCGCTTCACGAATACTCCCCAAACCTTTTGCCGACATTGACGAGGATTCAAACTTGGACGACGCTGCTTTGCAGAAAATCAACCAGCTTGTAAACATGGACGACAGCGACTCAGAACGGTCGGAGTTGAATAAACTTTTTCCCAACGCAGTGCGTACGATCAAGCTTTCGGAGGGCGATCAGGACAACATTGATCGTGCGTTGAGGCTTGAAAGTGTCAAAAGCGCAATGTTGACACAAGAAGTGCGCAAAAGGAGGCAGGTTTCTGAAGAGCAAACTGCGCTCGCAAATGAGGCTTCTGCTGATGCGTTTCTGCTGAAACGAGCAAAAGGGAATCTACAGGATATAGTTTCCCGCAAACTGAGTCGGACAGAGAAAGACTAACTGGCGGGGAAAAATGGGGACGCAGATTACCTAAACGAAGAAAGAAGACGCAGATGAGGACCAAGAAACAGATCTGGATGAGGAGACTAATGACAATGTCGACAGCGATGATAGGGTATCCTCTCTCTCTCCAGCTCTCCAAACGAGCCATTGTCCCAATCTTCGGATGATAAATATGTTTCCATTCAACGAGATTGATCACGCTAAGAGCATGTCCGCCGTGAAGTGCATGGTGAAATGATTCGGGAGGATCTCGGGGATTGTATATTACAGTGGGATTTAGAAATGTAAAGTAGATGCAACAATTTTTATTTTTCACATTAATTAATTACATGACTGTGACCGAGCCAGAGCGGAATTTGGAGCTTCTAAAGCGACGAGTGCTAGCCAATTTGTCCAATAGGACAAGCTCGGGGCTTGTTAAGGTTCGTCTCAACAATGTCGAAATGGAGCAAGTCCAGATATACAAGATGTTGGAGAATACCATCAAATTCAACGAGGGTAAATCTTGTCTTGTGATAGGTCCTCGTGGGAGCGGAAAAACGACCATGGTGAACAACGCACTGCTGGATCTTCAGGAGAGGTTTCCGAACATGTTTTATGTGATTAGAATAAGTGGATTTTACCAAAGTGACGACAAGAGCGCGATCAAGGAGATTGCAAGACAGCTTGACTGGCATCTTCTCAGGCATTCGGGCGACTGGAGTGTTTCGTTCGAACGCTTTTCCGCCAACGATACCATGAACAGTGTGATGAGTGTTCTGGACGGCAGCCAGCTGAGGGAGGGGAAAGATCTGAATGGAGACAACGACGAGATGCAGATGCCTATCATCTTTGTGATCGACGAGCTTGACAGGTACACAAATGACGCCAAGCAGACACTACTGTACAATTTGTTTGATGTGGCGCAGTCTTCGTCGAACTCCCACGCCGTGGCCGTCATTGGATTAACCACTGTCACCGGTGTCCGAGAACAGTTAGAAAAAAGAGTAAAGAGTCGATTTAGTCAGAAGGTAATCCAGCTGACGAAACCTAGGCAGCTTGCAGAGTTCTGTGACAGTGTTTACTGCATGATTGCTGTCGGCGCCGACGACTTTGAACCGTCGATGTACGAGTTGGCACAGAGATACAACTCACACATGAAAATGCTACTCGGCGGGCCGAGCGAGCTCCGCAAGGTGGTTGTCCGCAATTTTTACACAGTCAAAGACCTCAACATTCTCAAGAGCCAGCTGACGCCTTACATTGCGAAAATGGACATGACCACATTTTCCGCGGGGCCGATCCCTAACGTAAACACCAACAACCGCAGTTTTCAAATTTTGTCGAGCCTCAGTGAGCTGGAATTGAAGCTCGTCATTTGTGCCGGCCGCCAGCTGCTCAAGAATTCCATGGACCAGGTCAATTTCAACATTGCATACGAGGAGTTCGAGAAGATTTCGAGCTCCCAGGCCAATACGCTGAATTCGCAGCTTCAAACAATGGGACGCGTGAAGCTCGATTCGGCACACCGTTCGCGGGACCTGATGCTCGCATGCTGGGAACGGCTCATCTACTACGGACTCCTCGTGGAGCCGATCCGGCAGATCAACGGAATCAACTCGAGCTTCTACACCGGAGGAGAATCAAATAAAATGTTTCATCTGGACGTGACGGTGGAGGACGTTGCGCGGCTTTTCCGCCATACAGATTGGGTCACCAAGTGGTGCAGAATATAGACCCCGTTTGTCTTGCAGAAAATTTTTGCTTTTCGCTCTACGGCCGAATCAGTTTTCCATTCACCCCTAGGCTACCCCGCAGGGTTATGGTGGGTGCCTTGTAAGCGCGAATAGACCGGAATAGAAACTTAAGTAGTGACAGATCCACCGATTTCGCCGTAGTCGAAGCATCAAAGCCACAGTGGAATTCTATATAATAACTGACGGAGTCCCTCTCGCACTCCGAGCTCTATCTTTCCTCGCACAAAACCTCTCCATAAAAAGTTTTTCTTGCTTGGGTAAAGCTCGCTAGTCCGAAAATAACCATCAATCTCACACAGCCTTTTTCTGTGCAAGAAAAGCGTCCAATCTTTTATCAATTTTCACAATGGACCCAACACAGGACCCGAATTTCAGGCCTCCCTCCACGCATCCGCCCGTGGAGCCCACAGTTTCGTCCACACTTATTCCGAACAGACGGCCCATACAGCCATACGTCCTTGCTGACTACTTGGAACCTATCGACCAACCTATAGAGCACGCGAGCGTTTCGAGCGAGCCACCAGCGTCAGCTTTGAATAACCGCCCAAACGCTAAGTTCTCAATTGAGACCGTTACCAGATCCAGCTCGCCGAGCTCGATCAAGCACAAAATCCCGAAGTCTAGAACCGAACTCCAGCCGTTCAGTTCCAGCGAGGAGGAAGAAGATTCCGCCACTCCGGACCAGAGCGCTTATCCGCCGCTCGAGGATAATCGTACGGCTTCTTTCTCCAGCACCAACCTGCCTCGGGTGCACTCATTCCAGATCGCAGATCTCGAGGAAGTTCCGCACGGTATACAGCGGCAGTCCAAGAGCCTTGAAGAGTACAAATTTCCTACACATCGTCTGAAAACACGAATATCTGAGCCCAACAAGTATCCTCTGGTAATTGTGGCGTGTGGCTCGTTTTCCCCGATCACGTACTTGCATCTGCGGATGTTCGAAATGGCCTTGGATGCCGTCCGGGAGTATACCAGGTTCGAGGTCATCGGAGGTTACTATTCTCCGGTTTCGGACAATTACAAGAAACCGGGCCTTGCCCCATCTCATCACCGGGTGCGCATGTGCGAGCTTGGCTGCGAGCGCACATCATCGTGGCTGATGGTCGACGCCTGGGAGTCCCTGCAGCCCAAATACACGCGAACAGCGCTGGTGCTGGATCATTTCAATGAAGAAATCAACATTAAAAGAGGCGGGGTGTATAAATACAAGAGCACCACAGAGAAAACAGGTGTCAAGATCATGCTGCTTGCCGGTGGAGACCTGATAGAGTCCATGGGCGAGCCGAATGTGTGGGCAGATCAGGATCTGCACCATATCCTTGGCAACTACGGATGTCTCATTGTGGAACGTACTGGTTCGGATGTGAGGTCGTTCTTGCTCAGTCACGACATCATGTACGAACATCGCAAAAACATTTTGGTGATCAAGCAGCTGATCTACAACGACATCAGCTCGACCAAGGTGCGACTGTTTTTGAGGAGAAATATGAGCGTCCAGTACTTATTGCCCAATTCTGTCATCCGGTACATCCAGGAACACAAACTGTATGTGAATGATAGCGAGCCAGTGAAGCAGGTAATGGAGCCCAAGGACTGAGACCAAGAATATAGATATTCCGAATATATCTCTTTAGCATCTAATTACACCATCGTAACAAGTTCTTCTGCGGAGGTTGGGTGAATAGCCACGCAGTCGTCAAAGTTGGCCTTAGTTGCTCCCATCTTGATAGCTACTCCGAATCCTTGGAGAATCTCGGACGACGCATCGCCAACAATGTGCAGCCCAACAATCTTCTCGTTCTGGCTCTTCACACAGACAAGCTTATACGCGGTCGGAGATTTGTGCTCAGACACGGCGTAGAACATCGATGTGAACTTAGATTCGTACACCTTGATGTCGGCCTCCCCGTACTTCTCGATAGCATCCTTCTCGCTGAGGCCGATCGAGCCAGCTTCAGGATGGGAGAAAATGGCGGAAGGCACGTTCTCAAAGTCCTGTTTTTGAGTTCTGAACGCCTCTGGCCCAAATAGTCTGTTTGAGAGTTTACGGCCGGTGGCAATAGCCACGGGAGTCAGCTCAACTTTGCCCACAACGTCTCCCAGGGAATACACGTTTTTGACATTGGTCTCTTGGTACTCATTGACAACGACCTGGTCCTTGGAGTTGAGCTTGAGGCCGATCTTGTGCACATCTAAATTAATAAGTGATTTTCTGCCAATGGTCCAGATCAGCTCGTCAACAATGATGCTCGACTCGTCGTTCAAAGTAACCTTCTTGGAGCCGTCGTCAAGCTTCTCAATCTTGGTCACCTGCGACTGCTTGTGAACGTTAATTCCTTCCTTGACGTAATGGTCGGTGATGGTGTTCTGGATGATAGTGTCGAATTTACGCAGAACAGTGTCACCTCTGATGATCAAGTGGGTTTCTGAGCCCAGACCGTTGAAAACTCCAGCCAACTCCACGCCGATGTATCCGGCCCCCACGACAGCCACCCTCTTTGGCTGTGTTTCCAGCTCGAAAAACCCATCCGAGGAAATGCCGAGTTCACAACCTGGAATCTTGCTTGGAAAGACAGGAGCGCCTCCGGTAGCAATTAGAATGTGGTCGGCAGTAAAAGTGGACACCTTTGACTTGTCCTCCTTGTGGACGACTTCGACCTTGCCGTCATCTGTGAACCTCGCAAAACCAAACAGATAGTCCACACCTTCTTTGGTCAAGTTCCTCTCGTAGATTCCATTGAGTCTCTTGATGTAGGCGTCTCTTTTCGCCTTGAAACCTGACCAATTAAAGTTGTCCGCAAGCGAGGGATCAACATCCTCAAAACCGTAGTCCTTGGCAAGTCTAATCTTCGCAGCCATGTCTGATGCGTACCACATCACTTTCTTTGGAACACACCCAACGTTGACACAGGTACCTCCCATTTGCTTAGCTTCGATTAACAGGGTGGACGCCCCATATTTGGCAGCTCTTCTGGCAGAGGCAACTCCTCCAGAACCTCCTCCAATGACTAAGTATTGATAATGTGAACGCATTCTTTTTAGCATACCTTTTTCTGAGGTCGCTTTTTCGAGTAAAAAAATGTTTTTCAACGAATATCGTGTCTAACTCTACATTATTAATCCACATTTATAAGCTATGAGTGACGAACATCCAGAACAGCAGGGCAACTTGTTTAGTGCTCAAGATGTGGAAGAGCTTGGTGACGACGACCAATTGGACGAAGAAATGAAGGAGGACAAGGGAGACAATTCCAACGAAGAGCAACAACCTCAGGAGCTGGAAGAGGACCCAGCCCTGGCGAAAATGCCTCCCATTTTGCCCCAGTTCCCTGACCTAACGAGAAGCGATAAAACGCTCGAAGAGGTGCTGCAAATGATGGACGACGAGGAGTTCACGCCGATCATCCCAGACAGCGTCACGGATTACTATCTTGCCAAAAACGGGTTCCAAACATCAAACGTGAAAATCAAAAGGCTTCTGGCGCTGGCGACACAGAAGTTCGTGAGCGACATTGCTACCGATGCATACGAGTATTCCAGAATCAGATCGAACACGGCCGTGTATAACTCGTCCAATCCACACGTGAGGGCCCGCGCCCTGATGATGGCGACATCGAACATGGCAAATGCGCCAGATGAATCGGTGGAGAATGGAGTTCAAGGCGCATCTGGGTCTGCTGGCGAAGGCCAGTCCAGCACGGCATTAAGTGGTGGCAGCCAGCAGCACAACCAGAAAGTTACTTTGACCATCGACGATCTCAGCAGCGCTCTAGACGAGTACGGCCTCAACATCAACAGACCGCAGTTCTACAGGTGATTGCGCGAGCGAAAGCGAGTTATGAATATAAAAAACCATATCGTCATCAAAACATTTCAAATGAAGGGAAGCATCTCCGTTTCCAGGAATCAATGCCCCAGTGAATAAGACCTTCTTCACTGCCAATGACCAACGAACTACTATCGTGGACTCGCAGGACGTCCAGCCCGCAGATTTCGACACTACTATCGAGATATTGCACGGTGTCCTCATCGAGAGTAACTTCTCCAATAAAATGCTGAGGGCTCTCGAAATGACGTGGTGCAGGCTCGTCGCTCGTGTCGTACTGGAACCGGCGGGGCTGATTTGCCCTGTCGTTGAGAATTGAACGCATTGGGGGACGCTGGCCCAGGCGGACTCCAGCGCTCTGCGAGCTGGCTTGGTCAAGATGTGCTGCGTCCAGGGCCAGTACCTCCTCTATGGACTTGACGACCGGCTGGTTATACGTGGATGCCTCGGAGTCATGCAGAACTCTTGGCAGCAGAATCACCTGGTGTTTCGAGTAGTCTCTAGTATCCACCACATGTACACGTCCCTGATGTTCGGAAATAAATAATAAATCTTCGGTTCCGCCACTAAACTTGCAAACCCTGAAGTCTCCACTCGCGTCGAGTCTTGTAGAGTGAATTTCGTGAAGGGCATGGTCTTGGCGTCTGACATCGTACACCAGGTTCGCTCCATCCTGGAAGCAGACACTGAATTGCATTCCCGAGGAGCTCCAATCGGTAGATATTCCGCAAAGATAGTTTGTCGATATGCTCTGTTGTCCCTTGACGTTTGCCATGTTTTCGTCAGAGTGCAACACAAACACTTTGGACGAGTCTCCAACCGCTATCATGCTTTTGGAGTCTGGCGAAATGCTTGAGTGGTTTAGCGGAACACCAACATTGATGTTGATCTGCGACTGGGCCAGACCGTAATTAGTCACGTCTAGTAAATACATATTGTGATCGTTGTTGCAAAGAATTGCTTTGTATGCGGAATTGGATATTTTGTACAAGGAAACGCAATTATTGATCAGAGTCCCCACATTCTTATTGATAACGTTGTCGTTGACTTTGGTGTACAGACCGAAAAGGCCACGACAGCTTCCAAGGGTCACTCCTTGAGGTGTTGCACTGACGACTCCTCCAACAGCAATCAGGTCGTCTTTCTCCTTCAGACATCGTGGAGAAGTCTCAAACTTGGTGATAGACTTGAGGCACTTGGTGGCCGTGGAACCCCCGTTGCCCTTGCGGGACAAATCAAGAGACATAAGGTTGTTTCCAGACGGGAAATATACTGACTTCGTATTCGACGCAGAGCACACCAGATCCTTCAGTTGCCAGTGGCTCATAGTGATATTGATGTTGTAGTAACTGGAACTGGGAACGAGGAAACTAGGGGTTGTTCCCTGAGATACATATTTTTTTGTTTCCCGACTAATCGTTAGCCAACTATGAACAGACCTGCACTCACCTTTCGGGCGTGGTTAAAGTATCAATAGTCATGATTTTCGAAAATCAAAGACTCCTGATATTTATTTTTATGTAAGTTATTAATTGCTTATCACTCACCCTATTCCATCACACGCCGGCAAGGTGACCCAATATATTACGTAATCAACCGTCAATTTGTAATCGTGCGATTATTGCCTGCCACACGCGACCTCAAAGTGTCTGTATACATCTCTGCACCGCAAAATCCATCTTTTGTTTGTAGGCCAGCAATATACATTCCAACGGCGATGGCATCTGTGGTTTATTTTCTCGACAGCAAGGGCCGTCCGCTGTTGTCCAGGGATTACAAAGGGGATATTCCAGTATCTGCAGTTGAGCGCTTTCCGTACCTCCTAATCAATAATTCCACCAACACTGAGAGCTTCGACGATGGGTCGGCACGGCCTGTGCTTTACGACAATGGCATCAATTACGTATACTTGATGCATAAAAACCTGTTCGTCCTGGCTATGACTCGCCACGACACCAATGTCTTCAACATCATGTCATATTTGCATAATCTCGTCAAGGTGTTGGAGAGCTATGTCAAATCATTGGAAGAAGAGTCTATCAGGGACAATTTCTCTATAATATACGAGCTACTGGATGAAATGATGGACTTTGGAGTTCCACAGATCACTGACACCAAGATCCTCAAAGAATACATCACACAAAAGTCCTTCACGCTCGAGAATGTTATTGCCACAGCTACTGGGTCCAAGAGCGGCTCCTTAATTCACCAGCCGCCAAAACAGCCGCCTGCAACGCTTACCAACTCCGTTAGCTGGCGGTCGCCTGGCATTTTCTACAAGAAGAACGAGGCTTACTTGGATGTAGTCGAGTCGATTGACATGCTCATCAATGCAAAGGGACAGATGCTGAGCTCCGAGATCCATGGAGCCATCAAACTCAAGTCTTTTCTTTCTGGAATGCCAGAGCTTGTTCTGGGTCTGAACGACCGTTTCCTCAATAGCGGGCTGAGCTCAATCAGGGGTGAGACTAGAGACTCCAACAACACCAAGGGTATAGAGGTGGAGGACGTCAAGTTCCATCAATGTGTGAGACTCTCGAAGTTTGAAACGGACAGGATGGTGTCTTTCATTCCACCTGACGGCGAGTTTGAGCTGATGAACTACCGTGTCCATTCGCATACATTGAAGCCGCTTTTCATGATCGACTACAAAATGAAAAACCATTCCAACACTAGAATAGAAATTATGATAAAGGTGAAGGCAAATTACAAAAGCAAGATCAGTGCCAACAGACTAGAGATACGCATTCCAGTCCCCGAGGACGTCGACTCGCCAAAATTCCACTATAATAAGGGCTCCATCAAATACATACCTAGCGAGTCTGTGATCTTGTGGAAATTCAAAAGGATCGACGGAGGCAAAGAGTACGTGATGATTGCAGAGCTTTTGCTTCCGTCCGTTCACGACGCCACCAGCTTGGAGAACTTCAAGAAGAGGCCAGTCAACCTCAGATTCGAGATGCAAGGGTTTGTGACTAGTGGACTCCAGATCCGTTATTTGAAGATTAACGAGCCCAAACTTAACTACCAGAGTTACCCATATGTGCGGTACATCACACGAAGCGGAGATAATTATAGTGTCCGTGTTAAATAGCCCCCGGAAAATAAATATTCTTTCTGAGGAATATTTTTGCAATATTTTGCAACCTTTTCTGTAGTGTGCCAGATTTTCCATTTACACATGGATCCAAAATTGGAGGAACGGTCTACCGAGCTCAAAAATTTGGGAAACCAGGAGCTAAAGAACAACAACTTTGATAAAGCCATCGAGTTGTATACCCAGGCGATAGACATTTTTCCCACGGCGATTTTATACTCCAACAGAGCGCAGGCCCAAATTAAGCTTGAAAACTATGGTCTAGCTATCGAAGATGCGAACCATGCGATCAAACTGGACAAAGACTACCTGAAGGCATACTATAGACGTGCAGTGGCCTACAGTGCGATTTTGGAATACAAAAAGTCTCTCTCGGACGTCAAGATCGTTCTTTCGCGGGCGCCGTCCGACAGAAATGCCCAGCTATTGGAAAAACAACTAGTAAGAATCATCAACCAGATTAAGTTCGAGAAGGCCATTGCTGTGGAGGAAAAGGGCTCTGCTATTGCCAGTCTCGACCTTGATGCGTTCACCGTTGAAAGCAGCTACCAGGGTCCTGACCTGGACATCAAAGTGGAAGACAAACGAGTGAGTGTTTCGATGACTCAGGAATACGTCTCTAATATGGTGGACTTGTTCCGCAAAGGCGGCAAGATCCCCAAGAAACATGCTTTTGCCATTGTGGCTGCTGCAAATGAAATTTTCAAAGAGCAACCTCCGATGGTCGAGTTTGGTCTCAAACGGCCCGCCACTGCTGCTAAGGAGCTACAGTTGGAAGAGGCAAAGAAAATCACTGTTTGCGGAGACACCCATGGTCAGTTCTATGATGTGCTGAACCTGTTCAAACGTTTTGGAAAGGTTGGAAGAGACCACATTTATCTATTTAATGGAGACTTTGTGGACCGCGGTTCTTGGTCCTGCGAGGTTGCATTTTTACTGTACTCGCTGAAATTGCTGTATCCCGAAAATATCTACATCAACAGGGGAAATCACGAGACGAACGACATGAATAAGGTGTACGGTTTTGAGGACGAGTGCAAGTACAAGTACAGCGAGAAACTATTTTCGTGTTTCAGCGAGTCGTTTAATTCTCTGCCGTACGCGTCTCTAATTGGCCAAGAGTATCTTGTCATGCACGGTGGGCTTTTTTCTTCTGACGATGTCACTCTGGACGACATAAGAAAGATCGATCGGTTCAAGAACAAACAGCCTCCGAAGGAAGGAATTGAGATGGAACTACTGTGGACGGACCCCCAGGAAAGCAAGGGGAGATCTGCTTCCAAGAGAGGAATTGGAATGCAATTTGGCCCGGACGTCACTGCGGACTTCTGTGAGAGGAACAAGCTCAAGGCAATCATTCGGTCCCACGAGGTTCGCATGGGAGGTTACGAAATAGAACACAATGGCAAACTAGTGACGGTATTCAGCGCACCAAACTACTGTGATATGCAGGGAAACCTGGGCGCAGTGATCAACTTCACGCTCAAGGGTGACGAGTATGAGCTGGAGTACGCAACCTTCACTCATGTCGACCATCCTAATATTCCTCCAATGAATTACTCCAAAAACAACTTTGGGTTCTAAATATGTCTGATCTCTTAACGAGGTCTCTAGAACGCTCTAGAAACAATGTATTCAAGATCATGTCGTTCTCGAAAAGGTTGTAGAGGGAGACAATCTGGGTGGGGCATTAACCTCCCTACAATATATACCTTTTCTGATATAATGAGTATGAAAAAAAAAAAATACGAAAAATTCTCCCTTTTATACGCTGGTGATGCAAGCGACCAAACACTTGATTTTCGTTTTCGCACTTCTCACCTCTTTTCTGGATGCTTTGGCCATCTCAGGCAAGCTGGACTTGCCCCAGGAGTCCCTGGCGGACCCTGCCCGAGCTTGGGTGTCTTTGTCTAATGAGACATGGACTTCTACTTACCGTCTCAATCGACGTGGAGAGTTCTCTACGATAGATCTAGAGCCAGGCAACTACTCCCTTGTGTTACGGTCGCTTGACTTTGCGCTTTCAAAGACCAATTTCTTCCGAGTCGAAGTCAATGGCGATTTCGAAGTATTCGAAGTGTATCCAGGAATCACTGCTCCTGCGAATCCCACTCCGCTTAAAAACAAATTAAACTTTACTGCCGATTCCATCGTCATCAAGTCGTTTGCAGATGAAGACCAAACGGCAGGGATTCTGAACATGATACCGTTCTGGGGACTCCTCCAACAGTATCCGATTATAGGTTTTGTGCTAGCTGCAATGACATTGATTGCCCTGCTACCGACCTTGATAGGCCTGATTGACCCCGAATTTACGCAACGTGCGCTTGAAGTACAGCAGCAAGCCAAAAAGGAAAACAAGGCAAAGCGTGCTTGAGGCCGTCGATCATATAGCTTAAATTATTCTGCCCTGCGCCACATATGGAAAAAAATTTGTTTGTTAACTTCAGAGGTGATTCGAAGGATCTGGATCACATGGATTTATAAACTGCCGAGCGCGTAACCTGCTGAGATTCATGCCTGTGGCTGAAAGTGCCCGCAGGGTGCTAAAAAGCAGCCTATTCGACATAAAAGTGGTATCGCTCTGTTGTTCTTGGTACTTCATCTCCAGTCTTACTTCGCAGTTGACCAAGCACATCCTCAATGATTTTGACTTCCCCGTATTTGTGGGCGAGTTTCAGTTCCTGTGCAGTCTATTACTTGGTCACATCACTATCTTTCTTCTCGGGAGATTCCCGCACTTGAAATCCGCAATTTTGGGAAGCTCAAGGTCCGGCACAGGCTTTGTTTTTAATAGACGATTACTGAGAGTTTTCTTTCCCATGGGCACTTTCCAGTTTATTGGGAAATTGCTGAGTCTTGCTGCAACTTCATTATGTCCCGTGGCAACCGTTTCGTCTATTAGGGCTTTGGGTCCTCTACTGACGGTTATGGGATACCGCATATACTACAAGGTCCGCTTTCCATCTTACACCTACCTGTCTCTCATTCCCCTGGTCTTAGGCGTCGTTATCATCGTTGTATCGCAGTCCGGAGACAAGGACTCTACAAGGGGTACCATATCGGACCCACAACTCAGCAGCCAAGAGGACGGAGAAAAAACCATGCTGCGAGTAATGCTCCTGGAAAAGTCCGATTACCTCAAAGGTATAGCATTTGCGTTCGCGTCCGCAGTCATTTTCGCGGGCCAGTCAATATACGCCAAAAACGTTGTCACTCCGTCATCATACTCTGGGGCTCGAGATCCCGGATCGCTCGCCATTAGTAGGGGGTCGTCGGCGAATTCCGATGTCGAAAAATATGCTGCCTCCTCAGAACACCCAAAGCACAAAAGATCCGGGGAGTACGAAGGTGCTCTTGAGAAGCCAGACAAACTTACAACTCTTATTTATTGTGCAACGTATGGGATGCTATACTCGATTCCTGCGTTCATCACATATGAGTGCTACGAGCTATTTTTCGGCGTCAGAAAAGTTTCGGAGTCCACATACGTCCCCAACTACAGCTGCATACCCTGGACCATGCTGGTACTGAACGGGATTAGTCACTTTGGACAATCATTGTTGGCTTTTCATATTCTTGCTCTGTTGCCCACGGTCACGTACTCGATCGCCGCGATGATGAAAAGAATAGTCATTATCAGTGTAAGCATGATCATTACCGGCAAAAGACTCTCCTTGCTGGAGATCACCGGACTGGTGCATGTTGCTATTGGCCTCTATTGTTATGATCGGTGGGGGTCAAAGCGCTAAAATAGATTGTGCAATATGTACTAACTTTAACACCAGATCATTAGTTTATTTTGACTGGCTGCTGCCAGCTCGCCGCGTCCAATGACCCGGCCTTCACCGTTCAGCTCCAAGTTGAGCTTGAGTTTGAGGCTGGTGATCTCCAAATCTCCAAACATGCTGAACTCGCGTAAAATGTTGATGCGCCAATCTTGGTCCAACATCAATTCCACTAGCTTTATTTTCCCGCGGAAGCCAAGAGCCAAAATCGAATGGTGGTTCCACTGATGGTGTTCGATGCTAGGAGAGTGGTTGAGGTTTGCCTCTCCAAAGGTGATGGACAGACACTCTTCATGTAGAGGCTGTTCCAGCAGCAGCAGTCCATTGATCGTCTCAAGTCTCAATATATTTTTCCTGTCCACCACTGCAATGAGGGCATGCTGGTTAGATATTTCAATAAGCTTACCATTCTCAGTAATATCTCGCATGTGTTTGCGTTGCAGGAGGTCCCACAACTTGACTGTTCCATCTTCACTATAGCTCAGGAGAACCGAGTAAAAAGTATTCACCCTGACCTGGAGCACTCTGGATCGGTGTCCTCGTAGAACTCCAAGCTGTATTACCTCCTCAGATCCTCGTACCCAGCTCGTTTCGGCAGATTCTCGCACGTTCATTTTCTGGGCGTTTCTCAAACTTGTCAACTTGTTCGAGGTTAGCCTGTATATTTGCAGGGTGCCGTCTTCAAAACCAGCCACGAACTCGTCAAGGTTTAGAATTTCCAATGCTGAGATCATGCTGGTTCTCACGTTCTCAAATACAACGTGGTTCATCAACACCGAGTTGCGGCCGACTAGCTGCAGTTTGAGATGCTGGCTACCTCGGGTGAAACGGTCTCGAGCTCGCCATTCCATCTTGACAAAATCAAACTCTATAGTGTCTATGTTGAAAGGAGCATCGATAATTGATAGTGGCAGCTCAAACAGTTTGGTGGGGTCGAACTTCACCTTCGTGTGAACTTGCTTCCGCGGATGAGGTTTGTGGAAAACTTGAATTGGGGTTTGCCCAAAATTGTGGATAATGTTCACTATCACATTCCTCTCTCTCTCGTCCTGAATTTTGTCTAGGTCTGCGGATCCCTGGTAGCTCAGATGATGAAACACGTTCAACGAGTCTACTGCGTGCTTTCCCCGCTGCTTGAACCCGAACACAAGATCAATCCACTCGTGCAGATGCGCAGAAACATAGTCGCTCTCTAAAGCCTGTTTCATTTTCTCCACAAAGATCACAGGGTCATTTTTGGCCCATGGAGGCAGACGTACATCGCCAACTTTGGTGCCATCTTGTAAATGGCCAAACTCAAAATTGTTGGAGTTGAGCAAGAAGTCTGGGAGATAATAAAACTCGGGAATCAGTTCTCGGACGTCTGTGGTATGGTCTCGGGACGCACTGTACCACGTCTTCACCATGGAGTGAAAAGTTCTATCAGCATGGTCAAATTTGCCTCCCTGAAGCAACAAATACGATTGCACAAACGGCTTGAGGCGAATGAGATAAGTTGTGACAATCATTGCCGACGAATAATGCGTTCCGTAATGAAACGGCGGTGAGTCGGGCGACATATCTGCCGAGGCATCGTATCTTTCTCGAAATTGGGCGGCTCTCTTCTCTGTCTGCGCCCCCATTGGCTTTCCAAGGTCTCTAAAAGTGGCAGGATTGGTCAGATCAAGTTCCTCGTTTTCGTAGTCCGCAATGACAAACGGGAAGATAGGATACTGGGTTAGATCGTTGAACGTGCGACCAGCAAGTGTGTTCACGATGATCAAGTAGTAGAAGTTTGATATTTCGCCCTTTTGCCACTTCCTTGTTAATGAGCTGAGCGTCGTTGACGAAGCCACAGAGGTTATTGCACTGACAAGCTTGGCCCCAATCGTCAACGAGGATGAGGATGCTAGGGTGAGAGCGTCTTCCAAAATCGTGTCAGGATACCTGGCCGATACTTTAGCGGACAACACATTGAAAATCCCATCTCTTGTTTCCTTAGAAGCACAGGTAATTAGAAAATTCGAACCATCGATGAAAAAGAGCTCTAAAGCCACGTCTCGCAGAAGAAATGTCCGCTTGCTGATAGATGCAAACTTAGCCAGCTCCCATGTCTTAGTTTGATGTTGCGATGAAGGAGCTTTCGAATTGCCACCCGTGATCAGCTGAACGTACGAGTCCCTCTCGTTCGGAGGAGCATCTCTCAAGTCCACAACTTTCTTATCTGAGGTCATAAAATAGTTGCCAATCATGTATATATGAAACTGTCCCAGAATAAATATCGATTCAAGCGTTTCAAGACCCAATATCTGCGTCACATTGAGCATCTCAACAATCTTATCGCCAACGTACAAGCTCCGGAGAATTTTGCGGTTCTTGTCCTCCTGTACGAGGTCAACGTCTATCTGTTCTGATAGAAGCTCGTATTCTTCTGCAAGTTCATTGTATTCTAGCCCAGGACTCTCCTCTGTGGGGATATCATCCTCCGTCAGGCAGAGCTGTTTAATCATCCGCTTGCGCATCCGGTCTGGGCCCTCAGTAGAGTCCAACACAGCTGCGAATTTATAATTTTCCACTGGAAGCTGTGACTTGATGTCGTTGAAGACAGCGATAAAGTAGTTGAGATCATCCATATCGTCCTGGATGTGTCTGTTGAACTTTTTAGTTTCTGCCTGTTCTATTGTCTTGCTCAAGAGAATGATATCTTTGGAGTAAAGCTTCTCTATTTTTTCGTTGCTATCTGAAAGTCGAGACGGAGCCATTTCATCTATTACTTTCCTAGTCACCAGTTTCCCTTGTTGTTTTCGAACGTGCAAAAGATAGCTCTCATATGTTTCGTCGATAACTTTGCGAAGACTAAAATCGTTATCCCAAATACCCCTGATCTCCTCATCATTGAGTGACAAAAACTTCTTAAAATAGTCCCTTATTTTGGCCCGCTGGCTGCTGTTTGAGGATAAGCATGCAATCACAGATCTGACATCTATATCATTCATGAGCTGAATCCGAAGACAATTTAAAGCTAGACTCGATAGAGATTCATCGGGAAGAGTCATGCACTGAAATAAAGATGCAACTATGACAGACAAGTTCTCATCCCCTGCGTATTTTGAAAATAGCCTCTGATTCGCCATGAGCACAGAGCAGCAGATTTTTGTCTCATTCGATGCTGTTCCACGGCTTTCCTTTTCCTTAACCGTTGCCTTCACCAGCAACTCCGTGAAAAAGTCGCAAAAATGCCTTTTTGTGGTTTTTAATTTCGAGTCTTCGTCGAAGTTCAATATAGGACTTAGTCTTTCCAGCACCGAATAATAATCCGCTTCTTCAATAAGGTGATGCTTTGCCAGCTCCATAATTCTTGAAAGCAACTTGGAAATGAATCGCGTGCGGCAGCTTGGCTCCAGTTCGTTGAGGTGTGTCAGGATTTCCGGCAATATTATGGACGTGAAAATAGCAGGAAACTTTTGGTGAAGTGCGTCCACTGCAAGTGATTCCGTTTTTCTAGCGTTTCTTTCAATCTTAGCCTTGAATAATTCTCCAACAAAATCTTTGTAAGGAGCTATGATTGAAGAATCGTGCGTGTTTCTAATCTCATAAACCAGACGTAAGAATGTTTGGAGCCATTGGATATGATTTGAGGCTACCATATTGAAAGACATGTTTGACTCAAGCAGGTGCTGAATTTTTCGCACATACGATGATATTGTTTCAGAGTCTAGCTCTGATTCTGATAATAACGCGTTCACCAATACTAAGAATTCAGGCATGACGACCTGGCTTTTCTCTGATAAAGATTGCTTTCCGAATGCAAGAGTCATGATCAGATTAATCACTTCAAAATTGTTGTCCCACTTCTTCAATAGCTTAAAAAGCAGCAAAAGCTCTGATTCGTCAGCAAAAGACTTATAAAGCTTGGTATTAAACAGCAAAACGCGTTTCAAAAGTCTCAAGCTGGTTTTCACCACATCTGAGTTGTCGTTATCAAGAAGCAATAGAATCCACTTCGTGGATATAGATTTCATTATGATTTTGTAGCCGTGAAGGTTCGACATCAATGTTGGATCTTCGACGACAGATTGAATGGCTCGCAAGACAGTTAGTCCGCATTTTTTCTGTAAACCTCCCAAATCCCGGACCCTCAAAGAGTATACCACATATAGGGATAGTGCCTTAATAGATTCTGTGGAAGGGTTGTTTCTTACCAGTATTGAGATTGTGTCATGTAATAAGGGCAGCACTCCCTCCTCAAACAAGCCGTACTTCATAGCCTGCACGAATCGTTTGATAATTTTCATGTCGGCCAATTGTTGGATGTTGTAGCTGTTGTAACGACTGTCATGAGCGAAGACAGAGAACTGGAACAATAGAAATTTGAAAGTGTCTCTGACGGAAGCGTCTCCAACATGATCAATGGAACCCGGCTTCCATATCTCGAAATCGACAATGAGGATTCTGTATGCAAGAGCATTGGCCAAGGTTGAGTCTATCGGAGATGTATCATTGTATCCAACAAAACGCAAAATAGCATCTAGGACCGTAAGGTCCAAAAATGGCTTTTTTGTTTTCAAAATGGTGGCCACTATGTTGTAGCCGGAGTTCATCTCAAACTCTTGTTTCGAAACCGGGTCTTTTGACAGCAGCGCAAATAGAAAATCGAGGCATTCGACGAGGGAGTTAGATGTTTTGGACGTCTCCAACAGTCGCAAACAAACAGCCATACCACCAATCGAGTACAGTGAGTTGAGCAGCAAGTTCGGTTTCCAATGAATGGTCGAGCTGATTTCTGCTGATGAGTTGGCGTTGATGTCAACTAATATGGAACTGGAGCTGATGCTGATGTCTTTCGATGTCCTACCGTCCATATTTTCCTGAAGTTTCAAATCCATCACCAGCTTTGATTTTTCCGAAAGACAGCGCTCGAGATGGTTGCCTTGGTAGGTACCAGCAAATAGCGGGCCCAGGTGGTACGACAGAAGGATCCAGCCATAGCTGACACGTTCGCTTAGAAATAGTAGGTTTATCAACTCGAAGTGCATCCCGTGGAGTCCCTGTATATCGAAGGACGTGGCACGGCCGGATTTTTTGTATGCCAAATTGATTGACTGTACAAAGTCACCATTGACATAGAGATCGATGTAGGATCTGCGCTTCTCCTCTTTGTGCACAAAAACAACGTGATATTTGCGTAGCGGCTCAAACACAAATGCCTCGAATGTTACACTGTCTGTTGATGTGCTGACTAGAAACTTCTGCTTCTCGAAGGAGTAGGTGAGAAGTGTGTCTTTGCCGTTAAGAATGAACAGAGAGGACGAGGAGGGCTGTTCGTGTGTTGGAGTGTATTGAAACCAGAATTGGATTGTACAGTTGATGATTGAAGCGTCGACCGAGACCGAGTGTTGCGATGTAGGTAAAAATAAATACGAGCGGTGCGAGTCGAGATGCTTTGTGAATAGCCTTTGAAAAGAGATGGCTGAGCCGGGATTTTGAATGGAGTTTCTGTACAAATCTGCAGCCTGCTGGAAACTGAGGCCGAGTTCAGAGATGGACTCGAAGAAGTCGAGCACCAAAAGGTCTCTTTTGTCTCGTGTCTGCTTCGCGCAGTAGTCCATTAGCGATTGGCACAATGCTTCGGAATGCAGTCTTATCTTGTTGATTGGAGAGATCTGGGACAAGTGGTGGAGCAATGACAGAGCCAGATCTGACTCGGGGTTATTCCTATGTGACAGTGCTTTAACTACGACATCCTTCAGTATTGAGGCACGCTCTCGCTTCAACAGCGGAATTGATCTCAAAGAGTCAAGGCACTCGACTAGCACCGACTCCTCAGACCCTACCAGCCCGGAAAACTCAAAATCTCCTTCGATACAGGAGGACAAAAGGTCGATCATGAAAGACAAGGTTGAGACCCATGGATTCCTCCAAAATCAATAATTTGAGCCGCGCACTTCTTCTCCACTATCTCGAAAAATCTTGACAAGCAAGAAGATATATATCATCTGAAAAAGCGGGATGGGTTTCGAAGAGAGCGAGGATATCCTGCAGCCATCCGAGCAGCCTTTGGAGGCACCAGACTCGCAGCTTGCCCAGCGGCGTGCGGAGTACGTGAAGCTCGTAGAGGAGTCCTTTTTCGATCTGAGAGAAGGAACCAAATACTACGGCGTGCCGAAAGAGTGGCTCAACATTTTTCTGAGAGGAACACCTGAAGAGGCGGCGGATCTGGGACCTATCAACACAAGCAGCATTTTGGATCATACAGAGCTTTGCATCAATCCTTCAACTAGTCCAGAGTTTGTCGCAGAGCAAGTCTTTGCGAAACTTGTTGAGTGGTATGGCGTGGATGGTCCCTCTGTCGAGCGGCAATTATTCATGGACAAAAAAGATGGCCAGCTCAAGCTCGAGACGTATCCGCTGTATATAATTCCGCATCTGCTCTGCAATAACCCGGAAACCATCAACAGATACAGATTGGCCGGGGCAAAGCCGTTTCTGATATCTGCTCTTAGCACTGCCAGGGACCTCAAGCTAGCTGTGAAAAAACAGTTCGACATAGGCAAAGGCACCACGAGAATATGGAGAATCACGCCAGCAACTAGATTGCCCGTGATCCTCACTCCTCAGGACCTGTCAAACGTCAGCTCGAAGACGCTGATCCCAGCAGGAAAGAAATCTGGCTCCATAAAATTGGAGGATCTGAACATCACTGAACGCAATATTCTCATCGAGATTCAACAGGAGGACGGAATGTATCCAATGGACACATCTTCAACGGTTTCGCTTGGTTCAGGTTTGGTTGGACTCAATAATCTGGGGAATACCTGCTACATGAATTCCGCTCTGCAATGCCTGGTTCATATCCCGGAGCTCACCCACTACTTCTTGTATGATTATTATGAGAAGGAAATCAACAGAGACAATCCCCTAGGAAACGATGGAAAGGTGGCGACTGCTTATGCAGGCCTGGTCAAGCACTTATTCGATAGACGCTTTGCGGGCCCCTCAAGCTCGTTTTCACCAAGAGATTTCAAATACACAATCGGATACTATAACTCGATGTTCGCAGATTATCACCAACAAGACTCACAGGAACTGATTGCTTTTCTTTTGGACGGACTGCATGAGGATTTAAACAGGATCCTGAAGAAACCGTATGTTGAAAAGCCAGAGCTGCAGGACGAACACGTCAACGACCAGGAAGAAGTGCGGAAATTGGCACAGAAGTGCTGGGACAGCCACAAGCTGCGGAATAACTCCGTCATTATCGATCTCTTCGTGGGACTGTACAAGTCGACTTTGGTGTGCCCTTCTTGCGGCAAGATAAGTATTACGTTTGATCCTTACAATGATCTCACTCTACCATTGCCCGTTCATAAGAAATGGATAGGCAAAGTCAATCTTTTATTGGAGGAAGGTTATCCCAAAAGTCTGGAGGTGGAGCTTCCCAAGTCCTCTACGTTTGCTGACCTCAAAGCATACGTTGCAGATAAATTGAAGGTGCCTATTAATGAGCTGCTCGCCGTTGAGGTGTTTCAGTCGCAAGTGTACAAGAACTTTGAGGCCAAGGATTCAGACACACGCTATCTGCCTATTTCTGACTTGATCGGGCAGAACGACGAGATATGGTTCCACCAGATCAAACATAAGCCAGGAGACTTGATAGTCCCTGTTTTCAATACCCTGTCGGACTCTAGAAACACTAAACCCTTCGGCATACCATTTTTCATCACTGTTACGAAAGATGAATGCTATTCGTTTGGCAGAATAAGAAAGAAGCTGGAACAACGCTACAGCCAGCTTTCTACGTTCAACTTTTTTGGTTCGAGACGGCAACTGCAACATCAGGCTGCAGAATTTCCCGGGATTGAGGATGGCGATGATGATGATGTATCTCTGGCCGATCCTGAAATACCCGGAAATTATGCTTTTAGTGTGAGGGTGTTTGATTCCTCTCGCGAACTCAAAATTGGCAATAGATACGGCAGAGGCCTCTACGGTTACTCTAGGTATCCCCAGGAAGATGAGGAAGACGACTCTTTGTGGATTCCTCGCACACATAATAATTTCAAAGGTCTGCCCGACCTGCTGGAAAAGGTGGAAGAGAAGAAACGGAGATATTATTTATATGGAGCCGGATCTACCAAGACGGTCACCAGTGAGGACTCTACTCCGGGGATCTCTGGTGATGGTACTGATGAAACCAATTTGATGGATAGCGACGCTAGTGAACCGGATCTGGCCCCATTGACAGAGGAGGCCAACGGTATGCAAATAGATGATGAAGAAAAAGAACAGCAGCAGCATTCAGAGTCTGAGCTAGAAAGCATTTCAAGACCACTCATTTGCGAAAAAAATGCTCTGGTCTGCGAGTGGGAGCCCACATTTTTTGATTCTTTTTTCACAGGAATTGAGGAAGATGGACAGGGAGGCAGAGAGACATGGTCAAACCCAGAGGTACTGGAAAACGTTGAAGTCGAGGAAAACAAGCGCCTCATGGCCGAAAGCGAGCGGAAGAATATATCTCTGCATAATTGCATGGAGATGTTCTCGAATCCGGAGATTCTAGGAGATAATGACTTGTGGTACTGTCCAAACTGCAAAGAGCACAGACAGGCAACCAAGAGAATCGAGATCTGGTCTGTCCCAGACATCCTTACTATCCACCTAAAGCGATTCGAGAATACGAAAAGCTTCAGCGACAAGATAGATGCTGTTGTGGAGTTCCCCATCGAAGGTCTCGATATGTCCAAATATGTGGTTGATTCTGCTGGGCAAGAGATGTTGTACGATCTATTTGCGGTCGACAACCATTTTGGCGGGCTTGGCGGGGGACACTACACGGCGTACGTCAAGAACTTTGTTGACGGAAAATGGTACTATTTTGACGACTCACGGGTGTCTGTCGTGGACCCTACCGAGTCCATCAGGGGCTCTGCCTATCTGCTATTCTATCGGAAGAGAAGCAGCCAGCCTCTGGGAGGCGAGTTCTTCCGCCGTATGATGGAAGAGATCGGACAGAAAAACACGGAAAACCAGAAGAGACTGCAGGAGTCCGTGAAACTGGACGCTCTGAGAGCAGACAGCATAGACGAGTCTCCGACGCCGATGGAATCCTCGAACACTACAGAGAGCGGGGCCAGCGTTACGACGACCGCAGACGTTGCATCTGACGAGAATGAGCAAGGCTATAATGAACTGAAAAGCGAGCGAAGTGATGAGACCGAGTCGTCAGTCTCGGATAACCTTATCAAGCGTCGCAAAAAGATGCTGGGCGATGGCCACATCGATTCGACAATCGGTTCTCCGGCTAGTGACATGGACGACAATGTGTCCACGTTCAGCGGAAATGCCATCGCCCCGGCAGACATTAATGATGGAGCATATGGTGAGTTTATTTAGAGTATAGCTGAATGCATGGTGCGGTATTTTGCTATGCAGAAATTTTTCATATATTTTGTTATACTTTACATGTCACAGACCGCGTCTCTAAAACTCAATCGTTTTCCGCCAGACGTCCTGGCCCGGATCGCACCCGATATGCTACTCCAAAAGTATTTGCAGATCGGGCTGCGTCCGTCATTGCGCAAGTTTGACGAGTTTAGGCCGGTCGTAATCAGTTGTGCCGGAGTTGGAAGGTACGAGGCTAGCGAGCCAAACGGCGACATCAACGGAGTTGGAAGCGTGCTAGGGTCCTCGATAGTGAAGTCGGGCAAGACTACTGCCATTTGTTTGATCAGCGGGGCGATTGTCGAGGACGATCACGAGCTGGTTAATGATTACAGAACGAAGCTCGAAAAAGACATAATAGACAGCGACACACATAAAGATAATAAGAACGCCAGCGTTTACACAGAGGTTGAGATTTCACGTGGCGCTAGTGGGCCACCGAACGAGGAGGAGATCGCGGTCTCGCATAGACTGTACGAAACCATCTACCATTCTGGTCTCATTGAGCGCGACGCTCTAAGGATCCGGCTTGGGTATAAGGGGAGCGAGGAGCTGGAACAGGAGTTCGTGCCACACACAAACTACTCGTTTGTGCTATACGCTACCATTCAGGTCTTCTCGCGTGCTGGTCCGGTATACGACCTATGCTACGGGGCATTAATTTCTGCGCTTCGACAGACTCGTCTTCCCGCTGTGTACATTGCCGAGAAACGGACCGAGGCGGGGGTTCGTCGGGTGCGAGTTGAGGAATACGACCTTGTGTGTGAGGCCGAGAAAAACGAGCCTCTAAAGCTGAACGAGAACAAAATAGCTTGGAGTTCGACGTTTGGGCTGGTGGAGCTCGACAGAGACGTTCCTCATGACGAGGATAAAATGGAGATTGATACGGACGGCAAGATTCTGCTGGCAGAGCTGGAAGGCGAGGCGGAAGAAAACATCGATACTCGGATTACAGTGAGCTCAAACGGTAGCACGTTAAGCGGCCTTAGCGTATACGGAGCTGCCGGTGTCACGAAGGAGGATTTGAGAAAAGCATTTGATTTGGCCAACCGCCGCGCCCAGTATGTGCTGAATAGTAGAGAGATGGAGATGTGATATTGGGACTATGTTTTCATGCTAGAGGTATACAAGTGGAGAACTAAATCTTCTTCTTGGTGGATCTGAGGTTGCGCTGTCTTGGGACGGCCAAAGGCGATCCGGTGTTGGAGTCGTAGTTGGACTGCAAAGTTTGCTTGTCAAGATAAACGTACTCGTTAACTTTGGCTGCAACACCACCTCTAACCCTGCGGACAACTTTGGCTTTCTTCGAGCTCTTTTTGTACACCTCAATATAGAATGCGATGAACAGAACAAGGTAGGACGAGATGATAATACAACCACTGATGGTGGCTAGAGGCGTGCCGGCACAGTCACCGCAATGAGGCAGCGACGGAACAAAATTATGGACGACTTTCTGGTAGGTGGCAAAGTAGATGAAGGAGAGGTCCAGAATAAACTGGATGATCTGGAAGCGCGTAACCCATTCCTTCCACCAGACGCGGATGCTACGCGCAGCGAGGAAGTAGTACCAGTACATGACGACGTGGACGAACAGGTTAAGTGTGATTGGGACCCATGAGATCGAGGTCAGGCCGATCAGCTGTGTGTAGCACAGAAGGGCGGTGGCACCATGGTGGTAGGTGTGTAGAAATGTTAATTTTTTCTGTTTCACCACCAGGAAAAGAGTGTCAACAAATTCTGTGAACTTGGTGAGGTAGTTGAGGTAGTACAAAACCACCATCTGCTGAGTCCATGCACCGGGATCGCAGATGGCGTAGTAGAGCCCGTGTTTGTGAATCATTGGAATCAGTTGCTCGGCCATAAGAGTCACGAGCGTAAGGGACAAAATAGTGAGAAGTAGATTATGGAGTTGAAACAGTCCGTTGAGAACCAACGGTCTCACGTTGTTCGCTTTCAATATATGCTGTCCGCCAAAGATGATAACGTAGTAGAGAACGATGGCACCCAGGACTGGGACCGGTGTAGAGAAAAAAGTTTCTCCAGCGACAAAGTTAAACTCGCTAGGAACAAAGCGACCGCCAGTGAGCTTTGAGACCAAATGATCGAAGAGATCGAACAGGTAGATCCCGAAAGGGCGGTCAAAGGAGGGCGCGGGAAGAGCTGAAAGCGACATTATAAGACTTTATAGGTTCGTGTTCATATAAAGTGCAGAGGGAAGAACAAATTGAATTCTAGTTATTCAACGATTTCTGTTTGTTTATTTTTTTGCTTGTCCTGTTGAAAAATGCCAGATTTGAACGAATGCGTTCATAGTCGGTACATGTGACTGATTGCATGTGACCGAGTGAGCTAAAAAAAAAAGAAAAAACAAAACGAGTTTCACAGAATTTTCGAAACGATGCACAGCCGGCCTCGTACAAACGGAAACAAAGTTTAGCGATACACGCAAAAAAATTCAGCCACACGCTTTTTCTGTTGTTTTTGTTTTTCTCCGAGCAGACTTATCAGCAATTATTACATAATACTAAATTTTATCAGTTATTCGGAATAAAAATAAACGAGCCGGCAATTTTCTGTGCCGAAATTCTCTGCTTCCGCCTTCAAATCTGGGCCTTAACTATTGTAATTCGGCATCGGAAATCGCATAGTGGAGAATAAATTCCGAAACCCGAACCACCCATCTACCGAATTCCTCGCATTTATTAAGAATTTAGGCCGTGCTTTTGCGATCTTCCATGCTGCTCCCCTAATTGTCCTCAAATATAAAGGTATCTGCTTTTGCTCTTATTTGAGTTAACCATAAGATGAGTGAAGATTCAATCAACGTTCCCGCGGACATCGACAACCACGAGGCTCAAGTCTACGAAGGGTTTGCCGATGCTGCAGAGAACCAGGTTCGTGAATTAGCCAGAGAGTTGACCCATCAGAGTCGCACCTCTCTCTCAGAATCCAAAAAAGGGAGCGTGGGTGATGATCTTATTAGAACTCTGACTTCCATGTCCCAGGTTCCTGGTGTCGAGCCAAGCACGGCAGATGACCCAAGACTGGACCCCTTTTCAGACTCGTTCGACTCCAAGTTCTGGGTCAAGAACGCTCGCAAGCTTATGCAATCGGATCCTGATCACTACAAGCCAACATCGCTTGGAATTGCGTACAAGAACCTGCGTGTGCAAGGTATTGCTTCCGATGCTGATTTCCAGCCAACCGTCCTGAATATCGGGCTGAAAACAATTAGAGACTACTACTACGACTACTTCAGAAGAAACGACGAGTCCAGATATTTTGATATCCTCAAGCCTATGGATGCTCTTATGAAACCCGGAACTGTCACTGTGGTTTTGGGAAGACCTGGTGCCGGATGTTCGACGTTGCTGAAGACCATCTCATCGCACACTTACGGTCTCAAAGTCGATAAGGACTCTGTGATATCCTATGATGGTCTTTCTGTCCAGGATATCAAGAAACACTACCGGGGAGAGGTTGTCTACTCTGCAGAGATGGATATTCATTTCCCGCAGCTCACGGTCGGCCAAACCTTGCAGTTTGCGGCCACGATGAGGACTCCGAGTAATAGAACCCCAGGTATCACCAGAGAACAATATGCCAAGCACATGGCCCAGGTGTACATGGCCACTTACGGTTTGAGCCACACCTACAACACTAAGGTCGGAAACGAGTTTATCAGAGGTGTTTCCGGTGGAGAAAGAAAAAGAGTGTCGATTGCCGAGGTCTCTTTGTGTGGAGCTAACTTGCAGTGCTGGGATAATGCCACCAGAGGTCTGGACTCTGCCACGGCCTTAGAATTTATCCGTGCTCTCAAGACGTCTGCGATGCTGTTGGACACAACCTCATTGATTGCTATTTACCAGTGTTCGCAAAATGCCTATGATCTCTTCGACTACGTCGTTCTGCTGTATGAAGGCTATCAAATCTACTACGGCCCAGGAACCGAGGCTAAGGCGTACTTTGAGAAAATGGGCTACGAATGTCCTGCTAGACAGACGACTGCCGACTTCCTGACGTCGATCACTTCTCCAGCAGAGAGAATCGCCAAAAAGGGTTGGGAAAATAAGGTGCCGAAGACGCCAAAGGAATTCAGTGACTACTGGAGAGCGTCTCCAGAGTACAAACAGCTGGTGGAGGAGATTGACTCGTACATCCACAATGCAGAGTCCAATAATCTCAAGCAGGAGTACAGGGAGGCACACGTTGCTAGACAGTCGAAAGCATCAAGACCTGCATCGCCTTACACCCTTTCCTATGGAAAGCAGGTCAGAGCTATCATGACGAGAAACGTTTGGAGAACAAAGGGAGACCCTTCGATTTCGTTGTTTTCGATCTTAGGAAACTCCATCATGGGTTTGATCCTGTCGTCTCTTTTCTATAACCTGAAACAGGATACTGGTTCGTTCTACACCAGAACTGCCGCCATGTTCTTTGCCGTGCTGTTTAACGGTTTCTCGTCGATGTTGGAGATTATGGCTCTGTTCGAGTCCAGAGAAATTGTCGAAAAGCACAAGAAGTTTGCATTATACCACCCGTCCGCCGACGCGTTTGCATCTGTTATCACTGAGCTGCCTACGAAGCTGATCACGGCCGTGCTTTTCAATTTGGTGTTCTATTTCATGATCCACTTCAAGAGAGAGCCAGGTCCGTTCTTCTTCTACTTCTTGATTAATTTCACGGCCACGTTAGTCATGTCGGGTATTTTCCGTTCCATCGGCTCCATCTACAGAACTTTGGCTGAGAGTATGACGCCCTCTGCGCTGCTGCTGCTCGCCCTGGTCATCTACACTGGTTTTGCTTTGCCAACTCCCTCGATGCACGGCTGGTCCAGATGGATTAACTACATTGACCCGGTGGCCTATTCTTTCGAGGCGCTGATTGCAAACGAGTTCCATGATGTGACGTTCAAGTGCTCGAGGTTCATTCCTGCATATCCGGATGCCAACCCAGCTAATCGCGTGTGTTCTGCTGTCAGCGCCGTTGCGGGTCAGGACTTCGTTGATGGCGACCGTTACATCTACGAGTCTTTTCGCTACAAATGGGACCACAGATGGAGAAACTTTGGTATTACTGTTGGATTCGCCATCTTCTTCACGTGTCTATACCTCGTTCTTGTGGAAAACTCCAAGGGTGCTCTGCAAAAGGGTGAAATCATTCTTTTCCAGAGATCGACGCTGAACAAGCTCAAGAAAGAAAGTTCTCCGGCACGTGACATCGAGGCCACGCCAGAGAACGAAAAGCCTGCCGGTATACAGGACGATGCTGACTATTCCGACGGAGTGGCCAAGCTCGTTGCCGGAAAAGACATTTTCCACTGGAGAGACGTTTGCTACGAGGTCAAGATCAAGAGCGAGACGAGAAGAATTTTGGACCATGTTGATGGCTGGGTCAAGCCTGGTACTTTGACAGCGCTTATGGGTGCTTCTGGAGCAGGTAAGACAACGCTGTTGGACGTTCTCGCCAACCGTGTCACCATGGGTATCGTTTCGGGCTGTATGTTCGTTAATGGAAGACTCAGAGACAGCTCGTTCCAGAGGAACACTGGTTATGTCCAGCAACAAGATCTGCATTTGAGAACGTCCACAGTTAGAGAGGCTTTGAGATTCTCTGCTTATCTGAGACAAGGCAAGGACGTTCCTAAAGCCGAGAAAGACGAGTATGTCGAGAACGTGATCAACATCTTGGAGATGAACAAGTACGCCGATGCTATTGTTGGTGTTGCTGGTGAAGGTTTGAATGTCGAGCAGCGGAAGAGGTTGACTATCGGTGTCGAGCTCGCTGCCAAGCCGCAGTTGCTGCTGTTCCTGGATGAGCCTACGTCTGGACTCGACTCCCAAACTGCTTGGTCTATCTGTCAACTTATGAGGAAGCTCGCTGACAACGGACAGGCCGTTCTTTGTACAATCCATCAGCCTTCGGCTCTTTTGCTCAAGGAGTTCGACAGATTGCTCTTCCTTGCCAAGGGAGGTAAGACCGTTTACTTCGGTGACCTGGGAGAGAACTGTCAGACGTTGATTGACTACTTTGAGAAATACGGTGCTCCAAAGTGTCCACCAGATGCTAACCCGGCTGAGTGGATGCTGGAAGTGATTGGTGCGGCTCCTGGTTCTCACGCTCTGCAAGACTACCACGAAGTCTGGCTGAAGTCCAGCGAGAGACACGCTGTTAGAGAAGAGCTGAGGACCATGGAAAGAGAGCTGGTCAAACTGCCTATCTCGACCGTGCCACATGCCCACGACGAATTTGCCAGCAGCCTGGTGCTACAGTACTTCCTGGTCACCAGGAGAGTGTTTGAGCAGTACTGGAGAACTCCGTCGTACATTTGGAACAAGATTTTGCTGACCGTCATTTCCGCGTTGTTCAACGGTTTCTCCTTCTTCAACGCGGGAACTTCTCAACAGGGCTTACAAAACCAGATGCTTTCGATTTTCATGCTTTCCATCATTTTGCTGACCATGGTCGAGCAGATGCTTCCGCAATTTGTGGCCCAGAGATCTCTCTACGAGGTGAGAGAGCGGCCATCGAAAACATTTAGCTGGGTTGCGTTTGTGTTCGCCCAAGTCACTGTCGAGATCCCATATAACTGGATTTGTGGAACCATTGCCTACTTCTGTTGGTACTACCCTGTCGGTTTGCAAAAGAACGCCTCTGCCGCACATGCTACCGCTGAGAGAGGTGGTCTCACCTGGTTGAACATGGTTGCCTTTTTCTGCTTCTCGAGTACCCTAGGACAAGCTGCTGGTGCAGCCATCGAGGTGTCTGATAACGCTGCCAACTTGGTGACTCTGCTCTTCAGCATGTCGTTGAACTTCTGTGGTGCTCTGATTGTCCCTACGGGATTCTGGGTGTTCATGTACAGAGTGTCACCAATCACGTACTGGATTGGGTCCATTCTCAGCGCTGGTGTTGGCGGTGTCAGTGTCAAGTGTGCAGAGAAAGAGTACGTGCACTTCCCTCCTCCAGCTGGCAAGACCTGTGGTGACTACATGAGCGATTATATCAGCAAAGCGGGAGGATATCTTCTGAATCCTTCTGCGACAGACGACTGCACGTTCTGCTCAATGAAGGATACCAACGCTTTCTTGAAAAACATGAACATCCATTTCGATCACAGATGGAGAGACTGGGGTATTTTCATCTGCTACATTGCGATCAACATCTTTTTCACGGTCTTCCTGTACTGGCTGTTCAGAGTTCCAAAGAAGGGTAACAGAGTCAAGGACGAGTCGTCTTTGAAGAGCAAGGGCGAGCAGCAAAGTTCAAATAGTGAAGAGGGCTCCTTGACTAAGGAGTAAGTAATAAGTTGGATTTTATGTGTACAGGTTTAAAATTTAGAAGTATATCAAATGTGCGCGCTAAGTAAAATACATTTCTTACTTCGAGTTTGGACAAAAAGAAGCTTCTCAATCTAGCTTTCGCTTACGAGTTGCAAAGCCTTGCTTCACGTCTTTGATTTTCAGCTGGATGTTGTCTAACTTTTCCTTATCGAAACAACTCTGATTTTTTTCGATGATGTTAGATATCTCTTTCAGCGCAATGTAGCCAACCGCGTTGGGCCCACAGCCGCTCTGCTTGCATGACGACTTGAAACTCTGGTTGTAAAGCTGAACTTTCATATTCAAATGCTCAAGCTCGGACTGCGATCGGTTCATTTTGATCGTCTCTCCTTTCACGAAATACACTAAAGATAGCAGCAATGGAGAGACCTGCGAAAACTTCTCCAGGTGAGCGGACTCGAACTCCACCGGCTGTCCCTCATCGGCTAATATGTACTGCACAAAAATGTCAAGTGTGGAGCTCAATAAGACGTTCGTCTTGTACAGAGTTCGCATCTGTACCAATTCGTCGTGCAGTATATTCTTTAACTTCAGAAACCTGGCATAACGGTCCATCAGGACGTGGTAATCTTCATCAAATTCTGAAACGTTGCGCAGCTTCAGATGTCTGAGGTTGTGGACCGTCAATATCACCAGATTGAGCGTCGCGAGAAAGTATAGCTGATTATGATAATCTTTGGCTTCCTGTAGACAGCCACCCACGCCGCTCGTGGTTTGCTTGTAGGAAGCCAAAATAGTGTCGCTGAAGAAATTGTAGTCGTTAAGCTCTGTTGAGGATGAGGAATGGAACTCTCGGAGTTTGAGATAGTAGTGTAGTGCTGCATCCAAATTGTTCATTCTTTGGCTCTGCAATGCGAGCAGGAAGTATACCTTGTCCACAAATTTGTGGTATATCACAAGCTCCTGCGAGGAAAAGCGGCCCGAATTGTAGTCCTCGATGAACCTAAATAGTTGTGGGAATTCTTCCCTGTTAAAAGAGTGCCACTGGTTACACTGGAATTTAGCAAGGACCTGATAGAAATTAATCAATAAGCCAAAATACTTCAGACGAAGAACTTTAGCTTCCATTTCAGTGCTGGAGATCAGAACGTGCTCTCTGAGCTCGTAGCCGATGTATTTCTGACATTGTGCAAACAGCATTTCTGTGCGATTCTTGCCATCCCAAGATTTTATCACATACGAGACACCACAGTAAAAATAAGACAACATGCTGAACTCGCGCAATGTCACCCAATTGATCTGCAACGGTAGCACAAACTCTTGTTCAGCCACCTTGACCTCGACGGGGACACAAAATCGAAAGTTTCTGGCCCAAAATTCCAACGCCTTCAGCTCTCTGATCAAAGCATCGATTCTACTCATTTTGCTTTTGGTGCTCTTGAAGTCGTCATCCTGAATGGATATTAAAAGGTCCAAAATCTGAGTAATGGCCTTGAACTGCGGAGGAAGGAACTTCATATATTGAGGATACTTTCCCTGAGACTCCTTTAGTCTGTTGTATTTCTCCAATGCAAACTCTATCGAGCTACCACTAAATAAATGGAATTGAAGCTGGCTAACAAGAGCTAGCTGGAGAAACGCAAATGTCTTCTCGGTCAAATTAGCCTCGAGTCGTTCCACAATGCGGTCATAGTTGCGGTATATCTGGTCTTCCTCGAAGATCATGCCAAAATATTGAATTTTTAAATATTCTATGATGCTTGTCAATGTAATGCTATTCAGAGATTCGCAACATTCTCCAATGTTCATGAAATAAGAGAAACTTCTCTTTTTGCCTTTGGATCTGTCTGTCAAATATTGTATCTCGAAGTTCAGAAGTTCGAAACGAATTTGATACTCCAGTGAGTCGCTTCTTTTGGCGAGCTGCAATCCGCGACTGCAGTAATCTGACGCGAGATCAAGGCTTGTAGTTTCTCTAAGCAAGATCTCCGTGATTTTATAGTGGATAAAGACCTCATCTGCCGGCATGAACAATCCCTTGTACTGTTCGAGCGCACTGAATAGACAGCTGAGACTTGCCCTCACATAGTTGTTGTACTCTAGTAAATTCTCTTCTGCTTGCAGCGACGTTGATCCCTTCTTGTAAGCCTCATCGAGAAACCAGTTGGATAGTTCTATTAGTCTCTGAAGCTTCTCTGAATTCAAACATAGTCTTGCACCGCGTTTACATGTGTCACTCTCGGTCATTTGATGGAATCAAGGGGGTAATTGAGTCAGAGAGTATGGAAGCATTTATTTTATCTCAGTAAATATGTATAACATCTTTACACCATGGGTGCAGGAGCGAGAGGGAAGATGTGCCAACTGAGATTTGCCACACAGAAGAACAGACAAGTCAAAGTCAGAGAAACAGAGGAAACTCTATTTGGGAGTTCGTAGAGCGAGTCAATTGCCTTGCCATGAAAAGCTTCTTGTCACGTGTTCAGTACCTGCTATTTGCCATTTTCTCCAATTTAAATGTTACCCTACCGCTGGCAAAAAAAATGCAAAAATATCGAGAGTATAAATAGGACCCAATTCCCCCTCATTGACGGAGTGAAATATTTGAGCCTTAATTTCGGTGCAAGGTTTTTTATAGTGCATCAATATCCTTAGAGATCTAATAAAGCACTTCATCTCATCAGGAAAGGAATCATTTGGTTGAACATCTTTTCCCGAAAACAATCGATTTATAGTCGGATGAGTTGTAATATAGATATATCACAGTTGTAAACATGGATTCACTGAAACTCCCCACCACCGCAGCTAGGGCAAAGGCATTTACTGCCCAAGGCTCCTTAGCCTTCCCTATGATGACAACAGACATGGTCAAAGATGAACCACAAGATACAGACAAATATGATATCCTGAAGAAGGAGCCAGAAGAGAAGATGCTCGATATGAACGATCAAGTTGCGGACGATGCAGCAGCATCAGGAATAGTGCCAACGTTACAGAATATTGTCGCTACCGTCAACTTGGACTGTCGCCTGGAGCTCAAGACAATTGCTCTTCATGCCCGTAACGCAGAATACAACCCAAAGCGTTTCGCTGCAGTTATTATGCGTATCAGAGAGCCAAAGACCACGGCCCTTATATTTGCTTCAGGTAAGATGGTTGTGACAGGCGCCAAATCGGAAGACGATTCGAAATTGGCTGCCAGAAAATACGCTCGTATCATTCAAAAACTTGGTTTCAACGCTAAATTCACAGACTTCAAAATCCAGAATATTGTTGGCTCGTGTGATGTCAAATTCCCTATCAGACTAGAAGGTCTAGCATACGCTCACGGAACTTTCAGCTCCTATGAGCCGGAACTATTCCCGGGCCTGATTTATAGAATGGTGAAGCCCAAGATTGTGCTACTTATTTTCGTTTCAGGGAAGATTGTCCTGACAGGTGCAAAACAAAGAGAGGAAATTTATAAGGCGTTTGAGGCTATCTATCCTGTTCTTAGCGAATTCCGCAAGAGCTAGATTGCATAACTCATTGTATAATATGGAGATAGCTATGTTTGGGGCTTTATTTTTTTATAAAAAAAATGCACAGCCCGTGCGCGATTTTGATCAGGAAAAGAAAAAAAATATTTTTCTAGCGTAGTCAGGGGGGGAGAAAGCAAAAAGTCAGAATTGGGTTTCGTTTCGAAGAAAACAAGGATTTCGGTTAAAATAGGCAATCTTTAGCACAATATTGCGCTCAGAAAACAACCCTTTTTTGGCTGATAACGCGTCCACGACGTATCTCAGATCTCTATTAGCGCTATCCCTTGGAATTCTCTCGATAATCAGCAATTTAACCCAAAATTCCTGTGACGGTGAAGAAAATCATTCTATTCCAAAACACACGTCCTTATGTCATTATCAGAAAAGTCCATCAATACAGTAGGTATTGACTCCAAAATGAAGAGTGGAACACCCTTGGAAAAGCCTTCCACGGGGAAAGGCGCTATCAGCAATAAGTCAGGTCAGCAGCAGCAATCTATGCCACGACCTATTTTATTTAAAAGTGGCAGTTCGGCAAGCTCGATTGCATCGAGACAGTCAAATTTGCCACCGTTGAACACCACATTCGACAAAACTCAGAAAAGCACACAGCCCATATCGCAACCAACGCCCTTGGGGGACTCGGTTCCATACACTCCTTCGACTCAGGCGCACACCTCTGGTGACTTGCACTCTGAATCAAGTACGCCTATGAAGTCAGCTAGCTCCATCTCCTTCCAAGTGCCCACCGTCAACCCTCAGAAACACCGTGGTTCCATTAGTGCTCGACCTTCAACCACTAAACTATCCCTTCTGGAATCTCCTGCTTCTGGAGTCCCAAGTACAAGACAGCCTTCTGGTACTCATCCTCCTGCAGCGTTGGCTCACGAATTCCCTCACCAGGTCAAACATATGGATGCTGGGTTGACGAAAACAACTCCGACAACAACCGTACCGCTTCATTCCGCTATCGGAAAAGAGTCAAGAGAGCATAGCGTTTCGTCCATTCTTAGCGACAGACACGCCAGCTCGCATTCGTCTCCAAGAAATATATCGTCCCCATCTGGCGTCACATCGCCTGTTCCCTTTGACTTGGGTCCCCAGTCATCTCAAAACTCTACCGTTGGAAGTGACAATTTTCAGAACGAGATTTTGTTTCAGCCGTTGTCAAGCGAAGTTCGCGTGCACTCCCCTCCAATGCCTTCCAGGAAGAAGACCACTACAACGCCTAAAACAGTGGTTTCGACTCCAACGGGTCCGGTGGTCCCATTCACCGAGTATCTCAGCAAAGAAGACGATGACAAAATTCATATTCTGATTGGTGCCACTGGCTCGGTGGCCACGATCAAGATCCCAATGATAATTGACAAGCTTTTCAAGCTATATGGAGTTGATAAGGTCTCGATCCAGTTGGTGGTTACGCAAGCCGCAGAGCACTTTTTGCGTGGACTCAAAATTTCTACAGAGGTGAAAATCTGGAGGGAGAACGAAGAGTGGTCGACACCGATGACGAAACCTGGCGACCCTATACTGCATGTTGAGTTGCGAAAGTGGGCAGACATTTTCTTAATAGCTCCTCTTTCTGCCAACACTCTTGCGAAAATTGCCAATGGTATTGCCGACAACTTGCTCACATCGATAATCCGGGTGTGGAACCCAGCCATTCCAATCATTATGGCTCCCGCAATGAATACACTGATGTACACACATCCGATTACAAAGAAACACTTTGCTGTCATCAAGGAGGATTTCAAATTTATTGAGGTGCTGAAACCGATTGAGAAGGTGCTTATATGCGGAGACATAGGAATGGGAGGAATGAGAGAATGGAGCGAGATTGTTGACATTCTCTATCGGAAGATGAAGACTTTACAGGCAGAAAAGCTAAGGAGGGCAAACGAGAGGATTGAAGAGGAGGAGGAGGAAGACGAAGAAGACGAAGAAGAAGAAGACGAAGACGACGACGACTTTGACGACGACGAAGATGACGATGAAGACGACGATGTGGAGTCCACGGTCGTCGAATCGAAGCCGTCCCGCGGATGAGCTCGCATTCTATGGTGTAATACGAACGGTCATGTAAGAATAATGTACCACTTAATTGCGCGGTGTAAAAAATAAAATTATCTTGGCATGTTTCTTGCTTGGAGGTGGAAGATAAGCCTCGGGGTGTTAGCCGCCTACTCTGGTTACACCACCTTCATATATGTAAGGGCTCAGAAGGAAATCCGCCGACGTCAGGAGGCGAAAGCGAAACAACTGGAGACCGGGAACGACGAGTGTGATAGCTGTCAATACGACACATTGCTGGTGAACGGGCGCTATGAAAACCCCTTCCCGGAGTATAGACCGCAGACCTTATTTGAGTTTCTCGCGATGCGGATTCTCGATCTGTGCGAGTTTGGCAGGCGTGGTGGGCTGCCATCCTCGACCGACGAGCTTCGCTCTAACTTGCCAATTGTGAAGCCAGACACAAAACTTTTGGAAGCCACGGCACACAGCAGACCCACGCAGCACGAGGACAAGCTCCCGCCTCTTTCTGATCGGCTCACGTTCACTTGGTTCGGCCAGTCTTGTTCTCTGTTGCAAATTGGCAATGTGTCGTTTCTAACTGATCCAATATTCGAAAATCACCTAATCAATAAACTGTTTGGTCCTAGGCGAATTGCGCCCGCTGCAATGTCTTTGGACGAACTGATGGAGACAGTGGCCGTTCCAGAGTTTGTTCTAGTCTCGCACGACCACCCCGACCACTTGGAGGTGGAATCGGTAAGGAAAATTGGCAACAAGTCAATATGGGTTGTTCCTGTTGGTGTGCGACATTTCCTGGCCAAACACGGGGTTTCCAATGTGATAGAGATGAACTGGTGGGACCGGGTTCCGCTGGAGACGAACACGCCTGATAAGTACGAGATTGTTTGCGTTCCTGCCATGCATTGGTCGGGAAGACAGCTGATAGACACTAATAAAACGCTCTGGTGCTCATTTCTGATTCTGCGGAATAATAAGTCAATCGTGTTTCATTGTGGTGATACAGGCTACTCGCCAGACCTGTTCCAGCTCATCGGACGGAAATACGGCCCTGTCAAGTTCGCTGCTCTGCCCATTGGCCAGTACTGTCCGCAATGGCACCAACGACCTCGACACATCAGCCCGGTGGAGGCCATTCGAATCGCGAACGACATGAGCATCGAAAAGATGGTGGGTGTGCACTGGGGGACGTTTATCTTGAGCTCCGAACAGTACATGGAGCCAAAACGGAAGCTGGAGGATTTGGCACGGATGCAGGGGCGCACCAAGAGCGTGCTGGTGCCTGACCACGGACGAACAATGGTTTTCGACACGTCCAGCATTGACCTGCTGAGCGAAAAGGACCCGATAGAGGTGCACGATAGCAAGGTATATACATAGATAAGGCTACTTAGTGGTCGCGTTGCAAAATTTTTTGCATTGCCTCAAATTCTTCCTCTTTAATCGGATATGAGTGACTCTCTATGTTTGGGAAGCTGCCCGATTTGACGTCTTCCACGTAGCGGTCGATCGCATTGACGGCCTCAGAATGGAAGTCCATATATTTCTGGACAAATTTAGCAGTGGGAGAGTCCAACATGCCCAGAAGATCCGCCTGAACCAGAACCTGCGCCGAGGTTCCTGGGCCAGAGCCAATGCCAATGGTCGGAATATCCAGCTTTTCAGTAAGATATTGTGCCACCTTGTGCGGGATGCACTCTAGAACAAGCATAGAGCAGCCTATGTCTCTAAGATACTGTGCCTCCTCTATAATGTTAGCCGCATCCCGTGCTTTTTTTCCCTGCACCCTGTAGCCACCCGCAGCATTAAATTGTTGAGGTTTCAAGCCTATGTGACCCGTCACGGGTATCCCGATCTCTATGAGCCGTTTTATCTGCTCGCCGTGCTCGTATCCTCCCTCGATCTTGAGCGATCCGATTTTCCCCAATTTCATGAGCTTGACGGCGGACTCTACACATTGCGAGACACTGGCCTCGAACGATCCGAAGGGCAGATCAGCTATGACAAACTTTTGATTGACCCCTCGGAGAACAGACTTGCACGCGTAATAATAGTCGTCAAACGGAATTTCCAATGTGGAGGCATAACCTTTAGATACCATGGCCAGAGAGTCGCCGATTAGAATTATATCCATCTTCTCGCTCGAGTCCGCTATCCGGCCGGTGATGTAGTCATGCGCTGTGATCACGGCCAGGGGTTCCTTCGCTTTGTACAATTTTCTGATGTCAGTCAACGTTTTCTGTCTGACGGCCGCATGCGATGAATAGCGTGCCCCTAAACGCGGGACCAGTGATCTGAACAAGGAGGACGAGCTCATTAATTTTTTTTTTTGAAGTATTTTCTTGCGAATCGTACCAAGAGCCGTAGTGCGGCTCGATTTGGCACCAAAGCCGTTTACCTAGCACGGAGGTCCTAAGGGCATACAATGTGCTACAAGAGAGTAAAGTGCCGAACAAGGTTCAATTTCATATTCCTGCCAACAATAAATAAAGGAAAAGCTAGGACAACTTATCCTTTAGTTCCTCCCTGGCATAGCGCAGTCCACAGTAGCCACATGTTCCAGGCATGTCCTTGTCGAGGTTGATGTAAACCTTCGGGTGGCCCTGGAATATGTCTGTTCCGCTGCAGACCGCAATGTTGTTGTGTATGTACCTGATAGGCTGTTGAGCAATCAAATCGATTGCTGCTTGTGGGTTTGGCTGTTTGGTGAGGTCCTTGCCTACAAAGCGAACATTGGTCTTGATGATACGATCTTTTGACGATTGACTAGGCGACCATGTAGCAACTCTATTGGGTGCCTGTGCGATCTCAATTTCATCCTGGCTTTTCCTGGTGATTGGTGCGGTTTTAGGAAGAGCCAACGAGGATCTCTTTCGAGTTTGCAGGGCAAACTGGGACGACCGTCTAAGCATAAAGGATAACTATATATAATCAAATTATTTCCCCACAATTCTTGCCGGGTAAATTTTGTACAGGTATAAACCATGGATGCTATATAAATCGACCAAGTCCTCCAAAGCCTCCAGAAGAACCAAATGAGCCTGGCGGGCCGGGGGCACCTGGGGGACGTCTAAAACCTCCTTGTCCGGGCAGCCCCATCTGTCCTGGAAGACCAGCTCCCAAAAGCTCAGGGTCTTCGTCAGGCCCCAGCAGCGGATCGTCGTACCGAATTCCTGACCTTGAGCCCTCCAAATTCCGATTAAACAGCGAATCAGAGGAAGTTGGATGCATGCCCCCGCCCCTAGTAGGATTGACAGCAAGAGGATCCAAATACGGTTTGAAAGGGGGATCTTTCATTCCGCCTGGATACAGATCATTGACACCTGCTTGTGCATCGCCTGACGGGAGTGGATCAGTCCGGCTGGACTGAATTTGGTGTTCGTCCTCAAATGAAGGTGGTGCGAGAGAGGCAGGCAGTGGTTTTGGAGCAGGCGATGTGTACGAAGGAGTAGGAGTGTATTCTTGCGTCGCTTGGCTGGAGGTGTCCTCCGGTACGCCTACCACAGACTCCCGCAACTGCGAGATATGCCTTTCGTTATGAGCGTCGGATTGGGTAGCGGGTTTAGACTCCATTGGAAAAAATCGCCCGAATTTATCTCTCACAATCGCAAATAGACGATCCACTAGATGGGAATCGATATCGTTGATTTCCGCAGGGTACTTAACGTTGGCGTCTTGCGGCCATTTCAACGAAGCAGTGTACTTTATTTCAGTCCCGTCTGTGTCCTTTCTGTGATTTTCAATGGTGTAGATGTCGTTGCTATAAGTTAGGATCGATTTGCCCTCGGACGCAATAACCGATATGTGACTGTCGGAACGGCCAATTGCAATAGGATGGACGTTGCGCGATTGGAGAAACCTCTTATAAATAAGACCTAGCAGGTCCAAGTTGTCTTTAAGCGAGCCCATTGTATATGAAGATGTTTTTATTTAATTACCTGATAGCGAAAGAAAATGTTAGAAAAAATAATATTGCTTTAGGGCGACACAGGTTCAAGATTAGAGGGAAAAAGAAAGTTCCGACAAGTGACTAAGCTTGCACCATTGATCAGCAAGCCCTTACTAATTATAAGACCGTTTAAAGCGAAACCAGGTCCTAGATGACGACTGCAGTCCCTTTAATCTATTCATTCCCAGAGTTTAGCGGAGTGGCTGAGGCCGTCGCAGATCACATCGTGGCGGCCCAGAACCATGCTCTGTACGGCGATTACAACAGGAAGAAGAGCCTATCAGATACAAATATTGCGTCGCAGCTCAACAGTGCTGCAGAAAGCATGCGCTTGACCAAAAGTGTGTCGGAACACCATTCAGCTAGCGGAAACGGAAGCAATACACCAAGTTCGTCCAGAGAGCAACGGAAAAAGAAGAAGGAGGAGAACAGAAGGTTCCGCATTGGCCTCAGTGGAGGATCATTGATCAGTGTGTTACGTGAAGGATTGCTAAAGCGACAGGACGTCGAATGGTCCAAATGGGACGTTTATTTTGCCGACGAGAGACTGGTTCCTTTTGACTCGCCTGAGTCCAACTACGGAAAGGCCAAATCACAGATATTTGACAACATACCACCAGAGAAAGGATATCCCAACATTTTCCCTATTGATGAGAATCTTCTGAACGACCCACAGGAATGCGCAGACACTTACGAGAAAACCCTTATCAAAGGCTTTGCATCTAAAGACTCTGTGAAGCTGCCGATGTTTGATCTGATCTTGCTTGGATGTGCTCCCGACGGGCATGTTGCATCTTTGTTCCCTAATCACGAGACCCTTAGAGAATCCTATGCCTGGTGTGCACCGGTTCTGAATGCTCCGTCTGGACCACCAACGAGAATTACCTTAACTGTTCCCGTGATTTGCCACTCTCACAGAGTGATGTTCGTAGTGGAAGGTGCCACCAAAGCGCCAGTCATAAGCACGATCATGGAGAGACCCGACAAAGGACTTCCTGCTAGTATTATCAACGAAAAGGCTGCTGGACGGATTGCATGGTTTGTTGATGATGATGCTGTGAAAGACGTCGTGGGCATTACAAAGAAAAGATACAAGTTTTTGGTCCATTCTGAATAGATGGCTAAAGGGCTGTCTTCATGGGTCAGAGTGTAGTGGCTAAGTTATCCAGTGTTATATTTTTTATATGTGGCTCAGAACACAAAAAAACATAAAAAAAGATACCGTAGTTTGAAGATGGTAGGTGTTATCAATCGACTTTCACTAACCGGCATAGTGGGTCCCAATAACGTTTTTCTTGGTATCGACCTTTCTGTTATCGGGATTTGCCATCAATCATTTCATCAGGCTCGCGAAACAGCCTCTGTACCTGTCGGTGATTCTGGTGTTTTCGCTCTTCTTACCTTTTTCCATCATCTTTCTCCTTCCTATCGACCTAATATCCACATCTGCAGACACCTACAAGCAATTCAAGGAATCTATATTCTATCTGAACCAGCCCACTGTGCTCTTCCTTTGGAAGTTCAATTACTGGACCACTTTTGCGCTGACATGGATCATCCTGCCCTTCTTCCAATACTGGTTCGGATCCGGATATTACAGACGGGGAGATCGCTTCAAGTACTCCTTAATCGAGCTTCTCAAGTTTCAGATGATCATGATTGCGTGCGGGCTCATCATCTTCTTTTACATCCTAGTCCGCCACACGTCCTGGCTCAACTTCCAATTTCTTAAGTCCCTGGTTATTACTGTCAGCCACATATATTCACTCGTTCTAGCCTTGTGGCTTATGGCGCACGGCCTCATATATATTCCGCGGCACGAGTGGGAAACATCCGGAAACTATCCCAACCAACTGCACAAGATGTACCTTAAAGTTCCAGGGATAAATGAACAGCTGGAAGAGACAAAATTCGAGCTTCGCGAGCTCTGCGGGAAAATCAAGACATTAAGCCAACTCGATAATCTTGAGTATAGGGACTGGATCCTCAAGCTTTTGGGCTCGATACCTCGGGAATTCAATGAGATGGTTCATCATGGTGTCGAACCGTTCACCAACTCAGAACTGAACACGAAGCTGCTTAACAAGCTCTCTGTACAGCTAAAAGAGCTGAAATGGAAATACAATCATAACCTTATCGAACTTCGAACCACCGTAGAAAAGGTGATAGTGCTGGAAGATAAAGTCAATGCACAACTGCTTGGCGAATACCACCCAAGGCTGGAAAGACCATGGATATCGAGCCCACGAGTGAACTATTATTTCCTTCAATACGTCAGGCCCTTGTTGGGAAAATTTCTCTCGTTATTTCTAATTGTGCTCTCTGCTGTCGTTGTGGAATCGGAAACGTTTCATGGCTTCCAATTCTCTCTGATCAAGCGTTTGATTGCTACCATCACAAAAAATGCTACCAAGATATACGTTCAGATATTCGCTGTTTGCTTTCTGATTCTGACATACATGCTCATTTGCGCCATCCTATCACTGTCGCAGGTCAAAGTCTTCAACGTCTACCACATCCAGTCCAACCAGTCGTCTGATCCGGTGTCGATGATCTTTTTCATCAGCTATGCATGCCGTCTGACCATCCCATTGAGTTACAACTTTCTAATGCTGCTGGACACAAAATTCACAATCAATTCCTCGTTCCAGCTCTTTTTTGGCAACTCAATCCAGCTTATCGCCTTGGGTAACTTCCTCAATGACCTGCTACCTCGGCTGATCGTCATCCCTATACTGCTTACCATGTTCAGGTTCTGGGAAAAGGCAAAAGCCTGGCTCTCAAGTGTTTTCCTGTTTGATTACCTAATGAGCGAGCTGGATTTTGAGGACGACGATCTCGACGCCGCGGACAACACTGGGGATATTGAAGGGCGGCCAGGATCACAGGTAACGCGGGAGAACGCGCGGGTTCACGAAAGCAAACAGATCATACAGCGTCTTCTCAATACGGACCAACGCTTTTCGAGCACCCCAATCAGGCCGTTGACTCTCTCGAATAACCCAGTGTCTCGCGAGCCACCGCTTACGCCTTTACGCGGTCTTGCTAGCCGCCTGTTGTCCTTGTTGCACTTACGCAGATCGGCTTCTCTATATGAAGGATTGAGAACATACAACCTGAGTTTGGGCGCCGATAACGGCAGCAGACGAACTAGCACCGACACAGGCATCTCGCTCAACACCAACATCTCATTCGACAATGACAACCGACTTCTTCGAGACGACGATATTATGCTTATTGACGAGGACGACGTCTCGGAGATATGAACATGTAGCAACGCTAATAGATCTAAAACGATACACCTCGCGCCATATTGTAAATAAAAATGCTCGGGAAAACTTACAAGAAAGCTCCGTAATAAAGTTCGTGTTTTCGATGGACAGGGTATGTCAATGAAACTAAGACAAGGATTATGGAAGTCGGGAACAGCGAGCATGGCGCGGTGGAATTCTGTGAGACGCATATCTCAGCATTTGTCGATTATCGCTCCCAATTCCTCTCAGAACTCGCTTATCACATTCAGTGTCAGCCTGCTTAAAGTCCCTGCAAACTACGGTTACTATACCTCGAGAGTCAATCGTATGACGAACGAAGACGCGCATCAAGTAGGGATTATGGATATAGATCTCCAGCAGAAAACGGTATCTACAGATGGAATAAATGCAAACGAGGAGTTGGAGAGGAGAATCGGACAGCTCGATGAGCCTGAGTACAAAAATCGCTTTTTGCATAATAAGGTTTTTAGTTTCAGCGTATTTGACGGCCACGGCGGCAGCGAAGGCAGCACCTATGTGCGAAATCATCTGCTGGAGAATATTGAGAAAATCAACATCAGCGACGAAAGCATCAACAAGCTCTTCAAGTTTTACCAGAAGGAGATTGGAGGGTACTGGAGGCGATGGGTGCGTCGCAAAAACTTACATTTGATCAGCAGTATGGGGCTAGAAAGTTATCTGGTATCGGCCAAAGGTCACTATACCGTCCACGATCCAGAGCTGGAGGAGAAGAAATTATGGGACCTGCCAGAGTTCAAAGAGATGGTTTCCGGTGAAGACTTCTTTAAGATCCGCCTTCTCCTAGGGTTTTTGTACACTGACTACCAATTCCTTAACTACGAAGACAAGATCAACGATGTTAAACATCAGGAACATTCGCACCTGTTGAACGCCGGTACCACAGCCACATCTGCATTTTTCTACACCATTGAGAAGGACAAGTCGAATCTAAACGGCTATTTTTATGAGCCAGACGTGCTGAGTCGATTAGTGATCGCGCATGTAGGCGACACGCGGGCTATCCTTTGCGACAAGGACGGAGTGGCAAGGAGTCTGACACAGGACCACCATCCTTCCAATCCCATTGAGTCGCGCCGACTGACCAGATATAGTGCAGGGCTAATGATGACCGACTCTTTCGGGGAAGAACGTTTTGCAAATTATGCTAACACGCGGTCATTCGGGGACCTCACGGCTAAAAACGTTGGCATTACAGCCGAACCGGAGATCAGAGAATATCTGATTGGCGATATGAGGAAAGTTGAGAAGTACAGGCGTGAACACAAGAATTATCTAAAGAAAACTAACATCCTAGATTTTGGCGGGGACGAGTGCTTCCTCGTGCTTGTGAGCGACGGGGTGACCAACATGCTCTCCGACCAGGAGGTAGTCGACGTGATCATGAGCACGACCAACAACAAGGGATCGTTGCGGGGCACGCCAAAGGAAGCAGCTCAAGAGGTAGTACAATTTGTTGAGTGTATTGGGGGCATGGACAACGCGACATGCCTGGTAATCAAGCTTGGCGGATGGGGCAAATGGCCAATACTCGATCGAACAGGGCCACTGAGAGAGTCCAAGATGATGAATGGGCGCAGAGAAAGATGAGCACGTGGAATGTTTAGCACGCACTTCGACATTTCAATTCTATGTACAATAGATTACTTATTCTTGGTCTGGGTGTATTTGAACCGTTTCCGAGTGTGGGAGAACTCGCCGAGCTTCGATCCCACCATGTCTTCGGTGATGTTTATGTGAACATAATCTTTTCCGTTATGGACTTGGAATTTGAGCCCCACGAATTGAGGGAGTATAGTGCACGATCTGGCGTTCGTTCTAATGGGCGTACCGTTCTTCTTCGCCTCAGCAATCGGTAAAGGCACCACAAAGGGGCCTTTCCATGCAGACCTGCCCAAAGCGACAAGGGACAATCTCATGAGGAATAATTTGGGTTGATAATTTTTTCGAAGCGGTTTTGGACGATCGACGGCATCTGTAGCTTTAGTTTTTGGTCTCCGGTATCTTTTTTTTAATTACACATGTTCCATCTGGCTCAAAGTCTTTATAGCTCGTACACGCGCAAAGACGAGTACTCGGTATTGATTTTGGGGCTAGATAATGCTGGCAAGACAACATTTTTGGAAAAGCTCAAGTCAATCTATGTCCCTAACTACAAAGAGTTACGGCCGGAGCGGATTCTTCCTACAGTTGGTCAGAACGTCGGCACAATCCAAGTTCATGGAATACTGCTGAAGTTCTGGGATGTTGGAGGCCAAGACAGCCTCCGAGAATTGTGGTCAGAATACTACTCCAATTCCCATGCCATCGTATTTGTCATTGACTCCTGCGACAAGGAAAGACTGGTGGAATGCTCAAACGTTCTGACCGGCGTGATGAGCAATGAGCTAATTGAGGGACTACCCATACTGATGCTGGCCAACAAACAGGATAGAGAGGACGAGACAAAGCTGGAACTCGTGGATATCAAGGAAATATTTAACCCTATCGCCGAAAATCTAAACGCAAGAGACTCAAGAGTGCTCCCCGTCAGTGCAATAACAGGCGAGGGAGTCAAGGACGCTATAGAATGGCTGTACACGAGGCTAATTCGAAACAAGATGAATCGTCCCCCAAAGAAGCATTGACGGTGTCGGGGTGTGAGCAAATTATTTTCCATGAGCAAATATATCTGACGAAAAAAAAACCCATAATATCATGTCCATAAGGATATAAAAAGGCTGGTCCCCGGAGCCCCATTTGCATTATTATTTGTTCTTCATCATGAATATGGATATGGGATCCCCCAGTTCGTCTAGCATGCATATGTCTATGGCCACTGCCACGAGCTCCATGGACATGACCGCCGCATCTTCTACTAGCTCTATGGATATGAACATGTCCATGGACATGGAGATGAACTACTATCTCACCACTCATTATAATCACTATCCCGTGATCTTTCACAACTTGCGTGCCAGCTCGGGAGCTGGAGCTTTTGGCATTTTTTGTGTGCTCTTCTTCGGAGCCATTTTCTTTAGAGGTTTATTTTTCCTGAGCGCTTATTTGGAACAGCGTGTGTTCCACAACCTTACAAACGCAGTTTTAATTGAAGAAATAGACAATTGTGCTTGTGTCCCCGAAGAGGACCAGAAACATCTGCCTAGTGGTGGAACCCTGAGCGTCAAATCTCTCAGCTTGGGTAAGATTATCAGTCAGACGTTCTGCCCAGGACTGGGGGAATTGAAGAGAGATTTCATCAGACTACTTATCGCCTTCACTGCGACGATGTTTGGATACGCATTGATGCTTGCAGCAATGAGTTTTGTACTGCTTTACTTCTTCGCGATTTGTCTCGGAATGGCTTTCGGAGAGATTTTATTCAACCGGTTGTCCATTGTACTTGGAATTAACAAAAATAGCTCCTTGTGCGGATCGCTCCACTAGACCAAATTCTTGTACGTATACTCCATTAATTTATGATTCAGACTATAATTAGTCGTCCTCCAAAGGTAGCGAGTCAAGCTCGTCGACCAGTGACGACAGTTCGGAAACGACGTTTTTATGGTAGTTGAGCTGGATTTTCATCAGCAACTTTAACAGATTCAATCCCTCAACTGGTTTGATTAGCGTCTTCATGGATTCCACAGCGGACTCTGTGGCACTGACGAGCTCGTCCTCGGCATTTTCCAGTTTCTTGGACAGCGCAGGCGGAAGTTCAACAGTTTCGTCTCCACGCTGCACGCTCTTCACCTCGGCTCTGACAGTATCGAAATTGAGCCTCGAAGTCTCCACCTGTTTTCTCAACTTGGTCGTTTTCAAAAAATCGCCATTCAGAGTGTTGCGGATCTTGCTGTTGACCTCCGTGATCACTAACTTATCTTGTTCCAATCTTTCCTCTCCAATTCTTGTCTGGAACTCACTGATCTTAATCAATGCCTTGCAGAGAGACGAAGACTCGTCTTCGCTGGAAGCCAGGACTTCGTTTGCACTTAGACAAGCCTTAGCCAGTTGGTGTGCAAAGGTCTTCGGGGTGTGATCCTTCGAGGAGGACAGCAGCACTGCTTCTGCTTCTGATGTGGTAGTGGCCTGCGAAAGACCGGTAAACTTCTCATTGATTAGCTTGGTGTAATCATGGATGGATTCCTTCAGATTAGGAGGATAGTCATAACTCTCAATTTCGTATTGCTGTGTGATGGTCAGCACCTTCTTATAGAAAATCTTTAAGTTATCAACGCGTTTCTCCAAATCCTTGTACTCCTGCGGCAGCTCTGAGATATCGTCAATAGATCCAAAACGCTCTTGGAGAGACCTCGTGGTCCTCTTGAGAAGGGGCGAGATGTTGGAATTGAGCGTCGAAACCTCCTTTTCCAAATTGACTAGATTGTCCTGCAGACTTGACGTGAGCTGTTGAGTGGTCTGCTGCAAAGATTGTTGGATCGAGGAGAGATCCACTTTGGGAAATTTGAAGGACATCCTGAATATTATTAAAACTAAGCTTTTATCTTTGTTGGCTGTCTTTTATTCTTATGGCAATGCACAACCATACACCACAAAATACAAAATCCTCAGGTGTAAGGGTGTGTTGCAGAACCAACGACTTGGAAAAACTGCAGAGCAGGATCCAAACGTGGGAAAAAGCTAATCTATAATAATCACGTTACAAAATCATAACTCCTAAATGCTCATCTCGCGATACACTGTATAGTACTCATGTTCTAGGTAGCCACTTTTCAGAGAGCGATGGCGAATGGCTGGTTCCCGAAGAAAGGAAGCTTTTGACACTGGTCGTGGGCGGAGCAACGCCTCCCCCCATGCCTGCGGTGTAGCCTTTTGCATGTGCTGGAGCTGGAGTGGGCCTAGCACCGGCTGTGTAGGAACTGTAGCGCTCGCCTTCATTTCTTGTCTCGATGCCTGCAGTATAGTTAGAGGATCCATTCCTGCGGTCGCGGTCACGAATACCTGCTGTGTACTTCTGCTTGGTAGATTTGTAGCCATAGTTATTGGACATCATGATTGATTCTGTGATTAAGCAAGCGAGAGGTCACACTTATATATTGCCCTCGGGACACCCTCGGACCCACCTCGAACGTGATTTCCTTCTTGCGGCTCGCCTTCGAGATGTACTATCAATTACGATCGTGCATATAAAAACGGCTCTGCGTGACGTGAGTGTCTAGAGACCGTTTGGAAATTAAAAATCAAGCAATGTTTACAAATCTTACTTAGCTCATCAAATCGTACCATTTAGTCACATAATCCTATATATGGGGTACAATACACAACGAAAGTAGTAGTCATAGCTGCTCAGATCGATTAATTGAAGATCTTCTTAATTTTGGTGCTCAACTTCTCCTTGTGTGGGTGTGCCTTTTCCAACTCGTCATAACTCAAGATTCTCGTGTTAGAATCACCTTGGTGCGACTGTCCCGTACGAGCCTCGTCGCCCTGCTGGTGCATGTTGCTGGATTCGCCGACATCCGATGTATCTGCAGCGCCAGATCCTCCACATTTATCGTGGGCGGCTGCTGCCGCAGCCCGGCTGGCCAGGGCATTCTGGTCGTCATTCAAGTAATCGTTGCCATCGCCCCCTTGGCCGCGATTATGGGTTGAGAGGTTGTCTCTAGTACCAGGAATATGATAGTGCTCGCCGCAAGACTTTTGGTTGGCTCCATAAGAAGCCACTCCCTGTTGTCGGCGGCTCTGGTCTTTCTGGCTACCGTGGCTTTTAGAGGCAATACCGGCCCCTGCTGCACCAGCTGCTTCACCATAACCAGATCCAGAACCGTACCTGTTCTGTCCTGCGGTGTCGGAAAATCCTTCCGTGTATGGAGTCTCCCTCTCGTCATCTCTCACACCCGCAGTGTACTGGTCCCTGGTATGGTGAGGATGGGTGTCACCAACACCAGCAGTGTATCCAGAACTGGTTTGAGGCTCATGGCCGCCAACTCCAGCAGTGTACTTATCGGTTTCCGGCTCTTTCGGGCCAGCAGTCTCTCCAACACCAGCAGAGTACTTGTTGGTTCCCTGAGCGTGGAAGGTATCCCTAAAGCCACCTTTGGTGAGCCCCGGATCTTTCTGACCAGAGACGTTGGCTTGTGAGGTAGAGTCCTTGCCAGCTTCTCTGCTGCCCATATATCCTGCACCAGCCCCAATAGCCGTTCCCGCGCCAGTGGCATAAGAAGAGTATTCACTGTGACCGGATTTGTCGAGAGCCTGGCCGCCTTTCTGCGACACGTCCTTCGCCTGGGAGCCGAACTTGTTATAGTCAACATCCTTCCGAGGATTCTTGGGATCCAGAGGTCCGGAGGATTTCTCGTCTGTCTTGCCGTGGCTGCCGTACGAGCTGTCATAAGGGTCGTTTTGGGTCTTGGTAACGCCTGGAGCGTTTCTCAATTCCCGAGTAGAAGCATCGTTTAGCTTGTCCTGCTGCCTTCCGTGGTTGCCGTCATTGGAAGCCGCCTTGTAGCCAGCAGCAGAGGCCGCGGCAGCGCCCATTCCGACACCAGTCTGTGAACCACCATGGGCAGTCTCATAGCCCAGCTCAGCTTGCTTCTGAGCAAATTCAGGCTGACCCTTCTTCTCGCTTCCTTGGAGTCTGGAGGAGTCGGACTTGAACTGATCGGCGTTTCTGGTTGCAAAGGTGTCGTGATGCACATCCTGGTAGACAGTGCCATGCTGCACACCAGTGTCGTCGTTCTTCTTGCTGCTCCTGCCCCATTTGCTGAATTTACCGGTCTTGGACCCCGCTTTCGAGCTGCAGCCGTGCTCCGACGAGCCAGAGGCGGTATTCGCAGATTTTTCGTGACTACCAGCAGCTGCTGTTTCGGTAGCCCTATGATGGTCAGACTTCGATCTGGAAGCAGCAGTCTCCTTCTGGTCCAAACCACCGTGCTGATCTTGAGTTTTGGGGGACTTTCCGTGAGTATTCCTACCCAGTTGCTCTCCGATTGGGTGTCTGTAGTCGCCCAGATCAGCAGGAGCAGTGGCTCCATGGGCAGGATCGGCATCCGTAGCCCCGGTGGTGTTGTAGCTGGTTGGCTTTCCGGAGGCGTAGCCAGCCATAGGGGTAGCACCAGCATCCGGATATCCCTTATCACGAGCAGTTTCATGCTTCGATGTATGAGTGTTAGAGCCATAGCCTTGTTGAATTTCTAGAGCCTGGCTTTGCGCAGGATGGTATGTCTGGCCTGGAGCACCGGCCAGAGAGCCAACACCAGCTCCAGGAACTTCGGGACCTAGATTATTGTCCGTAGTGTCGTGTTTGGGAGCAAGGTCAGACTTCTCGTACCGGCTGGCAGACTGGTGGTCAGGGGTCTGACCACCATAGCCTTGTTCTGAGCTTATGGTATTCCCACGAGGTCCCGACTCATTAAATTGACCGTGGGTGTCAGCTTTCGTAGAACCATAGTGGGCTGCAGCAGCTCCACCCGAATGAACGCCCGACTGAGTGCCGTGGACAGATTGCTGCTCTTTCTGCTGTTGCTGGGAAGTCTTGGCGTTTTTCGTCTCAGCAGGATCGACCGGGCGTCTTTGGGCTCTCTCTTTATGAGATAATCCCTCCATGTTCTGTTCGGTGCCATGAACGTCTCTCGTGCTGATGACTGGGTCAACTAGCGAAGAGTATTTCACGTTTCTGTCCGTAGGAATAACTTCAAACTCGTTGCCCTGGCTGTCAACATAGCTGTGAGCTTTTCCGGCCTGCTTCTCGAGTGTCTTAGTAGACATGGAGTTCTTGGCGGCGTCCTCGCCAGCCAATGGCTTGTCTTTGTGAGAAGTTGCACCTTCGGAGTTTCCGCCAATTCCAATAGCAGACATTAACTTGTTGGCCAATGATGGCTGTTCGCCAAACTCGCCTTGTGCTCCTCCTTCTGAGGCCCTGAAAGTGGGCGAGCCGGAGTCGTACGTATGTGATTGCGAGGTATAGTTTGAGTCTCCAGCGGAATAATTTTTCCTCTCGTCGAAGTCGAACGATCCAGGAACACTGGAATGTTGCACAGATCTTGGGGTATCCTTGGAACCTGTGAACCCGTCGTAAGCATCTCGAGCCTTGTGTTGAGATTGGTCGGTCCAGGACTCTTCTTTCTGTGTGTAAGATTTCAGGTCAGACATGATTAAACTACAATGTACAAGCGATTGATACAGTACTTTATATAAAGTCATCACCACAGTATTGCTCTTAGCAAGGTTGCGATAGGGCTTTTCTTTTTGAGAGGCAGCAATTTCATTTCTGATATCAATGTCACACATGTCACATGTCCAACGGTAAAACAGAGTGAGTTGCTACCACTATTGCTCTCGACACAGCCGCAAATAATTTTTACTAAGCGCACTAGTATATTTTAAGCTATACACTGAAATTCCAGAGAGTGAGGAGATCAATCCTCGCTCCCTGGCTCGGTATAGATCGGTACTGCGGCGTATTCGGTGTCGTCGTCTAGAAGGACGTCAAAATGTTCCGCATTGTGGCCGTCGGATGGCCCTGGGGTAGGCATTGGTGGCAGCTCGGAAGGAGGGCGAGCATAGTCGAGATCATTGAGCTCTGTCGGGGGCTCGCTGGGCATCAATGCCTGTTCCCGCAGCCGGAGCACCTCTTTCTCGTTCACCGAGGAACTTTTTGGGATGGCGGAATATTGTAGCGACGAGGAAGGCGGGCTGGTTTCCTGCGGAGAAAGCGGCGAGTCTATCGACGTGCATGGAGTCTGTGGAACAGAAGAAGGGCGACGGCTCTTTCTGTGCACCCTCGACTTTCGTTCTGTGCCAATGACGATCTCGGAATTGAGTGTAAGCACGTTTTTCGTTCGCTTCAGCCTGTCCACGTTGTAGATATTGCTGGACGTGTCATTCTGGATAATCTCGTCATCCAGAAACCCTACCTGGGTGGCACGTATCTTGGAATTTGAAAGATTCACGAGAACCTCAATGTAGTACTGAAAACTCACCATGTTTGCGGTGATTGTCGGAAAACAGTCGACTGGGACCCTCAGACTCGTCGAGATATCGCTTGTTAGCGTGTTCGGGTCGACGATGAGCGGTACTATGGATTGACTGAGGTCTTTTCTATACGATTGGATCTCATAATCTTGGCCCAGATCCAGCCGGCAAATTCTAATCAGAGTGACTATTACTCCTTCCGTGTTTGCTATTTTTTTGTGACATTTCACGTTCAAGCGAACGGGTATCGATTCGCCGCGCAGATACCCCATCGACGGGATGTTCATCTTTATTTGGACGTAGTTGTCGAGATTATCTTCCATGGATTCCGAGGAAGCGAGCGACGACGTGGACGATATCGATGACAGAGTTTTGTTGAGTTTACCTTTTGTGGTCTTGAATCTGAGAACCTTTGGTTGCGGTTCGGGCAAAAGGGTAAGGTTGATGGGCTTAACAATGCTAAACATCTTCTCCGACGTGGCTAGTACGACATCTTGGTTGTCTCGCTCAACAATAGTGCATTTCAGGCCATACTTAATTTCTCCCTTCTCAAATGAGATGCTTGTGTACGCGTTCCGCTTCGGGAGCTTGATAATAAACGGGAACCGATGTTCTCCAAACGTGAGCGCGGTCTCTTCAGAATCGCCGTAAAGAACGATTTTGTGATTGAACAAGCTTTGTTTTTTATCCGAGCGCAGTGGCGATGTAGAGTTCACCTTGATATGGCCCTCCAAAGAAAGACTTATCATCAAGTTCATCACATTCTTCTTGAGTACTAGAATTATCTGTCCACTCAACTCCTCTCCCGGTCGGTATAGTTTATGGGGGCTGTGCAGAACAATATAAAACTCCTTCACGGCATTTTTAGGCTGGAACGGCCCGCCAAGAACACGCGAGGATTTATGCGGGAGAAGCTGATTCACGGCCTTTCGCATTAACCAGAAAGTTGATATTCAATATTCTCTTTCAACACAGCCATAAAATATCGTATTCCCTTACACTGCCTCCGAAAATATCGGCGCAAATTACCCTTCTCTTCGTTAAGCGGCTTGGCCGAAAGAATGCGGCGAAACGGCTACAGGCGCAAAAAATGAAAGAAAAAGAATTGTTCCAATTCCGATACCGGGAGTCGAACCCGGGTCTGCCCGGTGAAAGCGGACCATGATAGCCGTTACACTATATCGGAGAGTTACAGAGGATCGAGGCCCTCGCCGCATAGAAATGTCGGTCCCTAGATTGGTTTGCAGTTCTAACTAAAAAATAATTTTCAGCGTATTTAGTAGAATCACAGTAATGATTCGACTTAGAAAAATAGGGTACCGTTTTCTCTCGACAACGGCGTTTCTGTTCACAGAGGCGCCCCAGACAAAGAAGGAGCTTCCGCGGCTATCTATGGAGGAGTATAAGGCGCTACGCAATCAGTATTACAATGCCAAGAATAAACAGAGAAGCCAAACGGTGACCAATTATTCACTTTCGCTCTTTCTCGGTTTCCTGACCCTTTCTTTTGCGTCTGTGCCCCTGTACCGTGTTGTCTGTCAAAAGACTGGCTGGGGTGGAACCCCAATGACCGACTCCTCCAAGATCACTCCCGACAAGTTAGTCCCCGTGGATACTGATCGGAAAATAAGAGTCTCGTTCACCGCAGAAACGTCTCGTTTGTTGCCGTGGAAGTTTGTGCCTCAGCAGAGAGAGGTGTATTTGGTTCCGGGCGAGACCGCGCTAGCTTTCTATAAGGCAAAAAACACTTCAGACAAAGATATTACCGGTATGGCAACTTACAGTGTGACGCCAGACCATATCGCCCCATACTTCAACAAGATCCAATGTTTCTGTTTCGAGGAGCAAAGACTGAACGCCGGAGAGGAGGTGGACATGCCGCTGTTTTTCTTTATTGACCCTGAGTTCTCACAGGATCCGTCCATGAGAAACGTGGAGGATGTGGTTCTCCACTATACATTTTTCAAAGCTACGCACGATGCATCGCATGAGCAAATTCTAGCTGAAGCTCAAAAAAAGAGAGAGCAAGAGCAAGCTGAGACCCATAAAGACTGATCTGTATATAGCCAAGTCCCATGAATTATCAACTATTCAGGTCCTGATATCATAATTTTAATGGACTTGCCTTCCTTGCTAAAGTCGTAAGCTTTTTTGACGTCCTCAAATTTGAATCTATGGGTGATCAAAGGCTTCACATTGACCTTTTCAGAGCCAACTAAGCCGACAGCAATCTTGTAGTCATCAACCGTGTACCTGAAGACGCCAGTGATCAGCAGCTCTCTCTCTGCAACCTCGGCAATGGGGAATCCGTCCATGGCTTGTCCTCCCATGCCAACCTGGACGTATCTTCCCTTTTTCTCCAGCAATCTTATGGCATTGGCAATACAGAACTGGTTTCCGGTGGCATCCATTGCCACTGATGGCCGTTCGCCGTCCCAGGAAGTCTGGATGAACTCCAAAATTTCCTCAAAGCTCTTATCTTTGGAATTGATGGAGTGGGTTGCAAAGCCTCTGGCAACGGCAAAATCGAGCTTCTCGTTGACAATGTCGACGATGCACACCTTGCTAGCACCATACGCCCGTCCAACAGCAGCGCACAGCAATCCAATTGGCCCGGCACCGAAGACAACCAGCTTGTCACCAACAGTCAATTTGGCCAACCTAGTGGCGTGAGTGGCAACAGAAAGGGGTTCAACCAATGCGCCTTCCTCCAATGAGACGTTTTCAGGCAGTTTGACGCAAAAATCCTCAGGTAGAAGATAGTATCTGCAAAGTGTTCCGTCATAAGGAGGAGTCGCAGCGAAAGCCATCTCCGGGCACAGGTTGTAGTTTCCGCTCTTGTATTCGTAAGAGTATCTGGAAGGAATGCCCGGCTCGCAGGCAACCCTGTCGCCGACTTTCAGCGTTTTAACTTCGGAACCGACCTCTACGATAACACCGGACGACTCATGTCCCAACACCATTGGTTTTTCCACGATGAAGGAGCCAACGCGGCCATGTTGATAGTAGTGAACATCGGAGCCACAAAGTCCGGTATATTTTATGGCGATCTTGACATAGTGAGGATCCTTGATCTGAGGAACTGGTCTATCCTCGATGACGATTTCGCCGATTTTCGTAAGAACAGCCGAAGGATTGTTCATGATCAAAGTCTGGTAAAAAAAATAGGATGGGATTAATTTCGAAGATGGGGCAGTATTACGGGGCGAATGGTAGCAGATAAAATGGAATACTCGGGCAAAGAAATTGGTACCCAGAAACAACGGCTTCTATCTAGAGTGAGCAGCCGCTGGCTACAAAGGTGAGCCATCTACGGTCTACGTAAAGGATACCAATTACAAGTCTATTAATCACCAGTGAGTGAGCGATCTTGTCATGGCACTCCATAAAATTTATTCGGAATACCGTGTTTCGACCTCAATCTTTATAATAGATACCTCTGAAGAAGTCCATGGTTTGGGTGAAAACGACCAGCAAAATTCCTCCTCCAGGACCCAATCTGAGAACCTTTGGCAAGAATCCCTTGTACAAAGCACTGAAACCTTCCTCTTTCATGACCAAAGCCAGAGATGGAAGAGTCCAGTTGTACTTTCTGACAACACCTTCAACAACTGGGGTGTTCTGGATTCGCGACTTGACAACATCAAATGGAGTGTTCAACAACGTACCCACAGTTCCACCAATGGCTCCAGAAATCAGGTCGTTGGTCGTCTTCTGTGTAGGATTCTTAGCCTCTGGTAGAAGAGATCTGATTTGGAAAATGACCCCGAAATAACCAGCATTCCAAACAATGTGTCTCCACATGGTAGCTTCTAGTCCGTTGTAGAGGGCTAGAACACCTTCTTTCTTGATGATCTGTCTCACCACGTCCCCCATACCATTGTACTTCGAGGTCTTGTCCTGCAATCTGATTTTCACTAGCTCGAATGGAACCACAACAAACGACTCAGTCGCACCAGCAGTGGCACCGGTCAAGATGGCCAAAGGTTGGGTCATCTGGTTCACACCAAAAGCACGCTTGTAAACTTTACCCCATTCGTCGTTGGCGGCAAATTTGGTGGCCCTCTTTGGGGCCTCCATTAGAATCGGAGCAGTGATACCACGGTAAAGTCTCGAAGGCCCTTCGTTCTTGACGATTTTCGTCAGGCAGTCGATAATACCCGTGTATTCTCCTTTACTGCCAGTACCCACCTGAAGCTGAATTCTGGTCTTGACCACATCCAGCGGGTACATGACCAGAATCTCAGAGACACCAGCAATGGCGCCGGCAATAAATTGATAGGCAAATGGCAACGGCCGTTGATCAGACATATTTTATAATCTGAGGAGTCACCAAAAATTGGTTAATAATATATAAGTGAAAAATTAAGTCGGTTAACCGCAAGGAGCACGAAAATGCGCGAATCGTGGCTATCGAATTTCGTCTCCAATTTATGCAATCCACGGCTGTGGGTAGATGAGGGGTAGGTCGTCATCGCTGTTGTAAATCTCGCGTAGCGATGCGTACCACTGTCGGGTATTCTTATCCATCGTGATCCGGGTAACGGCTTTCTCGATTTTTCGCCCTATTTGCGCCCTCACATTTTTGATGACCAAATAAATTAACATTGATAGGCAAATAATTTCTTCAACTTCTAAATGTTTGCTCGCAATTTATTGAGACAAGGAGCCAAGTCCAGAGTCGCTCTTGCGAACATCTCAAGCAGAAGACTGTATCATCCAAAGGTGATCGACCATTATCAGAACCCAAGAAATGTGGGAACGATGGATAAGAATCTGAATAATGTCGGAACTGGTCTCGTCGGTGCGCCGGCATGCGGAGATGTGATGAGATTGCAGATCAAAGTTAACGATGAGACCGGAGTTATTGAAGATGTCAAGTTTAAGACGTTTGGCTGCGGTTCGGCCATTGCATCCTCGTCCTTTGCCACCGAACTGGTGAAGGGCATGACTCTTGAAGAGGCTGCCAACATTAAGAACACGATGATTGCAAAGGAGCTTTCTCTTCCTCCAGTGAAGCTGCACTGTTCCATGCTGGCCGAAGATGCAATCAAGAGCGCAATCAAAGATTACAAGGCCAAGAGAGGCAATCGCAAGCCAACTATGTAGTATTTGTTGATTTATTCAAGACTCTAATTTTTGCTCCGCCAAACTCAGAATGCCAATTCCGTCGACGTAATCATCCCAGTGAGTGGCGTTTCCAAGCTTCTCAACTTCATCCCAATGGAAATTATCCGAGAGCCACTTGTTGTAATCCTCCTTCACGGAGCCGGACTCTGTGGCAAAGGACCATAGGGATTTGAAGCAGCCCCCCAGAGCACACGCATCACTCAGATCAATCTTATAGTTTCCGTCCTCGGGTCCTAAAATGTCGCAATACTTGGAGACAATTGATCTGTTTTTCGAAGAGCCGCCAACGTAAAACACTTTACTAGGACGACAAAGCAGAGCGTTGGTAGAATGTTTGGTACCGTCTGACTGTATCTGGCCGTACTTTTCTAGCTTTGGCAAGACTCCGCGTTTGTCCTCTAACTTGTGAGACGACGTCGAAGCAAGTAGTGGTCCCATCCTGAGTCTGCACGACAAAGCCTGGGACTCGATAATGCTGTTGACGTCCTCTTCCAACGACCAGGACTCTACTTCCAGTAACTCTTTTTTTTCTGGATCAAATCTGAATCGCCGCTCGCAAGGTTTGGCGTTGGGAATGATCTCGCCTAAGGGAAAGTAGATTCCTAGCTCATACTTCCCGTTCAAAGGAACAGAATTGTCTAAAATGGAATTGAACTTATCCCAAGAGTTCTTGGGCTGGTTGTATTTTTCGTTGATTTTATCTCTCACGTTTTCTCTGGCTAACGCACCATTACAGTAGCAAAGCATTCCCATGTAATGGCCTTCAAGGGTAGGATGCTTGAATATATGGTAATTCTCAGACGGTTTGTATGCGTTGGTGACAAGAAGAGCCGTGGTGGAGGTCCCCATGGAAATCAAAGTGTCGTTAGGTCCGAGAGGAAGAGCAAGGATAGTTGCAAGGTTATCTCCAGTGAAGGAGTAAACTTTACAAGAGGCAGAAAATCCATACCTCTTAACAAAGTAGGAACTGATGTGGCCAATGTTCTTGTAGCCAACTGGTTCTAGAGGACCCAACTTCTGCTTGAGCTCCTCGATACCTTTCTTGGTTTCTGACTCAGAGCATTGGTCTATCTTTGGATGAACTCCGGCAGCAACCGCTAGCAACCCTTCATCGTATTCGCCTTTTGAGATATCGTATAAATTCATGCCGCATCCATCGCTTTCTTCAATGTTGGTTAGTTTGCCGCACAGCAAGGAGCTCAAGAAACTTGAGATGAGTGAAATCCGGTACGTCTCGTGGTAAGTTTTTGGGTCGACCCTGCTTGCTAGTTTTCTGATTTGAGTACCTGTAAAGCGGTAATGAGCCCTGGAACCTGTGATCTGTGCCAATTGGTGACACCCTCCGACAGCATCCTCAAAAATTTTCAGTTCCGGACCGGTAGAGTGATCCTGCCAATTTGGAGACGTTTGGAACGTGAATGCTTCGGGACAGAGCTGGTCTTTTAGTGATTTTTCGGCCGACAAAGATTCAAGCAATTCTGGTGCACGTTTTGACCAATAAACGGAACCGTGCTGCTGGCAAGAGCCGCTCATAGCTCGTACATCCTTGAAGGGAAAGTTGTCTTTTTTCATCTTGTCAAAGCACAGCTCCAAAGCCTCGACCCACATCTCAACTGGGGCAAATATCTCACCTGCGCTCTCATTGGTGAGAATTCCTTTCCGAATGCCATATTTTGAGAGCTCCTCGTCAAAGTCGACCCTATATGTTTTGTGATGTTTTAAATCCGAGTACACTGAGATCACTTTCAACTGTTGAGTTGACAGATCGAAACCAAGAAACAACGACATCTCTAATAAGAAACGTCGACTTTTTCAGGCGCAAGCCAGGTGATTGGGTGTTTTCGGTAAAAGGAGTAAGGAGGAAGAACAACGACCAAAGTAGACACGATGGTAAAGAGAAACACGTATATCGTAAGCGAGAGATCTTGTGCTGCAAAGCCAATTATTAAGCTCAAGACTGTTCCTGCTGTGAGCAATGTCAAGTATATTTTCTCAGCTAGCTTTTGGCCTTCGAAATCTATGGTTGCCTCAATGTAGGGCTGTAAAGAGTCCATTTGGAGAAAAAATTGGAGGGGAACCATATTACCTATAGACAGACCGATTTTTCCCGTAATCGACGCGACGATCGACCTTACTAATCTAAACCAGGTAGCACTCCAAAGTTTATGACTCAGACTTTGTGCTGGTAGTCCGAATTCATACGGTGAAGGTTACTATTGTATTAGCTCTCTGTGATAGAGGCACCCGAGCCGTTACCGAACCCAATCTCAAAGTTTGTTGCCATTCGGAACTGAGGCCAAGGCAATCGGATTTCAGTCACCCATCAGTACTTCTCACTAAATAGGTAAGATAGTAGATCTACTTTAATTAGTATCTGAGAATCCCTGTTTTTTTTTTTTCATCCAGAAAATCTAAACTAAAGATTAATGAAAAACCTGTAAAAACTGATAACAGAGAAATTGCGCACGCTAACTCTGCGGTCTAAATTTCAAATATGTCCAATACCGATCTAGAGTCTAGACAATCGAGTTTGTCGCTGGACTCGCTGGAAGATATCAGGGACCCACTCCCCGTTTTTGAGAATATGGAGCAGGACCAAGGAGAGCCAGATGACCGTTTACACCTAACCAAGGAACTGACCAAGACGTTGACGCTACCGCCACTCGCCGATGACGACCCCTTTTTTGATCGTTTTCCCAAGCGAACAAAGACGCTCTTTGTGGGCATCGTCAGTTTCACGTGCTTTTTGTCGCCAATCTCTAATCTTGCGTTCACTCCTGCTATTCCAGAAGTCGCCGAAGCCCTGAATACCACGTCGCAGATGATCAACATTTCGAACGCAATATACAACGTCTTCATGGCAATCTCGCCGATGATGCTTTCTCCGCTTTCTTCGCTCTACGGCAAGAAGCCGGTCATGATTCTCAGCTCGCTCGGCTACACTATCAGCTCAATTCTCACGGCAGAGTCGCAGAATTTAGCTATGTTTTTTATCTTCAGAGCCATGAACGCATTTTTCGGAACATGCTGCTTCAGTGTTGGTGGATCTATTATCGGAGACATCAAGGTCCCTAAAGAGCGTGGCAGAGCCATGAGCTGGGTCTTGATGGGGACGCAATTGGGTCCTGCCTTTGGCCCGGTGCTGGGTGGCATAATAATCACCTACACTAACTGGAGAGTTATTTTCTATGTCGTTACCGGACTGGGAGTGATTAATTTGCTAATGATTATCTTTTTCCTCAAGGAGACTAGCAGAATGGTGATCTCCAAGGAAATTGCCAAAAGAACAGGGAAGCGGTTTGTTTTCGTCAAGTACAATCCATTTAGAGTTCTTTTCGCCTTCCAGTACGTCAACTTGATCCTCGCGGGAGTAATCAGCTCCTCTATCATGTACAACATGTTTGGTCTGCTCACTCCTATCAGACACGTGATCAACCCAAGATTCAATCTCAATAGTCCCGTGCTTGGATCGCTGTTTTACTTGGCCCCGGGATCCGGGCTTTTGCTTGGAGGACCAATTGGGGGCAGATTTGCAGATTTCACAGTCAAGCGTTGGATGAAGAAACGTGGCGGGGAAAGAATTCCTGAGGACCGTCTCAGAAGTGCCACTTACTCTCTCGGATTTGTGATGCCTGTCTTCATGATCATATACGGGTGGTCACTCCAGAAAAAAGTAGGAGGCATGGCTTTGCCGATTGTTTCCATGTTTTTCTATGCCCTTGGACAAACGATTGCTTTCCCGTCCATCAACTCGTACTGTGTGGACTGTCTGCCCTCTTTGAAAGGTGACGCTATCGCGTCCAACTACTTTGCGAGATACATTGTGGGAGGATCCGTTGCGTCTGCTACCTGTCTGGTCCAGATAAACAACATTGGAATTGGCTGGACCGCTACTATCAGTGCATTTGTCGCCTGGATTGGGTTTCTATCCAACGAGCTTATGATTAGATACGGCGCCTCGCTGCGTCTTAGAGCCCTGGCGAAAATCGAGGCCAAGACAAAGGTGAAAAAAAACCAAGAAAATTAAATTTACCTGTTTGCAAATTCAGTCGATCTTTTTCTCGGCTGTGCAATCCGAATGTGGGGTCATCACTGTTGCTCACATGTGATATTTCTGTGGGGTAGAGCATGTGCAATAGACCTACTATATAGACGTTATTATTCCCTCGAATTTCAGTAATGGACTCTACTATGCCAGGAGCGAAAGAGCCCAACCCGGCGGATCTGATCTGGTCGGAGCGGCTCAAAACCACGTTCGATATCAATAAGATGCATGAATTCATCGAGGGATCCGAGTCGGAAGCCCTCGAAACATTACGTCTGATGCAACAGCTGGAGCGTGACCCGGTGCTAAACACCGGCGCAGCTTACTACCAGCTCTCAAAGGACGAGCACCGAGAAATCACCGCGCGCAAAATCGCTCGCATGGGCCAGTACATGGAAATCGATGCCCCCAACTACTCGCGCTTCCAGAACAGACTGAATCTGATCGCTGTTGTCGACCCTCAGCTAGGAACACGGATTGGAGTTCATTTGGGCCTCTTCTTGGGAGCAGTGCGCGGCAACGGGACCGAGGAGCAGTTTAACTACTGGGCCAAAGAACGCGGCGCCCTGAGCATAAAGGGGGTGTACGGGTGTTTTGCCATGACGGAGCTGGCGCACGGATCCAATGTGGCAGCCTTGGAGACCACTGCCACGTATAACAAGCAGCGGGACACTTTTGAGATTAATACTCCTCATGTGGGTGCGACCAAGTGGTGGATCGGCGGCGCTGCCCACTCTGCTACGCACACCGTCTGCTACGCACGGCTGATTGTGGACGGAAAAGATTATGGAGTCAAGACGTTTGTCGTTCCTTTGAGAGACTCAAGACACGTGCTTCATCCGGGAGTTAGTATTGGCGATATTGGAGCCAAAATGGGGCGCGACGGTATTGACAACGGATGGATCCAATTCAGCCACGTAGAAATTCCTCGCAAGTTCATGCTTTCGAAATACACCAGCATCACTGACGACGGAGAGGTGCTGGATCCTCCGCTAGCCCAGCTTGCGTACGGAGCTTTACTGGGAGGAAGGGTCACAATGGTGACCGACTCATTCAGAACCAGCGAGAGATTCATCACGATTGCATTGAGATACTCCGTTGGGCGGAGGCAGTTCACGAAGAAGGGCCAGAAGACCGAGAACCAGCTGATTAACTATCCCCTACACCAGAGGCGGCTTCTTCCTTATCTGAGCTGGACATACGGCATGGCAATTGCGTCCCATGCAATCCAGCTCTCCTACAAGCAAACTCTGGAAAAATTAGACGAAGCGGTTGAGTCAGGAGATTTCCAGCAACTCCAACAGGCTATAGCCTTCCTCAAGACATTGTTTGGTGAGTCTGCTGCGCTCAAGTCAACCTGTACATGGACCTGTCTAAATTTGATCGAGGAATGCAGGCAGGCATGTGGCGGCCACGGATACTCGGCATATAGTGGATTCGCGAAGGGGTATGTGGATCACGCCGTGCAATGCACTTGGGAGGGCGACAACAACATTCTTGCCCAGAACAGTGGACGAATCACCGTACAGAAGGTGATGGCATTCAAGAAGTCTGGCAAAGCGTCCGGAGAATACGAGTTTTTGGCCAAGGCAAGCGAAACAGGTGATATTCTTGCACCAGACACGATCACGCATCTGGGAAAACAGGTTTCCGCATTCGACACTCTGATATTGAGATTAAGTCTCGACTGCATCGAAGCGCTAAAGGAGAACAATGATTGGGACTCGATCGCCCCGGAGAAACTGGCTCTGTCGAAGCTCTATGCCTGCCGGTTTATCTTGGCAAAATGGGTCGAGAAACTGAACAGTTTGAACGAACACAATGGTGACATTGTTACCCCTTTGGTGCTGCTTGCTCAGCTGTTTGCGTTGTCGAACATTGAGGCGTTTGGCTCGCAATTTTTGCGGTTTGGGATCGTCTCGGCTAGCACGTTCAAGGCTGTGCTAGAGAAGATTGGGATCCTCTGTCGCGAGATCCGGCCGTTGGTGATTGGTCTCACGGACTCGTTCAAAATGAGCGACTTCTTCATCAACTCAACCTTGGGATCGTATAACGGGGACATTTACCACCATTACTACGGGGTGGTGAAAATGCTAAACGAGCCGTCAAAAATCAAAGCGGAGTACTCTGCAGATTTCGAACAAAATCTGCATAGAGGCACAGTTGAGGAGCGAGAAAATTTTGAGCGAACGAGCCAGACCTTGCGGAAATTATAGTATAGTTTGTATGTGCTAAAATCAAAAATTGTATACAACTATGAAGATCTCCAGGTCCCGAAGCATGGAACTTGTCCGTGGCTTGTTTGCAGTTCCTAATGTGGCATAATTGTGACGCGTAACGTGTAGTTTTATTTTTAGCCCACGCAGGTTAAGTCACTAGATTTCGTCCTAATCGGGTAATCTGGCCACTACATTTGTTTACAATTACCTGCTATAGGCTAATTGTTATGTTCAGTTATGCAGGTAATTTAACTGCACATTAGCCATCACCTTGCTAAGAAACCAGCCTCCCGAATTAGTGTTTCTCTAAGGCTAAAATTGGAAATGAGATTTGATTTGCACTGATCATCAGGAGCAATATAAAAGGAACTATTTCTCAATTTCAGTCTCCATCAGAACACAAGCTGAATTAACTGTTTGTCGTCAATAAATACATATAATGCAACACAAGCTCTCGCTCATCGGTTCTCTCGGTTTGGCCCTCAACGGTATGGCTGCCTACGTTCCATCCGAACCATGGAGCACCCTGACCCCTGAGGGATCTTTGGCCGGTACCATCACAGACTACTCGTACACTTTCGGTATTGCTATTAATCCAGTTACTGCCGACGGAGGCAAGAAGGTCAAGAGAGACGTTGTCACCCAGATTGGGGACGGACAAATCCAGGCTACCACTGCTACCCCCTCCACGACCTCTACCGCCGCTGTTGTGACGCAAATTGGAGACGGCCAAATTCAAGCCACCACCGCCACCCCTAAACCTGCCGCCCCTGTGGTCACCCAAATCGGTGACGGCCAAATCCAGGCCACCACGGCAACCTCCGAAACCACCGCTCCTGTGGTCACTCAGATTGGTGACGGTCAGATTCAAGCAGACACCACCACCTCTTCTGCTGCCGTGGTTACCCAAATCGGCGATGGCCAGATCCAGGCCACTACCTCTACAAACACCGTTTCTGCCGCTTCCCAAATCAATGACGGCCAAGTGCAAGCTTCCAGCGCTGCCACCAACTCCGCAGAGGCCGCTGCCCAAAACGATTCATCAAACCCAGTCAACGATGTTTCTTGTTGGAGCGAAGATGCTCTTTCCATGACCCTGAACGGTACCATTTTGACAGACTCCAAGGGAAGAATCGGATCCATTGTTGCCAATAGACAGTTCCAATTTGACGGACCTCCACCACAAGCTGGCGCTATCTACGCGGCTGGCTGGTCCATCACTGATGACGGAAAGTTGGCAATTGGAAACACCACCGAGTTCTACCAATGTCTGTCCGGAAGCTTCTACAACCTGTACGACGAGCACATTGGCTCCCAGTGCGAGAAGGTCTACCTCGACGTCGTCGACTTGGTCAAGTGTTAAGGGTCCTGTAACTTTACTTCTACTTCATCATCGTTTTGCATTTAAGGGTTAGTGTTTACTTTTTGGTTTCGAAAAGGAAAACTGCATTGGTATAAATTAAGTTAAAAAAAGTATTATATGAACATTTATTTATATGCTACCGCAGTCTAAAATCCAGCTTCAACGGAAGCTGGCCGTAAGAAACGAAAAATATGTCCGTGCAAGGGTGTTTCATTTGTACTGAAAAATCTTTTCCTCCTCACCACGCATTCGTCTAGATGTTAGCACTTAGAACTCATCCCCCCCATCCGCAGGTGGTCCGCATGTCGCAAGTGCGGTACAACCGCATTTTGGCATATCCTTCATACACCACAAAAGGCTACATTCCGCCATCGAGGGGCGGCAGAAAACAGACCGTGTTCAAAAAATTGATGGACGAGTTTCTCGGAGACAAGAACTACAAAGGCCAGTACTACGACAATAGATTTGCATTCCTCAAACAAAACCATTCCACAAACTACATTGACCCGCGCTTTCGAGACGGCAAGACTAAGCTTTTTGCTGAAGAGTCGGAGGTAGATGAGGCTGAGGAAGGACGTTCGACTCCTGAATCTAGAGATCAGTTGCGTCCATTTTCCCAGAACAGGTTCACCGTCACCAATACCATGGTCAGCGAAGACATGAAAAACCAACTTGTGAGTGAGGTTCTTGACGAAGGAAAGGCTCTTTTAGAAGTTGCTGTCAAGTACAAGATGAAAAATCAAAGAATTGAGGCATTGGTCAAACTGCATCAGATCGAGAAGCAATACGAGGAGGAGGGAAAAATCACCCCAACCATGGAGAAGTTTGCAGACATCATGTTCAAGGCGTTCCCGCTTTTTGACCCCGAGGTTCACGGCGAGAACCTGACAGAGATTCCGATTCCGTCAGAGACTTTGCACTCTCGTTTCGTGACGATTGCCGAGTCTGAGCCATTTGGCCCTGTGGACGCAGCAAAGGAGTTTGGACTGGAGCCCGCTGCGGAGACTCTCAGAAAGGTCACGGAAGAGGGGGAGCACGCTTTGTCTATGACAAACAACGCCAAAGTGCACGAGACGTTTATTGCTCCGATGCACGAAGGAGATAGGGTCGCTTACAAGTTCACTGATGTAAAGGTCGGGGAGGTTGGCTTTAGATACGGAAAGCCATACCGAGACAATCGGAAAGACCGCAAGTATGCGTTCGATAATGCGGGAAAAAAGTATCCTGTTCTGGAGTGAAGCTTTGTTTATACTGTAAATTCCACACCTTTATCCTGCAAAGCCGTATATTGCCGTACAGAATGCCAGAAAAAAAACCATTTTGCCCGACCTGCCGCCGTTTCAAGCTTCTTGGGTGGTGCCTGTGACCAGATTTCTTCTTTAGCGTGCGGCCATTGTTAAAAAAATTAGGAATACAAATGCCGTTTGATATCCTCGAGAAAAAATATGGATCTCATTACTCGACAGTCCCCAGCTGCTCAGCAGAGCAGCAAACACCTCGAAGTGAAATCTGATGTCTACGAACTCAACTCAGAGCACGAGCAACCTGTCTACACAACCAAGCGTGGCCTGAAGTCCCGTCATGTCCAGTTCATTGCTCTGGCTGGAGCTATTGGTACAGGTCTCTTTGTCGGTAGTGGTTCCACGCTTGCCACGTGCGGCCCAGCCAGCCTTCTGATCGGCTTTCTCATTCTGGCTATCTTTGTTTGGTCCATCATGAACCAGCTTGGAGAAATGGTTAGCTTCATTCCTGCTCCCGGAAAATCTACACTATATGCACTCTGCGATCGCTACACAGGAAACAGGAGCATGTCTTTCACATGCGGCATGAACTTGGTCTATGCTCTCTGTATCTTAACCCCGGCCGAGATCTCGGCTGCTGCTTTCGTGATTGAGTACTGGTCGGACCTGAACGTGGCAATCTGGATTGCGATCCTGTGGTCCTCTATCGTCGCAATCAACCTGCTGGCTGTCAAGTTTTTTGGAGAAACAGAGTTCTGGATCGCGTCCATCAAGCTTATCACTATCACGGGCCTGATCATCCTCGGATTTGCTATTTTCTGGGGTGCAGGCCCCGCCAGACACGGCATTCTTGGTTTCCACTACTGGAAGCATCCAGGAGCATTTGTCGAGCATCTGGTCTCAGGAAACACAGGAAAGTTCCTTGCGTGCTGGACCGCCATCATCAAGTCCGCTTTCGCGTTTGTGCTTTCGCCGGAAATCATCACTTCGGCCGCCGCAGAGGCTGAGGCCCCAAGGAAAAATCTTCCAAAGGCTACCAGACGCTTCATTTACCGTCTGATGATTTTCTACATCGGAGGTGTGCTGGCCATCGGCGTCATCGTGGGCTACAATGATCCAAGACTCATGAACGCCCTCAGCACTGGCGCCACAGGAGCTGCCGCCTCGCCTTTTGTCATTGGAATCCAGAACGCAGGCATCAAGTACCTCAACCACATCGTTAATGCTGCTATTCTGACCTCGGCTTATTCAGCAGGAAACTCATTCCTCTACGCAAGCACCAGAACACTCTATTCCATGTCTCTCTCAGGTATTGTCCCGAAATGCTTTTCGAAGTGTACTCGCTACGGTGTGCCAATCTACTGTGTGGTCTTCTGCTCTGCCATTGCTTTGCTTTCCTTCCTCAACGTTTCCAACTCGTCTACCACAGTATTCAACTGGCTCTCCAACATCTCAACAGTCTCCGGATTCGTTTCGTGGATTTTTGTCTCCATCACCTACCTACGCTACCGGAAAGCCATTGCCTACCACGAACTGGACTCTCGTGTCACCTTCAGACCAAAGTACCAGATTTTTGGAGCTTACGCTTGTCTCGTCTTCTTTACAGTGATTGCTCTCACGAACGGTTACGCTGTGTTCTTCAACTGGAAGACGTCCGACTTCTTTGCGGCCTACATCACTCTTCCTATCGTCGCTGTTCTCTATGTCGGCCACATGCTGTGGACCCGGAATTTCCGTCTCTTTGCACCTCCAGAGCAAATTGACTGTTTTACAGGCCTCGAGGATATCGAGAGAGAAGCTGCGAAGTACGAGCCTCCCGTTCCTCGGAATCTTATCGAGAGATTCTGGTTCTGGCTCACGTGATTATCTATGATTAGCTACTGATTATCTCGATATCAATCATCTCTCTGCATATCGGGTGTCAAATTCCGACGGGCGTCTGCGGGCGGCAGCAAACCTGCATGGCGTCTGCGCATTGTAGACAGTACTGTATCGGGACCTCTTTTCCGAAAACTTCTCGTACGATCGAAGAAAAACTAGATGCAAGTATGGTCTCGAAACGATACACGCAGCCCATATTGGCAGCTGTCAACAAAATTGCGAGGTTAGTCAGTTTGTCCGAGCGGTTAAGGAGAAAGACTTGAAATCTTTTGTGCTATGCACTCACAGGTTCGAATCCTGTAGCTGACGAATTTTTTTATCCCTCCTTTTTTGAACTAAGCCACATCTACATAGCCTACCTGGCGAGTAGTCGAATGAAACACTCCAGCAGCCTGCTGTTGTTCGCCGGCGTGGCAGAAGTTCACCAGCGAATAAAACATGCATACCAAATGACGCTATTTTGTAGACAGGAAGTTTAGCCTCACGAAGCAACTGTAACGATAAAATTCTGGCTAGACTTTTTTCTCAAAATTTCTTAAAATCATTTTCTCGATACGATTATTTTGTAACCAAATATCATACTCCAATCGGGAGCACCTGTTAACATCACCATCATACGCCAGCAATTGCCTTTGTCAAAATACGGAATATTGATAGTCAACCGCACCCTCCCTCTTCAATCACGTTTGATATCAAACAATAATAAAATACAAATTGTTCTGGCCTCACCCTATCCAGTGGTTTAACCAGCATGTCCGCACAAAATAAATCTCCCGGGCTACAATTAATAGGTTCCAAAGGTACTGTAGACCCCCCTATCGCTAACGGAATGGGATTGCTTTCGGTGAAAACTCCCAGGGGCATGGAGTCCCCTAGAATTTTGGAAGGAGGCTCACCCGACACACATGTGAGGCCGGGCCTGAACAGGCCTCCGTCAATACAGAAGATTACGGATGCAGCCCACAAGATGAGCGACTACTTTTCTACCTCCATGGCAAACTTACACAGCTCACATAACATGTCCGAATCACCCACTTATTCCAGAACAAGTTCCAACTCGTCTTTGGGAAAGCTGCTTGAAAGTTTTCACCACCACAAACCGAATGCCACAACTCGAAAGAGCACAAGCTCAATAGCCACCAGTCCCTCAAGGGACAATCTAGGTATCCTAGCACGTGCAAGACGCAGTAGTGCGAAACTGGACGAGTACGACCGCCAGACTCATGAGGAATCAGCGCCACCGCTCTCTCAACTGCCAAAAGTGAAGGAGACTCATTACGTGCGCGTGGAGTACGATCCGATAACACACAAGAGAATATTGAACACGTACGAGATTCTCAAAGACCTTGGGAGCGGCCAACATGGCAAAGTGAAATTGGCAAAAGACCTCAATTCTAACGAGCTGGTTGCAATAAAGATTGTGGATCGTGGGTCAAAGCCGAGACTGGGTCGATTGACTCGACCTGGATCGTCCCAGGAGGACAAAATTAGACGAGAAATAGCTATTATGAAGAAGTGCTCTCACCCGCATGTTGTCAAGCTTTTGGAGGTACTGGACGCAGAAAGCTCAAGAAAGATATACATGGTGCTAGAATACTTGGAGAAAGGTGAGATCCAGTGGCAGAAGGAGGACGAAGAGACAGGTTTCAAACCAGAGCCGCTCCTTTCATTATCTGAAGCAAAAAATGTGTTCAGAGATGTTGTCAGCGGGCTCGAATACTTGCATAATCAAGGGATCATCCACAGAGACATCAAGCCATCAAATTTGCTCGTTTCCAAAGACTACGTGGTGAAGATATCGGACTTCGGAGTTTCTTTTGCAGCAAGCTTGGAAGGAAATGACGAAGTGGAGCTCGCTAAAACTGCAGGCACGCCTGCGTTCTTGGCTCCGGAATTGTGCAAGACAGATGGGTCTTTTGACAAGGTGACCTATAAAATAGATATATGGGCGCTGGGAGTCACATTGTACTGCTTATTATTTGGTTGTCTTCCGTTTAACGCAGAGTCAGAATTTGCATTATTTGACACGATTTGCAACAAGCCGTTAACCTACCCGGATACCAATAAATGGAAGTGTTCGCCGCCAATACCGGACTACGATCTGAACCAAGCCAAGGATCTTATCAACAAGCTTCTCCAGAAATCGCCTGAACATAGAATTGATATCTCTGATATAAAGGCACATCCTTTCTTTCTTGAAGGGCTGTCCAGGGCCCAATCTAGAAAGTACAATGCCAATTGGAATAGTAAGATGAAAATCGCTGTCAGCAACGAAGAGGTTAACGAGGCAGTGGTTGGCATTGGCAACAGGATCAAGAAGAAGCTTTCTGATGTGTTCAGGCTGACCGGTCTTTCTGTTCCTAAAACGAAACAATCGCTCTACCTGCAATCCTTAAAAGGCATGATGAGTCCCTCTGACTCAGAGTCGTCCACGGGCACTCCAACGAACGGCGAGCATTCTTATTTGCTGTCCGAGGCCCTCAGCACAAGCGGGTGGTCCAAGGGTTCCAGTCTTCCTCCTTCTCCGTCAGCCCAGAGCGCGACACCTCCAAAATTAGTCAGTCGCCGCAACGAGCTGGCGCCTGGAAACCGCGATTCTCTCGCCCTTTCCATTGACTCGAGCACAACAGATTCGTCGTCGTTATCCAAAGCGGTCGCAACAAAACACAATGTAGATGCAGATTCGCTCATTGCACCAAACCGAAGAGGCTCTTCGGCACTAAGTCAACTTTCCGAGATCATCAGAACGACGAGCAACCCAGACTCGTCAAACATGCCTATGACGGAGAGCGAAATGACAATCACCACAGATACCAGTGAGCGTGAGCTGATCGCTCCGTCAGACCGCGTAGATGATAAATCTGGTCACACAAATATAACAGAGGAGCAAGAATCATTGAACAGGGCCTCGTTGCCCGTGGTACCCAGCTTTGCTTCGCTGGACAGTTTCTATGAAAACTCGTCCAATCCGAATACCTCCTCGCTCGAAACCTCAGTTTACGCAGGAATACCATCGCAGAGATTGCCAACTAACTTAGACACGCGACATGGTTCGGTGAGCTCCTCTATGTCAATATCTCGTGCTTCACAAGGAGAACGTCGCTTTGCCCCTTCGCACGCACTGGGAAACGACGTTCCCTTGCACACGATGAACTCTGCAGTGTCCGTGCCAGAACATATTAAATCCGATCTGGAATCGATGGCGCCGGCGATCAGTAATGATTACTATAGTGCAAGACACGTGCCCTCTGCTGGACGGCTTGCGAACATCGCCGTGCCACAGCGCCGCAACTCGCGTAAAGTGGTCTTCAATAACGGCTCCGAGAATTGTGCTTCCTCTGACGACGAAGGGTCTTCAGAACAGCGCACGATCAAAGTGTCGGGAAACCCTCAAGAAACTCAGAAGTCCCCAAACAGTGCCGCGCGCAATCCTCTGTACGGGAAAAAACTGGTTATTGCGCCAGCTACTCACGACTCTGATTGCGAGTCAGACTCCGAAGACTCCGACGAGTCAATTGAGCTGACGCTGTCGTTTGGAAAGAATCGCTCTCGACCTCCCCTTGTTGCACGTCCCTCGCTTCCGCGTGCTGCGAGCCACGCCACTTCGATTATCCAGGACAGCATACACGACGTTCCCCTGAACTTGATTTCACCAGACTATCAGACGGAGGCCAGCAAACTGATTCCTGGGATAGGAAATACCGATTTGAGCGGCAAGTAGCCTCCTGTGCTACTTCACTTCCGAGTACTATGTACTGTATCGATTTTATTGCGCTATATTTCCATCCGCTGTAGAATATGGAGGCTGGTCTCACTAAGAGCGTTTTTCAAAATATCGTCCGCCGCGAACTCGCTCCCGCATAGACTAACCACATGCGTCGTCACCTTCACGGGCTCAGATAATGATAGCAGCTCGTCAACATTGAACCTAGCGTCTAGCCTGTACAGATCCGATTTGGTAATGGTGATAACCATGTCGTTGTCCTTTTGTTGGAACTGGTAATATAGTTGAAGAATACGAAGCTCTCTGACCAGCTCTCTAAACTGTGCATAGGACTGTCGCAATTGAACAAAGTAATCTTTCAAGCTAACACCTTTGACAGATTGAAAACGGACCGCGAATTTGGAATATAAGTCGCTAAACTGCATGTCGGTCGGAGACATCTTGAGAGTTCTGGTGCCAGTGGAAAGGTCAATCCTCACTTCGAGCTCTTTCATAATCTGCACCTTGAACTCCCTTTCGTTCAGCACAAGGAGCTCCACCTGTGTGGTTCTTTGGAGGTCAACAAACTGCTGTTGCAAGAGGTATAGCTCATTTTGGGATGGGAGTTTGATTTCCATCACGCGTTTCTTCAGCCGCTTGTCTTCTTCGTGTGCTTCCAAGAGTTTAGCGGAGACGTGTTTGAATTTTTCTTCTTCTTCAGCAATGACCTTTTGAAGCTCCCCCTTGGTCTCTCTCAGACGAGCATTTTGTTCTTGTGCATCTTCCACTCTGCCCTTCAGCAGTTCTAGCTTGTCAAGGTCAACATTCGCAAAGTTCTTCTGCCTGTCGTGCAGTAAGGCTAGCGTTTTCGTGAGGTCTGCTTTCCTCTTTACACATTCTTGGTACTCGGAGGAGAATGCTGCGCGAATTTCCTCCATGTCTGCAACCTGAGAGTTCACTGAAGCCTTGCGGTTCTCGTACGATTTGAGCAGTCCTTCCAAGGAGTTTTTCATGAACACCAGGTTGCCATGCTCAGCAATAGTTCTTGCCAGACTTGCCAACGCTTGGTAGTTGACCTTCAAATCCTTTTGAACCTCGTCTGTGCTCTCGTAAAACTCCCTAACAGAAGTTGGGTTGTTATTGATTATTGCCTCACTAAAATCGTTGATGCTCTTTTGCGAGCGATCGATGCCCGACTTGCGCTGGGCAATGAGATGATAGAAGTAATCAAAGTTAGGAAACTCTGTCACGGCGTCCACGTATTTGTGAAGAGCCTGAGATCCTGACCCTTCACTGGTCACAGTGAGTTCGCGTTCGGAAGGTCCGATGTTGTCATAAAACTGAACCTGGACCTGATTGAGGAACTGCGGAAGAGTTACATGAACGTAGTCGTCGTCATCATCTTCAAAGTTCGCTTCCTCATTCTCTGAATCCATAGTAACCTCTGCTAGTGGAACCTTCTCCGCAATGATGATAGATTCCTCAAAAGCACTCATGTCTGCGCTCGCATTTTGTTCCGTGAATTCCTTATCCTTCTGCTCATCTTGCCCATCCTGCTTCTGACAAAAGCCCTCCTCATCTTGCTGTTCCTCTGCTTTCCTAAGGTTCTGTATGATGTCTTTCGGCTTGGCAAGTTCTCCCAGATCGAGCATAGAGTCTTTGGAAGTGCTTTGTGGAGATCCAAACTCATCAGTGCGGATCTTTTGGGCTCGAGCACTTGAACTAGGAGTAGAGATATGCGGTTTCTCAAGACGTGGTGGAGTTCTCAGATTAGAGAAAGATTGATCTCGTGCAATTGTTCGTACTGGTTGGGTGAATTCCATAGGTTCCTGCGAGTCAGCAGTAGGTTTATTTATTTGCGTCATTTCCATCGTTTCCTCCGTGTCTATGGGCTCTTCATGATTGCAATGGATCGCTTGCGTGATTTCCATTGAATTCTCTGGCTCTCGCTGCAGAGTATCTCTGTTTTCTCCGGTATCAATCTCAAGACGATCTGGCTCTGCTAGGTCCATTGGTTGTGACACTTCCGGTTCGTCCACAGATTCCGGATTTGGTTTTTCCGGTCTCCTAACTGGCTGAGTGAACTCCATCGTGTCCTCCTCTTCTATCTGATTGAAAGTAGCCTCCAGATTTGGAGCTTCCGTGGGATCGAAAGTTTCCGTTTCTGCGTCGTAGTTTCTGCGAACAAGCTCACGCACCTCTGCATTTAGCTCTTCTGACATCTCCATTGGCTGACTCATGTTGTCCTCTTCAATCGAACCAGGTGACATTTGAGTCTTGTCAACAACCTGTGAGCAATCTTCATTCTCGTCTGCACTAGGTGAGTTGTCATTGCGTCCAAAAAACGATATTCTTTTTTGAGAGTATGAGGGAATTACTTGCAGCGAGTCACGTCTGCGAGGATTGAATCCTATATCATGAGCGCCCTCGTTCGCTTCATGCGTTCTATGGATAATACTGCGAACGTCAACGTCTGTGGCAAACGAGACTCTCCTCTTTTTTGATTTATTCTTCGGTATTATGGCGATCGTATGGTTTTGATCCGCTGAAGCCTTCAAGATGCTCCTGGGAGGCACAGGCAGCAACGTGTGTCTTCTATTTGGCTTTCGCACCTTGTAAGGAAAATGGTGAGGAGCAACATTCTCCTTCTCGGTAGGGAACTCTGAAGAAGACATAATTTAATTATTTTATCTTGTTTGTTTATCTTTTTCAGTTTGTTTTCGCGTAACTATACACACACCTCGCACCGATTAGACATGCTCGAGCTTGAATTGCCAAGTACCTGAGATGGAATCGTAACCGACAAACTCCGTATTCGGAATCATTTGCAGTCTTCTGATATGTTTCTTCACAACAGCGTGATGTGGATCTGTGATTGGCTTCTTGGTGTCCTTCGACAGTGGGAAGCAACCTTCGAGAGAAACTGTTGCTGGGATGTTGAAACCTTCACCAACTGGCGGTCTGCTATTGAGATCAGGGTAGATAATACAAGACTGCTTATCAAACACGATAATTTCTGGAATTTTTTCCAGGAGAATTGATGTGAGATCCACAGGTTTGAGGAATTCGATTTTTCCGTAGCCTGTGCGGCCCACCTTGAAATGTGGAACAGACTTTAGCTGTGTAGGAGACAGCTTTTGTAACTCTTCCAGCGAGGGAGAGATCCAGTAGCCCTCAGGCCATTCTTCATTGGTCGAGGTGGATTCGGACACGGATTTCGGAGTGCTCGAGACCTCTCCTACAGGCTCCTGGCTGCTTCCATTTTCAAGCACGGTCTTGCTAGGGGACACGTAGGGTTTTGGGGTGAGGCTGCTCATTGAGGCCTTCATCGTGATCTGACGACGAGGAGTGACGAGGTTGCTTGTTTTGAGGCCTTCAAACTCGTCTTCTTGCTTCGTTTTGTCAATGATCAGCTTGGTGACATTTCTGGACGGAGCAAAAATGTAACTGGACAAGATGGCATCATCCGTAGTAGGAGAGAGAACTTTTTCGGACTTAGAGCCGTTGGCAGAGTCTTTAGAGTCTTCGATCAAAGTCTGAGTGGCAGATTTGCTGGAGCCGTTTGAGCCGGCCGTCGACGGAGATGAAACTGCCACAATGCTGCCGGGCTTTGTGGCCAGGAGATCGTTAGGCGAGAACAGCGGTTTTGGATTTAGTTTGTAGGCAGAGGAAAGCATTGGCTTTTTCTTGGCCACCTGTTTCACCGGAATAGCCTGTGGCACTTGAGGTTGTTGGACAATAGGATTTGTATTGGCTCCCACAGAGGAAAACAGAGGATTTGTTCCATATGGGTCCAGATTAGCCAGAGGCTGTTGCTGTTGCTGTTGTTGTTGCTGCTGCTGTTGCCCTTGTCCAAATGCAAACGCGTTCGGTTGCTGGCTGTTGTTGCCAAAGAGGCCACCAGAAGTCGTTCCAGCAGGTTTATTACCAAACAATCCTCCTGAGGTTGTTGATGTGGACGATTGATTATTGTTTCCAAAGAGTCCTCCAGTCGTCGCTGGCTTGTTCCCAAAGAGCCCTCCAGATGTGGACGATTGGTTGTTACAGAAAAGACCACCAGAGGTTGTTCCTGCGGGCTTGTTTCCAAACAGACTGTTAGTATTATTACTGGTTGCGCCAAAGCCTGAAGTGCCAGAGGTGGCTGGGGGCTTATTACCGAATAAAGAGCCGGCTGCGGTGTTTGTCGAGCCGAACCCAGTTCCAGTGGAAGCAGCTTTATTGCCAAACAGACCCCCCGACGATGCATTGTTGTTATTGTTTGCGCCGAATGCAAAGCCACCCCCCGTTCCAGTGCTAGCCGTGTTGTTGTTTCCAAAGAGACCTCCCGAAGAAGTGCCTGTTGGTTTATTACCGAAAAGTGATCCAGCTTGGTTATTATTGTTGCCAAACAACGGTGCCGATGTATTGTTGTTGGCCGAAGCATTGTTTCCAAAAAGCGATCCGTTCTGAGCGTTGTTGGTCGACCCAAAGCCAAAGCCTGCACCGGCAGGTTTGCTAGGCTGGCCAAAGAGGCCTCCCGACTGGTTATTGTTATTGCCGAAGAGTCCACCAGATTGCTGGTTATTATTGTTGTTCCCAAACAGATTACCTGAGGTGTTCCCGGTCGAGCCAAAACCTCCAGATGTGTTTCCAGACGAGCCAAAACCGCCAAAAGCAGGCTTGTTGGCGGTGTTATTTCCACCAAACAGGCCACCGGTATTAGTGCCCGTGCTGCCAAAACCACTTGTCTGGTTGTTGTTGTTGCCAAACATGCCACCGCCAGCCTGATTGGTCGATCCAAAGGCAGGTGTTGTGCTCTGCTGACCAAACGGAGAGCTGGTCTGATTATTGTTGGCACCAAAAAGAGTGCCAGCGTTGTTGTTCTGCTGTCCAAAAGGTGAGCTCGAGGGCGCTCCAAATGTAGACGACTGCTGTTGCTGACCGAACGGCGAGTTGTTGGTCTGTCCGAAAGGAGCACCGGACGAGCCAAATGCAGAATTGTTGTTCGAGCCAAAGGCAGAGGAATTGTTGTTGGATGAACCGAAAAGGCCGCCTGTAGCTGGCTTGTTGGCACCAAACACGTTTCCGCCGGTATTGTTGTTGGACTGTCCAAATAGACCGCCTGAGGTAGTATTGTTGGATTGGCCAAACAAGCCACCGTTGTTGGACGCGGTTCCAAAGCCACCAGTGGTACCAGAGCCGAAACCGGTTCCTGTGCCAAAACTTCCTGTTCCAGCTGACCCAGCACTGTTGCCATAGCGTCTACCATCAATGTAATCCTGAACTCTGAGTTCCTCGAGAGAAAACTTGGAGTACTCAGGCATGGCTGTGATAGTTTCATAATATTGTGTTCCGTTCGTCGGATCTTTTTCTGTTAGCGGCTTGAATGGAGTCACAGACGTGCCCCTGTTCTGGGTGTTAGCGGCTCCCAGGGTAGATCCAAAACGAGGTGCACTGGATTGTTGGCCAAACGGAGACGTCGTGGATGTAGACCCAAAAGCAGAGCCTGTATTGTTAGATGCACCAAAAAGACCATTGGATGCGGTTCCAGTGGAGCCGGTGTTGCCAAAGGCCGACTGACCAAACGGCGAGGAAGAACTGTTGAACGATGATCCTGTTCCAAACAAGCCGGTGTTCGAAGAAGTACCATTGGCTGGGGCATTAGTATTGGTGTTGGAGCCAAACGCGCCTAGCCCAGAAGACGCATTGGAGGCGGCTCCAAACAGGCCTCCCGTGTTTGTGTTTGCGTTCGAACCAAACGTAGACGAGGGATTGTTGTTTACAGTATTTGTTCCGAACGGAGAGGAATTGTTGTTATTCCAGGTGTTGTTGGAACCAAACCCGCCGAACCCGCTGGTGGTGGACGCCGAGTTGCCAAACATTATTAAACAGAGAACGTATTAGCAATGGGATCCAGCAGGACGATAAAATAAACCAAACTGGTTTCTGCAAAATTTGCTTTCGAAACGAGAACGACAGCGTCGCGTCGAAAATAAATCGAACTTGGAATATTAAACTTCAGCTATCGACGCGTACAGATTTAGTTGACATGGGAATCAAGGGACTCAACGCTCTTGTCGCGGAGAATGCGCCACGGGCCATCAGATCAAGCGAGATGAAGTCTCTGTTTGGACGCAAGATCGCAATTGACGCGTCGATGTGTCTGTATCAGTTCCTCATTGCTGTGCGACAGCAAGACGGTAACCAACTGACAAACGATGCAGGAGGCACCACGTCGCATCTCATGGGGTTTTTCTATAGAACAATTCGGATGGTTAGCAACGGCATCAAGCCTTGCTATGTGTTTGATGGGAAACCGCCGGTCCTCAAAGGAGGAGAGCTCGAGAAAAGGCTCAAAAGGAGAGAAGAGGCCGAACAAAAAGCTCTGGAGCTGAAAGAAACGGGAACCGTGGAGGAATTGCAAAGGTTTGAGAAAAGACAGGTCAAGGTGACGCGAGAGCAGAACGAACAGGCTCAGCATTTGCTGAAGCTCATGGGTATCCCTTACGTGATCGCGCCGTGCGAGGCCGAAGCACAGTGTGCAGAATTGGCTCGCAAGGGGAAAGTGTACGCGGCCGCCTCCGAGGACATGGACACTTTGTGTTACCAGCCGCCATTTTTCCTGAGAAACGTCACGGCTGCAGAATCGAAAAAGCTCAAGATCGATGAGTTCACCACTAGCGCGGTCCTGGAAGGCTTCGGGATGGACATCAATACCTTTGTTGATCTTTGTATTCTTCTTGGATGCGATTACTGCGAGACCATAAAGGGCATTGGGCCAGTCACAGCATTCAAATTGATCAAGGAGCATGGGTCCATTGAAAAGATCATAGAATTTATCGAAAATGATCCGAAGTGCAAATACAAGGTTCCCGAAAACTGGCCATATAACGAAGCCAGAGAGCTATTTTTGAATCCAGAAGTACTAAATGGAGACGATATCGATTTGAAGTGGACGGACCCTGATCTAGATGGCTTGATCGAGTTCATGGTGAAAGAGAACGGATTTAACGAACAGCGGATAAGAGACGGCGTAGAAAAGCTCAAGAAGGGGCTCAAGGGGGGAGTGCAAGGCCGACTGGATGGATTTTTCAAGGTCAGTGTGAAGGCGGAGACAAAGAAGCGTACGGAGACACAGGACACCAAGAAGAATAAGCGTTTGAAGAAGAAATGACTGAACAAACCTGTATAATTGATCTAACGCCCAGGCGGCATGATAATTTACCTTCTAATGACAATCACTCTGGAATGATGTCCAACTCTTTCGTAGGATCCACTTCCTCGCCTCTAAGTCCACCGGTACCCAATAGACCGGAGATAACAGAGCCCGTTTCGGAAATCGCATTGGACAGCGCAGACTCTGATGACTCCTTGATTGCCATTGTCTTGCCCACGAATTTCCTCATGCTGGTGTCCATCCCAGAGAAATACCTCGCTACCTCAACAACCGGCCATGGCACAGCACGGAAAAGGGGTAAGAAGTTGCCGTAGAAGGGAAGCTTGATCTCGCCTCTTTTCCCCAGCTCGATGGCGCTGAAGATGGCTTTAGACACATCTTTGGGCTCTAGTTCCGGCGCTAGCAGGGTGTGCGGCGTTCTAACACCTTCAAACATTCTGGTCTTGAGCTGGCCAGGACATATGAGCAAGGTCTTGACACCGGTTGTGTTGAATGAAGGGGGACCCAATTCGTAGGTCAGCGACTCGTGCAAAGCAATGAGACCAGACTTGGTGGCCCCGTAAACACTAAGACGCGCAGGGGACATGTAGCCCAAGGTGGATGCCACTGTGACAATGTATCCTCTCTTCACCTTGAGCATGGACGGAAGGAAGGCTTTGATGGTATAAAAGCTGGAGAGTAGGTTGACCTCGATTGTCTTTTCAATTTCCTCAAAACTCAGATCGAGCACTGTTTTGCCCGTGGTGATTCCCGCATTATTGATCAGGATAGTAATTGTTCCCACCTCTTCGGCAACTTGTGCGCTTTTCAGCAGCACATCTTTGCGATCGCTAACATCACACGCGTAATAGTGGACGCCAGGCACTCTTTCTTCTGAATCTGGGAGGTTGACGTCGAATACCACGACGGGGGCATGCGCCCTGGTGAACACGAGCACCAGCTCTTTTCCCAATCCGCCGCAGCCCCCAGTGACCAGCACGATGTCGCGATACGGATCGAAGGTGGCCCCAATTAGCAGCTCACTAAGCTCTCTTAGCCGCCTGTTAAGTCTGTATAAAAGAGAAGTCAGAGGGCCTGTCATTTTGATAATAAAAAAGGGGAACAAGGGATTTTTTTTGCAGATTATATCTAGCAATAAAAAAATACAGGACTACTTTGTTTACGATGTCATCGGGGCCGCAAATCTTGCGAATCAAGCGGAAAAGGACAGACGATCCATTGCAGGCGCTGCTCGTGGAGAACCATGGCTCGAAAAGATCAAAGACGGCGAACTATGTATTCAAATTGGCCAGGACAGACGAGTCAAACATCGATGTAGACGGGTCCAAGATTCTGGAACAAGACGTGTCGAGAACTGGCCGAAAAGTGTTCAGCATCCCAAAAAAAGACGACGAGATTGATCCCCAGCTGATGGAGATGTTGCAGGACTACCTGCGAACCAGCGACGTTAAGGAGGAACGCCACAAGCCTCCGAAAAGACGAATGTCGAGCGCCTCTGCGGAAGTGGAAAAGCCGCCAACCCTCGTCCAGGAGGACAACGACTACGTCTACGATGTGTATTATCGCGACAAGGCCGTGACAGACCAATGGGAGAAGGACAAGATAGGGTACATTCAGTTTGACGAAGATGATATGGAGACGCTTGACGAGCAGGAGGAGGCTGCGGAACAGACAGACGATGAAGACTCGAATGACGAGAACTTTTACCGGAATGACTATCCTGAGGACGAGGACGGGGGGTATGAGGACAGCGAGTTCGAGGAACCCAGCGACGACCAGGACGACGAGTTCGACATCCTGCACGACCGGCGCCGGTTCAGTGTGCAGGATGTGCGAGAGACAGAAGGATTGACGGAGGAGGAGGTGGAGGAACTGTACAATAGGTTTGACGAGAGCGTGCTCGAGGACTAACTCCGGGACGGCTACACCCGGCACCCGGATAAATATTTTCTAATTTAAGGCATTTTTAGTGATTATCAAACAAGATGTCGTTCAAGGGAGCCAAAAAGGCTCTGTATCGGGGTCCGCACCAATTGATTGGTAAAAAGAGCGCGGACGACCAGCAGATCAAGAATTGGGAGCACGACTTGCAGAACGCGGTCGCCGGGCTCGAGTTTCTGATAGTCCAGGAGCGGAAGTGGTGTAAATGTCTGGGCAGCATCCTGGACAATCTGCTAGGCAGCATGGATACCTTTGAACAGCTGCACTCGCCGTTTGACCGAAAGGACAAAAAGGCCGACCAGGAGCTGGTTTCGGACCAGAACGAGGACTTCTCGAACGTGACGGTGAACGAGATCCGGCAGGCGAAACGGCTATTCCGGATCATCTATGACCAGGTGACGCAGCGCATGGAGGTCAGCAAGGACCGGTTTGTGGACCAATGCGAAGAGATGAAGGAGTATATCCGGTCGTCGTTGAAGCTCATCACAAAACGCAACCACAAAAAAATCGACTACGACATGTACCACAACTCTGTCGAGAAGATCTTGAAGTCGAGCAGTTTCAACGAAAAGGAGAAGGCGAAGCTGGAGACCACAAAAAGCCACATGTATGACACGCGCACGGTGTTTCTTGATCTGGATGCCAAAGTGAAGCTGATGATCCCGCAGGTGTTAGAGACGCTGTCTGAGTTCCTGCACAAACTGACCGTGAAGTTTTACTACCAGTCGCGCGACATATTCCGCTTTGTGACGCGCAACATGGACAAGTTTGTGCAGCTACAGGGAGTGGTTGTCTACGGCCAGGAAACAGAGTACGCGAGTATATTGAACAACTGGAAAGAGCGGATAGAGCAGGCACAGCATAAGCTGAACTCGCTGGACTTGCTGAACGACTACAAGGCGTTCCAGGAGAAAACGTTTCTGGACAAAACAGGGCAGCAGATGAACCATTTCACGGGTCACGTGGTTGGCTCGGCGATGGGGTTCACCAGCTCGCTGTACACGAAAACTCTGAACCCCCACCAGAAGCTGAACTTGCGCACACTCCACATCGAAAACCCCGTGCGGCCGGCCTCCCGCGACGGCATGTTCGTCACCGCGACAGACCCGCTCTCCTACATCATCAACGAGACGATCGTCGCAGAGGAGGTCGTCGACGACGACGATGCACAGAGCTGGCTAAAACCGCTGTCGTTGGAGAAACGGCTGGACGACACGCAAACGACGACTCCAAGCACGCTGGAGAGCGTTCCGGTGACCCCGGTGACGCCGTCGACGGCTATCTCGTCGCCGTTGATCGACCCGGGCTCCGAAACCGCCAAGTATCTGTCGGTGTCCGTGGACGCAATCAGGACTCGCTTGAGAGACACAGCGACTCACCCTGAGATTGACGCGGCGCCGGTGACGGCGCGCGAGGACCACCAGCCAGAGGAGCGTACGCTACTCGAAGTTGCAAAGGCAAAGTCTTCATTTGCTGCAGCTTTTATAAAAGAGCGTGGTATCATTCGTACCGTCTAGCCTCTCGTGCTGAATCGTTGGCTAGGAGGCTTCATGCCGGTCTTCTCGTATACATTGTTGAGGTGCTTACAGAGGAAGGACGAGCCGTAGTCTGGCAAAATGTGCGAGTCGAGCCAGAACTGGGCTGTGCATTTGAGTCCGCAGCGGCATTTGCCGGTGTGCGGGAGCTTGTCGCTCAAGTTGTGCAGCTTTTTGGCGTCGCGGTCGTCAAACTCGAAATGGCAGTTGAGCAGGTGCTTTTTGAAGTCGTACGGTCTGTTGAACTGTCCCGTCTTGTGGATGCACATCTCGCGCGGATACACGCACTTGAAGCGTGAAACCGGCTCATGTGTACGCAGGTGGCGGGACATGTCTCTCGTGATGTGTTTGAGACAGACAGGGCATCTGGAGGAGCGCGAGCGCGACACGTGTTGCAGGGGCTGCGGCTGCGGGTCGGGGTCCGGCTGGTCAGACGGCTGCTTGATCTCTGGCGACACACTCAGCGGAGAATGTTGCTGTGGGGGAGTGAAGTCTGCGAGGTCTAGCGTGGCGCCCATTGACTCGAGCGACTGTTTGGGCTGCAAATCCGGGAGGTCGGGCAATCCAAGCTCGTAGTTGGGCTCCAAGTCGATATCGTGCGGAATAGGAGGCTGGCAGGCCTGAGCGGGGGCCATGTCGAACCCAAACCGAGGGGTTTCGTTGCTTATGGAATGGCCGCGTGGCGGCGACGACGACTCGTGAGTGGAGTTTGTTAGTATGTCGAGCGCTTCCATAGTGAGAGAGACAGCAAAAGGAAGCAAACCAGCCAGTATAAGTATCAGATCTATGATTTACGCTTCTTTTTTTGCTCTTTTTCGCAGCATACACATAAGGTCGATCTGCTATGTTCGCTTACTCCGGCCCGCTAAAACTGACAAACTACCTTATGGAGCAAGCATTACCGGAAGGGGAATGGTGCGCGGACGGCTGCGTCAGAAGCAACCCTTCAGGTCGCGAATAGGAGAAAATACATTGGCAATAGAAAAAGTATTTCTTATGTTATGCACGGTGAACAACACGTAAGGGGACTTGCATGACGCAGCAACGATTGCTTATTCTATTTTAAGCTTGAGCATGACGTAATCCCTCTACTCTATGTGCTCACCTTCGTGCTTCATCTCTACCCACTCCTGGTTGTGCACCGCCACACGCTGCTGCCGGTACAGAGGCTCTATTTTCGGTATCTCTCGGCGCAAGATCGTCCGCTGCACCCAGTTCGACAGGTGCCGGGTCTGGTATGCTGCGTGCTTGTGCGACGGCACATCAAACACGTCGTCCAACTCCTCCAATGCAAGGCCCTTGGTTTCAGGCAGCAGCCACAGAACCATGAAGAACCCTACCATGTTCCACGCCGCATACCATCCGAACGCACCCTGCGGGGTGAATGCCTTCAGCAGCGAGGGCCAGGTCAAAGAAAGAATAAAATTGAAAAACCAGCAAGTGGCGGTAGCAAACGACATCGTCACGTCACGCACGTACAGCGCAGCACACTCTGCGGAGTACGTGAATGGCACAGGTCCCTCGGACGAAGCGTAGACGATGGTGAACAGGTAAATGCCCAGCGCAATGACGCCGACCCTGGCTTTTTCGTCGGGGATCCAAAACGCAAAGCCCGTCAAAAGCAGGAATACAGACATCAGCGGGAACGAGAACAGAAGCAGCGTGCGGCGGCCAAACTTGTCGATCGAGAAAAACGCCGGCAGAGCAAACACCCAGTTAATCATGCCGTAGCCCCACGACGCCAGCAGTGCGTCTCTTTCGGAAAATCCTGACTCTTTGAAGATCGACGACGAGTAGTACGCAATGACGTTGATGCCGCAGAATTGCTGCATGAACATCACCACCCAGGCCCCCACGGCCCCGTTTCTGTTTCTTCTCACGGTGAATAGCTCCCCGACTTTGGTCCAGAAGGGCACTTCGTAAGAGCTCTCCTCCAGCAGCAGCACGTGGGTGTAGAACGTGTCCCTGGCAGCCTGCAGCGGCGACTTTCTAATGCGGCTGTACGCGTCAAAGGCGTCGCGGTGCCGGCCCTTGCCCATGAGCCATCTTGGCGACTCCGGGCAGAACCACACCTGAAGCATCACCAAAATAGCCGGCAGTGCTGCCGAGCCGAGCATCAGCCGCCAGCCAAGACCTTTGTGTATCGCGTGCGCAGGAACCCTGTAGAACGCCAGCGACATCACGTAGCCGAACATAATGCCAAAGGCGGTCCACACCTGCCACATCATCACGAGTGAGCCGCGGATCCTGGCCGGAGCACATTCTGACGAATAAACCGGGATCGTAGACGACTTGGGGCCAATGCCAAATCCTAAAAAGAACCTGGAGATAAACAGGTGCCACCAGTTGTTCGTCAGGCCCGACCAGATGCACGTGATGGCAGAAACGAAACAGGTCCAGAAAATGGTGCCTCTTCTCGAAAGCTTTTCGTTAAGCCAGTCCGACGTCCAGCACGAGATTGTAGAGCAGCAAAGGTACGGGGCAGAGTTGATCAGCCCTATCAGCCAGGTATTTCTATCGGTATCTTCAGCAATGCCAAAATAGGTTGGATACTGCAGCTGTGCGCCGTTGATCACCGTCTCGTCCATGCCCTGGACTGCAGCCCCCATAGACGCCATCACAATCAGCCAGTACAGCTGCCCAGACAGCCGCCACGGGTGCTCTGCCTCCTCGAAAAGCCTCTCTTTTTCCTCCTCCGATAGGAACTCCATCGAGTTAAAGAGACTGGGTCTTCTCGCCACGGCTGCCGCTCTGGAAAACAACTCCGGGTCCATGCCGTACTTGAGAGCATAGTTTCTGCCCATGCTCCGCACTTGGGCCTCGGAATAATTCGACAAAACGTTAACATCTGGCTCCAAACCATCACTGGCAGACTTCTCTGCGTCCCAGGAGGAGGCGGAAGATCTGCCTTCCTCTCCAAAAAAGCCTAAAGAGGTATCTTGTTGCTTCGATTGGTGTACCTGAGTATCTGCCTCCATAATGACTAAAATTCACACTGTAACCTTTTTTTCTCTCTTTATATTGCTGATGCTTGCTACCAATATGCATAATGTTCAGTGATTTTCCGCGCATAAAGCGTATAGCAAAAATTAGATCAACACTATGAATGCTTACTTACTTACTCTGCCTCGACGTGCTCGGCCTCGCCGTGCTTCATCTCAATCCACTCGTTGTTCTTAATGGCCACACGGTGCGAGTGGTACAGCGGCTCCATCTTAGGAATGTCACGACGCAGAATCTTTCTTTGGAAACCGTTCCACAGGCTTCTAGTCTGGTACCTGGCATGCTCGGCAGCAGGGACGTCAAACACCTCATCCAGTTCTTCCAGAGTAAGGTTTTTGGTTTCTGGCAGCAGCCACAGCACCAGGAAAAATCCAATAATATTCCAGGCGGCATACCAGCCAAAGGCACCCTGAGGCTTGAATGCCTTCAACAGGGAAGGCCAGGTGAGCGACAAGATGAAGTTGAAAAACCAGCATGTCGCAGTGGCAAAAGACATCGTCACATCACGAACGTAAAGAGCAGCACATTCTGCCGAGTAAGTGAATGGAACAGGGCCCTCTGACGAAGAGTAAACAACCGTGAACAGGTAGATTCCAAGACAGATAACTCCGACTCTGGCATCTCTTTTGTCGTGTGGAATCCAGAATGCGAATCCTGCTAGCAGCAGGAACACGGCCATCAACGGGAAAGCAAACAAGAGCAGCGTTCTTCTTCCGTACTTGTCGATGTTTCTGAAGGCCGGAACAGCGAACACCCAGTTCAACATACCGAATCCCCAAGAGGCAATTAGAGCGTCACGGTTGCTGAATCCAGATTCCTTGAAAATCGAGGATGAGTAGTATGCAATGACGTTAACACCACAGAACTGTTGCATGAACATGACGACCCAGGCGCCCATGGCTCCGTTTCTGTTTCTTCTGACGGTAAACATCTCTTTCACTTTGGTGAAGAATGGCATCTCGTACGAAGCCTCCTCTAGAAGTAGAACGTGGGTGTAGAAACAATCTCTTGCAGCAAGAATCTCGTGCCGTCTGATTCTCTTGTATGAGTCGTATGCATCCTTGTGTCTCTCTTTACCCATAAGCCATCTTGGCGACTCAGGGCAGAACCACACCTGGATCATGACTAGGAATGCTGGGAGCGAGGCAGAACCAAGCATGAGTCGCCATCCGAGTCCTTTGTGGATACCGTGCGGAGGAACTTTGTAGAATGCGAGAGACATCACGTAGCCAAACATAATTCCGAAAGCGGTCCACATCTGCCACATCATGACCAACGAACCGCGGATCTTGGCTGGAGCACACTCAGACGAATAAACTGGCACGGTAGTGGATTTTGGACCGATTCCGAAACCCAGGAAAAACCGGGCAATGAACAGATGCCACCAGTTGTTGACAAGCCCCGACCAGATGCACGTTAGAGCCGAGATCGCGCACGTGATAAAGATGGTTCCTCTTCTGGAAAACTTCTCATTTAACCAGTCAGTCATCCAGCACGAAATGGTGGAGCAGCACAAGTAGGGAGCACAGTTCACGAGACCCACGAGCCAGGTGTCCCGATCGGTTCCTTTGTCGATGCCGAATTCTTTAGGGTAGTATAGCTGCGCACCGTTAATAACGGTCTCATCCATACCTTGGACGGCAGCACCGAGCGAAGCCATAATGATCAGCCAGTACAACTGGCGAGATAGCTTCCAAGGATGGTGGGATTCCTCGTAGAGGGCTTCTTTTTCGCCTTCGCTGAGGAACTCCATCGAGTTGAATCTGTTTGGGGCCCGAGCCACAGCCGCAGCACGACTAAATAGCTCCGGGTCGAGGCCGTACTTCAGGGCATAGTTGCGCCCCATGGCCATCACTTGCTCCTCAGAGTAGTTGCTGAGGATGTTGAATTCCTGGAGCAGAGATTCGTCTGGTGAATCTAGAATCTTTTCAGAAGACATTTTTGGAGGTGCAGCAGGTGGGAAACGCGGCCTATTTATACAACGCCAAGATGAATCCCCTCCTACGAGTGCTTGTGACATGGGGATATGTTACGTCATAGAACCTCTGTTATGCAAATCGAGATAATTTTGGCAGGAGGAAAACATGCCTCCCCAGAAAAATCGACCCCACCACATAGCCGCACACGACCTCCACGATGTCATTTTTTTATTGTTCATCTAACAATGCAGAGCCCATGTAGTTCTATTGACATGAGAAATAGAGTCACACCCCATTACGCTACTTACTTATTTACTCGATGTGCTTGATCTCGTTTTTGGCTGCCCCCCAGTCTGACGTCACTGCAAGACGCCGTTTTGTGTAAAGAGGTGGCAAAGGCTCCACGTTCTGGTGCAGCACTCTTTTGCGGAAGCCATTGACGAGGCTTCTGGTTTGGTAGGCTGCATGCTGAGCAGCCGGAACGTCAAACACCTCGTCCAACTCTTCCAGCGTGAGACCTTTAGTTTCTGGCAGCAGCCACAGAACCATGAAGAACCCAGCAATGTTCCAGCCGGCGTACCAACCAAAAGCTCCCTGAGCCTTGAATGCCTTCAGCATCGATGGCCATGTCAAAGAAAGAATAAAGTTGAAAAACCAGCAAGTGGCGGTAGCAAACGACATTGTCACATCTCTCACTCTCAGCGAGGCGCACTCAGCAGAGTACGTGAACGGCACAGGACCTTCTGACGAAGAGTAGACGATGGTGAACAGGTAAATGCCCAGCGCAATGACGCCGACCCTGGCTTCCCTGTGTTCCGTCGGAATCCAAAAAGCGAATCCAGCGAGCAGCAAAAAGACAGCCATCATGGGAAAAGCAAACAGCAGCAGTGTTCTACGGCCAAACTTGTCGATCGAAAAGAAGGCTGGCAGTGCAAACACCCAGTTGAGCATACCGAATCCCCAGGAAGCAATCAGCGAGTCCCTCACGGAGAATCCAGAGTCACGGAAAATGGTGGAAGAGTAGTATGCGATAACGTTGATACCGCAGAACTGTTGCATGAACATACAGACCCAGGCACCGACAGCACCGTTTCTGTTTCTTCTGATGGTGAACATTTCCTTAATCTTAGTGAAGAACGAAGCCTTCATGTCTCCTTCCTCAAGAAGCAGAAGATGGCTGTAGAATGCGTCTCTAGCTGCCTGCAGAGGAGTGTGTCTCATTTTGACGAGCGAATCAAAGGCATCATGGTCTCTTCCTTTGCCCAAGAGCCATCTGGGAGACTCTGGACAGAACGGAATCTGCGCGAGAATGACAATCGAAGGGAGACAAGCAGAACCCAGCATCAGACGCCATTGCAGACCTTTGGCAATTCCGTGGTCTGGCACTTTGTAGAAAGCAATTCCAAACACGTCTCCAAGCATGATTCCAAAAGCGGTCCAGATCTGCCAGTTCATCACGAGAGAGCCTCTAATTCTGGCCGGAGCACACTCAGAGGAGTAGACAGGAACGGTGGTCGAGTTAGGGCCGATAGCAAAGCCGAGAAAAAATCTAGCGATAAACAGATGCCACCACGTGTTGGTCAAAGCAGACCAGATACAGCAGAGTGTACCCCAAATACAGCACATGAAAATGACACCACGTCTGGAAAATTTGTTGTTCAGGTAGTCCGTGCACCACACTGATATCGTAGCACAGCAGAGGTAAGGAGCGCAATTGACGAGACCCACGAGCCAGGTGTCGTGGTCAGAGCCGCTTCCAATGCCCAGTCTCTCGGGATAGTATAGGTTGGCACCGTTGATGACGGTCTCGTCCATTCCCTGGACGCAAGCGGCCATGGAGGCAGTAGAAACAAGCCAGTACAGTGTTTTCGGCAATTTCCACGGGTGGTGGATTTCGTCGTACAGAGCCTTCTTTTCCTCTTCGGTGAGGAAGTCCATCGAGTTGAATTTGGAAGGGCTTCTGGCAACGGCTGCGGCGTGAGCAAAAAGCTCCTCGTCGAGCTGGTTTTGTCTCGCGTACGCACGTCCCAAATTCATCACCTCTTCCTCGCTATATTGCGAGAGAACGTTTTGGTCAACTTGGTCAACGAGTCCGGTTCCGTCCTCGCTGGTGGAGGCAAAAAGACCGTTCTCATGAGGAGAGTCAGAGAGCTTTTCAGATGACATTCTGTAACCAAGTTGGAAGTGCTTTTTTTCGAGCTCAGCACATTATATATACTATGTCGACCCTCTTTGGTCGCAGATCTTACCCGTGAAAAGCGGATTATATTCCTGGAGAATCCATTGTTTGTAGGCAAAGGGAGGCTTTGTCTGCTTGCGGAGGAGTGGTTAGGATAGAGGATCGCTCAGCAGCTTAAAACATGCCCTGAAGATGGCGGTTTGCTGCTTCCTGCGTTGTGCAACGTCGCTACTCCAGCGGAGATCTCAACGTCGCTTGGCAAGAATCGTCCCCTCTTTTTCTGGCGAACACAGCAAAGTGGGTTATTTCGGCAAGCAAAAAAACCTCTGCAAACCGGATTATGACGATTTTCTGGGGACACACTTCGGGTTTCCCCATAATAAGTATTCTACGGAATTCCATAAACAATAGAAAATTTCATCATGGCTCAAAAGTTTCCCTTACTTCCTGGACGCACCTCCACTTCATTGGAATTCCGTGGTATGGTGTCTCTCTCCTGTGACGTCATCGACAAAAATAAGCTGACGCGTTACGCTTATCTATTAACACCTATACTAGTGCCTCAGCTTCTTCGCCCTCAGCTCCGCTAGCTCGCTTTGTACCTTTTCAATGTCGAGTCGTAGTTTCTGGTTCATTTTGTCTATTTCTGCATTTTTTTCATTGTTCACCTTAATCACCTCAAAGTTGGACAATTGTGCATTCAGCTTCCGCTCGCACTCGTTGCGCTTCAACCTCAACTGTCCGTTGCTCGATTCCAGCTTCTTGATCATTGTTTGGTTGCTAAATCGCTCTTCGTTCAGCTGCTTGTAGTTATTTAGCAACTCCGTGTATTGTCTCCTCTTGGTCTCCAATTCCACCTGCAAGTTGTGCAATTTATTTTGCTCCCGGAGCAGGTCGTGCGGCTCTTTCACCGGCTCGTTCAGAAGCTCATACTCATGGTCGTCCCAAATCAGCTGGCTCTCGACACCGCTTTTCGGCCTTCCACCAACCAGCATACTAGCAACATCGCCGACAATCGAGTCAAATCCATAGACAACCACTCTGTGGGCCACCAAATCCAGCTCCTGTGCCGTCAGCTGTTTCCAAAACTCTGCGTCTTCCAGCTGAATGCGGACGAACTCCGCGACATTCTCGTGTTGCCGGTGCCACTTTATTAATATTGATGCATCTCTCCTTTCTATGGAGCGCAGAACCATAAAGACCCATCTTGTCATGTCTATCTTGCTATACAATTTGGCAAGAATGAACGTGATTTCGGGGTCTTCGAGACGGCTGTGGATAAGAATGATCAGCGGCGGCAGCGACCTGGCCCCTAACTTGCCGCACACAGACGCCAGCTGTGGAAAGATAGACTCAGCTTCGATTTTCACCGACTCGAGTTGCGCTAGTAAGTCCGGATTACCCGCTGTCACAGAATCAAATTTCTTCAGCTTCATACTCTTCAGCCAGAGCTTGTATACCGTGAGCCGGTCCGGGTTGTCGAAGTTCTTGGCCTCCACCTCGCTTCTCACCTCTATCAAATGATCTTGCGCATTCAATTGGGTGTAATATTCACTGTCGGGAATTTTAAGGTCGTCCGGCAGCTCGTAGAACAGACCTACAACTCGGGACGTCTGGTTCTCCAGCAAAAAATCTAGGGTTGTTTGCTGAAGACTTCTAGTGTCAGAAGCCGGCTCAGCAGACGACCTTGAACGCGCGCCCTGTTTCGCAACTCTTCGAGACCCAATTGGCGTGGTGAGTTCAAAATCCTCCGTGGACACACGTTCCAGACCGTATTTCTTCGAGCGAGGAGGTCTATGCGGCAAAGCCGGAGGATGGTCTCCCGCGTCATCATCTAAAGCCCGCTTATCGATGGCAGTTGAGTGGCCCTGATGGCGTGCTGGAAGAGGCGGACTCACTGTATCCGCTGAGTCGGGAGACGCGACAGCAGCTCCTGTCGCGGAAGGTAGCTTGGACGACTCGTTCGCGTCAGACATTTGTGGCAAGAGAAGATTAGAGGGTATTAATAAAGTGTTTTTGATCCGGTGTAGAGATGAGGAGCAGAGCATTTTGATGTGATTGAGACGGCTGAATCGAGTGGCTTAAGTAAGAGAGGCTCAGGAGGAACTGGAATCCCTTCGCTAAGAGACAGTTACACAAGCGGAAGTTGCTACTGGCCGCGGTGAATTGTTGGTTTAAGAGACCCCAGGTGCTGACTACAGGAAGGAAACTGTGTGATCCCAATGATTACTGTAAACCGAGAACTCCTTACTTGTCAAATAATATACTGGAGGTGCTCAACAGACGGGTGGATCTTCGTTTATGCATGTATCGCCAGAGGCAGACCCAGCTCTTTCTACGCATGGCGTTCCATATGCAGGTAAATTTTTTTAATTTTTTTGAAATATTTTTCTATGTCTAATATCATTAACATCGAGCACGATCGGGTTAGTAACACCACGGCAACCGACTTCCCAGGATACTCTGCGAACGGAGAGAATGCTTGGGATCTAGAAAAATTCAAGAAGAACTTCCAGCTCAATATCTCCTACCTCACACAGAGAACTGCAAACTTTGACTTGGTGGGCATAGACACATCTATTGCCAATGCGTTCCGTCGTATCATGATCGCGGAGGTGCCTTCCGTTGCAGCAGAGTACGTGTACATCTTCAACAACACGTCGGTCATCCAGGACGAGGTTCTCGCGCACAGAATCGGTCTGGTTCCTTTGAAAGTCGATCCCGACATGTTGACCTGGATCGACCCGAACGCCGAAGAGGAGGACAAGTTCACCGACGAAAACACTATTGTTCTCTCACTTGACGTGGCGTGCACGAAAAACCCAAATGCCATCCCAGGAAACAACGACCCAGAGAATCTATACAGAAATTCCAATGTTTATGCTCGGGACCTGAAGTTCGAGCCAAATGGACGCCAGGTCACCCAGTTCGCCAACTGCCCCGTTGTTCCCTGCGACCCAGACATTTTGATAGCGAAACTGCGTCCAAATCAGGAGATTTCGCTCAGAGTTCACTGTGTTCTGGGCATTGGAGCCGATCACGCAAAGTTCTCTCCAGTCAGCACTGCATCCTATAGACTGCTTCCGACGATCGACATCCTGGAGCCGATAACGGGCGACGACGCTGTCAAGTTCCAAAAATGCTTTCCTTCGGGTGTGATTGGTATTGACTCCAACGGTGCCGCATACGTCGCCGACGCTAGAAAAGATACTGTTTCGAGAGAAGTTTTGAGACACAAGGAGTTTGAAGGCAAGGTGAAACTGGGCCGCAAAAGAGACCACTTCATCTTCCACGTGGAGTCAACAGGTGCTATGCCTCCAGAAGAGATTTTCTACAAATCCATTAGAGTGCTCAAGACCAAGGCCGAGTACCTGCGTAACTGTCCTATTGGAAATATGTAACTTAATAGTAGAGCTCCACTCAGACTTCCAAGCGCGGCATCATGTCGCTCAATGACGGTGTTGGTGTTTGGGCGCGTTCTATGAGGTTCACGTACTGGACTATCTTGACAACGTCGATCGACGCGACGACGTTGCTGTCCTCCGCATGGCTCAAGTCTTGCTTGACGAAATTCATGCTGTAGAGCGAGAACTGAAGTACTATCAGCACGAAGTCCCACAACAGCAGGTACAGCAGCTTGCGGAACCATCCTTCAAACCTGCTCTCCCCCATTATATTTATGATGTACGCCCCGTACGATATGCCCTGGCCCAAACCTCCGCGCGCGGAAAATGCAATGTGGACTATCAGGCCCAACACGTTGAAGGCCAGGCCCAACGACAACACTTTCTGTGCCAGTATCCGCTGAATCGCTGGAGTGAGCACTGCTGACGCTTCTATGCTGTTCGGCGGGTGGCCAAGCATGAACTGCTGGAAGCCTCGCAACAGGAGTAGTATGAGATTCTCGTCCGCAAGATACAGTATAATGAGCACCAGATAGCACGAAACGTCGAGCCTTGCGGTGAGATTCTTTCTATGTTCTATTTTCCTTGCTTTTATGACCCGTTCATCGTTCATTGAAAGTTGTCTTTGCAGTTCCGCTCGTATTTTCATAAATAGGCAAATGGAGTCGGGCTAAAAAAATAATTGAGGATTTTTGGAGTTAAGTAATCAAGCTATTACTCTTAATCTACCTCCCGTTATAAACTAGCTAGTGAGAGTTCCCTTATTGGGTAGCTGGAGCGGGCACTATAAAGTGTTTAGCAGCAGCACTTGCAGAGACCAGTACTGAGATGTAAACAGCTCACTCTTGAGTGGCTGCTTCTTATTCCCCGTTTAGGGACTCAGAACCTATTCTTTTGTGGCTCCTTGTGAGCTAACCCGAATCAGCACGAATTGCATGCGACCACTTAGTTCAGATTAACGCTTAAAGTATTTCGTCCCTTTTTGGAATTCGAACCCTGTATTGATTCATTCTAATGATTACTCTATATTATTCCCACCTATTTAAGTCTACAGATTCAATCAGATCACCGCCCAAGAGCGAGATCTGACTGAGCAGAGAGTGTTTATTAAGTTTTAGCTGCTCGTCATCGGTAGGCTCAACGTCGTAGCCAACGTTGACACGGAACTTCTTCTTAGAGTTGCCTACCACTGGGTTCAGTATCCCTGCCACAACGTTGCAACGGCCCTCTTTGCCAAGTCCAGTATACTTCCCGCACGAAATGAGCATCACGTTACCGAAACGAGCCCTCAACTCGTCACAGAACGCAGGAACAGGGTCTTGTTCGGAAGAAATGTCATCGGAGGCCACCAACGACGGGGCAACCAGATTTTTGAACTTGTTCTCCGGCAAGATGCCAGATTTCGAGGCAAGTTCGATAGGCGTCTTGATCTTCAGCACAATATCATAATCTTTCAGGGCTGGAGTGAAAATAAGTTTGAGAGTTCTCTGGTTAAGCGTCCTGCTAACAGCGGCCACCGCAGCCTTACTGAGCGCAGTCAATCTTGTTGCAATAGGCAGAGAAAGCCCAAACGACCACAGTTTCCCCGACGGGTCCTCTTTGGAGGCAACAAATAGCTGTGTCTTGATAGCCTGCGGATCCTCCTTGCGGAGTTTGCTAAAGTTCCCGGTAATCGACTGGTAAGTACGGACAGTCAGTTTTTCCGAGACGAGGTCAATGTAGTTTCCACTTTTCTCAAGATCTTTTGCTAGGTCAAGAACAAGCGGGTCGTCCTTCCAATTCCATTGGCTTAGAAATTGCAAAGTGCGAAGGAAGCCTGCCTCGACGCTTGCAGGAACAGAGTAGGGGGCAGGGTCCACAAACACCTTCATCACCAAGAGTTCCACAAGCTCGTCGTTGAAATGGGAAAGAAGAAGCTGGGCGTCGAGCCAGCGCTTGAAAAGACGCACGGTGGCAGAATAAAATGGAAAGTACGTGCTCAGAGAGGCGATGGCCCGGTGGTGCTTGACTGAGCCCATATACTTCTGATTGAACGCCAGATAAATGTCTGCGACAGTTTTGCGTTGCTTTTCGGGGGCATTCTCGATAGCACGAAGATACAGCACCTCGTCACGTTCGGTCAAAACACGGAAGCTAAATCCGTACCCGTCTGGCGTGAGCACGCGAAGTACTTTGATCTCGGTGTTGTAAGGAACGGAAGTGCGATCTTCTTCCAAGTAGGACTTGTAGTTTGTGTTTTTGGCGAGGTAGTCGTTGATTTTGAGGAGGAATGCAGTTTTTGTCTGCTCGAGAGCAAGCAGCTCGTCCGGCCATTTTGTGGACGACTCGAATTGGAGAATCGACTCGCTGAAAAAGTCTGGGTTCGACACAGCGTGGGGAACGGGCAGGATTAGTGAAGTGTTTCGCAGAGCGGGCGAGGCTGGCAAAATGGACTTGATGCTCAGCGGGAGGTCTAATTTGTTCAGCACCTTGCACAGTTCGGAGTACGAGTTTCTCAGTTGCTGGAAATTGGACGGAATTAATTGCATTGAGTTCGACGTCAGTGGCACTGGCAGCATCTTCCAAAACCTGTCTGTGTTGAATTCGAGTCTTGCGCTGGAGCTGATATGGAGCTCGAATATATATTTCAGGATAGACACCACGGTGAGCTCATTAGCTGGCCACAGACAGCTGTACTGAATATTTCCATCTTTGTACTTTCTGACTTGAGCTTTTGCACCCCAAAAGGAGCGGAATCGGATAGCGTTCTCCTCGTCATTATGTAGAGGACCTTTGGTAATTTTCTTTTCGCACTCAGTGGCATTCAAATACAGCCCAATCTCAACGTATTTGTCCTGTGCATCAGGATGTCTCTTTTGAATGCTCCACTTGTCCTCTGTATTGGAAAGTCTGACAACGACATGTGAAGCTCTTTCAGCCAGTGCACGCGAGACCAGCTTGTGGACTTTGCTGCATACATAATTTTCGTATGTCAAGAAAGTGATTTTCTCTATAGGTCCGAATTTCTCCTGCTGCTTCAAATCTTTCAATGGAACAGACACAAGCATGTCGTATTGCAAATATTTTTGTGTGTTTTTGTAGATAAACGTCTGTTTGAAGCGGTCTTGCACAACATCGTTCAGAAGGTCCAGAGTCTCAGCTGCCTGTTTCTTTAGTGCTTGGTAAGAAGAAGCCGTCATTTTCCAGAAAATGTTGATTTTGGTGGTCTTGTCGAACAGAGTTGGGATGTTGAATCCACCCTTCTTGTAAACCGAGCTATTATCGCCAACAACAGAGCTGAAGGAGAGATATCCCTCGTCGACCAGGTCCTGCGTGGCTAGATATTTGACCGTACCTTTGAAAAGCTGGTAGCTAGAGTAACCGTGCAGCAGCACCTTGTTTCCGTTCTCGCCACCGCCTGCCAGAAGTGCAGCCATCAGCACCGCAAACTCAAAATGTCCGAAACCGCCTTTATTAAAGTGGGAGCCGAATCCCCGTTGTTTGAGCCAGAGCTTCCCAAGTACAGCCGCATCTCGAAAGGAGTCCGTGGATTTCTTGGTGGCGTAGAGATACTTGAGATAATATTTGTAGGTTGTGGACGACAGGATGGAGGAGTTGTACAAAGGCGTTGGAGGCAGCTCGTCGTCCGTCTGAATGCGAACACAGTTTCTGTCCGGAAGAAGTTTTTTGCTCTCGAACAGCCCGTACTCAAATCCGACCAGAAGCCTGATTCTGAAGTTAGTATCCTCAAATATTAGATCGTTGTCGTGAACTTTTTCTGGCGTGACGCTGTCTATCCTGATGCTTGGACACAAGCTATCTCCATTGACATACTCGTAGGAAATTCTCACTGGCAGGTGATTTTCCGCCGAAAGCGTGATCAGCTGGTCTGAAAGGTAAGCGATGTAAAAAGCTCTTTTGTAGAGAGCTTTGTAGTTTAGATAATCTTTTGGCTGGAACATGGACTTAGGCATGGTGAGAGAAACGTCCACAGCCATGCCATCCGGCTGCTGGATGCCAGTCTTCAAGCCAGACGATCCAACCAATGAAACATCTGTTGGACATTCGTATTGTAGTTTGTAGTTGATTGAGGTAGGCCTGGGATCGGGAAACGGTATTGCAACCTCATTTCTCGACTTTTTCAAATAGTTCTCAGCTTCCTCCAAAGAAAATGCCTCTGAGGCAGGGATACCCTGAATAATCTCGTACAGTCGGTGAAGAACACGCTCTATCAACTTACAGTGCGACTCCTTGAGACGCAGTTCTTTCACAAGCTCGTCGATCTGGAGCTTGAAGATGTTGGATTTGAACAGTTCAGCCGTTTCTCGGGCAACCTGGACGTCCTGAGAGGTCAGCTGGGCTTTTTTTGGAAATCTGTGATTCGCCCCCACGGCCACAGGACCCTGTTCAGTGTCATTGACGCCCGATTCTGGCTCTCTGTCTCTTTTAACCATAAAGAAGATTTGGTAAAAATTTTAGAGTAGTGTAAAGCACATAACACCAACCGAGGACCGTCACAGCCTGCCGTGTCGTGCACCTGATAGCCCCTGTAAGTGGTACCGGGAGGCTCAGGGACACCTGAGTGCATATCCTGGCCTTCTGTTGCCCTTCATACCCCAAGCGTGAGGTCCTGACCTCGCCCGGCACAGTTTGCCTCCGGTCTGAGGTGTGGACGAGGATATTTGTGTCCCTAATTATTATTTTGCCCAAGTTATGCTACGAATCCACGATCCAAGACTAGTCAGGAAGGCCGTGCTTTTGGGCGACAGACTGCGTGCTGGCCGGCCGGTGTTTCTGAACTGTGGTCTGGGCGTCCGCTTCAACTCGTCGACCCCGAAACCCACCATCTGGCAGAAAGTCAAGCACGAGGCCCAACACTATTGGGCTGGTACCAAGTTGTTGGGCCTGGAGATCAAAATTTCGTCCAAGCTGGTGCTAAAAGCCGCTTCTGGCTACGAGCTTACGAGAAGAGAATACAGACAGCTACAGAGAACGACTTCGGATGTTCTTCGATTGTTCCCGTTTGCCATGTTTGTGCTGATTCCGTTTGCGGAACTGCTGTTACCCGTTGCCCTCAAACTGTTCCCTAATCTGCTGCCTTCCACGTACGAATCCAAAATCGACAAAGAAAAGAATCTCAAGAAGTTGAGGACCACGAGAACTAAGGTGAGTGAGATCCTGAGGACCCATGCCAAACATATAAAACTTCCGTCCACCATCACCGAGGAACAGCGTGCGGATTACAAGGATTTGTACTTGAAGTTGAAAAGCGGCCGCTCCCATGAGATCAGCAAAGAACAGCTACTGCGTGTGGCTAAGCTATTCAAAGACGACCTGATTCTGGATAACGTGTCGAGAGGCATTTTAATTGCCATGGCAAAATACATTAATTTGCGTCCGTTCGGCACTGACCAGATCTTGCGGTACCGTATCCGGCACAAGATGCTCAAGATCAAGAAGGACGACAAGCTGATTGACTACGAGGGTGTCAAGTCTCTTTCTCCGGCAGAGCTACTAGTTGCCTGTGCGTCTCGTGGAATCCGTACTGCAGACGCTTCGCCGGAGAGATTGCGCGAACTGCTGCAGATATGGCTGGATATGCGTTTACGTGAGAAAATCCCGTCCACGCTTATGATTCTTGCGAACGCGTACTCGTACGGCAGCACAGAGAACTACTCTCATTACGAAGCACTGAAAAACGTGCTGAACTCGCTGCCGGAAGAGTTCTACCATGAGCAGGAATTGCATGTTGATGACGACAAGGCCACTTTTGAGCAGCGTATGAATGTGCTGAAAGAGCAGGAGCATTTGATTGAGAGCGAGAACGTGGAGGAGAAGGACCAGAAGGTCATTGTCAAGGATAAGCTGAGTTTGGACGATGAAGACAGGAAACCGGAAGAGGAAGAAGAGAAACCGGAACAAAAGTAGACTCTATAGAAACTATTTAAGTAAATGCAATCCCAAGTATCTTACTATCTGCACTCCAGTTATTTATTTTTCATTTTTATATGGCTAGATACTGGTGCAAGACATGCTCCAAGGTATGTTGGTTATTAGAGACTACTAACGCAGTTTGTTGACGAGAACTTGAGGAAGAGCCATGAGACCAGTGCAGGGCACAGAGCTGCGATGAACCGTTTACTGAAAGGGTTTCGAGAAAAACAACAGCAGCAAGAGAAACTCGCAAGACAGGCCGAGAAAGAGCTAAGCAGAGCGAGAGAAAAATCTCCAATTCGACCACAAAGCCCGCTGGCAGCTCCACTGGTGAATGAACACCACCATGAGCCCGAACGGCCAGCGTGCTCGGTACCTACAGGAGTCCGGGAAAAAAAGATCGCCAAATCTGAAATAGAACTCAAAGAGTGGGGACTAAGCGAAAAACCGATTGACGAGGAAATCTCCAGCGATTCAGACACAGAACTCAAAGAACCCAAACCCAAACCCAAGTTCAAAAAAAGAAAACCGAAAAACCAGCACATATAGTACATTATTATCTTTCAGCTACCATCCGCATAACGCACGGCATTTCTATGTACATCAGGTAAACTTCCGAGATCCTCCTCTCACAAACTCTAGGATCTTCCATCCCTCTGTCTCCGGGTTGTCTATCTCCTCTGGGACACGCGTTATCACCAAGGCGTAGGCAGACAACAGGATATCCTCCTCAGTACCTGCCACCACTTCTCCGGTCTTGGCTTTTCTGTAGAGATTGACCTCCTGGACTCTAGCACTGACAACAAGAACAGGAATCTGGTTAGGCTCCAACATACGTGACGACACGATTTGGACGTCTCTCACGTCCAAAATACGGCCATCCGAAATCAGACCCTGGTCTCTGAGCTGTTTCTGTTGGGCAGCAATGATGTTGAACGGAGCCTCCGAGAGCCACGTCTTCAAAACTTTCTCGTCTCCGGTAATGTATGCCTCCAAAACCTCGGGCACAATGTACTCTCTGAGCTGCTTAGTCAAGCTCTCTGTGTTGAAGTTAGGGTCCAGCTCTCTGAAAGCCTTGATGACTCTGGCGCCCTCGGTCTCCGCGAAAAAGCTGCCAATCTTGTCCATGACGGTCCGAATCAGCACCAACAGCGGATTCTCGGCCTCCTCCCACTTTTCTCTTAGCACCACCAGTAGTCTTCCAATGGCGGAATTGGGCTTGATCTTGATCTTGTCTTTGATACTCTCCTCAGACTTGATGTTGGTGGCAACTATGGCGGTGCCAGCTTCCTCGTCTCTTTTAATGGCCTTTGGTTTATTCTCCAGCTCGCGCAGCCGACGCAGCCGTCTCTGCTCCTTGCTCTCGTAGAGTCCATACTTGGAAGCGCCTTCGTCGAGACTCTTGGTCACCTCCTGGTAGGTCTTAGTTTTCCGGATCGGCTCGATCACCTGGTCAACCGTCTCGGCGGTCTTCTCAACAGTGGTCCGCACTCCTTTTCCCACAGGCGACTCCCACGCCTTGTGTGCCACATCTCCCACCACCTCTGCAGTCTTGTGCACTCCCTTGGCCAACGCTCCGGATGATTTCTGGGCAGCATTGTAAGCCTCCTTGGCTCTCTTGAAGGCCTCACTTTCCCCCATCTCGTCAGTGGCGCTCTTAAGCTGTTTGATTTGGTCAGTGAGCTCGGAGCTCTTTTTCAGCTCGCTGCGGAATGTGTCCACAAACACTTGGATAGGCGACTTCTGGCCGGATAAGTGAGCTGCAGACATCGAAAATGCCCTGGCTCTCAGGCCTGCAACATGCAAAGCCCCGCGCTTCTGCAAAATATGTCCAGCCAACATGACGGTCCTTGGTTCTTCCGAAAAATTTTTGATATTTTCACTTCTGTCATTTACGAGTGTAAATAAATTACAGGGAAGGGACCAAGGCACAAATATTTGCAATTTTGCTGTCGATGTTTAATAAGGACCCTCCGTACAAGCGGAAGGCGTTTGCCTCTTTGAATAATCTGCGATATAGAAGCAAAAAGCTCAGACAACTCAGGCCCTCGGACAATCTACAGAAGCAGCCCGCTACAAAGATCGCCATACCGCGCAGCATAGATTTGGACACCGGGGAACAGCCTGCTCCAGTGAAGGAAGACGAGGGTGTGCATGTGGCGGTGCGACGTGTGAAGCTCTTCAAGTCGGCCGTAAAAAGTCCCAGTACCGTGTCGGAGCACATCTGGCTCAACTGCCAAAATCACCGCCTGACTATATACAGCTTGCAACACACCAACGATGTGTATGTTTCCGTGCCCTTTTCGGACGTCAAATTTGTGGATATCTGCTCGAATCCAGACAGCTCGTATCATTTCGTCGTTACCCTCAGATCAAGCATTACAGGAACCCTTCGCAACGAAAGCGTACGCATAGACAAATTATGGATATTTCTCGATTTGAGCGACCAGGAGGCGTACAACAAACTTGTGCGAAATCTGGAGGACCAGCTTGTATGCAACTATCTCACAGCATCGGACATGAACAATTACTATCTCAGGAGCGAGTCAGATCGAGAACCCAGAATTTGGAGCAACCGTCAAACACAGCTTCCTGTGACTTCTCCCGCAAACTTCTACGGAACAGCAAAAACATTCAGCTCTGACCTGGAACCGGCAAACATCATCAACACGGCTCGTACGCGTTCGTTGCGCTTATCCCTCACAGACAGCATAGAGGATCCTCTAGAGGACCATCCCGAAATCCAGGACGAAGACATCTCACGCGACGAGCAGATTGTGTTTGATCCGCCCCTGAAATACAGATTTGCATCCAGAAAGTCCATCATCGTGTCTAACAAGGACTTCAACTCGCTATACAACGGCAATTGGGTGAACGATTCGATTGTGGACTTTTTCCTTCAGTACAATTTGCAACAGGCAAGAGATGCAGGCTCTCTCGGCAGTGCGCGAGTTGAGCTGTTCAACTCTTTTTTTTATACCAAATTGACGATGACCAACCCTGATAACGATTACTACTCCAACGTAAAGACGTGGTTCAAGTCGAATGACAGTCTTTTTGATAACGACTACATTGTGATTCCGATAATGAAAGATTTGCACTGGTTCTTTGTTGTTATTACTAACCTGCCGCGTCTGCGCAGGTACAATGAAACCAACGAGCCTGAACCTGTGGATGGCCTACTGATCAATAAGAAAAAGCCATTAGCAAGCATCTTTGTCTTGGACTCTCTCCAGAAAGCACATCCCAACATTGCAGTACCAATCAAGAGCTTCTTAGTAAATTATGCCAAAGACAAATACGATCTGGACATCCCCATGGGGCAGATTCGCAAGTACAGCTGCAACATTCCACAGCAAAAGAATTTCAACGACTGTGGACTGCATGTCATTTATAACTGCAAAAAATTCTTTGACAGTCCAGAGGAGTTTAAGGCCAAGATCCTCACAGAGCACCGCCGCAAAAAGTCCACTACTTCGCTTTCTACCAAGCTTTTCGATGATGAGGAGCGCAAAGTCATTAGGATGCAGCTACGCGAGGTTCTGCTCAACCTTCTAAAAGAGCAGGTCAAAGCCAATGGTGGAGACAGCTCTGCCGTTGGTACCGAAACCTACGGAACACTAAGAGGCAAAGGGATCAAGGAGCCTTCGGCAGAGGCCGAAGGGCATAGTGCTGATGAAGACCCGGATGACGAGGTCATGATTGTTGATGAGCTTTCCAATGAGACGGCTCCTGATAACGAGCAGCAAAAACCTGCGTGTGTGGAGTCATCTCAACGAAACATATCTCTGTCATCTGAGGACCCAGAAACGGAGATCAAAACGCAGTCACCGCAATCCTCTCCGGCCAGAAAAGTTCACGACGAACAGCTGGACGATTTTTTGAGTGTACAACCAAAGGATCAGCAGATTGTTACATCGTATGCCCAGTCGAGCGACAAATTGCAGGGGCAGAAGGTGTCCATGATTTTGGAGGACAACGGGTCTCTGAAAGAGGTAATTGAGTTTTCTGAGGCGAAACCAAAGGACAGGAAGGAAAAGCGGACAGGCATGGACCATCAGGCTAGGGTTACAGTTACAGACATCACTGAGAAGCCAGTAGCGACTGGTAAGGCTTCCACACCTGATGAGGGCAAAGTTCTGCTTGTTCCTTACCCTAAGACCTCGATCAAGTTTGCCGGGAGGACCTACCACTCGCAATCAGCAAGGAAAAGGAGATAGCATTTGGCATAAGTCAAGAAAGTAGCATACGTTAATAGAGTACAATTAGATTTTGTAGAAGGAGAGAAAAAAGAATTTCAGCACCCAAGCCGGGAGTCGAACCCGGAATCTTTTGATTAGAAGTCAAACGCGTTAACCATTACGCTACTCGGGCGAAACTACCACGGAAAACCATTTTGCTGTATATGCACAGTCTAAAACTGTTGTCGTGCACCTTCTGTGAAGTTACAGGTGGAAAAACATTGTTGTATTCTTAGCATGCTGTCCTTAGCATTTTTGTTTTTATGTGTCCCAGCCTGGGCCTTGGATCTTGCAAATGGCTTTCTCAGTATTGATGGCGCGGCCGTATCATTTGAAGGCTCCCCCATTGTGTTGGAACCTACAAGCAAATCCATCGAAATCCAGTTTGATATTCTAGACGAGGGTAAAAAACTAAAAAGCCCTCCCCAACAAGTGAGCATCTTATTAACAGCTGGGGATATTGATTCTTACTACTACCCGAAAATCAAAGACTCCCAGGCAAAACTGGACCTCCCCGTGAGCAAACTGTCGAAATATATTAAACAAAGTCCCGAAATCGACGTTAGCGTTCTGCTTGGAGATAACGTCACGGAATACAACCTGTTCCAGAAAGTTGGCAAAATACACTCGAACTTACGTTCTGGCAGCAAGCCTGAGCGATTCGGCAGCAAGCCAGAAATAATACACCAATTCAAGAGCCCGCAGAAATACGTCAACCCAATCATCTCTATAATTTTCATTGGTGGTGTCGTTGCTTTGTTGGCGGCACTGTTCATCACATGGAATCAGCTTGATGCAGTGAACTTTGACAACATTGGCAAACTGCCTTGTGGATACACTGTTCAATTCTTCGTGTGTCTGGCATTGCTCGAAAACATCTTCATCCATTACTTCTTAAGTGCATCAATCTATACTACCATCTACAGAACTCTGATAGTGGCCCCTGTGGGTGTCTATGTGGGTTCCAGAGTTCTGAGAGAGCTGCATCAGCTTCGCCAAGCAGGGAAAAGATGATCCACTGCTGCCATCACTCCTCCACAAAAGTATTGGGCAGTTTTCTAGGTGAGTTGGTAAACATAGAGAGCATTCCCGTTAGATACCACGCGTAGACCAGTTTTCCTTCTATCATAGCGAGCGGAACGACGGAGTAGGTTCTTGAATCGAGAGACGCGCTAAGGTTGTCGCCTGTCACCCAGACATGGCCTTTTGGAACAATCACGTAATTGTCATAACTGCTGTTGTCCAGAGGAGCTACCTCTTGCATGTCAAGGTGTTCCTGGTGTAACCTTCGGAGCGAGTTTTTGGACGGGTCAATGAGGACAATGTCTCCTGGCATCCCAGTTATTCGTTTCGTCACCAAACTTGACGGCTCGGTAGGCTTGCGTGCCACAATCAGGTCCCCCATTTTCACATTTCTGCCGTATTTATATCGCTTGTCTACCACGGCACTATCATTGACGACAGCCAGCGTCGGTAACATACTCTCGCCCGTAGTGTCGCTGATTTCGAGAACATTCGACGAAAATATGTGCAACACGGCCACCGTCCTTACAGTGTAGGACAAGACTTTGCCTGCTGAGTACAGATTATTCATTAATGCAATTACTGTAATTATTTTTTTTCAGCTTCAATTAGATGGCGTACGAACAGCGAAAGCTGCTTGAGCAGCTCATGGGCAGAGACGCTCTGGTGAAACTACCGCGAGATTACGACGTGCGAAGAGTTCAATCAATAGATCCTTCTGTCCTGGCTTCCCCTAAAGTTTGCAAGAGTTTTCTTGTAGGAAAGTGTCCGTACGACCTGTTCCAGGGTACCAAAGAGGACCGGGGCAAGTGTCCTAAAATTCACCAGGAAAAACTGAAGATATTGTATGAAACATGTGTAAAGAATGGGATGCGAATGCCAAACGACAATTACAAACTCGATTACATCCGCGATCTCGAAGGAGTGATCAATGAGTGTAATAGAAAAATTAGAGTCGCTGAAAAAAGACTGGAGCTTTCTGGAGAGGAGAAGGAGAAACTCTCGAGCGTGACACAAGAACTGGATAAACTAGACGAGCAAGTGAGCCTGATGCTTCAGGAGATTTCGCTACTGGCGGACAAAGGAGAATTGGAGATGGCTTTGGATTGGAATAAAGAGCTAGAACAAGTGATACGAAAACGAGACGCCGTCGCCACGCAATACACCGAAATGGTGGAGAACATCAACCAATCAGCGCAGCAGAAACTGCAAGTTTGCGAGCAGTGCGGTGCATATCTCTCTCGTCTCGATAACGACCGCCGACTTGCGGACCACTTTGTGGGTAAGATGCACTTGGCCTATGTGGAGATGAGACGCGCGTTAGCTGAACTCAAAGGCCGCTAGTCTCAGTTTTTCTTCTCTGCAATACCAACGGATGGAGGGAGGGCGTCGGCTATGATGCTCAACCATTCTCGCGTTGGCAGCGTACTGGAGAACAGATTAATGGTAGCACTGACTGCCATATATGTCAGGCTGATAGCCGCAGTTACAGACACAATGACGGATAAGCTGATGAGAAAAACGGGCAGGAAACTGATTCCTGCAGCAACTGCAAGAATGGTGAAGCCGGTCGTGAATAAGAAGCCAATGAATGAGGTGTACACGGCCATTAGCAGAATGAATATCAGAACAGGGGGGATGATACTGAGCACAAAAATAGTCACCGAGATGTTAACCAAGTACGAGTTCGACCTGTAGAATATAAGCACTTGTTTCCACCACCCGGAAACGTTATTCCTAACTTGTTCAAGAAAATTGAGGGTATTCCTAGAGTGTTAGAGATCCCTCTTTATGTGGGTTATGAGCACTTACAGGAATATCAGACTGCGGTACGTGCTGCTGTGCGGAACGAGCACGTCGATCAGCCTGGTAACCAGAAGGAGCACGTCGTTGAACAGCTGGATAAAATTGAGCGAGATCGAGGGCTCCGGCTCAGGCTGCGACTCGTTTTTTTCCTCGTGGGAGAATGGTTGCACGGGTTTCTGGAAGAAATCGATCACCTCGTCCACACTCTTATGTGGAGCGCCCCTCCATTGCATGTTGTTCTTCCCAGGCGCCAGATCTGACGCCAACGAGTTAATAGAAGTCGAGGTGTCTGAATCGTCCATATTATAGGGTTTATGTAAACTAGCTAGGTTCGTGGGATTAGTGTGATACGTCCACAAAAAAGGGATGCGGTGCACGGGTGTACGAACTAGGTCCGTTGGATATCGATGGTGATTTCGAACTGCTCGCCCGATTGGTCCATGTAGTCGAACTCGGCATCCAGATCGACCTCTGCTGCTTCATCTTGGCAGAGAAGGCTGCGAATAATACGAGAAGCGTAGAATCTCATCTTCGACTCGTCGTCGTCGGAGGCCCCAGCCATGCGCATGCTAAGAATAACCACATATATTCTGTGGTTTACCTTGGAAATCTTGAGCCGTCCTATTTTGTAAGACGATTTGTACACTTCCAAGGATTGTATATTCTGGACAATGCGAGATTCAACATCGGTGCGCGGGTTGCGAAGCAATAGAATGCCTGAGAGGCGAGAAATCAGCCTCCATGCTAAGAATAGCACAGTGAAGGCCAAAATCAAGCTGGAAAAATCGTTCACAACCGTCACTAGCTCTATATGCGCAACCAGCGGGTACACCATGGCGTAAGTTGCGTAGCCGATTGACAGAATGCTTGTATAGTTGGTGAGTTGGTTCTGCGTCTTTTTGATCTGCGACTTGATGTTGACCACTGGCTCTTCTTGTAGAGTGATGGAGCTAACTCTTTTTGGACGCGAAATGGCAGGCTCAGCCGGTTTTTTCGTTCTGGAGATGATACGAGGCGACAATACTGTCACCAAACAGATCGCTAAAAGGTAGCACTCGTAGAACATCAGATTGAGATGTCCCTTTTCGCCGTGAATATGATGAGCATGTGCTGCTTCGTCAAGGTCTCCAAGAGCGAGTGTGAACATCACATTCTCAAATATGTGCGAGAACAGATCAACACCCACAAAGAGAAGAGAGACTGACAGCCCGAATCCCGCCAGCACCTCTATTCTGCCGAGTCCAAACGGATACTTCAGCGACGAGTCGTTCCATATCGGGAAGTTGGTCATGACCTGCACGATCACAGTTATCAAATTACCAATGGAGTCGTAGAAGACGAGATGCGAGAGAGTCGACAGACAGAGATTGCCGTATTTGAAGCCTATTAAATAGGTTGCCAGGCTGAGCAATATTAGAAAACCACAGTATGCCAGTTTAAGTTTATCTTGTAAGCTGAGGGTTGCCACCACTTCTTTGTAAGTTGGAAGAGGGTACGGTTGAGGAATGGGCACCGATGTGCGTTTGGGCGGCTCTTGAAACATGTTCATGGACACCGAGGAATGTTTGTATCTGTGACCACGTCTGTATGAAGCTCTTGGGCCATTCATCGGGAATGAACCACCAGGTTTTAGGGACAGGTTCTCGCTTGAGTTATTCATTGTGATGGATCCAACTTTGAAAGGTTGCTGACGCGTTGGAGATCCTTTTCTTATTGGTGATGAGACACGTTTGGGAGAGCGCGATCTGGAGTAGCGATATGCATTTGAGTGTGTGAACGACGAGTTTGAGCCATTTGGATGTGAGTACAGTTCTGACACAGGCTCTTCAACTGCCGGGTCTGCCGAATCATCGATCTTCAGATCGGGGATATTCCCCAGGGGAGCGGGCATTAACAGATAAATAAAACTAAAAAAGATTTTAATTATAAACTCTAATGATCGAGGTTATTTGCAACGACCGGCTCGGGAAAAAAATCAGGGTGAAGTGTCTGCCTAGTGACACCATCGGAGACTTTAAAAAGCTCTTAGGTCTCCAAATTGGCACAGATCCGCGAAAAATCGTCCTCAAGAAAGGATACATGATTTTCAAAGATCATATTTCGCTAGATGACTACGAGATCCATGACGGAATGAACCTGGAGTTATACTATTCATAATCGTAACGGATGCAAGCTTCATATTACATGAAATACTCCACATAGGGAGCCTTTTTTGCGATTTTTGTTTCGGGAAGGGCCAGGAAGTCATCTTGAGCAGACTCGTCTGTCTCGCCCATATTGACAACCTTGAGAAACTCTTTCTGGCTTTCAGGAGAAGCGTCAAACACATTGAACCGAAAGCTGTCTGGCTCTCGATAGCTGTCGAAGATCTCGAGGATACTGGCTTTGTTCCCACATCTATAGCAATAATTAGGAGCAGACCACACGGTGTTGACCTTTCCTTTCCAGAACACCTGGTACCCTTCCTGGCACAGCTGGTGGGCTCGGTATATGCTTTCAAACTTGTTGACCTGCAAAAATTTGTTCACAACGTTAATTCCAAACTGGTAGCCTGCTCCTCGCGAAGAAATGCGGAAATTGAGGAGCTCTAGATCAGGGTCACTCCATACTAGATCTGCCATGGGCCCATCGTGGGGGATCTCCTTGAATCGATCAATAACCAGTATTGAGTCGATTGTTTGGACATTTGGCGATAATCCTCCGTGGACACAGAAAAGATTGTTGTCGATAATGGCGGCGAGAATTAGGTAATCGAATATATCTGTGAATATCGACCATATTTGAGATTGGTTGCCATACTTTGTTAGGCACTCGGTGTAGAAGCCGTAGTTTGTTGTGATCTGGCGTGACTCGTGGTTACCTCTGATGAGATTCACCCTCCGGGGATATTTTAATTTCAGCACTATGAGTAAGCTGATCGTCTCAACGGAGTGGAACCCCCTGTCGACATAATCGCCAAGAAAAAGGTAATTTGTGTCCGGAGGATATCCACCAATCTTGAAGATCTCTAACAAGTCGTAAAACTGTCCATGTATGTCTCCGACTAGCGTGACTGGCGATTCGACGTGTACTATATTTGATTCCTTCACCAGCAGTTCCTTCAGCTTGAAACACAGCTGGTCTATGACGGGCTCGGACAAAAGCTCTCCCCGATAAAGCTTTTCCAGGCAATGGTCTAGATCAATGGAAACTGGTCTGTTAGCGCGCGCGGTTATGCCATAGTACTTACACCCAGCCATTTGTGACGACGAAGTGCGAAAAACAATTTTTTTGCAAAGGCGAAACAAAACAAGTGATAAGGTGTTCTAATACTTCATAAATTCCTAGCTTCAACTGTATTCACTCAACCAAGCATGTCGCCCACGAGCAAGGATAAGCCGAGTGATGAGGAGATTCACCACGAAGAGTCTGAAACGCTACGATCGCTGTCAAAGTTTAAGCTGCAAATACCCTCTCAAGGCGTTTTACTTTCACCACGCGGAACGCCTGTCTCGTCTCCGCATAACACTGGCACGTATACTGCCGAGCAGATGCTAAAAATACAAACTGATTTAAACAATGGCGTGCCCGTCGAAGCGATTGGGAAGTTGGACGCAACTCCCGAACAAGTGCCGGTTAAGAAAACCGTCAAATCGAGTCCTGATGAGCAACCCCAAAGGACGCCATTGCTGAAAACGCCTAGTTTTCACTACATCACCAACGGAACCGGGCCAATTAGCTCAAGGTCTAGTCGAGGAAGCAACAACTACCAGAAGTTGCGAACTCTTTTCTCCAACCATAGCAATGGGTCCTCGGGACTTCTGTCGGCGACCGTCGAAGGTGTGCGGCCCCATTCATCCATTTTGCGATCAAATTTGAACACAAAATACTCGCAGCAGTACCAGCAACAGGAGATGTTGTATCTGAATGGTATCAACAAATTCAAAAACAGGTACAGGGTGAACGACGACTACTATAACAAATCCGTGGACATCGAAGATGACGAGGATCCATCTGAAGTCACTGTGGATGAGGATCCAGAGGCTCTAAAAATACAAGACAAGTTTGAAGAGTTCCAAGAAGACTTGAGTCAAGATGATAGCAAGGAATTCAAGGCTTTGAAAGCTTTGAGTCAACAGGTGGGCATGACCAGTAATGAGTGGGAAAAATCATCGGAGTATCGACTGGACTCCACGGTTCTTCTTGATATACTGAATCAAAGCGACGATATTCAGTTAAAGCACACAGATGACAATGCTGCCATTTTGGAGCGTCTTGAATGGCAATCTCTTCTGCAATCTGTTCTCACTGGTGACGTCTTGACGGGAGAAAAGACAAAGCTGATCAAGCCACTGAACGAAGTCGAAGGCGAAAGTTATCTGCGCGCCTCGTACAAAGAGGATCTTTGGATTGGGATACGGTCCAAACTTTTTGGTAGAACAGAAGAGGATCAGAAAAGACTTGTGCAATACCATAGGAGTCTTGTTGATGAAATTCTTGATGAAATCATGAATTTCAGACTGGAGATGCCAGAGGACATACAGAATTCGCCTTATATTACACAAGTCAGGTTCGGATTTGACAAAGTCAACGATTTGCTTAATAGGTATGAACGGTGTCAGGAACTCTGGAGAACTCAAAAAGAAATGGAAAATGAGAAACCCTTATGTGGGACGCCCGAATTTACGTCCCGCTTGCATGCACTTATCGCGTGGACCTCAATCACGTCTGCTATCGAGCGAGAATCTGATGTTCTGAAGAAATGGGTTGGCAACGATGATCTCGATATTTTGAGGTCTCCTGGTCCTTCGTCTGCAGGTAGTGAACTTCCAGAACCTGAATCTCACGATGATCAAGACCACTCGGACAGCGAGTCCAGTTCTAACAGGAATAAGAACGGAAACATCTTCAAGGAAGACAGATCATTTGTGGAAAGAATCATGAAAGAGAAAGATATCGCAGATCTATTCAATAAAAGATTATTCGCTAGCTGTGCACATTGGACTTTCAAAGCAAAGGAGTCGTATCTTGAGTACCAGCAGTATTTTGAGAAACTGAATCTTCCTTCTTATGTCGATTCTCTCTTGGTCCTCGCAATGTTCCCATCTAAGCTGATGAAAGAACTAGTGAACACCAGACTATCCTACGCCAAAAAATTGAAAAATCCGACAATGATGATGATTGATCAAGTCCTTGAAGACTTTAAATTATACATCACTCTCGCGCTAGAGATTCGCTCATCGTTCCTCGAGTATTGTTCTCCTCGTGAAGGCTGGATATCATCGTTGGACTACCAAGATGCCAATTTTGACAACGCTATTTTGGAGTGCGTTCATCACTATTTATTGTTGTTGAACAGGAAGTTACTGGATTCTCCAAAGACATCAAAGTCCTTTAGAACTTTTAAAGAGCCGGAAGAACTTGAACGTGAATGGTCCTTCCTTCAGAACCTCGGATTCTATATTGAAGGCGGCTCTGCAGAGGTTGCGACCCAATTCAGTATATTAACGTCTAAACTCGTTGCTCGACTGCATCAATACATGCAACAGCAATTCCAGGGGCCGCCTTACGATGGCACTCCGTTGGACAAGCATAAGATGGTCAGATGGTACACGTCCATGATGGAGAACTTTGGTCAATTGAAAAGAAAGTTTTTCCGTTTCCACGCGATCCTCAACTTTCATTTCGAAAACTCAATATTGTACAACTTGAACGGTGCGCGCATGAAGAAATTTTTGGACATGCTGAAAGAGAGTAATCATGTTCTTTATCACAACGCACAATTGGCGGAAGAAGGTATCTACGTCTTTGCGTCAGAGTCCATTGCGAGTAAACCATACGAGGTTTCGCGAATCTTAAAGAGCTCGCATCTTGGTGTCGACTTCAGCAAAATACCCAAAAGACATTTGGAAGCAGCAGAAAACTATACTTACTACGCTGAACCTATTTATGCTGAAGCCGAACACTTTGGTGAGAATCAAAATGAGTTTGATGAAAGCTACGACTACGTTTTAGTGGTTTATCCCGCTAAAGCGATGATGTGGGACGGTATTGTTTTGCCATTAGATCTCACCTCGTTACCTGTTGGCAACCTTGATAAAGGAAAGGTTTTGCTGATTTCAAAGGGTGGTTCTTCTTCCAAGGTCGAGCACTGTGCCAATTGGTTCAAAGAGTGTGTGGGAAATACTATAGGCTCGGCTGTTGGCAAAAGATGCTCCTTGCCAAAGGTGCAAAGAGAACTCCAAGTCATATCGAAGCAATTTTTCAGAATGTCGTGCTTCGTTATTGATGCCGTGCCTTCCGTGAGAAATCAATGTCGAGGAATAGCGGATACGCAAGAGCTGGCAAATACAGTGTTCACATACGTTCGAGATGCAGGTCGTGATTTCCTGAGAACATTTGACAACGCTCGAAAATCTGTTCTCATTTTGAAGCTGCTCCAGTTCGCTATCGAGTGGTTGAGTTTTATTGTGGATGACTGTATACCCACAGACCCTAAAACATTCAGATGGTGTGTCTCAGCTTTGGAGTTTGCCATGGATATCACCACTGGGTTTAATATTCTAACTTTAGACAGTGAGAAATTCTACAGGTTAAAGGACAAAGTTGCAGGTTGCATGTCTCTACTTATTTCTCATTTCGATATCATGGGAGCCAGAACAAAGGAAATGCAAAAAAAGAGAATGCTCAACTACCAGTCAATCTCAGAAAAGGACTTATTCACTCTTGATGACGAAAGCCTAAGTTCATTGAGAGAGCACATCATGTACCAGATTGGCCGCCTAGAGGAAGAGAGAAGATTACTCCAAGTTGAGCAACAATCTGTTGGCCGTGTTCTGGACGATACCGATACCGATAACCAATTCCTGACTTACCTAGCCTCATCCTTCTCATCAGTCTCCATCAGATGGCAGAAAGGAAAATTCTTGGGTGGTGGAACGTTTGGTTCAGTTTACGCTTCAATTAATCTGGACACCGGAGGAGCTTTAGCGGTGAAAGAAATCCGGTTCCAGGACAGGCAGTCCATCAAGTCCATTGTGCCGGCCATTAAGGGTGAGATGACTGTGCTGGAAATGTTGTCGCATCCAAATATTGTTCAATTTTTTGGTGTTGAAGTTCATCGCGACCGAGTTTACATTTTCATGGAATACTGCAGTGGTGGATCTTTGGCAAGTTTGTTGGAATATGGTCGTATTGAAGACGAATCTGTTATTCAACTCTACACGCTTCAAATGCTTGAAGGGCTTGCTTATCTCCATCAATTTGGTATTGTGCATAGAGACATTAAACCAGAAAACATACTTCTGGACCATATGGGTGTTATTAAATTTGTTGACTTTGGATCGGCTAAAGTGATCGCAATGGCTGCACACGGCAACACCTCCACTACTACAGGCGGCTCATCCGGTAGTGGAGGCAACGGAGGCAACGGCAGCGGTTCCGGAACTGCCACTCTGAACTCGATTCTCCACTCCGGACGCAAAACGCAGGCGTTGACTGGCACGCCGATGTACATGTCGCCGGAAACTATCAGGGGTGAAACGATTGGTAAGTTTGGTGCCATTGATATTTGGTCGTTGGGATGCTGTTTGTTGGAAATGGCTACCGGAAGACGGCCATGGGCTAATCTGGACAACGAATTTGCTGTGATGTATCATATTGCTGCAGGACATCTTCCTCAGTTCCCAAGCAACGACCAATTAAGCATTCAAGGACAGCACTTCCTGGCGAAGTGTCTAGATATTGATCCAACCAAGCGACTTACTGCGGTGGAGCTTCTACAGGATCCATGGATTCAAGCTATCCGGAATGAAGCTTTCAGTGATTCGAGCAACAGCTCGACTACGGAACTCTCAGGAGAGCACACTCCAGTATAATCAGAAAACGATATCTGTGTTATCTAATTGATCCGGACAGAATCTCCAGTGAGACCCTGCTTCGGTTTCATTGTCTTTAGACGAGCCCTTTCTGGTTCCGGAGGGAACGTTTTTCAGCGACAAGTTTGCCATGTTGGCAAGCTTGATATATCCAGTTTCGTCGTCTTCTTCTGTTAGGGATGTATAATCAATTTCTTTAAAGAATTTTTGTTTCCAAGGAGTGTCATCAGCCGCTTCTTTCTTGCGCAGCTCGCGTTGTTCATTTTCGATCTTTGATTTCTCTTCGTGGATCAAATTGTAGTCATTAGCCCTGATTGCCTGTGCAACTTTCTGCCAAGCTCTTCTGCTTTCCAGCGGACCTTGCTCTTCAATAGGCTTGACCGTCAGATGTTGGGGTTTGGAGTTGTTGGCGTCAAAGAACACTTGTGCGTCGGAAGCAATGGTGTGACCTCTTGATATGGACGAGACGCCTGACCACTGGCCGCTGACGGTGTATAGAGCCTTCGTCTTGTCCTCAGCCTCGCGAATGTTCTTGAAAATTCTGGCTTTGAAGCTGTTGCTCTTACCAGAAAAGTAACCCCTTCCCGAGTACTCAATGACTGCAACGTATCCTGCTGACGACTGAATATAAGATTTCTGTTCCAATTCGACGAACGGAGCAGCCATCAAGATGCCTTCGATGTGGAGAGGCGGTAGGGTAATTAGGTACTTCTCGTTGAGGTTTTCGTAATCCAACAAGGCATGGCCGTACTGTCTCACGTTCAGTGAAGTTGCAGACATGGAAGCTCTAATTCCGTTGTAACCTTGAAGAGTCGTCTTATTAGTTTTATTTTGGATTGCGTAGGCCGTGATGGGAGGGTGATGGCTGACCTGTTCACTCACCAGCAGAGTCTCTCCAAAACTTTGGGAAGGCGACTCGTCGGTCCACCTACCAACAAACAATTCGCCCAGGAATGGGTTCAATGGTTTCTTCTCGCCACCAAGGGTCTCAGCTCGAGAACAATACTGGCTTTTCAGGGTTGAAATAAACCAGCGGAGAACGGCAACCATGTGTTTGAGCTCAACCGAGTCGATGTCATCGGGTTCCTGTTGGATGAAGTTAGGGGCCAGGAACAGATCAACATGTTCGGACCAGTACTGGGAGTACTCCACCAATGACGTAGGCGAGAGGATAAATGGCGGCGCAGTCAGCGACGACAGGTCTCCATTGTAGGATGCCAAACTCTTGATAAAAGAGGTCCAAGTAGCAGAAGTGGATGACATGGAAGCTGAGGTCGTATAAATTGCGCCTAAATATTTTTGTCCACCAAAGTACACAGCCACAGACAGACTAAGCTTCTTTCATAGTCAGGCACGATAATTTAATTTCGTCTCGCTAAAGAAAAATATTTCATTCTGTTCTACGTACAGCACAACCGGCAGGCGTCACGTTTACCACCAGTCGCCTTGAGCCTTCATGGCCTCAGCGACCTTAACGAAACCGGCGACGTTGGCACCCATGACGAGCGATGGCAAGGTGTCTTTGTTAGTCTCGGCGCTGTAAGAAACCGCAGTTTCGTAGCAGGTGTTGAAGCAGTTGACCATAATGTCCTTGAGCTTCTTGTCAACCTCCTCAGCACTCCACTGGACTCTCTGAGAGTTCTGGGCCATTTCCAGGCCAGAAACCGCAACACCACCACAGTTGGCAGCCTTACCTGGAGCGTACCAGATACTGTCACCAACGGAGGAAGCACTCTTTCTCTCGGCCTCAAAGACGTCAATGGCCTCCTGGGTAGAGCCCATGTTGGATCCCTCCGCAAGGTACTTGCAGCCAACGGCAACTAAAGCCTTGGCCTCCTCGCCGGAGACCTCGTTCTGGGTAGCACATGGCAGAGCGACGTCGACCTTACCGACGTGAACCCATGGTCTGGCGCCGTCGATGTATTGGACAGGGGTGGTTTCGAAAGCGGAGTACTCGCCAATGATGTCCTTCAGAGACAGGAACTTGACCTTGGCCTCGATGATGGCCTCGACGTGCTCCTTGGTAATACCAGATTGGCAGATGATGCAGCCCTTCGAGTCCGAAAGAGAAACAACGGTTCCTCCGAGCTCGATGACCTTCAAAGCGGCGTACTGAGCAACGTTACCGGATCCCGAGATAGCAACTCTTTTGCCAGCAAAAGACTCCTTTCCGTTGGTAGCCTTCTCGATCATCTTCTCGACGTAGTAAACCAAACCGTAACCGGTAGCTTCTGGTCTAATCAAAGAACCACCCCAGGTCAACCCCTTACCTGTCAGCACACCCTCGAACTGGTTCTGCATCTGCTTGTAGGCACCGAACATGAATCCGATCTCACGTCCGGTGGTACCAATGTCACCAGCTGGAACATCGGTGAATTGACCAATGTGTCTGGCGAGCTGTCTGATGAAGGCGGTGCAGAATCTTCTGATCTCGTTGTCGCTCTTTCCCTTAGGGTCAAAGTCGGATCCACCCTTACCACCTCCCATGGAGAGACCGGTCAAGGCGTTCTTGAAAATTTGCTCGTAACCAAGGAACTTGAGGATCGAAAGGTTGACACTTGGGTGCAGTCTCAAGCCTCCCTTGTATGGACCGAGAGCAGAGTTGAACTGGACTCTGTAACCTCTGTTGACCTGGACGTTGCCCTGGTCGTCCTCCCAGGTGACTCTGAACTGGATAATTCTCTCGGGAACAGAGACAACCGGGATCACCTTCTCGTACTCTGGGTGCTTCTGGAACAGAGTAGACTCCTTGAGGGTGGAGTACAGCTCGTTGTATGCTTGCTCGAATTCCGGCTCTTGTGGTTGGACCATTGTGTGTAGTATGGGGAAGGGGCAGGAATTGCGGCGGAACCCGTATTTATATTCTCACGCAGTAGCTGGTGTTCTCGAAGCCGCACCCAAAGATTTCCGTTGACGGAGATCTTTGTGAAAAATTATCAATGGACTAAATATTATCTATAGCCAATCACAGCAGAGTGCCAAGTTCCTTTTTCCACTGGCACTTGCGCACCAATTACACGCCCCGCGGGCCTTGCCGTACAGTTGCTTTTCGTGCCAGCAAACAATACGGAAATATCGTTCAGGACAACTGCAATATTTCACACCAGCTTCCCGGCGCTCATGTCGGCAAGAGACGCCGGTACTGTTTTCCTACATGAGGCCTATTGTTCGCCAACACCGTTAGCAATAATTCTGGTAATCCACTTTGTTCTGTGAAAAATTTTGCACGAGATGATGACTCAGTACATCGTTCTCGCGACCCCGAGTCCTACAATGCGTTTCGGATCCCAGCTGCCGAAAGAGGTAACAAGAGACCGAAACATGTCGGAAAGCTGCTAGTCCGGCGTGCTTGATGGCAAAGCACTGCTAATGTACCAAGCTCTCGCTGAGGGCCGGATTGCTGGCTCCTATTATCGCACCAATCACCGACCTGTGATGCATAACCGAGTTTTCACTGGCTGCTCTGCAATGCACAGCTACCGGAAAAGATCGTCCTATCCGGTACTTCTGGTCGAATTGTTTTTCGGCCTCCCGATGGTGTCCTGGTGTTTTGCGTCGCCGGTTCAGGCGTGGCACGGGGTCAACACGTCCATCCGTTTGCGTCAAACTCGGTCCGGCCGTCTCGCGGGAGATCTGCGAGTTTCCTTGAATCATCCCTCGGAGAGTCTAGCGCGGCTCCGCCCGGAATCAATGACTACGTGCTGAAACATTTGACGGGAAAGTATGTTTTTCTTACTATATCACTCTCGCCTACTCGCTACACATTCCTCGCCCCTATGAGCCAGTCGTGTCATTGGTGGTCTGCTGAATATAATAACTGCCGCTGTTTACAGCTTGGCCTTTTCTGGACCAACGAACTTGAGTAACTTTTCTACATTGGCAGCCTTCATGACGTTACCCTTGATTTTGAGCTTACCTGTCATGAACAACTTCTGAGCGCTTGCCTTCCCGTCTATAAGTTTGCGAAGTTGCAAATCGCCTATCTTGATCTTTATCTCTGCACCGTCCGCCACCTTGTCTGTCCTCTTCAATGTTCCTTCTGACTTGGCGTCCAAGACCCAATATTGAGTCTCTCCGGTCTTTTTGTCATGGATTTCAAATGACACGACCGAGTTTAGCGAGTTTAAGGCTTCCTTTCTCAAAGACTCGTTTGATTCGAGAGCTTCCGAGAGTTTTGTAAGTGACTTGGTAGATTTTGACATAAGCCAATGCTACTCCGGGGACTCTTTTATATTTAGGGTTCCCCACACTGGTCAGCATGTGATAATATATATAATCATGGATACTTTGCCACATTCATGCAGGCAACTTATTTCGAAGCAAGCATGGTTGGGGCATCTTGAGACAAGGTATTGTGCTTCATAGCCACAGAAGTTGACAGACACTGGCGTTCAAATATTTGTTGTTATTTTCTTTTGACAGCGTAAAAGTCTCGGTTGCAAATGTTTTGCCCCAGATCAGGCCCAATTTAGCGAATAATTCTAGAAGTTGAAGGCAAAATTAATTTTGTTATATCATGGGAATCTACAATCCTTCCGACTCAAATAACATCGAGTCTTTGGTGACTAAAGACGAGAAGCCGCTGAACACTTCTGCATTGAGCACCATCAATGATTCTTTTGAGTCATTGCTGTCTTCGGCAAACAATTTGACTTCTTCTTCTATCTCCAATCTTCTTGACTGGTCTACCAAGTATTTGGGCGATTCGAGCCAAGACTTGCATGATAACCTCTTTAACGCGGTGGACCAGGTGGTCGACATGTTACCGTTCTTCAATGAGTCTCCTTTCCTGTCGCTTGGTCGCAGGTTCAAAAATCAGGAGACTCCTTACGGTCTCTGGGCCTATCCAATTCCGTCTGCCAAGTTGTACTCTAGGTGTCAGGAGATGAACGGCTTGTCTGTGTGGGATACTAATGGGGCTTGGAGATGTTTATTCCCAAGAGCCAGCATCCCGGATGACTTCGGTTCAGCACTGGCCAGAGAAGACGTGGAGAACGACTCCTCTCACCAAAAAGGTTTGTTTTTCCAGCAATACACGGATTATCTTGGCTTCAAGATTAAGATGACGGAACTGGCCAACAAGAAGCGCAAGGAGGAATGGGAGAAGTTCAAAGAAGAGCAGAAATCCAAGTGGGATTTTTACAAAGACGATAAGAAGTTCAGCGATAGCCCTCAATTTACAGGATCTAGTACCTCTACCACCATCCGCACGCTGGATGACGGCGACGTGGAAAAGGTTACTGTCATGAAGCAGTTCTTCAACGACGGATCCAGCACCATCAAAGAAACCAAAGAGATTCTTAACAGTGCTGGTGAGCGCAAGACCATTGATGAGAACTGTCAGAAACTTCCAAACCAGAAGAAGTCAGGCTGGTTTTGGGACAACGAGAAATGAATTGTTTAGTTATACCACTTTTAGGATAGGTGTTGTGAATAGGTATTTTTAAATACACTTGATTAATTATATTAGCCGAATGCGACAATGTTGCAGTAACTGACAATGAGTTCGTCTCCAACGCGGAAGATGTTATACAGATTTTCGAGTTCCTCATCAGGATTGGGGCTGACCGAGTTATTGAGATAGCAGTACACTTTTTTGCCCAATTTGAGCTCAAGAAATCGCAAGATGGAAGAGAATTTCGAGCTTTTGCTGATCTTAAAAATGGCAGGGCTCACTTGGTCCACAGATCCAATTGACTTGAAGCGAATTTGGATTTTCGATTCGGTGGGTTTTGACACCGAGAGCAGGGCGGAGGTTGTTTTCGCTGGCAATTTAGAGAGCATCATACTCTGATCGAGGGTAATCTTTGTTTTCTGCGGGTCATTCCTGATCGTAGTTTCATCGTCAAGCACCTCTTCCTTACTATCTGTCCTATGACTCTGCTCTTCAGCGATGGTCTGGGGTACGTCTGTTGTGCCTACTTTTATATTGAGCTCCATCAAGGAGCTCGCAAGATCTTTATCACCCATAAAATAAAATCAATTACTCCAGATTATTAATTTTATATATTACTCCCTACTTGCATACGCATCTACCAGATTTTGAAAGTGCGCCACTTCGTCCAGTCCGGTTTTGTTGGGCTCTTCCAATTCGCTCAGAATCGTGAGGACAAGCGAGAAGTTGCTGTAAAGAAATATCTCTCTCTTCTTAGGATCCAGTGTAGAGCTCATCTTCATCAGTGTGCTTTCAAACTCGTTTCGAAGGCGGACAATGGAGTTTGTCAGCGGTTCTGAAGTCTCCTGCTCTATCAAGTTTTGCGACAGACCAAGCAGGTTGAGCAATACACGCCCGAAGTTCTGTGTGAGGTCCAGCGGAATCATTATGTTCTTATTGATGCTCTTGAGGATCACAGAGGACGATACGCTCTTTTTGACGTTCATGCAATTTTGGTCTATCAAATTTTGGAATCTTGGCCATAGAATAATCAGTTGATAGTTCAGGTAGTCTTCCATCACCGGTATGCGTCGACGTTGCAATTCGTATTCCAGTTGTTGAGTAAGACGAATAGCTATGAGCACCCCAAAGTAGTCGTAGGTATTAGAAATAAGATATTTGGTGAAACTGTGCCCAATTTGGTACACCGGGTTGAAAATCGTCTTGAAGATCTCATCTAATTGCTCGCTCTTGGTCAAGTTGAAGAACTCGCTCATAAAAAGGTACTCAACAGAGACGTTGTCCAAAAGTGCAACGTTGAAATTCCTGAACGCAGTTTCAAGCCAGTACTTTGCATTGTTAGTCTCGGCTATCTGAGCGGGCATGACTGTCTCATCAAACTTGCCCAACAACTCGAGTCTTTTTGTCAAACCAATCAGATACTCGCTTGCAGTGATCTCGTGTCTCTTGTTAGAGTACCCAAAAAATGATCCGGCTCCGGATGAACCAGCCTCCTCCTCCAGTGCCCCAAGCAGGACATTCTTCTCAACTTTGTGAATTCTCAGTCTTTCCAATGACGAGGTATATTTGACAAAATTTTGATAATAGTACCAACGCATAGTATGACAGTATGCCTGACAAAGATCGTTACTCAGCTTGCGATTCTTCTCCTGCAAAAAAGTGAATATCTCCTTCACCTCGAGCATCTCGCTCTGAACGACCTGCGATGAGACCGTCTGCTTTCTGAGGGCCTTGATTTGCTTGATTAGGTAGTCTCGAATTCGTTCCACAACTTTGAGTTCCATCAGATCCAGCAGTTGCACGAGCTCCGGAAGACACTTCGGCTGGGTTTCGGAAGAGTACTTGGAGTAAATTTCTTTCTTTTCGGCAAGAAACGCAATGTTTTCAACCCACTTTTCGTCTATCTTGTCATCTATTATGGAGTTTATTATTGCCGGAGGGATTATAAGATCGTTGATGACCGGAGTTAACCTTGTATCTAGCTCCTGCTTGCTTTTTATCTGCAGATTGAGCATGTCAGATCGCTTTTGGAGGAACTCCATTTCCTGGGATAGCTTGTTGATGTTGTGTTCAAAGTTTTGGAGGTAGTCGAACAGAGGCTTGAGATATGTTCTCGTGTTTTTTATTTCCGACTGGAAATTAGCAAACTTCTCGTAATGGGCCTGGTAATCAAAGCTTTCGAGCTGCGGATTCAGCGTGCTGAGAAACCGGTACTCTTGTAGAGTGTTTATTCTTTTACTGGCCCGTAGTCCGTTCAAAAGCTCCTCAATTCCATCGTCGTCGTCGTCGAGCTCGCCGCGAACATCGATCTCCCATTCCGGGTCCAGTTTACGGCGAAGCCATTCCAGCGCATCTGGGTCATCCTTAAAAGGCTGTGAATGCTTAGAGATCGATCTCCTGGATATCCTGCGAGTCAGCTGCGGAGTGCTCGCCACACTCTCAGCAGGAAGCATGTCAAAGCGATGGATAGATTGGGCTGATTATTTTTTCGAAACCAGATTCGCGAAAAATAGTGCCTATACTTCCTTACTACACCCGAAATATGTACCGAAGCGTACGGCTTTCGTTTGTCGTGCCCTAAAACCCTGAAGCCCGCATGGAGCATAAAGGCATCAAGCAATGCATTCATTGGATTAAAACTTCCCGTTCTCCGAGCTCAGAGCGAGCGCAACAATTGCCCCGCACTATGACGTCAGACCCCACAGTCTCCAGGTTGAAAATTTCTAGACTGCAGCTTTGCGCTCGTCCATGCGGAAACAATGTATGTTGTTTTATCTGTGACCGCTAGCTTCAAAAGGGTACGACCAGAAGGGGAAAGAATATAAAGAAAGTTCTGTACGCGTTACTCGGTTTCATGAAGATCTTGTCCCAGATGGATGAAGCCAGTTCGCAGCCTGTCAACCAGAGCCATCCGACGAAGCCTGCATCTTTAGCATCAAATTCATTATTGCTACCGCCCATCCTGTCCTCAGTCACGGCACCGGTATCTCCGCCTTATAAGCCGAGCTTGACATCCGCTAACTACGCTGCGCGGGTTCCCTCGCTACCCGCGCCCCAATCCTTAGACGCCAAGACCATACCGAATCCAATTGATCTCCGAGGGACAGCGAAGAGAATTTCCTCGCAAGTCGGCCCGATCCCCACGGCTCGTGTCCCGCGCAGCCTGCCAGACGACGAGAAGGAGAAGGCTAGGAAGCCGCAGAAGGTCTCCAAACGATCGAGGAAGGGCTGTTTAACGTGTAGGTTCCGCAAACGCAAGTGCTGTGAGACTAAACCAGTGTGCACTGAGTGCAAGCGGCTAGGCATAAAGTGCTCCTGGATCACAAACGGCCTTGAAAATAAGAACAAGTCGAAGAAGAATCCCGACTTCCTCCGAAACGACGAATGCTACGACGACATTTTCGGCGTTATCAAAGTGGTCAGAGGCAAGATAGACTACAAAATCGCAGACGGCGACTTTGTTGAGGGCAACAAACCTCCGGACGATGAGCTGTACAATAAAGAGGCAGACACACACAAAACGTGAATTATATGTTTCTATTTGGTTTTCTTCTCTTCTTCGTCTTCCCGGATGGCAATATCAGCAGCCTTGAAGTCCATGAAATAGTGCTTCAGTACCAGCTCGATGACCCAACTGATTCCGAAGTCAAGCAACATTGCGACAGTCAACTTAAATTTAAACAAATCCGTCATCTTGACGAACTGCATTGCCTCGTTAAGCTCCGGCATGAACTCGGTACTTCCAGCGAAACACAAGAAGGTAACTCCCAAGAGGCCATAGTACATGCCCCTGTTGTCCCTGATGGATTGTCTGAACGGTGGTCCCTGGTAGTTGATCGTGAAGGTGGCAACCTGCTGCGACAATTGGATCAGGAACATGGCAGTGTTGAGCAGAGATGGGCTGAACTCTTTCTCCAGGTCCACCTGCGGCTCTCTTGGCTCAAGAATATACACCTCTTTGGTGATGTAGATGAGAGAGATCAAGTGGATTGCAAACTGGCCGAGAATGGAACCCATGATGTAAATATTAAAAATTCCTGGTTGTGGTCTCTCTTTGGATAGCTTTTCCAGCGACTTTCCTCTAGAAATAGACAAGAAACACACACTCAGCAACAATCCGGAAACAGTGGCTTGTCCGTCTCCAAACTTGATACCAGCAAGATACAGCACGGAGAGCGAATACGCAGAAACCAAACAGTTCAAAGCCAAGATCTTGTACATTTGGATCGTAGACACCAATGCACATCTTCCTTGTCTAATGATATGGACAACGGCAGACACGTTTGCAAGTTTAGACGTAAATGGCGCAGCGACCGAAGCGTCTCCGAGCTTCAGCACTGGAGCCTCATTTTCGTCCTCTTCCTCTTTCAGGCCTGCTAGCAATTGCTCTGCAAAGTTCGACTTCTGTGTGGCAGAGCCAATTGCATTCGAGCCCGTTGGAATTGGCTGCTTGTTCGCTATCTCAACAGCTTCTCTCATTTCAGGAGTGATGGTGTGCCCTTGTTTCTCCATAGTTGCCAGATAATGAGGATTCAGTGGCCCTGGAGGATACAAATGAGCAATTGGAGCAGGAACTTTTGGAGGTGGGTTTCCCCATCTTTTCATGATGTCGCATTGTTTCTCGTACACTTTCTGCAAACTCTCGATCTTCTTGTTTTCTTGGATCTTCTTTAGTCCATCTTCAGTACCGTTCAATAAAGCAACACCAACATGGGCCTGTTTCAGTGCACCAACATCATTCGTACCGTCACCGCACATGAGTGTCTTGTAACCCAAGTTTTTGTAGGAGTTCAAAATAAACTCCTTTTGCGATGGCGAGACTCTTGAGTAGACCCAAGTGTACCTGATTAGTTTCTCAAGTTGAGGGTGATCCATCAGCTTAGACAAGGCATAGCCTGTAATACAGATGTCGTTCTTCTCCAAAAATTTGATGTCAAACTCCTGGGTAGGATTGAAAGGAATAATTCTGGTTTCGTCAACGTTTCTCCAAGCCAGTTCCGAGTCTCCAGGATAGTGAGTTTCAGGGATGTCCAAAATAAGCACGTCTTTTGTCACAATAGCCACCTCCTTCGCAACATGGCAGGCGGTCAGTGGGTTGTCACCGGTGATCATGACACATCTATGACTGGAATCGTTGAGCATCTCGATGGTTGAGATAGCATCATCTTTCAGAGGACAGTGGAAAACAATAAATCCAGCAAACTTCAGGCCACTTTCGACGGAGTGTCTCTCGAGGCCGTCGATGTTTTTGTCCGAGCTGAGGTACTTGTAGGCTAGTGCCAAGACTCTTGATCCAGAACGGGTAAATGATTTGTACACTTCTTCATAGTTAGAAGGGACATCCACAAGCATTTCCTTGATTGTCTCAGGAGCACCCTTACAGCTAACAAGAATTTGATTGCCAACCTTTGAGATGGAAGACGACCTCTTGAGCGCAGAAGAGAACTGGAATCTTCTCAAAATCTTGATGACTCTTTTGTGGCCCTCGATGGTGTTCTTGGTCTTCGGAGAGAGTTTCCAATTGGCAGCCTTCAACGTCTCCTTTTCCATTGGATCACCAACAATTTCTCCATCATCAAGCTTGACCAAAGCGTGAGCAGAGCCTAGAACATCCAGAGTCACGGATGGAACGTCCGGATCTTCTGGTTTGAAGAGTCTTCTGATGTTTGACGAGTCAAATCCTGCCAATCCTTCAAAATTGAGGTCTTCACCGGTCAAAGTACCAGTCTTATCAAAACAACAGACATCGATTCTGCCAGCCAACGGGATTCTGAATGGCTCAGTACAGTAAATGTAGAATTTTCCAAGAGCTGCCAGAGATTGGTTAACGGCCATCGTCAGCTCCATAGGGAGTTCTGGAGGAACAACAGATGTCAGCACAATGATACAGTCGAGAATCAGTTTAGACTGGATTCTTCCCATCTTGGTTCCCTCGACCCAGACATACCACGAGGCAATAACTGCGAACACGAGCAAGAAAAGAATGAAGAGAAACGCCTCCTTGTTGGCCACAGACATTCTCTCACTGGAGAAAATCATCACCCTGACAAGAGAACCCTGGGTGGTCTCGAATCCGGTTTTTGCAACCAAAGCTATAGCACCGTTGTCAGGAGCCAGTTTGATCAAAGGCTTTTCTGGAGGAGTAACCTGCAAGCAAGATGTTCCGCCATGTAACTGAGCGTTCTTGTCCAATCCGTCAGGCTGGTACGGATCAGCCTCCTCTCTAAGCTTGATGGACTCCTTCAAAAGCGGAGTCGATTCTCCAGAAAGCATGGCTTCATTGACAATGCAGGATCCATCAAGAAGCACCAAGTCACAAGGAATGGAGAGATCATCATGTGGAGTTCTTGTCACGGAGACAATATCGCCAGGGAGCAAGTCCTCAGTGGAGATCTTGGACCATTTCTCGTCTCTGTAGCAATAAATGTCGTACGGCTTGATACCCATGCTCTGGAACTCTGTCATGGTGCTCTTTCTTTGGTAAACACTGGTACTCTCAAAACTGACGAGCATGAACAAGGAGAACAACGACAAGTACCACATATCATCCATCAACCACAGGGCAATGGAAAACAGCTGAAACACGAAAAACGGAGCCAGTGCGTGTTCTATGAACAGCTCGATAAAGGTTGGGATCGGAATATCAAACTTGTTCTGGCCGTATACATTTCGAAGGCCAGTAAGTTGATCGCTCTTGAGGCCCCTGGATTGTTTTAGGCGACCTATGGTGAGCTTCTCATCATCGATGGCAAAGATTGGAGGCGAGAATTTCGAAAGCTCACTGTTCCAAAAGTACCTTCTTTTCTGGTAGAGGAAAGAGAGCAGCTGTGTTTTAGGGTCAAACTTGATTTCGGAGATCTCACTGATGCCAAAGCTCGGTTTTGCCCTTATAAAAATATGTGACGCCTCGTCCAAAGAGTCAACCCTAATGTACTTGAAATTGACGTTCAGGTCCAAGTTCCATCTAGGGAGCAGCCAAATCAGCGCATGGACCGACACCAAAGTCAACGTGTAGACAAATGTCCACTCTCTGCCGACAAAGTACTTATCGTAGTGGTTGGCGTAGAGATTATAGTACACTGGGTAGATTACCAAGAAAGGAAGCACATATGGTTTGAGGACCAAGGGCTTACGCTTGAGCAGCTGTGACGACTCGATGGTGTCACTGTTGATCAGATCTTGGGACATGGTGTAAAATGAAAAACGTGGAATTTTCAGATAGTGCGGCCGGGTAAAGACGAGGCGAGAAACGGATTAGCTTTATACTGGCAGTTCGGTTCATTACCTGATTGTCCGTAGCTCTTGTATTACGGCAACTACTTGTACGATCAGCCGACTGCGATTATGCGGCTGTCATTTGGTCACTGCCGGTAGGTCGTATATATTTGCGGCTGTGCAAGACGCGTATGTAAAATGCTGATCTGATTGATTTTTTCTATACCATGAATTATCCTTTGGATTTGGAACTTCCTTGGTAAGTGCTGACAAGAAACAATCTAACATTCAGGGTGGAAAAATACAGGCCTTCTAAACTGGATGATGTGGTGGGCAACAAGGACACCGTTGAATCGCTGAAGAGGATTGCAGAGGATGGAAACATGCCCCATCTAATCATATCTGGTCTGCCTGGTATTGGAAAAACCACCTCTGTGTTGTGTCTGGCACACGAGCTTCTTGGGGATCAATTTCGCGACGCTGTATTGGAACTGAACGCGTCTGACGACCGTGGCATTGAAGTGGTGCGCAATAAAATTAAACAGTTCGCTCAGAAAAAGGTCCAACTTCCTCCAGGAAGACACAAAATCGTGATTCTGGACGAGGCAGACTCAATGACTCCTGGGGCACAGCAAGCTCTCCGGCGTACCATGGAAATTTACTCCAACACCACCCGTTTCGCATTTGCTTGCAATCAATCAAGCAAGATCATTGAGCCGTTGCAAAGTAGATGTGCCATCTTGCGTTACAATAGGCTCGAAGATGAGGAAATACTAAGAAATCTGCTGCACATAATAAAGCAGGAGAAGATTGAATACACCAATGACGGCCTCGAAGCGCTGATATTTACGGCTGAAGGCGATATGAGACAGGCAATTAATAATCTGCAGAGTACATTCTACGGCTTCAATTTCGTGAATTCGGAAAATGTTTACCGAATTGTCGACTCTCCACATCCCCTAGTGATCTCTAAAATGCTCAGGAGTTGCATTCGGGGCGATCTCGAAGGCAGCCTGGATATTCTAAGGTCGCTTTGGGCAAAAGGGTACTCTGCCATCGATATCGTCAGCACAAGCTTTAAAGTTCTCAAGTCTATGTACGATATTGAAGAAGAAAAACGGTTGGAGGTGATTCGCATCGTTGGTTTTACCCACATGCGTGTTTTGGAAGGAGTGTCTACCTACTTGCAGCTGAGTTGCATGCTGGCCAAAATCTTGGAGCTGAATAAAGAACTCAAAATAGATAGCTGAACATAAAAATTAAAAATTAGGTGTATTTCCCTTTTTAATTTTTTTATCGCGTCATGACGTCTTCTAATTATGCTACTCCTTTTCTTGTTCGATTGTTTCGATCTTTGGACACCTTGATCGCACTTCGTTACAGTACCAACTACCTTTCATCACTAGTGCGCTTCTCGACGGTATCGAAGCAGGTGCTGAATCTCAATCTGGAGGTACTCTGCACGATCAAGTCAATCTATCCCGAGTCTTACGATATTGCCAGAGCAGGAGACGATATCACAATCGATGTTTTCTGTGAGGAGTCTGCAGACAGATCTGAGGAACGCGTCCGACTGATCCAAAAGATTGAGAAACGCCAGCAAATTTTTAGAGCCAAGCTCGAGGAGTGGACAGCGAAAGGATGCCCCATTACATTCAAGTTAGACTCAGAGCAAAAGCATCAGGCATCGCCTAAGAAAATCAGCAAAATTATCAAGCCGAAGAATTCACGCACCAAGTACGAATTCCATGAAAGGCAAGTCCTCTCTGACCTGCCACTTTTAGAGCGCATTAAATTGAAGCAGGCTTCAAAAAAAGTGAATAATCTCAGCGATAACAAACAGGAACCACTTGAATCCAAGTTGATTCCAATCTACAACGTTATATATGAGCAATCGCCTAAGTTTAATAGTTCCAAAACTGTCAGTCTGAGCGTCACTCGGCTTCAACAGCTAGTCAGAGACTCTATGAAGCTACCGGTCTCGGAAACTGACGTGCGCAGAGTGTTGTTTCTGCTTGCCGAAAAGCTTGGACTGCGACTGACAGTTATTGGTGAGACCCAGATTCTCAAAATCCCGCAACTCAATAGGAATGAAGATCTCGCAAAGTTGGGTAGCCGCCAAGTTGGACTAGTTGAATAAACCGACTCGGATTCCTAATGCATCCTTGCACCACCCAAGGGTCTCTATTGTCCTTCTGGAAATTTCTGCTGGTGTAGTGAGCAAGGCACTACCGGAAAAAAATGACGGCGAAAGGATGAAAAAAAACTGGAAAATTAATTTATATACCTCTGTTTTGCCCCTGTGGATTTTGAAAAGCAGGACAATTCATTAAGTTGGTAGCAAGTGCTAGTAATTGAAAAGATGTTGGCAAGTATTGCTAGAAACGTGAGAAGTGTGAGTATTGAGCATAATTTTGCCGTTTTTCCGCTAACTTTTCAGTCTTCTCTCAAACAGTTGAGATACAACTCCACCAAGGTGACTGGTTCCGTGATCGGTATCGACTTGGGAACGACGAACTCTGCAGTCGCTGTGATGGAGGGAAAGACCCCAAGAATCATTGAGAACGCCGAGGGTTCCAGAACCACTCCATCTGTCGTTGCCTTCACCAAGGACGGTGAGAGATTGGTCGGTATTCCAGCCAAGAGACAAGCTGTGGTCAACCCAGAAAACACATTGTTTGCTACTAAGAGACTGATTGGTAGAAGATTTGAGGATCAGGAAGTGCAAAGAGATTTGAATCAAGTTCCATACAAAATCGTCAAGCACACCAATGGTGACGCTTGGGTTGAGGCTAGAGGCCAGAAATATTCCCCAGCCCAAATCGGAGGTTTCATTCTCAACAAAATGAAAGAGACTGCCGAAGCCTACCTCGGTAAGCCTGTCAAGAACGCAGTCGTCACCGTTCCAGCATACTTCAACGACGCTCAAAGACAAGCCACTAAGGACGCAGGTGCTATTGTTGGTTTGAACGTTGCCAGAGTTGTCAACGAGCCTACTGCTGCTGCCTTGGCTTATGGTCTTGAGAAAACTGATACCAATGTCGTCGCTGTTTTTGACTTGGGTGGAGGTACCTTCGATATCTCTATCTTGGACATTGACAACGGTGTTTTCGAGGTCAAGTCCACCAACGGTGACACTCACTTGGGTGGTGAGGACTTTGATATTGCTTTGGTCAGATACATTGTCGACGCTTTTAAGAAGGAGTCTGGCATTGACCTCCAAAACGACAGAATGGCCATTCAAAGAATCAGAGAAGCCGCCGAGAAGGCCAAAATTGAGCTCTCTTCTACTCTCTCGACCGAGATCAACCTTCCTTTCATTACTGCAGACGCTTCCGGCCCAAAGCACATTAACTTGAAGATGTCCAGATCTCAACTTGAGCAACTGGTTGAGCCATTGATCAAGAAGACTATCGAACCAGTCAAGAAGGCTTTGAAGGATGCTGGTCTCTCGACCTCTCAAATCTCTGAGGTTATCCTTGTTGGAGGTATGACGAGAATGCCAAAGGTTGTCGAGACCGTCAAGTCTCTCTTCGGTAAGGAGCCATCTAAGGCTGTCAACCCGGACGAAGCTGTTGCCATTGGTGCCGCTATTCAGGGTGCTGTTTTGTCTGGTGAGGTCAAGGATGTCTTGCTTTTGGACGTTACTCCACTGTCTCTCGGTATTGAGACTCTAGGTGGTGTCTTCACTAGATTGATCCCAAGAAACACTACAGTTCCAACCAAGAAGTCCCAGATCTTCTCTACTGCTGCTTCTGGCCAAACTTCCGTTGAAATCAGAGTGTTCCAAGGTGAGAGAGAACTTGTCAGAGACAACAAGCTGATCGGTAACTTCACTCTTTCGGGTATTCCACCAGCTCCAAAGGGTGTTCCGCAAATTGAAGTGACTTTCGACATTGACGCTGACGGAATTATCAATGTTTCTGCCAAGGACAAGGCATCTGGTAAGGACAACTCGATCACTGTTGCCGGCTCCTCTGGATTGTCTGAAGCTGAGATCGAAAAGATGGTTAACGACGCCGAGAAGTTCAAGGAGCAGGACAGAGCTAGAAAGGAGGCTATTGAGCAGGTCAACAGAGCTGACCAGCTCTGTGCAGACACCGAGAAGTCTCTCGAGGAGTTCAAGGAGAAACTAGACGCTACTGAGGTCGAGAATATCAACAAGAAGATCGCTGAGTTGAGAGAGATCATTGTGAAGGTCAACGGTGGTGAGACTGTTGAAGCTGACGAGATCAAGACCAAGTATGAAGAGCTGCAAGCTGACTCTTTGAAACTGTTTGAGAAGCTTTACAAGGACGGTAACGCTTCAAGCTCCGAGTCTTCTGGTGAGCAGAAATAAAGTTGTTTATAGTTGACTAATTTGTATATATACGGGAGTTAGTAAAGATTATTTTGTGAAAATAAGTAAATAAATTTCTATAATGTTTAAGCTAAACCCTCTGAGCAAGTTGATATTTCTGAGCATTCTTATAGCAATTGGGTTCCTGAATATTGTACTCAGCTGTGCATTATATGATAATTGGCTTCCACTCATCGATGTTGCCATTTTCCTTATTGCCCCGCTGCCCAATGCTTTAGGACAGTCGCTGTCGAGCGCATATGAGGCCGATTTCCTATCGGATTCCCACGAAGAGATGCCAATCAAGGAGTTCTTCAAGTTTATCACAGGATTTCTTGTTATTAGTGGTATCATCTTTCCCATTATACTCTTCCACTGCCATCTGATCACTCACTGGAGTTTAATTCTAAGTGTCGTGGGAGGTTTCATTATATATCTTAGCATTGTGCTCTTCATTGTGGGTTTCAAAGAGGAGCCAGACGAGTATGATTTCTGAGCTATTTTTGCAAGTCAACTATACAAACCTTGCCCGATTTCGGACCACCATACAAGATCGCCCATTTTGTCCCCTTTGACGCCTCCTTCGAAAGGGCATTGTATATGTTAGCCACAAACGAGCGGGGCGTCGAACTGGAGACTCCGCCGACCTTCCGTTTCCATTCATCTGGCTGGTTAAGCGACGTGATACTGATCATTGCAAGCACTTCGTCCCTCGCTTCAATGGTGAATATAGGAGAATTTTCCAGGACCCGGATCAAAGATTCTGCAGACTCGGCTGCCTGATCCACGATCGCCCACTTCTCCTTCTTGTTGTTTTTCTTGTTGGCTCCTGTTGCATTGTTAGGAACAACAACCACCCTTTGACGGTTATCTGCGAGCGCCTCGGCGTCCTGCAACACATCCTTAGTATCGACCTCGATCTCCTTTGGCTGCTCGCCTTTCAACAGCGACACTAGATCGTGCAAATCAACTTCTATATCAACTTTTGCTTCCAAATTCTTGAGTCGCAATGGTTTATACTTGTTGCTCTTGGAATTGCCCCTTAGAGTCTCCATATTAGTCTGAGCCTTCACCACCAGCAGCCATTTCACGTTAGATTCCACTGCCTGATTTACCATATCGTCGATAGTGGCAGAGTTGTCCACCAAATCTGCACTGATGTCATTCGACCAGAGTACTTGCAACAGGAAAGGTGCAATTTCTTTCAGGATACCAGCAGAAAAAAACCCTATAAGAACATCGCATTTCTTAGTTTGCCAAACAACCTTCAGATTCTCCTTCTGAAATTTGCGCTTCGTGTCCTTACGACTGTTAAACATGTCCTGATACCGTTTCATCGAGTTGAAAAGGAAATCCCAAGCCAATCGGAGCCCCACGGCTCTTGGCAGGTCACGTGGCGACTTGTTGCGGGCCAATGTGCTGATTAGCTCATCGTAACGTCCGCCAGCGCAGATGATGGACTTGAACTTGTCCTCATACACCGCAGTGAACATGATTCCCCCTTTATAGAACGCAGAATTATAGCCACTAAATGGCCGAATTTCGATATTGAGCTCAACATTGAACCAATCCAAATAATTCATGATCTTCGAGATGTAGTTCAAGGAACTGTCCACCTTCCCTAGATGCGGACTATCCATCATAAGCTTATGTAGCTTTGACCTCACTTGTCCTATTGGGAGCCCGAAATCGAACTGCACAAGCTCGTTAAAAACCGTGGATGACATGTTGAGATCCTGTTTCAGAATAGCTTTCACCTCCTTGATGGTCTTTCCAAAACCGACTTCAGCAAGAATTCGGCTGACAATAATCCTCTGCGGTCTTTCGATACCGCAATATTCTAGAATTGTATCTAGCAAATTGCAGTGGTTTAATATTATTTTCACATTGCTCTGTTTCAGGAACGGCAAGATAGCTATGATTTCACTTACCACTTTGATGCACTCCGCATCATAAAAGGGCATCAGTTCCATCGAATCATTCGGGCGAGAAACAATGTCAAAATCAATTTCTTTGAACTTGCTTGGGCCAGATCCTTCGTCTTTGTCTATCGAGCGATAGACATCTTCAATTCTAAAAAATTTATGAACAGCTAGCGGCTTGCGTCCAAGGAGTCTTGCTAGAGGGAGGGTTAGATCATATGGAAGCTGCAGGACTGAGCCTGCTTTGTCCAGCACTTCATAAACGTGATAAGTTGAATCATACAGAGGATTTTTAGGGAATAGCAGAGCAGTATGGTCGACAAACTCGATGCCACCATGCCTCATGAAGATCTTGGAGATTTCTTGAAGTATTTTGGAATGCAAGAGATAATCCGACGTCCCGTATGATTTCTCAACGTTCCCAAACAAAAGATCGCGCACATAACTGTAAGGCTGGGAGAATAAAATACTTCTTGCCTGATGGTGCCAGGAAGAAGAAGGATCAATCAGCGCGTTTAAAGCCTCCTTCATTAGATCGTCCTGCTGCTCAACTCTGATCAGGCCGCTTTGAAGCAATTGTTTGGCCGACGGTCTTCTGTCAACGTTATGATCGAGTAACATCTTTATTATTTTCTTCTCGGTCGCAAGACGTTCATTATCAAAATCCTCCGGGAAAACAATTTCGGGAGCTCTCAGATTGCTGATTACAGTATACCGCTCCATCGATGTATCTAGCTGGTACACCATCTCAAAGAAAATTATGCCGAGAGAATAAAGATCAACCTTCTCGTTGTATGCGCCAGAACCGTTCATAACCTCAACGGCGACGTACAGCCTTGTTCCAATGTCTGAAGTAAGATCTTCTGTGCTTTCTGAGACGTCTAGAACTTTCCTGCTTGTTGATGGAAGATAGTGAACGTTTTTGGCAAGACCAAAATCTCCGACTTTAACGTTTTGGTTTTCGTCAATGAAAATATTCATCGGCTTCAAATCTCGATGAATAATACCCTGTGAGTGGATATGACTAAGAGCTTCAAGTATCTGGCGTATAATTCTCCAGTAGAATACGGAGTCTTTGTACAATCCTTGGCGAATCAGATCAAATAGGGTACGATTTTCACAGTACTCCATCTGAATGAACAAAACGGATCTTTTTTTCGAGGTAGGGACCGTTTGTGCGTCCGTGTCGATTTTCTCCTCTTCACTTTCAGTTCCAAAAGTGAACGCTTTCTCCTCCTCAGGATCAGACTCCTCATCCTCGCTAATATTGAATTCTAATTCAGGATTCACAGAAGACGAAATAAAGTCCGTATAGGTTTGGCTCCCTGTTCTCGTGTACTCAGATGTGTCCCCGGGCTCGGTTTCAAACTCTTCATCGTCATCTTCAGATTCTGAGAATACAGCACCGTAGCTCACATCATCCTCTAACCAGGCTGCATAATACCGAACCACATACTGGTGGTTGAGTCTGGCCAGCAACATCACTTCATTGAGTATTTTGGCTAATTTGTCCTCTGTGTGCCTGATTTTCTTTATTGCATAGAATCGGCCATCTAGCTTGTTTCGGACTTTGACAACCTCACCAAACCCACCTCTGCCTAAACTTCCCACCTCCTCAAAATCCTGGACATATCTGGAGTATGATTTGAGTTCGTGAGCAGTAACGCTGTTGAAAGAGTCTCTTTTGGGTCTGTTCTTCGGAGCTGAAAGCAGTGAAGCATCTGATAAGTCAGAGAACCCGTTAATTTGAGCAGAACTCCGCTTGTCAACAGAGTCTGACACTGTCAACAGTGCGGGGGTTGTATTGAGATTGAGCCGCAAAAAACGAGAGGGGAGCAGTTCCAAAGGATCTGGACGCTTGCGGGTGCGGACATCAAAGACAGCTTTAAGGAAATCGGCAATTGGCTCCTCCAGCTCCGTGTAGTTAGCTAAGAAATCTGACGGACTCTCGAAATCATAGACCACATCAGAACCCAACACTAGCTGGACGAAAACGACTCCGAGGTCCCAAACGTCTGTTTTACGTTGCGGCTTGTCAAATAAAGAGGACCCGTTTTTTTTCCGTTCGGGGGCTATCCATCCAGGAGCATCAAACGGCAGCACGTCGTCATAGTGACCTTGATTTGGGTAGCTTGATACCATGTTCAGAATAGTGTAGCCATAGCATACGTTAGCAAGCTTGACCTGGCTCTGCCCCATGGATGATGGACACACCTGGATAGCGTCCAAGTTGAGACATTTGTGGATCATTCCCTGTTTGTGTAGATACTCCAAGCTTTCCAGGAGCTGGATTATCCACTCACGGGCAGAGGTGATGTTGATGAATGATATTTTGCTCAAGAGATTGGCAAGCGTATCATTGTAGCTGGACAATATGGCAATCTTCCACACATCGAATCTCTCTTCGTCCATCGAAACCTTCTTGGAGACTTTTTTGGCGGCGGAATTCTGAAGCGAGACATCCCCACTAGATGTCATTTCGAATTTTTCAATGTTGAAAGCGTAGACTCGGTCGATGTTGTCATGTCGTAGATTCGTAACTGCCTGTAGCTCCTTTTCAAGGGAAAAGATCAATTTCTTGCCTTGGCTGGACCTCCAGAAAGGATTCGACAGATCTATTTCTGTGAAGAGGAACTGGAGCTTATTTTTACCTTTGGTAAGATCCTGTATCAGACCGTACGCCGGGGAATCTTTGTGGATGTGAGGCTTTACCAAATACTGCTGGCTGCAATCTTTGAGTAGTCCAACAGGTTCAATCGGCACAAATCCGGACACTGCTCGAAAGTTCAGCTTGTAGTAGTCTAAATGGGTTTCGATTGCCTTGTCAAAAACAAATATTCGTTCGTCTGTGGAGCTGTGCACGGCAGATTCCAAACTTAATATGTTCTCTTTCAACGTCGGCGACGTAGCCCGCACTTCGGATTCACTCTTATTGGATCTTCGTTTCAGTTCGGTGGCCACCATCTGGTCCAGTAATTCCTGCTCTCTTTCTCTCTCGAGCTCAATCTTATGTCGCTGCTCCTTCTCTTGCTGTTCCATGAGCTCCTTTTCCTTTTCAAGTCTACGGAGTCTTTCTTCTTCCAAAGTGCCTGTTCTGGCTCTCGTCTGGAATTCGTTCAGATGGTCCAAGATGCACGTCGTGACAGAGTAAACCATAGGACCGCCTTTCTCTTGTTTCATGATCTTATCGATTTCTGTGCGCAGAAACGACAGCTGAGAGGAAAGAATATTCTGCGAGCGTCCAAAGGACATTAATGGAAGCGTTTGCGGATAGGTGGCTGTGAATTCAATCTTGAGCACTAGTGTCAATATGGGGTCGCTATTGGTATCGGAACGAAGCGTAATTTCAAATTTGGGACAGGGCTTTTGGCTCCAAGCGCTCTGCTGCGGCGTCTTGTCTTCAAGGTCGTCCGCATAGATTGCTTTGAGAACTTCGAGCTCCTCTATCTGTATGTCATGGTACTCGTTCATAAGGTTATCAGCCTTACCCGGCACTCAAATTTTTCAGCAGCAAAAAAATATAAACTAAAGATGTCGTCAGAGAAGATGGACGCCGCTTCGTTGATCTCGAAATTGAACCTCAATAAGGATGAATCCAAGGACCAGCAGTTAAAGAAAGTGGAAGAGGCGCGGGAGGCCTCCAAAACCGATACGGAAAAGGCAGAGAGTCCTGCAGAGGAGGTAAAGGAGGACAAGCCGGACGAGAAAGATAACACAGAGAAACCCCAAAACTCTCTCGTGGACTCGACCTACGAGGTGAAGGTGAAGCTAGCAGATCTGCAAGCTGATCCAAACTCGCCATTATACTCTGTGAAGTCGTTTGAGGAGCTGGGATTGCGCGAAGAGCTTCTCAAAGGACTCTACGCGATGAAATTCTCCAAGCCATCTAAGATCCAAGAGAAGGCGCTCCCCTTGCTCATTCAAAATCCTCCCCGTAACATGATTGGGCAATCGCAGTCGGGTACAGGTAAAACGGCCGCATTCTCTCTTGCGATGCTCACCAGGGTGGATGAGAATGATCCTATGGTCCAGGCCCTCTGTTTGTCTCCTGCCAGAGAACTAGCGAGACAGACTGAAGAAGTGGTTTCCCAGATGTGCAAGTACACAAACATCAAAGTCAAGCTTGTGGTTCCAGGCTCTTTGGAACGAGACGAGACAGTCAACGGACAAGTAGTGATAGCTACCCCTGGAGTGATATTAGATCTTCTAAGAAGACGCAAGATCAACTTTAGTCATTTGAAGATACTCGTTCTAGATGAGGCAGACAACATGCTGGATAAACAGGGGCTCGCCGATCAGTGTCTCCGTGTCAAGAAAAACATTCCGCAGTCAACTCAGCTGGTTCTTTTCTCGGCTACTTTCCCGGAGGAAGTTCGCCGTTACGCTGAGAAGTTTGTTCCCAACGCAAACTCGTTGGAATTAAAGCATGAGGAGCTTAACGTGGATGCCATCAAACAACTGTACATGGACTGCGACTCTGATCAGCACAAGTTTGAAGTACTTTGCGAGCTGTACGGTTTGTTGACCATCGCATCTTCCATCATATTCGTCCAAACGAAGGACACTGCCTCGAAGTTGTATGCCAGAATGAAGCAGGAGGGCCACGCGGTCTCTATCCTGCATGGTGATTTACAGCCAGCTGAAAGAGACCGTTTGATCGATGACTTCAGAGAAGGCAGATCGAAGGTTTTGATCACCACCAATGTTCTAGCCAGAGGCATTGACATCCCCTCAGTTTCGATGGTTGTGAACTACGACATTCCTTTAGACAAATCAGGAAAGCCAGATCCTTCAACTTATCTACATAGAATCGGAAGAACCGGCCGCTTTGGCCGCACTGGTGTGTCGATCTCTTTGATTCACGACAAGAAGTCTTATCAGGACCTAGAGGCCATCAGACAATATTTCGGCGGAATTGAGATGACCAGATTGCCGACCGATGACTGGGATGAAGTGGAAGAGATCGTGAAAAAGGTTGTTAAATGAAGAGAAGTGCATAAGTAGTGCATAAGTAAATTAATTATTTCCTGTGATCTATCTAAGAGGGTGTTTGACAAAGTCAACAATGTAATAGTACCATTTTTGGTTGTAGTCCTCCTTCTGTTCTCCTTCGACGGCGTTGATTCCGTCTCCCAAGTAGTAGTTGGTCTGGAATAGGGTAACAATCAAACAAACAAAACTGATACCAAGAGCACCACAGAAAAGCTTGTAACAAACATCCTGGTAAGCCTGGATACTTGCGATTCTGTCATGGGAGCCCCATGGGAGAGCATAGATGGTGGTAACAGACTCGAAGTACGAAAGGGCCTTGGTGGCATCACCAACGTGCTCGGTAAGACGTTTAGGAAGGTTCGATGTCCAGACGGCAGCGACAATAGCTTGGCCGACAGCAGCACCAATACTGCTGTAAAGAGAAAGAACAGAGATGGTAGTAGCCAAGTCAACGTGCGGAACACAAGCTTGAGCAGCCAAATGGGTACCCATAACGTCACCACAGTCACCGATGGAGGTGAGAACAAGCGCAGCCACAATGACACCGAGAGACGGACCGTTATGCATCTTGGTGGAGTGCACCATCAGTCCGAGACCAATCAATCTGATACTAGAGCCGATCACTTGGAAGATCTTATAACGACGGAAATATCTGAATAGAAGACCGTAGACGACACCGAAAGAACACAGTCCCATGGTCTCGGTATTATTCAGGTAAGTCCAATGCTTGTAGGAAAGATTCAGAACGACCATGTTGTAAGAGCTGAAGTAAAGCAGCCAGAAATAACCACCCATTTGGTAGCAGAAGTCGATGATGACACAGCAAACGAAAGTTCTGTTCAGAAGAACGCGCTTAGGAAGCGATGGGTATGGGGCAATCCAGATCTCGTAGATACAGTAAGCGATCAAGAAGACTCCTCCCACAACCTCCATAGCAATCATCGAAGGGTTGTGCCATCCACCTTTGGCATATGAATAGAGCGAGCAAGGAAGAAGCATGAGGGAGAAAGCGAAGCCGAGAAGGACGAGTCCCAAAGCATCGATCTCGATAAGAGCTTCCTTGATCTTTAACAAAGTATTCTTGCTTTTCAGAACCGTGATCTGGGGAAGTCTGAGGTTGAACTTAAAAGTTCCATGGTTGATTTTCTGGTCCATCCAGAAAATCATACCAATGGCAGGAATCAATGCAGCAGGGGTAATAATAGCGAACATACCGTAACCCCATCTCCAATTAGAAGTGGTGATATTTTGGACGATGTAACCTGCCACCCAAGTAGTGCACAAGTAAGGAGTAGAGAGAAGACCATTGACAGTGGCTCTCCATTTAAGAGGAGTCATGTCAGCAACCAAGATGCTGTTCATTAGATTGATACCAGATTGTCCGATGGCAATGAAGACGGAACCAATGACGTATGCAGAGATGGTAGGAGAGCAGGCATCAACAACAAATCCGATGACATACAAAAGCAAAATAATCATGTAGGCGATGGCTCTGGAAGTCATATCAGACATCTTGGCAATGAATGGCTTACAAACAGCCCCGATAATGGAGTTGGCAATACTTAAAGTGGAAAGCATCGAGTGACGGTTAAACTGAGAAGTGGCATATGGCTGGTAACTTGTAGTGGTCGAGCTGTCAAGCGCATAAGTCCACGAACACAAGTACAAGGACAGGATCAGCACCAGAATGTATCTCTTATCTAGAGTCTGCTTGATGGCCTCAATTCTGGCCACACCCCGAGGCTTTTCTTCCTCGGTGTCATGCTCAAAAGTATGCGAGTCAAGAGAAGGTTCTTTGAAGTCCTGTGACATATTTCGTTTAATTGATTTTACAGATAATGTCACTGCTATTTATCTGCTCCCAAAAAGTAAGGATTTTTCAAATTTTTCTTATAGCCGATGCTTATAGCCGATTTTGAAAGCCGAGTGGTCAAAAATATAGCTTGTCCGATAAAACATGGTTTGCATTGCATCTCAAGATGAATAAGAAGCAAAAGAGGCTATTGTGAATCTGCGAAATTTTCTAGCACCCTTGACTTTACCGTCTCGAAACCAGGTGCGCCTTTCTGGTTCGAACAAAGATCAGACAATGCACTCACTCCTCCGATCTTATTTTTTTCCATGAAAGCTTCTATTATTGTAACTGCCTCAAGCCTGCGCGCTGCAATCGGACCACCACGCAGGTCATGTGCAACTTCATCCATTAAATTTGCCACACGCTTCAGTCGATTATAATAAGTAGTTTCGGTTGATTTCCATGTCGGATACCTCTTAAGTATCTCGCAGACTGAAGGTTTTCCTTCATCGCAGTTTCCAACATACCACACCTTATAGAGCTCCCGTACCGTCAAACTTTTGTTTGACCTGGGTCCCCTTGGCAAACGGTAATTTATTATTTCTCGAGGCAGGCTCTTCGGTGATGAAGGCTGCAGGGTATCATGCACTAAAGCATGATCGTTTGCATCTTGCTTGTAACTTGGCTCTCTATTGGTCAAAGATTGCTCAATAAGAGCCCGAGAATTGTTAAGTGTTGCTTCTAATGCCGTTCTATTCTTGTCTGTGGGATGATTGTCTTGGTTAATTAATAAGCTGTCCAATTCGTCTTGTAAGCCTTTGATATTTTCAGTCAAGGATTCCTCAACCTTGTGGTAGACAGCGTCTTCCAGCTGCCTTTGAGAATTCTCTACTTCCTCTATCTGTTTTAGTAATAGATCTACAGTATTGTGCGCAGAAACACCTTCGAATGCTTTCGACAAAATTTGGTCAAAAACGCTTTTGAGGTCTGGATCTAGTGAAGAGGAATCGGAAATGTTTCCAAAAACCATATGCTGGGGATTGTGCCTCAACTGCTCCTCAATGTCATCCCTAACATCCATGAGAGGTGATTAGGAGGCGATTGTTGATATTTTATATTTCTTTTTAGTTCCTAATGCAATCATGACGTCAGCTGATTTTAGCACGTGATACCGGAAGATGCGGCAAAGTCGAGTTCAATTATCTGCAAGCAGATATATCTTCATGGTTTCGAGCTACGACGCGACCCAATGATGGAACTCTAACTATTTCACTGCAAGCATTGTAACTCAAGAGTCTTGCACTTGAGTTCCTTGAATGAAAGAGCTGTAGTCCCGCTATTTCCTCTCAAAATTTCATTCTACAAGGATTACATTGAGGGTACAATTCCGAATCGCTTTAGTAAGCTAGTATGCATCCAGTAAGCTTGTTGTCTATTTTGCACTTACGTTTAGCGTTACAATCAACCTTGCAAGATATCCTACATCAGAGCTAGAATTATAAAGGTTTCACAACTTGTTGTTGCATACTTGGGATGGGGTAGAAACTTTCTGCCCTCATATGGATGGTTACTTTGAGGGGAACTAGAGTGTAAAATGGATATCAGGAACACGGTTAATCTTTCGGATATTTTTTTCCGTGAGGATTAGGCTAAGGAATTACACATGTCGGAGAAGAAAGCGATGGACGAGTTGCCAGAGTAAAGAATCATTTCATTACTTAAAATGACATTCCATGTTTGTGCAGGGACCGGATTAAGTCCGTCTGGTTGCCTCGAATTCTTTTCATGTTTGTTCATCTGTTGACGTATAGTGTAATAATGAAAAATTGGTGTACAGATGTGGTCCTAGATAAGAATTAGTTGACCAAAAAGATAACATGCAGTTCTTTGAGACGAGGATAGTTTGGTCCATTATTGTTGGTCTGTTCATAGTTTTTTCAGTGTTTTGGAGCTTCCCTGAAGAGTCTGAGGCTGTAGTCAAATGCCCTGCGACAAAACCACATCGACCATCCACTTTTGATTCGCATAAACAAACTCTTCTCAGAATATTGCACAGCGAAGAGTTTAGGAACGCTTCTGCAATGAAATTGCAGGCTGCGATCAGAACAAGGACCGAGGTTTATGATGATGACCCTATTTCTGTTGAGGATGATTTCGCGTACTGGTCGAAATTTGAAAAGTTCGAACATCTACTCAGATCGACATTTCCTCTATTTTACAACAAAACCACGCTTCACAAGGTCAATTATCATGGACTAGTTTATATTTGGGAGGGAAGCGACCCATCCTTGAAGCCTTTGGTTCTAATGGCTCACCAGGATACAGTACCCGTTTCAAATATAACCCTCAGTCAATGGGAACACGATCCTTTTAGTGGGGACTACGATGGAGAATACGTTTATGGTAGGGGAATTGCCGACTGCAAAGACCAGCTGATCGGTCTATTGGAAGCTGCAGAAGAGCTGATCATAAATGGATTTTCGCCAAGAAGGACTGTTATCTATTCCTTCGGCTTTGACGAAGAAGTTGGAGGCCCTAGAAACAAGAACGCCGAATGGCTCGAGGAGAAATATGGCAAAGACTCCATGTACGCGGTTCTGGACGAAGGCGGAATTAATCTGGACACCATTCAAGGAGTCAAAATGTCTGTTCCGGGAACGGCAGAGAAAGGCTATATGGACTTGAAAATCATTTTAGAAACACCAGGGGGACATTCGTCAATTCCACCTAAACACACCTCAATTGGAATTATAGGCGAAATGATTGTGGAGCTTGAAAAATCGGAATTTCCAACATATTTCACCGAGCAAAATCCTGCTTTCTGGGAATACGTGTGCGTTGCAGAGCACTCTCCCGACATGGATTCATCAGTTAAGAAAAGTATTCTCAGAGCGGCGCACGATGAGAAGGCCAATGAGATTGCAAGGAATTACATAGATGTGGAACTTGGCAAGGGATTTGTTGTCAAGTCAACAAGAGCCCTTGATATTATAAGCGGAGGAGTCAAGGCCAATGCCCTTCCTGAATATGTGGAGCTCACCATCAACGTACGGATTGCCATGGAGGAGACAGTAGAGACCGTGGTGAAGAGAATTATAACCACCATTGAGCCAGTTGTTGACAAATATAATCTGGGGCTTGCGTTTGATCTTGATGGGCATCAAGAGCTCAAGCCTAGCAAGCCAGCCGGGAATTGTCTTGTTAAAGTGGTTCAAGCGTTTCCGCCTGCTCCCCTGACGCCCACTCGGGGAAACCATTGGAACATATTTTCAGGAACTATCCTTCATGTCTATGAAGTTGTGGCTCCAGATTCCAGAGGCCTTGTTGTTGCTCCGGGAATTGGTTCTGGAAACACCGACACTAAGTATTACTGGAACCTCACAAAACATATCTACAGATACAGGCCAGGTTTGTTGCCAGGCGTGTACTCAAAGGAGCATGGAATCAATGAGTATATTCCAATGGACTCTCATCTGCACTTGATTGTTTTCTATTATGAGTATATTTTGAGTGTCGACGAGACGGACGATTAAAAATTCGGTAAAGCCAAATTAGGAAATTATAGAGATACATTTTCAGCTGCAGTAATCCACTAACACTTCTGCGTCTTTTCCAATCATTGATTCAATGTAATCGACATAGTCGCGGAGGGGGATCATGTCAATTTCTCCAAGGGGACCCGTTGTTGTCAGAACTCTTCCCATGTAAAGAGTTCTGAGATACCATTTGCCGTCTTTTAGTCCTTCGTAAAGCTCAAACACAATCTCCGATCCCATTCCTGGCCATCTGAGATAATCAATTTGGAGAAATCCAAGTATACGTGCAATGGAGCCATCATGGGCTACGTTGTGAGAATATTTGAGACTCGAGGACCCATCGGTTTTCTGAAGAAGACGGTGCTTTAGCTCATTGAAGTATGCACCGTAGCTGGTTGCCGCATAAAGAGTTGAGTTTTCATGAATCCGAAACTGGTAGTTGTACTCGAAATCACCCAGACGAAATATTTGTTCCGCCTGGTCCTGTGTCATACAGAGTGAGGAGTTCTCGGAGTTGCAAGCAAGATCGTACCCATGACACAATCTGAATGCAGTGTTGTCGAAATAATGATCGAAAGACTGATGCCAGTCCTCAGAATCTGGATCGACACCAGAAATGTGGTCTAGTTCATTGTATAGATCTGCAGCCTTAGCCAGATGCTCCTGCCATTCACTCGAGGAGGTGATTTCTGATGCTACGTCATCTGCAAAATCGCAGGAATAAGTTGGCTCGAGTGCGTCAAAGCTATCGCCTTCAACTTTTACATCAATGCCTTTCTCGCAAGGATACATAGCCTTCGCCACTGCACTGACAACTTGGGAGGTGATGACGTTATTGGTCACTCGAAATGTTAATTGGTTAGGGTCATATGACTCTGGGAGAAATTCCAACAGCTCGCCATACACTCCATATAGGTCCAGACCGTGCTGGTATGAGTCTTCCAAACCTCCATAGGAGATTTGAGGAAATTGACAAGTGCCATTGTAGCCGTTCTGGATAAAGCTAAACGGATTGTACTGATTTTGGTAGTTGGTCCAAGAGATTTTCGTGGTATTATTACTCCGATCTGGGGTCTTGAATTCGGAGTAGTAGTTGTTCAACGCGTCATCACAGTAGAGCACCAAGTTTTCCACAGGGAAGCAATTCTGTGCGTAGGGTGTTCTTTTGTGATGGCGATGGATGACCTCGACAAACTGCAACTTGTAGACCGATTGGTCCACCTGTGGGTAGGTATCCTTCCTTACATGGGGCATGTTGCAAAAATTATATTGTCCGTACTTGCTATCTGGGACATAAGATGAATTGTATATCCCGTCGTTAGTGCCTCTTGAGGAGTTGAAAACTTGATCCAAATCCGAGAATTCGTTTTCGATAGGCGCATGGTGAACGATCTCGGCAGCAGTAATTGCTGCTAGGGTAATAAACAGAAGCATACAAGACAGCGAGTTTTTGTGTGCTATTTATGCAACTCGAAGAAAACACGTGCTTCGAGGCCCAATCTCAGAACTGGAAAATTAATTTAGCAGGGATTCGAAGATCATTATCGTTTTAGCCACGATTGATTGCCCACGTTCCTTTGTTCAACAGATACGATCCCAAGGCCACTCAAACTGTACAACAAACACCAAACTTTTTGCTACCTAGTGGTGGAAAGCTGATAGTTCTTTCACACCATAGGGCTCCTCGGGGTATTGCACTTCTTCTCAAAAGCTTGAGCCTGATAGCAGCCATGGCATCATCGCGTATGACAGGTGTGCAGATTCCCAAACTTGAGTTTTGTCGTTCGACCAGGGTCCAATGTTGCCACAAGGGTAGCCATGGGCGCTTTTTGCTTGGAAGCAAGAGTTTCCACCCTTTTGACAACTTCCTTACCAATTACGATCAGCCGACCAAGACCAATGAAGGAAAGGAAGGAGAGTTTAGGCAACGCACCAGTTATCGTGCGTCTTGACAGCGTTCTGGTTAAAAACATCCCTCCAGCGGAGACCAACAGATGAGCCAGCACCTGTTTAGCTGCAGTAAGCAGTCACTTTGTTATCCTCGATTGTGTAGAGAAAAAAATGGTAGCTCTGGATCGGGACAACTTTAGTCCAGCCGTGCTCCTTAGCAATGTTATGAAGTCGGATAGATTGGTATGCCTTCGTGGAAAACACTTCAAAGTATAGATATTTATCAGACTTGACAACATGGCACAAGACCTCCATGATTTGGTCGGCTGGAAGTCTGTCGTATCTTTGCAGCAAGACAATCTAGGTCCCTAGTTTATCAATGGTCCTGTCAAGGACATCAGAAATCGCCATTCTCCAGCTCTGACACAGTTGATAAAACTGACACCTTCTTCTGAACCATTCGTAGCACTGGCGCCAGACTTTTCGGTCACTGAAAAATAACCCTTTGTGAAAATCAGAACAGTTCCTCTGTCAATGTTGTCCTTCTTCAGGAACTTGCCAATTAAAAGCTCCGAAAAGCCATTGGAGTAGTGTCCCGCAGTTTCAAAGTTTGCACATCTCTATAGCAGGCCTTTTTCATGATTTCTAACACCTGCTCTTCATCTTCAGCGGTCTAATCAGACCAGCTTTCTTTTGCCAAAAGACATGCACCCGAGGATCACTCTGGAAAGGTAAATGCAAGAGTTTCCCAGGTTGGTGACCAACAGAGACGACGCTCACACACGTCTCAAAACTTCTCGAGGAAGGACATGGCTCGGTAATTGAAGTTAGAAAGTTAAATATCAAATATAAATAAAGCCTGCTCTAAAAGTATGGCTTCGGCAAATGACATAACCGTAACACCCAATTAGAGTATCATTCATGTCACTTGAGTGATATTGAAGATCAAAAAAGAGTATTGCAACATGGGTCTGCTCCAGCTATTAGACCTAAGGGTTTGTTCATGGTCTTATTTAACCGGCGTTCTTCCAAAACCACGAGTCACATCCTATGATATTCCAGACTGTATACACCTAACACCAGACAGTTTAGTTCTCGATTGCCACACCTATTTTTCCTATCACGTGCAGACATTTTGTCGTATGCCCCAGATTAGGAAGGAGTCCAGACTATCAATAGCGTCGCAAGATTTAACCCTACTTAGTAAACGTTCGGATCTTATCAGGACAAAAAATTGAATTTAAAAACGAACGGCCGGTGTTAGCGAGTTTTTTTCTTATGTTCAACGCCTTCACTGTTAACGACCTCGCGCTCGTGGACCAAAAGCCAGCAAACTCTGCCGGCAAGACTCTGGCCGACTTCCAGACTTTTCTGAATGACACCAACTCCACAGGTCGTCCGATTCGTTCGCGAAGCGGATGCGGAGAATGTCGCAGACGCAAGTAGGTAGCAAATTTTTGCCAACTAACCACAGAAAACGCTGCGACGAGACTAAGCCAGTCTGCAAACTGTGCAAGAAACTGGGAATTGAGTGTGTGTGGCGTCAACCTGGTACAGAACGCAAGAATACCAAACGGCGCAAGTCCCAGGCCATCAAGGTTCGGGTAAGTTCTATCGAAAAAACATCTGGATTTTCGCCCACGCATACCCTAATTGACACACTTAGAACGAATGTTAAACTTCCAGCCAAGTATGAACCACAAGTGAATGTCTTCTCGCTGCCATTCATTTGTCATCTTAGTGATACTGAGAGCCGATATCTAGATTATTACATCAACTATGTCTCGGCGACCCTTTCCCTTCTGCCTCAGGAAACAAATTATCTTCTAAGCCTCTACATCCCTCTGGCAGTTCATAACAAAGCCATTCTGAATGGACTTATAGGTTGGTCTGGCCTTTTCTTGGCAGGCACCAAATCGGAGGAAACTCCGATGAAATATATCCAGAACGCTGTGGATCTATGCGACAAGACCCTCAAGTCAGATAAGTTAACAATTTCCGACAAGCTGGAACTTGTGTGTCTTTTTTTCATTCTTTGCGCTGCAGAAATTTGTGTCGGTGATGTCAAAAACTGGTATGATATATTTGGCAGGCTGCATAAATTTATCTTGAACGAGTGCAACGGCAATCTAAAGACCCTGCTAGGATTACTGGGTGACACAGAGGGGGCTAAATGGTTGCTGTCCAATTTTCTGTACCATGATGTGCTCAGCAGCTCCAGCCACGAAAAAGGCACTCTATTCCCTATTGATCAATACTGCGAGGCACTAAATATAATTCCTGGCACTACGCAGTTGATGGACTCGAGTAGTGTTTGTGACCCTTTGCAAGGCTGCGTTCGGCCAATGTTTGTCTTGCTTGGCCAGATAATCAATACTAGGAACAAGTTAGACAAAATGCAAGAGGATCTCAATATCATCAAAGACCGTGGTTCCTATAGACAGAAAAGATTTGAGTTTCTGACGACGCTGGAGCAAGATTTCGAAGAGCTGGAAACTCGAATCAAAAATACCAATCCGCACACTCCCTCGTTGTTGCTTTTGAAGGATGACAAAGAACTTGAAGACCATCTCACGTTGTTCGAGATCTACAAATTAAGTCTCAGGATCTACCTTCGCTACATGATGCGGAAGACTCCTCCAGCATTGCCAGAGATCCAGCTAATGCTCCAAGAGCTCACGCTGTGTATGGATGTGATAATGGATACCAATGTCCAGTCTGGCCTGTGTTTTGCGCTCATGGTTGCTGGGATTTCGTGCGTCGATCCAGTGGATCGTGAACAAATGGAAGCCAGATTGCGGTCATTTTCTTCTAAATTCCCCGTTAAGAATTTTGAGCTTGTTTTGATTCTTATCCGCAAGGCATGGGAACTCAACAAGGACGGATCACAGTGTGTCAATTGGTTCGATATTTCTGAAAGTATGGGGTGGTACTTATCATTAGCCTAAGAATAATTAGGTAATCTATTTCATGCTTTTGTATTTGGCAATGACTTTTTCGGCCAGATCCACAAGACCTGTGGCCAGAATGTCCGGAGTGCCAAAGATTTCTATACAAGGGTCGTACTCGTGGACACTGCTCCATGCGGTGATAAAACCGGCCTGTTTTGCGGCGCACGAATCCCACATATGTGCGGCGGCAAAAAACGCATTCTCAGCACGCGAAGGAATTTTTTTGGCAATGAAGTCGTAGACTTCCTTTTCAGGCTTTCCCGCACCGATCGAGTCGCAAGATATCAAATTCTCGGACGGCATCTCAACTCCAGAGCGCTTGAAATATCCGGCAACTCTATCGTGCGAAGCATCGGTTAGACACCAGATAGTGAAGTTGTTATCTCTAAGCATCTGGAACATTTGCTTGAGCTCAGGGCGTCCTTCTAGCTTGAACCATTCTCCGTAGATGAACTCTAGATCATCATCCGTAGCATAGGATCTTGGGTCCTTCACTCCAGCAAAAAATAACGATCTATAGAAAGTGCTCTTGAACACCTTCTGGAATGGCTGGTATTGTCCGCACTGCGACAGGTACGAGTAGTCTCTCTCACAGCCTGCTAGCCAGAAAAAGAAAAACAACCGAGGATCGATTCCTGATTTTTTGAACCGTTCACCCATACGGGCTTCAATGCCTTCAATGACTTTCTCATACGAGATACAGGTTCCCACAATGTCAAAGATTATGTCTGGCATTTTTTTGGTTTGTGAAGCTCGGATATTCCATGAGCTTTATACCGCAAGATAAGAAGGCTCTGAAAACAGGACTGCGAGAAATCATAGAGTCGGAGAAAAACCGAATTTGAATTTCGCGACGAGGTCGGCCAATAAGATACTATTTAGAGCTTAGCCACTGGAGTGCCCAAGGAGGCCAGAATCTCATTTCTCGTCCTGGTCATTCGCTCCTGAGAAATCTTGAAAGCCTCGGGGACTTCCAATTTCTTTCCCATGATATTACCGGCTAAAGCTTTAGCCGATAGTAAGACACGCGGCATACCGTGACCATGGAACCCCGCAATAATGAACTTGTTGGACTCGTGCGGCATCTCACCAACATATGGGAAAGAATCGTCAGTGTAACCAAGAATGCCACTCCAGACGTGATCGGTGTCCGTGTCAATAAACTTCCAATCGTGGAAAAGTTTCATATAGTTGTCAAAATACTCTTTAGTTCCGGAGATCAGAGTACTATCATCGACGACGTTGTAGAAAACGTTCTTGAAAGGGAATATATGTTTTTTAGCGCCACCAACAACAACAGTTCCATCCGCACGGTTGATCAGATAGTCCTGATCTGCACCATCATATCTAATACCATATGTATGAGAGAGATGGGAGGGCCGAACCTTAGGAGTGATGTGGCTACAGATGCCCTTGATAGGAACGATCTTGTTCATAAATTTTGGTTCCACCGAAGCGGTGTACGCATTAGTGGCAATAACCAGCTTTCGAGCCAAAATCGTTCCTCTAGTAGTTTTCACTAGCCATTTATTATCGAACCCTTGAATCTCAAGAACAGGTGTATTAGTTTGCAGATTGAGTCCTTGCTGCATACATTTTCTAAGCAATGAAGTCACAAGCTTGTATGGCCAAAGTTGACCTGCAGTGAAAGTGACACATACCTCAGAGTCCAGAACGTGACTGATAGTTTTTGCGTTTTCTCCAACGTGTAATTGAACGTCTTGTTTGCAGGTAACGTAGGGATTTTTTGCAAACTGTTGGTAATTTTCCAGAGCAGCATTAACAGCAGAGGGGGTCAAATGAACGTCACAGGACCGGCCAAGCACAAAATCACAGTCAATGTTCTCCTTCTCGATAAGCTCTTTCATTGCAGCCAAGTGAGCGAACTCAAAGTTAGCGATCTCTGCGGCACCTTTCTCTCCAAACTTCTTAGTCCAGGACTTTTGCGAGTAGTAGAGGCTGGGCTTCAGATGTCCACCATTGCGTGCAGTAGCTCCGCTACAGACATCCCGAGCTTCTAGCATTACAATGGTGCCGTCAAATCCCTCTTTCATCAAGAAATGTGCGGTTGTGGTACCTGCATATCCAGAACCAACGATCACGATGTCAGCTTCGGGAGGAAGCTCTGCAGTTGATCTATGATCATGAAAGTCTACTTCAGCTGTTAGCCAGAACGACTTTGTTGGGTTGGGAACGGGGAGGTAGTCAGTCATAGTGAAAGAAGATAATCAATTAGTGATGTATTTTTCTCTTATCTAAATCCTTTCCCGACCAACGCATAATTCTGCCTGTCCTGGTTGCAGAGGTGCACGGCGGCAAAAGTTGATAAGACCTGATCAAGATTTCCGCCAAACCTATATATAACCACGGATCAGAAGGAAGGTGGTCTTATGCTTGAAAAGACACCAGAAACTGAAAAAGGATACGACGACTCTAAGGGCGTCTCTATCCTCGCTACTCACGTTCAATCGGTACTATCCCCTCAGGACGACCAGGAAATTAAAGATCAAGCATTCGAGCTTCTCAAAGATAATATCGATGAGGATCTCGATACTGAGGAAGATAGATCCGTGAGACGTAAAATTGACTGGAGATTCCTCCCGTTGTTGACTCTACTGTATGGTCTCAATTATGTGGATAAGGCATCCCTTTCTTGGGCAGTCATGATGAACTTCAGAGAGGATACCAAGTTGAAAGGAAATGAATATTCATGGGTGTCTTCCATCTTCTACTTTGGATACTTGGGGGCAGAGTATCCAGCCAATATCCTAGTTCATAAGTTTTCAGTTCCGAAGATTCTTACAGGAGTTTGTCTTTCCTGGGGTGTTTTGATGCTGGCTCATATCGGAGCGAAAAACTACGCTGGAATTTTAGTTATCAGGTTCTTACTGGGAATTAGTGAAACTCCGGTGTCCGCTGCATTGATCAAGTATGTTGGGTGCTGGTGGAAGAAGTCAGAACAGCCTATGAGATACTTATGTTTCAACTCTGGACAAGGGGGGCTGTACGTCGTTTTCAGTCTTGTCTCCTACGGTCTGGGACATGCTGGAGGAAAGTTGTCGCCATGGAAGTATATCTATATTGTTCTGGCAATTTGTTCCTTCACTTTAGGAGGACTGATCTTTTTTTTCTTACCAGCTTTGCCCCAGAATGCAAAGTTCTTGAACGAGCAAGAAAAGATAGTTGCTGCAAAAAGAGTCTCGAAGAACATGACAGGAATCAAGACTATTGTCTGGAAGAACTACCAAATTCTTCATGCTCTAAAGGATCCAAAGACGTATTTGTTGACCTTGTATATGTTCTTCTCCATGATCCCAAATGGTGGTCTTACGAATTTCAATACGCTTGTGCTGCAATCTTTTCATTTCAACAAGTACACTACGCTCCTAGTGAACCTCCCATGGTCGTTCTTCTCTGCTGGTCAAATGTGGGTGTGGGTTATTGTTGGTCGCAAGTTCAAGAACCTTAGAATTGCCGGCCTGATCATTCCGATGTGCATTGCAATCACCGGATTGTCTATCGTGTACGCTACCGAGGATGGTGGGGCAAATAAGTGGGGAAGAGTGTTTGCTTACTGGATGATTAACTCCTGTTCAGCAACCTATCCGTTTGCAATGACCCTGACGGGACAACTGATAAGTGGCCATACCAAGCAATCTTTCACTAATGCCTTGGTCCTGATCTTTTTTGCTTTGGGTAACATTGTCGGTCCGTTCGCCTTCAAATCTAGTGACGCTCCAAGATACACACATGCTCTGGCTACCATCATCGGTACTTTTGCAGCCTGTATCGCGATCGGAGCGGTACTCGGCGTTTACATCTTCTATGAGAATAGAAGAAGGAACAAGCTTTACGGAAATCCGGCCGAGGATGAAGATCTGCAGCTTCAAGGAGAAATCGCGGGTCTCAAGGATAAGACAGATCTGGAAAATAAGCAATTCAGATTTGTTTACTGATTTTTGAACTCGGGGGATAGCCTATCTGATTGAGATTTTACATTTGTACCGCAAGAGTTAGGTCTGGCTCACTACTATTATTTTAAATTTAAACAGTTGAGGAGAGGAGTATTCGTTTTAATTTAGTTTTTATGACCACTGTACTATTGACCTTAAATACGGGGGCACTAATGCCAGCCATTGGGCTCGGTACTTGGTCGCCTGACGATAGAACTCAGATTCGCGAATGCGTCGAATACGCTATCTTAGAGGCTGGCTACAGACACATCGATACGGCTTACTTGTATGGATGTGAAGATCAGGTGGGAGAGGCGGTCAGAAACGCCATTGCCACAGGAAAAGTGACTCGTGATGAATTGTTCATCACCACAAAAGTCTGGCCCACATTTCATAAACACATGGAGGATGGCTTGGATTTGTCGCTCAAGGCCTCGGGCCTGGATTATTTTGACTTGGTGTTGGTGCATTGGCCAATTCCGCTTAAGTGCGACAGTGATGATGGAACGCCCTTCTGGCCAACCAATGCGGACGGCTTTGTCGCAAGAGATCCGTCTAGCGATCACATCACCATGTATCAACAATTGGAGAAGTGCATGGAGAATGGTAAAGCTAAGGCTATTGGAGTTTCAAACTATTCGATTCCGAAACTGGAAAGCTTGCTCAAAAAGTGCAAATACGTTCCGGCAGTCAATCAATGTGAACTTCATCCACTGCTTCCACGTCGCGATCTTTGCGATTTCTGCACTTCCAAAGGCATTGTCATGACCTCATACTTTCCTTTTGGCGGTGACGGGGCTCCAATTTTGAAAAACGAGACAATTGCAGAAATTGCTAAAAAGTATTCGGTCAGTTCGAGTACAATTCTGTTGAGCTACCACGTCAACTTGGGTGTGTCTGTCGTTCCCAAATCGTTTAAGCCGCACAGAATCAAGTTGAACGGGAAGATTGTCTACCTCCAGAAGGAAGACCTGGAGAAGCTCATAGACATTGGAAGAGAAAAGCCACACAAGTTCAACAAGATCAATTATGATGTTGATCTGGAGTTCGGCAAGGAAGATTGGTAATATTTGTAAGATCAAATATTGGAATAGTAATCCAGTTTACCCAATTTTGTTGGCAATTACAGAAACTTTTTCTGTTTTAATTAATCTTGGCATCTTCAGCCACGAACTTTGCCAAGAAAGCAGTAATAAACCACATGGTCTCTATAGTTCTCGACTGTTAGTTGGTCTCAGCGCTAATAATGAGTCGCTGAGATGTTTCAAAGCGAGACTCGGATTCTGCAATGCTGTAAAATCGCTCTCTCTCGCGAGTGTCAAACCATATTTCCTTGATCAAAACGACATATATTGATTTGACCCCTCCAGTAGTTAATAAAAGCTAATTAGGAACGTGGGCTGCCAAGAAATCAGCTCAGTCGGTGATCACTAACTATAAATTACCACCAAAATGTTCAGTAGGACACCATGACGGACGCTGCCTTACCTGAGTTCAATTACATATTTGCAATCGCTGTGCTGTTTGCATTCTTAGACGCATTCAACATTGGTGCAAACGATGTTGCAAACTCTTTCTCCTCATCCGTGTCCTCCCGAGCTCTAACTTACTGGCAGGCAATGCTCCTTGCCGCTATTATGGAGTTCCTGGGGGCTGTTTTGGCAGGATCAAGGGTCTCAGACACTATTAGAAGCAAAATCATTGATGTTGAATCATTTGAAAACAGTCCATCGGTGCTAATGCTTACCATGACATGTGCACTAGTTGGATCCTCAATATGGTTGTCAATTGCAACATCCATCGGTATGCCTGTTTCGACTACTCATTCAATCGTGGGAGCGGTGATTGGAGCAGGAATTGCTGCAAATGGTAGCGATCACGTGGAATGGGGCTGGGACGGATTCTCACAAATCGTTGCCTCATGGTTTATTGCTCCTGCAATTACAGGTGCTATCTCGGCAATTATCTTTTTGATCACTAAGTACTGCATCCTCGAAAGGAAAAACAGTATTGCAAAAGCACTGTTATTCGCTCCTGTGATTGTGTTTATATGCTTCTCTATTTTGACAATGCTCGTGGTGTGGAAGGGAGCACCAAACCTAAAGCTGAACGACCTATCTACCGGGGCAACCGTTGGATCAATCTTCGGAGTCGGTGCAGTTGCTACTATCCTTTACCTTATTTTCTTCCACCCATATTTCACCAGGAAGTTGATTCACGAAGACTGGACGCTCAAGTTCTATCACGTTCTTGCTGGACCAACATACTACTTCAAATCAACGAAGAATATTCCACCAAAGCCAGATAACGTGGAACTTGTGATCGACTATTACCGTGGAAGAAGAAACAAAACGCCAGTCGTTTTGACCGACGATGAGAAGAATGCTGGCGACAGTTCTCCACTAGTTGAGTTTCAGTCCAGCAACATTGAGTCATCTCCACAAACCCCAGAAGACATTGGATATTTTGACTATGTGACAGCAGCAGAAAGAAAGCTTTGGCGAAGCATGGCTCTCCAACCTAAGCACTGGATCAAACTCTTATGGTTGCTAATAAGTCATGGCTGGAGACAAGATGTTATCAGTAACCAGGCAAACGCATCTGGGGTTCTTGGCCACGGAGTTCAGGATATGTACAGCAAGTCAAAGTTTTACGACACCAAGACCGAACATGTGTTTTCTTTATTGCAGGCCTTCACAGCATGCACTATGTCCTTTGCTCACGGATCCAATGACATTTCAAATGCTGCAGGTCCTCTGTCATCTGTCTACAATGTTTGGAAAACAAACACGGTTGGTAGCAAGAGCGAGGTGCCAATTTGGGTTCTTTGTTTCACTGCTGGATCGCTTGTGCTTGGATGCTGGATGTTTGCATACAAGCTTATGTCAAACCTAGGAAATAAGATGATTTTGCAATCACCGTCAAGAGGTTTTGCAATTGAGTTGGGAGCCGCATGTACTGTTGTCATGGCTACAAGACTTGGAATCCCGGTTTCCACCACCCAGTGTGCCGTTGGTGGAACGATCTTTGTCGGTCTGTGCAACATGGACATTCGTGGTTGCAATTGGAAAATGGTTCTATGGTGCTACCTTGGGTGGTTTGTCACGCTACCCGTTGCAGGTCTCATTGCGGGACTTATCAACGGAATTATCTTAAATGCTCCACGGTGGAACTAAGTAATTACGTAAATATTGTGGCTTTAGATTGTGGAATTCACATTAACTGTGCGTCTTTATCATCTTATAAATTGCGGACCTAAAATTCATGAAATTAGAACATGTCATTGGGACCCCAGGCACAGAAAAACCTTGAAGGAAAGACAATCCTCATTACTGGAGCATCTGCAGGCATTGGCGAGGCTATTGCGCGTGAATTTGTGGATGCGACCGGAGGCAACATCAAGCTAGTGCTCGCGGCCAGAAGGGTTCGAAGGCTAGCAGAACTAGGCCAGCAACTAGGGCAAAGTGGGGCCCAGGTGCACCTTGCGTCCCTTGATGTGAGCGATGGAGCGAATATTGATGAGTTTTTTGCCTCTCTTCCGTCTGAATTTCAAGACATCGACGTGCTAGTCAACAATGCTGGAAAGGCGTTGGGGATAGAGCACGCTGGAAGTATTAGGGACGAGGATGTGGAAGAGATGTTTGCTACGAATGTTCTAGGGCTGATCAAGATGACTCAGACGGTGATTCGTGGTATGAAGGAGAAGAACTCCGGTGACATTGTGCAGCTGGGATCGATTGCTGGGATTGAAAGCTATCCTGGCGGGAGCATCTACTGTGCTACGAAGTCTGCTGTGCGGAGTTTCACACAGGCGGTCAGGAAGGAGCTGATCAACACCAAGATCCGAGTGATGGAAATTGATCCCGGTGCTGTTGAGACGGAGTTCTCGCTTGTGCGATTTGGTGGAGACCCGGAGAAAGCCAAGAAGGTATATGAGGGATATGAGCCGTTGAGTGCAAAGGATATTGCGGAAGTGGTTGTGTTTAATTGTAGTCGTCGGCAGAACGTGGTAGTAGCCGAGTCGCTGGTGTTCCCGACAGCACAGGCTGGGAGCTACCATAGGTATAGAGGTCAATGAGAGGTGAAAGGCACATATACATGTACAGTAGAGGTACGAAATATACCTTGAAGGGTTGAACGAGCAATTGCGTCATAACTTTTCTCATTGTTCTACTAGACACGAGCCCGGTCAGAGGCAAGATGGTGCGGAAGAGAGCGCCCACGCGGGGAGTGGCAGGTGTATCTAGCACGTAGGTAGGCAACGACAGAAGGAGGAGGAGAACTAGGAGAGCAGGAAGGCCGGCCGGGCGGGGCAGCGGGCGGCATATCCACAGCAGGGCGTTTCTACCTGATCCAACCTTTCCCCAGAGGTAGGCGAGCAACTACGATGGAGTGGAGATGTAGATTTCATACAGAACGAAGCTGCCAAGATGTGGCCTCTACCCAGTTATGTATCTCTAGAGGCCGGTCCAGAATTCCGCCTTGGTCAGCTCATAGCTGGCACTCAACAGCGGAGACGCCGAGCTGTTTCCGACAAGTACCATGTACTCTCCCTTTTCGACAGA